GTCGAGAAGGGCCACAGGGAAGAATAAAAGCAGCAACACATACGAAAACGCACAGAACCAGAACGGAATTATCAATTTAGATAGATCTATCGAGGAAGTCCAAGTGGAAGCTGGAATAACAGATAGGATTATTCGAAGGGTCACCGGGGAACTCACTGACTATCGGATTCAACTTTTGAGAGAAATGCCCGAGTTTGGCAATGGCTTTTTAAAAGAAGAGACATTCAACATGTGTTTTCTAGAGTTACAAACAGAGAGCGCGATGGATCATTCGATTATCGCAAAAAGACTTCACGATACCCTTAAATGGAAAACCAACAAAGAGGGATTTTATAAAGACCATAACGAGTGGGTGATTGACGTCTTCTGTTATGACGACTTTGAGCTCCTGACACCTTTTGCCCTGACTGTTATACTACTAAAGCGTATAACAGACTACTTCCACAAGAAACACGCCTCTGATCGCCTGGAAACATTTCAAGTTTCTCATTCTAGCAATGAGAATGTAGAGCCCGGTTTCCAAAAGGCGGCTGATATTCTCTCATCACTTGTGATCCAGATCCTCAGGAAATTCCCAAAGGTCAGCTTGAGATTAATCATCAGTGGTATAACGAACAATTACCCACGTCCTCAGCGATTGGCAACTTTCGTGCTAATGTTGGGACGGCTCATGGAACGAGTCAGAAGGGAAATCAAATCTGGAAGCCGAATAAAATGCATTTTTTGTGGAACAAATTTCTGGGAACCTTTCGAAAGAAGATACATCGATGAAAACGGAATCGAGAGACAAACATCGATCAACCCCCTATTGACCGCTACATTGGATTTTGCAGGCGTTCAATCTCAAATAAAAGGCCAGGATTTGGTGATGCAGGCGGTAATAAATCACATGTTGGCCCTGAGGTGGCATGATAAGAGGTGGCGAAGAAAAAAACTAAGCGCCAATATGACTTCATAACCAGGAAAAGCTTGGAACTTGTGCCGACTTCGAATGCTCTGATGACTCGTTAAGTGTCCAGAGTCCGCCGTATGGGACAGAGCTAGCTATCTTCCAAGTGATGGCAGGAGGTGATTCGATCGTGGCACATTTAGCTATAGAGGCATGATTCACAGATGTATTCAACCAGACTACATATTTCTTACTTTGAAGCGCAAGCAGATCGCCTCTCATGGGATAGTTCTAAGATTTACAAGAATCCATCTAACGGCGTTCACACTAGCTATTTCCAATGCGTCTGGAAACTGGAAACTGCAACTTAACAAAGTTATCTGGTACATGCGATCCATATTCATAAAGCAAACCAAGATATTGACTCGTAATTAAGCTCGATCGTCACGCAATGGATTGTTAGCTGGTTTTTATTTGAGTTCGGCATGGATTTGCATAGGACTAGATAGCAAGCAATGTGATACCTGGGAGGAAAATACCGTTATGTATAGATAATATCGGACTAATGAAATAAACTTGGAAGTATGGTCAGTGTCTCTTGACTCATCGGTCACTGTAACGTTCTGAGTCGATAGAAGCTTGGAATTTGAGTGACTCTACTTGAATGACTCTTCTCCCTATGATTAAATGTCTCGAGATGAGGAAAATCTGTGCACAAAAAGCTGTGTGTTTTTCTCTCCCTGGAGATCACTTTCAAGAATGCTATCTTTTCCAGAATTATCTCTCCTGGCCATTCAACTCGGATTTACATACTCGTACCACCAAGTGGCCGGATCAAACGAGAACACAAGTGTACCGGTATACCGACAGCAAACTTCCAGTAAGTTCATGACTACGAGATAATCTAAAAGTATCATTCGGAGTATCGCTGACGACTGATGGATAACAGATATGTCCGGCAGCTCAAGCACTCAAGACCAAGGGAACGGTGCTCAATGCAGCGTCCGAGAATATACTTTGGAAGAAATACAAACAATAAGTCGAGATCTCATGCTCAAGTATCGAATAAATGACGAACTAGGACACTTAGCCTTCCATCCAATCTTCAAACTTCCCGAAAGGAACCCCGTGGAGCCACGGCTGTTGAGACTAGCAGAGAATTCTTCTTATAATCAAAAGTTCTTGGAAACAGATAGAATGAACATGCTGGTCATTGACCTAGAGACGGAGATATTCAAAATCCACGAAATCGTTGCTCGATTCCTGGCAGACGATCTGACTCCTTCGGCCGAAGAAGAGCGTACAACGTGGGTTATACATCTATTTTGCTCTAATAGTTCCGGATCACAAAACTTGGGACCTGTGGGCATAATCATTTTGATGCTACATTTCATATCGACCAAGCTTACCAGCAAAACAAATACAGAGACTCATCAGTGGGGTTTCTTCAAGGTTGAGCACAAACCGACCACAGGTTAGAGGTCAGAATAATGATTACCAACAGATTATGGAAATCTTGAGGGCGTTGATTTTTCGGATATTGGAGAAGTGCCCAGGACATGCCGTACATTTCATATTCAGCGGCATAATGATTGGCAGTGATTATCCCGAGAAGACCTTGCGCAATATGGCACGTTTCCTGATTGACATGGAGGACATTTTGGAGTATGTCGATCCACCCGGGGCTCATAGAATGGTCAAGTGCGTTCTTTCTGGAGATGGTCTTCTTCATCCAGAGTACTTGATCCCTTACCTTAAAAGGGAGAAGAAAAGGGAGATTGACACTGGAAAAGGGGAAACAGGGGACAAATACCGGCGGATGTTGATGCTGAAATGGAATCGAAGGGATTATAATGAGCTTCGTTGGGGTCAACGAGTTATTAGTCCGGTGACTGATGGAACTCGATAAATTCTGCATAGTTAGGTAGTTCGTGATCTCTTCGGGATGTTTGTTGGTTCGTGACATCATTTCGAACTTCATGCATTCAGTCGTGTGTTAAAAATGTCCTGCGGCGCCAGATATATATGTAAATATGTTGCAACGCCTTTCAAGCTTGTTTAACAACACTTCTCAGCATATACCAGCAGATTTTATTTCGAAAGGCGACAAAATGGGGAAATAGAATGGCTACCTAATGAGATCGTGAAGTTGGATAGCTGAAAAGTAAAAGCTTTAGTATATGAAGTGTATCAGATAGCAAACTTCCCTAAAATCCCACTCAATTCAGTGTTGACTCATCAATGATTGCAACATTTCAAGGTTATGAGTCAAAAAAATCCGAATGACCACTGAAATGACTCTTTTCGCTATGAGTATATGTCTTGAGATGACCATCACTTACTTATGAAGGGAAGCTAAGCGCATTTTTCTTCTCCTTGAAATATTTTCAAGCATCATATCTTTCCAAAGGTTACTTTTTTTGGCCATTCGAAGACGAATTCCTAAAGTCATATCAGAACTCTGTGCATCAATAGAGAACCTAGAGGGTTTCCAGTCAGTCTCTCTTACCTTTGCTGGTGGGGAATTCAAGCATTGTTCGGTTATTGAAGTATTCCCACTGAATGATTGATATCGTACAGGAATGTCTGACAGCTCACCAACACAAGGCCACAGCAATGACATACCACGCACCGAATACTATAGCTTAGATGAGTTGGAGGGTACCAGTCAAAAGATGAGGCGCAGACATCGAGTAGATGACCGCCTAATAGAATCTGTCCTCCGTGCAGGCTCTGTGCTTTCTGAACGCGAAGAGAAAACGCCACGGGTAAATGTATTGTTACGGCATCGCCGATTTAATAAAAAGTTCAGAGATACAGATCGTTTCAGCATGTCTATTCTAGACTTGCACACAGAATGCTATGCTCACCACAAGGCCATGGCCACGCTATTAGAACGTTGCCTAGCACCGTCCGTCAAGCATACACTTGATGGAGGTCTTCGTCCAGAGGGTAAAGCGTGGGTTGTACACATATTTTGCTATGATCTTCCGATCAAAAGATTGAATCCCCTTACCTTGAGCGCTATAATTTTGGATTCCCTACTGGCTCAGCTTTCCACCAGACCATCCACACGGGATCAAGATTGGGGCTTATTCGAGGTCACCCATGAACCGATCAGACCCGAAAATTCAAGAATGCGGGATTACCAACGGTGTATGGAATTCCTGCAGACGTTAGTTTATCGAATTTTGGAAAAGAATGCAGAAAACACAATACACTTCGTTTTCACTGGTATAATGTGTACGGAGTTTGGCCATTGCGACCTACATGCGTTAGCATGTTTCTTTATTGACATGGCACGGCTTGTGAGAACCGTATTCCCATTACATGGTGGTAGAATGGTCAAGTGTGTTTTTTGTGGAGATGGCCTCCTTGACTTTTCCTATTTGTTTGATTATCTTGACCAGCACAAAAAGCGAATAGAGGAAGGTAGTGACGAAGCGAAAGCGGAAATCGAAGAATTATTTGCGAAGATTTTGATGCTGGAGTGGAACATCCATGAGAGCATTTGGGACGAGCAAGACCTGGTAAGTCACTATATTGACCCGGACAAGGTAGAAGCAGAGAAAGAGGCAAGGAAGGCAAAGAAGGAGGAGAAAACAAAGAAGCGGCGAGAGCGAAATGTCTCAAGTAATACATGAAGTTCATTTAGATATAATTGGCAATGGTTGGAGATTTTCTGAAGTGCTGCAATCTATGAATCTTTGTATCCAGGTGGATTCAGATTCTATGAGGCACGACTCTGTCATTCTACGACTGTTCTCGCAGACTGTACATGAGATTAGCTTTTTGTATGTTAAATTTGCTACAAAAGAGTACTGGATTGTCTAATATAAAAATATTGTGGTAGAACACATAACAAAGCTGTAAAGAGGCCGCGAGACGTCATCGGCCGATAAGATAAAAGAAATCGATCTTTCCCCCGCGTCTCTATTTTTGCTTCTGTTTTTACTGTCGTGTTCACTCAAAGATCACAATATACCTGCATGCTGAGCGATATTTTTTCTTTCAAATCTATATACCCCATCAATGACTCTGACAAGGTCTTTATAGCATTCTTATACAGAGTACTTCCGGCGGTCGAGACTGCGCAGCCGCGTCGCGCAAAATGGCTTCAATGCAGGAATTGAAACCCCAAAACCTGTATGGTGTGGTGGACATGGGCAGGTAATGAAAAGTACAATTCCAATGAAATTTAAAAAAGCTAATAAACTGAAGTAATGGCATCCGATTCTCTATTTCCAACCTCGAAGCGCCGACAACGCGAATCATGCCCACGATTTTCCAAGACCGCGCAGGCATCTCACTATACGATGCTCAATTTACAACCACCGACGGCCAACGAGGCCCAATTGCAGTAGAAGTAATAGAAGATGTGATTTTACGGCTACTGCGCTTCAAGACAACCTGTGAGGACTTTGAGGTTCCAGCGGAGAATATCTACGTTTTGGCAACGGAAGCTACTAGAACGGCACCCAATTCGAAAGAGTTTATTGATACAATCAAACAACGTACCGGATGGGATGTGCAAATGCTTTCAAAAGCGGACGAAGGCCGTATTGGTGCCTTGGGTGTTGCGAGTAGCTTTGCTGCTGTGCAAGGCTTGGTAATGGATCTGGGTGGTGGAAGCACGCAACTCACATGGATGGTTGCCAAGAATGGAAATGTCACAACCAGTCCGCGAGGGTCTATCAGTTTCCCGTATGGTGCTGCTGCACTTACGAGAAGGTTACAAGAAGCCAGAAAAAGGGGGCCCAAGGCTGAGGAGGAATTGATTGCAGAAATGAAGGAGAATTTTCAAAATGCATACAAGGACTTGGAGGTTCCCGAAAGCCTTGAGCACGCTGCTACCACGCAAGGCGGATTTGATCTCTACTTGTCAGGTGGAGGATTCCGGGGCTGGGGCTATTTACTTATGAGCCGGTCTATATTGAATCCATATCCGATTCCAATCATCAACGGATTCGAGGCGAAGCCAGTCGATTTCCAGGATACGTACAGTATCATGCAAACGGCATCAACTTCAGAAGACAATAAGATATTCCGGGTATCTAAAAGAAGGGCCTCACAAGTTCCGGCGGTGGCTCTGCTTGTGAATGTCTTGACCGGGTCTCTTCCTACCATTAGGTCCGTTAGATTTTGCCAAGGAGGCGTGCGTGAAGGATTTATCTTCGATATGCTTGAGCCTGAGATCCGAAAACAAGACCCCCTTCTCGTTGCTACGATGCCCTACGCAACATCTTCTGCAAATGCCATTTATGACCTTCTCCAGTCATCGCTACCGGACACTTCATCACCTATACATTCACGACATCTTCCACAGTCGTTTTCTCCTAGTCTACTTAATGCCATCAGCAATCTTCTTTTTGTCCATGCATCCGTGCCGAGGGAGACTCGACCAGCTGCTGGGCTTTACAGCACTACAACCGGTATTCTAGCATCCGCAAACAGCCTCGCACACCGAGATAGAGCAATCATTGCATTGGTACTATCTGAACGATGGCCTGGAGATCTTGCACCGGCCGAAGAACACTTCCGAAGACGTCTGAGTCACTTTGTCTCGGCGGAGGAAGCGTGGTGGTCTCGGTATCTTGGCCGGGTTGCCTCGCTTATTGGAGATGTGTATCCGGCTGGCCGTGTAGCTACCAAGTCACGTATTGGCTTCAGTACAAGATGGGAGCAAACTTTCAAGAAGAAACAGGGCACAACGGACTGTCTGTGCCTGCAAGTCAAATTCCACGAAGAGACGAGACAGACAATTACGAGGGAGGCTTTACTAGATACAGCCAGTGCAATTGAAAAGTGTGGAAAGATGAAGAACTGGGTCAAGGCAGAGGATCGAATTCGTGGAGAAGAGAGACGTGCAGGAGATTACGGGGTCAGTATAGAAGTCGAACTTCTCTCTTAGGGTTGCACACATGTAACAGACTTTGTACAATAGCATGTATCCTGATAGATCTTCTGGCTCATGACTATCGATGATCATATTTCCATAAAAAATATTGTCGATCTCTCAACTCACTCTGGCGTCACAGAGTGGAACCAAAGGGAAAAGCCGGAACAGCTGTAGTCCCCAAACGTCTCGGTGTGCACACCTGAATACGAATGCAGAAGATGATGATTTGCCGGGGTTGATTGCTCCGGGTCTTTCGGATAATTTAGAGTAAAAGTAAAAGTAATTGACTCATAATACACATTGGGACGTGGGTAATCTTGAAAAGCTTGGGTATAAAAGACCCCGCAACCCCTCACCAGCGTACATTCTTTTTCTTTTCCTGATCTATCCGCAACATTAACAAACTAGTCAATCGAATCACAGCTTCTAAGCAGTTCACAGATTTGTATTTCCCTCTCACCTTTTATGGTTCAGAACAATACTAACCTATAGCATCCCTAGTCGTTCATACAAACGATGTAAACCACCACCACCTAGCCTACCCTTCAATGGGAGGCAGAAAGCTTCTGAAACTCTTTCGCTCTATAGAGCACTGGAAAAATGACATTCCAGTGTTTTTGTCAAGGTATCTATGGTACAGGTAGTGGCATGAACCGGTGCTTGACTCCTCATCTTTTGATTATATACTTCGGTACATAGTCAATGGCTCTGAGGGTCTGGCTGAAATCAGACGGTCACAACTTGATCTGGATAATACCAGCGAAAGGATCATGCTTTCTGTCCTCTCCTTTTCATTTCGATTGAACGGGGAATGCTGACTGTTTGCAGAACACTTCGTCCAATTTAACTAAACATGTCTCCTCCAGCAGCCATCTTCGAGTCCGCCCCTGTCGCGACCACATCTAATGGTGGTCTGAAGGACAAGTTAACCCCCGAGGTGCTTTCTTTCACCACCCAGGGTCAGCAGCAGGCTAAGCTCTTGGATGAGTTTGCCGGAAAATGGGACAACTTCAAGTTTGCTCCTATCCGTGAGAGCCAGGTCTCGCGTGCCATGACTCGTCGCTACTTCAATGACCTTGACAAGTATGCGGAGAGCGACATTGTCATTGTCGGTGCTGGTTCTTGTGGTTTGAGTACTGCCTATGTTCTCGGCAAGGCTCGACCGGACTTGAAGATTGCTATCGTTGAGGCTAATGTTTCGCCTGGTATGCCTCCCTGCTTCCTTCAATAACTATTTCCATTCTGACTGAGTTCAAGGTGGTGGCGCCTGGCTCGGCGGCCAACTCTTCTCTGCCATGGTCATGCGCAAACCCGCAGACATCTTCCTCAACGACCTCGGCGTCCCCTACGAAGAAGACGCGAGCAACCCCAACTACGTCGTCGTCAAACACGCCGCCTTGTTCACATCCACTCTCCTCTCCAAGGTTCTCTCCTTCCCCAACATCAAACTCTTCAACGCCACCGCCGTCGAGGACTTGATCACCCGCCCCGGCGCAAACGGTATTGAGGATGTCCGCATCGCCGGTGTAGTCACAAACTGGACTCTGGTCACGATGCACCACGACGATCAATCCTGCATGGACCCCAACACCATCAATGCTCCTCTCGTGATTAGCACCACGGGCCATGATGGCCCATTCGGCGCTTTCTGTGCAAAGAGGCTTGTCTCTATGGCCGCTATCGAGAAACTGGGCGGTATGCGCGGATTGGATATGAACGCCGCCGAAGATGCAATTGTGAAGAATACTCGTGAGGTTACTAAGGGGTTGATCATTGGTGGTATGGAGTTGTCCGAGATCGACGGGTTCAACCGCATGGGTCCTACCTTTGGTGCTATGGTGCTCAGTGGTGTCAAGGCTGCCGAGGAGGCGCTCAAGGTTATCGAACAGCGTAAGCGTGAATGTGCTGAGTAACTAGGCTATTAATTTGCTGCTCGATGTGCGATTACCCATCATGGGCCACACTCGTTTAATGCAACGCATGTCAGATAGTCATACACGTTGAGACTTGAATCAAATCATGCTGCAAACAGATATCATATCATGACATTCAATTAGATATTAGAAAATGTAGCGAACTGGCAACTATCAGGCAAGGTCAGTCTATAATGTACAAAATATGACTATGTTCGTTACACCGAACAGATGTGACTATAGGTCCTCGTCCTCGTCCCCTAACGCATCCTTGCTATTCCCAGCGGCAACACTGGCCAGCCTTCTCGCCGTCCGAACCTCCCACTTAAACTCCTTAAGCGCTCGCAACTCAGCCGACATGAACAATCCACCAATCAATCCATCTAAGATGCCAGCTCCAAAGTTCAAAGTACTCACAAAGGTGAGAATGAAAGCGACGTATATCACATCAGATGTCCACCATACGCCGACGAAGCAACCGATGGAGACGAGAATGGAGATTATGAAATGCGCCAAGCGCCAGCGGCGTTGGGAGCGTTCGCGGAGCTCGTAGGTATCCACCATGGCGAGGATCTCGTCGTATGTTTCGACTGTGAGCGCGGAGCTGGGTGCGGATGTCGGGTGCAGCTGGGACGAGGAGTGAATGGCGAGGCCATCATCGTTGGTATTATTGGACTCTGTTTGACGCTTCTCCGACTCTGGTGAAGTTGTGATGGTCTGACCAAGATTGCGTGTAATGACCGTTTCGATGCCGAAGTGGTCACTAAGCGAGACCTTGAGCGTAGGATGGCGTTGCATCATGGTCACCCAGGCGGCCTCGATATTCCATCGAGCTGTGGGAAAGGATGGTGGATATTCACCGTCTCCAACAAATATATAATCCAATCGACGACCTTTAGGGTCTGGTTGACTTCCATCAATGAAAGTATCGTCGCCCTTGAACAGTCGCTTCTGTTGCTCCTTCGACCAGCGCCACGTATTGAAAGGACCATCACTCGCAGCACCATTCTCGGATATATTGAAATCCGCCGATGGAATAGGTTTACCTCGTTTCTTCTCCGCGGCTGAATCTGCGGCTCCTACGGATGAGTCCGGATGTAAATGTTGCCATACATCTTTGACTGGAGCATGAGCTGTAATCAACCGATGCGCAAACGACATGGGCACCATATTAAAATCGCCCAATCCAATCGCTAAGTGGCCTCTTTCTGTAGCTTTGCGCATCAACTTGGAGATTTCCCATGCCTGCGCGGTTCGATGACAGAGATATGAATCGTGCGGCTCCTTCTCGTACGGCGCATGTAAATGCGTACAAAATACTTCTGCAATATCATCTGCTCTCGGTCCCATACGTATTCGCGCACACGCAACTCCCTTTCCGACATACCAATCACCCCGGAAAAACGCCGTCGGACGTCCATTGAGCGGGTATGCGAACATACTACTCTCCTCAATCGGCCATTTGGAGAGAATCGCTAGTCCGCCGCCAAACACTCCACTATAATAGAATTTGCCGTATGGCAGCAAGTGTTTGGTTTGCTTGCGAATACTCTTGTAGTCTTGCTGAGTCCAGCATTCCTGTAGACCGACGATTTGGGGAGGATCCTCGGCGATGGCGATTTGGCGGCCGATTTCTGACATGCGCTCATGACGGAATTTGGAGAGGTACTTGAGACCCCAGCAATTGAGGGTGAGGATGCGGATGCGGGTGGGCGAGGTGCTGTCGTCTGTCGCCATCTCGTACTGCTGTAGGACTTGGCAATGAAGAACGGTCAAGTCAATTCATAGAGTTGGTTGTTAAAGGAGGATGTGTACTATGTAAACATGAATTCATTAGTAGTTGATTGGGCTCACCGCCTTGCTCTTATTGGCCGAACGCGCTTCTTATCACCGCGTCCAGCAGGAATTTGTGCCGCATCGGAAGATGCTCAACCCTTGCCAGAGACAAATTATCGTCCATACAACACTCTGCTAATTATTTCTAGAAGAGTTGTATGATGGCTCGCCCAAGAGCGGATACCGCAAATCCACCGTCTAAACGCCGCAAACTCAATGACAGCGCTCCTGAAGATCAAACCGAGCGAGAATCTCCAGGCCGCGATGAATCGTCTTCCTCCGACGAACTCGCCGCAACCTCCGACTACGAACTGGAGCGTCGCAGAGCAAGTTGGTCTGCCAAGAAAGCAATAGCTAACCGTCGACAATACAAAAATCGATCGCACAGTCCAAATGCCTCGGATAGTCCTGACGAACTTGCTATGGATGCGGATGAGCCGTGGAAGCGCAATACGCGGGAAGAGTCACCTACTAGGGACGAGTCGGTGGAGCCAGAGCACCATTCTAGAGGTCAAGAAGAGTCGGATATGAAGGGAGAAGAGTCTGGCGATTTCACGCCGGCAAATGACGACACGAATAATACAGAATCTAATAATGCACCCTCTCCCGAACGATTCGAGCAACCGCCGTCTGAACCTGCGCCACCTCCTCCACCACCGAAACCAAATCGTGTCAATTATGTTCAAAAACATTTATTAAACGGTCATCTGCGCGGTGTTTCCGCCGTGAGGTTCTCGCCAGATCGGACTATGATCGCTAGTGGAGGTATACTTCCCATAACATTATCTTACATTTGCGCCGAGACATGCCTACTCACAAGTTTATAGGAGCTGACGGCACATTGAAGGTCTGGGATACATTAACCGGTAACCTCATACACTCATTTGAAGGCCATCTTGCGGGAATCTCAACAGTCGCTTGGAGTCCGGATAATGAAACCATCGCTACGGGTGCAGACGACAAGACAATTCGATTATGGAATGCTTTGACCGGCAAAGCCCATCCGAGAGCGTTTAGCGGCCACCATAATTACGTATATTCGATTGCCTTCTCGCCTAAAGGGAATATACTTGCAAGTGGATCTTACGACGAGGCTGTTTTCCTATGGGATGTCCGGACGGCGAAGGTTATGCGCTCCTTACCTGCTCACTCGGATCCCGTTGCTGGGATCGATGTATGCCACGATGGCACGCTCGTCGTGTCTTGTTCATCCGACGGATTGATTCGAGTCTGGGATACGATGACGGGACAATGCCTGCGCACGCTCGTGCACGAAGATAATCCGCCGGTTATGGCAGTGCGCTTCTCGCCTAACAGTAAATATGTCCTCGCCTGGACGCTGGACGACTGTATTCGACTATGGGATTATGTGCAAGGACGATGCATAAAGACATACCAGGGACATGTCAATCGCAAATACAGTCTGTGCGGGAACTTTGGCACGTATCAAGCACCAGACGGACCGGCGCATGCCTTTGCGGTTAGTGGCAGCGAAGACGGGGCTTTGGTATGCTGGGATGTGGTCGAAAAAAATATTTTGCAACGAATCGAAGGGCATACCGATGTTGTATTAGGTGTTGATACGGCCGAACTCAACGGAAAGAGGCTCTTGGCTAGCTGTGGGCTGGATAAGACGGTTCGTGTTTGGGAAGAGGAGGTCGTTGAAGACGAGTCTGTGGAGGACCAGAAGCCTGAGTCTTCACCAGCAATAATACATGACGGCGTTGATAAAATGGATCTAGCAATGGATGAGATTATGGCTCCGGCATCGGAAGATGTTGCCATGGACGCTCGGGATGAGGCTCAAGACACTGGAAGTTGATAGTTCTATCTGGAGATACCCCATATTTTATGTATAATATCACTTACTTCAGTATGGCAGATGCAGACTTCTGCCACTTCAATCCAATATCTACGAATCGATAGCTGTGACATCTGTAAAACTTGGGGGGTGCGAGCAATTGAACTTAGGGTTCACTAAAGTTAGTTTGACTGAGAAGTGCGGGATTGATCAGTTGATTAGTCGAGTGCAGGCTGGAGCTTGAGTTCGGTATTTAAAAGAACACGGTAGTACACAAAAAGACCTCTTCCCAGAATACTACGTAGCGACGGGTGGCGTGTACAATGGGCAGGAACTTGATCGGAACGAGCTGATGACTCATGCCAATAGGCATTCCTCGTTGAAGAGCAACAATTTTAATGCCCTATATTCAGCACGGCAGGAACAAAGTTACTCAAACCTCCCGGCTAATGTAATGTACGCACTCGCAGGTCCTGCCCGTGTAGCACGTTGGAACATTCAAGGGGATCACAGCATGGGTTCCGGGGGATCTGGGTTGAGATTGTGCCGCTGCAGGAGCGAATCAAGTAGATAGTATGGAGAATGAAAATCTGGAGAATTGGAAATGCATTACTGTTGTTCCAGTCAAGCCCTTTTGGTGAGAGTGCGAGGATTTTGAAGACTCAAATGAGCGGACGTTAAAGGGGGTGTATTACAAATCATTCATTTTGTCTATGTCAGGTTTTCTTCATCAAGTAGATACTTTTGAGGTACTGAGAGTGGCCAAGCTCGAAGGAAAGGACAAACAGGCAGTAAACAACAATTGAAATAACAAAGTCACATGGCATGTCGCCTTTGTTGAAGGAGGGTAGTACAAGTGTATCAGATTCTATAAGAGGGATCAGACCTAATGGGGAATTGCGTTGTTTCTCCATGCAACCAGTCCACAATTGCCGACCCATTTCTGTGCGAATGCTCTATACGCCATGTTTCGCCTTCTGCATCCACAACATAACTAACTGGCTCCAATCGGATCACATTCAAACCGTTCAAGTCTCCAGACTCTTTCCACGAGCCTAGAACATCTTCCCAGACCTCGTCGTATTCCAAAGTCACTTCACCCATGTTCAATGTTTTCAGTGATTTACAAGCTCCAACAGCCTTTGCAAAGGCGACAAGATCACTGTGAGTGGTTTTAATTGGATCCATAGAAATCGTCAAGGCTACTAACGCAACAAGCTGTGGTAGGAGCTCAGATATGACACGCATTATAGAAGGTATATCTTCTTCGTACTGCATGCCCTGATCACAATCAATTGTTAGAAATCGTAGAGACCGTGAATTTGCAAAAGTGACTGCCGGAATCCCTTCGTACCCGGTAGTCTGACTGTCCGTGAAATCTGACTCTGTCAAGCTTATGTGTAGTTCTTGTATACACGACTCTTGGATGACTTGATAGACAGGACCACCAACTCTTGATGAGTATAGTTCTGTTGGATAACCTTTCAAAATCAAGGTTTCCAGCTTTGGGAAAAAATATTGTAAGCCTATGCTCAGATCAAAGCTTCCATTACTCTGCTCTCGTGATAACAGATCATGAAAGATCTTAATCCCGCGTACTGGAAGAAAGTTCCAAAACTTGCTTTTGGGTTCTTGCGCTTCGAAATCTGCAGTCACTTCATCCTCATAGCTCTTCTTTCCTGACCAAGGGAGATAGGTTCCGGCTGCCTTTATCCATCCACTGTAAATTGGTGCGTGATATTCCTTTGCGTGGTAAATATTTTTATATGTGTGATAAGTAGGCCTTCTATGAAATTCCGCACATCTAATACTGGATATGTCAAATGCAACGGTGGTGACGTTCTTGAGCGTTGGTAAAATCATTTCAAGTACTGCGCGATCACGATCATTCTCGAGATTTCTCCTCTGAGATGCACCATGAGCCCGCCATGCGCTCACAGAAGCTTCTTCATCGGCTTGCTCTAGATGACCGGTCCTATGTCTATAGCTGACATAATATTCGCGCAAATCCCCTCCAAGGAGGAAGCAGAGGTAGAACACCGAATTGTCCCACCAGAGCTTCGAAACATGTTTTAACAGCTTTTCATTCTTGGAGACGACTTCCAGATAATCCAAATCGGGCGAGAACGTGGAGATAAACAAGGTGGTCAGGATCGGATACTCCAAGACGACGAGATTTATGGCTCGAGACACGAGTCTCAACAGCTTGCGATCTTGATTTGTCAACTCGTACAGAAAGAATTGTTGTGCGACATCATATACACCAAGGTGAATGTATATCAAGAACTGCTCGAGATTCATTCTGCCTCAGGATTCGCGATACGTCGTAGATGTTTTCGATAAAGGGAGAGGGATGAAGAACGTGTATTAGAGAGGGCTCGCGAGTACGTGTCAAGGTCGTTTGTCGAATCTCGTATGGGGTTGAAGAGAGTGGCGAAGGGACGAAGATGACTTTGAAAAAAAGAACAGGGAAGGGTAAAAGTGAGAAGAGGTAAACAAAACTTTTATAAATGGAAGGACGAAAACAATGGTAACAATTTGGCGGTAATCCCCGCCTTCCTTTTTCGATTGTTTGACTGTTTTGGAAGCAAATTGTCATCAATGATGGTAGGGGCCCTCAGAAGATGAAAGAACCAGTGAACAGGACAAATGAAAGAACTCTATATTGGCACAGGGTGAAATGCCTCATTGAAGTAAGCGAAGTGGTAGGGAACACCTGCCGGGGAGATACACTCTCTGTGTTTGATTACTTGAATCTCACCAAAACATTTTGCAACAAATTACATGTAACATCAATTACATTGAGAACTTTGAAAGATGGAAATACATCAGTGAAATCAAGCACACTACTTTGTCATCTCTTCTGATGCCATTCTCGCTAAAAATTTGCATGCTTCTGATAATTGCCTAATTAGGAAATTGTGAACAAGCCCTAGATCTTCAGCGTAGAGATCGAGATACCATCTACCAAATTATTGATGCTCTTCTCTTCCATATGGTTACTCGTAGCAAATTAAATCAGTCATGTGCTAATTAACTAGCAACTAGTAGCGGTTGTTTAAGCTGAGCCTTGCCCCATTCTGAATCACACTTGTTTCTGTTCGTACTAATATTGCATCTTGATCTCTAATCTCAATAACTAAGAAGGAAAAGATAGATATCGATGTTTACCTATATCCGAAAAGTATGGCTTCGTATCACATCTTCTCAAATTCATGCTCGAAAAAAACTGGCTGAACAAACCGCCAATGCGGCACTGACGGCTCTCCGCGACGGCAATTGGCAAGGCCTGCGCCAACATTTCTTCCCTCTATTGCGCTATTTCATCACCGAGAAATTGCTGGTAAAAGCATGGAAATTAGTGGAAAGCAACTTCGGACCACTTGAACACATTGGTTCACCAACATGCTCGGTCGGGTGGTTTACTCTGACTGCCACCGTTCCGGTCCATTTCAGAAAAGCCAGGTTGAATGCTGTACTAAGCATGACTCTCTCTGGCCATCTATTTGGATTAGCAATGGCACCTCTTACATGGAGTCCTCCGCCTTATGCCGATACAAACTCCATGCGCACTGTAAACATGTCTTTTGGGAATTGGTTATCCAAAACCGGCGGCACCTTGACTCTTCCTGCACCAACCCCTAGAGATGATAAATATCCCTGTCTAATACTCCTCGGTGGCTCAGGACCTGCAGATCGAGACTCGACTGTGGGAGCTTTGAAACCACTCAAAGATATCGCGCTAGGCCTTGCAAAGAGTAACATAGCTGTATGTCGCATCGACAAACCAGGTTTCACCTACAGATACTGGTATCGTGTATTCGGCTTCAATAAACAGAAAGTCACCTGACACAGGAGTATGGTTATGCACTAGATGCAATAAATCGTCTCAAACACCACCCCGCGATTCAAGCGGAAAAGATCTTCATCCTCGGCCACAGTCTGGGCGGGTTGATGGCAACTCATCTCGCAGCAACCAACTACTCAGTCGCCGGGTGTATATTAATGGCAACGCCCACCGAACCCATTTACAGATGTCTGATCCGTCAGGTCCGCTATTTAGCCTCCATTGGAGAAGACCCTAACTTTCTCGAAGGACTTGTTTCGAATCTCGAAACCTTCGAAAAGCAAGCCAATCTCGCAGACAGTCCAGAACTGAGTCTCTCGACACCGGCGACACAGCTACCGTTTGGCCTTGGTCCGGGTTATTGGCTTGAGTGTCGTGCTTTCAATCCTATACAAGTTGCTAAAGAAATTCAGAAGCCGGTTCTGATTCTGCAAGGAGGTCGAGATTATCAAGTCACTGTGGATAACTACAACGAGTTTCAATCGAGTCTGCAAAACAGCGTCAACGCTCAATTCCGCTTATATGAGACTCTAAATCACTGCTTTGTGACTGGACAAGGCCCTTCAAGACCAGCAGAATATAGCGATCCTGGCAATGTGGAGTATGAGGTAATACAGGATATCAGTCAGGGGGTGAATGAAGGAAGCATGACAATTCCTAGCTGCATGTGAAATTTGTATGACATTGGCCTGATTTGATTAACAGACATCAAAATGGATTAGCCTGTAAAACGCCGAAGTGACCTATTTCATTGTACATTTTCTGAAACTAATCGGTATCACATTCTCACTTATGAAGTTTAAAGAAGGAACTTGTAAATCAATCAATCTTATTAATTTATCGGTAAGAAGTACTATACAAGTCTAGGCTTTGCGCGCTAATGCACGACATATTTCTCGATTCTGTGGGGTGCGATTCCGATTGTCTTACATAGTACGTACGTACTCCCTGCCCTGATATAATCACGACTAGAGAGCGTAATCCATTGCTGAATAGAAACTATATGAAAATGACAACGGAAAACCGTTTCTTGGTACAATTTCAGGTACAAACCCCGACCCACGGAAATACCATCGAATGAGTAGTGAGGGGAAGGTTACCTTTTCCCCTCCGTCGGCGTCGGTATCTTCAGAACAAATCCATGGTAGCGGGAAATTACTTGCGCACAGTCAACATCGGAAGCAAATCCGCCCGAAGCACCGTTTTCACTTCAATCTATGTTTACTATAGGTCTAGACCTTTACGGGGACGATGATAGAGTTTGACATGCACTTAGTTGGAAGTTGTTCTAGAAGATGAAAACTTTTCTAAAGTGGGGAGGGAGGCTTGTCGCACGAATTCTTTTCAGTGTATTGGCTATCAACGAACTCGAAATACACCAGACAAGAAAGCAGAAGCACGCAAATTCAAATCAAATAAAGACACGTGCAAACCGGTCATTGCTCGTATATCATAATCGTCGGGATATAGATGCTGGGTATATAGTCTGTCAAAAAATCGATTGAGCGGTATTCCAGCCGCTTTGATACTAGGTACGCAGTGCCAGACTAGGAAGAAACATAAGCCTGGCCAACGGTACTCAACATGCTATCCGTCAACAAGTACCCATCAGCAGCGTAGAAATACGCATATCGACCGACGGCAGTATTGGCATTGAGCCAGGGGACGGCCTCCTTCAAGAACGCGACTTGCTCGTCGGTGCTGCCGGTGTTTTGGAACTCCGTGATCCAGACGCTGTCCATACCATTGTCGGCTGCAAGAGCGGTGGCGTTGTTGACGAAGTCTTTGAAATACGAAATATCGGCGTTGGCGTAGTAGTGTACGGCCATGACGTTGGGTTTGCAGGCTCCGTTGCAGGCGGCGAGCCAGTTCGTCATCCAGTCTAGGCCGACGTTGGTACCGGCACCGTTGGAGACTGCTGGTGTGACGAGAGTCGCTTGGCCGGCCAATGGGGTGATGTAGGTCTGGTAGTCGGTTGCGGCTTGTGCAGGGCTTAGATTGGATTGACTGGCCATGTCGGGCTCGTTGAAGCCTAGGACGCAGCTACTTCCGCCAGACGAAAGAGCGGTGCTGACTGCTGAGCTCCAGCCGTTGTACATCTTGGGACCCCAGAGCATGGGGCAGTAGTCGACACCTGAAGGCAAGGAACCGCCAGATTCGAGATTCCAATTGTAGGCCCACGAGGCACCGGGCACGAGTGAGACGAGAGAGACGTCATTGTAGGCGGCGCCGACTTTGCTGGTAGAGGTGGCAGAGGTTGCACGTTTGTGAAAGTCGGCATGGAGGTTGTGAGGTTTGGCCACGGCAGCGGTTGCCATCACCGTGGCGAGGAAGGCGTTCATGACATACATGGCGGCAAGGATTGAAAAAGTCAAGTATATCGAGAATAGCAGAATATACGGAAAAAGGATTGTGTGTGTGTCAGGATCAACCTGAGACGTAAAGCTATAGTAGACTGTGATGTAGTTGGATTGCAAGAGTCCAAACTTCGCAGTGAATGACCGAAGATTTGGTGTTTTGAAAGGAAGGAATATGTGCTCGGCACCAGGTCAGGTAGATGAAGATAGACAAGAACGACAGAAAATAATGAAGAATCAGGAAGACGCAGGAGAAGAAGAGGGCGCTTGCCTCTTTTTAAATGGCGTTGTGAGTCCCAAATAGTGACAAGGCAAGAGTGACCCGGAGTCCAGACCCGAGCTGTTCCCACTTTTTGATTGGGACTCATCACTCATCCTGCGTCTTTCAGTGTCTGACTCTTCGTCTGCATCTATCCGCAATGCATGTTACCGTGGGTATGACAGGCTAATTTAATTAATCGATGCTGTCCTGTCGGGTGTGGAAGCGCCATGGGCGCTGGGGAAAGATGGATACAAAAGCCATGTTGTGCCCTAATTTCCTCTAATTGGCCGATAGACAGGAATGGGCGGGGTTTGGGCAACGACTGGACGAAAAAGTCTGGGAGACCCGAAAGACACTTCTAGATCAGCCAATATCAAGTCTTGTCCTGAATAGGGCTTTTTTTTTGAGTCTGTTTGTGGTTAGTCTGGTGTTTCATCCGCCTTTTGTCTTCGTCTGCGGGTACAGTTGTCCTGCGCAGTCTAGAATACCGTTATTGTAGTGCAAATAGTACGATGCATGACCGCTAATTTCATGTTTCGTAAAGCGTTAGTGATTCCCAGATTTGATGTTGTGGTCCTATCAATTCTTAGTACCACGCCGCGTCTTTGCAAAGTATACGTAGTATCCATATATATTTGTGATACACCCCGCCCCAAGATGACAGATTTGTGGTGACGAGGAAAGTTGAAAAGAGTCGCAACTCCAAACCCAAAATGATCCAGCTGTGTACGCCGATTGTGACTGGCTAAGCATGACACATACATATTCTGAAGAAAGAGTTGGTGGGGGAGAAAAAGAGAGATTGCTAGCCTTAGGCATGACCTGTGCCTGAGGCGCTCGGCTGGACCAGCCCGCCGGAAAACGCTTGGACTTGCCAAGGCGCGCCGTCCTGACTGTTCCGCTGGACGATCGACGCTAACAACGATAGTCTGCGATTCAATTGCTGCTTATCGATAAGGAAGTTTATCTCGAGTTTGGTGGACGACCTGTCTTGCTCTGTTTGATGCAGAGATGAGAACCTGCGATGCCGCCAGGTGTTTGCGTGTTGTCTGGGATCTACTATGTAGTAGAGTGCGGGTGAATTCTCCGACCGTGGAGGTGGTGGGACCTCATTCTCCACTGTTCTGTATGACAGCTCGCTAACAGACGACCAACAACATCTGTAGATCAACCTAGCTCCATTTAGGGCAATTGACACAGAATTGATAAATTAGATACTGTAAACGTTTATTGAGTAGTTTCCGGAGCCATTGTTAGGACCATTGACTGCTTTGAGGTATTATTGCTGGCAGATTCCGTCGAATACTCTGTCTCTCCTGCCATTCTGGCGCAAATTGGTCGCAAACAGCTCTCTCATTTCAAGCGCTACAACAAGTGTGCAGATACTATTAGTTCTGCATTATTGAATAATTATTCATTGCTGTACTGCGTCTACGTAGACTACAATTGCAAGATTCATAGCGCAGTCATTTCCACCGTTTGGTGTCGAAAGCATGACCATTTCGACAGCCAGGTCGGGAATCGGCACTCCAGACTACCGACGACCCGATCGGCAATATTCAATTGACCGATGGACTAGACAGTACGCTGAGCAAGTATTACAATTCGACAATGACCAGGCTACAGCCTGCTCTAAAGTCATATGAGTGAGTCACAGGAAACTCAATTCTCTACCTGGGAGGGTAAGACTGCAGGAAATGCTGGAGAGAGAGACTATACTGCAGGCTACTTCTCTTCAGCCTGCATGGAACGCACTGATTCACGGTTCGCGATTAACACATTTCAGAAGTCAATTGCTCCTGCCTAAAGAGGCCAGGCAAACACCCCCAGGGTCTCCTTCCCTTTTCGTCGATTGGCCAATTCGACAGGCAACAGCAGGCAGATAAACTCTATTGTGTTTCATATTGGCCCTGCTGCCAGTGGTTTGCCCGGGCGCTGCCTTCCATTTCTGCTCTTCCTCCCTCAGGCATTCCATTTTTGCCTGGCCGGCCTGTCTATAAAGCCCCGTCCTTTCTCCCTTCCTCCCCCAACTCATCTTCCCTTCCTATTTTCCCCAAACTCGCTCCAGCGCCAATAATCTCTCTCTTCTCTCCCACCATTCTTCCACCTATCTATCCTCAATCCTCTGCCATAACATCTCTCTTTCTTCCTTCCTTCCTTCCTTGCTTGTATGTTTGACTGATTTACTCACACATGGACTCTAGCAGGTGAGACCCCCCTCTGTTTTCAAGTCGCTCGGCCAAGCGCACGTCTCACTGGTTTGTTTAAACAACATGCTAAGAGGGGGTGTAGGTCTTATTTATGTCTCTCGATCTCCCAACACGTATTGGGACTCCTCAACTGGCATCACTGCTTCTGGTATACTCAGGTGAGACCCCCTCAAGTCGCTTGGCACGCGCCGTCTTCGGACGTTACAGGCCTCACTGGCACTGTTGATCGCATCGTGCATTACAACGTGCCAAGAGGGATTTAGGACTTATCTACCACTCAAACACCTTTCATTACGTCCTTGGTCGGCCCATCGATTGCCATTACCATCATTTTCTCTATAGGTGAGACCCCCCTCTGCTTTCAAGTCGCTTGGCCAGGCGCCGTCCTCGGAACGTTACAGGTCTCACTGGCACGGTTGCATTGCGACGTGCTAAGAGGGGTTTAGGGCACACATCTCAACCATCTGCGAGCCATCTCCTTGACTTGACAATCCTTGATATGGTGGTGCGGCTCTTGTGTATTCAGGTGAGCCACTCCCTTCCAAAGCTGCTTGCCGAAGCGCGTTGACGTCTACGGATATCGCGTGGCTCGCTGGTTCTGTTATTTTTTAATGTACATATTAACGTACGAAGAGGGGTATCAGGTTTCATCCAATGTCCAATGACTTCCACCGCATCTTGATTGCCTCACATCACTTGATCATATACAGGTGAGACCCCCCTCAATCGAAGTCGCCTGGCCGAGCGCACGTCTGAGGACGTCCAGTGTCTCACTAGTGCTGCTGCAAAGCAACGTGCTAAGAGGGGGTGGGTGTAGAACTCATTCATATCTCTCGAGATCTTCCAACATTCAAATCCGGCATCAACACATTATCAACTCTTCGACCTTGGAGCGCGTCCACTCTGCGCCGTCCCCTGCCTCTCGACGTTTCATTCTTGCTGGGTATGCCCAACCATATCCTCCTCGTCGATCCTTCTTTCTATCCTTCTTTCTATCCTTCTCCTATTCTTCCTGTTCTCCCTATTCTTTCTATTCTTCCTGTTCTCCCTATTCTTCCTATTCTTACCTCTATTCTTCCTCCTATCTTCCTCCTATCTTTATCCTATCTTTATCCTATCCTTACACCTATCCTTACACCTATCCTTACACAGTTATCCTTCACCTTTCCCTATCCCTACTCGAAGCGACGACAATACCGGACGAGAACGACGAACGAGACACATCGAACTATCCACGGCCACGGGGCAATTGCATCTGCCGGAGTGGGATGTCGACCTGCTCCCCTAGATATCATGTAGATATCCAGCCTACCGGCCGGGGGGCAAGGGGGAGTCAAGCCAACGTTCCGCCATCGCCTGCCATGCAAAGTCTTGTTTCCCTCGCCATTTGGCTCATACCAGCTACATCTATTTTCCTTTTCTGTTCCTACTGGCACTGCCAACACTACTACTATATCTGCACAGCTTGTGCAAGCTTTCAACTCACTCTAGCCGACAGCAAACCGAACCGGCCGACCGAGCAGAGACGAACCGAACGAACAACCGAGTCCGACGAGATGAACGGAACGAACAACCGAGTCCGACGAGGCGAATCGAACAGTCGAAGCGGGACGATCAAACGAGGCGGGTCGAGCGAGATGAATCGATCGAACGGACGAGCCGGATAACAAAAAATGTGCGGGATCTCGGACATCCCACACCACCCCCTTTTTTTTTTTGTAAGAAGCCCTATCTTTTGGTTTTTGATGCTCTTTGATTCAGATATTCCACCGCTAACGTATGATATGTCCAGGATAATTCTGCTTGAGGGTGGTTCGGGGGTTAGCTAGGCTTGTGCATGTACTTAGTTACGGATTCATTCCAATGTTCAAACTGTTTATCCACCCCCAATCCCACTCCCAAGTGTAGACATGTATTCCAGATGGGCGAATTTGAGTTCCACAATGGTGGAAGTGATATCATGGTTAAATTGAAACAACGTGGATAGTCTTGATCTCGTATGTTTATATAGACTTCGACAACTACATTTATCTTCGTAGGAGTAGTACAAGATCAGGACTTCTTCCGTCCCTCCATAACGCGCAAAACATCCGTCGCAGAATCCTTATCACCCTTTCTCTTCTTCGGTCCACGTTTCCGTTTGTTACTACCCCGTTGCTTCTCACTATCGCCAAACGTGGGCCCTTCCTCATCTTCCTCATCCTCAATTCGACTACTACCAAACCCAAAATCGAGGTCCTGCGCGTCGAGCGCATCACGACGGCGCGCTTCTTCGAGAAATTTCTTGCGACGAGCGAGGCGTTCGGGGTCAACATCGTCGGCAAATTCGCCTTCCTCCATGTCTACGGCGTGGTCGTCGTCTTCGTCTCCTTCTGCGCGTGTTGTGGAAGCTTGTCGGAGTGCGGCGGCACGTTTGAATGCGGCCATAAGAGTGGGATCACTTGTTAGTGGATTTGTGCGAGGTTCTTCTTCGGCAGTGTCTTCGTCGGTCTTTTTAAAGTAATTTCTTCGCGGTTGGTGTTGAGTAGATGGCTCTGTAGTTGCCGCTGTCTTAATGACTTTCTCGTCCTTGACATCCGCCGCCTCCTCTCTCTCCTCCTTCTCATCATCAGAATCTTCTTCGTCATCCTCATCCAAATCCCCAAGAGGATTATAATCTGTGCCTACACCCGCAAAAATGTCATCATCCTCCGCCTCCTCCGCCGCCGCTTTTTCAGCCGCTATCCTAGCCGCGATTACAGCAGGTACCTCCATCCCCAACGGCTTCGCGTCTTGACCTGGCAACAACAATCCATTGTTATCAACTTTTGGAATGATGTCGGCTTGTTTATGAGGAGGTGGTTCCTTGTCAAGCCAACGGGTTTTCCGTTTTGTGTTTCCTTCTGCATCGGTGATGACGAGGATCTCTTTGCGGCGACCGGTGATTGGGTCTGTCTCAATCCAGCGTTTCTTGTCTGATTTATCAATCTTCTTGAATTTGGTACTTAGTGTTGATTCTGGTGGAGCTGCTGGTGCTGCTGCGGCAGCTCGACTCGCTTTGAGTTGTTTCAGAATCTCATCTCGCGATAACTTTCCCGAAGGTGGAGGTGGCACTGCGAGATTTCCCTTTTTGACTTTCTTCTCCTTTGGCGCTGGAGCAACGAAGCCATCCTCTTTCTCGTCAAGAACACGATCCAACTCATCATCCACATCGCCCGGATCAATACCCTCCTCCTCTTTCTCATCTGCCTCTTCTTCAGTCTTTTGCGACAGATCCTCTCCCGCCTTGGCTCGACGCAATAAATCCCAATCCAAACCCTTGACCAAATGCGTACTTTTCAGATCACCGCCTACACCAATCTCTTTCCGTAAATTGTCGAAAGTCGCCTGATCAATCTGTCCCAATTTGACCATCTCCTCTAACGCTTTGAGTCGTTGCTCAATCCCCTCTTTTTTCTCTTCTGCCGTTTCATCATCCTGTTCTTGTCTCCTCAGAGCCGTCCGATCCTGATACCCGCTCGCAAACCTCGTACCCTTTGGCGCCGCAGAGGCCTTGAATCTCTTTGCAGGCGGCTGTGACTGTTCGGCGAGTTGGCGCGCGAATTCGTTCGTGTTGCTCGTTCCGCCGCGGACGTGCCGTGGTGTCATGGGGATACTGGATCGCATGCGAGAGCCGAGAGATGACGGGGTTTGGGAGGAACTTGGTGTTTGCGCATTTTTGTCGACGGTGTTGCTATTGTTATTATTGGATCTTTTGCCAGGTTGGTCGAGGACGAGGCGGCGGAACTGTTCGTTATTCATTTTGGAAGATTACAGTTGTATCATCTCATCATATCAGAGTCATTAACATGAAAAATGTGCCTCGAAATTTCAATATCGCTGTTGATGCGAAGATCGATGATGTCAAAAAAGTTGTCGATAAGAAATGCGGAAAGCGGTGTCTCGGCGGATTCTATACAAATACGGACTTGGTCCGTGCGTTTCCAAGCCCTAACTCGACCAGCTTCTACAGCTGCACGCTACTTTCACCATACGCACGTTATCAGTATATGATCATTCTATTTATCTCACTGACTATGAACAGGTACCTTGACGCTAAGTATTCAAGGAAAAATGATAGAAAAGAACCAGTCCAACAAGATGAAAAGAGTCACGGTATCGCTGTTTTAAGAAATCGTATGAACATGCCCCATCAGTCATCAAATGCATTCGAGAGAGGAAAAGTCAAGTAGATTTGACATGAATATATATAGTCCGGAAAAAGCATATGTGACATGCAATAAGATTAGATAGTCTCCCAACCGCCGTTATTAATCTCAGCTTCCAATTTCCGGCTGATCGTTGCAGGTATTCCGTGAGAAAGCCACACGTCCCGGAGGAGTTTGTCGTATCGTTTCTGGTTGAGGATGAGTTGACGATTACGGCGGAGACCGGGGTCGACTTCGCCATGTTTGTCGAGATAGGGTGCATAGTGCCATGAGCCGTTGTGGTTGTGAAGGTAGAGGACCGTGCATTTGCGGATGTTGATGAATAAGCCGATGTTTTTGCCGCATCTGTTTTGTTATTGATTAGTTATTGCTTACTAGAATAATTAGAGTGGGTCTTACTTTTCGACGTGCTGGTTGCAGCCGCCATATTTCTTGCTGTCCATGCAACACACTGCTTGCGAGCACATGATGTCGCCACAAAAGAGGCAGATACTTGGATCACTCAACTCTCGACCCGAGTTGGGGCAGCGTCGTCGGTTTGCTTCTTCAATCAGCAGATCGTAGTACTTCGGAAGACCAATGAGTTCGAACGGGGCCGGATGCGATAGACTCGGCCAGAGTCGGTGATCTTCGAATCGACTAGCTGACCGCGAGGCATTCCAGTGGAAGATCCATCCGGAGAATAGTCGGTAGCAGACACTTTCCGGGGATGAGAACAACGCAAAGATCTCATCCAGGGTGGGAAGGTGAAGCAGTTTGGTCAAGCGATCCAACTCCGACGCGGTTTCTTCCTGGAAGCCTGTGTTTGGGAAATTGACCCCATGTTGGACATGCAAAAGGATGACCGTCTTTCTCAAGAATGGCAGTGCGTAGCTGGAAATGAGACGTCGCAGAGCCATGACTAGAGTCGGAGTACTCGAGTCTTCACCTTGACCAAGGTAGCCACTTGTTATAGAAGACCCTGCCGCTCGTCCAATGGTGTTCGCTCTCATTTCAGACACCACCGCATCAAAGAATTTACGCGTAATCGCATATTTGATCTCTGCCGATTCTGTTTGTAGGTAATCATCGCTTTCGTGCCTAGCGAGCTCCTCTTTGAGGTGATGATTGCAGAGGATAAACGTGACGGTAATCTTGAGGACTTCCGCCATATAACACAACTGGATCAGATGTCTAATTTCAATATTCAACAGAGGACCCAATGCCACAGAGGCTTCGGCAAGGAAAACGAAAATATCCGCTCCTAACAACGGAGTAATATTTCGAACTTCGTTGACCAAAGGACCTTGATTGCAAATCGGGTGACCAATGAAAAGCTGGCACAGTTTCTGACGATGGATCTGATGAAACTCTTCTGTCGTGCCGTTCTTATCGCCATAATAGTAGTTCGTGGCTGCACCAAGAGCAGCGTAAGAATAAGCAGTCTCAGCGAAAACGCGCAGGTGGGTAAGAGTCAGCTGAGGTATCTTGTCAAGCAATGTAGTGCCGGGGTCGGCCTCGACACCACGTTGAGAGATCTCCAACGCGGATATGCTGAATCCAAAGCTTTTAAAAAGAGAGTCGGTGTGGATGAGGTCTTCATGTGCACTAGGATTCTGATTGTGGGAGAACTGTGATGGGACGTGATTGGCTTGAAGAGTCTTCCTTAATCTCTGGTAGATTTTCGTAAGTTCAGACATTGGATCGGATGCGGGTTCTGGTGTTGTGATTTCTACCGGCGGTGGTGCAGCTGGGCGAATGGGGCTGGTTGCACCCCCTTCTTCAACATTGGGAAATTCGCCTGGCATAAGAATCCTGGGTCCCTGAAAAGACCAAGAAGTAGGTCGTGATACAGGCGCGGTCGAAGGCCACTGGTTCCGTTGATCGACGGCTGTGGCGAGCGGCGCGACCAGCGATTTGGTGAGGTATTTAGTAGCTATGTGGAAATAAGGATCGTGCGGTATCTTTTCGCTTTCCATAGCAAAGATTGGGACGTTAGGTGGTTGAGTAAGGTTAGCCTTCAAGCCTGCAGAGACATATTCATCAAAAGGCTTCTCCGTGGTCAAAACACCAGGATAAGACTCTTCTTTGCCCTTCCAAATGATAGGCAAAAACACATTTCCAAGTGCCTTGCACAGCGGGCAAACAAACTCCTTGAGGTTCAAATGCTCGGGGTGATTTCGAGCAACTTGTTGCGAGTGACGTCTTTGAATGGCCGAGCAATAGACTTCAAAACAAGCGTAATGCATGATATGACCACATCCAGTAGTGACAGGACCACGTAATGTATTCTTTGACGAAAAGCCCTTGCTGAGTCCAATCTTCTCGGTAATAACCTCGCCGCCTGATGAGTCGAGCTTTTTGACCATGACACGGTTCTCTCCCGCAACACCGAAAGGCCGAACGTGGTCAATTGAACGATCAAGGCTCACAGGAGTCCGGAGTGCCTCGCGTATCCAGTCTCTGTCCTGCACATCCGTCAAGCGCAATATACCGCTGTCCTGTATCAATGCAAACGTTCCGAAGAGCCTGGAATCATTGGTCTCCTCTTGGCAAAGAATACAAGTGCCACTGGGGTACTTCCAAGTCTTGGTTTCCGCATCAGCTGCGGTCTCAGATTCCAAGTCACTCAAGTCCTCATCATCACCCCAGTCAAAAGCACCTTGAGAACTGAGGAAGTTTTGCTGCTGCTGCTGGAATTGTGCCATGACACGAGCTTGGCGTTCCAAAGCCTGCTTCTTTTTGAGTTCTTGCTCAGATTCAGCAGTGCTCGCCGGTGAATTGGTGTCAAGTCGTTCATATGGGAATCGCAGCTTTTCAGTGGCATTTGCGTATGATCTCGGTCGCTTATGCCACATCATTTTGATGATATGTTTGATCTTCGCACCGCAGCTCTCGAATTCGGTGGCGACGGATACTTTCTCTAGCAGTCCCACGATAGTCATATGAGCATCCGTTTGCGTTAATTTCGACTTTGATAGTGCATTGGATACAAAAGACGAAGTTGGCGTGTCATCCATCTCATCTTCTGAAGAATTGTCTTCCATAGTGGCAAGGAGAACAAGATGTAGTACTATATGCAAGAATGCTTCAATTCTTGTGGCAGGAATTTGAGGCGTCTTCTCCTTGGAACACAAGACGTAGTCGAGGCAGTGGTGGACGATCTGAGCGAACAATGGAGTCCTTGTGAATGTTGAGAGGTCAGAATATGCTCCGCTAGTCACAGAGCGAAGCTTTGGCTCAAAAACGATATCAGCAGGCTTCTTGCCCGTCTTTTTCGCCATCCAATTTCTGAATATACTCTCCGCTTCGTCTCGTTGGTTCTTGTTGTAGTGAGCACTGTATGGGTCTATCAGTTCGAGGTACTCCGGCTTGAGTTCGAACGTGCCAGTGTCATTCAAGCCCTCCGGTGGGCGGAATGTAGCCACATCATCCAGCACGTCCTGGAAAATGTCTGTCTCCAAAAGTTTATCGCTCAGCCGTGTGGAAAGATCAGAGAATGAAAGTGCCTTGAAGCATAAGACGTGAGCAATGTCACGACTGATGTTGTCGCGAGTGAGCATCGCATCATCCTCGTCAACTGTGAGCGAGGTACGGTCGGTAATCAAGATAATGAGCAAATGTATGAACTCTTCGGCCACATCGATAATTTGAGAATCTTCGTAACCTTGACGGGGCTGATAGTCTCCAGTAAACCATGCCACCACCCCAAAACGCTCGGCCATAGAGGCGAGAACTCGGTCCGGGTCGCAAGTGACAAGAGCAGTCTGCAAAAGGAAAATATCTCGATAGTATGCAAAGTCCCTTGAAGAGACTCCACGATACTGCGACATTTGATGGCGCAAACTCAATCCATTGCGTACCCACATCCCGGCTTTCATCTGGGCAAGCCATGCACAAACACGGAGCGGATAGTCAAACATCGCTAGGAGAAGGTCCTCGTTGCTCAGGTGCCTGTCGTGGACATGATCCTTGTTGGCTGTTTGGGCAGCATCCAGCAGAATGTCTCGAATCGTCTTACGACTCATATCGCGACCACATTCAAGCAACCAGGAAAGGGTGTAGTGAAGAGCATGGTGGAAACTAATAGAGCCCTTATCGACAACAAAGTCAACCACTCGATGACGCTGAATGTGACCCTGTGTGGTAGCCTCAAAGGCGAAGGGCGGAAGCTGCTTGAATTTGATGTACTCCTTGATCTCGGCTTGATCAAACCGTTTTCTTTCAATACCAGTTGAGTGGACAATGGCATAAACAGCAGCAGCCTTGATCGCTCGCACAAGGTTTGGGTCATTTGCAGCGGTTGGATGACGGAACGATTCACAAAATTGACGACACAGTCGATTAATCTCCCTCATCAAGATCGAAGCACTGATCCAAGCATCTGTTTCGTACTCCACATGCTCGCCAACGGCCCGCACATTCGGGCAAATACCTTGCGGTAGCTTGACCAGATCCAAAAATTGTAGGAGGTATTGTTCGTCGGTACGGATACGGCTCTGGACATATTCGGAGAGGAGAAGATGACGAAGATCGAGGAAGAAATGGTACAGTCGTCGATTGGTAACGGAGCCAGCGTCAAATGCTAGGGTGGCGGTCGGATTGACTTCCCATGGCTCTCCTACTTGACGAGTCGTGAGGAAAGTGTAAAGGATGGCCATAACTTTTGTGAGGAAATCACCTCGATGGACAATCTCTTCGGTAATGGATGGTGTTGTGAGAAGCTGCAATGATACATTGACAATGGAATGGTCTGGTTCACGGTCAGCAATTAGATACAACTGGGCTAATGCTGTATAGAGCGACGCAAGACGCAATCCCATAACTCGTTTGAACTGAGGAACATTCACAACGGTGCTGATATACAAGTCTCGCAGATCGATCCTGGTCTTTTTCCACAAGCGAAGGTCAAACAGGATCATCCAATCAAGTCGAGTACGTTGGTTGAGATTTTCATATACCGGCACATTTCCGGCCGGACGAGCAGGTCGGGATTGCCAGTGGCTTGGAGTCTTTGCCGCAGACAGTTTGACTGGGGCAGTCGGAGTTCTAGGAATCTTCACATGAGAGTTATCGTCCGTCTCGTCTTGGTTCTGCGGCGCTTGCAACGACTGTGTCTGGTCTCCAGTTGGTGCAGCTGTGGGCGTACTTTCATCTGTTTCTGGTCCTTCACCATCCGCATTGCCCATGTCGACATCATCATCAGAACCAATACCCAGAAGATGGCGAAGGCGTGGATTCTCAATGTCCATTACTTCTGAGTAATCGTCGTCATCATCTTCATTCACGACGAATTCTTCATCACCTTCCATTTCCTCGTCGTCCTGGCCTTGATCCGCCTCGTTCTCGTCGACTTCATCATCTTCGTCTTCGTCGTCATCTTCCGTTCCAACAATGACACCACCTTGGGGAGATACTGTCAGGGTAATCGCTGTACGATAGTAGGGCGCATTTTCGTTTCGTTCGTGGTCGTCAATGCCTTTCATTCCAATGTCGGCATTGTACGCACCACTCCCCGGTCGCCACGGACGCAAAAGTTCCTCGCAAATTACATTTCTCAAGATTTCGTTGTCTTCACCGAAGCTGCAGCCAGCAATATCCGACAGCCATTCAACAATGGTGCCGCACATTCCTTCTCTAAATGTGTCTCGAGCCGAACGAATAGTAACAGTGACCTTGATATGCTCAATTATTTTCGAGACCTGCAAAAGCCTATTCAAATCTTTCGAGTACTTGATGACACTGCGCCCAATTTCATTCGTCTCGTGCGCCTTGAGATCTCCAAAGCTAGAGCGTTCTCGACATGCGCGTGTGACTTGGTGGGACACATCTCGAATCGTGTGCTTCTCGTCGTTCCACAGAGCAAGAGCGAACTCGGGTTCTTCCTCTTCCTCGTCGCCCTCGCCATACCATCCTGGTCGTAGTCGAGATGCCACCTCGTCTTGGCGAATTCCCTCTTCTGTCTTCGGTAGACGAAGCTGTTCAGGCGAACACGAAATGACATCACAGAAATAATCCAGCGTTCGTGAGATAGTCGTTCGAATATCTTCAACCCATGCCGATGGCAGACCTTTTTTGATATTTTCTTTACCCTTCGTTTCGCCCGTATCGGTATGAATCGCACAGCACAAGGGTACTCGCCATGCTTCCTCGTCGCCACAATCGCAACATCCACAGTTCCCTTGAGACAGCGAAATCTGATACTGATGGCCCGTATGGTCGGAAGCGTCGAAACACCGACTACATAGAACGCATGTGTCGTCCGCACCGCATGTCAAGCATCGATATGTCCCTTCACCAGCCTTGAATATATGACCACATCGCTTCCCCTTCGCGGCGGCACTGTACTCCGCGCCTTCCTGAGCTCCTTGCGCTTCCGCTAATTTCCATGCTCGATCGCTTGGAGCACCATCAGGAAAAAGTATTTGTAATCGTTGAGGATCGTTGCCGCATAGTGATCGGAAGAGAAGCTGTATCAAATCTTCCTCCGCTTTAAGATTGTAATGGTAGCTGTACTTTGCTGGCAGGCGCAAAAGGCCATCGCCCAGCAATTTCTCACATTCTGTGAGCATCGTATCTTGTTTCTAAGCGATACTTCCGGCGGAGTAACCCATGTGGCTGTTTTGAATCGTGAGAATGGTGTCGATGAACCGTCGGGGATGTGGCGAGGTGAGGGGAAGCGATAAGTAATCGACCAAGAAGACGCTCCGTCGTGTAGACTGGATTGGTGTATGAATCACACGTGTAAGGGGGAGCTTGACGTGTCGCACTTTGCAAGGACTAGATAGTCTATCAGACAACTAGTAACAGGGATGTCACAGTCAAATTTCCGGATGGTTGGATTTGAGTGTACACTGTTGGTATTATGCAAGCAAGTTGTGGGGTGATCTATGAATGAGGGTACACGCAACAAAGCGCTCCTCGACGATGAGTAAGAGAGGTATGAAACTTAAAAGTGTAGGGTTGAGCTGATCTGGAACACTTGGGTTTGTTATGGTCGGGTATTCCAACAGACCAGTTGAGATGTGGAGTTTAGGTTGTTGTTGAGGATCAGACTCTTTCCTGCGATGACATCTTCCGGCAAATTTCGCTGGAGACAATCCCGTCAAGCTCTAGCCCTCAACCACCACAGCATGACTACGCCTAGCTACGTATCGTGTTCAGTGAGCTATTTTAACTGAACTCTTGTATTTATAGTATAAAACAAATGGTATTGTTGACAATAATGAATGATGCAAACTCTCTATTTATTTCCGCCTCACCGACCAAGCATCATACACAAGTACAAGGGGACTTCCCCATCTACCCCATCATTTATAGAAACACCAGATTCATTTTCGCGAGCGAACATCCTCTATTCCTCATCCTCGTCCTCCTCGGCCTTTTGGATGTACTGGTGGCGGATATCTTTCCATTGGCGCTAGAAAAGGTTCAGGTCAGCTCGGTAATATAGTGAGGAGGCAAAAATATCGAAAGATTGGAACATACGCCTCGGTTCATGGTGTCCCAGATCTTGTTGGAGGCGGTATCAAAGGCACTGTAGTTTGAGCATATTGTCAGTATCTATACACAATCCCTCACTGTATCTTCCGACTAGAATGGTCGGAAGCGGAAACGTGGAAACGCGATGCAACGTACACCTCAAAGGCGAAGGCGCCGGCGAAGATGCTGGTCAAGTAGACAGCATTTCGTTGGAAGAGAGTCCTATTCAGTCAAAGACATTGTATTAGTACGGTCGTGAGCGTGGTGTGTAGTGATTGCGGTGAGTTCGACGGGGTGACTTGCTGGTAGATAGCTTGTGCGATCTGCGACGAATTGAGAGATGTGTTAGCCATTAATGCAGTCAATTGAACGATACGAACGGTGTTCTTACTCCGGCCATGGTTTCAGACGTGCAAGTAACTGCCAAAGGCGACCGTAGTGAGTGAGAGGTGGTTGATGGATGCGGACAAGATAACCTTGCGAGGTTTGAAGATGAGGTTCCGTTAGTCAAACGACCCGAGAAGTTCCGGCTCGCTTATTGGCCGATGGGTAGCTCATCAGTCACCAGGCAATCTAATACTTAATTATTTTACAGAAACCCCGTACACAAGAAGATAAAACCTGGAGAGTCTTCACTGACTCTTTGGAAGACTACATTGACATACGCTGTCTACGCCTGAAAGATCCCAACGCCAATCCCCTCGTCCAAACAGTCATACGACATCCCCGCATCTCAACCTACAAATACAAAACGACCTCAAAATGCCAGCGTCAGAACCAGTCACCTCCTCCGGCATCGTCGTCGATGCAACAACCGGTCAACGCCACGTCCCCTCCTCCATGCGCGCCGACGGCACAAAACGCAAAGAAATCCGCATTCGCCCCGGCTACCAGCCACCCGAAGACGTGCAAAAGTACAAAAACCGCTCCGCAGAAGCCTGGAAAAATCGTGGAAGTGGCGGGGKTCCTGGCGCCGAAGCTGTAGCCTCAAACAACGCACAGCAAGCTGGGAGTGCGGCTAGTAATAAAAACGCCAAACGTCGCGAAGCGAAGAAGAAGGCCAAGGCTGAGGAAGACGCTGCAAACGAAGGGAACACTACCACCAGCACCGAGACAAAAGATGCGCTTAATGCTGAACATGAGACTGCCGTCGATCCAGAAGCTGAAAAGGAGAAGAAAGCGCGCAACCTCAAGAAAAAGTTGAGGCAGGCTCGTGAACTTTCGGAAAAGAAGGAGAAGGGCGAGTCGTTACTGCCAGAGCAGTTTGCGAAGGTTATCAAAATCAATGAGTTGATTCGCGAGCTTGATGCGTTGGGATTCGATGCGGAGGGTGAGAAGAAGAAGCCCGATGTGTGATTGCGTCGTATAGGATAATCTATATTTTCGACTCGAACCAAGATGTGGAATAAGTCTAAGAAGTTATTCTGAAGGATACATACACCATTTCGGCTGAAGATTGATATGGCTATCACCAGATATCTGGCCTCGTGACGCCAATTTTGCAATTATTGTCGCCATCACATACTATGCTGATTATTTGGCAAAAGCGAAATACCATTACTGATATTCATTCAGAATGGGTCAACATCCACCACCATGAGATGGAAGGATTAGTATGGCTTCGGAAGTGGCAGACGGCAAGAGAGGTGTCTGAGCCTTGAGCAGATTTGCGGATGGCAGAAAGGCATCATTCTACTTAGGACTGGTAGTTTAGCAAATGAATGAGCTCCTAAAGTCTTTACATTTTGATGCCTAAACATATCCGAGAAATAGTCACATTGACATTTCAATGATCTATAGTACATTTTGATTTATTTCCTCTGGACTTTGTGCGCTTGCTGTATCAAATACCGCTTCGCCGAAGTCGGGATACCGCCTACTTGCTCGTCCATAAGATCACCAGGCATACCCGTTGCCAAATCTTTGACGCCCTCGAGCGAATCTACGCCCCAGGTAGCTGCCAGATAACCCTGAACGACACAATCATTGACACCCACGCCATGCACACCGTACCAGTTTCCGGCAAGCGTGAGACGCTTATCAAAGTCCTTTCGAATCGCGTCAGAGAGTCCACCCATTCTCACTAGATGATTTACGGTATACTGCGGGATAGCGTCACGCTGAAGTCTGGCTCTCGTCACCGCGGGAGTAGCATCAATGCCGAGATGTCGCTTCAGCAACGACCGAGCCATGAGCGTCGCCTTTTCAGGGCTAGGCAAATCAGATTCAGCCCATCCATCCCACCAGTGACCGCCCATCATGACAGTCAGTTTTGTGCCGACAGCTGTATCCTGGTGTTCACTTGTTTCGGAGCTGAATATCACGCCCAATCCTCGCTCTGGGTTTTGCTCAAAGGGGACATTGCGAGGGATGAGATACCCGAAACCTCGGTAAGGAACGAGGTTTGGTTCGTTGTAGAATAAATTGACGACCATTACGTTCACTGCGTAGTTTTGCGCTTTAAGTCGTGATATGGATTCAATGGGTTTTGAGGTATCGTTTTGAGAGCCCGCTTCAATCATTTTCGCCATTTCGGACGGTGGTGCTGTGGAGATGACTCTGTTGAATGTTTGAGATGTCGTCTTCTTGTCATCTTTCAACGATATCTGCGTAGAACATCAGCAATTTTTCCTAAGCAATGCAATGATTGGCGTCGTGATACCGTAATATCATGATTCTCCTCCCGTTTGATATCGTTGATACGAGCATTAGTCACGACTTGGATCTTGTCAGAGTATTTCTGAAATCCCCTCTCAAATCCACACGCTATCTCCGCAAGACCATCTTTGATCGTAAACACGCTCGCGGGCCTTATTAATGTACGAAGACGATCAAAGTGGCTCAGTGGCCGTTGTCCCACTACCGAGCACAGTGCCAGTAGATAATCAGCCGGTATAAACGATTTCTTTGTCTGCAATCCATCCAAGATGCCGATTAGAAGTGACTCGTTCTGGACCTCAATCAGCCGTGGCACTCCGAGAATGCTATCGGCACTGAGTTTATAGATGTCGCCAGCGTAAATTCCATGAAACATGGCCGATAAGAAGTTATCTGCGAATTTGGGACCGAACCGGCGTGAGAAAAAGTCTCCGATTGATTCATCCTTTCTTAAATCTGAGCGAACTTCCACGGCAGGCTCTTTCAAAATACTCATTACAGTCCCCTTGAATATAGGTTCGGTGAACAAAGTCTTGAGCGCATCTAATATCGTACTCAGCAATCCCGTGTCGGGCTTGGGACCGGGCATTCGAACTAAATGGTCGGGATAGTAGATATATCGGTTGCGTGCGGCGGGTGACCTTTGGCCGATGAGGACTATTTGATCGGCTAATTCCAAGCTGAAAAGCTGCGTAACGTTAGTGTTTGAAATTCAGACAATACGCACCCAGAATATATATCTCACCAGATCTAACATTGGCAATGCAGCAGGTTGACTCGCCCGTATCGTCCTGGGTCCATGCTCAAATACCACATGTTTCCCATCACCAACCTCAACCCTCTCGGACTGGAGCCAACCTCCAAGCTGAGGCGACTTTTCGTAGAGCGTGACTTTCTGACATTTCGGATCTTGGACTAATCTCCACGCAGCTGTAAGTCCCGTAAGACCGCCACCAATTACTGCGACATTGTATGGTTTGGTCTCATGGCGAACCCGGTGGAGGAATCGGCGGGKCGCTGTCGATGTGGAAAGCTTGGGACTCGGTCGAATCGCATGAGAGAGACGGGATCTTCGCATTGCTGCCGCTGGAGCTATGCACGCATTTGCATATGAAGGGGGAGATTGAATTGCCCGTATGGCAGTTCTTGGGAAGCGATCGATCAAGGTGTTGCATCACTTGATCGACGGCGGAGTAGTGGACCCGGAGCTTATTGCACGTTATTGCCGAGTCTCCTCTTTGTCTGACGACGACCCTTGAAACTTTTACAGACAAATAATTGATTGTATTGGATATTCAGAATTGAAAGTATTTATACTCTGGCGTCTATTCTCAGAAACATACAAAGTCTTCACGTACCATGAAGGTACTCGAACCTAGGGAGATTCATAGCCTTTCCATAAGAAATTTCGACCAGCAATAGCCAGAAATGCCGTCTAATTCTCAAGTATCCTAAACTAATGAATGTACAATAAACTCGTCAACGCCACTTGCCCAATTGACCCTGCCCATGCATGGTTTATAATGAGTAGAATACATATCCTTCAACTTTTCTCCCATCAGCCAGAATATTTGAATGTTCAAGTGATGACTTGCTCCGCTTGAGCTGCATCAGGTTTGATGAGCTCCTCCTCGCCGCCCTCCTCTTCGACAAATTTTCTTTCACTGACATGAGGCTTTTCCTGACCGGCAACCCATACTTTATCCGGGAAGCTAGCCTTCTGACCCTCGGTATGCTTGTATGGACAACTCCGATTCATGCAAGGATTGAATTTGCATGCTGTGGTAAGGTGGGTGAATTTACATCCTTCAGTAGTGCAGTCGGCGCCATTCCGGCAGAGAGGCATGCTGGGATGTTTGAAATGACAATGAGGGTTGGTGCAGTGAGGAAAGAAGCGGCAAATTTCTTCTGCCTGGTGAGAAGCCTTGACAGCAGGTGATGGATGACGTCCGGTACATTTCTTATTTTTGCATGCTGCGCCGAACGGGCAAGGGTCGGAGACGTCAACGGGAGCACCCTCGGGGGCTGCTGAAGATTGATGGGCAAAGGGGCAATCTTTCCTTGTGCAGCGGAGGTTAAATCGGCAAACACTGTCGGTATTCGCTTGACCGTCGGCTGTCGTCTGGTCTTCTGTCATATCCATGTCACCATCTTCGCCTTGCTTAGCAGCAACGCCGTTCTGGGAGGCTCGGGACTTAAAGTCACCACCTTGTCGCTGGTTTGGACGCTCAACTCGATCGAACAACGACCGACCGTGTTGTTGCTGTTGGTTTTGCTGGTTCTGAAAATTTGGATTGACCGCCGGCGACATAAATCCAGGCATAAACTGCGACATCATCCTAGCCTGCTCTTCGAGAAGAGCCATAAGTTGCATTTGGTTTTCAGGTGTCATCTGCATCATATTTCCGGCTCCCTGTCCCTGCATGTGCTGCCCGAATCCTGTTCTGCCTCTGCCGCCCCGGCCAGCTCCGAACTGGCCTCGTTGATTCTTCTGGAAATCTCGTCCATGTGTGTTGATTCGACCGCTATTATTCTGACCGCGCACACGATGAAGCATAGCATCAGGTCCACGCTCCAATGACTTATTTATCTGATTCAGGATTCGACCTCTGCCCCGGTTATTGTTGTCTCGCATCGCCCGAGGACCAGTGGGTCTATCAAGAAACGTCAGTACATCAAGTCGTCAGGATCAAAGAAACTTGCAAACTTACATATTATCACTCGGGCCTGAGGCTTCATCCATAGTAGCATCCTGTTGATCTTGGGCTCCAAAATCGTTCTGGCTGTTGCTTGTCGGTAATGCCTGTGCAGATGTCACTCCGTTGATATTATTGTTAAGCACCTCTAGTTGCTCGAATAACCACCGCGAAAAGTCGATAGCCTGTGTATCGCCCTCTCCAAGGTTCAGTAGATCGTTCGAAAGCTCCTCCGCGATCTGCTCTTGGGTTTTTCCGTTGACCAACATCAGAATAACGTATTCCGTCAACGCTGAATCCTCTCCACTATCTGCACTCCATCCCAGCTCTACCATTTTTGGTTGTACGACATTAGCCAAGGCCTCCGCCAGCGGAGTTCCTGGTGCCACTGTTACTGGCATTTTGCGGTTCTGTCGCAGGTCTGCGTGTGATCTCTCGAAGGTAGTGGTGGACTAGGACAGGGTGGCTGGAGCGATTTTCAAACCGACTGTCGTAGCGCACGTAATTTTAGGTAATGAGAAATATCCAAAAGGTTTGTTCCGGGTTGATTTTAAGCAATGCTGCGGGTGTTGTGAGCTTGGAAGGAGAGAAAAGATATGATGCGATATCGAAAAAGGAACGCCACCAATAGACGCGCTAGGCTCCATCTGCTCTTTGTGAGATCTGATTGGCTGATTTGGTCCGCTAAAATTGCAGTGTAGGATCACGTGACAGTCTATCACGTGATCAATTTATCATGCACGTTCTTTTTGGTAAAGCTACATGCAGCTTCACGAAAACACATAATCACCCAGAAAACGACTCCAAGCTACAGAGACCCAACAAACGTTCAGTCTGGACCATTTGGATGCCTGGATGGTGGCAGCGGAGGCTTATCAGCGGTCCGAGGTTGCGGGGGATTTCCTTCACGTGCAATCCACTCAGCAATTTGGAGTGCAGGCCTCTGACTGGCCACCCGCCATTACATACCTCGCAAGTCGCTCGCGCTCGTATTTCTGGGACCACAGATTATAGATCATACTCTCTGTGGCTGTCTGGTTCGTCATTGTGCGTGCGAGCCCCAAAATAATGGCGATCAAATGTCGGGGGTCGGTTCACGCAGGCTCGTGCCTTTGGAAGCGCCATGTTTGTACCACTACATGTACGGAGTCGAGACATGCTCAAGGAAAGTGCTACTTCGGAAAATAGGCACATTATAAGGACGGTCATTACCGCAAAAGATATTCTATTCCATTTGGCTTTGTTGCTTTGCTCGAAGATTTTATTGAGGTGGAACGTCACATTTGGTTCGGCTCTCGGCAGTTGACTTATAGCGCTTGCTAGAGTATAGCCAATTTAGATCATTTGCGGGGAAGACCCTCCAACTGCTCTGTCACTCCTTATTTCTGCTGCTAGAGAAGTTTCAGAGGCGGTTGAATAGGCAGATCAATAATATCCTTGGACATTATTTAAGGCGAGGACCCTGCCTCGTTCATCCACCTGCTCGGTTATCGACCAATATCTATCTGTATTCCGGACTCGATACATGGTCAGGAATTGCAGACATTATGATTGAAGAACTTCTGTCTAATATCTCACCCTCAAGGGCAGCCTTGGGGTTGGGCCTGGGTCTGGTCGTCCTCTTTTGGGTGATGAAACTCCGTGTTGCACGTCAGATCCATTTGCTAGGAGGAAAGTCACCTGAGATTCCAACTCATCTTCCTGTTGGTAAGTTTTCAAGACCGTTTTATCTGAAGAAAATCTACTAAGGCGATCGTACAGCCGCCGACTTCATCTTTGCTTCGACACAAGCAGCCAAAAAGAACCAAGACCTTGCATTCTGGAAACAGAGCATGGTCCAAGCCCAGAAATCCAATAAGCTAGACTTTCTACCCTTTACAGCAGAGATTAATCAACTAGTCTCAAACCGCCTCATCTTCACTATTGAGCCAGAAAATATCAAGGCCATCTTGACCGGTCAATTTCACGACTTTGGCAAGGGAGAAACCTTCCATCGGGAGTGGAAAGAGTTTCTAGGTGATAGTATATTTGCTACTGACGGGGAACTGTGGTCTTCGTCCCGCCATCTTCTTAGACCCATGTTCAACAAGGATCGTATCGTCGACACTCAGATCTTTGAGACTCATGTCCAGAAACTCATCCATCTCTTTGGCGGTAGCGGGAATGCGAATGGCAGTAAGATAGTCGATGTTGGAGGTCTATACTTCCGGTTTACTTTGGATGCGGCTACGGATTATCTTCTGGGAAAGGGAACCGACAGTCTTGAAAACCCTGAGACGAGGTTTGCAGAGGCTTTCCGTTATGTGCAATCACGCCAGGCAATTTATTTCAGAATGGGGTAAGCCTTTTTCAGTTTTGAAAAATCAGCCAATATCCATGAATATGATTTTATATACTAACAAGATGCAGACCACTCAGCCCACTCCTCTCGCGAAAGAAATTCCGTCAAGAACTACAAGTCATGGAAGACTTCATGCAGCCGTACATCCAAACAGTTCTCTCTCTCAGTGCCGAAGAACTAGAAAAGAACCTCTCCAAGCGAGAGACCTTTCTCGACGCCCTCGCAAGATTCACCCGCGACCCTCGTGTCCTCCGTGATCAAATCGTCGCCGTGCTCCTTGCAGGCCGCGACACAACCGCCGGCACCTTGTCCTTCTGTACATTTGAATTATCTCGCCACCCGGAAGTCGTCGCAAAACTGCGCCAGGAAATCGCAGAACGCGTCGGCGTCGGCGCAGACGCCAGAATCCCTACATATGGAGACCTTAAGGACATGAAATATCTCAACGCAGTCATCAACGAGACCCTCCGTTTCTATCCCGTTGTCCCTTTCAACGTTCGCTACAGTCTAAACGATACAACTCTCCCCCGCGGCGGCGGTCCAGACGGCCAATCCCCTGTCGGTGTCCGCGCAGATACCCGTATCGTCTACTCAACACTTCTGATGCAGCGCGAAGAAAGTTTCTACGATCAAAGCAAGGCCGATAAGTACTACGACCCGGGTCAATGGATCCCCGAACGCTGGACATCGGGCTGGCAACCGAAGCCCTGGCAATTCATCCCGTTCAACGGCGGCCCTCGAATCTGTATCGGACAGCAATTCGCCATGTTGGAAATGTTGTATACAATTACACGGGTTTTGCAGGTTTATGAGAAGATTGTTGCTGTCCCGGTGTCGGGCCATGATAAGGTTGAGGATCCTGTGCTGCGTTTTGAGGTTACATTGTCCCCAGGGACGGAGATGAATACTGTTTTTTTGAGGGAAGGAGAAGGTCGGCCTTAAACATTAGGTCTTTCAAATGAATGACTTGTTACAATTGGTCGTTTTAATTACAAGAAATTTATAGTTCTGTTGATGTATTGCAATGAAAGTTTTACAAAAGTATACCTCTTTCTGATTCCTCTAGTTACATGTAGTATATATAAAATGACATTAATCATGAGTAGAGTACACAATATACAGCAGATATCTAATCTGTGGCGGACATCATATCTTACAACCCCTATCTAGTCTCTTCAGCCTCCTCCTCATCTAGCCTTTCTACTAGCTCCCTCGCTCTAAGCCCCTCATCATTCTCCCTCGCCCTCGCAGAAGACACATTCCGCATTGTGCTCGCCACAATATGCTCCCTGAGCCACGGCGGCACAACGGCTTTGATCTTGACTGCGCCTGAGCTCGCAGATCCAACGGCAGCCGGATCTGCATCCCATGCAACCTGGAATTCTTGCGAAGGGTTGTACTGACTGCTTTCGCCTGAAAGCGAGATGTCGGTCATCATCTCGAGACGGCAAAGCGCAAGGCCGACATTTCCTACGCCGCTGATGAATTTACCTGCGCTGCGACCTTTGCGAGTGCCGACTCGAGATATATTCGCCCCGGTGGGAGGCTGGAGTATGTCCGTGCTGGTGTCATAGCTGAGCGCTGACGAGGCGGTGGTATCCTCATCAACCCCAAACAACTGTACCGGCAACATACGCTTCCGCACAACACCAGTATGATGAGTTCGAATAGTAAGTTCCTGTCCCACATAACACCCCTTTCTAAAGTCAATGGCCTGCGTAACATCCATATTACACTCCATCGGCAGCGAAGACTCGCGGATGATCTCTTGTTGTCCCTCAGCAACACCATGCAGAATCCGTCGCAACTTGTACGTCTCTAATCCAACTTCAGAACCTTGTACTCTCATTTCCTCAGATAAATGAACCTGTAAATCCTCCGCGCCAGGTGTAATATATCTCGTCCCAAACCCCGGTGCCCTCGTATCAATGCATCCCACCACCATTAGCGATTGATCCGAAACTTGCGACGGGAAATCAGATTCAAGGTTATAAGCTGCCCATCGAGGCTTCTCTGTAGACTCATTCCATGCCGCCCAGACCGATTGTTCCCCATCTTCCAAAGCGCGAAGAGTCAATTTTGCGCGCAATTTGTGCTTTTTGAGGTGTTTCATAAGATTTGTGACTTCGGATTTGTCGACTTCGATTAACCATGCTGCTTCGTCTGTAGAATCGTTGTTGTTGCTGCTGAGACTGCCATTGGTGATGGGGTAGATGAAGACGTCGTGTAGCACTCGACCTTGCGAGTTGAGGAATGCGCTGTAACTTCCTGTTCGTCGCGGGGCGCGAACGGGTTCTTTGCCCATGAGCATGTTTTGAGTAACCATTCCTTGGAGGAAGGATGTGCTATCAGTCCCGCTGATGGCAATCAGAGAGCGGTTTGTGAGGCGCGCATATCCCGACGCTGGTGGAATTTGTGGTCGTTCGGATTTGTCATTTTGTTGTTGTTGGCGTAGTCTGGAACTTGTTGAGAATTGCACTTTACTGCTGCTACTGCGATATGCGCATTTTGTGCAGATAAGGCCTTTCGAAGCGCGGGAGGCCATTTCGTATGAAATCAATGAAATTCCAAGGTTTTATTGTCGATTAGATATCTCGGCTGCATGACGACGTCAATATATTTACCGGGCGGAACTGCGCGGCAGAATATCTACTTCGCTGTGAGAGCATTTTCGATCTACTTGATATCCTGCATTTGAAGCCAGATTATATAGAGAATTTTTTCATATGTGCCAATTCATATCAATATTTAATAGTATTTGAATAGATATAAGATTGAAGTATCTTAGACGCCTAGAAGTATCATCATCACAAAGCTATCTCTTCCCTTCAGCTACATTTTGAAGGAATCCCAATAAAAATGCTTTGTTGTCCGGTGATTTCAAACGCTGCGCAGCTCCGGAAGTTCGAGATCCATGATCTGATGCGCTATCAATGCTGGATATGGCGCCAGCCGGAGCAATCGCTTCAACACCCGAAAGTGAAGGAGAAGGTGTGACATCGTTGAAAGGACTGTTTGCAACAGGATGTTCCATAGCGGCAGCCAAAAGAGATGCTTTTGTAGATGGAGACTTTCCAAATAGAGAGAGCAATGTCTCTTTCTGCGCCGCAGTCTGACTAGGACGTCGGTCATAGTTCGGCTGCATGATCTTATTCTCAGGAGCCACTACGGGTTTGGGTCTTACTGGAATGTCACTCAACTCCTGAGGCAGCTCATTGGCTGGTGACTTCCGAGTAGGTAGGATTGAGTTAAGATCCAATTTCTCAGACCGGCGCAAAATTTGCGGTTGAAAACTCCTGGGTATTTCGGCGCTCTTGACTCTACCATCAGGTGAAAGTGACACTGAAGCTGAAGTTTGTGCCGATGGTGTGGATACATCCCTCCTCGCGGATGAGGGTCGTGACAAAATTTTGACCGGAGATGCTGAAGGTGGGGGTTGGTGTTTTCTGTGAGCACGAGTAGTACGCTTCGATGTAGGGGTCTTGTCAAAGTCTGGCGTTCGTAGAGGCCCAGAAACAGTGGCTGATGTAAGAGCATCTGCCTGATTGCCCACCACGTTTATTCTGCTTGGTAACTCAGTGGTCTTACTGAGCGACGCCGGGCGCTGAAGTATTTGTTTCGGAGCTGATTGCACAGGCTGCGCAGCAAGCTCTACAGCGGGCGTTGCCCGAGTACCGACTGCAGGACTTTTCAGCAAGGCTAAAAGCTGATCTTGAGGAGCCGGCGGTTTTTGTGCTGGAGCTGATGACCCGACCGCGGATACGCCTCCTGCCTGGGATTGAGCGGAAGGATTTCCTTTGAAGACGTTCAACAAAGCCAATGAATGACTTGTCAATTTTGGAGGAGGCAATTTACTTGCGGGTGGTACAACCTGTCCTTGGGTTTGAGCTGTACCCGATTGTTGAGCGAAGAGGGGATCGCCAGTTCTTTGGTAAGGAGCTAAGGTAGATTGAGGCGGCGCATTGAAAGTCTGATCGCGCTGCGGGTGAGACAGATTCTCCATAGGAGGCCGTTGGGCTTGTGACGGAGGATGAACGGCGGTCGGTTGAGAAGGATTGGCAAGTGAAGAGAGGAGTCGGTTGAAATGTCGCTGATCTTGAACCTGAGTTGGGGGGTTGACTGGATTCGGAATTTCTGGCATAGCATGGTGCCCAGCTGGGTTCAATACTTGATCCAAAAGTGGCGGCATTTGGTGAGAAACCGCTGGTGGTTGAGTGATCTGCTGAGACGGATTAGAGGCGGGKATAGGAGTTCCATTTGCTCCACTACGTAACAACGAAAGCAAGGCATTGGACTTGGATGAGTCGGTAGCTTGCGTGGCGATAAACGGCGGTGTGATTGGGGCGCCGATATTGAGAAGACGCTTTAGATGAGACGAGACATCTTGCGTAGGAGTGACCTCGGGAAGATCACTATGGATAGCAGGTTGGATATGAGCTTGTAGTGGGGTGAACCCATTATGAGCCGATACAAATCCTTCATCCATCGATGTTTCGCCCTCGGTATACGCCGTAGACATCAGCACATTGTTCTTAGCATCGATCTTCCGCTGCTGAGAAATCCACTTCTTCAAAGGGTTGAGAAACGGAGCGACCATATAAAATTTGTTCGCATTGACCGCATCGTGTTGCGCCTGCTTGCTCTTCTTAACAGTAGGCAGGTCAGTCAAGTTGACCCATTCAATTCTACTGATCTCCTTCCTGGTCTGAGGCGCAAAGGCAGTATCCATAGGCACACCCCGAAAGACATAGAGCTTCATATGCTGCTCACGCATGGTGATTTGGATGTGTTTCATGTGCTTCTCGTCTTTGACAAGACCGGCAGCCTTCAAGTCATAACCTGTCTCTTCAAGAACCTCTCGTACGGCACAGTCGAGATCCTTCTCCTCCTTGTTAATCTTTCCGCGGGGAAAGCTCCAATTAGCGTTCTTCTTCCAACCCTTGACCAGCACAACCTTATCCATAGCGTCGTTCAACAAGATAGCTCCACGGACGGGAACGCGCGTTTTGTAAGCGAGAAACTCCGAAAAAGCAGCTGCATGATGGTATTCGGACCATTCCGACATGAGCGGGCAGTGCTGGAATATACGCATCGCAAACGCCTTGAGAGATAGCGAGGGCAAGGCCGGGTCGAGGGGCCTGACGAAATCTTCGTAAAACCATTGTGCTTCTTCGACCTGGAAGCATATACGCTCCACTGATTCGAGCTCTTCTCGGGGTAAATTTATGATAAAGCGGACACACAGGTCATCTAGCCCTATTGCATTGACCAAAACTGTGGTTAGCTCATTGTCATAATCACATGTTGATGTCAGCTTAACGGAGGAACGTACAATCTTCGAGATGTAATTTTGTTTCTGTCATGGTGTCTATTGTACATGTGCATTTCAGCGCACAGATAAAAAAGCGCAATAAGCTCTTAGTGATGATGAAAGATCATAGGCTAGCCAGACTGCTTCCACCACTACCAGTGGCAAGACAGTGTGCAGGGATCAGATTTGCTGAAGTGCCTGGCTCAAGCAGAGAGGGATAGTGTAACGAGAGATCTCTCCGTAGTAATTAGATAATAGGTAATTGAAAAGAAGGGTGAGGAAAGGAGTGTACACACGGAAGAATAACAGGTGGTTGGTGGATCGACAGATGATGTTGAGGGCGGCCGCAAACAAAGGTTCCCGTTGGTAGGTACGTGCACCGCCACATCCATGACATCCTGCCCGGCCAGGTTAGGCACTAAGTCACCACATATCCACTGCGCCACACATGCACCTGTCGGAGTGTGGCTGGKGCGTCCAAGCGGGRGATGACGTACCGCCGGCGCTTGGATAACAATCAAAGCAACCACCGCGAATCAAGCGTCTCGCTGAAGTGGCAGTTGAAACTGGATTTCTATTTTTTCCCCGACATCCCCTTTGATCTTCTCTGACAGTTTCACATTGCTTGCTATATAAGCGTTAAAGCATTTTGTGTCTCTTAAAACATTTTTCATTTATTTTCTCAAATACTTATCGAGAAAGAGCAATATACATACGAAGAACGAAAGTCTCTGTGACTCAAGCTAGCACCCGAAACAGATATGGCTGCTCAACTGGCTTCATTAGTGGGCAGGCGGGKTCTCAAGGAGAACGTGAACAATGCATTTGGACAGGAGGTGTGTATACTTGATCTATCGGTAATCCCTTGACGGTATGAGCTAACCCTACAGGATCCCTACTTTGAACAAGTCCCTGCTTCTCGACTGGGTCGAACGTTTGGAAAGAAGACACGAAAGCAACGCAAGGCCATTCCCCCTGGATTGTCCACCAACGACGCTAAGATTCTGAACCGCGTTAAACGTCGTGCATACCGTCTGGATTACAGCCTCTTCAATCTATGCGGAATTCGGTTCGGTTGGGGTGCGGTTATCGGCTTGATTCCTCTGTGAGTATGACTCACTGGATGACCGTGAGATTGTGACTAACGAATGAAAGTGCCGGCGATGGTCTCGACGCTGCGCTGGCAATGATGGTGGTCAGAGACTGCGACAAAGTCGACGGAGGACTCCCTAGCTCCCTACGAACACGCATGCTGATGAACGTCGTGCTTGATTTCTTCATCGGTCTCGTTCCCTTCATCGGTGATATTGCGGATGCCATTTACAAGTGCAATACTCGAAACGCTATCCTGCTGGAAAAACATCTGCGAGACAAGACGAACAAGATTGATAAAGCCCGTGCAAAGAAAGGACATCCCACAGGAAAAGCACAGCGACCCATTGATCTCAGCCTGCCGGAGGAATTTGATAGATATGAGGAAGGAACGCTGCCAGAACCGCCGAGCTACACGGAAGCTCCCTTGTCAGAACCGACTCCTACGCAGCACGGCGTTGAAGCGCGTGGCCCAACTGAACCACAGCCCGCCCATAATCCTGGATCATCCCGTCGCGATGCTAGCTGGTTCAGCGGACGGAAGCAGAAGCGGAGTGATCTTGAAAGCGGCAGTGGACGCTACTGATAATCTGTGTGTGACACAGCCTGTTTTGTGAAGCGAGTTTGGTACGATATGTAGAGGATACCTTAATGAATATAATCTCCTTTGTGATTTTCAAGTGCTTGACGAATGCTGTAAGACATCGGCCCCTGATCGTAAACACGCATAACATAACGATGCAGTCGAGTCAACCGGAGCAGCACAGAGTGAACATTTAACGGCTTCGGTATTTGGCGCAGGGCGAAGCTTATTGGCAGTACGAACCACATTAGCCATAACGCCGGGGTATTTCTCCCCTTGTGTTTTGACGTATAGATTCATCAGATTGTCGATAGATAGGTTACGATTCGCTTCGTTTTCTTGTACCTGCAGGTCGGGTATCATGATACTGGCCAACTCTGGTATCTGCTTGACGTAGATCTCCAATTCGAATTTGTAGAGTTCTCGCAGTGGAAAACTGAAGTCCAACCCCCATGGCGACACACCGTCACAGACTTGCCAGGTGAGAGAAGCCCCACGACCCTTGGCAACATTTGCGAGCGTTTTTGCGGCCAAGCGACTATCCGAGTCACCCCAAAGAATGCCACGACAATCATTATTCTTAGCGAATGCAACAATGAGGCGGACAAGTAGGAGGTTATCAATATCATCCCGTGCTGTGGTTGTAGACCTGGATGCCCGAAACGCATCGAGCCGCTCCTTATCAGAGCTGAAGCCTTCATCGACGAATCCAAAGTCACGAAGGGAGTCTTTGATGGTAACGTCGTACTCAAAAATGCTATGTAGAGGAATCATGGTGTATGTATGGTTCGGAAAGCTCTCTTTTGCGGCTTCGAAGTTGGCCTCTATGTCGGTATAGCCAGGATGGACGGTTGTCGGATCGACCACAAGCACATGCAACTCGAATCCTGCAGTGGCCAGCGATCGGGCAAGTTGAAACTTCTGCAATCTATCCACCATGTGCAAAAGGCTTGACGACGATATTCCGAGCGAGAGGGGCAAAAGCACTTTCGGCGGCGTAGCGTTCTTTTGAGGACGGTAAGAAGACATGACTGTTGCCACCTTACGGCCAGCATAATCAATAAAGCAATCTCTACGGAAAGATATTCCAGTCAGTTTCGACGAGTCTGCTCAAAACTAGACTTCAAGTCTACCTACCGGCAAAGCGGGCGATGACGGATCGTCGCGAGAGCCTCGACCTCTTGACAAGACACGCAAATCTGCGAAACCTCTTTTGCGGGCATGGTGTTCGACACTGTTTGTGAACAAACTTGCACAATAGTTTGTGGAGGAGTAAAGTTGTAGATGGAAAGCGAAAAAAATTATGGGCGACTGACTGCGGGCGTCCCGTTGATTGGCTGGTCTTGCCTGAGGCACCACGCGGCCTGCCGGAGTTGGAGATGCCACGATCCTTTAAGCATAGCTCGACTTAGCCATCAACAAAACATCAGAGAGTGGTCAATCCTGAAACCCCACGCAATTGACATAACTTACGGATGCAGGGCATTGAAGTCTAAAGCTTAATCTATCAGTTTCACCTACATTGGCTCCCTCTCAAGGGAACATCGCCCACTAACATGAAGGGCTGGCTCCAGACCCTTGTACTCGCTGCTTCGTTAGCAGGCCGAGTAGTCGCAAATGAATTTACTATAGTCAGTATTCGGCTTTCCCAACATTCACGCTTTTCACATAACACAAACTGATCATTCCTCTCGAGTAGCAACAAGATGATGCTCACCGACAACGATGCTCAGGCATGTACAGCCGGAAAGCCTGGGGCGGCGATATCGATCCCTTTATCCTCACGAAATTCGTCAAAGCCGAAGACGACACAGCCGACCAAGACGCCCTCGTCAGCTTAGTGATCTTTGAATGGGGTGACGAGGCACTGATAGGACGCCTGGTTCCGGGAACTGATGTATGGACAATAATACCCAGTTGCTCCAGGTAGAGCTAACAGGAGGGACAGGAGCTAGCTACAATCTGTGACCAGGCCAAAGTGGACGCCGAATTGTGTACATCCGAAGAGATAGGTTCCTTTATTCTCGCGACAAACGCTACGGAAGCTTCGAAATCACCCATCCTGTCCAAAGCCATCAATTTGAAGGATCCTGCAGCTATAAACTACCCAGTGAAGAAGACCGGCTTTTACTGCGTCAGTACATATGCATTTTCCGGACACGACTACCAAGGTGTAGTGGAGTTTCGGAATGCCTATGGCGAACTCCCAGCTGCTCAAATCGCTAAGCTGCCATTCTATGGAGGTCTTACCATTGTATATGCTGTTTTTGGAGTGTTAGTCCTCTTTCTATTAGACTTTTACCATGATCTGCTGACATTATCTCTCAAAGTTTCTGGGCCTTTCTTTACGTCCAAAACCGACACGACATCCGTATGTTTACATCCTGCCAATATCAGAATTGGACTAACCGTTTAATAGTTCCCGTCCAGAACTATATCACAGCTATTCTCATCTTCCTTGTCGTTGAGGAAGCAATGACCTGGGGTTTCTACGGTACGTTCATTTACAGCCACTCTATCTGGCGTCAACTAATATACGGAAGACTACCAAAACAGTCATGGCTCGAACGCATTTGCCAAGGKCTTGATGATCATTGTAGCTATCCTCAATGCCGGTCGAAACGCCTTTTCATTCTTCTTGCTCCTCATTGTCTGCATGGGCTATGGAGTTGTCAAACCATCATTGGGAAGAACAATGATTTGGGTCCGAGTACTTGCCATCACGCACTTTGTCTTTAGTATGATTTATGGCATTGCAAGTCTCACTATTACCCCCGACAGCGCTGGTCCTTTAGTGCTTTTGGTCATTCTTCCACTCGCAGCGACTTTAACAGCGTTCTACGTCTGGACACTCAACTCGCTGAACATGACTATGAAGGATTTGGTCGATCGAAAGCAGAAGACAAAAGCGATGATGTACAAGAAGCTCTGGTGGTCAATCCTCGGAAGCATTATTGTAATCTTCGCGTTCTTCTTTATCAACTCATTTGCCTTTGCTGGCCGTAACGCGGCCAATTTCGTTCCAGACCACTGGAAGACGAGATGGTTCGTCTTGGACGGATGGCTGAATCTCGTTTATCTTTTTGACATCGCCTTCATCTCCTACTTGTGGCGCCCGACTGCCAACAACAGGAGATTTGCAATGAGTGATGAGGTAAGAAATAAGTACCCTTCTCTCTTTCTTAAAAATGTATCATCCTTACTAATTATCTCTTAGCTCGCCCAAGATGACGATGGCTTTGAAATCCGTTCTCTCGCCAACTCCCTTGACGAAGAAGGCGCAATCCCACTCACGGATGAGTATGACCGTTACTCTCCAGAGAGAGAATTATCACCTGTGCCACCAAAACCCGTTCAGCCTGCTCCTCAACAACGCGAGTCTCTTGATGGCGAGACCATATTTGCAGTCGGTGAAGAAGATGGCGACAAGTTCAGTGACGACGACGAAGATGATGATTTTCGCAAATCTTCCGAGGAAACGAGAAAATTAACAGGAGGGTCACACTCTTGAAGATGAGCAGAGCATATTTACAAAGTACATGGCTTCTCTGTGTCGTCAAGCCATACTGTTTAGAATGGACCCATAAGCTCTTTGGCCGCTTGCTTTTTCTGGTAGTCGCTGTATTTTTATCGCCAAGGGGCTTTCATGCCTATGCCCCATGTCTTTTTAACGTCTCCAAATACCAGATACATGTCGTCTTCTGCCTCTGGTATGCCTTTTGCTTTTGACCTCTTGTAGAAGTCGGTTCATGTTGCATATTTTTATTGGTTTCTGAGCGGTTTTTCAGAAATTTGACGTCTTGCTACTATTCTCTCTATTACTCTGGCGTTTCGTGTGGATGGGAACTCATTTGAGATATAAATTATTTAATCTGACGATCAATAATTCTGGGTTTCGATCCAACTTCTGTCACTTTGTTCGTGAAAACCGGCGACACACGTTTGTAGATAATCTAATCAAGCCCAGGCATATTGATTTGACATCGAATGTGCCAATCTGACATATACAGTTAGGTACTTATTTAGGGCTAGGCAGCCCTCGGAACTAACGTAACTGGACATTTGGAGGCTCTCCAGGTCAAATGCAAGATCGGTGAGACTCTGAGGATGCTTCTTTACACAATTTTTACATTGGGAAATTCCATGAAAAAAAGTTTGCTAATGATATAAAAATTGTTTGAAGACGATAATAATGAAGAAAATTTTGTTTACTCTAATGCTTCAATAGAATCTACTAACAGACTCGATGACATGAAGATATGTAACAGCATTTGCGCCACACCAATGACAAATTCGTTAACAATTTTGGAACACTGCAGCCCATGATCAACTAGTGAGTGCCATTCGTAAGGCTGTTGGAGACTAGAACAAGTCACAAGTCAGCTTTGATACAAACAAAGTCGAAGCATATATATATCGTCACTTACCCTGAACAGGCCCAGTTCCCCGAGCAACTCTAGGCGCAAACGTCAACTTTCCAAGCACAGCAAAAGACGACGCACCGCTAGCAGCAGGAATATTGTTTGCAAGATTACTCTTTGTAGCAAAAGCCAGAGTAGCGAATTTAATGGCTTCTTTGTATGCGGCAGGAAGGCCGAACTCGTCGCTGACACAGGTCTTGAGTCCATGTGCTTCCATACGCTCGGTCAAAAATCGCATGAGCGTATTATTTCTGGTGCCACCGCCACTGGCGACGACCTTTGTGACTTTGGTTCGTGGAAGGATGAAATCGACGAGCGCTCGCTCAATTGAGGTTGCAGTGAACATTGAAAAGGTGGCGAGGAGGTCTTCGGTAGAGGAGGAGGCATAGCGTTTGAGGATGTCGTCGGCGTACTTGGATCCGAAATCGAGTCTCCATGCTGAACGGGGTGGTTTGCGGAGGAAGAATTCGTGTTTTTGCATCTCCTCGAGCAAGGGCTGGATAACGGTACCTTTGGCGGCCATTTCGCCGTCCTTGTCGTATGTGCGGCCTGTGCGTACTTTGATGACATGGTCTAGCATGACGTTACCTGGGCCGGTGTCGAATGCCATCATCTTGCTGCGATCGATATCGGCTAATTGGAGATTTGCAATCCCGCCGATATTGAGTGTCACCGTTGGACCGTCGTTGCGGAAGGAGACAAAATCGAGATACTGCATGAGAGGGGCTCCAGAGCCGCAAAGTGCATGGTCAACGGGACGGAATTGTGTAACGGTAGTGATATTGGTGAGAGCAGCGACAACTCCTGATTCAACTATGAAATAGCCACATGGATAACCACCTTTTAGCCAAAGGTCGACCAGGCTCTTGCTACCGCTAGCAGCGTATTCGGCAATCTTTTGACGCTCGGGAGGCTCTTGGTAGACAGTTTGACCGTCGTACCCTAGTACATCAACCTCTTCGGGCTTGATACCAGCTTTGGCGAGCAGGGCATTCGTAGCTTCGGCATAAACGGCACCGGCGGCGTAGTTGACGCGTGTCATTTCAAATATAGTGAGCTCGTTCTCAAATGCCTTCATGATCAGCGGTTGCAGCTCCTCGGGCCAGTCTACTGTGAGGGCATCAATGAACTTGGGGCGGCTGGGATGGCCATCTTCAGCAATATCGATGGAACAGAGAACAGCGTCCACGCCGTCAAATGACGAACCGCTGTTGAGACCGACAATGTAAGGCATTTTGAAGTTCGGAATGACTTGAAGCTCACTTCCCTGGGAATTGTGAATCAAAATTAGTCTCAGGAAATGGGAAACATAAAAATATATTTTCGAAATTGGACCTATATCACAGCTCAATTCCCCTCACCAGCTTCCCCTCATCTAACCAAGAGAAGAAAAACTCAAAGAAGGAACTAGTCGTCCATCGCGACCAGGAAAGACGCCTAGTGAATGATCCCATGTCTGCTATACTGGAGGCCCTTGACATCTAGATGTTGCGTCGGGGAGCCTCCGGTTGGTCAACTTCATCCACATTCCCCACACCTTCCAGAAGTGCGTCGGGGAACGCTCCGTCGGAGGCCTCCGACCCCATACTTTTCAAGATTTCTCGACCCACCCAAAATTAGGGCAAGAATTTCTCTCCAGATTTTGCCTCTTCCGGGGTCTGAGTGCGACTTCTCGGTCCAAGATCCCTGTCTCATGATGTTTCCGCTACGTTACCGTTCAGTGTCTCGGCTTCTCCTACCTACATACGCATACATACTTTCTACTTGAGCACTGGCATGGCAGGCTATCTTGCAACCCGGTACCTAGCGAACCCCGTTTTTTCCAAGAACATTCCCCGGGATTCACAATAGAGGTTTCTCTATCCGGGGGCTCTATATATAGAGGCACTAGTTGCCATTATGCATCTGTTCGTTTCAAGAAATATTGGTGAAGACATCATTAACCTCTCGAGTTCCATCTCTTCCACTCTTCCTCTACCTTTGCAAGAGACGATTTCTCTTCGTTCCAATTGAAATCGCCACCATGAAGCTCAACTTCAAAGACAATCGATGGGCCATCTTTTGCTGTGCCATCTCGGCCATCGGATCCCTCTGCTATGGCTATGACCAGACCTACTACACCGGTATCCAGGGCATGAGCACCTTCAAAAAAGCCTACGGCCACTATGATGCCTCATCCGATGCCTACGCTCTCACCACCTCCTTCACTTCCCTTACTACATCCATCATCTACGTGGGCGAGCTTCTCGGCGCCCTAATCGCTGCCCCTATCAACGACCGTTGGGGCCGCAAGGCTGTCTTCTTCGTGGCATCTCTCTGTATCATTGGCGGCGGTATTGCCCAAGTAGCAGACAATGGCATCGAAGGCGTCATTGTTCTTGGCCGTATCTTGGTCGGCATGGGAATCGGAAACTTCACTGTTACCTGTTTACTCTACATTGGCGAAATTGCGCCACGTCAAGTGCGCGGTCCGGCGCTCATGATGTTCCAGTTCTTGCAATCTTGCTCTCAGCTCGTTGCTTCTGGGATAACGCAGGGTACCGATAGTATCAAGACCTCTAGTGCTTCGTACCGAATCCCTATGGGTCTGCTTGTCCTCCTGCCTCTCTTGATGCTGGTTGGTCTGCTTGTCATTCCTGAGAGTCCAACCTGGTACATGAACAAAGGCCGCGTTGCCGATGCCGAAAAGGCCCTTCGACAGATCAACCGCAGCAACAAGACTTACGACCCCTCGAACGATATTGCTGCTTTGGAAGAAGCCGTTCAACAACAGCGAGAACACGAGACGCATGCTGATGGTTCGTCCTGGAAGTCATTGCTCACTGATCCCGTTGAACGCCGCAAACTGTTTTACTCCTGTGGCTCCATGTGTGCTCAGCAGATCAACGGCATTGTCTTTTTCTACTCCTACGGTGTCATTTTTGCCCAGTCCCTCGGTCTCGCTCAAGCATTCACCGTTTCACTCATCACCAACATCCTCCAAGTCGTCGCTGTCGGCGTCTCAGTCATCCTCGGCAACAAGGTACCCCGTCGCAAAAACCTGTTGATTACCACCAGCATGATGTTCTTCGCCTACATCATCATCGGCAGCATCGCAACCCACAAAATTACCACAGGCCCCGCCATCGCCATCGTGGTTATTAGTTACATCGTCATCGTCGCTTTCAACTTCGGCCTGGGTCCGTTGGCATATACCTGGGCCAGCGAGTCTGCCGTAGGACCAAATAGGAACAAGATCATGTCCTGCTCTATCGTCGTCTTCTTCCTTGCCACATGGATAATTTCCTTCACTGCGCCTTATCTCTACTACGATGCCAATTTGGGCGCTATGCTAGGTTTTGTCTATGCTGGTACGACGATCATTTCGTTAGTATACATCTACTTTTGTGTCGGAGAGACTACCGGCCGCTCGGTTCTTGAGGTTGAGATGCTTTTCCAGGAGAGGGTTCCAGTTCGCCAGTGGAAGGATCATGTATTTTCCTTTCAGGAACAGGGGCTTGCGCAGCATGAGAAGGTGAAGAGTGATGAGAGGGAGGACAAAGAGCATGTTGAAGAATCTACCTAGGTAGATTGATCGAAATCTATGATTCAAGCAGTTGGTCACGACATACGAAGATTTCAGAAATGGTTGGGAGGTGTGTGAAACGGTTTAGGAGTCAGATTAGCGTTGTAGGAATCAATGAGTATGTGTATGAGACATTCTTCGTGTATTGTGGACCGTATGAATTATGCCAATAAGTTAACACGAAGCTCCTGTCAAAGGCGTAGAATTCTGAAAATTCTGACGGATATTCACAAGCATCTCGAAAGTATTGGCATAGCTCATCGAATCTGATGTCACTCTAGACAGGGTTCGCTCGGCTATGTCAAGAATTTCGTCGATCTTTGCAATGTCCCGAAATGCCAACGAGAAAGCAGAGGCAGTCTGCACGGATACAAGTACTGCATAAGAGCCCACCAGGAGCTGTATGTCACACCAAGTCAGTCCAAAGTAGGTGGATCTGCCCCTTAGCACCTCATGGTCGATTGAACGAGGGGAAGAAGGAGTCCTTTCAGGACGTAGTTGTTGCAGGTATTGCGCTAATGTTAGGATGATCACTTTTGAACATTCAATGCAGTCACGGCAGTAAGCGAATACCCAAGGGTCGAGTTGGCGGTCCGCAGCAAATACTGATCCCGGTGAGGTGGTGGACGAGTTTTCCAGATCTTGATAGAGAACAAAGTATAGAACGGGCCGAGTGAGAATAGATACGCAGGCTAGATATCGAAGGGATAGTTCTTTCTAGAGTAAAGAAATAAGCTCAGCAAGTGATCAAATGATGAGCAGGACAGAAATATTCCAACTCACAGTCCGCATAGAGATCTGGGGCATAAGCATCTCGAAGCTTCGTGCATCTCGAACGAATTGAAGATGTAAAGGTAGAGCTCGATACCAATTTTCAATATCGAGCAATACTTCCGTTATCACTGGGCTAACTTCTTGTGGCTGACAATAAGCCTGGCCAGTAATGAACATGTCATCTAGAATTCGATTGAGACAGGACCGAAGCCATATATTTGCTGTAAAATAATCATAGTCGGAAAGTTCGCTATCTCCGGTCATAGCTATCGGAGGTGTACTGGTCTCACTTGGCAGCGACCGTGGAAGTCGATGTGATGGCGTACCATCTACCTCCGACAAGATATCACTACCGATTGTTAGTGAATGGTCGTGTCTAAACTGAAGGCAGGTTTATCACCTTTGTAAAAGATAGAATATCTTTTCGTAAATGGGCACATCGCTCTCTGGCAATCTGCATAACTCTGTTAGCATCGATTAATGTTTGATTTGTGTCCAACCCACCTTGAATCACTGTGACCCAACAAACGGTTGATGGCTGGATCGACAATTTGAAGTATCCCAAGAGCGCGGAATGGACTTGCATAAATATACAAGAAAATATGCGCTATTACTAGCAAGAAAGGCACGACAACTGGATCAGGTGCCATATGAACCTGCCAGAGGCGTTGTAAAACAGCCATGAAACAAGAATGCGATAGATCACGAGCTCCCGCATCATCCATCCGGACCCATCGTAATGCAATCGTGTATATCAAGATTTCTTCGAGAGAAAGATCACTAAGCTGAAGACCAGTAACATTGTGGTGAATACTAATGGCCAGATTGTCCATACACGAGGCTCTACGGTCTGTCGAGAAGAATGGACTGATCTTTAGGATCGTAAAGAAGCTGATAGGTAGACGAGATATAATTCCCGGCCAACCATGCAGGCAGTCACTTGCAACGGACAGAGGTATTTGCGCATGAGAAGCATCAACGGGGAGAGTCTCCAAAAATTGTGTAGCATCGTCCTCGACATACTTCAAATATCGAAGAACATCGACATTCGGGATGGTCAAGTGAACCCGCAAACGAGACCAGTACTGGAGAACCTTGTGGCCGGCACCATGGTGGAACTCGGGGATTCTATAAAGTTTTGAGGATAGTTGTGAGTTTTCTTGTGGAGGTACCAAACTTCCTGTTACAGATATCTCTTCAGGGTGTGGTCTAGTGAGGTTCTCCTCCAATTTCACAAGTCGACCCTCTATAGCAGTTAAGCGCGAGTTGAGAGCCGTATCACTGACTTGTCAGCCCACGATGTTCTGTATTATAGACAGATATTAACGTACCTTTCTACATTACTGGGCTGTATGCGATAGTGGCAGACTGCCCCTGCCTCCACACAATGAGTACATTCAGGACGACGTCCGTCGCAGCGAGACTTCCTCCTTCTACAGGTATCACACGCCAGTTGAGTCTTTAGCCTTCCCGAGCGGGGGGTCTGAGAGCTGGTAGTATCTTCTGGCATAGAGACTCATGGCCGCTCTGCCGGATCTCACATATCTTGACCGTGTGTAGAAATAGAAAGATTGATGTTTGACTGGAGGTGGAATGAAGTAAATACTGGCAGGKGCACAGACCATATCTGCGCTTGATTCGGAGAAAACTAGTTCCATGCCGTTAATACGAAAGACCGAGGTTACCCCGTGCTCCTCTAATATCAATATATTTCTTGGCTATGCAGCAACTATATGGAGATTGCTAGGAGTCACCAGGGTGGTGCTTGAGCATCATGTTGAAAAGCATGAGGTCTTCTACAGCGTCCGTCGCCGTCGCCTTGAAAGGTTTGTTCTCCGTGATGCAAGCGTGGAATTTCTTAAGTTTGCGCGTATACGCATCCTCATAAATAGTTTGATTGCCTCGATGGACTTTTTCTCCATGTTCATTGAGTTTGTCAATCTCGACCGTGTTCCCAAGTCCCTTAATAAACGGTGTGTCATAATAGATAGTCAGCGATTTTGTTTCCCCAAACACTGCTACATGCGAATCGAAACGAGGAACATGATCGATACCGGCCCCCTACAGACATGTGAAGCGCTCTTTGCTTGCAGATCTGTTGCGGTAATCGAACATGGTTGTGTACCAACGTGCATTGTCGCTACTTGCCAGAACGGATTCAGGTAATTCGCCCAATGCTTCGCGCATCAGAATGAGACCGTGACTACCCAGGTTCGCAAGTAGAGAACAGTAATCCTTTTGTTTATCTGACAATAAACTCGTATCTGCCGATCCCCATGCTCCTGCAGAAGATTGTCTAGCCTTTGTTGTTGGTCTTGCCCTACGCTAGAAGGGATATAGTCGATGTATTTCACTGGACTGATACCTGACTGGCTAATGAAATATGAATTCTGTCTGATGATATCGCGGACACAGGTATAGAGTATCGTGGGAACGTGGAATATTCCCGCTTGAAGGCTTCGAAGCTCGCTGCATATCGACGCATGTATCCCACAAGACTCTGGTATTGTTTGGTGCAGGCTTCTCGGCTTCGATGAAGGATTCCGCGCTGCTCAGACTCAAGGTCATGGGCTTTTCAACCAAGAATGAATTGCGGGCTTGAAGGGCCTCAATAGTTTATGGTGCATGGTATTCGTCCGAGGTAAGGATTATGATCGCGTCTATATCCGGGTTCTGGAATACATCCTCCGGGTCGGTGGTAGATGGAGGAATGTTAAGATTGCAGCACAATGATCGGCTTTTTCCTTGAATACATCGCAGACGGCTTTTGTCACGAGCAGATATGATAGTAGCTGGAGTATTGGTAAGTGAATTATCTGGGCGACATTTCCAGCTCCAATAACACCCAGGCGAAGGTTGCTTCTGTGTAGACGTTAGATTTTTTTTTGGCTTCTACGGACTGGATATAGTCTCTTACTACTTGAAGGAAACATCCATGCTTCAATCTTTTCGATATCTTTGTTTATTGATTCAATGGCGAATCATCATCATAGGCTAGCAACATCCGTCGGAGCATACCCCGAGGGCCAAAATCCCCGCACTCTATACCCCTCAACAAGTGACCAAGAAACCAGATACTCCGCTTTTACTGAGTAGCAAGAAGAATATCCATCATCTTAGTAGCATAAAAAACTCACTCATTCTATCAAAAAAACTAAATGGCAATCGGAGTCGCTCTAATCGGAGGTGGGATCTGGGCAAAGGAGGAGCATCTGGTGAGTACCGTTTCGTGCGAAGAAACCTTGAAAGTTGCAATTACTAACATTGTCACTTGGTATAGCCTGCTATATTAGCCTCAAAAGACTTGGAACTGAAAGCTATATACTCTCGATCAATTAAATCTGCAAAAGATGTCGCGGAGGAAGTAACAGAGAAAATAGATCTGTACTCGGAAGACACCTCACAGGGCTATGAGGACATTCTGAAGCGTGATGATATTCAGGCACTGATTGTCAGGTAGGCTTCAAAGTTGTATAAGAAACGAACAATGAGCTGACTTCTCAAACAGTCTCCCAATCGCCAACCAAGTCCCGTTCATTCGGTCTGCACTTTCCGCTGGGAAACACGTCCTATCCGAAAAGCCCGCGGCGGAAAATGTGGCCGATGCAGTAGATCTGATCAAGTGGTATCATGAGAAAAAAACAGTCAACAAGAATGTCACCTGGGGTGTAGCTGAAAACTTTCGATATCTCGAAAGTTTCAAATATGCACGGCAGCAAATCGAGAAATTGGGCAAGATCATAGGGTTTCGAGTGCGTGTCTACTCCAATATCAAGGAGGATTGGAAATTCTTCCGTAAGTAGACTCTGACTTCCGTTTGATCTATTATGGGTGCTCATAGGTCAGAAACTTCATGGAGAAAGAACCCTACACATCAGGGAGGCTTCTTACTTGACGGCGGTGTCCATTACACTGCTGGACTGCGCGGGTTGCTTGGCCCAGATGTGCATTTTACAAGACTTGCAGCTTTTACAACTCTTCTCAAAGAGCATCTACCACCTGTTGATACCATGGATGCCATCCTCAAGACGAATACTGGTATTCAGGGTACTTTCCAAACATCGGGTGCAACTACTTTGACAGGACCAGAATGGACGATTGCTTGCGAGAAGGGCACCGTCACTGTCGCTAAGTCTGAAGTGACTGTCCGCCCTCTTGATGGAGAGGAGGTGACCAAAACTATTACCGATGAGCGTACTGGTGTGCCGCCAGAGATTCGAGCTTGGGGAGAAGCTCTAGCTGCTGGAAAACAGAATCCGGAACAGACTCCTGAAGAGGCGTTGGCGGATTTGGAATTGGTGAGTTAATTTGGATTTCCTATAGCTGTCTATGCTCGTCTATGCGCTTGATTGTTATATGTATAATACCGACTGATATTGATATTACACAGATCGAGTTGATGCTGCGCAGTGGCGAGCAAGAAGGCCAACCCCAGATTTGCCAACATCAAACTACAGGACAGTATTAGGTGATAATACTAGGTTAATTCGTGGAATACTCAGTTGTGACGACCTTTTGAAAGCGTTATCTAGAATTATAGCTCTTGCTACAAAATAGGAAACTAAAATATATCTTTATGACTTAGTCAGTGGCGCGGAGAAGATTGCCTTAATTGATTCAATTGTCTATGTCCTATGCCCGACGGTCAACAGCATGCATCTCGTTTATAGAAATATGGTAGACATTCTACTGTATTAACTTCGCAGCCAAGAACACCTTAAGACGTTCAGTATCATCTGCAAAGCGCCGCATAGCGTCGGCCGACTTCTCAACTGCACAGGAATCATTATTAAAGGCCCAACGGAAGGCGTTCTCGTCATTGATGTAAGACACTTGAGGAAGATCCGTCTCTTGCGCTATCGAAAGTATTAGCAAAAACAATTCCTCATAAGCTTGGGGTTGAGAACCAGGTTCCTTACCGGTATTAGTGGTCACTTGAGGAACGACTTCCCCCGAATCACTCTCCAAGTTCTCCAGAATAGACGGCGCAATAGTCAACAAATCAACACCCGCAAGCGCCTTGACCTGTTCCGTATTACGGAAACTAGCACCCATAACATGCGTGCGATGGTTATACTTGCGCAAATAATTCTGCATCTGCCTTACTCGCGTCACACCCATATCCTCTGCTGACTCCGCTGAATCAGAGGGTGATGTCTGATGAGCGCGGAACCAGTCACCAATCCGGCCAACATACGGCGCAATACAAGTCACGCCGGCCTCTGCAGCAGTGATGGCTTGAACCATGCCAAAAACAATAGTAATCAGAACACTGACGCCATGTTCCCGCTCCAGGATTCGACCAGCTTGGATCCCTTCCCAGGTAGCGCTGATTTTGATACGAACAGCCTCCTTGGGGACCCCCTGGGCTTTGTACAGTTCAATGATGCGGAGAGCGGCTTTAATGGTTTCTGATGTGTTGAAGGAGTGTCGGACGTCGACTTCGGTGGAGACGCGGCCGGTGAGATGGTAGATTTCTGTACCGAAGAGGACGCCGAGATACTCTACTGCGCGTTCTACGCGAGCGTCTTCTGCGGAGACGATGTCGGTTGGCAAGTTGCGAGCATATTGGATTGTGCTGTTGACAAGTTCGGCGTAGGCAGGTTGCTGTGCGGCGAAGTACAATAGAGATGGGTTTGTGGTGCCTTCTGAGGGTTTGAAGCGTGCGATGGTCTGTTCGATAGCTTAGTTTTTGTTGTTGTTCTGAAACTTGTTTAGACGTCTGTACTTACGCTGAAGTCAGCTGTGTCGGCGATAATAACTGTTCCTGCCTTCTCCATGCCACGAAGGGCATTGGTCTGATTTTCTGTCGTTGCTGGTGACATGATGAGCTTTGGTATTGATGTTATCATGTAACAACCACAACGTTGAGTGATATCCACGAACAACGATTGATGTGATTAGTGAATCTAGACCACCGGCTTTTTAAATGTATCAATACGCTCCCCCATATTTTTCTTCAGAATCATAGTCAGTCTTAGCGGAGGTAAGCATATCACTCAGACTATCCGGTTCTCTTTCATACATGGATCTAATCAAGGAGCCTCTTAACGGACTGTTCCCCGATTGGCTGATCTAGATCTCTGCGGGCGTTCCTCCGGACTCTCCTGACTCGTGCGATTATTCCGTATCGAGCTTAGATCAATATAGAGACACCGATGTGCAAAAAAAGATTATGTTATATAGAGACATTGAATTTAGTGCATCGGCCTTTTGTCGGCTTGTTGAAGTGAAGCTGAGTAGTCAAGGATCTAAGATGTTTGATGCCATAGTTCTCGGGGCTTGAGACCGTACCAAAATTTCGATCTCATCGACTCACTTTAGCTTAACGTCAACCAATCTTGAATATTGACTCAACATCATCCTTCCCCCCAAGTTTCATGATCTTATTCCGTCATAAAACTACACACGCTGTTGCATAGCAAACTCAATAAATTTGATATGCCTGCTTATGTAACGGCATGTCATTCCGGATTCGGTTAGTCAGGGCTGGGGCAAGCTGGCGGGGTATCCTATTTGTCCATCATTTTCGAGTCACATAGTTGTGTAGTTAGTTGTTGTGTGTTTAGATACATTCACTTTGCCTGGAGGAATACGATTGCCAAGCTCACACGAGATAGGAGTGAGGCTTCAATTTGGCTTATCTTGACTGATCTGGACACTACCACATATCCCAAATCCAAACTCACGTGTCCTAACAAGACATCAAATTGATCAAGCACAAAGTCACCATGGAACAAGACCTCGACAATGGAGCAAACGGTTCAATAACAACAGTATCCGCAACAATTCTCTGCGCCCGTTTGATTCACCACTGCCATCTTCTCCTCGCCGAACTCGACGTCTTCCAAAATGCGATTGCGTCACGCTTCCGTCGACACCAACAGCAGCAGCATCTGGTCGAGATGCGGCTCTTGAGATCGGTTGTTGCTGCCGAGCTCAAGACGCTAGAGCGGCTGGCCTCTGATACAAGGGCCATCATTGCGGAGCGCACTGAAAAGGAAAAGCTTCGCGAGAGGCAACAGCAACAAGACCAGTGGCAGGATGGGGGGGATTATGACGACGACGATGCGGATCTGAAAATGAGAGAAGGACGAATTATACATACCCTCCGCTCCTCGAATCTTTCGTTTCTTACAGCCGTATGGACAATCGCGAAAGAGCGCTGTCCGGGCGTTATATCGTTCTCTAAGCGGTTCTACTGGGACAAAGACGCAAACAAGCCAGCAGTCGAGGATAAACAGACCAAACCACCCAACAAAGACAAGAAGAAAAGCGCGTTTGTGGATATTGTCTATGGAAATGGGGAGGATTGGATGAAGGTATCGAGTATTAATCAGAGTCGGTTGTTGTTCGAGATGGCCGAGAAAGGGTGGGAGTTGGATAGTGATGACGAGGATGAAGTTCCTTCTCTGCAGAACTTGCAACTTGACCAGGGACAGAGACAGGAGATACCGACTGATTACGGCGAGGATGCGGAGGAGAACAGTGATCAGCTAGAGCTGATTACGATGGCCTTTGATATGATCAAAGCTGCACGAGCGACTAGGGTCAGATACAAGAATCCGCGTGTGCACATAATAGCGCCCAAACTTGAAGAGGGGAAAGTTCCTGAAATAGATAAAGTACTGAGTATCATTCGAAGTTATGGAGTCACTATTGAATGCGGGATACAAATGCGTGATATTTTCAGTGATGACGAGGCATATGACAATCGCGATCCGAGTAGCATCACTGAGGATGACCTGCCACTATCATCTATGCTTCCTAATCCATTTGAAAAATTTACTGACATTGTCAACGTTGATTGCACGCTACTACTGGCATTGGCATCAGATCTGTCTCATCTTCAAAACATTGCCCCATCTCCTAGCTTTCATCGTGCCATTATTAGGCAGATCGAAGTTGAAGACGAGCTGCCTCTGCTCACCACAGAACTTTGGCCAGCTATGGTTGGGCGAAAACTTGTATGCACTCAAGAGGCTATCAAAAGAATGAAGGAGATTGTCAGTACAATCGGCACGGAAACAGAGAGGAAGAGGACTGCTATCATACTAGGTGAAGGCGACATGGAAGGGCTAGACAAAGATACACTGCTTCGCGAACTCCAAAAGATATCGGACCACTCTGTTCCCGCTCAGTTGAATCTTCCAATCAGCGTTGTGGATGCGCATGCAGAAATCGAGACGGCAATGAAGCAGAAAAGATTTCCTCCCGTCATCGACAAAATCACTCAGATCCTCACTGACATTAATTACAGCGTCTTTCTCTATGGTTGGGCTAGAGGCATTGTCACAGTTTCGAGTAACAAGACCGTTGTGAAGCAGATCGAAAGCACCATAGAGGATAACCGAGGGGATGATGACACGCTGGAGGGCCCGAAAATATGGATTTGTGACACGGCTAGAAGTTTGATTGGAAAGGAAAAGAATCGAAAACCATAGGGTATCATATGTGGCCGTAATATGTTGAGCATACCGCCGTAAGGTTTGGTACTACACCAAAAGCTATTAATCATGATCGTCATAAGATATCAGGCGAGACATGAAGTGGAGACGCCTGGTCTAGGAAGTTTTGACTCCGTCATCTGGCAGCCAGAACAGAATGTCCTTGTCCGCGGTTGCCATCATGTTGTATCTTGGATTGATCTCAATGACAGCACTGCGTCCTCGAGAAGTGAGACTGGTTAATGGTTGCAAGTAGTTTCCAGAGTCTGGTTTTTGGTGGATATCCCATACAAGCACTTCATTCTTGTCGCCTGCTCCACCGACGATAAAGCGCCCATCCTGAGTGAAGCAAGCATCTCCCTGACCTAGAGGCCGCCCAGAGGTGGAGACAGGAGCCGCTCTACCGCTTGATCCATTCTTACCTACCAAGAAGGCGTTTAGATGACCCTCGAATGCATCCAGCACGAAATGACCATGGTAATCCGTGCCGACGAGAAGGTTCTTACCATCATTGGAAAATTCGAGTCGTGACCAGAGCCTACCGCGTGTAGTCGGGGTGTACCGTTCTTCAAGAGGTGCGAGGTCAAATGTAGCAAAGGGTGCTTTGTCGTAATTGCGGAAATCGTAAAGGAGCACCGATGATGTTGACTGAGATGCAATGGCAATGACTGAAGCTGATGGATCAAAGGCAACGAGGTATGGAGTTGCGAGCTCTAATTTGCCCTGCAAATTCCGCGACTTAAGATCCCAAAGAGAAATAGTATTGTCTTTGGAGCATGAAATGAAGGAGTCATTTGCGGGCGATAGGGCCAAGCACGTGACTTTGTCTGTATGGCCGGTGAAATATCGAAGGTAGCTCTCTTGATGCAAGTCTAGTAGACGGAGCGAGTCTGGTCATGCCGTCTGTTAGCATTTATTCTCTTGTTGAACAGGGCAAGGTAAATACCATCCACTTTGGTGCTGGCATGGAGCACCTGACGTTGGTGGTGCGTAAAGCGCGCCAGATGGGCACCGTATTTCTTGCTGGGCACGATCTTGGTACTCTTGCCCTCAATTACATCGTAGACCTGAATCGTATCATCTTCGCATGCTGCCACAACAAACTCGCCCTTATCGTCAAAATCGAGAGATGTAATGTGGGAGTTCTCGTGTTTCGATAATTTGAACCTCTGGTCGAGTGAGTTAGTGAGTGTTTGTCGGGAAATAGACTGAGGTGTCCTACCTTGGATGGCCGATAGGTACGAACAGCTTCCGAGACTTTCTGGGCTGAACGAGAGGTTGTGGTGGGTGGGCCTAAAGGAGTACCACTATGAGGTGTATTTGACGATGAGGTGAGAGTCTTCTGCTCTTGGTGGTCTGTCTGAGGAGTGTCTGCCATGTTGACTTCAGGTTCTGGACCAGCCTAGCTTCTGCTTGATTGTGTTGAGTTGTGTTGAGTTGTGTTTGTTCTCTTAAGAGATGAAGAGTAGCTTAAACGGTTCGATAGATGCTTTCACAGAGCAAACTAGAGAGCAAAAGTCATATTGAAGGGTACCCTGGCAATTCACTCAGATTCCAGTCTGATGCATGGGTCAAAGAGGTTGACAGAACAAACGAACGCAGAGTATTTGAAGCTCCGAGCTGTCTGTTCGCAGGCGGCAGATGGCGGCAGAATAAATTTGGAAATATGGCAGGCGCGCTAAAARGCCGGTAAGGCAGGAACATGGATACTGCCGGGGCCGCACTTMCCCGTTTCCCCCTCCGCCATAGGCTAGTCCCCATTATTAATACTCGCCCGCTGTTCAGCCGTCACCGCCCAGCCCCGGCATCGGTCTGGTGTGCAGCGCTGAGCTTGCTAAAAAATATATCATTCGCAACTCTCCTCTCTAACCTCAATTTTGGCTCGGACAACATTGCGCTTGCTGTGATATTCGTTCAATTATATATATACTTGACATTATCGTATCATAATCTGTCCTTGACATAGCTTCGCCCTCTGCATGACTTGATTTCCTCTGCGAAGCACCACTGAACCGTCCGGTTCCGCAACCGGGCCAAGCCCGACATCTCAGCCAGAATGTCCACAACTACAGGGTACGTAAATGCAAATCTCCCTGCATTTGAAATCCAATATGTTGGAACGAATGTCTGACCTTTGGCGATCTTGTATTATAGAGCGTTTATTGCCGGAGGTATCGCAGCTTGTGGGGCTGTTACCGTCACCCATAGTTTCGAAACTGTCAAGATCCGGTGCGTTGAACAAGCCTCTGTGACACAGCAGCAAACGCTTACATGCAGCTAGCCTTCAATTGCAGGGCGAACTTCAATCGGATGCCGTCAAAAAATACCGCGGCGTTCTTCACGGTGTCAAGGTGATATTGCAAAACGAAGGCCCCAAGGGTCTGTTTAGGGGAATCGGTTCGGCTGTACGTTAGGTTACATCTAGTTGACTGACTATACCGAGCGACTAACATGGATTCTATAGTATATTTACCAAATATTGCTGAACGGATGTCGTCTCGGCTTTTACGAACCAGTCCGAACAACTATCACGAAAGCCATCTACAATGATCCATCGGTACAGTCCCTCGGCATCAACGTCTTCAGTGGAGCAAGTTCCGGTATCCTGGGCGCCGCCGCCGGTTCTCCCTTTTTCCTCGTCAAGACACGATTGCAGTCTTACTCTCCGTTCTTACCGGTCGGTACACAGCACAAATATAAGAATGCTTACGATGGAATGCGACAGATCTATGGCAACGAGGGTGTTAAGGGTCTATATCGCGGTGTTGGCGCCGCTATGGTCCGAACTGGTTTCGGCAGCTCTGTACAACTTCCCACGTATTTCTTAGCGAAGAGACGGCTGAAAAAGCACTTGGGAATGGAAGAGGGCCCGGCTCTGCATCTTGCTAGCAGTACTGCGTCAGGGTTCGTGGTCTGCTGCGTTATGCATCCACCAGGTGAGTCTTCCTGCCACTTCGCTAGACCTCATTAGCTGACCATATAACAGACACCATCATGTCTCGTATGTACAACCAGACCGGCAATTTGTACAAAGGTGTTTTCGACTGCCTGTACAAAACTGTTTCCACCGAAGGTTTACTCGCCATATATAAGGGATACTTTGCCCATCTTGCTCGTATCCTACCGCATACTGTAAGCTCTACTCTGTCTCTGTTGAATACTCAAAACTAATCGCGATATTTTAGATACTCACTCTCAGTCTTGCTGAGCAGACGAACAAATTCATTCGCGGAGTCGAGGATCGCATCCTGTCGGATGACCTCCGATCAAGATTGTAAATTGAGATGGCAGCTCAATAGAGCTAAAATGGGGTTGCGTATATAATATTGTCATTTTCTCATAGCCCGCCCCAGGATTTTTCCTAGGCTTTTGTAAATAGAAAGATCAGTCGTACCATAGAGCACCTTTTGTTAACTTGAATGATTATCGTATCGATAAGACAGCCCACGTTTCCGATAAGACCTGCAAGTGACTGCCCACCCTACTTGCATAATAGTGCAACTATCACTTGACATGCTGAAAGTGCTTTGGATCGATCTGCCATGCGCAAGGGAAGCGAGCTATGGTATTCACGCTCTGTCCTCGACCAGCATGCCTGTTGTAGGGCCAGAATACAAACATGAATGTATCGTCCGTCTTGCAGCCAGTCTATCTATTATCTAAGGTTCGACAAGCAACCCTTACATTCCACAGCTGATAATCTTAAATTCTAATCGATCCAAAGTATGTTTCAGGGAGCGTGCGTGCCATCTGGTCGGCATAGCGATATGCTTTCTCCATGGTGATTGTTGCCTAGAAATGGAGCTATACAGTCGTATTTGAGATGCTCGGTGGTATGTATCCGGGAGTAATTGGTCCGAGATCTACTCACCCAGCTTCGTCCGTAGTACATAGTAGACCTGGATGCATGTAAATAATAGGTATGTACCATCGGCGACGCGTCGACCAACCAGACATCAGAAAACGATCTGATAACGAGAGAAAAACATCAAAAGCTCCTCGTTGTGGGCCATTGAGCATTCAGCCTTGGAAACGAGCTTCGTAAGGCTTGTATCAGCTGGAATAGGCGCTGTACATCCGTAAAGCCGGGTTGTTGTGGCAGGAACTGCATGTGGKTGGCTTGATATGTCAGGAACACGCAAAAAATGGCTGGACGCGACGCGGCTTCGCGCCATTATTGGCTGAAACGGGAAGGTGGTTCCTACCTTGCCAGGAAAAAGTGACGTGAGGAAGGAACGCCAAGTCACGTGAGACGTGACTTAGTGCGGCGCGCTAACGTGACACTCTCTCACGCATGCAAGTATTTCTTCGAGCTTCATTCCCACCCTGCTCGCTCTTTCTCTCTCTCAACCCATCACTCTCAGCTTTATACAGGACTCCAGTTTATGTTATCGCGCTCAATTATCTCTGGTTTACTCTATTGCATCTTCTATTAATTCATAATGACCACCCAACTCACTCCCTCCAAGCAGGTACGAAATGTCCATCACGTCACTGTCGCGAAACGCGTCTACTGCACGTAGCGAATCAATTGCTGACTTTGATACTTCTAGGCTGCTGCCTCTCTAGAGCAACTGAAGATGGAATCGCCAGTCAAGAAGCTGACCTTCGAATCTGGAAAAGAAAACTCCCCCGCCGTCGTCGACGCGTCCGCCACCACGTTGGTCAAGCCCGCAGAAAAGCCCGCAGTACAAGCAACCCCCAAGGTTGCTCCTGGTATCAAGGAGATGGAAGCAAATGAGCCCCTTCTTCAAGAGAACCCTCACAGATTCGTTCTTTTCCCCATCAAATATCACGAGGTGAGTGATCGTGTTGACGCGTCTCGCGTAAAGTGGTTTTGTCGCGTTAAGTGGGAACATTCCAACTGACTTTATTTGCTCTGCAACAGATCTGGCAAATGTACAAGAAGGCCGAAGCCTCCTTCTGGACCGCCGAAGAGATCGATCTCTCGAAAGATTTGCACGACTGGAACAACCGCCTGAACGACGATGAGCGTTACTTTATTTCGCATGTCCTTGCATTCTTTGCTGCCTCTGATGGCATTGTCAATGAGAACTTGGTTGAGCGATTCAGTGGTGAAGTTCAGATCCCTGAAGCTCGATGCTTCTACGGTTTCCAGATCATGATGGAGAACATTCACTCCGAAACATACTCTCTCCTCATTGACACCTACATTAACGAACCCAAACAACGCACCTACCTTTTTGACGCCATTGACAACAGTAAGTTCTTTGCAACACCTAAGTACAAAACAAAGCCAATCTAACTTGCACAGTTCCCTGCATTCGCAAGAAGGCTGATTGGGCTCTGCGATGGATCTCGGACAAAGAGTCTACCTTTGCTCAGCGCCTTGTCGCATTCGCTGCCGTCGAAGGTATTTTCTTCTCTGGCTCTTTTGCCTCTATCTTCTGGTTGAAGAAGCGTGGTTTGATGCCTGGTTTGACCTTCTCCAACGAACTCATCTCTCGTGACGAGGGCCTTCACACCGACTTTGCATGCTTGCTCTTCTCCCACCTCAACAACCGTCCCAGCCCCAAGGTCGTTGAAGACATCATTGTCGATGCCGTTGCCATCGAACAAGAGTTCTTGACCGATGCCCTTCCTTGCGCTTTGCTCGGAATGAACTCGAAATTGATGTGCCAGTACATTGAGTTCGTTGCCGACCGTCTCTTGGTCGCTCTTGGCAACAAGAAGTACTACAATGCCACCAACCCCTTCGACTTCATGGAGAACATCTCCCTTGCCGGCAAGACTAACTTCTTCGAGAAGCGTGTTGGTGACTACCAGAAGGCCGGTGTCATGAACAGCACCAAGAAGGAGAAGGAAGCCACCACGGAAAACAAAGACGAAAATGCCAGTGGTCTCAACTTTGACGAAGACTTCTAGTTGCATTTTTTCTTTCTTTCCTGCATCACATGTAAAGTGCTATATGAATAATCGGTTTTTTTCTGGGCGTTCTTCACTCTTCCTCATCACAAACACATTATTTGCTCTTCCCCCTTCTCTTCCCTCTTCACGTTATACCAGGATGACTTACATGGCTCGGATGGCGTTATGGGTTATTATGTCTTGTATTTATTTATATACTTGGTGGTGGTTTGTTCGTGTCTTTTGACTTGACGCAATTGTAATTAGTGCTGAGTTCATGTAGTAGACTTGGATAAAATATATCACTTGAAATTACATTTTAGTGTTATTGAAGCCTTAACTTTGTATAAGTATACATTCATCCGAGTGTCGGAGTTGTACACCTCATTTGAATCGAATTGTATGAATTCTGGAGGGCACTGTAGCAAATGCTCCAGAAGAAACGACGGATGTATCTATTTTCTAACAAATTATTTACAATAAGATCAATACTAATGACCGCTATGAACCTTGATGCAAGCATCTTAATATCGTCGAGGCTACTATTCAAAAAGCAGCCTCAACTCCTCAATCCGACTCTTCTTCCTCTCATCCTCAGTCCCATCCCCACCAACCCTGAGTCCCAACGAACCCGCAATATTCATCTTCCTCTCCTGCACACGCAGCATACGCACTTCAATAGAATCCTTGACTACGAACCTCGTGACAGAGACCTCGCGTAACTGACCCATGCGGTGTACGCGGTCGATGGCTTGTGCTTCGACGGCAAAACTCCACCAGGGATCCATCATGAACACATTGTTGGCGGCCGTGAGATTGAGGCCTACGCCGCCGGCGCGGAGGCTGATGAGGAGGATACTAGGTGATGGTTGGGGGGTTTTGCTGTGAGTTGCTGTTGCCGCTTTAGTAGTAGGGTCATCTTCGTCTATTTCGAGTTCTTCTTCGTATACTTCGGTACGGTTGAATTGGCGGAGGACCTCTGCTCGTGCCTTTTGAGGCATTGAGCCGTCTAGACGTAAATGGGTTATGCCGGCTTTTGTGAGTTGGGGAGCTATCAGATCCAAGAAGGATGTGAATTGGGAGAAGACGACGGACTTGGAGTTTGGAGGTAGTTTCATGAGATGTGTGAGGAGGGCGTGGATTTTGGCGGATGTATGAGCAGAAGGGGACAACGGGTATATACGCCGCAGGGATATTCTCGGCATTGGCTGGGACGTGGTTGGCGGTGTTGACATGTCGATGTCGATATCGTCCGGTGTATTAGTAGGTGACTGATAACGAATGACTTCGAAAATGTCATGTCGCGTCACTGGCGCTCGACATGAGAAGCACCGCGGTAGTTCGCCTTTATCAGTCTGATGCCGGATATAGAGCTCCAGGCACTTCTTACAGGCACTATGCCAGCATCCTGTGACTGCGGGCTCAATCAAAGGCTCCTCAGCACAAATAGGGCATTCAGCACTGACATCGTTTTGGATTTGCCGTAGTGCATGTGTCGTGAAGCGAGCCATTGTATCTTGCGGCTGAGCTGCATCTGATGTTTCAGTAGACTTTTTGAATCGATCAATGAGTTCTTGAAGATCCATATCGTCCTGGAATTCGTTCACTGTGTCCGCGGCTAATGCTGCATCTTCTTCGTCAGCAACGATGGCTTTGTTGCGTGTCAAGATTGGGTGACAGCATGTTTGACGGAGACGTAAAATTTGAGCGAAAATAGTTGAATAAGACTTCAACAAAGTTCCAGCTTCGACATTATCGTTAAACGCTCTCTTCGCACGCCAGAAGATAAGATCATAGATTGCTCGTTCTTCTTCGGAAAGTTCCACTTCCTCAATTGTCACTGTTCGTGGTGGAAGAGGAACCAATGCTTCACCTTCCGGTGTTCGCATCGTCTTCGTCCTTCGCAGTACAAGCGGCTCAAGGATAGTCTGGACCACGTTCAATGCGCGGACGTAGTCTTTAGACTCGAATGGCACGGTAATGAAAGTTTTCCAGAAGGAGAAATTGCTCCATGGTTCCACCTTCAAGAAGCGCACAAGACTGAAAAGATCTTCCAGTCGATTTACGATTGGAGTACCCGTTAGTGTCCATCGATGAATGGCGTTGAGCTCATAGCATGCCCGAGCGGATTTAGACAGCCTATTCTTGATAAGATGTGCTTCATCAAGGATAATCCTAAAGAACTCGACAGAGAAAAGCCCAATGTGCGCGGCTGGATTGTGTTGTGCTTGTGTCACAAAACTGCGGTATTCTGACAAGACGACACCGTAGCTGGTAACAATCACATTAGGTGCATTGACGCCGTTCGATCTGGCGCAGAGAGTTTTCAAATTGGTTGTCCTATCTGATCCATAGTATATCAGAGTCTTTATTGTTCCGGGCACCGATGCTTTTTGAGCCTCGCTTTCCCATTGCGCGAGTAGTGACGTTGGTGCAACGACTAGAGTGGTATAGGGTGCTGAGACTATCCCAAGAGCAGAAGATTGTCTTGGCAGTTCGTCTATAGAAGTAGGGGCGGTTGGCGTTTCTCTATTTGTATGTACCAAGCTCATCATTTCAATTGTCTTGCCCAGACCCATTTCATCTGCCAAAATGCCGCCCAAACAATGCTGTTCCTGAACAGGAAAATCTAGACTCAATTCGCCAGAGTAGGGGTTCACGTAGAAGGCATCTTGCCGCTCGACACATGGCAAGACCTTATCATCCGCATCCTTGATGGGCCACTTGTACTCCTCCCACAGAGGATGCATTGAGGACTTTTTGGTCGATTTGGTGTCTCTCTCCTTGGCGAGCATCCAATGCAGTGCTTGTTTCTGGTATTTGCGGAGGTCTAATGCAAATGTCTCTGCTGGTTGAGCTTCAGGGGTGTTGAAATCAAAAGATTGAGCTTTCTGGTACAATGTGTCGAGATGTTCTTCCTCTAATTCAGCCGTTTCCTCACTGGACGAGTCTTCAAGGTCCGTTGCTTCCTTGGGTTTGTCCTTGTTTTTGTCGTACTGCTCGGCCATTTCAGCCGCACGAAGCAAGCCTTCTTTTTTATGTTTGGCGGTAGTCTCATTAGTTGAAGTCGGTAAAAGGCCAATCTCATCGAAGAGCCGGACGAGTGCGATTTGACGAATCCGCAAGTCTCGCTCTTCGGTACTCTCCTGTTGTTCAAACAGTTGAATCGTTCTATTGTCGTCTATGTCTTGTATGTTTTGGTAAAAGGCATCTCGTTTTATGTAACAGCGTAATTGAAGGTATATTGTGTCGTTCACCCTCATGTAATCAGGGGCAAACACACAAGATCCTTCAAAGTCACAAATCTTCTGATCAATGAGTGTCGAGACCCATTCCGCTGTGTCTTGAGGTAATCGTCCAATGTCTTCTCCTCTCATATTCGTAAAGCGAGTTATAACGTCTGCTTTCTGGTTCGGCATGATTCTTCCTTTCTTGCCCATTTTTGCTGTGCGTATTTTGGTTCTCTCAATCTTGACCTTGTCTTCATGTCGAATCACATTCAAACCACTTTTTGTAGCCCAAGCTGCTACACCGAAGGCTCCGATATACCGGCGTGAAGACATGTGTCGAAGGACCTCTGCGCCTTCCGGTGGTGTCCATTCGGAGAGGTTGCTTTGATCGGACGTCGTGGCGACTTGACTGCCTGTCTCGGTTTCAGTCTTGGGCGTGGGCAAAGTTCGCTGCGGACGTTCGGGAATCGAGGCGGTCGGTGGTCTAGTAGTTTTCTCAAAAGATCCATCTAAGAAGATATTGATAGCTCTTTCCATATTCCCTCCAGCAGCTTGTCGGATCATCGTGATTGTAGCTTCTGGGACATCTTGCCCCACGATGCTCGTGAAGAGTTGAGCATCAAATCCGTTGGCGTCTTGAACTAGTTGCTGTGAGACGGTACGTTCAAAGGGTTCCTCAGTAACTATATCGCTGCCTTGGTCATTCAAAGGAGAACCGGCTTGCGACGAGGTGTCCGGCTGAGACACATTTGGGTGAGACGATCCATTCTCATCCTCAACAAAGAAACGGCGTTTCTTCGCAGGACGTCCGTTCTCATGATCGTCTCTATTATGAGCTGAGACTGCCATATCACTCATGATGGCATCGATGTTGTCCCATGTGTCGGTTGGGTGGGTGTAAAGATAAAAATCAATTTGGCCCAGTTGGGAAGACGCGCTCCGGCGCGACTGAAAAGAACGCGGGTAAGCGCCGATCCCGTCAACGTCATTCGTTCGTTGCTCTTTTTGACATATCAACTTTTTGATCTTTCTTGCAATCATCGAGTTATGGCAAGATGAACTACAAAGACAACATGGGACACAAATAGGAATTAGGATTGACGCACTATTACCAAATGACAACGAAGACCTACAACATATCTGTGACACAGCGACCATGTCAGCGACAAAATCAACTCTACGCTCTCGAGCTTTCATTTCCTCGAGGCATGTCCGCCATGAACGACGCACATTTTGCGGATCATCCCAATGGCAAGCCCCAGTGAGCGGCGCAGCAGAAGCTGAGACACAATCTGCTCGAACCTATTGCACGAATCTCGTATCGTACGTCTTCCGTCTGCAATTGTATTCTGGAGAAATTCTCACAAAACGATAGAACCTACGACCGCCCCTCCTACATCCTCAGCGCATTCATCCCCCGTCAAGCACAAACATTCTACCTCGCTCTCCGCGCTCTTAACGTTTCATTGTCTATGATCCCCGACACCACCTCCAGCCACACCATCGGACTAATGCGCCTCCAGTTTTGGCGCGACACCATCACCAAGACACTCTCCGGCGCCCCACCAAAGGAACCCGTCGCCATCCTCATAGCAAACGCAATCGACGACCTCAGCAGCCGCACCAACGGCGGCGCCCGCATCAGCAAAGGATGGTTTCTGCGTATGATCAACGCGCGCGAACAGACACTCACAAACACGCCCTTCAGGGACATTGCCGCGCTCGAATCCTACGCTGAAAACACATATTCCACTCTGCTGTATCTGACTCTGTCGTCTCTGCCCCTGACGTCCGTGACGGTGGACCACGTGGCTTCGCACATTGGCAAAGCAGCCGGTATATCCGCCGTGCTCCGCGGGTTGCCGTTGGTCGCATTCCCGGGTCCTGCGAAGCATCACTCCAACCAATCTTCAGTTTTGAGCTCTGGCGGATCAGAGAATAGACAAGGCGCAATAACCCTTCCTTTAGACATCATGTCCCAATCCGGCGTCATTGAAGAGGAAGTCTTCCGCAAAGGCGCGGACGCCGCAGGTCTCAAAGACGCGGTCTTTGCTGTTGCGACGAGAGCGTCAGACCACCTAATTACGGCGCGGCAGATGCTCAAGAATCTGCGCGAGGGGCAGGATGTAGGTCACGAGTTTGAGTATGAAGGCGAAGAAGGTCATCAATACAATGATGCAGCTGCGGAGAAAGAGGGTGTATCACCCTACGAAAAACAATTAGCTGAGGTTGAGAGAGGGTTTGGGGTCTTGATGCCGGCCGTATCGACGCAGTTGTGGCTCSACAAGCTGCAGTCGTACGACTTTGATATTTTCAATCCGAAGTTGCTACGGAGCGATTGGACGATGCCTTGGAGGGCTTATTATGCGCATAGCAGGAAGTCTTTCTAATTTGGGACAAAAATGTATAACATTGGACTAAGCGACATGGGTGTATCATGATGTGTACAATAGCAGATAGAATAAGATACAAGCACCGCTTCAAAATATGCATATAAACTGTACCTACACTACTTAGTAGAGTGTCGGTTACGTTGGTAAAGCTGACTGTTTCGCCTCTCACGTTTCCGTTCCTGACGGTGTTTTCGTGAGCTGAAGAATAGTCTTCGCTGGGCGAGTTTTAAGAAGTAGCGGCCGACCATATCGCGCCTATATCATGAGCATGGTGACCAATATTTAGTGAAGAGGGAGCTTACATGAGCAGCAGCGTGACGACGAACACGAATGGAACGGCGATTATCCAGAAGTAACTGTGGCGGAATTAGTGGGCGATGTTGAGAAGTCAAAAAAGGAGGAACTTGCGAATCGCTATGATCTTTGACAGCGTCAAAAATTGCAAAGTTCATTCCAAAGTATCCCTATCTTTGTCAGCCCTTGACATCCTATCCTGGAGCCGAGCTTCAACTTACTGTCAAAAATGTCAATGGCAGGAACAAAGCCGTTATCAAACTCAATTGTCTCATGCTCTCGTTTTGATATGCACCTGGAACACAATCAGCAACATTATTGAACTTCGTGAGGACAGGTTGACATACCAATGGTGTTGAAAATGAGATCAATCATATTATCAGCTGACCGTCTCATCTGATCATATCCCTCCGTAATAGTTATACAGTGATCCAGCACATCGCCCAGATACGTATGACACATGGCGCTGATAGTAATAGTCGAAACGCCAATGCCCTTCAAATTCGGGGTCCCGGTTCCTATATACGGAATACTCGGGGTGTTTCCATCTGTGGTTGTGTTCGTGTTGGTCTTGCTCAATGGCCCGATGTTGAGGCTGCCAACACCCGGTGTTTGAACGGGTTGTGAGCGGTGGTCTCGAAGTGCATTTATAACAGCCACCATTGGCTGCATGGCATTACGCAGGACTGATATCTCGGAGGTGAGGATGTACAACAGTTTCGACTGGTCGATGCTGGGATCCGTCAGCACGGCGACCTCCAGATCTCCAATTGCATCTTGATAAGCGAGTGTGACCGGAATCGCAAGATCTATAATAGCGTCTAGAATAGCCTGAACAAGCATGCTCGCATCGCATGATTGACGTAGGATGGTCTCGGGGGAGCTGAGTCGTCTAACAATTGGAGCCTCAATATCGCTCGCACTAGCATCGAAGAAAGACAGAACAGTGTTGTCGGAATTCAGAAAGATCGATACCTGCTCCAATGTCACGCGCAGACCCTGATTGGCAAGCACCGCATGGCGTTCCATAAACTCGATTCTCTCCTCATTAGGCCCGCCCCTGTATCGCTGCAATGTGCGAGGCATGGGAGATCTGCTGATGAAATCTCCGCTGTTTACAGTCCCCGGCAACCCAGCACCTTTGTATCTCTGATCATGTACCGCAAACTGGACATTCTTCCTGTCTCGCTTCTTTCTACCACTGTTTGGAAACAGCAGATCCTTCAATGCAGCTTTGATAACATTCCACTTCCGTCTCCGTGCAGCCACTGGTGGTAGACTACTACTATCCGAGTCCGAATCACTCCCACCATCAGAGGACTTGGGATCCTGGCTGTCGGAGTCACTACCATTCTCATGATGCCGCAGCTTCTCCAGTCTTTGCAACGACATGACAATATACGCATGATCCGAGTACCAATCGACTTTTGTCCGATTGTGTGGATGCATCAAATCCTCAATCGCCAGTCTGTGCAGGTTCTTGTGTCGGCCCAAGATGCGAATCACATCCCAACTCAATCCATTGACGTTGATCCATCGGCATTGAACCCATGGTTCTCGTTCGCGCGCCAGGAATTGTTCCAGTGAGGTATTATCGAGCACGTAATGCCGCATATCCTCCTGCGAGAAATCGACAATTGTGATCTCGCAGATCCGATGAAGATCGACTGGTAACGAAGTCCATTCTGAGTCGAGGAGTGGTGAGGTTCTATTTGGATCGATGCCGGGTTCTTTGCCAGCTTCCCAGTTTCGTTCGGGGCTAGAACCTTCACGGTAATATGAGCGTAAGGTGTTCGTGCGCTTTGAGCGTCGCCGAATCGTCGAGACGGAGTCCACGCGGGCTGGGGCGGACAATGCGCCTGGGGAGACGGGGTCGTCGATGGAGGAGGGCGATGGTCGACCGAGTGGGGAGTGGGATTGGGCTTCGATGTCAATGCGGTCGGGCGCTGAGCCGGAGGAGAGTACTGTCAGGCCATGCTCAGATGCGTAGTCGTGAGCCTCGACTGCCATGGCGGTTATCTTTCGTGGTGTTGATTAGAGTGGTGTCTACCTCGGTTTTGGGCAGAGTATCCAGTACAATTGCGGCGGATGAGAGACCAGCAATTCAGCCAGACGGGCCTCGCATTTTTGTTTCTGGTATGGTTTGAGAATGGCTGATCATTTTTTTCTATCTCTGGCACCAATTGTACGTTGCGATGATGTTGTGGTTGAGGGTCAGGGGGCTTGTTTGATTTAGCTGAGAAAGATCAGGGCCGAAGCCTGTTTGATTGGGCTCTTACATCATGGCTCACTTCCCCACACTCCGCCCTCATCAACCTTGGCTTTGCTTAATTCTACTTCACTCTCACCCGTGGGACTATCATCAACCTTAATTTATTAAATAGGTATCATATTTCTGAGAGATGAATCACACACGCCGCCTCCTATTCCAACTGACAAATGAAACACCAACCTAGCCGTACACATCTCAACACCGACCGATGCACCCGAACAAAAATAGCGACACAAAGAAAAACTGTACATACATGATGATACATGACAGACATTATACAAGAAAGGGGAAGACCCGAAGGTAGAGGCATTATATACAACGTGAATCAGATATTATAACGGAGGTCATGACTCAAATTACGCACGCACTGTCGGGCGAGGCTTGAATGAGTTCTTTGAGAAGGGAAAGGGGGTTTGTCTCGAACTGCTGGGATAATGTTGGCGATTATAGCTGTTCCAGTCTTCCATGAGCAAAGCTCGCTGTGGCTCGCCTACAGGGKTCGGCACAGTTCTTTGACGGTTTGAGACTTTGGTCTTTGTGATGGTTGCTGATTTTTCCTTGATGATGTCACGCAGCTCCTTGTCATCGTTGGTAATCTGAGCTTGGATGAAAGCAATGTCGTTGGAAGATGTAAGAGCCGACATGACTGATTTTCTGGGCGTGTATGGATAGTTATCAGGGCTAGGAGGCAAAGTCGGTTTGATCGAAGGGTCGAGGTATGCACTCTCTCCCTTCTCTATGAGCTGATTGATATCGAGACTTTCTCCGTGCGGAATCTTGGTCGGATGAGATGGTGTCACGCAGTCCATGTTCACTTCTTTGCGGAGAACGTGATCGATGTCGACGGCTGAGAAAAATGCACATGATTGTGGAAGATCGTCAATGCCAACTTGCTGCGAGAACATGGCACGGGTCCAGACATTCGCAATTTGTAAAGCCATCGCAGAACGGTATTTATCCTCCTCCTTAACAAGATAACGAATCTCGTCATGCACGGTAATAGCCAATCGAGCATCGATGTTAAAGCGTCGAATGAGGAAGTCCATAGCCGTAATCAAGAGATGCAAATAATCAACGCCAGAGGACTGAATGGCCCAATTGATTCGCGATGTCATGAAACTACCCTTGTTGATGAAGCGACGCATGAGTGCTTCAGTGATACCAGCGCCCAACGCTGGAGTGCGTGGTCGTTCCTGCTCAGCAAACTCTTCCAACTTATTAAAAACAAATGACTCGGTACCACCGCGCCAGAAGGGTCCGTCATTAAGAAGCTTGCGTGTGGTACGGGTCCCTTTGGTTTCTTTATATAACTTTGAAGCGATCTGACTGGTCTCTTTTTCAGTTAGGGTAGGATTGAACTGGCGAAGCAAAGTAGAAGCAAACTTCAGCCCAGCGCCGTATATACGTCCATAATTAAAGACCTTGGCATCATTTCTAGAGATGCCGAGGATGGACGCAGTTCGTGAATGCAGGTCGGTCCCAGCTGCTTTGGAACCCTCCAGGGTCATAAAACCAATGGCATTGCCTCCATGGAGCTGAAATTGTGCATCACCGACCAGACTGGCGATCCATAACTCTTGAGAATCAACATCGGCGCCAACAAACACATACCCTGGCGGGGCCTTTATCATCGCCTTCAATTCAGAACCAACGCGGTTACCCTTGGCATTGCTGGCAGTGAGCCACGTATTTTCCACGGCACGGCGGGTGATGGTACCCATCGGGATGATCTGAGGGAGAATGAAACCGAGATCCTTCTTGGACGTCTTTCGGTGCTTCAAATCATCTTCATATACGACCAACTGACTCATGATCCTGTCGCGAGCACTGATCCAGTATGAACACGACGCATTCATCTCCAAGGCCTCCTTGGCGAGCGCAAATTTTGATGACAATGTACCCCGCTCAAAATATGTAAGATAGCCTTTGGCTAGGGGATTGATGCACCGAGCCTGCGGTCCATCCTTGTGCGGTAGCTTATAATAAATGTGTTTTGTGTCGTCTCGAAGTTCCAAGTTCGTTTCTTCGTTCATATCACATTGAGTGACCGGCTGATTTTGATAATCGAGAGCCTCCTTTAGCGTAACTCTGAAAGTCCAACCGAATTTATCAGACCATATAAGTGGATGACCGTCCCACGACAACTTTAGCAAAATTGGTGCAATCCGGGTTCTAACTGTGAGACTGATATCGGCGTTGCTGGTAGGAAAAAGATCTTTATACCACTTCGGCATGCCGGGTTTTTTCTGCCTTGCTGCTGGACGAGGAGGGTCTCCTTTCTTTTTACCTTTGACCATTTTGATTTCTTGACCAGACCAATCCAACTGACGTAGCCATGGATCATTCTGGTATTGTTCAGGATCACCTTTGATTTTCAGCGCTTCATCACAAAGCACAAGCAGACGTTTCTGAACATCGTCGAGACGTTTGTGGTACGTGTTTTCGGCATTTTGGAGATATTGCTCCCAGGTTTCGTTGACCGGCAGGATGACTGATGAAAGATGGCGCAAGGCACCAAAACTGACAGGATGAGGACATACCTCGAGAAAATTGGGGAAAACCTTCTTATAGACTCGGTGAGTGATTGCAACATCAGCGGCACAATAGTCCAGAAGCTCGTCCAACCGGCTCAGAATTCCGTCCTTGTCCAATTCTCCAAAGTAATCTCTTTGCGATTTGTCGATTGTCACATCGCAATGGAATTTGGCGACATCTCGTAGCGAGTTAACCGAGCTTCTTCCAACCCATAACTCCTCCTCTTCTTCGCTGAGCATTTTGCTCTCAAGCAACGCCGACAATTCAACAGCATTATTATCATTCGCAACCTTATCTCTCAGGTCTCTATTCTTCTTATGTCGCATCCAGGTTGGGCGCTGCTGAGAGCACATTCCGTTAACTGCCACGTGAAGAGACATGGTATCCACAAAGAAGTTGCGCGACTGTTTGATATTGTATTCCTCCTGTACTCGTGCTCGATCGTAACCAATGTTGTGTCCGACGATGATTCTCGGCTTAAACATATCACCTAAAGGCACCAAATGGCGATCATTCTCTGATTCGCCAAGCAGCCACGGCGAAAGCCAGGCGTACCATGCTGTAGGGCTGACTGCACATGCCATGACAGCAAACGGGCTCTGTTTATACAGAACTTCCGTATCAAAGGTCAAGGCAGATTCGTCAGGCGCATCGACTGCTTCCCACGAGCCATCGCTATTATACTTAGTCCACCCACTTCGTCTTGCCCATTTCCGTGGCATCTGTGGCGCGTTTATCGTTGCGTAAGACTTAGCGATGCTGAGATACGGCTCCGATGCATCCATAGCCAATTTATGGAAATGTTCGTCCAAAGTCTGCCCGACCAGGGGTGGAAAATCGAATGCGATAGGCTCCGCGGCCTCTTGGGATTTGCCGAGCAATTCATGACGAGACAAGTGGTCTTTCGATAAAGCAACAAGCTTTTGATCCGGGGGAGTTGGTTTATTCAGGAATATTTGAGAGTGTACGTGGTCGCTGAGCTGTTGGACGCCGATCTCGTTGAATCTCGCAGTGGAGGGTACTATACGAGTTAGCCAGGCGACAGTGTGGTGGCGCTGAAGACATACCAGAGAGTGACTTGATGCTCTTCCGTTCGTTTTGCGCTGCTGTATGTACGTGTGAGGTAAACTCAGTGTTTCTGATATAGAATTTTTGCGATCCGTTTCGGGGTGTTATCGCGACAGAAGATCGCGCCACTCCCCAAGGGGGGCCATGCGCAGACCGTCGCAGCATTGAATGATGAGCACCCAAGGCGGACTAGCCCATTGTAACTGAGTCGTATAATGCGCGCCGAGCGCAGGAGCGATGAAGATCGATTTTTCTTTGAGAGATGAGCGACAGTCGAACTATTGGAAGGAGACAGAGGTGACTCCCTAGATGAAGAAGGTGAATAGTGGATGATTTCATTAGTCCCGATCAGGCCGGTGGGGCTAGTGAAGTTTCTAACTAGGCCTAAAACAGCTAGACTGGACACTAGCAGTGCATTTTCGCCTCAGCCTTCAGGCATCCGATAATCGATTATCTTCTGATAAGAACCTCATCCTCTACTCCTCACTCTCTTTTCTCCTCAACTTTATTTCGGCTTTTACTTCAGGCGTTTTTATCTCCTCTTCTAACTGAAATCTGATTCTCGAAACGAGCTCGCTCCTTCTCCCCGCTTTTGACCTCGTTAGCGACGTCACCGCAATCAATTCAACACCTTCAAACGGCCGTGTCTGTCACAACTGGATCTAAGGACAAGGTTCCGGTAACAGCAAATTTTTTTCACCCATAGCGCCGAGATGTCACGGAGACCATCATCAGGTGTGATTGACCTGACGTCAAGTTCAAGATCAGTACCACGAGGTATAAAACGGAGGAGAGTAGGTGGCAATGACACACCAGGCTCTATATATGCATCATCATCGGCAGATGCATCCTCGTCCAACGAACCGCAACAAACAAGCTCACATGGAGAAGATGATTATATTGAATCTGTCGATCTCACGGAAGTCAACGATGACTACGCGCTAGCCAAAACTCTCGCCAAACAACGAGAAGACGCTATCAAAGCTCAGGCAGCCACGGAGAATAAAGAGGGGCGGACAACATTGCTGGCATTCAAGTGTGCGATTTGCATGGATACTCCGACGGATGCAACGACTACGTTGTGTGGTATGTTCGATTGTGTCTCGTTCTGTTGGTCAGGGTACTAATGAAAGATGTAGGCCATATGTTCTGTCATAAATGCATAACAGACTCGCTTCGGTATGAAGAGGAACGTTCCGAAACTGTGACCGGCAAGAGTATTAAAGGGAAATGTCCTGCGTGCCGCAAAGCCCTTACGAGAGCGGATTCACCAGGTCCAAAACGGAACCTCGTCCCGCTTCAGTTTAAGCTGAAAACGCCCTCTTGAAGAAATTTGGTTGTCGGCATTCCTCTAAAGAGATTCAGTGCAAAACGTGCACTCTTCAACTTACATACTCCGTCGAGCCCGCTATTGCCTCGCTGTGGATGGCATGTCATTAGGCTTCCCTCGTCGGCCCCGTGTTGCCTTGGTTAAGGGTTTTTTCGAAAAAAAAAGAAGACTATGAAAGGAAATAAAAGATMCTTCCGAGCCACTGTCGACTCTCATGCCATTGCTCCATGTGGCTACCACTTTTCAGTCAATCGTCTAAATTGGAGCGCCTTCAACACTTCTTTTGCACTATTTCATCGTACTTTGATACCCAACCGGCGTTGCTTATACCCTTTATTTGCAGATTTTGTCCAGCGAATCAATGCATTATGATCATAACTAATGAAATTATCGGCTACTACTCTCACAATATAGGACCATTATCGCTCCTTATAACCGCCTTCCAGAGTATTCCGTCTACTAACACCACCACCCAATTTCCCTCTAAGCATTGCATCACCCTTCCTCCCCAATACTACCTCCAACGCCTGCACAAGAGCAGTAGAATCATACCGCATACCCAGCGCAGTCTTGCCATCATCCGATATAATCTTCCGTCCATATAATCGTAGTGTTTCGATCCCCATGGCAGATAACCGTTCGCGATCTACGGATGGCGTCCCTGGACCCTCCAGGTGCAGGATGTGTGTGACGTATGATGTGTATGGAAATTGTTTCTTGCCTGCTATCATTGGTGATGACAACGTTGATGGCTCGATAATACTTGGTAGCGAAGTCTCCGGAGTAATGATCGGATTTTGAGCAGTAGATGAACCAGGTAGACCGGTCATGACAGAGTCCATACTACGATGTCTGCCGCCGTCTCGTCCTAAACCTGCAACAGCGCCTCCTCGTCCACGACTCTCCTCTCCAGCTTTGACAATCGCTTCTACAAAATCCACCGCTGTAAAAGGCTCACTCGATGGTCCCGTTTCTCGGTCGAGAGATCCATTCAAGATCAGAATCTTGTGCCGCGCTGGACTCATGGCTATCGCTTTGCCGACCCCCCTCAGAATAAGTGAGGGTATGATGGATGTATATAACGAGCCAATGCTATATATAATCGCCTGACTGTCATTTATGGCTTCCAGCACTCGCGGATTGGCCGGTGGTCGAATTTCCTGGCCATACGGGTTGATGTACCATATCCGCGAAATGCGACAGGCAAGTTCCTCAGTATCAGTTTTATTGAATGTAATATTCTTATATCGCAGGCTGGGTAATGAGCCAGGTATATGATCGTCTTGATAGGAAGTAGCATCGTCCATGTCGAGGTAATCAGAATCATCCGCGTCTCCATCCGCTAAGAGCAAGCTTGCTCTCCTTCTGCCAAGTTTGGGTGATCCGGGAGCATTGCTTGGATGCGAAATGCTATTTTGCCCGACAATCACAGATCCGTCTTCAAGAGACGCTGAAATGTGATGTGAAAAATTCGAGTTGATAGCTGGGATAACGCGGACAAGGTCCGATGATACTCCGCCTATACTGCCCAGAAGGTGAATGGCGCTCTCAAAACTGCCAGTGAAAAGGCGTGCGCCTGTCAGAAACAGATTTCCGACACTCGCGGAACTAAAATCGAATGTAGATGTAGGTGGCCGAGCTCTTTTCAGAATCTCAAGATTGAGATAATTAAAGAACGATCGAATCAATTCTTTTTTAGCTGGTGTAATAGCCGACCATAGAGGCGAAGTACCATCAACGATAGATTGCCAGTTCTCTCTCGCTGCAGTTGCGTCGACGTTAAGTCTATGATTGAAAAGAGCTTTTACTGCAGCTCTTTCTGAGTCTGGTGCTGAGTCTGGTATCAACCGTACCAATCTACCTGTAGTCCAGTCAGTGTCATGATTTCCAGTTATTACTAGGCCAGATGATCACTCACTTCGGACATCTCCAATTCCGGGCCCGCCAAATATTCGTATCAGCTCCGACGTTGAGCCACCGTTGTCAGATATGGGGATAACGTAATTGAGAAGACATTGTTTACTCGCCCTCACCGTATTGAAGGCGTCTACCAGGCTATTGGCTGCACTCCCGCCGGAGAACACGACAATGCCACGATAGAAGGCTGAGTCTTCTATGTTGAGCTCTGCTGTCATGCTGAATCAGTGGTTCAGCAGGTCGAATATCGATAATACTGGTGACTCGGTCCTCACATTCCTGTCATCAATCTGTGTGACTCAAAAATACGACATCAGAATGTTCTTCAATATCGTACATCAACAAACTTGAATACAAGTCTAAAGTACATCCAAGATCAATACTCAATGACTAGGAACGTGCGGTCATATCGATGTACGTTAAGTGAAGAAGTCGGAATTTTAAAAATGGGAGCTGGAACTTAAACTAAAGCGGCCAGATTTCAAAATTACCAAAATTACGCAATCCATAATGAAAATTACCAACATGTATATTAGGGACTGTATCTATGCCTCAACAGTAGCAACAAGAAATATAGCATAATCGTAAAGGCCATGGAAAGAGACATTAATTAAAGCTGAAAGTCTCTTCCTTTATGCAGAGATCTCCTTGACCAATTCTACAGCCCTTTTCGCTAGGGTTTCTGTATCTGGAGGGAATCGGCCACTGACATAGTTGTAAGCTTCGTCCTCAACGATGAACCTAGACACAAATAGTAATGATATTAGCCATTAGAATAAGAGCGAAGCTGTTTGTAGAATATGACTAACGGCGCAGGACTTAGGCTATTCTTGAATTGTTTGTCTGGATTATCCAGCACGTTCCGAACCTACTCGAAGATACGATGTCAGTGAATTGATAAAAGGAAATCACAATCAAGGCATATTTCCTTACAATAGTCTCGACATTATCGGTACCTTTTCCGTATGTCTTGTAATAATCTCCCAAGAACGGCCTGGTTATCCAAAAGATACCAGACTCCATCGCCCCCTGAAGAGCCGTTGTCGTAGTATCATGCAAAACACTTTTCCCATTTGGCAAGGTGACTGTAGAGAGAGTCTGCACTCCGTGGCAAACTGCTGCCACTACTTTCCGACTCGGCTTGCGGGTTTGAGGAAAATATGAGGCGAGATGTTTCTGTAAGACTTCCGAGTCTATGGCTTGTCTGACGGCTTTATCATGACCACCAGGTAAATAAATCATGTCATAGTCTGCGACAGAAAAGGCTGGATCAGACCAGCTCAAGGGGCTTTTAGCTGCTGGATCTTGGATCATTTGCTCGTATTTCTTAATCGCATCTTGTTTTGCACCCTGATAAAGCGTGAGCTTTCTGTAAGAATCGGTTTCCAGAAGAAATGATACTTACGAGTAACTTGCCCGATATTCCTGAAATCATGCGCTCGTCACATTTGGGCGCATTTCCTGTTTCAGTCGCAAATTGAACTTGGAATCCTGCTTCTTTGAAGACTGTGTATGCTACTGCGGTTTCTGTTCCTATGTTAGCTCTGTACAGGGATCCTCCTAGTCTACAGCTAACCCGTTGGGTCATGACCATAATCAGCCATGGGAATGAGAACTTTTGTAAAGCCCATTTCGTATATTGTTGTTGTTGATTTTAATTACAGTCTGCTTGACGTTATCTGTTTTAGTGCCACTATGCAAATTTGACAGACAACTTGATTTGTAGATAGTTGTAGATAACTAGAAATGATTGTTGACTTAAAGCAGGAAGTAGGAATGGATCATGGAAGATTAGACTTTAATAAGTAGGAAAGTGCTACGGACGTAACGCCATACCTTTAAACGCTAGTCCGCTCTTGGAGCCTCTCGAATGAATAGAATACGGTGTAATACGGCCGTCTTCCATGTAATTTTGCCGTACGTATCGTCAATACGGCCGTTGCAACATCGCTTTCTTCTCTTGCTCTCACACCTCCCTGTCCACTGCAACAACACGCGTGGCATCCTTTTCAGACAATGTTTGTCTGGTACATTCATCGCTGCTGTGGTCACTTGTATCACTAGATTTATCCCGGCCCTTATCTAGCAATAGCCTAAATACTAGATATATCTTCTCTTTACCTCCGATGCAATCAACAGCGTTATCTAGAGCCATATCAGCACAATTATAAGCCATCCGACGCAGCATCCCCTTTTCCAGCCATTGCCTGACTCATATACAAAAAACGAGTCCGTTGGTGATCTTTCCATATGTCATAGACTTTGCTTACCAGCGGACTTAGCTCTATTTGATATGAAAATGTGTCTGTCGACTGGAAGTGGAATGACATAGCCTCGGGTAAGTTGGGAGCCGAAGACTATTTTCCAACACCAGTGCACCCAGACCAACAAGAGTGCCAAATTCCCATAACATGGCAAAGTATGCGTTTTCTCCAATGACATATCCAAGGATGGCAGCGGCGACATCAACAGCGAAGGCCTATAATAACAATTTAGGTTAAATTTGGGCACGCATGAATAAAAGATTTGATTGCTACCCTATTTAATAGATCAAAGGATGCTACCGGTCAAGTAATACTACAGTCGAATGTACAAACCACGCCACAAGGCTAGGCAAGCCCCGTGGTGATCGCATAGCTCACATCGTCATTAAACGAATAGGTTGCATCAAAGTCATGAGGACCACCATTGCTTGCAATGTAAAGTATAGCGTTGTAGTGGCGCCAGTAACGTGTAGGGTAGCTCCAAGATCGAATTGAGAAATGATCATTCCCATTAATTCCAGTTTGGGGGCAAAATGTAGCGTCTTCGCTAAACTGCTTGCTATTGTCATTCGCGTCAAGGCTAAGTTGGTAATTATAATGACGGATATAGCTGCCCGGGGTGTCTTTCGATTCAAATGAGTAGCAGTCGCTATTGCCCAGGCCTGTATGAACGACCCAGCTAGCCTGCTCTCTAAGATCTGCGCTGCTAGAAGATGAAACAATCTGCGTATTGACAGTGGAGCCGGTATGGGCGATATACCGTGTTGTGCAACAGGCGGTTGTTACGCGCAAAGAGATGGTCGAGCCTTTAGCAAATTTGAAATTTGGAGATACGAGACCCGCAGTACCATATTTGGCAGCAACGATATTGGCCTGAACTTTGTTTTCGGTATCGTCAGATGGATATCCAGTCGTCATAACACCTTCGTAGAACGTTCCCTGTGCCCTGTCACTATTGTCACCACCAATCCCAAGAATAATGGCACCCTCCTTATGCATAGGATCATAGCCTCCGCTTGGGCGTGCTCCGCTGTACATTGTCGATAGTGAGCCCGAAGTAGCATCTCCACCGCGGAGAGCCCATTGTCCTGCCGTGCCCTTGAGTATCGCAGTCACGAAGCGGGTCTGCAAACTCTTGTTGTCATCATTCACATTACTGTCACCGCCAGAAAACAAGCCATTCTCGAGATCAGCCTGAACCCATGGCCCATTGCCAGAACCTTTGTATCCGCCATTACCAAAGTAAATGGCTTCCATATGGCCATTGCCGGTGTCTTGGCTATTTGTTTCGGCGTTTCCGTAATCGAAACAGCATCTGTCATTATAGTGCGTGCCGTCAAAGACTGCATACATTCCCTCGGCAGCATCGCCAGTAATTGAGCCGTTTATGTTGTTATTGCGGTAGCCAGTGTACGGAGAAATGAACACTCCATATGCCTTTGAGCCACTAACGAAAACCGGTGCACCGATTGCGCTTGCTAAATAGTCTTTACCACCGCTATCTGGGCCTTGAGCAGCACCTCCAGGTGGCGCCTGTGTGAGGTGGTTTCCTCTACCGGACTGGTCATAGATTATGCTTATGAGACAGGTTGAGCCGGAGCAGAACGATTCTTGAGTGCTACTATCGGCAACACCATTGGACAGAGGTTTGATATCGTTCGTGACACCGTCAGAGCCGCGGATCACTTGATACAGTGCATCCGTATAGCTGTCGTACAAGGCACGAACAGTGCTGTGTGCAGCATAACAAGGCGTGCCACCAGCGGCATAAATGTCACAAGGTGCGTCAGCTCTGACAGACGAGCATGCGAGAACAAGACCGAGTGCAAAGGCGCCGAAGCTAGATTGTGAATGCATGTTGATTCAAGTGTGCTCTCCAAAGAACATAAGCAAAGGATCACATCTTGGGTTCGCACCTGGGTAGGCATTTTTATATTGTACTTCATACTCCTATTCTAGCATGCTGACTGTTACATTGTGTCTAGCTCCCCACAAACTATATAAAGCTCTCTATATCCGGTGGCGGTCCGCTTGATACGAGAAAGGGAGCTAGGCAGGTCATGTTTACACGTTGGGGGCTAGTCGAGGGCTAAGCCTCTGAAGTTACCAACACAAGGCGACAAAAGTTTATTAAACATTTTGCAAATCTAGGCGTAAATGTATGGACTCTATTTGTATGCCATACTGAGTGAGGATCGAATTCTCAATTGTTATACATTACTATTCATGCTGATTGATATTGCATGGTAGACATAAGGCCGAATATTCCAAGTTTTTTTTGCGATATTGCGTTCCTAGGTTAATTTATGTGTCAGGCCTCCATTGCACTTGGAATGTCTCAGATGATTAATTGTTCTGAGATACCCTAAATCTGACAGCCAAGCCAAAATTGTCTAAATATTGCTCGATTATACTCCGTAAGCTGAACTTGACCACGTCTTGTTGCAATTGGCACACTTTATCCCTAAAGCGGCTGATTCCAAGTCATCCGGCAGTGATTACCAACCAGTAAGTTCCCAGACAGCAACACAGAAGACTACTTTACATTGTAAATCCTATGATACTCTATTAATACTTTTTCAAGATCACTAATATAGTTACGGGGCGAGATAAGGCGCTATGAAACACTGGATTGGTCACTAACTAAGACGACAACTGATTTCTAACACTATTACAGGGACGAGAAGCCTATATTTATACACGAGCTCTAGGGTTCGCCTATAAGAGAGCCCTAACCGTTTAGGGAGGCCCTCAGGGGTTAACTACATGTATTGACATCTTGGCGGCCAAGCCAATATATGACCATTGCCAAGCTTCCGGTGGCTCGTACGCGCCGAACATAACCTCTGGAGCGCTCCAGCTTATAGAGATATATTCTCCGAGGCCCTCGCTTAGCAATATATATTCTCCGGGGTCTTCGCTCAGGCATATATATAAATATCCTCCGACACCATTGTATATTCTCCGCCTACCGTATACACCGCGGTAGGACCGCGACAAATCAATATGGGCCCCATTGAAGGACAAGTGGGAATTGGCCGGGCCAAAATGCAGTATCGAGATGGTCGAATGAGCTCCGAGGCTCAAGAGCCTTACCTTCAGGCGTCCAAAATGATTATTCTGGTGTATGCAACGTCATTCCAATTGAGTTGGCAGTTACTCAGTCATTGTTTCAGCTAGCAATGTCTTAGAATAGGTGTCAAATATTGCGAAGCGTTTGTCGCGAGCCAAAATATACACGTTTTCTACTAATAGTTCATACTTCCAATCGAAATAGTAATAAGTAAAATACTCATTGAAACTCAATATAATGCAGGTGCTTGTTGTACGTAGCCCTCCATCGTTTATACGACCTCTCTCGATATCGAATCTTTATTGTACATAAACCCTACTTCTCAATGCTCTCCACATGTTCTGTCTCTGCCGCTACATTCTGCGTCTTCTCACATCCAAACGCTCTTTCTCCAGAGTGACAGATACGTGGTTCGTCAGATATGGAGAAGGATCGCGGACGAAGAGAGCACCCACAAACGCAATGACGCCAAACGGGATGGTAGACAGCCACACAATCCGGTATGCATCGCTCCAGCCCCATTGGATAGCCTTCCTAGCAGCATCGACCACATCTGCCGATGTGTCGGTAAGATTGCCTACTGCAGCGGTCCCGGATAGATAGGAAATCAGTTCTGGTATCTGTTCAGATGGGAACCCCAGCGGTAGCACGGCGTCTGTCACACGCCTGAGAATTGCTGGCGTGGATTTGTTTTGTAAGATCGTTGTGAATATGGTGGTGCCGATGGAGCCACCGAGGAATCGAAACGTGCCTAGAAGCCCAAGTGCCAGGCCGATATTTCGCTGAGGTACGTGGATACTTGCAGTGAGATAGCAACATGTGGTCATCCAGGCAAACGGTGTGTTGGCAAAGAATTGGCAGATTATAGCCAGGGGTAGTCGATCCGGAGTACTCAGAGCAAGCAGAGCAGTGAAGATAGTCTGGACCGTAATTGCCACCACTAGCTGAATATGGATATGTCGAATACGATAGGCAAATGTACCAAGAACTGTGCCTCCAAGAGAGCCGCCGAATCCGGCTGGGATGTTGTAGAACCCTGCCTTGGTTGCATCGCGTGTATACACGTCCGCGAGATTCTGGGGAATCAAGTCGGTCATAGAGATATACACGAGCCCAACCACGAAGATTAAAATCAACAAGACCGTATATTCGCGGACTTTGGACATGATATGGTAAGGGAAATTTGGACGTTTGGCGTATCCCCCAAAATCCCAGACGAAGGCCATTGCGAAAATCACAAACCCTAGAATCAATGGGACTAGTACAGCCGCACTTTTCCATGGCTGCGTTACGCCAGCCCATCCAAGACCCAGGAGGAAAAGGGTAAGACCGGCAGTGTAAAAGAAAATGCCTGGATAATCAAGCTCACGGAGGATTTGTGTGCGAGTGCGGTCTCTCAGTGGTCGTGATGGTGGTGTGTAGAAGATTGCAGTCCCTACGAAGGCAGTGACGCCTGTTATTGCGCCTAGGATGAAGACCCAGCGCCAACTGGATCTTTGCGCTAGAGTCAGACCGATTAACGGCCCGAATGTGCTGAACGGGAGAAGGCAGAAATCGGTAAATCCCACCCCGATAGACCGGTAGCGGTTTGGCAACAGTTCAGCAATGCTTGGGTAGATTCTATCAATTGATTCGTTAGTGAATTCTTTGATAAGAGAATAAAGCTTGCACTGACACAAATATAGTCCCTGTTCCTAGTCCCAGGATGACCATGCTAGCTATACACTGATTTACGCTCTGCGCGGTTGAACCAACTATATGGCCAACGATCAGTAATCCCTGACCAGTAAGAATAATATATCGTCGACCAAAATAATCACTGAGCTGGCCCGCGATTGCAAATGCAACGCTGCCTCCGACTGTCCATCCAGAAACCATCCAGTTAACGTTCAGCGTAGTGCCCTGCAAGGCTATCCCAATTCTAGTCAGAATAGGAAATATCGTGAGCAGAGTAAAGCTGAGACCCGGATGAACAGTGAAGGACAAAAAGAGAATCGCTACGATAGTTGACCATGACACTTTGCCATCGGCATTACTATCTTCGAGCGCGGTGCGATGGGGATCGCCATTGTCATCGTATATGTGTGGATCGAGTTCTTCCTGTCCGATTTTATGCACAGGGTTTGCAACTTGGCTGATTTCCATGGTCGTATCTTTCGATAGTATGTAACAAGAAGAGGAGATAGCAGGTGCTTCTCTTACCTATGCAGGCAGTCAATGCAAGGGATGTTATAGCTCGTGGCTCGTCAATAACTTCCTTCTTGGAGGATAAGGTCGGCCCGTCCTCTCAACCCACCGGGCCGACTGTTTCTTTGTTCTATCCCTTCACTCCATATTCTGATCACAAAGCGGTTATATCCGATCCGGCGGAACAAGTCAATATTGACATTGTATAAGTGGAAGAGTTGTGAGACGAGAAAATGGAGAGAATTCAACGATGGATTGTTTCAAGGTGACTATTTATCCATACTCTACATACTTCCAAGGTTATAACTAGTTGGTTTTGTTTGCTTATGATGTTCTATATAACTCATCCAGATTGGGTTAGCGTCGGTTTGGTAGTACCAATACTCGAGGATGCTATCCTCGGCTATTGCAAATTCAGTCTACAATCGACATTCTCTACAATACTGCCATACATACGCCCTAAAGTAGAGGATATGCGTACTGTAGTATATGGCTATATACCATTTAATAATGAACCTGATCCGCCAATCGGAGGCGCCGGCTAGCGATTTCCCCATAACCTTATTTCCCCGCATAAATCACGTATTCGTATTGAGTGTCGCATTAATTCCTCAATTACCGCGCATGTTCTTGATGGTAAAATCATTGCTACTGATACAATCATTGCCTATCGGTCTCCTTCTCACAATGACAGAGTCTCGGACCAGTGTTCGTGACCAGGCGCGACCGCGGCAGGTGCTTTCCACTACCGCCTGCCACAGCTGTCGTTCGTTGAAAGTAAACGTTCCCATCTGAGCTATAGAGCTATGACCAATCCTGATCATCGTTTTAAAACTAGATCCGATGCTCTCGAGGGTCTCCTAGTTGTTCTCGATGCCTCAAGAAGAAGATCACTTGTATTTATCCCGAACCACCAAATCGAAAGTTGCTTGCTGCACGCCGCAGCGGGAGAGCTTTCTCAAGGTTTAGTGCTCCGAGCGAAGAGACGGGTCCTTCGGTTGGCTCCGTCACCGCGGTTCACACATTAGATCAAATTTCAGATCCAAATGTAGATGATATGCCGTTTGCTGAGTTGCTCTCTTCAGCCGGAACTCCTCCATTGCCTCTCTCTTCGGAATTCCATCCTATATCATCGATACGTGATGATCCTGACCGAGACGCGGTACCGCAAGTGAATGGCAGTGCATACGAGAATAACACTCCCCAGGATCGACGGAAATTACCTGAACGCGCAATCGGCTTCTTGTTAATAGAGGTATATTTTTCAAGGATCTTCTCGGCCTCATTACTGTACAATCACAAAGAATTCGTGGAGTGTTATAGTGCTGGCACTCTTCCAAAGCATGTCTTACTAAGCACCTTTGCAATCTCATCATTGTGCGTATGGTCGATTTCATGGAGAATACATGAGGATGATACCACTAACCAGGAGCAATATCTGAATTGATAGATTCTGCCGCCCATCTCCAGCCGAAACATGCGGGAAGATCTCGCCTCTTGGTGAGCTAAAATCGTTGCGAGATTGCGGTCGTGAGTGGGCCGAATGGGCAAGCGAATTGGTTTTGGTGTCATCTGATACGCCTACTTTGGCCCATGTCTGCTCATGTGACGTGCTTAGTCTTTACTGGTTTGCCTTGGGTGAGACTGAAAGGTCGATGTTCCATGCTAGTAAGTATGAGCTTGTCACTCATCATTCTCCGTCTGATCTCTTTTTGTAGCCGTCTCGCAAACATCATTGCGCCTTCTGGATCGCAAGGGCAGGTTAGGAGATATAGATGACCGGCTTTGGAGCTCCAACCCTATTTTAAAGGATCGTGTGCGCTGGGCATGTTTCATCAAGAGCTGTATCATTGAACCGGCCCCTGGGTGCCAGTTCCCAGACTTTTATTTGGATACAAAGCCAATGTTTGAACGGAACTTCCCATCGCCGGACCGTTTGAATTCAGTCTCGACTACTCGCGACGGCTTTGTTGATTGGCTAGTCTGGGATGAGACCTATTCTCAGACAAGTGCCATATATATGCTAGAAGCTTTACGACTTTGGTAAGCTTTCTGACTTTCAATATGGTTCACTTCTCAGTCCCATGGAGACATATTCATGCTGGCATGCTTTTCATGATGCTATATTTTGACGCTTTCACATGCTTCTCACGACTCATCTTATTTTTTAATTAGGCGTAAAACAAAGGAGTACGTTCGGAAACTCGAAGAGTCGAGTTATCAGTCCTGTTTGGCAACCTTCTTTGAACTTGATGGCAGCTTACAGGATTTTTACTCATCGCTTCCAAGTGAATTTAAGAGTGGAAACCTGATGAGCCGCTCGAAAAGCGAACCTCTTCAGCGCAATGCATTTTTCATTCTTTCGATATACCATCTCTGTATGATTTTCCTTCACTCATCCATGGTACCGGCATTGTCTCTCTCAACGGCAGGCAAAGCAATTCCTCCCACCGTTATCAAGATTTCTTCCCAGACCGCGACTACTCACGCCGAATGTTTTGCAAAATTGACCCGTGGCTACTTGAGAACAACGCCGGAAATTGCGAAGATTCCTTCTTTTGTAGGTTATTGCGCATTTGTGACAGGAATGGTACTTTCAGCAGTTATGGCGTTTATTGGTCCGGAAAAGGGACAAGGCGTTCGACGCGATGGTGCTGTCTGCGCTTTGTTGGTGTGGGAGCTCAAGGTGTATTGGCCGACTCTACAATGTTTCGTAAGTCTCTATTTTCAATTGCTTCTAGCTCTCACTTTGATTATCATATTAATACTGGTCTTGTTTTAGTACCAAGATTTGGAGACTCATTTTCGATTATCCGAATTCGACTACACGACACTATTAAACAACAATCTACTTGATCCTCAAGCCCACGATTCACCCAGGACAACTGACATGAACGATTCTAGCGTGGCAGCCTTTATTGCAGCATCATGCAATCTCATATATTCCCCTAAATGTGAATTTATTCACCGACCATACTCTGACGACCACGATCATACCAGCACCGCTGGCACATCCCCAAAAACGAATGATTCTAGTAGCTATGATCGAGATCGGAGTCAGCCAACCAACGCTGATTTTGAAACACTATCTACGTATATATCTAGTATTGTTTCACCGTCAAATCAGCTTCCGATGGACTTGGATCTTTCAACAGCTAGTTGGACCAACCTCTTTACAGATACGGGCGGCGGAATTTTTGGATGAATTTGTGGGCGACCACCTCCGATCTATGTATCTATCCTTAGTTCCAGATATGCTTTGATGAGTAAATCATATTCGAGGCAGGTTATATGTCACTAGCATTGCACTACAGATATTGTGCCGATCGAAACTCTGTTAGAAGCTCCAAATATCCTCCAAAGTAGACGAATGTGCAATCCAAATCAAGGCATTTTCACCTTCACCCTTCTTCAACTCCGCAGTTTGCCTAATTATTTCTCTTGCCTCCTCTTCATCTTCATGATAGGTGTCTGTCGGGGTAACCTTTACCCCTTTACCAAACGGTGCCTCCGGATAATCAACAAAATGCATAGAATGAAAACAATCGCCCCCTAGAAATGCCCACTTGACTTTTCCATCCTTTCGTTTGACGCGTGCCAGCGCGGCCAAGTTTCCAGGACAATGTCCTGGGGCGTCAATAAGCCAGAAACTACCGTCACCAAAGAAATTGTATGCTTTCTTGAAAGGTCCCAGAGGCTGCCACTTCTCGGGGGCCACCTCCGGGGATGGTAATTCCTCGACTGGCAGCTCGGAATTCTCTTTATGCCAAATTCGGCCGTCAAAGGTGCTGTCAGCTTCTGCAGGCCAGGATTTTGATGCCCAGTCTAGAGTACCGTGACCGCACAGCACTTTGGCGTTGGGGAAGAAATTGCCGACGGGGAAGATGTGATCCCAATGGCCATGACTGATTTTTTTACACCAATCAATACATACATTCCTGTCTCACACGAGCGTGGTGATTTGAACATACCTAGCGACAATGTATTTGACATCTTTGGGATCTGCACCCACAGAAATGACGTCCTGCGCAGGGTCTCGCTTGGCGGGGATCGTACTGAAGACTTTGTGCTGGACTCTTTGGATTCGAGGTGGATACAAAGATAAGTCCTATTTGTTTCTATGCGTCAATCATTGTTCTTTTGCAATAATATAAAACTGGAAACGAGGCACAGATCCTTTGAGAACATACATGAGCAACCCCCAAATCAAACCAAAATTTAGTATTAGAGGGTGCATGCTGGATGAAAAATCTCCACGAGGTGGCGTAATTTTTGCCTGTGAGACCAGCAATGGCTGTTGATGCTTCTATCTGCATCCACCCGGTCTCAAAGGCCGCAATGGAGAGGACGGCATCGTCAGTCTCGGGGGTGGGGAGAGGGTTTGTTTGTTTATAGGCCATTTTGTCTGTTTTTGTGCTCAATCAGTCAATATAAATAAATTTGAATACTTGGTCTACCGATCAAAAACAACACAAGCTATTCCTTGCAGATTCCGACCTATAGTTATATTCAACCGCCCATTATCGCGGCTCGAGGGGTCGGCCCGGCTTGATCTGCAGCACCTACCAGTTGACATAAATACTCACCGGCCCGCCTGTGTCCAGTTCGAGGATGTGCGAGTACTTTCTTATTTTCAAAATTTGATCGAGAGTACGCACAATATGACAATCTCATTTCCATTTCCTGTTCCTTCTAGCAGCCCATTCGGGGTTTATAATATCCCTTTCGGGATATACAGTACTTCGGGAACAGTCAGTACCCCGTGCAGTAAAGATAGCAGCTTGGATTGTTCTTGACCTCCAATAGACGCCTAGGGTTGCCACTGCCGTCGGGAACTATGTGCTCGATCTAGATACCCTACTTCAGCATGGCATTCTTGCAGACCCGATATTGACACATTCCCTTGGCGATGTTTTTCTAAAACCATACCTCAATGACTTCGCCGCACTTCCAATCTCTGATCGTCGAACAGTCCGCGCGATCATCATCCATCATCTTACCACTGCTGATTCTCCGTTGTTCAAAGACGAGTCTCTGCAGCAGAAGGCTTTCATTCCGATCCAAAATGTCACCATGCACCTGCCTATGCGGCTTACGGACTATACCGATTTCTACTCCTCGCTGGTGCATGCCGACAAAGTAAGATGATACAAACTCCTGAGGTAAAGCAGCCTTCTAACCACACAACGCCTTCTAGGCCGGCAAAGCAATGAACATCCCCATTCCACCCGCCTTCTACGAATACCCAATGGCCTACAACGGCCGCGTCTCTTCCGTCGCAGTTTCTGGCACAGAAGTCATCCGTCCCAAGGGTTTCTTCCTCCGCAATCCTAAAGACAAGCACGTCGAGTACCAAGCCTCTCAAGAACTCGACTTTGAAGTTGAAATGGGCTGTTTCATTTCCCTACCGGTAGCTCCGGGAAATGTGGTGAATGCCAAGGATGCGTGGAAGCATGTTTTTGGATACGTCCTATTGAACGACTGGTCTGCCAGAGACGTGCAGAAGTATGAAATGCATCCGTTTGGACCGCTTCATTCAAAGAGTTTTCTTACGAGTATCTCACCCTGGGTGGTTACGCCAGATGCGCTGAGGGGCAGTATTGCGAGGCCGGTGGAATCTAATTACTCGTCGGAGCTGTCGAGTCATCTACGAAATGATCCTGATAACCATGCGGGGTATGATATTGATTTTTCGGTGACATTATCTCGTCAGTATTCTTTCAATATCGTTTTCGAGTTGTATCTCCTCTGACTGATTTGTAGGCAAAAAATCAGACCCTGTCCAAATAGTACAGACAAATCTGACAGACGCCTACTGGGACTCTCTGCAGATGATTGCGTACCAATCATCAAGCGGCTGTGGCCTCAATACTGGCGACCTTTTGGGATCTGGCACGACTTCCTCCCCTGTAAGTTGACATTCATGCTATGTATTGAGGCCTGCAAATTCATTAACTTGTCTGCAGACTCCCCAAACAAGAGACTCCAATACTCCCTCAGGATGTGGATGTCTCTTCGAGGCAAATGCTTGTGGGGAACCGCTGCCGCTTGTCGCTGGTGAGAAAGTAGTATGGCTGGAAGATGGAGACACTCTTACGATTGAAGGCTGGTTTACTACTCCTGATGGGAAGAGGGCTGGGTTTGGCCCATTGAGTGGGTTGGTGCAGCCGACGAGGGAGGCGGTTTGAAGATTTTAGCTTAGATAAGAGCTATTATAAACTGGAGATATAAAGATCATATTGCTTATGTTGATTCTCAATATATCTGTGCATTTCCTAGTACATTTAGTGATAAGCCGGTGAATTCTAAGGCGCTGTATATAGATTATGTTGCGGCCTATAAATGAAGAAAACATGACATAGAAGCCCTCAAGCCCTATAACATCCAAGCATTTGGCATGAATTGTTGAAAGATAAAAAAAAAGCAAATTTCCACGTTACTTCCTGCACAGCATCGGGCTAGGCTTAGGGTTTTTACTCTGAGGTCGGCCCGGCCTAATTTCATCGGCCCGGCCATTTTGTCTTTGATAGGTCACACCAAGAGACAATGGTAGATAAACAAAAAGTATCAATTTTTATATTTGACTTTTGCTTACATCAGGTCTGCCTTTTCATCCGCCAAATTACATTGAATCGCCATGGCTCTTTCTGAACAACCTACATCGGTCTATACGCCGCCGCTAGGTCTTCGAACTTTCATGGACGATTTCCGCGAATCCATCAACAGATGGCACAATCTTCAGCTGAACACATACGACGATCTACATTCATTTTCTATAGGCGCCAACGGCCCAACCCGGAATCTGTTCTGGATGGGATTGTGGCGATATCTGGATATTAGAGCGTCAGTGCAACCCACTATTGCCATTGACGAAACCAGAGGAATTGCCACTTTTCCAGAATTTTACACGGATGCAAAACTGAACTTCGCCGAGAATCTTCTGTCGCAAGTAGATGGTAGCGAAAAGACGGCGATAAAAGTGCTGACTGAAGATAATCTATATTTGGATGGACCGGAACTTATCTCCTGGGGTCAGTTGAGAGACCTCGTGAGGCAATTGGCAGATGCACTGTCTGCTTCTGGCTTATCGAAAGGCGGGGTGGTGGTTGTTGTAGGAGGGAATAACAAGATGTCACTCGCCTTGATGCTGGCTACTGCGAGTCTAGGGGGAGTGTTCTCGTCATTTGGAACAGATTTAGGCGAAGGAGCATTACGAGACAGATTATCTCAGCTCAAACCACAATTCCTATTTACCAATACTAAATACAAATATAATGGCAAGACGCACAGCATCATACACAAAGTGAAATCTGTATGGAACAGTATCACCAGGGCTGCAAACTCAGAACTCATCACTACAACGCCGCCTGATGATATTAGTGAAAACTCATCGACAATCCAACTCAAGGATTTCGTCAGAAGAGGAACAGGCAAGCATCTTGAGTTCTTACAGGTCCCTTTCAACACACCGCTCTTCGTCATGTTCTCCTCTGGGACAACTGGAGTTCCCAAGGCTATTGTTCATTCCCACGGGGGTGTACTGATCAACCTCAAAAAGGAATATAGACTGCATTGCAATTTCGATGACACCGATGTCTATTTCCATTATACGGGCATCGGATGGGCGCTTTGGAATATCATGCTGGGTGCGCTGCTCTGTGGTACCACGGTCGTTCTCTATGATGGGTCTCCTTTTTATCCCAGTGCCCAAGAGTTTCTCCAACGCATTCTCTCCGCCGGTGTGACAGCATTCGGCGCCGGGCCAAAATATTTCTCTGAGCTACGGCGCATGAAAATAAATGCCAGATCCATGGCTAATAATCGACTGAAGATGCTTCTGAGTACCGGTGCCATTCTCACCCCATCGCTATCCTCGTGGATGGCCGAGTCCTTCGGTCCTCTGTGCCAGATTAGTTTTTCGGGCGGAACGGAGCTCTGTGGCTCGTTTGTCCATGGCACTGTCAGTCTACCGACATATCCTGGGGAGATCACCGTCAAAGCATTAGGAATGGCCGTCGACGTGTATTCTACATCGTCATCACAACAAGGCCCTGGTCGAGGTTTACCAGCAGGAGAAAGCGGGGAGTTGGTTTGTACAGAGCCATTTCCCAACATGCCGTTGCATTTTTTGAATGATCCTGAAAGAAAGAGATACATGAACGCATACTTTTCCCAAATTCCGTCCGTGTGGACTCATGGTGATCGCATGTCTATTTCTCCTCATACCGGAGGCATATACATCCTCGGTCGCAGTGACAGTGTACTCAATCCCGCCGGTGTGCGTTTTGGAAGCGGAGAAATCTATTCCATTCTCGAGAAACAATTGGCTGGTGATATCGTAGACTCGATTTGTGTAGGCCAGCAACGAGCAGTGGATGAAACGGAAAAGGCCATCTTATTTGTGAAAGTTTCATCGCCAATCTCTGATGATGAATGGCTGGGATTGAAAAGGAGGATACAAAAGTGTATAGCCAGTGGTCTTTCACTTCGCCATGTTCCATCTGACATATTTCGAGTATCTGGTATTCCATACAATATCAACGGGAAGAAGATGGAGATCCCGCTAAAGGCTGTCGTGTCAGAGGGGAGGCAAGCCTTTGAGAAGAGGAAACTCGCGGCTGAAGAGATAGCGGTTTTACAGGAGTACGTCAAGTATTATCAATATCCGGAGGGAAAGGCAGCGAGAGATGGTAAATTTATCAGGAGCAATTTGTAGTAATAGAACATTTTTCTATAAAATAGTGTTGCTTCTCCGTAATAGTTGAGAATAGAGGGTATTTTCCCTTTATAGTATGCCCACCGATGCCTAGGTGGAATACACGATTTATTATCTTGCCTTTACCTCGACTGCTTATTGTGAAGGCTTTGGAAGCGTTGTACCCCAACCAACTTTCCAATTTTGCCCACGAATGGGGGCAAAGAGCTCCTCAAGGGTCGGTTTGCTGCTTATCATTCCCTGGTCATACAGGGCGTCCACAAGTGCCTCAAGTGTTTTTCTATTCGGCTCAACACCATAAACCCATGCATCGCCTCCAAAAACTTCATCAATTTCGTCTATGGCCGTAGGTAACCATGGAACCATATATCTCAGAGCGTCAAGAAAGCGCATACGGATTCTTGCCACTTCCTTTGAATCATTTAGAGCATGGAAGAGGCTGGATGGAAGCCAGGGATGCTTATCAACCAGCTCCCGCTTCACGACAACTGTGTGCATGATGGGAAAGATGCCCGTTTCTTGAAAATATGCCTTCTCTACTTCTTTGAAGTCCGAGAATAGTCTCTTGACATGTTCCGCGGTTCTAAAACAAGGAGGAATATCGGCTCCAATTGTGGCAGCAAGATCGCCATCCTCAAGCATTTGGCTGAGCGACTTGTCACTCTCGTTTTGGACGATATTCACTGGCTTTGTCAGAGGTGCTACCTTCGGCTTTCCATATTGTCCGGCAGTCAGGAGGGAGCCCTGCACCCATTGTATACTATCGAGGTCGACACCATGTTGCTTGAGCACAGAGCGAATCCATACAGCCGCTGTTATGGTATAGAGCGGCACGCCTACTTTTTTGCCATTCAGATCTTTTGGCTCTTTGACGATATTGCTGTTCACTGCGATGTATCCATGGCGAAATGCTCGGGATGGAAAGGCCGGTAGGGCAACGAAATCGCGGTGGCCGGCCGCATAGCGGCATATGTATTCGCTCAAACTGAGTTCCGAGGCATCAAACTCTTTCCCGCCGACCATGCGGTCAAATATGTCTCTTGGGTGGCTCAAAGCGAGGAAATTAAGGTCGATTCCTTCGGGGACGACCTCTCCAGACTGGAGTGGCTGGAAGCGGTCATAGAGCATACCTGCAAAGGTAATAGGAACTTTCTGGGACGCCATGGCTGGTGAATTGATAGAGTACGATTCAGAAAGTGAGTTGGAGAAACGATACCAACTGGATTTTCCCACGGGGATGGCGTGGGAAGCTGTTCATCCACCTGGAGAAGAAGGTTTGCGCTATCTTCACGTCTGATCAATGAGAGGCATACTAAGATTGGTAGTGTACAATAGCACCTACAAACTCCTTGAACTAGGGGATAGAGCCGAAAATGCCTCAACAAATATTTCCTATTGCGATCTTCGAGGTAATGTCTTACCCCGCCTGGGGTTATCTCCCCGGGCCCCATGGGGTAAACAGTACTCCGGGCGTCTTCATTACAAGGAACCCTCGTTTGCGTGCGGAGAAGGCATTTCGACTTGCGAGCCTTGTTTTCACTAGCTCCAGAAGCTAGCAAGGGCAGCTTTCTTCCTTTGTAATCAGCGTTTGTGTATATGCATACACACTTCTTTGAAACATTAATAATACAAGACACCATCATGGCCGAAAAAGCTCACCATCTGCACGATGAAATTGCCGATGAGAATATCGTTAGGAGCAAGACTTCCAAATCAGGCATTGTCTTGCGMCCCCAGCCGTCAAACGACCCAAACGATCCGCTGGTACGCTTGTTCTTTTATCTTTTCTCGGACGAGCGAGACGAAAAAGCACACTGACAGATACAGAATTGGCCGCAATGGGAGAAGTACACGACATACGTCGTTCTCTGTTGGTTTACGTTTCTCTCCTTCATGAACTCTTCGGCCTTCACTGTTGCAGTTGTGGACATCGTGAAAGAATTTCACAAGACTTCCACAGAGGCAAGTTATTTGAGTAAGTTTGGCTTGCTATTACCGGGTGGATATCTACCTTTGTATTCGTTTCTAACACTACTACAGCGTCTCTGCAGGTGCTTGCAATGGGCTTCGGCGCTTTATTTTGGGTACGTTCTACTCAACCTCCCTTACCCAGGCTCCTCGCGCTGACGGTTTTCATGTTAGATGGCCATGACGAGAAAGATCGGTAAACGGCCTGTATATCTAGTTTCTATCCTTTTCCTCTGCGTCACAAACATATGGAGCTACTTTGCAAAATCATACGGCAATCTCCTTGCGTCGCGAGTCGTCGGCGGCTTCCTCACAGCAGCTTCCGATGCGCCGGTCCCCAGCGTGGCCGCCGATCTTTTCTATTTCCATGAGCGTGGCCATGCATTGATGATATTCAACATTGCTATTTCAGCAGGCGCCTTCTTTGGTCCCTTCATAAACGCCTATATCACTCAATATCTGGGGTGGGCCTGGATGTGCGGTGTTATGGCAATCGCATCGGGTGTGACATTTATCGTGGCGATTGCCCTTATCAAGGAGACAGCATATATTCTTCCAAACGGCGTACGAGATCTCGACCGGTCTGCAGAGACATATCCACCGAAGAGAAGTTGGGCTGCATCCATGTCCTTGACCGGGGGAGTCGACCCAGAGGCTTCCTTTTTCAGATGGGTGTTTGAATCTGTACAGCTCATGGCATATCCACCTATCTGGGTTAGCGGACTCACAGTTGGGGTGTTTATCGGATGGTAAGTAGTCTGCACATATCTTGTGAATGGCTGTTGCTCATCATACTGTAGTAATATTGCGCTTCAATTGACCGCCTCTCAGACCTTCACGGCTCCGCCCTACTCATGGGCGCTACATAGTGTCGGCTTACTGTCACTGTCTGGTTTCACAGGCTCTGTGATCAGTTTCTTCTTTGGTGGTTACCTCATCGACTGGCTGGCGATTCGATCAATCAAGCGTCACGATGGGCATGCAGAGCCTGAGTATAGACTGCCAGCCATGATAATCCCGGCTGTCATTGGTCCTATGGGACTGTTAACCTTCGGACTCGTTATTGCGTATGGGAAACCTTGGGCTGGTGCAGCTATCGGGTATGGCATGCAAGGATTTGGCGCGACAGCCGCTGCAAACATTGCAGTCACATATGCTGTCGATTCTTATCGTCTAGTAAGTATAGCGCCTACGATAGTTATCTCGATCTGACCTGTCATAGGTCGCCGGAGAAACGATCGTGATTATATTCATTCTTCGGAATGTGATTGTCTGCCTCATCTCAACTTATATCTCGAAGTGGTTTCAGAATCAAGGCAAGAAAGATGCCTTTGGAGAATTGGTCGCTGTTGCCTATATTATTTTGTCATTCTCTTTAGTCATGTACTTCGTCGGGTCTCGCATTCGACGATTTACCATGACATATGGCCCTATGGCCAAGCACAGACTGTACTGAGCGTAATCTATTCAAAGAATTAGATAGCAATACTTCTCATACACCATATACACCGCTGGTGGTGGCAATGTCGTCCTATATTTGGAGTTGTGACAGGATCACTTTACCGCTATCCCGAATATGGTAAGCGCAGTGTCAACATCTGCTTCAACTCATCTACTTGAGCTTCAGCAGAGGAACGGTCAAGTATGGCTTCCGGCAAGATCATCGCTGGTTTCTTTAAGTATGCTTTCGATTTGATAGCAGCCGCCGTGGGGTTGTATGCGGTATTGCTAGCGCTGCTCACCATACCTATATTTCAATCCCATGTGGTGTACCTACACGCCTTTCAAATGACATGGTTTAAGGATCTCAATGTCCCCGAGAATTTTGGCTTCCTCAGGAATCAAGTCACTCCGTTCTCAATTAGGACACCTGACGGCGAACGTCTGTACTCTTGGCACATTCTTCCAATAGAATTGTATCGCAAGCACGAAGAATCTCTAATCGCAGAGCCAATTGGGTTTGTCTCGGACATCACGTCCAGACTTGCATTTCAGCTGCTGCGCGACGATCCCGACGCTCGTTTGATTCTTCATATGCACGGTGCTGGGGGAACTGTCGGTTCAGGATATAGAGTTCCTAATTACCGTGCATTGTCCGCAGGTCAACCTGGCAAAATTCATGTCCTGACATTTGATTATCGTGGATTTGGACGAAGCACTGGTTCCCCATCTGAGAATGGGCTTATAATAGATGCACTTACAGTCGTAGACTGGGCTGTCAAAGTCGCTGGTATCCCTCCCTCTCGAATCCTTATCTTCGGTCAGTCTATGGGAACCGCAGTTAGCATTGCTGTGTCTGAGCAACTTGCATTGCAATCTCCTCCAGTAATTTTTGCAGGCACTATTCTCGTTGCGCCATTCGTCGATTGCGCGACGTTGGTCTCAACTTATCGAGTAGCAGGAATAATTCCACTCCTCTCACCGCTCGAGAAGTTCCCTACGCTGTTCAACTACCTCCAACGCTTTTTACGGGATAAATGGTCAAGCAAAGACCGCATCGCGCAATATATCCGTTCCAACGAAGTTAACAGCGAGAAATACCGCCTCACGATTATACATGCTCAAGATGATTACGACATTCCGTGGCATCACACTGAAGTAGTCTTCTGGTATGCAGTTAACGCTTCGATACCGCGTGGAATAAGCTATGAGGAACTCGAAAAGAAGAAGTTAGACTCAAAGGTCGATCTAGGGGCTGCCGGCTCAGTCATGGAATGGAGAACGGATAACAGTGTGATTCGAGAGGAAATACTGAAAACTGGCTTGCATGATGTTGTCATGGGTTATCCGGTTGTCACGATGGCTGTGATGCGTTCTTTCGAAGCGGCAGATCCGTCATTCACATGTTAAATTAGATTATATATACAGGTGATTTGGTAGGATATCTACACATCCAAGTGCCTTTCGTGCTTCGCGCTGGTCTGCCTGTGATGAGATTGACGGATATCGGTACATTTTGTAAAGGACTATTGTCTATTGTTGTCTCAAGGTAGGATAGTACTTTCCGGAAGATATTGGAAGTCGCAGAGTAAGCCATGTAATGCCAATCTTCTTGAGTCATGGTGTCCAGCAAAGTAAAGCATCGGCTCAAAGCCAGTCCGCATAATGTCCACTATCTAGATCTATATGCACAATACAATACTATTTTAAGCACGCAGCCATATCCTCAACAGCTAATATGTTTAGAAATCAAGCTAAAGTGACTCGCAATCTACCGCCTTACAATAAAAGCAGTGTCAAGTGCGGCCAAAAACGACGACGCTTTCACCAGGACGGACATATGTAATAATCTTCGTCCTGGTGAAATGGGGGCCATTTTCCGCTTCCCGCTTTGTCACGGACTTGGAGATCCATCTTAGTTAAACAGCTCTGTGTCGAGGTACGCTAGGCTTTGTTGAGCCATATAAAGGTGTGGCCCAGTTCGGCTTAGCAGCTCCTCATCCTTATGTGTGACAGTGTGTATGGATCCCAAGGTCCGAGTCTGAACATAGTGGCAGATATGAAAGGTCAGATAGAGCCGGCATGAAATAGATCATGTCGGTGGACTATTGATATGATCTGTCACAGCGATTGTATTGTGCTGTAACACGTTGGCCAAACTTTTCAAACACTTGTCATGTGAAATTCCCCTTGATCTGCTGCCCGAGTGTTGCGCAGCGAGACTCAAATATATCAAGCCAGGGCATCCGACGAACATCTACCATGATACCTTTCCATGAGGCCAGTCTATGCTTCTTGATAACACCAACTATCATCCTCATGGCAAGCTCATGGTATTGGTCACTGGTTTCGCCGATACCACACAGTATGAGAAGCCAAAGGCGGACGATTTGCAGGTGAGAATCCTTACTCCAGATACTCTGCAAATCAGTATCCTCAGATAGTATGTTTAGCAATGCTGAGACACGTGATCTGGAAGTCCCAGGATAAGAGCGGCATCTCCGCTTCACTTCAATGATCCAAATGGTAGAACCGAGTCGTATGGCCTCTGATATCATGTCGGAGCGTTGCACCCGCTTCCCTGATATCGCTGGTTGTTGCTGCAGAAGGTAGTAGGCGACCGGATTTATGAGAAACCCCATTCGCTCTTCATCATCCCAGATAGCGTCGCCATTGGTGGCTAGCTCGACACGCAGAACTGTAGCGAGCGCATTGAGATCCGCTATGCAAGACATCACGCTTGTCAGCCGAGTGTCCTGCTTGATCTCACCGTTCATAAGGCTGAATAGCGGAGCAGGAAGCGTGTCTGGAGTCAATTGATGGTTTACATTGGCGCTTGGCATTGCCGTGCAGAGGGGAAAGAGTGGTTTCGTATCACACACTAAGGCAACTGTAATGTCCGTCCTGTGATGCAAACATCAACACCATGTGTCTTTCAGATTATTGTGTTTGTCGCGGATCCATACCATGAAATCATGGCCATTAAGTCCGGTTTAGCCTCTAAGTTMCYCCMCCCGCCTCTTGCCTCAACAATCATGCGCATGCCCTTGACATGCACCATCGCTTGGTCAAAATCCAGGTTGATTAACTACTTCAAACTCAGCTACGTTCTCAAACAACAGCTCGCTATAAGGGATGAACCTTACATTATAGCATACGATAGCCAGCACAGCACTGAGAACATTATCAGACAATGAGCTGCTGACATTGCAACTAGCAATGGTTGATTCGATGCACTGAATTGTTGTTAAAGAGCGCTCTAATGCAAGAAATTGGAGACGTCTCGCTGAAGCACGGTACAGTGGGACCAGAAGATCGGGCGAGATGAAAATTTGACGGTAGTGCCAGAGAAATGCGGATTGCCTGAATGCAAACGGAAACCAGAATGTTTCTGTCGAGCGAGCTATGAAACAATATTCAGCAAGTGGTGAACAGTGAAAGGTTCCAACTAAGCTGTAGGTAATTTACCTGGACTCGACGCATTCTTTCCCGCCATCATCATCAGAGTGAACCCATATGCCGAATAAGAATCCTCTCCCCATTCTTTTTCAAAATCGGACAGCGCATCTAGGACAGACGGCACGGGTGACATCGCGGCGTACTGTGTCGTAGGCTCTAGTGCAACGGTGTTCGGCAAGACAAGATCATTCGATAGAGCTGGCAAACGGATATTGTCCTCGTTTTTCGAATATCCGCCATTATGAGCTCTCGGCTGTGTCGCCAAAGCCTCGGTTGACTGCCATTCTCTAATGACGAATGGTAGCTTCTTCGGCCGCTTTCTCCGGGATTTGCCAATCTTGACCATGACATGACGACGAATCTCGGAGTCGAGCGATTTGTTGGGACGTGAACTAAAGCTGGTGTCACCAGCGTGCACGAAGAGAAAACGTTCTTTCCCCGAGAGCTCCATCTTCAGCTGTTGTCGTGCAGAATTGAGTCAAGGGGATTAGGACGAGGATTTGGGGAAAAGGGCATTCGAAACGGCGGAATTACGTTGTGTCAGAGGAAAATCCCTCAGACGAGTGAATGAGGCTGAATTAGCTGAAACTCACCCTTATCATCTATATCACATCATAGTTTCGAATTCTCTACTAGATTGACTTCCCAGAAGAATACTTGTCAAAGGGAGGGCTTCTGATAGTGGGGAACAGGATGATTGGTAATAGTATTGTCTGGGGGGACTAAAATGAACCTTAATCATCGATCTTTGCCGCTTTTGTGCACCGTTTGCCGTTTCTGACTAGTCAGTTTAGATAGCTGTGGTCGAGAATTGTATTTGCCCTTACCTTTTTTGGATCATAAAGATCTTAGTAAGGCAACATCGGAGTTGGAGTTCATTATTAGGTGCATAACATGGCGAATATTGAGACATCTACGCTAAAATCTATTACATGTAATTTGATATGAAAAACCCTTGTAATTTCAATTTCATGTACTGAAGGTTCATCCAGTAATTACAGGGGTACTAGTTCCACGACACAGATATCAGTCGAGGGTTGTGAGACAGACTATTCTCGAAGCATCAATTAGGAGGTGAAAACATGTGCTCTTCTTTATACTGCTTGTGCCCGTTCATGCAATGGATTTATGCTGTCAGTCAACTACCTGCAAGCCACTCACAAACTCACTCAGGTTCCTTCCACGCACTCCGCCTAAGCCAATCTTCGAAGGAAGTGGCCCTGACCCCTAACTCCTCAAACGTATCGTTCATCTTCGAAGGGTCCATGGCTCCGAAGCAAACCTTGTTCGCTGGCGTTAGAGAAGCCCATTCCATCATCTTCTGTGCATCCAATTTAAAGGCTGGGCCAACGAACGGGGCTGTCATCTCGCCAAACTTTTCAGGGCTAATGGGATCATGAACAGCAGGCTGCTCTGTGACCCTTGTGAATGTCTGGGCCATTTCTTCGGGGGTAATGAGGGGGCTCATGACGAGATACGTCTTGCCTGCAGTCACGTCGAAGCCCAGATCGAAGACCCCTGCGTGGTCACGGTTAGTACTATCATTCAGGACCGGTCATGCTCTGGAATACAAAGTGGTGCGCAGAAATAGTGTGGGAAATGGGATTAGGTTATGGGCGCGTATGTGACTTACGTTCAGCAAAGCGTCCCATGTCGTAACTTGGGTCAGTCCACTGCGCGACCTGTCTGCTGGGAATGGGCATGCGGAACTCAACCACACCGTCCGCTGGTTCAGGTCTGTATGTTAGTCGCAAACTTCTCAAATCGTATGCCATAAGCCAATGACAGAGTAGATGCAAATATCACTTACAGCGGCGGCGAGTATACTGAGGCCATCTTAAATTTGTGTAAAAGAAACCTGCGTGAGAGAACATCAACAGTCAGACTTGGATTGTCCTTGGATTGAATGTAAACAAGGTTTATGAGGATCACGAACCAGGAATAAGACAAGTCACGCCGCTCAAATGCTCTTTTGCGATCATTTCAATAGCATGCTTGTTGTTCATGTGATGAATACCGAGAAATTGCCCGCGGGTTACCTCATCCATGTTTGGCAGGCTGCTGAAGACAAAGTGCTTGACGCCAGATTCTTTGGCTGCCAGGACCATGTTGCGGCCTGCCTCGATCTCGTGGGCCATTTCCGCCTCGTCCACCAAGACCTTGCCATGATAGATCTCGGAGGTGACAGCGAAAACACCATAAGCACCAGCAAACGCCGAACGTAGGCTGCTCTGGTCATAAGCGTGACCCGAGACAAGGTTGAGACGGTTTGGCTCAGGCTTTCCAGAGCACTCATCTAGAAGGTTTTTGGCCCGAGATGAGTTAACATCGCGCGTTAAGGCGCGGACGTGATAGTTCTTATCAGAGGCTAGTAGAGCTAGGACAACGCCTGTGCCCTGGTTGCCCGTGGCGCCAGTCACGACAATAATGCGAGACGGCATTACGTTGAGCTTGCAGATTGTTCTTTGTTCTTTCTATTAGACTGAGGAACAAGGAAGGGTGAGAAAATCCGAAGGCATTAGATTCGGAATTTCAGACCAGACCCTCGATTTAAGATCTTTCGCTTCCGCAGAATCTATAATCTAAACCTTGGACCAGCCGCGACGTGCGTATACACGAAGTATCGAAGCGTTTGAGTTCCGTCACTCAGCTTGAATGTTCCTGTGGGTCGACGACAAAGTGGGATTTGGTGCGCAGACGTTGCACAATCGAATTGGTCATTGATGAACCGCCCAAGTTAGCAACACCAGTCTTGGGATCCTGGAACCCCTTCTTCCCCATCCACGCCGAGGAGTCTAATATCTACCAGGAATTCTACGGCTGGCCCCAGGTTGCCGAGACTGCTAGGAAGGCTATTGCTAGCATGATGCATTCGAGTGAGCTCGGCAACGACTTACAGGTCCAGCAATTCTGCTACGGACAGTTGATCAGCTTGGCGCATGTAGCCGATTTCAAATCAATGGTGTAAGCATTTGATTGATAATCGTCCAGCATCTAATTAACATTTATATGCGGCTGTCACTAGTCAGTAGCCACGGTCCACTTTGATCTGTCAATCGTTCCCATTCTTGGTGACCATTAGCCCTTTCCGGCAACGGGCCGAACGACCAACCGTAAGCGCTCCATGAATGGAACCAGATCAAGGACAAACAGAGCCCTGTTAGCCTAAGCTGCTTTGGTGACACCGTTTTCCCTTGGAGGCAACGCCGACTTGAGGAAATTGCATTCGCTGTATTGTCAAGATGCAGGGCGATGAGTTGTAGCCCACGCATGATCTCATGATTGCTTACATTGAGAGCCCAACAGGATAACACGGCAAGAAAATGCGTATAAATATGAAGAAGAGCCGCTGTTGAATGGGAAGGTTGAGAACGTGCAAGCAGATTCATCAGATTTGCGACCTCTCTGTTGATATTGTTCTGCGCGACCTAAGCGCTGCACAGTTCTTTTGCCTTTGTTGACTTCATTGTCCCAACAGTCTACTCATCTTCGCCGATCATGATTACGCTATACTGCGAGGGAACTCCCAACCCTCTCAAGATTTCCATCGCGCTGGAGGAATTGGGCTTGGAGTACAAGGTATGATGTCGGGTAACATCTTCCAACGCCAGAGAAAGGACTCCCTGACGCAGTCCTTGTATAGGTCCGCAAAATCAATCTCTTTAACCACGAACAGAAAGAACAGTGGTTTCTCGATATAAACCCCAACGGCCGCATTCCAGCTATTGTCGACACGGACGAGAATGGTCGCGAGCTGAATATCTGGGAAAGTGGTGCAATCTTGCAGTATCTTGTGGACCGGTACGACAAAGACCACAAGATCTCGTATCCTCAAGGCAGCAAGGAATACTGGCAGATGACAAGCTGGGTAGGTTTTGCCTTTCATCGTCACCTCGAATTTTGAAAGGGCAAATTCTAATCTGGAATTCCACCAGCTCTTTTGGCAGGTGAGCGGTCTCGGCCCCATGCAGGGTCAAGCAAACCATTTTAAAAGTATGTTTGGGAGACAATGGGACGAAAAAGATGACACTGATCTGAAATGAACAACAGTGTCCGCTTTCGGCGACTATCCGTACGCCTTAAACCGCTACGTCAACGAAACACGCCGTCTCTACCGCATCATGGATAAGGCCCTTGCAAACAATCCTTCCGGATATCTCGTTGGTGATCATCTGAGCATTGCCGACATCGCTATCTGGCCATGGACAACTGCGTACAGTAAGAAATCTACTCGATTCGATGGAGTCCGAGTCTTTACGGTAAATACTGACGGCACGCATCATAGAGTACAGTGGCCTATCCCAGATTGATGAATTCCCTCACGTTAAGGATTGGATGTATAGACTCCTCGCACGTCCCGGTTTTGAGAAGGGTCGCAACGTGCCGAGTCCTCATCTTTACCTCCAGCTCAACGAGCTGTCAGACGAAGAACTGACGAAGTTGGGGAAGGAGAGATCAGGATGGATTCAGGAGGCTATGAAGCGCGATGCAGAATGATCACAAGGCCATCTGTTTATTGGTAAGTTACGTACACACCGGCTCTCCTAAATAGAAAGCAAACGTTTCCTCTTTATAATAGCAAATTAATTCGTCTTCTCTGATATAGAATGCGTCCACTCTCTCAATATTACAGTTGAGCTCTCCATCCATTGGTTTCAGTAATGCAAAGCCAACAGACATAGAATAAGTGGTATGCCGTTACAATGGGCTTGTTCTTGGGGGATAGCTACAACGCTATGTCTAAGAGCACTCAGTTTTTAGGAGTAAAGATGACCATAAGACGTCTCGATGGAACTAGCTGCTTTAATCTGCACCTGCAAGTCGCTAGTTATACTAAGCCACACAATTTAAAGGTTGCTCTATCTGATAGTACTCAATGATTCTTTTCGTGGTGTGAGAATATCTATTATCCCAGATGTTCTTTCGGTTACGTCGCCTTCCAATACATTAACCTAGAAAAACCCCAAGCTAGACAAATCTTTCATAATCTCCTTTGCATCCTTCTTCGCCTCAGCTGCCTGCCCAGCTATGATGCTGTTCGGCATTTCCGGTTCCTCCTCACCATGTTGCAGAGCAAGCAGCAAAAGACCACCGACGGCCACTAACAACGACACACCCAACCACGCGAATACCCTTGCATAGGAAACACTAGCCCTAATCCTCGAAATCACAGGCGCCGCAATCGACATCGTACTCGGCGCAATAGTCGTATCATCAAAAGTCTGATGAAACGAATCCCAGGCCGCTAGATAAGCCTGACGAATAACATTTTCAACGTACAAATCGAGGTTATCCCACGTCGGGATTTGGGAAGAGTTCATAAGCGCGATTTGGGTTAGAAGGTCGGGCAGAAGCCAGAATGCTTCTTGGACCCATCGATCAGGCTCGAAATGGACTTGGTCGAGGGGTGTCTGGTCTTCGATGACTCGGGATGATGAGATGTACGTGCTCAGTGGGCTCGTGGTTACGCCGGCTGTGAGGGTAATGTTGGCGAAGATGTAGCATGTTCCTAGGCCCCAAGGGTAGAGATACTGTGGAATGCTGCTGTTGATGTTGAAATCGCCAAAAGGACTCTTGAAGCTCGCGCAATTTTCGGATGCGCCATTACCAAAAACGAGGCCCAGGCTTTGATTACCGGAGACGATGGTTGGATCATGAAAGCCCGTCTGCGAGGAGTTCCAGAGTAAATCCGGATCAAAGAGGATTGCGTGACCAGGGCTCGTGAAGAGGTCCAGACTTGTGTTCACTTGGCTAAGCGACGGCGCAAATGAGAGAACATCGTTGGCCACCGTACTCGAAATCTGACTCGCCGCTGTTGCCCACACGATATTTTGGAATTTGATGCATGGTAGGGTAGAATTTGTGAGCGTCGAGTTGGTGGGGAGACCATCATTGTTGCTGCTGACGACGTGCCGGCATCCATTCCCAGTCAGAGAGGTCCCGTTGCTGCTGGAGATGGTCGAGCTGTCGGACCATGCGAGGCTGGCAAGCCCCTGCGCTTTTGCGAGTACGTATTGCCTCGTTGTAACAGATGTGGCGGCGTAGCCTGGGTATTGTTCCCATAGGACAGCGCTTGCGGAAGGATCCGTGGAATTCACTAATACATTCGCGCTTCCGGGGACGGAAGTTGGGTTCCAGTTTATCGCACCGGCGAGGAGAGGTGCGATGAACGGTTGAGGGAATATGCTGAGCAGTATCGCAAGAACAACCCAGCTCCGGATGCCTCGTGGGAGTGGGAATGGGTATCTGAAGCATGGCGGTAGTTTATATTTTGTCATGAACGAGAGCTGCGAAGTACTGAGCTTTGGGTTGCCGTTGTGCGTCAAGAGATACGCGCATTTCCAGATTGCGATTGCTGCCCAGGAAGTAGTAAAGAATTTGGTGATGACCAAMCCCGCCGAAACAAGCGTTGTTATGTCGGAAACCCGGAGGTGGAGAGTACCGTCGGAATATCGAGGTGTTGTGGTATCGATAGCATCGTAGTTATTGATAGCTAAGGCTATGCTTAAGGACAGTGCGATGCTACAAATTGTATGCGCGAGGAGAAGTAACCAGCCTTGAAGTGCCCACGTTAGTGTTGACCTTTTTCGGGGGTGATTGGCAGACTCTGAGTTGTCTTTTTTTATGTTTGTAGGCGTAAGAGCGAATGTCTCTGTGGGAGTTTGCTTTTCAGCCATGCTGAAGACAAAGAGCACTCTTGATATTCAGTGGTGATATATGACCAGCAGCAGACAATTATTACCTGATGTGTTTAGATCTGGGGGAAAGTCTCTTGAAATTTTGGAGCCGCGGTCTAGGGTCTTCAGGAGAGGGCTGGAGAGCATTTGGAAAAGCCGACATGATAACTAGCATGATTGGGGCCATGTATGTTCTGACATTTTCCTGAGTAATGATACAAGGGCAATACAACACATTACACAGAGTCTTATGAACTAAGGGCACATCAACTACGAGTATAATATGTTATATGCAGCCTGTCATTTGTCAAGGCAGACATACTAATCTATCAATATCGATGTCTGGACTTATGCATATTGCATGGCCGTAGTGCTGGTGACACCACCGCCATTTATTTTGCGGACAGGTTCCTCAACCACTCACGAGCTGTTGTCAGCAAGCCACAAGGCTCCAGATATGGACATCATACTCTTTGCTATTGAGGAGGTTTGAAAATAAACGGAATCTATCCAATGAAGTTTAAGCATGTATCATGCGTCGGTTGTTCTTTAATATCTCACTTTGGCTATGGATATCAGTAAAAAGAACGAAAACTACACTATACCATTAGCAGACCAACAGGGACAAATAGATATGTGAATAGCACTTAATATTCGAGGCTGGCTGATCTGATTTCCATTCTGGTCTAGGTGCAGAATGGCATCTTTACACCAAGTCATCTCATAATAAGAGCCTCACGCTCGTACCGTTGTCCAACGAAACCTAAGTCCAGAGTGGGCACTAAAAGTCTTCGCAAACGTTGTTACTGGCGTATGTTATGAAGATTAATTAAGTTACAGTATGGCCTTAAGATGTAATTCAGAACATCAAATATATTAGTGATAATACATAACACGAGATAGAGGCAGAACATCTAGCAACCCTCGACAAATCGCGAGGAGTTAGATAGGAAAATAGAGTAGTGTTGTAAAAAAAAGTAGGGAGGTGCGATAATATTCAAACTAATCGTTGGTCTTTGACCTCCCTCCATCCCGCATCCCGGCGCACCGCTGCAGCCGCTAACTAAACTATCACTTGGTAATTATTAATTACATAGTTATTTTTCGGAGAGGTGGACAGGTCGCTTGGGATTTACCAGCACGTTATAGGATGAAATGTTCAGCCTAGTCACGTACGCTTCAAATTGGCCAAATCTGCATTCTGCGTCCAATTTGAAATCTGCCGAGACTTGCAGCTAGCTAGTCATTTCATTTGAACTCCGATCTCACTAACTACTGCCTTTCTTGTTCACGATTGGTGATAATCCGCGAGCTGATAGCTGTTAGTTCGGCGGGAAGGATTTGTGACAGCTGGCAATGGCTCTACGTTCCCGTGATATCAACACCAGACGTCTGAGCTGGATAGGGAAAGGCACGCCTTGCACAGAGATTTACATCAGAAGCGAAAACCAGAGCTTTTACTTAAATTCTTCCTTTTTCCTCTTTGTGCTTAATATCATCTGTCGACAGGCACCTCTTGCTCGAGATGGTTGGCTAGAATAGCGTTCTCAAACCAAGCTGGTGAATGTGATCTATACAATCTAGGAATACACCTGGAAATTTTCTTTGATCTGAAGGAATTGCTGTCGAGTTGGACTACACTGACAGCCGAGGAATTAGCCCTAATGTCGAATTCCCACGAAAATGACCGCCACGTCTAAATCAAAAAACGAGGAGGAACAGAGATTACGTTAGGGGTTTCAGACTTTGAATGGCAAGAATGCACAGTCAGTCGATGGGGACGTTTGATTCATAGTGTTTCGGTTTCAAATTATGGGATTTTGCGGGCCTTGATGGAGTTTTCTTAGAGTGCAACAAGTGTACATGAATGCTTTAAAAATTGAACTATATTTGAGGACTATGATGAATGTGAGAACTCTATGATATACCGATCTCAATTTTACATATATACGCAGAACCCATTTGGAGTTGGTTATATTTTGATGGAAAGCTGGATGGGAAGCCCCTGGATTGGCGGGCGGCAACTCCACGGCAGAAGGAGAAGGTCATGCATCAGTTGTTTGACAAAATTCTTGAGATTGAGAAGCGTCCCTTTCAAGCGATGGGATCATTATTCTTCTCGGCGGAAGACTCTATAGACATTCGAGGTCTCGCACACTAATCGACATGGCAGATTGGAAAAGGTCCGCTTGGTCCATTCTCTTCCTTTCTAGAGGGGTCTCAGACTATGCTTGAGTCCTACCTTGCAATGATAGCCAGTGGTGAGATTGATCCCTGCTGTACAGTAAAGACCTATCTTGTCCATCGATTCCGCCAGGTTATTGTTGGAGCTCTCTCAAAAAATAACTCACCAGGTGATAAATTCTTCGTCAAGCACCGCGATGACAAGGGTGACCACATCCGGGTTGATCACGACTTTGATATCGTAGGAATCATAGACTGGGAATGGACTCAAACCGTCTCAAAGGCGGAGGCATTCTGTTCTCTATGCATGATGTGGTAGGTGAGCGAGTTCTACAACGGCTCTAATGAACTAGCTGCGGATGAATTGCACCTAGCTGCCTTATTTCAGGAAAGGGGACGTGAATATCTTACCAGCTATGTTCTGAAGGGCAGAAAGATTCAAAAGATTTTTAATTGCTCTTGGGCCCGAGAGCTCTTTTCTAGATATGCAGACACTCTCATATCTTTTTGCAGGGCTCCAGGAAGCTTTCAACCTCAAATATGAGGGCTAAGAGACGTGGAAAGGCAAGGCTCTTGTGAAATGGAAAGATGGCGAGTTGCTCCTCAACTTGTTGACTTCGAATGCCATGTTTCATGTACCAATTAATGAAAGGGCGAGGTAAGAGGGGAGTTGTGCTTTTCAGTCAGAACGATTCCGAGAATAAATGTATCTCATTCACTAACTAAGGATAAAGATATTGATAAGAAATCAATGTTGAAGGGCAAATCCACCTATTTGGGCTCAGGGTCGTTTCCAGCGTTGTTCCCTGCGTCGCCGTAAAAGCACAAATCTCAGGGATTTTCGTCGGTATCGCAATGATATCTGGTGGCGACGATGTTCTTCAAATTATCTGACTAACTCTCTTGATGTCTGTCACACTACTCAACCCAGTCGTAGCCCTGGTGTTAATTATTTACGAACTCACGCCTTCTCTACCACAAATTGGGTGGCATCAGCGATGGGCCCAGCGCTTGCATACACCCTAGTGTGATAGCTCTCATCAAAGTCCACCTTCCAGTACATGTGCCATAGTGTTCGGATGACAATAATATTGCCGTGACGAATCACATCCTTGCTCCCAGTATCGGCAGGATTATACGGGAGAAAAGTCTCGCGTTCGTCTGCTTGGTCCCAGCTGACACCCCAATACAGGAACCCGCCAGAATCTTTTACACAGGATAATACAGTGTCGTTACCAATGCTGCTATCAACATGCGCGAGTCGGATATTTCCGTTGGCGCCACAGGAGTCAGCGTCCAGGTTTCCACTGAATGGCCACGTCCACGCTGAATTCTTCCGACGCTCCCGTATCAGGAAACGAGTGTTGTCTGAAGGCTCGTCAACGACGGTCAGGAGACTCAGCTTTCCGTTACCAGGAGGCTGGATATCCACGGCGAGGTAACGCCCATCCAGTGTCTTGAGTCTAATAGAGTTCAGATAATCGATTTCTGCACCAAGAGGGATGTCAGGGCTTTGCGCAAATTTATTCAGCCGAATGACATAGTGAATGCCGGCTTGGTTCCATCCTTCATTGACAAAGTCACGTTTGACAATACCCAAACCGGTAGATCTGTGCGTGACCCATTCATTGAAGATTGGTGCTGCTCTGCTGTCGCAGTCGCGAGGATGATGTCCAGGAAGGTAAGATCGCTTTGGAGTGTCTATGAGCTGGGTTATCCAAAGCTTCTCCTTCTTCCGTATTTTGAGAGCTTGATCCAGCCAGTCTACAATCTCCTGTGGCGATTTGTCCTCATAGTCAGCAGACCAGTTATCTCGAATGTCTGCCGCTTGCGGGGCCCAGAGCTTGTCGCAGTAGTAATGCGTCGTGTCGCCATTGACCGTCTCATCCTCGCCCCATATTATAATGAACTGCTTCCCGTCTTCCTTCAGCTTAGCCCATGTGAGCGCCTTGTTGTAAGATTTGCCATCGGCGGCCACGTGTGCGGTTGCAAATGCATCTTCTTTTCCGTCTCCTAGGATTTTAATCAACGTGTCCAAAACGTCACTAGCAATGTCATCTGAGTGATTGAAGTCGAGGTCGAGGAAGATGAATTCGGATTTGTGAGCGTTGGCAAATCCCTTGATCTGATTTAGAACAGTCTCGAATGTCTGGAATGTAATGATATTATGCTTCATGACCAATAGATTCGCGGAACGAGTGATCCTCATATCGAAATACCGAGACCCTGCCAGGAGCTGGTCGGTGTAATTCCCACTTTGGCAGATGCTGCCAGCGGCGTCATGTATCGGATCTAGAGCTGATGCATATGGATATGCAGAGGCATCATGACTGCAGGGTATGTATGAATCGATCACATATTCACTGGGTTCCAGGTACTTCATCCAGTTGGAAAGGTCAAGGGCAGAAGCCATGATTAGAAACGATGGGCAAACGTTGTTTACAGGTTGATTCAATGAGTAGGTGATTTTTCAGATTTGATTATCAGCTTAGAGAGAAACAGCTCACTGGATTCGAATAATTTACAGGAGTTTGGAAGTGGGTTTAAAGCCTTTTATATTTGAACAACCTATTTTTGTGTATTAGTAGAGTCTTGAAGAGAACCTCTATACAAGCCCGTTTCGGGAAATCCAAGTTTCTAAAAAGGCTGGCTGGCTGAAAAATGCAATATCTCAAGATTTTTGAACCTCATGGAGAACAGAAAGGGTTCTGTTTTTCAAAGGTATGGATGTAATCCGAGTCTCTCTGATGTGATCAGATACGGTTCTACACGGCTCGCGCATCTTAAATACCAATCGAAGATAAGTTGGCGTTGTAGTTTTCAGAATCGCCCAATAATGCTCCTCGCCCTGTATTTCCTCGAGTGACTGACTATATAGAACTGATCACACGATAGCTATAAGAACTACTCTTTGGCTTTTGGAGGAACATGTTCGTATCGACCAAACCTTATTCTGACTGCTTCCTCAGCTGAAAAGTGCAAACCAAAGCCCGCAGAGCCAAGGCCATTGCAAATGGTAGTCTGAGCTGAAAGCTCATACTGAATATTCTTGTCCAGCCAGCCCAATATCTGCTTCGGGCTCTGCATGGTGGCTTCCGCTCAAATCATTGGTAGGTCCTCAGCCCTGATCCCCTTTGACTTAAACTTTCCCTGAACCCCAGGCCTGTGCTGCCACGCTAGTATCGATCTACAAATGCACTTGGTAAGTTGGGTTAGTAGCCTTGAAGGCCCACGCGCTCTCATGTACGCCACAAAACTGTAGATACACAATCCCCGCAAATGAACAGTCTTCATAAATGTGGCATCTCGTACAAACCTGTGGCGCTGTGAAATGCGGTCGAGATCACATAATTGGGACTTGGAGATAGTCACATCGATCAAGAAGAATTCTGGTGCAAACACTTGGGTTTTTCAGTTATCAGTACACTCATTTCAAGTAGTTAGTATGAGGACAAAATGCCGAGGCTGGCTGTCAGACATATAAAACTTTGTCCATACGGAGTAAATAAGTCTCTTTACAAGTAGGAGCAGCCACCTGAAGTCTATCTAGGCTTGATAACTTTACTCATGGCCTGATGGAGGTTTCCTTGATGCCCTGAAATGACGAGAGGGGGCAAAAGGGTCTAAAACCCCTGTCCACAACATGTACGATCCGGCGCAATTTTCAGGCTGCTGGTTAACTGTGCGCTGGACAACTCGTCAACAAATTGAGCTTAACGTAGAACCTCGAATTCTGCGTGTCTCTTGTTGTTCTGTAGAGTACACATGTACACAAACTCATCGTTGGGGACATATATTACAATAGAACACGTTCCCACTCAATTTCTCTGAGTCTGATGTTGGTTGACCGTTTCATAACAATATATTACGGACGTAGGGCGTAATATTACACCTCGTACTGACCGTTACGATCGGTATCATGTAGTTCACCATGATTGGCCAATCGGTGTAAAGTACTTAGATGTTAGCAGCTATGGAGCCCCCACCATGATCCGATATGGAAGGATGAATCATGTCACGTCAGTTGCTGTTACAATCTTAAATGTCACTTGATACAAAATTCCCATGATGAAACTACATATCTAGACTACGCATTACACTAAACTCTGTCTGCTCAGCGAGCAAACTCTTTGTGCAATCCATCAGCAGATGCCTTTGCGTCCTTTGCCTCATCGTTGTGCCATCCCACTTACAAGAACGATTCCATCTCGTCCTATATACAGGACAGGAAGTCATCGTTTCGCCATGACGACCGAAAGGGTATGTCGATTCTCACCATATACTACGTTTCTGAAACTGACTCCATTCAGAGCTCGTCTGGATCACAGCATCCAAAAAGACTCGTGTGTAAGTCCGATGAGTCTAACGCGGGGAAGTGAGCAAAACATACTGACCGAATCATCAAGTTGCGCCAGGCGACATTCAAGGCCCCAACGATGGAGGACAAGATATCCACAACATCAAGTCCGCCGCCGCCCACCTGGCCGAAGACATCTCACGATCCGACACATCCACTCCGACCTCGGTGATGCAACAAGAGCTCGTATCGCATCCAGCTCGCGCGCATCAATTCGTCATAAACCCGCCCTTGACTATCGCGCAACTACATCCTACGAACCCGCTACATCAGTTCCATCGCTGGTTTCAGGATCCACGAATCCCTCGTTCATCGGCGCCGGAGACGTGTACGTTAGCTACGGCATCGTTACCGTCAGGTCGCGTGAGTGCTCGCATGCTTTATTTCAAAGAGTTGGATGAGCGCGGATGGGTCATATACAGCAACTGGGGCAGTAAAGAGGGCAAAGGTCATCAGATCTTCGGTAGCGGGTTTGCCGTCTCTGCAGATGGGCGTACGCCGGGCGACATACACGAGACTGCTGCTCTCAATGAAGGAAATAGATGGGCAGCCCTTACATTCCTCTGGTCACTAGTTGAGCGTCAAGTCCGAATCGAGGGACTGGTAGAACCAGTATCCCGAGAAGAGAGTGAACTATATTGGCGCACCAGGGAAAGAGGTAGTCAGATCGGCGCCTGGGCTAGTTGGCAGAGTAAAGTAATGTGGTCGGCGGAGCCAGACACGCTCCCACCACCGGAGGAATTGGGACATGCTGACTACGACGATGGAAGGAAAGAGCTAGAGGCGCGCGTCAAGGAAATGGAAGCTCGGTTTGCGGATGTGGACGAAATCCCCTTACCGCCGTTCTGGGGTGGGATTCGAGTCGTTCCTGAGTCGGTGGAGTTTTGGCAGGGGCGCGCGAGTAGACTGCATGATCGATTTAGATATGTGCGAGTCGGACAGACGGATCATGCAGCGGAGAACTTCAAGTGGCGGATAGAACGGCTGTCTCCTTGATAGAACTCATTTATAGCATTAGTTTTTTTTGTACATTAGAATCATGAGCAAGTAGAAGCAAGCATGTCCACTCATTTTTCTCATCTTGCCTTTTGCGGAAGGAGTAACTGAGTGCAGCCTGATTAGTCAGGCATCAACATTAGCTATCTTATCGACAACATTTCCGAACCTCGTCTCATGCTATCTAAACTTCAAGCAACAACAAGGATATCAGAGCCACTCAATCGCCCCCAATTCTGTCCCAATCAATCGCATATGCCGGCCATGTCATCATCTGGCAGCCCAAACCTCAAAACAAGCTCATTCACGCTCACACGATGGGTTACACTGGCCCTCGCCAGCGGCGCATTCGCAGCTCTCAACGGCCTATTCGCGAAACTGTTCGTCCAAACCACTTCCTTCATCTTCTTAACAAACGTCTAGCTAATCGAAAATAGGACAACGACTGAAGCCACCGGATCCGCCGCAAGCAGCATTGCGCACGCATTGGGTCTACCTGAAGGGATGGTCGAAGTCATCGTTCGCGCTGTTCGTTCCCACCATCCCCCCCTAACCTTCATTCAAACCCAACTACAAACTCACGACTGACGTTCAAATAAAATAGATATGTTTCGGTCTCAACCTCCTCAGCAACTTCATAATGTGGGCCCTCTTCACCCGCGCCCTAACGGCCGCGCCCTCCACAACCAAAGTCTCAATCACAAACACATCCGCCAACTTTCTCGTAACTGCGATTTTGGGGATGATTGTCTTTCGTGAGCGGGTAGGTGGGTTGTGGTGGTTGGGCGCTGTGATGATGGGCGCGGGATGTATTCTTGTGGGTATGAGGGATGAGAGTAAGGATAGCAGTCCAAAAGGGCAGGCAGCAGCAGCACGGGAAGGTGGTGATGATGAGGCGGAGGAGACGATAACGTTGAGAGAGGAAGGGTTTGATGATGCGGGTGTTTTGGGAGGGCATGATGAGCCGTATCGGGATGAGTGATTATAGATATATATTATTTAAAGATGTATAGAAAGGATAGTGTATATGTGTCGTCATTGATCATAATCTATTGATATATTACAGGCCCCAGATCACCTCACCCGATCTTCCAATTCCAATGGATCATCCTCCTCAGTACCTTCAAGAATACCATATTGATGTTCATCAGTAGTCTCAGCTGGACGCTCATTCCGTCCATGTCTCAACCTCGCAGACCCGTCGAGTCGAATGCTTCTCGTCTTGATGAGTCGTAGTGTCTGGCCTACTTTCTGCAGAAACGACCACACTTTTTCTTCCAGTGTAGCGACTGGCCCTTCGTTTTCGGCCTGACTTCCCAATCCGGTTGGCCCGTTTGCTGTGGTGGCATTTTCCTGCGCTTCAACCTTGAATTGATACTTAAGGCAATCTTTGACTGTGACTAGACCCATCAATTTACCGCGTTGCTCAACAAGAATGACACGCGGGCCCATTTTCTTGAATAATTCCATCACAGTCTCGAGGGGAAGTCGAGGGTGTACCGAGATTGGAGTATGGTCCACGTATGGCGTAAAGTCTACGGTCTTTGATCCGGTCGTGTTTTCCAGTTCGTCAAATGTCTGGGGCGCATCGAGGTAAGGCCCTGGTGTTCTGGGGGCCGGACTGTGTATCCTGCTTGTAGCTGAAGTGGTCTCGTGAGTGAATATGCATTTCGCATTTGGCGATAGCGGCTGCACCCGTCTGGCCTTGTTGATGGCGTAGCGCAATTCTGTACGGCCAATGTACCCGACCACGATTTTGCTTGTCCGGTCCTCGACGATCGGGAAGCCTTGGAATTTGTTATCATTCAAGAGATGCTCTGCTTCACGGACAGGCAGATCATATGCTGGCAGAGAAAGCGGACTGCTAGTCATGGCACGTGAGACGGGGACGTTGAAGACATGTTCTTCTTTGTTGTCGAGGAATGGGAACCCATTGAACCAGATCATGCGATCTGCAATACCGCCATTTCCAAATCGTTCACTGACAGCCTTGGTGACTCCAACAACAATCTAAACAGTTAGTTTGATAATCATATAAAGGTAAAAGAAACTTACCATAGTTGGAAGGATATAGACCAAAGCTCCCGTAAGTTCGAACATGATCACAACAACAGACACAGTGAGATGCATGATGCCACTGAGTGCTGCAGCGGCACCTAGGAAAGCATATGTTCCAGGCGTAATGCAAGGAACATCCGGCTCGCAGGCAGCAAAGAAGCTAGAATCCGGAAAGGATTCATGCAAAGCTTGAACAAGAATACCAACCATTCTTCCAAAAGATGCGCCTACTGCCATTGACGGGACAAAAATACCGGCAGGAACTTTGCAACCGTAGGAAATGATGACTAGACCGACTCGAAGAATGGTAGCGACCAGAAGCGAAAACACCATCGACCAGCGATTTTGTTTGCTGCTGTCGTATTAGCATAGTGATAGGTGTGACCTCAAAGACATCAACTTACTCGCAAATACCCTCGTAGTTGTTGTCACCTTCGCATTCCTTGAATAGCACCTCCATGGCTTGCGTCATGTTGATTCTGAGAAATATGTTTGGATAGCAGAGTAGTGCTGTCAGGCCAGCGAGAACCACAGCTTCTGTCACTGGATATGATCCCAAATATTTCTTTCGAAAAGCCGCTACTCGCAAATTCCATTTTATGACCAGAGCGCCATACAAGCCGCCAAAGACACCGAGAATGACGAAGAATATTAACTCAAAGAAGTGCCATGTACGGTCATATTTGACCTGGAACATGACTAGCTGGCCGGTTCTGAATGGGTTCATGGCCTATGATTATCAGTGCTGTTACTTTTCAAGCTCTTTAGCAAGCTTACCGCTAACACGCCCGTAGCTATCAAAGCACAAAAGTAACTTCTCCAAAGAGTCTTGAGTGGAAAATAAGTCGACATTTCCTATTAAAATTAGTACGCACTAACTCTATGGTTGGGAACAGAATTACCTCGAGCGAAAACAATACACCACCAATTGGACTACCAAACGCAACCGCAACGCCTGTACCCGCCGAAGCGGTCAAGATTTCTCTCGTTTTGGCTGCATTTCTTCTGTACTTGTTGAAAAACCGCGAGATTACATTTCCCGTACACACAGCATAGTGCACACTGGGTCCCTCTTTTCCAACCGATAGTCCAGAGGCGATCGAAAGCGGCAGGCCAATCGATTTGATGGAGAGAGTGGTTGCGCTCAGGAAACCCTTCATCACAAAGCCAGCTATGATACATTTGATTTCTGAGATTCCGGAGCCCGCTGCGTACGGCGCAAATGACTTGACGAGGAAGGCAGACATAAAAGCGAACGTGACCTTGACAGAGTTAGTTGTGGACCATTGTATGCTCATGGAGAACGTACTGCAAAAAGGAAATATACTATGTAGTTGAAAAAAGCATTACCACCCCATCGATGCCATTCCGGACAGCCTAGTATCAGTCAGTATACGACTAAAACCGTTGCGGAGCTATGCCTACCATTCTCTGCGCCCCAACAACAAAACTGCTCATTCAAATAGAACGCCGTCGAGCAATGTCCAAGCTTGATATCCGATAGCCACTCAGTCACGATATTGAGAAGAGCAGCATTCAACCCGATTGCCGCACCAACGAGCGTTACAACAAGCCACGCTTGACCTGCATCGTAAGACTCCCACAGTTTCCGTCGCCAACCAAACGTCCCTTCTTGGTCCCAAAAGCCATGCCCTTCTCGTCTCCGCGCCCGACGACGAATCTGCTCTTGTACCTCATCTTGCACCCAATCTATCGTCGTAAAATCTTCATATCGTTTGATCTCGTTTATTTCTTCCGTTACTGCGGGATTCGGATGGCTTGCTGTGCCTGGTGCTCCGTCTCCAGCCCCATTGTCGCTCTGATCTGAGACCGAGAATCCAGAAAGCCGGCGCGAGAGTCGGCCTGGTGGATCTATTGGCGAGAGAAACCCATGAGGCTGTGCGGAGCTGGACGATGCGCGAGGGAGGGTCATGTGTATATCGCCGAGGGTCGCAATCGCATGTCGAGGGAAGCCTAGAGCTGTAGAGGTATGAAAGCCTGCTCTCTAGATGTAGAATTCGAGATAAATTTTTCGAGAATGTCAGTTGCTGTCAATGCGCTTGTGCTTGTCGATAATAGAAGTGTGTAACTATTAGCGTTGATTCAATTGATGATGTTGATGGTCACATGGAGGTAGCTGTGGCCGCGTTCAACGACGGCAACCTTAAGCTGGGCGATAAGATAAGCATCACATACTCGACTTGTCGATAGATCAGAACGCATGCTCCCATTATTCAGACGATGAACTTGAGTCGCAAATTTGAAACATATACACACAATTATAACTCTGACGGAATCATCTTCAACATTTGTCTGGTGCGATTCGAGAGCCGAAGTCTTCGAAATCTGGCCCAGAATCTACTGGCCCTGCTTTAATTCTGCGAGAGCGCGTCTCGACATCCACCGCATCTTCCACGCTGCGAACTCAGTATATCACAAACTGATCGGCCAACTTCAATCTGAAAGACACGCAAACATCTGGCCGCCTATCACGGACACGAAAAGCACCTGGTTCCGTCAGATCATCCACTGAACCAACGCGTCCGACACTACCATAACGATTTCGCGATGCCTTCACATAATCCGACAGACGAAACAGAGGCGACGGGCCAGAGCGTTCTACCACGTATGCACCATTACTTTCATGTAATTGATTTGCAAGATGCTAATTTGATACCCGACAGTCGCCAGGATAAAAAAGATCATTCAGTTGGACGAAGATATAGCACAGTGCTCGCACAATGCGACTTTTCTTATAGCAATGGCTACAGTAAGCCTCTGACTTGCTACTACCTTTTCCCTTCGATTGAAACTAATTATATCTTCTTAGGAGCTATTCATTCAATATCTCGCCGAGCAAGGATATAATGTCGTCAAATCGGAGCGCAAGCCACGAAAAACCATACAATACAAAGATCTCGGTACGCTCATCTACAATTCCAGCTAATTGATATTTTTTACTAAATATGTGCAGCAACCGCAGTCTCGCGAATCGACAACCTCGAATTCCTCGCCGACGTAATCCCCAAGACTACCACCTACCGCCAGTTCAAAGAAAAGCGAGCTCGCGAAGTAGCGCAGGACGCGGCGCCCGAGATAGAAAAGGAACTGACGGCAGGACAGAATGGCGTGGCTCGTCTGCCGGGAGGACAGACAACGCTCTTTGCAGCGTCGAATGGGAGCAGAGCTAATGCTGCGACGGACAGTCCCATGCCCACGGTGTCGATGATGATTGATCCGACTACAGACACTGAGTCTGGTGCGAATGGCGATGTGGAAATGACCGGATAAGCTATGAATAAGGCTATGAGGAATCGAGTTTTAGGAGTTTTGGTTGTCGTTCGAGGTAGCTTATTGGCATAGCCGGGTTGCTGCACTTTTGTTAGTAGGATAAATCGAGACGTTAAATATTCAAAGAATAATGAAATAATCAATCATGAAGTTGTAGAATATGAGAATTAATTACTATGTAGCTTACTGGAAGATCAGCAGCCAATCAGAAGCAAGATGATTGATCCCGGCTGCTTTTCGGGAAGGAAGGGAACCTCACCTCACCTCCAAAATCCTCGTGCTTCCGACTCTCTTCTCTCTGCCCTCTCTGCCACCACGCAACGCAACGCAATTGCCATCCCTCAATTGCGCGCACTACATTTATCTGTGTGTCTTTACGACAATTAATTCCGGCAGCCATGTCTCAGCAGCTCTCGTCCGCGCTCCTGCGCACCTGCGCCCGTCAGCAACTGCCCACCAGCGTCACTCGCTCTGCTGCCATCGCCGCCGGCCACCAACAACGCGGTGTCGCCAATGCCGGAGCCAAATTCGAGTCTCCCTTCGCTGCTGGCGAGGATCCCACATCGACCCTGAAGATCCCCAACTTCAAGAAGTACACCTCCAAGAGCTCGCCCACGACAAACAAGGTGTTTTCGTACTTTGTCGCTGGAACCATGGGTTTGGGATCGGCTGTCGGTGCAAAGGCTACTGTTCAGGGTGCGTATACCTAGTGTGAAGTGCTGGAGCTTGCATTTTGAAGCAATGGACAACTTGGCATGGAAATGTCAGTGACGGGCACTAACATCGACTACAGACTTCCTCGTCAACATGTCCGCCTCCGCCGATGTCCTGGCCCAGGCCAAGGTCGAAATCGCTCTCGGCTCCATTCCTGAGGGCAAGAACGTGCGTTCTCACCATTCAGCGAACATAAACTAAAGACAAGTCACTAATCCGTTAAACAGGTCATCATCAAATGGCGTGGCAAGCCCGTCTTCGTCCGTCACCGCACCAGCGACGAGATCAAGGAGGCGTCTGACATTGACTGGAAGACTCTCCGCGATCCTCAGCCCGATGAGGACCGTGTCCAGAAGCCTGAGTGGCTCGTTATGCTTGGTATGCCTTGCACACCATATTACCAGATAACGATGTGATTACTGACGATAGCAGGTGTCTGCMCTCACCTCGGCTGTGTCCCCATCGGCGAAGCCGGCGACTTTGGCGGTTGGTTCTGTCCCTGCCACGGCTCCCACTACGATATCTCCGGCCGTATTCGCAAGGGTCCTGCTCCCTTGAATCTTGAGGTCCCCGCCTACCAATTCCCTGACGAAGACACCCTCGTCATCGGTTAGAGCAGTCTGCCACCAACCAAAAAAAAAGCGAAATTATAGAACCCCATTTCAAGCCGTGCATCACATCACACCCATGTTTCAATAAACAAAGTTCAATCTCAAGACTTCCTCTGTTGTACCACGCTCCAAAGATGTTGTTGAAACTCAATCCATTTCCTTTGTCAGATCCTAGCGCCTCACTACTTACTTTTTTTGGGACTATACTATAGAAGAAAGAGAGAGAGAGGAGAGCGCTCAATGTACTATTTTTTGATATACATACATATTGATTCGAATTTTTTTCTTACTTGCCCCCTCCATCCTTGATGTAGTCTGTTAGGATTGATGCTTTGTAGATCATGCAGGTTTTTCTGTATGTGTATATAGGCTACATATCTGTGTATATCCCAAGGGAATTGAGGAATACGTCCATATATATACCTAGGTCAACCAATATGTGAATGCTGCATGTGGTGCTGGCGAGAGCTACTTTGGTATTTGTATGAACTATGCCAGTCAGCATCACCTTGAAGGTAAATTGAGCTTCGCCTAAGGTATGCAAAGGGACCTCCAAATGTTGCGTTGATTAAAGATATGTGTTCTACAATCTACCAATAAAGAAAAAAAAGCAGAATTGACATATTAACATATTCAAATTTTTATAATCTATCTATCAGTGCCCGTCCATCCGAGCTCGTTCCCGGACAGACGAACCGACAATAACCTATTTATATCTCGGCTGCCCGCAAAGCTAGCTAAAGCTTCATCAGACGCAATCGAGACTATAATGGAGTTGAGATGTGTCTATAACAAAAGAAAAAAGATTCCCGCCGCCCAGTTTTCTCCGTTCCCCTATCCGTCCCATACCGACCCATAAACCAGGCTTGATATTAATACCTGGGGGAATCTTTTGGGCAGTGTCTTTTTTCCCTCAACATTTGAGGGAAAAAAAGGCATTACCATGTGATGCAAGAATGCAGATGCAAAAAACGCCGTGATACMCCTTGCTTCAATTCGAACCAAACMCCCCGCCATAAACAAATAGCATCCCAAATATGATACATGCTGAATCGAAGCAAATCATATATCGAGTATGTCGAAGATCGCAAAAGAAAAAACCGCTTCAAGACGCCTACGTAGTAAGGCATCGTCGAGAGCTGGTGTATGAGTAACGTATGAATGTGGGAGGTACCAGCCCTCGTCTGCCAGCCACGTAGGTTTCATTAGAAAGGTGTAAAAATGTTAAGATGTAGTCGGATAAGAAGATTAATAGGTAGCGATGGGAGTAGCGATGGTGCTACCACCAACCATGTCGACGATCTTGCCGGCAACGGCGGCTGGGTAGCCCCGAGAAAGCATCTCTTGGACGACGCCAGCGGCACTAGAACGCTCTTCAGCTGTAATGAAAGCACGTGTCATTGCTTCATAGGTGCTGGGTTCGCGTTTTTCGATGCCGACGCTGTTGTAGATCTCATAGGCTTTGGAGATGTTGCCCTCGGCAGCCCATCCTTGTATCAAAGTGTTGGCGATGTAAGGTGTCATTTCAATACCGTGGCGGCTCATACTACTGACAAGATCACTGGTAGATGAGACATGACCATTGGCAACCATGGCTTCAAAGAGGGCCTGGTACAAGCATGGCTGCACACGTACGTCTCTGTTGGAGACGATACTGTCAAAAAGGGCACGGGCACCATCCATATCATGGAGAACGCAGCCCTTGGCATGGATCAGAGAAGCGTAGTGAACTGCCTCTGGTCGCTGGCCAGATGCCTTGATAGACTCAAGCACCTTTTCAGCGGCTTCCATATTAACGGGCTCCAATGAGGCGTGGGCATCAATGAGGAGTTTATATGTATGCATAGTAGGCTCAATGTTGCGGGAGCGCATCCGTTCATAATAAGCGAGGATCTTGCTGCGGTCACGTTTGGTGTTGAGGAAATACTGAATCATGGAGTTGTATGGAGCAGGGCGAGGCTTGTAGTTGGGCATGGACTCCATCTCATCAAACATCTCCTCAGCAAATCGCTCATCGCTGACTCGGCAGAGAGCATTGACAATGGTACCATAAGTGACGCTGGTCGGTCGAACACCGTTAGAACGCATCTCGGCAAAGTAAAGAAGACAATCATCAATACGACGAGCCTTGCCCAATTTGCCAATCAGCGCATTGTACAAGAACGAAGTCGGTTCGACACCCTCTGCAATAGCCCGGTGGAAGATCTTGACAGCTTCGGTAGCTTCATCGAATGTCTTGGTCGACTCCTTCAACGTGGTAATGTATAGGCCGAAAGTGTTTGCAGACGGAGCAGAACCAATTTGCAACAACTCTTGATGATACTGGGCAGCCAAATCACGCTCGCCTACTGTCAGGCAAGCAGCGACCATGGCATCCAAAATTGAGCTCCAGCCGTATCGGACAGCACTGTATTGAGGAAGAAGTGGAACATCATGACGGGCCATTGCTAGAATGTCGTTGGCGAGGTTCATGCGGTTGCACTTGGCAGCAGCATTAATCAATTTGGCGTAGGTAATATAGCGTGGGTGGCGACCGAGACGACGAATGTTACGCAACTTGGTCATGGCTTCGTTGAGGTGAGATTCGATGCGCTTAGATGTTGCTTCCAATTCATCTGAGATGATCGTAGAGCCCCGGTAGTCAGTCGAGTAAGCATAAGGATCATAGCTATCTTCTGAGCTAGGAGTCGATGGGTTGACCTGCGACGAAGTTTCCGAAACAGGAGTATATCGACTAGACCCAACAGAGGACTGCTGTCTAGCGACAGGAACAAACTGATCTTGCCATCTTCTCACTAGATCAGGTCGGCTTTCGGAAAGCTTGAGAATGGCCTGGTCGACCAACCGTGAGGTAAAGACATCGAGAGGAACACCGGTAGACAGAGCAACATCGACCATGTGGGCGAAGCGAACAAGATGAGGAGCGTTGAAGGTAAACTCGTTGTTGATAATCATACCTGCTTGAACTTGAAGAGCAAGAGTCAAATCATCAACACTGAGTTGCGAGATACCCATAGGACCCAAGCTGGAAATGGCATGCTCGGCAATTGGAGAAATCAGTCCACCATTCTCAACCATGGATCGGACCAAGGTCATAGCAGCAGGCGATGAAATCACCATGCCCGACTCCACCATGAGAATACGACCGAGAAGCTCAATAGCTTCATCGATCTCTTCCCGAACAGGCAGTTGAACAAGTTGCTGAGCAGCAGTGTCTTTGCGAATACGGCCAAACATCTTGCGAGCTTCCATCAATCCCTCCTCGACGTGGCCACTCTTGACAAGGGCGACGGCATACATGGCGGTAGGTTGAATCAAGTCCGAAGTTGTCTGGTCGAGGTTGCTCAAGATGCCCCAGAAAGTGCGTGCAGCTAGCACGTTACCTTCGCGAACATGCAACGCAAGCATGGGCACTGCSGAGCCAATAGCATCTACGGACTCGGCGGCAAGTTGGTCATACGATTCGACAGCCACTGCGGCGCTGCCGGCATCAGCAGCAGCCACGCAGATCTTAGCCATAGCTTGTTGCAAAGCAGTGTTTTCAAGTTTGCCTGTTGCTTGCTTCAAAGCTTCCTCGAAGTTGCCAGCATCAATAGAAGATTGAACGAAGGCATCGCGAATGATGGTCGATTCGACAGCTTCCAACCGAGATGCCTTGTCTTCCTGGACGTTGTCGTATGACGAGCGAATGCGCTCAAAGAAGCGCATACCGCCTTCGCTCTTTCCACAAGAGAAGTAGGCACCGACCAGAGCGGCATAGACTTGGCCATCTCGGCGCTCTACGATGCTGAAAACACCGTTGTCGTCCGCCACTGCAAGTTCTCTATATTCGTTGTAGCATTCGACAGCGCTCTTCAAATCACCAATCTTGGCAAATGCGCGGATCATCGGGGGGAAGATGGCTGCGTGAGGAACCAGCTTCTGGGTCTCCATATGAGCATAAATCCTGATCATGTCTTCAACGCGACCTTCTTCGGCACAAGTGATTATCAACGACTTGTAGACTTCCAATGGGAAAACCATTTCGTTGTGTCGGCTAGTGGCGGCATCGAAGAGCTTGAGGGCGATAGTGAGCGAGTGATCTTCCGAGACGAGTTCTTTTTCGATTTCACTGGAACGGAACAGGAATTTGCCAGGTTCCTCCAGACCACCAAAGCGAACACGCTGCTTCTCGAGAGCGGCTCCTGATACGGAAACCTCAACGGCGCGTGAAACTAACACTGCAATAAGAGTCTTGTACGTTTCCTGGTTGGGCATGACTCGACGGCGTAGCATGTCGGAATAAACATCGAGCGCCTTGGGAACGGCATGATAGGAATCGGTGTGCAACTTGATAGCAGCCTGAAGTAACGAGTTGTATGCTTCAACGCTGGGGGTGACACCATCTCGCAAGATCGCTTCGAAAGCAGCTGGGATCTCGGCATATTTCTCTTCCACTGCCAATTGAACGACTCGGCCAGATGCCACGATAGATTTCTCCGCGTTGATATCGATCGTCAATTCGTGAGCAGCTGAGTCAGCTGTATTATCATCGGCAGCAACAACGGTTGCTGCGTCATCCTCGGCTTCCGCATTTTCCTCCTGAATCTGAATCTCACGCGCAACGGCTTCTTCGACCTTGGCGCTCACATCGACATTGACGGCGGCCTTTTTCAAGTCTCGAGGCGAATGATCTTCCGGGAGGGTCTGACTCTTCTCTGCGACTTCATCCTTTGGCTTCCATCCTATACGCCGTTTGAACTGGAACTGTCTCCAATCGCTGTCGTCACCTGTTTGCTGGGCATGTTGCCAGGCAGCATAGTATGCGGCTAAACCGGAGTCTCCAGAGTTGGAACCAGCTTGGCCGGCTTTGGCACCGGAGCCGGATGAACTCGATGCGTTCTGGAAGGTACTCTGAAGTTGGGATGTGCGGTGGAATTTGAGAGAGTTGGTGGCGAGTGGATTAAGGGTTGTCGACGACGAGGGGATGGTCTGGGATGCAGCAACTACCGACTGAGCGTAGCCATGGGTGAAGGCTTTGGCAAAGTTCTGTCGCGCGAGGTGAGTAAAGGGCTTAAAAACCATTTATCTGGCTGGGTCCTCTTCCAGGAGAAGAGGAGACTCTGAATAGTCAGCATCTGATGAACTGTCGGATTGATTCGTCTGACAAACCTTCGGACCCGACTAAAATATCCCGTGCAGGTTCATTTGACGACTCAATGCCGCCAAATAAACGCGCAAAAATATTTCGAGGTCAACGATGAACGATCGCGTTGATCACGCGAGGACACGATTCGATTACTGTGTGGAAGATAGAGTATGAAATTAGAAATATCGTGAATTCTTCGTGTGCTACCTGCTCCGTGGTGAAGAGTGGAGAGGTCAGATGGATGAATAGAGATGAGTGAGGGAAGGAAGGAAGGAGGGGTTGAGTGTTCAAGTAGTCGTGCGTCAAGGAAAGGACGAGGATAAAATGGTGATAGCAAATAATTAAGACTGGAAGATCCGTAGAAGCAGCGGATGCAGATGGATGCCTGGGAAGAGGGGCCGCCAGGGTTAGGGCATGTGATTGGCCGATGGGACGGAGTTAAGGTTAGCTCGACTCTGCGAAAATTCTAGTCGCGCACTAAGTTACACTTCGATGTGCTTCTATTTCAGCTGGGGAACTACTGTGTAATACGTATGTGAATATTGAATTGATTCACGATCGAGAAAATATCGAGAAAAAATAGAAGGATCGATGCATCAGATGACCACAATTGGCGGGGATCGGAAGGGCAGCTTGTGCGAAACGCCAATGACAGCGAGTCGATCGGGAGCGACCAGAGGGAGAAATAGGGAGGAATCTGGTAAACAGGTTACAACATACTGGAACATAGGGGCTACTCCCGGGGGCAAGGTCGTTGCCGGACGTTGGCCTTTTCTCCGAGTGGGCGGCTGAGCTTGGCCCGAGAAATAAGGCCGCGCCGAACCGAGTGAGTCAGCCAGCGTCCCGGCTCTTTTTCTTCTGACACTTTGGCACCCACTTTTATGCTGTGCGATCTGCGGAATCTTAGCATCCGTCCCGTGGATATTTAGCATACATAGTAGGACTTATCTAACTACTTAGTTATGCATTTCGCTTATAGATACGCTTACTCATCGGCCATGCATCGATCTAGCTACATAGAACACATACTAGTACTAGTAAATACGGAATATGTATGACGTCGTCTCGCTCACGAAGAGGCTCGGTGCCGAATGCACCTTAGGCGTGCGATGAGTGTAGTCGGGGTTGGCTCTTGGCAGGGTTGATTTATTTATGCCAGGCTAATCTCTAATCGCTATTAAGTATTGACAGCTGTCCTCCGTAGATACAACAATATACGTATCACAGACACAATCCCTTCTCCACTTTAGATCTTCCAAGCAATTCGAGACGAAATCCTCGCCTTGGTGCTGTTCACCCCGCCAAGAACCCCCCGGAACCTTTAGTATGATGACCATCAAAAAGGGGGAATCGACCGTTCTATTTCACGACCCTCAGAGATTGCTCGTTGATCTACATAGCACAAAGCACAAAGCTCAAGCCTCCGCCATTGTGCCTTATAATCCGGAGCAAGTATACCAATTAACATCCAATAGTTGCGAACCTCGAAGGTGATGCAACGGATACCAATTATGTCATGCATACAGGACTCGGACTGGAACTCCTGGCTAGAAGCATCAATCTAGCTGTATACGCTCCAAGCTACGTCCGCGTTTTGTATGAATGGATGAGAACCATCGAGATTGGAGGTCAGGAATAGAGGGATTTGCTGGAGTGGTCTATGGGGCCCACGACAGTTAGATCAGACATAGAAAGGAGATAGAAAGACAGTCAATATACCATGAGCGACGACAAATGGGATTTCCTGTCCCTACAACTCGTTGAAATTATTGCAAGTCCTCTACCATAACACGAGTTCAGTAAGATATCGTGGAGAGGCCATCCCAAAAGAGTTAAATTGATCTTCAGGAAGGTGCTMCCCACGCCCGCCAATCAGCTGCCGTGCCTCCCGCGATGCCCCTCAAAGTCAACAAAACAATAATTCGGCCACATCCAATATTGAGATGACAACAAAGCCAAGTGCAACTTGGACTTCATCAACTTCCTCATATAATATCATAAACGCTCAACTCACATCAGGTTAATAAACGTGAACACATATAACCGATGAACCGTTAACAGTTTGTCGAACTCATGCCCGTCCATCCCAACGCAACCACCGCGGTCTCAGCGCCGGGCAAGGTGCTTCTTACTGGAGGCTACCTAGTGCTCGACCGACACTACACTGGCACTGTATTTGCTCTCGATGCTCGAATCCACGCCGTTGTCCAGCAGCTCCAGCGCGACCGAAAAGGCTCCAACCAGCCCGAAACCCCGCCAACATCTGACGAGGCGGCAGACAGCCAGGCCGAGAGCGTTATTGTTCGCTCACCACAATTTATAGACGCGGTCTGGGAATATGGTGTTCAACGGTGCGAGCAGGGCGGGGGAGTTAAAGTCACACAGCAAAACGAGGGGTAAGTGGCTCTATTCACATAGTCATATAATCGTAATTACAGTGCTGACGTTACTAGTCCGAGGAACCCTTTTGTCGAGACATCTTTAAATTACGCTTTGACATATATCAGCTATGTAGCTGATTCGAAAGACCTTGGTTCCCTGTCCGTCACGATATTGGCCGACAACGACTACTACTCAGACGCCAATCAACCAACAAACAGCAATCGACGAAACCGCGGTGCATTCCGTGACTTTGGTGTCAAATTAGAGGATGCCCACAAAACAGGACTGGGCTCGTCGGCCGCTTTGGTCACAGCATTGGTATCGGCACTTGTGATGCATCGTACCATGCACCCGGATGATCTCCTTGCCGTTAGAGACAAATTACACAACCTAGCCCAAGCTGCACACTGTGCCGCCCAGGGAAAGGTGGGCTCTGGGTTTGACGTGGGAGCGGCCGTCTTTGGATCGTGTTCGTACCGACGCTTTTCTCCTTCTATTCTCGAGGGCTTGGGTGATGTCGGGTCTCCTGGTTTTGAAGAGAGGCTGTTCTCAACAGTGGAAGACTTGGATTCTGCGCAACCCTGGGACACTGAATTCATGGATGTTAATATGAAACTGCCACCTGGAATGCAAATGGTTCTTGCCGATGTTGATTGCGGATCACAGACACCGTCGATGGTCAGAAAGGTGCTTGAATGGCGCAAGCAGAATAAAGAAGAAGCCGATCAGCTGTGGGACAGTCTGCAAGCAAACAACGAGAAACTGCGCCAGGAACTTCGACGTAATGCCGGAAATCGGGCAGACCCAGAGACTGAGGCTGCCCTCGCTGCCGACGTCTCCAAGAATGCGCGCATTCTGATACAACGATCACGAAACCTGTTAAAGACCATGACAGAAAAGTCTGGCGTCCCTATTGAACCACGCGTACAGACAGAACTTCTCGACGCTGTTTCGGCAGTAGAAGGGGTAATAGGAGGCGTTGTACCTGGTGCTGGAGGATACGATGCAGTGGTTATTTTGATTCGGGATGATATAGAAGTCGTTCAACGACTAAATCATTTGTTTGAGTCTTACTCAAATCAAGTCGAAGACGACTTTGGCGGAAAGATAGACAGAGTGCGCATGTTGGGCGTTCGACATGGATCAGAGGGTATCAAAAACGAGCATAACAACCTGGGCAATTACCTGGCGTGGCTATAGCTTGTCTATCATAGATATAATGGATATCGCCTCTGTGTGATGTTGTAACGGCGACTGAGTTGTTCGCCTGTTGCAGGCCATGACATATATCCACCGTGTCTGATGCCTCCATGTTGAAGAGCTTAAAGCATCAACCCGCAGCAATTGATTATGCTGCGCTTTTCTAAATCTATTAAATGTCTAGATATAGAATGTAGACCACCTCTGATAGTAGACCTGCACTTTACGGATCAAACAATAAGTGAATATGTCAGATGAAAGAAAAGATGTTACCTTACCATACCGACCCCAGACCAACAACCACGATAAAATACACCGCTCCACCATACAAGCCGGCACAGCCCGTACTAGCGCATACATAACCGCCTCCTCAGTGCTCCCCCGGACGGATTCCCGCCATAACCGACCCGCCATATTAACCACCATCTTGGCAATCTAACATCTCCTTCCATCCCCATTCGAGAACGTCGATCCTCTACCTCTTCATCTGAATCATTTTTGTTTTTGATTATTGTCGCGACTCGTTACAAAGGGTTTTCTCGGTGTTTCCGATCGTCAATTGCTTGAATAGTCATATTTGGAAGGATGGCTTCTCATGAAGGGAACGTGGCTGCTTTGGAGGTGGATAGCAATAACCACGATAACGTCGAGAGTTTGACCAATATCGCAGCAGCGCCGACTACCACAACGACGACGGCAGTACTTGAGACTACTACTGAGACCATTCCTGCTCCGTCATCCTCTACAGAAGCCGTCGCCGAGACGTCGACGACACCCCCGAAAGATGCTCCTGTAGAGCCCACCACGGATTCAGAGACTTCCAAGGAAAAGAAGGATACAGAAGAACCTTTAACCTCTCAAAATGCCACCGCTACCGCTGCTCCTCCCGCCGAATCAACTACAGAAGACATCCCTGCAGCTACAATTATAGCCATCCCATCCACAACAACTCAACCAATTCCCGGCCCCAAAACTGAGGAAAGCCCCGAACAAGTCACAGCCAACACAACCGAAGAAGGCTCTTCATCCGACCAGACACAAACACAATCCGCAAAGGAGACGGCCGAAGAAACCGGGCCCGAGCTCGTGATTACCTTGCTACTCACAACCGGGGCAAGACATCCGTTCAAGATTGATAAGAAGTATTTGAACAGGCGAAGCGTCAAGGTTGAGAATGATGATCCGTTTAATATGAGTGTGTACACGCTGAAGGAGTTGATATGGAGGGAATGGCGGTCTGGTATGTACACCAAACAGCAGTGCAGTTGGTATGGTGGTGTTTGACTAACGAGGTATTGACAGAATGGGAACCGCAACCATCGTCACCAAGTTCGATTCGACTGATTTCGTTTGGAAAGTTGTTGGATGATAAAGCTCCTCTTTCCGGTTAGTCCACACATATCCCTCTATGACCAATTTCAACGCTAATACTGATACACGTGCAGAGTCAAGCCTCACCCACGACGCACCGAATGTAATCCACATGACCGTCAAGCCTCAAGAAGTCGTGGACGAAGAAGATGCCAAAGGCGGCAAATCATATTCCACGCGAGACCGAGAGACGACCGATCGCAGTCCTGGTTGTCGATGCGTTATTCTATAAGCTCTAAGATCTAAGCTCTAAGCTTTGAGACATTCTTGGTCCGGTTTGCTGTTGACTCGACGAATACGCAGCTTATATTTTATATTCGCGATACCCTTTCTTCTTCTTGTTCCCACTCCGATACTGGGGTTTTTGTCTGGATATTTTTTATCGATTGATCTCATATTCGCTCTAACCTACATTCTTTCCCCCTCTTTTTACTTTTGTCCAATTCGTCATTTGGTGTATTGGTTGATGTCCGGCGTTGAGGAAGTCCCACAAGTCATTTCTACACCTTTCCTTTCCTTATGTTCTATCCAGATTAGCATGTCGTTTTGCTGTGTTGTCGTATCTTTCCTTCCTTTTCTTCCATTGTATGTATGTATCCCACAATGTATGTATCTATTCTTGCGCTGCCTTTCTGCAAGTCTCTCACAGTTATCTGACTGCAATAGAAGGATATTCGCTGTTCGCTTTAATTAAGGGGTTTGATCTGTCTTGCTATCTGCTACTGAGGTGCTGTACGAAGTCGATAAATGAATCTTATTCTACTGGTCTTATCAAACGTTCGATTCGAAGCAGAAGTATTGATACATCAAATGAATTGTCTAATCCCTATCATAGATGCTCCGTCACCCAAGAGTACGAATCCATCTACCAATCCATCTTAAGCCTCTTCTCCATCTCATCGTGAATACTAGGCGGTTCACGGAACTCATCACCTGCCCAGTCGTCAGTCCATTCAATCATTTTATCCAAAACTTCTTCGACGAAAGAAAGAGAACTTACCATGAAAGACATCCTCCCAGCCGAACTCCGCATCCCTTCCCCCCAACACCAAAATATCCTCATGCAAATTTCCACCATTCCGTCTTGCGCCTCCCAGCATCATAGGTGTCCAGGAGCCATCTCGGACGATTTTAAGCTCCATGCCGCGACGGATTGGTTCCGCCATGCCGTATACGCGGCGCAGAGATTCCATTTTCATGGCGTCTTGGGTTTCGCGCCATGCTAACAGGCGTGCTTCAAGGGGGTGTGCGGATGTTGGGATGTTATTGGCGTTGGAGCTGGGGCTACCTCGCGGCGCTTGGAGGGTGATGTTGTTGCGTAGGGTGTCGGGAAGACCGGGGGCGGAGGGGGCGCCTTTGCTGGGATGCGGGGCTGTGATGTTGTTATTCGAGGTGAAGTTTCGGCCGGTGTTGTTATCCGTGTAGGATGCGTGGTTGGAGGATGGGGTGAAGCGGAGGGACTGGTTGGGATGTTAGTTATTCGTCAAGTGAGGTTATACGGAGAGTCTGGGAGATGGCTTGTTCGTACCATGTTGGCGGATTATAGAGCTTTCAACACGATGTTTGATTCTTTAGAGATTTATAAGAATATCAAGACGATGGTTTGATTAGATTCGGGTTCGATGATTGATAGTTGCTTGGTGATGGTGCTGGTTGTAGTGAGGTCTGTAAGCTTATGTGGAGCTTCGCAGCGGTAGCGGCAACTTCACGCAGGCAGACGTCTCCCGCGCGTCAATCGGCGGCAGGTCACATGACCTCTCCTGGAACAATTTATCTCGGCCGGTCTCTCACCACCACCAACTATCGACTCGATAAGAAACAACAATTCAACAACCAACATGGCGTCGACGCTGTGCTCGCGGACTCTGCTCCGCAGTCGAATGATTGTCATCCCCAAACCCACAATCAGAGTCCGACAACCTGTCCGCGTACGACAATTCTCAACAATCCGACCTACCACCACCACCTCTCCAATCCGCTCATCCTCATCGCCAATCCTCTCCAAACTCTCTACAAATACATTCGCAAAGCAGTTAACCCGAAAATTCTCTTCCACCCCCTCTACACTCGCAACATACAACCAAGTCCGCCGCGGCTGCCGCAAAGAACAACGAGCGCGCCGCGGCCGCTCACCCGCCCTCGCCAATCGGCCTGAAATGAAAGGTGTATGCCTCAAGACCGGAATTACAAAGCCCAAAAAGCCCAACTCTGGCGAACGTAAAACCGCCAGAATCAGATTGAGCTCGGGCAGAGTTGTGACGGCTTATATACCTGGTGAAGGGCATAATGTACAGCAACATAGTGTGGTGATGGTCAGAGGAGGGAGAGCACAGGATTGTCCGGGTGTGAAGTATCATCTCGTTAGGGGGGCATTGGATTTGGTGAGTTCCTTCTCTTTCCAGAAAGGATCAGTTGTGTATGTGTGGGGGGGGGGGGATGGTTACTAACAGTGAATAGGGAGGTGTTGCAAATCGATTGACTAGTCGGTCAAAGTATGGTACGAAGAAGCCCAAGGCTGATTAGGTGTTGAGCTTTTAGAGTCGGAGGAAATTTATGTATATGTATTATATTGCAATGCAGTCGCTCAATTTTTTATTCCAGTCAATTCATATCTGTCTTGTCATGCTGTAATATGTTAGGTATATGATTATACGGAAAGTTTCCTGCTGGATGTAAAATTCTCAACCAGATATGATATTGACTAGCACCCTGATATACATATACAGCTAGCAATTTCTCCAAACTCCGGGGGAATATAACAAAACAAGAAAATGTTATCAACATGTCACCCATATCCTCATCCAGAGTCCTCCACACACATCAATACAATCTGCTCTACAACATATCACATCCGTCTCCCACTCTCCTTATTAAAAGGACTCAATGGCCTCCGAATCCGCAAATCCGTCAATGAAAAGATCCCACTAGAAGTGTGCTGGTGATTATGAAGCGCGCGTTGTCGTCGTTTGCGAATTCCATACAAAGCTGCTATTACCACCATGACAACAAGGGCGGAGTAGCCCGTCACTTTCAAGAGGACGGTTAGTCAGTTGGCCTCCTTTTCGTAGCCTTCTGGTTTGGGGATGTTGTTTATGTGGAAGTAGCGGGATGTGCCTGCGTAGGTTAGCTATTTGCTCCATTTCAATCAAAAGGAGAGAAAGACTGACAAGAATAGCCCTTCCAGTCAAAGTTGTCGGATGGATTGCAGTGGCATTTCAGGTCTAGACGGGTCTGTTCGCCGGTTGGGCAGTGCGTAAAAGGGACGTGGTAGTATGCGATTTCATTGAAGAAGTGGATTTCCTCCTTTTTCAGCAAGAGACCAGCTGCAATCGAGTGCACTGGCGCATCACCCCATCGCTCGTAGAAGAAACCGCCATCGTGGTCGAGGGAGGTGAAGTAGTCGATGTATGCGTCGGATCGGAGCCATTCCAAGCTACCAATTTCGAAATTGGACCACTGCAACAATTAGTAGGTGAACTCACAGTCACGAGAAGAAAGGTGAACTCACGAAATGACACTTGTTATAAGTCTCGCCACCGTCATCACTCAAAAATCCCATCGAGTTCCCTTCGGCGATATGCTGCGGATTCGCCTTCATGAATTTCTTCGAACTATCCCACAGCGTCGGGATGGTCTCGTAGTACTCATACAAACTCAACACAAAACTATACTTCTTCTTGTGATCCACCATGTACCGGAACGGATCAAACGAGATGTCGCAATACAGCTGAATGCTGGGCTCCACGCGCCAGTAGTATTCGTAATTGAGCATGAGCTCGTGACGGAAGAAGAAGCCAGATTCGTAGCGGCACATGTGTCGGTAGCTCTCTGAATCACCGTAGATGATTTTGCGCTCTTTCATGTCTTCGCGCACCTTGGCAGCTTTGTCTTGGTCGATCCATTCTGGGTAGGACCAGTGTTCCTTGGGGATGAGGCCGTAGTGCGTCTTTCCAGAGACGAGAGCGCTGGTGAGGCGTTTGAATTCGTCGTCGAATTCCTTGTCGTTCAAAAAGACCCAGTCGTAGTGGTAGTTGCGGTTGAAGCGATCTTCGACTTCGCGAATCGATTTTGCGATTTCCCATAGATCGTTGTTTCGTGCCAGCGTCACGAATGTCGCATTGACTCGATCGCCGGAGGGTGTCAGCGGCGGAAGACCTGTGTTGGCGGGGGKTTGGGTGTTGGGATCGACAACGCTGGCTTGGTTGTTTTGGGTGTCGCCTTTTTGTGTTTGCGGGAGGAGACTGGATGCGTAGTCTGAGGGCAGCGGGAGGGACGATCTCGAGATGAATCCCAGAATTGCTAGTCCCTGTTGCACGAATCAGTATACGCTCAGTCACCGCGGATGAGTGGCGACTTACAAAAACTGCAAACAGCACATATCGAATATATTTTCCTGACGATGAAGACATTATGAACTTTGGAATTGTTCGGGTGAAAATCGCAATGGCAGCAGGCAAGAAGCCTAGATTCCCCTCTGTTACTGACTTTCGCGAGGTGCGCCGATCATGAATGTTGTGATTTGATGGAGCTGCGGAATGCCTCCTCTCTCGCTGACGCAGCCAGTGGTCAGGAGGTGAGTAGATTGAATAAACAACAGTAATAGAAAGTAATTGAAAAAGAAGAACGAATGTAAGAAAGGCGAGGAGAAAGTCTTGGATCAGCTAGGTAAATCTGGATGTTTTGCGGAACGAGCGACTTTGCCACGAGACCGACAGTCTACGGTTGTTTCTCCGCTGGCTCGATGACACCGCTCTGGTAAGGAAATAATTTAAAAAGAAATGAAGTTCATGAATATGTCGTGCGGTCAAGAGGTAAAAGGAGTGCGCAATTGTCTTGAATAATATCTGGCCAGTTGGGGGCTAGACTTGATAAGTACTGGTTGGACTGGAGTAGGCTAGCTTCTGAATCCCTGACGAATCTAGTCAATCTACCAAGCCTCAAGGTGAAACGAAACATCTCACTACATACAGGCTGAGCTAGTACGACATGTCTCATCCAATACAGTCTAATTACGGCGCGAGGTTGATTCGTGGGCCGCGTACGTAAGCTGCTAACAAGTCAATTTCGAAGATACGATGCTTCCGGCTGTCCATACATTCCCCCGTTTTCGTCGCTTGAATGACCGAACGCTGGATGGAGAGCCATCGCCAAGATGCGAGTGCTACTGGAATTGCTACTTCTACCCAGGTACAGAAATTTGCCAGAAGCTTAAGAGAAAGTATAATCTTGAGGCTGGGCTGCTCGGCTAGAATGACTAGATATGACCAGAACTTCTACAGAGTAAGTACTGTTACCTCTCGGTCTCCGTCTATTCTCTTCAAAGCGTGGTAGTAGAAGCGACTTTAGCATGTGAGAGAAACGGTTGTGTCACGTTGTCAATGTGTAGTCAAAAGTGTTGTAGATGTAACTACTGGTAGAGTAAAATGAGTGTTGCCTCATAAATCAGGCACCGAGGCAGCACAGCACGGACCAGGCACTAATTAGCAAATTGCGAAAACCAAAAGGATGCCATCATCGACCGACCTTGCGATACCCCTCCACCTACGGCTCTGGCCTTTCGGTGCTTTTCTCGCACCCCTCGTATTAATCTATCTATCAATCCTTGGAGAGACATTCTCGTCATGTCTTTCTTTGGATTCGACACCAACCTGCCGAGAGATCGCCAGGCTGCTCAGCAGACCAGAGGCATATTCGAGAACACAGATCCGTTCGCTGAAGTCGCTCGCGCTCAAGCTCAAGGCTTGTCCATCGACGATGATGCGTGCGTCTCTTGCCATTGATAACATGCGTTCTATGCTAATTTACATGTAGAATCGATTTTGAAGACACGTACGATGGTCTCGGCGACCAGCTGGACGACGACCAGGATGCGTTCAACGATGATACCTTTGGTGGTGGTGGTGGTGGCGGCGGCGGAGACGGCGTTGGAAAAGACTTTGATTTCTTCGGCAGCACAGCTCAGATCTCTGATGTGATCAATGAAGAACAAGTCCGTTACAACCTGCAGCACAACCCAAAATCGGCTCCGTTGGCGGCCAAGGAGGCTCCTGCTCCTGCTCCCGCTGTACAAGCGCCATCAATTCCTCGTCTTCCAAAGAAAACCGGTTATGAGAGATACCAGGATCCTGGCTTCATTCCTGAAATTACGGCCAAGTCAAGTGTCTGGGGAACAACCCCTCAGACCACAAAGCCAGCGGTTGAGCATGTACAACAGCCAGCTTTCGCAGCGCCTTCGCGGAAGATGATGAGTTTGGAGGAAGTTGAAGCTCAGCTGCGTCATCAGCCACAGCACTTTGCGCACCCTCAACAGCTGCCTTACCCTGAAATGGCTCAGGCGATGGGCCGTCCTCCGCAAATGCCTTTCTTGCCAGAGGCCGAGTTGATTGCAATTGAACAACAGGCTTTGGCAATGGGTATCCCGCCGGCACAGCTTCTACAGCGGTTACAACAGATGCCACCTCCAGGGTTTATGCCTGGACCACCACCTGCTCCGTTACCAAAACAAGCCCCAACGCAGCCCCAGCCGCAMCCGCAGCAGCTACGCCAGCCAGTTGCACCACCTGCTCAACGCCCGCCTCCTCAACAGCCACAAGCCGGACAACCTAGTCTACCAGTCATTACTGACCCACAGCAGCTGATGAATCTTTCTGAGGACCAGCGTGTTGCCTACATGCAGGAAGATGCGAAACGTGCCAAGCGTAATCACAAGATATTTATTCTGTCTCGTGGTAACGGGTTGATGACGCCACAAGACAAGAACTTCATTACTCGAATTCAGCTACAACAGCTCGTTGCTGCTACAGGAAATGTGGTAGATGCAGATACGGAATCGCTTCTTTCCGAGGACTTTTATTACCAAGTGTTTAGCCAGATCCGTGGTGCCCCGCGCCAACATCCTCGTCAACCGTTGGGTCATTTCGCTCAGACGTACCTTTTTCAGACGGGAAACCGCACTGGAGGTCATGGTCGACGACAGTATCAAAATGCTGATAACCACATGCAGCGTATGCAACAACAAGTGCAGCGTGCCGTTGAAGCCGCCAAAGCGAAGCCGAAGAATCAGCAACTCATCATCGAAGGTAGTTTGGGTAAAATCTCGTTCGGTAATGCCAAAGCTCCAAAGACATCATTAAATATCAAGAGACCTGAAGGAGCAGAAGGTTTGAAGCCTAAACGAGCGACAGCAGATCTCAGCGCCAGTGATAGAAAATCGGTATTGAACAATATCGAGAGTGTCTATAGTATATTAATGAAGATGGAAGACCTTGAGCGGACAATGCCGCCACCACCAGATGAGAACGATCCTGAATCAGTCGAACTACATATGGACTGGAGGCAGAAGATGCAGACGCTAAACTCGAAGCTCTGGCAGAGCATGAAGGTTCTCGAACCTATCGTGCCTGGCTCGACAGTGGCGCACCCCTTCATTGCTTTCTTGTCGTATCCCAAAGGCAAGAAAGCCATTCCCCGCCTGTTCCGCCAGATCGATCAGGAACAGCGTGTCACTGTATTGACCATGATTGTCGTCAACCTTGACACCCTGGACGTTGTTCGTAAGGGTCTACTGAACCCTGGTGAAACACAATTACCAGCCGCATCTCGTGAAGATATCGAACTCTTTTCTCAAGCTGTCATGCCAAGCCTACTTGGCTATGTCAACGAGGCACCCTTTAACGTCATCATCGGTCTCCTCGGTCTTGTGCTCGCTCAAACGCACGTCCAATTCGTTGCGCGAACACGAGTTGGATTGGGAATCATGACCATGCTGCTCAGTCGTGCAGCCATCATCAAAGAAGCTGGCCAAACAAATGACCACGAATGGCAGCAGTGGGTCGAAAAGTTCAACCAGCTTTTTGATGCCTTGGAGCCTGGTTTGGCCGATATATTCCCTGGAACAATCAATACTGGGGATGATATGTACGTTTGGCAATTCCTTGCAGCGATTGGTATTGGAGCTAGCCAAGAGCAACAGCAGCGGCTAGTTATTGCTGTCAAGTAAGTTCACTCACTCACATTCCTTCTTTGATAAATGTCTAATAATCGATTAGGGATCGCGTCATGGAGACTGTTGCCCAGAGCAAAACTCTTCCGCCTGACATGGCAAGCCAACGCCTCAACAACGTCAATCTCTTCATGCGCGCCATCGGTCTCGACGTCGAGCTTCTCGGTTAAATTCTATCTTTAAAAATATACTGCGGGATTGCGGACATGATTTTGCAAATTACAATCATACTATGTACCGGCGAGGTATGAGCCTTATTGCGCTGTGTTATTTTTTTTCAGCGTCTGGCTGGTAGTGGCTTTTAGTTTTGGGGGGAGAACAAGGCCATGTGTGGCGTCATGGTCATCGATTGTCTACTATCGCAATGACCAAGAACCGAAGGATCTAGCCCTGTTATTTTTTGATGGGCTTATGGCTGAGAATGTCCGGCTAAATGACATTCATGACTACTAGTAAAAATACATTGCAGGCTTATTATGCTGCTTCTTGACAAATCAACCCACTACGTACGTACATTCGTAGACTGCTTTATTTGTAACTCAGGGAATATGAGCGTCGTTTCCAAAACTAGGCAAAGGGCAGAAAATATACAGCCCTAAGTTATATTGTAAGGCGACAATGAAAGAGAAGTGAGCCAACAGTTTCCATGGTTAGAAGAACCAAAGAGTGAATTCAGGGCCATGTCTACAATCTATTCAAGAATACATTGACTAGGACAAGGACAGAAAACTGCGTGCTTTGGCTAGTTATTCAACAACTTTTGTACAAATGCAAGCCATGTAGCTACAGTAGCCCAATATATGGAAACATAATGAGCAATTGACAAAACTAATGAATATTCGGATTCATTCTTTTTGGTGATAGATTCCGTTGATGTTTGTTCTGGCTTTGGTGTCGTCTTCGTCGTTGTTATGGATCCGTTGGATAACGGCGTCTCGACCTTGGTCTCTTCCGCTTTGACTTCTTCCAGATTTAAGAGCTGACGACTTATGGCTAATATATCGTTCCTGCTCGTTTGACCGTGGCTTTCTGTTGTGGATGGGCTTCTGGCGGCTGTGTGAGACATTTGAGGTTGTGATTTTGTCGCGTCCTGCGACCCAGGAATTGGTGTTTGTGTTGCTGTTGCGGTTCGTTCGAATTGTTCTGGTTCTCTTATTACTATATTATACCAATGCAGTCAGCATTGGTATCAATTGCTCTGACCTCTTGGTCAGATTGCGGCCTGTACATACCTTTTCCTTGGCTTCTATTATTCGTTTCGACCATGGTGTCATCCAAGCCCAAGGCGATACTTTTCAAATCCTCATTGAATCCACGTGACAGCTTTTCAGCATCAATCTTAGCTCTAGCGTTTGCCTTTTTCTTCTTAGGGGGGAAGACTAATCGTTCAAGCGCACGGTGGTGTCGGTGCCTCAGTTTTCCTTCAAACTCCACGTCAAGGAAGAACGGCTTGTTTCCATGCTCAAATGCAAAGGCCGTATGCAAAGTCGGGCTTCTAGAGACCTGAGTCTCGTCTTGATTCTCCTCCAATCTCCAGAAAATTTGTCGATACTTTGCAGCGGGGTGAGTGGACCTGGTTTTCTCTACCTTGGTGTCGTCTGTTGACCTCGAATTCTCCTTGTTTCGTCCTCTTGTTCGAAATGTCAAGTCGTCTTCACAGACGACTCCACGTCTCCACCCCACAAACTTCCAGCGTCTGGTATCTGTCGATTCTTTGGTATATTCAGCGCCAACTCCACCAATTGTAACAAACGGAGCACTGATATCTGGCTGAAAACGGTACTTCGTGGAGTATGAAGCCTCGCGAGGTTTTCCGTAGATCGCCTTGGGACCATAAAATTCAGTGATCTCGAGACTCGAAGAGGATGGTACGGGCCGTGAAATAGGATCACCCTTTGTAGTTTCGTTTTTCTTTTGAGCTTCAGATTCAGCTTTGGAAGTCTTCGAGTCGGCCGGCGTCAGAGTAATCGTTGTCAAGGCATTGGTCAATGTGCAGTCCTCTGGTTGCTGAATAGTGAGGTCTATAAAGATGACACCGGAAGAAGCGTTATCAATATGACCCCATTTGGTGTTTGCAAATCGAAAACAACAGTCTATCTGAACTGCTCGGATGCTGTGCTGAAGAAGGCTCACGGCTTTTTGATCTCCGCATAGCTCAATGTACCTGGACTGTCTTGATACAGCTGGTTTTAGTTTTTTGTGATCGTTTATTTTGAAAAGGGGCATTGATCGGACTTTCGATTCGGTGGGATATACAATCAATTGCTCAAAAAGTAGGATCTTATTCTAGCTGTAGGAGAAGTATAAAGAAAAAAGTGAAGATTGAAATTTGGGATTGGTATCTACTAACTAGTAAACACCAAGGCTGGCGGGCTTGTAATTTAAGCAGCTGAAAGTCACACAGGCCGACAACTACATTGTTCCAAATCTTCAAAAGTAATAGGGGCTATAAAAATAGGCTGAATTATGCAAGCTTCGTGTCTGAGCCTCGAATGCTATGCAGGTGATTACATCCAGCCATTGACGTTGGTTGCTTGTGTACAACCCGCAGTTACATGAGTCCGAACTGCATACGAAGCGCCGCACTAATGTCTGTAGGTTACAAGGGGACGAATTGGGAATCGAATCATCGATTGGTTATAAAGAAAACTATTGGTAGGTTCAGCCTGGTCGGTGGTGACATAAGAGAATTTGAACACTTGTCCACTGAAAAAACTTCGATCATCATCTTTTGGATATGTATAGAATGGAAATTTTGATGCATAAGTGAGCCGCTACTCTCGACATGGCTCGATCTGTTTCCTGGCTTGATGGTGACAAATCAGAACCAAAGCTTCCAGCAGTCGATATTGGCAGCAGAGTCTTTGTTTTTGAATCCGATGATGAAAAGCTAGATCATGAGATAGCAGTCCTACCATCACGACGGTCCGCTATTGAGGACGAAGCACCGATTGTATTACGACCAATCCAAAAATCTCAAGGACTAGTAAGTGTGTCTACCCTTTAGAGATATAAGCTCATAACTAAGATGAGTTTTACTGAAACCAGCCTAATCAAAACGTCGAAGACACTGATGAGCACGAACCCGTGATCGATGTTCACGACACTGGAAAGAACACTACAATCAATTTGAGCATTGATGTGCAGATCGACGTCACTGAAGACGTCGCACAGCTATCTCGATTGAATCGTCTAGGATGGTTCAATCGCGGGGTGACACTATACGAAGAGAAGCTGAAACATCACCTGGACTGTTTCCCAGTGGCTGTCGATATGCGGATCTCCTACTACAACAAGGAGAGTACAAAAAGGCCCTGTCATTTACGGAGGATTGTTGCGCACTTCATGGTAGAACAGGAAGTTATGCTCCGGACGAACATATGGTGCTGAAGTCTATGAACGCGTACGCCGCTATTTTCGCCAAAGGGACGGTTGATGATGCTGTCAAGGCGTTGAAAGGGATGTCCGATTATCTGAAAAAAGAAAAGGCTGAAAGTCTCAAAGCCACCAAGGTACGTTCAATATCTGCCCTGTACATATTTCGAATCACGTTAATATGAGTGACGCTATGTATAGATTCATATGGTCGAACTTTATTTTCAAATTTCGATATTCATCAATGATAATATTTTGCCAGATTCACTGCCCGACGATGTAGACTTTGGATCTATTGCGTTCCGTGACCATCCTTGGTTCTTCTTACCACTGAAATACTCGAGCTGCTTTGTGATTGGGAAATGGTACTATCTACTACGTCAACAGGGCTTCCACTGGGAGTCATTCCGCTTTTTGCGGCTCSTGCTTGCCMTCTTAAARACGAATGACTCGCCATTTGGCCATCTCGAATACTTTCTGCAGATTAGTGTCAGAGACTTAGTTCTCGAAGAAACATTCTTAACGCTTGCTCATATCACGTCTTCTGGCGACGAGCAACAAATTCTCGCAGAGCTTGCCAGCATATCGTCGATCCGAAGTTTGATTATAGACACCACATCTGATCTATACCTCGATTCTGCTAAGACCTGTTGGCACCAAGAGAAAAGTCTTGCGAGGCTTATCGTTGAGAGCCATCCACACTTGTCAACCTCCAGACCATTTCTCGAATGGATTATGAAGGAGCATGTCCATATATTTCCATTTCAATCCCAGCTGACTGCAAGATTACGTGGCGACCTTCCGAATATGATACCGCAGAGACGTCATTCTATCAAACCTCTTTTGGATTGTCTTTTGGACTTTGGGGCTATGCGAAATACACAAAGAATGGGCCACGTTGAGACTGCTCAAAAAGTGCTTAAATGCGCCGAGGAGAACGGCGATACTCTTCTGCAGCGGACTGTCTTGCAAGAGTTGATCATGTTCGATGATAGTACAGTGACTAGCCGTCTGCAGAACCTGATGACGCTTGCATCTCTACTGGACACAGTTGATCTGGTCGGTTACATCGACTATCTAGTATTGAGATACACAACGTTGCAGGAAATCTCTCCAAATATGCAAGCTGTAGAAAGATCTAAACTGTGTGAAGAAATCCGGAGATTCAATCTACGATATCCATGGGACACTGCATTCTCACTCCCGCTGTCGGAATATATCAAGGATAGAATATACATACGCGTTCTCACAGATCTCCATCGAGACTCTGAATGTGTGTCCACGCAGCGAATACTGAATGATCTTAAATGGCAGTTACCAAGTTACCTCGAGCCCGAGCGAACCTTTTGGTTGTCAGGGGATCGCCGATTCGGTGCTTCAGACATGTTGCACATGCTACACATGCAGGAAGAAACTGATGCACGGCGGAGCAGGCGATATCGACCGAGCACTGTCGATGATAGAGTGACAATACTGCCTCCGCCGCGTGGTTTCAAAGATACAGTGGTTCGTGATATAGCCACAGATGAAGAGAGCCTTTACTCGCCTGTGAGGATTATCACTAGAGAACCCAAATATCTGAAGAGTGGCGTCAGTCAATCAAGAAAGTCGGAAGAAGAAAAGGAAGCAGGGGAAGAAGCAGGAAAAGAGGAAGAAGACCAGAACAAGTAAGTGACGCTATTCAATCGCTCTGTGATACGAAGTAGTTTTCACGTTGTCGCTAATCGGATCAATTTTGAAGAAACTCCAAACAGCTCATCGTAACTCCAAGACGATCTTCAAATACTCCTCCCCCTGAAAGTCATATGCAGATACCTTCCAGCTCTTCTTCATCAGAATCGGAGGGAGATGATAACAAAAAACCCGATGAGTCCACTTCTGTACAAATTCAAGACATGCACCACGACACCGCTGAGCCACCAAATGATGCTATGATGTCCGGGTCCAATTTGCACAGACAGCCTACCATCGAGCTCGGTAGTGATGATTCTGAAAATAAGAAGAGTGGGAGATTGGCTACGAAAGAGCAAGGAGACTGAATGCCGTATTATTTTTCACAGAATATTTGTAAATCGTAGCAACGCAGAATCTTAGCCATGAATATCTATCGGAAACTTCCGGATCAAATGTTTCGACTTGTAGAAATATTTCGCAATGTTGACAGTCCTAGTGGCTTAGGGCGAGCCCACTTAGAATTTGCAGCAAAATCCCACAACAGTCAGTCCTTTGGTTTCTTCTTTGCTTTGTTTGCAAGTATATGTATCTCGCAACAAACGTGCCTGAATTCAAGCAGTATTCAATACTGAAGCTTTACGACATGATTGATAGGTCTTTCGGGCTTCTTACGTGAGAACAAACGATCTGATGAGGTCTGTCGAAACCCTTATTCCAGCAATGTGACATATCTAGCGCATACCTAAATGAACAAACAAACAAAGAAGATAGCGGAAATTACTCGCCATAAGGTACTGATGGATTGCCGCAAGAACAACGCCTGCATAGGTTAGTTGTGCAAGCGTAAAGTCAATCATCTCGCCCCGGACTTTTGAAACAGGTACCGGTTTCCCAAATAGGCAATCACAGCAAATTCTCCGTGATTCTTCATGACTAACACTTCTTGGCCTGGGACAACAAATAGAATGATGGAGAAGGAGTAGTTTGGGCAGTGGGTAGTCTGTGACTCAAATCATATGACCTGTCGACAGAATGTGTTACTACAAACGAACCTCGAGCAATGTAGGACGATAGAATGAGACATGACCAACAGTCCTTGCCCAGGATCTTTGTTCCAGCCTGCCTGTTACAATACCGCCAAACAAAAGAAATCTTTTTCCAAGGCTTAGAAGCCGCCTGTCCCAAATAGGTACCGCGCAGACCAAAATCAACAAGAAACATATGATTGCTACATCGACAATAACGAAATAGACGGGAATACCGCAAGAAAGCTATTTCCATTGAGTTTACATTATCTGGGTCTTCAATCTGTCAATAATGGATTAGGCCTCCTGCAAACAATGGCCGGGCGTGTGATATGACGGATTTTCCCATGTATTATCCACCGACGGCATCGGGCGTGCTATGAGTGCCCCTCCTCTCTCATCGCCTATAAATACTTAGATTTCCTCCTCTCTCCCCAAAAATCTTTTTTTCTTCCTAATATTGTGGAAAATGCGGTAGGCAATGGCGGGAGCTTGGTGGTATTGTCCATCATTAACTCGTTGTTGTATCAAGATCCTATCGATATCTCATGATTGTGTACTCATTGCCACTACCGATTTGTTGGAACCTCCAGGACGATCTATCGTTGTCTTTGGTGAGTATGATACCATTGATTTCTTGCAATTGCCTACTGCATTTTCCACGACACCATACTTTCTTGAATACTTCACGAATATACATTTTGTTTCAAATCGACACGATGCATTACAGAAAATGCCCCTGACGGAACGTGCGATCCTTCGAGCCATTATATTGGTCGAATATTCGCCAATGATGAAACGTAACAACCAGTTCAGTGGGTTAATTTCAAACGCTTTTTCATTGCATATGTTGACCTGTCTAGTAGTCCAGTCCTCGTCGGCGATGAAGACGTATGAACCAAGAGACGAAGGTGTCATACACAATCGGCAGGGTGAATCTCCCAGGTTGGCAGTTTGATCATGACCAATGTGGAGGAGTTGAAGCGAGTTTTCAAGCACGAAAAGAAATGTCAGTGGGTCCACTGAATTTAACCGAATGACATGGTATTGACGGTGACATTCAGGCTCTCCAAAAGATACTTTCGAGGAGTGTTGCCAATTCTCCGGATTGGAAGGATTCGTTGTGGTAGATCCCAAAAACAAAGTCCCTCTTATTTCATTACAGGGACAACAACGTCGTCAGCGCTGATGCCAATGACTGTGTGCGTTTAATGTTCTGTTTATATCCATTATATTTTGCATACGCTAACGGACCTAGTTCTGGCTCCATCCTTCGTGATGAACACACCTAATACAATTCATGTGGTCAAGACCAACTTTATAAAGGTTAGGAAGAATTTTGAAGACCCAGTCACAGAAGCAGTATGATGATAGTTATTAGCCTGTTAATAGCGGCTACGCTGATATCGTCCTCGATGATCGCGTTGCAGATTATTGGGGTTCTTATATCGGGCTAGCCAGCATACCAGTTCAATGCTTTATAGACCATCTCAAAGGGGCCATGAAGTCTACACCGACAATACTGCAGTACTTTATCATATGAAAAGGCCACGGATATCGATCAATGAAACTTTTTACGACTCTGGACCTTGCCTGGTCCAATTTCTAGGTCCTACTATGAGGAGAAGTCATACATTTTCATCCCTGATGCGTGCGTGCGCAATGCACTCTGAAATTTGCCCTTTGAGTGTGGGAACAAGGCATTGCAATGACATATCAACGCGAAACACTCAGACGATATTGCCTCTTCGGTGATCTCTGGCTAGAAGCCCCAGAATTATATCTTACGGCGGAAGATTTGATCCTATCATGTACTAATGTGCCGATCTTCCTCGTACTTTCTACCACAAAGACCTCTAAAGGGTCACCGCCAAATACACGAAAACACTTTCGAGAATCGCAAAACATTCTTTTGATATCATGCTTTACAGCATCCCCGGTCTTCAGCAAAATGGAAAATCTATCACCACGTATCACCACGCGAGATTTGGTCTTTGACGGTTAAATTTCATCAATTCCTTGATTCTTACTGGACTTGGTCTAAACAGTTGGTTTTCCATAGACAACGGTCTAGCGAACCTAGGTGAGAAATGACCTCTTGTCATCCAAATTTGTGGATCTTGGAACCTCACACAATGAATAGATAGAGGATCCCGATCACATCAAGGAGGACTACGACTCCTATGACAACGAGGATGACGTACACGCCGTCTCTGAGGATCTCGATCTCCAGGCCAGCAAGGGGTTCAAGCAATTCCGGAAAGAGATGAATAAAGCCAGTCTCCCCATCGGGGTGCCACCCGTAACCTGGCGAAGCTGTCCACACGCCGTCAAATCGACCGAAGATCAGATGTCGCAGGATCAACTGGATTTATGGCGCAGCAACCTTGGCCGCCGTGTCGTAATACCCGTCGTCACCAGAAAGGCAACGGACACCATCGAGAACACCATCCTTCGTGGCTACTTTGATCGTATGAGAAACCATAGCTCCCAGTTCGGCCAGTTCGGCAGCGACATGATAGCCAAAGCTACTATCAACTTTGTTTGTAGCTGCTATGTGGAGTTAGAGCTTGAGGAGCGCAAAGGCAATGCCAATGTCAATCAGTACAATTCCCTTGACCCCTGATGGCAATTCAAAATTGGTACGTGAGCGATCGACAAGACCGAAGCACACCTGGATTAAGATGCATATAGACGACCTGTGCGGAGAATACGAGTCGAATGAATTCTTAGATTTGTCAAACTCGAATATTACTTCATGTCATCTCCTGCCTTTACTGAAAGATCGCAAGGAGCCGATTTTCTCGGTCACATGACACCTTCTCTCGGTTATCATCTTGGGACATAAAGATCCAAAGCTTGAGACTTTCAAATAAGCCAGCCGCTGAAAGCGCACTGCGATCAGTTACTGAAATGGCGAATGCGGATATCCCGCGCTCGAACGAGGCATTTTCAGTATACAATATGCTGAAAGTTTGTGGTCTGCCTGTAGCAGCCGAGTTCGTCACAGAGCGGGAGGTAATATTGACCATTCTCTGAACACGCCATTTGGCGTCATCAGATTGGGTCTGGAAGAATGTCACAGCTTTTGGATCGAAGGGTATTGTAATTATTGCCGACGGGGACAGAAAGGGCTCGAAACTCTTTCGACAGATCAAAAAGCCACTAGCTGCATTTCATTTTGGTGAGCGTCAACAACATCCGCGGAAACAAGTAGCAGCACGCAACGAGCGCATACAAAAGTGTAAGTCTTCTTTCATCTCTGACTCTTGACAGACATTAGGTAGTTGCTAATCTGGAGCTTTTATAGCTGGCATTGAACTTTTAAGGACAACTTTTGGGAAAAGATGCGTTGGCCCCCGTGGATTTGTGAACGGATTAGTCACTCACCTATGTCCGCATAACAACATTGTCAACCTCGAAACCGCAGCCATAATCAGGCACATTAAGACTCTACCGCATACTCTTAGTAGGAGGTGCGTGGAATGTGACTTCGAACGGCGAGTTTCCCGGGCGGTCTGTCAGCAAGGCTTAGAGAGGCAATGTCTGCTACGTCTTATCTTAGTGAATTTGGTGATCAAATGAACTGTCTCTATTCGACCGCGATTTGAGCAACCACGAGCCCAGTCTCGTGCAGCGCCCACCACCGGATGGATCCTTTGATCAAGCTTGTCTATGGTGCCTATCTGGAGTATCTCATCTCAAACATGCACCTCCAGCGTCTGTCCGGCATGGAACACTTGATTCACATCTTCAGTGTTCCAGATTCTAAAGTCCTTTTGGGTGCTGTTCGGTTCCAAAAGCTGCGTGGGTCCTACACCCCTTGGTTGGCTGAAGATCCCAATCACTTCACCTACAAAGCAATGTTTTTGCTTCTGCAGAAACAACGGTCAAGCGAATGAGGAAACCTACATCATGAAGATACATGACTTGAGAGAATGCTTATTCTTTACTATGTTGAAACAGCTAGAGATTGGCGCCATATCAACATCACCGATCAGGCAGCAGAATCGCAGTGGAAAAAAGGAATCCGAATGTGCTACAGTCAGACTCAACGACAAACTAGAGCTGCAGACGCGCCTTACGTCCACAACCAACCCTTGCGATACCCGGTTGGTGCGGTTGGTATAATTCGTCACATATATCAAACTTTGTGTCGTATCAACCTTCCGCAATCAAGATCTATTCCGGGATCATGTCACACCCGAGAGTGGACGAGTATCAGTGCTCGCACTTCATTCGCGAGTCATGTTGGCTGACGATGAAGTTGGCGAGTTGGGGGAATAACATGAGGTGCTTCGACACGGCGTTGACAAGGGTTGGCAATCATATCGAGAGGTGGAAGATCCCGACATTTGGGATGAGCGGGCTCAAGATATTGGCAAAAAGTCCTTTAAGCAGTTCCTCTTCTGACCAGATCTTGATACTAGACTTTGGGCGGAAGACTTACGGGATGCTTTTCATGATCTTCGAGACTCCAGAGAATCTAAGATCCGCGCGTGCGTTCAGGGTTATGATTACGGTATGGTACGTGTCGCAAAAGCTTCACATCACCTCAATTTGTGAACCATTTCTTTCCCGTGGCCAAGGTCGGGAGTCCATCAATGGCATAAGTAAGTACACTCATTCAATTAGATATATACTCACACCTTGACTGACTGCGGCTGTCTGTACCTATATAGTGAAGCCACATATCAGGTTAGTTCGAGGATGACCTGAAACAGAGTAAGTCCCGATTGTTAACCACCACATCTAGCTCGTCGAGGAGGAGTCTCACGGATGAGCGACTCGGTGTATCCAGAGATACGGAAGGTGCTTGATGTCTTTTCCTTGCCATGCCTCCGGAACCATATTTTCTTTATGTCTTAAAATTCCATAACGACAAATGAACTGGTCCATGAAAACCCCTAGCTGGAACACTGGTTGCAAAGATGAACGGGGCCTGCCTTGGTTCAGTGGTGTTGGCAGGCTATGGAACGCTGGAAGGAGAGACACAAGAGATATTACACGCTCAATGCTCACACTTTCTGGGACACTATCGGACAGGATAGACGGGGCTCAAAATCTTGAGCTATTTCATCACGTCAGTGGTACTGTTTTCATGCCTTTACCGTACAACAAGGTGTAGAGTATGTAGAATCGCAACCCGAGCGACAGGATGATTGAAACTATGATTTGCCGGAGGACTTTCGATCGTTCTACACCAAGGATATTCTCACGGTTCACGAAGCTTTCATGCTTTCTTTGAGGAGAGCTATGGCCGCAAAGATAAAAATATGTTGGGGCAAAGAAGTCCGCACAAGAATGAAGAAGCTTTTGAGACTTACACCACTGAAATTTTGGGGAGAATACAAAGATACGGAGCTGTGGTTGGAATTCAACCAGGACAGTGTATCCGTATTATTATATTTGTCAACCATCCTTAGCACTTCATGTATTCTAGTGGAGCCCAGTTCAGACAGACTGAGGGACGAAAGAAAGTTGTTTCTTTATCGGTGGCGGCCAAGATGGCTAATACCAGAATCGAGCAAAAGTCTTATGAACTACACGAGGTACGCATGAGCCTTCAAAGCTACAGCAATGCCACGAAGAAAGCAGCAAGAGACACGGTTCACCTCCTGTAAAAAAGTTTGCCTCACAATATCGACTTGACTGTGATAGCGTTTCCCGGATATCGGAAGCCCAAACACGCACGCAGCCTCTGTTTTTTACTATACCCCAAGACTATTCTGTCCAGATGGGAAATGATCGCGCAACCAGCACATCCCAATCTCGATCCCGTGGACTAGCCAAGGTCAGTGGCATTTACACGGACCGCCCGAGGTTAGGCTTGATCTAGATACCACTCAAAAACGCTTCTTTAACGATACAATCGTCAACCACTTTGTCTACTCTCTCACAACGATCTATATCGTTCTTTCCTTGAGATCCCTGACTCCAATAGTTTTCATCACAACAAATTTGCTATCTCGACATGGAGTCATACGAGCCGTACCCGAACTTCATGACCAGAATGGCCCTCACTATCAATGGACTGAGGTCATTGAGAATGAGACACGAGTGGAGGGAAACACTGGGATTATGGACGAATGAAAAATTCACAGCACTCGTCGACAAATTTACTCCTGTCGAGATCAAGAGGCTACTCGACAAAGAGCAGCCCGCAATATTTAGCAATCAAGGAGTCTAAGGAAACACAGCCATTCAGGGACGAGCCTATAAGGTACTGGATAGCCTCGTCCTCCCATGGCTGGTTGGAAAATATCAATCTTCGGCAGAAAATACGAATATGCCGACAACTTAGGGATTTCAGAGGTCACTTTTCGTCTTTGCGAGCATAATTCCCCAGAGGAGATGAAAGAGATGTGCGAGTTCTTCAAGATTGATACCAAGGATTGCCTGCACCCTGATTTAAGACTACGTCTTCTAGGCATGACGAGAGAACTTTTTCTATATCAAGCGTCTGCAGTTCGTTGGATGTAAAAACATGGTCATTTAGGCCGAAATTTGGGTGGATGGTGTCTAGATGAGACGGGTGTTGGCAAGACCACCGAACAATTTGCCCTTTTGCAGACGTCTCGCATTTCCAACGTTGAATACGATGACCTTCACCTTGCGTGGAAACGCAAGAACTACAGCCAAAGTCTTCCACCATATCAAAATCTTATGCTAGTGATATCCAGCTCATTGAAGCAGTACGTGCACTGTGCACGCCATTCACGGTACAAGAATCAGCACAATACCGCCAGCACAATATTGCTTGAAACCATGCATCAGAAATTGGCCTTTGTATCCACAGTCAGTGAAATACATCCTATATAAGTGTTGTCAGCCGACAAGCTTTTGAAACTCTGTCTCTCCAAGACGAGTCTGAGACCAACCTCCTACTTGCTTTGAGAAAGTTGGGACACGAGGTAATCACATAGGAGCCCGATCACTCATCATCGGCGCCTCGGTGACTACCTCGACCTGATGAACATCAATCTCGACGAACTTTGTCTGTGAGAAAAGATTAGTATCCTATTCTTCTCAGTCATAATCATGCATCCCTCAAACATGTCGACGTATTCAAGGGCTTGAAAGAGAGTGGTACAGCGTGCATGATACAAGCTGAAGGAAACTCTCACAATATGGACAGTTTTTCAAAGAGGTCAGCCGCGAGAAAGTGACGAAAATCCTGGAGACCACCCTGAAGCAGCAGTCAAAGATCTATGCAACAAGGGAGATTTTGATTACGAAGGATAAGTATCTTCTGCAGCTAAAGGTATTCAAGATTTACTGACACGATCTTTGCATTGAAGAAGTCGAATTCTAGTCAAGTTAAGTCTTCCATCTACTCCAAAGGAGGGATGTCTGAAAGCGTGGAACAGGAGGACGACAATGTGCCAGTCCTGGCTAGTTTAGTCTGCATCAATCCAGACTACCTCAGTGCACCAAACCACAGCTACCCAGTCTAGCTCTGTGGAAGCCAAATATCGGGGCTCCAGAGAGGAGCCCAGCGGTTAAAGAAGAGAACTAGAGTGACCGAGATTGCGAGAATGGCAAGGAAGTCAGAAGGTTCAATAGACTTCCTGTTCATCTCCGCGCGAAGACCCAAGATGCAACAACAGTCTGATTCTCTGAGAACCGGAGATGCCGAGCATCAGTACTGTCCTACTACCACCCTTGATTTCATCAGCCTTGCGCCCCACAATAATATAGTTTCAGGTTGAAGATGAAAATGAGGATGAGAGCGAGGAGAATAGTGACAGTGATGGGAACAGTGTCAGTCTGGTGGAAAGAGCATTTAGGAGGGTGATAAGGAGAGCGGTGAGGATCAGGATATTAGTGAGACCAGTGACGGATTAAAATTGCCCGGCTTTCCACTAGTATGATCACTATGAGGACCAGTTTCTGATCGATCGTTGACAGATAGAGACCGAAACAAGTAGGAGACCTCTAACTGTGCCTCGTTGTAGTTGTAATGGTGATATATATATTTTGTTCTGGAACATGAGATATGGCTGAACGGATACGGAAATATATACATGTTGCCTATACTAGACAAAGTCCTCATTTTAGCCTGAAGAACCTATGTAACTGATCAATTTCAGATTGATAAATTGTTACAATATTAATTGAGAGCGTCGGCAATATAGTAGTAGAGGTGTCAATCAAGAGTCGTATGATAATCATGACCCAGGGTTAGGGCTGTCCAGAACGTGCAACGTGATAAGGGGCTCTAGCCTGCTGCCGTCTGAATGATCGCGAAAAAAGTCCAAATTATTCCGATCATCAGTCTGACCCGCTGGCACTCAGACAATTGACTCCAATGAATGGAGGCTGTGGTCCAATAAATGAAGGCAGCTGGTGATTTAGCGTGGATGTTTCACCGATATTTGGCAAATTGAACCCCTGGACCAAACTAAATAAGCCCCGCTGCTCGTCATGTCTCTGCCCCGCCATCTCTCCGTTGAACTTTCGACTTTCTGTATTTCTGTTTGTATATCTGTCCGATTGCAAACTCATCTGCATTTCTCTCTTCTCTAATATCAATTGACAAATTGAATTCTATAATTTCGACCTATTCTTAATTAGCAATGTCTCTCGGTTCTGTTCTCGTCACTGGGTAAGCTCTCACAAAAACAAGCTCCTGCCTCCTGACTAACTCCGACAGAGGAACGGGCTATATCGGCTCGTTCACGGCTCTCGCTCTCCTCGAGGCTGGCTACAAGGTCGTCATTACGGACAACCTGTACAACTCGTCCGAAGAAGTCCTCAACCGCATTGAATTGATCTCCGGCAAGAGGCCTGAGTTCGTCCAGGCCGATATCACCGACCCGACTGCCTTTGACAAGGTGTTTTCCGCCTACCCCGATATTGACAGCGTCATTCACTTTGCTGCTCTCAAGGTATTGCTCTTTTTTCCGAATTGCTCATCGTCCTCTCTAACAATTGCAGGCCGTCGGCGAGTCCGGCGAAAAACCCCTCGACTACTACCTCGTCAACGTCTACGGCACCATCAACCTCCTCCGCTCCATGCAAAAACACAATGTCTACAACATCGTCTTCTCCAGCTCCGCCACCGTCTACGGCGACGCCACTCGTTTCCCCAACATGATCCCCATCCCCGAAGAGTGCCCTCTCGGTCCCACCAACCCTTACGGCAACACCAAGGTCACCTCCGAGACCGCCATCACCGACTTCATCAACGCTCAGCGCAACAACCTCACCAAGGAAGGAAAGACCGAGGAAGCATCCAAGTGGAACGCCGCTTTGTTGCGTTACTTCAACCCCGCTGGTGCTCACCCCAGTGGTATTATGGGCGAAGACCCCCAGGGCGTTCCTTACAACTTGCTTCCTCTTTTGGCGCAGGTTGCCGTTGGAAAGCGCGAGAAGATTCTCGTGTTCGGTGACGGTTTGTCCTTTCCTCTACTCACTTATTTTTTTGGGAACACACAATCTGATTTAGTTAGACTACGATTCTCGTGACGGAACCGCTATCCGTGACTACATCCATATCCTTGACCTCTCCAACGGCCACCTCCTCGCCCTCAACTACCTCCGCGCCAACAATCCCGGCGTTCGCGCCTGGAACTTGGGTTCGGGACTCGGCAGCACCGTCTACGAAATGATCAAAGCCTTCTCATCTGCCGTTGGCCGCGACCTGGCCTATGAAGTTGCGCCTCGCCGTGCCGGTGACGTCCTGAATTTGACCGCTAACCCTACCCGCGCCGGTAAGGAGCTTAACTGGAAGACTGAGCGCACACTCGAGCAGACGTGCGAGGACCTCTGGCTCTGGACCAAGAACAATCCTCAGGGTTATCGTCAGCAGCCTCCTGCTGAGTTGTTGGCAGCTTTGAAGAAGTAGATCTGTCGAAGGAAGTGGAAAAATGAATATACTCTTTACATATAAATGAGATTAGCGAGTGGTTATCTCAATGTTTTTCTTTTGTTTGACGATTGGGTTTTAGACAGAAATGTTACAAATTATGACTCGTTAGTTGTGGATAATTATAGATGAATCCATGCAGCATACTTCCAAATTTCTATATAACGTATGAATAACACCGTCTAATGCTAGCCATGCAAATGATAAGATAAATATAAATACAAGATGATAGAAGTCTCACTTGCGATTCTTCTTTCCCCCAGCTGTCCTAGCTTTGTTATTGCCCGCATTATTCGTAGCAGTCGACGACCCGGTAGAATCTGCCTTCTTTTTCTCCTCTTCTTCCAACGCCTTTTCGACCGCTCTCCTCTTCGCCGACTCCTTTTCTTTGACTTGTATCTGATCCTCACTAAACTCCCACAGCTGCTTTGCAACCTCTTCATCGCCAACTTCTTTTCTCAATGGTTCGAACTCGCGACATTCCTTGATAAACCAGCCTCCTTCCTCGCCACGCCCATACCGCGCTTCCATGGCGGCATACAAGAAACTTTGCGCTCCTTGTTCGGGTGATTTGAGGATTAGCCACCATACAGGCCAGGTGATGAGATAGAGTAAAAGACCCCATAGGCTACCGCCTGTGATCCAGCGGCGGGTACCCGGTGTGCGTGTCCAGCCGGGGTCGACGATGAGGACGCGCGCGTTCATGGGCCGTTGATCCGGACGTTTGTAGGATGAAAGGTGTTTCTGGAACGCTTTTGCGAAGATCATGAGTGAAAGTTTGGTCATGCCGTACATGCTTGATGCGCTTGTATTGCGTTTCGCTTTTTTCGTGCTTCCCCCAACCTTAGACTTATTCTTCGTCGTCATCGCTGTCGTCTTCTTCGTATTGGGTTGAGAGACAACGCCCTCAGTCCGCCTCAAATCTATCTCTGCCCCAATGTAACTTGAACAACTCGCAAACACAATCCTCACATCCCTATCCGGCGGCTGCGCTCTGATGGCCGGACTCAAAATACTCAGCAAATGAAAATTCGCCAAATAATTCACCTGCCACTCCTCATCAAGTCCGTCCGGTGTAAGTCTCGGTTTTCCGAACCGCGTTGGCTTAATTGTGTTTGCACAGAGGATAATCATGTCAAGTCTTCGGGGTGGGGCGTTGTCAACCCATTTCGTTGCGAATTTGCGGATTGAGTGCAGAGAAGTCAAATCAACTTGTTCGGCGTAGATTAGTTCGTTGTTGGTGGTTTGGCGTAGGTCTTCGATGTAGTCGACGAGAAACAGATCGGAGGGGGCGTGTTGGGTGAGGAGGATGATCTGGGCGCCGCGCGAGGCAAGGTCGTGTACGATTGAGGCGCCGATTCCTGATGTTCCGCCCTGCTTTTGGTTAGCATAATATATACAAAATGGTGGATTTTAAAGAAGTACTGTTATCATCACAACTTTGGAATGTAGCAGTCGCTCGGAGGTGTTGCGGGCGCCGCCAAAGTAGTACTTCAGCAGGGCCACCACGGCAACGACGGCGGCCCATTTGATGGCCGTGTAGGCATAGGGAATGGCAGAGAGACCCTCGGTGATTCCGTGAGATATCAAAGGGATGGGCATGGTAGTGGATGCCAGTTGAGAGCTGGCGTGGGCATGTTGTTACTGTATGTAATGAACGTAATTATCCTGCCTAGATTAAATAGATGCCGCAGCAATGTGGATCCTTCCTTTCCAGCACTATCGCCGGAGTCAATTTCAACTACAAATATTAAAATCTCAGCATCTTTAACCCTTCACATTTCTTCGCCTTGATGGCATAACTGTGATTTACTGCTGAATTATCACGCACATTTGCAAAACAGTATGACATTGTGTTACAATTGGATAAGAAGTGGAAAAGCCTGCCTCGCAGGAATGCGGCCGTAAGAAACAGAGCGCAAGACAAAAGATAATTAACAGAAAGCAAGATGTCGAATCTAAGTTGTGAGTAATATCTTCGAGAAAAACAAGTCACGCCGTGAATCTATTGGAAAGGGCCAGATCCTTACTGTGGCATCTGACCACCGCTGCAGGAGCTTCAATACAGGCGGCGATGTCTTTACAGGAGGCTCTTTAGGTCGAACGAGTACTACCGAACAAGAACTATCTAGTTCTTAAATTGCACTTCTAGACCCATCTGGAAAAAGCAGCAAAGTTGTTGAATTTAGTACTGAATAAGCCCATACCAGTATTCGCATCATATCAGATTGTCTAGGGAGTTACTGTGACGGTGACATCTTGTGCATTTCTCGTCTATCTACATCAGGGTTGAAATCAATGGCTCAATTCAAGAGCATTCTATACCTGGTCCCTCACAAATTACACAAAGATGAAATTCAGCCAGGATATCGTCAAGATGTTATACATGATAAGTAGATATATTAACAAGAAAAAGAAATCTAAGAGGTCTATTCAAGCGGTCTATGCAATGCTCTCTCGTCCTGGCATAAATTGTACATAAGCATCATGATTGACTCAGTGTATGTTTCAAATCCTATGATAGATCAGTCAAAAGCACAGTGCCATAAGTCCATCCGTTCGTGGAATGACCAACCTCAAGCATATCTTTCACTCCTACAGCTTGGCCACCCTTCGTATCATTCAGGGAAGCCGATATAAGATTCAGTTTCCACTCCTGTCTGCGCCGGATGTACTGCATTTTTCAACTGTTATTATTTAAAATCAATATGCCTTGAGAAATGGGATTTACCTCTTCAATTGACGTGGGGCCTGTCACGATATAGCGGATTGCCAGGACATTTCTCTGCTGTCCGATTCTGTGGACACGGTCTAGTGCCTGTCGCTCTAACATGGGATTCCAGCCTGGTTCGAGAAGGTGGACCTGATTAGCAGCTGTAAGGTCGATGCTAATTAATTTTTGTACGTAAGTAATGTTTCAACACCAAGTTTACGTCCTTAACCTACCCAACCCCAGCACTGCCCAACGTGGCAAGAAATATAGTACACGAAGGGCTTTCGTTGAAGATACGGAGTGCCTGTTTGCGTTGCGAAGAGCTTTTGCTGCCGTCAACCCGCTGGAATTGGAATCCAGTACCATCGAGGGCTTTTTCCACGAAGTCAAGCATTTTTGTCCAAGTAGAAAAGATAACACTGTTCATATTTTTAGTACCGAACGTCACTTGCAAGTACTTAGGGGATATCGCATGAAAGAATCTAATATTATTACCTTTTGATAGGCCTCCCTTCTGAGTTCAGAGATTGACTCCTGGTCTTCTGAAGATTTTCCAGCAAGGCCTTCACTTTAGATGATGGATAGTATTCCCGTTCAACCTCCATTTCATCGGTGGCTTGAACTTCCTTCTTCTTGTCGCATCCTGACGCGGCGCATACAGGGCAGACGGGCTCAGTAGGACTATCACCCTCTTGAACACCTTTCAGACACGCTTTGCAAACCTGATGCCAACAGGTAGTTAAATTATCCATATTCTCTTCCGAAACAGCCATGGGCTCATCACAATGTTCGCAGGTTGGAGGTGGCGTGGTTGCATCCCCATGAAAAGACATAACGCTGTCCAGCCACTGCTGAGTGGTAGAAGGAAGTAACTCGCGTCCATGGTTGCATATTTGTCGAAGCCTTAGAATGGTTTGAAAAGAGCTCTGTGCTATTCCACGAGTTTCAATAGCAGCAACACATGATTTGGTGAACAACTGATACATTTTTCTTTCCTCCATGTTCAATTCTACCGGCTGTATGATTTCCTCTCGTATGGGAAGTTTCAGATCAAGAGCTTCCTTTATTCTTCGAAGTGATATGGCTTGGACGAGAGATTTGAGCCTTTCCCAGCCACGTTCATCCCCACGCTCTATAGGGTGAGTGAATATGTCCCTGAAAGACATCCCCTCATCAAACGGCGATACACGGAGGAATTTAACAAGAGCTCCGAATTCCTGTACCCAGTTCTGTATCGGAGTCGCTGTTATACACCAGCGGTGCTTTGCGGAGAGATTGTACACAGCCTGGAAAATCCGTGAGGTTGAATTACGAATGACGTGGGCTTGATAGATAAGGATCAGTCTCATTGAGTTTGTTCCGTAAGCCCTAATTCATACCTTCATCTAACACAATCCTACGCCAGTCAATCTTGTGCAAGATACCTTCATGTTTGGATTTCTCGTTAAAGTCCATCTTGAGGGTATCATACGTTGTCAGAATGATGGAATGTTGGGTTAGAGCGGTTGCAACTCGTTTTCGATTTGGTCCATGGTAAACAGTATAACTGAGTGACCCCTCTTTGAAGTGCCTAGAGCCAAGTGTTAGCGAAGGTACAATCAGTGCACGTAGATGGGTGAATACTCTTGAATTTGGCTCTCCCAGCCAGAGAGGGCTATCAAACGTCAGTTGGCATGTATCCAACAAAAAGCATAAAATCAAGGCAAAAAAAAAAAAAAAAAAAAAAAACAAGACATACTTGACAGTGGCGAAACAATCAAGGTAGAATGTTTCGCTTGCTCTTGACCCTCTTGTGTTTCATTCAATGAACCTGCTATTAAAGCCAGCGTGGAAAGTGTTTTCCCAAGTCCCATATCCTGTTTTTTGGTCAGAAAATAGTCTATATTGATCAGAAACATCACTTACATCAGCAAGAAGACCCCCCATACACACTTTTGGTTCCTTCAGCTGAACACTCCCAGTGACAGAATTGCGGTATCTGATATAGAGGCGTCAGTCTATATTCATTCGAAAGGCAACGCCAATCGAGTTGGTACATTTTCATCCCGTGTTTGCCTTCCTCAAAACCTTCTGCCCAAAGAGATGGGAATTCACATCCAACAAACCGACCAGACTCCTTCTCAACCATCATGGCCAAAGCCTTTTTCTGGTGTCTGATGAAACTATTAGCATGTAGTGAAGGAAAGATAGGAATTTGAAAACAGACTGCAAAAGATCGGTCTTGATCCTACTGCTGACCTGTACCTCCGAGAATATGGTTGGGCCTGATGCTGAATCCATGATCTGAGAGACTTGCGATATTGCTTTCTCACTCAACCGAGACGATTGAGTCAACTCAACACCATTCTTTTCCCATGATGCACGGAATTCTGACCCCGGAGGTACTAGATACTGTGGGTTGTAGTATGTTTCCGACTCATCCAACTTAAATGGTTGTTGAAGATAGTAGTTATTTTGGTTCAGGAAATCACCAATCATACCAGCTTCATCGCGGGCGCCATATATCATGACCGAAATACTGCCTTGAGGGTGGAATTTGGCGGAAAGCTTCCTTTTGTATGAGTGAGACAAGGTGACGATCAGCTGGGCTGCTTCTCCATTCAGATAACCAGCGGAATCTTTTGAGTTGGAATCGCGAATGATCACGAACTCATCACTTAGTATGTCGAAGTATAAATCCCGGGCACTTCGTTCCTTTCCAGGGCTTTCCCTGATAGCATATTCGCGGAGGTTTATCTGTCGTTTATATGAGTAATTATCAAGCAACTATGATGGGTGGAACTTGCGTATCCAAAACAGGTATCCTGTATTGTTTCACTGCTTTTATTATCCGATGTTGGTTTTGACTGGGACATTTCTCCATCGGGCGCTGATAAAGGTGTATCGGGAGAATTGTGGGTAGAAGTGAAGACGCCATCTTTGTCAGAAGGCTGTATACTGCAAAGTGATACTCCATCGAAACCTTCGGCATCTGGTAAGGTGAGGTCAACAATTTCAGACGTAACCCCAGTAAGACCTCCATCGAAGTTGTCTTCAAAGCCCCATCCGCTCATTGGGTACTCAGGGAAACCCTCATAATTGATGCCCATGTTATAACTCGGTGAATCTAGCATACCACGATTGGCCGCAATCGACTTGTCACGTTGATCCAGTTCGTCAGAAAATGGTTCCTCGTGGTGACTTCCATTATCGGATCCAAGGGTACGAGCACGTTTTGAAGGGGTTCCAAAATCATCACATTGTTGATATTCGTCCGATAAATACTTGCTTAATTCATGGAAATCTCTTTTTGGTGTATCTGCAAAGTCAGTATTGGAGTCTGCTATTAGTTGGCGGATCTCCATGCTTCATACTCGACACATTTGATGCGAGATCTCTAACAGATTTGCACTACCCTTACAGTGGTTGAAAGAAGAAATGGATTGAATGCTAGTGAACGAAAACAAAAAACGCCTTGCCAGGAAAAATTTTAAACGGTCCTTACTCTTCTGCACAGCACAGTAAATGAGGCGTGTAATATGGGGCAGGCAGTTCTCTTCTCAACAAGTTAGAATGAAACAGGCAAAGCAAACAATCACTGCACGTACAAATTGCAAAGGCCTAGATGTTGTGACATAATGAGGCGAACTTCCAAGTGGCGCAGCACTGGGAATAACCCGGGTGAAATAATGCAACGATCCCCTGTCAGTATAGACACCAATAAGGGGAGACTTGCGTAGGGGGGACTTGCGGTGTGTCAAAAATGCCTGTCCCCAAGCCCAACTGCGTTGAAAGTACCCGGGCTTTGCTTGAACCTGTTTCCTAAGAGTAATGAAAATGTCAATAATAACACCATATTCAGAAATAGTCTTTGGCTAAAAAGGAGAAAGAACGTAATTGAAATTTCGTCTGTTAGGATAGATGGACAGCCTGATAATCCCATTCAGTATCTCAGCCACGTACCCCGCCATCTGACTGGGCTATCTTTGCTTTTTTTTGGTCAGCTAGATAGTCTAAAATTCTTTCACCTCTTTGTCTTTTCCATTCTCTAGATAGCTCCTATATAGTTATACTACAGTGCACCCCCGGTTCGGTTGTTGGATGTCTGCTGCCCGACTGATGATTGTTTCGTCTTCTTCAACAATGGCTGCTCCTCAACACGACGTTAGCAAATATACGATTGGCTGGTTGTGTGCCTTGTCGATTGAACTTGCAGCCTCGCAGCTCGTTCTCGATCGGATACACCAAGGACACTGGGCCGACCCCGCTGAAGGGATGCAATACACGCTCGGAAGTATAGGAAGCCATAATGTTGTCATAGGATGTCTTCCAGCGGGAGAAAAGGGGATAGGGGCCGCCGCTACGATCGCAGCTCGGATGCGAGGGCGGTTTCCTAATATGAAGTTCGGCCTGATGGTTGGTATCGGAGGCGGAATTCCAGACAAAATCGACGTGCGCCTGGGAGATGTCGTGGTCAGTGAGCCCATAGACAGTAGCCCGTCCGTAGTACAGTATGATATGGGACGTGACACACCTCGTGGATTTGTACGGACTGGCTTTCTCAACGCTCCTCCTCAGATACTCCGTCAAGCACTCACCAAGCTTCAGGCTCGGCACATATGCGACACTCATAACATGCCGAAGTATATCGCTGTCTTGGAACAAAAAAAGAATTTCAAAAGACCACCTCCAGAGTCCGATATTCTCTTCAAGTCAACCTATGATCATGACCCGGACGAGACAACCTGCAAGAACTGCGACAAGTCCAAAATACAGCCACGAGAACCACGAGAAACACGAGATAATAATGAGGTAGTTGTGCATTATGGAACGATAGCATCTGGCAACCAGGTCATAAAGAATGCACGAACGAGGGAACGCTTGAGCAAAGAGCCCGGTAAAGTTTTGTGTTTTGATATGGAAGCAGCAGGCTTGATGAATAATTTCGACTGTCTGATCATACGAGGAATTGCCGACTATGCAGACTCTCACAAGAACGATAGGTGGCAGCCATATGCAGCAGCAGTGGCAGCGGCGTTTGCCAAAGACTTGTTGGTCGATATACCACCTATCACTTCGCCCAATATCTCATCCCTATCGGTATGTCAAACGGTCTCAAAATATAAAAGCGTATCTTTTCTGATAACTGACGCCTAGGTTGACGATTCAGAGTTGGATTGAGGAATGTTTCAAGTCCGCACAAGCAGATCTTTTAGTAATATCGAGGGATATTGAAGTAGCCAATTCCAATGGTTGTCAATCTGTTCATGATATATATTATACAGCAGAAGGTATCCAAAAGCTACAGGCCCCTCGTGGAGAGTTACGCGCACTCGGAAGGATTGATCCCTATATCAAGAATGTTCAAGAACTTGTGGAAGTAATTGAGACTTTAACCAGTGTAAGCAAAGAGAGAGTGATGATTATCTGGGTAAGACCATTTTCAAAAAGATTCCCAACAATTGCTTCAACATACTCTGGTCACTGATATCCAACGGTCCTTTTTAGAATTCTTTCAAACTTCTTCTTGAGGTATTTGGCTTAATGGAGTATGCCTTTGCGGACATAGTGTATGCCCTCGCAAATGTTGGGCGCGATCTTCCTCAATTCAAGGGATATGTTAAGCTATTTAACAGAAACGAAGAGGCAAAAGATGTTTTAGGTCTGTTCTATCGAGAGATCGTGGATCTTCATCTTGTTATTCTACGAACATTCAAGAAGAAAAGTATGTTGAATCAATCTATCATCTGGTCATTCCCGCCCTAAACGACGCATTTTCTCAGATACAAAATTGATATTTCAGTCCTATTGGCCGAGAACCAAAGAAATGATCGATTTTTTCAAAGAAAACATGGGCCGATACAAAAACTTGTTGAATGAGCATGTCACTACAGACCAGATCAATCAAGAATATGATGCTCGTCAATCAGCATACGATGCAATGCAGGATGGGGACAAGCTGGACGGCTACAAGGATTACGAAACAGCGAGAAACTATATCGCGCCACGCTTCTACGAGGAGGAGCTTGAGAAGTTCCATAGGGGGATTAATCCAGAGTCTGGAAGTTGGCTGCATGAGAACGATGATTTCAAAAGGTGGCTTGATACAGACGACTTAGCGATGCGGACTTTGTGGTTTCAGGGGATCCCAGGCGCAGGTAATTATAAATGCACTTTGCTTAATGCATGCCTTTTCAAAAGTACTAATGGTATTCCCAGGGAAAACTGTGTTGGTTGCAAATAGCATCAACCGAATGCGGCAAACAAACGCGCAACTATTGTTTGCATTTTTGACCTTTGATGATGAAGAGCAAGACCATGCAGTGAAGGTACTCCAATCCCTCATGTGTCAAATGACTAACAGAAACCCTCACATGTGGCCAATTGTGCATGAGAGGTACATCATGGATGCCGGCAAGCTGAAGAGCAACTTACCCTACCTTGAAGATCTATTTATAGAGCTGGTAAGAGATGCAGAACACACCTTCATTATTATAGACGGAGTAGATGAAGTCGATCAATTACAGAGGGTGCTTTTGCTAAAATCACTCATGAGAGTCAAAGAATCATGCCAAAATGTCAAGTTGCTCATCAGCTCGCGTCTCGAGACGGATATAGCTAGGGTTTTGGAGAAAACAGCAGTCGCAATTCGCGTTGATCACAAGAATGCGGAAGATATCGAGACATATGTCCATCATGAAGTGGATGAATGGCTACCCCGTCTCGTGGGTTACGGGGCCAGTGAAAGTACATCTTCTCAGATAAAGACCGCATTAGGACGTCTCAAGGAAAAGGCAAATGGTAATGTACTCGGGTGCATAGTTTCATATATGTGTGCTGACTTCTTTAAACCCAGGAATGTTTCTCTACGTCAAACTCGTAATGCATATTGTGAAAATCCAAGACAATCTCGAAGATATTCGAACAGAGACCGAGAATATTCCGAGTGGCCTTGAGCAAGCGTATGTCTCTGATATTCTGTTCGATATGCCAGGCAATGATGAAGCTCACGGTGATCCAGATACGGCCGAATCTTGCAGGGAATCGAGAAGAGAGAAAGGAAAGACGGGCTTGCCGCTATTACCATTCTACAATGGATTGGTTGTGCAACACATCCGCTCAGAGTACAAGAGCTGCTCCAGATTCTGGCTATACAGCAGCCCGGCTCGGATAACTTCTTGAAAGGTCGTTGGGTTTTTCGTAATATTCAAGAAACGTGCGGCCCCTTTATTGAGATTGAGAAAGGAATAGTTCGCTTTGTGCATTTTACAGCAAGAGAGTAAGTCAGGTCCTCGTCTAAACGAGCTACAATTGCTAATATGGTACTATTCAGGTATTTGTTCGGGGACCAGAGCAAATACTTCATTCGTGCTCCAGACACCCATTGGTTGATTGCGTTAACCTGTCTCAACTATCTGTGTTTTAAATCACTCAATGACATATTCTTCCAAGATACAAATGGAGAAGAAATAAAGCGGGAGATCCTCGAGGGCAACTTTATCATTTTCCACTACGCGGCAACCCAATGGATACATCACGTGAAAAAATGTGCAAAAGAACTCAGGCCGGATTATCTTCAATCGCTGTGTGAAACTATTAACGAGTTTTATGCGCTCCGATGTAACCAACTGTCGAACTATATTACTCCTCAACGATCAGCATGCATTGACTTTGTATCGTTTGCCAAATGGCCTGATGTACAAAGATTCTTGGCTCTCGTACAGGACTTTCAGTATAAGCTTGAGATAGGACACCTGCACACTGACGGTATTTATAGCCCGTATGAACAAAAGCTGAACGTCCTAGCTGACAACAATGAAAACAGACAAGGAAAGCATTTGGACGGACAAGGATCCGACCAAAATCTCCGCTGCGCTCGTCCAACTAAGAGAAAAAATTGAGGCTCTACTTTGCCAAGGCCATAATCACCTTCCAAACTGTTCCTGCAAAAAAGTCCAAGAACTATACGGGACGAACCTTTACTGTTGTGATAGACAATTTTGCCAATTTTACAGCACTGGCTTTGCGACGCGCAGAGAACGAGACGTGCATCTCAAGGTTCATAGTAGACCGTATTTGTGTCCTCACACGGATTGTCTCTTCGCTGAACTTGGTTTCAGATCACCAGCAAAGCTTGCAAGACATTGTGAGCAAACACACCCACCTCAACGCCGCATTGAAAGCCGGGTGGTCAACGCTGAGTCGATCCAAAAAATTCCAGAGAACGACGTGAGAGCACTTGTCGACGACGCAGTCCGTCGTAATGACGCTACTACCGTATCGTATCTTTTGGGAAAGTTTGAATATCCGCCCGATTACTACGATATCTTGCAAAGGCTTGCGGCAACTCATGCATCTGGAGAGATGGTCAAGTGCATACTAGACCAAGCGCAAAATATTAAAAAAGGGCTGGATATTGAAAAAATGGTATGTATTGCCATAGATGGTGAAAATGTGTCAGCACTGCAATATCTGGTCGTCAGAGCCAACGAGAAGATGTCACAGAAGCATTACAATACGCATGAAAGGACAGAAATCTTCACAGAGCGAGTTAGACGCGCATTCAATAACTGTAATGCCGATATTATGAAAGTTTTAATCAATGATGGTGGGGTGGTACTTCCATCAACCTGTCCCAAAGATATTTTCAACGAGCTCATACAATCTAAGAGAGATGATACTGAAAAGCTGCACCGGCTGCGCTCGATGAAAAAGTATGTCATATGGCCAGAGGCATACACAAATGCTGTTTATTGGGCTGCACTTAAAGGCTCTGTTATCGTGGTACAAGTTTGCCTTGACTGCGGAGGAAGTGCAAATGCTAAATACGAACCTAATAGACGTAAGCGATCACCCACGACAGCCTTGTATAGGTGTGTCAGAAGGGGCACCGACCGCCACGCAGAAGTTGTCAAACTCCTGCTGAAAAATGGCGCTGATCCCAACGCCGAAGGCATAACGCGGCTTAAAGGGATGGCGAATATTGAGAGGTATTTTGGAATGAGCTGGGAAGATCTAGTTATTCAGATCCAGGGTCACACGGTAACACAGATCACAAGCTAATGGATGATTCTTGAGACATGTATTACAAGCTTAATCTTATATCTGGAGCTTACACACCATATTGGTTAGGCGATCAACCTTCTGAGAAAATATGTAGCTACACCCTCTAACAGGTATTATGGAGGGAGCTATACTATGTAGAGCAGTTCTTACAAAAATATACGTAAACAAGGCTAAAGGACTATATTACGGGCCCATTATACTCGACTCAGGCCTGTTACCCTTTAGTGATCCCAGATAGCAGAAGAAAATCTAATGCGCTTACACGGCTCGAAGGGCTCTCATTCTCCCAGCCCCTAAGTAGCCGGAACCAGCAATCCTGGGCCGGGGGATAATGATCCTGCTCGGGTTCAAAGTTCAGAATCTGGGTGGAATCGTATGTAACACCCCGTGAGGTATACAGGCCATCGTGTTGCAAATACGTAGCATGTAGGCATACTGTAAGTCATGAATGTATCCATGAAAGCCGGGGAGTTCGTAGCACGCAGAGTTTTGAATTGGGGTACAAACCATGTAGTTAGTTTTCTTTACCTCAAATTTCACTTATCACGATCATATGACGTAAAATGGGGTCGTATATATTGAAACAGGGTAAATTCTGATCAGCCTATGACGGCCGTTTCTTCTGCTATCTAGCCAATTCCTAGCATACTCGTGGGCGCATTTCTAAAAGCCCCAGTGAGTGTGCTCCTATAAACCGTGCGTAAGCACATGAAGGATTCCCCAAGTAAGCATTCTAGTGAGCGGCAGTTTTGTTCATTTCATGGAGTTCTCCAAGAGCAAGTGAAACTCAACCCAGTCTCACATATCTTCATGATGGGGTTGTCGCGAGTGCTATGACGCATTATCCTCGATGTCGGCGGCTTGCAATCGAGCTACTCGGGACCTCCAGAAAGTGTTTACCCAGGTATGTTTCCAAACAATTATACATACTGTCCTACGACATCTCCATCACTCTTGAACCTCAATCCTCGTCTTAAGTGTTGTGTTGGACCATTCGTATCCCATCTCAAGCACTTCCAGTTCTACATGAGCCTTTTCAAACATGCATCGCATACCGTTCCAACTCCTCCCTCGAGATGATGGGTAGAGTTTGTAATGAACCATAACCTACCGGATCTCACATGCAATGGCAGCCTAACCCCTAGCTAATCCTAACTGAGTAAATTTCACTGGAAATCGACAAGTTCAATGTTCAGATTGTATAGATAAGGATTTGTACGAGGCCGTGATCTATCAATGCTAGTATAATACATATAATACACCATGATACAGACAATATGTCATATCATATATACGCTGTTGCAGTCTTCTCGTCTCCATCAGCAGGTGCAGCAGCATCCTCTTCCATAGGCACGCCAAAAGAGTCTGCTTCACCATCGACCGACAAATCGGCTTCACGGCTGAACTGAGTATTGGCCAACAACTGTTCCTCATCAAGACCCTGTTTGTTCAACAGAATTTGTCGACGTCGGGAAGCATCCTTGCGGAGCTTGGCATTAGCCGAAAACTCGGTCAGGGCTCGCATCATGCGCTCTTCAACCATCTCCTTGACATGAGACGCAAGAGTCCGGTCTGTGAATATTCCTCCCATACGGTAGCTGAGCCACAGATACAGGATCAATGCCTTGTGTAAACTTTCGAGCTCATTGAGATATTCCTTTCGACCAGAGACTGGCTGTTCGAGGATTTCTAGGTTTAATTCTTGTATGTCAAGTAAACGACCACTGCTGTTATTGGCGACGCATCGAACATATCCTCTGGCACAGGCCTTCAAGGCCTGGTCACGGTCGTTCATAGGTGACGCCATAAAGACGATCTGATCATCAATACTCATGCGATCACAACGGTCGAGAAAGCTGGCTACCTCTAGCTGACTGCGGGCTCGGCACATGAAGAAGAGTGGATGAACCTTGCTGATCGAGCAAACCCGATTGATGAGAAACCTGAGCGAAACATCGCGAGGAAAGTAGCTAGCAACGCGATAGAACATTGCATCCGTGGGTATAAGTCCGGCCGCTTTCAAAGGAGGAGGATTAAACTCTAGCGCCTTTTGAATGAAGGGCAAGTCAACATCCTCAAGCGACGTCACCAATCCCACGTTTTCCTCTTCATTGTCGCCGCGTTTACCCGTTTCGTTGGCAGCACGATATCGACCTGCACGCCCACCAATTTGCTTTATCTCTGGAATACTAATCCTCGCAAGACCACCAGCCACGTTTTTGACTAGGGTTTGGAAGATGACTCGTTTGCATTTTCTACCGATGATGTTAGCTCCTATTTAGCACAGGCTAATTGTGACACTCACAGATTCAGGCCCATACCAATGGCGTCACTCGCCACGAGATAATCATAATCATTATCGGGGTCGTTGAACAAATTGGCCTGTTGCGTTCGAATCTCTGCTGGTAGGCCACCGTAGACGATAGCCGCCCGCTTTCCGGTCGATTTCTCAATTGCACTCTTCAAAGCATGAATATTGATCCTGGAGAATGTGACTATAGCATCTCCCTTTCGAAGGTTGCGAAGATCCCCATTCAGACTTTGAGTTTCGGCCCGTAGTGGATTGAGTCTCTGGTATTGATGAATCTCCAGATTATCGCCCATTAACGTGGCCAATTCTTTGATCAACGGCACGGCTCGCTCTTCGCCACAAACATGCAACTCCTTTGCTCTTGATCCCAGAAACGCTCTTGTCCAAGCCCAGCCACGATCCTGATCGGCAATCATTTGTATCTCATCGATGACTCCGACGTCGTAGTCCTTGTAAATACTCACCATTTCCACGGTGTTACTGATGATGCGTGGCGGCGTGTCTGAGGTGCGGACTTCATCTCCCGTCACTAAATTGCATGGTATTCCTTCCGCATTGAACCGAGAGTAGACTTCCTGAGCTAGCAATCTCAGCGGTCCCGCATAAAACCCGGACTTCGCTTGCTCGAGTCTCTTTAGAGCTCGGTACGTCTTTCCAGAATTTGTGGGGCCAACGTGCAGATGAATAGTCCGTTGTCTCGAGCGAGCAAATGGATACCACTCAGCTGGATATCGAAAATCCGTCGCCTTTTGCTGCTCTGCAGCGTGAGGATTGCCGTACAATTCATGGTCACGAAGATCCTTGTATACCAATTCCAACTCCTCTATGATACCTTTAGAGCCGGCTCTTCTGAATCCATCGAAAAGTTGCGTCCGTATATTTACCAAAGTGCCAAAGTTCGCGGTTTGTGGGAGGCCGATTAGTTTGACCCGCGCGGCCTGAGTTATTCGACGATGGAACGAGTTCCATTTTTCGTGTAACGGATCGGAAGGGGAGAGGGAGTTTTTGAAATCTTTCAATGCAGTTTCGAGCGCCTCGTCAAACTTGATATTGAATGGTATTCGATAGACATCTCCGAAGCGACTAGTGAAGCTACCACTCTGTCTCTTGATTACGGGCTTGGGAACGGTTGATTAGTTTGCGTCGCAGAGAAGTAGCGAAGTTGAGACTCACATTCTTTGGCTTGGTGGTTGCAGATCCTTTCAGCAGTGGAGTCGACGTGAATTGTCTCGTAGACGTGGTCGCTAGAGCAAACCTAGGGCGAAACGAACAGAATAGGCATTCGCCTGCTCTGAGTGTCCATGGCTGCTTCATGGCAAATATGCGCAGGTTGTTCGCACCACAACCAGCCCGACGACATGTGGAAGTGATGATTAGATTAGCGGTCCATGTGAGAGGATTGACAGTCGACAGTTCGCGCTCTGACGGGGTTTGCGAGATGTGGGCGCAATGACTGAATTGAGGTTCTCTGCTGTTTCTTTCAGGGACGAGAAAAACCTCAAAGGGTTAGAGCCGGAGGACAAGTTTATCCTGACGCTTGCCGCAGCCGCCGCCGCCACTGCGGGTCAGTCCCGCCTTCCTCGTTCGGACTAATTCGTAGTGGGGAACTCCTCTCACACTGCGAGTATCACCTTGACTGCTCCGCTCCATTGTCCCTGCCGGACACCTGTCCACGAAAGGCTGTGTGATCTCTGCCTCTACGCTCAACTACACGGAACCTGACTGCAGAGAAACCTACCTGTTGAGCAAGCCAGCTATTGGCTTCTCCAGTCTATACTACCAGCATGGCGTCCTTGATTAGCATTCAGCGTGACAGTATGCGCTTGTTTTTACGTTCCGTCGCTGAATCACCGGCTAATTAAATACAATTCAACAGTCATTCTAGGCGCCATCCGCCATGCTGCAGGAAATGATGTACGTCCTGTGCCTTTCGTTGACGAGCTCCAAGCTGACCCCTCGCCCAGTGGAAAGTCCTCGTCGTGGACGAAAAATCGAAGAAGCTTCTTGATAATACCGTGAAGGAGGATGACATCCTGAATAACAATGTCACAAGTGAGTGATTCAGTTGACTGTTAGGATCTTCAGCTAAGTCATTGGGAAGATGTCGAGCAGATTGAACATCGCCGGCCACCGAACCACGATATGGATGCGCTATATTTCTTGTCTCCCCAACCGCACATTATAGATTGCCTCATGGCCGACCTCGAACGGGTGCGCTACCGGAAATTCTTTGTGGTTTGGACAGCGAGTTGGTTACTCAGGAAGGCCGCTCAGACGACGTCAGGCTAACCACGTTTACAGTCTTGGAACCCCAGCAACGTGCCAGGCTAGACCGATCACAGATGGTTCGGGACATGATCGTTTCCATGCATACTTTGAACGTCGATTTTTACCCCAGGGAATCGCGAGTGGCTACCTTCCGAGATCCGTATAGCTTTCCTATCCTTTTTCACCCAGCTTGCAACAATCTAGTACGGGAGCACCTAGGTGATCTCGCTCGAAAAGTAGGTATTCTTGACATGCATGCATGCTAGCAGTTGCTTACGACGCATAGATTGTGTCCATTTGCGTGGTGTTAGGGGAATATCCTGTTATCCGCTACTATCGACCTCAAGCGCCTACGCATGAGGCCGCCGTTTTATGCTCACATCTAGCGCGTTTCGTTCAGGACGAGATCGATAGCTATGCAGGCTCCAATCGAAATTTTCCACCGCAAAGCCCCCGACCGCGAGGCGTACTTCTGATAGTTGACAGGTCTCTGGATCTTTACTCTCCTCTGGTTCACGAATTCACATACCAAGCCATGGCACATGATCTACTTCCGATCAAAGAGGGCGACAAAGTTACATACAAGACCGTGATCAATGAGGGAAGTTCGAAAGAGGAGGTCACAGACATGGAGATTGGCGACCACGATCGAGTTTGGGTCGATTACAGGCATCTCCATATGAAAGACGTTTTGGAGAAATTAGCAGACGACTTTGCTAGATTCCGAGCAGCAAATCCACAATTTGCAGAAGAGTTAGTGAAGCTGAGCCGTACGTGCGACGACCGTTCGCTGACATGTATTCAGGAATGATAAAGTCACAGTGAACACCATCAAGGACATGCTAGCAGGCTTGTCTGACTTTCAAGAAGGAAAAAATGCTTATACGCTTCACTTGAATATGGCGCAAGAATGCATGAACTACTTTCAGGAGCGCAACTTACTAGAGCTCAGCTCAGTCGAGCAGGTCAGTATTTCAAACAAAGAGCTTTGACTACTTACTGACAGAATGTAGAGCTTGGCTACCGGTGTGGATGAAGACTATAAAAAACCAAAGAATCTCGCCATTCAGTTAGTCCGACTCCTCGATGAACAATCAATTGTCACCCCTGATCGTTTACGGTTGATTTTGTTGTACTTGCTCTATCGAGATGGCTTGCTCAAAGGCGACATCCGCAAGTTACTCGCTCATGCAAAACTTCCACCGCAAGATGGTGAAATCATTCATAATCTAGACCTTCTAGGCGCTAGAGTCGAAAAGCCACTAAAGGATGCGAAGCCTCCGACCCAGCCACTGTTTGCGCTCAAGCAACCTTCAGCCACCGGAGAACAAGATGTCAGCCTTTCCAGGTTTGAGCCGAATGTGAAGCGGATGCTCGAAGAACAAATAAAGGGCACTTTAGATTCAACCATATTTCCTTACACTCGTCCTCAGACGGACACCGATAGTGCGATACGCGATCAAATATCGCAATCATCACTGAGAAGCGCAAAACCCACTTGGGCTCGTACTCGAGGATCAGGTGATCAGCCGCGTCAACGAATCGTCGTCTTCATGGCTGGTGGAGCGACCTTCTCAGAAGCGCGAGCATGTTACGAAGTGTCGCAGACCTCAAATAAGGACGTTTTCTTAGCCACATCTCACATGCTAAACCCAGGTTTGTTCCTTCGACAAATTGGAGATTTGAGCGTGGACAAGAGACGACTTGATATTCCAGCAGAGCGGCCAAAGCCAACGGCACCTGCACATCTCTTTGAAAAGGAGCAACCCCCAGTAGCCAAACAACCGCCACCAGCTGCTAAGCAGCCATCTCCTGCTGCTCACGCAGCGGCAACAACTGCATTTGCAAATATGAACCTGAACGGACAGGCACCGGCGTCAAATGGTGGAGCTACTCCTCAACCACCTCCTGGGAAAATCAAGAAAGAGAAAAAGAAGCATCGCTTTTTCTGATGTGCATATCGGCTGCAAGTTTGTTTCACGCATTATATTTGGATACGATTGAACATCGCGCGTCCATCGCAAAGGTGCTTGGTAGTTGAAATTCTCATTGGTGGTGGTCTTTCCTACGGTCTGCTTTTCTGATACCATTTTGATGCGGCTTAAGACCCTACAATAATTCTGTCCTATGGATGAGCATTTAGCCGGCGTATACTCGTTGTTTCTACTTTTTTTTTTTTTGATTCTTATAAGAGGTATTCCACTCGTATTTATGTAACTAGGGGTTTGAAAATGAATCTGTAATTCCTCTATGTTCTAATAGAGATACCTATGCTGGCCTCTGACCTTTTCATGAACTATATATTTGGCCTCCGTTTGAAGTTACCCACCCCCCAAGTATCGCTGGATATCATCACTAGCATAAAACAACTCCCTCAACTTCTCCCCTTTCTTCTTATCCGCCAAATGCGCTAGCCGTACTTGCTTCGCATTGAGTTTCTGTCTCTCTTCCTGCTGCTGTTTCCGTAAACCCTTCCTCGCTGCAATGGCTTCTTCATCTTCTTTTCTCAGACCCAAACCCGATGTGCTAGTCTTAGCTTTGGGTTTGATGGGTTGTAGGACGCCGGTACGACCTTCTGCGCCTAGGCCCACGCGGCTGTCGGGGTCCCAGCCGTAGGAGGCGAGATAGCGGAGTCCGTGACGGGTACGATCTAGATGTGATGGAGGGTGGGAGTGTTGGAGGCAGATTTGGTGGACCATTGAGGCTTCGTGGGGTCTGTGTTTGGTGGTTGTGGATGTTGTCTCGATCTCGTCAAGGTCGGTCTCTTTTGTCGCTTTTACAGTGACAGGAAGATTGCAGATTTCGCAAACAATCTCTTTGGTGACTGTAATAGCCTGATTCCGTATTTCAGCCGTAGGCTTGTTATCGATCGTATTCTTCGACGACGGTATCGCAACTGGTGCGGGGAAAGCTTCGTCCTTCAAATCCGCCACAACCTCTTTCTCCTGATTATCTGCATTATCTGCATTATTTGTATCATTTTTATGCTTCTTCGACAGCACGATAGAAGAATAAATGTCTGCAACACTCCGTGCTGGCGTATTGCTTGTAGGAGCGGACGGCGCTGTCGTGTGGAGATCGCCAGATGCTCGAACGAAGGGAACACGCTTTCGCTTTATGCCAGCACCGAACACGCGCTGGTCCTCGAGGGGTACAAAATAATCCTCGTCATCATAATCTGGCTGCGCCATGGCTAGTTTCCGCCATATGAGTTTAAGAATAAGAGAAGTAGTTGAAACTTGAAGATGTAGGTTGATATGCGGCTTATCTTATCGGCTGTGGCGCATGAAGCTCGGATTGCCGCCTCAATGATTTTTCCGCCACTCCTTCCTTCCGCGGACTTCTCGAACAACACAACTTTCAACAGTCTTCGCGTTTAAAGCTCATCCCACCACGTAGGTGGTTGCGTGCTCATTACCGTCGCGCAAAATGGATGATCTTGAATCCCTCGAGCTCTTCTCGCTGGTCTCGCGAGTGACCACCGAACTCACCAACCATCTCGGAATCAACGACAAAACCTTGGCCGAGTTCGTGATCGATCAACACCTCAAATCCAAATCGTTTGCGGATTTCAAGAATGAGCTTGATGCGCTAGGTGCGGAGTTTCCGCCTAGTTTGATCGAAGCGATTGATCGAATGGTTGTTACCATGCATCCGAAATATAAGTCGAAGAGAGGAATGGATTCAGCGAGTCATGGCGCGGATGACGATATGGAAGCTTTGAATGCTGTTGGGAAAAAGGCGAGGATATTCAAGGGACTAGCGATACCGGATAAAGTTCAGGCTTGGGAGGATGATGAGCCGGCACTTCCTAAGAATCAAAATGTTACGGAGGACGATGCGCGAGCGGGTGCTATGGACGATACATTTGCCATGTTGGAGGGTCTTGCTGGGAAGTCAAGGGAGGACCATCATGAACCACCGCAAACTACAAAACCCAGCAGAAAACGCAGCAGAAGCCCGGACTACGGAGACTACGACTCTACGAGTTATCGACGACATAGAGATAGGCGCAGGTCCGCCTCTCGATCTCGCAGCCCCGAACAAAGAGAAAGACATAGAAACGGTGTGGATAGGGATAGACACGATAAAAAAGAAAGGAGAAATGGCCATCGAGATAAACATGAACGCCGGTCGAGACGTGATCAGGATGATGATGACTATTTCCGTCGACCGCCGACTCCAGAAATCGATGATCAACCTGTTCTTTACAAAACCTATGATGGTCGCGTTACAGGTGTTAAAGACTTTGGCGCATTTGTGAATTTACAAGGTGTCCGAGGGAAAGTGGACGGCCTTGTGCATGTTTCGGCCATGCAAGAAGGTGCCCGTGTCAACCATCCTTCTGACCTCGTCTCGCGTGGTCAGCCAGTGAAGGTCAAGGTTGTCAGTATACAGGGTACCAGGATTGGACTTTCGATGAAAGAGGTTGACCAGGTCACCGGCCGAGATTTGATCCCTGAAAAACGACTTGCTTCTGGCGCTAACATGGAAAGACTACATGGAAACGATGCCAAGGACCGTTATGGCAATCTCGATTCTGACGTCCCTGTTGTTGAAGGAGACTTCGGCAGAAAGTACAAAAATAAAAAGAGGTTGACGTCTCCAGAGCGATGGGAGATCAAGCAACTCATTGCCTCAGGAGCTGCGTCCGCAGCAGATTATCCGGATATCGACGAAGAGTATCATGCAACGTTGACCGGTGAAGGCGAATTTGTGCAAGAAGAAGACATTGATATTGAAGTGCGTGACGAGGAACCTCCTTTCCTTGCCGGTACCACGAAGAAGTCTCTTGAGCTCTCGCCGATCCGTGTTGTCAAGGCGCCGGATGGATCATTGAATCGTGCTGCCATGTCCGGTACCACCCTTATAAAAGAACGGCGAGAGTTGAAGCAGCAAGAAGCAGCAGAGAAAGCCGCGGAACAATCAGCCGACATTGATCTAGCTGCTCAGTGGCAAGATCCGATGGCTGACCCTGATCAGCGTCAATTCGCCTCAGATTTGCGTAAAGCAATAGATCATAAGCCAGATGCTGCTGTCCCGGAATGGAAGGCGGCAACTCAGGGAAGAAATGTCTCATTGGGGAAGCGTACAAATCTCAGTATCAAAGAGCAACGAGAAAGTCTACCAGTCTTTCAATTCCGACAGCAACTACTTGATGCTGTGCGAGATAATCAGTTATTAATTGTGGTTGGAGAGACTGGTTCTGGTAAAACGACACAGTTACCGCAGTATCTTTTGGAAGCAGGATACGGCAATAATGGTATGATAGGTTGCACTCAGCCCCGAAGAGTGGCTGCGATGTCGGTTGCAAAACGTGTCGCAGAGGAAGTGAACTGCAAACTTGGTGAGGAAATCGGCTATACCATTCGTTTTGAAGATTGCACCAGTCCGAAGACCCGGATGAAATACATGACGGACGGAATGTTACAGAGAGAGATCCTGCTTGATCCAGATGTGAAACGCTACTCGTGCATTATCCTAGATGAAGCTCATGAGCGTACTATCGCCACTGATGTCTTATTCGGGCTGTTGAAGAAAACTCTAAAACGGCGCCCGGACTTGAAGCTCATTGTGACTTCTGCAACACTCGATGCGGACAAATTCTCGGAGTACTTCAATGGATGTCCTATCTTCTCAATCCCCGGTCGTACATTTCCTGTCGAAGTTCTCTATAGTAAAGAACCGGAAAGCGATTATATGGCTGCAGCCCTCGATACAGTCATGCAAATTCATCTCACGGAACCTCCTGGCGATATTTTGGTTTTCCTGACAGGACAGGAGGAAATCGACACGAGTTGTGAGGTCTTGTATGAAAGAATGAAAGCCCTGGGTCCCAGCGTTCCTGAGCTTTTGGTGCTACCCGTTTATTCCTCATTGCCGAGTGAAATGCAATCAAGGATCTTTGAGCCGGCACCTCCAGGTGGGCGGAAGGTGGTCATCGCTACCAATATTGCCGAAACGTCTATCACGATTGACGGGATTTACTATGTCGTTGACCCGGGATTTTCGAAACAAGTTGCCTATGATCCGAAACTAGGTATGGACTCCTTGGTTGTTACGCCTATCTCCCAAGCTCAAGCGAAGCAACGAGCTGGACGAGCGGGAAGAACGGGTCCTGGTAAATGCTTCAGACTGTACACCGAGGCGGCCTACGAGTCGGAAATGCTTCCGACATCTATCCCCGAGATTCAACGTACAAATCTGGCACACACGATCCTCATGCTCAAAGCAATGGGCATCAACGACCTGTTAACGTTTGATTTCATGTCACCTCCGCCAGTTGCCACCATGCTCAGTGCCATGGAAGAGTTGTACGCGTTGTCGGCTCTCGACGACGAAGGTCTTTTGACACGTTTGGGCCGGAAAATGGCAGATTTCCCAATGGAGCCTAGTCTAGCAAAAGTGCTCCTTGCTTCTGCCGATATGGGATGTTCGGACGAAATTTTGACTATTGTTGCAATGCTTTCAGTTCAGACAGTCTTTTACAGGCCCAAGGAGAAGCAACAACAAGCAGATCAGAAGAAATCTAAATTTCATGATCCTCACGGTGATCATCTCACACTACTGAATGTGTACAATGCTTGGAAGCAATCTAACTATAATAATGCTTGGTGCTTTGAGAATTTCATACAGGCTCGATCGATGCGTCGTGCTCAAGAAGTTCGAAAGCAACTTGTCGGTATCATGGATCGGTATCGGCACAAGATCATATCCTGCGGACGTGATACAAGCAGAGTACGATTGGCCCTTTGCACAGGATTTTTCCGGAATGCTGCCCGCAAGGATCCTCAAGAAGGCTACAAGACACTTATTGAAGGTACTCCCGTGAGCGTTCACCCATCGTCAGCCTTGTTCGGAAAGGGCACGGAATATGTTATCTACCATACTCTGGTTCTTACGACGAAGGAGTTCATGCATTGCATCTCATCGATCGAAGCTCAGGTAAGTCTTTCAACCTTGAAACACACTCTTTTTGATACTCTTACTGACATGCTATTAGTGGCTCGTGGAAGCAGCACCGACATTTTTCAAGGTGGCGCCAACGGATCGCCTCTCGAAACGCAAGAAAGCTGAACGTATTCAACCTCTGCACAATCGGTTTGCAGGCCAGGACGATTGGCGCTTATCAGCACAGCGAAAACAGGGCCGTGGAGGTGGCGGAGGTACATGGGGTTAACTGTATTTATACCATACTATTCATAAGGGCACGGGATTTGTTAGATTCAGCCACTCACATACAATTATATGTTTAAAGCTACATAGGAACACTGCTTTAAAAAGATCTTGAAGACCATAATGTGTGTTTCATCTCCTATATTGTAAAAGAATCTAGAAGAGAGACGGGAGCGAAGGTTATGGCGAATAACTACCGCACCTACATACTACGTTCTCAGCGACCCGCTGCTTGAATACGACCTCAAGCTAATCGAACCGCCGTCTTCTCAAAATCACTTTTCTTCTCGACTTACTCCGTTCCATGTTTAACTATGTGATATTAATTGCTTCTAGAACTACAATCATTCCCGTCCCATCTCGAGATGGGGCTGAAGCCCCACTCAATGCCATATTGGGACGTCGTGCTATACGAGCTCATACTATGTAGTATAAAGGCTACGCGTAGAGGGGCTCTATTTTTTTCTTTTTCTCCATGCTTGTTAGTCTCCGTAGACAAGCGCACCTTGCTAGAAACGAATGCATGATTTTGCCCAACATTGCTTTTCAACGTTACTGTTTCAACATTTGCTGATGTTTCGAACAAAATTTAACAGCCAGACAACAGCCATGTACTGGGCACCCGACATCGCCGATGCTGCCTTCACCGCAGCCCTCCTGACGCTTCTTCCAGCAGGMGCCATCATATTGACCCCCAAGCGCTCCATAATTCGATACATCGCAATAATCTGTTGCGTGTTGCTTACTTCACGCTTCATGCAACCCGTCGTCGGATCAAGTACCATTCGGACTATCGGCTCGACTCAATTGGTCCTAACCACGATACAAGCGATCAACGTTCTCATTCTGAACCCCCTTGACAAAAATGATATCGCGCAAGAGGTCCCCAAGGGCGCACGGTCTCGTTTCGCTCGGTTATATCATGCTGCAGAAGCTGTGGTACAGCTGCGAGCTATCAATACTCCTCGTCAGATAAAGAATGTTCCTGCGTATCCGAGTTACTACTCGACTCGCTTGCGTGAGGGTGCTATTCCACGGGGCGCCTTTCTGCGCAGACAGATTTTGATATTTATCTGGCAGTATCTAGCACTCGATCTTCTGCAGACTGCAGCAAGACTTCAAGCATCGCCACAGACTGGTGCAACGTCCGATATCACATTCACCCATGTGGATTATCATGTACCGCTTGAGAAATGGATTGAGCGTATGCTAAAGAATTTGATTAACTGGTTCTTACTATCACGCATCATCATCGACGCCAATTATCGTTTTTTGTCGATTATGTTTGTTGGATTCGGCGGCGACTCTCCGGATAATTGGCCTCCACTGTTTGGAAGGATGGCAGACGCTTACACGGTTCGGAATTTCTGGGGGTGAGTGCCTTTTCAGTATCATCATTCAATCACTCTTGTGATGGACATAACCTGTCTCTGTATGACATTGTCTTTGACTATTCGTTCTTGCCTAAAGCTTTCCAGCGGCTTTCTATTCTCTCGTTCTTGATACTTACAACGCATTTAATCCTAGGAAATTTTGGCATCAGCTCCTTCGGGGCCCATTCACCGCTGTTACCAACTTTATCGCCAGGGATATATTGAATCTTCCTCGCCCATCGCTTCTGGAGAGATACACGAATATTTTCTTGGTTTTCGGTATCTCCGGCGTTCTGCACGTCTTGGTTGATCATCTTCAGGCGATTCCGTCTGAATACTCCGGTGCAATGATCATGTTTCCCATTACCGCCTTTGCAGTCATGTTTGAAGATGGTGTACAAGAGCTTTGGCGAAGACTCGCTCATGATGCCAATMCCAGCGAGCCGCAAAAGAAGATGACATCCCCACCACTGTGGCACAGGATCGTTGGTTATCTCTGGACTATGGCTTGGCTAGGTGTCGTTTCTGAATGGTATCTCCACCCCATGACTCAATTGCCACCAGAGCTCACGACGACTGTTCCTGTGAGCTTGGTTGGAAAGATAGGATTAGCCCCAATCGGTGGCACTCTACTGGGCACTGGTTTGTTGCTGGCCTATTTTCTGAAAGCTGAACTTTAATACCCGAATTAGAGAATATAAGGCTGCAGATTGGCAGCATAGCGACGTTATAATCCCACTCAATGTCGCGACATTTCAATTTACGAAATGATTTTGGAAAGGCCCAAGTCAGCCTACTTTCCACGCTGCATGTCATTGAGTTTAGCCCTAGAACTCTAACAGGTTCTGCTACCTACCTAGGTGATTCAAGGTCGGCAATCTGATGAGATGTATATTTATGCTGATATCCACTCCACTTTTTCCCTTTCTTTTGTACACCTTCTTTGCGATGACAATATCAATATAAATAGTGGTAGTGGTGGTAGTAGTAGTCGTGGAAGTTGAGCCTCAAGGGTCAGATCCACCTGTCATGTACCCCAGAAAGCTTATTTTTCCTTACTATAGACATTAACATTTCATTACATGTCGGGCGATTGATCGGTATGATCTGTTTGATCAGAGTGGACTTAATCAAGGTGATTTGACGTCGAGGAGTACCTAGTCGCACTATAAATAATACCGTTTCCCCCTACCTATCCCCTTCTCTCTTCGTTCACCATTTTCTTTGATGAGACATTCTCATTCTCACAGCATCCATCATGATATCACATGCTCGCTAGATATTTCATACCATACTTAATCATCTAGTATGCGCTAAGCTTTTTGGTCTAGTTAGTTGTTTCAACAATTAATTCAAAATAGTCACTGTCTTGATATCTTCGTTATCCGTAAGTATAAAAACTGCAGATGGGTACTACTGACAATACTATCATAACAATTGATAGGAACGTTTGAAATCACCTATCACTTCTCACATGTAGGAGCTACGCGAACTAAATGGGGGCAGCCTCCTGAATAAACTTGTAATAAGCAGATGCGCACCTGCGTCGCCACGATTTGCCCCAGATCGCAGTTGGGATTGCGAGCGCGACAGAGCCCAAAACCAAGCAACCAAAAAAGCTAAAGGCGCGCCCGTAGTCCGTCGCGTCGATGAGAGGTTGGACAGAGTATGACATGGCGAAGTTGATGCATGAAGAGCAGATGGCTAGTACGACGACGAGCTCTCCTGAAATCTGTTGATTATTAGAATAGTGACCACTCGCGTGTAAGGCATGACTCGAAATCTCACCCCTTCAAAGCATTCCATTGCATAAGTCGTAGCAATACTGGTAGCAGAGACCTGCTGCGCGATCATCCCACCTAGACCAACGGCGATAAGGGCCCATGATTCACCGGCTTTGGCGGCCCAGCCATACATGAAATATCCGACAGCTCCATAGATGAAGCTAAAACCCAAAGTCCACAAGCGCATCTCGGGCTCTTTGTAGCCGTTGTTGCGGCGGGCTAGTTGGATGACAATGCGATCGCCCAGGGAGCCAGTACCAAAGCTGCAAATTTCATTAGTAATTTAGTGGTTGGATGGCTGAGAAGAAGTACTCGCCCAATGAAAGACCCGACGAGGGCTGCGATGAACATCAATCCGGTCGGCCCAGTCCCCCAGTCATACGGATCGTCGGTCATAATCTCGGAAATTGTATTGAAAGACACAATGCCTATACACGAATAAGTCAGAGTCAGCAACTGATAGGCTGAATGAAAACTACTTGACTGACCTGCAGTACATCCGAAAGCGAATATCAAACCAGCCTAGAAGCAAAGTCAGATAGCCGATCAGATTAAGCGGAGAGGGATACGAGCATATAACGTACAACAACAATGTTTGGGAAAAGGAACAAAAAGAATGGACGTCGGAAGTATTGCCACCAAGTAGTGTGGTCTTGCCTGAACCGATGTATAGGTGCAAGCACATGCCAATAGTTCCGTGGTGACGATTCTACATTGTCCTCAACCGGAGCATTGGAGGCTACGGGATTCTTCGTTGCATTTGTCGAGATGGTATCAGAAGTCGTATTCGAGGTAGATACTTGCAAAACGTGGCGGGGGAACAGCGAGTCGTCAAATGTGAAAATAAACAGAACTATCACCGCAGCCTAACAGAGAATAGTTAGCAAGGCAATCAGGCAGTGAAAGCGATCTATTTGACTTACGCTTAAAATGGCAACTATCTGGCAACTCCATCTCCAGCCAGGACCCTGTGCAATATAGCCGCCCAAAATCAACCCCAGAATACTGCCTAATTGTTGGCCCCAGATATAAAAAGCCAACGCAGTACCACGTTGGTGTGCGAAGAAAATGTCAAAGACCTAGATATTGCAATTGAGACTTTGATCTTTCATCGATGAGAACTTGAGAAGCATGGGGATACATACAGTAAGCTGAATGATTGCTTCATAAGCACTCGTTCCCAGCCCTCCGACGGCACAATTGAGGTACCACTGGGCTGTACCATAAAAGTAGGCATTCCAGACGGCCGTACACATATTGATAGTCATGCTAGCGATATACACGACTTTGCGGCCCCATTTCATCGCCGTCGGAATCCACAAAACGTTGACAAACCCAAGTAGCAGGTAATTGAGCGCCGAACCACCGTTCATATTGCCGAGAGACACATTCGTTTCATCTGATATCTCGGTCCATGCTGCGCCGAGGTTGTTCTCTCCAAAGGACATGACGCATGCAAAAAGCGTAGCTAGGAATATAGTCCACACCTTCTTATATCTAGGCCAATTCTGTATACAGTTAATATTAATTGGTATTTGTGCTTAGGTAGTGAACAGGGCATACTAAAGGATCTCGGGGTGTGTTTAGTGGTCGAGGAAGAAGGACGATGTTGTCCTTGGTACTAGCCTCGGCCAACTCGATTTTGGCATGATTGACTGGAGACAGTATTAGCATGAACTGGAGGTAAGGAGGCAGCTATCACTTGCTGTCTACGAAGTACACCGTGCCAGGGACCTCCGTTTCAGCGAGGCCGATTCCGTCCGGATCCATTTTGAAGAACAGCAAACAGACTCAGATCGATGCAGGATAAACCAGGAGTATTGAGATTGATGTAATTGAATATTGATGTCTTCCATGATGGCCTTGATGCGATTTATATAGCACAGGATCTTGGAGAGGGCCACGATACAGAGGGCGTCACGAGATCATATCTCCCCAGATTATTTCACTATGGATCGTCTTATCTCGGCGATACTGACGATATAAAAACGCGATAAGCAGCAGGCAGGTGAACGCGCAAGGAACGGCGAGCTAAGGAAGAACTAGGTTTGACGTGGATTGTTTGAATTGATGGGATTGCCATCCGATTAGTCGACTTGATGCGGGGAAGTGGACTGGTACGCAGGCTTATCTGAGGGCATCTTAAACTTCGGAGCGTACCCGTAGTCACAGACCAACAATTAGATTGGTGGGAATGCTTTGAGAGGCAAAGCAGTTTCTTTATGGCAGCTCAACCCGAGTCGAATGGTGAGTTAAAAGTTTCGTTCGAACAGAAACCGGATGTACCTGCCAGATCGGCTATAGCCCTATCGTAGCCCTGACTTCGGTTGTTGAGCGCATTCCTCCAACACTTTCCAGTAGAAGTACTGCCAAAGCAACAACATCGCTCTCTTCCAGTCTCTGATAGTCTCAAGCGCGGATTGATGCAAAATGTCCCAATTGACACACGAATCGACCATCCTCATCATCGGCGGAGGTACATGGGGTTGCAGCACTGCTCTCCAGCTAGCTCGTCGCGGATACAAAAATATCACGGTGCTGGACTCGAATTCGATTCCCTCATCAATATCTGCTGGCAACGATGTAAACAAGATCATGGAAGAGGGTGCGCAACATGAAGTTCGATCCAAGGCAGCGAAGCTATAGCTGATGACTTGCAGGTTTCCCATCACCAACAGACTCTGATGAAGAGTATGTCTGGAACCGCATGCACCAGCTCGCTACCCAAGCATGGAAGACAGATCCAGTATTCCAAAGCTATTACCACCCGACTGGATTCATCATGGCTGCATCTCAGGATCTTGCCCATCACCACGTCGATCCGTTTATGCTATCATGCAAGTACAAATTGCGGCCTTTGTCATCGGCTGCAGATTTTCGAAGTACTATGCCAGACGGTGTTTTGACAGGGTCATTTCCCGGGTGGAAAGGTGCTTTCCAAGAGAATGGTGCCGGCTGGGTGTTTGCTCGTGGAGCCATAGAATCTGCCCACAGCGAGGCTTCGCGACTCGGTGTCCGATTTTGCACTGGGGAAACTAATGGGAGAGTACTTCGTCTCCTACACACGTCTGCGTCGACTGATGTGGTTGGTGCGGAGACTGCTGATGGGCGACAACACCTTGCCGATCAAACGATTCTATGTGCTGGCGCAAATAGCGACCAATTTTTTGATTTTGAGAGACAACTTCGACCAACAGCTTGGACCTTGGCTCACATCCAGATGACCCCGGAAGAGCGAGATTTATGGAAGAACCTCCCTGTCTTGTTCAATGTAAATTCGGGGTTTTTTATTGTAAACACCCATCGTTCCGCAATCCGTGATTTTTCATTTCTAACAGAGGGATAGGAGCCGGACGTGCTTAAGGGAGAGTTAAAATTTGTTGATGAGCACCCAGGCTACTGCAACTTTGTCCAAGACGCTGAAACAGGCGATGAAAAATCAGTCCCTTTCGCTAGGACGCAAATCCCCATTCAATCTGAAAAGAAAGCGCGTGAATTTCTGCGAGAGACTGTACCTCATATCGCGGAGAGACCCTTTTCGTTTGCTCGTATCTGTTGGGATTCAGACACACCCGACAGGCAATTTCTAATCGATCGACCACCTAAGTGCAACTCGCTTATTGTTGCAGTGGGTGGTTCTGGAATGGGGTTTATGATGATGCCTGCTGTGGGAATCGCAATTGCTGATGTCTTAGAGGGAGTGCTTGAGCCTAAACTCAAATATGGGTTTAGATGGCGGCCGGAGACAGCGGTGGGTAGAGATTGGCGAGATACGCAAGATAGACATGGTGGAGATGAAACTGTGAGAGATTTTCAAAAAGTGGACGAATGGACTCATATACAGTAGTGGAACATGCTTGCAGATGATTCAAATCTAGGAGCCAGTGGATACTCCGGGGAAAAAATCGATATAGATTCCTATAACTTGGTTTTACAAGTTGATAGAATGATAATGCAGAGGGGAATCATTTGATAAATATGCCAGTTCCAATCTCATTCAACGTCTTGTTTCTGATTTCGCGAGATTTTCCAAGAGGCATACTCGAATAAACGTGTAGCAGATAAACTGCTATAAATTGATCGTGATCAAGCAAAGTATTACTCGTGTACAATTCTCTCTCCAATAAAAATCCTCTCACGACCGCCTGACTTATCATGTGAACAATACTGCGAAAAGGCTCTAAGGCTATCTGATTGTAGACGCACCTTTATACATTCTAGACCGTAAATTTCCGGGCTGCTATGAGATTGACACCTGGAACTCAATTGAGGATTCAATTCTATTTCCCCGATTTGACGCCATTCCACTTCACGTCTTCGCGATCGATCGTCGCCTGATTGATGCTTTTCTACTAAAATATATGTATTCCTGAACTGACTAGTTGAAGCTATTTCACCTACTTGGAATTCACGGAAACTTCCTATAGGTAAATTCTTCACAAATTGTATGAATGTGCTTCCTGAATAGGTAATTTGAGGGTGTGGATGGAAATCGTGGATAAATGCCAAGAGATATATCTAAAAGTGGAATAGCGCATGAGCGGGGCTGATAGGTGCTCTGAGCCAATAACATGACACAAAATTTTGATATCGGAATTAAGCCTAAAATAATTTTGATGCTTCTTGCTCTCTTCACATCTTTGATCAATCTTCTTCCCAACCTCAATACACGCCTTGAAACATTCACAATGGCGCCATCATTCTCTCCAGAGCCTAGAAATAAGAGGCGAAAAATAAACAATGAAGAAAATCAGCTTCCCAGCAATGGTGCGCTCGCAATTACATCTCATAAACAACTTCACGATTTACTATATTTTCGTCAGGATAAGTTGGAGGCTCTTCGGAGTGAGTTTCGTCCTTTCAGCTCGGCATACTATCATATTCTAATGGAAATGCAGGTCTCAACGCATTCAAGGACTTTCTATCTTCAATACATCAGGCAGAGGTAGAAGCCGACAAGGAAAAAAAGTACCAAATCCTCAAGACATATTGCGACACGCAGATCCCCAAAATCGAAGATGGGGCGTGTCTATCAGATCTCCTACAGACTTGGAATTTTGCGGAGAGTTCTAATCATGAGAATATCCTTGTGATTGTGCCGTCAGTACTCGCACAACTTCTCAAAGTTATTTCCACCAGACTCGAATTCAGAGAATTTGGCGTTAGCCTGTGCAAGACTATGATGCAAAAGGAACAGCTACGCTTGATAAATCACAGCTTTTCAGCACCGAAGGTGAAAGAACATCTGATCAGCCCCTGCATCCGTCTACTCACCGAAGTCGTGAGTTTTGATGGCGGCGCAGTTGCTCGATTGGTCTATCTGAACCGAGATACGACTTATAAGCGACTTGAGCATTTTCTTCAGCCGCCCAAAGGACAATTGGAGGCAATCTCAAGTACAAGCAAGAAGTCAACCCTTCGTAGAAATGCGCAGCGTTATGTGTTGGCCAATATACTATTTCTTCAGGGTCCGGCAAAAGTGGATTTTATCGAGCAACATAAAGTCATTAGAGCCCTTTTGGAGTTCATTCGACGTGATCCACGAGACCTTGTTGTTGATATTTTGAAGACGATCGATCGAGATATTGCGCATGACAGCTCTCTACCACGCGTTACGAAATCGAGGTTCTTCAACAGGTGGAATTTGGAGCGACTGGTCACTTTATATGGTTATGACAAGGACAATGAGGAGGAGGAACTGTCAGAAATATCAATTCCGGCTGAGATACACAAGATGCTGTTGCAAATCTGCATTGTTCCTGAGATGGGTGTTCTCTTGCCGCAAAATGGATGGTATCCGCCATCGAGTGATTCTCGTGAACTCACTCAGGATGAGGAGTATATCGATCTGGGACTTGATGCTCCTTTCTATCAGGATAGATACAAGGAAAGTGTTCCCGTACGAAACAGTACATTGTCTTCTCTTGCCCAGGTCCTCCGTCCAGAATCAGATACACTTCAGACCGAGCTCCTACTGGAGATCTTCAAAGCTGCTCCCGAACTTGTGGCAGATTTCTTCACCAAACGAACGATGTTCACTGCTGAGCCGAAGTCAAATCCTACCTGGCTCGGTGAATCAGCCTTCTTGTTCTCGACTGTTCAGATTCCTGTTCCCAAAGACTTTGGTGGAAAGGAGCAGAGAATCGAAATGCCTCCTCCTGTCTCAATAGCTATTGAGAACGTAATGCCTCGTCCACTTAATGGCAAGTTGACAAGGTGCTTCACTCAGACTAGCGATCCGATTGTGACATTATTCGCTGTCCGCATTTTGACAGCTGCCCTGCATAAACTCCAGATTGTTCTGAAGGGATTTCAACGCAGCCATGGCCGTCATCAATCTTTGTGGGAACAAGCTGCGTCAAAACTGACTATGGAGTTCGTTGAGCGATGTCCTTCCATGAGGGATGTTATCCTCACATTCAAACGGACGGCATCTGAGGACATTCAACAACAGGCCGCTGTGATGGAGTTAATTGCTGCGTACCATGATGTGATTCCGACGGTTGCTAGTGAGGAGAATTTCGATGTAACTCTCGTCATGGTGAAGGTTCTGGAACAGTTGGACGATTCTAGTCTTTCTGAAGATGATTCGGAAGCGGCCTTGGGGCTTTTGCAGAACACGCTCCATATCGCTCATCGTTCTGCGTCGATGCGTTGGTGGCAGCAACCAGGTGCGTTTGTCCCTGAAACGGTAATATCCATTTACTGACATTTTGAAGCGTCCTTTCCATATTCGGCTTTCACGTGTATTCTGAAGGTAGCACTTAAGACAGATAACGAGTCATCCACCAAGGTACTTCTTGATTTGTTGAGTAATGTTTTGACCGAGCAAGCGATATTATCAAGCTCAAGAGCGCCCTTTGATGCTCTGATCGCTAGTCTCAAGGGATCTGAGCCGGCAGAATTGGCTGTCCAGCTGCAGTTTTTGGATAATTGTCTATGCCGCATTGCAAAAAAAGCCGTTCATTACCAAGATCTTGCAGCTAAGCTGCTTGAGGACGACAGCAACCCGTTAAGTCTTCTCGTTGTTGCTGCCTTAGAGCAATGGCCTTTTGTTCTCAAATCCAAGGAGGCAGAGAAAGAGCAATCGGTAGCGCGTTGGATCGCTGCTTTGATCAAACAATTGAAGGTTGCTGGTGAGGATAAGAAGGCTCTCAAGAACGTGCGCAATAGTCTGTCTGAGCTGTCGGACGCAAAACATACAAAGGCTATCTTCAAAAAAGCGCTCAAAGGTAGTGACGAGAAGGAAGATGTGGACGAGGACCATGAGATGGAGGATGCCCAACCTGCCAATGGACCAGAACCAAGTGTGTCAAGCGACTCCGCATTAGGGCTTTTGGACATATTCGGCTCTATACCACGTGAAAGTAAAGACCACACCGGATTGTACAAATGGGAAAAGGAAGAGGTAGATGTTGCGATTGAGCAAGGCCGAGTCAGCGATCTCTTACTATGCTTGTGTTCTGAGCACGAAGAGATTCGGCGTCAGGCTTTTGCAGCTCTATCTCGTCTGATGATCAAATTAAAGGTGAGCCACAATTAGACTAGGGTGGTTGATCTTGAGTACTAATGAGCTATACTAGGACTCAAAATATACTGAGTGGAGAGCCGTTTATCTTATTTTAGGCGAAGTACGTGAGACGGTTAACCAGCTAGGTTTCGAGACTCGTCTACCTTCCATTGCTGGACAATGCGCCGTTGCCTGTTTGATGGTTCTTCASGAGCCATTGAACAAAATGTATGGAAAGGTCAACCGATATCTTCAGAGACGACCATGGTGGGAAGTGGAGAAAATCCCATCCTATTGGATCGACCGGATTTTGCTGCATCAGCCCGAGGATGATGAAGGACATTACGATGAGGTGAACTGGCTGTTGGATATGCTAGTGAACGGTCTTCAAACACCAGAGGTAAGTCTTCTTTATCACTGGAACTTATTTACGACTGTATCTAACCCCGTACTGCAGGACCTCAATATCTACCGCCGCGCAAACGTATTCGAGCACATCCTCTCCATCTACAATGCGCCTTCCTCCAACGCAGCAATGAAGAAGAAAATCCTTCATCTCCTTTTTAGGGCTACACAGGTCGGCGGTGGCACAACGCTGATTACCCGCGCTGCAGCGCTCAGTTGGATACAAAGCTGTGTTGCTAATTCTGATATCTACGCAACGCTCTTGAGAGAATTGGCGCAGGCGATTTATGAGTCGAGTGATGGTGAGAAAGTGGGTAGTTGGAGTGGTCATTCGATATCCGGGACAGTTGAGGCTTTTGGCCAGATAGACAACTAGTGTCAGATGCCTGGCAAGGCATCGTTCTTTGACTGGCGCAATATTCCGTTTCAATCGTGATACAATCATCTGGTTGTTAGAAGCGTGAACCAGTTGACAACGGTAGTCAATATATACGAAATCGACTTGAAGATTTATTATAGTTGCCCTCCATAGTAGACAGAGACACATTGTAGTATTGGTCGCAAAATCGAATCCTCAGGATCGATTGTAAGTGCAGGACAACGAAGAAGAAAACAAGCCCTGTTGGGAGCACGGCCAGCGAATTTTCCTTTTTGGGGCAAGCCCAACACTCTCCTAGTCTTTGCCTGCCCGCATCATCCCTCCTGCCTTTCTCACTACACTTGCCTCAGTATTTTCTTGCCAGAATCTACAATTCTGCCATTACAGTCTATACGCCTTTGAAACGTACTCACTACACACTAGACGCATCAAAGCACCGACCTCCTTCTCCACATCGACGATCCGTTGCCACCTCACACCCTGGGTAATATTTTGCCGGCTCGAAGACCCTGCTTCGGCCTGACCGCCTACTGAACCTCTCGACAGTTCATATTCGAACAATCGCTTAACAACCTCGCTTCGTACAACAACTGACCTCTCGCCACAATACATATACTATCTTCGAACCTCTCTCCTGTTTGGAGCAGAGTTGCTCCGAAATTCCAACGAATCAGTCGCATGATTCAATCGCACCTTGAATGAATGAACGAACGAACCGAACGACCCAACGAAAAAGATACCCTCGACCACAGTTGATGATATCCAGACCTCTTCCTTTTTCCTCGCCTAACTGCCATACTACTATTACGATGACAATTTCCTAAAAATATTCAACCCACCGATTTTTATACTGAGTTCATACTGCTGGCGCTTTCCTTATGGCGCGCCGCTATGAAATCGAGGAGCTGTTGTGGCTTCGCGGTTCTCCGCTAGTCACGAAGCCTGATACGTTGCCTCCAGTTGAAGAATGGATGGGGTACGATAATATAGATGTGACAACTTGAGACTTGAGCGACAGACTAATCAGATGCAGACCGATCCCAGATCCCACAGCACGGAAGCCAAATCATCGAGACCAGAATCCAGGTGATAGCCCAACCGCACAACGAAGACCAAGTTTATTCGGGGAGAGTCGACATATTTCTAGGAACTCGAATTCAGGTATGCCTTTATGTGACGTTATCTGGCAACTTATATTGACATTGCGCAGAGGATATTGTTTTAGGACCGCCAAAGACGGCATTCGCTTCTGCTTCACGGATTCATGGCAAAGGCACATACGATAGTACCGAACGACCTGCAAGATACAATGATACCGAAGAAGGCAAAGGCGACCGCTTCAACTTCCGAGAAAAAACTTTCAAGGACAGAGAAGGAGCGGACCGAGATGGCAGGTTTGGAGGCCCCAATGGTCGTCGAAACGATCGCGAGGACTGGAATTCCGGCCGACCTCGTCGTACGTTTGGCCAGGAAGAAGGCGATCAACGACCGAGGCGCAATGGTGACACGAAATGGGAGCCGCGCGAGAAACAAGATGAGCTTGGTCTTAGCAGAAACATGAAAGACAAGGACGGTCGGTTTGAAAAGGAAGGCCGTTTTGACAAAGAGGGACGATTTATCAAAGGAGACACACCTCTCCGGTCAAGGCAGGAGAAGAGCTGGTTTCGCGATGAGGCAGCAGGTGGTGATGGCGTGGCACTTGAAGAAGAAAAACCATTCATGCGAGAACGAGAATGGAGACGGGATAGACCAGTGCCTGATCGTGATTGGAATCGGGGTACGAGAGTAGAGCAAGATCCTGAGTGGATGGATTCTACAGACAGAGATGAGTCCAAGCGGATTCACACTCAGGAAGACTTTCAACGGTGGAAGGAGAGAATGAAAGCAGGCTCATCCACACCTGCGCAGCCTGAAGAGAAAGAAGATGCTATACCAGAGCAGGCCAGTGCGGAAGTTCAGAAGATGGAGGCGAATCATCTGGACGGAGAACTGTTCGCAGCCAGTAAAGGTCATCTACCAGTTGATGCAAATTTTGGAAAATTCTTTGGGATACTTGGCGAGAGCAAGCAACCCCCGCCTGAAGTCGCTGCCGTACCCAGTCCTGTCGAATCTATCAAGAAAGATTTGGCTGCCGCCAAGTCGTCAAAGTCGTCTAGGTTTGCGGGATTGTTCAGCCCGCCGCCGGATACCTCAGTCAGAGGACCAGAACCAGTGCAGGATATCGCTCATCCTGAACGTCCGGCTTCTACCGATGCTGATCAAGAAGGGTTTCAGCGTATTCTTGCAATGCTCGGAGGCAGCAAATCGCGCAACACAACTCCTCAGGTGGACAGCTCTCAGCAACCTCGTCCACCATCGTATGTGATGCGCGAGCAGGGCCGACCAACACCTCCTCCCGGCTTACCGTCTCCGACGAGAAACCTGATAAATCGGCCGGATGAGCTGCTTGGTCAAGCGACTGCTGCTCCTCGGGCTATGCATCCTCCCCCAGGAATGGAAGGTATGCTTCCTCGAGACCCACAGGCACATTTCAACGAACGTGAGAATCTTCTTCGACTTATGCAACAAGTAAACGTATCTTCTCCGACATTAACACAACATGGAAACGCACCGCCACCGCCATCGCAGATGAGTCAAGGTGGTCATCATACTCCTGGAATTTTGAACGTCCCTGACCTTCTATCGCGGCCGCAAGGTATGCAGAAAGGACCAAGAAGTCAGACGTTCTTAGATGATCCTGCTATTGCCAACATGCAACGACCAGACTCTGGGCTTAAAGGACAACAAGTGAGAAAACCTCCCGTGGACGGTCCGCCGCAAATGAGATACTATGATATGCCCTATCCTGGTACTCAGGGTGCGCAGGGACCTACTACTCCTGGCGCCGGACGAGACCCTCAACTTCCTCCAGCCCATATGGGCATTCGGGGACCTCCAGGATTTGGACAGATGCCTCCTGGCCCTCCTCCTGGATGGGCAGGACAGATGCCACCTCAGCAAGGAGCGCTGGGGCCACCTGGTATTCCGAACCCGGGCAAGGGTATGAATCCGAACTTCATGGCAGGTCCCATGTCGATGCATGGCGGTAATATGCCACCACCCCCGCCGCCAAACGATAATAGCCCACCATTCCTGCGCGGTGGTGCCGGAGCCAACTTCGGCCTTCCTCCAGGCATGATGCCTCCACCGGGTTATATGAACATGAACGGCCCTCCTCCGCCCCCGTCCGGTGGATTTATGCCTGGGCCACACAACCACGAAGCAATGCTCAACATGGCCGGACAGAATGGTGGCGGAAGCGGCTTCGGCGGATCAGCAGGTGGCCCCCCACCATCCTCAAGACATCTCTTGGAAATGCTCGCACACGCCAACGGCGGCGGCGATGGTCGCGGCGCAATGCTTGGAGGAGGAGGAGGACCGGGAGGACAATATCGCTAACTCTTCTTTCTACTAAACTCTTCTTCCTTGGTGTCTTATCCATGTATTGAATGAACCTGCAGGGGGAAAAAGGGCATCCACTATCCGCGGAACGTATTTTGCTTCCATCTCTACGCAGCTGGCAATTGGAACTAGCATCTGTTATATGTATCAATCAATCAATCAGTCATTCTTAAACGTTGACCATTACAATTAAAGTCTTCATTCTCTTTCTCCTTTCTGCTTGTTTCCCTCTCTGCCTAATGATAGCAGAAACGACGAGGAAAATATGCCTAGAAATTAGAGTAACCCTCGTTGAATGCTATTCAATTTTGACCCTTAAGTACTTCGCTGGATATCCATGTCTTCTTGTATTTGTGCAACCTGGATTTTATCCTTCGTTCTCGGTTTGGGGGTTTGAGAAGCGGTAGCAGAGCTAGCATTCATCAGCTTTGGGGGAAGAGGTTGCTACTTGTCTATTATTTGTGTATATAGATAGAGTTACCTAGTCTCGGCTTGTCAATTCAACGTTAGGTAAGGKTTGGGTGGAAGAAATATATGGCAGGCAATGCAATCAATTCTGATGTTCAAGCCTAAATATACACACAGACATTTGTGGATCTCAGATTAATCAACTGTATTATATAATTGGATCATATAAACCGTGAGAGAAAATCCGTATATTTACTTCACATCCAAAAAAATTTTGTAAATCAGAACCAAGATAGAAAGATCTTCCTCTCTTTTCTTGTCCAAACCGTTAACCCCGCCGCCCTGATAATAGATCATGTAAATCCAGCGAATAATTGATCGTGAAAGGGACGTACATAAACATAAAAGAAATAAATAACGCGCCGGCCCTTGAAAGAAAAGGGGCATAATGATAACAACCAAGGGAAATCATGAGTCATCGTGACAAGGAAAAAGAAACGTACCCGGTGGTTCAGGGATTGTGGCATGTACATAAAGTGAACAACAAGGGGCGAACAGGCAAGTAAAAATTTTTGATACAATCCCATCCGATCCGATACCAACTTGCTAACAAGGACCCAAAAACATGACACTTGTAACCGAGGGCAAAAAGGCAGGAAATGGACATATGTGAATCCATGTAGCATACAGCAGAAAACACCAAAGAGATTGCCGGAAAGTAAGGGAAAGTATCTAATAGTACAGATAGAAAAGGGAAAAAATCAAGGGAAGTCGTTCCAGACGGCGTTCAGCCATCCACTCGGAGAACCAACTTCAGAAGGCGGGATGCTCTGGCCCTGCTCAAAGCTTCCATCAACAAGAAAAGCAACGACGTCGTCGCCTCCGAGACTGGTGGACCATATGTTCGGGTAGTAATAGTCCAAAATCGAGTCCATCATTCCGCCGGTGGCTGTAGAGACTGGGGTTGGAGCGTAGCCCATTGATACCGATGCTGACGATGTGGAGGGTGGTTGTTGAGATGCTGCTAGTGTGGGCGGTGGTGGTGCGGCTGACGAGCCTGGTGGTGGAAGCATGGGTGGATAGGGTGAGTGGCTGTTTGAGGTTGCGGCGTTGATAGGTGGTAGGTTTTGTGAGTAAGGTGGTGGTGGGGGTCCCTGTTGGTGAGGAGGGAGCCATGAATTGAGCGGTTGGAGGCGATGGGATGAGGATGATGGGGGTTGTTGGTTAGCTTGTCCTGCGCCGGGGGAATTGAATGCACTCGGCGACGTAAGTGAAGGCAAGCTAGGCGACGCGGTCGAAGAGATTGAGTTTTGGTGTTGTTGGATGGACGGGAAGGGGTACGGAGAAGACGATTGAGCTGGTAGTGGTCGAGATGGCAGAGGGAGACTCGGGCGACGATCCATCTCAGTACGAGAAATGTCTCCTTCCGAAGCGGAAGGAGTTGGAGGTAAAGGAGGCAGGTTCTTTGCGCTGTTGACGGTGACCCAAGAGTCGCGCTTTTGCTGTATGCCATCCATGGCGGAATCGCCTGACTCACTTTTCACTGCGTTACTAGCTGTTTCGCTCAAAGAAAGCCCGCCTGCACGTTCTACTCCAGCGACTGTGCTCGTGCCGTCTTCATCCAGAGAGCCGGCCTCTGGTATTTGATCATCGATATTCCCAAACTCGAGGAAGATCTTTTCCAAGAGCTTGAACTCTTCCAATCCACCTCCTAATCCCCCCTCTCGCACTGGCCTCAAGCCCAGAGGGCTATGGCTGTGAAGACTGTCGCCACTGCGGGAGCGCGATTTGGCAAAATCTTTCTTGACCTTAACAAAGTAGGTATGTAACCTGTTCAGCGTACGGAACCAGCCAGTGGCTAGACCAAGACGTGGTCGCATGTCACGCAGAATATCAAGCGATTTACGTGTCGGTAACTGCGGCTGGGTAGACATTCCTGTGGATGTCGGCGACAAGGCCTGTCTAGGGGATAAGTAGCCGTCAACATCCATGTGGCTGAAATGAGCTGCGTAAAGTCCGATGAAAGCTGCATTGTAAATAGCAAATCCGACAAGCGGGGTTTCAACGAGAACACCTCTTTCCTGACAAGCGATAACCAGATCCATCATGTTCCTTGCAGCTCGGAAGAGCTCTCTAGTGCTTTCGCGCCAGAACCCGTCGGGGACAACGTACTGTTCGCGAGGAAATGTCGGTTCATCCAAAGGACCGACGGGCTCGTTGCAACGAAGAGGCAGGAACGGCAGATAAGCTCGGTGCAGAACGATTAAAGACAGGAAATAGACAACGTGCATGACCATGTAAGCCGACAAGGAATGCTCATTCTGACTATGTCCATCTGTACTTCGTTGTGAGTACTGTAATTTCCTGGGTAAGCTCTCCTGGAACTCCGCAAGTTTGCTTCTCAGCTTAGAAAAGCTCGATTCAGGTTGCCATGGACCGTATGTTTCTTTTTGTCTGCCTCCAGCGCATACCCATTTGGCGATACTACCCCAGATACGGATGACTCGAATGACGCGACTCAAAAGAGACTCTTGAGCGCCAACCTCCCAGCGATCAATATCATGATCCGCAGAATCAATACGCTTGGAGACTGGCGACCAAGCTTTCGAGTCTGTCGAGCCATTGCGTAGGTTTTCCTCGCCATATGGCACGCTTTGTCGCAAACTCGGAATCTGTCCACCGGGACCATCGAAGCTAGAAGCACGTCGTGCCGGGCTATCCGACAACTTGGACGTACGTACCCTTTCACCAAATGCGAAAGCATCGTCACTCGGTAGCTGGATATCTAGATCCCGAACTTTTACCATTCGAGGCCGATGCTTTCCGCTGCTGAGACACCGATCCATAATAAAACAAGCCCAAAAGGTCCTCCGTTTCGTTTCCTGTACAATCACATCGTCGGAGCTTTGTTCGGGTTGTTCTTTTTGCCGTTGCACAATCCCGAAATGATCGGCCTCGACCTTGAGAGCTGCGTAGCGGTTGGCTTCGCCGCGGGCGCTAGCGGAGGAGAATGGGTCGTTTTCCAGTTCGTACGACAAACCCATTGCCTGCGCCAGTCGGATTGCGATTCCGACATACAGCCAGGCGCTCTTGCCTCGACACATGCCCCATTCGTGCAAAGCCAGCATCAATAGCGCCTGTACATGGACCAAATCTGCCGTCATGAGTCCCAATCCATCCGGCCCGGCGAGACGGGATCGTAGTGCTGACGCGTAGAACTCGGAGGCGGCGGATGGGTTGGACGGATTGCCGGACGATGCCGGAGAATGGTAGGATACTAGCTGGGGATGAAAGCGGGCAGTAAGCGTTAGTACACCTAGCAAGATTAGAGGTGGAAGTTGCGTCCTCGGCGGCGGGCTATGCGGATGATGTTCGGAGTGATTCGACTGGGCGTCCGATTGAGGTGCAGAGAGCTGTCCAGCCTGATTCTTCAAGGTGGTGGAATCGATGAACGGCAGTATAGTCGCAAACTGTGTCTGGAACGATTTGGACAGAGCCTCCCATACTTTGGGCGACAATATTGACGAGTCAAGGACATCTACCAGATTCTTGCCGCCGTCCTTACCAGCAGAACCCGAGGCTCCAGTGACCTTTCTCGAGCGTTGACGCTTCGGATTATCCCATTCGGTGCCATTTCGGTCGTCGCCATCAAGCGTAGCAGCAAGATCACGTTTTGCACCTCCTCCACCGACGGCGGGGGTGGGATAGACGCATTCTCTGTGCGAGGCCTCGCAGGCGCGACATGTGGTGTCTATTCCGGCATTGACGCACTTGATCTTACTTCGGCGGCACCGAGAGCAGGCGATGCTGGAGCGCATTTCAGGAGGTTCTGGGATGTTGGTGCCTTCGTTTCCTAGTATTGAAAGACATTCACGGTAGTAGTTGGTCGGTACAATTGATCGGAACGAGAGGTGTGAAGCTGTTAATTGTGGTCGGTCGGTTGGTCACCTGTTAGGTGGATCCGGGGAAGACAGTGTAAGCACACGACTAGACCACGACAGTGACACGCCCGTCAAATCGATAGCTTAGCGAAAGAAACCAAGCTCGGTAGAACAACATGAACTGCCTTGAGGTGTATCGTCGCAGAAAAGCGCGAAAAGGAACTAAAAGCGCCCAGATGGAATTTCTGGGGAGGAAAGCCTGGGTTTTTGTTTAGTTTAGGTCCACGGGGCAAGAAGTGGGTTCCCCAGTTTTTCCTTGAATCCCAATTTCGCGGAGATATGCCCGACTGTGTTTTACCAGGCGTGTCCACTCGGCAGTACTTAGCCCGTACCGATTACCGTACCATACGCTGTAAGTTACGTGTGATACATCCTCGATGCTTTCTCGGGCTGCACCCGGGATTCGGCGGAATATTAGGAGACAGACAGCCCGATGTACTTTGAGGTACTACATTACTACGTACTACGGTACAAGTAGGTACAAATGGTACAGTTATACAACTGGTACTATTAGCAACTTTGGGCATGCAAGGAGTCGCACGATCGACAGTCCTAAACGTGTACGTACGACGTAACTCGTATTCTTTTTTCTTTTTCTTCTTCTTCTTCTTCACTGTAAACAGCGACTCGGTCAAGTCTGAGGTGGCCTGCGCTGGGGAGATAAAAAGAAACTGCTGTAAATCTTTTCCCCCGTCTCGTTACTCGTAGGCTCTAGCCGGTGGGCGCTCTTGGCTTTAATCTAATTTTCTCCGTAGGTTTTAGGCAGGTGATACTACCGTACCACTACTACCGGTCTACCACGGGTACGTAGCAATTTTATTGCGGTCGGACAAGCGCAGGTCTGTCTGTAAGGACGGTGCAGGTTGCGGCTTACGTACCTCCTAGGCAGTTAGCCGACGGGTAGCATTGATTGAAAAACATGCCGGCACGAAGAACAGTGGTGGCTTGGAAAACTTAAAGAACGGATTAATCCCCCAACCCCATACGAGGTCGAGTATTTATTGATCACCCTAATCCGATATGCTTGGTTTTATTCTCCAATCTTTCTGGTCTTTTTTGCTTTTTCTTCTTCTTTTTTTTCTTAATGCTTCGAGGAGGAACGGATCATGATAATATGAAAGCCTGACGGACCGGAAACGTTCCCGATACCGAAAGACGCACAAACACGAGTCATTCTGTGGTTTCAACGTAACCACTCGATTAGTTGGCAGTGTGGTTGGTTACTTAGCGAGACTACGTACGAGTTAATAGTAACCTAGTACTTTAGTACCTCTCCATAGAGTGTCAGGAGAATAACCGGCCCAATTGGCTGCCTGCGAGCTGAGGCTGGCCGTACATGTGCCCCAGAATCCGAGAGGCAAGTCCGAGGCCCGGGGAAGACAGGCTAACATCACTAGCCCCATCGTCGGCCTCATCTCCGGGATCTGTGCTCTCTCTGTCCAGTGTGTACTTTCTGGACTCTGGTTCGGGTCGCAATCTGTGGAACAGAGTGACACACTGTTGAACAGCTGGTTGTGTGACTTGCATCGTGCAATTTCTCGGGTAGGAGGGGAACATGTATTCGGGTACTTGAGACGGCGTTGTGGAACATGTGAGCCGTGTGCGAAGCCAGGGAAAAAGCAATAAGTGTGCATGTACGGAGTCGCGCCTCTGGTGAAATCAGAAGTCAATGTGAATGAAATGAACCGATAATCCCCCAACGGTCCACCGACAGATGCAGAGCCTACGGAGGACAGAGGAAAGACAAGAAGACAGGCTTCTCATTCCTCCGTGATCAAAACGGAAAGGTAGACGGGTCCCCCACAAATCCTCCAGCCAACCAGGCCGAGATTTGATTACCGTAAATTACCAGGCACGGAGACCCCCGTCGGTACTCCACATACATACTATGTAATTACGTACTTACAGCGATACTAGTCAGAAACTCAGAGAGCAAAGACAGAGAGAGAGAGAGAGCAAACGGCGTACGGAGTAATTAATATGGGCCGGTTAATGCAGAATATTATCCAGCCAATAGACACATTTTCTGTCCCCCACCAAACCTTGTTTTACCCGATGGAATGCGTACCTTAACCGATCCCGATAATTTTGACTTAGTTGGCTCGCTGGGTTGCTCGCAAATATTAATTAATCTATTGGTTGATCAGAGGACTATTCAATGTCATTCTCGATATGACTAGATTATGTCGAGAACACAATCAAAGAAGATAAAACTCGCGACTAAGTAATTTATCTCTCCGTGGAGTTTTTCTTTGGCGAAGTCGACCGGTCCGTCGGCTCATCGGCGACGGTCGGTACGCACAAAAACGTGCAAATGGGACGGGCTCCATTTTTACGTTAATACGTACCGTCAACTGTATTCGCATTACAGCACATACGACGGAGCATCGCTCGGAACACCAAACCCCGCAATTCTGGGTTTTTATTACGTATTGTTCTACATATGTATCCATCGGAAGGAAAGATACGGAATAGAACTGAAGAGAATGTGATCGAGACGAGGATTGCAGAGTAGCCGGTGACGCATCGGTAAGCACTTGCAAAGGCGAGTCGAAAAGTCGGGGTAGATTGTACGTACGTACTTAGTTTACCCCGCAAATATTGTGCTTTAGTTCGGTTGGGGTTGATATGTTGCTGAGTTGGTGATGGTCATGAGATGGGTGTTGAATCTGTCGTTTTGACTTGCGAATACCTAATACGTACATAGGGCGCCTTTGCATGTACCCGAAGACGTAGTGGAATGGTGGTCCATGATGATAAGTACTGAGTAGATTCATCAGCACTGTCACGTGTCACTCATGCCCTACTTTTACATCTCCGGAACTTTCTCGCTGACTGACTTTGCTTTCGCTTTTGGCACATCTCGTTGATCCATGCGACCGTCTTCGTTTGCGAGTCCCATTTCTCTAGGTTAATTCATCGACCCATGTTCATAACTTCAACTGCCGATGACCTCGGCAAGGATCGTACCTATTGCATAAGACGGTCAGGGATGGCTCGCGGGGTCGACGAAGATCTAGACTTTGGGTACATGTCTGATCATAAACTGATAATGATTGGCTGTTGTACAGGGATATGTTGCTTGCATTCATATAAGAAATCGTATATCGGCCCCAAAGTGGCTTTCAATGAAAGATTCCAGAGAGATATCATTCCGCGTACTAGTCTATGTGGAAGCTCTGCGGTGGCAAATGTTTACCCTTTAAACCTGGTGCGACTCAAATCATACTATCACATATATACATTGGAAATAACTATATACAATTCACATCCACGATTTTTACCTAGACAGGCATTAGAATCTAGAAGCTACCAACCCAAGTGTTGTAGTTGGTGCAACCATTCGACAATGAAGTTGAAGCAGTAATCTCGGCTCCAGTGCCGCTGTTAACCGTAGCACCATTCCTGACGACGCTAAATGTAACCGCACCAGTCTGACCATTAAAGTCCTGGCTCCAGTGGTTGATACCCGCAACACCATCATACGAAACCGCAGCATTGCTTCCAATCTGCACCGTCACAGTAGCAGCCGACGTCAACAACGCGCTGAAAAACACCTTGTCCTGAACGACGGAGTTGACGTCAACTGCAGTCTGACCCTGGTCCGGATCGTTGCCGTAGACGCCGCACTCGCTGCCTGCGGCGGCGGGCGCAAGACGGTACCAGTATTGCATCTGGTCGCGGGAAATATCGAATGTGTCGCCCTTGAAAGTTGCGATGTAATAGGGTAGGAAGTCGCGGAAGCTTTCGTGTGGCATATTGTCGACGTAGACGGATGAGCCGGAGGGTACTTCGCTGTCGGTCACGAAGGGTCCGATGTAGGAGGCTTCACCCCAGTCGTTCCATGTGACAACTCTATCAAATTTGTTAGAACCATTACAGTGCTTCATTCAATGGGAAAGGGAACGGCATACTCGACGAATTGGGGGTCGACGCTCATGACTTGGTTCCATCGGTCAGCCCAGAGGTCATCACCACGCCAGACCCAGTCGGTGCCTCCGCTTGCACTGTGGAAGAACCACGGGGAAACGCCCATCATGTAAGTCTTGGAGCCAATCGCGCTGACCCATTCGAGGTCAGGCTCGTCGGTCATGTCGGCAGCACCTGCAGGCCACATGTTCCAGCTGACTATAAATCATTAGCCACTCGCCTATCATTCAGTGGAAGGTAAGGAACGCACAGAATCCATCAATGTTGTCGAGGTACTGAGTAATCCCACTAGGTCCCAAACTAGTCCAATCTGGTACGAAGTACACATCAACCGCCGAGCGAATCGTGCCTCCCTGCGCCCAATCCCCAATGTTGCCCGTACCCTCAAACGTAGAGACGAAAGGCTTGCTGTCATAGGTCAAATAGCAATCCGAGCTAGCATACTCCTGCAGCACAGACACAACCTCCGATGCAGGCCATGTCTGACCACCGCCTAGGTAATCGAAAGAAATGAAAAGCTTGAATCCATTTGCGAGCGCCTCACAAGCCGCAAAGGCATTAGCGATTTGCGTTGGGACGTTGCTGTCGGGATMCCCGCCGTTGAGCGCAAAGGCATCTAGACCAGCGTCGTGCGCGAGAGTGATGTCGTTCTCCCAGGTGGATTGGGTGTGTGCTGCGGTGTCGCCGACGACGACGTGCGCAAAGGCGAGCTTTTGGGCGGCTGTTAGGCCTGTGAAACTGCTGGTCGCAGCGATGGCTGAGAGGAGGAGGGAAGTTGTTTGCTTCATCCTGGTCAAGTTTTTTTTTTTGTGTGCTGGACTTGATACTATTCAACTCGAAACAGAATCAAGAGGCCAGTGGGATGTAGACCACATTTATACCTCATGAGCCCTACCTAATTATAACTGAACAGGATCCCCGGCTAGTGACCAACAATGAACCTGATGTTTTAGCTAAATATCACGTACGTCGTACGTTAATTAGAACGTGGACAGTCAGCAATCAAACGGTACCTAGCTAGGTATAAACCGAATCGAGCAAAAAGAACCACTTTTTGACCGAACATGACACCCTAGCTGAATATATGTGGGATCCATTGTCAGAAAAGAGGATAGCAGAGTAACATTCTGTTCTTATGTCTTTGTTCCCGACTACGCCGGGGACTGTCCAATGTGGATGGCTGCATAGATCAAAGGTCCCAACATGGCCCAATAAAGGCCCCTAGAACAAAATAACATGTGGTCTCTATTCAAGCAAAGCGTAAATTTTCGCTACAACTTATCATTGGTTAGATCGCGTGTTTCTTTAGTCGACTGACTGGACACATGGATCAGGGTATGATCTCTAATTTTGTAAAAGAGGGTCCGGTAGTTGGTCAGCAGCCAGCGATATCCAGTCGTTGCGGGATCCTCGGTGTTTACTCCTGTTTTGAATTTTAGATGGTTTTAGCTAGGTGCTTTAGGGGGTAAGCGTTTCAGGGAATTAGACCCCAAACATGTTGGGCGCTTGGTGGGCGCTGGTGGCGTGTAGCTTACTTGGGGTCTTCGGTCTTCATGGGTTTCGTATGGTTTCTTCTCTTTGCTTGAACAAGTAAAATTTCTAGTGATTAATTCTTCCTTAATTTCCTGGATTCTTATCAAAACCAAAATCAACGTCTACAAAATCAAGCATAAGCATGGCTGAAACATGAATTCGGCAACCCGGCATTCCCTACGTCTTTGGCCCCGGTCTTGTGTTCGTCCCTGGCCCATTTCTCCAATCAACTTTCAAACAGGGACCGCTATGCAAATATCATGCTATCATTGCGACCCTTGAAACTTGTCATCATATCAGCCCGGATCGAAAGTAGCTTGCAAGTCTAAAACATGATCTCTGGAAGAAAGTCTATAAATAGAGCGCAACTACTGCAGGCCAACACCTAAAAGTGGTTAGATACGTATCACCATTTACAGGACCAATATACTTTGTATTCAGACGGTTGGTCTGTCGAGTTGTTGGAAATCCGTCCAACCGTTTTGATAAGGGTGAGTTTTTTGATTGAGTCTCAGAAGGTCTGTCGATGTTGGTGTTGGACTGTTGGTGAAGTGGTCCGGGCTAGTGAAAAAAAATGCAACCCTAAAAAACTACCAAAATCAACGAAGCGAGACATTTGCAGATAGACGGATGACTAGACGCTTGGACTTTTCTGATATGGTTCCAATGCATTTCCTTTTACATCTGAAAACTTCTTGAAAGTCTATTCATGCAGTATATACGTAAAACGGCAATGGCAAGATTAGTCAATAAAAACGTATTTTCCCAAAGCAGGATATGGTCGACATAGTCTGTACGGTTGTCTCCATACATTATCAACTAACCTTTACGTATAGTAATAGAAATTTGGTCCGGTTATTCACCTTCGATAGCGATTCCAGAAATTGTTGTTCTTTCGCTTCCTGAAAGATTTAATGTCGCCTGTCAGAGTTATCAAATCGAGGTCTGGATACTATTTTTGAATATCGATTTAATCCTGACACAGATACCTAAATCTTGTTATAGGGCAGCAAACTGTACAAGCCGGCCAAGACAGTTCTTCAACCAGTGATGCCCTAATATGCGATCTCGTAAATACACCTGTCATCGCCGGAAAGATCCAGTCTCCCGAAATAGGGGGTGATCTTGGATTGATGTTACTTTAAGCATGGCACTAGACATAAATTGTGTTATGAGTAATAGTAATGTGTAGGTGCAGGTGTAGGTCTCTCCTTATCTACAATTATCCAGTTCTCTTGTTGCATATGTGAGTAGAAATGCGAAATTCCAACGATTTCGATTTGTATGCATGGACAATGTCTGCCCGAGAGACATGAGTCAAAATCCTTAGATATTGCATTTTATTGACTGATGTTTCACGTCATACTCATTAACAGCCCAAATATCGCCATAGATTCTCAATTTTTATGCAATTTCTCACGATCTTCAGAATCCACCCCATCTGCTGTGAGCAATTTTCCTCCTACGTTGACCGGATTGGCCGCTGTAAAACACACAGTCATTAGGAGATCCATAATTCGAAACCCATGCAACCAACACATGGGACTGACCTGTAACGAAGAAGTAGATCCGAGCCGGTTTATCGGTCTTGTTCTCCCAGCCGTGGATCGTGCCACGTTGTACACAAAGATCTCCCTTTTTGAAGGTGAGAGCGACTCCATTATCAAGATAGCTGTTATATTTAATTATATATTTAATTATATATTGCAGAAAAATGAGAGATTCAAGTGTCGAACTTACCAGGTCATTTCACCCTCGAATACGACTCCGAAATCTAATGAGCTTGTTCGATGGAAACGCTGTATTCATACCAGCCTTTCAGTCTTCTCCCATTTTCAACAGATACTGATGTCATAAAATAACGCACCGTTTTCACCTTAGGCGGGAAATCAACAACCCTCACCGCAACCGCACTATCACTCGATGACGACCCCGGAGTCTGCACAAGAGGATCCTTCCATTCACCATTGAGATCTGCCGGGAACCCGATAGTTTGATACAAAACGGCAAAGTCGCAGTCAAACGGCGTCCGGAACATGGGGATCTGTTTGTCGTCTATATATGTGGAGTTGCCTTGGTCGTCATGGCCAGTTACGACGCGGCGGGGGTTAGGGAATAGGGGTTCCATGAGGGATCTCTCGAGGACGATTGAAGACGTTAAATTTACACAGAATTTTCTGAAAGATGTGGAATGATGATGTATGTATATGTTGAGATTGAGCGGAGATTGATCAATGTCCCGGGTACGATTTACAGCTCAGCGTAGCATGCTTAGGGCCTGGGATTCTTTCGATATGCGGGGTAGTCGTCACAGATCTATGAAGAAGCATGAACGGTCTTTACTGTTACATAGATCAGAGGAAGCTAACTCTAGCTCGACTGCGCTTCCTGAATGGTGCGGCTGATGATACCTAATTTTGGGTCGAAATTGCTACATCACATTTCTGTCCAACGCGCGGGTGATATAAAGAGCAAATCTGGTAAACTATTTCACTTTTGCAACGCGCATCTGTAAGATGTAGTGAAAAATGGAGCCTCAAATTCTTACTCCGTGCAAATTTCGTTCATAAGGCCATTATAAATCGAGTTTCCTCGGCGTCAAATGCACCTTCAACTGTGGCTTATGCCACGTCAAATAATTCTTCTGCTTAATCCAGTCTCGGCTCTCATCCGCAAGCTTCATATCAAAATTGAATATGATCAGAGCTAGGATCAAACGCATTTCACTGTATGCAAGGCTGGTCACATATTAGCTCATTTGTTTCTTAGTTTTTAATAGTTCGGGATACATACTTTCGACCAATGCAGTTTCTGGGACCGAAGTGGAACGGTTGGAAGGCCTCTCGCTGGTCATTTGAGAATCTCGAGTCTCCAAGGAATCGTTCGGGATGGTATGTACTGGGGTCTGTGAAGTATTCTTCGCGCCGGTAAATCGCCCATTGATGAATGGCAACGTAAGTCTGTATCATGCAATTAGCGGCAATATATCAGCAAGACGTAGTATCAATACTTACATCCTCCGGAATGTACTCCCCCAAAACTCTAGCACCGCCCTTTGGACAAACTCGTGGCAACCCGTTAGCTACGGGTGGATACATACGCAATGCTTCGTCTAGACATGCTAGCATATAAGTAAGGCGGCCGACACTGATCAAGTCGATCTCGTCTGGACTGTGGAATGTTGAGCGGACTTCGTGTACCAGTTTGTGGTAAGCTTCTGGGTTCGTCAATATGAGATAGGTTGCGCCACAGAGTAATGTAGCTGTTGTCTCGGAGCCGCCAATGATCAGGATTTCGGCGTTTGCGATGAGGTGTTCTACGCCGAGATTCTATATGCAATCAATAAATGAAAAGATTTACCAAATTACGCTGAACTCTTACCAATTCCTCCTTTTTCCTCAAAAGACCTTCAATAAGATCCGGACGTTCCTCCTTAATAGCCATTCGACGATGCATTTTAGCCTTGGTGAGAACTTTGTGCTTCTCATAAGCGTCCTGAGCTGACTTCGGCATAAGTGACAGGAGTGCCTTTTTAAGTAATGGATAGAACGACAGAGCCTGTAGAATSGAGCCGATATAAGCCATGTCAAATATAGACTTGATCCAGCCATCATAATTGTTGCCTGAGAGACAGCCAAAGGGCTCTCCAAACGCCAAGTCACCGATTATATCAAAGGTGGTGAAATTGTACCAATCGGATAAAACGACTGGGTTGCCTCCAGGCCTATTACTCTGCTCATGTAGTTTCTTGAGGAGTAGATCGACATATTTCCGAATCAAGGATTGTTGTTCTCTCATACCCTTCTCCGAGAACCCATGCGCCATCTGTCGACGTAAGTTCTTATGCTGTTCAGGGGTCTCGTTGACGATGTGTGGAGCCTCCTCGATGGGACGATAGAACCACATAGCTTTACCCATTTCTGCTTCTTGGCCGTTCTTGTGGCCCATAATATCCCTCCATGCATCTGGGTGCGAGAAAGCGAGCTCGTCCGGTGCAATGCGGACGATGTTCCCGTAGCGTTTGTGGAAATTGAGCATGTCAAACGGTAGAGTCCCATTTATTGCGCGATAGAAGTATGGGAGTCGAGAGATGGCGTGGGAGGTTGGGCCGGGGAAGCGGCTTAGTGGGTGAAAATAGACATTGTAAATGGCTATGGAGATGGGATAAAGTACTGCCTGATATTGTTAGCTAAGAACACCACGTCCAGGTTAGAAATGGAAAAAATACTGTAGATATCGCAGCTATCAAAAGAATCGTTGCATCAAATGAGATATTGTATTGATCGAGCATCGCGTGAATAGCCATTGTGATCAAGAACAAATTGTATTCAATAATTGTAACATTGAATTTTCAAACAATTGAGCATGGGTTCAGATACAAAACATTTATATATGCAGCGCCTGGCAAAGAGTAACCATTCGAGTCATGGGAGAACACGCAAGCCTCATTTCTTTCAACTCTCCCATAATTAGCGCAACACTTGAGGCAACCAAGTTGTACAAAGGCAGATTTCATCATTTAGTCCATGATTCTATCACTGCCGATCCTTTATTTAGCACCTCTCACTGTAGATCACTGATAACTACAACTTGTCTGATTAAATAATCCTCCATACAAAGTGAAAATGGAATGCGAACACGAACCCGATGCCGAATACGAGTCCAAGCCCTAAATATTTTCCCACTCGATGGCTCGGATAGCGTTCTACGCAAGCAACCAGGGCTTGAAACTCGCAGTATATGTCTGATAGTGAAACGGATTTTATGTTGAAGCCTACCAAAGTACGATCCAGAGAATTAGGTTATGCAAGACACTGTTTTTGAGACAGAACTGGGCTGTCGATCACCAATCTTCAACGGACAAAGGGAGCTGAATAATTGGCATTGCAGAGTTTTCGATGTGAATTGTGAGACCCAAGGAAAATAACCTTATCTGCTTTGTACCAAGAATTATGGCTGCCTGGATGATCGTCTCTATAAGAGTGGTGTGGTCGAGGGCAATATCTCTCGATAATAGACACAAAACCGAATATACACGTATCGACTTCCGTCAATTCCATATATACCACGACATCTGTCCAAGATGAGCTCCTCTCAGTGTGAGCTGTATCTCTATAACCCCAGTTTACCCCTCGCGGTGATAGGGGTCCTCCTTTTTACAAGTCTTGTATCAATACTTACAATGCGAATGATCCAGACCAAGACATGGATCGGCATTTTCTTTGTTCTTGGAGCACTGGGTAAGTCATCCATTGTCTGCTCATTCAGCTTCATTGTCTATAGACCTACCCACTAACAATCAGAAGCTCAAGTAGTAGGCTATACGACTCGGGTGTTCTCCACACAAGATCTCTGTAATCGCGCTGCATATGGCACGCAATCAGTCTTTTTGCTGTTGGGACCGACTTTGATAATGTTTTCAGTCAACTTGACTCAAACCGAATTTGTGGGAACATTGAGTGCGGAAAAATTCTGTTGGGTTCCTATTACATGGCAGCGACCGCTCTACCTCAGTATCAATACAGTCCTGATTCTTACACAAGCCGTTGGCGGCATAATGACGGTCGGGTCTACCTCCATCGCAACAATTGCAGTCGGATTCAAGATCACAATTGCCATATACGTGACTCAAGCTATTTTCTGGGGATTCGTTTTTGCAGAGAACATCTCCATATCAATCCGACTCGGGCGTCACCCAACAGAATCCAGTAGACATGCCATGGCCAATTGGAAGCGTTGGAATCAGTTGTTTGGCCTGTCGACAAGCATTATCGCATTCGGTCGCAATATTATGCGTCTAACCATGGCCGGCGGGATTGCATTCCTTATCGAGAATGAATGGCCTTCTTACGCATTCGATGGCTTCCAGATGGTTGTGGTTTTGGGCGCATGGACGATTTGGTATTTGCCAGGGAAGTGTAGTGCTATCAGAAAAGAGACGGATTATCTGAGTCTTACTCGGCTCGAGAGATCAGAAAACGGTTCTGTATGAGCCTAGAGGGTCTAAGTACTGAGCAGATTTACATATTCTGTGGATCTAGGGAAGGAAAGGGGTTCATCTAAGCAAAACCCTGATGAGTCCCCACACGATCACGTCCAATGGATTATGCCCGAACCCGAATACGACCTGTGTCTATGTCAACACAGAATTGGACATTGGTTACAAAATACGGAGTAATTAAATTACCATTCGTGCTTTGCTGTCATAAATATAAACATACTAAGATCCCCTCCCTTATTTTAAACTTTTTACACATGTACGCATTCCAGAACCTCGGAGGACTGAAACTAGTTCCATGTTGGGTGAAAATATTGATCCAGAATCACAACCAGGGTTTCAACCCCAGCATTTGACATCGGACCATGAAACAAACGCTTTGGAGAAGAGGGATAACGAGCAAGATGCGGAAGTTGATCTAGGTCTAGTGGTATTCTGGGACGAGCCCGCCGATCAAGACCCTGCGAATCCGATGAACTGGAGTGCTCGAAGAAGATGGAGCATTGTCGCGATGGTTTCTTTCATCACATTCTTGACGTGAGTTCTCCTCGATTCATTCATAAATTATTGCTTAATGATATAACCAATAGTCCTCTCGCATCCTCAATGTTTGCGCCGGGCGTCCCCTTGGTAATGGCGGATTTCAAGTCCGACTCTACCATCCTCGCAACATTTGTCGTCTCCGTGTACATTCTAGGCTTCGCATTCGGCCCACTCATCGTCGCACCCATGAGCGAATATGGCGGTCGTGTAATTGTCTACAACACCTGCAATGCACTCTTCTTCATTTTCAACATCGCCAGTGCGTTGGCTCCTAACATGGGATCACTGATTGTGTTTCGGTTTCTAGATGGCATTGCTGGTGTTGCGCCGACGACTATTGGGAGTGGCACTATTGCGGATATCATGCCGACGGAGAGTCGGGGGAAGGCTATGGCATTTTGGTCTATGGGACCGTTGTTTGGGCCTATTATTGGACCGATAGTTGGCGGATATTTGGTTCAAGGGACGAATTGGAGATGGGTGTTTTGGGTGTTGGCTATTGTGGTAGGTTTAGCTCTTTTGACTTTAGATCGGTTTAGCTTCGTCATCTGATGGGTATATCTAGGGCGGCGTGTCTGCAATCGTTTTCTGGTTTGTGGTCCCTGAAACACATGCTCCAACTCTTCTCGAACGAAAAGCGGCTCGCCTGCGAAAAGAGACTGGAAATAATGGGTACAAGTCACGTCTTGACGATGGAGTTCCGCCCAAACAACGATTCCTGCAAAGCCTCGTTCGACCGAGCAGAATGTTGCTGTTCTCCCCAATTGTGGCGTCAATGTGCATCTACATCGCCATTCTGTACGGCCTTTTGTACATCCTCTTCACCACATTCTCCGAGGTTTTCCAGGGACAATACGCATTCTCATCTGGCGCCAGTGGCCTTTCCTTCCTGGGTAGTGGAGTCGGCATGCTTCTTGGCCTTTTCTATGCCGGATCCCTCAGCGATCGGGCAATCAAGAAGAAGCTTGCAAACAATGAGAAGCCCGAGCCGGAAGATAGACTACCTTGGTACATCGCCCTTCCCGGATYTTTAAGTAYCCCCGCCGGTCTCTTCATCTACGGCTGGGGAGTTGATAAACACGTTCACTGGATTGTCCCCGAGATCGGTAACGCCGTAACGGGCTATGGAATGATCATCATCCTCATGGGTATAAACACCTTCCTGGTGGATGCATTTACGAAACATGCTGCTAGCGCAATCGCTGCTTCTACTGTATTGCGAAGTCTGGCTGGTGGGTTACTTCCACTATGTGGATTGAAGCTATATGACAAGCTTGGCTATGGATGGGGGAATAGTTTGCTTGCATTCATTGCTTTGGGAATATCGCCCATTCCGATTTTGTTTCAATTGTTTGGAGCGCGGCTGCGTGCTCGATCGCCTGTTCTAAAATAGCCCCCGTAATTATATAGGTATTTCTAAAATGATAAGTCACATTTATAAAGAGTCCAGAGGATGCCACCCTATCTGCTCTTGTGGCCATTTCAGCCAACCGCGATATTCCTTGTCCAATACCGAATACAACTGCATTAGTAGCCGACTGCTCAGCCCTTCCATCCACCACATCCATTCAATCTGCTGTAATGCCACACAGAAATATGCAAAAACAATCAACGCAATCGGCTCCTCTTGCCCTAGAAACTCTAGATACTCATTTGATACTTCCAGCAACCAAGCGAATATGTCTGCAGTCTGAATCCTCGTTCCTTCGCCGGGTTTCATCACGACTGCAAGTGTCCTGCCCAATGTGTCCACTGCTTCATCATAGATCCTGCGCGTCCGGGGATCATGCGCGTACTCCGCTGAAATCATCCGCTTCAATTCCCAGGTATACACTTGCGCCTGATCAAGTGACAGCGCATGACGAGCAAAGTTCGACTGAGCCCCATTCATAAATATCGAGCTCAGAATCCCAGTCTTGAAATCATGACTGCTGTACTCAATAACTGTCTTCGTGCCCCGGAAGAGTAGCGCCCATTCAGCGAGAGCGCCCTTTTCGAATAGAACGAGGAAATTGTTGTTTTCAAACTTCGTGTTTGCGCAGGCGAACATGCATAATAAGGAGGAGAAGAGAAACAATCCGACCCCGTTATCGGATGCTAAGGATTGTAGATTGGGGGTGACTGCACGAACTGCTGTGGTGTGGTGCATGTGTGCGTGGGCTATACACACTGCCCGGCGTGAAGGATCTGAGCGGGCGAGATGGAGTGCCGATAAAGCCAAAATAGCGTGTAGAACAGCGGGCATAGTGAATCCCACGCGCGGTGCTTCGTCGCGCCAGACACCTTGCACGGACGGACTTCGAGATAAAGTATAACATGTTGAAACCATATAATGATGCATAAGTTCCATATCAAACACTTGTAATCCAGGCACTACCGGTAGCGGAACCTGTGGTTCCAAAATTGGGTTTTGAGGACTTTGTGATGGTTGAGATGAAGATATAGGCCACGAGGCTGCTGGACTAGCAGTAGCACTTTTCGGTACTTGATTTAGCCTCATTGGCGCCGCTGCAGGCACCGACGCAATAGTAGGCTGATCCGGGTCATCACGACCGGCCAGAGGTACCGGGGACCCAATAAAGGAGCAGGAAACCATGTGCCTTGTGCAGTTGTGGCAGCTTGGCCTAGTTTCATCGCACTGGGTCGAGTCAGTGACTATTTCCATCCATCGATGTAGGTGTACCACGCCAGGCATATGGATTTCATACCTTGACTTTGCGCCTCTTGCATTGCGCGCATCCCGCCCGCGACTTTCGATGCGAGCGGCGACCAGTGGCAATTGTGTTCATCGTGAATAAATTGAATTAGTTGAGTTAGCAACGGTGGAATTAGGTATATTGAGATACATTCTCATGTCTGGGTATATCAGTCGCGAATTGTGATACAAATAAAAAAAGTACAGCTAATCAAAGGATCTCGGAAACGCGAAAAGTGCTGGTGCGGGGAGCGAGACTCTTGCCACCCAATCAGATACTCAAGCTTCAGGCGCCTCTTAATTAAAGTACTCACACTAAATTATAGTAAATCAAGCCCTAAGGCGCCAGAGGTTTATCATCAATTCCATCCTTATCGTTAGTATTGGCTTTTGCATTTCTTGTCCTAGATAGTCATAGTATCTCCTATTCAACAGTGAAAAGGCTGATCATTGAATCATATGAGTATAGGGTCTTTTAGAGTAGGTATCAACCCTAACCTTATTTAAGTCTTGCCCGTGTTGACTTTAGTCTAGCCGTGGGACATTTTACGAGGATCTAAAAGATACAGAATTAAGCTTCAAGTAAATCGGTTGTGATTATGTGCAATCTGAGCCTACCTGGTATACAGTAGAATATCCAGCACTTATAAGCAGAGACTATAAAAGAATTTAATGCTCTTGGAGGACTTCATATTTGCGATTGTTCAAGATCTTGCTCCCTTGAATACATACAAAAGCAACAAACTAAACCCAACAATTGGAATACAAAGACCTTTCATCAGTATAACATCTGAATAGTAGGTTCGCATGACGGCTACATCATGCCTTTAATTTTCGCAGCGGCGCAGCGGCTACACCAACCACCTTTGTAATATACGTTACCGGATAAATAGACCACTAATGTATACTGCTTCGCTATTTCTGCAGCAGCAATATTCAGTCTCGCCTATAGTGGCCGATGGCGCTATCTTCGACCGCTCTAGACTTTGGTTTAGACAAGGGTACTGGAAAGTCGAGTATTGTACAGTGGTATGATGAGCGATTTTCTACTATCCAGGGGAGGGGGGAGAGGAGGGACTTTTAGCTTCACAAGGCTGAATTCGATTGCACCTTGGACTACGTCTGACCTGCGTCGAATTCCCATTCTTTTCGTATCTATATACTGACCCTTAAAGGATTCTGGAGACAGGTACCTTAGAAACTGATAATAGCGTAGAGATGGCTTCCGATTCTCGAACTCATAATGATTGTACCGTTGGAGTGGGCCAGCTATTTAACTGAAAGACTAGAGCTGATATTTCAGCCGCAACCACTAGGAATGACTTAAAGGTTGGGTGGTAACTAGCCACCGAATCAGACGCACGGCGACCAATGCGTCAATGACCTGAATACCTTTGGTGGTGCCCGAGGTAACTCTTAAAGGAGGGGGGAATAAAAGCTATAAATTACCCTTGGACGCCGCATTTAATACTCTACAAGTGATCTCTACCTACCTCGCCCCAACTCAACGCACAACTCGACATGTCTCAGACTCCCATACCCCGAAGTCCTCCTCTGGGCCTGGTATACCTACTGACGAGGGCCCTCTTCGCGTCTTAAAGAACATGGTCGAGGTTCACAAAGACTCATCCACAGTTGGTGTCTTATCTGCCGATTCGTCCGTCAGCTCTTCCGATAAACGTGCGCGCGAAGTCCACGGCATAATCGAGAACAATATGGGATATGCTTACAAGCTTGTATCTTATCACTTTGACTTGGGCGATTTCTCAGTGACCCTGCCACAACTATCCCGGCTCACCAGAGCGGTTCCTTCATCGCTGGTTCCAATGCTTTCATGGGTGGCATTAGTGGTTCGGTACGGTATCAAACTGATTACAACACCAAACTCTAGATTGAATTCGATTTTAGCAACCCCTATATTGGGAACAACTCGTACGGCAATAGCCAGTATGATCAGGTCCGCGTCACTACATCAGGTGGCGGCGGCTGCGAAGCATATGTAACCTATCATATTGTGGGTTATTTTTTTATTCATCTATTTTTTCATAGTACTTATATTTCTCGCAGGATTATCGCAAGGAATAAGGATTCTTGGTAAAGACAAGCAACTATGGTGTTATAAATACTGTGACGGCCGTCTCTAAGCCAAAAAGGTTACATGGTCGCGGATTTAGTCAAAGAGATCACGGTGGGAGCGGTAGACTGACCGCCCAAAAATTGTACAAACAAAGTTACCGGGCTGGACCATAGTAGTAATTCCATAGTTAGGAGTAAAGGGCATGGCGCTTACAGAGTGCTTTCATCTTTTGAAACACCAGAATGCGGGCGCTGCGGCGGCTCTCCAACTGAAACCTTTCAGACCAGGCGAGTATAGAGTATGTTGTTGGATAGCACTCCTAACTGTCATAAATTCGTGTTCGTGCAGTATAAGCGTTTATCTACAGCCAGTCCCCATGTGTCTATGAATAGTCTGAATGTATCAAGTTAATTAAGTATAGCAGGTCGTACAGCCAGCCCATCCGGTTGTAGGAAGATGCCCTTGAAATTTCGTTTCAAGCAAATAGACTCAGCGGCAATGCTTGGGGTCTAATTGAAGATTGGAGGGAACTCTTGCCCCCCTCCTCCCCCTCCTGCCCAATTGCTGAAGTTCGAACGTATTGGGGAAGCAGGTGGAGGCACTGCTGATAACTATGCAGGGAGAAACTGACAAAGAGAAAAAGGGGCTTGCAAGATGCTCGGATGGACGACCAACTTACCGCTATAGATAATTTCCCCTCGCATCAACCGACATTTCTTTATTAGAGCCTATTCGCTTCGATATGCGTCGATCCCAGGGTCCATGCTTTTCTTCGCGTGCTCTCCCGAATTCGGTGCTGTACCATTCCTTTGCTCTGCTATCAACGAATTCCCAGTCATCAAAAATATCGTTGTTAACCTCAAGATAGATCACCATATAGGCAATCCATGATCGTAATGTGTCTATCCAAAGAGAGTACTTAATGATATCTTCGTCATCAATGGTGGTTGGAACGAAACTTGACACCAGCGCGCGTTCGCAAGGATACCATAAATTATCAAAGGAAACGTATTCTTGATTATAGCACGAGTCCTTGACAGGAGGTAGGTGTACAAATGAGTTTGGAAGTAAGGTCAATTGCCCCTTCGTTGGTGAACCTTCAGGAAAATCAAATGTCGGTAGCCTGGTCTAAGCGACGGTAGCCTTCGTAAATCTAGTCTATTACAGCTTGAGGGTCGGGCAGCCGACTCAAGACCTTTGGAGGGGGTTCGCGTCTTGGTTTTGAAAGCTGGAAATCCGACTCGAGTAGAATCTGTATTGCAGATTGATAATCCTCATCTTCAACAACAACTGAGAAGAGCTAAAGAATACAGTGATTTTCTTGTTAATGCTGAATATAATTCAAAGGAGCACCTAAAAGCTCTACATACACCAAGCACCATCGGCACTCCTAGAAAATGCATCGCTTGGCCTCCCCAAAGCCTAAGAGGTATGGGTCTTAGTGCGCAACCAAGAAATACGGCCACTGGGTCTGGTTCAGTGCCGCGCTGGCGGCGAAGCATTATTGTGTTATGAATATCCGTTAAAGATATGTGGTATAATAGTGAAAGTTGTTATGGATGGAGGAGGATTTTGGGTGGGGATTAAACCTGTGTATTACTCGTTGACTCCTGTAGCTGTGATGGAATTCCCAGGGACACTATTCCCATAATATTCTAGCCTATCCAGGGCTAGCCGGCAAATCACGGCAGATCGCGGCATGGATTAAGGTTAGGGTTAATCCTTGTAAGAAGATCAATTCTGGAGATGAAAGAACCTTATACAAATCTTTCATACTATCATGCTTGTGCCGATTAATTTAAGGCAAATAATCTAGATCTCTTCGTACTCGGTACAGTATGATGCTATTCTATTTAGAGATTTTCATAGGCTGAGTAGATACAGAGAAAAAGGTGCGATTTTCTTTTACTTGAAACTCAAGAGACCAGAGCTGAGGTGTTTATAATTACAGAAAGTGAGAGGAGAGAGTAGCATACACAGAACAGAAAAGTTATGAAGAGAACCCGTATGCCTGATGAACGTTCCGCAAAAACTCAATAGCATCACTAAAGGCTTTCGTCCGGGTATTAACATTAATAGCGAAAGATGGCACTAGTTAGTTATATGAACTGTTAGCAAGACTTGCTCCTAAGGAATCATGGGATGTGCGCCTACTTTCCAACCATCCATGAATCTGCCCCTCATACACGTCCGTGCGTACAACAATACCTTTTCCATATGGAGTCTCAGCCATGTTAGAAACTTGTCTCGACTGATTGATTGCTCTTGCTTCCGTTTCTAATCTTTCCGTCATACTTGTCGTCTCGTCTCGCAGGATATCCGCCCCTCCAACGATAAAGAGCATGTTCTGTGGCAGAGTGCTGATACCTGCCAATGTTGGATGCAATAAGGAATTATGAATGTCCCGCACACGGTTTGGTCCTGCATAGGCATCGAAAAGCGGCTGTAGAAAAGCCAATGGGTCTTTTTCTGGGTGACCGGGAGGTTTGGGTTTGCGCCATGGTGGGAGGCGGAAGTCAACCTATTTCATCAGCTACCTCAGATACCACATGAAAGCCCTCAAGGCAGTTCGAGTAAATATACTAGAGATATAGGAAACGTACCACCGCATAAAATGTCGCCGATCCCCTAACCTCAAACTCTGTCCCCGCCAATCCCTGTGCAACAGCAAGTGCCAGATTCCCACCGACAGAAAAACCGCTAACAGTTAGGAGACGAGGGTCTGCATTCCAAAGCTTCTCGGCATTCTGAGTCAAGTACTCCGCTACATCTTGCACATCTTCGTGCGCATCCGGAAAGGTGTGTACAGGCGCATAGCGGTACGATGTCGATACCACAACTGCGCCCGATTTATGAGCCAATTCAGCGCAGAAACGTGCGTTTCCCTCTGGCAAACCACCGAGAAATGCGCCGCCGTGAATGTTTAGATGTAGTGGAACTTTCTTTCCAGACTGAGTCAAGGCAGATTTGGGGATGTAGACGACGGCACGAACAGTATGACCAGGCACTCTTTTCAGCGGTATTTGGATTTCGTGAGAGTGGGGGAACTTGCGTGAGATGACCCATTCGATGGTATATGTGAGTAAGGTGATGGGTTGCAGGAGAAGGAGATTAAAGCGGGTGCGTAAAGGGAGATTCCGAGCGAAGAGGGAATCCTTGATAATGCGAAGAGCTCGGATGAAGAACATTTTTGTTTATCATGCAAGCCTATCAACAATTTTAAAAAGAAAAGGGACGAGGCAATGTGATTTTTCTCATTTCAGACTATGTGACTGCGTGAGGTATCTTTAAGCTATTGCCAAGCAACTCCTCGTATTCAAAGAGGGAGGACGGGAAAATACATGCCACCCGATTCGTCAAAGTGATATTACTTATTGGTTGGGTGTATCTCACTCACCCCAGATTTGTAAAAACCTTGAGATGAATTCCATTCAAGCATCCCCAGCAAGACATCAAAAAAGCCGGGAAATGAACTTGAATGTCGAGAATCAGCAAGCGACGATGATCTTTGCCCCGCTTTCTTGATTCTATATTGGTCAAGTATGGAGAAGTTCATATTTCTCGTTTTTCTATAGCGTTCCTAGAAAAATAAACAATCGGCAAAACAACGGACAAGCTGCAGATAAACCCGCATGTACTCTGCATTCTATGATACAAGAGCAACGCTGCCGGAATCGCGAAGCTGACTTGTTGCAGAATCAACCCAACCGAGACAAAGGCATTGAAAGCCGCTGTCGGTCCCAGGTGGATGCGGCATAGCAGGAAGATGACAAAAGTGTTGGCGACTGGTTTCCAGACAGGAATCTTGAGTTTCTTGTCAACTTGCGCCATGAACGATGATCCAATCAGAGCATTGTCGCTTGCGAACGCCCATTTCAGTCAAGTCAAGTCTAGACTTTTTCAAAGTGGAAATTCACTTGAAACCTACACAATCCGCTCCCTTTTTCATTGCTGTTTCTAGAATTGCGAATTGCTATGCATTGGAAATATTACGTCTTAATGTCAAAATACGTATGGTTGCAGTCTTGTAAAGAAATTTGTAGATTCAAAAGATAGAATCATGATAAGCTCGTAACTAGGTATACAATCAATAACTATCCAATATCACGACCTCCGCCTCTGCCTCTCCAATACTCTCTACACTAATTTCATCCCCAACATTAACCCCCTTCACATACGCTCCATCGCCTTCCTGCAAAACCGCACCTTCTCTTCCATCTAGTCTAATCTTCGCATGTCCATTCTTGGTCATGGGTAGATGCACATAAACCTTGCGATCAGATTTATTCTCTACAACTGCTTCCCCATTCTCTCCTTCTCCGCCAACTTTCCATTTGAATCGACGATCAACAGCGATGATGCCAGCACCCATGACGAGATCCGCGTGAATCGGGATTGTGTCGGCAATCTTGGGTTTGGCTTCTTTCTCCTCGGCTGCGGTGGCGTTTATGCCTGCCGCTAAAGGGGAGAGGATGGGTAGGAAGGCCTTGCGTTTGAGCTCTTCGTTGAATGAGACTGTGTGATATTGCGGCGTGAGACCGCGGCGCCAGGGCGTGGCCCAGATTTGAAGGAAATGAACAGTGTCGGAGCTATGCTCATTTTGTTCAGAGTGTGCGATACCTTCACAAACTGTTAGTATTCGTTCATATATTCAAATACACAGGAATAGGACTTACCAGTTCCACCAGTCGTGAATTGAACATCCCCCCTCTTCATGCGATAAAAGTCCTTTCCCTGCTTGCCTTCGGCGCCTTTCTTAATCATACTATCTCTATGCGTCAACTCGCCGCTGAGAATATAACTGAAAATCTCCGCATCCCGATGCGGATGCGTCGGGAATCCCGTCTGGGGCGCGACGCGGTCTTCATTGAGGACTCGCAGAGATCCAAAACTCATATGTGATGGGTCATAGTAGTCTGCGAAGCTGAATGTGTGGTATGTATTCAGCCAGCCGTGGTCTGCGTGGCCGCGTGCCGCAGAGCGGCGCGGGATGATGGTTGCGTGTGAGAGTTTGGACATTACAGATTTGACGGCGGTTGTCGCAGTGCTTGATGTTGATGGAACGGGCATAGATGATCTCTCTTAAAAGTCGGGAGAAGGCTTGAATATGTTTTGTAGCTGATTGATAAAATTCGTCGACCCGAAAAGTGCTGGAATGATGATTGCGATTGCTAGGATGATGATGTTTCTTCCAGAAAGCATTGAGCGATTGTCGGTGGAGATGACCTCAACTTATAGTATTTCAGAGGAAGAAATCGCATGTTCGTGAAGACTCGCGATATAAAAAGACGTGCTGAATAAGTTCTTACACATCATGACTTTGGGTGTTCTCTTGCGCTCGACCACAATCCGAGTGTCTGATTGGCCGAAAACATCACTTCAGCATCAATAAGCATGAGGTAATCACTATCCCGAGCCTAGACTATGTATGGTTAGCGCGCTGCTGGAATTGCTGTCTTTCTATTGTTCAATAAGAAGATATATCCGGCACGGATATACAAGCCTTGGTAAGACGTATTTCTAACCAAAGCTTTTACCTCTCAATTTGCCTAGCATGGCCGCTGTGCTCGACTAACATTATAACCCCAATTACGAGGAACTTATGTGTAGGACGCCAGGTGAGGTTGTTTTCGTCCAAGTAAGCCTTATCAAGTCACGAGCACAGCTGCATGTGACAACAAGGATTGGCCGTGAGGCATCGAATATCTGCAGGCTTAAAGTATGTACATACTTTTAACTAAATTGCGGCACTGAAGCCGTCATTGGCTTACTTCACCGCCGTCTTTGTTACAACCAGTTGGCAGGTATTCAGCCTCAATGAACATGCACTCTAGAAATTTCGGTTCTAGATGGGGTTACTTTACGAAGATTGATTAATAAAAATCACAAAGAAATTGGAGGAGAAAATCGTCTCGGGGAATAATTGTCCTGCTTAGAATCACACTGACAGTTTCCATGGCGACATTATCTGAACATCAACTTCCAAGCCCGCAAATGCAGCCCATTATCCTGTCCATGGAGGTGGACGATGAAGATTCTTTCGAAAGTGAATACCGAGTGCGGATTGGAAACACAGTCAAATACCTCATCGTCTCTCCCAAGACCTTTGACAGAGAAACCCTTTCATTTCCAATCCAGTCCCTACGTAGTCTTCCTTACCACGAGGAATGGACTGTAGCCCGCATCTCGCGAGACGTGAGCAACGGAGACTTAAAAACTTCCATTTCAAACCAAACTCTGGCTGGTGTCAAGTGTCAATGGCATAACAATTGTATCAACTGCCTTGAATTGGAAAAGACCAAGCAGCTCACGGCAATGGCATTTGAAGCTACCATACACTCGAACCCACTCGTTTCGACGGTACCTATAGCCACCGTTATCGTCAAAATAGCTCGATTTGAGTGGGAGATTCCTCGAATCGAACAAGAAACAAGAGCGTATCAGTTGCTTGAGGGTTCCGAACTGGCCCCGCGCTTTTTAGGTCATATCCATGAAAATGGACGTGTCATGGGATTTCTCTTAGAGAAAGTGGAAGGACGTCCGGCGTCCTTCCAAGATCTGAACATATGTGAAACAGCGCTGGGAAAACTTCACAATTTGGGATGTACGCATGGTGACGTAAACCGGTACAACTTCCTCATCACTAACGAGGGAGCGAAGCTCCTCGATTTTGAGCACCTCGTAGAGAATGCTAGGCCAGAGTCAATGCTCAAGGAGCTGGAGCGTTTGAGCGCTGAGTTGGTAGATGATTCAGGGCGTGGTGGAGGTTTTATTTTTCATGGTAATAGTGAGTTTAGTTGAATGAATATTGAGTGCAAAATCTCGAAGCGCTAGCGAGGAAACCGTTTGATCGCCATGCTATGCTTATCATAAGGCGAGATGAATCTAAAGATTTCAATAATATCATAGATTTCCGACATCCCATGACCCAGTCCATGGTATATCGTGATCCTGGAACTGGAAGAAAGTGTCATGGCTTGCATCCATCATGGACGTGCTCATCCACATGTCATCAGCTGGCCAAGTGACCAAAGCTGTATCTTGCTCTATTTGCGGCTGATCTTGCAATTGACCCACCAACGGGCGCTCAGAAGGCGGTGCAGAGTGGGTGCTTCTTTCTGCATTTGTGGCAGTAATTCCATTAACGTTATTTTGGCTACGGGTGCGGCGTGCGAATGGCGGAAATTCCTGACCACCGTTTGAAGTGTCGACATCTGTTGCAGGATTTGGATGATGAAATATCTGGGTCTCAACAACATCCTCGTCATCAACGTCGTCAGAGTGCTCGTTTGTACTCTGGCCGCCATCTCGCTTCGCTGTCTTCTGAAGTCCTGCTCTCGATGAAGACTCGTCTCGAACAAAAGTTGGGTCGAAAATACCTCGTCCGTTAGATCCCGATGATCCTTTTGCACAGGCGTGGTCGAGGATGTCCCACATCAGCCCGGCATTAATAGAAACGGTTCGTCGAACGGAACTTTCGCTTTCTCTTTGTGATCCTGATTTGAGTGCTGACTGCACCAGAGAATCAAGTCTGTCATACTGTGGATCTTAGCTTTTGGCCCAGTATTCGAATTATGGGAAAACTTACTATGAGCCGACAGATGGGCCATACAGTGCCCAGCTCATCAACAAACCGCATGCACTTGCCAAGTTTGGACTGCGCAGAAGTCCTCACGCGAATGTCCGAAGCTCGGCAGTAGTATACATGTATGGTCGCTGCGATAGCAGCGCAGTAACCAAGAAAAGGGTCGGAAACTCGGTAATCTTTTTCCCACACCATATCTATCAAACGAACAGTCCACGTAGAGTGTAGCAATGCTTGCTCTGATGACGTCTTCCAGAATGTATTTGGCACAGACATCTGCGCCGATTGATGAGGACGTGACGAATACAGAAATGGGTGGTTGAGCATGCTGTGAATTGCGTGGTACACAAGCTGAATTCGCAACCATGGGCTCCAATAATCCCGGTTCTGCTGCAGCTCTGCCGTCGGCCGATCAAGGAATTTGACCGCATCGTACCGATGTTGCGTCGGAAATCTAGTTTCAAGATCCATCAAATGCGATCCAATGACAGCGTACCCTGATTCTGGTGACCATGGTGGTTTTGGGTGACCATCTGCACATTGTGCGATGTAGCCGCGGACTTCACGCCACAAGGATGATTGTTGGACCACATACGTCCAGATACCTGCACATTCGACTCCATCGACTTGTGATACATTCATGGAGTCCCGTGGATTAAGGGGAGGCAACTCCCCAGATTGTTGGTTGAGATCTCGTTTCGGTTCAACGTACTTTGGATTTTCGATATCCTCGAGCATATTGAGTACCATAGACCGTGGAGCATAAGTCTGGCTGAGAATATAAATGCTATAGAACACTTTTCGTCGTGATTCTTGTATTGGGCCAAAAGACTCCTTTTGTGTCTCAATATTCATGTCGGCCATGTTTGCTAGCGACATTGCCAGGTTGATGTGGAACCACGCCAAATGCGTTTCCTTCTCTGTTGACCATCAGTCATGGACTGGTGGGCTTGATCACACAATATGTGACTTATTGAATACGTGTTATACTTACCTGTAAAGTTTGCAAATGCTAGCAAGCATAAACTCTGTATGGTAGACATCTGCACAGCGCCTTGGGCGATTCGAAACATAACGTGCCCTCGAGCAACTTCGCTATACCTCTGAACAAGGTCATTGCGTGATTGGTTACCAAAATATGTTGCAGTGGAAAATCGCACTGTGAGTGCCAATAAAGAGAAAACTAGTTCTTCGACCATGTCATCTGGCGATGAGAGCTCTTCACGCTCGAATAACCAAAGTGGCTGACGGTGACAGAACTGAAAGTAAAGCTCAATTATCTCCGATATCACATGTCTCGAAGGCAAAGGCCTGAAAAGAAGTTAATAATTTGCTTGGTTTTTCATTCTGTTCAAACTCACTCTGATCCTGCGGATGAGTGTAGTTCGAGCGACTGTGGTTCTCGAGGTCCAGGCAAGACATCCTGGCTTCGGGGAGAAATCTGTTCACTATCTGTCATACGTAGGGTGTTGGTCAGATTCCCTGCATTGGTATGATTCGAAGTTGACCGCCTTGATCATATTGTAATTAGTATCGCCTGACATATCGCTTTGTGACAGGATCACGGAGACTTGTACGTACATCCCTTGCTCAAGCATCAGTTCCATCCTCTGCTCCAATTGTGCCAGTCGTCCTTCCTGTTTGACACACTATCAGCATTCCTCTTAACACTAAGTGGGACCTATGTATTACCAGAGTTCTGTTGGTCTGCTGACCTGACGGACGTGCTGATGGGGCTGCTGCATCATTGTAGCGACAGATTTGATTAAGACGAGTACAGGAAGAACATGCGGGTCTCTCCCCTGGACAGCGACTTTTCTTTCTTCTATACCAACATCAGTCTTCCATCCTGGTACTTGTGCGACTCTACTCACCGGCAATTCTCACAAGAGTATTGCACTCTTTTTGTAATCCTAGAGCGACTATCTGGCATTATCAGCCCGTCTGCTTCTGATCAAGACTAATGTGAACATGTCAGATGGGTTGAAGAGTGTTGGAGGAAGAAATATGCGAAACGTGCAAGAGGAAGGAGCCAAGGTGCGGGGTGGGTCTATCCCCATCATTCATCCTTGAAATTATTTCCCAATGATTTTCAAATGCGGAAATATATGGATATTTGCATCAAGGCCTGGTGACAGCTTTTGTCTTATTACAGCGCGCTGTCATCTGGCCAAAAAGCTGATATCTGTGTGATTATTACGAGATTTAATATCTAACAGGCCTCTAGAAGATGGCGGTGAGATCTCTTTACTATAACAGTGAGAGTACAGATCAGAGTACAATAATGCCTTTAATATATGACAGTACTATTACGATGATTGATATAGTATATATATCTATAAAGTAGTGAGCGCGGAAGGCTTCAAGCTAGTTAATAGACCTATATAATATTTAATTAGAAAGGCATATATTAAATCAAATCTTACAAGCCTTCCATAAGACTGCCAATATTGTTCTGATATTCTAACATCTACACCATTTTAACATTGTTAAATGCAATCTCACACAACATCTAGAGCATTGACTCTGGCACAAACCTGCTCCTCTTTCGAATCACTGGACCATACCGATAGAACGCATACGGAATCACGACCAACACTCCGCTGAGACTCCCAAGGATCGTTAAAGTGTAAGGGACGCCCATGTTCTCATAAAATGGGATAGAAATCTCGATAAATGCTCCGGATATTGTGTATCGAATGAAGGTAACACTTGCTAATGCACTGGCTGCATAGATCTCGTACGTATCCATGAGATATTGATACGTGGTCATGAAAACACACAGAATACCAAAGCCAAACAGCACCGACGCCAGCAGAGGCGACCAGATCGAAATATCCGGACGCGCAGTCCAGCCCATCCAGAAGAGACTGATAGGTACAGCCGGGCCACCAATCATCGCCCAATAGAGTCGTGATTCAGGAGCGACCTTGACATCTGGACCGAGAGCCTTTGCACGTGCAATGTCTCTCTTGCGGAGGTACATGTTCAATGGAATCAGAAGAGAGCAAGAAAGGACGCCGACCATTTGACCGGCGAAGCAAACTCCCGTCATCCCTTGTGAAAGTCCATAGATATCGGTGAAGATGTACGTGTAGCCGGTGAGGAAAGTGAAAAGTACAATATACACCATTGTCAGGTACAAGCCAAAAAGAATGAGGATTGGCTCTTGGACGAACATCAGGAATGGGCGGTATAACGCGCGTCGAAGACGGACAACCAGCGACGTTCTTCGAATCTCAATAGCCCCACGATAACGTTCGTCGCCTGTGATCTGACGAAGCTGCTTTGCTTTCCACCCAAGAAGTACTGGAGCATAAGTCTCAGGCTGATTAAGAACAACAATGCCCAGAATGATACCTGAAGCAATCAAAGTCACCCATTCAGTCCAACGCCAACTGAGGGTCGAGCTCTGGCCAATCCAATCTCCAACAAGGGGTGCAAGCAACGGCCCGAGAAAAGAGGAACAGGCAAAAAGCGGGAATGCGAAGACTCGTTCTTGCGGAGTCCAGATATCTGATAGAGATCCGCCGGCGCAAACCAGTGGAGTGGCACCGAACATACCGGCAAAGAAGCGACAAACGAGTTGAGACCCAATATTGGGGGATGCACCAGCACCAACCAGGAAAATCATGTACAGAGCCATAGTAGCGATATATACAGGATTTCGACCAAGTGTTTCCGAAAAGGGACCAGCCACCAAAGCTCCAGCCCCGAATCCAATCATAAAAAGACCTGTGGCCAGTGCTTCTATAGTTTCACCAACGCCAAACTCAGCAGCCGCCTGTGGGATAATCGCCGAATCGATCGCAGACGCAAAACCCACAATGCCACCGATCAATGATATGGTGAGCGTGCATATAATTCTCCTGGAAAATGCCCAGTTATAAGGATTTATCGAATCTTCTTCTGACTCCCAAGAAACGACAAAGACCTTGCCAAGTTCCGGACCACCTTCTCTTGTTGTTCGTTGGCGGATTTCGATACCTGTTATTGCTCGTCCCAGTGTCGTGCCGGTTGTACCGTGAGTAGGAACGACACGAAGATCGTTGGGATCCGAATCTTCGAGCGTAGCTTGCTGCTCAGTATCGTCTCTCGCTATGATTACACCATTTATACTTTCATGCTCCGATTGCGACGAAGACAATTGCGATGAGCCAGGTGAAATGATTTCTGTCTCTTCGTGGGCTCGCGATCCGGGGTCATGAACGTGGGCGATAGGGCCCTCATTATTCTCTAACCCGGTTTCTAAATCCTTCTCTTCTGTCGATATTATATCTTCTCTTTCTCTTCCATTCAGCCGCTGCTGACGTGTGTGAGAGACCTTATCTTTGCTGCGACCCAATTGTGCCTCGAGGGCTTTCCCAAAACGGCGATATTGCAGTATCGATTGCATCGTAGCGGCGAACCGTCTCTCGGTTGGCGAGAAGCGTTTGTAGAACTACGCATAGACTCAAGGAAATGTTTGAATCCTTCAATATTGCTCAGTTGCTGGATTTCAACAGTTGCTGGCGTAGGATTTCGGTATATCGGGATTCTCTCCACCCAACTACAAGACCATTGTACCGCAAGGTACGCAGCGCGAAAAACTTGGATGAAAAGACACAAAAAGAAAAAATGGAAAAAAAAAGAACATACCAAAGCAGATTGTTCTATCCTATGCAATTATTACGACTAAGTGGATCTTATCTTGCTTTCACTTACCTGTTTAGGGCAAAAAGCTGTACTCGGACAGATATCCGAACTCATTTTCAAGGTTAAGGGAACGGGTGTGTACCCATAACATTACCCGGGTCTGCAAAGATCTTAGCCGAGTAGAAAACAAGCCGGTCTCCACTGAATGTTATCATTGTGGATTCGTTCTTGTCAGGATTGTGTATTTAACTTAGGGACTTATGGCTTTGATTACAAAGCCGGATTTTTCAAATATTGTTGATCGGGATGGTATTATATACCCAGATTGGCGACCTAGGTGTGATAAACACAAACTCGATGATCTGAACTGATGATACGAATTGTCTGAACGTCTCTTCGTAATTTCTGTCTAGTCACTCTGAGTCTTGATTCTTGAGTAAGTGGATGGATGCTCACATAAATAACATGTCATAGCCTCAGTAATCCTCTAGCGGTACACGAAGACTGACATCAGTCTAAAAATTGTACCACAGATATCTAATTTGTACCCCAGCAACTCCAGTTCTCAGCTAGCTACGTCTTTCACTTTTAAGGCCTTCTCCATATTATCCCACGCTCGCCGAGTCATCCTCCCATGCACCCTCCATCCACCACCTTTCTCATCCGAATCTTTCAATAACGCGCAGAAATCCGTGATACTCTCCGTATACAAAGCCGCCACCACACACTCGCGTCCATTCCCATAATTCGGCTCAGACACTCAAAGGCTCCCCAACGAACTAATAAAACAGCATCGATCTCGCGAGCTGCGTCCGCACGGTATGCAGAGTTCGCCCCTCCGCTCAAAATGCTCTCTATGGGCAACGTAGTTTAATTTAATTTCGGGTTTGTCGAGAATATCTTGACTGAATTGGCGTCGAATCTGCAGAGCTAGGGATGCAAGCAATGTTTCCAGAAGATATCTCGTTCGAAGAGCAGGGATTACGTTGCGAGTTGCGGCGTTAGGGATTGTTGTTTGAGGAATGGATGGTATGCGTGGAACCGTTGTGAGTACGGATGTACTACATGATTGGAAGATATCATATGCATGCTGTAGAGTGATGGGATTAAGTTTCGTTCGCCAACTTCAGAGACTTCTTGGGGTCTCACCTTATGTCACTAATACAAAGGCAATAGTACTCCACCGAAGAATGCTCTACCAATTCGTGTCAAATCTTCTCCTCAATAATGGATATACCCCGGCCAAGGCTCAAAGCTCTTGGAACCTTCAACTCTTACAAGAGGAAGAAACCTCGGACTTCTTCATCATGCTCAGCTCAATCTCAAGAGTTATTTAATAATAAATGATAGGTGAATTATGCAGCTGCAAACGCATACAAAGATGCTATAGCATTTTATCGGCGGGAAAGTGGCCAGAAGTGGTAACTGGTATACCTACAGGTGTTATGGTCGTAAATACCCACATCAAATGACCGTTCTTCTTTCAGGACACGCGATTCGCGGCAATGTGGCAATTGGGGCTATATCATGAAGAGCCGCAAGCAATCAAAGATGACAGGGTAGTCTCTACTACTTCTAAGTCATTCGGGGAGAAATGTTGACCATAACCATACCCCGATGCAAAAGACCTGTCGCTAGAAAAATTGAGTGAATAGTAAGGCCCAGTCGAAATATACAAAATACCTAGGTCAAGGATCAAAAGCGAACCACGCATTTCACATGATGATCCCCATGAATTAGCGACTTTACAAAAATTATTCATACCAACCATGAAACTTGTCAATATAAAACAAGAAATAAAATGGCAAACTGACAAAAAGTCAAGGCAGGATCAGCTGTAAGAGGCTCGGTTCTTGATACACCGATCTAAAAATCAAGCTCATTCAGAAAATCCACTTCTCTGCAGTCAGTCACATCCATGTCCGGAGAAAAGGATTGATGCCCCAATGTAGAAGTGATATCACGTATTGAACCAACTCTTATTCAACGCGGGGTACAAGCATTGAGTATCTGCACAAACGTGGGATGTTGGTAATGCGGGGAATGTTGATCCCTGGTTGTTTTAAGGCTAGGTCTATCTACTTAGTATTCAAGCAATACAGACGGATTTATCCAAGTGGTGGAATCTTGGATGTACTATCCCTTTCGAAGAAATTACCCGGCTCCGGGTATAATCTGAAGTATTCTCGTCTTCTGCAGTGTGTAGTGCGTACATCTGTCACCATTCTAAAGGATCACTAGTGGCAGCAGCATCATGCGCTTCTGGCTATTGATACGGTAGGATGATCTTCCGAAATTGAGCATAGATTACTGTGACATTAATTATAGTGAGGAGATCAGAGTAAAATGCTTATGAGTAGTATTATACCGAGGGATCTGCGTGTGAAATTCAGGAAGCACTATACATGACATTATATATATCTTTACGTCTAGAAACATGGTTTCTTTCACTTTTATTCTGTCTAGATGAGCACAATTGGGACATTCGCAAGTCGAGATCTGTACCCCTTGCTTGCGTGCTGGAAGCAGTCGCGTTACCTTCCGCCTTCGTTCTACGCGTCCCCTCTGCTTTTACTTGGCATCAAATAAATACTCTTCAAAGATATCTTATTGAGATAATATCTTCGCAATGCGGTATCAAGTACGTTTAAGATCGTTATCGGCCATATGCCTATCATTTTTAGCCCTGGATGTTGCGTCCGCCCATTCTCCGCCCAAAAATCCCTATCCAAAGGGCAGTTTACCTGATCCTTCGAACCACCTGGAGGTCGACCTTGGCTATGCGGGTTACGTCGGAGTAAACAATGCTACGTCTGGCCTGAACAGTTGGCATGGGTAAGTGCAATTTTTTTTAGGAGAAAAAGAAATCTTGTTCTATTCCTGACAAGGCTGATCCGTTGGAAGAATACGTTATGCACAAGCACCCATTGGAGATTTGCGATGGCAGGTTTCCGTGCCTCCTCGGACGGAGTTTAATGGTACATTCTTGAGTGCAAGTACCCATGGACTGACGTGCCCGCAGGCGCCGGATCATCTCACGTAAGTCAGATCCATGTCCTCTATTCGATTGTGCTAGCAGGAAAGTAACTGATGATTAATATAGTTCGCCAGAACTTGCATGGACAGCGAGTACATCAGCAAGTGAAGATTGTCTGTTTCTGAATATCTGGGCGCCAGAAAATGCAACGGACTTGCCTGTTTTTGTATGGATTCGTAAGTTGTATAATTAGGCAAGATTCTTTTCACTCAACTAACAAATCCCACCCAGATGGCGGCGGTTACGGCTCTGGAAATGCCGATACAGACATGTCATGGATGGTTGAAACTCCCGTGACTAAGTTTGTTGCTGTGGCTATACAGTACCGAGTATGTGATCAAAGCATGTATTCTTGATGAGCGCGCGACTGATTACCTTCTTCTAGCTTGGTGCATTTGGCTTCCTAGCGGGTAAAGAGGTTCAGGAACACGGAATCGCCAATGCTGGTCTCTATGACCAGTACCTGGCACTGCAGTGGGTACAGAGGTATATTTCATTGTTTGGCGGAGATCCGGATCGTGTCACTATTGGGGGAGAATCTGCTGGTAAGTATCAATGACTGTTTCGTTATATGCAATACTGATATTAATATAGGAGGTGGCTCGGTCATGTTGCAAGCCATGGCTTATGGAGGCACCATAGGCGACGAGCTTTACGACGGCGTACGTCTTTCTCTCTTTGCTTAGCCATTGGACAAGACTGACAGAAATAGACCTTCTTCGCCAGTCCTTATCTTCCTCAGCAATCCAACTATGATGACCTTGTCCCAACTCAATACTATGAGCGATTTGCCGCCGAGGCAGGATGCTCCAAAAGCAAGACTGAGAGTGTATTCGACTGTCTGGTAGCGGCGGACACCGACGTACTTCAGAATGCGTCGTACACTGTCACGATAAATGCTAAATATGGACAATGGGCCTTCGTTCCTGTGACTGATGGGAAGTTTGTTAAGCAACGACCGAGTGTACAACTTTCAACCGGCGCAGTTAACGGGAATCGGGGATTGATTGGGGTATGTTAAATGCCAGATGTCTAGTATGAATTCATTTGCTGACTACATATAGAACAATGCTAACGAAGGCATGGGATTTACTCCCCAAAATGTGACCACGGAAGAGGATTTCATTGAGTTCGTGAAGTACCTGATGCCAGGGCTTAATGACAATCAAATCCAGCAAGTATTGGCTGAATATGCCTTGCCAGCTAGCATTCCTACTGTTGGATTCGCTACAAACGGCTTAAATGAGAATGCTACAGCTAATTTTGTGAGCCCATATGCCGTTGGACAACAGCAACGAGCTAATGTGATTCTCCTGACTCCCTGCGCCAACGCTTGGATATTCCACTGACTGCAAGTAGAACCTATATTCGGAAATAACATTCGTCTGTTCCGCTTACTGGATTGCCGACGCTTACGGTTTGAAGACCAGACAAAGTTACAAATATGAATTCTCGCTGATCAACTCATGCCATGGCGATGACTTGCCCGGATACTTTGGCAATGCCCCTGCCACCATGGGCCAAGCGTTCCAGGACTCTTTTCTCTGTAAGTTTCCTACGACCTGGAAAAAGTGGAAAATACAATCAAGACTAATAATAAAAACCAGCATTTTTCGACAGCTTCATCACACACGGGACCCCTAGTAACACTAGCTCTTATACTGCCGACGTCCCTGCCGATATCGCAGAATTACTTTCAGCGTGGCCATCGTGGACTCCACACAGCCGAGCACAGGTTAATCTCAACCAGACGGGCGGAACTCTCACAACCGGTATTGACGCACATGATCCATACCAGCATGTTATCAGTACATACGTAAACCCGGGCCTGGTTCCTGATTTTAGTTTGGTGGATGGGTACGGCTGGGAAGGGGGCCGAGGCAGAAGATGCGACTTTTGGAAGTCGATTGGAGCGTCTGTGCCTGAGAAGAAGTAGTACTAGTATTTACCAATAGTAGATATGGCTGCCAACATGCTACAAACATACGTACCTCCGTATTAAGCTTCAGGTGCGTGCATCTTAGGGTTATTGTATCGACTGCCCTCCTTCGGACAGTGGATCGATCGATCGACCGGCATCTTGCTGCCGGTAGCCAATCACATCCGCGGGCCAGCCGGGCCGATGTATGGCTGCGATCCGGTCGCATATCGCCGCTTCTAGCCGGGTTGACGTTTTATGCATGGACTTACATAGCATTTTTTTCACTGAGTGACAAGGATTCAGTTTCTAGTAAGCTGTTTATTCTATAGAGTAGTATGAGTATAGTCTGTATATAGTAGGATTGTATAATAGCCCAGAATCAGAATGGTTGGATAATGACTGTCTACATAGCGGCGTGACAACAGTCTTATCGATAAGTGGCAACTTGCAAGCAATAAGGCGGGCAAACCCACCTTCCTAGTTGGGACAGTTCCTGTGACTGATGACCGCACCGGTTCCTGGTCCAGGCAAGCGGTCCTTCTCTATATAGCTTCCTAGAGCTTCTGCTCTTACATCCTTACAATTTTCCCCTCTCATATCTTACACATTATATCTTACATCCTCATACCTAGGTATCCTGCGACTGCTTACAATGAACCGCACCCGCGCTCTTTGCGCCTTCAATACAACCAAACCGTCCCCATCGCCACGCGTGATTGTAACCTCCCTATTCCACCATACGAGACATGTCAGCACAACCCAGAACGCAAAGGCTTCCGCCATAGGATTGTCATCTGCGCCTGAGTCTTCACTCCAGTCTACCTTTCCTTCATCGCACACACAATCTCGAGCCATCAACGAGACGTTGCCATTATCGACAGCTACTTCCTCATCTAGACCCACGACCAAGTCGTCGCTAGCAAAGCTCCCGCTATCCGCCATCCTACGATCAGCGTTCATCCTCTCCATCTCATCCTCGCCGTTACTGTTACGACCGTGTATATGGGCTCTCTCAGCACTTGCAAGTCCCAAGACCGCTCTTACAGACGTCGACCGGAACCCGTTACTGAATTGGCTGGTCAAGAATACCATCTACAAGCAGTTCAATGCTGGAGAGAACAAGGCTGAGGTCCAGCGATCTATCGTCGAGACGAAAGGTTTAGGATGTCGGGGTGTGTTGCTGGGATATGCACGTGAGGTTTTGGTGGCAGATAGCAAGGCTAGTCCTCACGATGAGGTGTTGGCGAAGCAAGAGGTGGATGCGTGGTTGAAAGGGACATTGCAGGGTGTTGATATGGCGACTGCGGGTGACTTTGTTGCTCTGAAGTATGTCCTCCCTTTCGTTCGTACAGGTATTTAGTATACTGACTGTATTAGGCTTACCGGCATGGGAACTCAAGCTGTACATCTCCTGAAAAACCGTCTGCCACCCTCCGAATACATGGACGCCGCTATCACTAAAGCCTGTGACGCTGCCCTCGCCAAATCAGCACGTCTCTTGGTCGACGCAGAGGAACAAGCAGTACAGCCGGGCATCGAGGACTGGGTTATGAAGTATCAGAAATACTGCAACTCTCAATCGCCTGGCCACGCAACCATGTACCTCACTTATCAAGCATACCTGAAATCGACGCCTGCCACTATCGCGAAACATCTCGCTATGGCTGAAAAAGATGGATATACTCTCGGCGTGAAGCTTGTTCGTGGCGCATACATGAAGATCGAGCCACGACACATCATCTGGGATGTCAAAGAAGATACCGACGCTTGCTACGACGGCGTCGTCGAAGCCCTTCTGACTCGCCGATACAACGCCATGCTCCGCCCTGCACCAGAGAGCAAAGACAAGGAGCGAGTACCGTCGGTCAACGCCATTATTGCCACACATAACCGCGATTCCGTCCAGAAAGCGCATCAAATTCGTCTTCAGCAAGCGGTCAACAACGAGCCTCGCATAGAATTAGCTTATGCTCAACTCCAGGGCATGGCTGATGAAATTAGCTGTGAATTAATTGAGGGTTTCCCTGACGAGAGTAGCAAGTTTGCTGCGGTGGAACGACCTAACGTATATAAATTGCTTACTTGGGGCTCCGTGCAGGAATGTATGGGCTTCTTGTACAGAAGAGCACTTGAGAATACGGAAGCAGTGACTCGGACGAAGGATTCAAGGTCGGCTATGTATGCCGAGTTGTGGAGGAGGGTTACACGACAGACTTGACGAGTCGATGATGAGGTGTATTTGTAATTTTGTCGATGTCTTCTAGCGGCATAGCGTTGCATACAGAGTTTTTTTTAGAAATTTCATCCATATTGAACAATCTCTACTTTGCAAGATTTTATACGTATTCGATTCATTAGCACCACCTAGCTATGTCCTACACCAGACCACATATGACAGCCCAATAAAGTTTATAGACTGAGGAACGTCTCAATCAAATCGCCCGGCTGATCGAAAAAGTCAAACATCACAATACCCACCCTCTTCCCCTTCTGCTCCTTCAAAAACGGCACCAACAAATCATTAACTCCCCCCTTTGGTGTATACTCCGTCCCATTGCCCAGCGCTTGAATCACAGGCCAGACATACGGGAAAGTGTCCGTATTCTCACTCGACGCCCAAGTCCAGAACAAACTGTCCGGATGGGCAGTCGAAACAGCTCTTTCAATATTTGCGATGGTGGCGTTGTACTTCCATTGAATGTTCTCAGCTGCACTTGAGCCGTAGGGTGTCAGAGGCTCGTAGTAATCCTCAATATAAGCAGTAAGATTCTTAGCGGTATTGTAGACAAGCGTGATGTCTGGGCTGTTGTCTGTCCAGAGACTAGGGCTGAAGTGCAATCCGGGCAGATTGTCGGTGTATGAAGCGGGCAGTTGGTCCAGGTCAAATCTGCGCAAGAGTGTGATTTTACCGCGTGCTTGACCGAGCGTTCCGAGCTCGTCTTTGGTCTGCACAAAGTATGTACGGGCCGCGGGTGTGGTCAGAGCCGAGTACAGCGCGAGTTGCACCGCGGCATCGTTGGATGCGTGAAGAGCGGTTGAGCCTTCGTACTGCATCGAMAGGAAAAGGGTCTCGGAAGGATGGTCATCGAGCCACTTATACAACCCGAAAAGCACATCGTCAAGCGTAGCAGTCTCCGAAAGCAGGGCTTGCGAATGATAGAAGATCAGCGTGGTGTTTGTAGGATCAAACGCATATCGCAGATCGAATGCCCGAATACCCATGTTGAGCATGTCGATCAACGATAGTTCCTGGCATCGGAACGTCAGCGGTGTCGGGACAGTGACCTGATTCAGGTCTGTGATTCCCAACAGCGAGTCCTGGGTGGCTTGGGTGTAGTTCCAGGTTGCGCTGTCGTGGGTACCGGGAATGTTCATGTGGACGAGCAGAGTGTCGTCTGCATAGGACTTCATCCATTCCGCGGTGCGGTTTGTAGTTTTGACGTATTCGCCGAAGATGGGCGATGCGTCGTTGAGGACTTTGTCTAGGGCGAATTTCGCCAGGGATGAGGACTGGGCAGATGCAGCCAACGCCGCGACGGTGAAGATTTGCTTCCACATCTTGTAACCTATTTTTGGCGGTAGATAGACTGAGCTTGAGGAAGGATGGGATTTCGGCAAGATACAAATATTCAACAGCCGTGTTCGAGTACTCCGAGTCGTGCTAGCAATACTTATAGAAAACTCAGTAAAATGAAGCTACAGCGTGCGTTCTTCGCACCTTCTGCTTCGATCAGCTTTTCTAGCACGTGGGAAAACAACAAATAAAACGCGTACGAGCAGCAATATGATACACTTTTGTCTGGAGCCTTTCGACTCGTGACGAGGAAGAAATAAGCTGAACGTTTGTACACAGTACTAAGTAGGTGTGAAATAAACAAGAGTCAGTTAATTAAAAGGCTTCCACGTGCATTAGTCGCGGCGATCCAATTGGCCTTATCCGCGATGGTTTAGTCTATGCAATCCTACTTGAATATGGCACTTAATATACTAGTAAAGTCTAGCTTATTGCTTGCTTTTACTGTGGCCCACATAAGCTTAAATTAGAGTGAATTCTACCCACGAATTCCGGTAGAATGAAAGCTTGAATAAACAATGTTTGCCCCTTGAATGTCATAATTCTTGAAACTTCGCATATATAAGGTCGGATTATTCCGCTCTCAAATTTGAGATCACCATTCAAATCCACGACTACCAAGACAGCTTCGACGAAGAAAACATGTCTCGCCTTGGATTTGGAATCGCTCTCGGTCTTGCCGGCCTTGCCCCAGTGCTAGGCTTGACTGCCGAAGAAACCTTCTACCCTCCTACTCTTAACGACACGGCATACATTAGCAATAGCTCAATTGGTACGTATGGAGGTATCTACCAGGCTGATACTACCGGGCCGACTGGAGGTTCTCCTTACGGAACTTATGATTATTGTTCTATGCCTCATCCTCGTGCGCAAGAGTATGAGCTTCCCGAAGCCATAAGCAAGGGACAAGTTAAGGGAAAGCTAGTTTATCTCGAGTACTTGCAGCGTCATCAGAGACGTTCGCCGTACAATATCCTGCCTGGTGGAGAGGTACGCTATTTTCTCTTTGTTCATCTTTGTGGAGAAAAGCGATCACTGATTTGTATAGAATGAAGCATATGACTGCGACAATGTCAGACCCTACCTCTACGCTGGTGTCGACTCTTCTTCCGGCATCCAGCCAATCCCCATGTATGCGCAGACATATCAGGACTCCACGAACCCATTCACACCGGGCGTGAACGGTTCCTGCCAGTATCCCCAAATCACCATTGGCGGAGTGCAAGACGGCTTCCAGCACGGCAAAGATCTCTGGGCCGTCTACGGCGAGAAACTCGATTTGATCCCCAAAAAGCCGAACGATCGCACCTGGTTCCGTTCCAGTGAATCGGCACTTACTCAGGGAAGCGCAGGTGCAGTTTTGCGTGGTGTCTGGCCTTCGTACGAGGGTGCGCTACCTTTGCATCAGATGGTGTCGAGCGTTGATACCGTCAACGAAGGCTATTCCTGCTCGGCTATCAGCAGCACTTTGAGTGCACTCAAGTCGACAACTGAGTGGAACGACCACCTCACTGTCACCGAGGAACTTCGCTCAAATCTAGGCTCAATGCTAGGCGCTACTAGCAGCTCCTGGCAATCCACCTTCGACCACTTCTCGGACAACTTCCAAGCCCGTCTGTGTAACGGCTACAACCTCCCGTGTAGTCTGGCCAATTCTTCGAATTGCGTAACCATGGAAATGGCTGAAGAGGTCTTCCGTGCCGGTGACTGGGAATGGAACTACTACTGGCGCACAAATCCCGATGTAGTCAAGTACATCCAGGTCGTTGAGGGCTTGTTCATCGGTGAGATTGTTGCTCACCTCCAAGCCGTCCTCGACGGTAAATCGTCTCTTGATTATACACACATCTTCGTTCATGATGGTGACATAGGTCCTGTGTTGGGTGCTCTCGGTATTAATGCGCTCAGATGGCCAGCTATGGCGTCTAACATTGCTTTTGAAGTTTGGTGAGCTTAATCCCAACCTGGCGTCAATCTTGTATTCATACTGACTGAAACTAGGGAAACAAATGATAAATCGAACCGCTACTATGCGCGAGTCTTGTACAGCGGTTGGGCTCTCCAGACTATCCACGGTACCCTTGACTGGGTCCCTCTTGCTGATCTGATCAACATCATGAGCCCTTATGTGCCGGAGGACATTGTCTCCTTGTGTGGTTAGATATTTTAATGTACTAGATCTATAGATCAATTAATCAATGGAATCTGAGCGGCCCGATGTACGACAACCGGGGAAATGGATTTATCTCCTTTACTAATAAGTACTCGATGTAGTTGGTACCATGCACATGCGCCAAATCTGATGAGATAGGGTTGTCAATATCCTGTTGAACTGGATACTTAACGGATTTGTCAGTAGATGGTCAGTTCTAGACTGATTGAAATGGGTTTGCTATACGAACTTGATTTTCCCTGCCAGGTAGGGGTTTCCTTTTTCAGCTGCCATCGCGTTTGTGAGGGCGCTCACGCTCCGGTTCACTGAGTAGAGTTCAGCCTGGATGCACGCTCTTGTATGACTCGCCTTCCGGATAGATTCATATCCGCTGCTCCTGGTTTGTGAAATTTTGATGTATGTGGATCTCGGGCCTGCGGTCATGGGTCGGTCCAATATCCTTAACATGGAGGATGATGATGTTGACTTACCTTTTACCGGGTGGACTGATTCTCAGTTTCGTACCGTTGAGATGCGGCTTTCGCTTAGAAGAAACGAGCCTAATGCCCAGTCAGTCATTGCTTGTTCACGTCGTTCTTAGCATTGATGGATGGGCATCTATTCTTCTATACCACGGATCAGTATTCAACGAATGGCACCATAAGTCGTAGCTGATAGAATAATGCTACGCCCTTCAAATTGTCGATGTTATTTTATGCAATCAAACAAGGTCAAGTTGATATCTATCCCCAATTGGCCTCAGCGCCAATCAATATAACAGGCCGCTCTGTTCGCATATGCATTTAGTACAGATATCGACTCCATATAAGTACATACAGGTTTCGCCGCCGGAAATAGGCTCCCTGGTAATGCAGCAAACATCTACATATTCAATGCTCTTTCCAAGTTTTCAATGTCAGGATCTGTTGCTGTATCACTTTTGCTGGCCAATGTTTTCAAAACTTCTCGTATTTTATTTCCTTAGCCAACTACGTCCCTTTCTCTTTTCAACCTGGCTTTTCCAAGTGAGGGGTAATTGGAAATCCTGAGACATGGTCCGTATTCCTTACTGGCTATCTGAAAGACGTTGTGCGACCCTCCAAAAAAGCATACTGAACTCATATTGGGTGATGGATTTATGGCTTGGCTAGATGGTCTTTCGATTCGCTTCTTGGAGAGACGGCGACCTCCATTCGAGAGTCAGAGCCGCCAAATTCATAATCCGAGTTCTGGAGGACTAGGGAGGGTGGCCCATATTACTGTCATGGTGACCTAAACTTTTTTTTTGAATTTTGATATTCCCCCAAAATTTCTTAACCCATCTTGTACGCTGCGAAATGTCCGGCAATCCCCGCGATCGTGGACGAGGACGAGGTAGAGGCAGTGGCGAGCAGTTTCTGCCCTTTCACCCTCGCGGTGGGGGAGCAAGTTCACGCGGAAGCCGAGGGGATGGAGGGTACACAAGAGGCGGTGGCTATGCAGCGAGAGGAGAGGGAAGAGGTAGAGGTCGTGGTAGTGGCAGTGGCTCAGCTCCTGTCGAGGTCTACAAGCACGTGCATGCTTTTACCAACAGGATGTATCAAGCAACTAACAATAAAGGCTTAGACAAGACAACAAAGACGGTCCAAATCCTGAGCCAGAAGTTGAGCGCATTGAAAACAAGTCCGCAGTTGAAGCGAAAAGGAAAAAGCCCCGCGAAGTAAATCCCCAGAGGCCAGGGTATGGCGCTTTGGGGAAACAAGTCGTACTCTGGGCAAATTATTTTAAGCTCTACTCCAAGAAAGAGGTGGAACTTTACCGCTACAGCATTACTATTGAACCGGAGGGTAGAGGAAGAGCGCCAGTAGGCAAGAAAGCGAAGAGGATTATCCAGCTTCTCCTGGAAGACCATCTTTTCCAGTCCTACGGAACTAATATTACTACTGACTTTAAGTCTAATCTGATCTCTAGGGTTGAGCTTGACCTGGACGAAGAAGACGAGAGCGAAGACAATAGAGAGTATACTGTCACCTACCGATCCGAAGAGGAAGATGTGCCCGCCCCAAACGCGATCCAATACCGCTGTCGCATCCAATTAACAGGATCCCTGACGCTGTCTGAGCTCATCAATTACCTGACTTCGACACAGGCTGGATTGATGTTCGGCTCAAAGGAGGAGATCATTCAGGCCATGAACATCGTTCTGGGCTATTACCCAAAAGCAGACCCTTCCACAATTACGGTAGCGTCAAATCGACATTTCGGCACAAGAGGTACAGATCGAATGAGCCTCGGTGCCGGCTTGGAAGTAATCCGGGGCCTTTTCATGAGCGTTCGAACGGCAACAGCACGCGTGCTCGTCAATGTACAAGTCAAAAACATGGCCTTCTATGAAACCGGACCTCTTGAAAGCCTAATGAAGGCCTTCATGGCCGGCAATCGAGGGTCGAGTACGTTACACTTACTCAAATTCGTAAAGGGGCTTTCGATTGACAGACGACACATTGTGAACAAAAATTCGACAGGTAAACGAATTCCAAAGATCAAGAAGATCCAGGGCTTCGCAACCAAGGATGATGGCCGCAACTTGCCAAAACCGCCTATTGTTCCGCAGTTTGGCGCTGGCGCAAAGGATGTGCAGTTTTATTTGGGCGATGTTTCTGGTGATTCTTCGAGCAAACCCGGTCCTGCAGCCGCTGGAGGTGGAAAGAAAGGCAAGAAAGGCAAAAAAGGCGTGAAGACAGTCGGTCCTGACCCGCCCCCATCTCGGGGTAGATATATAAGTGTCTATGACTTTTTTCAACAGAGTGAGCTTGCTTTAATGTTACCTCCCCGCGAAATTTAGACTCATACTAAAATCCATAGCATACGGTATCACAATCAAGGAACTATCTCTACCCGTCATCAATGTCAACGGAAAAGACAATCCTTCGTATCTGCCAGCCGAAGTCTGCGTAGTTACGCCAGGCCAATCTGCGCGCACACAGCTCACCAGCGCACAGATGCAGCAAATGATTCGCTTCGCTGTGCGACGGCCTGTACCTAACGCTCAGTCAATTGTCGCCTCCGGTGGGGGTTTACTTGGGTTTGAGCCAACGAATGCAACACTGGTAAAAAAAAAAGTCCATCTTAACCCCAGAGAAGACATGAAAAAGCTGACAATTCGATAGAATGGATTTGATATCACTATACCGCCGAAACTGATAACTGTCCCAGGTCGTGTATTAAATGCCCCAGTAGTCAAATATTCAACCCCTGGCTCGGTCGTGCCGCGGTTCGGAGGCTGGGACATGCGGAGCGTAAAATTCGCAACAAAATCAGAGCTGCCCTCATGGACATACTTGCGCATTTCTGTACAGGGTGACCGAAAAGTGTGGCAATCCGATGCAGATTTCACTGCAAAAGTGGATGAGCTCCAAGCCAAACTCAAAGAGCTTGGCATTTCTGTCGCCAAGTACTTGACTGGAGTGCACCTGAGTGTAAATGCGCATCAGGTGGAAGATGGGATCGACGAGTGGATACACAGATTTGCTATTAATCCTAAACGCCCCAAACTTATACTAGTGATCGTCCCAGACTCTATAATGACTCTTGTGTACAATCACATCAAATACGTGTGCGATGTGAAGGAAGGAATTCTGAATGTCTGTGTGCTCGCTTCCAAATTTTCGAGGGCGAATCATCAATACCTAGCGAACGTGGGCTTGAAGTTTAACCTGAAATTAGGCGGTCGAAACCAGATACTCGATCCGCCAAAGCTAGGTTTTATAGGCCAGCAGAAGAAGACTATGGTTGTTGGCATTGATGTTACTCACCCGTCGCCAGGCTCTTCAACCAAAGCCCCAAGTTTAGCTGCGATCGTCGCATCTGTTGACGAATGGCTATCCCAATGGCCAGCTGATATCCGTGTCCAGCCTGCCAGACAAGAAATGGTCGCTGATCTAAAGACGATGTTCAAGTCGCGTCTGGCACTGTGGAGAGAACGAAATAAGGCCTTACCTGACAACATTCTCGTGTACAGAGATGGCGTGTCCGAAGGCCAATACGACATCGTTATTAACGAAGAATTACCAGCCCTACGCGCTGCCTGTGCTGATTTCTATCCAGCGTCCGCTACTAAATCGGACAAACCTCATATCACTATTATCATCGTCGGAAAGCGCCACAATACACGCTTCTATCCCACGAAAAAGGAAGACGCGGACCGTAACGGAAATCCCATGAACGGCACTGTAGTCGACCGTGGCGTAACAGAGGCTAGGAACTGGGATTTCTTTCTTCAAGCGCATACCGCAATTCAGGGAACCGCGAGGCCAGCACATTACTATGTTATCTATGACCAGATATTCCGCGATTTGAAGTCAACCCAATTTCCCACTGCTGCCGACGCGCTCGAGGACCTGACGCATAACATGTGTTATCTCTATGGACGGGCGACAAAGGCTGTGAGTATCTGTCCTCCGGCGTATTACGCGGATCTGGTCTGCACGCGGGCGAGATGTTATTTGAGTAGGCTTTTCGATCCTTCGTCGATGACTACGGATACGAGTTCGATGGGAACCGGAACAGCAGCAGCAGGTTCGGTTCTGCCAGATCCTAGCTTGGTAAAGATTCACCCTAATGTCAGGAATGCGATGTTCTATATATGAGAGTCAGGTTTAACAGATTGTCTTATGCATGTCCATGCCCAACGGGATGCTTGCTTGAATTATTATTTTCCATCAATTGAACTATGGATGTGACACAGATTGATATATAGGAGATGATGTGTTTGTATGAATGTTTTCATTCTTGAAGCTACCTTGAGATTTTGCGTGACTTGCATTTTAAATGAAGTTTGTTGGATGCAACCTGGCGTTCTTAACCAGGATATTAAGCACATGCAGAGATAGAAGCTGTAGACTTTGTATCACTCACGTTTTGTGTCGTGTTATTTACACATTGTGCTTTCTCTGGATTGACTCAAGACGACTGGCTAGGGGCAGAAAGACCCAGGGCTCTCCCCTTGGTTGCCGTATTCCAGCAAGTAAATGCTAGCAAAGCTATCAGGTGACTAGCTGCAATGCATAAAACGAGGTCTGTGTAATGCCCCTCATACTTTGGGTAACTGGTGAAGTATTAGGAGTAAAATATAGTTTTATTCCTGCTCATTACGTTTTGGCCTTGTCAAGGCAATAATGTATCGTCTTTCTGGTTATTGATACTTACGTGAACTAGATTAAACAAACCAGGGATATGGTCGATCAAAAGTCCTCTCCTCGCAGCCTCAAGCTACGAGCACTCTTCACTGCTGTGCTGAAGGGCACAAAAACTATCGACAACAAAAACGCCAGTTTGTTCCTGGAGGCAATCCGGGATCAAGATAACGAGGCTCTGTGTGTCCAGAAAATACAAGCAAGCGACCACGGACGCGCTGCCTTTCAAGCAGCTCTAAGCTCTAGCATCGAGCTCCGCTTCCTCCACGAATCCATCACGCCGATTCTACGTTACCTCGCTGCACCAGAACTAAAGACACTTTGTGGTGGAGCAGTTTTGCAGCAGCTGTTAACATTATTTACCGAGACCGAGCTTGTGTGGAACGCCTATATAGCTGCTTTCAAGGCTGGCCAGCTAGTAGGAGATGGTGATTGCAATGGCGAAGAAGCGTTTTCCTGGCTCTTGCTAGAACTTCTATCTCTACCAACAGAGAAAGCTGACACATTTATACACCTTGTACAAGACAGTGGTGTTAAGAAAATTCTACTCGAGTCACACAAACAAGGCGTGCGCCTACGGGCACACAGGATTTTGCATATCGTCGAAAATTTGATCGCAGGGCATGATCATGATCATTTGAATCAACAATCCGGCAGCAGCGGCCCAGGAGGAAGACATAATAATGACTTCGTCGAAATCAATAAAATTTCTATCCTGCCAACGACTGACGAGCTCGCGGCAAAAGATCCTTACCTTCCACGTGCCCAAGAGACGAAAACACTGGCGAAACGACCAGATGGGCTGGCATTTTATTTGAATGGCCAATTTCGCCTACTCCGTGAAGATATGATGCGTGATCTGAGAGAGGAAATACATGTGGCACTTGACAAGGAGAAACAAGGCGACGGTCACGTGCGAAAGGGGTTTTCAATCGAGCATCTCTCGATGGTGGGAGTGAACTGCGATGGGCGAAACCCATGGTCTCTCCAATTACAGTGCATGAACGATTTGCCCCAAATGCCGAAGAAGAGCGAGGAAATTCGACGGAGGTTCCTCCAAGATAATCCAAAATACTTGAAGCACGAATCATTGGCCTGTGTCATTGCAGATGATGAGGTTGTCACTCTGGGCACCCTTGTCCGTGAAGAGGATCTTCTAGCAGCAAACCCACCTGTTCTTTGCTTAAAAATCCCAGCTGCCAACGACGAAAGTGCATTACGCGATATAAAGGAAGCAAAAGTTGTCAAATTGGTGCAGTTGAGCACTACCTTGTTCTCGTATGCCCCTATTCTAGAACGGCTGAAAGAAGTGAAGGAGTTGCCCTTTGAGGATGAACTACTTCGCTGGGACAAAACTCATAGTCCCAAACCTCCCTCATACATTCTCTCCCCCATCATCACAGCTCTAGTGGAAGACCTACGTCGTAACTCTTCTCAAGATCTTCAGACTACCCTTGGACTTCCCCTACCCACGAAATTGGACAAGTCACAGGCCGAGAGTTTCATCACCGGGTTGACCACAAGATTAAGTACTATCCAAGGACCTCCAGGTAGGTGATCGCCTCCATGCTAAACACTTTAAGCAGAAAGACTTGATCTGATGGCGAAGCAGGGACAGGAAAATCGTTCATTGGTGCACTGCTTGCAAAGGCTATTTTCCTATATTCTGACCAGAAAATTCTTGTCTTAACCTATAAACACCACGCCCTAGATCAATTCCTCATAGATCTTATCAAGCTTGGTATTCCAAAAGGAGAAATAGTCCGTCTGGGCTCTCCTCGAAAAGCCGATCCTTCCGTCCGCGACCTTGCAATGAAGGACACTGCATCGCTAATAAGACTTACGGCACAGCAACATGAAATCGTCGACTGGATCAAGAAAAAGGCGAAAGATGAAGGAAAGACTTTGCAGCAAGCATTTACGAGTCTAGAACAACAAGCTCCTTCGAAAGACGATATTCTCGCACACCTTGAGTTTCTAACCGACGGCCCACCGTTCTTTGAAGCCTTCCAAGTCCCGCCGCAGAAAGATGGCGTCGTGCATGTAGGAAAGAAAGGAAAAACAAAATTCGATGTCTTCTATCTGCTGGATCGGTGGCGCCGAGGAAAAGATGCCACACCGTTTAAGAAGGTAGCCCAGCAATACCCCGAGGTGTGGAGCATCAAAGCATCCGAGCGAAACAGTCTGCTGCGGCAATGGGAAGCCGATATACTGAAAGAAAAGTTTGAAGTCTTTCACTCCGCAGCACATGACTATAACAAGGAACTAGAGCTGGTCGCATCGATATACATGGAGAGGGAACTCACGGTACTTCGTAATAAGCGCATCATTGCCTGTACGACTACAGCGGCAGCGAAATACGTGCAGATGCTGGAATCAGCTCACCCTGGAGTTTTGTTGGTGGAAGAGGCAGGTGAAATACTCGAGAGCCACATTTTGGCCGCTTTGGGCCCGGATACGAAGCAGTTGATAATGATCGGAGATCACAAGCAACTGCGGCCAAAAGTTAACTTCGCGCTCAGTGTCGAGAAAGGGGATGGTTACAATCTCAATCAATCTCTCTTTGAAAGGCTCGTAGTAGACCAAGGATATCCTTATACTACTTTGCTCCAGCAACATCGCATGCGGCCCGAATTGGCCGGCTTTGTACGGGAATTGGCATATCCAGATCTAGTGGATGCCAGTAGTACCAAGAATCGACCAAACGTTAAGGGATTACAGGACAATATCATCTTCCTCAATCATTCACACAGTGAAGAGCAGATGAAGCACGTGCGTGATTGGAAAGATGGTACATCGCCTGCCACGAAGAGAAATCTCTATGAGACGCATATGGCAATCAAGTGCCTGCGCTACCTCGGTCAGCAAGATATTGACACGCCGACAGAAAAGATTGTCATTCTGACGCCTTATCTCGGTCAACTCCACCTTCTGAGAGAAGAACTCACTAAAGCAAATAATGACCCAGTTTTGAACGACCTCGACTCGCATGAAATGGCCCGCGCGGGCTTGATGCCTCCTGCAACGGCACAGGCTAACAAACCGAAGATTAGGATTTCAACGATCGGTTAGTTTATGGACTGGACGATTATATCTCAATATAATGCTGACAAGCACAGATAATTTCCAGGGCGACGAGAGTGAGATCGTGATTGTGACACTAACGCGAAGCAACGACAAGGGCGACATTGGCTTCATGTCTTCCCCAGAACGTCTTAACGTACTTCTCTCCCGTGCTAGAAATGGTTTAATACTCATTGGAAATGCGGAAACTTTTATGAGCTCTAAAAAGGGTGGCCAGTTATGGAAACGTTTCATAGATATGCTCAAGGCTAACAATCATATCTACCACGGGCTTCCGGTTAAATGTGAACGACATCCGGCACGACAGGCTGTTCTTCATTCTCCTGAAGATTTCGAAAAGGAATGCCCAGATGGTGGATGCAAAGAGCTCTGGTAAGGCTTTACATTTTCTTTTCTTTTTCTACTCCCCTTTGGCTAACTAAACCAATCTAGTGGCGCATTATTGGGTTGTGGCATACACAAATGCCCAAGAAACTGCCATTATCTCTCTGATCACTCCAAAATGAAGTGTGATAAGATTGTGGAAACGAAATGTGCGAATGGGCATGTACAAAAGCGAAAATGCTTCGAAGCGTCCCCGTTGAAATGTAAAAGATGCGAGATCGAGAGCCAGCGGGATAACGAGATTTTGAAACGGGACATGGAGTTACAGGACAAGCGGTTGCGAGAGCAGGTAGAGTACGACATGAGAATTGCAGAGCTCGACATGCAAATACGAAAGATTAGAGAGGACGCGGAAGATAAAAAGACGGCGCAGGAAAGAGGCCAGGCATTAGAGCAGAAGAAACACGACCTAGAAGGGGCTAAACATGAAGCAACACGGCCTTCTCCAACTACAAACGCAGGAGCCAATGATCAAAAACACTCCGACCCTCACCAGCCAGACACTAATAATCAGAAAGTGCCGGCTGCCTCAACACCACCCGTTCGCATTGTGGGTGCCTCCGCAGAAGAGTGGGAGCGGCAGAAGAGAGTCGAGGGAGAGCATAATGCTGCCCTTGATGACCTGATGGCGCTGTCTGGCTTGGAGGAAGTCAAAGAGAAATTCCTCAATATCAAAACTAGGATCCAAACCGCTGCAAGACAAGGTATCGATGTGAAGAGGGAGAGAATGGGAATGGTGATGCTTGGAAATCCAGGTACAGGTATGTTTACTATGACTCTCAGTGAGACAAAGGTTCTCATTTGCTAATTAACCAAAGGAAAAACAACAGTAGCTCGTATATATGGGCGATTCCTTGCTTCTATAGGTGCTCTACCTGGAAAGGAGTTTGTTGAGATCACGGGCTCTGGTCTGGCAAACGAAGCTGTTGCTGGTGCGAAGAAGATCATCGAAAACCTGGTCAAAGCCGGCGGTGGGGTCTTTTTCATCGATGAGGCCTATCAGCTTGCATCGGGGAGCAATTTTGGTGGGAAAAATGTACTCGATTTTATCTTGGCTGAAATCGAAGAACGAAGAGGCATCATCGCATTCATTCTCGCCGGATACGACAAGGAGATGGAGAAATTCTTTGAGCACAATCCTGGATTTGACAGTCGGATGCCTCACAGGCTAAGATTCGCTGATTACTCGGACGATGTCCTCCTGACTATGTTGAAAGCGCTGGTAGAGAAGATATACAGTGGTCGAGCTACTCTCGAAGATGACGGCTCCGACCTATACGCCAGGATTCTAACCAAACGTCTCGGAAGAAGAAGAGGAACGGAAGGATATGGAAATGCACGTGATCTGGAAAATGTTTGGGGACAGGTTACTGAGCGCCAGGCTTCGCGGCTGAAAAAGGAGCGCACTGCAGGAGGTTTACCGGATGACCTCATGTTCACAAAAGAAGATATCATCGGGCGCGAGCCAAGCGGAGTGATAGAAGACAGCGCTGCATGGAAGGAACTTCATTCTATGGTAGGGCTGGAAAAAGTCAAAAAATCTGTGAAGGCTCTTGTCGATGCTACGCAACGCAACTACCACAGAGAGTTGAAAGGTCTGGATCCCCTTGAATTCACTCTTCACCGCGTATTTCTTGGCTCTCCTGGGACCGGGAAAACAACGGTTGCCAAGCTGTATGGCTCAATATTGGCAGATATGGGTTTGCTATCAAAGCGAGAGGGTAAGTAGATGTGCGGCCGCGTTTCTAATTTAGATTCTCATGCTGATCCCGATTGGCACTGTAGTGGTCATCAAAAACCCTGCAGATTTTATAGGATCAGCGCTAGGACAGTCGGAGGAGAATACAAAAAACATCCTCAAAGCCGCCGCGGGAAAGGTGTTGGTGATAGATGAAGCGTATGGCCTTGATGCCGGTGGGGGTGTGGGCAGCGGTCATAAAGACCCCTATAAGACTGCCGTTATTGACACCATTGTAGCCCAGGTACAGAGTACGCCAGGTGAAGACTTATGCGTTCTGTTACTCGGGTACCAGGAACAAATGGAGGAAATGATGAATCGCTCGAATCCGGGTCTTTCGAGGCGATTTCGTCTCTCTGACGCGTTCCATTTCGAGGACTTCGACGATGCGGACTTAATGCGTATTCTAGACTTCCAATTGAAAAACCAAGGACTAAAAGCAACAGCAGAAGCTAAAAGGACTGCTATTGAGGTTTTAGCTCGAGAACGAGATCGTCCTAATTTTGGCAATGCAGGTGCTGTGGAAAATATCATTTCGCGGGCCAAAGAACTTGAGCAGAAGCGGACTTCCACACTCAATACAGACAACATTAATCCAGACGTGGTCTTCCTTCCTCAGGACTTCGACGAAGACTACGATAGAGCGAGTGTAGCTCGACCGAACTGTCGAGAGTTGTTTGCCGATATCGTAGGGTGTGGGACAATCATTTCGCAGTTTGAAAAGTATCAACGAATCGCCCAAAATATGAAAACTATGGGGAAAGATCCTCGGACTCAAGTCCCTTTTAATTTCCTTTTCAAGGGCCCTCCAGGTGGGAATTGATCACCMCTACGTTTCACTCTCGAAGTCATCTACTGACCGATGATCCTGATAGGAACCGGGAAAACAACAATCGCACGTAAAATGGGGCAGCTCTATTATGATATGGGGATCCTGGGATCGAGCGAGTACGTTGAATGCTCCGCGTCCGACCTTATAGGCCAATACGTTGGTCAAACGGGACCAAAGACGCAAGCAAAATTGACCGAAGCTCTGGGGCGGGTTCTGTTCGTGGATGAGGCATATAGGTTCTGCGACGGCCAATTTGGAAAAGAAGCTGTCAACGAGCTCGTCGACTGCCTGACAAAACAAAAGTATATCGGAAAGATTGTCGTAATCCTAGCCGGCTATACTCATCAAATCGACGAACTCTTACAGATCAACCCCGGTCTTTCCAGTCGATTCCCTGAAGAAGTCGTCTTTGAGAACATGAAACCAGAAAAGTGTGTTGAACTTTTGGAGGTCGAGCTGAAGAAGAACGACATTGAAGTCGTTCCGCCGTTGAACAGGGACTCCCGACTTGTGGAACGACAGCAAATGATTAACATCTTTGCAGATATTTCCACGCTTCCGTCGTGGGGTAACGGTCGGGATGTTAAAAATCTCGCGAAGGATATTTGCTCAGATGTATTTGCCGGCAATATGTCTAAGGAACTGAGAGTCACATTCTCTGAGATATTACGGCATCTAGACAAGATGCTCAAATCGCAAATAGCCAGGAATGAAAGCGGGGAAAACTCTGCATGGCCTAAAAATCTCGATTCGTCCTTGCTTCCTCCGGTCCAAGATTTCCCAAATGCACCAACACCTGCATCTTTTGTCACATCGAAGACCGAAAAGATCGAATCGATTCCTACAGGCGAGAATGAGCTACAGGTGAATGAAAACTCCGAAGACACTGCAGACTCTGCTCAACGTGATCCAGGGGTATCTGATGAGGTATGGAAAGAACTGCAGCGAAATATTACAGTAGGAAAGGCCCTGAAACAAGCCGAAGATCAGTTCATCTCGGCCCAAATACATGATTATGAGGTGCAGAAAGAGTCCGAGATGGTTCAGCTAAAAGAAATTCATCTACTGGAAGAGAAAAAACGGTTAGCAGATGAAAGTCGCCGCAAAATTATTGAAGAGCAGCTCAGAGAGGAAAAAAGACGCATGGAGGCCATCTTAAAAGCAAAGAGTGAGGCCGAAGAGAAATTGAGAAAAGCACGAGAAGTGGCAGAGAAGAAGAAACAACAGGAATTGGCGGTCCAAAAGAAGATCAGGGATATGGGAATTTGTCCAGCTGGCTTTCGATGGTTCAAAGAGGGCGGAGGATATCGGTGTGGAGGTGGTTCACATTATCTGAGCAATACACAGCTTGGAATATGAAATTGTGTCCAGGAAATATCACTGTTAAATCTCGGTATCTATGACAAAGAACTTCAAAAAGGATTGAGCATCGCTTTCGAATAATGTATTCTCAAAGTGGAAACCTGGGTTAATATACCTATAAGTTACGTGTACAACTCTTGCTCCAGCACAGGTGTCAAGACTCTATTACTTTTTTTCAAACATGCTAGGAGAAAGATCTCAAGGTAAGAAAAGAGAGGATAATATGCAAAGCGGTAGCATCTTAGGTGCAACACTGGACTTTGATGAGATTGTGATCTCCTTATTCCATTCCTGGGCGCGACATACAACGATGTGTAAAGCACCATGTCTGTGGTGAAGGAAAAATATGCATTAGCAGTGATCAGGGGGCCTTAGCTTGCAATGTCAGTCAGTCTCCGACGGGAGACAGATAATCAACATTATGCAACGGGTATAGGAGATGATCGAATCGAATCCATATCTATTATCTGATTTAAAAAAATTCCAGTTATAAAACGTAGTGCAAACCAGGACAACGAAGGTGAAAATTCTGAAGTTTAGTCAAAATAGCTTAGCTGTCGATGTTCCTAAAAACGTTTTGGTTGTGCCCCATCAGATGCCTTGGGCGATACGCGAAGAGTTGAGCGAGTTTATGACATGTTATTCAATCCATCCGAGTATGCACAAGTCTCTATGCTCACAAAGTGTTAGGACGGACTGTCTTTAGTCAAAGGTATGGCCCTGCAATACCGCCGCAATCGTCTCACCTGGCCTTCAGTCTTCCTACAATATGCAAGTGCCTGTCACAGATTGAACCATCTTCGGAGATCTGCCAAATCCCCCAATACATGTGCAATTATCTCACTCAGTCTTCAACTCATATGCGAATGGCTATCACAGACAAGATATTTAGGCAGACATATCTGACAATTTGTGCAACCCACCCCATTCGCTAAATTCGGTTCATGATTTGAACCGAGATAAGAGTTTTAAAAAATCCCAGTTCTTCTTTTTTCACAGTCCTTTTTATGTGTTTTCCATGCGGCCTTCTGGCATTCACGGTTGCAGTAACTAGCAATTCCGCACCCTAAACATTTTTTGAGTCGTACGTCATGTTTCCCACAGTTGTCACACTTCTCACTAGCTGGTACCGGCAGCTGAGATTGGAACTCTCGCTTCTGCTCGTTAGTCATGAAAGGTTCTATGTACGGTATTGCTGAAAGTGGCATAATCGCAATGCGCGTTGCGTACTTGGCAAAGGTCTCCCAATTTTCAATACGGGGAAATCTGTCGATATCTTGATTTTCACCGCACGCACAGATTGGCAAGGCACTGTGCTCCGTAGATAATGGTATTCGGCCTCGCAAACGATATTCGCAGCCTTCTCCATGATGCCAATTCTGTCGACAGCATTCCACTTGGACTGGAAGTAGCTTCTTCCACAGTATTTCTTCTTCACGGGATTTGATTACAATACTAAGTATTTTGCCCGCCATGATAAGGGATGTCAAAGCCTCCGCTAGTTTTTTAACCCTCTCCTTTGTCAAAGGGACTACAAAGGCATCAAGCAGGATCGATCTCTGTGGGATATTATGGCGTAATGCTGAGGCGAAAATCAGGGTATCGGAACTGTCTTTCTTATGCTTGCAGGTAAGTTGAAACACTCTCGTTTGACCATGCGGGTTCAGTCCCATGAAGCTTTGTAATAAATTATTCATGGAGGATTTGAGCTGAAGCAACCCATCGCGAGTCTCAGTTGACTTTTTTCTATACAATACTCGTTCCTCTCCGCTCAGTGTCCAGCCCATGAATTGCCCCAGCCAATCAAGCTTTCCTGAAGCACGGATTTCTGGCTGTCTATCGAGATTCAATCTGGAAATGAGAAGCGGATCCACTTGATGCCAGTACATAGATAAGGGGAATAGATTGTGCTTGTATCCACCAGTAGAAAGCGCTGAAGCAATCGGAACCGTCATCTCAATAGCCCCGGATTTCATAGTCGTCTTCTGCTGTTCCCCATCCACAGGAAATGGATAATATATTCGCATGTCATCGAAGTTCTCAATTTGGACAGTCATAGTGCATGGCGAAATTTGCGTGACCTTGAAATTTGTGCCACATGTTACGGCGGCATCCGAAGCTTTCCGGACCTGCAAGGCGTGGGCGCATGAGTCCTTGTCCAGATGCACTATGCAAGCTTCCCGCTCAGAGGATAAAATCTGCTCTGTTGTGGCAGGCGTGCTCTGCGGCCAACTTGTGACTCCAGGAGGTCCACTCAAAATTTGCAGATTGGGGTTGTCTAGTCCGCATTCGTACACACTCAGACGTAAACCTAGCTGAGGTATATAGCGAGACGTGAAAGGAGTTGTTGATACGGCCAAGGCAATACGAATACCCTTTTTAGGCCCTAGTAGTAAAGACCAAGTAGGAACTGCACAGGTCACGATCAGATCCGCAGTCCCCTGCCATTTGCGATCGTCAGGAATAATATCACAGATAGTATGATCACTATGCCGTGTCTTCAGCTGCCCGAAGAAGCATTGTATTGCATAAAAGCTATTGTCAAAGCCTTGTTCTATGTTTGAGACGCTGATATGAAGACCTGGTGTGCCCCGTGGGTCGCTTTCTTGCGTGAAAACCTCGAGTTTGTGACGTGGAACTGTCAAAGCCACATATACAACTGGCGGAAGGTCTTCACGTCCCAAGAGCCCACTATCAGCGACGCGTGGTCTAGGTTGTCCGTATGGGGTTCTACCGACACTGCGAGGCGGTTGTCGAAGGACATCACTCGTGAATAGGCCGAAGAGGTGGAGCATTACATAAAGCTCTTGAATGCTGTTACTTCCCACAAGAAGTCTTGTATCGGCTTGTATCATATCCAGAAGGKACATTATAAAGGGTAACCAGTCGGTGTAGACATGATTCTTCGCAAGAAAGAGGAGACTGACAAACGTCATGCGATTGTAGTATCGAAGTTCTGCCGCTGGAGGTGACTTCACCTGACGCATCAGGGAATCCATCATTATACTCATATCTTCATAGCTGAACATTGCTGAATAAAGCTTATAAAAGTACTTAGCAAGCTGTTGCGGTTCGTACATAAGTTGATGGCACGGATATAAGTCTTCTTGCACCTGGAAACAGTCTCCAAAGTTGGGTATCCTCCATGCAATACTCACATAGTATTGACTCCGCCGACCAAATTCCTTAGGAATGATGAGATCGACCGCAGCCTCAACTCCCACAGCATCAACCGTGTATGGAAGGAGTTGTGAGGTAGGTGTAAGTCCCATGATCAGAGACGCCGTAGCGACGTCTGAACATAAAAGAGTAGAGAGTGTTGTCGTCGTATCTTCCGCCGTCCGTAATATGCCATTTGTATACAAAACCGAGGTTATTCGATGAGCTAAGAGTGGTACAACTGCCGGTAAAACATTGAGCATCCCAACATGATCGATTAGATTAGATGTGTCAATAATGTCATATAAATTGCTGTCGCCCCTCGGACCTAGGGTCTGAACAACCAGCTCTGTGGAATCCCACGGATACGTGTATGCCCTCACGATTTTGGGAATCTGATATGTCGAAGGATGGGCCGCTTGCAAAGCATGACAAAAGCGCAGAGCCTCCCCGCAAAACACTCTGATGAAAAGAGTATTAGCGTGTACCTGTTCTTTGAAACTGGCGCACCACTCTGAAAATTGAGATTTTGCTAGACCAACAATCTTATTTTTTAAATCCCACTCGGAGCAAGTTTCATCGTCGAATGCACTGGCAAGGTGAAATCCAAGGAGCGGGTCGGTGCCGTAATGGACAGCAAATTTCCCGTTTGGTGCAGACGAGAGAGCAAATAAAGGGTTCACACGCCCGTGCCCATCAACCTCAAGATTCTGTACATCCGGCGAATTACCAGCCACAACGCCGGTCTTCCAAAATTGCTGAAAGCAAGACGAGAGCACCGGCATCGCACGAGCCCAGTGTACCGCCGCTGAGCGAAGACCGCTAGTAGTAAAGACATTGTCCCCTATTTTTTTTGTATATGTGGATTTGATCGCCTCTCTTGTTTTCTCCTCAAAGGAGTTTCTTTGGCGAGCACTCAAACTTGCCATTTCCGAGTATTGTTGCCAAAATTGTCGAAGGCGGGAGAGCGTATCTTGGCTCATGAAGCTGATGAAGGCACCATACTTTGAGGAGAACCATGTCTCGAGTGTTTCGGAACAAACTAGCAGTTTACTTGCCTGACTCTTTATCAAAGTCATGTCAGCATTTGTCACGTAGAAGTGGTAGAAGATATTCCATATCGCCGCTTCCGATGCATTATCGGCGATCAGAGAAAATAGGAGGATGTTTCGTGCTTGAAAGGTTAAAATCAGCCTTCCTTGCAATAAAATAAGCGTTGGTACCTATGATCGCAGCCTCAACATCGCAGCAGGTAAACTCCCATTGAACGTGTGCATCTGAGTTCGTAAATTAGCTATATTATATGATAACTGGAACATGAATCATGCCATGTTTAGACTTGCAACACAAAGTGAAAAGTAGGTTTCTAGGATCCCCACATGCTAATAGCAGGATATTAACACGTTCCTCCTCCCTTCGCTCACATTCTGACGGCAGGACTCGACAAACGAAAACGTTGGTGGCTGGTGTATTACCAATCGGATAAAAGAAATATTTCAGGTTGATGATCGTTGCACCGAGCATGTTGCTAATATTGAATATAGTAAAGACTCAGAGGAACAGTATCAGTTTCTGCGAATATCAAAGCCGGAGAGACATTTTCTAATTTTAACTGAGCAAAACGGCTTTGAATCATATGTTCATCTTACATGTTCTTAGAAGTGATCAGGCATCAATGCATTCACTTGCATATCCCGGCATGTCATTCTACCCGTAGTGTAATACAAGAGATGAAACTTTCTGTGGCGCTCAATGAGTGCGAGGATAGCCAATACAAAGGAATGGACAACGGCGAATAGGCTCAGTCCGCTATGTATACAAGATCAGATCGCTCATACATATGCTTGTCAATCAGCTAGCGACAAACGTGTCAGCACACTTATTGATGATTGATGTTGGAGGACCAACATCGTTCGCTGCTTAGCATCTACTGGAACATACTACGTTATGAATATATTTGGAGCTTTCATGTTTGAGGCTCTACACGATCTGAGAGTAGGTAATGCTCACTAATTCCTATAATCTAGGCAATGCTATCGAAATATTTACCATTAAGAATTTTATTTATATTTCTTGATAATTCTCTAGTTCTCAGGATAACGGGAGGTGCAAGATGCAATTACGAGCTGGATGCCAGACAGCGACACTTTCCAGAAGAAGTGGCGGTGGCTGCGTGAACAAGGCTGTCACAGCCCAGTCCGTTTAAGAAAGCAGCCATCGCGCACAGCTTCAGAAGAGCTGAGTTATCCCATACAACTGTCCAAGATTATCAGACGTGCTGTCTTAAACCTAGTATCAATTTGATCCATCCGCCATGGGCACATTAACCTTTCCTAACGACGTCGTCTATGTCAATTATGAAATATGCACAACAGAGACGAGTGCCCAGTTCTGGAATATGGAGGATCCCGCTGCCAAAAGTGAATTTCTTGATGATGTTGGACTGAGGGCTAAACTTGCAACCCTTGTTGGTCGACACCAAATATCAATATTGCCCTCCTTTCTCATTACTGATTCTGTGGACTACAGAACTCGTTCTGGACAAGTGGCAAGGAAGGGAAATTTGCTCTTGTGTAAGAACAGAGTCGCTCTTCAACATCGTTTAGGCTTTGTTTGCTTACGCCTGTCAGCATGCTCCGCGGGACCCCTCAGCCAAATATAGACCACTTCAAATCGACCGACATTCCTTGCAATATCTTGTAAATGTCGTAGGGTTGGATGAAGAAATAACAATGGGTTACTTGAGCAGCAGGCTCCCAAGCTTCTCCTTCTACCTGCAGTATAATGACAAAACGAACGATCCAGAGTTCATGAGTTAAGCTCCACCTTAAGCTCCCTGTATCAATATGTAACTAATTTTACGCCATAGTTGTGCTTTTCCGTTGCCCCAAGAACAACGAAAATTTGATGGGCTGTATTCGATTCGAGCTTTCTTCTCGGAATTGCTTGGCTTTTATGAGCAGTGTGCGTCTCGAAGATATGTGTGGATTCTGCACACGATGCCAGGCCAATACCGACCTTTTGAAGGTCCATCCGCTATACCTCCTTGCGTTTATTTACGAGCAACGTTATGACATATGGGCAGATTGGGCAGCCGCTCTCTGGAACCGTGTTGTCGAAATAGAAACAGCAACAAATATGACCTCTCCGGCTTGGAAAGGACAGGTTGGAACCGATCGTCTCCGTTCCCTTTCTACATCTAGCATTCTACTCACCGAGCTTCATGCCACCCGTGTGGAGCTAAGCCACAGTGATACGGTCATGTCATTTGGGCTAAAGTTGGGGAAAACATGCTTAGATGTTGTTTTTGAGGCTGAAAAAAGGCGACAGGACCTCGGATTGAGTACTCTGTCCATGCATTACATGTCTGCCTTGGAAGCACGGTTCAAGTATACCTTTTCCCAGTGCGAATCGCTCTCCAACAGAATCTCTGAATTGAGAAGTAGACTTGCCGGGCAAGTTGAGGTGGTACGTATCACTGTGCCTTTTAACGCCCCCTAAAACTCATTTCAAGAATTCACATTCGTTTCGGCAGTCTTATACACTCATCGCCCAGAAAAACAACCTTGTGAACCTCGCAGTTGCGCAGCAGCAAGCCAAGGACAGTCAAACTGTGAAGGCCATTGCAGTCTTGACATTGATCTGCCTCCCATCTACACTAGTTGCGGTATGGTTTCCTAGAATAATTTAACCCCTTTTCCCATTGCTCAGTGTACGTCGCAGTGAAGTTTTACTGACACCGTGCAGACATTGTGGACAGCAGGCCTATTTCATCTTGAAGGTGATAGCAACTGGCAGTTATATCTTGTAGTTTCCTTGGCGTTGACTATTGTCGTGCTCCTCTGCTGGAGGTTCTATGTGTTGGTGACTGAAGGGCGTAACAGAAGCTTGGACATGGATAACTTGTTCACGCCGTGATGCCATCTTTCTTCATATTATCAAACATACCGTTCAGTGTATCTGAGAGTGTGACCGTTTTCAATCCCATATTCATGAGGCCACGACGCGCAGAATGAAGTCCGATAGTAGTTAGCATGATTAACTGTCTCTGATGGAATCCATTGAATGTTATGAAACTAAGTATGCAGATGAAGATTTGATACTGTAAATATAATTGCTGTGGAGGAAAAGTTATTAGTGGTGATTTAGTAATAAAGCCCAGCACCATAAAATTGTACATATCATTAGATCAACCCTCTCAACTTTGGATTACTTAGCATATTTATAGGTTTATGTAAGGCTTACTGATCAGCTAGATCACGCTGCTCAGTTCTACCTAGGGAGTAAAAGCGGCACTAAAACGCGGGGAAGTTGGTATAACCGAACACGAGCTCAAGTTGATGAACTATTAACCCGGAAATTCAAGGGAAAATCAAGACATTATATCTGTAATCACCACTCCCCACGATACAAAGCACAAAAACTAAAGACCACTATGGCCGCCACAGCCGACAAATCAAAACCCTACATCCCACTATCCAGCAGCGCCAGCGATGGCTGGTCAACCCCGGACTCAGCAACAGCAACCTGCTTCTGCGGTGCCGTGCAACTCTCCTTTCCCACTCAGGGTCCGGGTCTCGTCAGCACATTTGTCTGCCACTGCACTGACTGCCGCAAGATAACCGCGTCCATGTTCGCATCCAACTTCACTATCGACGACGCATACTTGACCCATGTCCGCGGCCGCGACAATCTGAAGACGTACAGTCAATCGCATACTATTGCCTCGGGTAAGATGATGACGAATTATTTCTGCTCGACTTGTGGCACACTCATGTACCGTGTCGGCGAGGCGTTTCCGGGGAAGAGTATACTGCGTATTGGCACCGTGGATGATTTTAATTTGCATGAGACCAAGCTTAGACCGCAGAAGGAGATTTTTGTGAAGGATCGTGCTTCTTGGGTTACGCCTATTGAGGGTGTGAGGCAATTTGAATCGCAGCGGCCGAAGATGTAGACGACGTGGATGTATGTATTAAAGACCTTCAAATCAAACATTAGGGTTTAGTAGTGTCTCGATCAATCGATTGCGCATGGGAATGGAAAGTACGCAATGACGCTAAGAAAAGCCGTAACTGCGGCATTCACCCGTGTATATTGATAATATAGGGCGGTGTACCTAGTGTAAAACACAATTTGTCGTCTATTCAGCTATAGTATGCAGTACAAGAAGGGACCAGAACTTTAGTCCTAATTTCGATTAGAAGTGCCCAAGGAAACAGCTTTTCTACACCCATATATGATGCAGCAAAGCATGCCATTAGCCGATTTGTCCGCTCAATGAAGTGTATTGACACGATTAGAATGCGAATTACGGTAGTTGCACTAGGAACCACACGAAAACCCAATTACACGGAAGATGCGGAAAAGATAATCATGATGGATGATTATCGGGATGTATGGATTGAACCCAAAGAAATGGCCGCAGTAATGCTTGCCTTGGCCGAGAAAGATTCGATTACTTCACGATTGGGAGGCACTGGTGACGGGGAAGATGTCTCCATTGAAAATGGCAAAATCTTTGAAGTAGCTAAAGGACATGTGTGATCTGTCAAAGCTTTTCACAGTCCAGGGCCGACAGCACCCGGTACGATGGCTTCGAACCATGATGCTGCGACGACGCTGCTATGGCTCTTCTTGACGAGATTTGGTCAGTGTCGTGAGGTGTGACCACTATCTAGGGAGCTGACTCGATTTCAATCAATAATTGAGCTCGGGTTAGAGTATAAATCTGACTCTTAAACTTTTTTTTATAATGTTTGTACAACTAAGGAGTCTATCGCGTTACATGGAACAAGATAAAGACGTGTCTCTATTCAGTAGGACCCTGAACCATATGCCCGAAAATAAATTTTTCCATGACTTCTGTTGCATATACTTGACTTGCATCTGTCTTTTCCCTAAATGTCTTGTTTCAAAACATTTACATTATCAAATCGAATTTTCCCCCTGATTATTTCGAGTAACCGTTTCGGACTTGTGCAAGATATCCTACTAACCCTAATTCCGGAATCACGGATAACCCTAGGCTTTAGCTCGGATGAAAATCAACCTCGGCTCAACCGGCCAAAATTATTAGAGGAGCCGTAGATATCCACATCTTTCTCGAACACTTGGAGGCAGTCTACATAACCCCTGGTGTCAGCGCATTTTGTTATGTCATTATTTTGAGGTGCATCAATTAGACCCTGCATTATTTAAAAAGACTATTACGAGCAAGATGTCGAAAAGAGTCACCATCTTCGAGCCCCCACCACTCGATAATAGCAAGGCCGCTATTGAAAATGTCCTTGATCTAACCCCAATCAGCGACATTGGCCCAGTACGTCACTAACTCGTGAAGTTAGAACTATTCGAGGCCAGGAACATCACTAATCAAGCGCTTTTCGCATACAGGACGTCTTCACAAACACCCGACCGTTATGGCATCCCCCTGGCGCGCGCGGCATCTACGGCGGTGCTGTGATCGCGCAATGCCTCTCTGCCGCACAACGGACTGTCCCTGACAACTTCTTCGTGCACAGTATGCACTGCTACTTTGTTCTTGCCGGCGACTCCGAGATTCCTATCGTATACCATGTCGAGCGCGTGCGCACCGGCCGAAGCTTCGCCACCAGAACCGTGCAGGCACGGCAGCGCGGACGGCCCATTTTCACAACGACGCTGAGTTTCAACGCTGCGAATAGTGGTGGGAAGAAGAGATTGGAACATGATTCGAAGATGCCTGATACGCCGCCACCGAAGAATATATCGAACCCGCTCGAGGCGAAGAGTCCATTTGAGTCACAGAGGTTGGATGATAGTTCATATTTGACATGTACGTTGTCGCCATAACCTGGATATAAAAAACGGCCGGCTGACTTAAATATGCAGCCGACGAGATGAATATAGAAGATAGGAAATTCCGCCAATGGATACGCATCCGCGGCAAAATTTCCGAAGGAGGCGGCCACCAAGCCCACCTTTCAGCATTTGCATACATGTCGGATAGTTATTTCATCGGAACTGTCGCGCGTCTACACAAAATCCCTCGATTCTCCTCGCCAACCGCCCTCTTACGCGCCCTCAAGGCGCTTAAGAATCCCTCCGATGTCGACAGCGAAGCCCTATCACGCTATTTTGAAGAATTAGCCGAGGAAGAAGCAGCGGAGATCCGCGCGAGTTCGTTGAATGGAACGCTGACTACGAATAAACTGTCGTCTATAATCAAGAGAAAAGATAACAGGGAGATTGGCATGATGGTCAGCTTGGATCATACGATTTATTTCCATAATCCCCAGGCTCTCAAGGCGGATGATTGGCTGTTGGCCAGTATTGATAGTCCCTGGGCTGGGGAGGGTAGAGGCTTGGTTACGCAGAAGGTTTGGAATAGGGACGGTGTGCATGTGGCGACTTGTGTTCAGGAGGTACGTTTTTCCGTTCATACGTCTGAATGGACTAATCAACTAATCTTCTACTTCCAGGGTGTTGTCCGACTACGGCAAGACGAGGATCAGGCGCCAGAAGCGAAATTATAATTTATTTTCATTGCTGGTGGCTTTTCATATGATCCAATCATTATAATGGGCAGCTGCAGTCTTCAGGAAGACAAGGATGTTTCTGATGTTTATTGTGTATATTTTTGTATATCTATTAGACTAATACATACGACAAAGGATCCTCAACACCTTTTTCGTTCTTTACGAGATATCTGAGCCAACCTACTTCTAGCTAGCCAACGACTTCTGGATATTCGTTGACCGACCAGACGGACAAAAAATAACCTCAAACCCAGCACCTTGCTGGACGGTGAAAGTCGAAGTCGTATCATCGTAAGCTATACTCATCGCTTAGCATTGACAATCATCTATATCTTCATAGGTTGCAAACATACCATAGCTATACGCATCCGGACACACCGTCTTCGCAGCCTTACTATACAGATTCGGGCTACATTTATCCGCCGTATCGTGTTTCCCCGTACAGCAATAACCCGACGTTCCATATTTCGAGCATAGAGACAGACAAGGATCGAAATCCGGACGAGCAATTCCATCGTCAGGATATGGATATACGCCCGCGCCGGGTTTCCAGGGTGGTTGGATCTGAAGTGGCCAGGGACACCACCGCGAAACTGCGTGTGTCCCTAGCGTCATCTCCAATGGCGTGGAATAGGTGATACTGCCAATGGTTGAGTTGGACGGTATTGTCGTCGTACTATTCTCAAGCTGGTTCGCAGCTTCTAAAAAGTTCGGACTTCCGATACAGACCGGGTTTGTTGTATTTGATGGAATGTTTTGAAGCTCAGGGTCGCTTGACTCGTTATGCAGTGACACTATTCCCAATGGGAGATTGTAGCCATCGACTAGCGAAATGTCGTAGTATGACAGATTCATGCTGCCTATCATTGTGAATTCTGCGAGTGTAGCTGGTTTTCCCTGCGTCATTACTTTCAGTTCCATCATCGCAACGAAGGTATTAGAGGAGTCTTACAGTCCCCTGGCAATTTAACAGCCCGCCACAATCCCCCGTCAAACAAGCATCCGCCCCGGTCCCATTCAGACTCGTCCCATTTTCATTGAATGTGCAATTTGTGCGTGCCCATATCCGCCCTTGCCATCCAGCGCTGACGTTGAAGCTGGTTGTGTTTCCGGGTATGGCATGATAGCCGCCGAATGTTGGGCCGCTGCCTGCTTGGGTTTGGATTGCTGGGTAGATGTCGACGGGGCAGTGGTTTGTGATTCGGAAGGGTCGCGTGGATGTGTCTGTTGTCGCGAGAATTACGGGTGTCAGGCGCATGTGGTGAATGGCGGTGACTTCATGGATGAGAGAGGTCAAGATGGTCACAAGGCTCAAGACTATTGTGAATTTGGACTTCGTCATCTTGCAATCTTGATCAGTGACTGGGCTTTATTGAACAAGTATTTAGACAACATCAAGGGCAAAAAGGCTGTTTGGTCAGTTAGGTACATATCTCAAAACAATCAAGTCTACTAGCCGTGGGGAATTATTAGTCTTTTATCAAAACATCAAATAGAAAGCTATTTTTGCCACAAATCATAAGCAGCATTGCATACAAAGCCAATTGTCAAGCCACTGATGTATGACGCAGATCGATGACTCTATTATAGCCGCCGTTATTATTGATCAATAGATCAAAGCAACGAATAACATTGGCTGCCATTAATGAATTGGCGATAGCGGCAGGCGGCCCAGGCCCAATCAGCCAATCTTGGCTAGGATCATCTCTAACGTTATCACTAGTGTAGGTTTAGTGCCCTTTGTTCTAAGCTTTTACTGGGGGACTTCAATTCGGGGGGCTGAGCGGCTAGGTAAGTGAGAGGGTGAAGCTTATGGTGGTACATGAACGTCTCGTGTAACGTAGAGCTTCATGATTGATTTGTTCTTGATTTTTCTAGCTTTCATGGCTCSTAAAAAAAATTCACTGTGAATGGAACAAGAGAAACAGGGTTATGTTTGAGGTTAAATGTGATCTACTGGCATTAATGGATTGGTGTACCGATATATAAACCCTGACTGACGACCATTGAACTTTGTGGTTAAACGTCCTGGGAATCTCAAAGATGCACAGTTTTCAAGAACCATGAATTATTACTAACAATCTTAGAACCCTGCATGTGATTTTATATTTCCTTGGTAAAGCTACCTAGTTCGTACAATTAAATTGAAATCGGAGAATAAACATGACCTCTTCAGACTTGTGAACAAACAGGTAAGTGGTCTGAATCGGAAAACAAACCCGATCCCTTGGAATACAATGTCTAAGTTTAGTATTATTAAACATTTTTATATCCTCCAACATTTGTTTAATCATCACAGTCTACTCTAAACATCTACCCATTGCCTTGAATTGGCCGACTTATAAAATGCATCGATGACTTTCAAAATTTCGACATTCGTCTGCAAATCGCAGCATCCATCCACCGGCTTATTCCCTCGTACACGATCGAACAGTGATCGAAATTGCTTCCGGTAACAAGATGGCACGTTCGATGTACCATGAGCCAACTCCGTTGACAGCTTTGTCTCACCGGCCTGAAAGCTTCCCCGGGCTTCGCGAAGGTACAGAGTTCCAACTGGGAAATCGGGAATAACATGCAGGGACCCATTCGTCCCATAGATATCGATTGCCCACTCGTTGCACCACTCTGTTGGTTCCCAGGCTGTCATGTCTAGGACGATCGTCTTATCTGGATATTCCATAATCCCAGAGCAGACATCCTCATAGAGTAAAGTGCCTACACCGAATTGGCCTGTCGTCACAGTCCCCGTGAAGAGGTCTGGAATCCATCCGACGACGGGGTGTGGTGGGCGCTCTGGTAGCTTGCGAATTGAGGAGACCACCCTTTCTGGAGCGCCAAAGAGATCGATTACATTCTCTAGAGTATGACAACCTTCTGTCTGCATAATACCACCCAAATCCTCCGGAATAGATTGCCACAGATCCATTCCGGCACCAGATGGGCATCCACCGTGAAATCGAGCAGTTGTGATATCACCTAGAACATCCTCACGAATCACTTTCCGCGCAAATTCCAAGGCCTCCGAGTAATGAATTTCATATCCCAACTCCACAGCAAGCCCGGGCCTCTTAGCCTCAATCTCCTCTGCCAATTTATAAAAGTCATTCGGATCTGCTGCACCAGGCTTCTCCAAAAACAACCCCTTGAACGGGGTCGAATGATTAATAGCAAAACGAGCCCAACGCGGCACATCTGGATCCAAAGAATGAATCATAACCACATCCGGATTCGTTTCGAGTAGTTCCTCCGGAGTATTGAAGCGGGGTAAACGCGGTAATCTTTTCGCCAATTCAACGGCTATCTCTTCGACTTCTTCATAGAAGCCGCAGAATTCAAAGCCGCCCATTTTGTCTAGCACGGCAAAGCGGTATTTGACGTGCGGGTGGCGTGTGCCCAAAAAGGCTATCTTGATGGGGGCTTGTTTGCCATCTTGTGATTCGTCTTTGAAGCTGAATTTTGAGTGAAGGATATCCATGATGAGATCTGGACTTCGAGGATATTGATTGCCGTGGCGTGAATCGTTTAATCCCAATATCTCTCGACAATTATAGTTGATCTCTATTATACAGAGAGGCCTTGTGAACGGGGTCTCCTAGGTTAGCCGATTCATTATGAAGCTTTGAAAAATTGACGGCTATTGGTTCCTGGCTGATCCATCGACATGGCCCACATCGACATCCCACGCAGACACTCATATTAGCCCTAAAGAAGTAATAATGCTCCATATCATCCCACGTAAACAAGTCTCGTATCGGGTTATCAAACTGTGATCCCGCGCAAGCCATGTGAGTAGGCTTAAATCATAGCATGAATTATGAATGAGTTTCAGGTCTGAGCACTCTACTCGGCCTTTGGGGCGATAGAGATGCGGAGACTTGTCCGAGCAAGAGCTCAAACCCCGGTATTTTTGTCTGTAGCTGTAGAAGGGTCAAGTAGTCAACCAACCCTCTCAATATACTGGAACCGACCGATAGCTACCTATTAGATATAAGTTCATCCCACGCAAGACCCAGCTACGTATCTGGACTCTTGCCTCAGAACAAGCATTTGACACTAGTCTTCCCCAGACTCCTGAAGATAAGGCGATCGGACGATAGAATATTCCTTTTTAGGCAATTCCTCATATCAATCGGCGCGCGACATCCGATAGCTCTTATCAACATGTCTGGTGACTTCGGTTATGCAAACAGTGTTCTGAGGACCGTCTATCTTTAGGGCTATACGATCGACTTTATAAGGAGACTATTCCTGCAATTCAATTTAAATTGATTGCCCTCAATAAATTTCAAATTGCAATCTAGATTGAGTATTTGAAGCATAGCACATGGCTGAACGTGAACCGACAAAATGACCCAAACCCACGAATTCCCAATGTCCAACTCAGACATCAAAGATCCCTCCATCATCGACGACACCGAGAAGACTGGCGTCGACACAGCACCTAAATACACCACCGCCGCCGCCGCCAACGGCGAAGAAATAGTCTACACCACACCCCCCAAAGGCTACCGCCTCTTCGGCAACATCGTCCTACCAGCCTACCGCTCCCCAATCGTGCAATGTATCATCATAGCATGTGTCCACCTACTCGTCGTGGGAATGTTCAACGTTCTCTCCGCGCTGGGCGGAGGTGGACAAGTTGATCCAACTACAAGCAACAATGCAAACACTATCCTATACAGTCTTTTCGCATTCTTTGCGCTTACAGCTGGATCGGTGGTGAATTTCCTGGGACCAAAAGTCACGCTTGCTATGGGTGGAGTGGGCTATTCGTTGCTGTCAGCGTCTTTTTGGAGTTATAATCACAACAGCAATGCCGGATTTGTTTATTTTGGTGGTGCGATGTGTGGTATCGCCGCAGCGTTTCTATGGTACGTATTGCTCATACATGTGTTATGTCAGTTGCTAATGCTTGCTCATGTAGGACTGCTGAAGGGGCCTTGATCATGTCCCTGCCCATGGAAAAAGACAAAGGCAAGTACATCAGCATCTTCTACGGCCTCTCTTTCTTCGGCACAGTCATCGGCGCTATCATCCCCACAGTCGAGAACTGGGGTGTAACAACTGCCGGCAGTGCCAACGACGGCACATACATTGCCCTCTTTATCCTTATGCTCCTAGGCAGTGTAGTAGCCTGCTTCATCTCCGACCCATCTCGCGTCGTCCGCAACGACGGAAGTCGAGTTTTTGTTCCTCGAAACACCACTTTTGTGCAAGAGCTAAAAAATGTCGTCCTCGCCGTTAAGAGGGAGCCGTGGATCATCCTGTTTTTCCCATATAGTTTTGCCGGATTGTGGTACATCCCTTATCAGAGCAATGACTATAATGGATATTATTTCGACCTACGAACACGCGCTTTCGGTTCCCTGTGGTTTGATTTTGGCCAGTTCGTCATGGCTGTCATTATGGGCATGATGCTCGATTGGAAGACTATTGGGACTCGTCGTCGTCGTGCGTTTGTTGGATGGATTGTTCTTTTTGTCTTGCTCAATGCAGTCTTCATCGGAGGCGTTTTTCCGGCTCGTCGTTCCCATCGCGGCGTTACGCCTCCGGGTGGACTGATAGATGTCAATGACTCCAGGGCTGCGGGATACATTATCCTTTTTGTCTTCTATGGTTGTGTTGATGGTGCTTGGCAGACTTTTGCATGGTGGATTGCTGGTTGTCTGTCGAATGACCCGTTGGTGCTCTCTATCTATTCGGCTTTTTATAAAGTGTTTGGTGCCATGGGGGCTGCTATTGTGTTCAATCTCGATGTGCGTGAGATTAGTTATCAGGCAATGTTTGGTAGCTATTGGGGTTTGCTGGCTGGGTCGATGCTGTTTATTCTAGTGTTGATTCATAAGAGGGTCGAAGATTCGACTGGAGTTGTGGCCGAGAGTGAGGCACCAGTTGAGAAGGTGATACCAGTTGATGAGTGATTTGATGACGGATCCATGACGTGAAGGGGATATTAGGTGATTGAGATGCCGCTTATGGTGCTCAAATTAGTATGGCTGCTATATGCGCGCAGCCTGAAGGCGGTCATATCATTCGGTGGATATCTCGCTAAATACAAATGACTAGCCATATCTACTGCAAAGGCCATTTATAACAACAATTTTTACCAAAGTCATTTCACGCTAATAGAACTCGAGGTAAGAAAATCCTCCCTAGCAAAAAGAAAATCGTATCTATGTAAGCCTTCGAGGCCCTCACGGCAACCATCCGTCTCCGTTGGACGCACCGCCATCCATATTATCCACACTTGCGCCTGATGAGGCCGCATTCTGTGCCAAAAAGTCACTGTCAAAACAGGATATTGCTGTAAACTCATCCAACTCTTGTGGAAAGTTGGAAATAAAACCCTCAAAGCCGAACTGTGGGACTTGGGGTAATCCGGCCGGGTTTGTCGAGTGTGCCAAGTCAAGTTGATGGAAGATTGATGTGTCGCCTGGTGTTTGAGCATTGCCATTTTCTAGATTAACAAAGTCTTTACTATCTGTGTTGCTGTTTGTCGGCTCAGTAGTGGCGCCAGGTAGTAAGCCGGCAGCAATGTCGCTAGGAATAGCAAGCTCAGTGGAGTATGAAATTGTCGGATTTGGTAAAAGTGAAGCATTCGACAAAGACGAAAAGTCTATCCCAGTGGTATCTCGTTTCCTTTTCAAAGTGGGCTGTAATTTGTCACCGTTCACTGACGAATTGCCAGTCGCTGGCGAAATGGGCCCGGTTTTCCATAACATCTCCCAACTTTTGAATCTCTCATAGCCAGAGTCTATTGAGTCTTGCGGCTCTTTAGTCGGACCCTGGATCTCGCTCCAGTCTTCTAACCGGCGTATAGCCCGCTCCAGAGTTTCAATCACAGTTACGGCCGATCTTGCCGAACCAATACCCATTGACATGATCTTGATTAGTCCCATGCCCTGAGTCAATGCATTACGTAGCCTTTCTGTACGTTTTGTCAAGCTCTGAGCTAAAATGACAAGAAGTGCTGCACGGCACGAGCTGAACTCAGTGTACGAGGCTCGTGCAAGACCCGTCTCATCACGCAAGAGACGACACAAGTCGACAATTTCTAGCGCCGCTTCAACGCAGTCGGTTACCAAGATATTTCTCAGCTTGGATCGACTCGCAGATGCCTTTTGTGATGATAGACTGCCATTTCGTACATTACTGAAAAGGAATGGACGGCCCATGAAAATCCTAGTCAAGCAGTAGTCCAGTTTGAGATGCACATTGCAACGGAATAGTGGGCTAGCGGGATTGAGGTCACGGCATGATGTCTCTTCTGGAAGAGTAGACCACCATTCAATTAATTCTCGACGCTGTGTAAGAAGGTTCTCCAAGGGATAAGGTTGCTGCCATTTGTGGGCTTTGCGCAATGATGATCTTGTTTATGATTAGGCATTCACTCTAATAACAATTGATGAAGTACTGCACTCACATTTCCTCGGCCACTTTACCTAATTTCAAAGTCAACTTGATCAACGCTACCATATTTGTAAGGTTGTTGCTAGTAGTACTAGAGTGTAGACTGGGTAGATCTTCTGGCAAATTGGCATCAACATCCGTATCGGTAATCGAAGCAGGTCTACCATGCAGGATACTGATTCGTCTATTCAGTCAGTTAGCAATTATTCAGTAGGTTGAACTAGATTTACTTACTTTTCAATAGTGAATGCAGTCCAGAATACGCGATTCCGCACTTCCTGCATGTGCTGATCCAGGGCTTCGCCAGTGTATCTTCGGTGCATTCCATTTTGGATTGCCAACTTTATTGCCAGGCCAAAGTAAGTATATGACAATCCAGAGGTATCAAGGGGCAATAGATAGGTTCCGATAAGCAAGCACGCCTGCACGCTTCTGACGGACGCAGTAGCAATGATGTCGGGGAGTAGTTTGGACGCGAAATGATAAAATGTCAACCCTACTTCATCTTCTGAAAATCTATGGTCTTCTGTCGATGACTCCTCACGATTGATTTTATTGACTGGCGTTGGTGAAGCCATGTGTGCAAATTGCGTGCCTATGGCTAAAAGCATCAAGATGGCACAGACAGAGGCTGCATCAACCGAGGTGAGGCTGTCAGGATTATTGTAGCATATAGCTAACTTATCACGTAGCCAATCTTCTTCTACATAGAAGTTGTTCGTCTGTGCATATTTATTGGCGACATTGATAAGAAATTCCGCGACATAGCGGGGAGGTAAACATGCTATCGCAGCAGAGACGGATGATGATCCAGATTCCAGATGTGTTGACCTCCATCTTTCTTCAAATGGTAAAGTTTCTTCTCTTTCCTACAATCGCGGTCAGCTGAAGCTATTCATCATAAATGATGGGAACCCGTTAGTGCCACAACATACTTCTGGCGCGCTAGATTGCATCCATTCATCAATCTTTCTTCGAATTTTCATGGAAAAGTTTAGATAAGAAAACTCTCCTGAGTACTCTGCAGTTTAAATATCGGTTAGCGAATGGGACTAATTAGTACACAAATTAACACCACAGGACAAGGGACTTACGAGTAGTATTATCCGGAAAAGCCCGAATACTAAAATTCTCTTCATCGATAGCCAGGTCATCTAGATCATCCGCCTCAGCCTGTATTGTAGGTCCCTCAGATATTGACAGTTCACGCTGGTCTCTTTGCAGATCCTCGGCAGCCTTGCGCAACGACAGAATATCGAGAGAAATGTTAGGCACATAATGCACTAGTATGCGTTCCATGTAGCGCACACGCTCAGCCTCAGCTTCATCATCACGCGTGAAACTTTCAGTTCGGTGACGGTGTCTATTTCCACATTAGATACACTGTTCATTGCTATGGTTGTATTCAATGTATAATCTCACCCAATCGGTTTTTCTATCATTTCAGATGGTGCATTAAATATGCATTGACGGTGGTAGCGTGTGCACCTGCGACAGGGTACTCCCCCTTCACATTTCTCCTTTACTCTTCGACATCCATCGCATCTAAAGCATTTGATCAGTCTAGATCTAGTTTCATTCCCTGTCTGGAAAAGTGGATAAGGTAGGGTATTGCCTTACGCTCGAACGGCTCTTTTGCGATTCTCTTCCGCAACCCGCGGCCTCTTAGCCTTGTTTAGAGGAAGGTATGAACGCGGAGGTAGTTCCATATCTTCAGTCCAATCGAGAAGTCGATTGAAATGACCATGTAATCGTATACTCCAGGGTCGCTATATGACAACCCATTGATTGGTGACTGACAGAAATGATTGGCCTGAGAAACCGATCACAGATGTATAGATCAGGAGCTTAAGTGCTCGCAGTCCAACTAACAAGAGTCGATTAGCGACAAGGCCTCGATCGTGTCTAGGATGGCATTGACATCGACATGTGAGAGAAGCTGTGACAAAAAGATAAAGAGTGTGGGGAAGAAGTCGATAAGGGAGCAGCTGACCGAATGCCGTGCGCTAGACTATTTAGAGACTAGTATATTTATTACGTAGTGGTAAATTACCGTTATGCAATTACAGACTGATTATCGTTAATCCGCTCCGATGGATACTTCGATCTAAAGCAGGAGCAACCACCACAGCCATCCCTGCTCCCCCAACCTCAATGATCTAAGTCAATGGAACGTAAAACAAGCTTAGCATGTGACCAATGTCATGGCCATAAACTCAGATGTACGCCGCTCTCCCAGGGATGCGTTCGTTGCAACAGTGGGTGAACCTTGATCATAGGAGAAGGATGCACTGCCTTAACGTCTATGAGTAGGGCTCGGAATTCGATGCACTTTACTTCGCCAGATCAAAAGGAGAGGCAGAAGGCCCAAGCCGGAGAGCGTATTGCCAATTTCGACTTCTGCCCCTGTATATCGTCCTTCTCGGAATACTTACTAACATTGGAATAGAAGCTAATGTCGATTTAGGATGCGCCAGACTACCCGGTCTTGAATTGCATTCAAGGACTATTTTCTGTGACTGAAAGCTTGGCGGAAGCTCGACTTTCACGCGCGGAAGCTTGTCGTCTGCTTGAGCATTTTTATGAGTCGCCGAATCAAGAGTTCCATACGCGACTTATACGACGTTATAGATTGCTTAATCAACGTGCCCCACGGCCGACATCACCCCCATTGCTTCTGTCTATACTCTGTGAGTCGTATAATTTAAGCGAAAGGGATTCTAGCTCACAGCCCCTTAGGCTCTGCTATGTTTATGCCACGTCTTGACCGTAGTCCCGTTCTGCCAGGAAGAAACTTAAACGAGCATACGGCTTTGCGGCGAAATCTCTTTGAAGAATTAATACGTCAGTTTCACCCTAGGACTCTACCAGACAGCCATCATACCTTTGATGATGCCCTGACTGCGTTTATGATTACGAATATTGGTCCTAGCGAGAAGTCTGTTGAGTCCAGTCTACAATACTGGCTCATGTTTCTGAAATTTATCGTTCAGAAACTGGATCTACGCATAGACGCACCACATTTAGGTGAGGAAGATAAGGAGGAAAGACGCAGGTATTAATGACCCTACTTCAGAGATTAACTCCGCTAATCAGAGCTCATAGGCTATGGTGGGCGGCTTATATTATTGATCGTCACTCTTCTTTGTCCTTCAATAGCCGTCCTGTAATCACAGACCAAGAATGCAATCAACTTCCGACGCCATGTCCGGACAGTATCTGGGACCAGACGGGTCCATTATCCGCAGGCAAGAATGAGACGAGCTACGAAGCTGATATTCTGAATTATGCTGTCCGCAGCCTCGACATGTTTGGCGTTTTCATCCCACTCTCAAGGTAAGTCTTTGGTCATCTTTTGATACAGAGTACGAATCGTGCTAAGGAATGGCAGGATTTTAGGCGAAATACTTGAATATCATTTTCTTCGTGGCTGTGCAATTTTCAATCAGTCGGCTAATTATCTGCTATCTGTCAGACAAAACGTCGAGAGCAATCTCAGTCTGTGGTTTATTTCATTTCAAACTCTAGTAGGACCTGACTTTATTCAGCTCGCGGAAGCTGAAAACGAGGTTTCGGCCCTCCATTGTGAGGCGCATATTGCTTATTATGCACTCCATCTTTATCATTGCATGCATATATTGCTGTACGGCCCAATGGACATCGTCGTTATGTACGAAGATCTGAAGTGGCAAGCATCATCTGAATTTGTAGCAGCGTGTGAGCATGCGAATGCCTGTGCCAAGGTAAGTCGTCAGTCGTCATATCGATATATGACCGAGGTCTATGAATAAACTGACAGTGTAATAGATGGCGCAGCATATACTAAGGACTGATCCCCATCTGTCCCTCATGTATAGATACTACGGGACTTATTTTCTTCAATCATGCTTCATTTTCCTAATCCTTGCGCAGAAACTAGGCCGACAATCAGATAGCTTGATTATAGGCAACTGTGCCATCAATCTCAAAGTTCTGGACCAGTTCATCCTTACGACCAACATGGACTACCAGCATGATTTTGCGAGGCTCATACGCAAGGTCCTATCGGATCTTATTCAGAATCCAGCCTCAAAAGAGATCGATTTTCAAGAGAACATCCAACCTTCGTTGGATCCGGAAATGCTTCGCTACCGCTGGACACCTGGCTTCAAAGGATTGCTACCCAATTTGGACCGGGTTGGATGATCAAAAAATTGCAATTTGAGATACGAGTCTTAAATCTGATGCGCTAATAGCTTTTACGGTCGTTTCTACATGAAACAAGAAGCAGATCTTGATTTATTCCAAAATAGGTCTATGAAATGTCATCGCCTCTGGTGACGATTTTAGCCACTTGCCGTGCGGCGTTTGTGTACTGGCTGATGAAGTCAAATCTGCGCTTCCTGTCCTGCCAATCTTTGTCCAAGGACATATTCACCACTTTTGCTTTGTGATCAGAAGTATATACAGTTGCGAGATCCCTGTTCTCATTTATACTTGGAGCAGCAATAAATGTGATCCAATCGGTTTGAACTCGATTTACAAGTTCAGCATTGCTTGTGCCACCTGTCGGTGAGGCCACATCGATTGCGCGCAGTGCATCGTGGAAAGCATCATAGATATAAATGAGATCAACACAGTGATGAGCGACTCCGTGGTTTGGCCCCAGGAATGGATTTCCGACTTCGACGCGATACGAGTGCACTTGGATGGGATGGAGATTTGAAGCCCTCTTCTGCTGAGACAGCTCCTTCACAGAGGTTTCCCAGGTCATGAAATCCTCACGCGCTTGTTGGACCGGGTATCCAAACTGAATGTCGGACAAGAAACGGAAAATCTGCTCGTGTAAGGATGCAGTGGACATGCTTGCCTCAAGCCTATATATGTTGCAAAAGGCATCCATGAAGGTTTCTTCCAGTGGGCTTCCAGAGGTCAAGCGACTTTTGAAATCCTCTAAACTTTTGATTTGCGTCACGTGGGAGCGATGCATTGTTCCCTAATTAAAAGTTTCGTTGGTCAGCTTGAGTAATCTCTATTCAAGTTTCACTTTTCACAAACCTCAAGCTCGGTATCTCCAATCAAGATCGCATACTCCGGCTTGTCACATGCCCCGACATCCGCCACAGGGTCATCCGAAATGGTAAAGTGTACGTTCCAGCGATTATCCGCTCTTCGTGAAATGGTCAAGTTGTCCTGGACCAAGGGACAGACAATCCAAGCCAAGTCTCTATACGCTTCAAGAATTATATCTGGCGGAATGTTCCTCATGAACTTCATACGTTCGACGGCATCTTCGGCAGGAGCCCCTAACTTATCGCATAACACAGCCCATCGTGTATTTGCACTTGTCATGGTCAGGGGCCCAAGAACACCAACTGCGCCGGACTGGATTATCGCTCGCTGGACCAAAGGAGCCTTTGATCCTAGTATTGCATCTAGAATATGTGCATGTGCCGAACTTCCTCCAGCTGACTGCCCGCCCACTGTTATCTTATTTGTATCACCACCGAAAGCTCCGATGTTGCGTTGAACCCAGCGCAGTGCGATATTCTGATCACCGAGTCCGAAATTGCATCCTCTTGTTTGCTCGGGCGACTGGGAATCGATAATCTCCGACGATGCTGCGAATCCGAACAGATTGAGGCGGTAGTTGATTGTAACGACAATGATCGGTGTTCCTATTTCTACCGATTTGGCTACCAGGTGGGCAGGGTCTATACGTTGCAATCGAAATTAGCAATTTTGAATTCGCATTGATACGCAGGTTTTTTCGAGGTTTTCTCACCCCACATTGGATCTGTCCCAGCGCCAAATGCGTAGGCACCGCCATGTATATAAGCATAAACAGGCAGTTTGGTCTCTCTCCCAGACGTCAACCTGCTTGGTCTAGTGATGAATAAATTCAGGCAGTCGAATTCGGATTCTGTAACATCACTAGGGAACTCAAGATATGACTGGTAGAAATCGCTGTTGTTCGGTTCCTGCGGTTGGGGGCAGCGAGGGCTTTGCTCGATATTTTATGTCAGTTGAAAGCTATAAAATAATGTTGGGTGCGGACACGTACCCATTGTGGGTTGCGTCAAAAACGTCCTCAGGCAACTGATCAAGAAGTATAGCGTGTTGCCATCTTTCAGGTACTCTACCATATGGAATTCCTCGAAACTCTTCAATCCCATTGAGGACACCACTTTTACCAAGGACCGTTTGAGTGATAGACGGCTGTGTCCATGTCGGAAGCAGTACGGAAACTCTGTCCGGCATTGTATGTCTCCCGGAGAAATGTAGAAACGCGACAGGATGCAAAGGGAGGGAAGTCTTACGGCCCGGATCAAGGGAAGCGGAACTATTACTTATCTATAAAAATTTATTCACTTGATCTCACACGAGATACTATTCGATTCGGCCACGAAGCGGGTCTAGATTTTGGCTATCAAAACTTTGATCGGAGAATTACGCGGTTAGCATTCGGCGAAAAGCAACAAGTCCACCCCGGACTATCCAGTGACTCGGCTAGCACTCCACATTCCCAAAAATCTTCTACAGGGGTGCTCAATTCCCAATGTAGAATTCCAGGCTGATACATTGGAACTCTAATCGGAAATTTAGACACATGGCGTTCGGCGAAAACCTAATAGGCCAAGCAACTTTTCAACCCCAGACTTGTCCAAAATGTAGGGAGTAGCACTCCGCATGTCTATAAAGCTAGCTTCTTACCCCATCTTCTTGATGATATTTACTATCACTCGACACGAATCTCCTTTATTTGTATCTTTATTGTCAAGTCGCCGAAATGAGCACTCACACCTCAACTTGGTCTGCCGTGCGAGCTGAATGGCGTGCCATCGGTATCTGTCTCTTCATCACGATCGGTGCCATCCAATTTGGCTTCGACTCCTCCTACTATTCGGGTATGCGATTTTTTTTTTTTTTTCCTTTGATCAATGCGAACTGACGGGTAAAAGGAATCCTTGCGATGGAACCATTCATCAAGGCATACGGACACTACGACTCTTCAACAGGGACTTACATTCTATCTTCGAAGATCCAGTCCTTGACTACTAGTATCATTAATGTTGGTGAGCTTGTCGGAGCTGTCTCATCTTACATAATTGGTGACCATCTTGGCCGTCGCGGTGGATTGTTTGTCTCCAGCTTCATGGTTGTGCTGGGAGTTGTATTCCAGACCGCGAGCCATTACCTTGGGATGCTCATAGTTGGTCGATTGGTTCTGGGTAAGCACGGGCTCAATCCTTCCAGCGATATTACCCAGATTATCTATCGGCTTACAGATTTATTTAGGATATGCTGTCGGATTGATTTCCTGCTTGGTCCCCCTATATGTGGCAGACTGTGCGCCTGCTCGGTTTCGTGGAGCACTTGTGTCCATGTACCAATTCAATGTTGGGATCGGCCTTCTGTTGGGTGTGATTGTCGACAATGCAACCAAGGACCGTGATGACAGCGGCTCGTACCGCATACCGATGGCAGTGCAGCTGATCTTTCCAATCATGCTCGTTCCCGGGTTGATCTCCTTTATACCGGAATCACCCCGCTGGCTATTGGCAAAAGGTCGAGTTGAAGAGGCAAGAACTGCCTTGCAATGTTTGCATGGAAACAGACCGGAATTTATTGAAGAGGACATCGAATACATTGTCAAGACCATCGAGGAAGAGCAGCGCCATGACTCTTCCTGGCGTGAGGTATTCACTTGGGGACCAGAAGGCCGCAAGGCTTATATTGGCATGGCCCTTCAAGGTAATAACCTATCTTCATACATGGTTGTATTTTTCGCATGATATTAATCACTTCTTTAGCATGGCAACAAGCATCGGGCATCAATTTCATCACAGGCTACGGTATCGTATTTTTCAGCACAATTGGAATCACGAACTCCTTCCTGATCCAAATCGGATTATACCTCGTTGGGTTCCCAGCACTATGGGCAAACCAATACACAATTGAGCGCTTCGGCCGCCGGCCTATGCTTCTTGTAACCGTGTGTGCCTTGGTAGCAGTTCTCCTTATTGTCGGCGGATGCGGCGTGGCACCGACCAAATCTCTTGCCCTGGACCGCACAATCGTTGCCATGGTCTATGTTTTCATGATTGTTTTCAATCTTTCTCTTGGCCCAGCAGTTTGGGTAGTCACTTCTGAGATCTCTACCGGCCATAATCGCAACAAACTTATGGCTTCCTCCACCGCTACGAACTGGTTCTGCAGCTGGCTGGTTACTTTTACATTCCCGTACCTGTTCAATAGTGACGGGGCAAATCTTGGTGCTAGCGTGGGCTTCATCTTCGCCGGCTTGTTGGCTGCTGCAGCAGTGTGGATATTTGTCTTCCTGCCCGAGACATCTGGACGTTCTCTGGAGGAGATTCAGACACTTTTTGCAAACCATGTGCCTGCACGTAAATTCAAATGTGAGCTTTACCGATTAAGTCTTCGACTTCTTATTCAGTACAAATGCTAACGGAAGTGTATCATAGCATATGTCATCCCCGGCGCAGTTCACGTCGTTGATTTGGAGGAGGAAAAGACCAGCCAGGTCGTTCAAGTCGAGCAACCTTGAACCATCGTTGCTATTGGTTATTATGGGTTTATGTTAGCAAATATTTGCCTTGAGACAGAAGATAAAGCATATGACGAATAAATAAGCTATATAATCGTTTTTCTTACGGATGGTCTAATATGCCATGCGCATTTGCGATCAACTTTCGTTACGAGTTGTCGCCTTTGCCTTAGCTCTAGGCCTAAAACGCCCAGCCACGTCAAACGCAGCGCATACCCAGGTCATATAAAGACTATTAAGATATATCTATATTATGGATTATATACTCTATTGGCTCCATGTCAGTAAAGTTTCAAAAACTGTGCATTCCTGAAACACATGTTGCCTCCAAAACGGCCCGTACTTTCAATGTTCGAAATCATGAACAAATGCCGGCTACTTCAAGTTGCCATTCGTGAAAATAAATGCACACCAATGTATAGACGATCCCTGTCTGTCATCGTCATTAAACAAGCCTGTGGCCTGGTGGTACACATACGTATGATCGTAAATCTTACTAAATATATATCTCCCTTTGCAGACGAGTCGATGTCCATCATGTTAACGTACATGTAATCCATTTCATGATGCAATATGCTAAACGCCAACACTGGTCGCTTTCTCATGACTATGGATCGTTCGTCCAGTTGCAGAGACTCGATGTTGGAAATCGTATGAAATGGCTAAACAATGTTAAAATTAGTTACGCTCCACTCCGCGGCTCTACAACAACACTACATCATCACATCGTTTAGCTTCAACAATATTACCTAACAGGATCATCCCGAGGTCAAATATTTTCATTGGTACCTGGGCACAAATCAATGTTGGTTCCTTTATATAGTGTCGAGGCGAAAACATTCCATCACACTACGTAATAGCCCCCAACGCAGGAACCGAGCCACCACCAATCGAAGTCATGAATGCCACCCAACACACGCGAATTTCCGGGGTAAGACCACAACTATATTGTCGATCTGTCAGACTCAAATTGTAACAGGGTCTTGCACTTATTCAGTGTCCATTCACAATCGTGCTCTCTTTCCGCCCTTCGTTCCACCACGATCTAATTAAGATCCTCAGCGGGGTGCCCGATGTTGGATTTTCGCCACGCGGAGGATCATACCTCTACAACCCCAATGTGCAGTAGTGGTCTTGTTACGTTTTTAGAAGTTTCAATAGTTCGATCCCAACAGCCTTGCGGCGGTTTGTTTGGTCTCTCGGGGGGCCATTGATCACCATTGTTGATCTGATGCGTTCTAAGTATATGTCCATGAAGAGCAAATGTTGGGCTTATTGACAATTGGCTCACGGTTACTGAATAGGGTCCATTTCAGACTAAACCCTGGTCTGAACCCCAATAAGATGTGCCATTCCTCAATCTTTCCAGCCCCAGTTAGCTGACATGGTGATGTATGACGTAAATGAAGACGGCTTCAGATACGATGTAAGGTCTGTAGCACACATTCGAGGAATATAAAAGGGCATCAAATTTCTGCTGAATATCAAATTATTTCTCAACCATCAAGTCCCACATCAACAACATACAGAACCAGCTTAAGCCATAAAAGTTCTTATCATAAACCTCAATTTCGTTCATTATTATTAAAACAAATTCGACACCAATTAGCTACCATGTACCGTCAAATTCTCAGTCTCGCTACCGCCATCGCCCTCCTCGGCCATGCTTCCGCCGACTGCAAACTTACAAACACCCTAAGCGCACCTGAGTCTGGACCCGAAACAAGAACAGAACTCTGCCTGCCTCAAGGCGAGGGCTCCTGGACCTTCGCAATGGACATCAGTGAAGTCGACGTCCCAACCTTCAATTCGGGTGCCGAATGGGCCGGACTGGCTGGAAACAATGCCTACATCATTTACGACAACAACTGCATTCCATACGGCGTATACGGACCGGATGGTAACGACTGCGGCACCCCTTATGTCATTGAAGACTACTTCCTTCCTTATGTCATGACGATTCAGGATATCAACACTGATCTCGGTGCTGGCTATTTCAAGTTTGCCTATGCCAATGGCTTGTATACTATTGGAAACGATGGATGCACCTGCGGAGACCTTTCAAGTGGCTTGGAGGGCGAACAGGGTTGCAAATGCGCTTTTCCGTTGGAGGGTGAGCCTTCCAAGTAAGGCTTATGTCAACCTTGCAAAACACCCATGGGTATCTTTCTCAACTATTTGGGCATGGGTTAGTGCTCATATCATCGCGCACTGAGTTGGAAATGGTTTCTTCTGTGGTTATTATGTCTTTTGTTGGTCGATTTCGTGGTTGCCTTCTACCAGCTGTGTATATTAGGTGGACAATCTGTACATATACAATCAATCGTCTTATATCGCTTCCATTAAGTCTATATATATGGTGCCTCACTAGTTGTTTAAGTGCACACCTGTGTGTACTTCTATCGCTCTAGATACAGCCAGGATACGCGTAGATCACAAGGTTCCTAGGTATACCATGGGTCTCGAGAGATTTTCCCGAGGAGGGTAATCAAAGTTGCAAAAATTCCTGATATGTGAGATATGTATAAATGTTTGCCTGTTAATGCTAAAGACTCGACCTATATCTCATTGTGGCCTAAGCCCTAGCCCTGAATTAGGAGGCTCCTGGGCAAACACTATCAGGGGCCCAATGTTGTATGCTGCGACGATGGAAACTTCAGGGATTTATCAGAGTGACCGCGCGATCATATGTATACTAGGTACAATATCCGTCTGTGAGGAACGTGCTCAATGTCATCCCAGCGCCATTTGCGTACTGTAAGATAATAGTACAAAGTCGCAACTGTGTGAAGGAAGAAGAGACCAGCCTTGCATTGACTTGTTTTTCGTAGCGAGTATACTCATAAGATTGAGATGTACGTACGCCACGGTTCAACAATATCTTAGATCGGTGACTTTTATTACAAAAATACTTTGCAGACTGCTCGTTTTTAGCTGGCAGATGCGTTTATCGAAAATTATTTCTTGAGCAGGACCATTGTTACAGCTTGGGGGTTTGGGCCTGAGAAATTTCTTAGGTAGAGTATTGAGTATTGAGATTTAGTGCTCCTCTGCACGCTTTTTCACACATGGCAGATCCAAAGCTCAATGCCACGGCACCAGAACTGCTTTTGTGGCGCCTCTTGAGTATTGGACAAATGCTATAGGCCTGCCTGCCCTTTTATTAGACAAACAACGTTCAATTTCATTCCTCAGGGTCGATGGCTAACTCGCAGACATGTCTTTATCCGACTCAAATTTAAGCTTGTTCTACCTTGATTCTTGATAACAGCTGAATTGACCTGGGACATCAAACCGAGTAAATATTATATGTACCACTACATGTAGAGCCGAACAGTTTTGATAAAGCCTAATACTATCATTAACAGGTATGTGTAAAAGACCCTATCATCAAGTAAAAGAACTCAATTTGGATTGTACCTAGGGACGTGCGATGAACTTTCTGTTTTTTCCACAGATCGAGGTTCAAATAAAACCAATCGTAAGTAATAGGATAATATCTACAACCAAGAGGACATTGGATAAGCAAGACCGTGATTGGCTATCGTCCCAAACGTCTTACGGAGCTGGTCGTCAAGATTAGATGTAGGCAAATATTATCCACACAAGTAATTGGACGACGACAATCCCATATTCACGCCATCTATTATTGAATACTTATGAATGGCTTAATTGTACTCGGCTCTTCTTGTGGCTGCACATATAATCGATGATTTGCTGGTCCAGCCATCCGAAATCAATTAAGAAACGCCTCTTAGGTCATTTTGAGCTGCGGGAAAGAGCATGACAGCACCCAAGCTGCTTGAAGACTTAATGAATATATATCATAATTGGATGTCATTTGCTGACATCGAAATACAATCATAGCACATTAAGTTTGACATTAATTGAGGCGAAAGCAGAGTGTTTGTACATGAAATTCGGTTTGCCACCACCACTGAAGCTACCTAAAAATAGACGATGACAATTGCCGCATTTTAGCCGTGAAGAATGATTCCATGGGTCAGAAGATTAGATTCAAACTGTTCTTCAGGAAACTAATCACGTTGAAGCTCTGTGGGAGTAAACGTTCATGGCAAATTAATCATCGACGTACGTAGCTCATTCAATAGCGACCCAAAGGTAGATGTAGGGGCCTGAGCATGACCTAAACTCTAGCTGCCCTAAAAGGCGTGTTAGGTCGGCCGTCACCCTTTAGCCATGGAAATGTAAAGATGGACGAATAATGTGATACGTCACAAAATGATGTGTACATCGGTGAAGATAATTGACTACTTGCCGGAGTTGGCAATAAACAATGGGGGGGAGAAGGAACGGATGCCTGAGTGGACCGAGTATGCTCGTGCCAGGAACAGACTGGTGGAGTCGCTGTGGTGTGGACATTATTGTGGTGCTCAGATCGCAGAACAACCAAGCAAACTTGGTAGTGGTATCTGACTTGCTTGTTTAGGGTATCTACAATACACATAGCCGAGGAGGTATAATCATCGGATAAATGGAGAGTAGCGAGATCGGGAGACCTGCGATATACCTTTGACTCTTCTAGAGTCCCACCTCTATACAAATTTGGTGTGAGGAGACATCCATCTCTTTAGGTAGGGGAGGACTACATTTAGCCACCGGCAGATGTGACCAAGTCACAAATCGGGAAGGTGCTAAGATGCGTCGAGCAATCAGGAAAGATCAGCATATCGCCGCTGACAAGTTACCAACAATGAACAACTTCTCCATATACGCACTGCATGTGTATGTTCCCCTTGGCGAGTTGAGGACCATAGATCGTAGTTTGCCAAACACTGCTTGACCGCGAGAATCGACAGAAAAGCATGTGCCAGCACATGCGTACAGACTAAGGTACCTAACCGTCTTTGTTTCGGTAGACGAGACTCCGAGAATTTGGGGCCGAGTGGAGTCTGTAACGGTGTGACAGATCTGTGGAAGTTTACTTTTACTTTGTCTGCGTCGGCAACGTACGGAGCAAGTGTATGACTTGAGTAGTAGTTCATGTTGATCAAAAACAGTACAAACCTCTGTGTGCTGATTCGCTTCAGAACAAAGGAGATAGCTCTCCGATGATGCTCGAGACTCGATTGACCGGAGAATATGCAGACGCATCACCATTAACTCAAGGGTCAGAACCGTCCGTGGTTGGGTTGCGTCGTAAAATTACCAATCTGACCACAAACTCTAAAAGAAATTCGGATCTCAATGGCGAAAAACAAACGAAGCATTCCCATTGGCCATCGGCACCGCGCCCGAACCACGAGGCGCGTCTGCTACGTAGTAAAGGCAACTTGTCTAGGCCTGAATCTGCCGAATGCGTTCCTGTATCCGTGTGACCGTGTAACAGAACTGCTGTCTGAGCCCCAATGTTACATGAGTCTCCTTTAAAGTGTACGTGCACGATTGAGAAGTCGACCGTAAGTCTACTCGAATGTCAGAAAATGATTACACATCGTTGGGATATAACCACCACTTGATACACGGACAGGACGGACCGAGGAGCAATCACAGACCGTCGCAGCTAACAACAGGCTTAAATTCTCGGCAGCAAGCGGCGACTATGCCTGTAACAAGTTAGCGTCTGCATTGGATCTCATAAGGCGGATGGATAACCAATGGCACGTGTGCAGGTGGGAACTGTAATTACCGGGCCATAATACAAGCTACGTTAATGTGTTACGGTATCAGTAATTTTGCCGAAATACGTATTTCAATACGGGTTTAATCTACAGCTAGGACTGAAGAAACAGCACTACATTTGTATAATAAGGTACTTCTGGGATGAAGGTGTGCTACGGTGAAGAATGCAAAGCTCCGAATCTGGCGATGACTGACGATCGCTGGAAACAATAAGCCATCGAGAAAAAGCAAGATGACTAGGGAAAAGCAAAGAAAGCGGCTCCTTGCCACATGCACCTCAAGGCAGCAAGCCCTCACCTCATGTGGACTGACTTGTCAGTGTTAGTTGATACGAATCGACCGAGTATCGACGATCTCTCGAGTCTTGACTTTTGACTCTTTCTTAACAATCATCATAACTGGACAGTGGACACGATCTTCGCGGCTTTTCCCGTCGGGCTATCTCTTCCGTTGTCCCCAGAGCCCATCGGACAACATCCCTGTTGGCGTGGGTGCGAGGGGGGCGGCTGACCTGCTCGCAGCTGGAGTTGGCTCTGCATTCTAGAGTCTACGATACGGAGAAGACCAAATTGAGATGGGGTTAGTGGAATGATTAATCACGAGAGGTACAAACCTTAATAAATGAATCGCACAATTTAGCGACCCAGTAATTACTAGTCTGCAGTTTGAATGCCTTCATTTACTGGGAGCCCCCTGTAATCCTCTGGTCGAGAGTCAAAACTCGACACAATCGTGATGAAGACACGGAATGCTCTGTTTAGGACAAGTTTAGACGCCACCCGGCTGGCCGCAACATGTCGGGATTGGCGATGAGTGGCTGCCAATTTGCCACGAGTCACGGCCCTTGGTATATCGACTCGAAAATATAGTTGTGTAGCACGACATGCGGCAAGTTCTCCTTTCGGCAGTTTAGGAGCAGCATTCTCATGTATGATAATCGATTATCTTGGTTGGGATGATTCAAGGCTTGCGGAGATTGCCGGTATGATTGAGCAATATACTCCGTACATGTTACGCATACTTGTATGACAGTGTGTACTATGTATGTACTTGGAGATGAGTGAGCCCGAAAGTAGCCCACTCTAACTCCATAACGAATGTTGTACAGTGTACCGTACAGTGGGACAAAGCTAACTGCTTGTTCATAACGATCGGCAGACCAGAGCCTAACGAATTGTCCAATAGGAACCAGAGAGAATGATGATCTGTAAATGAATCTGTAAGCGATCAAAAGTGAACTTGCTAATTGTAAGTTGTGGTGATCTACATTGGAGTTTCCCATCTGACATATCTCTCCGTCTGTCTGTCATTGCCTGTGTCAGTCGGTGATTGGGGGTATAGTACGCAGAAATCACAACGCAATACTTGGACCTTGACAGGCATGAGTCCAAGCGCTCAAGTGTCATGGCTTTACAGACTGAATCATCTTTTACAATTAGTTATTATCCAGGGAGTCATGTAGTCAATAATTTGAAATGGTCCGATGGTGTGCATACAGATAAAGAAGCTCATCCGCTCACACATGCGATCGAAGTTACACAACGTCCGTAACCCGCATATTCGATCGTACATGGACATACTTCGTACAGAGAGCCCACTTCAAGTAATCTACAATGGCATCATTCCATACGTCCTCGATACGCAAATTCCGATCTTGAGAACCACTTAATATCCAATGGTTGTGCCTTGCTAAATCTAGTGGTGGGCTAAACGGGCGGTGTATGACTAGGTACGAAGCCACGAGATACCACCTGACATGACATGAATCGCTAGACATACTGCGGGAAGTTGGGAGTTGTTTGCTTCTTCTACTGTATTAGGTTGTACCCGCTGCACGGGTCAGGTCGAGGTCGAATGCTTCTTTCTCTCAGCTTAGATTACTTAAAGTTAAAGCTATGAATTAAATATAACTAAGTTAGTTAACTTTAGTTAATGAGTCTGCTGACTGTAAAGAGCCAGGATTCAACCCCATTGGCCATCTTATGCTGTTGATTAGTCGTGTCGGTTGATGAAACGAAACCTAGCTAGTCAGCATAACCTCGAAGCTTTAACTACAATTAACGACATAGCGCTCAGCCCTTCAGTTTGCATACGACTCGGCTGATGGACTTTGCCTCGTTTGCGCCGCAACTAGCCAATGACGGTAGATATCGTATATGTACGAATCGTCGACTACGGAGGATGCCGTGCCCTAATGTATCACCAACAAAAAAAACGAAATTGACAACCACCATGGCTCACGCTAAGAGACGCCGCACGGAGTTCAGGTACATATGTACTACGACGTACTTAGTAAGAATGTATCTGCATGAGGTTAGAATACGCACGTAGCAACACGGGGACGCTCCAGACAAGTCTCGTAGAGTCGGTATCCGAGGATTTTAGCAAAAGAAAGAAGAGGCCCCACAGCCCACGCGCGGAGGTCTCGGCAGGATAAAATCCAGGGTTGTTGCCAATCACGAATCATATAGGTATAAAACTGTGTTTTATTGGTTTAAGGAAGGATTGCCAAATCTTCACTGTGGTAATCTAGTAGTACAGAAGACTACCAAATATGTAGCAAGTAACATACGATGTAGATTACTTACTCCGTACTCCGTCGGACCCAGGAAAACGGTTAGACATTTGAAAACGATCTACAAATCTACCGGTTCGGATCGAAGATGACGACTGAGCTCATGATTATCTAATGATCCCGCCCTTGCCTGATCAAAGTTCTGCAAGTTCGTAGATAGGTAGGCAAAGAACAAACGTGATCCAGTCAACATGCATCTGCAGAAGAAACTTCGGCGGGATGCCAACCGAGGCAGGGATCGCAGAAAGGGAGAATCAAGATGAAAAGCAAAAACAGATAACGCAGCGCTAATTCGGCAAAATTTCCGTGGTTGCAGAAGAATAGATTATGTTCTGGTTACAGACGAGGATTTACGTACGCTTTGATCCACTGATGTGGCTGTGTTGTAGCGGTGATGCCATTGGCTCAATAGCATCGTGCACGACTCCATACGCAATTTAGGGTATGAAATTTGTTAGCACGGCTCGGGAGATCTGAACTAAATACGAGGTAGTACTACTTTAGTCGAACGGACGAACTTGCTGATAACTTGTCGCTTGGCAGGATCTTAATTTAATCTATCTATGACCAGGCCTGGACATCCCTGACTGTCGAATCGCTTGCAAACGACGGAGAATATCCCTTGCTAGAGTCCGCCCGTACATACGCTAGAGTGACATCCTGCTAGGTAGGCACACAAGAGGCAGAAATCGCAACCAGTCGGAGTGCAAAGGCCAGAAGCATTCTAAAAGGAACGCCCCGCGATCATCCCATTCAAGTCTCCGCTTTCATACTTGCCTCTGGGCTGAAAAGCCTGAAACGAAGCTAGACGGGGTCCAACTCCAACGTGGTTGGGGGTTTGTGTTGCTTTTTCTATTGCTGGCCTGGCAGCGGTCCCATCGTGAAAATCTCTCCGTATGTACATAGACATCTCAAACTCTCAATGTGTGTCCGACCATACCTCGGTCGAAGTATTGGCGATCGTTAAACTTTGTTCTCGAACGACCAAGAATTCTGTTCGTCCAAAGTATTCTGTAACGTAAGTTTTGTGAATGACCGATGTAATTACAGCCCGGTCATGCATATACGTACCGTACCGTACATGTGAAGTTCAAACGGCGTCCAAAGCTCGCGTCAATCCGAGCTTTGGGCTCTCTTTTAGCAGCTCCTTAAGATTAGCTTGTTGGACCCATGGGCTTGGCTGTGGTTCATCACGGGTACCATATTCACGACTGTCTTGCCCCTTTGAGACTGACCGAAGTGTGATTTGCATAGGCCTAGCGTTGGGGTCTAACCGTGACAAGCCGTACCTTCGGTATCTTCTGGCGATACCGGACCGTACAGGTTTTAATTACAGCGCCGACTCCCGAGAACAATTACGAACAAAACGTGAGACGATCTGGGTACGCTGTACGTACTCGAAAGGTACATCGATCCGAAATATCTTTATACCAATGCAGAGGATTCGTGCTGCTGTTTACTGCTATGTACTATGAACACAGCTACGGATCTTTGATTATACTCCGTGTTGTCGGTATTTCAAGCCGGGCAAACCTAGAACAAAACTAAAGAGTCTCAAGGCAGAAGACACTAAGAATTGACGGGAATCCACTCGAAAGTTGCCACCAGTCTTTCCGAGAGGCTGGAAAGTCGCAAACTCTGAAACTGTAAAAAGAGAGGACGAGACGTCAGACTCAGACCAACCCACCCTTTTAGTAGGCACACTAGACGGCGGAAAGCGTCGAATTAAGACGCAACTACCAGACGTGATTGGAGGGCGAGCTCGTTTGAATTCCGAACCAAAAGTCTCGTGCAGACAGAACTATGGTAGTGGTAGATTACTACCACAGCGTTAATAATGTATGCGGTATGTGTTTACTGACTTACATGGCTAGCACCAAAGTCTAAGGGTCGACTGGCAACCTCAGGCAGCCCCCGGCTAGGCGGAATCTGGCAGTGTCCCGCGATGGGCCCTTCGTTCCTCTTTCTTCACTCCAGCCCTCCCGCTCTTCATTTCTACACTCGCTCTTGATCTTTCGCTTTCTGCTTCTGGACTCTCGTTGTAGTTACATTGTAGCGTCCTTTGGAGCTTTTCCATCCTTTACTCCCGTCTATATACTGCTAGTTCTTTGTTCGCCCCCGCTTACCACGAGCAAGGAAGAGCAGACGCTGTCATTCTTCGAGACTAGCTTAGTGTTTGACAGATTTGGTTAATTAAGCAAGTCCTCGGACAAGAGAAAAGAAAGCGCAAAACGTGGGAAGCAAATCTACATGGTGAGGGCAGACGCTTAAGCGTGCGGGTAGCCTTTTCCGCCACTGAGCCGCATCGCATCGCATCGCAACTGATGATTGCGAGTTTGCGACAAAGATGAATCCGTATCCACCCACAGCCTCGACATCAACTCAAAATCACATGTACGATTCTGGTTCATCAATGGCTTCTTCTTTATCTCCTCAGACTTCGCTGCCGCCGCCATCTGCTCTAGCATCCGCTCCCCCGAGCAGACCTAGCAGTGGATTGCAAATGGCGTATTTGTTGCATCCACCGGCGCAACAGGGCCCTACACTGCCTATGCCGACTTCCTCACCTTATGCTCACTCTTACGACTCAGGAACTGGGTCTCCGGCTGATCGGTCATCCGTTTTGACGGACGGAAATGGCTCTCTTCCCGATGCACCAAGCCTTGCGCCTCATATGGGAGGAGCCGCAGGACAGCCTCAACAGAAACGAGCTTATCGGCAAAGACGAAAGGATCCTAGCTGCGATGCTTGCCGGGAACGCAAGGTCAAGGTAGGGTTTGTCCTCGCCTACGGGTTGCGAATCAACTAAATCATGAATGCGCAGTGCGACGCTTCCGAATCATCGAGCTGTACAGAATGTTCGAACCGCAAGGTTCGTTGCCAGTTCACTAAAGAGACAAACAGGCGCATGTCTTCAATAAAGTTTGTTATACAACACCACCATTGCGTCTTTACTTACTGACTATTGGCAGACAAGTACAAGACCTGGAAAAACAGCTTACCAGTACGAAACAGCAACTGCAGCAGCTTCGATCAGGCGTTCTGAAGGCGGATAATGTGATGGATATCGAATTTGATGTCAGCGGTCAACCAGTGTTGAAACTTCCAGATGTCGGCGGTCGACCGGTGCGACAACATCGCCCTCCAATTTCACAGGATTTCTCCAGAGTGCGCGCCAACGTGCGCACCTATGGGACTGGTGTTGTCAAAGTGCCACCCCCGTATCGACAAGTGGTTCCCTCTTCCTTTATCCAAGACAACGGGCCGGCGCTGCCTGTAAAGAGCCTCGCAGATCGACTGCTAGCTCAATATCACGCATATGTGCACTCGGTTTTGCCGATTATTCACTGGCCTAGCTTTACAGCCGAGTACGAAAAAGTGTACCAGCGAGGAACACTGCGTGGAAGCCTTCGAGAGTGGGCTGCGGTGCTGTTTGGTGTTTTTGCCTGTGGTTTGATGCACTCTTTGGAGCCAAACAAACAACAAGATGCGCAAGCATATTTATTAGTATCGCAAACGATAGTTGATATATGGTTGGACGACTTCACACTTGATCAGGCCCGTGTCTCGCTTCTCATGAGTATTGTTCTTTATGAGATGAACTCCCGATCTTCAAGCTGGGTTTGGCTCGGTTCGGCTGTTCGGATAGCACAGGACATCGGTCTTCATATTGAGTCGGGTCCATGGTCCACTGTCGAGCGAGAAATGAGAAGACGTCTTTGGTGGGGGATCTATGCATGGGACCGGTAGGATACATTATTCAATTGCAAATCAGAGTCGCTACTGACGGTGTTTTTCAGGCTGTTGTCTCTCGAACTAGGCAAACCAATCTCAATCCATGACCAGGACTGTGATGTCGACCTTCCCTGTCCAGTTGATGAGCAATTCATCGCAGAAGGGGCTAGACTACCCGAAGGCTCAAACACAAACTCTTTACTAGCTACGATTCATGTGGTGCGCTCAATCGGACAACTCACCAAGACGCTGAGATCCCCAATTGTCAGTCCTGCGACACTCGATATCTTCGATCGTCACTTCAATGCTTGTCTGGCGACATTTCCTATCCATTTTCATCCCAAATCTGATAGTCTACTCGATCCGAGCTCTTTAGCGCCAATCATCTACCTCCAAAATGCCCGTTACGTTTTACATCGCCATAACATTTCGCCGTACTGCCCTGCTGATGTCCGGTTTCCCGCTTTGGATCAGTGCTTCATGATTGCCCAGGATACCGCTCGCGTGCTATCGCGGTGCATGCATTCACCACCGCCAGTTGTTCCAACGTCGGTCTACGGTGGCGCGCGCAATGATTGGCAAACATCTTTGGCATCATCAGCGTCGACTATGTTGTGTAATCATATCTGGCGCTGCTTGTTGATTTTGATTTTCAGGGAAGACTTTGCGGCAGCTTCGGTATGTGTACAAGCTTGCAAGGTTATTGGCGATCACCATATCGCCATGGCGTCTTGCGGTCGTTATGTTGCTTTCTTCCTGAGGATTTTGTTGGACCGCCTACGACGTAATGACTCGACCCCAATTGACCGAGACGAAGAGATGCTCGCGTACGTGTCAGGAGATATGCAGAGTACCGCGACCGGTAGTTGGATCTGGCAAGGAAGCGAGACGGGAACACAGTTAGAAAATGTGCCATCGCAATCACCGCCATATGTTTCTTCGGCCCCTGGAGTGGGAAGCAGGACATCCAACGATGCGGAATGGGAGGGTTGGGACTGGATCGAAGGAACTCTGCAATACCTGGCTGGTGAATTACGCCAGCGCAGTTATGACCGTCGAGACGTCCCACCAGTCAGGATTGCTGCCCCTGCTCTCAAGATTGAGGAGTCGGCAAGCAGCACTTCGAGATCGAGTGCGCCCAATTCGCGCATGACCATCGCCAACATTATTTAGTTTGAGATTTCTTTTTGTTCGTACGAATTATATGTCGCATTAGCGGGAAGATATCTGTCTGGTTCGGTATTTGCGAAGGCGTTTAACCTATCAGACCGGTTCGGTTTGTGAAAACGATGCGGGGAGTTCTTGATATTGTTGTCTTGGAATGAGCAACGACTTTCTATTTGATGTAGTAGAGCCTGTACGATACTATTGACTTACGAAGACGGGGTGGATTGCAAATACCATTTGGTACTGATGTTGATCATGCATAGCGTTCTCCTACACTATAACTCAGACACAACTTTTCTGGCTATTTATTTGGATCATTTTCATGCAGTATCCTCTGAGTGATGCTGCGTGCATGTTTCATAGACTAATCTAGCTATGCATGACCGAAAGTCACCTCTCTTCCTTTCATAACTCATACCGAGAATGGAAGCGAAGGAAAGAAATTAAACATCCAAATTGATAGCCTTCCCAAACCGCGCATATAGCGCAGCTTTCAATCCACTCAGCTCCTCACGTATCTCACCCAACGCATCCTCTAGACGCGAGACTTCAGTGTCAATTTCATCTGTGGATGTAGACAGTAAGGTCTGCGCTTGTTCAAGTGGGAGATGGATAAATGAATCTCCTATCTTGTATCTATCAAATGCATTAGCTGTGTACAGGTCAGATGGTTTGGAGAGAGAGAGACACACGGAACGAGTTCATCTTCATCCGCAAGTTCCAACTCCGTCGAGACTTCTTCGAGATCTTCTTTATCTTTCTACTCAATACATCAGTAAATATATCAGACATGGTATTTTAGGTGAGTAAAGAGACTGACCTGCTTAGCTTTCAACCTCTCCTCGAGCACAGTCTCCCGTTGATGCAGTCTACTGAACCGATTGATCTTGTCCTGATCTTCGCGACGGACTTCAGTATCTTCGGTGCCTGTTGCGGCCTCCTCATCTTTCGATAACTTTTTCCCGGTAGTTAGTAAGTGGTTGTGTTGGTTTTATATTTTCATGTATATGATCGGATGATTCTTATGGGATAGGAGAAAGTGGGATGTTGCTATTGCGCACTATCATGAGAAATCTTGAGGGATTGACGTACCATTCGATGTTGTAGCATTTTGGCTGTTGGATGTGAAGAAGTCCGAAATGAGGGATTGGTGTGCGAGGCTAACTGCTCCCTGATTTGGTGGATTGTTTTGTATGTGGTGCGTTGGAGAAATGGATATAAAGTTGATCGCTTTGAATCGTCCCGCATGTGGTCCGTGCACGAGGATGTATGTGTATTTTTTGCTGTATTACGGCTTACCAAGCTCGCTGAGTTGTGTGTGTATGCTTCGAGATGACATATTAGAATTGCGTATCAAGGTCGTATTTAGTGTTACACATGTCTTCAACGGCAAAACACGCCAGAAGAACAAAGATTCTGATTTCGACTTTGAATTTGTATGTGTCTTCTAAGATCCGAGATTATGCAACCGTTATTCTAATCATTACAGCTTCTGTCGAGGTGGTTGTCAGCTGTCGAGTCCATCCAGCTAGTCGCGTGACATCATCATACAGACCATCATGATATTTCAACCAGCAATTTCCATATTGAACCTTATCCACATTTCCTGGACCATCTTCATTTCTTGATGACTATTCCTTCGTTTATTAACCCAGAATTGTCGGTTTCTCGCCGATCTTCAAGAGAAACGCCCTCCTAGGTCCACCGACCAATCACCACCCGTGTTTCAGGCCTTAATTCTTAGCAGCCTTGGCTTCAAGCCGTCATCATCATCTTCAACTTCTCTGCACCCAAACCGAACCCCTGTTTTTCCAACCCATCTACATAGGTCCTTTCATTCTAATAGACCGATGGGCCCGGAGCTGATTGTCCTTCTCTTCTAACACCTCAACCACCACATTCATTTCCGTCTCCCCACACAACGAAACACGCCCACCATGCGTCCTCAAACACAACACACCACCCTCGCCAGTCTGGCATCAACACTCCTCCTCCTCCCATCCCTCACGCACGCGATCAGCCTAGACTGCGCAAACATCATCGCCGACAAAATCAAATTTGACCTCAGCCCTCTCGGCGGCGTACACGAAATCACCGATTTCCAAGAATTCGACGACTTCTCCACAAACACAACTTACGTGCTGAACATTTGCAATACCCTCAAGGGCGCTGCGACGAGGGAGGGTGTTAAATGCGGGACATCGCGGAACAGTACGTGCACCCCATTGCCCCTCTTCTTTGGTTGGTGAGTATGTGTGAATATAACGGCTGACGGTAGAATAGTCTGCGGCTTCGAACATATACTCTACTCCGACGGACGGTCCGATCCCTTGAAAGCCCTCCCCATCGCCGGCTACGAGAACTCGCTTGGCGGCGGATCCAAAGACGTCGAAATCAATCTCTTGAAATCGCTCGACCCAGAAACGGAGGGGGTCCGGATCAAGATCTCGGGCGGCACAATAACAGAACCGGAATTGAAGAAGAAATATCCCGCGTCAGCTATAATTGATTTTCAATGTTATCCTGATCGAACGGGTTTGGAGGGGCTTAAGAATGATGATGATTTGGATCAGGCTATTGAGTCCAAATCCCGTCGTGACGACGCTGACGACGATGACGACAAGCCGAAAGACGGTGATAATGAAGGAGATGATAAACCTGAACCCAAAACATCGAGTCTCACATTCCAAAGTTTCGGTCTCGTCGACGACAAGGAAGGGTTTGTCTTGCGTCTAGACTGGAAAACGCAATATGCATGTGAGGACTATAAACGAGAGAATCCCGGTTCTGGGGGTGGAAATGGTAGTGGTGGTGGTCATTGGGGATTCTTTACGTGGTTGATTATAATGTATGCCCTCCCTGATTTTGTGTTTATCTCGTCTGATACGTTGCTAATTGGTATGCGCAGTCTCTTCCTCTGCACCGCAGCGTACCTCATCTTCGGCTCCTGGCTCAACTACAACCGGTACGGCGCCCGAGGCTGGGACTTGCTCCCTCACGCCGACACGATCCGAGACGTTCCCTATCTTTTCAATGATTGGCTGCGTCGAGTGATTAATACATTACAAGGCTCTGGGGGCTCGAGGGGGGGCTATGCCGCTGTATAAACATAGATTCTCGATAGTGTAGGCTTCGTTTTGTGTATTACATCTAGCAGTGTTTTGTCGTGTATATGTATGATCAGTTTGGTTCGTTTGGCTCGTTCGAGTCCTTTGTTTTGTTATCGGGTTATGTGCGTCTAGATAAGGATCGGATATATTGCTTTATTTACGTTATTTCATGAGCTGGGCCATGAATTACCTGCATGTATTGACTGCAGTGCTGCCCGAATATCAATATGACCTGCTTGATAAGTTATATTTTTTATTGCCGTCACAGAATACCTAGGTATAATGTGGTTCGCTTTGTTGATGCGACTACTCAGGATGCTAGGCCTCATGAACAGCAAGCAAGTAAAAATCGTAGCAAACGTAACGGGGATTTGGAAAACAATCTGGTAATAATAGAAAAATTCCCCGGAATTGAGTTCAATCATAGGCCGTCATTAATCGTCATTATGGGAAAAGCAATAAATCATTCCTGCAGTGAACAATTTGAATCGTATCCTCTTCCCAGTAAGGTGGGAACCATTTTATCGGCTAAATTAGACCTTCAGCGCAAACTGCTTCATGTAATGGTAATCCGCCATGTTGCGATTGACCGTTTCTCGAATGATCTTCGCGCCCTTTTCACCGAATTTCTCGCGCCATTCGGCATCGAACTCTTCCTCGGATTTGAAAAGCTTGGCCTGTTTGAGTCAGTCTTGCTTAATTCGCGTCATTTGTACAGGTGAACTCACATGAGCACGAGGCTTTAGTTCCCTAGACGCGATGGCATCCTCGTGAAAGCCCTTCCACTTTTCGAAGGCTGCTCGGGCAGCGGCGTGGTCTTCCTCCGTGTCCCAACGGAGCATCTTAGGCTCAAATGGGATGCCGACGCTCTTGCAATATGTCTCAATCATAAGAGACGGGTTGTCCAATAGGTCGTCTGCGTCGACGACACAAATTTCGACGCCCCCTTTGTGAGATGAACCATTGCGCTGGTGAGTGGTTCCGTTCGTCTCCTTATTGGCTGCATCTTCTGCATGCGTAGTCGCGACACGGGGGCCAACTAGACCGACTTTGCGCAAGTACTCAAAGACGCGACGGACTTCGTCGTACCCAGCCTCGGATGGAGAAAAATCATGGAAGCCAGTCACGTCGTCTAACGGAGGGATTGTGCATCGAAAGTAGGACGGAATGCTGTAGTGCGGATCGCGGATGAGAAAAGTGAAATGGAATTTGGACAGAAGCTCCAGAGGGACCACCGTTGGGTTTTCTGGCTCTGCTTCGGTCGCATAAGGGTATGGAGGGACTTCAGCTTTGACTGAAGCTCCTCCATTCGTGGCCACGCCATTGACTTTTTCAGTGTCGACGTGGCCGTTGGTGAGGCCGTTGCTCTCGCCATTGGTGCCAATGCCGCGCTTCACCTTGAAAAGGGAGGGAGCGATGCTGGCTGGTTTTCCATCAGGAGGGACCAAGTAGTGGATGATGTCTTTGATAAAGACTCGTTTGCCCTGACAGGTCAGTTAATTAGAGTCTGTGCGACGAAAATAGCGAAAATTGTTGACAATACGACGATGCAGAAATACAGATCTTGGTCAAAGCTGCTTGACATGCGGGAGGACGAGACAATGCAAAGAAAGCAGATCGGCATACCTCAGTGGCTTCTCTTTCGATTCGATCAAAGATGGACTTGAACGTAGAGGTGCTAAAGCCGCTTGCCACGCGAGCTTCCTTGTCGTCCTCGTATCTCGTACTCAGCCGTTCAGGGCCGAAGTAAAAAGCATCTCCGAATGGTTCGTGGATGCACTGCAGAGAATCCTTGCGGGTCATGAAAACCTATTCTCCGTCCACACTAGTCAGTTTCATCTGGTCCCATACTTGGGGGATGTACACAGTCTAGTGCATACCCGTTCAAAAGCCGTTGAGCATGCCCTGGGATGGGTAGCGACAAAGATAGGCTTAGCCGACATGATCGATTAGTCGAAGATCAATGAGCGATTGGATCAAAGTCTCCACTGATCGCAGGCCAATTTCAGCTGGTCGAATGAGAGAGGCAGAAAAAAACGTTCCTGGAAGAGCACGCCAGCAGTGCAGCGATCACGCAAGATTCAACCCGTGAGCCTGCCGTTTCGCTCAGTCAATTGCCCAAAAACACGTGCGAGTTGAATGATGACTAAGTTGCTTTGAACTTTTGGGGAATATTTACGTCGCACTTACTGGGAATTTTGATCTTTTGAGGTAAAGCATGCCACGAAAACGAAGTTGAAGAGATCAGAGAAAAAAAATGAAATCTTTGTGTGTAGTATGTCGCGGTATTAATAGTATTTGCCATGGGTACTAATCGCCTGCTCGCTCACACGCTGTTCCTGTCGGTCCAATCGATTTACTCGCTGGGACATGCTTTTGTGGTGATGCAAGGGCGGGGACACTGCCAAACCCTGACTACACCCAAAATACGAATGGTCTGGCCTTCGGAGCACATCGATGGAGTCGCCCAGGACCAACCACAGGGCACGAGTTCCTAGGGAATCAGATGGCCACCAACCATGGGGATGCGGTGGGTTCGGCCGGGATAACCAAGTTTGCCAACTCCATTTCGTCCATCCCACTAGGCGTGATTGTTTTGAGTAACAGATTTGTCGCTCAACATTAGATCTGCCGGCATCAGTGGCACAGACCTGTCAAGTAGTAAGTATATACAGTGACTAGTAGTAGGAGTAGTAGATATTGGTAAGCGAGATCTAATTCCGTGTTCGGCATTATATCAAATTGTCAGGACCAGCTGCCATTCAGCATTTTTGCTGCTTCCGCTGTTACCGTGAATAATTGCAAGTACCTAGGAATTAGGTAATGGGTAATGGATGGGCGAGTAGAGCATGCAGTCTGTTTTTCTTCGCTGTTGAGTAATAGTTCATAGTGACATGAATCATTGATCCGGCTGATTCTCGGGTACACGGTCAGCTCTGGCTGTATGATCATCCTTGTCAAAGACTTTCTGATAGTACTTGTTGACAAGAGACTCTTCGACAGAGCCCTAGTAGTCTTGGACAAAAACGGAAAGTGTACACGCGATCAAGTAGTAGTAGATCGATGGATATAGGTATAAACATAGTTCAAGTTGATGTCGAGAGAAGAGTTTACATGATCCCATGACTCACGGAAGGTGCTTGTCTGGTTGTCGAGGAAGGTGATGAGTCGGTGCCTGAGGTTGCGATGGCGCCATCGTGACTGCCACATTGGGTATAAGTCTTTTCTCCGGTCGTAATCGTGATGGTTTTCTTCAGCGTTGCCTGTCTAGTCAGCAGTATGCTGACGATGTTGAAAATGTCATGATGCAGACTAAGTCTGTTCCATCTTCATTTTCACAAGGTTGACCTGTCATGAAACGGCAAACATCTTGAGGGACGCACGACGCACAGTCAGGGGCCAGCCCCAAGCAGCGACCGTGACACTACCTGAGGGGAGAAGCATCTTCCAGTCCGTTCCTATCCTTACTGCAAGACCTTTTCATCCCTGCTACGTTTCAAGGCTAAAATCTCTATGACGTGCTGCCCGATTTGTGACATATCCAGGTGCCATCATCGATGTGCTAAAAGGCTCGTACAAACACCGTAACCAAGCCCCCGACTATCCTACTCTACTCCGAGGCTCAACCAACGCAGACAATCTCGTCTGTTTTGTGTATCACGAAAACCGATTACAATGGTATCAGTCCATCCTTCCACCCTCGCAGGTGATGCTATTGAGACTACCAAATTGTTCATCCACAACCCAGCAGCCGCCAGTTGTTGTATTTGAGACCATGGAACCGACTACATTCAGTGCTGACTATATCGCTGATTGAATATAGAACGACCGTAATAATGACCGTTCGAAATGGCATCATCAACAACCATGGTCTTTCATTTCCCAGCAAACGCAATCCACTAATAGCTCGATACGCCTCGCGCAGAAACACTTCCACACGATGCAACATACCCAAGAACCCTTTCATTGATACACCAAAAACGAATCTCGGCCTTTCACGAACTGGACAGCCAACCCACGGGTCTGGTATACCCACACGGATTAGATTCAAACCAAACGATCGGCCACCGTATGCAAAACACGAGCCCCAACCTTCGAAGGTGATTGCGTGCTTTTCTGTCTAGAGTTTGATACAATATTACACTTGCTCGCGTCGAGCGTACGATGACCGGGTGATTGTCAAGGCACAGTGACTCTAGGTCAATCCTTGGTACTAACGCAAGCCTGAGAATGCGGATTCGTCACATGTCGGGATGCGGTTCAGTCTTACAATATAGTTTGAGGTCCAAGATAAGCATCATCTGTGATATGGCGAAGCCAAATGATTCGGTACGTATACACAGAGGACGAGAAAGTGAGATGTCGCGCTGTGTCTGGAACAGTGGTGACTTCGGTCATTCGAGATTACCACGACTGTTAGAGATAAGTCTACAGATCACCACCTATCTCAGCTCGAAGAATATATTCCAAGGATGAGTAGATTCATTCGGCAAGGGTAATATCGATCCTACAAACTACCATTATCTATAGCACGCACACCTTCAGAATTCACATACAAGAAGATTAAGATTACCATTCTTATGTCTAGAACACACTCATATCTCGATATACCTCATATCTTCTACTTTGACGGTCATTCATTATCATATAATATTGATAATTATACTTATGTTATTACAATAATCCATCATGGTCAATCACGAACTATCCCTATTTTGGAATGCCTCTACTGCGGCCTAATGCAAAGCGTGCGACCAAGAGGGGTCATTTTGGTTAAGTTTTATACTGATCTCAGCAATCTCGTCGACGTCGATGCTTCTGTCAACCTGCCAAATCAGTCTGTATTCAGTCTTTCCAAGTGAATGATGGCGTTGGTCAGCAACGTAAATGAATCGTCTGTCGACGAGCTATCCTCTCTATGGCAAGCTGCCTGTGAGGAGTACGCAAACGAAACAGGGATTGCGATCATCGACAGGGAATACCCAAAGTTGACTGGCTTTGAAGAATTATCACATCAGCTCGACCTAGAAGAAACTAAGTTTGAGAACTTCAGAATGAAGAAGCGGCCCCTTCTTCGCGCAATGCAAAGCATACTGGCGCCGTTCGAGACCTGGGGCGATCTGATTGGAACGGTGGCATCTGCTACATTTCCTCCAGCGTCTTCAATCATGGGCGCGATGTTATTATTAATTCGTGGCGCGCGAAAAGTTAGCGATTCATTCGATATGATCACTGATCTGTTTCAGAAACTGAGCAACTTTGCGGCTCGGTTGGATATGTACAAGGACGTCCCTCTTAGCAAAGGAATGAAGGCGATCATCGTCAAAGTCTTGATTAACTTTCTTCGCGTCTGTGCAGTATCCCAAAGGCTGCTGAAAACTGGTTCATTCAAAGCCCGTCTTTCTAAATGGGGTAAAAATCTCCTCATGGAGGATACTTCTGTCAGCTCCCTTTTCAATGAATTACAGGAATTGACGGATCAGGAAAAAATGATGATTGGTGCCCAGAATCTCAATCTGACACACCAAACACTGAAGAATACTGCCGATCTACTCGAAAAAAGCAATATTAAAAGTGATCAAGACCGGCTCGATCGAGTGAAACTTAAATTGCAGCCAGTCTCAGCGTCCAACCAGGTCCGCTCCGCAATCATGAGCAGCCGACTGCCAGATTCGGGGATGTGGATTGAGCAAAGAGTCAAGTCTTGGTGGGAGAGTTCTCAACCCCTACTATGGCTTCACGGCGGACCCGCGGTGGGAAAGTCGTACCTGGCAGCCAAGATCATAGACGTTCTTACAGAGATCGAGATTCCATCTATGTCTGCTGTTGCATCATTTTTCTTTAAAAATAATGATGTGGATTTGCGTTTCGTAAATAAAGCTCTACGGACCCTCGCTTGGCAGGTCGCTGCGCAGCTACCAAAGTTCGCCGAGCACGCAGAGGACTTTTGTCTGAAGGCGGATCCGGCTGATACATACTCGATATGGAAAAATCTTTTCCTGGAGTTCCTGACCGGGAATGGCTCAGATGTCTCCCTGTTCTTCGTCATCGACGGCATCGATGAGGCAGATCCAGACGAGCAGGAATTGCTCTTTAGTCTTCTGGAGAAGACTTACTCTTCAGAAGAACAGGCCCAAGATTCTCCTCATCTGCGATTTGTTCTTTTGAGCCGTGACGCGGTGCGAAGTGGTCTTCAAGAACATTCACTCGACTGGGTACCTGAGATTGAAATAAGCAACCGCGAGAACGGAGAAGATCTTCATAAATATGTCTCTCAGAAACTGCAAAAGTCAAAGCTTTTCAATAACTCACCTGACCTTTTAAAAGATGTTGTCAATGATATAAGCGAGTCCGCTGAGGGTTTGTGGGAATGGGCTACCCTTGTAATTCGATCTGTGTCGAAGTGCAGCACCAGAGGACAGGTGCAGCGAGTAGTCAAGACAATGCCTCGGGGAATCAACGCAATGCTCAACCAGGAGCTCAAGCGGCTAGCTCGGGAACTCTCAACAGACATGCCGCCTGACGAGGGGGGTGTTGAAGAATCAGAAAAAATCAAACAGTTGAAACTGATAATCTCCTTTGTCACCGTCGCCAAAAGGCCCCTATCAGTACAACAGCTTGATCAAATTCTAGAGATGATACTCGAGGACGAAGTGCTGAATCTGGAACAGGAAATCGGTGTGACGTACTCATCTTTGTTTGCTATGCGTGATTCCGGGGGCAATGAGGATTATTCGACACATGATATAATTGTAACGCTCCGCCACAGCTCGTTCTATGAGTTTTTTAGGCTACCCAACAATGTGGAAACCGAAGCTATCCGCGTAGACTGCGAGAATGCAGAGGTGGAATTCGTGTCAGTTCTACTACGCGCTATGCTGAATACTCACACTCCCATTTCCAATCAATGGACAGACCCAGTGGCGGAGTACGCAGATGACTTCTTACCACATCATCTGACCTCTGCGAAGCCCGAAAAAGCGGGTGTTCTTCACTGTGAAATTTCGACTTCGATTTTCGATCTCTTTTCTGAAGACATAAAAAATCAACGCTTCGTTACTAAACAATACGTGTTCGCTAGTTCCTACAGCCTAAAGGCATCGTCCCGGCTTACTCAACTGGCATATTATTATTTCAGTGCAGGATATTACGATACCGCAAACGAGAGGGCGCGGCATGTGCTTAAGTGGTTGCTCCCAGTGGATAGAGAAAGATTCGAAGAAAGTGCTCGCTCCATGCACCCACCAGACCGCATTTGCCCCTTTACTCTACTCTTCTCATCTTTAGTAATCTCACTTTCTCGCCATTGGCTTCAGCCGAGCGATATTGATCCGACTGATGGGGGCGCTTATTCGATCCCCCTAATTCTCAATGTTTTCGGAGAAATGGTGGGCAGTTTGGAAGTACCCGCGGCAATTTTGGAAATGCCCGCGGCCATTTTTGGACAGTCTGGAGACATCAAATCTAGACCAATATCGCACGTTGGTCATTCGTTATCAGCTTCTCGTATATTGCTTGTCGCCAAATCGCAAAAATTGGAGATGACTGTGACTTGGTATGCTCGCTTGGCACAAGCGCTGTTCTTTCATGAATATCACAAAAGAAGCCTCCGTTATTTTCGAAAAGCTCTTAGCATGAATCAGAAAGACCTTGCGCTGAACCCGGCGTCTGTATCTGTCATTCACAGAGACATGGCGACTGCACTCATTCAAACTGGGAGATATGAAGAGGGGATAGACCACAGAAGACTTGCCTTTAACCTAGGTGGGAAACTTACCGCGGACGATTTCCCAAGCCCTAATGATTACATTCGGCATTTGTTGGAAGTAGCTCAGTTGGAGCATTTGGCAAAGTGTCCAGAACAGGCATTGGCCTTGGCGAACGCCGCTTGGCAGGTATACCTGGAAACTGAGCAAGGAGACCCTGACTACTCCTTGTGTATGGACTTTTTGTCGATATTCCTGGAGCTGAAACAGTTTCATCATCTCCGGTCGGTTTTTGAACTATTCTTGCGATTTTCCCAACAAGAACTCTCAGACCCGGACCGATATCATGAAGCCGATTCTCTGCTCGCCGAGACTATACTTAGACGACACAATTGGCGGTTACGAAAGCTTTACAATGCTGTTCATTTTGGTTTATCGTCAGACGACACGGATTGTCTTGAGCTAATGGCTCSGGKAGTCGACAGCCTACCGCAACGTCATTTTGGGTACTCTCTATTCAAGTGGAACCTGTTCATCGGTACTGCTTTGCTAGAAAAAGGACAGACCACCACAGGAATACGAATGTTGTGCAAAGCAGTGTCGTTACCCAAATTTCATCTCGTCCTCTGGTATAGCGACTATGCTCGGCAACAAGCCCTTAGCAATTTAGCTGCAATTTGCCTCTACCATCCTGAAATCTGTTTGACTGTTGAGAGTCCATTAGAATTGGGTGCGGACGCCAGATTCAGCGATATTTGCCTGGTTCTCTCATCCTGGCTGCGGGAAAAGGGAGACCACGAAAATGCTCAAAAGGCTCTGCGCGGTCGCGTGAAAAATTGTCTTGAGTTGCTATCGGACGGTGACTCTACAAATGATGGCGATGCCTGGCTAGAGCTTTTCAAGACGCTCTTGATAGATCTCGACAGTGATGAAGATCTGGGCGGCGCCTTGTATGTGGTCAAGACCTGGCGGCGAACAATAAGCAGCTACGGATTTTTCGAGGCTTACAACGAGTATGAAGACGTTGAAGAATCAGACGAGATTGAACTCGGGAATGACACGGAGGACGGCCTTGCGGAGGAAGAAATAGCTGCCCTGCCGAAAAGAATGGAAGACGATGTCGCAGATGACGTTATTTGGTTCGTTGAAACATCCAGATCACTTCGAGGCTCTGATGAATCGTACACTGCGTGCCCAAGCTGTGGTCTCCAAGTCACATCGGTGTCGGACTGGTATTTCTGTCGATCCTGCCCTCATACAGTCTTGTGTCCCTCCTGTTACGCCGATATCAAAAGTGACCGCGTGCAGAATCATCTTCTTTCCCAGCATGTACCACAGACTTGCAATTCTCAACATAATTTCTACTACACTGGCAAACCGCTTCGACTTTCTGAATGCGAGGAGCTGGGCAAGGTCCGCTTCACAAACTCTGATTCGGGAGAAGTGAAGACACTGTGGATTGAAGAATGGAAAGATCAATTAGCAGAGAAATGGCGAACAAAAGACTTTGAGTTTGAAGGTGGATTGTCGGCTTGGTGTATGAATTTGTTGCCAGAGCTGCAAAAGGAGAGATGGGCCTGTCTGTTCAAGGAATAATTGGCATCCATTAGAACAAATGACCGTTGTCAGTAGAGCACGTAGAACCAGTATATCCCAACTCGTTCACGTATACTATAGGTTCAAAAGACTTACCGTAATGCTGAATGGTAATTAATGGGATCGGTACAAAGTCAGACACTTCATACCTCCAATCTTTAGGGCTATTGTGAGTACCTGATCATCTACAAGATTTATCTTCTTACCTAAGTAATAAGGTATTAAAGAGACTGCACTACAATGTGAATACACGATTCGGAGTTTATCCATGTGAATTTTTTCAAAGGATTTATATTAGTACTATGTACATGATTAGAGAAAGACATGCAACTGTAAACCAAAAACCAAAACGCCTAGCAATGCAGCAGCTATTTTATTTCGTGAAAATCATCATATAGATCAGAAAAAAAGTCCGTCTATTCGTAAAGATCCATGTCACCACTGTTCTCCTCAATTTCGGCCAATGCATCATCCGAGTCAACCATATCCGCGTCGTCGACGTCGCTGTCAGTATGATTTGGTAGGACGTCTATACGACCATCCTTCATGACCACTTGAGCGATTTCGCCGTCTTTGATACTGCCGCGTAAGATCAATACAGCGAGACGGTTGAGGACCTCGCGTTCAATCAGGCGAGACAAGGGACGAGCGCCGTAGGCAGGTGAGTATCCAGCATCGCCGAGGTAGTCCTTGACTTCTTCGGTGCATTCGATCTTGATGTCTTTGCCGTTGAGTTCAAGACGACGCTGGATTTCATTAAGGCGAATGTCAACGATGGAGCGAATCTCGCGTTTGGTGAGGCGGTTAAAGATGACGACGCTAGAGATACGGTTGAGGAATTCGGGCAGGAAATAGTCGCGAAGAGCGCCCATAACAAGCTCGCGAGTGGATGGTTCGATTCGGCCATCTTTGGCTGCTGGGCGGGCTAGGAACTCTGCACCGAGGTTCGAGGTCATGACGACGATACAATTCTTGGCGTCAACAATGCGACCTTGCCCGTCTGTGATACGTCCGTCATCCATGAGCTGAAGCAAGACTGTCAAGACTTCCTTTGCGGCTTTCTCGACTTCGTCGAACAAAAGAATCGAGAATGGTCGACGGCGAAGGTTCTCAGTAAGCTGACCACCAGCATCGTGACCTACGTAGCCGGGAGGAGCACCAATCATTCGGCTGAGAGAATGACGCTCCTGGTATTCTGACATATCGAACCGGATCATAGCCTTAGGATCATCGAAAAGAAATTCGGCCAGCGCCTTGGTCAGCAGTGTCTTACCAGTACCAGAGGGACCGCAGAAGAGGAAGCTAGGAGGCTGGTTGGGGTTGGCAAGACCAGAACGCTGCAGACGAATTGCGTTGGAGACTGATTGAACAGCTTCTTTCTGACCAACAACGATTTTGGCCAAATGCTTCTCCATTTGCAGCAACTTGTCCTTCTCGGTGGTCTTGAGTCGGGTGACGGGAATACCAGTCCAGCGGGCGACGATTTCGTTGATTTGGTCTGGACCAACGGCATCAGGCATGAGCGCTGTTTCTCCCTCATTTCCAGTTCGAGCAAAAAGCTCGGCATCAGCTTTGGCTCGTTCAGCTTCGAGTCGCGAAATCAGAGCCTGAGTTTCTGGTATAGCGTAGTATTCGAGATCGGCAGCTGTGGCAGTATCTCCAGAGCGCATAGACTCGTCTCGCTTGACTTTCAAAGAGTCGAGCTTCATCTTTGCGTCTTGGATCTCCTTGCTTCGCCTCTTCTCTTGTTCGTACTTTTCACGTAGAGGCCGTAGTTCCTCAGCGACATTGGCAGCTTCCTGTTTGGCAAGTTCAAGACGAGCCTTTGAGGCAGCATCTTGTTCGCGCTCTAGGGCATGAATTTCGATCTGGAGCTGACGCAGTCGTCGCTCTAAGTTGTCGAGGGCCTCGGGTTCTGATTCACGGGTGACACGAACCGCAGCTGCAGCTTCGTCGATCAAGTCAACGGCAGAATCCGGGAGTCGACGGGCTGTGAGGTATCGAGCTGCAAGTGTTGCCGCTGATACAATAGCTCCGTCGAGAATATTAACGCCATGGTGGACTTCGTATCGTTCCTTGAGACCACGGAGGATTGAAATGGTCTCTGGGACGGATGGTTCCTTGACCAAGACTTGCTGGAATCGTCGTTCGAAAGCCTGGTCCTTTTCAATGTACTTGCGGTATTCTCCAAGGGTGGTGGCACCAATACAGTGGAGTTGGCCACGAGCCAACATGGGTTTGAGCAAGTTGGCTGCGTCCATGCCACCTTCACCGCTTGATCCGGCACCCATCAAAAGATGGATTTCGTCAACAAAAAGAACAATGGTTTCACGAGCCTCTTCGATTTCCTTAAGCACACCCTTCATTCGCTCTTCAAATTCACCGCGGTACTTGCTGCCAGCGACCAAAGAACCGACATCCAGAGACAAAAGCTTGCAGTGGGCGAGATTTGCAGGGACATCGGCGTTAACGATTCGGCGAGCAAGTCCTTCGACAACAGTAGTCTTACCAACACCAGGCTCACCGATGAGAACAGGGTTGTTCTTGGTGCGCCGAGTGAGAATGCGGATGACTCGTCGGATTTCTTCCTCTCGTCCAATCACGGGATCGATCTTTCCTTCCCGAGCTAGTGCTGTCATATCGATTGTGAACTTCTTCAGGTTTTCGTGCTCCTCCTCAGCATCAGCGGTCTTCGAGTCGACCCGCTTGGTTCCACGAATCTGTGAGACAGCATTGTCGATGAGCTTGACATTGGGGATGTTGGCGTCAGCGAGAGCTTTCTGAACTTGACCATCTTGGGCGACGGAAACGATCAGATGGTCAATAGCGACGAAACTATCTTTTTGAGTTTTGGACAGATCGGTGGCTGATCGGATGACTTTGGCGAGGGCGGGAGAAACAGCGACTCGTTCTGGGGGAGGATCTTGGCTTGGTTGACGAACAAGAAGCTTCATCAAAGACCTTTCTAACAGCTGAGGATCTCCATGTGCGCGTTCAACTACCTGCTTGAAGAGGGGTACTGTGCTTGAATCTCCGGCAACCCCAGCAGGTTGTCCCTCATCATCCACGCCACCAGCTGGAGGATTCAAAAGGGACACGGCAAGATGTAGCGGGAGGATCTGGGTATGTGCATATTGTTCGGCGAGAGTATTTGCGTCGAGAAGGGCCTTGTTCGCCCGGTCTGTGAATTGTGTGTTACTCATGGTGTATGTGTAGTGTGTTTGTGTATGATGCGCCTAAACCAATCGAGGCGAGAATGAGGTTGTTTGTGCACCTCTGCACTTGATATCAGAGTATCGATGGATAGTATATGTCTGAGAGTAGTCAAGGAAAAGAAAATGCAACAAGCAGAAGTTGGAAACGAAGTTATTATAGACGGACGCTGGTGAAGCAATCATGCCATAATGCGCTGGCGGCTTGTGGAGACGGCCTGTGCCCGTTGCTGCCCGTTTGTTCGCCCAGCTTCCACCGCCTTCTCGAATCATCTACGTCACATCACGTGGTCTTCCCCGCGGATGACTTCATTAAGCTGTCAGTCCCGCGCTAAGCTATATGCGGATGAATCTAGACTGTTTAAGGCATCAGGGCATAAAGGCATCTAGGGTTATTCCAGCTCCTTCCGGGTTGTTTCAACCTATACAGACATACATTACATTATTTTAACGTCTTACTCTCGTTGATCCTACCAATCTCCTTCGTTTGCTGCAATCCACCACCTCGCCATTTCCCCCGCTTGCATAAACTCCACCTCATCACCCCAGCTCTGCAGCCACCGGATCATTCTCTCAACCATGCCGATAACATGAGCCATACCAGACGTATCCGGGTGCATGATAATTGTAAAGATCGGGTTACTCTCATGTTCTCGTACCCACAAGAACCGATCCTTCCACATCTGCTCAATTGAGCGCACATCAACATATCCATGTGAGTTGTGGACGTGAGGCAGGAACTGCATTGGAGTCATATCTTCCATATAATAGTTGCACGGTATTTCGACAATCTCTCGACGGCTCGATGATGAGTCGATATCCGAAGCAGAATCCGGAATAGGATGCATCCAGCTTGAAGCAGGTTTGCGGTAGTCAATTGGCTGAAGGGGGGGTCGACGAGGAGCGAAAAAGGGCTGACAGTCGTGATCGGTCAAAGAGGAATCTGTTTACCCATGTGAGTTCAACCCACTCATTTCAAGTCAATCAAAGTGCAAAGTATACCATATTCGAATCCGTACTCCTCCAGGAGGTCCAGTGTGGTCTCTCGAACCTGGTACAGTGGAGCTCGATAGCCTACCGGCCTTTTACCAGTGAGCTTCGTCATAATGTCGATACACCTCTCGAGTACGTCACGCTCTTGCTGTACAGTAAGCGAGTAGGCACCCTCATGGGCGTATCCATGCAAACCAATCTCGCAGCCAGTATCCACGACTTGTCGAACTTCCTCTGGAAAGCTTTCTGCCGAGTGACCAGGAATGAACCAAGTTACCTTGTTGGCTATGCCCGTTCGCTTGAGCATTTCGACTAATCGCGGCACTCCAACTTGTGCTGCGAAGAAGCCGGCTGAATAATCCGCAAGCACATTTTCGGTAGAGTATCCTGTTCGGATCAGCTTGAGTTCTGGTATTTCTTATGTATACTCGGGCTGCATACCTGTGCCTAACCATCCAGACACAGCATCGAGATCTATTGTCACAGCCACACGGATCTTGTTTCCTGCTGATGAAGATAAGGACCGAGGGACCGTGCGAATGGTCAGCGCCTGGCTCGTTAGGTTCTGGCTGAGACTGATTGTCTCGTTTCCTCGCCATACAAGTCTGCCTTCATTTTCATTATCAACACCGAGGCATTCGCCTGACAATTGGCCAGCTTCGCGGTGCGAAGCTAAGAAAGTCGTTGCCCGCACCAAAGCTTTCAGTTGAAGACTGGTGTTCTGTGAAGGTTTGGGGTGTTTTCTATTTCACGAGGTCAGTAGCGGGTAAATATGTTGATGGATGTTGTAAGGCATACTCAGACTGTGTTCTGGCCTCAATTAACCCACCAGGAATGACGGCATTGATACGAGCTTTGCGGTTCAATTGAGTAATCTCCTTTTTCAGCCTTTGAATCAGGTCATAGGGAACTCCGTCATGAACGGCATGTCCCTCAGGCTCGCTACTACCCACGACCACAATAGCGAGGTTTTTGATTTCTCTTCCACTCTGAGCATCCTGAGAAGACTTTGCTGATCGAAGAAACTGCTTGACGGTCACAAAAATCCTGCGAGAGTCCTTGTGATACGTTTCCTCCCACGTATCTAATGGTAGATTCCAAATCGGGTGCTTGTGAGATTCCTCAGTAGAGCCAGCATTGAGAACAAGAATGTTTATCGGTCCGAACTTGTTCATGGCCTCTTGCATCGAACGATTCAACCCGCGCTCGGTGGTCTCGCCATAGAAAGAGTTGAGGTGGTCTGTATATTTGTGAGGTGGCAGCTCATAAGGCTTTGAATCATGCGAAGTGACATAACAGCCCAAATCTATACCATTTGAATTGTGTCAGTATGCCAGAAAACCATTTGGGCTGTCTGAGAAGATATTTCGAATTGTTCACACCAAGATAGTTCTCAACTGCAATCTACCAGCTCTAAGTATGAATGAAGAGTAAAAACGTACCTAGAAATTCCTGGATTATGTGGCTGCCCACTACCCCCGCAGCACCAGTAATGAAGGCATGAAGGCCCTCCAAATCCGAAGACGAAGAAGCCATTTCTACCAAATTTATTTAAATTAGCTGTCTTCTCCGATGTGAGTATGGCGAGGTTCTCTTGAAGAGACTATTTGTTGGAGGATAGGCCTGGTCTGCAGAAAACTGTAGGCGCAGCTTGATGTGGCTCCATCTTCGTGATCCACTTGATCGCCTGGGCATCAGGTGTCAATGCACCGAGTATGTAACTGTTTTACAAATGCAATGCATACCGTATCGTGTAACTTTACAGTTGGATTTCAGCAGCCACGTAACAGCGAAAATGGTTGAAACTGTAAAATTGATTGATACAAATTATTAGTGCTACCTCGACAGTGAGATCAACATAGATAATATCTGCGTCCCTTGATCTTTGCAATCCGGCCGTGGAACCTCCAAAAATAATGGCTCCGTGTTCGTCCGGCAACGAGCGACTACCACCTCTTGACTGCTTCTTTTCCTCCGTTGTTTTCGCATCCACCGACTGTGGAGAAGCTTCGGTCCTCGCCTTGACAGACATGCACCTGATTACCACTGGTGGTGGAGTGGACGACATGGTTCACAGTGGGTTCTATAGAACCTCGTATCTTTCAACGCATAGATACGGCCGCCCCGAATTTCCCACTGGCCGTGTGGTATCATGTCACTTTTATCATTATAACAACGAGGCAATTTACCGGAAGCGCCGACGTAAAGTTTGCATTGGCCAAACTGATTTTGACAAATCACCCACAACTGTGGACCATCAAACCGCTCGAAGATCACTTGGCCACTGGCTTTTCTCCCATCTTAATCTCGTGTCTGCAGACTGTACTGTCTTGACAGGATATAACAAAACACCTTGGAAGTGATACTAACAAACAGTCATACCAGCAGCACTCTGTAATTGCTCCCATCATGCTGGACTCAGGATGTCATTTTGTATCATGTTTTGGCCCGATTTCGATAGATACTAAATAGTCACTCTTGCCCGACCTGAGGAATACCACGAAGCGCATATGCTATTCTATCGTACGAGTCTTGCCATCGTTCTTTTCCCGACACTTCTTGGTCGCCGACATACCTATCGGGATTCGCCGAGGGTGTAACGTGGTGCATCAGAACCAACATTGGTACTTGAGCGGGTATTCACATCAGGAGAAGCCATTATTAAATTTGACTAGCTCTTTTGTCTGCTCATTTTATGAGTATATTGCGGTCGACTGGTGGTCAGGTCTTTCAACAAAAACCCGACTTTGCGTGATGATTCTTCATGAAGGAGCAGACTCATTGCTCAGTCGTCGAGACAATTGGCCGTCGCAATACCGCTCTCTGCTGGTCTGCCTGGTCATGATCATTCCTCCTTGACGGTTGATCGCTTTTTCCGTAACGATGCCTAGGGGCCAGGGCCCGATTGGAATGGTTCTAGCCATGATGCGCTGCGCTTCATGATGATGTATGCCGATGATTATTTTATTTTCTGAACAGGAATGCCGTGAATGTTTTTGAATTCAGACAAACTGTTATTTTTGCAGGGGAAGAGGGTACGACTGGAATTTGGCGAGGGGTTTCAGGAATAAATTGCATGATGCGTTGTATATGCGTAGCCCAATCTAGTTGGTGGAAATCCGATCGGATGCTTCGATTCATTGTTCCTCAGGCTATTAAGCCACATATTCTTGCATTTCCAAGGTTACGTCGAACCTATACAGCCAGCCCTGCAATGGCCGGCTTCCTCCATGAGTGCCTTTTTGGAACAGAATATTGGGAAATAATCGCAATTCGAGGTCGTCTATGCAGATGTTTAGACTAGTCTCTCTTCTGAGATATTATGATTTGCCACGCATTCTGCATACATGAATTCACATGCTTCCAGCCCCAAATTCAAGTTAGCTCTCAGGGGCATCATCCATGTTGTTGCCAAGCATAAGAGACATGACACATATGCTACCTTTCAATCTCATTCAAATCCCGAGATAAAGCAGACTAATGAGAATGGTACTTTGTTTAAATCCGACGTAGGTTACACCCGATACCTAACATAGACTCGCGAGAGGTGTTGCACCAAGCTCAGAAGTAATTGGGAATATGCTAGTCACTTACAGGTTCGGTCTTTTCATCAAGGAAAAAATGATCATATGAAGCTTCTCGTTCTTTTGCTGCGATGAAAGACCCATTTATGACAAGATCAAGTTGAAAGAAACACCGTCGAGTTCGTTTCTGAAAATGAGAAGCTAGCTGATCAGCCGGCTCTAGCCGAGCATTGACAGCTGCAGGGGCCATTGATAGCTTCTTGAATACGAACGGTTCATGAGCGGCTCACATCTCCTCCATCTCTCTGTCTGTTATGAAACTTCTTGGCGAATGATGGGGGCCAATTCCGGGTGTCATCTTTCCCACAATAGGTATATGATATACTTTGCAGATAGACTACATGTAACGCTGTAGATCCAAGATTATCCAATCAGGAGAAAAATGCTTTGTTTTATAGGTTGTAAATGGGGTCTCTGTGTCATCAAATCCAGACCCTGATGAATTTGAGCCGCAGATCATGTCTCGGATTTTGATCTCCACTGGGATACGAGATCCTCTAGAATAGGCATGTTTGTTCGCAAGTGTCAAGACGCAAGTCAAATTTGAGTTCCCCCAATAAACTTGAAACGTTGTTCTTTCCCAATTGCTATTCATCAAGTAAGGAGTTCGTCTATATAAGACGGAACGACTTCCAAATTTCAGATCCGATCTTCAACCTTCACTCAGCTACTCGGTCTCAAGATAATTGCCACAATGAAGGTCTCAATATACACCGGTCTTGCCATTGCGGCTTTCACGGGGTCAACCTTAGCCTACGACATCCCTGATAATGTACAAGCTTTTTATGACAAAGTGAAGAACGGAGGATCATGCACAGGCGATGATCTACTTAAAGGAGGTTTCTACGCCGAGGAAGGCGGATCTAAAAACTTCGGCTACTGCCAAAAGTACTTTACCGACAAGGGCCTTTATTTAAAGGGTCCAGGCACCAAGCTTGCCGACATGGACATTGACTGTGATGGCAACCAACACGGTCTTGACTCTCGCTGCGGATCATCCGATGATACACAGTCAGAGACTGCTTTCAAGGACCAGGTCTCCAAGTATGGCATCTCAGATCTAAGGGCGGATATCCACCCTTACGTTGTACTGGGGAATTATGGCAGCTACAGCCCGACGTTCGACCCCGAAGACTACGATATCAAACCCCTTAGTGTAGTGGCAGTTGTGTGCAACAACAAGCTGATCTATGGAATCTGGGGCGATACCAATGGTGACGATGGCCCGCCATTGGTCGGAGAGAGTTCTCTTGCTGTAGGCACGGCGTGTTTCGGGGACAGTATCAATGGGAATAACGGTCATGAAGGTACCGATGTATTGTACATCGCTTTTGCTGGAGATAGCGCTGTTCCTGGATCGTCAGCAGACTGGAAGGCGTCTTCGTACAAGGACTTTGAGGATAGCATCAAGGACCTGGGCGATCAACTGGTAGCTTCGTTGTAACCTGCCGTGCTATCGGTGTCAATGAAACAAAGCGAAAGTCGGTCCGTATACGTGGGTCTGGAGATACATTGATTTCGCAAGAATCGCTGGATTGAATAAAAAATGTAACGAAAAGTACGTTTTTCGAGGAATGAAAGTAGTTTATATTTGTAACGAGCCCTAAATGCAATAATTTTTAACCTAAAACAGCAATGGTGCCAAAGTAAAGCGGCGCTCGGCGACCGAATTCCCTCATGACCAATCCGGAAGGAGTAGGTGCGTCGGCTGGGCAAGGCCGTCTCCGAACTCCAACCTCACTCTTTCATCCCGCCAAACAGCGACACGACACACCTACACACACTGACAGCTGAATGCGATATTGCGGAGGCATCATTTTCACCCACAGAGGCGACTGTTTCGCTGTATGCAAGGGCGCACCACGATTACAGCATGACAATGTAAATGTCTTCGACTCCCGAAGCCAAACATATTGATTTGTCAGGGACCACTCCCACCATGTCGCTTCCACACAGCAGCAGGAAGCGCCCAAACAGTAGCGCGGAAGAGCAGTCATCGAGGGCATGCGATCAATGCAGAAGTCGCAAGGTTAAGTGCGATCGTCAGCAGCCCGAATGCTCTAACTGCCGCAAGGCCGGAGTGACATGCGACTTTTCTGATATGCTTAGGCGCGTTAACTATGCCAAGCGACTGTAAGTTATGACAACTCCCGTGCATAATCAAGGTCGACCAGCTGAGTATCCTTGTAGCCATGACGAGTTCTCGAGCGTTTCAGCTCGTATGGATAAGCTTGAAGCGACTGTGGCCAAGCTTCCAGAGCAGATCGCTCAGAGCTTGTCGTCGTCTTCCCCAGCATCAAATGCTTCGTCGTTGAGTGGACCCGCAGGCCCACGAAGCCTCTTGAATAAAGCACAAGCCATGATCTTGAATCCAAGGAATGCAGAAAACAAATACGAGGAGACTTCTGAGAAATGGCAGCCGCATTTCGAACGGATTCAGATCGCCCAAGGGGGCGAGCGAATCGTCGGTTACCCAGCAGCACTAACCCTCTTTGTCTCTATCAAGAGACACTTGGTTAGAGCATTGACATCAACTACGCGTGACCCTTCTCAAGATACGAATAGCAACCACTACCTGTCGAGACTGATGCGCACTAAACCCTTCCTACAGCCCGAATTCCAGAAACACTCGCAAGTATTCCCGTTCAATGGGATCTGTAATGACCCGTCCATCAAGTCCGATGGTCGGACTCTCAGCACACCACCACGCACCTTGTTAGTGCCAGCACTCGAGTATTTTCTCGAGCACGTCAACTCGTATATCCCTATCTTCGAAGAGGCCTACCTTCGCGAGATGGTGGACGAACACTATGCAGATATCAATAAGGACCAGAGCGCTTCGAGACCTTTGATACTAAATTGTATTATCCTCCTGAGCCTGAACAACTCGGCAAGAAGGAATGGAATTACCGATTCGCACATGGGTACAATGGGAGAAGACCTCATTCCGACTTTTAGAAGGAATTGCGACAGAGCGCTTGCCAACCTATTTGAGTTCACTCGCCCTGCACAAGGCAACGTTCAAGCACTTATGACACTGGTTAGCATTTCCCCATAGAGTCTCTTAGCAATAACTAATATTGGTCATAGGCATTGGTTGCACGCGAGTCCTACGGTTCTATGGCCTTTGAAAAAGTCTGTCAGGTAGCAAGTCAGCTCGTCCGGTCCACGGGGCTCAACTTGGCAAGAAGACCCCCACCGGCATCCTGGGAGAAAATGAACCAACCAGAAAAGCTTTTCTGGGCAATGTATATGCTCGACAAACAACGAGTCTTCTTCAATGGGCACCCTTGCGATCTTTATCTATTCGACTCCGACTTACAGCTTGCAAGCTGCCGTGACGACGCGACCTACTCGGAGCGACTGAATGCGGCGACGGTCCATCTGGCAGCTATCTGGGAAGAAATTTTCATCGCCTTGTATTCATGTCGTGGTTCCCGATCGAGCAATGCTCATCGTAGTCGTCAGGCTGAAATGCTTCGAAACTTGGTCAATGAATGGGGCTTGCAGCACCATACCGTCATCAATCAACTATCTTCACTAGAAGTGCCACCGGGCAGCGATCCACTGCAAATTGAACTGAAATATACCTATCACGCAACACAGATTCTGATCAATCGATGCGATTCGAGTGAGGAAAGTCAACAGCAAATTTTATTCCATGCACGCAGCGCTTTAAAAATTATCCACCTGCTCGCAAGCGCACAGCCGTTGACTGTGAGCCATCTCGTAGCATTGGAGCGTATTTTCCGCAATTATCCAGCAGTTGCTTTCACTGATCTTCTTGCTGTTTGCTTAACTAAAGGTTTAGTTGGTAGGGAAGAAGATTTACAACTACTCCGAACTGCTCGTAACGCTTATCAACTCATTCACGAGCCTAATATGTATTTCGGTCACGTCGAGAAGCCTTACACGGGATTCAATTGGTGCATCGGATTGCTTGATTTGGTAGAGAGTGCAGAACGTGGAAATAACCGGACACCGATGACGGGCTCTTCATTCCAGCAGCCAATAACACATATACAGCAGAATTTTGATACTTCGAAGAACTCTTTCCAGATGAATATGGCTCCTCAAGGAAATATGGTGTCGAGCCATCAAATCCCTCCAGCAAATTGTGTTCCTACTGGGTTGCCAAATGAAGCACCAGTAGTTCCTACAACCGGATCTCTCGAAACGGGTTTCTTTGACTTTGATTTCTACCAGGGATTGTTCCAGCAAGAATCATGGGATTTGTCTACGTCCCTTTAGCATGTTTGATGATTTGACGAATGTTTTGGAGGAATGTATTGATTTTAGTTTAATGCTAGCTTGTCTAGTTGGGTGGCATGCTGTACTCAGATATATCCTCGCAGCGTCGGCAAGAACATTTGAAGAAAGCATTAATTCTATGTCTATGTAAATTATCCACAATTACAAACAGTATTTGACCCTATCTCCTCGCTCACTGAGGTCACTTCTTCGACCATGCCCTGATCTGTGCTCCATACTTCCAAAATAGTACTGGAATCGGAATCATCGCAATACTTATGAAACCCAAAACACTTGTCGCCCAAGCCACACCTAGATGGTGATACATGGCGGGTCCGAACAGGGGAAATCCAGCTCCAAACAAACTTCGTACAAAGGTATTTGCGCCCAATGCACTATTCGCCATTGTCATGTAGCAGTCGATGATGTAGTTGAAGCATTGCAGGAAGACGATGTACAAGCCGGCACCGACGGGGATGCTGCCGATCACCATTCCGGACCAGTGTATTTTGGGGTTTGAGGTCCACTGCGGGGGGAAAGAATTAGTAAAGGGTTGCAAAGAAAATTGAACAAGCAATATGATATACGTACGGCAAAAATGAACAGCCCGATAGGAATCAAACAGGCACCAAAGATGGCAATCGGGAGTCTGTCTTCTGGGACAATGACTGGTTTCCCATCTGCATCGAATTTAAGGTGTTTAAATGAGCGTTGAATGGTGAAGACGACGATAGCGCAACCGATGAGAACACCAACCACTATGCCCAAGAATGGGAGAGAGCTGATTCCCAGGTTCCAATGTCGGTCTTCTTGGAATGCGATAGGATAGGATACGAAGAAGAGATACGACATCCCATAGACAAAACCTTGGTATAGCGTAATAAGTTGCAGAATGGGTTGGGTACCAAGAAGGACTGGACAAAATATTTGGTTAATCAGTACTCGCAACAGGAATTGAAGAAGTTTGAGACTGAGTAAACTTACCGAATCCTCGGATCAAGTATATTCTCACCACGTCTTGGAATGACGAGACCTGGCCGTCGTACTGTGATTTCGCCTTAGGGTTCCCTTCCTTGCGTGCCTTTGCCGCCTTTTGACGTAGAAGCAACGGGGTATACGTCTCCGGGAAAAAGAAGAGTATTATAATGGTGCAAACACCCCCCATAATACAACTCAGCCACTGATTCCACCTCCACCCGATGGTCTCCGTCATGAAATTACCCATAACAGGCGCCAGACTCGGTGACCAAAATAACGTGCCAATGGCACCGGTCGCTGCTATGGCACGCTGGTGAGGGTTCCAAATATCCACCAGGCCTCCCCCTATCAGAGCCAGGGGTACCGCGCCGAAGGCTCCCTGGAAGAATCGACCAACGAGTATGGTAGCTATATTTTTACCTACGGCGACAGGAATGCTGAAGACTGTAAATAGTGTTATACCAATGAGCAATGGCATTTTGCGTCCGTAGTGCTCGGACAATGGCCCGTATAAAGGCGGACCGACTGTGTACCCCTGTAACATAAACGCAATGAGTTTCGCCTTGACCGTGATGTCTGAAATTTCAATTGACTTACCACCAGGAACAAACTGACACCGAGTGTCACCACTGTCGTACCAACATGATAATCAGCACTGATCACTTCAGCACCGCTGCTAAAGATACTACTCGCAACAGTCGTGACGAAACATGAATAGACCCAAGCCGCTGTGACCCAGATCTTGTAATTGAAAGACCAGTTCTGGGGGTTCTTTGGGTCATCTGCTCCAGACCAAGTGATCAGATCTGAATCGACTTGGGGAGTGGGTGTAGGCACTTCCGGTTGAGGATCTTGTTTCTCGAGGTCATTGTTGACTTTGTTTGTGGAAGCGGATGGAGATATCTGAACTGATTCTGTCGTGGGCTCATGCAGAGTGCTCCGCGTACCCTCGTCAGATAAGGAAGCGGGCGGTGATATGTCCTTATTGCTCATCTGTGCTATACCTGCCTAACAGGCAGAGCTATAGTTCTCCTAGATACTTGATATAGAGGTCCTTCAGGCCTAGCTTCCAGACGTGACTACCGGCTTCGACGATTGAACAGTGCTTACATTTTACGTATAGAATTGAACGCGCTTTATTATTCTAGTCTATCAAGATGACAAACTTTTGTGTTATAATCAAAACAAAATAGGAAAAGTGTAAGGAACGCCGAATGCCGGTTCGGGTAATGGGCTGCGGCCCCTATCGTATCTATCAAGGGGTGTCGGCACCCGAGCACTCCACCCATAATAGACATCCCGTATGGCCTCAAGGATCTTTTCCAACGTCCCAAAGGAGGTGGCTTGATTAAGATGCTTATGATCCTCCTTTGTCTGGTATCGTTGTGACGGCGAATTCCTTTTTCGGCGCATTGTGAACACTCTTTCGCATTTCATTGTTCTTGCGGACCCTGTACATTGAAATCCTGTTGTTGTTCATGAATCAGCGCGCAGCTAGCCTGCAGTATGTCTCGAGTCGTGAATAATAGAATATGACATCGGCTTGGCCATGCCCGGCATCCGAAACCAACAAATACGATTTAATGGTGCATCGAAAAAAATAGGGCTGACGATTTTTCTCTCATTTATATCGGTGTGGAGCATCCGGAGTATCGGCGGGAGCTATAATTCTGTAGGGTTAGTTAGTGTATTCTGCCACCGCCAGATCTACCCTAATAAAATGCCCTCAGTGCTGTATTATTTTGTCTTGGCCATTGCCAATGTTAGAGAGACGAGTGTTCAATGCCAGTCAGTCAAGTCGCGATTACAAATGCTATTGTGATAAATTACATAACCTGAGGTTTCTCAAGTTTTTCTCCTAGCTACTATCAGCATCAATCCCAATCTTTGCCTATCTAAGTATATTAATTCCGTAGAATTCTCGAATCCACATATTGACTTCATGGTAAAGGCTGCTTCACATCCTCTTTGACCTCATCTTCGGCAACAACATCTTCCTCGCCAACATTTGTTGAAGTAATCGCCCAGACCGTAGGAATCACAATCAACAGCGAACCGATACAAAGACCCCAGTCCATAGCGAACTGAGTCATGGCCGTCTTCTTGAGAGCGTTGATTCTCCAGGCCATAGCACCCCCAGTAGACTGGAAGGTCTTATAAGCACCGACCAAGATAGCAGTTCTGGCAGGAGAGTTGGACTGGGCACCAATCAACCAGTAACAGAAGGACTGCCAAAGAGCATCGTATGCTCCGTAGCAGATATACAAGATCATGGGGCCGGCTGAAAGACTTCCATTCGTATAGTCGATATCTTGCTTCAGTCCTTGTGCTATACGATGAGTAGACCAAAGCTGGAACTTGTAGCCACCTCCCCAGATAACCATGCCAGTCACGAAGAGAGTAGCCCAACCGGCCGCAGCACGCCATCGACGAGTCAACCATGGCATATCAAGCAAGCAGCCCATGATCAGACCGCCAAGCATCTGGGCCATCCAGTACAGGGCACCATTCAAGGATCGAGTTCGAATGTTGAAGTTCATACCATTTACTTCATTTTGTTGGTATGAATAGAACACGTTGGCGGAGAAGAACAAGGGCAGCATGCAGATAACTCTCCAATCGGACATTGTGCGTAGGGCAAGTCGAGCTGTCTGTCGCCAGTTAGGCTTTTCAGTAGCGATGGTGCGTATCCCTTTCACTCGCACAGCTGATGGAGTACATATCAAAAGGCCCAACACCCAACCGACCAACATGATTACAAGCAGGGCTATGTACGTTGAGTCCGATACGGTGCCGGTCTTTGAGTGAAAGTTAAGACCAAAACTAGCGAGAGAACCCACGCCGCCGCCAAGATTGAAAATGATCCAGAACACAGCGATGGCACGTCCTTTTTGAGACTCGGGGACGTAGGTTGTCATAATTGCACCCTGAGACACCCATAAAAATGAGGCGCCAATACCCAATAGTGCACCGGACGCGATGACGAATGCTCCATTTTTGGTATCTGAAATTACAATCGATCAGTCATGTTTCACGTATTCGGTGTCGCTAGCTAAGTCAAACTTACGATTGAAACTCAACAAGCTCCCTGAATATAGGGCATAGGTCCATCCACCAAGCAAAAGGCAGACGCGAGGCCCGACCCGTTCGAAAATTGGTCCAACGATAAACAAAGCAGTTCCAGCCGTAGCAGACAAAAGGGCGACAGTAGCATTGGCTGCTACTGTTGGGTCGACCTGACCGGATCCTCCTAGGCCGGAGAGGGCATTGTACATCTACAAAAACCATGTTGGTCAGCATGTGAACCGATTATATCGAAGTTCAAAAAAAAGGAATGCCTTACGCCAGGGCAGCAGAAACAGATAAAGCTGATCAGAAGGATCTGAAACCAAGAATTGGTATACACACGTCGAACCATCGACGGAGATTTTTCGACAGTGACTGTCGACGACATATTGAACGATGTAATACTGTAGTCACTCAAAAAACTAGTTTCAAGTTGTGTGCGACGAATATGAAGTTTCGTCTACCCTGGCCCGGTCGATGCAGCGCATGTTATAGCTCCATCTTATCGCTAACCCCAGGTTCTTAACCGTGCAGAGCCACATGGAACATGCGGTCGGTCCACTCGGAGTACGGAGAGTTAGAGATAGGCCAATCGAGGCTATCTTTTCATGAATAAATTGAAAAGCACAGTCTGGTCACGAGATAAGAAAGGTTCGGCGGCGCAAAAAGCGAAGAAGAGTGGGAACCGCAAAAACGGGGCATCGGCGTAGTGTGGGGCGTGGAGATACTGTCCGGCGTAAATGAGAGTCTTCAGTGGCACAGACGATCTCAACTCTCCGGCTCGGTGTCAACCCCGCAAAAAAGGCCGGATAAGGGGCCGGCTATCACGGACTCGGCGTGTTCAAGTTTTTTCGAATCTCAACAAATTGAGAGAACTGATGACTTGACGTTTTGTGTTAATGTTCTACCGTCTGGCCCACTTCCATGGCTGAAGGTAACATCTCGCCGAAGTAACACATTGAAAAAATGTTGCAGGTTCATGATGAAGTCTTTGTGATATAACAGCCACCTCTACGACGCTAATCTGATTCGTGAGACCCCGAGATAAGAGAAACTCATAGCAGTCAATAGCTCAAGGCCAGGCTTCGCAAAGATGGCACAGGATGTCTTGGATCTTTCGGGCCTACAGACCGAGGCGATTAATGAGCACACCAGCAATATTGACAGGGTTTCGACCCTGCAAATGTGTACCATGATCAATGACGAAGACAAGACGGTTGCGGACAGCGTTACTGCGTGCTTGAAAGAAATCGCACTTGCAATAGACTTTTTAGTACCTCGTGTACGCGCTGGTGGACGAGTGATTTATGTCGGAGCAGGGACTAGCGGCAGGTAGGTTTTCTGATGCGAATGAAGAGAACGGGAATTGAAAGTTAACGGTGTACCATTGGTTTCTAGGTTAGGAGTCCTGGATAGTTCCGAAATTCTACCTACTTTCGCAGCCCCCCCAACACAATTTGTCGGCTTGATTGCCGGAGGGGATGCAGCAATTCGCAAGGCACAGGAAGGAGCAGAAGACAGCATCGCAGCAGCCAAAGATGATCTTGCGGCGATGAATCTGAATGGCGAGTCAGACAGTATTATTGGAATCGCAGCATCCGGCCGCACGCCTTATGTTCTTGGCGCACTCGAATATGCGAAGAGCTTGGGCTGCCTCACACTTGGAGTTGCATGCGTATCGCCGTCAGAAATGGGTCAATCAGGCAATGTTGATGTTATGATAGCGCCTTTACCCGGTCCGGAAGTAGTCACTGGGAGTACGAGATTGAAGGCGGGGACTGCCACAAAACTGGTCTTGAATATGCTTAGTACCGGTACTATGATCAAGGCTGGAAAAACATATGGGAATATGGTCAGAAATGCTCAACCAAGAAGCATATCGTGAAGGCAAATGCTAATATCTCTTTGCACTACAGATGGTCGATCTCATCGCATCAAACCAAAAACTAAAACAAAGGTCGCGAAACATCCTCCGAAAAGTTAGCAAACAATGTTCGTCCATGACCGATCAAGACTTAGATGATTTACTCGCGCGTTGCGATGGAAGAGTAAAAGTTGCACTAGTTGTAGCAGAGAAAGGGCTCTCGGTAGAAGAGAGCAGGGAGCAGCTTGAAGCGGCCCAGGGTGTTCTTGCCAAGGTTATCGCAACTGAGAATGAGGTTCAAGCCAAAAAGCATTTGGTAAATGGGTTTCATCATCGTCGATCGGTTCTGTGTATTGATGGTGGAGGTTCGAAATGTGCTGCCGTGATAGGAGATTCAAGTGGGAACATAGGGAAAGGCGTTGCTGGTCCTTGCAATTTGTGAGCTCTCACACTCTTCTTCTTGGTCGTGGGATATGTGCTAATAATAGTAGAACGGATGGCAATTTTGAAGCCTCGGTGAACGCAATTGTGACAGCTGCGTACGGAGCAATTAGAGACATCGAAAAAAAGTCGATCCATATCAACGGCATGAATAACACAGCATACTCAGACTTATCAGCCAATACAGAAATCGACGTGTCATTCGATTCAATTTGGATCGCAAGTGCCGGGATGGACCGTCCAGGAATGCGAGAACGAGTACAAGCAGCAGTGGTACAGAATCTGAATTTGAATAAGTCGATTCAAATGCGGATAACCAACGACGTTGACCTGCTAGCTGCAGCTATGGCACGACACCCAGAAATCTCCTCGAGCTTGGTTGTCATAGCCGGCACTGGTAGCATCGCCATTCGCTATGCTTATAATAACAATGATATAACACCAAGGCGCGTTGCACGTGCTGGTGGATGGGGCCATCTTCTTGGAGATGAAGGTGCTGGATATGCAATTGGACGACAAGCCATCAGGAAGGCATTGTTTTCAATGGACAATATTAAACTTACTCAGGGAAAGACTGGCCTCAGTTCCCTCGAAATGAAAATAGTCAACTTCTTTTCTGGTACTTCGTCTGGAAGAAAAGATGATCCTCTGGATGTTGATCTACTGAGCAAGGTCCTGATGGCCAGCGATGACAAATCCGCCAAGAGTCGAATAGCAGGCATCACACAAACAATCCTGGATTCAGCTGGATCCGGAGATGCCGAGGCAGTGGACATTATTGCTCAACAAGTATCAGACTTTGTCCAAAACACCCTCAGTCATCTACTCGACCCTCGGTCCCACGGATATGTAGACCCGTCACGATGTGGTCTCATTCTATCTGGCGGAGTTATGCTTCATAGCGTGTATCAAACCATTTTTCAACTCACCCTAGCCAAACGCAACATTCGCTTCAACTATACTGAAGCCGTTCCCAGTGCAGCAGTGGTCGGAGTTGAATACTTACTAGCATCGGATACTCTTCCACTTGTACAAAATGGGATATCTTGATAATAGATCTTGTCTCATAGCCAGCGAGTCCTACAAACCTAATATAGACATAGAAAATTCATGACAAATGGCCACTGAGAAAGGAGAGTTGCAATTATTTAGTACCTTGTATAGATATACTCCATCCAAAGGGTTCAACGGCTCTTCGTAACAATGAACCGGCCTAAGATGCCCATTCCGTATCATCTTCTTCATTCTGCTCAGCAGTTCCCTGTCTACGATGATTCTGAAGAAGAGTCTCAGGCAATTAACGGCGTTACATGGTTGCGAGAGTAGACTATCTTTTTTGAAGGCTCTAAGTAACATGTTAGTTACACAAATCATGATATAGGCTATACACAATTCAGAACTTTATATATAATTAGGCATCTATCCTTTTTCACAACATTTAAGTCATAGATCTTTGTTAATTTTGTATGCTACCTACAGAGGTAAGCCAAGCAAATTATATTTCAACGAAACGTACGTACATCAAGATCAACTGCATTGAGATGGAAGATCTCCTATTTCTTAAATTTTTTTTTTTAAAGAGCCCCAAACACAAATCCAACAGTATATCAAGATAAAAAGAAGTCTCTTGACATAAGCCGGAAAGAAATATCAAAGTGGGTACTGTTTGGGACGAGAGGGTATTCAATGCACAGCCCCAGCATCAAATCAGGTAGTAGCCATCATCAGAACCATTCTCTCCGCGCTTGATCAGGTAATAGCCATCATCAGAGCCATTCTCTCCGCGCTTGATCAGGTAATAGCCATCATCAGAGCYATTCTCTCCGCGCTTGATCAGGTAATAGCCATCATCAGAACCATCCTCTCCGCGCTTAATCAGGTAATAGCCATCATCAGAACCATCCTCTCCGCGCTTAATCAGGTAATAGCCATCATCCGTACCCGCGGTGCCATCTTCGGAGCGTTTGATAAGATAATAACCGTCGTTAGAACTATCCTCTCCACGCTTAATCAGGTAATAGCCATCGCCCGTACCCTCGGTGCCATCTTCGGAACGTCTGATGAGATAATAGCCGTCGTCAGAACCATCCTCTCCGCGCTTGATGAGATAGTATCCATCCCCTGCACCACTTTCTTCACGTCTGATGATGCTATTGGATTCAGGTGTAGTATAGTCCAGGGGAAGAGACAAGGCAAGGCTGGTAAGACCGAAAAAGATGATTGTAGAAACGAACTTCATTTTGAAACTAGCGACTTGTAACTTCGAGGAACAGGTATAGATATTTTGTTTTGGGAATGGATTTGTATCTCGATTGGTTTGCGAGTGCTCTATGATACTGGTGATAGAGGATTTTGGTGGGTATTTATATCCAAACTGTCTCATATCAATCCATCGAGAAATCTCTTCTTCAAATCCGGCTGGAAGGAACCTCCGGAAACGTAGCTTACCTGGTAGAAGAAGAGAACGTCTCGATATTCGCCACAATCCAGGGAAGAGATACTCGGGCTTTGGTTTAGATTGTGTCGTTACATTGTTCAATGATAAATGTTAAAGTATGATGCCTTTGGCTTATTTCAAGTTGGATGAGTGGTTTAATTCACTGAACAATGTAACGACAGAATCTTGTTTTCCTGTGATTTATCTTGTTTTTCTTTTTCAGTGTAAAGAGAATGAGATTGTTTCCTGTCAGAAATAGATACCAATTGTGGAGAGATTGAAAAAGCTTGTCTGTTGGTGAGCCTACCCCGTGTCCGTCCTAGCAAACGGAGTGCCAATCGTGTTGACAATGGAAAAGCTTGTTGAAGCGTATTTGTTTGTAGCTTGCTATGCATCTCGGCGGAATTGACAAATAATAACAGCTGGTTCTTTCCCTAGTTATCTTAAGATAAAGACATCATATCTCATTTAACCTATTGGAGTCTGCATAGCACAAATTAACCAACCAACCAACCAACCAACATCAAATAAGAAACTAGCAATTGCATCAATGGCTGATCGAGAAATTATAACCAGGTTACATTGTGATTCATAGTCGATTACTAATAATATTTGGCAAGGTTTCGTTCTAATAGCACAAGTATGATATTTTCTCTGCCGCAATGAATGGTTAGAGACGATTTTGAAAAAACAGGTACCTTTGCCTTCCCCAACCTGAAAGAGGATCTCGGTCATTAATGTCACAGATTCAAACAACAATGTTTAGAGACATATTCAAATCCTCCCTTCATTGTTTTGATGTCGAACTCATAGCTCCCATTTTTCGAATCCCATTTCCCATCATGTCACACAACGAGACGGTCCCTGAAGAACTCAATCTCCTAGGGAGAAGCCTACTGGAGACAATTGAAATAAAATGGCACCGGAACTGGAACAAAAAGAGAGAAGCAATGTTTCATGTCGCAATTTTAATCCTTGTGTTCTTACTATTTGGGCTGGGAAGTCTCCTCATTGTGGATAGAGAGCACACAAACAGCGGTCATGAACACGTCTACCACTGCGGCAATTCACCGACCGAGGCCAACTCAAATGGTTGTTCATTTGACGTCATGTCCTTTACGTGGCTCCCTGCAAAATGCTTCGATGAGCCGTTGATTGAAGATTTTCTGGGCCAGCGCAATTGGACATGGTATTTGGATGGCCACGGCCAGCAAAAAGCAAACGAAGCAGATGTTCGGAATGGCATTCACAATGAGGTTTATGTCTCCTGGGAATACCATTTAATGCACTGCACATATATGTGGCGGAAAATGCATTGGGCTGTATTACAGGGTCTCGACTCTTTGGATGGATATATTGGGAACCCAGCGCACACAGAACACTGCGGCGAGATGCTACTTGGGGGATTCGAGACTGCCTCCCCACAAGTGACCAATACTATGATCTATACTAAATTCCCTGCGTGCGGAAAAGATGGCCTCCACTCTGGCTGGTATCGGATTGTGGATGGGAAGAGATCTTTCAGTATGCCCGCGGGCAAACACCACCATGATATGCCTTAACAAGACGATTCGGCTTCCTGTTTTATAATTTACATTTCTATACTTTTCTTCACATTACCTCCCTAGGTAGAATTTTTTAGCGTAAATAAAGAGGCGGCCGTTGTATCTCCCATGTTTTGACAGTATCTCTTTCCAGCCAAAGTTCCATCATAGCTCTACATGAGAGTACGGAATCTTTATACTAGATGCACCAATTAATTCTCAAGCCGCTTATCTCTATGTGCATACAGAAAATATACCTGCATGCTACAACTGTTCCTGCGAAGGTAGGCTGGATGACGTCCCACTAATCATTATATTAGCTATGGTTACATCCTAGATTACTGTTTATGAGACACGTTTAAATTAAAAGAAGAAAAATTTCCTGGAGCTTATCATTCAGCTAGTTGAAACTAGTTTTGAGTTTTTGAATAGTCTTTGAAAGCATAGTGAATTCGGGTTTGGATTTTTGTTCATACCATGCGATCTGGTACTCCACCATATAAGAGATAAAAGTCCCCAACCCTAAGAAATTAATCATCGTCTGACGGATTACCACTCTACTTTTCCCGGACCAACGATGCGAGATCTGCCATTCATTGAGCCAAAAGGTTCCTATGAACCGCTTCCTGAACATGAAGAAGATAAACATGTCCGAAAGGGTTTCTCTTCCGGCCTCTGTTCACATTTACTTTCGTTTCTCGCAGGATGCCTTCTTATAGCGCTTGGGGGCATTTTATATCATAAATCAGTGGACACAAACGACCAGAACTTGTCTCCTATTCCTTCTAGTATGGTTGCAAAATTTACATCGATCTCTAAGTTTCAACCTAGAGCTAACAAATTCAAGTGCCCTTCGAGACAGTTGTATTTGCCAGCCATCCCGGCTTCTCGACTGCTTCCACCACAGCATGGGAGTCCCTGACCAAAGGTACATCCATAGTAATCGATTACGTGATGCTTGTTCTCTAACATTGAATCAGATTTTTCTGGGTTCATACACGTGGACGATCCCGGAGCATATAACCTACAGCCAGGACTCCTCAATGAGGAAGGAAAGGAAGTTTACGGAGTATCCATGTATCATTCTCTGCATTGTCTCGTCTGTATGCCCGTAATTTCACGCAATTGACACTTTTTACTAACCTGATACGGCATGTAGACAATGATCCACAATGATTATTGGAGACTTTCACTGTCAACCCCATTGTCAGGTCTAGAACATCCAGATGATGCTACTACCGCTCATATCGGACATTGCTTTGATTATGTTCGCCAGAGCATACAATGTTCGGCCGACATGACCATCTCATGGGCAAACCTCACTGAGCCAGAGCGGCCTCATATTGATGGATGGGACATCCCGCACAGGCAATGTCGAGATTGGGTAAGCATAGTCCTGCCGAAAATAAGAGGAAATGGAACTGACTTCTCATGAGAAATCTGTTCTCCCAGATCTGATATCGATGGACGCCATGCTGACAGGAAATAAACATCATAGTCATGCCGGCATGTAATAATAAACTCTAGCCATAGATTATAGCAACTTAGATACGGAGACCCGGAGGGACTTTGTTTCATTATTTATCATTAATCCTTCGATTGTGAGATATATCCGGGACAGAGAAAGATCTAGTTATTCCTAACCAGAATGAATATTAGAAATTATGAACATTACTCCAAGTCATTTAGGGTCATTGACCATGGCGAAATTCGCCATGTCATTTGCATCGGTGTCTGCAATTTGTGGCCCATTCCATCAAAGCCTCATCACCAAAGGACGTACTGCTCGGACCTCCTCAATGGGATTCATACAGGAATCTGCCGGTAGACTTGATACCACATCAAAGCTGCACAGATCCTTCGGCAGAACGCGGTTCGTTTTTGTAGATATGGACTCGATATACCTAGTCCAAGAGCTTTGAGTATTATTGTCGAAATTTTTCCGGGTCAACGCACGCACCTCTAGGATTCAGTGGAAAAAATAGACAATCAGGGAAGGGTAACATCATAAACAATACCCAACCTGTTGGAGTGTGCATAGCACCAACACCAAAATTTGAAATAAGCCACCAACCAACCCATACCCAAAAAAATATGATCTAAAATTCATACAAATCCGCCAAACCCAGTTGAGTGTAGGCGACTTTAGTGTAATTATAATAACACTATTAAATTTAATTAAATATAGATTAAATCAAGGTTCGAGGAGTTTATCTTGGTGACTTACACTTTCTAGGTTAAGGATGGCGCTAATTCCAAAAAAACGAGGCGCCTGTTGTTATCGTTGCTACCTAAGGTTGGTGTGGTGCATTTGATGCGAAATCCTTACATACCATTGCATCCTTTATTCCTAGAAATTCAGGATTTCCACTATTGGTCCACTTCCCTAGCTTGAATGATAAGGCCTGTGTCATGAAGCCGGTGATGTGACTGCGGTAGTAGTTCGCAAATCCCAGAAAACTCTTGACCATCTCTCTTGCCCCGAGAAGTGGGCCATGCTCTTGGTTTCACGCTGGCAAACTGTACTGTTCTCGACGTGACTGTTTTTAAAGACCACAGTATTCTATTTTTATTTTATTCGTCAAGTTTTCTTTCTTCGCCCATTGTTTCATCTCGCATAATGCCTTCAGAAAGCCAGCCCGTTTTGCAGAGGCCCGAGGAAGAGGAAGGTTTTCTGGAATGCGAGTCCAAAGATATTTCTTTAGCAGCGATTTCAACCTTTAGATCGAGCCATCAGAGACATCAGCAACTCATCATCGCGCAAGGGATCATATTAGCTGTACTGCTGGTGGTAATTGCAGGAATATTGTGGAAAGACCAAGCAGTGGAAGCGGGTTGTCCATATAACAGTACAGATGGGCAGCTTCCAGATCATGTTTACTGTAAGTCTTCATTTCCTCTTCATTTCCAATAATTACTAGTTCATTACCCTCATCTGTGTCTTTAAGCGCCCGCCGAAAAGGCCATTCGATATAAGAATATCGCCTTCGCCCCTAGCCTCGGCCATGATTTGACCAAATACCAGGGACCTCCAACGCCAGAGAACGCAAAAGCCTGGGAGGACCTGTACATCTGTACGTTTATCTTGCGGCTTGAACCCAACAAGTATTCATATTAACCAAGACAGTCGGCACCAGTAGAATTCCCATGAGCGAGGCGGCCAAGCTCATAAATAAAACAGAGCCTATCCCTAACTATCCAGGAGAATACGTGATACAACTCGATGTATTCCACCAGCTTCACTGTTTGGTTAGTATTTTTTTTTCTTGCAGCCGATTAAGATCAGTCCACTAATAATGAATCAAATTAGAACATGGTTCGACTCAAGCTTTGGGGATCAGAAGAGTACCTCGAGCAACACAATATAGACATGGGCCATCTTGACCACTGTATTGATTCTATGCGCCAAAGCTTCATGTGCTCGGCGGATATTTCAGCAATCAATTATCAGTGGGATGAGGCTGAGCAATATTCTAAAGGCCAGTTAACCACAATGCATACCTGTCGCGACTTTGATGCTATCAAGGGATGGGCGCTAGAACATACGCTGGAAACTTGGGACTCACGTACTCATGTCCCTGACCCATTGAAGGGCGGTATATAATCATTTTGTTAATTTATATATATATATTTGTAGCTCATTTCTCTCTCAGTTGTTTCGATAGGTAGAATGGTTCACCAAGATAAATGCTACAGGATAAGGCATAAAGAACAGAAGCAAAGGAAAGAAACAACTAATGCAAATGTAACAACCCAAGCAGTCTGGTCTGACAACTTAGTCCTGTCCAATGCTACTCAAAGCTATTCACAGAATCCCTGTTCTTTGACACAACGAAACGCTGGAGTTAGTGGCCTGATAGCCTAGGGCTTTGAGCCCTATCCTGAGATACGACGGGGATGACCGTCTCGATACCGGAACGAAGTCATCCCGTAGGTCCAACTAGCACAAAGAGGACAGTTTTAGTACTATACTAAACCTTCGCATCTTAGAGTAACCACAGTGTTACAAGCGAATTTGATTTATAGAAAACTAATCTCAGTTCTAGATTTAGTATACTTCTATACCATGAGTGGGAAGAATTATGAATAAGATATAGTATATTTCTTATGGTCTTTAGTGCTTCTCGACACTACTTGTGGGCGAAGTAGGATCTAGGCTAGGATAGTTTACGACTGCTTTCAAGTACGAGGTTAACCAGATAGATAGGATGTTATAAGGCAAAGTATGTAGATTTAGGTTTAACATCATGACTATATAACTTGTAGTGGAGAAGTGATTAGTGGTAGTAATCTAGTAGGAGTGCCAGCACTATAAAGCCATACTCAGTGAGCAAATCAATGCGCTCACCGAGCATACCTGTGAGCTAATATAAGACTAACTGATCTGATCACAGCGCTCAGGGTCGTGCTCAGTTCTACTTAGTAAAAGCAGCGACGAGTTGAGTACTCAAACGGAACAGGCTCTGGCGTGTCAGGAAGAATCAAGTACATAGGTAGAAGTGCAGGGATATTTCCAAGTTGCACAACTCACTCATGTTGAATGTAAATGGACGGTGGCTAGTTACCCATTCAGCATGAAAGTCATCGTCTGGGAGGCCCGGCGTGTTTAGTGCGTCAACGAGATCTGAATAATTCTCAATATACTTCATGATGATGAAAGGACCAAGTCCCGTCGGGCTGTGGTCAGCCATGCCATAGTGAAGAACATGAAGAACACCTATGCTTGTTGTCGCTAGATCAATAGCATGCCGGACACCTCGTGTCTGGCTTTCTCATACATAGATACTCCAGGAATTAGAAAACGGATGATAGCAGGAGGACCACCTTTCATTTATTCATTCGAAAAATTAGGTTGAACGATCCTTCAGGGGATTGAAAAGTTCTTCTGCTGGGCCTCTTCTAAGCTCAACACCCTATCTACCGAAGCATTTTTTAACGAATAGCGCAACTCTCCAAGCATCCGCAACACCGTCGCTTCTGAATCATGCAAGATCGTCAAATTTCATGCGTTGCTCCGTAGCAATCGGGTTAACGTCATTAAATTGCATTGTGGGTATAAGCTAGAAATATGCTCTGAAAAGGCGACTAGAGATTCGGAGAACGTCACCGGACACATGCCAGTTGATAATGACGGTAAAGAATGTGGTGCTGTTATCGCGGGGTGTTCTCGGGGTAAAGAAAGACCCACCCAACATCATGTAGCATTTCCTGAAGAGCTTTGATTAGTGACTGAGCGTCGTCGTTTCAGGTCCAAAGTAATCATTCCACTCACAAACTTGATATGATGTCCATGCGGATTATAATCCGTAACTAATAGCACATACACTAGGTATATAAATGTCAATTGGGACACAAGTGAGGTCTGCTTCACTTAGAAGACCCATGATCATATCTATTTTGCTCGGATATACCAAATAACCCGAAAAGTAGCTTCATCTGTTACTTATTGTTATTCGTCATTTCATGCAAAGATCAAGATGAAGACTCGTACTATATTTGCCCTTCTTACGAGTGTTGCATGTGCTAAACATGCAGTCAAAACTGGTCTGGACGTTTTGATCGAAAGCAATTACACACAGCTGGCTGGCCGAAAAGTCATTGTACTTACTAATCCAACTGGCGTGACTCCAGAGTTGGATCTTGGGGTTGATGTGATGTACAACTCTGGCGCCGTTGATCTCGTTGGTGTCATGGGCCCTGAGCATGGTTTCAGGGGTACAGCCCAAGCAGGAGGCTCAGAAGGGACTTTTATCGATCCGGAGACTGGTTTGACAGTATATGTACATTTTCCCAAGCTGTTTCTTCGAACGCAATTCTAATGGCCCTTTTTTTCTAGGATGCGTACAATGTCAACACGAGCACTCTTGTCAGTTATATCAAAGAATCTGGGGCAGACACTGTGCTATTTGACATACAAGATGTCGGAGCTCGATTCTATACATGTCAGATCATCTCAAAGAAGTTTTAAATTCATAATAATTGACGCTAAACAGATACGTGGGCCATGTATGACACAATGGTGGCTGCAGCCATTTCAAATGCGACATTTGTTGTCGTAGACCGCCCAAACCCTATCACAGGATTGAATGCATTTGGTCCGGTACTCAATGAGAGCTATGCATCTTATGTTGGACGGCGTCCTATTGCACAAGCCCATGGCATGACGACGGGCGAGCTGGCATCGATGTTTGTCGGAGAAAAGTGGATTCAGGAAGCATCCAACGGTTCAGACTTAAATTTAGAGGTCCTTAAAATGAAGGGGTGGAAGAGATCGATGACCTGGAAGGATACTGGTCTTCCTTGGATCATGCCAAGTCCAAGTAAGTCGCTTCTATCCAATTTTATGAATGATAGAAAGCACTTCTCAACCGGAATATTATAGATATGCCGACTCCGGATACAGCTCTGATTTACCCTGGTGCCTGCATGTTTGAAGGGACCAGCCTGTCCGAGGGACGTGGAACAACTCGACCATTTGAAGTACGTACGGCATAAATAAAAAGAACAGAGGTTGAAAGCTGACTGGCTACAGTTACTTGGCGGCTCCTTCACGAACGAGTCATGGGTTGATACAATGCGAGCACTCAATATCACTAACACGAACTTCCGTACTGCTTGTTTCAGCCCGACAACATCAAAATTTCAGTCGCAGACCGTTTGTGGACTTCAAAGCTACATCTTCCTTGATTCAACCTCCGACTACAAGGACTTTGATCCGGTGTTCCTAGGAGTGTCGTTGCTTTGGAGCGCCAAACATTTATACACTGTGGGAGGCAACGACACAGGGTTTGGTAACACAACGCAAAGCTTCCATTGGCTTTTCAATGGTTCTAACACGAGCCTGTATGATGTGGATGTGTTAACTGGTGGATCTTTGGTCCGGGAAGGTATCGAGGCTGGGCTCTCTCCGGATGAGATTCGGTCGCAGTGGGAGGTGGATTTGCAGGCTTTCAAGAAGAAGCGGGCATCTTATCTTCTGTATTGACGAGCTGCGCCTGGTAGTAGAGATTACCCATGCAACTCAGGCAATGCGAAATTTTAATTGGTAACAGGATAATAAAAGGATTGGAAGGATACTGTCCAAAGCTGAAGTTCTTACCGCAAATTCAGTATCCCAAATAGGAAGGAGCCACATTCCCCGTAGAATGCGGAGAAATGAATTTGATTGGCTGCACTTGCATGTGGGTCTTATCTACCAAGCCAATGATATATTAGCAGCTTCAAATTATCGCGGAGTAGTCGGAGTAATCTTTCATTCTCTCATCTTCATACAACACATCAGCCCTCAATTGTTTCTATTACTCGAATCTCGTGATATGAAAAATGTCTACACCATCTAGCACAACGAGGCGAGCATTGGGAAAGAATCGCATTCGGATCCCATCGTGTGAGCCCTGCCGTTTGTCCAAACTTGCTTGTGACCACAAGCGTCCAGCATGCTCCCGTTGTATCAATCGTGAGATCACCCAGCAGTGTGTCTACAGAAAGAACCCTTTCAAGAGGCATAGACCGATTGTGGTCTCTGAGCAACATCATGCGTAAGCTTCTTGTCATGTGGTTTGGAAGAAGAGCTAAACATTAGTAGACTTCCTACAACCGCCTCAAATGGCACATCGCCTGAAAGACCAGTGGCCACTTTTCAGATGAAACCGTATCCAAATCCAGGCTATCAAGGATCATCGTCTCTCAAGACAGTGCTGGATAATCTTGGCGACCACCTAGCCGTTAGGATCGATACCTCCAGACCTCATGTTAACGACCAACAGTCTTCTCGAGATGCTGTACTGCGGGCAGACAGCTCCAAGATGGTTGACGAAGGAGTACAGCTGTTGGAGACATTTCTTGACTATCTTGCTGACAATGCTTTTCGACAACTATTCTCCGAAGCGAAAGGGAGCGGACTACAAACCCATTTGGGGACCTTCTTGCTCTTCCCATTCTTCGAAAGCCTTGCAAACGAGATTGATTTTATACGGCATTCGCAAAATCGACAGGAAAGCCTGTTTGCACTATCTCAGCGTCTTTTCGAAAAAGCGAATCAACCTGTTGAAATTCATAGCGCCATGACTCTAGAAGAGTTTGCAGCCCAGTATACTGGGCTAAATTTACGATGGGAGACAGTGGGAATAATTATTACGCTAGCTGGGTAAGTAATCTTAATTGTAGCTCTTACGACTTATAATGCTGAGTAGACAAGCACTGCTTCCACCGAAATCCGGGTTCCACATCCTGCTTGCAAAACAGAAGAGGAACGTCAGCTGCTGAGGACAAACCTCGTTCATATGACCAACAAGTGCGTGGGCTTCTGCGATTCTCTGGATACCTTGAATGATATAACCATGATATTCATCTATGAGAGTTTCCTTCTTGCTTCTATATTCTACGGTGATCAAAGTAAGAGAACAAAACCACTTCACAGCAGCTCAAATTCGTTGACATATTCTTTAGGTTTCAAGGCATGGAGGAGACTTAATCATGCTTCCAGCGCACTGTTTGCCGATGGACTTCATGAGACTGTCAAAGAGAAGGAGTACCTACCATTTTTCTTAACTCAATTACGTCAGCAAATCTTTGCTCGAATATATGGATCCGATATCAGTTTTGCTGTCTTTCTAGGTCGGCCTCCGCGAGTGAGTAAACGATTCTGTTACACTAGCATGCCTCTCGACATTGAAGAGAATATATACAGTCTTGTAGGGGAATCTTTGGACCAAGAATTGGCACACTTGGACCGCAACGGCTGGAACACACTCGGCCAAATCAGGAAAAGTGCCGTCATACGGTGGTCTATGATCACCTCAATGATCCGTGAAGATGCTTTAGAAACTCTGCTTGGACGTAATCTTACCAATGTACCGCAGCGAATCGGGTACGTTCTCTATTCCATTAGGCTTTGAATTGATATTGACATTTTGATAGTGAGCTACAAGCGAAAATTGACCATGCATGGAAAGAACTTCCCCTATTCCTCACTATTCCGACCCGAGATCTCTGGCAAAAAGGACGCTCTTGTCATGAGGTAGACACTTTACATCAAATCCGGCTACTTTACCTCAACACAACCTTTTTGATCGAATGGGCAGCTTCGCGGCATGGCCTTCAAGATAATGGAGCCTTGTTCGTCAATGCTAGTGAACTTCTGTCATGGGTTATTGAAGCTCTAGTCAGGCGAGAACAATTGTCCGAAATAGGCCTGATCTCTCTAGCATGGAGAGTAGGTTGCAGCAAAGTCCCATTCTTTGAATCTATGGCTGAATATTTTTATGCCACAGGTCGCTTCATGCGCTTTACCCGCTGCTGGTGCTATTGCCTGGTACCTACTACAGCCATCATCTCGTGTCGGCTTTAATCTCGACTCATCATCCAGACGACGCAGCATAGAAAATCTGTCAGTGCTAATCGCTCACATGGGTGTTCTCCATGATCCTGGCGACGGCAACTATCAGCTTTTTTGCCATGCAAAGAGTGCCTTACAGTCTGCAATGGACACCATTCTCAGTCCTCCAGATCCCGCTCAGCCTGAGAATTCTCTCGATATGTTATCATCGGCGGCACTGTCACCAGACTGGATATTTTCGGATTATTTGGGGCTTGGGGTAGATTCCTGGTGAGTTTTACATTATGCTGCATCTATTATAGAACTTTTCTGACTTTTTTACAGGATTGGTCTTCCGGATCGTGGATCTTTTATGAGGATGGATGATAATATGCCGTATTGATCGATTCTATCAGCCACTGATATTTATGATGATTACCTCCTCATTCTAGAAATGCTTTCCTATTAAGATGTACATTTTATATTATATGAGGTAATTGCAATCACCCTCGCTTGGATGTGTTATGGGTAGAATCAATATAATTCAGTGCATCAAACCCAGCCCTTACAAAGGAGGAAATGCAACATCCAACCCCAAGCTCTTCCCAACCCAATAACCCACAGCCTCCCTGACAATATTATTACTAGACCATGTCCTAGACGGGTGCACTCGATTACTAAAATGCAACCAGAAAGCATTATACGTCCTATCAATCACCAAAGTCGTCCCCGTAAACCCCGTATGACTCGCAGTCTGCAAGCTCGCCATCGGGCCCGCAGTATAATACTGATCCAACTCAAACCCTAAACCATGAGCATCCCCCGGAAATCGCGCATTGAAATTTGTGAATATCAGATCTACGGCTGTTTGAGAGAGGATGCGCTGACCGGCATATGTGCCATTGTTGAGAATCATTTGGCAGAATGCTGCAGTGTCGCGAACCGTGGAGAAGAGGCCTGCATGACCCGATACGCCGTCTAACGACCAGGCGTTTTCGTCGTGCACTGTGCCGCGTACTGGTTGTGGGCGTTGTGGTTCTTCGGGTCCCAGGACAGCTATTTGAAATTCTTGTGTAGCTGTGCGGTAGTAGTTGGGTGTCTGGGGCGTAGAGCCTTCGATGTTGCCGCGGTTGAAGAAGGTGGAGGTCATTCCGAGCGGCACGGTGAAGTCGTAAATGAGTTCATCCAAAGCACGCCCTGTGACGGTCTGAATAACAAGACCAAGAGACATGAAGTTCAGATCCGAATAGAGATACGTGCTGCCGGGTGGGTTGATAATCTTCTGCGTCAGAATCGCATCAATGCGCTCCTCATAGGTCGTATAATTGGCAGAGAAAAGTGATGGCGATGGATCAGCATCAAAGCCGCTAGTATGCGTGAACAGCTCTAGGATGGTGATGTTCTCCTTCCCATTCGTCGCAAATTTCGGTATATAAGTTGCAACAGTTGCATTGAGCACGATTCGACCGGCATCAAGCTCTCGCAAAGCAGCTACGGTGGTGAATAGCTTCGTGAGACTTGCCATGTCGTAGACCGTATCTACGGTTGTTTCTTCTTGAAGATGTCGAGGTAGCTCAGTGCCGTTGACATCGGCGTAGAGATTTCTTTTTCCGACAGCGAATTCACTGACAATGACCCCGTCGCGAGCTACCAGGGTGGTAGACCCCGGCTCGATGGGATGGATTTGCTCGTACGAGAACCTGCTATAGTTGGCAGCATGTGTGTATGCGCTGACATTTTGGACCATTTGGTGCAGTGGAGCTGATGACATGCCCACAGATTCTGGTGGACCGTATACCAGTATCCCGTCGTGACCTTTGATTGGACTGGAAGAGGCAAGGCTAATCGAGGCCATTGCCAATGCAAGTCTAGTAAAAGACATGGTATTTCTCATATTGAAGACCCCCAAGTGCTGTATCTTTTTCAAAATGTCTCTTCTCAACTTAGACTCTGCCAAGTCTGGGGTATGTCCTTTGAATTATACCCCAATATTTATCTACACAGACCCAGTAAGTGTGGTAGCATGATCTCGGAGTACTTGAAATGGTTGTGCATGCTTCCCCGCTTACTTCTGCTGTTTCGGCGAAAAGACGCACAGTTTACTCCGAATGAGAGATAAGAAAACAAAATGCGGAGTACAATGGGCTCACTTTCGGCTTTAACCGCCATTGCTCGAAGCTTATAAGTCTATCAATAATCTCAATGTAACTCTGCTGATATTAACGTGTACACAGACCTACAGATTTGAATTCAGGTAATTGCGTAGAAATGCGACTTCGGTATGATTGACTCCGATTGATCGACTTAAACTATCTGGCCGAACACTCTAATCTGATTCTGGCTCTAGAGTTTCTGTTGAAGATTGTTGAACATTGTGGTTCGTCATTCCTGTCCGACCGCGAATACGCTCTTTTGTGGCTTTCGAGGGTCCTGTTATGAGGGCACCGAGTATTAGCGTCACAATGAAACACCATCCGACGAGAAGAAATAGGCGGAAATGTTTCAGACTTAGATGCATTTTGGCCCTGAGCTATTACGTCATTTATGTAGGGAGTTCTTTCCAATAATCGATATATTGGCCCTGTAAAGCAAGGGGAAATAAACTGTGGTTAAATTTACATCTAGCAATGTGTGGCGGCAACTTAGGGCAAACCCCGATCTAGATCATGCTGCTTGCAGCCCTTGGTCTACATGATAGAATTGGGGATCGCCTTCAGAGGACAGTCAACTCATTCGAGAAAAAAATGTCACCGCTAACTGGAACTTCTGTTCCTTGCGTCTTCCGATTGATCTATCACCTAGGGCGGACCTGATGAGGTTGCCTGGTTCTGCTCTACCTATATATAGATGCTGGACGCTCCAGCCTTGGGAGATGTTAAGAATTCAATTGAATCAACCAGATCTCCTATTCAAAATACTTGCTCAAGTCTAAAATATCCCGAAGGACCAATAATTATCGGAAAAATGCCAATCACCGTTTGCGACAAGGTCGAAACCTACCAAGCAGCTCTCATGAGCCTCTTCGCCGGCAAACCCGAAGACACAGAAACAGACTTGTCAAAGCTACTCCATCCTTCTTTCACTCAACGCGAGGACACCACAACCCGCGACTTCGCCGGCTTCGTTGCACATATCAGCCACATTCGCCAAGTCCTAAGCCCCGGTAGTGTTGACTTGAAAGTTACACAACTCTTGCGTGATGGAAATCAGTTGGCTGAAAGGCACACCACCACGATGAAGATGCCCGACGGAACCGTCCGCAAGTCGGAGACTTTTCAATTTGGTGAACTTGCGGCGGATGGGCGTATTGCTTCGATTGTTGAGACCGTCAAATCAAACTAAGGGATTTATCAGGAGGGATGACTTCTCGCTATGGAAATCCGGCCGATGCTTACTTGTGTTGCGCGGCTTGTAGAACTTCGCCGACGGGCTGGATGGAATACGACCGGATTCACAATACTTATTGAATGAAATAAAGAATCATTACAGAGACGGATTAAATTAATTTGATTCTGCATCTTTACCTTCTGTAGCATCATGAACATTCCAATGTACGAAGCAATAAGCAAGTGGGATTTGCCCCTACGCTTTTAGTAGAATCATCAACCGATACATGTATGTAGTAGATTTAGCATTGTCAAGGACAGACCCAATTATTGACAGAAGTCAACTATCCTTATAGTGAGCAAGGGGCACTGCACTCACTACCTAGCTAGTCTGCAGTCGTGCAGCAACTGGCTGTTGCAAATTCATTGAAAAACAATGAATTCAAATTAGAATAGCAAAACTTAGGATAAGCATTTCATATACATAGTATAGAACTATCTATAAATATGTGTTCCTAATCAAGTTTGCAAGTCACTATAGAACACGCATACATGCTTTCTGCAAACAGACTCGTTTGCTTCTCAATCAGCACATACATACTTCCATAACAGTCGATGCCTGGTTACTTGTAGGGAAGTACGGGCAAATGTTTGCATAGTAGTACGTCCTCGATTCCATGAAGTGGCCTGCATGTTAGCTAGGCATAGGTCTTGTAAAGTGATGGGTACATGGACTCAGTTGCTGGCTGAGAATGAACTTACGGCAGTGGGAGAATGGAGTGGCATACCTATCAGGATTATCGAGAGTAGTAATCCATGAATCTATACAACTGGTTAAAATCTGAACGAGATCTATGTTTGAAAAGGATGTCTTTTCACAATTAGATTTGGGCTTGTTCTTTATGCTTAGGAGGTGATTGATGTTATCATGCATTCGCAAATAACAGGAATGGTGAGTTTTATTTAGCAATTCGCCATCAGCCAACCCAGCATTTGAATAAAATGAGGAACCTCCAACCTCCCCATGCCGCAATTCGTACGGAATATGGAGGGTAAGCTAGAGCCGTCCAAGTTGGATTGCCTAGAGCCATTCAAAAAATCTCGATTATGCCGACCTGGTACACTAGATTTCTCCCTGCTCGATGGTACACCAAACAGCGGGCTGAATTGCCGAGACAACGCGCCTTGCTATTCAGACAGACGACTTCTTGCAGGTCAGGACTGACGCCATCTTTGCACAAGATATAGGGCTTTGCTACTGTGAGCTAAGTCCAAGATTCTTCACATTTGATACTCCGTACTCACATCTCTAGCAGCATACAGTTCAACACTTCAACCGTCGCCTGCTTGTGCTCTTGTCTCCGCGTCTTGGGCATGCCCGAGAACCTCCTCTGGGAAAATGACTCGGCCAGGGGTGGCGGCGAAAACCTGCTGGGAACCTCATACCACCTCCATATGGTCTACCGCGGCTGAGTTACCAAGGACTACGAGAAATCACCCAACGCCATACACAGCAAAAACGACTTTGACACTCTGAACCTGCTACCCAGCCAGGCCGTCAGCTGTTCGTATATGCTTAGCGCCGATTGCAAGTGGTGCTGCGTCAGGTACGAGCCTGGACGGTTGAAAGATGATTCTCACGTAGGCACCCAAGCGATTCCCGAGAAGATTATTGAAACGAACGGGACCAAGCACATTGAGCAGATTTATAACGCCACGAAGCTACTTACTTGTGGTTATTTGAGGAATATTTTAGGAGCCTAGTTGTAAATTATTGTATGTCTTCTCCTTACGCAGCATGACTTGAATGGAACCAACCTTAGCTACAGTCACAATATAGCACGCGAGTAGCCCTGCCTGTAAGGTGAATTCCAGTCGAGGCAGTCGGGTAGTGGTTCGTGTTCAGGACTGTTTTGACTGTGAACGACCAAGGACAACCTCAGATTTAGGCCAATCTCCTGAAACTCCCACGGTCGCAAAGCAGAATACAGTTTTCCTAGCATCGAGGTATTCCCAATGCGCCTTATGGGTAAAGAAGTATTACAGCGATAGCAGGCAATCCTTGCTGCATAAGACGATACTTGGTGGTAGCTTGAACATTAATGAACGACAGTACAGTAGCAGGTAGCCTTGCCTCCTTCAAACCCTTGATTCTTATAGTAATTGCAAGTCGGGCACAGCAATCAAGGCCCTCATGACAGGTCTAAAAACGCGATTCCAGAAGATGTCATGTTATACGTAATCTCCGATCTCATGAAAAAGAAGAAAATATAAGAATGCCCGTTAGTTGCATACTGAAATGCATGTGATAGCAACGCATCATCAGCCACGGCGGGAGTCGGCGAATTATCAGATACGTACGTAGTTCTACTTGGCATTTGATCAAACTTAAATTTTTGTAAAGGCCTTGCAATTAGGGCCAACCTTTCCCGATCTTTATTTGAACGCATTGGCAGGGGTTGTGTAGATCAAAGAATAGAGACTTGCATCATTCCTATTGGAATCGGCTGTAGGAGCGATCATACTGATCAACGAGCCCAACAAGTATTGGATCAACGAGCTCAACAAGTATTGTTGCTATAAAAGATTGCAGTACGTCGTTTCATTGAGGGTGAAAGCTTCCTTACCGCGTTTATGTATTACCAAATACAGTACAGAGACCTCGTATTGAGCACTAAAAGCATAGCCCGACATACTAAACAAACTAATGCAGGGTCTAGGTCCATAGAAGCGAAAATTTTACGCAGGAACGAAGTGTGAGCACAAGATCTTGTGGGCTCCGTGGAACCAAATGCAACTTCAAATCAACTATTCGAGTCGAGATACTTCCGACTGCAAAAAGTTACCTATGTATCCAATCCTTCCAAGGCTGGTGCCGTATGAGAGTCTCGGATCGAGTGACGAGGGAGGGACCAGGACCCGACGAATCATATCAAATTTCAGCCACGCTAAATGAGTTTGAACTTTGTTCAATGGGCTTGTGCTGTGGCCATTTGAAAAATCCATCGTCCAGAACTTAATGGCCCCGATTCCTCTCCTTTTCGTACAGACTAGATTTTGTAAGTACGTAGTAAACACTAGATAGTAGAGCCAGAAAAGATGCGCTTTGACTCCCTTAATCCGCGCGTGTGCACCTTGGAACCACAATGGTCCACTCCGCACTCGTATTGATCCGGAAATGGAGCATCCGTTTCCGTCGAATTTATTGGCGGGGATGGGTGGGTTGTGGAGAAGGATAGTCGACGAGAGAGATAGGAGAAATGATTCGGGGGTAGAAAAAGTTAAGTGGTTGTAAAAGTCGCCATTAAGCCGATACGTTCCGGGCCAAAGAGACTCCAATAATTATGGGTTATTCTACTTCGTACCCTGAAAGTAAGTTTTGCATGCGTGGACTGGATCGAGTCGAGGTGCCGATTGCCGATTGCCGATTGTTGGAATAAAATGAAAGAAGTTGGAGGTCATCTTTAATCTAGATGCCATCTATTGAAGTCTAATCTATATTTGTGGTCTTAAAACAAACTACATTAATTTCATGCATAAGTGAAAAAAATACTCAAGCTGTTGGTGGCTCGGAACCTTTAACCTCCCAGCCATGAGGCTGTGAAATAACGGTCCCGACCGGCTCTTGTCGGTCTTCAGCCTCAATAGTCACTGTAATGTCCTGCCGAATTCGCAAGGCGCGATCCGAACCGTCGTCGCTGTTCAAATCTGCACTGTCCGAGTCTGCCTGCGTAATACTCAAGCCGCTGGCATTCTTCTGCGACTTTGGTGCAAACTCGTTCATATCGTAGTGTGGAGTTGCTTGTATCTGGCTGTTCATGCCATAAGTACGGGTTCCTCTGGATTTGGTTCCAGAACTGAAAGGCATAGATGGATAGTATCGATCTGCTCCCTTCCTCGAGCCACCTGTCCAACTGTTCAGTATATTTGGGAATATGTCACGCAACAAGGACCAAATGAGCGGTAGGTTGGTGACGAGCATTCCGACTGAGGCTTCGCGGAAGTACCAATTCATGTAAACATAGGATATCAGACTCGGTACCAAGCAGTAAATCTTGGTCAGGATAGCAGCCACAATAACGAAGACACCCATGCCGAAAAGGAGGAGCAGAATCAGCTTTTGTCTCAGCGGTAATTGAATCTTGACCAGTAGTGGAATTGCAACTAAAAGCATGAAGATGTCGGCGGTGATTGAGAAGCATGCTTGGACGATTTCGTAGTGCTGATAACTCGAGCATTGTGCTAAACGTCGTATGTTAGAAAGGAATAGCTGAAAGCGAAGCATGACAACGTACGGTTTGGTGTAGGAACTGCCCAGTAATTCTGAAGCGGAATACAACTTAGAAACAGGCACAATTCAACAGCAACAAAACCGACTGCGACGTAACCAGCGCAATAGTGTATGAGTCGTTTCTGGGACAGTCCGTCCCTATAAACATATAAAGTTAGTACCAGGCAAAATATTTCAATGCATCGACTGTACATACGTAAGACGAGCGTATATGACTAGCATGCAAGCCTTACAGCTCCAGACACAGAGGATAAAAGCGTGTTCAGAGACAAACACCCATTTGCTCCCTCGAACCCTTTCCGCATAAGAGCTTGGTGTCAAGTTTGCGATATCCTCGTCCGTCATCAAATTGGACCCTCCTCCGTTTGCGACTTCATTAAGCGCAACACACAAGATGGTGTACCAGATTACTGCAAATACCATGAGATAGTCGTCGACTTGAAGGTTGCGGATTCCGAGACGTCGAATACGAGCGACACTATCATGACGAAAATTAATAAGAAGATTCTGACATTATGATACACCTCATGCAAGATGGATGTCGACTTACAATCGCAGGGCAGCCCCCAAGACGCCGACACCGTACAAGGCCCATGTTTCCTTTGAGAAACTCTCCCCAAACGCTCTGGAAGACATCTCGAATGATTTGGGAAGACTACCGCGGTCGAATCTGTTACGTGGTCCTTTTGTTCGGTGGATGCTGACTTGGCAGTCTCGCACGGTGGTTTATGCCAGCAGAGTCAAATTAGGCCATGGGTTCCACCTAGAATAGCGAAAGGAGGCTGGATATTCAAATATATCGAGTCATTCGTTTCAACCGTCCAGACTCGAAAAGCCCAAGAACTGACAAGATCTATGTTTGGAGATGAGATTGTCGTTTTTAAATGTCTGTAGCCAGACGCAAAAGCTTGATAAATCAACAAGCCAGCCTTTGGAAGTCGTCCCTAGACATATCTCAGTATTAGTACCCACAAGGATGATCAGGCTACCAATTCCATGGTAGACCTCTCGGACCATTTGCGCATGGACTATCTCTTCGATCAATCAAATGATTCGAATCCGAAAAATCCACGGTAGACGACTCAAATAATAATCGCCCCGTCAATAAGCTCAGTAGAATACTACGCTTGCATTCTTTGCAAAGCGTTAGTAGAAGCGCTGATCTTGGCCGTAACTCCACTAGACTCCAACTGGAAAATGTAGTGAGCGAATTTCGCAGCCTTCGGCTTCGAAGTCCCAGTTTCAGCGAGCTGGGCCGCCTCGTTCCGTGCAGTTGCACCTGAAATCCTGCGAGTGTAAGTTCGCCAAGCAGCCACTCTTCTTTGGCATGTTTGACTTTCTAGAACTTATTTTGATTACTTCGAAACCTCGTAAAGTCGTACTTATTATCTGTATTGTAACGTAACGTACGTTGAGGCATCAATACGCGACACTAAATGGATCTCGATCGCGGGGATCTACGGGTGGTCGAACCTTAATTTTGAGTGCTCCCGCTTGTGGACTAGCGCAGCACAGCAGTGGCCGAAAAGGGCTCCATACGTCCGACGAGCTTCCTTTTCACGCGAGGGGTTTTGTCTGGATTGGCCAGGGTATCGCTTAGTTACATGGCAATATCCTTACTACTACGTATTATCGAGGCTAGCTCATGCGTGGTGCGTACGTAAACTAATTCAAGTGCATGCCTTCGTGAAAAATTCTGTTTCTCAGGGCCAGGGCTCAACTACCAGACTTGAATGAAGGTGATTGTGTTATAAACGCTCCTAATAGACGCGTATACTCGAGATTAACTTAGAGTATATGATTTGTCAATTCTCTCCAGTATCTTCTCGATAATCGATATACAGTTCTTGACCAGACCCATACAACTTAATTGCTGCTCGTATGTAGAGTATGGCGTAACGTACGTAACGTCTGGGCGCAATCTCCACCTCGGCGACCGGCAACTGAAATTGGTATATCCCCGAGACCGGAGGGTATTGTATGATCTGTATTAAAGTATATACCTACTATGTAAAAGTCAGACTTCTTGTAGGAAGAATAATGTGCTTGCTACCATTCAAACGAATCTATATGTGACATTTTATTGTGTCAGAACGGTCAGTCGTTACCAGCTAGATAATACGGAGTACGTACTTACTACTTACTATGCAGAGCTTAGAGGACCCACCAGTCGGTGTTTGAGTAAGGGTTGCTGTGAATTGCAAACCCCATGATGAAAGACTCTTACTGATCGTCTTATATAACGATCGGCTCTCTTTATACACGATCCAGGGTTCATCACAACTACGTGCTCGATCGTCTAGTCTGTAGCATGGCGACCCATGCCATCGCCATGTGTTGTGCAGTAGTACGTATACTGCAAGTACATACTCCGTGCATGGCTAGAAGCACCTAGAGTATTTTCCCTTTAAAACACACCGGCTCGGCGGAGTTTTTCCCAAAATAGTATGGCAGAGTACAGGGATCAGCAGCATGTGGCGAGTGCAATAGCGAGCATTGAACAACGTTGAAGATTGAACGAGAAGTCTTTTCTCTAGCTGAGGACGAACTAGAGATAAGCAAGACTCATACCATTCCATGACCAGCAGATATGACAGTCTTGATGTCCCTTGCTCTCGTATCTGACGCTCCATCTGCGACACCATGGACAGAGACAGCCAAAAAAAAATCATCTGTTGAAAATTCCCTTTTGGGACTAGCGTATCATCAATAATCATAGTGTCCCCACCGTCGCCCGCCAATCATGCACCATACAGATTGGCCACCCGCGACGTTGCTCCATTTTTTGTACTCAGCTTCACACTCTTCCAAGACTTCCATTCTTTCGTTTCGTCCTTTCTTAGCCCAGAAGGCTCCATGGAGACAGCAAACCCCCAATAGAGCTGTGGTCCTAGTTCTGTGGTCGTATTTTCAATCCGTGGAAACGATATCATTGGTTGCAGCCGGCCCTACTTTAACCTTTCCACCCCATAACGATAGGAGACCCAGTGTAGATACGGGAACTCCAGGTTTCGATGTTTATATTCTAGCACATCTACTATCATCCTGAATACTCGCATATTTTTCGAAAACTCTCTGTGTTTTTGAGGATATTCGTCCTTTGCTACGGTCGATTTGGCCCATATTCGCGACATTTACAAGCCTGTCTTTACCATCTACAGGTCTGCAACATGTCGGCTGAAACAACGCACAAGAAGTTTGAAGCGGAGGAGTCTCCGGTCGACGACAAATCTGTCGGGGATGTTGTCAATGCCTCTGGCCACAAGCAAGAACTTCAACGCAACTTTGGTCTCTTGAGTATTTGCGCTATTGCAGTGACCACGGGTAATACCTGGATTGCTCAAGGCGGTAGTGTTGTGAGTATTTGACTATCTGTTGATATTTGAAAATTCGCTCAATTTGGGGGATTCATATTTTAACAACCTGTTAGACTGTCAACATCGCCAATGGAGGACCTGCCGGTATCATCTACGAGTTGTAAGTCTATACCTCATTTCCAGAATTGGCATGCAATTGCTAACATTCCATCCAGTATTGCGGTCTCCATATGTTATTGGCTAGTAGCTGCTTCAATCGCCGAACTGGCATCTGCTATGCCCTCAGCAAGCGGAGGTATGTCCATGGTTATTACCATATTGGAAGAATTTCAACTAAGTTCGGTTTCTTCAAGTTTATCATTGGGCATCCGTGACTGCAGGAAAGTATGGCCGCCCCTGCGGGTGGTTCGCTGGCTGGTGGAATACGCTTGCCTGGATCTTCGGAGCAGCATCCATGTCCTCCATTCTCGGAAATCAGACAGTCTCGATGTACGCCTTGTTTCACCCTGATTTTGAGCCTAAAGCATGGCACGTCTTTGTCAGCATGCTCCTCTGCACTTGGATCTGCTGCTTGACTGTTCTATTCGCAAACAAGGTTCTTCCTCAGATTGGCAACCTCGGCATGATTCTCATTCTTGGTGGTGTCTTTATCACCATTGTTGTCTGTGCTGTGATGCCACATGTCAATGGAGTGGGTTATGCTTCGAATGAGTTTGTGTGGCGTAGCTGGACAAGCAACACGGGATATAGCAGTCAAGGCTTCGTCTTCGTTGCTGGTATGCTTAACGGTGCATACAGCGTGGGAACCCCTGATGTTACCTCACATTTGGCCGAAGAGATTCCTCAGTAAGTCACGGAGACTAAGATGATGTACCTACATTTCGTCGTGCTAACTGTTCGTTCCCCTTATAGTCCAAGCAGAAACATTCCGAAAGCCATATTGGCCCAGATGTCTGTCGGATTCATTACCGGATTCCTCTACATGATCGCCATGTTTTATTCCATTCAATCTCTCGATGATGTTTTGAACAGTGTTTTCGGTTTTCCTCTTGCCGAGATCTACCGTCAAGCTACTGGAAGCAGAGGTGGTGCTCTAGGGCTTCTAATTGTCGCATTCTTGCCTACGTTGGTCACTTGCATTGGCTGCTACATCACCGCCGGTCGCACCCTCTGGACACTGGCTCGAGACAACGCGACACCTTTCCCTGGCTGGATCGGACACATCAATACTCGATTGCACAATCCTTTCAATGCCACGTTGGTATGTGGCTTCACGATCACCGTCCTTGCTTGCATCTACGTCGGCTCGACCACCGCCTTCAACGCTTTCATCGGATCTTTCATTCAGCTTTCTACACTATCATACTTCACAGCCATCTTCCCTCACGTTTTGACTCGTCGATCTTTGATTACTCCCGGATACTTCCACATGAAGAACTCCGTCGGCTACGTCGTCAACATCCTGAGCTGCATCTACATCGTCGCTTTTATCGTTATTTTCTGCTTCCCTGCTTCAATTCCCACTAACGCTCAGTCGATGAACTATGCCAGTCTGATTACAGGTGGCCTCACTATTTTTATTACTATCTGGTGGTTCGTGCGTCAGCGTGATTACGTTGGTCCACAGGCCATTCCACTTACTGATCGGGCGGTTGCGGAGGATGCGAAATGAGGATACGAAGCCAGGTATCAGTTAATCTTGAATGATTTGGCTGTCGAACATGTATAATTAAAAAGCCGTTGTTGCGTTTCAATCTCTCAATTTAGCTTATGATGCTCTTTCATATTCATATACATAGACATCACATAATAACTTTCATTATTGTCACTTCAAATTTAATAATCAGAATTACCAACAGAACATCGAGCAATTGTGTCAGCCTCTTAACTAGATATAACATAGAACTCTGCATAGTCAATCTCAAGCGGACTCTTCTTTGGTATCCTTGAAGATGTAAGATGCATACTGCGGCGGCACAGTACCACCAAGGATAGTAGCTGAGTCCAGAAAGGTATCAATCTCCGCTACTTCCTCATCCGAAAGAGAAACATCCTGCGCAGCCCAATTCTCTTCCAGATACTTAATCTTCTTCGTGCCCGGAATCGGGAATATGTCATCACCACGCTTCAGCAACCACGCAAGAGCAAGCTGCGCAATAGTGCAACCTTTGTTGTCAGCAAAGGCTTTGAACCTGTTGACTGTTGCTGTGTTTGTGGGTGCATTTTCAGCCATGAACCGTGGGATTGCGACGGGTCTGATGTCGGGGCCTTCGTTGATAGCTTCTCCTTTACTGAACGCGTCTGTAATCAGACCTCGTCCCAAGGGTGTTGCGACGACTACTGCGACGCCGAGTTCGCGGCAGGTGGCAAGGAGATCAGTGCCAGCTTTACCTTCGATTTCACGAGAGAAAACTGAGTATTCGGTTTGTACGGCGGTTACAGGTGCGATCTTGCATGCTCGGCGGACAGTGGCGGAGGTTACCATGGTTAAGCCGATGTGCTTGATTTTGCCTTCTCTTTAAATTGAATATATAAGCGAGGTTCTAATAAAGGAGTTTGGAGTACTGACTTTTGAAGCTCTACCAAGCCACGCATGGTTTCTTCAATCGGTGTCTCGAAATTGGCACTGTGTAAATAGTCTGAGTGTTATTAGTACTTGGCACGTGTATGAATTGAATTACTGATGGGTATCACAATGGGCAAAAGCTTACACAAGTCAATGGTGTCTACACCTAGTCTTTCCAGACTCTTTGCGCAAGCTTTCTTGCAATACGCCGCCGAACTATCAGTCTCGTATGTTTTGCTATGTTCCACATAACCAAACTTCGTTGCAAGGAATATCTGATCTCTCTTTCCAGTTCGCTTGAACCATTTACCAAGCAGTTCTTCGTTGTCGCCATATTGACTTAGTCAAGTACACTATTAGAGACGATGTGGCTAATGCATCTATCAGAAGGAGGTGAAACTCACTCGGCAGTATCCCAAAAAGTAGCCCCTAACTCGACCGCCCGATCAAGCAGGGCAAAGCGCTCCTCATCACTTGGAAGTGCCCCATAGTGAGGTTGGGACATTCCCATTAAACCAAAGCCTAGGGCTGGTACAAGAGGACCATTGTTTCCGAGTGGGTGAAGTTTGGTGGGCATATTCGATATATTTATGGAACGACACTGTATGAAAACCAATGTAGTTTCGTGATATAGTCTAAGAAACACGGCTAATATCTTGATTTTCTCGTTTTCGCTTTGCAAAGTCAGGGTCACCCTTTATATAGGCATATTTTGCACAGCTGCCTGGGAAGAGCCCTCAAATTGAGAAATTACCCAATATGGAAAGAATGACATAGAATCCATCACAGCCAATCATCGTGTGTAAAATCCGAGATGCTGACTCAGCCAATCAACCAATCAAGGCGTAGCCGGTCCGAGGCAGCCAATAACATAGCCATCATAGACCCACCGTCACGAAGGGAATGAACTGAACTTTCTGTCAGTTCGCAGCTTTCTTACTTCTCGATTTTCTTTGATCAGTGGCTTCTACTCAAATGCTAGAATGATTATACTAGGAGGTGATATGCTATGGCAAAAAGTAAGGTCAGAACAGGTTGCCGCACTTGCAAGTAAGTCGTATCATGCATTTCGGAAGCCTAAAATCCGTTCACAACGCAAGCTCATGCGATACCAGGATCCGTAAAGTAAAGTGTGACGAAAGCTATCCCGTCTGTAACCGCTGCGCATCTACCGGGCGTACTTGTGATGGCTACGGAGTCTGGGGAGGCGGCGGCAATCAGTCGAACTGGGGTAGGCCTGATGGAACTATTATAGCCTCGACTTCGTCACCTTCCAACGAAACCTGCAGTGTGCTTTTGCCTCGGCCAGGATACGTTTCATTCTTTGTGGCTAGCCGTGAAGATAAGGAGTGCTTTGATTGGTTTGAACGTCGCGCTTCGCCTAAGCTAAGAGGTTCATTCGACTCGGAATTCTGGTCTAAACTTATATTACAGGCTAGTATCAACGAGTTGGCAGTCCGGCACGCAGTCTTGGCTGTAAGCTTTGTTCATAGAAGAGGCAGCCTGAATCTGTTGGATACACGTCTAGAGGATGAACCTATTGGTCAAGTGGAACAGGTCCCTCTAAGATATTTCGCCAGGTCTATCAACAATCTTCAACACCATTTATCAGCCAATACCCGAGCATCTTTACGCATTGTCTTGGTTACATGCATTATTTTTACCACGCTAGACCTTCTTCGCAGTCATTTTGAAACAGCGCGGATACATGTCAAAAATGGTGTGTATCTTTTGCGAAAGTTGAGATCTTTCTCAAACCAGGATGACGGGCTAGATTCAACAGACGATTGGATCGCGGAAGCCTTCATGAGACTTCATAGCCAGATAGAAGTTTACAATCTCGTTGATAGAGTTAGCTGTGAGTCCCTTCTCCGGGATCCTGGTTCAATACCTTCAATACAAAATCTCCGCTCAGTCAAAGAGGCGTGGAATAATCTCGACAGAATACTGGAGCACATATTCTATCTGAACAATCGAGCTCTCGAATGTGAGACCGAGTGTCATGCTCTACGTTCATCTCCTCCTTCACTAAGAATAGACCAGCAACAGATTCAAACTGCACTTGCTTCGTGGTTGAAAGCTTTTGAGTCATTAAGATCATCACCGCTTATTCAACATTCGAAGGCAGAGTGGGAAAATAAGGGTTCCAGGCTACTTCTTCTGCATCATCAAATGCTCACAATCATGACTGATGTGTGCTTGTCACCTAGAACTGAAGTGATATTCGACGCTCACACTGACAGCTTTTTACGGCTGATAAACCATGCTGTGGATCTATGGAACTACACTATCATCACGAATCTACCTCGCCCTAAAATACTGCCTGGTCAATTTTTGAACATGTCCAATTCAATCACAGACAAGGGATGGATTCCAGCTCTATACTACACAGCTATAAAATGTCGCGTGCACAGAATCAGACTTCAAGCCGTCAGATTCCTTGAGACTAGTCGCCATCGCGAGGGCTTTTGGGACTCGTCGATAATGGCGGTTGTTGCGCGTAAAGTGATGGAACTCGAAGAAAGAGATTACTATCAAGATATCAATCCTCTTGACAATATCTTTTCACTTACGAGCTCGCCTACCCAGTGGGATTTGTCGTTGCCAACTTTACCAGAATCGTACAGATTGAGAGGAGTTGAAACCATTCTTTCTGGGTGTCCTGTGAATAGGATCTTATTGTTGTGCAGGCATAGGCAAGGCATGGAGGATCGAAAAATCCAGATAGGGGAATATGACATTCCCACTCAGCGGTGGATTTATGCACCTGACTGTTCCCCTAGGGACATTTGATGTTACAGAACATTTCCTCACATTCACAGCCCTAATCTTAACTCTAAAGAAAAGCTTCAATCATAAATCATATCAAAATCTTCATACCCCGACCCAGATTAGACATTAAAAACCTGTGTGCCCTGGCCTAAATCTGTTTAGCCCTAACCCTTATCTAATCGCACGTGTTTACGCGACAAAGGCGCGTTTCAGGCACGCGTCCGATAGCGTCTGTAAGTCTAGATACTTCCGAGAACATCAACCACGACGCGCATCACAGCTCACCACGACCATGCCTTTCAAACCGTTCAAGCCTCCTCTAATACGAAAGGATTTGCTAAGTGACGCCCCATCAAAAGCGACCGATAACTCCAGCGTTCCACCCCCTTCCAAAAGACCGCGGCTCAACGTCCGCGAAGATGAGACCGAAAGTAGGAACACGGCAAAGCCGGTAGTCGTCGATCTGACTCTATCGGAAGTCGGGATAGTAAGGAAAAACACCGCGGAAAGACCTCCATTAGTGAACGTCAAGAACACGCCGGGTGAGACAGAGACGCCGTCAATGGAAAATGGCATCTCTAGCAATGACGTTGAGGCCTACTATAACGTTCTCTGGTTGGTCCTCGATATTTCAATTGTGCATACATCTCAGCTAACAAAAAAAGGCGCAAGTTCACAGCAAAAAAGCACAAAACCTGGGACGGCGATGGAATCCTGGTCATCCGGGGAGGCTATGGGTATCTTCGAGATGTATCAGGTCGCGAAATGGGCCGAATTGTGATCAACAAATTTCTTGAGTCCGGCACGAATTTGACAATAGGAGGGAAAGATGTTGAGATTGAGTCTGCTATTTCGAAGAAAGACTACTTATCAGGGAAGGAATTTTTGAACAGTACGAGGAAGCCTTCCTCTTCACCTCCATCTCGAATCAAACCGTCTTTGGCTTCAAGCCAGGTTGCAAAGTCAAATGTGCCCACAAGCAGTGAAGGCCCTCTAGACTATCTGCTCAAGGCGAATACTGTGAACTCCCAGGGTGGACCGCCGAAGTTATCGGTGAGACACCTCAACGCTGCAGCCCCTAAAGGCAATGCTGTTGGCACAGCTTTCAAGAATCCATTGAAAGAAACATCGAGCGCCAATTTTCAACCGAGTGTCAAAGCCATTCCCCGTCATGATCCCAACGCCCCTGGAGCCTTGGTCATGAAGCGTCCAAAGACTGCACCAAAAGGACAAACGATTGTTGACGTTGTAGTCGATCCGTTTCTAAGTAAACATCTCCGTGAACATCAACGAGAAGGAGTCAAATTTTTGTATGAATGTGTCATGGGACTCAGAGATTATAATGGCGAAGGTGCTATATTAGCTGATGAAATGGGACTTGGCAAAACTCTTCAGACCATAACCTTACTATGGACTTTACTGAAACAAAACCCCATATACGAAGCATCACCTGTGGTGAAGAAAGCATTAATCGTTTGTCCTGTCACGCTGATCAATAATTGGAGAAAAGAATTTCGAAAATGGCTCGGAAATGAAAGAATTGGCGTTTTCGTCTTTGACGACAAACGCAAGAAATTGACGGATTTCACCAAGGGAAAGGCTTATAACATTATGATTGTGGGTTATGAAAAGCTTCGTACCGTACAAGAAGGATTACTCAAAGGACATGGTGTCGATATCGTGATAGCAGATGAAGGACATCGACTCAAAACTGTGCAGAACAAAAGTGGCCAGGCTATACAAGCCTTGAATACAGCAAAACGAATCATACTTTCGGGGACGCCTATACAAAACGATCTCAGTGAATTCTTCGCTGCAGTAGACCTCATCAATCCTGGGATACTCGGCACCTACAAAAGCTTTATGAAGGAATTCGAAGGACCCATCGTTCGCAGTCAGCAGCCCGAAGCCACTATGAGAGATATTGAAAAAGGCGAGGCAAGAGGCGAGGAGCTTCGAGAACTCACTTCCATGTTCATTCTGCGGAGGACAGCAGAGATTCTGTCCAAGTATCTCCCTCCGAAGACGGAATACGTGATACTATGCAACCCTACATCTGTGCAAGCAAGTATCTACCGCCATGTGCTTGGGTCCCCTATTTTTCAGAGTGCATTAGGAAACACGGAAGGAGCATTTAGCCTTCTTACTATTTTGAAGAAGCTCTGCAACAGCCCATCCTTGCTCACTGCAAAGACCGGCGATGAGCCGCCGAATGCCACTATGGAAGCACTGCTGTCTACTTTGACACCAAGCCTACGTCGACAATTCTCACCTTCATCGAGTGGGAAGATCAGAGTTTTAGATCAGCTGCTTCACAACCTCCAAACAACTACATCGGAGAAAATTGTACTTGTTTCCAACTACACCTCGACTCTCAATTTGCTCGGCATATTACTTACTTCTCTCTCTTTACCTTTTCTGCGACTCGATGGCTCCACGCCCTCGGCCAAACGACAATCGCTCGTGGATGATTTCAACCGAGCTCCTGCAAGTAAATGCTTTGCGTTCCTCCTCTCCGCCAAAGCGGGAGGCACCGGGCTCAATCTCACCGGTGCCAGCCGTCTTGTCCTCTTCGACGTAGACTGGAATCCAGCCACCGATCTTCAAGCCATGGCACGAATTCATCGAGACGGACAAAAACGGCACTGCTATATATACCGAATTATGCTCAAGGGCGCTCTAGAGGAGAAAATATGGCAACGCCAAGTCACCAAAATCGGTTTGGCGGATAGTGTCATGGAATCGAAATCAAGCAATATGGCACAGTTCTCGCGAGAAGAGCTCAAAGATCTATTTCGACTCTATGAAGACAAGGGCTGTCAAACCCATGAATTGCTGAATTGCAAATGTGGTGGAAAGGGTATCCCTCCATCACCATCTCCTGCGCCTTCTGCTCCAGTCCATATATCACTCTTAGACGAAGACGTAGGCAAAGACGATGAAGCTGACAAGAGTGAACTGCTCGAATCTCTTGCGACAACGCCTGAGAAAGTGCGAAGCGTATCACCCTTCTGGAAAGACGAGGAACTATCCGACAGTGAAGACATCGACTTCCCCGACCTGCACACCTTAACAAAAGCTTCAAAAGTCAACATTGAAGAACAAGAAGATCAAATCAAGCGTGGCAAGCACACTCTTCAGCAAAATTCCAAGCTGAGAAAGACAAATACAAAGACGAATGCAACAAAATCGAAATTGCTATCAAACCGTAAACGAAAAACCAGAAATGACGACGCCGATGCCGACGGAGATGAAGCAGTCTCAACCGAACAAAGCAAAATCCAGCGCTTCCTCGCTGAATATGCACACATCGATCCAGCTGCTTTTCCCTCCACTAGCGGAGACAATAATGTCGATGAAGACAACGTCGACGATATAAAAAACCACATTGACGACCCGATTCTACAAGCCCTACTCGCCGATGAGGATCATGGGATTGGATTCTTGTTTCAGAAGACTGCTTTTCCGGCCTCGGCTAGTCCTGCGCCTCCTGCTGATGATAATACAGAAGCTTCAGCGTGATAGAATTTACATACTGTGTAGAATTTAACGTCATTTTGCTATGATTGATGTATTGGTATAGATATAGGATTCGATATGTATAGATGCACTGTTTGTCTATTGAATTTCAGGGGACAAGCGAGATTATATATATAATGGAAAGTTATTGGACGTTATTGAAGATGATTGCATTGTACGAATACTAGCAATTAGAAGAGAGAAAACGTACATACACGAAAGACAGGGCTACATAAATCACAAAGACCATTCCACAAATGCTTCGAGATAAGAATAGGAAATGGACGCATATCCGGAAAGTGTAAAAGCAGCGACAATTGGATACACATAAATTCGCGGATGGGTGGGTATACAGGAAAAAAGGGATAGAAGTCTAGTAGATGATAGGAAGCATTATATGCAAGAGTGACAAGAAAGGAAATTGAATGAGGTAGGTACAAGAGAATCGCAATCTCGAGGGTATGCAATTCAGTCAGAAGCAAACATAAAAAAAAAGGCAAAGAATGGTAAGTCATGTTCAAATAACAGGCGTTTCAAGGAAAAGGGGGACTAAGAATAGTTTGTGGTAGGTAAGGTGGACGAGGTTGTGATCAGTAGCGCAGCTTCCCGACCAGTCCAAATGTATATGCAGCCTCAGCTTCGGTCTTCATTTGGATCATGTAGATTCTGAAGGCGCCTCCAGTGACTCCGCCCTTTTGCTGTATGGATCCTCCGGAATGATTTTCCCATACGGAGATGGCAATACCAGTTCGAGCGACTCTTTCAAAGGAGCTTTCGCCAAGGCACACATCCAGTAAGACTTCGCCTGCGGTTTTACCTTGGATGAGTATTCGCTTTTCTTGTGACATTGTTACTCTTCGGGGCGATGCACCCGGGGTTGGAGTCGTGGCGCCGTCTGGTCGATTCTCATCGGCGAAGTCGTCAAAGTCTCTTTCTGGATGCGGTTCATTGCTATTAAAATCTGCTTCGTTTACTTCCGCGGCTATTTTCGTACTATTGGCTGTTCCAGGTCGGGATGATCGGGGCGTCACGGGCATGATTGTTAATCGGGCTGCACCCATGTCGCGCCATCGTGTCGTACTTTCCCGCACATATAGTCTAATCTTCGCGTTCGACAGACCGATTCCATCTGCTCCCTTAATGGCCGTCGCAAGTGCTGCGAGTCCAGAACCACCACCAGCACCAGAAAATACTGTACTTCCATCACGACTTCCTGTGCGTGAGGTAACGGTCGATCGTGCAATACTGAAAAACTTGCTTCCGGTTCCAAACCTTTTCAGGGCGGAAAATGCGCTGCTCATGGATCCAACACTGCTTTCGGATACCATTCCCACGGAAGGTGCATGCTTTGCGGCTCGATAACTATTCTTTCTTCGAGGGAAACCAAACCAGCTGGTTCCTTTGCTTGATCCAGTCGGATTGTATCGCGATAGGGATGCAGGCTGATAAGGGCCACGGGCGTTTTGCAAAGCAATGTATGTTGGATTGTTGATACGAGAATGATTGATGAAGCCGTAAAGGGTATCACACTCATCAACGTTCTGTGAGCGGAACATAATATTGTTGCTAGTCTTGATTCTGGATCTTTCTGTTGGCGGTGATCGAATACTAATATCGATTGCCGTGCCACGTCTAATTGGAACTAGTGGCGTCAGTTCGAGGGCGACTAAAGGGCGATCTTTGCGTGGCTGATCGTCTTGATGATCGCCAGTGCCGTTCATCTTGTATGCTTCAATAAGTCCGGGAGTTATCACCAGTTCACATTCGTCAGGATATAGACTCTCCCAATTTCCTTTATCGGACCAGAAGAACATTGTCGCGATAGCCTTGGAAGCTTTTGTAGGTTGAGAAGGAACGGATCGATAGGGGCCTTGCGATGCCGAGTTGGACGGCGACAAGGTGTCACCGTCTAGAGCAGGCAAAGAAGCGGGCGGTTGCGGTTTGCGCTGGCGGTGTACAGGAGGTAAGTCATCCTCATCCTCTAGCTCTTCATCGGAAGTGTCAGATGTATCTGAGTCGGAGTATTCCATATCATAGTGTCGAACTGTAGATGTATCAGATTCAGCAGAAGAATCAGACGCACTTGATGGCTCATATTCGTGCTTCAATGGTGAAGATGATCTTCGCTTCTGTCTATTGGCTGATGGACTTAACACCGGAGAGTTTTTGAGCGCTTGACTAGGCGTTCTGTGGGGAGGCGGTGCAGGTGCTTCGTCCTCTCCATCGGAGACAGATCTCTGCGATGACAATGATGATTGAATATCTGGCCAGGTCTCTTCCTCATCTTCACTCATATCAGCAGACAATGCACTATGGGTGCTACTACCGCCCTTCCGCAGCTTTGGGATCGTAGGCATTTTCATAGTAGGTACGGACGATACACGTGCATCATCGTCGAGGTCATCTTCTATCGGTTTTTCTCGCTTGGACTTGGATTTTGCGGATAAAGGACTCGATTCCACAGTCTTACCGGCATAGAAACGTCCCGCTGCTTTTGGTGTTTGCTTTGGCGATTCGACGACTTCCTGTTCCTGTTCGGGGGCAGGAGAAGCTTTTGGCGTGGTATCTGTGGGAGTGAGCTGTTCAACATGGCGAGAGCGTCTGTTTGCTTTAGTTCGTTTCAGGCCAGGGGATGCTTTTCCATCGATGATTCTCTTCTTATCGCTGAGCTCTTTGGCGGATGGTAGCGTTGCCCGAGCATCAGGGGATGTAGGTGTGCGGGGACTATCAACGAATGCATAGTCTGATGCTCTTGTAATATCTGAAGCCAAAGAGTTACCAGAGGTTGCTTCGGAAAGTGAACTTAACGTGCTTGGTCCGGAGCTGTTGGTAGTCGAGCTCTTTCCAGCATGGCTAAGAACGCTGGCTTCACCAATTGGCACGTCCATTTCACTTGAGCTTGGCAAACGCAGCTTTAACGTGGTTGAAGGTGATGAATCGGCCTTGATTTCATCGCCAGCCTTGTGCCTTCGACTCTTTGCACGCTCAACAAACTTCTTGCTTCTGGGTAGGGCCGGAGGTACTGGATATAAGCCTAGCATGTTGACCCATTCAAATCCGACATCCTCGTCGTCAATAGTCAAAGATAGTAACTCCTGCCATTCGCCATCATCCGTAGATTTGCCTCGAATCATAATCACGACTTCGCCTTTTAGGTCGCCATTTCGTGCAGAGACACAATTTCTTTCAATCGGTGGGAACAGAAGCCAACGATCAGTATCGTCAATTTCACATATTAGCAGATCCCCTCCCGTGCCGGCATCGGCGGCGTTGTCTCTAAGCAGCAATTCTGTATGGCAATCAATCATCTGGCCACTTGAATGCATGAGTGATAGGCTGAAAAAGTCACGAGCAAGTACCCGTCGTGTCTTGTCAACGACCACATCGGAGAGGACAGCCAAAGTTTCTAGACTTCGTGCTCGAGTGCTATCGATATATGCAGCGGTTTCATCCTCCAGTCGGGCTCGTTCTTCGTTTGAGCGGCGACGTGCTTGTTCAACAAGTTCTTGATATGTTTCCGCCACTTGTTGTGCTTTTGGTGAATGCGCCACATGATCGATTCCTTTGAAAGTTTTGGATAAGTACTTCAAACGCACGAGTGGTCGTTTTAATAAGTAAGCGACGTCCACTTTCTCGCCATCAGCATCGATAACATCCCCATTATCGTCTCTTTCCATGCCTTGATCTAGGCTATGCGTTTCCAGTTTGTCCGACTCCTCATCGTCAGGGGGAGCAAGATTCACGACTACATCCTGGAATCCCATACGCCAGGCCTTGAGATAATCGCGATACACCCTCTGAGCGCCTTGTGCCCAGGCCAATAGAGCTTCGGTTTCATCCAGAGGGATACGTTTGTGTAGTGTCTTGAGACGTTCTAGAGCAACTCCCATGTCGACAATTGGTCTGGTAAAGTTGATGTCATCCTTAGGGTCTGCTGAAGGTCGGAAGAGTCCTGCGGCAATAGCGGAATCGGACCGTGAAAGAACGCAGCTCAAAAGAACAGGTATGACACCTCCGACCAGAGTTCGGAGTTCGCGCATATACTTTGTTTCATCGGTGGAAAGCTCCATCATCAGGTCGGTCATGGTAGCTGTTTCCAAACGTGTTCGGTTGCTCCTAATACTGCGGGAAGACCGTACACTACGTCTGGTAGACTTTGGGTTGGACAGAATAGACATTAGATCGGAATGTTTTGTGAGCCGGCGTTGGAGTCCACTCTCGAACTTTGGAAGCGAGTCTGGGTCAAAATGATCGCGTTTCTCGTCGTCTATCTCGCAGATTGACCCTGTCACGGATCTTGACAGATTGGTTTCACTTCCAATGACCGACCTATCGATCACAGTACTACTCAATGTTTCCTCCGATGCGATGGTAGAAAGCTGATGCATGCCGGTGCTCGGGAAAGGCCGTCGTAAACGCAAAGGGAGGATGATATCTCTATCAGACACCTCTGAACCATTGTCAGACGCATCATATTCCTTGTTTTTTATGCTGTCTCGGACCTGCGAAGCTTTATTTGTGGATGTAGTCTTTTCGAACGATTTAGTCAGGTTCGCTACTGATGTTTCTGATTTGCCCCTTCTCCGTGTCGATGCTGTCCGTTCTTTTTGCTTTGGTGTCAGAGGTTCCCGGGTTTTGTCCACACTTGAGCGACGTGGAGTATCTGACATGCCACTTGCTTTGTCACTCAGCGGTTGATCGTTAGTCGCGGCAGAAATTTCGCTCATTTCTTCAGTGATCCTAGACTCTGAGCCTCGTGATAACCGTCTGGTTGTCGCTGTCCTCGACCTCATTTTAAGCGGCGCGGGTATTTCCACTGGTGCATCGTCATTGTCATCTACAAATGGGTCAGGCTGAGCGGACAACCACGCCGCTATTTTGTCGCCTCTGTTCGCGACAGGAGGAGGGCGTGGAGGCGCCGGCTTTGCAAACATCTTTCGAGACTCATCGAGCACTTGAGTTAGGATTCCGGCCTTAGGCTTCCGTGCGTCGCGTAATGTCTCCCGGAGCGCAGGAGCACCGCGCCTCCTTCTTCGAGACAGCTCGGAAAAGTTGGCCTCACTACCAGCCCAATCATCGTCGTCTTTAGGTGGTGGTGTGGTTCGTCTCATGCCTTCGAGCACGCTTTCGGCATGCTCCTCAACGTGTATGGAGACTTCGGACGATGCGCGATCATGTAGAGTCTCCTTATCCGAAAGCAGACCATCCTCTGTGTAAATATACTTGGTAGTCTTGACCGCGCGTTGTTTCTTCTGGAAAGTCGAGGCGCTTGTAGACGATCTCAAATCCTCCGTGTCTGTTTTCGCACCACTTCCCAGATCCGATCCATTGTCTTTTCGATGCGCCTTCTTGTTTGGTAGGGAAGTCGAAGAAGAATTAAAACTTTCGTTTGTCTTGTAGTTTGTGATTCGATTCGGCGCTGGTCCTTTGCCTGTCTTGGAATTTGTAGGCGGACTGCGCTGGGCTCGCCAGTGTTGATCGCTGATCACTCGTTTCCTCGGCGTACTTTGGCTTCTTTTTCTAATTCCACCACTATTGACAGTCGGTGTAGTATTGTCTGCCGCCTTGACGCGTGATGTGACTTTTCGAGGCTCTGGGGTTTTTGCGGGCTTGTTTCGTGGAGTCGGCATGCTGCTTTCATCGTCTGCAACGTCGGCCAAGGGGTCCTTGACTGTGGCAACACCACCTCCTTTCTGCTGCCACATTCGTACCTTTTCGCGCACCGAGTTCGAGTCATGAGGTCCAAGGGCCTTGCCGAGATCGAGGGATTTTGGTTTTGTTGGACTGGACCTGGCGCCGTCGCGCCCAGGACCAGCATTTTGGCGCGGGGTAACCGGAGTGGGCATTTGTACCTAGGATATGATATCGTCAGAAACATTCTTCATGCCTGGGGTCAGTTGAAAGCTTGGTGATCTGGTTATCAGAGGAATGCTGGAGCGATAGTGGACTGTTTATTCCTGGACGGGAGCCAAACAGAAGGACGAAATGGCCAACTTACAACAACAACAAAAATCAGCGCTGGCGGACAGTGTCGCGCATTCTGGTCGGAAATGCTGTCAAACTGCCATGTACCGAGTATTCAGTCTGAACGATGCAAAGAGGAAGTGAAGGTGCAAGGGTCAGCAGGAGGGCGATGTTGTCAGCTGCCTTCTTGGATGGTGCTGGTCGGGAAGGCCCGCATCTGGACCACTCAAAGGGGAGGCCCGCCGGCTGCCCCGGTAACCGATCGCCCAACCTTGCTCAGCCTTACTGATTTGCTGCATCACACTGCACTCTTGCCATTCAAGACTCGTCTGAAATACACATACGTACTATGTAGTACAACGCCAGAGTGATACATAGTATCTTGAATCCAGCCCGGCCTGGGAGGAGCGGACCATCCTAACCCTGATTCAATTCTACATAGTAAAGTCCCTATGGCATAAGGGCATATCATATCATACGTCATTTTCAAGCCCTGCCAAGTGGAGATGAATTCGTGGCTGGTCAACAAGACTCTATCAACTTGCTGAATACTAACAATTGTGGATATTCGAATCCAACTGAGACCCATGTGTGCACATCCTTGATAATTATGCGGTGAGTAAGTGTCATGCTTCAGGTACTCATGAATATCAATCCGCGCCCAACTTAATCACTGCACTTCCATATATTGTCTGACATCTATTATTTATGTTGTTACCGCGTCTTCTTCGCCCCGGCCTCCCCGTTAAATCTCTCCATAGCCTGAGACATCAGGCAGACACTGTTGTATAGCAGATCTGCATACTTTTAGTATCTTTACCGATTGATTGATACAAAGAAACTCACAAGCAGGGACAACAATCCAGACAAAATTCATCAGAAAATAATACACCCAGAAATACAGCACCTCGGGCCGACTGTGCGAGATGTCATTCACATAATAGTCATAAAGGCTCGTGGCATAGTACAAGGTATCCCCGTACAAATGAGCCATGCATATGATGACTCGTAGAGGATGTTTGAGCGAGTGGTTGATCGTAGTCAAATATGCCACATAAAGACATAGAGGGCCCCAAAGAAACTATTCCCGTCAATATTCTCAGTGTTTCCATCAAATTACTAAGTTAGGCGCGCGTATTTAGTAACTCACCACTGTAATCATCTCAATGCTCACAACAAATGAATCCGAGGCCAAATACCGAGAGTCCGATTTGGCGTACTCCTTCCAGAGTTGCCCGAATATGTCTTGCGCGGGCCCCATGCGATCATGGTGAGTGACAAAATAGCCTTCGAACAAACAGTGAAGAATTCCGGCTGTGGTCAAATTAGTCACAGCCCAGAGGTAATAACAGTCAGGACTGCGCTTACACAGTGCGAACCATAGTATGGCTGATTTATCCCCGTAGGTCATTGACGGGCGTCGGTATATCGCCAATCCCAGAATCACACATAGTGGAAGGGTTAATCCAATGGCAAATATTCCCACTATATTCAAGAGACCATTCTCATTTTCTTCGTAATTTGCAATCTCCAAGCCGAGGGGATAATAAGGATGTAAATTCATCTTGACAGGTCGTGTAAATCAAGGATCACTGATTGTGCTCGAACATAGGGGTTTGATTTGAATGGTTTTCTCGGCGCGGGCCAAGCGACATTTGTGGTGTCAAATTGAGTTAGGGTTATTAGGGTAATCATTTCTAGGACAAGGTTCGAGTATTTAATAACGAAAAAGTACTGTCCTACATAATATCGCCGTCGAGAGAACAATGTTTAGGCGGATGAAAGTCAAAATGTAGCCTGGTTAATCTAACAGAGTGAATCTGTTCCTTAGCTTCGATATACAGACTTGGAGCTCCAAAATGCGGCAGGKCCTTTAAGAGACGACTAGAATTCAATTTTGCTTTAGCTACGCAAAGCAAGTAAATTGGTTCATATTACCACCTTATTTCGGCACTGCAACAATTATTGAGTCATTCAAGGGTGTTGTGTATTTGTGAATATGAAGAATCTTCAAGCCGGCCTGGTCGATTAGAGCGTGCTACTGTTCGTCTGTACGCTCCTTGGAACCAAGTGCAGCCATCATTGTCAAATCAGTCTGTGTCGCTTGCCAATGGACATTCTCATTTGGGAGAACCATATCATCTATGAGGATACGGGAGTCGGGACCTAGAGCTGGAATGATGTTTTTCAGGATAATGACTGCTTTATCATCGGGCCAGTCGTGTAGGACGTTGCGAAGGTAGTAAAATTTGGCATCTATTTGGATGTGTTAGCTTTACGAACAAATTATACACAGTCAAGACGGAAACCAGCGAAGTCTTTTGCAGCTGTAGATTACCTTTGACGACCTGTGGCTCGAAAAAGTTGTGAGGCATGACTTCAATTCCATCCATAGGTGGTACATGTTCCAGGGTCTGGGGTAGATCTTGAAGCACAATTTTGCCCTCAATACTAGGGAACGCTTCCTTAACTGAAAGCGATTGGTGTCCAAAGCCCCCTCCAATATCAACAAACACAGTCTTGCCCTGAAAATCGCCTAGCTCGTCTTGAAATGGGAAAACAGACAACCAATTGACAGCACCAGCTCGTTGAACTGTCATTAACTGTTGAAAGTAGCCAAACCGCTCAGGATGATTAGGGAACCAAATGAAGCCAGGAAGTTCGGTATTGAATGCTTTCTGCAATGCGGTTTTGTCACTCTGTGTGATGTCCGCGTATTGCGTTTCGGCGAGGAAGTCAGGTAATTGTTGCAGAACAGGTCCGACGGTGTCAAAACTGGAGATTTCAGCTAGAGAACCGAACGGAAGCATCGATAACAGCACTAACAAATGATGAATTCCACCCTGGTAACCTTTATCTGCCAATACCGCGGTCGTCGAACTTGAAGTAAAATGGTCCTTGCTGGCCTCCTTTATCTGGCCGTAGGAGGCAAGGGCGCGTAGGATACGACCTTTCTACAGATTCAGTTGCTGTGTCTGAATGTCTTCTTGTTTTTCATACCTAGAAGTTCCGGAGCGGCACCTGTCTTTTCGGCCAGGGTTGCTACACTCAGCGGCTCCTTGGACTCGTTCAGGGCGTCAAAGATGCCTAGGTCAACGCCAATCCGAGCAACTGTGATTTGAAGATGCTGTAGAAACAATAATCAGCACTGCTCGCCTTGAGTACTTGAACCTCTCTGAATGATCTGACTTACCAACCCAGCGAAGCGCTGCAGTGTGTCATAAGGAGTCTCAATGGCATAACTCAAATCACGCAGAGAGTCAAGCAACTTTTTCCGACCTGCCTCGTCGGCAGCTGCAGCCAGTTTCCTAACCTGATCAACGACGGTATCCATTTTCAAAACTCCGTGACGGGCTTCTAGATAAGTATAATGATTTGAATGCCAGTTCATCAGCTTCAACCTGGCCAAGTGCGGGGTGAATTATATAAGTAAGCATAGTTCCCCAACATCCGCGTCCCCCGCTCAATGAAAAAGAACCTTGAAAATCAGTATGGACACATGATAATTGGTTGTGCCTAACGACTCGACGCCGCCTCCCTAGGTGGTAAAGAATCGATGCAACCTGGCCAGGCGGGGCTATGCTGAACAGCATTTTCTAAGCGCGCGATGAACTGAAGTGGAATCAATTTCTTCCTAGGGCTACGTTGTATGCCCACAATCCCGTAACTCCGGCCTACGTTCATGACTGCATGGATCCGTTAACTTATCAGCTCCTCAGCTCCTCAGCTCCGCAACTCTGGAAGTTTGGCAAAAATATAGATGCGTACTTTAGCCATTGGTAGTGGTTTGCCTAGCAATATTTGTCTGAACTTGTACCAGTTAACACGGCTAGATACATATGTGAATTCTGAATATATTGATGCATACCGCCTAGTTCACACCAGTCCCGTCATTGTCATCTACATATCTCACAATCCGTCCATCCTATGCAGTAGCTATAACAGTTACGGACGCGCCGTCATTCATCGTATCGCCGCCTGACACTGCGCCGACCTATACACCATGATTGGCGCCGCACCACTCTGCTCACAAAACTGCTTCCCCGGTTTTCGTACGAGATACGACACCCTCAACAAATCGAGGAAGATTGCTGTATCATTACCAACCTTTCTAGTCATTGTCAGGCCGTCTTGGTCAGGTTTCCAGCTCTCTAGTGAAACTCGTATATGCCTTTGGCGTTCAAAATTATATCTCGTATTTCGTCATACCGCATTGGAGAAGAAGAGTAGTGCTTCTTTCGAACGTATTCGAGCCTTGTATACATCGGAGTCGTCAGCTACCTTTCTGAATGTATCTGGCTCCGTATCGCCCAAGATGATACCATACGCTTCTGCTGTAGCCTTTGGATTCCCAACCAGCTTCTTTCGGCAAAGTAAAAGTCTGTGTCAGCCAAGTGTTCAAAGATTGGGGGCTTTTCATCCTGCTGTTTGGTTCTACGCCGGAAATTTGCGCATGTACGACGTCGTAGAGACCGTCCTGAATAGCTCCTCTGTTCGATGCCCATTCGAAAAATTTACAAACAAATCGAAAGGTTCAATTCGGTTTACGAAGACTGGGCGTTACCGATATCCGAGTATCTGCGTATCCAGAATTGATTCGAGGGGGCAGACTACTTTAAACACGGATATGAAGATAAATTACAAGATTCCTCATGACGTACTCATTGACTTGCGCGATTCGAACCATGCGCGAATTGACAGCGCCAGAGCAGAACTCGTCGGCTTCGACATCCGCGGCACAAAACACGCGTTCAAATGGTCCTTCGGTCAGCAGTCTGTCGATGTGGACCGATCTAGAAACCCAATATCGTATTATTCCACAGTCCGGACCTTGACGCAAGGCGTGATGGGTGGTTGGAAGGAAGACGAAGCCCATTCCACATCCTAGTCTGTTCCCCCAGGGAGAGCTTCTTTTTTGTCCTGAGTCCAATGACTGAAAGAGTCCACCACCCAAATTAGATCTCGGCGGCGTGAGTGATGTTAGATTGCACTTTGAGTGTCATGGACTCAATCTCTAGCCCATATTCACATGTACGTAGAGAGTAAAGTTAACAATCATATGGCACAAATCCTTAGCTACTGCTGCTGTATTCCATGCCGCAATCCAAGTGATGACTAAAGTTAAGAAAAATCAAAGGCGAGGTCGAAGTTGAAGTTAATGATGAGAAGTCCCCACATCGGCCGCCCAGAAACGGCTTGGTGGCTCGGCATCTCCAACTCTCGGAGTCTCCATCGCATCATCGACGACCCATCAATCATTCAACTATCTACCCAGTCCATGGAGCCGACCTATACAGCTGAAAGGTCATGGCTCCGAAACCAGGTCGCAGGACCTCTCTGAGGCTTGATCTGTCTCAGGGCGCTCCCCTCGAGTCCCCTCCAGGTGTTGCGGCGTTGTTCTTGATCCGCTTCGATATTAAGAAAGGGTGCGACATCACTTTATCGATCGCCTGAATTTGTTGCTAATGCTTGATATATAGATATGTGATTTCATGGCAACAGTCGATACCGGGTAGTAAGTAATTCCTTGCCGGTATTTTTCCTTCGGTGTTAACCATGCGATCGTTTAGTCGACCTCGAAGGCGCCGTCGAATACAAGTCGCTCCCATCGGGACTACATAATGTTTCGGAGGATCTCATGTGAGCGCAATTTATTGCGAATCTATCATATGAATTACGGTTCTAATCGTGTGAAGATATTTCGTTCACGAGGAATACGCTGGAATATGCGCCTTCGTAAACCAGCCGGCCGCCGAAGCTGAGCGCAATGCTCTGATGCTAGCCGTGGGTGTTCTCGTTCCTCTGAGCTTTGGAAGACTCGGGAAGAGCTGGAGGCATGCAGCAGGATTGAAGAAACTTGCAAAGTAGGTTATGCATTCGGCGTTCAAAGCTTCCGCTAATGAAGAGGTCAGACAATGCGCGAATAATATATCCGATACCCAGGCCCTAGCAGAATACTGGGAGAAGCACCATGTTCGCGATAACGAGCCTAGATTAGAAGACACGCCTCCAGATTCTCCCGCCGTCCTCCGCAGTTCATTAAAAGCAAATCGTCCTGACAGTCTACAATCAAGGAGTTCTATTAGTGACTCAGCAGGTCTGGAAGCGACAAGACCGTTCTTAGCACCTTATCACCCTGCCTTGTCACTTCCAGCATTTGTGGAAAACTTCGGTCCTCTTATATTCCCCCTTTATAGAGCCTCTCTGCTGCGCAAAAGGATCCTGATTGTGACTGAAGCCCCAGTCCAAACATCTTGTGACTATGGTAGGTTTCACTCACGACTCTTTATCTGAACCTCTGGCTAATTCATATTTAGTATATGCACTTGCGCTGTTATCATCTCTCCCTCAATCGCTGTCTCCTTTTTTTGACCAGGATGGCGCGCCGCCGCTTCGGCCGCGACCGATCTTTAACGTTGGAATTCATGATATCCCCTTTCTCTCAACCAACTCGGATACATTCTCAAGCTGGATTGCCTGTACAACAGACAACGTGCTGGCAACAAAGACCGACCTTTTTGACATACTAGTTACCATGCCGACCACCCACTCGCCAAAAAATCCACATAAGACCTTTCCCCAAATCGAGATCGTGCATCGAGTCGACGCACAGCCGAGAGCTACCAAACTCGTCACATTAAAGGCCACACAACGCGATGCTCGTCGCTTCGTGCTTCTCCGAGATGGACTGCGCCGCTTATCCAGCGCTGAATCAGAACAAAACCAGGAACCCACCGACAACATAGACGACAGCGCATCAACCTTCTCATCCTCCTCAATCATTGAACCCTTATCCTGGCCACGATTAGCATACACATCCTTTCTCTGGTGGGCTTCCGCAGGCGAAAAGCGTACTGGATTATCAGAGGATGAGGAAGAGCAGGACGAACAGGATACAAATCTCTTACCGAATACTGTTGGCCAGGCCGGCGGCCCAGGCTCGTTACTCTCGCATCCGGGTCTTCAGTTGAATGAGATTGACCAGCCGAGGGAGATTGCGCTGATAGCTTATTTCCGCCGCTTGACGACGCTCATATTCACCACGCTAGCGGACGCAGTCGCGCGTCAAGACGCGATGGATGAGTCCGACGAGATTCCGCCAGCAGGCGAATACCGCGACGACCCTGATGGTGGTGATGACGCCGCCGAAACTGAAGCTGAATCCTTCTCCGCTGACCGTGACACAAATCCTCTCCTCCCGGCTTCTAGTAACGACAAAATAGAAGACCTACCACCAGTCTCGATAACATCAACCGACATATCCGAAATGGGCCTCGACATGTGGAGTGCCACAGATCGCATGTTCATGGAAGAGTTACTCCAGGTGTGGTGGGGGCGCAGAGCGGATGTAAATGGGACGAGGATTAGGTGTTGCGGTATCCCGATATTGTAAACTCCCTTCTTACATCTTACTGTTATACGCGACTGTAAATTGAACATGTGTGTGAACCGCAATGAACATAGATGTTTTGATTTATCTCTGTAGGTAGAAAGAGGCGGAGTCGATGTACATACATTCAAACAATATAACGCCATGATTCAGTCAACGCCATGCCAAGTCGGTATTGAATGTCCTCAATCCAAAGACAAAAAAGGTATTATGTAGATATATGTACAGTAAGTGAGATTCAAACCAAGAGTTTAATGCACGTGAGAAAGACAGAAAACGACCAGAACGAGCTAATATCGCTGAGTAGTGGAGGGAATGAGTTGGAAATTGCAATGCCGAATGAAGAAAATCGCTAAGCCCAAAACGCCAATCATGACACGTATATGAAATAGTCAAAGGAGTGCGGCCGTATGTGGTGACAGAGTATATAGATATAATTGATCAGTATCGCCGCCCGACAGGTGCCGACCTTCGATCTTTGATGTCCGCCTCGCTCCTTGTATCCGAGTGCTTAACACCGGGTATACGTCTTGCGGGTCCTCCTACTTTCGCGCTTGCMCCGCCTGTTCGAGCCGTAGCTTCGTTGGCGCTGACGGATCGTTGTGTGCCGCTTTGTGTTCGACCTCTGCGTGCTCGGATTTGGGCTAATGCTTCCTCTCGAGTTAGGGGTGTTCCTGGTATGATGTCCATTGGGTTACGAGCGTGTCGGGACTCGAATTGTATTGGGACTGTTTTTGTAATGGTTTCCTCTTTGATAACAGTGATTTGGTCGATAGGTGTGATAGGAAGTCTTTCGGATGATCGGTGTGGTGGTAAGATAGGGTTGCGGTTGATGGTAGTGACCATTTGAGCGGCGTGTTCAGTAGGACGGATGGTTTCTGGTGCTTGCTCGTAGGTAACTGGCTCCTCTTGTTCTTCGACAGCACTTTCGTAAGGCTGGTGTGACATGACCTCTTCGTTTTGCATCTGCATCTGCATCTCCATCACTCTGACTGCAGGGCTTCCATGCGGAATTTCAGCGTCGTCCTCTTCTTCATCCTCAACATTATCTTCATCGTCGTCGGCATTCGGAAGAACAAGAGGTCCCTCACTAGGTCGGTCATGCATATAGGCGTGCGGTGATGAGACCTGGACGAACGTGCCTGTTTCTTCATCGAATGCGACTGATGACTGCCTGGCTGGTCGAGCAGCCTTTTCTGGGTCCGTCGACTCTTGATAATGTGGTGTTGGTGGTGTCATGGCAGATACTGGGCTCACAAGTGGCGAGTGTGCTGATGTAGCTGGCGTTGATTCGCGGGCATTTTGTTCCGGTTCCCCTTCCTCTTCACCATGGTCTTCGATGTGCTCTTCAATGTGCTCCTCGATATGCGCTTCAATATGCTCCTCGGTATGCTTTTCAATATGATCTTCGACATGTAGGTCGTCCTCTCCCAAAGTACCATCCCATTCTTTGTCGTGGACGTACCTTTGTCCCAGGCTTTCGGCAATTCGGCAAGAGCAGCGTTTGAATTGACACTCCATCTTCATGAAAAGAACCATATCCTCGGCCTTTTCTCTTCGTCGTTGTTCTGATCTAATTTCTGCCTGCAAATCGGCGATGAGATCTGCTTGCTCTTCTAGATTCTCCGGCTGTAGGTTCTCTTTGTTCGAGACGCGTCGAGATAATCTCATCTTCTTTGACGGCGTTTCCTCGGTGTGTGCATCCTGTTCGGCGCCTTGCGCGACTTGAAGAAGTTCTAGTGCATCCACACTTCGCTTGGGCCTCCTAGTTGTAGGAGTCATACATGTGGCCTGATCGGTATAAGCTGGTTTATTGACACTCTGTTCCAATTCATCGACTTGAGATTCCAAGATGCTTTGTTGATTATTCGACTCTGTAGCGCGCAGCTGGTCCTTCAAAGATTGAACTTCCTCTGACMCYCCCGCCAATGCATATGCGCGCTCGAATGCTTCTTGCTTAGCCCTTTCCTTAGACTCTCTCTCCGCTCGTACTTCGTCTCGTAGGTTTTTGATTTCTCCTTTTGATAATTTCAATTCCTCCTGCGCCTTGACAAGCATCGATCCGGCGCGGAAAGCTTCTTTTCGTGCTTTGCGGACTTCTTTTTCAAAAACTGCTCGCTCATGTGCTTGGCGTTCTCGGGTAGTTTGCAATTCTTCTAGTAACGATTCGAGTCTCTCGCTGATTCGTCTTTCTCGGGCTTCTGCTTCGGATAGCATTGTATTGGCGCTGGCAAGAGCCGATTCTGCTTCTTCACGTCCCAAGATGGCCCTTTGTAGAGCAGCCGAACTCGATGACATGGTGGAAGAGACATGCTGTGGACTGGCTGCCGGGCTACCCGCTCGCGACAGATTGTTCAAGAAAGCGATTCTTTCTCGGACATCTGACGCTTTCTGACTGAGGTCGGAGGGCATGGAGAAGGAGGCTGCTAATTTTTGTTGGTTGATTCGTTCTGGAGATACGGGAAAGAGAGGATTTTTTGATGGAGAAAGGGTTGATTTTGTCGGAGAGAGTTGGTGTTTTGATGGTGACTCCATTGTGGATGGTACGCGTCGTTGACGGTCGAGTTGGAGGCGATGTCTAGAGAATACGCATGATAGAGCGACTGATATTCTGTGCAATCATCGGGTTTGTGATTAATGAGACCTCGATGTCGTTGGGTCGTTGGGTCGTTGGGTGATGGATGTGACGTTGTGTCTTGCAGACTGAAACAGTTAGAGGTGAAGCCGATTAAACCCTGTCGCTCTCGGGTGGAGCCTGCCGTTTCGATGTTTGTTGAAGGTGACCTAATTGGGACTAGCGCGAGGCTACTTGTTGCTCTGAGCAACCGCCCCGCCATCAGCCCAAAAGAGTATAGTGTCTTATCGCGATTAAAATCATGACATCTTCACATCCCACCATTATCAATCGTTTTCAACTGCTTTTTACTATGTTGTAGACTCCTCTGTTGAGCTGAGTAGCCTTCAATATGCATGAAATAATCACCCTACAGCTAGGTCAACGGAGCAACTATATTGCAACCCACTTCTGGAACCTGCAGGTCGTCACAATATGTTTTGATTGTTTTCATGGATCATCTGTCTGACTTGTTGTAGGAGTCATATTTCACCTACGGGGAAAATGAAGAGCCATTAGTAGACCATGATGTACATTTCCGGCCCGGGCTAGGCGCAGACGGGACAGAGACTTTCACACCACGAACGATAATTTATGATTTAAAGGGGGGCTTTGGGACTCTCCGTAAATACAATACGCTATATGAAGCAGAGGATCAGTCTAGTCATCCTCAAGGACAATGGTACGTCTGCTGCTCGGAAAGATGTGTAGTGTTGTCATGTTCCATGGCTGAGTTTTTTCATAGGCAAGGCAACGAAGTGATACAGAAGCAGCCCCCCATCCCTTTAAACGACTATCAAAAAAACTTGGAGGCTGGACTTCCAACACCGTCATTGAAGTCTTCGTCCGTGCGATATTGGTCCGACTTTAATCGACTTTACTATCACCCTCGTTCCATAGTTCAACTCAATGAGTACGAACTAAACTCAACGCTGATGCCATTCGAAGACTGGAATGCTGGAGAAGATTTGTTCCAAGATCTAGATAAAGAGCACGACCTGCTAGATCGAGATGTCCGTCCTTTTGCAGAAGAATGTGACCAACTACGTGCTCTTCAAATATTTACAGGCTCTGATGATGCTTGGGGAGGGTTTGCCTCCAGATATGTCGACGCTCTCAGGGATGAATACGGAAAGACTGGCATCTGGGTGTGGGGAGTTGAAGATGGCGCAAGATTACCACGGGCAAGACTGTTACGGCGTGAATATACCTTGAAATGAAGACTAATATTTTGGCCAGCATAAAAAAACGTCGAAAATGATCAACACTGCAAGGACTCTAAATTCAATTGCTCCCTTGGCATCATTGTACTGTCCCATTATCGACGCCCCCCAACATCTCCCCAAATACCTCAATATCGACATGCAGTCTGACTGGTATAAATCTGCCCTGCTTGCTTCCGCCATTGAAACTGCCACTCTTCCTTCTCGCCTTCGCACTTACCGAGATTTCGAGACTTCGTTGTTGGGGCACCGCGGAGGAGCACAGACTATTTTCGAATTACAATCGTCGGTCATTACTCCTGATGCTGGTGATAAAAGACCTCCTTGGGCGACTAAGAAAGACACAGTTCAAAAGTCTAACGATGAGGCGAAGCTAGCCTTTGACATCAACTTCACCACAACCCAGTCAATGGCCGATGACACGGCTGTTTTTACTCAGGTTCAAGTTTTCAGAGGTGAAGAACAGAAATCAGTGAATACCGAACCAGCAACTTTCGACGACATTGGTTTGACACGGAAACTTCGTCTCTATGCGTCCAAGCCCGCGGTCGAAAGGTAGGGTGCTTTAGCGACCATTATGTGAAACAAGGACTGACCAATAAATAGATTCACCTCAACCCTTCGGTTCCCTCTTCCGGATAGCTATCCGCGCAACATGTTCAGCGGTTCTGATGCGAAGGTAGGAGTAGAGATGGTAGCCGCCTTGTCTACAACATCTCGACTTGCCGAAAAACTGAGGGACTTACAAACTATTGCAAGTAGAGGGGTGGGAGTTGACGAACGAGAGAACTTGACGAATGGTCTGGGAGAACTGAGAGAATTGTATGAAAAGGACTGGATAAGCGAGTCCGACTCGGGCGACGATTGATAGAAATAGACCATTATTTTTCATACCTTTGAATGTTCTCATTAGACGATGATAGGTAGCGTGCCGCCCGGACGGATACTGCGAGGGAAGGCAGTACAGCTTGTTACCGTCCCGTGAAGATTTCCACTTTCCACACTCCCTGATCGCTCACCATCAACATGTCCGCAACGTGATATTTCTGCCACAAGCTTGTAGTAGTGCTTCTGGCAGTCGGGAGTACTTTTCCCTATGAAGCTTCGGACGAGCCTGTGATGACATAATTTAAGCTCATGCTGATTGTCGGTGCCGATGCCGCTATCCTAGATTAGGAAGGCAGTGGGGAAGCTCGGGGAGCTGATGCAAAGTGGCCTCAAACACTCGCCAACGACAAACTGTCCAGATCGAAAAAGGCCAGCTTTCGAGTCATTACTCTCCACCTGGGATGAACAGGACACCTGGCCCTGATATAACTCATTTCATTCTATACTACGTTTATAGTCTTCATCAACTTTGCTGTTGCTGATACATTACATTCCTTTTACATGTTATGATCCATCTCGACTCTTCCGTGGATACTCGTACCTGAAACTATTTCCACGATATTACGATTACTGCTACGGACGTCGAATAACTTACTGCGGTCAATACAGCTCAGGCAGCCCTTTAAGGGTCGGTCTTTTTTCAAATCAGCAGTTTGCTAGTTGCGAATCTCCACGACATTTACACCATGGCATTTCGAAGGAGGAATTTGCCCATCTCGGCGTATTCTCCTCTGCTCACATTTGTTCTCTTCCCCTTCCTCCTGTTTCTTTTCTGTCTTCCCGCACCTGCATCGGCTGCCGGCTCAGCCGTCCTCGGAATCGATCTTGGAACAGAGTATCTAAAAGCCGCTCTCGTGAAACCCGGTATACCCCTCGAAATCGTCCTTACAAAGGACTCGAAACGCAAGGAATATGCGGCGGTCGCCTTTAAGCCTTCCCGAGACGGAAATGCGGCCTTCCCTGAACGATTTTACGGCAGTGATGCCATCGCCCTCGCCGCTCGTTACCCCGATGACGTCTACTCGAACCTGAAGACACTTCTTGGTTTACCGTTCGCGGAGGATAGTGATGCTGTTAAGTTATATAGGACGCGATATCCCGCTTTACAAATTGAAGCCGCCGAGGGAGATAGGGATACTGTTGCGCTGCGTAGCCAGAGATTGGGCACTGCTGAGCGCAAGGACGCTTTCTTAGTTGAGGAAATTCTTTCCATGCAGCTCAAGCAGATCAAAGCAAATGCCGAAACTCTAGCTGGCAAGGGTAGCACTATCACGGACGCCGTCATCACCTATCCCGCTTACTATACCGCTGAAGAGAGGAGAAGCGTTGAACTAGCCGCAGAATTGGCCGGCTTGCATGTGGAAGCCTTGATCAGTGACGGTCTTGCCGTCGGCTTGAATTATGCCACTAGTCGAACTTTCCCTAGCGTGTCGGATGGTGAACAACCAGAATACCATCTGGTCTACGACATGGGCGCAGGTTCTACCACAGCTACTGTTCTACGTTTCCAAAGCCGAGCGGTGAAGGATGTCGGTCGTTTCAATAAGACCGTGCAGGAAGTCCACGTATTGGGAGCGGGTTGGGACAGAACACTGGGAGGCGACGCATTAAACGATTTGATTGTGGATGACATGGTCAGTAAATTGGTTGAGAGCAAGAAACTTAAAGCTGGAACGACTGTCTCGGACGTTAGGGCTCATGGAAAAACTATGGCCAAACTGTGGAAGGATTCTGAACGTATCCGACAAATTCTGAGCGCAAACACCGAAACTAGCTCTACTTTCGAGGGTATCTACGAAGAAGACGTCACCTTCAAGTATAAAATCAGCCGATCAGAGTTTGAGAAATTGGCCAAAGATCAGACTATTAGAGTCGGAAAGCCGATTGACGATGCTCTGGAAGCAGCGGGCCTGAAGCTTAGTGACTTAGAATCTGTCATCCTCCACGGAGGCGCTATCAGGACTCCGTTTGTTCAGAAGCAGCTCGAAAAACAATGTGGGAGCGGTAAGCTGAGAACCAACGTGAATGCCGATGAGGCCGCTGTTTTTGGAGCAGCCTTCAAAGGCGCAGCATTAAGCCCCAGCTTCAGAGTCAAAGACATTCGTGCTGTTGACTCCGCCAGCTACGCCGTGAAGATCAAGTGGGCGTCTGATGGAAAAGAGCGGCAACAGAAGCTTTTCACTCCGACTTCTCAGGTTGGTATTGAGAAACAGGTTACCGTGAAGAACCTGGAAGATTTTGAATTCAGCTTCTACCAGCAGATCCCGGCTGGTGACGACGTAGTCGAAACCCCGGTGCTTAATGTCGCCACACAGAACTTGACAGTTTCCGTCAACAAGCTCACCGAGAAATTTGCTTGTGCACCTGTCAACATCACCACGAAGCTCAATGTACGTCTTAGTCCCATTGACGGGCTTCCAGAGGTTACTGGCGCGTCTGTCAGTTGCGAAGTCGAAAAGAAAGCCAGCGTAGTCGACGATGTCAAGGGCTTTTTTGGTCTAGGAAAGAAGGATGACCAGAAGCCATTGAAGGCAGATGATGAACCAACCGAGTCTGTCACACTTGAAGATGAGGCTTCAACTTCATCAGCAGCTGAATCATCAACCACCACCACTACTACGGCCTCGGCCAAGGAGACACCCAAGGCAGAAGCAGGACCTCGAATTGAAAGTATCGCTGTTGGTCTGAAGTCTTCGCCTTTGGGACGTCCTCCTCTATCAACAACGCAATTACAGCGGATCCAGGACCGTCTAGCCGCGTTCGACGCGTCTGACCGAGAGCGCGTACAAAGAGAAGAGGCATTGAATGAGCTAGAGGCATTCATCTACAAGGCCCGTGACTTGGCTGATGATTCTGAATTCCTAAAAGCCGTCAAAGAGGACCAACTTGCTCTTCTCAACGAACGTCTTGAAGCAGCAAGCGACTGGCTCTATGGCGATGGCACGGATGCAAGCACAAAGGATTTCAAGGAGAAACTTGCATCATTGACTGAGATTGTCAACCCAGCATTGAAGCGAAAGAAGGAAAACTCCGAACGTGGCGTCAAAGTACAGCTTCTACAGGAGATGATTAATGGAGCAAAGTCCATCCAAAGCATTGTAGAAATGCAGGTGCAGAGTGACGAGGAGATTTTCACTTCTCTGCAAGCAGCTGAAAGCGAGTCGTCAACCAGCGATTCTTCTACATCTACCCCTACCACCACTGCCTCCGCTTCTGACAGTCTTGAGGAGGATCCTTATTCGTCATCCAGTAGCTCGTCTACCAAAACATCGGCAACCGCCAAACCCACCGCACCTACTTATTCCATCTACACTCCCCAAGATGCCTCGTCCTTGAAATCCACACTCGACTCAGTGAGCGCCTGGCTCGACGTACAGCTCGAAATCCAGAAGACTCTGACCGAATCCGACGACCCAGCAATCACCGTGACAGACATCGACTCACGACTCAAGGAACTCGAGCGTGTTTTACAGCGTATATACACCAAAATGGGAGCCAAGACCGGCGGTAGCGGCGACTCTTCTTCTAAGAAGAGCGACGGAAAGAAGAAGGACAGCAGCAAGACGAAGACAAAATCAAGGACCGAGAAGACGTCTACAAAAGCGAAGCCATCTGCCAAGGATGAGTTGTAATGCTATTTTGTGTTCTTTGTCTTGCTCTTGGCCTTGTTGACATGTACGTGTATCGTCATTTGTAAATGATAGATCTCGAAGGGCGCATATTGTTTATTTTAGATTTATGTGACGAATGATATCTTGTTTTATCAGTTTACCAGCCTCTTAGAAAGCCATCCAGCTAAGTAGGTAGTCATAATAATAATTACACCGTTGAAGATAGAATTATGAAAAATAGTCTCACTTCTGCGACCAGAGGCCAATGATGTTATCGTCTGGATCAACAACATGTCCAACTACACCCATACCATTCGGAATCTCCGTTCGAGGACTTGCAAAATCAGTATACAAGCCAAAGCACTTCGTACTGGAGAGGGAACATACGTCTTGACACCCCCACCAAGCCCCTCGGCCTTCTCAATAGCCTCACCAACATCACTCACAACGAACGTGGGATACACGCTCCACGCTTCCTTACCAGCTGCCTTGGGCGTGGCACCCTCTTCAAGAAGCAGCAAAGCACCCTTGATAGAGTTGGAGGCATCGCTAAAGAAATGCAGTGATTTTACATTCTCGGTTCCTTTGGGGAGTGCGTTGGGAGCAAACTGCCACCCGAAGAGCTCCGAGTAGAACTTTTGGGAGCGCGAGAGGTCTGTGATGGGGATTTCAATGGCGAAGAGGCTGCCAACGGCGGGCTGGTTTGTCTATTAGTTGGAGTTATGCTAAACATTTGAGTTGGGGGTGGGAGACTGACTGGGGAAGTCATGGTTGCTTGTAATACTGTGATTGTCTAGATAATCCAGAAGGTATTGGGATGATCAGTTGTTATGAAAGCATCAAAAGCTCATATACATGATTGTTGTTGGGGGTTTTGTAGGACAGCAATGTGGGCTACTCCTCTCAGCCCGTGTTTTGAGCGGCTGCTCAGCCGCACTGCCACGCTGGCATGCTAAATGTTGGATATTTACTATATTCGCCATTTGCCTGGCTATCATCTAACTAAGCAAAAAGGACCTAGTGTCTCGGTGACTATCCGAGGCGCTTATTACGCTTTACATCAGTGGCACACTTCTGGCGCTGTACATCAGCCCTAGCGACCAATAGAAACTCATTTTATGTAGGTATACCACGAAAAGCGACAATTGATTGACTCCTCCTGTCTCTAGTGCACATTTGAGGAAATATGAGTCTTCCAAATAACCGAAAAAGAAGAAGAAGAAGAAGAAACTCGATGCCCAGGAGTAATCTTTGTCGACAAATTGCAAGTCTGATTTCAAGGTGAACAAGACGACCCAGCCCATGATTACTTTGTCGACGTAGTTGAGGCCGTAGAAATGCACATTATGGAGAGAAGGTGGCGGTCGAGTTTGTGGGCTAAACTGGGCGATTCCTGTGGTGAGATGAGGGGGGTTTCGTTTGCGGCGAAGACATCGTCGCCCTCGTCGGCTAGCTGTTCACAAGAAAATCCGCTAGATTGATACATATTTTATCGTGAAAGATTGTAAGGTCTTACACAAACTGTAGTCCTTTCGTTGCGTCTGCTGAAACAGAGATCGTATTTACTCCGATAGGAGCACTATCAGGTGTAATTTCTTTCCGGCCATGACTGGTAATGAATCCTACTTGTACAGGCAACGACTTTACAGACTAGTCATGCTTTATTAGGTGATTTTGTATTTTCAAGCCGGCGATTAAGAGCCTGGCGCATTAACACAGCTTTAATGTGAGCATTAGATTTCTGAAGACAACAATCATTGATCCAGTCTCAATGAATATCGAACTTTCAGTTGGCCGCTGCGAGACACTTGCCCTAATTTTCCGTTTCGAGTAATTTCTGCTTGCTGCGTCACGAGACACTACGCAGGGTTCAAAATCTTATTCGGAGATAGTGCCGATATATCGTTTCCCTCAGTAATATTCCCCTGTAACGACGTTGACGAGTAGAGTTCAAGAAAACCAATGAGTTTTTCAAAAGACTGGCACTTACAGTATCAAGAAAACACCTCATAACAGAGACAAGTACACTCAACATTCAAACCATCATGTCCCCGCATACTTCACTTCAGAAATACCCCGAAATCAAAGACGAAGAATGTCCCAACTTCGTATCGAATATGAAATTAGGCTGTGCAGCCTATTACTGTGCAGCCTATTACTGTGCCGTCAAGGCGCTGAAAGAAGCTATTCTCACAGTCTAGCGGGCATCACAGCCGCACCTTTCATTTTCTTCATTGGTCTTGCCTTCAAAGCTAGTTCCATACGATCTTGGCTCCAAAGCGTACAGATACGCGTCGAAAAAAGGCGATGCGGAAAAGGGTTGGCCCTGTGAAAGGGGCAGCAAAGATACGGCCCAACCGAAGAAACTGATAAAGTCGATAGTGATCAAGAAAGGGACTTTTGGTGTGACGTGCTTTATTCTGGATTCGACAAATCGCAAAGGTATCAAGGGCGTTTGGCATCAAGTTCCACGTCTTCACGTCAGGAATCTTCCATCCAGTCGGAGTATGGGGCAAGGCTGGAGAATACTGAAAACGAGGAATCAGATAGATCTACAGGATCCTCCCTGAATTCATCATACTTGGACGACTATTCCAGCGATTCTCCCTCTAATAATGATCGCGAAGCAAGGACAACGAAGAAAAGGCCTCGCTTCGGATTGACACATCAAGTCAGCAAGAGGGCAACGGCTCTCGTCGACCCTTTGCTACATCTGGTGCGCAGAAGGCGCCGTGTCAGAAGGACTGATATCGAAACTGGGAAATCCTTGTCGATGAGCGAATCCGATATGTCGTAATTCAGTCTGCGTCTCCTTAGGATAAGATTGAGCTGTCGGAGTTCATATTTTTCAACAAAGTTATGTCCATTCTTGACATAATTACGTCACAGATTAACATCTGTAGACGGATAAAGAAAGAAACACGATATAATACAAATCACGTGAGGCCTATCATGGCTTGATCAAAGAATAAAAAGTTACAGGGAAATATTCACAAAGAAGGAAAAGGTATAGAGCTACCAGAGCCCTACGTCAGGCCGTAAAGAGAACATCAAATTCTCCAATGTTTGGAAAGAATTCACATATACTCAAAATCCACCTCCTCCCTCCGGCGCAGGAACGAAGCCTCGCCAAAGTCGTCGATATCCATGCTGTCATATGGCATAGAAGTGACAGCAAGCGGATTTGTATTTTCTTGTTCGGTGAGACCTTTGTATGAACTCGTGCGGCTGGATGCGACAATGCGTCGTCTATGTTGGCCGAGTCTTGGAGAAAGTATGGTCCGCCGTGACATGGTACTGGAGGATGATGTGTTGTAGATAGAAATAGTGGGAATAGTATCCTGCCAGATGCCTTGATGAATATAACCGTTATCATCTTCATCTTCTTCCTCAACATCCGGTTCCAAAGTCCTTTTATGACTCGCCGAAGAGAACGACGCATTCGACTCCTGACTACTCGACGGCATAGAGACAATCTCCAAGTCATCAACGCTCAGCATCTCCTCGCTTCTATAATCTTCATCTGGTCGTGGAAACGTCTGCACAGCAAGGTTTCCAACTTTGTGGATCCCGCAAAAGGGTTGTAATTCGCTGTAGACCGTTGTCGTCATTGTTGTAGAATTCGTCCTGGCGGGTATTGTGTAGGCCGTCAACTTCTTCTGCTCGGTCTTGTAGCCTTCCGGAACTGATTTGCGGACTCGAGCGCCGACGCCGAGAAGCGAGGAGAGGATGTCGTTTGGGAGGGCAGGGGTGGGTGTATTTGTGGGCGCAGCATAGTTCTGGTGTGAGAGGTCGCTGTTTTCTGGGCTCGTGGAGGCCGCAAAGTAGCTGGTGATAGGGGGTTGGAAGCGACGCTTTTTGGAAGAGGCATTTTGTAGTGTAGATGCCGTTGCCATGGTGAAAGGGAATGTATGTCCTGGGCACTCGATATGGTAGCTGGTGTTGAGTGTGAAGAAGATGCCCCCGCCGCAGAAGGTGAAATTAATGAAGAACGAGGGAGGCTGGGCCGTGCTCAAAAAGACGCGGCTGGACGCGCGATGACTTCACGCGTCGTTCAATTAAACCTTTTCGGGATGGTCACGTGCCGTTGGCCGATACAAGACAAAGCGTCGCGATGGACTTGTTAGGCTTCCGCATAGTTATGTTCCGGGACTATTTAGACAGTAAGAATGTAGCCTCAAGTCCAACTTTAGAAAATTCTCTCTTTTCGGGTAAATTTACAGAGAGTAAGAGGTTGGTCATTAACTCGTTGTCTATCATCAAACAGTTCCATTTACACCAGTCATCAAGCCCTTCGTGACTCTGTCAAAATGCCTTGGGTCTGGATCCTTACGGCAGTATTAACCACAAGTATGATAGGTCTAATCACTAAGAGCCTAAGAGCGCGAAAGTTTTTCGGCCGAATTTCTAACGATGACACCGCGATTTGCTGTGTCCACCACGCTCGAGAACCACCACAGACTTGATTCAGATTCAGCAATTCATTCCGTTCCTGCCCCATCTTCATTCATGGGTATTCCACAAAGGGCGGCATATACACTTATCTGATCCTCTGGGTGTGGACTTTGATTTCTTGGGGTTGGACAGATTTGCGACCCTTCGTTCCGGACTAGGTATGCTTGGATCACTTGCTGAGAATCCGCGAATATCACACTCTGTGGAAGAAGATGAGTTTTGCGATAAATGTAAGCATATGAACGAGACTTCCTTGGAGATATAGTCTGAGTGTGTTATCTTATCTTCTCATAGTACGCCAACTTGGAGCACAGTAGATCAAGGATTGGAGCGATTATCATGAACGGTCAAAGTTATTCAGAAATCACATTAGTCAGATTGGATGGCCATCAATCGGGGGCGGTGTCTGGGCTCTGCACAGAATGCGCTCGTTTTCGAGACAGGGACCAGTGGCCTTGATCTATAACGCGCGCAACATGGACGAAAAGTGGGAGATGATTCGACTGCTCGGCGGGAAATTTTATGCTGATCCAGCGGATTGTCTGTGGCTGCGGAACTGGTCTAATATGATTTTTGGCAAGCAATAGTACAATTGAGCTGACGGACATGTGAAATCTTTACAAATCGTTGAAAATATATTCCTTCCAAACGCCGCAAATGCCGCTGATGTTCATCGGAGTTCGGCTTCTGGAGATCTCGATATAGGGCTAACCATCTTGGGTATCATCATTTCCATTTTCGGAAAAACATCTCTGATTGGACGGAGTTTCTGATTGGCCAATGGATTAAAGATCAAGTATCAGATGCCTGATCAAGAGAAGTAGAAGCATCATTTGTAGTGATAGTGAGACAGGCAGCTGTCTATAAAAGAGGATGTAAATCCTGCCTGGAAACCAGAACCTTGATTTAAACCAGAATTTAGCCTCTTCTTTTTTCTTGATACAAGGCCTCTCTTACAGAAGCTTGATTCTACATATGCGAAACCACAGTCGACATCATGCCTAGCTTCCTCGCATTCGTGCGAGACCAGTACACTCATCTTCCCATACCCGACCCTCCAGCCAATATCAAAGACGCAACGTACATCGTGACAGGCGCCAACACGGGTTTGGGGTATGAATGTACCAAGCATCTTTTTCGCCTGGGCGCCAAGCGCATCATTATGGCAGTAAGGACACCAAGTAAAGGCAAGGCCGCACTGGCGACGATCCAGAGTGAGACCGGTCGCAAAGATATCGGCGAAGTCTGGGAGCTGGATCTCACGTCCCTAGATTCAGTCGAAGCGTTTGCCCAGCGCGTCGACAAGCTCGATAGACTGGATGCTATAATCGAGAATGCAGGACTTGTTATGACAAAGTTTGAACTGGTTGAGGGTCTAGAGCATTCTCTCTTGGTCAATGTTATTTCCACTATGTTGCTCGCCTTCCGCGTATTGCCCAAGCTTCAGGAGTCCGCAAGCAGATTGGGAATTCAGACACATCTGGTGATTGTGTCAAGCAACACGGCTTTCCAGTCTGATATGGAAAATCGTTTAGAAAGTCTCCAGGGTGACGTTTTTGATGCACTGAGCAATAAAAAGAGCTTCGGAACTTTTGTTCAGTGAGAACCCCTTTCATACTGTATTACGGCGGATGACCCCTTGGCTGACACATGCTTGCTTCCAGATACCCTACCACCAAACTTCTGGAAATATATGCAGTTCGCCAACTCGCTTCGCTTCGTCCCGTTTCCAACACCGCCGTTATAATAAACGCTGTAAGCCCCGGCTTATGCTATTCGGAACTAGATCGAAATGGAAGCATCTACCTGAGGATGATGATGGCTGTGATGAGAAGGTTCCTAGCAAGAACGTCCGAGCAGGGAAGCCGAAATTTCCTTCAAGCCGCTTTCGCCGGATCAGAAAGCCATGGCGCATACTGTTCGGAATGCCAAGTCAAAGAGTACGGTTCCTTTCCTCCTACCCTATCGTATTTGCTCCAGTGTTAAGTATGGATCATGGCTAATCGCTCCATTGACAGGCGTTTTGTTCCAGCTTGGGTAACGAACGAGACCGGCAAGCGCACACAAAAACGGGTATGGGATGATCTGCTCAAACGATTGGAATCCTTAGGCCATGGCGTTGACATCGGGAGTCTCACGGCAAGATCCTAGACGTTGGATAAGGTCGGCCGAAGGCCACGAAGGTGTATGTATATTTAGTATGACCACTAGTATTAAATACCAAATTTTCATTTGTAGACTGCATCCCAGACCTTCTTGCTTTTTTCATCGTGGAACGCTGCCACCCATGGATACAGGGTTAGGTGACCTGCAACATCTTGCCACGTCTCGAGGACGAGTGTGGTAGCCAGTGCTCGGATATTCATCACGACGAATGAGTCTGCTTGGCAGCACTCTTCATAGTTCGGCGACGACAATGCGTGGATGAAAATCAGCCAGAGAGACAATGAGGATTTATTGTCGGGTAGTGAACCAAACACTTCAAGCCGACTTCGGAAGAGATCAGATAGCAATGTAAAGTAGGTGGGATGTACTTCACGAGGATGACTAAGGAATGTGCTCATAAAGGCAAGGAGACCCAGCTGGCAGATGTCATCTAGCGGTTGTGGCGGCCGCTCACCGTTGAGCGGAGCATAGTCACTCAGATGTTGGCCGATTGATATAATCAGATCTTGATACTGAAAGGCACTGAGTTGCGCACTGCCAGCATAAGAGCAAAGCGCCAGCATGTCCACCATTGCAGAACGGACCTCCAAACTGGCCTCACTCAATGAGTCCGGCAAAGCAATGGATGACTTCTTGTCGTAAAGTGGAACAACGTAAAGAGGCATTGGCGTCGTCAATTGCTGAGAACCAAAACGTGTCGAGGTTCCTGTCATGAGCGCAAGTTCCAGGTCAGTGCGGCGTATCTTGTTACCCAACTCTGGAGCTTTCTGGCATAGTACTGCAAGTCCCCCGGGTAGCATTTCAAGCATGAGCTTCAAGCCCTGTAGATGTATCAGACTCTCCTTGAAGGAGCCGCTAATGTTGGCGTAAATGGCAAGTGAGATGGCCACAACAATACTAGAATCCTGGGGCTTGAAGCTCGATTCAAGGTCATTACGCAATAGACGCAGGGCTTGTATGAGATGAGAATTCGACTCAATGGATTGAGCATTGTAACCCTGATGTCGAGATATACGAGCTCTTGTGACAGCCATGGCGCAGTGGAAAACTGTAAGTGTTTTAGTATTAAAACAGTATACCGCTTTGCATTCTTACCGCTCGGGTTTCCTATCACAAGCTCGAACCAACTCGATTCAAGCTCCTTTGACTGTCGGCAGAAGGTCTGAGGGTAGAGCTTTTTGGACACTTCATTGTGGACTACAGACAGTCTCCATGGTCAATACTCTTGATGTTCATCTCGAAAAGGAGCAAGAGCACAAATGCGACGTACACTCGTGGAATAAGTACCGCACTGAGGGTGTCAGAGTTATGGAAGTTGTGAAGTAAGTCAACTCGGTCCCTGGGAAGGGGTTGACGGGTAAGAGACTGTTGGCTTGTGCAAATTTTGGCAATAGTGGTCGCCCCTTCCCGCCTTCAGTCGTCCAGCGGTCGAGTTGAATTTCATCTTTGTGTTGCTGTCTCTTGTGCCCTCGTAATCGAAAGGTCTTGCCGGTATTCTTTCCCTTCATCGCATGGTGCCGTACTAGCTTCTGCGAGCGCCGATCGAGCGGTTTATTGTTGTTGATGAAACAGAATTCCATGGTTTTGATGTCGACTCTGTATGTTCCTGTTAAGACTGGTCTCGTTCCTATCCTGCCTTGATTTTACTCAACATCTAGCTGCAAATCCTTCTCGGATCCATGGATGGCTTGGAATTGATTGTAGCAATATTTTGCGCCGATCCTATGGCTCACTGGCTTCCTCGTATCATGAAATGAATGCATTGAAGTCGAAGGATATGCCAAGGTCACTACATCGAAATACCACGTGATAAATTAGACGTTGAGATGACAGCGGGAGTTGTTAGCGTGCTCCATCTCACCACTGAACAAAAACAGTACACAAATAGACATCTGGACGCTGGACGCAGAATTTATATTTTGTAAGGATTAAATCTATATACTATCCCTATAAGTAGCAAAAAACCTTAACCAACATTTCCACGTCGTCCACCTCGTTTCTTCCGGTCATGATGCGCCTTCAGCACCGCCCGTGTTTCCACCAGACTGCGCTTATTCTTGCTTCTCGCCTTGCCCAACGTCATCAAAAAGTTCTTCTTGCGAGCCTTCTCCTTGTTCGTTGTACTCTTCCCATCCTGCTCTTTCCTCTCCTTTTTGCGAGCTGTCTTGCTCTTGAACTCATCTCGATCGGTCTTTGATTCCTTGGCGTGAGCAATCTTTTCCTCCTTCGTCAATTTGCCCTTGGAAAGTGATGCGAGTCCTTCGATCTCTGCGGCGGTAAGAGGCTCGTCGATATGACGATTTATAGCTTCTTGCACTTTTTGTGCACGTTTGGATCGTGAATTGAGTAAGGAGTCCACAGCGGCTTGGGAACGGAGCTCTGCCAGCTTAGCCAAATCAGCTGGTGTCAAGATTCGACTTGTAGCAAGCTGGGTCCATTGCTTATCTGCGTCTGTTTCTTCTGTCTTCTTCTCTGCCTCGTCGATGGCCTGTTTTGCTTTCTTGGATGGGGGAGTATCGTCGTCGGAATCACTTAGTTCGATCTCCGCGTCACTCTCCACATTAATCCACCCCTCAGAGTCATCACTGTCATCATCTTCAACGTCCCAATTGGCCCAACCTGCTGCTTCTTCCTTTTCAAGATCTTCATCATCTTCGCCATCAGAGGGAAGACCTTCTTCGATTCTCCTCTTCCTTCTCTCCTCTTCTTTCCATTTCGCCAGCAGCTCAAGGCCTTCGATTCCGCCAACGGCTTCTTCACCGAATCGAATTTCCTTTTTCTCGCCGGCACTCAAAGCCATGGATGCTTCTTTGCCTCGGTCACGTCTCTTCAACATGTCCGCACCAACATCGCGGTATAAACCCAACAGACCCTTTGCAGCCATCATAACACCTTTGTTTTTGCTCTTTTTGTACAGAACTAGATCTTGAAGTAGCGTTTCATTCATAGCCAGAGGCTGTCTGACACAAATCTCACGAATAGCATTCAGACCTGCTGCAGCGACCTCTCCGGCAGAAGCCTCATTAACAAACTCATTCGCAATTTTCTGGATCAAAGGCTCGAGCTCGTCGGGTGGCACAAGATTGTGTGTCGCCTGAGCAAGCGACGCGAGGAACGAGGTAACCGAGGGTTGCCGAGGAGTGAGGTATTTCAGAAAATAGGAGTAGAAGTGAACGAGCGTAAGTTTGTGAAGACCGATCAGACGTGACACCAACTGCAAGACCAAAAGCTTTTGCTCTAGGTTCAGCTTCGACTTGCTGTTCTGCAGATGTTTTGAGAAAAGCTCCTCAGCAAATCCCTGCGAATCGTACAGGAGATGTAATGCAGAAAAGTTGAGGGAATGAGGCTGTCTCTTCTTGCGCTCCTTCTTCTTCACTGTTGCAACGGCCTTTTCAAGCTGGCGAGCCTTCTTTTTGGTTTTTTTGTTGATACCACGTTGATGTTTCAACTTGGCGACATCGACGCCGTCGTCATCACTGCTCTCGTCTTCCATTTCTTCTCTCTCCTTGTCTCCACCGAGGAAGAATTTAACACCGCCGACGACAACTTTTTCATTCTGCGCCAAGCAGGCCTCTTTCATGACCTCAACTGTCTTTGCATCCGTCCATATCTGTCTTCTCCACAACTCCCTCGTGATTTTGACCGCCCATTGGGCTTTGGGAGATGTACGATCCGACGTCACCAGATTATACAAGACCGTTTGCATAGCCCGATTGAGCTTGTGATTCGTAGATTTAGAATTCGACGTCCGCAAATCAGAGAGAATCTTCTGAAACAACAACTGACGCAGCGTCTTGCTCGGCGTCGACACAAGAATCGGAAACAAGGTATGAAGCAACGTAACCGAGTCAATGACCTCCTTCTTTCTCAAAAGTACCAAACTTCCGACAATCTTCTCGCGCAGTTCGGGACCCAGAACCACATGATGTTCCATAAGCATATCGATTAATTGCTGCGGAAAGTCCTTTGTTATATCCGGATAGCAATCTGCGACGTGCGAAATGAAATCTATCAAGTCGCGCAGCGATATGATGCCTCCTTCAGCGGAAGTCGGATTTGAGATGAAAATTTCGCGGTGGTTCTCATATTGATAGTATTGGGAACGGAAATCCTCAACGTATGATCTAAACAACAAGTCATTAGCATTCGTTGTTCTATATCTGTAGATTTATTACGTATGGCATCTTCGTACTTTGAATCTCGTCGAATTTTCTGCTGAAGGTTGGGCCTGTACAAAAATGATTAGATCGAATTTAAAACTTTTCAGTGTTGGAAACTCACAAATCCGCCTCAACCTTCTCCAATGCGGCCAGCTTTCGCTTGACCATCGTGCAATATTTTCGCAAATTGTATTGCGGCGCAAATTTCTGTTGTTGACAGAAGACCGACGTTAAGAATATTTTTGTCTAAGCCGATAGATAATTTTTTTGCCGTATCGATAGCGGCTCCCGCGCAGAGATTGGAGGCGGTGAGGCGCCCACAATATCAGATCGACAATTGATCAGGGTGACAATATCAGGCCTGCCCATTGAAATTGACTTTGACAGGGCTACGTGGATTATTTAAGCATTTTTTATAGATCGGAAACACTCTGCTGACCATTTTCAAATATATCACCACCAGGACAGCAGAATATTGAAAGAGGCACTTGACTATTTTGATAATTATTGAACAAAGGATCAAGTTTTTCATAAGAACATCTCGACTACATCAAAAGAAGCTATCCATGTTACTTTTTATGGGTCCTACTTCCTCTTTCATGGACTGTTCCGTAGATACAGTCTCAATAGATGCATGCGAGTCGACCAAACCCTAATAAAAGACGACACTCCGTCCATACCCTCAACGCGTAAACCAAACACACATGAATAAATCGTTTACCGATTGCTCTTGGCAACACGCTCGAGCTCGTCCTTCTTCTTGATGGCGTAAGAGTTGGAGCTACCCTTGGCAGCGTTGATAAGCTCTTCAGCCAAAACTTCGGCAATAGACTTGACGTTGCGGAAAGCGGCCTCACGAGCACCGATGGTAAGGAGAGCGATGGCCTGGTTGACACGGCGGAGGGGGGACACATCGACGGCCTGTCGGCGGACGGTACCCTGGGAACCGATACGGGTGGAGTCTTCACGAGGACCGCAATTGACAATGGCGTCGACAGCAACCTGGAGAGGGTTCTGGTCGGTCATGATGTGAATCTGATGATTGTTAGAATCGATTTTGGCTCCGAAAGGCTAATTTGCCTTTTCAGGATATGAAGGGTATTGTAGACGTACGATCTCGAAAGTGTGGGCAACAATGCGGACAGCCAAGATCTTCTTTCCGTTGTTGCGACCGTTCATCATGATAGAGTTGGTCAATCTGCAGATGTCGTGTTAACCACTTGTATCCTTCTACTGTGCAATCAAGCGCAGGGCGCAGGTGTTTCGAATTACCTCTCAATGATGGGGCATTGTGCCTTGCGGAAACGCTTAGCAGCATATCGGCCAGCGGAGTGAGGGAGGTAGACGGGAGAACGGATCTGGATGTAGTCGCTGTATCGAAAAAATCGTCGAGTTAGCCAATATTCCCCTCTTCCATAACGATCAAAAATTTGTTGGTATATTTTTCTTTCGTGCTGTGCTGATTTGGAATTGCTATCGCGGTTTCACGTACGTCAAAGAGATATCTCTGATTTCAACATCGTCCTGGTTGTTGTTAGCCCTCCTGCCTCGACACAAACCCCATCGTCACGATTTTTCCAGGACGACTCACGTAGCTCCATTTTCCGAACAACTTGACGGAGTCGGTTTGGACATCCTTGGGGAGGGCTGGGTAGTAACCCGAGGGGTTCTCGACCTCGACTTCACCGTTGTCGGACATGATGGACGCTTTTGTCGTAAAATGTGTTGTTGAGCGTCGAGCGTTGCTGTCGGGTCGATGAAATGTTCGCTGGTTAACAGAAGGAAATTGGAGGTGTGTCTCGCTTAACGAAAGCCCAGTGGGGTGGGTCTACCAGAGCCAATAACAAGTTAAGAGTCAAGTGACTTTGGGTTCCCTCGGCGGGACTCTGCCAAGATACGTCTACTTGAACAGACTAGCGTGGTTTATCGTCATGCCTTGATACCTTGATGCCTTGACACCTGATCAATCCCAAATCTCTAAACGGCAGAGCCACTGCTGAGTATGACACATTCTGGCCCAGTCAATCTATAAGTTTGCACAGTACAAGACTATCACTCACTTTCTTATCTATGTCACCACCCTTCTCATGTATACTCTGGTGAGTCAAAAAATACCTCGCGAAATGCAACTTTTAGTTATTGTTCTTTGCGTTTGTCTACACCTCCACTCGGTGCCTAGTTGTGAATTCAACATACTCTGTAGTAGTGAGTATGTACAATTCAATGTATATCCTCGAAGGCTGTCCACTTGCTAGCCAACTCAGCCATGTACATACAATATATAGAATTTGCCTCTTGTGCCAAAAAACACACAGATCAGCAGTCCATTGCTTAGTTGTCTTCAAAATACACAAGCCACAGCGTCAATCGGCCCCTGGCAGTCGATGGCGGCGGGCATGTCATTGGTGAAGCTCGGCATAGTGCCGTTAGTGCAGGCGCAGGTGACGCTGCCGCATTCCCCAAGAACCACTGTGCCCGCAAATCAGCGCCAACCAGAACTTAGACCTTTTTAGTCAGTGACAACCTTATGTAAAGAACTGCCACCTCACACTCCCAACGTTTCTGCATTGTTTGCCTACCATCAACAGTTCTTTGATGGTGTATAACTTATACGAAGCAGAGTGTGCTTCTACGCGCTTGCAAATGACCCTTTATATTCGCGTTTGAATCACGGCCGCGGCGGATAATGGCTGAAGACAATCCAGAACTGCAACATGCGTTGCAGGAGCTTGACAGAGAACTCGAGGTGCGCGACTCGATCTAATCCTCTAGAGAGATTTACACTAATCAAATCTTGACTATAGGCTGAGGAGATTACTGTAAAGGGGTACGAATTTCCTCATCGCTCGCCGTTATCGGTCGCTCCAGATTCCCGGCGCGGGGCATGACGAAGCAATTGGAGGTTTTAGCTAACATATCGTTAGATACGAGAAGCGGCGCACCCTTCTATTTTCGCAGTTTCTCGGACCCGGTCACAATGGGCTCCAGGCGCCGAGCGTTACCATTCAAGGTCCCGGAGGTCAGACCGATGACTACTCTGGAAGGTATCCAGACGTCGGGAGTGATAGCTCGTCAGGTATTGCTAGACAGGTGAGTGCCTTATCACTCAGGCATAATTGGCAGCTACTCATTTCTCTACGTCTTGCAGAGAACGCCTTCACTCCAACTTCCCCTTCGCGCCGCATCCAGAGCGTCGGTAGATTCTCTTTTCCTTCCCAAAACGAGCCAGAGCAATACACTAGACGTTAGCCATGAAGACTCGAGAACAGCAACATTGATGAGCCAAAGCTATGCCTTCAATCCAAATAATCAGTATGACCATATGGGTCAAGCGGCCGATCCTTACGATGGCGGCGTCTACGATCCAGACGGAGGTCCAACTCGTCAGTCGACGCTACTCGATTCGCAAGCCTACTTTCAGGATTTCGCTGGACATCAGAATGAAGATTATAGGAATAGTTATGGAGGCGGGTATCATCGATATTCCCAGTCTGATGCATTTTCGCCGACAGCGAACATGGCGCCTCCGTTAATGCCAGCCTCGGAAATTGCACCGGGAAGCATGCTTGGTCACCTTCTCCCTCTAGAGCCACGAGAAATACCTAATTCCGTCTACGACCCGCACGATCCCAATACCATGATGTCCAAGTTCGATAATCTGCCGGCAGTCCTTAGACATCGCGCCAAGACACAATCGAAACAACCGGCCTACTGGGTCTTAGATCAGAAAGGCAAAGAGATTGCATCTATCACTTGGGACAAACTAGCAAGTCGGGCGGAAAAGGTTGCCCAAATCATACGCGACAAGAGCAGTTTATACCGCGGCGATCGTGTGGCACTGATCTACCGTGATACCGAGATTATCGAATTTGCTGTGGCTTTGATGGGTTGTTTCATCGCCGGAGTGGTGGCCGTCCCCATCAATAACGTAGATGACTACACAAGCCTTAATGTCATCCTCACATCGACGCAAGCCCATCTTGCTTTGACCACAGAGAACAATCTGAAAAACTTCCAAAGGGATATCACAACTCAGAAGCTGCAATGGCCAAGAGGTGTTGAATGGTGGAAGACAAACGAATTTGGGAGCTACCACCCCAAGAAAAAAGAAGATGTCCCGCCTTTGATTGTGCCTGACCTTGCTTATATTGAGTTCTCACGAGCACCAACCGGAGACTTGCGTGGGGTTGTCATGAGCCATCGGACAATCATGCACCAGATGGCCTGCCTTAGTGCCATCGTGGCTACCGTGCCCGGCTCTAAATCTGCTGCACAGCCTAGAGTTTTGAGTGGCAGCCACAGTGAGATATTGTTCAGCTATCTTGACCCAAGACAGAGCATTGGAATGATTTTAGGTGTCTTGTTGACTGTTTACGGTGGACACACAACGGTATATCTAGAGGCACAAGCAGTGGAGACCCCCGGTCTTTACGCTCATCTCGTCACAAAGTACAGGGCTACTGTCATGGCTGCCGACTATCCGGGCCTGAAGCGCGTCGCATACAACTATCAGCAAGAGCCGCTAGTCACTCGGCACTTCAAAAAGAATGTCGAGCCCAACTTCTCGAGTGTGAAGCTTTGTCTGATTGATACACTCACAGTCGATTCTGAGTTTCATGAAATTCTAGCAGATAGATGGCTACGACCCATGCGAAATCCGCGTGCGCGGGAAATAGTCGCTCCAATGTTATGTCTGCCTGAGCACGGAGGCATGGTAATCAGTGTCCGAGATTGGTTGGGAGGTGAGGAGAGAATGGGATGCCCATTGACCCATCCTCTGGATCCCGCGGAGCCAGAGCTGAAAGAAACTGAGATAAAAAAGACTGATACCAATGACGGATTCGGCAGCAGTTTGATTGGAGGGACTCCAGTAACTGCTCCTAAGAAGAAAGCCACAAATGATCTGGCAGAAGTTCTACTTGATAAGGAAGCGCTGAAATCTAACGAGGTTGTTGTATTAGCCATGGGAGAACAGGCGAGAAAGCTTGCTGAGACTCGTCCAAATAGTGTGCTCGTGGGTGCATTTGGATATCCGTTACCCGACGCTACTCTTGCAATCGTTGATCCCGAAACTAATCTGCTATGCACCCCAAATGTCGTTGGAGAAATCTGGGTTGACTCACCGTCTTTGTCTGGTGGATTCTGGGCGTTGCCGAAACATACAGAAACCATCTTCCACGCCCGGCCCTACAAGTTCGAGGTCGGAAACCCTACTCCTGTCCTAGTAGAGCCGGAGTTCCTTCGAACTGGTCTTCTAGGCTGTGTTATTGAAGGGAAAATATTCGTCCTTGGCCTATATGAAGATAGGCTTAGGCAGAAGGTTGAATGGGTGGAACATGGTCAAGAGATTGTTGAGCATCGTTACTTCTTCGTGCAGCATTTGATTATAAGTATTATGAGAAATGTGCCAAAGGTTAACGATTGCTCTGCGTTCGATGTCTTTGTTAATGAGGAGCATTTACCTATTGTTGTTTTGGAGTCATACACCGCTTCAACTGCGCCGACAACTTCCGGTGGCCCACCGCGACAGTTAGATGTGGCACTCCTCGAATCACTGGCAGAGCGTTGCATAGAAGTCCTCTACCAGGAACATCATCTCCGTGTCTACTGCGTTATGATTACTGCTCCAAACACTCTTCCTCGCGTCACTAAAAACGGCAGACGAGAGATTGGAAACATGCTATGTCGGAAGGAGTTTGACAACGGCACTCTTCCCTGTGTGCATGTCAAGTTTGGAGCTGAACGTGCTGTGATGAACCTGCCGCTCGGTATAGACCCCGTTGGTGGTATGTGGTCACCAATGTCGTCAAATTCCAGGCAAGAGATTCTGGCTATGGAAGAGAAACAATATTCTGGGGTAGACTATCGAGACATTGTTATGGACGATAGGACTTCCACGCCACTTAACAATTTTACAAACATCGTCGATCTAGTCCAATGGCGTGTCACGCGCCAAGCGGAAGAGCTATGTTACTGCTCCATAGATGGTCGTGGCAAAGAAAGCAAAGGTGTCACATGGAAAAAGTTCGATACCAAAATAGCTGCTGTGGCTTCATATCTCAAGAACAAAGTCAAAGTCAAGCCAGGCGATCACTTGGTGTTGATGTATACTCATTCAGAAGAGTATGTCTTTGCAGTCCATGCTTGTTTATGTCTCGGCGCAATTGCAATTCCTATGGCACCGATTGATCAGAATCGATTACCGGAAGATGCGCCGGCTTTTCTCCATGTTGTGTCAGACTTCAAGGTCAAAGCAATACTTGTTAATACCGATGTCGATCACGTCATGAAACAGAAGCTTGTTTCTCAACACATCAAACAGTCCGCACAAGTTCTCCGTATCGGGGTACCGGCTATTTACAACACTACTAAGCCACCAAAGCAGTCGCATGGCTGCCGCGATCTTGGATTTACCATGAACAAAACATGGCTACAGGAGAATCATCCCGCTGTTATTTGGACTCATTGGACCGCCGACCAGAGACGTATATCAGTGCAACTGAATCATGACACATTGATGGCGATGTGTAAAGTTCAAAAAGAGACATGTCAAATGACAAGTGCAAGACCAGTTTTGGGAAGTGTTCGAAGTACCGTTGGCTTAGGGTTTCTACACACCTGTCTCCTCGGAGTTTATGTTGGTAAGTCTATTAGTTACTTGGTGTTTTTTGAGAGCTGAGGTTAATGATACAAAGGTGCTCCGACATATCTCGTGTCACCGGTCGATTTTGCACAGAACCCCGCATCATTGTTTGTCGCTTTGGCACGATATAAGATCAAGGATACATATGCCACTGGTCAGATGTTGGAGTATGCTATGAGTGCCATGCCTGGAAAGGGATTCCAGCTCCAAGAGCTCAAGAATCTGATGATTGCCACAGACGGCAGGCCGAAGGTTGATATGTGTAAGTGTGCTCACTCAGACCCCAAGAACAAGTCCTCATTACTCTGCAGACCAGAAGGTTCGACTACACTTCGCAGCCACCGCTTTGGACCGAACGGCAATCAATACGATATACTCTCATGTTCTCAATCCAATGGTTGCTTCCCGATCTTACATGTGCATTGAGCCTATCGAATTATGGCTCGATTTGCGGGCACTTCGACGGGGKATGGTGTATCCCGTTGATCCAGATCTTGACCCAACTGCTCTGCGTCTGCAAGATTCCGGTATGGTTCCAGTCAATACACAGCTTGCAATTGTAAACCCAGAAACTTGCACTTTGTGCCGTGTGGGTGAGTACGGCGAGATCTGGATTCAGTCCGACGCATGCGCAAAGGCCTTTTACGGCAGCAAACAGGAATTCGATCTCGAGCGTTTCAACGGCAGGGKTTTTGACGGTGACACCTCTGTACAATATGTGCGCACTGGTGATATTGGCTTCCTTCACACAGTAACGCGGCCAATTGGTCCAGGTGGTCAGCCTGTCGAGATGCAAGTCTTGTTTGTTCTCGGCGGTATTGGAGAAACGTTCGAGATCAATGGGCTTAACCACTTCCCTGCTGATATTGAGTCATCTGTGGAGAAATGCCATCGCAACATTGTTCCGGGTGGTTGGTAAGTAGTCCCCGTTAGTCCATCTCAAAAAACACAACTAACACGATTATTAATAGTGCCGTCTTCCAAGCTGGTGGACTTGTTGTTGTGCTTGTTGAGGTTACGAGGAAGTCTTATCTGGCCTCTCTGGTCCCTGTTATTGTCAATTCTGTTCTCAATGATCATCAGATTGTCATAGATATCGTGGCCTTCGTCTCCTATGGCGACTTTCCACGATCTCGACTTGGAGAAAAACAACGTGGAAAGATTCTTGGCTCATGGGTGACACGAAAGATGCGCACGATAGCTCAATTCAGTATTCGCGATGCCGACGGAGCTGACCCCCAAATGCTCCAGAGCCGCATGAGCAGAGGATCCAAGACGGGCAGCATTATGGGAGGCAGCAGTCTTCGAAGATCGACGCTTGTCCCTGATAGTGATTCTAGCACGCGGGTAGCTCCGACACCGGGACAAGAAAGACGCGAACTTGTTGATGAACCGTACACAATGCAAGAAGACGAGGAGGAAAAGCACTACCAAGATCTACTCAACGATCCTCAATACAGAGCAAATAATGATGGTTCCCGTGGAAACCAAGAACAATCGACACCCCAGCCTTTGTCCATCGACACGCACCAAGGCTATGAAGGGGAGAAGAACCCGACACCAGTCTTGAGTCCAGATGCCGGCTTTGATTTTGGAGAGAGTTTCGGTCAGACAGGCTACAATGAGGGTTTACGGGTTCATGAAGCCTCTCCTGTAAGAAATGTACCATCCGTCGCAGTAGCGCCCCCGTCAACATCTGGGTCCCAAGATTCGAGAGTCTCGCATGCCAGCCCTCCACGTGGTGCGCCAAATGATACAAGCCGACAACAACAATATAGCAGAGGTCCACAAGTTACAAGTTCGACCGAGAATCAATCGTGGCTCGACACCTCGCGTCGACCAATATCCGCTGAGGAATGGCCGCAGGAGGCGCTTCTCTATCAGTCGCATTATGATGGACAGGGCTCTAATGGACATCCCGGAAAGGATAATGGCAACTTCAATGCTTTTTAGCAGATTTCAAGAGACACCCAAGCCAACTATATCTCTGCATCGTCTCATTACACTTGACTGCGAGGATATACGAATATGCTACGAAAAAAACCCCCCTCTCATTTGACTTTTGCATCACTTTATGAATTCTATATCCCGACTTCACGTGCACAAGAACCATTTTTGTCGATAGTATCGTAGAGCCTTTTTTCTCCTATTTGATCATTTTTGTGAATATCCTGCGTAAAAGCATTTTGAAGAGTTTCTTGATTCGAAGTACGTACTATACGTGTGTTTATGATTCGATACCATGAAGTTTTTCTTTCTTATCTGCGTATACATCTTGTCACTACCTGGGTGCGCCTAGAGATAGTTCTTTTTTGAAACTTCCTACCAATAGCGGCAAATAGTGGTTTGTTGTAAGAGCGTGGTGACGGGTTCTTACCTGGTAATTGCCCAGTGATGGAGAAATGTGTTCTGTAAGCCTGCTGTCATATTATAAACCATCGATATCTCACTATGACTGAAAAAGATGACAATCTAATTGACACCTGCTCACGTACGAGGCTTTATTCTAGTGTTGAAAATAGCGCGCGAATCCCCCTAACCCTTAATCTACCTACGAACGAGCCTACGTATATACGAGATTAATGGTAGACGTGGTGTTGGGTATTATGTATATTCAGGAATATTAACGCGTCTTATAGCTATAATACATGTTTTTGTAATTATATATAAAATATAATATATAACTATAAATATACAGATAATTATAGTAATATTATTATTATATATCAAAAGCACTACTACATTAACCCCTACCCCTACCCTTACCATCATATTCCAGAGATCTCACCGTCACCTTATAGAGACCCATCATATGTCAAATCTCGTAATGATCACACATGTATTAACTTTACTCTTTAGATGAGACCGCGCTGTAATATGACAGAACTGTCACCAGGCCTTACTGGGCCCTTACAAATATCCATATATTTCCGCTATTGACCGTTCAAGGGATCTTGAATATCGTAAGGTATTGATTGTAACTAGCTTGTTCTGTAGACTATGCATATGCCTTCCCAGCCCTAACCCGCCGCAACAGTCCTCCACGATCCTGCTCATCCGACTGAAAAACCATCTCCAGCCGTCGCTCAGACTCAACTTCCCGAACACTAACCAAATTCCGAAACGTATCTGTCCGCGATATGCGCACACTCGCATTCTCTAGTACCTTGCTAGGACGAGAATTGAACGCCAAAGCCGTTATACTCGCAATCGTATCCCAGGCTCGCGAGCTATGGCCAGTAACGCTATTTCAGCGATATCTAGAAAAGGGCTTTTGAACATGTTCTGCACAATATCATACTCTCTATGGTCATTCTCCTGGGCATTCTTTCCATGTCCATGGCTCCTTCCTTTTCGGTCACTCCTTCCTTGTGGCAGTTATAGCTACCTCAACATGGTCGCTCCTTCCCCTTTCGTCGCTCTTTCCATTTTGGCACAGCGTCGAGCACCACGCAACATGGTCGTCTCTCATCCTCCGGCCCTCCTCATCATCCAGTCTCATTCCTCCAAATCGTCTCGTCTTCCGTGTCCCCCTGTGCTCTACAAGAATGTCGTCCACTATGGAGTATATGCTGGACGTTAGTTGGCAATGCTTCACTGCTTCAAGTGATTCGATGAATCAGCGATTTAGAATTGTGGCACCTACAAAACTTGACTTGTCATCTATTTTTTATTCTATGAGCCTCACATTCTGTCGTGGACTACTCGATGTCGTACGAGCTACTGGACCACCTTCTATTACATGGTTCGAGTCACTTCCGGACGAAGTTCCTAAAAATTCTTGGGGTGTCTATGCTATTATCCTCCGGAAAGACGGCCATCCTCCAGGTCTTTACATCGGATCAGGAACCCAGACTTTTGGAGGAGTCAGAAAACGAATCAGGACATATTATATCAATTCATGTTATGCCCCTAAGAATATCCGAGCCTATCATCGGAATGGATACTCTATTGTCCATCATTGTTTACTTGCCCGGTGTCCAATTCCACGTCCAGAACATGTTCCGAGATTTCGGACTGCCATTCTTATCATGGAAGCAGCTTTTGCTTCAATCTTTTGGGCTATGGCTCATCGCAATAAGTCGTATGGCTTGGACTCCACTTGTCCATGGTCTCGAGACTTATTCGAATGGAATGGTTTATGCAGTCACAATCCTTTTATTGAGGGACTTTACCCTTCCGAGATTGGCCTCGAAGTTTCGTCTGAGGAGCTCAAGCAAATCGCAATTGTGACTAAAGATAGACGCCGTCTTCAGGCCAGAGCCTTCCGGTGGAGAAACAGGGAGACACTCCGTCGTCTTGACAGAGCCCGCTATGGCACGTCATATCGACAACTCAAATATCGAAAAGTGCTGGCCAGTAAGAAATACTTTTGTGCGTCTTGTAAGAAAGCGTTCGCTCAAAATACGTATCTCGTCCGGCATAACAAGACTTCCCATCACCTCCGGAGACTCGAGAGAGGAGACGTCCCCTATATGTGTGAGCCTTGTGGAAAGTCCTTCGCCTATCCATCTCACTTGGCAAAACATAATACGAGTCTTAAGCACATCATAAACACACCTGATCTTGGGACTGTGGAATCTCGCTTCCAGGAGGGAAAAGCTTTCAAGTGTGAGCCTTGTGGAAAGTCCTTCGCTTCTCCATCTCAGTTGGCACTACATAATACGGGTCTTAAGCACATCATGAACACACCTGATCTTGGGACTGTGGAATCTCGCGTCCAGCAGGGAAAAGCTTTCAAGTGCGAGCCTTGTGGACATCCCTCTGAGTTGGCACTACATAATACGAGTCTTCAGCACATCATGAACACACCTGATCTTGGGACTGTGGAATCTCGCGTCCAGCAGGGAAAAGCTTTCAAGTGCGAGCCTTGTGGACAGTCCTTTTTTAAACCAAGTCAACTAGAGAGGCATAAGAAAACCGGAAGGCATATTAAGCGACTTGAGTCACTGGCTGAGACTAAGGACATGAGATATGGATGTGAATCTTGCGGGTTCTACACCAATTACCTGTCCAACTTCCAGAGACACGAAATGTCCACCAAACACCGGAATGGAACTTCACGTCAATGATCAGCGAGACTCTGTCCTTGGTCAGTTGTCGTTACTCGTCACTGTCTCGTTCCTTCACTCTCGTCATCAGTCACTCTCGTCTTGTTCCATGTCCGGTCCCTTTCCGTGTCTCATTCCTTTCCATATCCTATCTTCCCCTATGTTTGTCCTTCCATGTCTTATTTTCTTTCTATATCGTTTTCTTCCATGTCTGCTTGCTTTCCATATCTGCTTGCTTTCCATATCTGCTTGCTTTCCCTATCTCGTCCCTTTCCATGTATGGTGTCATAGGTTAGCCGTTATGTATTTAGCTTAGCCGCCCCAAAGTGCCCTTGCGTGACTAGATGAGCTTAGATTAGCACGTACGGAAGCATAATCATCATACATTCCACTAATAGCCATCCCTTATAAAATGGTAGTATTCGTCCAAAGCGTATACTCAGGGACAGGTTGACATCGTGAAGGACTGTTAACTATCGTGATTAATCCAGAATTCGACATCTGGACCTATACGTGACCTAGAGTATAATGGGAGACTATAAGTGGATGGATGATGATCGTATTCATGCTAAGCTAACGTGCTCGGCTCATTCCAAAATGGTAGCATTGTTCTGAGCGTTCAGCTGGGACTTATTGAGGAGGGCGTATAGTGCTCGCTATATCCAATCAATTCGTCCAGAATTGAAAGGACGACGCGACCACACGAAATCCTCCTCCGACACTCCACCCGACCGAATCAGACTCTACTCCAACGCCCGATCTTTATTCCATCTCAACGACAGTAACAACCATCGGATCATTGAATCGGATGGATGAGAGTTTATTGGACCGTGTCTTACAGCTCCACTCTCTTACTATACTGCCACAATTCCGACAGCGTATCCTATATACGCTGTTTACCAAAATTGATCACCTAGTCCATGACTACAACCTGTTGCCACCATCCTGGAACGACTGCGGCTTCTACGGCAATACGGACTATGTTACGGACAAGATAATAACAACAAAGGAAGCAAAATTCATAGCAAAAGAGTTACAGATTCCGATTCCCAAAAATTGGCGACCGATAGCATTCGTAAAGTCTTGGGATCAAGAAATTCAACCGGGGAACGAAATTGCAAAAGAGTAATGCCATCACCAACGAGCTCTCAATCCTCTCCATCCATAGACCTACACCTTCCGGAATCCCCTGAGACGACGCGTACTATACAAGGACAGGACGACGTCGCAAAATCCATACGAAGACTACTATTACACCCGAATCCAGGATGGATCTCATCCATTTTCACCGACAACACCGCCCCTGCAAACCTCTATTCCAAAGCGCAATATAAGAGAGACACGGTCTACATTGTCAGTATGACTAGTCTTATCTCCAATAGATAGTACCTACAACTGGCACCATTCCTAAAGGAAGCTGACTATATAGCGGCCGCGGCCTTAGTCACCTGTATGAATGGGAAGAAAAGGGACGAGTTTATACAAAAGGCTACAACTGTTATAGCGGATGGATTACATTCAGTAAACAACATCGACACCATCTAAAGATTCCTCGAACGCTTCCGCGCGGGACCGTGACCCATAGCCCCACAAGATGTGGAAGCCGGAGAAGAAGATAAGTCACTCAACAGGAGGGTAATCTCGGTCACATCAACAAAGGTAAGAAGCCGGCCCATCGCTCAGAAAGGCAAATGGGCGAAACGTCAGACCGACCAAGTGATTCAAGTGGCCTGTCCGGACGTACCGACCCGGACGATTCGGACGATTCACCACCCGATTCTAATGAAGACGTTACCCACCGGAGTCATCAGGGCCAGCATAGGACCTCTGGACAGAGACACCGGAAGACCTTGAAGGTGGAGGATGTCTCTTTATTCGACCTCAAAAATCGGCCGGTAACAACGTTTACAAAGCGAATAAGACAGCTAGCGAGAGCCTATAGCAAAAACACAGTGCTGGAAGTCATTCCTCTATATTTACAGAGTGACGCCCTAGATTAATATACTCATCTCTCAGATCAAATAACAAAATGTAAGAGGGGTTTACAAGGGCGTAGTAGTACGGGTGCTAGATAGGGTAAGAAACGTAGGGTTATATAGCGTTCGCAGCTATTGGCTGCTCTCTAGGAATCGTGGCCCCTACGGCCTCGCTAACGTAATCGGTAAGCGAGTTGGCCATGTAAGCGGGTTGGCCACCTTCAATACACATACAGAATGGCCTATATTCGTACCCTCATTACTCTACATCNGAGTTGGCCATGTAAGCGGGTTGGCCACCTTCAATACACATACAGAATGGCCTATATTCGTACCCTCATTACTCTACATCACAGACCTGTCTCTATGTTATCTGATGTATATATCTTTAATATATCATTATCAACCTATCAACAAAGTATATAGGGGTTTAAGTAACTATATCTTTGAGTGGTTCATGTTTTGCATAATTACACCGGTTTTCAGCTGTATTATATATAAAATGGTATGATCACTACTTTACACTAGTCTTAATTAAATATTTTTATTATATTAAGTGATCTAATACTAACATATGAATCACAAATCGAGATTTCCACTGGATGTTGAGTCATGATGGTATGAACATAGGCCATTTTGTATGTGTATTGAAGGTGGCCAACCCGCTTACATGGCCAACTCGCTTACCGAATACGTTATGAAGTTTTGTTTGCTGACTAATACATGACTAAGCCTAGCCGAAGTTATAATGGACGCGTATGAGTGGAGAAAGATGATGCTATTCTTATGGCTAAGTGGTCGGCTAACTAGCTATCTATTATGCGGCTAGCTCGAGCACGTGACAGATGCCCCCTCTGTAAAATGGACTGTCCTCAGTCCGATGAGTAAATAGAAAACTTGCAAGCCTCCATCCTTAACAATTTCGGAGGAAACATAAAACCAGAAGGTGCACATATAGGTAAATGAACGAAATTGCAAACCTCCATCTTTAACGATTTCGGAGGAAACCGGAGAGACAATAGGGAAGAGATTAATTCAACTTTCGGATCTTCTTCGGAGGGGCCTCGTCCATCTCATAATACCAGTTCAGGCTGTAAAAGTCTCTCCACGAGACCACTTCCGGATAACCGTCTGCTACCCTGAAGTATCCCTGTATAGTTCCGTCATTGGCGTACATCTCTATCAATGGTTTCGAGCGGCTTCCGTATATGACCAGAATTCCGAGCCCGGACGCACAGACCATGGAAGTACGGGGTATGATCCCCCATAGGACGTTTGTCAATGCTCCTGGTATGGTTTTTAGTTCCTTTTGAGGGATCAACCTGTTATTCTCTGCTCTGTAACGACCCAAGCTATGATTAGCTGTCGTAGCGGTGTAAATCTTCATATTCCGTCTGGTTCCCTCTGCGCAGTGCTTGATTACAAGTCCTGTCGCAAAACAGTCTATCGCTATAGGTATCAGACCTTCCTCCGGATCTAGAGGTATGTGTCCATTGCTGAATGAGTAGGTATGCTCTAGAGTATGTAACGGAGGTGGTGTCATGTGTTCCGTCCGGCCCAATAGGCGGTTGAAGGTTGCCAATAGGCGAGTCAGCACTGATGGACGATCCGGCAGCTTCTGTCGCACTGTCAGTGGTTCTGGCGGGGCTGTAGAAGCTGGTGATACTCCTGGATCGGAAGCTGGAGGATTGGATGGCTGTGGAGGCAGAACTTGGGGGGGAGGCTTGGCCGCTGCCAAGGCTAGAGCACTGGCTGTTGACAGAACCGGAGGGCTGGATGTTGCTGGCTCTGACGATAGGACTGGAGGAKTGGATGGKGKAGCTGAGGAACGAACCTCCTCGATCATTGAAGCCCTCCTTTTCATGAATGCTGCAGGGGGGAATTTTCGTGTCGGTGGAATCTCGTTGGACGTAGATTCGGTGGCTGCCCCTTCTCCATCTCTATCATCCTCCATTCCGCCTGTTTCCGATGACGTTCCTCCTTCCTTCTGATAGTTGAGGATTTGCGCTGTGTTCATGAATAACACGAAACCCTGTCTCACGTATTCGATACGTGCAGCGATCGCCCATTTGTGATGTCCCACTCGTTGTGCGTAGGCGTATAAAGGCTCATGGTCTGGAATGACATCTCGGAAGTTGGACGACTTGAATTTGGTATCATGGATCAGTGCTTCCATCCGTCGCTTCTCTTCCTCCGAGTGGAGTTTCTTTTCCATGCGCTTACGGTGTCGATCCATTGTTCGTTTGTGATTCCCGGTATCAAATGGTTTCGACTTGAGTAACTCTTCCTTGACTGGTTCCATCTTTTCCAGTTCATCTATGGTCATTGAATCATAGTCAACCTGCTCTTCCGGTGTCGATATTGAGTCCTCTTCCTCTTCCGATGTCGATATTGAGCCCTCCTCCTCTCCTGGTATCATTATTGCCTCGTAGTTCGGAGATTGCGCATCGGAAGTATCGGTAGTGGACGTATTGGATGTGGGCGCATTGAACGTGGGAGTCCTCTTGACTGTCTTCTTGGTGGGCGCGGAGTACGGAGTAAAGAAACTTTTGCTGCGAGCGGGCCCAGGCATGGTGGGTGAAGATCAGATCCTGTAACGAAGTGATGGTTGAGTGCGACCGTGGGGATTGGATGAGCGAAGTGACAATTGGATGCGCGAAGTGAGAACTGGATGCGCGAAGTGAGAACTGGATGCGCGAAGTGAGAATTGGATGCGCGAAGTGAGAATTGGATGCGCGAAGTGAGAATTGGATGCGCGAAGTGAGAACTGGATGCGCGAAGTGAGGATCGGACGCGACCGTAACAAGGTAGGTGAGGTTTGATCCTGGTTTGGGGCTTGTTGATGGCTTCTCGAGTGAGCCGTCAGTGAGGCCGTCGTGGACAGTAATTGCTCCTTATACGGTGTCTCTTGTGTGTATTTGGGCTCTTTCGAACAGCAGATTGAATCTCAAGTTGAGGTCACTTCAAGTGTGGAGTTATAGTGCGATTCATCGCTGGTCGTGACGGTTCAAACAAGATGTCGCAAGGCAATGCTTCTAAGGATGAGTAGAATATGCGTTTGATAATGATAGTGGAAGGTGGCACCTTCGAGAATGTATGGAATAAGGTAAGGGATGTCTGGTGGTAAGGATAGTGTCGTGTTTCTTGTGAAAGGATCAGGGCTGGTCTTGATTGCTCTGATCGTCAGGTCTTTGGGGAGTTGTCCGTTGGGTTGGGGGAGATGTTTTGTCTTCGAATTCCGCGACGAGCGCTGGGCATTGGGTTGAGACAATTGCTGCCGGTTGCCACGTTGTCTGGTTTGTAGTCTTGTATTTGACGAGGTAATACCAGATCTTCCGTTTTGACCCCTGCTGGATCGGTCTCGGTTTCTTGTCTATAACCTGATCGATCTCGAACGGAAGTCGGATCTGATGTACTTCTTCTGGGATTGTCGTTGTCACTGGGCGGTCCCATTCGTCCTCTGGGGCTTGTTCTAAATGGATGACGGAGATCACTGGATGTATGCTTAGGTCGGGTGGCAGCTCGAGCTCGTAGGCTAGGTTACCAATTCGTCTTTTGATGGGAAATGGTCCTATTTTTAGGGGTGAAAATACTGTAGATCCATCCGCTTTGTACCCATTGTGACCAGGCTTCCTCGTTAATCGGATGTATACCTTGTTTTTCATCTCCACCGGTTTATGTTTCTGGTCGAAGTAGAATGCCATGCGACTCTGTGCGTACTGTGTTGCGTCCGCTGCTTCTGCTCGGATGCGTTCCCGTTCTTTGATAAAGTCATCCGCTGAGTCAAATCGGAAGTCGCCTTGGGGAATAAATTCTGACCTGGCTTCCACGCCGTAGAGTAGTTCGAAGGGTGTTTTGCCGGTTGTTTCACTCTTGGACGTGAATAGAAAGTGTTCAACGTCTGGTAATAACTCGTCCCATATCGTGTCGTCCGGAAGCTGGAATAACAAGCATCGGAGCATTGTCTCGATGATGGCGTTTATTCTCTCCGTCTGTCCATCGGCCGCTGGATGGTATGCTGCTGTAATGCCGAGTCTGACGGACGCACGGCGGAATAAGTAGGACCAAAAGTCGGATGTGAATTTGGCGTCCCTATCGGAAATGATGACTTGTGGTAGTCCCCATGATGGGTAGACATGTCGGAAGTAGGCTTTGGCCCAATCAATTGCCGTGTATTTCGTTGTTCCTGGGATCAGCTTAACGGCTTTCGTGAATTTTTCTACGATCACTATCAGGGCGTCGTAGTTATTTTTGGATTTCGGTAGTCCAATAACGAAGTCCATCGTAATGGTTGTGAATGGTTGGCATGGTGTCGTGATGGGTTGAAGCTGTCCGTATTGTTGGTGCTAATCGTCTTTGGACGCTCTGCAGACTGGACAGGCTAGTACATAAGACTCGACCAATGCCTTCAGCCTTGGGACATAAATCGTTTTGCGTAATCTGTCTTGCGTTTTCTGGACGCCTGGGTGACCCTTATGATCATGGGCTGCCATCAAGATCAAGCGATGAGCTTTTGCGGGGATGCACAATCTCTCCGCATTTTCCCTCACCATGTATAGTAGTCCGGTAGTCACGTCCAGTTTGAAGCCATTCCTGGTGGGATTTCCGGGCTGCAATTGGTCCTTCATCCTGTCGCCTATCTCTCGAAGATTTTTGTAGATGCGGCCCAGGTGTCGGTCGTCAGGTAGTGGTGTATTCCGAATCTCCGTAAACGACTGTTGAGATAGAGGAAGTGTTTGTTGATGATGGGAATGGAGTTCGTAAGGGGTTTTTGGAGAAGAAGTGTTTGGAGTTGTGGTGTCCGGGGCTGCTCCTTCCGGATTCCCGTGGTCTAATGCCTGAGGCTCCGATCTGGTTTTCTTCTTTCTTGGTGGCAGGGAGAATCCGATATGCTCAGCGACTCGCTTGGATTCTTCTGTAGTGAGGTGTTGAGCTACTACCCAGTCTGTAGGTCCGTAATACCCGCAATCGTTAAGCTGGTAGTTTTGGACTTGCAATTGGTGGTTCGTGAGAACGTCCTGTAGCGCTTGCAGGAATCCTGGACGAGCTCGTTTTTGGAACGGCTTAAGAGATAGGAAGCTGTGTAGCTGTAGTATGCGGTCCAAGATTTGGTCGTCCATGAATCGGACGTAGTTCTTGTTGTTGTTGATGTGTCGATCAGAGGTTTTGAATTGGACGATATCGAACAGGTACGTACTCCCATCAATTCTGGACAAACTGAGTAGAAGAGGACAATCCTATACGGATATCGCTCTGGCTCTGTCCTGGCTGGACGCCTTGAACAGTGCTACCATTCTATAATGGACGCGTATGAGTGGAGAAAGATGATGCTATTCTTATGGCTAAGTGGTCGGCTAACTAGCTATCTAATATGCGGCTAGCTCGAGCACGTGACAGAGGTCATGTATGTCACGTGCCCGGGATACAGAGAGCTTTGCCGCAGCGGCATTCGTTCCACGGCCTTACACAAAAACCATACAGGAATCTCTAACCAAATACATCTTCCAACGAAACGGCATTTCAAGAAGAGCGCATATAAGACACGACAGCAAGCAAACAGACTCAAATTCCGATTTAACACGGAAAAGAACCTATCACTATAAGAATATATCAAGCAAAAGATTATACTCCTCTAGGAAGCAAACATCCGAGATAAAGAAGAAGTCATCACTTGAGTTTGAGAAAAGCTAAATCCAACTATCATGAACCCAGTACGACCGGAGGGCTCTCTCAAAGAATTTTCAACTGCAGTTTTCCGACAAGAAGAACCGGCACGCTTGCAGTGGAACCAGCTCATCCGAGCAGCTGGAAGGTCGAGCTTGTCCAAATCAGGCCCATCCGCCAAAAGAAGCTTCAAGTCCGAACGTCGGGGTGACAAGAAGGACGAGAAGAAACCAGCTTCCGAAAAAAAATTTAATTTGTGACTCAACTCATACCCTCTGCCACGCCAGGACGACGTATTTGAGGCGGTCGGAGGTCGCTCTATCTTCTCCTCCATGGACATTCGGAAAGGCTTCTTCCAACAGCCTATAGGAACGGAGGACAGGTGGAAGACAACATTCGTGACTTCACATCGAGGACTGGAGAGACTCAAGGTGTCAACGATGGGCCTAGCAACCGCCCCGTCCTTCTTCCAACAAAGAATGGAAAACATACTCAGGTCGTACTTGTGGAAGACAGTCAATGTTTATGTGGATGGCATAATAGCTTTCTCGAGGACACAAAGCGAGCATCTAAAGCATCTGGACGAGGTACTCACCCTCCTCGAAGCTTCAGGACTGACACTCCAGATCTCCAAATGTCATTTCGCGTATGGATCGATCAAGGCCTTGGGACATCACATTTCCAGACTGGGCTTAGCGACAGACGAAGACAAGATCCGGGCCATCAAGGAGCTGGACTATCCAAAATTCCTAGCTGAACTGGAAATGGGCCTCGGACTGTTCAACTACTACCGGAAATATTGTCTAGGGTACTCCTTCAACGCCGCTGATACTTCCTCCAACGTCTCCAACAACGAATCCGACTGAGCAGAATGATCCGATAGGACTCACGGAGTCCATAGAGAATCATTCCTAATCACTTCGCAACCTCCACTATCATTATCAAGCGCAGGCTTTACCATCCTTATGAATCCACTGCGCAATTGAATTCCCATCTTCACAACCCTACACATGAAGTAACCACAACTGAGGCCAATCCTATCGCTCAGACGAACCAAAACACATACAAAAAGCGCCCTACGAGGAGCAATTACGATCCAGGACTGCTTCACCATTAGCATACTTACAAAGGCTCCCAACAAGCCCTAAAGCAATACCAAACCTCACTTCAGTTCATTCCACTCGTCGCTCCAACTTTCAATTAACCAGCCAATCCTGACTTCACTGACAAACTACGGTCGCATCCATTCCTCACTTCGCGCATCCAATTCTCACTTCGCGCATCCAATTCTCACTTCGCGCATCCAATTCTCACTTCGCGCATCCAATTCTCACTTCGCGCATCCAATTCTCACCTCGCGCATCCAATTCTCACTTCGCGCATCCATTCCTCACTTCGTTTACAGACTACGGTCGCATCTGACCCTTGACCTACCTAGCCAATTCTTGCTTACCCATCCATTCGCGCACTACGTTCGCATTCAATCCCCAGTCACCTATCCAATCGCTCAAACAATTGCCACGTTCACTATGGAGACAGGAGTGGACTACGACTCAATGCCGAAGGAGGATCTACGAAGAGTGGACGAAGTCTGGGCCATGACAGGCAAGAGGAAGCCATTCGATGCGGGGAACCACATACGAACACTAGCTCGACACCATGAACGGATGGAAAAGCAACTCCATTCGGACACGCAAAGGCAACAAATGGAGAGACTCATTCACGATAACAAATTTAAGTCGTCTAACTTCCGAAACGTCGCTCCGCAACTGGAACCCGTGTACGCCTACGCAAGACGATTAAAAGGATACGAAACGTGGATGACTGACCAGCGCATTGAATACGTTAGAAAGGCTTTCTGTCAGGGGATGAGCGCAGAGACAATCCTTGACTACGAGAAGTATGACGACCAGGAAGAGCAAGAAGATCAAGAAGACCAGGAAGATCAAGAAGACCAGGAAGATCAAGAAGACCAGGAGGATCAAGAAGACCAGGAGGATCAAGAAGACCAGGAGGATCAAGAAGACCAGGAGGATCACGAGAATGAAGCAACTGCTGTCCCCAAGCCTGCTTCCATCAGGACTCAACCGAACAATCGTTGCACACCTGCACCAATGAAGAAAAGGATGCGATCAATAATAGATTCCGATCCACCTGTCCTGCCGACATCCAATCGTCCAGGCTCATCCACAGCTCCTATACCTGCCGACATCCAATCGTCCAGGCTCATCCACAGCTCCTATAGAGCCGCGTCCACCTGTCCTGCMGACATCCAATCGTCCAGGCTCATCCACAGCTCCTATAGAGCCGCGTCCACCTGTCCTGCCGACATCCAATCGTCCAGGCTCATCCACAGCTCCTATAGAGCCGCGTCCACCTGTCCTGCAGACATCCAATCGTCCAAGCTCATCCACAGCTCCTACAGAGCCGCGTCCACCTGTCCTGCCGACATCCAATCGTCCAGGTTCATCCACAGCTCCTATAGAGCCGCGTCCACCTGTCCCAGTCTCTTCCTCAGCTCCACGCCCATCTGGATTAAACCGTCTACAGACATTAGCCAGCCGACTGTGGGCAGCATTCAGGCAGCCACAACACATGGCACCAACTCCAACACCTCCACCACAGACTCCACAATGCGACTATACAGTGAATAACGGATGTATGTCCTTGGAACCAGAGGAAGGACTGATACCAATCGCAGTGGACTGTTTTGGAACGGGATTAGTCGTTAAACACTGCGCAGACGGAACGAAACGCAATATGACAGTCTACACTTCCATTATAGGCAACCATTGTCTTGGACGTTACAGAGTAGCGACAGGTATATTGATTCCCCAAAAAGCACTGGAGTCAAAGCCAGGAGCAAGCACGAATGCACTATGGGGCGTGGTACCCCGTACCTCCATGGTGTACGCGTCCGCACTAGGGGTTCTAGTGGTCTACGGAAGCCGCTCAGAACCTCTTGTCGACATGTATCACAGTGATGGTACGATCGAGGGATACTTCCGAGTAGCAGACGGCTACCCAGAAGCAATCTCTTGGAGGGACTTTTACAGCCTTAATTGGCACTACGAAGTGGAAGGAGAATCTCGTCCAAAAAAGGTTCGGAGGATACATCTTTAGAGTTCTCTTCCTGTTTTCCAACCTTCACGTTTTCGGAGCTGAAAAAAGTCCTTTCTTCCTGTTTTTCGGGGCTTTCTTCATGTTTTTCGGGGCTTCTTCCTATTTTTAAGAGCTTTCTCCTGTTTTTCAGAGCCTTCTTCCTGTTTTCCAATGCAGGTCTGAGGACAGACCCTTAATTCGGAGGGGGCACCTGTCACATGACATCCATTAGTCAGCACTACGTATACCAGTTAGTTAATCGGGTAGCTAGAGAGACTATATTATCCATCCTCCTCCACTCATACGAGTCCATTATAAGGGGGCATTTTGTCACGTGCCACGCTAACCACTCTTATAGTTAGTGACCGAGCCACTTAGATTAGAGTATACACAACATAGCTAATCACATAAAGACAATATATAATTAGAATCGGAACTGCGATTTTGATACCCGTTCCATCCATAGTCCACGCATAACCCACCACACTGGCCTGGAATGTGAGTATCAACGCTGCAGGTTTGTCTTCGTCACCATTAGCATTGGTCCACTGGAAGTCCCCGTTTTTTAGTCTCCAGTTGGACATTTTGAATGGTCCTGTTGCGTGGGACATGCCATTCGCAACAAGTGCAGAGACGAGGGCTTCGTGCATCATGGGTCGGGAGGAAGGGGAACGGGGATCCAGTGAGCTGGGGGGGTAGCTGCCGTTTGCGGGACAGATATTTTCAGTTAGTAACATCGATCTGAGGAGGTTGTCTGCCACGGTGCGGTTCTGGTTGGAGATTTGAGTGGTGATGCTGTTCGCCCACTCCTTGGATAGAGTGATTGCATTTACCTGCCAGGACGACGAGGGGAAGATGTTAAGGAAGTCGCCCGAGACGAGAGTTTCGGCTCGTTGGTCGAACATATTTGTTGCGTTTGTGAGGCTTGTGGCTAACATGCGAGATGTTGCATTTGCCCATAACCCGCTCACGGCGCATGTGGATGCGCTGAGGTATTTCTGGCCATTGTCGCAGAGATCGGGCTGTACGACGATGGCGCCTAGTGTCTGATCAGTCGAGAAGGGAACATCGTCTACCCAGATGATTTGTCCTTGACCTTGGTCCTGACTCTGATTCCAGAGCTGCTGTCGAGTTATATTCTTATATGGCACAGTATCAACCCCGTTGGCACCAGTTGCATTAAGAAAAGTTGCCGGAAACTCAAGAACACGGGTATCATTCTCATTCATAATCGCATTTAGTACGCAAATCGAGCTCACAAATGGATGCGCGATCTGGATTCGCGCCTCCCCCGTCGTGGCTCGAGAATTATCCTCAAGAGACCTCCAAGCCATCATAGACAAACCCGCTGCAACCGGTGCTTGCTGCACAATAGCTACTGTACTATTTGGCGCATATTGCACATACAACGTTCTCGTATATGTCTCAAGGATGTTTACAGCACGGTGGATGATGGTCGGAAGCTCGACCGGGTATAGTGGTGGCATCTCGTCGACAAATCTTCCGTATCCGTTTCCTAGTTCTTGAGTCACGTATTGCAATCCGAATAATGTGGCTTGGTCCTGGCCAATGCTTGGGAGGTTTCGGAGGTATTCCCAGCCGATGGCGGGAGACTGTTCGTTCACTTCAGTGACAACTATTAGCTATGCATGAACATCTTAGAGGAAGTTGTGATCATACAGTTGTATATATCATCTTCCAAAAGCGCACCGGGCTGTGTGAGTGCCATCGGGAAAACATCACCATACACATGGTCAAGCCCTAACTCATACTCCCCAATCGAGAAACTAACGAGTCTCGGCAACATCGCAATAGCACTCGCCGGCCCAACGCCCGAAGCAAGCAAAATACTCCCCGCAACAAAGCACACAAAGCCCATCTTCAGTAACATGGGAAACCGCGGTGTCGTCACACTGGCCCGGAACTCAGGAGACCACAAATATCCCACTTGCGTGGCATGATACGCAGAGAATATTGCGCCGAACGGCACCGCGGAGGTCGATTGAGTGAGCAGATATTGCTGATACCCGATCATGGCCGTCGCGATTGATATCTGCATCAATATTTCGTGCAATTTGGCAATGAATTGAAGCAAGTTCGTCCACTGGCTGTCTATCCCCAGGAAGCGGGTTTGAACATTCAGCACGATTAGGGTTGCTGCGACTGCGAGTGGAATTATGTGGAATTGCAGGAAGTAGCGAACTGCGGTTGATCTGTCGCGGCCTATAACGGGTTTGCGTCGTTCGGGCGTTGAGGTGGATTTACCATCTTCGTTGATGCGTATGCTGCCGCTCGAGTCGATGCTGACTCGGCGAAGTGGCACTGGACTATCTGATGGGGTTGGTTCTCTGGACGTAACTTAGCAACTCTAAAGAATGCAGTTTATCACCGCTATACATACTTATAGCTAGCGTTCCTCTGATTCATCGCGGAAGGAAAGTCTCGTAAAGGCACGAGCGCATCATAACTTCCATGATTGCCCATCTTGTCGCGCCTTGAACAATCCTTCTTTTGTACCCCCAGTGAGGCAGCGGCCCACGATATTTAAACATGCCACAACACAAAATCTCCGAAGCCAAGCTTAAATCTCATGCTAGCGCGTTTCATCTACAACAAATTAAAGTGTATGTCTATCATTGAATCTGTTGGAGGCCCAAGCTGTGAAGGATCGCCCAGCGAGAGACAAGATCATTGGCCGTTGTTACGCCAACGTCTGAGCCTCACCAATCAGTTCTTGTCAGATTCATACGCTTAATTTCTAAGCCTCACTATTTTTAGTACGTTTTTACGCCAGTACTTGTGTTAAGGTTTGATCATTTACTCTTTAGGTTGAATCAAAGTTTTCAATTTTGTTATGAAAGCTCATCCCATATTGCCCAAAACTTTGGCCAAAGCCAAGAAATGCGAGACCATATTGATCACAAGTTTGTGCTCGCATAGAACGAGACATCCGAAACAACAAACAAATAAAGGTATACGCACAAAGTTTATCACTTTTTCTACAACTGTTGTACTTCTTTCTCGAGCTTCTCAATATCGGCTTTTTGTTTCTGCACACCATCGGCAGCGTTCTTCTTCTCTTGTTCCTCGTCCAAGTTGCGAATGCTGGCTGACAACTGTTCGATGGCTTGGAGATCTTCATCGGTTAGGGTATTAGAGCGCACGGGGCGGAAGGGTGCTGGTGAGCCAGCGCGAGATGTGAGGAACTGTATGGGTTAGACTTAATAGTTACTAGAGACAAAAGCAATAGGGAGGCGTACCGAGCTAGCAGCACTCAAAAGAGCAATCAAACTGGCCTGGACAACATCTTGGTGGAGACCGACACCCCAAACGACATCTTTCGATTGAGAAGCCGTGCATTGAATATAAGTAGCAGCGCGGACGTGGCTTCCTACACCAATAGAGTGCTCCTTGTAATCTTGCACGTCGAGATCAATTCCCAAAGTGGAGAGAGCGTTAGCCAAGGACGAAATAGCACCTGGACCAACACCAGTAATGGGATGTTGGATGCCGTCAATCTCGATGATACCCGTAAATCGACGGTTGAGGTTTCGTGTGTTGAGTGCTTTACCAGATTCCACTGGTGCTGGTGAATGCGATCGATCGGTAGTGATGTTATAATCGATCAAAGTAAAGCGAGGGTTTGTCTTGAGATGATAGGCATTTTCAAAAAGGGCCACAATCTCGCTTGGGCGGAGCTCACGGCTAAGTCTCTCGGTTTCTTTTTGCACAATTTGACTGAACTCAACTTGTAAGCCTCGTGGAAGGTCGAGTTCGAGACTCTTGAGTATGATCCATGCGGCACCTCCTTTGCCACTCTGGGAATTGACTCGAATAACGGCCTCATATGTTCGTCCAATATCTTGTGGGTCCAAAGGAAGGTAAGGAATCTCCCAGGGGTCATCAACGTTGCTACTAGTAGCTTCTCGGGCCACGAATCCCTTCTTGATAGCATCTTGGTGGCTACCACTAAATGCACACACCACCAACTGACCGCCATACGGCCAACGTTCGTTGACTGGGATCTTATTGCTCTCTTCGACGACTTTGATGACAGAGTTCAGGTCTGAAAAGTCGATATTGGGGTGAATACCCTGGGTGTAAAGGTTTAGTGCAAGAGTGACCAAGTCGACATTTCCCGTTCTCTCTCCGTTACCGAATAAAGTTCCCTCAACTCGGTCAGCACCAGCCATCTGGGCAAGCTCAGCGGCTGCAACAGCACAGCCACGGTCGTTGTGAGGATGAAGAGAAACTGCAAATTTGTTGCGCTCGGTCATATTGCGGCAAAAGTATTCAATTTGATCAGCATAAACATTTGGCGTAGACATTTCAACGGTAGCAGGCAAGTTGAAAATCATAGGATGCTCCTCAGTTGGGCCCCAGGCCTCTTTCACGGCTTCACAGACTTGAATAATGTAGTCTGGATCAGTGTCGGAGAATGTCTCGGGAGAGAATTCGTATTGCCATTCTGTTCCGGCAGTGGACGGGTCATCCTTGGTGATGGAACGGGCGAATTTGGTGCACTTGACGGCCAATGCAAGACTCTGTTCTTTTGTCATGTTGAAAACAATGCGACGGAAGCAGTCACTTGTAGCCAAGTACATGTGAAGAATGGCCTTCTTTGCGCCCTTCAAGGAGTCGACTGTGCGGCGGATGAGATCCTCTCGACATGGTGAAAGAACTTGGATCCAAACATCATCGGGAACGGTACCGGGTGTCTCAATAATTCTGCGAGTGAAGTCGAAATCGGTCTGAGATGCGGATGGGAAGGAGACTTCGATCTCCTTATAGCCGAGCTCTACGAGCATGTTGAAGTATTTCCACTTTTGTTCACCGTCCTGCGGGATGTATTAGCAACCTCACCCTCAACCGATCCACCAACGATATCTTCAAAACATACCATAGGGTCCACCAAACTTTGATTGCCATCTCGCAAATCGGTAGCCAGCCAGCGAGGCGGCTTGTCGATAGTCTTGTTCGGCCATGTTCGGTCCGGGAGGTTGAGGGGTTTGAACCGTTTGTATTTTTTTGAAGGATCCTTGAGCCTGCATTGAAATCATATAATTAGCGCCATTGCTCCATGCAATATGCTATCTCAATCGCAGAAGGTACGGTCGTACATAGGCATTGTGAAGGTTGTCGAGTTTTATTCTTTTAGCGGGGTGAAAATGACGACGATAGAAAATGGCGGGGCCCTCTCGACGTCGATAGCTTATCGTTGTACGGCGAGGGGTCGGATCAATGGGAGGTACAGTACTTGAGTACACAAATCAATGAGATGAAGTTAATTGAATCAGAGACGATGGGATTGACAGAACAGGGAGATTAAATAAGGATCTGTCCTGTGAGTCAGAGTCGATATTGACTCTTCAAATGCTGGAGTGGGACAGCCCCCGTAGTCGGCGTATCACAGGGCAGGCGCTGATTATCTAATCCAACCACGCCTTTTGACGCCTGCATTCGTATGGTACTTCTTACTTGCTACAATGTTTCTTATTGACTAGGAGGAGTACAAGCCGGATGTAACCTCCAGATGTGAAAAGTTGACAGGATATTATCGATCATATGCATGAAGCCCCTGCAAAGCATGACAGTACATTTACGAGCTGTCCTCTTCCAATCAATGGACCGGCACACAACTCGAACTGATTCCTGTCTCACGCTGACTCAGTAGTTTCGAGCTGAATCGAGCAGGGATTAATGCAGATGGCGAAATCAACTGACTTCGGCGGCATCTCATGATGGATGGGCTCCATCTGAGCGACCTCGCACTCTGACCCATGAAACAAATATCACTGTGTCGACTCGAACTTTTTGGACATTGGCGAAAACAAATAAATTCTCCCTTTTTACCTCATTCTTCCCTTTTCAGAGCTCTGCGGAGTAGATTATGAGTCAGGATGAAAAAGCAAATTGTTTGCGGGGTTGCGGAGACAAGGATGAACTCCGGCAGCCATTTACGTAGTGAACGTGCTCAGGAGGTCCTAATCCCTGTCGATAGGATAGCCAACACCCATTAATGGGGTCTCCTGCAACTGCTAGGATCAAGTATCACTTTTGATGCTTTGGACCATTAGTCTGAGTCGTGATATTGTGGAAGTATGTACCAAATACTATATCTGTTCTGAACAGAGGATGTGACATCCACCATGTTGAGTAATCAAATCTCCATTTAAAGACAGATACTGCTTTTGAATAGAAGCATAACACTGAGTACCGACATCGATACATATTGATATGGACCGGCAGTAACAGAGCTGAGGACCACGCGGATAATGTGGCTTCGTTATTGGTACAGTCTTGGAAGATCGCCGGTCAATGACGAATCATTCCTGCAACCGCAACAGGACTTAATTAGAATTTGCTTGAGATCAATTCGAAGCTATGAAAGAGACTTCATCATCACAACAATCAAGTAAATACTTAAATTCAGCCAATTGACCCGAGTTGGTTCCAAATTTTGATGGACCTCGTCCTTATCTCCTAGCTCGCTTATCACATCATGGGGTATGGGGTACACTTTGGCCTTAGCTAGGGCTAAGGGCAGGGCTACCTATCAGTGGTCTCCCTATATATTCTAATTGACCCTAAATAATCTAAAGACAGGCCGACATATCGACTCGATGAAATATGATTCAGCTATTTCGCGTCCATGGTGTTCTGTAACGTTCCAAATTGGATTTTTTCTAGCTGCAGATGATTGGGAAGACATTCGCGAGGCTTGGAAGGGTACATCCTGCAAGAAACCAAAGCTCCATCTTCTTCAAAGACAAGTATGACAGGAAGCGTTGCAACTTACAGAGGCAGCAACTCGGGTAGAATCTCAACGAAGCAAAGTTCTTTCTAGTAGACGGGATTCCACAAAGCGTATACCTCAAGTTGGCAAATCTACTTGCCAATGCAGGTGTCTACGTATCCCTGGGAATCTTCCGAAATCCCCGTCGCCTGATGCAACAGGGACATTCCTCTGAACAATGGTACTCTTTTGGTGACCTCGTGTTGTTCAATGGTTTCTGACAACACCCGCAGTCGTAGTTGCAGCAGCCACCTCTTGACTTGCAGAGACTTTTCCTCCATTCATTGTTGTGCGAATTTCCTGCTGTACCATACCAGCGAATCCAAGCTCCCTTAGGCTTCTCGAACACCAACTTGCCCATCGCACGTTTGTGGAACCACCATTCCCCATCCACTTTCTGGAGTTCTTCTCTGTAGCCATTCAGCGTTTCCTGCTCCTTCCCAGTCAAAATTTGGACTTTTTGGCGCTTTTCCATTGCCGCAATTTCTTCCTTCAAATACACCTCACGCTGGAGAATCTGGACGCCATGCATAGTTTGCTTTTCACGGTCATTCGTCCATTTGATTTGTTTCCATTGATTTGCACTTGAGGTAAAATGTCTGCCCAAAAAGTCTTGGATATCTTGTGCTGTTTGATATTTCTTCCGACGCACGAGCGCCTCTTCGATTCTTTCGAATACCTTCATGTTGATGTTCGGTCTGTCTTTCAGTGCGAAATTCCACCCTAGAAAGATCTCTTTGAAGGTATTTGGAGATAAAGAACTTTGCAGGCGGTGATATACGTTTCGACATAGGCAGCGACCCGGACTTCTGGGAAACATAACTTTTTCTCTTCGGTGCCTACAACTTTCGATTGCCTCGTACCAAGCATCAGGAAGGGTATATCTTGAAGTCATTGATTTCTGCCTACTCTTGGCCTTACGTTGATTCAGTCTCATGAAACTTTCCTAAAATGGCAGCTCTTTCCTTTTTGGGGAAAGTCGATTTATTTTCGTATATGCAACATTGCATACTATGTTGGTTTTAGAAACCTATGTACTTGAATTCGCACAATCACTTCCTACTTTTCTTTCCCTTGACCTTATTTCCCCCTTTCTTCGCAGCACCCTTTTTCGGCGGCGCGATCTTACTTTCTCGCTCTTTTCTTCCTTTCTTCCACATTCTACCTTCTTTCCGATCTTTGCTATCGTCCAACTTCTTCTTTTCCTTCCCGCTCAATTTCCGCTTCTCCTTCTTACTCAAGCCCGCATCGAGACCGTTGAGCTCTATCAAGCCACGTTTCTGTGCTTCTTGCTTCTCCTTTTCCGTCTCGAACCAGGTACGTTTTGGTCGTGACATGATCTCAGTCTGATGTCTGAGTAAATTCTCGCCCTTGGAAGTTTGCATTTCGACTTGCGCTAGTTCTTTTTCTTCTTTTTCTTCGCGCAAGATAGCGTCTATTTCGTCTTGTAGGTCTTCAATTTCCTGGCCGAGCTTGTCCTGGATTTCAGATCCAATGACTCGGCTGACGATTTTGGCTCCTTGGCTTTTGCCGGATTTGACTGCTGCGCGGACGACTTTTCGGTCGGGGTCGGCGGCCAATGTGCATGCTCGACCGGAACGACCGGCACGAGCAGTACGGCCAACACGATGGAGGTAGATTTCGTGTGTCTGGGGTGCTTCGTAGTTGATGACAGTTTCGACGCCTTTGATATCAAGACCACGAGAAGCGACATCTGTTGCTAGGAGGAAAGCTACTTTTCCGTCGCGGAAGTCTTCAACACTTTTGATACGCTATATAGAGCATCAGTACGAAAAAGTAGGCTGGAAGCAATGATTAACATACCTGTTCCTGACTCATGCTACCATGCAATTCAGCAGCTTTCAATCCGAACAAACCGAAAATGACTCTAACGCGATGCGCCTCTTTCTTCTGACGGAAGAAAATGATCACACGAGCTGTGTAGACTTGTTGGCACAAATGTATAAGTGAAGCAAGTCTTTTGTCCTCACGACCAGGTCGCAGTCTCACAAACTCTTGGATCAATGTGCCGGCAGTCTGCTTCTTCGCATCCACCATCAGGCGAACCGGACGGTTTAAGCCCACACGAATAAGTTTATCGACTGAATCCGTCATGGTAGCGGAGAACAGCATGGTCTGACGAGACTTAGGAATAGTAGTCAAGATCTCATTCAATTCGTCAGCGAAACCATCTTCCAACATTCGATCGGCTTCATCAAGAACAAGAATTTCAAGTGTATCGACCGTAAAGCTAGAGGAGTTTCTCATGTGGTCAATGAAACGACCGGGTGTGGCAATAATGATATCCGGTCGTTTCTTAAGAATGTTCTCTTGCTCACGTAAACTGAAACCACCGATAAGTTGACAGAAGGTTATATCAGTATATGTCGCAAGTTTTGTAGCAACATTGTAGCACTGCACGGCGAGTTCACGAGTCGGCATGAGAATAGCGACACGACTAGTAGGCACTTTGCGTGGTCTGTACAGAAGTCGTTCAAGGATGGGAATGATGAAAGCACCCGTTTTACCGGAACCTGTAACAGCACCACCAACGACATCTTTACCCAGAAGGGCGACAGGGATAGCCTTGCGCTGAATAGGGGTTGGCTTTGTGAACCCCACAGCTGCGAGACCTCGAAGAATAGGACGAGAGAGGTTGTAGTTCTGGAAAGAGCCGTTTGCAGCATCATCAGCATCCTTATCCGCTGAGGCAGGTTCTTCAGGTGCAAAGAACGCTTTTCGTTTAGCGATTTCTTCGGCGTTTTCGCTCTCGGATTCGGACTCTTCGTCGGACGCTATATCGTCTGGGTGCGCAACAGGGGATGCTACTGAGTCGTCAGACTCTGCACCGGAGTCATCGTCAGAATGAGCATTGCCATCGTCTTCTGGCTCTGAGTCGTCATCCTCTTCCTCATCTTCATCATTCTCTTCATCCTCGTCATCTTCCGGCTCTGCGCCGTCAACACCCATACCGAATCCATCCGCAGCCAGCAATTCATCATCTTCAAAATCGGGCATTTCAGCATCGTCTTCTTCCTCCTCATCCACCTCTTCATCAGCCTCCTCCTCGCTGTCAAAGCCTTCGAATTCCTCTCCTTTCTTCTCGGCTTTGCTCCTCTTCTTTTCAATCTCCTCTACCTTCCTCTGCTTGCGACGAGCAATGATATCATCAATATCTACAGCCTTCTTATTCCCACCCGCAGCCTTCTGCTTCCCATCGTCCGGACCCCATCCATCAAAGTCCTCAATAACATCCCGCGTCGCATTACCGCCAATATCAAACTCGAATTCGGGATCTAACACGCCATCATCCTCTCCATCATCGGCTTCCTCATCTTCCACATCGTCGCCAGCTTCGTCTTCAGACTCTGTTTTTCTGCTCTTCTTCGATTGTTGTTGCTTCTTCTGTTTCTTCGACTGTTTCGACGGTTGTGAAGTTGTATTCTGTTCGCGCTTTCGCTTTTTCGAAGTTTTGGATGTGGTCTCTATTTCGGTCGTTTCTTCGGTTATTTCTTCGGTCTCGTCAATGGCGAAGCCTTCGTCGTCGGACAATGTAAATACGAAATCATTGTCGTCTGCTGGTTTTGATTTCTGACCCATTTTGATGGGATCAGAATGAGTTTCAATTCCGATTATGAAAAATAATATATGAAGCAAAAAGTGTTTTTCTAAAGAGTCAGACTAAGGGTGAAACAATAATTGGATCAGAAAAACCTCAAAAAGAAGGTATTCAAATGCTGACTGCTCGGCCGCAACAAGAGATTGAGAAAAAAAAGTTTCTACGAAAAGTCATGGCGGTGACTATAAATCCGGCAGAATTTGAGTTGAGCTCCCAACTAAGTTGCTGATTGGGTTTTGTGACTCCCGCCGCCCGGTTAAAGGTGTACCGTTGCATAGTATCATCTATATAGCGTTTTTTAAAAGAAGAAAGAAGAGAGAATTATCAACTTAAACACTTTTAGATTTCTTTAGCATAAGCAACATGAAAAAACAGATAACCGCAGACGTGAGACGGTGGGATATTCTACATCTAACAACAGAAACAAAAGTACTCAAAACAAATACCACATATAGAAAAACCCCAGGCCAAAAAACGACAAGGTGGGAATCCCCAGGCAATAAAAAAAACCAAACATCAAATAGCCAAACATGTAGAAGACTCTATTCGAGATCAAAAGAAACCATAAGAAAGTGTAGAAATCACCTCACATAATCACGCCGGTAATGCTCATGAATCATGCTTTGACAATTCCCAAATTCAAAGAATTAAGCACAATGATCGAACGTTCCGAGACCAGCTTGGAAACGAGAAAGCCTTGTGTATGGGTAAGTGACGGCAAGAGAGCTATCGCTTCACACAATAATTGAAAGCTTTGCAAATTGCGCTGTAATTAAATAGCCGTGATCTGCACAAGTAGATCCTCAAAGCATCCGCTTCCATTGGGACACTCTTATGATGAATATGATTGAATACTGATCATCAAATGCCTTCAAAAGACGTTGCCAGTGAAGAATGAGCGGGCGCGGAGCTTGTCGAATGATTTACCGGATGGCAGCTCATTGTATGAGTCGCATGAGACAAATCTTCTGCTATCAACAGCACCGCTTATGATACAGACGAGAATCTCGAAACATCGCCTTTTCATCAGCTGTTCTCGTGATGTCTGTCCAACTAGCGATAATCAAAGCCAATGACCGACAGATAGCGAGTCGGCTGCTTAGCAAGTAAATGAAGTAGCTAGGAGTGGTTCGACCTTGATCCACCGGTTACATCAACCCCTCTTCACCGATACCTGGCAACCCGGCACCGGCGACATTAATGTTCTGACCTTGCATGACACCACCAACGGCCAACCCGCGACCGGCGAGTTGAAGATCGGGATTGCATGGTGGAGAGTGAGATTTGTGATACTTGAGTCCGTTAAGGTTCTTGTACCGCTTGCCACAAACCTCACAACGATATGGCTTCTCTTTCTCCATTCCCATTGTACCAGGGTATGGCGCTGACGTCTCCGGATTGACTATCGAGAAGGTACCGTCGCCGTTTTCGTGGAGTTGTTGATTGTTGTGACCGTGCTGACCAGCTATCAGTACAGTGTACTAGAAACTCAGCGTACTGCAAATGTATATAAACTTACCGCTTTGTGGTACTTCAACCCATTCTGGTTCTTGTATGCTTTCTCGCAACCGATGACAGGACATCTGAAAGGCTTGGGCTCTTCATTCGGAAACATGCTGGCTAACGAAGTATCGGGCACGCCGGCGAGCATTTGTTGTTCTCGGATTCGTCGGGCTACTTCGCTGTTAGGACCGTATTGACTATTGCCTAATTTGAGATGGGTTTGCGAACTTTGCCCTCCAAACCCTCCGTTGGGACTGAAGAGACGTTTTGCAGGCTCATCAATGCATAGATCGACCATATCATTACCTCCCCCAAACCCTGGAAACTGTCCGTTCTGCGGTAGAACACCACCCTGCATGGTCAAATCACCGAAACCTCCGATGACGGTGTCGTCGAGCTCGGCCGGAGTACCGGGCCCAGATGAATCTGGAGTGTTGCGGAATTGCGAATTCTGCAGAGGGTTCGACGATAAGGTTGGAGTGTTTACGGAGGATACAGTAGGGTTATTTTGTAGTAGCGTGTGGGCGGGAGCGATGGGTGTGCCGGGCTGTGAGCCGCGAAGACCTTGACCTTGAAGCATGCTGAGGTTTAGTTGAGGCACCCTCTGGTTGGGATTGTATCCTCCCTGTGTGGTTGGCATCTGTGTAGAAAACATTTGAGAAGTCGAGTCCGATAAGCCCATTGCGTCATCCATCTCCATATCGTCGATTGTGTCCAAATCTAGAGTGGGCTGTGTTGATGTGAAGGCATTCGTGTCGATAGTCTGATTTGGATTGAATTTTGACTGTCCGTTCGGCGAACGGTCTTGCTGCATTCCGCTGTTTTGACCCATATTTGACTGACCTTGAGATTGTGCCACGGCAGCGGCTGCAGCCATAATCGCGGCTCGATTATCGCCTTGGCTAGGGCGTTGTCCACCCTGTGTAGTTTTCTGCGCATGTGCTTCTTCATAATGTTGCAGCAAATCATGCAATGACGGTAGAGTGAGCCCACAGCAGAAAAAGTCACGCATGAAATTCGCTTCCAATTTCGGCAGGTATGAGGAAGAATGGAAAGATGGAGATTGGAATGTGAACGGGGAAGTGCCGGTCATGATGATACTATAAATCAGTTAGTAGCAAGTCGAGACGATTTCCATGACGAATCATCAAAAAAGCATTAGATCAGATCAAACAAGGATTTGTGCTGAGAAGAGTGTATCGGGTGCAAACTAACTCGTCTCGTATCCAACTTCCAACAGAAACTCCGCCCCAGCTCATACCACCGACCAAACTACCGGCTAAAGATTCGCGACGAGGTTTCTCTCTGTTTGAACCCATCACTGAGATGGGCTTCGTTCCATTTCCCCATTGGGACATGCTTGCGCTCAAAGAGTCTTTTCGAGCAGCTGCTGCCTTATAGACAGCGCTTGCGTTGCTAGCGGTAGGGACCGAAGAATTGCCGGCGCGATCATTGTTGGCGGCTTTTTGAAGCGCCGAGGTCAAATTAGATGCTTGTTGGCCTGGTGGTGAGACTGATGTCTGCCGAGCGGAGAGATCGAAAGGGGATTGTTGGCCGTTCATTGTATCGGTCTGTCCTGGTGATGGCGACTGAAACAAGGGCAAGTGCGAGACGTCGGCGGGATCTTCGCCGTCGGTCTCTACAAGAGTCGAGTCCAGATAAAGAGGGCGGTTATGAGAATCTCTGGAAGCTTTGGGGTTCCAGGTAAAAGAGTCCTTTTTGCGACTTGAAAGTTTGCGTGGGTAGGAGGAAGTTGCGCCAAAGCCCACAGGAGTGCTGATGGGGGTCGATTCGCTGGTAGACAGGTGATCGTGGTCGCTAATAGAAGACGAGTAGCAAAGAGATGGAGGAGTATCTGTGTCTGCGGCGTCGTTCATGAGAAGCTTGACTAGATGAAAATGGAAATTATTGTTCCTCCGCTGGCAAGTTGCGAAGAAGGCTGAAGAAGGAGCGGATCCTCAGGCGAGGTTCTGTAGATACTAAGAAATCGGGATCGAAGCCGAAACAGTGGCGAGTCCAAGCAGCTCGACACTACTAGAACGACGTATAGAACAGACGAACGAAAAGGAAAGAAATCTATATTCCCCTTTACTTCTGGCTCTCTCTCTCTCACAACCACACAAGAGTCAAGTTACTTCGATTTTGACTGATGATAGTTCATCCCAAAAAAAAGTTGTGAGAGCGAGCGTGGAATAACGATAAATTACTGTTAGGTGTGGACGGCGAAGAGGGGACACACGGCTTAATGAGTTCAGTAATACGGGGATCTGGTTCCGGGTCAGTACGCTAAACATACCGCTATTCCGGATAAGGGACTAGTGCTGTGGTGCGGTGGGAAATTATGGCGGGTGGCCATACAAACTGCCTGCCAGTTCAGACTTGAAAAGCAGTCTTGTGCATATTTGGACTAGGGCCTCCCGCCATCCTTACATAATACATGGTTCAGCCATGTATGTACACGGAAATACCTCGAGGACGGTAATTACAGCGTATTGAAACGCAGGCTTGCGGTGAAAGTCAAAACGGCCAGTGATTGAGTCATTGACTGTCGCCCAACCAGCCCTGCGATCGTTGTCCTTGCATACCACGATGCAGAATACATTGTCGATATGTTTGATTTGAGAGCTTGCATCCGCGATCACGGAAAGACTATTCATTGTATGTGCACGGGGAGTCGCCTTTAGGGACTCGGCACAATGGAGTCGAACTGTCGGTACTTACTTCTGAGGAAGACCCGCTAATCCATTGTTGAACTTTTGGTGTTATGGTTATTCCACCACACAGGCCTCTTCGACCGTTCACTTACAGTCTTCTCGATGACATTGCATTTGTATAATCATTGAGTAATGAATCTGAGAGGGACGATGTCCTGGAACAACTCGCGCTGAGACAACGAGAACAGCATCCCCGCATCAGCGTCATCAGTCGTCACTGTTTAGCGCGATTATAGAGTGTGATTGGCCACCTGCGCCGGTCGTCTCAATGTGTACAGTGTGCAGTAGATCAAAGTCCGATTCTATTTACCGAGCAAGATGAAGGCGGACCGATGGACTACAAGTATACTTTCTCCTTCATCCACAAGGCTTAATTGTCGTTCAGAATATAAATGTCAATTACGCACTTTATATAAGATGGTATTTTTGATATAGTGGTACGCTGTCTTGGCCGTACGTTGTCGCATGCGGACACTAAGCTGTCCCGGAGGCTTCTTACAGCCACTTACTCAACCGACTCCATCGCGCTCCGTCGTCGATGAATTATGCACCATGGAGCGCCTTAATTGAGCTTCGGAGGGCCAGTCAAGTGGTAATACTCCTGCCATCTTGCATCTAGTATCTACTCCTCATTTTTGGACACGGCAACGAATAACAAATTGATTTGTCGAAGCTAATTTTAAGATAAATTGATATGTTTGAGGCTGTCGTGTCATCCTAGGTGCGGGTACGTTAGTTACCTTGTACATACGGAGAAACGGAGTACTCTTGTTTGCATGTTAACATTAGTCACTCGATCCTCCATCTTTCTCCATATGTGGCGGTTTCCATGAGGCCTATTGCGCCTTGAGACGTTTCTAGCCAGATCTTCTTAGTCACAACTTACGTACACTGTACACTGTACACTGTACACTCGAATTGAGGCCAGGTCGCGACATCAGTGGAAGCAATGGATCGTAGAAGTGTCTTCATACACTACTGTATTGCGTTCCGTATTTTTGATACGTACTCCATGACACTTATTCAGTACGTACTAGCCCACTGCCCAAACAAACAAGGCAATGACACTCTTTTGTCTGTCCTTGAATGTTCACAGTTAGCCAATAACTACCATGGTAGCTACCAGTTCCATTATTTCAAAGTTCGTGCTTGTGGTCATAGCGACCTACTTAGTATGCTTACTAGTTGCTAGACATTCTTTCTTGATCAGCCACGTGCCATATTCTGTACAACTTAGCCAAAAGCTCCTACCAACTCCAACGGGAACCGAGTTCAGAACTGAGATCCATGAGCTCCCGTGATCACTTTCGTGCTGGGGAAGCCATCGCTGGTAAGCTTCTCCAGCTCCCGAGGTTGAGTTGCCGAGTACCTATTGGACATGCTTCTGTCCATGTGACCTTGAATCGTCAGGGACATACCCAAATATGGGGTCAGCCCCTGATGTGCGGTTTCAATTCTGCATGCAGATCGAGAAATTGGCCAATGCTGATGCATAATGTAGATTGACTTATGGAACTAGCTGCTAAACCAACTATAGTTACCTACTACGTATCCATCAGTGTCAGCCGACTTACGGAGTAGCGCTGTCTCCGAGCTTCAGGAAAGTTACACTCGTAGATGATCTTGCCGGACCATTCTCTGCTTCAGTATAAGATTTGCGCGGCAGCCGTTGTTGTTCTCGTTCAATATTTGACAACTTACTACCTCAATAATGGTTCGTATTTGGGTACGTAGTCCAATGTCGTAACGATACTACTTGAAACGGCGCGTAACTTTATTTAGAAATACGGCGATACTTGCCATCTATGTACGTACATACACCGCAAGCAACTAGACCAATTATTCACCATCCATGGATTGATTGGCCATCGTAACGCCAGACTAAGTAAGATCAGATCTTTGAGATCTAAAAACCCATCTGCTGACCACCGACATATGTACTCCGCAAGGATTCTGGGGGACATTCCGAAGACCTTAAGCACTCCAGGACCAAAAGTAAAATATTTACGTACGTACCGGCGTTTGTACGGGAACAAGAGTTACAAAACACAAAGAAGAAAAATTACGGCACAAAAGACAGCGGCAAAACGAAGAAGGCTTCGAGAAGATTGTCATGTGCTTCTAGCTCGGATGTGAACCAGCCAATCAAGTCTCAATACGGGATACCTTCCCAATCGGGGGGGAACAAAAGTGGGACTCACTCGTGCCGATCATTGCCGGACTGCCAAGATCGGTCCCTCTCTGACTAAGCATGCAAACAGTGCAAACAATGCCAAAGCGGAGCAAGTTTCGTCACGACGTGATTGGCTGCTTTGTTATTTTCTTTTCTTTTGTCTGGTATCAATTTTTGCAGCGACGCAAGAAGTGGGCAGCGCGACGAACCCAAGACCGCGTACTTCAAATTTGCGCCAGTCGTCAAAGTTTCTTGACTAGCAGCGAGTCTAGAATTACTGCTAGAGTCGAGAGAAACCGAAAATGGCGGAACCGGTAAGCATTTCAAAGTCTTTCCCCGCGATTTTGAGAAAATGTGGCATACTAACAATTGCTTGGATAGACCCCGGCCGTTCATACAATCTCGCAGGAGACTGTCAATGAACCTCCTGCAAAGAAACAGAGACTGGACGATGTGGCCCCTACCGAAGAGACCCCCAAAGAAGACCGCCGAACTGAATTACGAAGGCGGGGTATTGCGCCAGTCAAACCAGAGTATGTCAATTATTACGATAAATGCGGTTGCAGATATCAAATGAATTGATTGCTGATGATACCCATCGTACAGGTTTCTAATTACCTTGAATGGCAATCAAACGGCAACCAAAGCCTCGAACGAAGATGACGATATGGCCGAAGGCGCCGCTCATGTCGAAAAGGAGCAAGATCAGGATAACAAAAAGCGCAAGCAAAAGAACAGAGGTCAAAACGTAGGACGCAAGTTCGGAAGATCGAAAGACGAAAAAGGTCTCTGTGCGTCGCGTTCTACGCAACCGGAGTTTTCTCCAGGTCAATGCCAGTACGGCGACAAGTGCAAGTTCGAGCACGACCTCCGCGTGTATTTGAGCGAGTACAAACGGGAGAATCTACACACCTTTAATGACGTTTGTCCCATTTGGGAGGTCCGCGGAACATGTTCTTCGGGCTGGAAATGTCGCTTTGTGCACTCCCATATGACTGAAAGGGATACATCGGATGGCAAACGTGAACTAGTCCTTGTAGAAGATGAAGAGCGCAAAAAACAATGGATTGCGAGACCCTTTTCGAAGGACGATGGAATGGCAAATGTTGTTCCTATTGTGCACAAGGACGCTTTGAGAAGAAGAAAGTATCCCATGCCTAAAGCTGAAGCTTACCTTGCCTGGTTCGATCAGACTACGAAAGAATTGGAAAAGTTCGTCCATAACAAAAAGGCAAACGAGACCGATGGTGCGGAGTCGGAACTTCGGCAGGAGAAAGAGGATAACAGAGCCCAATACACTGAGCCTCCATTCCTGCCATCGGAAAAAAGAAGAATCTATTTTGGTGCAGAGACCCCAGCCTTGGCCCCTTTGACCACCCAGGGAAATACTCCGTTCCGCAGACTTTGTATGGATTTGGGCGCACAGTTCACATACTCTGAAATGGCGATGGGTATGCCATTGGTTCAGGGACAGAAACCGGAATGGGCTCTTCTGAGAGCACACGAGTCGGAACTTGCGTCACCAACTATTTCAAGCAAAGCGAACATTGTGCAGGGCTACGACAATTCTCGTGATTCCAAGTTCGGCGCTCAAATCGCAGCTAACAAGCCGCATGTAGCTTTGAAAACAGTAGAGATTTTGGCAGCTCTCACCCCACATCTTCGGGTAATTGATCTCAACTGCGGATGTCCCATTGATATGGTTTTCAAAGAAGGATCTGGATCAGCTCTTCTGGATTCACCTGCCAAATTGGAAAAGATTCTTCGTGGAATGAATGCGGTATCCGGCGAAATTCCGATTACCGTAAAGATTCGTATGGGCACTAAGGATAACCAACCCACTGCGCTCAAACTTGCCGAACGTCTCGTGTTGGGTGGTACAGATTCTCAAACGATGGGCATTGGACCTCCAGGCATTGCTGCCATCACTCTCCATGGTCGCAGTAGACAACAGCGCTACACCAGAAGTGCGGACTGGGGTTATATCTCTGAATGTGCAGCGCTCGTCAAGAGATTGCGTTCAGAGTCAGATGCATTGTCAGACACTGTGAGAGAGCCGGAAGAGAGATTGCAGCCCAATGGAGGTAAAATTTACTTCCTTGGAAACGGTGATTGTTACTCTCACGAGGACTACAATAATCACATCCAAAATGCAAACGTCGACACGGTTATGATCGGACGTGGCGCTTTGATCAAGCCATGGCTATATGAAGAAATCCAAACCGGACAATACCTAGACAAGACAGCATCGGAACGATTGGCCTTGGTTGAGAAGTTCGCCCGTTACGGAATGGATGCTTGGGGCTCCGACGAGCACGGTCTGGGAATGACTCGACGGTTCCTTTTGGAATGGCTCAGCTTCGCTTATCGCTACGTCCCTGTTGGTATGCTGGAATATCTCCCTCCACGAATTCAGGATCGACCTCCAGCGTTCCGTGGCCGAAACGAGTTGGAGACGTTGCTTGCCAGCGACAACTACAAGGACTGGATTAAAATCACGTAAGTCACATCTCTAGTTGTTGATCTATATTCGCTTATGCTAACCTCAATCGCAGAGACATGTTCCTTGGACCCGCTCATCCAGACTTCAAATTTGAGCCCAAACATAAGAGTAACGCCTATGACGCGGAGACTCAGGGATAGATAAAAATATACTAGCTCATTAGATCCATAATATGCATATGAAAATCCGATCATTATCGTATTGAAACTACATATTGAGATGCCTTAACTCCCATGAACGCAGTCCGAGCATGGCCTCTGATTGGTCGATGTAGCTCTAAAAATGACCGCACGTGATATCGCATCTCAACGGCATCAACCTGTCAAAGCAGCCTCACAACAAGTACTCTCCCTATCCATACTTGTTCTCTCTTTTAAAATATTCCCAAATATACACGAACCTGACGAATGCTATGTCCATAGACCTCAACTGGGAGGCCGCCACCTCCGGCCCCGACGGCGAACAGCTCGCCGAACGAATCCGCTCCTTCATCCACGACAAATTCCAACAAGTGCCCCTCCCGCGCTTCATACGATCCGTAAACGTGCATTCGTTCGACTTTGGCAGCGTTGCGCCGGAATTAGATATTAAGGATATCTGTGATCCGTTTGTGGATTTCTATGAGGAGAGTGATAGTGAAGACGATGATGATGACGACGGTGATCATGAGGAGGATGTACGGTCAGATACCTCATCGGATCGAGCGGCGGATTCAATGACGACAGGCAAGCGAGGGATGAGATATGGGTATGAGAATAATGGACATAGCGAGAATAATACGAATCATCACGACCATTTACGAACATCGCAGTGGGTGGCGGGTGAAATCGATGGTCATCATCAGTCTGCACAATCGCCGTTGCGGTCCCCAATTGGGTTGGGTGATCACTTGAACGCGCAGTTCAGGTCTGGAACCCCAAGCATTCTCCCCGGCGTTACGTCGAATCTGGGTTACCATTTGATGATGGGGAATCTGTCGGGGACACAGACTCCACTAGGTGCTGTTGCGGGTGGCACGCCATATGGAACGGGTTGGCCTGATGCTGTGATGCATGGCGGTAGTCGGGCGATGGTGCAGCAACATAGTATAAGCAGAGGACGGACAGAAAACAATAACAGAATCGATACAGGGTCACCGTCTCGGCCATCGACTGCAAATACCAACCCAACTCAGCTATCCCAAGGACGAAGCGCAGCCGGTAGCTCGTCGAATAGTACTAGCAACGATCCTACGGTCATATATAACGACCATGCATCCTCTACGACCCCCACGGTGCACGGCCTCCACGAAGGTGATCGATCCCGCGAAAAGCAATCACAAGTACCTATATCGGACGAAGAATCTCCTCCATCACCAACACCACACATGCGCGAACGTCGCCCAGAAGATTTCCAAGTAATCTGCCGTGTGAAATATGCCGGAGACGTGAAACTCTCCCTAACAGCAGAAATACTGCTTGATTATCCCATGCCCAGCTTCGTAGGTCTTCCATTGAAATTGAACATAACGGGCATCACTTTTGACGGTATCGCGGTTGTTGCGTATATCCGCCGAAGGGCGCATCTGTGTTTTTTGTCGCCGGAAGATGCCGATGCCTTGTTGGGCGATGAGGAAGATGATCAACAACAACATCAATTTCCAACGACCTCAGCAGAAGGTATCTCTAATAATGTCACTGACAACAATGCCAATCCCGAAACCCATCCACCACAACCAAGACGCCGATTCGGCAGTCTCCTTCAACAAATCCGCGTCGATAGCGAAATTGGTCGCAAGGAGAACGGGAAACAAGCCCTGAAAAACGTGGGAAAAGTCGAGCGATTCGTGCTGGATCAAGTTCGACGCATTTTTGAGGATGAATTTGTGTTTCCTAGTTTTTGGACGTTTCTTGTATAAAACTATTCCTTCTCATATCGCATACAGAATCTTCTTGAAAGGGAAGGGCTGGAAGGTTGGTGATGATGCTCGACATGTATGATAGTCTGAAGAGTGCGCTTCTCCTAGAGTTATAGGTTTGGAGCTTGAATGATACCCATTTCTACGGAAAGTTAACAAAGTCATGAGATTTTATAGTATATACTTGTCAAACGCAAGTAGAAACTATGAAGTCTTTAATCGCTTAAAGTGCAATCGCTACGAAAAGGAAAGATGACTGAACATTCAATTTCTTCGTATTGTTCCTAACGCTCCTTTCCAACACCAATTAAATAAGACAGATGCTATGATTGTATAACCCTAACTTTTTAAAGGCTTCAGTATCAATACAATAAGCATCGTTCTCTGTCACTTTCGTGGTAACCGTATACCGTAATGCTAGGCTGGTGCCCATAATGCTGCCGCGGGGCATTCATTGATCTCCAAAAACGATCGAATCAACCATGAATTCTTACCCGATGGCGGTGAAACATATATCCCTACTACTCACAATACCGGAAGAGCAGTCCATGGATCAGGTGTTGTGTTTCAGATGATTTATCGGTCCTTCTTGGGAGCCTTGTCGGACTCGGTGAGCTTGTCACCCAAGTTGTGGTACTCGCGCTGCAGGCCTTCAGTCTGCTTCTTAAGAGTCTCGATGTCACGGTCCTTGGCTTCGAGTTCCTTCTTGAGACGTCCGATTTCGCCTACGCTGCCAGCTTCGGCGATACGAGCGGCGTCCTTGCCGCTAGCCCTCTTGTCGCCTTCGAGAAGCTTAACGCGGTCCTCGAGACGGAGGACTTCGACAATCATGATGTAGGTACGGTTGAGAATCAAGGAAAGGAAGAGTGTGAATCCGCAAAGATACATGTTACGCTGAGAGTAGAACTTGCGGGCCTGGACTTCCATGCGCTCAGTACCGAGTGCAGCAGCTCTGCTATTAATTGTTAGCGGAAGCCTGTCATTAATTTATGTAGCATATGGATTATACTGACCCAACACCGGTAGTATCCTTGCTGAAAGCGCTCATCTCAAGCTGCACACGGTAGACCCGGTTGACGCTATCGATGAAGAGGATGAGGATGAAAATGAACGTAATCTACCGACCAATGTCAGCGAGCAAGACCATCAAACAGACCAAATTTTGTAGCTAACCCTCAATCCATACTGTAGTTTCGCTACTATTGGACTTTCTGATATGAAAGCAAAGAGCTTTCTCTTCACGGTGTACGGGAGAGGAACAATCAAAGCGAGGAAGACGAGCATCTCGAAAACGAGAAGCATGAACACCTAGTCATGAGATCAACGTAAGCAATTATGCCACAAGCAGGCAGCGATGATAATACTTACGAGAGTGTAGTAGAGCGTCATGTTGGCGGTTGATCGATCTTCTGAGCTAGTTCTGGATGAACGTCAACAAAAGCTTCCAAGCGGTGAGACGAACGCGCGTTCACAATTTTGCTAAAGAATGATTGAGGCTCTTACTTGGTGTCTTCGAGTTGAGTCGATCGGTATCGAGTATCTATCTATGGTTGTTGTTGAAGCGAGGATGAGTCGAGAGAAGAAAGCAAGTGTGGCTTCTTGGACTGTTTTTGTGCAGCCTGAAACCAGAGCCAAAGACGTCAAGACCTTTCTCTACGTCATTACCCAGTCCCACAGTCGGGAGGCACGTGAGTTTGCACCGTTTGCTTACACGGCCATCGACACGGGTAATAATTACCACACTAGCCACACTCAGTCAGTCGCAAACAAAAACAATGCCATTGTCTCCTCAACAAGAGAGGAAGATGGCTATATGCTCCTCCATTATGATGCTTAAACTAATATTACTTGTAGCCTTGAGTCATAGCGAGGAATATGTGGCACAGGAAACCAAGCAACCCTTTCTTCGATGCAAGACGCTACCAACAATGACTCATGTTTTCGCCCAGATCAATTCTTGGAAAAAGATTGATAGCTCGGTGCAAGGACGGATCGCAGAACGGATATGTCCTAGCAAAAGGCTTTCCAGATTAATGCAAGCTCGCCTTCAATCAGTCACGGCATCGCCGTAGCAGCTCGTACTTAAGTTGATACATCCATGCAGGAAGGTAACCTCCAAAAGCAGAGATGAAAGGCCAGCATCAGACCTCATTTGCGAAAAGAGTGACGTCGAGTCAGTACCATTTGTTTAGGGTTAAGCGGACTCCTCGCTTATGGAGTCTTTGGCATCAAATAATTCATACGCCGCTTACGATGGAATTAAACGCTCAGATGACCTGAACAGCATGCACGTTGATTCACACGTACGCAGTCTAGTACTTGGTCTCCATGCCACTAATCAGCAACTGGTCCTGAAAATAGAATGACTTTGTTAGTACGCATTTGGAGCAAGACTTGTTCGAGCGCTAGCGTCCCATCTTGAACAATGGAAATGCCCTCTAACACGGTTAGGGCAGTCGAACTGGACTTGGTATCCATTAGTGTTTAGAGTCTTACGATATGAATGCGACAAGGCTGGTTCTATGGAGTTGATTCATATCGCTCAGGGATAAGTTGTGAGTAATCCAAATCATGTTGTGTTGTCACATGGATGCCTTGATGGCCGTCCCTATCAACCATCACTCTCCTTCTTGAGGTACATGCAATTTTACAAATGAATGAAAGACGACGAAATCCATTCATCTCTCTACATGCTGTGAGTCATCTCTTTTCTTTTTCTAGTTCCATTCCTAATGAAAAAAAATGTGCTTTTCCTTCCGATCCAAGATCTTCGAGAAAACGGTGGAGTCCCGTGTATCACATCCGACATATCAGCGAGTTGGAAGTAGCCTAAAAATTTCAGCATGACACTTGTCATCTGCTCATATGACAAAGGCGGCGAGAGGAGGACAGGAAGGGGCGCTGGACCACGGGAAGCAGGTATGGGAACAGTTTGCCACGCCACGCTACGTCTTATGGCCATACATATCAGGGAGAGGGTCTGTGTCTCGGGCTGCATGCCCAGTCACATTAGCACTTGTGCCCACAGTGCCTATGTACTATCCGCCAGGCGTATGGAGGGCATAGGACGAGATTAAGCGACCGCCGCCTACTTTTCATACGCTGTTTATCGACGAGGTATCCTTTGAATCTTACTCAATCGGGTGAAGAGAAAGAGGGCAAGAGGAGGGATCATGCGGACCAAATCATGCTCTTGCATGACCGGCCTATGTTAATTCGTGAAGCTAGGACCGTTCTGATGTCATTGATAGGCTATTTGGGAAGAAAAATTCCACCGAGAGATTTGAAAGGTGCCACACCATCTTTCCAGAACGGCCGCGCACAAACAAAGAAAAAAGATCAGGGCAAATGATGCAGGGTGACTGAGAGGCCTAGTCTGCAGTGCCGTATGGGCGATTATGGAGATTGGACGATGCAGAGCGCATATCAGAGACCAACATCTTCTTTCATAGACAAGCTCTCATTCGCTGGATCTGTATTGGCGGATGTTTTTGTGGGCTATCAAGCGGTCTCGATGGGTTTCTTCCTACACCAAGTGGCCTTGGAGTAGGTCTACTATGCGCTACTTATGACTATAGCTGGGGGTATAAAAGTGGCGTCTAATCAGATTGTGAACCCTTTGTTGCCTCGCATCTCTCTCCGTTCCATGGCTTCAATCCCCCGAATAAGGCAATTTCGAAGCTTCTATAGGCTCTACTAAACGCTTGGCATTAGGTGCCTATCTGGCCGGGAATTAGACGTTTGTCGCGGTTAATGCGGTGAATATAAGCAAGCTATTTTAGAGCAAATGTATGGAGGTATAATCAATGGGATTCGAATAATAAAAGGCTTTAGACTATCAAAGGAGTGCAAACCATGAATTAGAAAAACATATCAAGAAATGAAGGTAATCTCTGAGTGGCCAGTCAAACAAACATGACAGCTTCAAAGGGAAGTAAAGATTGGTAATAAAAAGGGTTGCCAGAAAGTTAAATCGAGTGTTCTAAAAAAAATCTTGACAATGCGCTGGCAAACCCACAACGAATTGAAAAAATGAAAAATTGAAAAGTCAAAGGTGGAATAGAGGGGTAGAAACACAAATGAAAAAACAGTGAAGTTATGAACACGCAGTATGTGCACAGTCTCCGAGATGTAAATTTGTCAACCCCATTCTGAGCAGTTCTGGCAGAGAGGAGAAAACCCGCAGTGCTATGTTGAGATAGCATAACTTTGCTGAAAATATCGAAACGGACGTATATGATGGCAAGCTATTGTCACATTTTGAAGCCGAGTCTGTAAAGTAGTTGGATCAGTCCCAGCTCCACTGTCGACCATGGAAACCCAATGTTGTGACTAACAGGTACGGTGCAATACATTGCTTGATCCTAACCACCATGCGCAGGGCAATTGAAGCCCTGTCTGCGCGAAACCTTCTTTTCGATGTAGTGGCCAGGCTGGTTGGCTTTGGAGCAGGTGACCAGATCTATCTCCTTGATTTGACAGCCGCAGTCGAACTCAACATACCACACTGAACACATTTTGTCTGGTTGGGAAAGTGGAGTGGTTGGGTCTTTGCGAGAGAGGATGGAAATAAGGTTTGAGATAAGGGTTGTCAGAAAGTGCCTGAGTGATGCTTGAAGATGGATAGATAACTCGAATTCTGCTTTTCTGCGAATTATGTTCTTCGATGATTGAGATGTTGTTTGAATGCGATGATAGACTGAACTCAAAAGGTGCGCTTCTTCATTCTTTATATATTTTTCTGATAGGAGACTCCTTTTCGGTTCGCCGTCAAGGCCGACGAATGTGACTCCGTGCGGAGAAGGTCACTGCTGGGCCACACCTACTGATTCTCTCAAGGCAAACGTTAATCGTTAGACACTGTGGGCGGCGTAGTCTCGGTGTCCAGGACGATCTACGCGGCAATGCAGGGCAATCAGACAAGATCTGATTGACCAACAAAAGGACCTTGCGCGCGCTAATTAGCGACTATATGCAGTATTGTCACGGTCCACGCAGGATAGACACATGCGTCCTTGAACAGGTGATATGTTGATATTGGCACTAGGGCACATGGACATAGTAGCGTGGCACTGCGTAGTCACCTCGAGGCAGAAACGCCAGGCTGGAAACAAGATCATTCAAGGGCATAAAATAGCATGGATGGGAAGGGTAAATAAGGATGGATGAGAGGAGATCTGTATGTTGATTCGTGAATGGTAATTTCAAAGGGGGGTCATATGTCGCTATAGCGGCAAAAAGGGGTGTATGACATACCTTCCAATAGAAACTGGAAATAAACATTCTCTGCTAGCGTAGCATCATTCAAAGATATCAAATAACTGCGCACCAGATCATAGCAAGACTTCTAGATTAGGAAGACGCCATTTAAGGTTCAATGACACTCTGTAGCACAGATCAAATGGCGGTGATTGCGGCCGTCTGCCAATGACAGAACGATGATATACCGGGGATGTCAAGTAGAATGCGCTAGAGGCCATCTCTTTGTGATGACATCGTAAGAGTCATCTTTGACCTGCGGGTCTTGACGGATGACATGTCCATTACGAAGACGTAGAATTTCTTCGTCGTCTAAGTGATTGGTGAGTAGCTCTATATTTTGGGCAGCTAGCACAGTCGATGCGGTTCATCCCGGGATCTGCCTCGACAGGAAGTTCAAATAGGTCATCACAATCACATTCCATTTTTCTGCGTGGCTAGTTCACTGAACGAGCTTTCTAGAATTGGCGCAAACGAATGGGATGGGTCTCTTGGTGTAGCGTTGGTGACATATGCAAATCAAGTACACCTAGAGGGGTAGCCATGTGCCAACTATGACTGTTCGGGCCAATCTTGAGTCCCAATTGCTGAGATAACAGGCGAAGCGCAAGTCAAGGCACATTTTTCGAAGAAAAATGAAAGGAAAACAGCCCGCGTAGTGCGGAGATTAGCCTTTTTGTCGGCGCGGACAGCGTAGAAGTGAGTGGGCGCACATCTTGTTCAATAGCCCGATCAAGAATGAATTTCTCGAAGCGCAGAGTCTAGAGAATGAAGTCACAAAAAGGGACGCTCTGTGCCTATGGATTCTGCTCGGTGGGCAAAAGTATAAAGACTTAGTAACCGTTAGGGCTACTGCTATGAAGTTAATCCCAAGCACGGGCGATTCGGCGGCACATCCGAGTGGACTGGGGCTTTTGGTAGACCCGCGCCACAAATCGGAGGCCATGGTGGCCGTAGGAGGGCCCAGAAAAGTGCCCCTTGCCGCTGCGGCTGGGCGGCAAGGTACATAGCGTGAACATAGCTTGTGCCGCCGACAAACCGTCAAAGAAGATTTTCGAAGCGTGAGATCCAATCGTTGTAGATCGATGACGGCGGGACACCCAGGCCAAGATGGAAAAGAGGAGTCACCGATGAGAGTGCCGCGACAAGGCACATTTGGCGTCCATCGTCAGTGCTGCCCCAGCTGGGTTAGTACAAAGAATATTCTTCGCAATGATGGCGCGCATTGGCCAGTCAGTCAGTTCGCGTTGTAGGCGACATGCGAACAGAGACACAACGCATATTGAGCAAGTCACTTCTTTAGTTGGCTAGTGGTCAAGATACGAAGGGGATAGGAGAAATAGATGCGATGGGATGGAAGGAACAATCTCGATGTCGGGACACTGTAAATCACGTGGGCGAGGTCACGAAGAGCTCCTGCCGTTTTTGCCCTCTGACCAAGATTAAGGTTGGCGGTTTCTCAAGCGTGAGAACTCATCGCGACGTTTGACATCCTGCCATCGTGCTATTCTCTTTCACGTATTCAGAATGCCATCCGTTTCTGTTCCTATGACGTACATGTATCGAGGATATGCCACCAGCATTACAATCACACACGGCACAAAGCAACCAGACGATGAGATAGCAATTCTGATAAAAACAAACGACGGACTTGGGCTGACTGCGACGAACGTCCTCAGCTCTTGCTGCCCGTACTCTCTGGAAATTGAAATGTGTGTCGGTCAAGAACGAGGAGTTCACAGCATTCTTGCCAAGTCTAATGGTGCCTACAAACTACAGCCTCTGCTATGATACTATCAACGCCATCGTCCTCATCTAGTCGTTATTCGCCTCCGAACTACTACCAGTCCTTTTTCCATTGCAATCAATCGGAATGCCAAGATACAATTAAGGAGACCGTCATATCCTTGCATGCAGTTGAAGAAGCACAAATGCGACCAGATTATTCAAACGATGTCCGTTTGGGCATGCACACTGCTCGAGGTTTACACAAAGTCCGGATGGTGACAATCACCTGGGCTTGGCGGTTTCTATCAGCTTTGGCGTACTCGTCAGCATGTCGGTGATCTTCGCACGCCAAGCACCAAGGCGCCCTATTTTTGAGATGCCGAATCCTGAGATCATTGATATATGTCTTGGCGAATCATAAGATGAATGTTCGCGTTGGAGAAAGAATTTTTGAAATTGGAGGAATCGAAAGGGGAAAATATAATACAGTTTGTCAGAAATTACAATCACGTTTGGGGGGAGGTTAGCGCCAGGAGCAACCCTAAATTTAGGCGTCTTTTAGTGACCACGGGCTACCCTAGTTTGTCCTCGGTGTATCTGGAAATGACTTGAGGGACACCCCACGTTTCCCTCTGGGCAATCTGGTGTGGCTGGCTTATCTCCACCCACACCTTAGATTCCAGATACAAGCGAGGGAAGATGCATTCATGCCGAGCAAATCGGAGGGTCTCGCTGTCTCGGTGACGAGCGGAAAATGGGTCACATGTAGAGGTTTGTCCAAGATAGGACGGATGAAGGGCAATACAAACGGCGAACGCCCAGTTAGCCGGCAAACGCCATAAGTTCTCCTTTCATAATCATAAGTGGATTTGTGAAATATATGCTTGTCGATTGATAGCTCATAGGCAGTATCGAAGCATATAAAGGGTCTCGTTTCCCCAGTTAACAACTTGTTTTCCTTTCCTTCCATCATTCCAAACCACTCTCCTCACTGTCATCGACAAAATCAAACATCACTCATACAACCAACAAGAACTGCTTCTTATCCTACAATATGTTCCCCAAGCTTCCCAAGCTCAACCAATTCCTGGTCCTTTCGCCTACCACTGGAGCTAAGACCCCCGATAACTTGACTTCGTCTCCTGAGGATGCTGAGAAATCTGGCGCCCCTATTCATCGTCTGTCTTCAACTTCTAGTACCGATTCTAGTAAGAGCTTTGCTAGCGGCTTCCTCAAGCTCGGTTATGACCGGTCCTGAATGCCCCTCATCGTCTCCCTAGATGCAATCTTACGGGCATGTTTCGATCAGTCGACCTGAATATTGGATACGAAACGACATGACTACGACTAGTCGCGATACTACACTCAGCAAGAACCTATGAATTAACGCTTAGCATCGCAAATGACCACCAACCTTGATTTCCTCAAGTGTTTCAGCGACTGGCAATCTCGGCGAGACATTCAAACTCAATTTCTCCCACTTTTTCCTCCAATTTTCTGTTAATACCACGGTTCTGAACGGCCAACGCCATACAATCAAGCTAGAAGAGGGGCTTGACGCGACCGATTATGCGCGTCGATCAAACATACCGCTGTCCCAGGGTTCGCTATTAGCCAACATCATCATCACATGCCAACACGTCGAATGATGTACAGCTGCACCCATCAGCTCAGGGCCCCCCTCTCGGTTGGCGACGGAGATTTTCTTTCTTTTCAAATGCATTAGTATGCCGATTCTGCTTAGACCGGCATCACTTCTGTTATCTTACTTTTTTGCTTTTTTCTTGTAGGGGTTGTCCAGCGGTTCCATAGCAGACTAGTTGCGTCGAAAAAGAAAGGTTTCTTTCATACTGATATGACAATTTGTACCGTATTGACGTGTTCTCTCTCGTATTCTCGACTCTGTCCATGCGGATACGGTTAAACACTAGATCCAAATTAACCGGTAACATAAACAAAAACAAAAAACATCAAAAAGAAGAATGATTGCATCATCCGTGAATCGAACACGGGCCTCATCGATGGCAACGATGAATTCTACCACTAGACCAATAATGCATTGATGCATGGTGGGCCACTTTTTGACCACATATTCATCATTCTTGCAAGTATCGATCAGGTCTAGCGTCATTCTATATGAATCTGAAATGAATTTCTCTTGTTAACAGACTGCATATGCATCATTGCTCAGCGAGGCTCGCGCAGACAAATAAATGATCCGCCGAACACTCCTCATATCTGAACTATCCTATTGGTGGCAGATATCAGCTGATCCCTTGCGTACTTGGTGTTTTTGTCCGACTATCGGTAGTTATATATTTACGGGGTTTGTGTACAACCATGTCAATCTCAACGGCCGTAGAAGCATAGGTGTATCCCTCGGTTCTGTATACGTTGATATATACCAGAGTCTACATAGTCTTGTAACTTGATCCATGCGCACTACGTTTTTGAAGGTTTAGAGTTTATATCGACCCTCGGTTGTCGTCGGCATCAATCCACGCCATCATCACGATGCCTGGCTCTTTATTGAGTGTTGTCAGCCTTGGAAATCACTGCCCATGTGTCCATGCATGCCACGAGAATACGTATTCGATCAATGAAATGTTGGTGGCCCGAACCTTTACTCTGATCTGGCTCATTAATTATTGCCTGATAATTGAGCGACAGCACCGTGATGAATCTGTATATGTAGGGAAATATATATCGGTCGATCGGGGCGGGCCGAGGGAAAAGCTTAACCATACATATGCTCTGCGTACTCTCGATATGATGTGGTTTCCATAACTATATACTGATATACTGACATACTGACACAGGGATGATAGCCACATCGAACGATCCCGAGTGTAGACGGGCTAATAGTCACATGTGTAAATGCGGTTGTTGTCAATGTATCTTGTGTAGCAGGGAGTAGAAACCACCCACATGATGAGTTTCTCGGGATTGAAACGCACACCATGGATTGTTGTACATGACGTAGATTCTGTTTGTATAGAATTGTATGTTGACTTGGCAATTATCAAATCGAATAAGTGCTTCGGGAGTAGACGGTTGGCATTCTTGGATTGCACGTGCAAATGCGCTCGTTTTGTTATCACATTCATGTCAATGGTATCGAAAGCTGTAAACTCATGTATTGTGCCTGTCTTAATGCTTCAAGAGCGCAACCTTATTACCGATTAAATATCGATGAGCTACATAAAATACTGCTTTAAGAACTACTTACATTACATATCTCAACTCAAGTATCTGACATCTAAGAAACGAAGAAGAATGAAATATTCAAGATACACAAACACAACAGACAGTCTCTTGCTGTTGTCTAAATGATGGGGAAAAAGGGATAAGAATAAGCTTTCCATTGTCGAACTATTGACAAGAGAAGTAGAGGAGGAAGAAACGGAGCCATCTAGAAGTTTGTCCTCTCGAGATGTACGAAAGAATAAATGGGTTGAACACTTCACCCAGAGGAATCGAAAAGGGCCAAAGAAGACGAAAAGCAATGAAGATACAATTTGACACGGACAAAGGAAATAAAATATAAAAACGATATTTATTTTCACACAAAGGAGATACAGGGTTGAAAAAACAAATGCTCAATATTAATTATGCAGGTATGTGAAGGGTATAAAGTTGTATGACAAGGTTGACAAAAGTCACTCGAAACTGTGACATCAATTGAGTAGCTTGAGCAATCGGGGTATCGCGCGGTTGTTGATATCCAAAGAAGAAATCTCCTTGGAACAATCTGCCATGAATGATGTTGCCGACACATTTATGCACTTTGATCGAAAGATATTCGTCAAGGAAGCTCAACTTCTGAATGATGCTTCCTTTTCCAGCAGCAGAGACGGCCAAACTAGCCTGCCTGCAGAAGCGTTTTGCGCACGTATAGACGTATGACAGCCGATCACAGATCCATGTGCTCGACAGATGAGCAGAGAGATAATAGACATTATGTTTGAGTCGATAGAACCAGCACTTCACATGTCAAACCTATTCTCCTGGCCCTCACCGATCTTCCCCAGCTCTGGCTTTGCCTCGTCGACGGAAAAAGTCCATGACTTTTCTTGCTGCCCCCGAGCTTCCAGAATGGTGAGAATGATCCCTTTCATATTCGTACGCATCCGCAAACTTCCGATTATTCTTCTGCAAGACTCCCTGTTTGGGTCGGGTAAGTTGTGCAGATGGCCGCGACCTATCATAGCTTCCGTTGTATTGCTGCCCTCGCTGAGGATAACCGTAGAAATCATTGGTCTCCGGCGAGTTGTAGTCACCGGGCTGCTCTTGTTCCTGGTACATTTGGTTGTTTTCGTGTAGCTGTGCGAATTGTCTATCAATATGAGCTTCATAGCTACTTTCTTGAGGTGCTGCTTCGCCCTGCTGAGAGCCAGAGTAGCCACTGTATCCACCACTGACATCGCGTCCTGGAAGAATTCCGGGACCCGTAGCTGGCCGAGAGTATTCGGCATCATGAGAGTCGCTTTCCGAATTCTGATCACTACGACCTGACGATAATCCCCTGATAGAGTTCATGAGAGAGAATCGCCGCGGCCGTGGTTCAGCACGAGTAGCATACGAATTCGATCGCCGTGAGTCGATTGAGGCTCTTGAGTCGTCTGTGGAATAAGGTTCTTTCATACTAGTTGGAGGGTACCGTTTGCCAGATTTAGGACGAGAAGTAGGCTGGCTTGGTCGACTACCGAAAATTGACCCTGAGCGGCCAAAAAGCCTCTCGCCGATACTGCTGACTGTGCTTGAACGCTTGTGGGTCCTGACTGGTTCTTGTACAGGAGTCTGATTGAATTTGTTAGGGAGCTGATGGGTGCTAGGTCTTCCGATGGACATGTTCGGGTCTTGTGGAATTGGTGAAGAGATATTATACTGTTTGGCATTCTTTGGTTGTGCCAGTCGACCTTGAGCGTTGGTTGCCGCCACGGTGGGTGCCACTGGTTGACCATAGGAGCCACGAGAAGGAAGTCTTCCGGCGCTAAGAGATATGGCAGAATGCCCGGTATTTGGGCGCGTGGTTTGCGAGTTTTCAAAGACCTGACCTGTCACTTCTGATGTCGAGCGAGGGATTCCAGCGTTAGATCGTAATTCTTGAGCTGATTGGGGGTTTGTCGTCCGTTGCGGCTGCTCACCTTGTGGTTCACTTGGTAATGGTTTGTTCTGATCAACAACACCTCGAGACCCTGTTCGAGTTGCCGTTGCCGATTGAGGAGATGCATTCGATGTATGATCGCCGCGAGCAGTCTGCGAGTGAGGTGCGACATATTCCACCTGAACGGTTCGTCTCTTTGCTTCCCTTGAAGTCTTGGTCTTACTATTGGGAGACTCTTCTTGAGGTGCAACTTTTCCTGGTTGGTGAGTCAAGCCTCCCAGGGTCGATGCGCTGCCCTGGAAGCTCTTTGGTGGTTCGCGCACAGATGCGCTGCGAACGAGGGTTGGGCCTTCTTGTGTTCCTTCTATACAACCCACGTGGTTAGCAGATGATAGTAAACAAAAGTTCGAGACAGTCAACTCACCAGCGGGGACAGTGGTAGTAGCAATGTCTGAAATATTCGTGGTGCTACTCGTGATGTGAGACACAACATGCGAGTATTCGCTGAGCCAACTGTGACGAGCAACTTCGAAAAGGTCGGCGCGTTTGCGAGGGTCAGGGACGAGTATACGGCGCAATAGATCACGGGCGTGTGGTGTTACGTATTCGGGGAAAGTGAGATGGGTGCTAACAATGTATTTGTACAAAAGATTGATGTTGTCTCCTTCAGGATTCGCTGGATCATCGTCGAACGGGAGGTAGCCGGCAAGCATGGCATACTAGACGAACGTTAGATTTGACTCTATCACAGTATCAGTTAAGGACTTACCAAAATCACACCGCAACTCCAAACATCAACCTTGCGACCAGTATAGAGTGAGTCGCTGACAACAAGCTCAGGTGCGGCATAGCATGGACTACCACAGCTGGTTTGCATCAGATCGCCGCGTCGCAATCCAGCAGCATCGGTTTTGTCGAGTCCCATTCTCTTGACGAATTCGCGGTTGGTGAGGTTGTACTCAATCTCCTCGCCAAGTTCATCAACAGGGTTGAAGGTGTTGGCAAACCCAAAATCAGTGATGATGAGGTTACGATTCCTGTCAAGTAAAAGATTCTCCAATTTCAGGTCACGATGCACGATTCCCTTCTTATGTAAATAACCCACACCGGAAACGAGCTGCGCAAATAGACGCCTGGCCGCATTGTCTTTCAAATAGCGATTCTTGAGAATATAGTCGAAGAGCTCTCCACCCGAGGCGTATTCCATGATGATTCCGATGTATCGATCAGTTTCTACCATCTCGTGTAGGCGCACAATGTTTGGATGAGATAATTCTCGGAGAATTGCGATTTCTCTATAGATCTTTGGGAGTCTGCTGGGATTTGAGCCTAAACTCTCGCGTCGAATGAGTTTGATGGCAACTTGGATACTGCCATCTCTTTGCCAGCCAAGCTTGACTTTGGCAAACTCCCCTTCGCCCAATGTCTGACCTAATATGTATCTTCCAAAGGTGGTTTCCTTGCGTTTTCCCGATGTGTTTGAGTAATCTTGCCGACGTGGGCCACGGTCGTCTACAGCTTCATCGCTAACCAGTCCAAGACCGGTGACTGAATCAGACGCTCCACCAGCTGAGGTCTGTGCCTCTGCGAGTCGTTCATGTTCGCGCTCAATGTCCTCAGCTGGATCGGTAATCACAACCCGATTGAGGACAGTGCTCGATTCGCTCGCGAGAGCAGTAGGCTCGGATGATGAGCCCAATGCATGATCTGAACGGCTTTGATAGGCGGAGGAATGATGGCCTGCAATGTCATTTGGATTAGAACGTTCAGGCGATTGTTGACCTTTACGACGAGACCGACCGCTGTTGGGATCATCACCCCTACTTCTTGATTGACTCGAGTCCTGACGTCTGCTGGATCGTTGGTTCGATGAGGTACGAGGAGGAATTTGCGGTGTGACCCCTAACCCATCAGGAGCATTGGAGCGAGAATGCGTGTGATTGGTCGAATTCGAGGGCATCGGACCCTGGGAGGATGGTTGGGCGGAAGAACTCATTGTTGGCGACCCCGACCCGTACTGAGACTGTTGCGGACCAAGGGCAGACGCACCATTCGCGCTAGGTTGTCGACTGGGTCGCTTGGATGAAGACGGCGAATTTCGAGATGTTACGTCGACAGACTGAGGCGGGKGAGATGCAGTAACGGTCCTCGGGTGATAAGCATTCTGAGCCTGGGGAGAGGAGGAAGAAGTGGTTGTGGGGTACAATGTCGAAGCTGTCGTCGCTGATGTGTGCGTAGGAGCTGTCTGCATGGCAGCAGACGACATTTCCTAAACCGCGCGCTGTGGAAGAGATACAACGCAATGAAGCCAAAACCCGCTCAATTAAAGCAAAAACGAACAATGCTTTGACAGATACGAAACAGGCAGAAATATGCAACAAGACGCAAAAGCCTCCCAGAGGGTTATTGGACGAGAACGTAGAGTCGAAGCGATACGGCGACCGACCGAGAAAGTAATAGCGAAGTACTGAAATCGGTAAAATGGCAGGAATGTCAGCGGCGGATTTGCACGTGGTTGATGAGGAATGTGGATGCGGGGAGAGGAGGGAGAGGAGTAATTCAAAGATAAGAAATCATGACTAACAAATCCAGTGAGCAAGATGGAATCAAAGGACCAAGACGAAGATTAGTTTGCACAGCAAGCTGGCGAGCTATTGAGACCCAATGAGCCAGTTGACTAGGTTGACAGCGCAACGACCCACACCACAGGAAACGCGTCTCGGCGGTAAGAGCGACGGGGTGTGCGACTAATTGGACAGCACCGACGGACAGATCTGTACAGATGAGTAATGTACAAGAGTTTCCCAAGTCCAACCCCGACGTCGATTGTCGATTCTTGTCAGCGCGACGAGATTGAAAGGGGCTGTTTGATTAAGGGAGAGACTTGAGGTGGTCTGAGTGACGGGTGCGCGAACAGACTGAAAGCGACGTGAGACAACCTCGGTAGAACGCGATAACGAGCTCGAAGGAATTGAATAAATAAATCAACAAGTAGCCTGCTAATTAAGCGAGGCAGCAGGGAAAAGAACTAATCGAGATTCACGGAGCTGGAAACTTGTTGTGCATCGTCGTCAAGAGCGAGCGGGCCAGAAAGCGAATAGGGATGTTGCCAGGAGGGAGCGGTAGCGGTAGCGGCAACGGGTGTAGGGGCAGGAGCGATGCGATGCGCGGCTGGGATGGGATTGGATGGGGGGATTGAGACGACCAGCAGAGCGATTGTACCTTGACAATGACCTAGAAAAGCCGGCGAACCGACCTGGTCTTAATCGCGATTCGACGCGGGAGGGAAATAAGAGATGAAGGAGGGGGGACAAGAGGCGGAGGAGGAGGAAGAGGAGGAGAAGAGAAGGGAGAGTAAACAGAAAGGGAAAAGAGAGGGAAGGAGGAAAGACGGGAAGGAGGTGCTACGCCTACTACGGTAGCCCAGCCGGCGGAGCCTGAGCCAAACTAAGTCTGGGGGTTTAGTGGTTTAGTGGCCGCGATGGGTCTATCGTATCCTGTACAGTAGTTACATCGCCAATATCGCTTCCACTCAGTCTTTTTGTCGCAAGAAGATTAATGAAGATTTATTTGAGAATGTCTGTTCTGTGTACGGAGTACATGATTGTTACACTGTTGGATCGTTGAGACTGTCTGGACGGACTAATCGGGTGGTTACCGACACGGTAGCTGGTGAGCAGCCACTACTACGATGGTAAGTGCTAGGAACTGGGACCTGATCTTCCAAGATACTCGAGATACATTGAGATCAAAATCACATGAAACAAACATGATAGCCTCAGCCATCCGATCGACTGCCAGAATGCCAGCTGCTGATTGGCCCGAGCTAAAAGCTGTATGAAGAAAGGCACAAAAGTCTAATCGGATGCGTACCGGAGCATTTGCCGTCTGTCCGCGGCTAATTGCAAGTTGCTCAACGAGCATCAAATTATTGGTGCTTTCCTTCGCTGCGACATTGACTCTGCTATGCTACTGCACTAGGTATGCTATGAGTGCATACTAGCAGTTTGACTTTGGATAAAACTCCGTACCTGAGGGCTCCCCTGTCTGCAACTCTGAAACTTGATTTAATCTTAGGGCCGCGCTAGGGCTCCCCACTAACCGTACCAGGCAGGAGCCCTTTCCGTTTTCGGTCAGCTGGCTGAATATGTTTCACCCTTCGCGATGACGACGTGATGTTTATTTCTATAAAAGCAAATTATAACTTCGAGATATTCTGTTGTGCATGTGAAGTTGAAGCGAAGCTGCAGTCAGCCCTATCGAGCTTTTTAAGTCGTCAGTACCTGTTGATGTTCTTTTTCCACTTTCGGACACTGTGGAGTCACCCATAGATCCCCTTATTCCCAGGACAGATGGATCACAATCGGACTCTTTTCCTCGAGGATTAGACAGGTCCAACCGTCCCTTGTCCTCAGATCAACAACTACGAAGATTTGATCATCAATTGCCCTCGTCGAGCTCAGAGCTTGTACCACATCCCACAATGATTCTGTTTCAAACTAGATTATTCTGTTCCGACTGGATTCTGTGTAACATTTTGTATGTTCGAGCTTTAACCAATGAGAGCGCAGTAACAATTGGTGTTCATGACATGATTGGTCGCAATCGACCCACCTCGAAACTATTAAGGAAGCAACGATCTAAGCAGCCTTCGAATGTCGAACCTCACCACAACCATCCTTGAAGATTGATGGTCAGCTTGTCAATTATTCTCCTGAGGCCCACTGGGCGAACTGCGCGTCATGAGTCCTCCTTTTTATGGTTATGTTGTTTCCGGATACGAGATTGCCGGTCTACCAACGCCTACCTGGTTGAGAGAATTCCGTGCAGGCACGGTCAAAATGAATGTCAATTCATGGATTCCTTGCTAAGCCGACAATTAGTCTGGAGATATCTGCACCTAAGTAGTTTCACCTCCGCGGTTGGTATCTATGACTTAGGACTTGGCATGTGGAGTGTGCCCGTTGATCCACACATGCAAGTCATTGCCTTTCCCCGAACGAGGTATCTTTGTGTGTTGGGGCCATAATTATAGGAATATTTCAATACCTTTACCCATGGGAAGATCGACTCATGCAATCATACGTGGAGTCTGAGGTCCTTCAAAACGCGACATATTACCAACTGTAGATCAAGGAAATGGGTGACTGCGCATCTGTGTGAGACCCTAAAGATCAACGGAAGTACCTCGAATGGGCAGCCTCGAGTAGTAGAAGTCGTTTCTCGCTCCTTCTGTGGGAGATTTGCGCAATGATAGCTGAGTACCTACCCATCAAGGATATCTTGAGCCTGGCCAAGTCTACGAAAGCCTACCTCGCGATCCTGAGTGACCAGACCTATTGGGCTTCCGTTTTCAATTACGAGGCCGAGTGTGGCTTCTTCTATGAGGGAACACATATGAGAAATATCCCAGAACTCAATTGGATTAGTATCTATCAAAGAACAACGTACACCAAGGATATACCGGCGGTGAAGAAAAGAAACAGCATTTGGTCTTTAGCCAAGGGAATCAAAGAACTGCTCGAACTGCATCCACCTTATGAGAATGATGGCTTCTGCGGCGGTCACTATATGTGGAAGGATGGGATCGAAGATGTGCCTAAAGTCGGAGGCCTAGATGCTAGTGCGCGTAGATTGGAGATTGCAGCGGATATCAAAGCACTTGAAGTACCCAACGAAAGACTTATCGAAAGCTGTCGAATACTTCACGAACAATATTTTTGCAAGACTATTCCGTGCCAGAAGATTTCGTTTCAGTCGCTTTTTAGTCGTGGCGCATGGATACACCGAATATCTCGTTGGAATGCGTTTCATATCGAAGGACGGTCGGTCCAAGCAATTGGGCTATTCAAATAGGCGTGGGGAGATTCACGATAAAGTCACAGCAATTCAAAGCTTTATTGCGGCAATGGGATCACGATGATTACACGCTCTTCGAGTCGTCGGCACTCACGAGCGTATCTCAAACTGGTTCGGATCTCCTGAGGATTCACCGGTGACAGAACGACTAGTAGGGGTGCAGTCTGTTATTGAGTTGGAAGCTGGTCTCGACGTAAAATCTAGCGACCTTGAGATATTGTTCGAACTTCCACTGACTGGGTACTAGGGTTACAAAATAGTCTATTTGAGACTCTGTGACTTAGATCAAATATGCTATAACCCCCAAGCCGAATCTTGGAGGGATGTAGCTTTGTGGTATCCTGCCGTGCCCGCTCCAGACCTGTTCGTGAACGAAGCATCGTTTACAGGCCAATATCTACTCACTGATAGCTACCAGCCACTATGCTGCATCCACTTTGGCGGCCCTGATGGAGTCCATCTTCGGTCATTGACTGAGATATGTGTTTTAGTGGAATCAGACATCTTAGAAATCAAGTTTCGATATGAAGTTGACTCCGCACAATCGATGGAAACACAGAGACTAGGCCGTACCAAGACAGACCTTAGTTCAATTCTGTGCGGACTTTCTCTAGAGACGGTCCTGGCGGAGAATTTATACAGTCAGTTGAGGTCATCGTCTTACGTGCAGAGCGAGACAATGCGGACGATTTCGAAAAACATGGGAAATTGAACTCCTTAAAGGTCGGTAACCGTGCTCTAATAGATTTCTTATTACGAAGCAATCGTTACTGACCCTCTTCGTACAATTTGGCAGATTACCACAAAATCGCGGAAGTTTCATCCATTTCCAACCTCCGAAAAAGTCAGATGATGAAATCCCTGGCCCTTTGATAACGATGGCGATTGAACCCGGAACTACCATCACTGGGTTGTATGGCACTTAGGTATACACAATTTCCCTCTTACTTTCTAACTATGACAGTTTTAACTGACACAGAATCTGAATACAGGCAAAATCCATGGCAGGTCTTAAAAGTTTAAGCGTCATTTCTGAGGCGATCCACTAGGATGCCAGAGATGGTATTCCTTGTTGCAGACGCCTATTAGCATTACTACACAGACTCTACAACGTATGTCTATTTCACATAGCTTAGGTACTCATGCCAAATTAGCCACAAGAATCCGTATGAAGGATGACGACTACCTTTAAGCCAACGCATCGAAAATCTGTTTTGCTTTATCCTAATTATTGGTGGTAAGTCTACTACTGCTACTAGTATTGGCTGTGAGTGATCGATTCGAGTACACGGTCAATTCATTCAAATCCAGCTAAGTTGCATATACACTAAGAGCTTGATACTTGATTAGACCTGGGAAATTTTGTACATGTTGAGGACGTTCTTGTCGTTGTTGTCGTTGTTCTTAACAATCCTTCCCGCTTAGGGCTTTTTCAAGGAAATATTATCCAGGTCAGGGCAGGCACGTGCATGTATTGACCGCTCTTCTACATTTGGATTTGACTTCAATAATATATCAACTAAAGATGGTCCATTCTGTCTAGAGGCCCTATAAAGGGGTGCAAATAGATGTGTCACAACTTATGAGAAAATCCACAGATGCCATGTAATCATACCCAACGTGTAGCTACACAATACCATATGTCAATTCGCTGAATAGTTAACAACACATGTTCAAATTTCATTTCATCAATATCATCAGTCGTAACAAACTAAAACACAAGATGTAAAGCCAAAGATCATTCAATGTCAAATTCAAGAAAATCCCAAGCGAACCGACAAGTTGTAATATGAGTCCCGAAAAAACCAAAACTAATGCTTCCCAGATGCAGAAGTAGTGCTACCACCCAACGGGTATGTTCCAGCAGCACCATACGCCGGCGGCGGCGAGGGAGTGCGAGTATGTCGCCTAGGAGGCGCCGGAAGACGACCTCTACTACTGCTGCGCTGGCTACCGCTGCTCCCGAGACCATTGCTACTGCCGCCGTAGTACGTATACTCCGCCTTACCATCGGGCGGCACTTGTCCTCCATCACCACCCCCCACAACGACCTGTTGACCGTTATGCATGCGTCCGACTATCATGCCTCTAGCCACTGATTTCAGAACCGCGCGACGGCTCACGCCTGCAACGTCGATGTAGACTAATCCGACATTCCGGAATCCGCGGGTGAGATCGGATGCGACGTTGCCGGCTTCGGGACCGTAGCGGTGGTGTATCATTGAAGTAGCGGCGGTAGAACTGGAGTTCAGTACTGTGCGCGCACCTTCTTCGATACCATCCATCAAAGTGGTGAACGCTATCAACGACTTATTCAGAACGCCCGTCTTGACTTCGACGGGATTGCCGTTACTGTCATATCCCTGGCGCGAAGAGCCCTTGGGCGTATCCTTGCGTCGCGCCAGAGTGGCGCCGAGGTTCTGCGCGACGCGGCCAATACCACCGACTGTGCGCGCAGAGAGGCCGACGGCAGATTGAGATAAGCTGTGCACTTTACGGATTCGTTCTTGAGTTGCTGGCGAGAAATTGAGTGGTTCTGGATTCGGTTTTGTGCGTTGCGCAAAGCTGTCGGCGCTGGAGGTGAGTTTGTTGGCTAAAAATGCGGATCCGGTTACGATGAGACGGGATGCGCGCGCGGAGGTTTGTACGATGGTTGAATCTTTGTAGGCGGGGTGGCGGGCCATGCGGAGATATTCCTCGGAGACGTTGCTGACGCTGATTTGGTGTTCTTCGCCTGGCGACGGGAGTTGGATTTCGACGGGATCTGTAGCAATATTAGCAACACAACTTGCATAAAATTGCGAGACGGTGACTTACTCTTCGAACCTGGCTTCACATCCGGTTTCTCGACGACCTTGTAGCCCTCTGAGAGTTCGCCGACAACGCTGCCGTCCTCCTCATCTACCAACACAATTTGACCAAATCTCTTGCTATCAGGATCTTTCTCGTTCGGTGATGAAATGTACCCTTCGCCGGGTGCATAATCAGCAGGATTGTATGGAGCATGACTCGATGGAGGAGCAGCCCGCTCCAGAAACGCAGTACATTGCGCTAGAATAGTCTCGAATGTGTCCACATCTTCCTGTGAGACCTTGTTTGAGCTAGATCCAATGCCTGGAAACTGCAAGCGAATGAAAGCGCCAGCATCAGGACCAAGATCCCAGCGCGGAATGAGATAACTGTTAGGGGGCTGATGGTATATCTGGGTCGTTGCTGGTAACGCCATATCGAGTTCGGGAGGAAGATGCAAATGTAGATAGAAGTCTTCCTCTGGCGCGCTCCCGGTCTCTTGCTGCTGTTCTGGTGACATGGTAGGCACCATCAGCAGGGAGAGGGTTTGCGGGCCCGATGGAGTAAGATCGGTCTCTTCTCCATCTTGGATGTGGTAGGCGCGAATGTTGTTAATGCTGTACAATATTCGAGGATCCCCGTGAGTCGAAGCCATAGCTGCGACACTGAATATCGTCGAAAATGAGGTATACTGCTCAATGGCTCGAACAGGCTGAAATGATTGTTGATACCACAAGTGGGTCTGTATCAAATGACGTCGATTTCAATCTCCGTGATGTTGCTCAGTATGCCGGCAATGGGTCTTGTCACCAAGAATATATGTAACAGCGCAATGTGGTCACAATTGTGATCAAGTCAGGAAATGATAAATACTCTAGTAACAATTTCTAAGGTAGAGGTCTCTCTCTATTCTTGGGTAGTCTCCCTACTTAAGCGCTGAGAGATGTGCCATGCAGGCCCTGCACGCCACCAGCGGCTCCCCTGTGCCAGTCAGGTCAGCCAATCAGAGACACGAGTCAGTCTTTATCGACGGTGCACCGCCACAGTCACGCGGGGTTGACTTGGCGGCTTTCACCAGCCACAGTAGTCATTGTGGCGTCAGTGTGTAGAGATCTCATAACGAAGTCTGTTAGACTGGCAGACGTATCTAATTTTTCTTGAGTATATTGTGCGCTCTTTATCAATTTCTTCGTCCTAGAATGGACAGTGTTCATACGCTTCGGGTTGTGTCTTGCTTCCCAGAAGTCTGCCGGAGACCGTGTAGAACATGAATACGCAACACACTTTAAATAACCTAAGCCTCTACTTCTAATCAATTGAAATATGGGCACTTTGCAGATCATGCATTATTTGAAGCTTTTCATATGATAGTGATCACTCAAGTTGCTGAAAGCATTAATCATGTGCTTGTATACTCCGTGTCCGTAGGATTTAGATGTCTCCGAACTAGCCGTACGATCACATGCCAGCAGGTACTAATTGACAGTATTCTCCCTTTTGAATTTTTTCCGAATCAGCAAATTGATAGATTTACAGAAGGATTCTTTTGCTGAAATTGATTAGGATCTCAAAAATCAGTTCAGAGAATCTCCTACAACCGTCGCCGAAGGATAGCCAGGCTTATATTCGCAGTCGCTGTTTAACCGCTCAGCCGCGGTTAGTCTCGGCATTGATTGACCTACTCCGATAACAGCGGTGGCCAGCTCCTTCAACTTCTCTCTGTTCATGCAGCGACACTACTTCTTCCATATTCTGCAATCAATTTAACAGTCACGAATCGATTTCAATCTAGAAGACCACCAGCATCGATTCTGAGAATTATCAGTATGGCCTCTCTCTCGCGCACACTGCGTCCTTTGACGCGCAACGTTGCCTCTGGGCTCGCGACCTCGACGAGAACAGTTTCCGCCCGGTCTCTCCAACAGTGTGTCCTTTTCACTTTATCACAAATTTGCTGAATGATACTAATAAACATCTAGCATCCCTCGCGCATTCTCCACAACCCCCCGCCGACGAGATGTAGACATCACCGATCTCACACCAACACCCATCTCGCACCTCACAGAAACCGAATCCCTCATGGCCGAAACCGTCTCCAAATTCGCCCAAGAACAAATCGGACCTAAAGTACGAGACATGGACGAAGCGGAAACCATGGACCCCACTGTCGTCGAACAGCTCTTTGAACAGGGCCTGATGGGCATTGAGATTCCCGAGGAATACGGCGGATCAGGAATGAATTTCACCTCCGCAATCATCGCTATTGAAGAACTCGCCCGCGTCGACCCTAGTGTCAGTGTTATGGTTGATGTGCACAACACCTTGGTAAACACCGCAGTGATGAAATACGGCAGTGCGGAGACACAGCGCACATGGCTACCGCAATTAGCATCAGGCACAGTGGGCTCCTTCTGTCTTTCGGAGCCAGCTTCTGGATCGGATGCGTTTGCGCTACAGACTAAAGCCGAGAAGACAGCTGATGGATACAAAATCAATGGCTCGAAGATGTGGATCACAAACTCCATGGAAGCCGGGTTTTTCATCGTGTTCGCTAACATTGATCCTACCAAGGGCTACAAGGGTATTACTGCTTTCATTGTTGAGAAGGGTACGCCTGGATTCAGCATTGCCAAGAAGGAAAAGAAGCTCGGAATCCGCGCAAGCAGTACCTGCGTGCTCAATTTTGATGATGTCGAGATTCCTAAGGCCAATCTTCTCGGCGAGGAGGGCCAAGGATATAAGATTGCTATTGGCATTCTGAACGAAGGCCGCATTGGTATTGCTGCTCAAATGACTGGTTTGGCTCTCGGTGCATGGGAGAATGCTGCCGGGTATGTTTTTTCTACACGTTCCGTGTCGTACGATCAAGACTAACAAAAACAGATATGTTTGGAACGACCGCAAACAATTCGGCCAACTGATTGGCAACTTCCAAGGCATGCAGCACCAAATCGCACAGGCATACACTGAAATCGCCGCTGCACGTGCTCTAGTCTACAACGCCGCGCGCAAGAAGGAAGCCGGACAGGACTTTGTCATGGATGCCGCCATGGCCAAGCTCTATGCATCTCAGGTTGCTGGAAAGGTTGCAGGCTCTGCTGTTGAGTGGATGGGCGGTATGGGCTTTGTGCGCGAGGGTATTGCCGAGAAGATGTTCCGTGACAGCAAGATTGGTGCTATCTACGAGGGCACTAGCAATATCCAATTGACGACGATTGCTAAGCAATTGCAGGCTCAATACACAAAGTAATTTACTACCGTGTATGAAGTACAAGATGGATGAGCTCAAATTCCGCCACTTTTTGATTCGTGGCCAGTAAATATTTAAAGGTGTTAGATAGCGTGCTAAAATGAGAACTTGTCATTTATCCTCATCCTACGTTCATGTCTACATCCCCCAAAGTCAGCAATCTACGCTGCATCGCCAAACTCAGCATGATGCACATTCGTCTTCTCCTCAACATCCAAGGCCTCTTTTCCACCATGCTCAATCCCAGTAAAGACATGCGTCTTCCACTTCCGCGCCGGCACACCCTCTGTAAAAAAAGCAGCAATCTCAAGCTGAGTCCGACCTTGAGTTTCCCCAACACAAAACCACACCCAAGCCAAAGAAGTCAACGTAAGACCGGCATACACAAAGCAGACCATAGGACCCAACCCGGCATTTGTATAGAGGTACGGCGCAGTGAATGAAATGAGCCATAGGAAGAAATACAGCGCAACGACGGAGACGGACATGATTTTGTTCTGGTTTACGCCGACGGAAAGTTCTCGTGTAATAGCGTACGTCAACGGTCCCTGACCAAAGTTGTATGCGCAGATCACGACGTATGAGAAGACGACGATGATGTACTTCGAGGCCGTCGAGAGGTTCTTTTGCGTCCCGATGCCGCCGATGATCATGAACGCGACGAAGATCATGCTCGTGCTGACGAGAAGGTTTGTTCGACGACCCAATCTGTTGCCCAGCAGTACGGAGGCGGCTACCGCGAAGATTTGCAGGATCATGGTGATCAACGTGATTGTGAAGGGTTGCGAGACACCTAGTTCTTCTGCGAAGACGACACCGTAGTTGTAGAAGAAAATAATGCCACAGATCTGCTGTGCGTACATGCCACCCGCAGCCCAGAGAAGTTTCTTTCGCTCAATCTTGTCAAATAGCAACGACTTCCACGAAGACGCGCTCGCCTGCTCTTCTTCGTACTCTTTAGCCTGTTCCAGAAATGCAATATCGGCCGATGGATCGTAACCAGCTTCGTTGCGATGAATCTTTCGTAATGATTCTGCGGCACTCTCGGGCTTGCCGCGGAATACGTACCATGTTGGACTTTCGGGGATGAAGGGGAGCCATATGAACATGGCTAATGGTAAGATGATGAGTCCGCCCATGGGCAGTTTGTAGCCTAGGGAAGTGTTGAGGGAATTGCAGCCTTGGGTTACTCCTGAGGCGACGAGTTGGGAGCAAGATTGGAGGAATTGGTACATGTAGAGGGCTGGACTTCGGATTTCAATTGGAGCGACTTCTCCCATACTATAGATTGAGATTAGCCGATGTCATTGGGTAGTGATAAGCAGAGAGGAATTTACTAGAGGAGCGAAGTCACAGTAAAATTGCCAACACCAAGACCAATAAGGATCCGACCAAGCACAAATACTCCCTCATAATGGGTATCAGCAMCCTGTACAGTMCCTCCAGCCAGTACAAGAAACGAGGCAATCCACAAAACTGTCTTTCGACCAAAGGTGTCATTCAGTGGCCCCGAGATCAGAGCACCCACCATATCGCCAATGTAGATACTGGAGGTTGTTAGAGATGTGAAACTTGTGGTCAGCGCTTTTTGACCGTCGGTATATTGTCCGCCATAGTCGTTTTTGAATTGTTGCATGCCCAGGATACCGCTATAGTAGGTGTTGTCATATCCAAAGACGAGGGCGCCGATGGCCGAGATGGAGCAGTAGATGATTGCCCATCGGTAGCGCTTGAAGTCGACGTCGAAGCCCAGCATATTGTCAGATGCATTGGGCTAACAAAGGTGATTTCAGAGTAAGGAAGAAATGCTTGATCCTCTATCCAAGACCGAGAAAAGACAGTCTTAAGCCAAGACGAACCATCTGATCAACATTGAATGATCATCAAAATACATGGCATTAAGACGCGCTTTAAATAATTCCATCCCCAGGACAACTGTTGATATCTATCAAGAGGAAAAAGATATATCCGGTCTGTCTCTACCCCAGACTAACCAAGCACCATATTCCCCACTAATCATTCGACATTGAGAGAGTAGTCAAGATGATTGACAACGAAAACCTAGTTATCATCCAATCAAACAGCCCTTGCAGGTCAAAATCATGTATGGATTGACTTGGTTACGAGTGGATTCGGAGTAATTTGATAACCATATTTCTCCGCGACTGCTATCGGCATCTCTCTCCTGCAATGGCTTCAACCAAAACCTACGATACAAACCTTGAAGTTCCTCACCAGACAACTGAAGAGGACAAAACTCAACCTTGTCTTATGGCTATGAACTTAAAAATGTGAGAATCGAATCGTGAAGCTGTTTTGGATTGTAACGAAAGATCTATTTCTCCGCACAATCTCCTCGGAAAGGCATGCCATGCCAACCCCCAATATTTCAATGTTGGCATCCCACGTTTCCCCACACCCCCGGATTCTGTCCTTGTTTGTCTTACGTGTACCTACGTCAGTCCATCGTCTCTACATCAAAAGGAGATTCCGCCGGATCGAAGCTTTTGGAAAGGCCATTTTCTCCAATACTAGGGTTCCAGAGCCTGAATGATGGCTAAGACGAAATGCCGAGTATGGGTAGACCTCGAGATAGTGCTGATAGAAATAATAGACTCAGCAAAGACTCTGGTTCTTTACAAAGTTGTTTGTACTCGTGTAATTTCCAAGTTCCAAGATCATTGAGATTAATTTTATGCGATCTTGTGTTATATTTGTTGTAGGGTTAGGGCTAAGAAATTACAATCTCGCCTAGAACGGGTCGTGTTACATAACCTGAACGATGAGACCACCATTCAGTCTGCTTGTTCAGATTCCTGCATTAGATGCAGTATTAAACAGACAATCACCGAGCTTGGCGTGTAGCGACACCAAGATCCTACCCTCAAAGCTTGTTTTAGCCTACCGTCATCCTTTTCTTGGCCGAGGGATCAATAAAAAGCTTATTCGAGATTCCAGGTGGATCAGACGAGAAATCGTTGACTAGGATGGCCGTTTGTTTGATGCTTTTTTCAAGGTTGCTGGAAATTGTCTGTACTGACATGATAACGAAGATTGACAACAGGCTCATGCTGTTAATATTAGATGTGTTGAATTTACGGTAAGTGGATGCGTCAACTCTAATACGTGGAAGGGAGCTTCAGATGCTGAAAGATTCTCGCTGGCGTTTTCACTTATTGTGCCCATGGACATCTAGTTGAGCTGCTCTATATAATACTTTGTTTCTCACTCGATCCCAAAGATATGTATCGATCATAAGTTGTTTATGGTGATGCGTATACATGAAGAAACCGCAGAAGAATCAAAAAAGAAGTGCTTGAAAGCGGGTAGAGGCTACGAATCTGTGAAGAGCTATACGAGCCAATGAGATTCAACAAATAAAATATACAATAACCAGCCAATAGAAGAATATTAAAAAGTTAGAATGGGTCGATTTTATATGAGCCTGCCCAATAGCAGCAAAAGGAAACGAGCACAACATATTGTGGCCTCAAGACGCAAGAGACCTAGCCCTAACTCGTCCTAACCACGTTTTCTAGCTTTCTTATCTCCGCGACGACTGAATTATCCAACTATGTAATTCGTTCAACAGCTTCAAATGGATGCGACAGTACCTTCTCCAACAACACTATACAAGATCTAAAGCTTTAGGGCTCCGGCCAGAATGCGACGTAGCGCGGCCGGAGTATTGCGTGCTCCCGGGCTGGCCAGCACGCAATTGAGCCCGTTGAAGCATCGTGATAGGCTAGATGAGCTCTCCAACACCAACAGTTGACTATCAATCGCATTTTGGGCCATTTCATAGTGTCAAATACTACCTTTAGAAGGGCTAAAATGCGTGTGCATTACGCGTCCTGCCTTGGGAGATTTCATGAATTTTTCATAGATATACTTTGGTAGTCAGCTAACGGACAGTTTTTCAGGATGACTGACTGAGACTTTCAAGTTCGTTCGTGTGAAATCAGTTGATCGTCTAGAATGGCCTTTCTCAAGGTTCCCGAATTGAACACCCGAAAGGGTACGTTTCGTGCCTACCATTTGGCCGCAGTCGTTTTGTAAGTGCCCTAACCACGTACTGTCTTCTCAACCTTTTCAGCTAACCAGCTTCAAAGTATCTCCTCCTTCTTAGCTGGCTACGACTCTGGCGTCGCCGGCGGAGTCCTCACCTACAAACACTTCGAGAGTGATTTCCGCTACGCTGCCTCCACAGAGTCTAAAGTGAGTTCGCTCACCATCGGTCTCAATCAGCTTGGCTCGTTCCTGGCTTGCTTCTTTTTCTATCCCTTTGCCAACAGATTTGGACGTAAATATGCTATTGCGCTAGCGGCGTTTATCTATGTCATTGGGTCTATGATTCAGACTATCATTACGCATTCGCTGGGTGCTTGGTATGTAGGTCGCATTGTGGCTGGKATTGGAATGGGTGGATTGAGTGTTGTTGTGCCTATGTATTCGGCTGAGATGACGCCTAAAGAAATTAGAGGACGGTGTGGATCTTTCTATCAGTGGATGTATACTTGGGGGGTGTTTTCTGCGTATTGGATTGACTACGTATGTCCTCTAATGTCCTTAGACCGATTACATGTACGCTGACTGTTGCACAGGGCGTCGCTCAAAGCACAACCATTTCCAAGACTTCTCGCGAATGGCAGATCCCCATCGGTCTCGAAATCATCCCCAGCGGGATTTTGTTTCTCGCTATGTTCACCCTCCCTGAATCTGTGCGTTGGCTCCTGAGCCAAAACCGAACAGACGAAGCATGGAAATCACTCACCTGGATCCGCGGCGACGAAGGCGACAAGACTCAAGAAGAATTCAACGAAACCAAAGCCGGTCTCGTCGCCGAGGAATCAGCCAAGGATAACTTCACGATTCGCGAATTGTGGCATCCATCCAATCGGCTTAGATTCATTGTTGGMCCTGCCATGTTTATCTTTCAGAATACGACTGGTAGCAGTGCCCTGGCCGTGTTTGCGCCGCAGTATTTCAAGTTGTTGGTTGGTAGCTCGGGCAATCGTGACTTGCTTTTGACGGGTCTCTTTGGTGCTATCAAGGTTATTGGATGTACGTTCTTTATTTGGTTTTTAGCAGAGCAGCTATCGCGACGTACTCTATTAATCGGGGGCGCGTCGCTGATGGCGACTTGTATGCTTATCATCACGTTGATTGTGCGGTTCATACCGACTGAAAACGTGGGCAATGTCACCAACGCTGGACGTGCGACGGTGGCTATGATATACCTCGACATCGTGGTGAGTATCTTTATAACCACACAACAACAAACTAAAAGCTGACTGATTCAGATATACAATTGCTCGTGGGGACCTGTTCCGTGGGCGTACGTCCCCGAGATCTTCCCAACTCGCATTCGCTCCCTCGGATTAGGGTTCAGTATGTTAGCTCACTGGGCAACATCATTCTGTTTCTCATTCGCCAGTCCATACATGATCAAAAACATCGGCGCGTACACTTTTCTCATTTTCATGGGATTTGATGTCTGCGCTGCGATTTTCACGTATTTCTTTGCGCAGGAGACGCGTGGAATGGTGTTGGAGGCTGCTGCTGGTACGGATTTTGGATTCTATGAGAAAGATGGATTAACGGTGGTTGAGAAGGGGGCTGATTCATAGACGAGAACTTGTCTCATCCTATGAAGACATGGTGAAGTCAACATAGACACTAGAGATAAAGTAATAGACAAAAATCGTCAATCGTGCTTTTATTCATTAACAAACTGGCCCTCCTATCAATGTGTAGATTAAAGAATAAATCAAACACCTCCATCCCTAGATGTGTACACCACATGCAAATTACCTAATAACAAACAAGTAACAGAGAACCTCTCATGCATAAGTCGCTAATAACACCCTTCCATAATATAACCCCCTTTATCCGGTACATGAAAAAAACAGAAAGAAAGACGGAAAAAAATAAGCCTCCAGAGACATCCCGTAGTGGAACCAAACAATCAGGCCCTCGAGTCCCATTGATACCCAATCTGGGAATGAGTGGGAGGCGAGTGCACGATTTGTGACGGATACGTATGATGAGCTGGTATAGGCAAGTGAGCTGATTGTAGCGAGGGGATGTTTTGTTCATATCCCATGGTAGCTACAGGGATATGCTGTGGCCGATGCTGCTGCTGCTGCTGATGTGGGTGACCCATTGCTGCGCGAGATGGGTAGGTCAGATTGCGGTTGTACGAGTCCGCGTTGTTGTTCGCGTATTGCGCTGTGGTTGTGTGTGGAAGACCATACGCCATGTCATGGTGCGTTTGACCCATGGATGAGCCTGCGAGTGAATCGGCGGTCATGGAATAGGGTGATTCATGCGGTTGCTCTGCTCCGCTCACGGACAGTGATGCGGATGATAGTGTCCCTGTTTGTGGCGGGGATACGTATGAATGCCATGAGCCCTGCGGCAGGGGCATTCTGTGTGTAAGAGGTGGGATCGGTGGTCCCGGTGGAAGCGAGTCCGTCAATGGGGGGCTATTGAATGGTGAAGAGATCACACTGGCTGGATTTGAGCTTGTAGAAGACCTTCGTTCATCTTCACCTATCCCAATGTTAGCAGTCTCCCTCATAGCTAAGTTGAGGGAAATACTCACTCTGATACAACTGCCTACTATTCGACATCATAGCCAACTGCTGCCTCAAATGCGCAATCTCCGACTCTAGCATAGCATTCCGCTCCAACACGCGATCAACCTGCTGACCCTTGGCACTCAACTCAGCGACCTGATGCTCCAAATTCTCAATATGCTCCTTTGTGCGCGCGCGAATGGTCCGTTGCGCTTCGCGATCATTTGCGCGTTTGCGTTCTAATTGTTCGGCTGTGAGGGATGTGACTTTGCGCATGCCAGCTCTCGAGTCTCTTTTCTTCCCTCCTGCTGGTTGAGATGATTCTCTTCCTCCTACGGCATTTGTGCTTGAGGCACTACCAGAAACTGTGCGCCGAGGTGTGGTTGCTGGAGCCATTGTTTTTTCGGCCATCTTGAACCCGCAGAAAGGAATTTCAGGACAATTGTATTACTTCTTAATTCCCTTCTAGTCGTGAAAAAAAAGAAAGATTGTCTGATCCGGATGTTTCCGGTATATAAGTAAATCAAATTGCGTCTATCACAAGTCTTGGTTTTGGCGGCTGAGGGGCAGATCGGTCCGAGGATTCAAAGATTTCGGAAGGCAAATCTTAGCAGTGCCTAGGTATAAGGCAAATTTCGAAATCTGAGAATGATTGTATAAAGCTCGTGCTGGAGAGTGTGAAAGGAGAAAGTGTGTTACCGAGTTGAAGTAAGCAAGTACGCAGCCCAGATAGTGTAGATGGTGGATTCCGTCGAGGGAAGAGGAGGCGATGACGACTTCATTTATTTAACTAGCAGATGGATAAGCTGGCTAGGCTGCTAGCGACTGCGATGGCATTCTCAGCCTACAGCCATAGTCAAATTATCTGTTCTATCAGGATTTAACTTAGCTTCTTAGTGCAAGTGGGTAAGAAACAATGAGCTATGGCAAACTATGGGAATGCGGAATGAATTAAAAGGAATCCACATTCCAACTGGGGAAACCGGTGGTTGCCGGCCTAAATTCTTTCTGGGCGTAAATGTACATGCAGTTGGACGTTAGTAGTACGTAGCGCGATTGCCAGTGAGCGCAGACGAGACGAGACGAGACAGAGCGCCGCCGCTTCAATCAAGAAAGAAAGACGCAGACCGACCCAGGAAAAAGAGAGTCATGGGCTAGGGAAACAGCCGCACTGGCGCTGAATCAAATTAGTGACAGAATGGGCGGCCTAGAGTACCCAGAGCGTTGGTTCAAGGCCAAGTTGGTTGGTTCCTTTTCGGATTATTGTTAGCCTACTATCTCGACAGTGCATATGATTTGCCGGTGTGTCTGGGTATGGGTCTCTTCATTGTCTAGTTTGTTTGTTGAAAGTTACGGGCGTACTATGTACATACAAAGTATGGAGTACTGTACAGCGGACGTAATACCGACGGCAATCTGTAGATACACTGTGCAGTGAGAGGAGCAGTTCTCAGCCGTTGGGAAGGTGTACACGCACGTGTGCGTGGTATGCAGGCTAGCAGGCGTTGCGAATGTGTCGCTGGCGTGGGAGTGGACCGGAGATACCTAGGCACGGAGGGGGAGGGTAGTTAATCTCTGCCATGTGTGCGTTGTGCTCCACTCTCAGACTTCGCTAAGAGCAGCTAGTCTCTGACTCGATGTGTATGATCAGTCTATCAATCAGAAAGATATAGTTTAATCAGAAAGAGTTCGGCACTGCCCAGTCATACGACGTATCGTCGTATGTACACAATCAGAGGCGATAAAACCCAAGGTCGTTTTCTAGAAAAATGCAGGCAAGCGGCGCTCCAGCCAATCACCGCGGCAAGGCTCTCAGATCTCGCTGCACGGAAAGACGGCCCGGTTTTTTTTGGCGCCCGTCGACTCGCAAATACCAGCGTATTTCCGCTTTGGGCCAGCCACGCGAGGAAGTGCAAGACACAGCGAGACAGGCCAGAGAGGCATGAGCGTTGCGTTGCGTTGGCTGTTGTGTGGGTGCTTCGTGCCGAGGAAGTTCTTCTGACTACAGATAATACAACATCGCGTGTTATACTTCGTAGTAATAAGACCATAAGGACTTACAGTAAGTGATCTATTTCAGGTTGGGGTAAGCAGTACTTCGTGCTCCGTACCTCCTACGGGAAGACGCGTATTGCGTTTTACCGTAACCATACACTCCCGAGGATTCCCTTCGTACCGTAAATACGAGAAATACCCCATAAGGCCGGCCACGTTAGCCCAACTCGCTAAGCCAACTGAAGCAATGAGCACGACCTTCAGGCTGTCTGTGTAGGTCATTTTTCGCGAAAACCCTCAGGCGTCCGAGCCAGCTTACATTGCCAAGCCTCGTACACTAGCTTTCCAGACTCCCAGACTCTTACTGGCTACGAACTTGCGATTCCTTCTTAGTGCACTTACGTAGTAGTGCTTTGATGACTCCGTATTTACCAGTGGAAATTGCCCTTTTGGCGCGACATGCTGCTAGACTAGGCTACGTTGGGCCGGCTAGTTGCGTTGTGTGGAGTCACGAACAAAGCCTGTACTCAGAGTAGGAGCCGAGAAGAACTCCACAACGCATCTTGGCCATGCGATTGTCTTACAGACACAAACTTTTAAGGTTGGCTTGACTGACGCAGAGGCAAGTCTTTCGAGACGTGCTAGGCCTGATTGTGTCACGGCTTACTTACTATCGATAAGCGATTGTATGTTCAGGTGTTCTTGAAAGTTTAAATCCGAATGGCTTCCTGCTCACCGACTGTTGGGGCAGCGTCTACGGAGTACTGTTCTTTGAGACGCAGCATTCCGTACAGGGGAATAAAGAAGAATGTCCAACATGTACCGCGCAATGGCAATAAGCAAATAAAGAATCGTCTCAATGCCTCCGTGGACCACTTACAAGAGTCAATGGAGACCCAACAGAGCGGAAAAAAAGAAAAGCGGCTCGACCGGAATCGGGTCCTAACGGTATGCAAGTAAGCCCTAGCCAAGTGATTCATTTGATTACGGAGTAAACGAATTTGACGAAGTCGAACGATGCCATCTGGCATCACGATGCGCCTCAAGTAACCGCCCGCAAATCGACCAGTCAAAAGTCTAAAATGCCAAGTGCGTTTCCTTCGTTTCTTTTTCCCTGAATTCTAAATGCTTGATATCAAGTCGATGACTCGATGTTGATGAACAGTGGGAACACGGACCCAGCCAGCCAGCCAGCCTTAGATTTAGTCAACTTTCTCGCATTCCGTTAAAAGAGTTAAAGTATAGACCCGTCGACGAATATAACTGGACATTAGCGTACTTAAGATATGCACCGACTCTTTTGTCGTACATTCGCCATCTGGCTGGCGCTTAAACGGAGCCATACAGCGATCCAACAACTGAGCACGACTCATGTCCCCCGTTAGAAATAGTTTATCTGATGGTAGATCTTGTAGCCTTCAACCACGAGCTAGTCACCAACATGTTGGAAACTGTAAATCGTTCCGATTGATGTAGCGTTTCATGCTGACGGCTGGATAGGCGCTTGCCCCCAATATCCTGGGTTTGAATGACTAGCGTTGAGAAGTTATTAAGGACGTGCTCTACATACTCAATACAAATGACGGTCCACGGGTACTTTTCCGACTTATAAACATTCAGCATTTGTGGCCCATGTGAATCCTCCGTAAATAGTCCTTAGGTTTAGGGCTAGGGACGGCACACAACAAAGAACTCGAGACGGGATTCTCCATATTGTCCACATGGTCACTAGTACCCTCTTGTTGAGATCTGCTGGTGCTCGGAAAGTTATTCTCCAGTAATATCATTCATGTTCAACTGGCTGACGCCTCTAGTTGTGGGTTGCAGTAGACTAAAAGAGTCTGACACCTACCAGGGTCCCAAACTTGGAAGGCTAGGGTTATGTGACTAGAGACAAACTGGAGTTTTGACATCTCATTGTCTTAGTATCATAATCAATATGCGGTCTAAATTCTGACAGGTATTCAGCCAGGTGAGCCCGTCATCATGTCGATGTTTATAGGCATTTTACCCTGTACTACGCGCGCCATGTCTGCATATCCCCATTTTAATTCGATATGCCACCCTCGACGCCACGTAGGTGTAGACCCTTGTATGGCATAAACATCTCGAAGCATCGTAGAGCTCGTTCTATATAGATGGTGCGCAGTCAATTGGTCCTCGTTTCCTGCACCTAGCCATATTTGCGGCGCAGGTCACAGCACACCCTTGGATATTGGGACGAGTCTTTTTAGTAGATATCAAGCTTGAGAATTTTATACGTCTACCTCTGCCTCCATCCCAACAAGACCGACGTGTTAGGCCAAATCAATCAAACCAGCACGGTATCGAAGGGCAGGTGTCTAAACAATGTGATTTCCGCACTACGTCCAACCTGCATGACTTGGCCATGTCTCATTCTCCGTTTGTGATGTGTTCTCGAAAACCGCTTTCTTTGTTTGAGACGGGCTTCCATGCAGTATATTTTCTTTTTTTTTCCCCCATCGGCAATACTATGGATCACGCTCTTAGGCGTGTATCATTGATTCGCAGCGCACGTTTTTGATTTCTTTCTTTGCCCGTCTCATCTCCGCCTAGTGATCCGGCCCATCTTCGTCGTCGCCGTAGATATCTAGCCTGATGATGCCATTCCGTGTAATCAAATCTTTGCAAAACTTCTATTGTTCGACAGCCTCAATAAAGTGTAGTTAATTCTTGAATCGAAAGGCGAACGGTAATCCCGGCGCCAAAACAAAGGGAGATGATAGAACCAGGCACAAAAGGAAAGGTATATAAGAAAGAAAAGAAAGCTACCGTTACATCTATTTTGTTTCAAGAATTACTACAATGGATGATAATCCGAATATGTGTCTTTTGCTTTGATTTTCAGGGATCAACTTGGTGGCACAATGCTATCCGGTTATTCTACCGAACAATCTGGTGTTTACTTAATGGTAGGCAGGACGTCAGAAATGTAGGATGCATTCGGCACGAAACCCAACTTTAGCCCAGACCAGCCCTAGTTGTTCCAGCCTGTTGATAAGATTACGTTCTGTAAAGTCAGTCTTGAGAATATGAGGCAGCGGCTGATCAGTTTTTCGCTAGGAGATATCAATAGCAGGGCACCGAGTCGACATTCGATGTGCGTCATATTTGTGAATCGTTTGATGCTGCGACATAAGACTCGGAGATAATCAAAATTTGGAAGCGTCGGCAAGAAGGTCTGGCAGAGCAAAAGCGAGTAGAGAAACGTTTGTACGATGAGTAGACCCGAAATGCTGCTGCTGCATTGTAAGAAGACTATGCAGATAATGCTGAAGATGCTACAGCGTACCTCAACGATGCCGATATTCTGACAATCACCTCGCCTACGGCCTCTTACGTATGGAAAGTAGAGCCCAAGGTAGGCGATATAATTAAGAAAGGTCAAATAGAAGCGATCATAGAGGCTATGAAGATGAAGATGCATGTTGTGGCTCTGAAGAGATCGGGTGACCTCATTGTAAATTCTATCTTGAAAAAGCCAAAGAGAACTGTGAGTACAGGTGGTGTTATAGTAGTAGCAGGGAAACAGAAGTAGAGTAGTAGCACTCGGTTTGATGCATTATGGCAGTCCATATATATTTTATCACTGTTTCAAAATCGCATAATGAGAGGGAGTTTCCATGGATAGCTTCAAGTACATTGTTATTTGACCTTGTAAGTGTTTACGAAAACTGCCGCTAAAGTGAATGACAAAATGAGATTCTCAGTGGATAAAGGGGGCACCTCAATCCACTGAGAAGCAAGAAAGAAAAGAAAGGCAGAAGGAAACCATATTCCTTCACTCAATCAACATAACATTACACTGAAGGTGTCCCTTCATCGTCATGCTATCGATTAAGATGAGAATCACGCGGAGCTAGACAGACTCATCTAGAATCCAGTAGGCGCAGCACTACCACTTGGGACACCGCTACCACCAGGGGTACCACCAGGGGCACCACCTCCAGAGCTGCTGTCACCACCAGACTCAGCCACACCACCAGAAGAAGTCAAGGCAAAGCTGTAAGTCGGGGTGTAGGTAGCCGAAGTATTGATGGCAACGGTAATCCAGCCGAAGAGCCCATCCGTAACATCATCTCCAATTTTAACGTAGTTGATGACAGGGTCGGAGGTGGTGTCTTCGGTCTCATCATTAAAGACACGGTCCTCAGCGTTAGTGGTAATGGCGATAGTGTTGGTGTTGTATGGGCTTGTGGCCTCGACTTCAGTGATCAAGTCCTGGTCCCAGAAGAGCTGACCGATGTGCGCGACTGTGCCTCCGGTGATAGTGTTGTTGGCTAGCTGGGTGACGTTGCCAACGTGGGCGACGACGTGGTGGTGGGTAGCACGTCCAGAGTAGTGACCAGGGAAAATTGTCTGGAACTGGACTACACCATCATCATCGGTCTTCTGAATTCCGCGCAGGAAAGTGGCATTGATGTTGGAAGTATCAGCAGTGTTACCATTACCGTTGCTAACAACACCAGAATAAACACCAGTAGAGTTGCAATTCCAGATATCAAACCAGACGTCGGTGACGGGCTCGCAGGTTTCGACGTCAATGAACTGAGCGTCGAAAGTGACATCGACACCTGGCTGGTCTTCACGAAGATCGGAGCGCACATATTCGCCCAGGACGTAGAAGGGACCAACTTCACCTTCGGGGTTGAGGACACAGGTGGAGTTGTCCGTGAAGATGACGGACTCGGGAGAGTTGATGGTGATGCTACCGTCCGTCACCTCATGGGACTTGTTGAGCACGGTTTCGGGGTCGCGGACAGTAAGACGTTTGCGAAGCATATCACGACGCAGCATGTCTACGGTTTCGCGGCGACGAGCTTCAGCACGGTCGTTGTGACCGCGAGCTTCGAGGTGGCGAGCACACTTCTCGAGACTTCGGCGAACGGTGGATTGATACTCTCGCTTCTGGATAAGGGCGATCTCATCCCGCTCCTCATGCTCCCCTGGGTGAGCTACAGAGAGTGTAGCCAATCCCAAAAGGGCGATGCTTAGGACACTTGGGAGTTGCATCGCTATTCACAATGTCGATCAATTAGATGGCAAGATTAGAGAAGATTGTCTTTGGTGAGCTGTTGAACAAAAATGTCAAATTGAGCGGGTGGTTATCCTCCCTTATATACTTTACGGATTACCTGACTGTATTGATATGAGAAGCAAACCGTAGACCTAGGCGTGAGCGACTGCTATGGAGAAAGAACAGCGCCTGGACTGGGAAGGGCATGTAAACAAGTCACCTTCTCCACGAATGTCCGCAGGGGGTACGCGTCAGGGCTCAAACAAATTAAGCATGTTGGATGGTGATGATGCGACATTCCCCTATAGTGACTAGAGACCTGTATCCCATTCGTCACGGATGATTCATATGCGCAGATTTCAACTTTAGGTTAGTCGATCATGGAGCTGTATCTGCTACACGCAACGCATTGAGCTACCCAACTATGCTTAGACTATTTGACGATCATGGGTGTGTTCAACTGTCTAGGCCAGTCCAAACGAGTACCTCATTCGTGTACATCTCTGCAGACCTTTCTCTTCGAGACTAAAGACATTAATAAAACCGTTGATGTGTATCTCAACTGGTGGACTCAGCAATATGCCATGCCTACCCGACAGCCTCTTTATCAAATGCTCAAAGGCCAAGTCAAACGGCATCAAGCCGCGTTGACACCAACCTTTGATTTCAGCCGAGACCAACATGCACGGTTAAACATCGTTTCAAGGTTTCTGGATAAGGTTTACTCCGTCCGGTGGAGGGGATCGCACCCAAGACCAATAGAGTGCGTAATACAACGCAGCTGATTGGTATATAAATCGACTCAATGGTGAAAATAGTAATAGACGAACGTGATAAGTCGAAACAGCCCTAAGGCGAGTAACATGGAGTACGTAAGCTCTATAAAGGACGGGCCGCTGCCAAGACTTCGACTCAGTAGCATGCCAAGACAGAAGCTCTCCAAAGCGGGCTCTGATTGGACCGGGTTGCAGATCATCCCTCCTTGAGTTTATGGGGATGACGAGGCCATATAATACCGATGACAGTATGGTAGCAGTAGGCAAAGAATTCTCCGTCAGAAACGCCGTGGCTGAATTCGTCAATCGTCCTGGCGATTCAAGCGGATTGTGTTTGCAAGCATTGAAGCTAGAAGCAACGTCCAGTTTCAGGTAATGCCTTAATTGCAGACGCGGACCATGCAAGATGCTTTCTTCCGTAAGTAGAAAACAAGCGAACACGGAATATGGCAAAGGATACAACGATTTGTAAGCCTGTTGGGTCCAGCTACTTAACCTATGCTTAGGAACAGTAGGGTCAATTCAACGTTGTAACCAACACTCAGCCACACTGAATATGGCTGTCGGTGAAATGCCGACCCCTCCAATAAGAAATAGACAGTGATGAGTCTTTCCCTTGGTTTATACTGTTGCCAAGATGCGCCAGTTCTCGAGGATAAACATTTAAGCACTTCGGTCAGCAATAGGATTCTTCTCTGAAGGTAAGGAAGTGTTCTCAAGCGCTCTCGAGAGTTCTCTGAGATAGTGTACATTCCGAGGTAGGCATTGTTGAGCCTTGACGAGTCGAATATCTGATCATCGTGTCTCTGCTGATTCGAAAGCGCCGACCCATGTACAATATTGTCACGGTGATTCGCGGGAAACCCTTCAGGGCGTTCGCCCATTTTTCGCCACTCGAACGAGTTGAACTGAGGTAAGTTGAGCGCATAGTCGTGGTAGAATCAGGAACGATAGCCTCGATGCCGGTTCCTTGGCGAATAGCTTGAACATTGTCAAAGGATATAACCGAACCGCAAGGGAGGTGTGAAAAAAGGCCTGTATGCCGATTCTATTATCGAGAGCACTGCTAGACCTCGCTTCCTGATTTTCTTAGGGAACCAGCATTGACGTCGCCATTCGATGCGCCGCGTAAGAACACGACCTTGGAGATATCTGCTATAGTGACTCGCGACAACATGGTCGTGGCTATTGCAACTTATCTTGGCTGCTTGATCGGCGTAGTGCGACCGTAGTCAAATATCATCGTCTTTCTTCCTAAGTGCACAGGGCACTTTCCCATTATCCAACAAGGGCAACGCAAGGCGCATGTTTTGGCGTGTCTGGTAGCCTGGCAGTGCAATGAGTAGCTTCTATTGGCTAGGCCCAGGTAGTATGTAACGGACATCATAGAGCTAATCAAGAGATCGTATCTCGTGAACTGATGTAGGGTTGTTTGGCGTGCTTCGTCAATTTAAGACGATCGAATACCCCGTTGAGAAAACGCAGGAAGCACGCTTCGAAACAACGCTCATAGTTGCAGTAAAGATAAAGCAGAATTTTGGTCAGTGTTATTTGTTTGCAAATAATTGACTCTTTTCATGTTCCTTGGAATGACTGGAAGGAGTAAAACAAGAAGTTAGAACTTAGAAGTGAGGTTGTCGGGTGGAAGGCAAGAGCCAATCGGCGGGCGCGCCTGACCAAGCTTTATTTTCGGCAACACCTGGCATCTCCCACGTCATGTATCCTTCTTTCGACGCACAGCTTCATACAATAATCTAGACAGGACCGAGGGGTCGAATATTTAACATGGAGCAAGACTACAAAGCCCGTAAAGAGGCTTTCGTGTCAGACCTCTCCGGTGGAGATATCAACGAGATCAACGCAGTTGCTCTCGTGGCGTCGGTATGTTGACGCTCAACACTTGTTTGCAAAGATCTCCTCACATAGCTCACAAAAGATCATTTTAGGTGTCGGCACTACTATGGGCAACCCTGCAGTCGCGCCTCTCTTTTTTTACACCCTATACTCCTGCGGCGCTTTTTGTCGATTTCCTTCTCAATGTCGGCGCCATTCTGTTTTCGACCACGATATACTCGGCCTCTCCTCTCCTGCTCAATTTACTTCTCCTTACCCCGGTCGTTCTTATCCTCTTGAATTCGTGGTCAGCCCGTCCACGACAAAAACAAGCGAAGCCCTCGCGGCCGAACCAACACCAGAATGCGGTCGGTTCAAGCAAGTCGGACAAGGGAAAGAAAGGCCCGGAATCCTCTCCGGTACATCCATTTCTCACCACTTATCGAGCCGCAATGATGGTGGTAACGTGCAGCGCCATTCTGGCGGTGGACTTTCCAATTTTTCCTCGCCGATTCGCCAAAGTCGAGAATTGGGGTACGTCGCTTATGGATTTGGGGGTTGGATCCTTCGTCTTCTCAGCTGGCGTCGTGTCTGCCAGGTCCATTCTCAAAGATCAAGCTGCGGGAGCATTTCAACAGTCGAATATTTTTCGGAGATTGGCAGCTGCATCTCGACACTCCATACCTCTACTATTATTAGGCTTGATACGCCTGTATAGCGTCAAGGGTCTTGATTATGCCGAGCATGTAACAGAGTATGGCGTACACTGGAATTTCTTCTTTACGCTTGGCTTTCTGCCTCCCTTCGTGGAAATTTTCCACTCATTGTACTCCATCATCCCGTCATACGAGATCTTGGCTCTGCTTACGACCACGGTTTATCAAGTCGCATTGGAATCTACGGACTTGAAAGCTTACATTCTGATCTCGCCGCGTGGTCCCGACCTACTTTCTAAAAACCGTGAAGGTGTATTCTCCTTCATCGGATACCTCGCCATTTTCCTGGCTGGTCGTGCTAGTGGCCTGCGAATTATTCCTCGAGGCACGGCCGACAACAAACCCGCTTCAGCACAACAAGCTAGGAGACGTGTGCTGATATCGCTAGCCATCACGGCTATTGGCTGGACAGTGCTCTTCATATTTAACTCCACGCCAGCCATGGGATACGGTGCCCGTATTCCTGTATCCCGTCGCTTGGCAAATATGCCTTATGTGTTCTGGGTATCTGCATTCAACAATGCGCAGATCTTTCTATTCTGTCTCATAGAAACATTACTTTTCCCGACCGTGCACAAGGTCATTGACAGAGAGACAGAGGCAGAGAAGAGTAAATTCGCAACAAGTCCAATCATGGCGGCATTTAACAATAATGGGTTGGCTGTTTTCCTGGTTGCGAACTTGCTTACCGGGGCTGTGAATTTGTCGTTCAATACTCTGGACGCCAATGCATGGCAGTCGATGGCTATTCTGATTGCTTATATGGTTTTAGTCACTGCTTTTGCTTTGGGCTTGCAGGTGTCGGGGCTGAAGTTGAAGATATAGTGGTTACTGCATATATAAAATTGTGCTAAACTTAAGATACATTCCTCCAATAATCTCTTAATCATAATTATAAAGGTCTAGATTTCCCCGCAAAATAAGCCAAACGGTGACAGCGAAAGCCGATTGGCTGAACGCGCGAGCTTGGAGATTCGCATGTGATTGCCCTCTCCGATAATCCAATCTCGACGTCTTGCTTTCTTTCCCACACCAACACGCCTCACAATTATTCGTATACAGTAAATTCCCAACCGAAAATGGATAATCCTCGTTTTCAGAACTATCCGGCAGCTCGCAAAGGGCCCGACGAACCATACAAGAAAGAGGACCTCGCTTTGCCAGTCCTCCGAGGACAGTCATTAAGCATTGGCGCAACCGTGTATGTTCACTATTGCAGCACCTGACCCAAAACAGTCTGTTAACCAATAGCTTAGCATCCATCATTTAGCATTCCTCCAAAATCATCTATGGCACAGCAGCGGCCTAACCACTTTCCGAAAAGCAGAAAACATACTCAACTCCTATCCGCCGCGATTTGATCCTACAGTATGGCCTATAGTGAGCAACGAGTCGACACCACTGCTGGCTTCGCTCCCGGCTCCTCAAGAACAGCGCGGATCTAGCGCTTCAGGCTTCTGGACCTCGGCAGATTACCACCAGCGCTATTTATCCGGAGAATTGACTCCCACAATCGTCGCTGAGACGTTGCTGCCCATGATCCAAAAAGATACCCACCCACCGGGGAAATCTGCTATTGGATTTTTGGAATCCAAAGTTGATATTGTCAGAGCTGCGGCTGCGGCATCAACGAAGCGGTATAGAGAAGGCAAGCCCTTCGGCCCGCTAGATGGTGTCCCTGTTGCTGTTAAGGATGAGGTCCACCTAAAGGGTTATAAGAGGACACTTGGTAGTAAGCTTGACTTCTCGCATGGGTTTGATGTAACTTCTTGGTGTGTTGAGAAGTGGGAGGAGGCTGGGGCTATTATCATTGGGAAGACAACTATGCATGAGATTGGAATTGGTAAGTGATCACCTAGATAGATAAACACAAAACCCGAAGCTGATAATGTCAGACACAACGAACAATAATCCAAATTCAGGAACCCCACGCAATCCATATAATCGCAACTACTACTGCGGCGGTTCATCTGGAGGATCAGGTTACGCTCTCTCTACAGGTCTTGTTCCGATTGCTCTTGGTGCCGACGGGGGAGGCTCTATCCGAATCCCATCTTCATACTGTGGTGTATACGGCCTCAAAACGACCCATGGACGCATCTCTGCTGCGCCTACACCATCACTAGCGCCTAGTGTAGGCGTCTATGGACCCATGGCTTCTAGCATCGATGATCTCACCCTTGCATACCGACTCATGGCTGCCCCCCCTTCCATCGAAGCCGACAGCATCGCATCCGGATTCCCCAACCCGCTTGCCGAAATTCGTTCTGACCCCGGTAGCAAGATAATCGGCATATTCCGTCCATGGATCGACCGCTCTGAACCCTCGGTCCGCAAAATCTTCGATCAAACCATCCAGCACCTCCAAAACGTCAAGGGCTACAACACCATCGACATTGAAATCCCCTATCTCCCTGAAGGCCAACAAGCGCACGCCCTTACAATCCTCGCCGAACTCGCCGCTGGAATACCATCATCAGATGTAACCTCTTTACTACCTCATACCAAAGTACTCATCAGCGTCAGCGGCAGCAAATCTACCGGCACAGATTATATCGCCGCTCAAAAGCTGCGGAGCCTACTCATGTCTCATCTATCGCATCTATTCACTACGCATCCAGGTTTATTGATTCTGACCCCCACTGTGCCTATACCAGGATGCGAAATCAAAGGTGGAGATAAGGATTTGTCACATGGAATCATGGATGCGTTGACCTCCACGCGCAGTATGGAGTATGTCTGGCTGGCGAATTTTACCGGTTGTCCGGCTATAAGTTTTCCAGCGGGGTATGTTGATGGTTCTGGTATACCGGTTGGTGTGATGGCGATGGGGGAATGGGGTTGTGAAGAAAGTTTACTGAGGTTCGTGAGGGATACTACGGATACAGGATTGTTAGGAGCTGAGGGGCGGTTGAGGACGCCGGTCGTTGAGCAAAAGGGAAGAGAGGATGTGGCGTGGGTGGATGTTATTGGAGAAGCGGAGGCGAAGATGAGTGGCTCGAATAATAGCAAGTTGTAGCTGCTTGCAAGTCTTTCAAAAGCTGATTTCTTATAGATATAGTTCAGTGTAATAACAATCTGGTGATATATCCTCTGTGCTGGGCGCATGACTACTACTACTACTACTACTACTACTACTACTACTACTACTACTACTACTACTACTACTACTACTACTACTACTACTACTACTGCTACTGCCTAGTCCACATACTGGTTCATCTCGTTGGCGGACCGTGCTGCAAAATCTTCAAGCTAATAAGATGAGACAACTGTAAGCTTGCTACTTTCGTCAATACTGATGTAGCGGTCTAGGTCAATTGGAACCTGCGAAATTTCAGAGTGCAGATGTAAGGCGCCAAAGTGAAACCATTCTTGTATGATACTTTCGGCCATTGCTATCTTGTCCTTGTCGTCAAGCATTGTAATAACCTGTATTTGATCGAAACCTAAACGCCGCGGAAATCCGGCAAAGTCTTATCGGTCATAAGATACTATTCATGGGGTGGAACTACATTTGATGTCTCTTGCAATGGTCTGGAATAGGTAACTGATCCATTGTGGGCTCGTACCCAGTGCTTTAGATTAGATGGAATAGCTATTATCCAGATGGTTGACTGAAGGCTTTTCAAGATAGAAATTCTGCTAGGTTGTATCGTCTTGCTTGCGTGGCCCAGTCAGAAAATGCTTCACTCACAGAGGAGACAGATGCGTGTAATTACCATCCAAATGCAGACCTGTTCCCAGAGATTCAAGAGAAGAAGAATCAAATGATTTAGTAGCTGACTACAACAGTTAACTCCTACAATCATAATCGAACAAGCTGCCCAAACAAACAAATCCAACACCACCCTCTATAACCCCGAATAAAGACGTTGCCGCCTGATGTCTCACAACTCCAACAATTCCATCTATAAAGCATAACAGAATAATGAAAACAAAGACTAAATGAGAATCCCTTCCCCTTGAAATGGTACATGAAACTCACAGCCAAGCCCGGCCTCCTCACTCTGTGCACGCAACTCCTGTAGTATCCGCTCACTCGGATGCGGACCATCCATCAACGTGTCTTTGACATGAATAATAAAAACTTTGAAACCTGCCAAGGGCGGCGATCCGGTTTCCGAGTCTGTCAATTGCACGCTCGGTCTTGAGAGGGCCGTTTCGTCATCCTTTTCGGTGTCATCTCCCGGATCGTCGTCAATACCAACGGGTCTTAATTTTTGAGCATTCGAGCGGCGCGATTGCGGTCGATCTGTCATAAGTGCGTCGTTGTTGTCATCGTCGCCATCGTTTTTGACAACATCCGGTGTTTGCGTTGATGCTCTGGCACGACTACCTGACATGGGCGACTTAACATTTACGTCGCCATTGTTGTCTCTCGGTTTCGCGAGATGAGTCGTAACTTGGCGCGTTGAATGCGGACTCACGGGCTGTTCGCGCGCATAATCTGCTGTATCAGAGTCTTTCCTTTTGCGTTTACTAGATCGACCTCGCCGTCTTTGATCCTTCTCTTGGTGCTTGTCGGGTCTCGCTTCTTCGACTTTGCTCGCGAGTACTTTCAGTTCTGCAATTAGATGGCGAGGGCACAAGTGGCCATAAAGAGTCTCGTCGTCGACTGCGTCGTTGTAGGAGCATTCGATGAAAATAGCCCGTAGTGAACCACTTACTATCTTCGGAGCAGCGATCTCCCATACACGCTTATTTCGAGGCTCCAAGGATATTGAATCCGGCTCAATGTCGCCAAAAATGATGATCTCTTTGTCGGTGTTGTCGTCTCGGATGAAAAAGGCTGAGCTTTCTACGACGCCCCAGTTGGTGGTGTCTTTGGACGGGGTGGCTCTTAAGCCTGATCCAATGTGTGGAGAACGTGCTGGTGAGTACATACTACCAAAGCATTAGCACAACTATAAATTTTCCGGGAAAATGAATGACTTACGCTCCATCGGATTGATCAATTGACAAGTTTCGAGCGCTGGACATGACCATTTGATCAGGTCCAAATACAGAACTGCCAATCCGATGATGCCTTCCAGACTCTGCATCATACGGCTGCTTGCACCGACCGTGGCTCACACTGAGACACTTCGTGACAAGACCATCACATGCGCGCACATAACCCCGACTCTCTCCACGCCCAAAACGCGGATTTCCACCTTCAACGAGTCGTTGGTATGTGATCAAACCAGCACCACCATCTTCATCAGACAAATTCGGCCAAATTATATCATTGAACATGTGATATTTCATTGCCGAAATCGCAGATGGAAGACCCGCGACTGTTTTGGGTCCATTACTTGCCTCGACAATGGGCGTATTAATGGCCAGCCCAGAAACATGGTCCAAATGAGGATGCGTAATCAGAACCGAGGCAATCACCTCGCGAAAGATGTAAGCAGCGTTTGCGTGCGACGTTTTGTGAGGCAGCTGCAATCCTACAAATGGTCCATCATTCACGACTGCTCTACCCTCTTCATCGATGGCGAGAGTCTGGTCCAGAATGCGGACAATACCAGCAAGAAGTGTGCCTGCATCTACCGCAACGACGGAGCTCTTGGACCAAGTTGTTGAAGTTGACCGGACCAAAAGTCCTGTGACAGCGTCCTCTTTTGGCCCTCCAGTCGGGCCCTATGATAGATTAGTCTCTGAAATTCAAAGTATATTGGGCCAAGAAGATGGTAAGACATACCAGAACAATAACCTGAAAAGCCGGATCATCCATCTCCATGAAATATATCAGAATGCGTCTCCGCTTGTTCCACGTATCAGACACAATATATAATAAACAAGAGAGCGCCGTCGCTAAAATCTTCCAATTCGGGATGACCAGTCAACCCTCTAGCTAATCTGAGGCCTGAATTCTGATTGGGGTTCGTCTTCTGCTAGAACGGGACGCAATGTTGCAAAGGATGGTAAATGTGCGGGGCCAAAAAGGTCAAAAACCGACAATCACCGTGCTTGGGCGATTGGCAGATATACATATGCGTTGCTGATTTGCATGCATGCATATGCTGGTTGAGACGTTGGCAGTAACAGGATCAGTGGTGTTGGACCAGGGTGTATGTCAAAAAATAGTTGGTACCGTGGTGGCCGGCTGGTCGCACAAACAATTTGGATGCTCTCAGAGTTTGGTGTCCCAATGACGAACAGACATGAACTGAAAGTACTGGAAAGAGCAAAAGACGAGCCGAGTAAAAATACTGCCTCAATCGCTCACTGTGTCCAGTCGTGACATCGTCCACTACATCAGTGTACAAGTACGAACAAGGCTTGACGCTAAGCAAGCAACAAAACCCCCGGAGAAAAGACACACAAATCCGAACAAAGTTTTTCGATATGCCACTCCGATTTTTAGGCAAGACGAGGCAGTCAATTGGCAATAGTCAGAGCAAAAGAAGGGGAAAAAAAAAAGAGGTCAAAGAAAAGAAAGAAAGTGGCAAAAGTCCGAGGACGTGAACAGCTCGAAGTCTATTCCGAGAAGGGCAATATTCTGGAACAATGAAAGAAGCCTTGGGTGCAGGCTGACTTGGTGGCTGTGGCTGTACAAACAAACGAAATCCTTCGAAAGTATAAGTTGCAGTGCGTACTCCGTATTCCAGAATGATCAGAATGTACTCGACTGGATCGAATGGAGAGGCATTCCCCATATGGAGAAGATGGATCATTTACGTAGGAGCACATCTGACCGGCCAATCAGAGCTAGGATGGCTAGCCAGACGCGGATTAGCGTATTCCATCTCGTGATAAGATCTCGTGAACTACGTATTTCACTGAGTCTTTAGATAAGACATTCTTCAGCCAATGTATATATAGAGAATATATAGAGAGATAGATATATATGCCATATAGCTGTGCTTATAAGCAGACTTGTGATAACTAGCAAAGTCACGCTTGAACGAATGCGATCATGTCTTGACGAACCGTCAAGCTGATAAAAAGAGATGGGGAATCTTCTAGATGGAAAAGAAAAGAAAACACAGGGGGGAAATCCAATGAACCAGACCCAACGTATCCATAAGTCATCCTTCCGGCCCAAACCAAGTCAAGAAACGTATAATCAGTACAAAATCCAGGGCTCCAAAGGAAACAAGACGCCATCCATGACCGCTAATTTTAGGAATCGTAACGTGACCCCAGGATATAAGAGAAAGAGGAAACGATCGAGAAACGACTGATCAGTCGTGACATGCAATGAAAGATAGACAGAAAGTAGAGGGGACAGTAAATATCAGCTGGTCATCGTTCGTCCTGACGGCTGTGATATTCCGGGGTCTCTTCGTCGGCCGCCACGGCGGTATATCCGGGCGGATGACCACCATCTTCGGCCTCGTGATCCGAGCTGAAGCTATTTCGGCTGGACGCTGGACTTGAATAATCCGGAGGCGGACTTGCCGCAGTAATGTACAAGCCGTCCTCTGCGCCGCCCACGTTGACACGGCTGGAACCCTCTCCAAAGTCCTCGTGCGACGGTATATGTGCTAGTTGGGCAAGAGAGATGTCGGTTGGGGACCGGATAGGACCGGGGCTAGTCGGTGCAGGTAGCCGCGATCCTCGGAATCCAGCATCAAGATAGCCGCGGACAGGGGCAGTGGTTTCACGACCGGACTCAAGAAGGATGCTTCCTTGCTCGCTGCCATAGGGAGGCGGAGGCGCAAGGCTGCCGGTCATGGGAGCCAAGCCCCATTTCTTGACGTTAGCCTCGATGAACACAAATCCCATCTGTCCAAAATTCACATGGACTGTGCATGGTCCGTTTGCGCCGACTGTTGGGAAGAAATTGGGCGATTTGAGACCATGTACAACATCTTCCAATTTCTTGCCATTGCGAGTGAAAAATAGTGTCCCCGATCGCGGGCGATATCCGACCCCGATGACATCGCCCTGAGTATATTCTGGGCCGTAATTTGGAGCTTTGAATGGCTGATTATACCTCCGATGTCCGGTTGATAAATATGCGATTGAAGCTTTGTGATATCCTGCAAAAATTAGCCTGAACCTTGAACATAGATATGAAAATACATACCTGGTAGCCTGAACAATGGATATGGTTTCGTAGTCATTCCGATGCTGATCAAGGTCGACTCCGGTTTGTCATATATCTTCGCTTCCCAGTAATAAACTTCGTTCTGCTTAGGCACTGGTAGGTTGGTCTGAACGCTGCATTCCGAATCGAAAAACTCAATCTCCGTTCGCCCCTCGACGAAGCAGTTGGCGATTTCCAACTCTGGCTCAAATTCCCAAGCCGATACTCCTTTCTCTTGTATTGCGAGGAATTGCGACAACGATATATCGGTCTGCATAGTTTCTGGCGGGTTTGCCTGGATGAAAGCCTTGGCTCGAAGGTATTCCGCCCGAGGAAGATCGTCCATCGTCTCCAAGGCTTCGGCCTCCTCGCGAGCAAATGCCTCTTCATCATCAAACTCGCCCGGTCTTCCTATACGATCAAGCAGGATTCGTCCGCGTCGAGTATATTTAAAAAACACAATGATCGTAAGCACAACGATTGCGACTCCGGCAGAGCCCAAAGCCGAAAGGATGCCTATCAGGATGCCTCTCCCGGTCGACCCCGAGAAGGCGGCGACTTCGGCCATGACATCTGAGTTCGACGATGGGCCAGTCGACGTTGCTTGCTGCGTGAATTGGGCTATTTTCATGTTGATATCGGTCTGAGTGAGCCTAAGAAGCGATGTTGTGAAGCCGGTCGGTGACGCCATGGCCGGCGTCAACAGGGCCGGATCGGGCGGGGGCATTACTGCTGCATTAAGAGCGGTCGGAGGGACAAAGGTCAGGCACAGCAGAGGTGACTCGGGTCGCTTTGAAATGGACACAGTAACGTCGAAACGATGACACAGACGCTGCAATCGTGATGATTGAGTATGGGTATATGAAGAAGAGGGAGGAGATGGAGGAGATATAGGCAGAAGGCAAATGCATGGGCTGATGACTGACTGAGGCGGAGATGGTCTCAGAGCTGGCCACTCACTGCCCGCAGCGCTGCCAAGCCTGGCCGCTTTCGTCGCTGTCATGTGACTGTACTCGATCGAAGGGTYTGATCATGTTTGACGACAGCTTCATCCTGGCGCTTACCTTGCTCCACCATCAAGGGCTCTCTTTTTTGAATATCCCTGAAGTTATTGTTTACTATAACTAGGATTACTGTTGTCATCCAGTCCTTCCATCCCCCCCCCTTTTTTTTTTCCATTCGCCTTTTCCTTTTACTTTCCCTTACCCTCTCCCTTCTCCCTTCACTGTCACTATCTTCCTGCCTGCTAATCTACCCTGCCTGTCCTTGGTCTTTGTCTTCCACCAAACCCTATATTCTCCAATCTTAGAAGTCCAAATCAATGTTCCAACCGATTCTATCCGAACATATTTATGTCACCATTGCATCGCTGTAAGGGCTGTACTCGACAAGGTAAAGAAGGAATGAATAAAATTCTTTGAATTAATCATACATACAGACATACTCATAACATACAACGGTGTTATATACAATTAATGCAATCAAGAATCAAAGGGAATCATTATGTAACGGCCAAATCACTCAGGCATCCATCTCATGCACCACCCTCCCCTCTGCAGCTGACATTTCATGCAAAGCAGGGCGGTCAACTGGCGACTTTGGCGGCAACTCCGTAGCCCCCTGTTGCTGTCTAGATGGCACATATTCGGCCTGAGGAGCAGTGATATACGCCGGCGTCGAGGCTGCTGCCGCTGTCTGGGCGCTGCTCTTCTTCCGTCGGCACCACCACCAAAGAATCAGCGCGACGAGCGCGATAGCGACAATACCGCCAATGACGGGACCAGCAATCCAAGCTTTGCTGCTGCTATGACCTGACGAAGAAGAGGAAACTCCAGAAGCATCGGAAGAGTTGGAGCTGGAGATTGAGGCGTAGTTTACGTTGGATGTGTCCTGGACCAAAGTAACAGAGTTCAGCAGTTGACAATTGTCATAGCCGATTGCCATACTGGGATCAAAGACGACTGCTTCACATGACGGCGAGTCGCTGTACGAAGCACAGCTGTCCATACACGCTGTGATATTCGGCTGGTGCGAGAATGTGAGATTCGTGGCGCTAGTAGCCTGTTGACCGCAGGAAATCGTGAATGCGGTATCTGTGCCGTTCGCAGTGCTGGTATAGTTCTTATCGGTAGGACAACCCTGAGCAAGAGTTGGAAGGTTCAAGACGGCGGTGTGAAGAATGTAGGATTGAGTAGTGAGATCATACTCTTCCAGAGGCTGGCTGGCAGTCTTCAAGTAACAATTCTGATATCCATGAATCATGCCGGGATTCCATGACGCAGACTCACACAACGGGTGTGCAGCAGCGCAGATATCCATGCACTCATCCAAAGTGTCAACGTGCGTGGGACAAAACTCCGAGGACCAGGGACAATAAGCGCCCGTCGGAACCGCCATTGAGCATTTAATTGTAAAATCAACACCAGCCGACGACGTCTGCACCGAGTTGTTTGCATACGGACACGACGTATTAGCGAGACTCAACTGATTCGGGTCAGCGAGAGCAACGGCCATTTTCGAGTTTGTCTCGAGGTTCGACTCAGTTGATGCGGTCAGGTTGGTTAGTTCCCAACACGAGCTGTTAGAGGGTTGGTAGACGACGCCATAGCAGTAGTAATCTTCCTGGGAGCAGGTATTCATGCATTGAGTTAGGTTGATTTTGGTGGTGGGCGCGCTCGTGCTGTATGCTGCGGCGGCGATGTTTTCGTTGCAGTACATGGTGAAGTTGAGGCCATCTGGAGCCGTGTAGTTGCCATCGTTTTGGCAGCCGGCGATGGTGGTTGCTATGAGGCAGTCTGTCAGTGTCGGTGTCGCATATCCGGAGAGATTATGAACACTTACACATGATTAGCGTAGACGTTCTCAACAAAACCTTACTCCAGATAATTATTGAGAAATTTGCCGTCGATGTTGTCAAACGCAAGCAAGAACTATGAAAAACAAATCGACAAGAATAGGTTCGCACAGGTACCTTAGCCGGTCCCCGTGTTCTCCATACTAAAATCTCAGGCCACCACGATGGGACTGTGGTTCCATACTTAATCTTACGATGCTCGTCATACGAACCTCCCTCAATACACGGTACATCCATGCCGGACATTCTCCAGCGAACCCCCGTACCTACAATTACCATACAAGACGGCGTGTGCAGTAACAGCCATGGCGTACGTAATGCTACAGGTGATATGTCAGTCCGAGTGTAAAAATACACCAACAACGACTATTCATTGGACAAGGGGTGAAGTTGAAAGTTCAGCTCGGATAGTAGCTCGCCTATCAGTGGGTCCGAAAGCTTCTCATAGAGCTTCAAGACATTGCGAAGATAACGATGCGCTGAATCTCAGGTTTGTCTTGTAGAGGCATGCATGAGAAACGAAACAGCTGTGTTTCAACTGTCATGTCGAGATGAATGGGGGATTCCAGGTACCTGGAGCAACGCGAAATGGTGGGGTATACAATCATTTTACTATGTAGACTTTTAATTCCGCGATTGATCCTTCAAAGGCCCACTATGGATACTGACTTGACCAATGGGTTTCATACAATCTACTATTAAAGCCTGTGCATACAATTTACTTTGCTTGGATTGGCTTGGTGGATGCGCTCCACGCGACCTCCGTATTAGGCGCTGGCGCTATAGTCCATATTCTGATGACCATGATGCCCTAGGTGGGACTGCCATCTTCATCTCTCGTTCAATCAGGGTCATGGACATGCGAGTCTTTGATAAGACAGCAGTTATCCTGGTCTATCTATATACCTAGGCACCGTCCATGCTTGAAAAAGAGCAGCGATATCACGCCGGCATAGGGCTGAGCAGATAGAGATCGACCTCGATCAATACACCCTGCCAAAGGATGCCCAGCATTTCCAGCTTTCGTGGACTTGACATTGTATGGCTATGGACGATAGGAAGAGAGAAGCAGCGCACGACCACGCTAAAGCATATGTCCATCGCAGCAAATGCGATAGTACTGAGAGCGCTGAGCCACATCAACAGGGGTCTGACCCCAACACAAGGAGATCAATCTCGTACTTGGCCATATATTGTGGCCCTCGTATTCTTCGACGATGACTCTGTCGGCTAGGCCCGAAGCGAGGACGGATTGTAGGCGTTCGGCGAGCATTTGGCGCACATTCAGTTTGCTGCGGGCGAAGTGGAAGGTGTCTTTTGTATGCTACGATGAGATGGGAACTCAAGGCTCGCGCGTATTAGAGGAGGCGGCGGTGACTTTGTGGAAGAGGTCGAAGATACCGTAGGTGATTCAGTGTTTGCCTATTTTTGTTTGGTTTGTTTCCATTTTCATTCAGCCGCAATCGGATTTTTGCGAAATGAGAGTAGCCGAAGCTGGCCGTTTTTGGTTCTGTATTCAAAATGAGCTCGCGTCATATATGGACGATAATATACGGCTAACAGCTCCTGTACTACAGACTGATCTTGCATGCATACATAGATCCTCGAGGCTCGAGCAATGGGCTGCAMAAGCCACAAGAGGACAATTCATGTATGAAAACAGCCAATGTTGCACGGCATATGAAGGCTAAATTACCTTATACTGATTCCAATGTATCTACGAAATACGGGAGCCTACACTGAACTGCCAATTGGGCCAAATATGGTTAAATTTTATTTAGTAATATCTAAAAAACAGGATGGAACTTCAATCCTAAATGAGTCTGGTTAACTAAAGTCCGTCATTGATGATAATGGATTACTTACTAGGCCTTTCCCGAGATTCAGTGCTCCTAAAAAACCATTGATAATCTTTCCAAAGGGGCTGACAATCATACAGTGGTGTCATTCAGACTGCAACAGGAAATCCATAACACACCAACTCGGTCTTGATACATGATGTATAACTGATCCGCTCATGAAGCAATCTATGATATTCGCGAGCCATACCTCGTCCCTTAATCGAAACAGCCAAAAAACCATAATATCGAGACGCTGCGCATCATTTGGAAAGTTTTTTGTTGTGCTTGAGTCAACGCCAGCTCTGCAAATGAATCTTCATAGTCCGTGTCATATTTTCAACGTGTCGGCGTCAGGTAGCAGAGGCAACGTTCTCAAGGCTCTCGACTCCGGCAACGGTTCAGTGGATCTTTGCCAGTGCAGAATTCGCATGAACCAGGACAAAGAATACGATGCAACATTTCCAGAGACAGTTCCTCCCTAACAGGAATGCGATGATATTCCACCACGACGGGACACTCTGATGAGCACTGCCATGGTTTGTCGAACTTGTCAAGGAACTCCGCCGAAATGATAGCGGTGTAGACATAAAAATGCTGCGCTGTCGCACCGTAAACGGCGAGAACCTGTACCTTTGAGAATTTGAGTCGGGATTAATCATCAAAATAGCTAGAATATCGGCATACCTTGAACGACTGAATTATGCCTTGACACTTCGATTCCAAAGTTTGACAAGAGAGTCTACTTGTCTCTGACAATGCGACATGCTTTGTCTTATCTGTATCTCCCCCCCTGCGCTGTTGATCCCGCTTCTGACCCTGGGCCAGAGCGATGAGAATTGCAACGAGATATGGATCTCGGGCCAGATGAGGAGACTCGATGTCCCACAGACGTTGCCGCACTTTGGCGGTGAAGGGATGAGCGGCTCCTTTAACACGGCGGAAATGATGATAGCGAATGTCTTGGATGGTCTCAAAAGAGATGTAGGCGAGGCTTGAAGGACCAGCACCGGACGCGAAGACACCCTCCGTTGGAAGTTGTGCAATTTTTCGGAGGTTGAAGCGAAACGGAAGGTATTTCGATCTATACGATATTAGTACCCAATTCGAATGCGTAGCAAGATGTTAACTGACCCTTGAGGATGTATATTGTAAGCCTCGAGGATTGACTGGCAAAGACATGTTTTGATTTCTGGTTCAGTTCGTTCTAAGAGATTTGTTTTCACATGATTTGCGTACGGGGACAGTCCTAAGCGCATAGGCTGGCTTGACGAGCTATCTTTCCCACCAATAGTTGAGGCTTGCTTGACCTCTCTATCCAGAATCACATTCTCGAATACAAACTTACAATCCAAAAGTTGCAAGTGTTCCGACGTCCAGGCTATGGGTCTCACGTAGAGGCGCCGAGGGTCATTGTTTCGAATGATGAAATTGAGCGAGCCTTCCTCGGCAATTCTCCCAACTACTGAAGGCTGGTCGACACAATCGCGATGCGATCGCTGTGCTAAATGTGCCTGAAGATCGTCTTCAGCTTTCCGCTTGGTGTGAAGTAAGGGGGCCATTTTGTTCACAGTAGACAGACCGCTTGTGAGCACTGGGAATTAGTCCACTTCACAGTGGCAGAAATGGGCTTTAAAAATCTCTTCAAGCATGACAACAAGGAGTTCATTTGGTTGGGAAACCCTCACCTGTTATTTGTTTTGATATAATCACAGCGGGAATTGCCTGCGTATACTGTTTTGTGCCACCAGTACCTTCCTGTTGCAGGTTAGCGTCATTTCACACCTAGGGCACAGTAAGTATCAAAGATTGATAATCATCAGTGAGAATCTGGTAACATGCTCTAGAAGTTCTACAGATAGTGCATTAAGTGGCGCTCTAAATTATAGTAATTATCTCAAGTGCTCTTCATTTCTAGATAAGGGTATTTTCTGAGGGGATATAATATATCCACACCCCAGCCCTAAATTACCTAAATAGGAAGTAGATTAAATGAATCCTTAGTCCTAAGTACACCACGCAAATTCAATACAAAAGCTTCGAAAGAAATCTATCCATAAAGTCTCATATAAGAAATTAATTTCTAGAGAGATTTAAGAGTGGTTTGAGCTCAAAAGTGCAGTTATGAACGGACTTCAATAATACGTATAGCTCAATTTCTGCACATGATTTTCGGTGAGATGGATGTATTCGGGGGGTTTGTGGACCTTTTTTAGTACAAGATCTAGAAGTAGTGAGACAACCATCTTCCAACCGTCCGAAGCATCATCAGCCTCATCTTCCATGTCTATTGACTCATTTGAAAAATAGTCAGTCTCCGCGTCCTCTGATTCGATCCCTCCACAAAGTCGCTGCAAGTACGATCACCCTCCACGCCTATTGATCCGTCAGAAGTATGGTCATCTTCTACGCTTATTTGAAACCTTTGGGTCTTGGGGAGCATTGCCTTGGCGCGCATCATGCCGCCGTAAAAGCGCAAAGGTATGACACAAGGCAGACTTTCGACCCTCGAATGTTTGAAGGTTGAACCACTTTGTGCTATTCATGTAGGCGAATGTGTCTGGATGTTTATCGAGCAAAGTCTCCTGAGTCAACCTGCCCTCAGCGTCGATATATTCTGCATATTCAGGCCCAAATTTGAAGCGAATAAATCGTATGAAAGTGTTCGTAGCCGCAATAACATAGACACTTGAAAACAACATCATGTTAGCAATGCGAGCTCTGAAAAGGAAAGATTAACAGACAGCATACTCTTGATCACGGAGATGATGGCCCATTTTCCAGGTGGCTAATGCTTCACCAAGGTATTGGGCCAGAGTCTCATTTGACGTGACTGGCTTKTGCTGTCCAGTTTTCATGTCAATGTCCATTGCTTGGAACGCCTTCTTCGTCTCGAATAAAGCTATGGTTGAATGCTTCGTTTTTCAAACATCTTTTTCCCGCATCATCTCACAAATCCCACCGTCGTCTACCGCGCTGAACGTATGCTTATTGCCCACCCGGGCTGTGCACTTCCTGCGCTCGATTCGTGGGCGCACCTCCGTGGCAGGGGCTGAGTTCTGCACGATGCACAAATTCAGGGCATGCTGTATGAAACTGTGTACGAGGTGCAGCATCACATCCTCGGACTTACTCCTCCGGGCGTCATGCTCGTCCTCATCAATTTCGTTATGGTCAGCTTGAAATTCCGACCCCGAGGATTGAGACGATCCAGAAACTTGGGTGGCTTGTGACAACGGAGGTGAAGAGCTTATAACAAGCTTTGTGGGGTCGACGTAATCGTTTCTATTCGGCGGACGTCTTGCGCGCTCGGGGTGCTCTTGAGCTTTGGACCTGGAATTATCAGATTCTGTTTCCAGTGAAATCTCCAAGCGTGCTGCTCGTGCAAGTGCAACCCAAAAAAACCCTCCTGGTCGCTTGAGAAGCTCGGAATCTTTGCTTCCCTTCAAATCCAGGGAGCAATCAGCCGTGAGAACATTCTTCCAAACGTCGTCGAGCACCTCAGAATTCGAATTTCCGCAGACTGCGCAATGCTTATGTTCACCCGTGAGGGTCTCCAGAAAGGGTTTCGGAGGATGTGTAAGAAGTCGGAAGGCGAGTAGATGTTTGAGGCCCCATCGACTAGCGGACGCCGTCAATTCATCTTCGTCAAGATCAGCATGAAGTCGCACGCCAATCTTTTCTGATAGTAAGTTGAATTCCTTCGGATTCTTGACCGCGTAGACAGGATTATCCATTTGTACGAAATGTTCAGTCTTTTGGCGTAGCAATATCAATAAAACAGAAACCGATGATGAATGGTTGCAAGTGAGGGCTTTGGAAGACCTCCCATCCATTTTGTATGAAAAGTCCGTCTTTCATGATGTGTATAAGCAGAGGTTCCCTATGTCTTTTGTGCCCGTCCAATGCTTTGACTATTGTCTACCAGTGTCTACAGGCAGCATGATCATTTTTGATATTGGTAAGAATGTCTTGTGTGAATCATGTGTGGAGGTCTCCTATCCCCTTTGTACCATAGTGATGGGCATTATTGATGGAGGCTCACCGGCAGGCATTATCGTTGAGGTCTGTCTTTCATAATATGTAAGGGCGGGCTGTCTCCTTTATGCCAGGGTAAAGTTTTCGGTATTGTAGACAATGACCCGCCGTCGAGCATGTCTTCTTTGAAACTGATGATAATAATGAAAGTGGTACAAGATGTGCTAGATGGGAGGAGATTCCCGTCAGGCCAACGTGAGGAGGTATCCAGATATGGCTTGCAGACACCAGTATAAAAGACGGCCAGTCACCCCCCCCATGCCATCGTGGTTGGGAATGAACAATTGTTCCTGTTTGCAGAGCTGTAGTCAAATAAAGCAAAGGGAGGGGGGTGTCAGATTTGTCGCCAGTTGTTCATCTCGCTATGGCTGAAGAGTTATTAAATTATATTGCTGAGCTGTAGTGCTGTCCGTTGATAAGCCGCCCATTATCTAGGAAGGTACGCAGACAGAGAGTGGGGCCGGGCCGCGGCTTCCTTATCCACCAGGCACACCTCCGCACTTCTACGACACCTCAACACTATAATCGCTTGGGGACAATACGTATAAGCTATCTTCAGGTGTCCCAAAATATATGATTCGAGATGAGCCCCTCTCAAGCACTGCGCGCTGCTCCCCTGAAAGGCACCGATACGCTCGACATTCAGCGCTTCCACATTAGCCTCTCTGTTGGATCCAACGTCAACAAATACCCAGGCAAGCAAGCTACACCCGGCTCTGAATACATTCTCTTGCTAACTTCTTGCGATCAAACAGCAAAACAGCATGCCCGCAAGGTGGCTTCCAAGCTCGGTGTCCGTCGAGGTCTTATCTTCTTGGTTGGAATGCCCACGGTATTCCTCGATGATTCAGATCAAGCGGTACCATTTCGCCAGCGACGATACTTTTATTACTTGAGCGGTGCGAACGAGCCGGATTGTTACCTTACCTACGATATTGCGAAAGATCATCTTACCTTATATGTACCGGATTTCGATTTGCGACAGACAGTGTGGATGGGTCCTACCATATCAATTGGGGAGGCTTTAGACAGGTAGGCTCGACAAAGGTACTTAGGAAGAGCCATGAATTGCTTACAGATTTTTTGAATAGATATGACATTGATAATGCCCGGTACGCAGGGTCTCTACATATCGATATCAAAAATTGGCTCCGTTCGCGCAACGACGACTCTCAAATTATTATCCTTCATCCCGATCATCGACCACCCGCCGAATACGAACAAGACATACTCGACACAGAGAGCCTGATCCCCGCCATGAATGCGGCTCGTGGAGTCAAGGACTCGTACGAAATCGAGATGATACGAAAAGCAAATGTTGTTTCTGGATTGGCGCATACGGCTGTTTTGGAGAAAATCGGACAGATGACTAACGAATCCGATATCGCCGGTCTCTTTCTAGAGACGTGTATGACTCATGGGGCGGCGGAACAAGCATACGGCATTATTGCTGCTTCGGGCGAAAACGGAGCGACGCTACATTACATGAAGAACAATGAGGATTTTGGTGATCGGTTCTCGATTTGTCTGGATGCTGGTGCTGAGTATGAGTGTTATGCGTCGGATGTCACGCGCACATTCCCTATAAGTAGTACGGGCGAATGGCCGACCACAGACGCGCGGGATCTCTATTCTGCTGTCGAGAGGATGCAAGAAGAATGTATCAGCATGATCAAGCCTGGAGTCCGCTTCCGTGATGTGCACATCCATGCCAGCGTTGTTGCTGTCGAGGAGCTATGGAAGCTTGGTGTGTTCAAAAGGCGCCATTCTGTTGATGAGATTGTAGCTTCTGGGGCTGTTTCTATCTTTTTCCCACATGGGCTAGGTCACCATGTCGGATTAGAAGTCCATGACGTCTCTGAGCAATCTGTGATGGCAACTACGAATGAGGTGTCACCGAGAACACGGGCTGGAGGGTTCCTGATGCAGCCCGCCAGTATGATGTCGGCAGCACTTTTAGAGCCAAACATGGTCGTGACTGTCGAGCCTGGAATCTACTTCAACCGCCTAGCGCTGAAGAATGCGGAAACATCACCCATTGCCCATTTCATCGACTTTGATGTCGTCGAGAGATATATTCCGATTGGCGGGGKACGCATTGAAGACGATATACTCGTTACCAGCGATGGATATGAGAACCTTACCACAGCTCCCAAGGGCGAAGCGGCCCTAGACATTATCCGGAAGTGCTCTCTGAAGAAACTCTAGATCATGCGTCTTATGATACACCACCCACTGTTGCTATCTCCTGTGTTGACCATGTACATACATCGAGCGTAGTATTAGAATAGATGTACCTGCATATGTCTTGCAATCCCTACCTAAAGTATGACCGAGTGGTGTGACTTTGACCCTCGAAATCCGGCATGTCGGCATCAGATGATGTACTTCCGTACTAAAAACCTGAATGAACCAGTGGCGGATCCGGCTCGCGGTGCCGAAACCTTGCCCAGTGACACCACACCAAGAAAATTTTCCATGCCTGAGTCACGTCAGCTTGCTCAGATATGAAGAAACTTGCAAATTGACTGACTCAACCCCGGATCGATCGAGTTTTTCTTGGTCCAAGAGTCACACGAAGAAATTTACCGAGATCGGGCCTGGAGATCGCGTGATTTCAGGTTTGGATGATCTGCGTCCGGAGGGCTGATTGGCTGGGCAGCTGTTCTCCCGATATAGTATAGACTCCTCAGAAATGATGTGCTATAGTAGATTAGGTACATGTACAGTGACAACTGATCATTCTGCACGAGGATGGAGTCATTTGCTGCTAGTCTGAGATCATGTCTTGCTCATAGACATTTCCAATCACCCAATATAGCGTGTTCTTCAGTCTCAATGTACTACCGGGTGAGTCAAGAAGAGGCTGACTGGAAGAGTCAGAGTGGGGCGGAGTGATTTCGTGCTTCCGGCTGGCAATGAGTCACCTGTCTGACTCTGCCCTACGGAGTCATACCACCTGCACTATATAAGTCTCCTGTTCTCGCCCTGCACTATAAATCAGAGATCCTTCCGATGCTCCAGGTCTTCCTCCCGTCATTCATCATGATTGGGGGTTGATCATCGGCTCCTCTCTTTAAGTCATGCTCTTCTCCTCTTTTACCTGATCTTGTACATCTTTTTCGACAGGAGTTGGGGCAACCAAAAGTGCTTTTACGGACATACGTTTACGCTACGAACAAATTGAAAAGAAGATCATCAATATGGGACAAAGACACAACAGACGCCGTACTCGACCACGATCTCGCAACAGAGCTGCAAGTCTCGACTCCGTACGGAGTTGCCCAAGCCAGTTCTCTCCCGTCGACCATCATTCAGAACCTGCCATTCTCGCACCACTCGCACACATCCGGCACAATTGGTTAGAAGAATGGCAGAGTTCCGAGCCCACTGAATCGCTCGACGCAGAGCAGCTCGCAATCCAGCAATACTTTGGCGGCGAGCCCGGAGATGATGAAAAACTGTGTTATGATATGCTCGACTATTTCGGTCGACTCGACTATATCGATACCTGATAACCCTCTTAAATTTGGGCTAGAATAAAAAAACAACAAAAACAAAAGAGGAGGGCAGTGACGACTAAGATGGACGAGAACCCTCATGTGTTTCCGCCGCTTCAGAGGCCTTTCGCACTTGAGCTGTCTCTCGATTCGTCTGGTCAACGAGTCCCGTCGCTACTTGACGACGATCGATCACATGGCACGCCAATCGCCAACTTCATATCTCGACTGCCTTCATTCGCAACTATCAGAGCCGCTTCGACTTGTAGCAATGAAACGTATCATTATCTTTGCCGAAAGGCAGGTAACCGATACGCGGATTGGTCCCTCTAGGCTCGACTGCGACCGTCGCAACTACCGAGGTAATGGCATCCAGTGTCCATTCAAAGCCGAAAAGCGAAATCGTACTCCAAATGCTCCAGAACGTGTCCCGTCCGTGTGAGTGGTGCTCGTATTTCGATGCTTGAGCTCCTCGCGTGGTCGGTTGACTGCTGGAACATCGGAATCATTCGCAGTGCTTATTAGATCAGAACTCGCGTTCTTTCATCTTTGAAAATAAAATCTCGTGTAAGCCGGAAATGGCTTATAATGCATGTACATAGTATCAGTCTGTCGCTACAGATGAATAGACATACAACCTCAAGAATCATCAAAAAGGATTTAGGATTCACCAGATAAAAATTAAAAGTTCGTACTTGTTAAGATTAACATATTAGACCACATCAGGCCTGGCGCACTCATCAAGCAAGGGCCGCCCAACCCCAAGCTCAAAAAGGCAGGCGGTCTGCGGAATCAAACAATCAATCGTGTCCTTTAGCAGCAACTGCGACGTAGCGAATAAAGGCCCTCACGCTCGAGATACTTACAAGAATCTCGACACTCACGCTCTTTTTAATTTTCGTTCCTTATTTCCATCTCCTTCGCTGTTTGATGGAAGTGCACAACGGCCCCGCAGTGCTGGCAGTCTTCAACTTGTAAAACCGCGTGCTCACCGCAGCGGTCTTTCGTTTCAACATGTCTTCCACGGATTACAATTACGATGAACAGGTGCGATGAGACTTTCTACGGTTGTATCGCACTTCTTGCTAAATCTGATTGCAGGGCCAATTCTTCCCTTACTTTATTCTCACCCTCACCGGCCTCGTTACCCTTCCTCTCACATACAGTCTTCTCAGTCCTCCAAAAAGTAACTTGCCTTCTTCAATATGTGGTACCAGTTTGGCTGACATGGTTTGCGTCTGCAGAACTTGAGAACACCGCTCCCCGAATAAATTCGACTTTCAAACCCAAACATGAAGACCTTATCCAGGCTCAGAAACGGAAGCGCTTGCGCAAGGAGCGACGAGTCAAACGCTTTATCGCAGTGGTAGTCGGCTGGGCTATCATCGGCTGGATGATCTACCTCATTATAGTCACAGCCCGTACATTGCCAAAATTATATGATCCCTATGAGATTCTTGGCGTGTCTAGGGTAAGTGCACCACTCTGCCCTAAAAAAGTTTCCCCTGTTGACTGGATTGGTTGTGAATAGAGCGCCGACGAGAAGGCCATCTCTCGTCACTACAAGAGAATGTCTCTGATTTACCACCCCGATAAAATCCGACCGGACCCAGCAAAGAATGAGACGATCGATGACCTCAATCAACGGTTTGTGGAATTGACCAAGGCCTATAAAGCCCTCACCGACGAAGAAATCCGCAACAACTACCTGCAATATGGACACCCCGATGGAAAACAAAGCTACAGCATTGGCATTGCATTACCAAAATTGATTATCACTGAGGGCATGGGAAAATACGTTCTATTGGTCTACGGAAGTCTTCTCGGTGTTCTTCTTCCTTACATTGTCGGAAAATGGTGGTACGGATCTCAGCGCTACACCCGGGAAAAAGTCCTCATTGCAAGCGCTGGCAACATGTTCAGAGAATACAAGGAGGATATGATTGGTGGCCGCGTCATTAGCGCTCTTTCGACTGGAGAGGAGTACAAGGAACTGCTTAAGGGTGCCAGGTCGGAAGAAGGTCTGGCCAAGGTTGAGAAGAAAGTGATGGCTATTGATGAGAAAATATTACCCGCAAAAGACCGTGAAGTTATTCGGAAACTAGACGATTCGACGAGGAGAAAGGCACTGTCATTATTATGGGCATACCTCAACCGTATTGATTTGGAAGACACTACGCTGGAACTAGGTTGGTTGGTTGCTTGAAAAACTGCTATGCATTTACTTATGTTAATTACAGAAAAATACGAGGCGGGAGCTATTGGTCTCGCCCTCAACGAGTCTTTTACTGCCATCACACTCGCTTTTGGCAATCTCCTACCAGTCATTGGCGCATATCGTTCATCTCAAAATATCATCCAAGCTATCGCTCCCGGTTCATCACCTCTCCTTCAATTACCACACTTCACTCCCGAGGTCGCCAAGTCGGTAGAGGGCGTCGATGCTAAGACACATTTGAGTGTGCAAAAGTACATGGAAATACCAGAAGAGAAACGTCGCTCCTTGACTATCGGCCCCGGTTTGTTATCCGAGGAACAGTACAAGGCCGCCACCAATGTGGCCAAGCAACTACCGTACTTTGTCATCTCGAAAGCTTTCTTCAAGGTTGTTGGCGAACGATTCATCACACCAAGCAGTCTTGTCCAACTTGTGATCAAGGGACGCATTATCCCACCAGGATATACAACATCCGCCCCTGAGGTCAACGAGTTGGATTTGGAAGATATCGATCCTGAAGAAGGCGATCTTGACGCTCTCCATAACCGCAATGTCGGAAAGACCAGGAAGGTCAAGAGAGCAGATGGCTCGATAGTGGAAGAGAAGCAAGAAATCATCCAGCCTCAATTGACGTATGCCCCATACCTACCCCGCGACCATTCTCCCAGGTGGCATGCCTTCCTTGCCGACCCCAAGCAAGGAAAGATTGCTGTTCCTCCGTTCAACTTCACTACGTTCGACAAGCCTATATTCGACGACGCTGGCAAGCCCACATTCAACGTGCAAACCCTCAAAATGCAATTTCAAGCTCCTCCACAAGTTGGCGAATTTACATTCGCCCTGCATCTGATTTCAGACAGTTATATGGGATTCGACATCAAGAAAGAGATTACTCTTCACATTGACGACCCAGCCAAGGCTGCAGCAGTTGAAGAGGATGACGACATTAGTGAGCCAGATGAAGGTAAACAACCATTCCCAAGCACTATCGAGAAATGTATGACTAATTGTGAACAGATTCCATTGCCGGTCAAATGCAAGCTCTAAAGACTGGCGTCCCTCCATCTCAAAAGAAGAAAAAGAAACCAGCAGACGAAGAGTCGGATGATGAGAGTGACACGGAAGGAGAAGTCGACGACACGAGTGAGACAGATACCGAGACCGATACTGATGGCGAATAGATACCTTGATTGTTTTCTTCTCTTCTCTTCTTTCTGTCATGGTAAAGAATTGCATACATTTTAACGCTTAGTTACTCTTTATTTGAACGGTGTTCATTGGTATGGGCGAAATACATGTATTCTAGGCAGTTTTTACAGCATTGATCGGACTGAACTAAATACTCCTGATTTTTAAGCGCCTAGAAAAACAAATCCTTCGACCTGACTGGGTCCCAGGATTTTGCAAGACAGATTACCAAATAGCGCCTATGCTTGCTCTAAAGTCCGAAGCAGAGTCATCTCCTCATCTAACCTCTCAGCACCATAAATGTCATAATCATCGTAATCGGTCTGTCAAGCGCCAAACGGCTTTTTCACCATCTTCACCTTCATCCCGTAATTCTCAATAGGGTCAAGCAGAATCTGCCGCGAGTTTTGCCAGTAGACCTCGACAAGAACCACTTCCAGAAATGGGATTGCATCCAAATGCGCTCGTAAAGCGGAAGGCTTCTTCACAACAATTTCGGCATCCTCGTGCTGTAATTTGACAAAGTCCTTGCGGGTTGGGGCCAGGGTTAGTTGTTTTATATTGACGGCATGGGTCTTGATAACTGCAAACAGGCGAGCGCTATCTTTTTCTAAAAGCTCATCAATCTTAATTGTCAACTTTGAATAGGATCTGGGCATGGTCGTCGGAGATTAGCTAGTGGTCTTCGCCTCGTGGGCAGAAATTTTCTATGGGATTGATGCGTTGCTTGCGGACGAGAAGACGCTTGTTCATGATTATGCGGGTCTCGATGGGGAGGCTGATTTGTCCATTCCTGCAGTGGAGGGATACTTTCGACTGTTTGTTTACAAGGTACCTAAATGGGTGTTTCTGTCATACGGTCGTTTGTTACAGACACAGCACAAATCCTCCTGTATTACTGCAATGACAATACACCCCAAACGGAAGCTAAATAAGCACGTGACTGCATTGGCTGTCAGGGTTGGTGTCCGTCCTCCACCGTCCCGAATCTTTCATTCAGATAGGCGGCCATTAAGCAACGTCGCATCTGAAACTAAGCAGCGGAAATCGGGCTTTGTTCACCGTCTCGCCGTCTCGATCAGTGCCTTGCCATGCTACCTGCTACCGGTAACAATAAGTCAATAACAACGCGCGCTATGGCCGGCTGTCAAATCACGGCGAGGCAACATTCCGCGGAGAGTTACAGTCTGGTAGGACTCATAGGCTCGGCCCCACTGAATCCAGATGATGCCATCTTGATCGAGTGATAGCAGCCTAGAAAGAGCGATGATTAATCCGTTTTCACCCCTCCTCGCCGCCGAACGGTGACCCAGATCGGATTGTGTCGCTGTTGGCTCGTACGATCGAATAGGAGAGGCCGCTCTAGATAAGAGCTTCTAAACTCTATCATATCGATCATAATTTATCGGTCCTTGTATTTTCTCCTTCGACTGCAATTTCAAGCAACCTATCTTCTCTCACAACTTATACCCTCAGTGTAGATCTGTCAGAACGTTGCTCTGATCTGATATTCATCATGCATTGACAGCACTGGCCGCCTTTCTTTTTTTTTTTTCTGCCTCACAAATAATTCGCCCGCAGTCCCGTGATCGCAATGTCAACCGACCCCGCCGTCGCGCGAGAGCTTTCCCGGCTTGACCCGGCCATCCCCTTTCGGGCCTCCACGAAGCATCTACACTTTACATGGGCAAAGACCTTCTACTCGCGACCGGAGCTCTATATCCAGCCGCAGAGCATTGAGGAAATCCAAAAGGCCGTCACCGTAGCGCGCCGATGTCGACGGAGATTGGTGACGGTCGGCAGTGGCCATTCGCCGTCCGACTTGACGTGCACTTCCGCTTGGCTGATCAACCTTGACAATTTCAATCGTGTCCTGAGCGTGTCGCGAGATACCGGTCTTATCACGGTGGAAGCAGGCATTAGACTGTGCGATCTTGGTCGGGAGTTACACAAGAATGGCCTTTCCCTGCCCAATCTCGGTAGTATCGATAGCCAGTCGATCGCCGGTGTGATCGCAACAGGTACCCATGGCAGTTCTTCACGCCATGGTTTGCTCTCTGAGTGTATTCGAGGTCTATCGGTGACTCTGGCCAATGGACAAACAGTGCGATGCAGTGCGACCAACAATCCAGAGCTGTTTCGCGCTGCCCTGGTGTCACTCGGCGCGCTTGGCATTGTCACCGAGGTGACCTTACAAGCTGTCCCTGCTTTTCGCATTGAATGGGAACAGTCGCTACATCCCCTGTCGGAGCTCCTCGATCGGTGGGACGGTGACCTCTGGACGTCTCACGAGTTCGTTCGCGCGTGGTGGTTGCCTTACATGGACCGCGCTATAATCTGGCGCGCAACCAAGACTGACTCCCCTGTGCAACCGCCGCCAAAGTCCTGGTATGGTGGATGGTTAGGCTACCACGTATACCACAACTTACTTGCCTTGTCGAATTGGGTTCCGCGCATTCTCCCTTGGGTCGAATGGTTTGTGTTTGGTATGCAATACGGCTTTAAGCCTGGTGTGGTAGTCACCAAGGCTGTTGAGCCAGGACGAGAAGGGCTGCTTATGGATTGTCTGTACTCACAATTTGTGAACGAGTGGGCGCTGCCTTTGGAGAAAGGCCCCGAAGCGATTACTCGTCTTTCAGCTTGGATTCACGGTGATCAGGAAACTGCGCGCATTCCATTCAGTCCCAAAGGCGTTTGGGTACACTGTCCTGTCGAAGTTCGGGTATCTGACACTACGCTTTCGTCTACTCCACGTCCGTACCTCGACCCGACTTCCCGCGAGGGACCAACACTATACTTGAATGCGACTCTGTATCGTCCTTACTTGCGAGATCCTCCATGCCGGGAACGCTACTACGAAGCATTCGAATGGCTTATGCGTGACTTGGGTGGTCGTCCTCACTGGGCAAAGAACTTTACTACTTTGGCGTCGGCTCAAGACATACGCGAAATGTACGGAGACGAGATGGATCAATGGCTCAAAGTGCGACAAGAAGTCGATCCCGACGGGCTGTTTGTCGGTGAATGGCATAGGCGAAACTTGTTATTGACGTCTAGCTACGAGTCGAAGACGACGGAATCAGAAGACGCTCTCCTCTCTCTGGGCGAAAGACGAGAAATGGTACGCAAATTCGGCCGCCGCGGAGCAGGAGATGGTCTGGAATGGATTGGTGATCGTCGCTGGGAGCGCGAACCGCCTGCTTCTCTGCTCAAGGAGGCTCCTGTCGCTGACTCTCCAAGTCCGCCAATGACTACCACGAGCGAAGAGAGTTTTGATCTTCTGGCTCACGGCGAGGCTAGTATTCTGATTTCGGATAAACATTAACGGCTTAAGCTTGCTTGTGCAACTCAATGCATAGATGGTTAGGCGTTCTTGCGCGGGAATTGATTTTTGCTCACTCGTCACTAATTATACCTGAGAAAAGTCCGGCCGTGAAAAATATTCATTTTTTCAAACAATTTCCCGTTCGCTTTAAATTCTAGACTTCTAGCTACCTCTCTTGTATACCTCAAATTTGAGAGATAGTCTACTACGTATTTTCCTTTTCTGCTGGAATCTAAAACCAGACTCCTTTCAATCTCATGCAGATGGATTCCGATACATAATCAGTTGAACTGAACTGAGAACGCCCACCGCCCATTTGAAGATCTTTTTCATCATCTTCTTTTCGCCCCTATATTTCTGTATTGTCGGGAGCACTACTATCATGTGCTATGTACCTGATGCATGTGATCGAATCGATAGTTTTAACGACTGAGTCGGTGTGATGCAATTTGCATCACAATCGTTTGATGACTTGATGGCGGTGCACAGTCGCGATCCGCAGACGCAGGACAGAAAGAGATAATACCAATTGTGGTTTAATCTATCTCTTTCAGCCTCTTTCTTTTTTTCGGTGGCAAGTGCAACGGTCATAGCTCCATGCCCATGATCACCCCTGTATGCTTTAGCATTTTGTTCAGAAACCGGAATAAGTAAAAAGCAGACGGGTCGACGGTGCTTCAAGTCCCCAACACAATCAAGCCTTGTCTTTGCCCTCAACACGCCCGCATCTAGATTCATAGATACATGGAACTACTTGTTTGTTGTTTTCTTTTTTTCTTCCTTCCCAACAATAGAATTGATACCCTTTTGAGAAAAGCCAGCAAGTGCCGACAAGTCGAGTCACTGGGAGGACCTAGACTCTGGACTTTGACTTTTTGTCAATGTGGCTCAATAACATCTATTATGGAAATCATTTCCGTGGGATCGGAGTCTGGCTTTGTCTCGTGTCTGCGAGGCTAGCACGACCTTTTTATTCTTAATCTTTGTAGATAAAAATAGCTACATATGAAAAAAGTGATTCTAAAGTATGTCCAAAGAGAGATAATCGCTGAAGATTACTGGAGGCAGTAATCGAGCAACGAATTAGGGCTATTCTTTGGGGCTTTCTTCACGGAAGCACGGGAGTGCGGTACGGGCCGAGACCTCCGTTTTATCGTGGGTCTGCGGTTTCTTTGAACTTGGCGGCTTCAAATGAACGTCTCGGATTTGATAGTGCGATACTGAGTGCCAGTGTTATAGACGGCATATCCTTGATCATTGATTCAGCCTGGCCACCGATCACTCAAAGTCTCTCTAAACGAGTACAAATACCTCTCTCTCTCTCCCCGAAGTAGAGGTACAGCGAGACCAAACTCCCCGAATCTAACATCCAAACTCTCCGCCATGGGACGCACTGACAATGTCTTGTCTACTATGTAGTAGTTTTGTCTGGTCTTGTCCAGACTTGTCCAGGCTTGTCTCGTCTTGTCTCCTCTGTCCCACATTTGCCTCACATACATGCCGCATACATGCCTCCATACATACATGTAGCCAAGCGACTTACATACGGAACGACACATACGCTCACCCGGCTAGACCTTGGGCCACTCTAAGCCTCAAACATGCGCGTACATACTACGTAGTTTACAACGTCCTCGGATCAGACGAACCGTTTGAAGGTGGTTATATCATCCGAGCCCTTTGTGTTTGGGTTTGTAAAAGAAGGTTTTCCCGCCGACGGATATCTACCTCCCTCGCTTGGGATATATGTCCTATGGGGCTTGGCTCGTTTCTTTTTCTTTTGTGGGGTGATATAATCGACTGTCAGTTTCTGATAGAATGGTCGCCAATGGTCACCAACATTCTGTATGTCAAGTCTATGCTTCTCGTCGACAAACGGAATGATACCCATTTCTGCTCCCTTGATACCTGGGTGAAGAAAATATCGAACAACCGAAAGAAAACAATCAGGTATGCTTATAATCTCAGCGCGATCAAGCAAGACTTAGTTAGTATACCCTTTACCCTACCCCAGTATCTAGATACCAGACTCATCAACAACGCGAATGTCCGATGATAGAACTATGTCTCTATCTATATGACATAAAGATGTACTCCTGAGAAGCGTCCTCCTAGCATATCAGATATTTCAATTTCATCGAGAATTGACAACGACAACGGCAACCTTGTCGATTACATGACATACATCATACAAGACATGCAGATGGCAAAATGACTCCCAAGCTTGGCCTGTTTCTGGTCTTGCATACAAAGTAATGCTACTCAGTGCTGTTTCAAGACTCAGACGACATCGCTGAATTCGTCATAGTATGATTTCGTGGATAACCTAGACCAGCCTAATTTATGTATGAGCTCAGCCAGTATTAACGGCTTTGGTACGGAGATCCACGAATCACCTCTACTGAATATGCCTGATCGCCGGATGCTTTATACTCGGGTTGCTTGTATACGCCTGATTGGATGTTTAAATAATCCGAACCTCGGGTGGGCTTATCAGCTGCGACAGGGATGATACGGGTACCTTCGCTAAATATAGGTAGGTAGCTATATGCTGGTGGATGTGGAAGGCCGGCACAAGTTGTGCTTGACGGTTTTCTTAAGAGAAATTTCGACCGCAACGATACTGACTGTCTTGCTACAAAATATCATGAGAAAACCCATATCAATGATACCGAGACATCGATGTATTGTACAACAAAGTTGCAGCTGAACCAGCGTGTCAGTGCATAACCCTTAAGCACCAGACCGGTACATGTATAAGGAAAGAAGTCCCGGCTAATTTGTAGTGTCTGAATGTCCATTATCAGTTCTCAGTAGATCAGTCTACGGATGATTTTACCGGACGACCAACGGCAATGCATAATAAAACTCCGGGAAGGCCAACCTTCCCAAACTCGAAGCGATTTTCTGAGTATCATTATGACACGCCTACTCCAACAAGCATATGACAAACTCCAGCATCCAAAAGCGACCTTCATAACGCAGAATTTTTATTCTGGCGTTTGACATGTACTAACCACAAAGATCCTGGATGCATCACCCGAGTCCCCGTTTCTGTCTCTCTCTGCAAGCTGCAAGTCATGCCTTAATGTTGTGCACGTATTCGGATGATATATCCCGAGTCTGACAGGTGGACCTGATTGGTCTTTTGGCGTTAATTTATATTATAGTCTCGAAGTGCACATATATTGCTTTCCTGATTTGAGTTAGGATTGACAACGTAAATCTTGGTAATTTTTCACCTTTTGAAATGTTGGCAGCATGATCTTCTATTGTACGGGGAGATTAGATATCCCCGAAAACACCAATGAGAATTTGAAGACAATGCTTCGATGAGGCATGAGAAAAGCGCGGCAACGCAAAGCTTTCCGGCCCGAGAATCGATTTCGAGTTCAATTAAATAGTTTAGGTAACTAAAAAATGTGTGAGGCGCCTTGAGTGTACATACTTCTAACTAATGTATTACTGAGGTAGTTCAATCTCTTTCTCGAGAGCTAAGTCGTGCGTGACATGGTATGCAGGAGCCAACGAACACATACATCAAGTCAATATGTCAGGCGAATTGACATGTGAGACAGTCATCGAGACTTGTTTCGTAGTTCATGTCAGTGTATTGGATGCAATTGGCAGGCTTGTTTGACTGCTGAGAGGCCAATCGTAGATCTCGCATTCGGGCAAGTGAGATCGAGATCACACCCTGCATCACTGTACTATTGATGCGAAACTAGATCCGAGGAAACATATGATGTTTATGGACAAAACGAGCAAGAAAGCAACTGTGTTTGACTGCCCGTCTAACGCAAATGAACCAGTGAGACAAGCGTCAATGTAGACTTTTTTGCCTTGGTGTACTAAAGTACGTCAAAAAGCACTATTCAATGATAAATGCAAGCCATAAAGAAGGACTGATTCATCTGCATTAATGCATCGCTACCGTTAGACATAGGCCAGTCGAATCTAGATACACGAGTCCCTATCAAAATGGTTTACAGGGATTGTTTTGACCTGACAAACCAGAATAAATCCAGCAAACATTGCACAAAAGTCATCGACAGAACAACTGTACTCCACGCCACCGAAACCGTAATGCGCCATCTTGCAATTGGCCACCATCGTTACCAGACCGATACTAGTAGATGTAAGGTTGATGTCGTGATAAGACATGTAGCGATTTCCATCTCGAATGCAGATCGACTTAAGGCCGACGACTCGGCCGTTTCCCACCCCCCAACTCCTTGCCCATTTCTTCTTCTCAACAAGACCAGGGTGATATTTTTTCTATTTAGTGGTCGGTGTACGCTTACTCCGCCGAAGTTTATCGCTGTTTGCGTGTTCCCTGGTCGTGTTTTATCTTTTGACCGTTCCACAAGATTTAGTTGAGATCTGAAATACGTGCAGATGTCTCGTCAACAAAAGGTCCTTTTCCCCAAACTCGACTCCAGCGTTTCCGGTTATCAGTGTCCAGGTTCCAGCACTTTTAATCGGCGAGGAGATGAGAGGACGGCACATCGCGTGTTTCGGACGAAAAGAAAGCATGTGCAAAGGGCTTGCGAAAGATGTCGAGTAAAAAAGGCCAAAGTAAGTTCCCGTTCATGAACGTGACATTCCACAATATCTGATCTTGATCACAGTGCGATGGCCTCCAGCCATGTAGTAGGTGTGTAACCTACAATCAAGCGTGCGTTTTCCGCGACCGAAAGGCAACCCAAGAAAAAGTCTACTCGCGAGGGTAAAGAATCCTAAAAGAGACGAAGCTGTCAGTTACTGACAATATCAGATTTGTTGAGATGCTCATCTCCCAGCACGCAGTCCATGTTCAAGCCCTGAGAGACCTATACAAGCGCTGCGTACGCCGTGAAGGATTTCCAGGCTCCCCCCTCCAAGAATCGATCCAGGGTTATCCAGGCACGCACGCGATCCTGGACCGGCTGGGTCTAATAAAACACGCCGAAGAAGCTGTTGAAGACCCGCAGCGCGTTCTCGCGGATCTGGTTGATTTCATAAAATGTCTAGACTCGGCTTCCGACTGTGGTCTGGACTCTGCCGAATCTTCAACGACGGATAGTACAAGCAAGACCACAGTTTCAGAAGAACCGTCGCCAGAGCCGAATACTCGCAGGGAATCTCCTGATTCCGCTGTGCTGTCAACGAGTAGCACTTGGGCGACTGCAACGTCGGATGAACCGCATTTGTGCAACGCTTATGGCGAGTATAACCCAATGGATCCGCAGTATACGGCCCTATTAGATGCAGACGATGCAGGCGCTATGAGAGCCGAAGAATACGCGGTAGTACCTTGGAACTACTTCCCATCACACATGCGATACATGCCAGCTGGTATAGATACTTCATACCCAAGGACTGAAATGCTTAACATACCGCCATCGTCAGCGTCGTCCTCATGGTCAGAAATAGCACCCCAGCCCTCGGCAACCTACATGCCAATGGCCTCGCGAGCAAATGCCTCGGAGCCACTGGTCTATATGATGGAGCAATCTGGCTTCCCCGATGCTTATCCTTATGCGCAAATGCAAAACATGGCCACTGGTCCGGTTCAGCGACAGCATCAGCATCAGCAGCAACGTCAACGCCAACGACTTTCGGTAGACTATGGTCTTTTGCATTCTAGTGAACAATATTTTTACCTCTGAGAATCAGCTATGTCAAGTCATGTTCTTACTGGTGCCTGTATCGACCATAAAGACAAAATATGTACTTATACATTTAATATTTGTCCATAATTGATAATACTTATTATAATTTAATTTCTCTATTCTTTTTGATATTACTAAATAAGCATAGCCTTGTCTCAATATAAAAAAAGCTAATATATTTGAAACAACAGTTATTATTATTTAGGCTATATTTAAGTGTAGATATAGGTCTATTATACGTGTATAAATAATACGATCAAAAGCTATTGTGATTAAGTAATGTCAATATGAAAATTTAAAAATCAAGTCGTAACATTAAAGTCACGAATCAAAAAGTATAGCAAGATATATTTGGACGAATTATTGATATTTTCTTTATGGTCGCCGGTATTTATAGTGTAGAAACTATTAGGTAGCACGCGTATCTATAAAGCTAATACTGACAATCATAGTACTTAGTAGTACGTAGAAGGATATATTGCCATACCAGACGCACTATGTAGTATAAAAAGACGTAAACATAACTGTAAAGATCATAAACATATCAATGTCATTCCCACTATGATGCCAGGAAAAATAGTTACACGAACAACAGACCAGACTAATTAACAGTATAAACAACTCCTCTGCAATAGCCTCAAGATTCATATGATACAATAGACCTTTCACTAGTACACATAATGCAAATATAACCCCGAAACTAGAATGGGACCACCGATTGAGCCACGAAAGAAAATTGAAAAACACCAAAATATGCATCGTGCCATAATCAGGAACGGATGGCTTCGATGGCGGCATTCAGTGGCAAGACGTAAGAGGTTGTGGGCCATAGTTTGGGATCCCACTTTCGAAAAGCCACTGTGCAAGAGTCGGGAACACCGCCGATTGAAACATAGCCAACTGGGATGAAAGGTCGGTCTTGGAGAGAAGCCGCCAGGATTCCATATTCATGCGCAAAGACCAGAGCGGACGCGAATTCGGCAGCTCGAGCTTTAGCCTCACTTCCCACGATACTATAAACACACCATCTCGTTAGTTTTTTTTCATTTTTTTTTTTTTTTTTTTCATTGAACTCATCGTATCAAACTTACACATAAATCTCGAAGAAGGCATCAAGAATATAGATTCCTTGAGGAAGCAAGTCCTTCTGGGCAAAGGGTTCAATCTCCCGTATGGTATCATTGGGCCGGGTGACAGGCGAAGAAGACCCGCGTCGATTCCAGAATCCTCCTTTCTGTCCTAGGACATGATCGATCCGAAGCAGTCGACAGCGGTGCTTTTCATGTTTGGGTTTTAGGTGCCAATAATCCGATGTTGAGGAGGGCTTCACCGTCCCATGTTTAGGAAACACGTCGAAAAAGCTTTCTGGCTCTTCACCTTCGGATATTTCCTCCATTTCACCCGTTAATCCAAGATCCATGCCAACCAGTCGCGCACTACCTAGTTCATCTGCCCCACTTCCTCTGCCTTTCCATAAATATAATTTGCCAAATCTCGCCGAGATAACGAACGTGAAACCAGAGCAAAGATTCTGACGGGCAAAGTCGACTTCATCGAAAGCAATCTGTCCTAAGTGTCGTCTACCACAGAGCATGTAGAGCGCCGATGAGCTATGTCGGGAACTAGAGCCACGTCGAGTAATGATGATACCCCCAAGAGCCTCGACAAACTTTGCGGGCTCCTTACCCTGCCTCACTATTTCAAGTTTGGCTCCATTCTCCCTTGCAACTCTCCGCGCAAATATTTGAGCATCTTGCATGGACGCTTCGGACACCTCATCACCCAACCACAAGTAACATTCGGTCTCATTACCCGTATCGCCTTCAAAAGTGTGCACACAGACATACATGCTGCCCTCAAAGAGAATGTAATCTTGATTCTTAGGAAGATCTTGCTTTTTGCCATCTCCCGTAATCTCCCAAATCTGTTTTCGAAGGGTCCTTGTCTTGAATTCGTCTGTTTCCGTGGTGAGGATCAGCTGCGGATCGATATCTACTCTGTCGCTAGATTTGGGAGGAGTGTCGAAAAATTCATTGATTACTCCAACGGACTCAGTTGTTCTAGGAATAGGTGACGTGAGGGACGGCCTTCGCGCTTCTATTGGGATCTCAGCAGAAATGCTCAAGTTCTTTTTCGGAGGGACGGGCGGGGTTGAAGCTGGTCTAGTAGGTTGTGAAGGCCTCCTGTTGGCTTCAAGTGGTGATCCTGGCCGAGATTGGAAGAATGAGCCTCCCAAGCCCAAGCCAAACTTGGCATGGATTGGTGATACATTGGTCGAGTTGGCGAAGGTTTCCTTCAACCTGGAAGCGAATGAGGGTGACGGTGATGCATTTCCTTGAGAGGGAGTTAATGGCTTCGGAGGTGGTGTGGGTCGCTCGAGTGATGGTTTCCTGCCACTGGGTGTGGAGCTTTCACGACTCAGGCCTGTCTTGGGTGGAACCGCAGGAGATGTAGCGCTTTTAGAGGGTGTTCTGTCCGACTGTTCTCTACTGAGACTTGAAGAGGTCTTTCTGAGAAGCGGAGAAGTCATGGATGTCCTTCGTACATCGGCCGATTTGGAGGGGACTGGCGGTTTTGAGGCCTCTTCGGTTGGCTTTTCAGGTGACGTAGCATTCTTGAGGTTGACTTTTACTTCCTTTTTGTCTGTGATCTGCTCTTCCGCAACAGCACTCATCTTACGAGCAGGAATAGGAGACGACCTTGGCACGTCCGACGATTTCGCAGGTATCACCGGTTTCGAGACGTTAATGGGCTTTGGCGATTTCGCACCCTTCAGGTTCAATTTTGGGTCCTCCTTGTCCGCACTCAATTCTTCGACAACGGCGCTCGCTTTGGAAATAGAGATCAGAGACGATCTTGGTACATCTGGCGATTTTGAATGTATCAGCGGTTTTTGGCGTTCAATGACTGGTTCAGAACGAATGTCTATTTTCTTTGCAGACACGGGCGGCGAACGTACATTTTCAATTGAAGCCTTCCGCTCAGTCACCTTCTCAGATGTAGCCTGTTCAGTTGAATGATTCTCCTCCTTCACAGACGCTTTCGCTTCGGTTTTCGTGGAAGCGGGAAGTCTCCTCTTGGGACCTCTTGCTCGGGCTTTGGTCATATGAGTCAGTGGGGCTGTCGAGACTGGCTGAGATTCTTGCGCTGGTAATGAGGTCGAGGGGGTAGTGTTAGACTTTTCAGATTCACCCCCAGCGCGCAGCGGGCCACGAGCCAACATGCCTACTAAAGCAGGGTTTAGTCGGCCTGCTATTCCCTTAGCGGCTAGTCCCTTAGGCTCAGTGCTCACTTTCGTAGGAGTATCTAAAGCGACTCTTGACGACAAGGGACGAACCGACGAAACATTTTCGCTGGGCTTTTCCTCCTGAATTGATCTGGCCGGGAGGAAGGTGTTCTTAGGCAACTGCTCCTCCTTTTCCACGTTTATTTTTGCATCTTGCGTCGGGCTTCCGCTGGGCTTAGAAGCAGGGTTTGTTGATTGCAGCTGTGGTGTTCGCTCGACGGGAGAAGATATCAGTTCGGGTTTGCTGTTCGATCCACTACGAAGTCGCTGTGGACTTTCCATTTTAACAGACTTGGTTGGAGATGGCGAAGAAAAGCCTGAGAGGTTGCTTTTTGTACTGTCCGTCCGAACGAGATTATTGCGCTTGGCGAGCGCTTCGGGTACCGGTGCTCGTGGCTTTGGTATGCTTCGATCTTCTTCACCTGCCCGCCGAATCGAGCCTCCGCCTGCCTTCATTTCATCTTTTCGCTTCAAGATGCTCTCTTTGAACTCATCAACTCGCTCGGTTTTCTTCGGACCGCCAGTAATATTCAGTGCTGCTTTCCCCTTTGTGATGTTGTCCTTCAATACGTCAGGCGCTTTGTACGTAGACTTTTCAGTCTTTCTGAGTTTCCCAAAGACATTCTTGAACTCCGGTTCGTCTTGTGTTGACTTGTCGTCAGCAGTCTCACGTCGTCGTAGGTTTGCCCTGAAATCTGTATTGGCCGGCTGTGGCTTGGGAGTTGCTGAACCAATGTCGATGGTAGATACTGTCTTGGGTTTGCTGGGCACCGGAGGGGAGGCCTTTGACAGAGAAGGGCTAGGTTTATCTTCAACATCAGGTGAGGATGCGTCTGGCTCCTTTGGTGGTGGCTCAACACTGTCCTTAGTATCTGCCAGAGTTGGCCGAGTGCTCTCATCTTTCGTAGGAGACAGTGGCTTTTCTGGCGAAAGGCTTAAAGTATCATCGAGAATTGGTGTGCTGATACCAGAAACACTGGGACTTTTGGAATGTCCACCGAATGCCGGTGAGCTCATCAAGCCAGCAGGAGTCGTTCCCTGACTGGAAGCTGGTCGTCCAAGATCAACACTGGCTCTAGCTTGTCGCGCTTTGGATAGATCTCTCATCCATGCAGGTTGTTGTGCAGCAGGCGTTGTTTTCGTTCTAGGTGATTCGGGGCGATTTAACGCACTTTCAAGCCAGCTCGATTTAGTAGGACTCCATCGCTTCTGATCGAAAGTCTTCGAGGGGCTTCTTGGTGTTTGAGGCTCATCGCCAATTTTTGGTTCCTCAGTACCAGTTGCGCTTGAGAAACTAGAGCGAGCGTGAACAGGCAACGAGGGTCTCACGAAGCCTGTGTCCAGCTGAGGCTTTTCCTGGATGGAATCATTGTCTTCCTGGTTTCTCGAGTGGACGATAGTTGCTTCACTATGGCTCGAGCCGGGTCTAGAGAGGGACAAAGGCGAGCTTTCACGGATCGGTCTAGGCTCAGGAGGACCTGCAAGCAGATCGCCACCAAATGCAGAACGACCAACACCGCTGCGGTTGCTGATGATCGAATTGCTTCGGGTAAGGTTGGCGGGGGATTGCACGGTCCATCGCTTCGAAATACTATCACTGCGTTTCAACATGGCACTTTGCACGAAGCCTCCTAAGCCCTTTGTGGGAGAACTGGAACGTTCTGGAGATGCACGACCTGGAGATAGAGGGTTACGGTCTTCGGTAAGTGGTTGAGACTCTGATTTACGAGCATCAAGCCGTGGAGTAGATAAGGGAATGGGCGAACCAAGGCCAGTCGTGGACACAGAGGAAATGCTGGAGTATCGATTTCCAATGCTACTGTTCGCCGCGAATGTTGAACTTGCTCTCGAAGGAGAGCGGGATCGATCGTCAGAGATCCAGTCGCGAAACTTTTCAGTCTCTGATGACGAGTCTCGACTCAAACCAGGCAGTTTAAAAGTTGCCTCGGTCGAAGATGCCTCGGTCGTGTTGTCTGCATTTCGTCGAAACGCCAAAGAGCCCCTTTCGGGATCAGTCTGGCGAAACCACGTTGGATCCTTCGACGAGAGCACCTGGGATATTTGAGAGCGCGAAGGCGGGGTGTCCTCTGCTAACGGCATTGTGTCATTGCCGTGTTCCACCGTCTCTGTTGGTTGTATGGTAAGGGACGCGATTTTCTCGGAAACAATTGACCGTTCAGGCGTGTCTTCTGTGCCGTCGTTGGCAGATTGCGTGACGTGTCTCGCACCTGATGCCGGGGGAGTGGAAGGAGAGTTGTTCTCAGATTCACGACGTTCGCCCTGACGTACCTGACCAGAAATTGATATCGCGTCGTCCCGGTCGTAGCTGACGCTCGACGGTCGAAGGACTTGTGGTGGGAGCTGTGAAATCGACTTATGGTCTCTGGGGAGACTTGAGATGGACGAGGGAGAAGGAAAGTCTTTGGTGGGAGAGATGGAGCGAGCTCGTTCTGGCAGGGAAAGAGCGACACAAAAAAGGTCGGCAAGTCAGCCACAGCCAATCAGCTAGACGCAATACAAAGACATCAAAGAGACCAATTCCACTTCCAGTACTAGGTATCTGCTTATGGAATTGATCAAGGGAAGAGAGTGGAAAGGGAAGGGGCTAGACGCTGGGCAGGCAATTGTGACTTGTACAAATGCCCAACGGTTGGGCTTTCGCTTTCTGTTGTTCTTTCGTTCTCTGCTGGGAGATGCTTACCAGCTCGCCGCGCCTGCCTCTCTTTCCGGCCCTGCAATATTTCCTCTTCCAACTTGCGCGCTCTATCCTCGTCTTCCTTTACTCGCTTATCGCCCAGTTCTCGAATACGAAGCAGAAACTCATTGACGTCTTCGGAGGTGTCTTCCATGGTGGTATCGTGAGGGTAGCGACGGCGGTTGGGAGGGGGCTGATTCGGCAGACAGATCGGATCGGAGGACGCTATATTAGGTGGACGGAGTACTCCATCCAGGACTCGGCTTTAATGATATATACCCTGTGCGTCACAGGCGTCACAGACGGTGCAATGTATATTATAAAGAGAGGCTCATGGAAAGACCGACCAACGCAACAAAAGAGTGTGGATTACAATGAGAGTGTGTGAGTACAGAAGTTGTTGTTCAGACTCTGTGCACGCGTTCCGCTGGTTCTTCCGGTCTCCACCCTGTCCTCCGCTTCTGCTGATCCCTCAGCTGTCTCCAAAATAAGTTCTACGTAGCTAACTATTAATATACACTTTTCAAGGCAATTGATTGTCTGCAAATCTCAATCCCCACAATCCTCCATTCACTGTTTGCTGTAGTAGTGGGCGTTTATTTGTTGCCGGATTGCTCTTTGCGGGAGTAGGAACCTAGGTACCGGTTGGGTCCCTTGATACCCATCCCTGGGTCGCTTGTGGATTGGATGAATCAAGTTTTCCGAGTGTGGCTCTGCTGGGTGCCGTCTAGCTTGAGATTATATGAGAAAAGGTCTACATCAAAGATATGATGAGTAAGTTCAATAACGTCCTTCGTCGCTATCGAATTGTTGCATGTACCTACCTTTGCATATATGCACTTTGTACTCCGTACGTACATGTATGTACCTTGCATGTACATCAGTACAAGAAAAGTCTGTCCTTCGCATCTTGGACCACCCAATTTAGACCCTCGTGTAAATTCTTTCCGGTCATGGCGCTGCATGGGAAAATCGCCCACTTGTGTGTTTTAATAGCATCTAATTGTAGACCCTAAACACAGATGATCAGCGTGTTGCTTTCTTGGACCCAAAGACGATGAAGAGATGTGCTCACCTCGTGTATCTCGCTTTCCGTCATGCAACCATCGACATCCGTCTTGTTCAGGAATATGAGTAGACTCGCACCCATCAAACGCTGTAAGCGAATTAGTCGATAATTCAAAGGTATGTATATGAGCATTCGTATGCGTGTCCGGATAGAGGAGACCTACCTCCTCTAATAACAAACCAGCCAATTCCTCACGACAATCATCAATTCGAAGCCGATCAGTCGCATCCACCACCCAAATCAAAGCATCCGTCTTCTCAAAATAATTCCTCCAGTATGAGCGAAGCGTCTTTTGACCGCCGACATCCCCTAATCATATCTCAGATGGAAGCTCCCAACAGAGGGGTAGAAAAATCCGAAGTCAACTTACAGACATTTAGTTTGTATCTATTGTCTGGGATTAGTCCAAGTGTCACACAATTGTCAAGACAAACTCACCCTCCAAAATCAATCGTCTTGATAATAAATCCCAACGTCGGACTAACAGTGGTAACATCTTCTTTCATAATCTGCTTCACAATGGTCGTCTTGCCGGCATTGTCTAACCCACTGGCCGCCAGCGGTGGTCAATGTCAGCTCATCCCCGGTCGCCCACGGCTCGCTGTCTCGAAGACACTTACAGCATGAGAATTCTCATTTCTTTATCTTTGAGCCTGGCTTTACGTAATATTGAGAGCATTTTCAAATGGGTTGGCAGCTGATGAAGCTGTCGAATTTGCGAGTCAAACAATTGTTGTAGTGAAGAAGTGAAATTGACACCCAAAGACAAGCCGGCGAGGAATCACAATTTGGCACCACACCAAAATATCTACCAACCAGCACCAGACATGTACAGAGCATTGACTTAAACACTTTGATAAAATGAGCATATAAACTATTTAGGATTGGTGGATAATTTCTTATGGCTATCTCATTTATTCACTTTCATTTACTTTGCGAACTCTTCTTTATTAGGGTTTAGGGTTCTTTCCTCCTCTGATTCTTACAAGCATCATATCAAAGTGTGATCGCGTGAACAATCAAGCACATTGTACACTCTGAACGACTAAGCCTTTTCTTATCTTTTACTAAGGCAACTATCAAATTGTTGTCTCACTCTTCTTCTCACCCCAGTCTCCCTTTCTCCCAAAATCTACTGAAGGAAAACAACACCTACATGTCAAAGTTCTCTCACATAAGACAAGCCAAGGACCTACCTGAGCTCAGGGAGCAAGCATATCGACTCATTTCTTTTCAAAAATTTGTCACTTGAGCCTGTCAAGTCGCTTGGCAGCTATTACGCGATGGGCTCCGGTATGCTATCCCCTCCCCCTCTTCACGATGAGACAATACGTTAACTTAACTCTCTCTCCAATACAGAGAAAGATGCAACACAGTCTACCATAGACAAGGAGAGAATAGCACAAATACAGGCTGCTTTCGCAGTCTGGACAACTCCAAAAGCTAAAAATCAAATAAAGCCTGAAGATCTAGTAGCTCCCAATACAGACCTATCAGCAAAGCTTAAAGACTCAGTGACCGCTAAGAGCCATTTGCCAATGAAGGGTGAAGAACTGGCGATTTCTACTCAAAAGAACGTTCAAGAAACTCCAATGACAGATGAAGACAAGAATTCGGGAGTGGCAGTCAGAGACGAGACCCCAACTTTTTCGCCTAATATCTCTTTCGATACACAGGAAAACAATGAGGTACTCCCACTCTCTGCAGCAAATCTTATCAGGAGCACAGAGAAGGGAGAGCAGCGTATCCTAGCTAGAGTTGAAAACTCGCACAGTCTTCCCGGCCATGAAATGCGAGAAGTGATCATGACCAGAAGGATCAAAAAATGGCTCACCCAAACTGATCCCCAAGATTGCAATGAAGAAACCGAGTCAGATAGGATTCGCATCAGCGATGGAAAGATGGACGGCGGCGTCAAGATTTGTCCAGAAGAGAACGTGCAGGATCACACAGACGCTGCGAGCTCTAACCCCTACATCATAGAGCGCACCGAGAGAGTTGCCGCTGCAAAGGAAAGAATTTCTATTCTGAAACGGCGAAACAGAATTCGACCTGGCATTTTCCTTTTCTTGCGTCACGCCATGCACATCGATGCAGAAGGATTGGCAGGAGTCGTCAACTCGTACGTCCAATGCTCAGCATATACTCTCGAAACGAAGCTTGTCTCCGTACACGACATTTATCAACGCATCAACGACTCACGCAGCCAAGAACTCCCCTTCATCGTTGCCATAAAGCAATCGGAAGAAAAAGACTTCGATACCCGAGTACCGTGGGGCAGAATTTTGGGGTTTGTGCGCCTCACCAACTTCCTACAAGGCCAATCTTCGGTCTCAAACACTGCCCAAATGGAGATTATTGTTGCTCAGAACAGCAAAGGTCAAAAGGTTGGCCGTTGTTTGATGGACGCGATGCTGACGATTGCTGATCCGAACTATTCTCCCCAGGGAGGATACCTGTTTGAAAGCAACATCCCCAACGACACCATGATTAACGGTGCATCCTGGAGCTGTCGCCCCTTGGACAATATCGTGGCGATGATGAGCCACCTGAATCAGGAAAAAGCTAGAAGTCATATGGTTGAACAGTGGCTGAAGAAGGAGCACAAATTCGCCCAGAAAGGTTATCTGCCACACATCGCTATGAAATTGGGACAGTTGTAAGTATTCACCTGCCTGAATAATCGAAATTGCAAGCGCTTACAGGTAGACAGTGTGAATATCAGCATTCTTGTCCGCGAGATCTCAAACCCGACGCCCAAGGACAGGTTCGAAAACGATTATCCGGAGTGGACGGAACCATTCTGAAGCGGTTGATAATGGAGCAATTATCACGTTCTTCTAGAATACCTTGAAGATAAATCTTGTTCTTTCTTGTCTTTATTCTTCTTCATTTTGCGAACCCGACAGGAGAAGTCGGTGATGATGATGATCGTTCGGTAGTTGATAAGAAATCAGGTGATTTTTTGGCATCAGTCCATCCTTAAAGCGGCGTCACTATATCCACCTTCAACTTCCACCAACAGAAATAATTCGTATGTAATGACGAACAAATCACTATCGCCAAATATCAAAGTAAGAAGCGCCATACTGAACCAAATCATCGTCTTTCATGAGCTAAAAAGTATTGCTCTCCCAGAAATATTACATGGAGAATGACAAGCGGTGACTCATCAACGTCGCCTGTGGCTGGTCATATGCGCCAACGATCGCGATACGCATGTGCGCCATGTCGACAGCGTAAGAGGAAATGTGACGGGAAATTCCCCTGCTCGACATGTACTGGATATGGATATGAGTGCCATTACAGTAGTACTGGTGCCGAGAACAACGCCACAAGTGTCAACGGAACCGCATCATCGCAAGCTGCTCCTGTTTCCACCAAGAGGAGGTTATCAGCTGCTGGACTAGATGGAGATTTGCCATCATCGACAATTGCAGCTCAGAATAAGCCGAGGCTAGCGACAGGCTCTCGTGGCTTCGGAGATGAAATTGCAACCATCAACAAAGACCGCGTCGCGGCGTCAGCAGCAAATGGACTGATGATACCCTCCAAATGCAGGTACATCGGACGCCACTCGGCAGTCGCATTTCCTCAATGGCTAGGCAAGAATCTACAATCCAGAAGTCCGCCCAGAATCCACTCCTTCGCATACAACACCGGCATCAGAAAAGAGCTTCCGTATTCCGTCTCTTTTCATATCCAGGACTACATCACCTGGGCTGAAGTGCATGATTCACTCGACATCTACGCAACTGTAATCGACCCCGTCTTTGGATTTGTCGATATCGAAGAGTTACGACGCAAAAGTCACGACCACTGGAACGGCAAGGATCAAGGATGCTACTTTGAGGCCCTGATTAGCGGTGTTATAGGTCTTGCGTCGCTATTCTCACAGGTACTCTGCGAAGTCCGAGAGTTGAGGGTCATTCAACATGCAAAGGATATCCTCGATGATCCATTTGTGGTTCGATACCCGCGTCTCGCGACGATTCAAGCTTGGATTTTGCGGGTTATTTATATTCGCTCCACGAGTCGGCCTGGAGCAGCTTGGATGTATAGTTGTATCATGATGCATTTGTGTGAGGCGATTGGCGTGTACAAAGAACGGGAAGCTCTCGAGGATGTGGAAGGGAATTACTCCCTGGCTCATTTCAGGGATATGTGTGCGCGAGTCATGATGGTTGCGCGCTGTCTTCACCTCATTATCTCGTATGAACATGGCCGGTCAACGGTCGACGTCGGCCCTGTGCTCGAGCATAACATTATCAAGCGCGGAGAGACAGACATGACGCTTCAACTACACGCACTCGTCGACACTCTCCCGTCTGACGATACCACGATTATCAGTAACCAAGACCATCCCACGCGCAGACAAGAACTCATCACTGCCCTTACATCCCTAATCTCAACCCCAACGACCCACGAATTTTTGAGTCTTATTAAAGCCGATCTCTGCTTCTGCATATACAGACGCCTCCGCCTTCTGGATCTAGGCATTAAACAAGAGCAAATCACCCAAATAATCCAAGCCGGCAAAACAGCCCTTCCAGCTTCCCGCATTCTAATATTGAGGAATCATCCTTGGTGGAACACTGTGGGGACGGTGTTTCAATTCATCTGTGTCTTGTTGGCGATTGATTCTAGCGAAAGTTTGGCGACGATACCGGAGGCCATGGAGACCCTGGCGACGATCACAAAGCATCTAAAGACGCATTTGGCGGATGAGGCGTTGGGGACGGTGAGGGTTCTGGTGAGGTCTATGACGGAGAAGAAGAGAAGGGAGGCAGCAGTCCTAGAAAAGACGACGAATCCGGAGACTTATGCTGCGCCTTCAACTACTAGTACGACGAATACAGAGAACGAAAGGCAGATAACTTCGGTGACGAATGATAATCATAATGAGTCGGATGTTAATGGAAATACAGCAGCAGCCGAGACGAAGCTAGGTGCTGTCCAGGAAGCAGAGAACCCCGTACCGCCGCAAGATTTGAATAGCCTTTTGGACTTTATGGATCCTCTCTGGAATTGGGATTCATTCTTTGAGCCTCCCCTAGCGACGATGCAGAGTGCGCCGTTCAGTGAAGGAAGTCTTCTTTGAGTTTATACTACAATTTTATGTATGTATTCATAATCTAGGAGTATCTGATACCAGTCTTATTTATTTCATTTTCAACCATTTCATATCATAGAATGACATCTGAGGCATGATCTAAAAAGAATCGTGATGATAAAACGACGAGTCATTCTGGAGGGATATTCGCGGCAGTAAACAGGTAGAGGTCATTTTCGTAGGGGATAATAAAAGTGAAAAACGTATATCAAGAAACGCCTGATGCCGAGCCATAAGTGTACATCTTTAGGGGAAATGAAAAAGAAATCAAAAGAAAAGAGACGGAAAATGCAGCGGACTACCATTCGAATTCGCCTTGTCCTTTGTGGAAGACGTATCTAGATGAAGTATTAGTAGTGGATCTTATAAAAAATGTAAAAGACTTACTCCTTGCCGCCAGTGGAGAGGATACCGTCTTTCAAGGTACACTTCCACTTATTCTTAACGCGCTGAACCTTGTCGTATGTGCATAGCATCACCTCCCCAACAGCCTCGTCGCCTTCAGGGTCGTCATTAACCAAGTCATCCGGGTCATCAAGATCAGAGTTGATGGCATCTTCATCGTCTTCGTCATCGGCGGGGCCATCAGTTTGCGCGGAAGACGTGATTGGATCCGAGCTTATGTGTCTAGGTAGACCAGACGAAGAGCGCTCGTCAAGAGGAAGCATGAGGCCACCACCTTCAAGACGAAGAGCGTCCATTTTTAATTGTGCCATTAGCATCCGGTCCCCTTCGCCGTTGTTGCGTTTGGCGAGTTCACGTCGGTGTGCGACTTCTGCTTTCCACTGAGCGAGCGCGTCGTCATTGGCGCCGTCGGTTTGCGGAGGATAGGACACACTCTGGGGCGGTGCTATGCCTGGGTATGGTTGTTGCATAATAGGCTTCACATCGTGAGGGTTGCCGTTTTGAGGACGTTGTTGACCAGGCAAGGAGAGAGCTGCTTGACTTTGTGCTTGCAACTGACTCACTGAGTTTGCGGCGGCGGCGCCATACTTGGAGTGCAGGTTGCTCATGGCACGTTCTCGAGCAAGTGCCTGGGCATCAAGTTGTGCCGAGGGACCACCATTTCCAGATATGCCGACATGCTGTCCATTGAGGCCCGGTTCAGTTTTGATGACTGGAGTATGGTCTTCGGTAGAGACTGGAGGTGGGAGTGTCACTGCTGGTTGTGCAGGTGGAGGTGTCGGCCGTGGTGCATTTGAGGGTACTGTGGCTGCGGGAGGAAGTATTTGCCCACTAGAAGGCTGTGCGGGAGGAGGGCTCTGCTTGAGAGGGGGGTCCCAAGGGAAATGAGCGACACCTAGCGAAGAGAGTTTCTGCTGCCAGCTCTGTCATGGTAATTTGTCAGTCTGTTCATGTACAACAAAGCACCATCGCAGTGGCATGGACAGTGGAGGAGCCTGGATGTGATGATGAGATGGGAGAGTGTGATTGGCTCTGGGCTGTGTTGCAGTGGGTTAGCGGCGCAGGGATTTCGGGCGGGTATAAAATGACTCAAGAAGCGGCAGTCTCGCCCTTGAGTTGCTCCTATCCCCCAACCCATCCGAAACCCCGCTTTTGCCACCCCAGCTGTTCAATATCACGACAAATACACTCGAAAGACGATGGAAGTGTACTTTGTGAAGGGTGTTTCTGACGCAAAAACGACGAAATATAGCAAAAGAAATATAGACTCACCCGTCGCATCTCTTCCAGCGTCTGCTGGTCGACTCCGCCCTCTTCAAAATCGACTCGCGATGCCTCGCATACCTCTTGGATGACACGGTCGTATACCGTGCCCTATTTAACAAAAGAGTGAGCTCATGTTATCACCGACAACCACATACCATGGAAGGAAAAAAGCAGTTGGCCATAGTTGATGACAGACCACGGTCGCCGTAGTCTCAGTGACAGGCCGACCGTGATCGTCTGAGTACACTTACCACTTGCTGATTTGCCATCCTGCTCGATTTTGTGGCTCCAGACGATTCTTTATGCAGGTCGGTATATTGTAGGAACGGGGTTGAGTTATTGCTGGTCTGAGACTGAGATTTGGAGATGACCGATGAGGCTCTCAAGTGAGGCGTCCGTGAGCACTGATATGAAGCAGCCCTTCGTCACAGCGCCAGCCTCAGTACACACTCGTAGCTCTTTCTAAACTAACGTATGAGATGGAACGAGGTAATATTTTTGTGGAAGCGAAGCAATTAATAGGACTATGAGAGGTGTAGAGCTAGTAACCAAACGAATCTCTGCGGTTGATGCCGATTGTTGAGTGAGGCAGGTTCGGTATGTCTGGGAGATTTCCATGATAACCACCGGATTAGTCATCCGTGCCGTCTTGGCGCCGGCATCCAGATTAGACGTTATTTTCTGGGGAACAAACACAACTTACTTAAATTCTTTAAATGATAGAGAATTCAGTTTGAACTCAGAAATTGACTGCCAAACTGTATTTTGACGGTATGTTGCGATCTCTTTCCTGTCAAGTCGGCAACGTGACAGGTTGAGCCACACTTACTTAATCAATAGCCTCGGTATCTTCGCCTTCACCTTGCAAGTGAGTCCAAACTGGTATCGATGTAGGTAGTTTCGATGAATTGGTTCTACTGCAATCTACTTTCACATATTACTGCAGCAGATACTTGATAATTCAATCAATGTATTTAACTCCGAATATGACAATATCGAACAACGAAGCAGGAAAAATCCAAACAATATCAAGTTTACGAAACACCTGAACCAACCGAAAATGTATGGTACCATTCAATCCAAAGGAAGCGCCAAACACCACAAAACCAGCCCAAAAATGCACACTTATCGGATAGTCATGGACTTGGCCATGGTAGCTTTGCTGCCAACACCTCCTTCACGAGCAGCTGCTGCACTTGTGCCAGGCTTGCGCTCAAAGATCTTCCAGAACTTCAGACTCTCATCCGCAGCAGCAGTAGCAAGCATTTGGCCATCAGGGCTCAAACAACTGTGCAGAACACGAGTCTCGTGGGCAGGAATTTCGACATTGCGCACTAATGTTGGGTAGCTCCAGATGCTCAATGAGTTATCGGGGAATCCACTAGAGCTGACAATCTCGCGGTAGTGGTTGCTCCAGCGGAGACTTGTGACTTGCGACCCGGTGTCGATGCTATTAGTGCGAGCACCGGTTGTGGTGTTCCAGAAGTGGATGTGTCGGTCGTAAGAACCACCACCAGTTGCGAGCAAGTTGAGTTGCCATGGGCACCAGCTCAATGCCTTGACTGCGGCACGATGGTTAGTCTTAGTGAATTTGGGTGCGCTCAAAGATCGTGCATCCCAGATGTTGACGAGGTTATCGTTGCCTCCGGTGGCCAGTTGTGCTCCATCCGATCGCCATTCTAGACCGCAAACTTCAGAAGTGTGAGAGACAAGCTCTGCAACTTTGTGTTGAGCAATGCGCACATCGTGATTGAAAACAAGCCCGCTCCTAGCGCCGGTAGACAGTGTGTGCTTGGACCAGCCCATCACACCGACACGGGTATCGTGTCCGTACATACTACGCAGCTTGGTGCCTTCCTCGACATCCCAGATCTGAACCTCACCCGTTCCCAGGCCGACACCGACATACGCTCCATCGCCACTCCACTTCACACTGCTGATATAGGTATCAGGGGCTGATTCAAGAAGGCAGTTGACTGTACCGCTCTCGGCAGACCACACATAGACGTTTCGCTCCAAACCAATAGCAACTTGGTTGCCAGAGCTCCAGTCGAGCAGGTTGAGGTAATAGTCATCCAACAATCCGGGTGCATCCAAGACACGTTCTGGGGCAGTCTGGACGCGGCGACGGAACTGAGCAGATTGGGCGCTGCTGGGTTTGAGAGGGCGGTTGTACTGAGCGCGAAGATCGATGGGCTTAGAGGACTCGGGTGGAGGAGGCTTGAAAGCTAGGATACGTGTGTTGAGTTTGACGTCACAGGCATTGGCTAGAGACGATTCATAGGCTACAGCATCTGGTGCCGGTCGTGTGTATGTGCTTGATGGCTCGCCATCATCAAGTCCGAGGTTCTCAAGAGCAGCGGTCAGGTCATCATCGGAGCCACGGCTACTAATATCAAAGGCGCTAGCAGCATTGGCTAGAACTACTGAACCGTCGCTGGTCTTGGGGCGTTGGGGTTCTTCAGGCTTTGCAGCACCAGCTGTTGTCAAACCTTCGCTTGCCGTTCTATTGGGAATGAATCGATCACCAGCTTTGTGAGAAATGCGAATGGTTGTTTTGGTTGACGGGCCGGCCTTGGTCGTGGCTAGCTTGGCGATGCGACCTCGAGTCTGCTCTTTACGGGCACGCTCCTTGGCTGGGGTATGTGATGGACCAGTCCCAGTCAATGACCAGTCAGACACTCCCAGATCAAGATGTTTTGGTGACTTGCGTGAACGAGCAATGTTCGACTTTGGTGACTCTCGGTAAGCTCTAGCCTTGGACATTGACTTGGCAAAGTGTGAACTGAGGTTTCCTCCATAGACGGACTTCTGGGCTCCTGAATCACCATCGTGGGCATCCCGGATTGGGGTGAATGGGGACGAATTTATCGAGGCATTGCTTGTCGTTCTCGTGCGGGGAGAGGGTGTAAGAGGCAAACGACCGCCAGCAGTCTTTGTCGAGAAGATCCCCCGATGGGTCTTCAAAGGTGTCGAAACGTCAACGGTCGCCATGTTGTTCTGACCACAGCGAGATGTCTCGTTCCAAGGTTCCAACCCACGGTAGGGCGATCGTAGTATATGATATACTCAAAGGACTAAACACAATGTACACTGTTGTTCAAATGATGCACAGAGGGAGATACAGAGAAGTATCTAATGCACATATAAGAGATTTAGAGGTGATTGAGGATGTAAAGTGAAGGTGAGGAGGAGTGAAGTATGCAAGAAAGGGTCCAGGACTTATATAAGTAGAAAGTAAATAGAAAGTACCCATGGCAACCGCCGGAGTGATTCCACTAGTTCAGAAAAGGTTAGCGCTTCGAATGACGACCGGCTTGGCAGAACGCCCGTTTTTGGACTAGCGTACTATATCTTGAGCCAGTCTGCTCTTTCCGTTTTTGAGCCTCCCACGGATTGCCTGAAGTTTTTTGCCTTCCACGATTTCTTCTAGAATCCCTCATCGTTTCATCCATCTCGAGAAGAACTGCAGACTATCGTCACACGACTTGCTTAAGCATCAATTCATCTTGCACACCCTGCCACTTTATCTCGTCAAGTCTTAGGCCTATCCACATCCAATATCCACATTGGACCCGCCCCCGATGGCGCGGCAACCGCCTTCCACACCCAGCAACGCTTCCGTCACTTCAACATCCGGCTTCTCGTACGTCCACGAGGGTGGGTCGACTTCCTTCTGGGACCCTGTTGCCGCTACGACATCCCACCGACGTTCTCTTCAGTCGACACCCCCTTCAATGGCCTCTAGGGAGTCCCATAACACATACCTGATGCCGGCCAGTCCAGCCAAAGGCCGTCGGGGCAGCGCTGACTACCGTCCCAGCATAAAAAAAGCCCTCGGGAATGTCCCCGCGTGCCTTGTGAATGCGTCCGTCACTTATTGTGGCAATGATCAGATCTATGCTTTTGGAGGGTTCGACCAATTCACCGACGAAGGTCAGCCAGTCTCATCCAATTATTATGCTTTATCTGCCACGGACATGGACTGCATAAATCAATTTAGTGTAGCGCTAACTTTAGGCTATTAGTGTATAACCATGTCCTCCGATTAAACCTCAATACACTCACATGGGATCTGGTCGACAATTATGGAGACATACCCGGTGTCCGCATGGGTTCGTATCACGCTCCATTAAATGAACCACTGTTCAAGTGCTAATAGTCTCCAAATCAGGGCACACCGCCTCTCTCTATCAGGGAACCAAATTACTCGTCTTTGGCGGAGAAAACGAGCATCGCGAATACCTATCCGACATCGTCATTCTTGACATACCAACATCGACATGGACGCAACCCGAAGTTCGGGGTCCTGTTCCTCGAGGCCGAGCTCGCCATGCATCCGTTATATATGAAGACAAGTTGTTCGTGATTGGAGGAGTAACTGGAGAAAGTAATTCTATTCTGGATGATTTATGTTATCTCGATCTCAAGACTTGGACATGGTCCCGTACATGGAGTTTCGTCCCTCGGTTTGATCATACTGCGTGGGTCTGGGGAGGCCGGCTGTGGACTTTTGGTGGCCTTGGGACAGAGATGGACCGGTCTACTGATCTCTGGTGGCTTGATCTAAAAGGAAGCCCGTCATTGGACATGCCCATGCCGCAGGGAATTGATGAGACACCAGGATCATTGAATCGTGTGACCCCTAGCCCTGGAGGAGTCCTTAGCTCGCCGCCGCAATTATCAGGTCGGTCAGGCGGATATGCAGCCAATTCAGCAAGCGTCCAAATTCGGTCTTTCGCCCGAAGAAAACCAACGGCACCGGGCGCGATATCATCTCTACATTTTGAGTCAGGGCCACATGTCCCCTCTCTGCTTTCTGGAACTCATTTCCACGTATACTCTTCCGGTGTCCTTCTGGACTTGATCACACCATCGGAAACAGTTCGTCCATATGACTGTAACTTATCAACGCTTGAGTTGGACTCCCTGAGATGGCAGAGACTCGCTGATGGCCAGGAGGTATTCCGACCGGGATATCGGTGGCACTACTGCACTATCAATGAAGATGGTACTAAGGCTTGGCTGCTTGGATGCAACATCGAAAACGCTACAACTGCCGGGGATGATAATCAATTAAACGAGATTCTATGTCTGGATTTGGAAAAATACGGGCTCCTGGGTAATAACTTCTTTCCTGAATCGTCCGAGCAAAACCGCATTCTCGCATCTGAGCGTCAGGGGTCACCCCAGCACGCAGGCCTCGGCGCTGATCTGCTGGCTGTCTTTGATCAACCCCCAGAAACGGGTAGTGGAACGGACTTCATAATTACAGCCGACTCCGATGATCAGACTATGGAAGATGAGAGCCAAGCCAACTCACCAACCCCTGTGACCACTCAATTTGATCCTGCGTTCCTGTCACCTACAGCGAAAACCTCGCCGGCTATACATGTCCACCGGATAATTTTACAGGCAAGATGGCCTCATTTCAAGCGTCTATACTCTGCGCAAATGGCCGAGTATCATACCAAGCGCATGCATATACCCGAACCATACTCTGTAGTCCGGGCTTTTCTATATTACCTGTACAGCGACAGTATATTGGATCACCCGCGATATTGTACAAGCATCTTCGATGTTGCCGGCATGCTTGTCATGGCTAATCTGTATGACATGCCGAAGTTGCGTTTGCTATGCGTTCACAGACTCAGCCGTGAACTTGACGTCGAGAATGCAGCTATTATTTGGGAACGAGCAGGCAGGACAAACGAAGATTGGCTCCGGCGTCGCGCAGCGCAGTTCTGCCTCGCGCATTGGGGCCGAGTCGTTCGGACAGCTGGCTTCAAATCACTTAACCGGCAAAGCCTTATCGAACTCTGCGAGGTAGTCGACACAGAAGGTAGAATTGTCGCGGGACCAGAATTAGAAATTGTCGGAGCTCTTGGCTCCGGATCACTGGCATCCAAACGACCTCGGCTTACTGGAACTTCGTTGGTGGAAGATATGGATGAGCTTGAGGGGGAAGAGGAAGATGGTATGGAGCTATGATTCAGATTGTCATGGTTCCTTGCGGACTCTCGTCATAGGGAAGTCACATTGTTCACGAGATCACTTGATTGTATTAGCGAGCATATTATAGTCGGAAGGCGTTGACGGGTGTTTTGTTTCTTACGTTGTTTCTCCCTGTCCGTGATGTACCTACCAAACTGGCCGGATTGCGCCGCAATGCTGATATGACACGGTAAACGTTTGCAATAGAGTACGTATCTGGATCGAGATTATATATCACATGACATATAGCTGCTCTCCATTTCTAGCCTATCTACTAAGTGTCGATGAGCCATACATACACGTTGCACAATCGTGGATAATTCGTAGTCGCACTTGGCGCGGCTGAATGGCGCAAAATCTAGCGCATCTGAGCATCTCGAGCTGTCCCATGCCAGGCGCGAAAGATCGGTTGCGATAGAAGATTAGCCTGAGACATTCAACGTGCTAATCCTTGTCCAGTATTGCACAGAATTAGAAGCCGGCACCGTGAAAAGCAAGGTGGGGGACCCCTGAGGCGCTAACTCCGCTTGTCTCCTCTTTGCGCGGAGTATCGCCTGCCTACCTAGATTGAAACCCACGCTTTGCGGCTTTTTTAGTCCTGTGCCTAGACACTACAGGCATTCCAATTGTTGGATGCCTCTGCGTACGCACTATGCGATACCATCGGTCCTATCCAATGTTGCGCGACTGTCACCAAGATTATTTCTCCGGATGGGATTGGAGGGGCTCCACTGCTCCAAGTGGGCTGCGTGTCTGTCGACTAGTTAGTACGGGTTGAAAGCTGCTACGGTTAGACATTGATTGGTATTTAAACGTTTCATTCCTCGTCTGGATCTCTTCTCGAAAGGAGAAATCACCTTTTCCCTCCTTCTCTCACTTTGCTTTCCTCCGCTTACCAGTAGCAGAAACACTCCGAGTATGGGTAGCGTAACTAGTACCAACGGCGAGACACCCCAGTCCAAGCTGCCGGCAGACTTTGTCTGGGGATACGCAACGGCCAGGTGAGGATTACTCGCTGTCCATGTTTGTAGGCATCTACTTACTTGTCTTGTTCGGCTCTAGCTACCAAATCGAAGGAGCGTATGACGAAGACGGCCGAGGACCTTCCATCTGGGATACATTTAGCAAGACACCCGGAAAAGTAGAAGATGGCACCAATGGAGACGTAGCCTGCGACTCCTATCATCGTACACACGAGGATATTGCGATTCTGAAGCAGTACGGTGCTAAGCTATATCGCTTCTCGCTGTCATGGTATGAAGTGTCCTTCTCGCCCTTTGCATCAGACATATGGCTGACAATATCAACAACCAAGGCCCCGAATCATTCCTCTAGGTGGCCGAAACGACCCCATCAATCAAAAAGGAATAGACTTTTACTCCAAATTCATCGACGATCTCCACGCAGCTGGAATCGAGCCCTTCGTCACCTTGTATCACTGGGATCTTCCCGACGAGCTGTTCAAGAGATATGGCGGACCCCTGAACAAGGACGAATTCGTGGCCGACTATGCGAACTTTGCCCGCGTTGCATTCCAGAGCTTTGGACACAAAGTCAAGCATTGGGTTACCTTCAACGAACCCTGGTGTACCTCCGTGCTCGGTTTCAATATCGGCAAGCATGCGCCGGGACGAACGAGTGATCGCAAGAAGAATCCCGTTGGTGATGGTGCGCATGAGCCGTGGATTGCTGGTCATTCACTGCTCGTAGCTCACGGTACTGCGGTTGACATATACCGAAAGGAATTCAAGCCCACACAGGGAGGAGAAATTGGCATTACACTCAATGGTTAGACCTGGAAATTCCCCCAAATTGTACGAACTATGCGCTAACGTGATTTTAAGGTGACTGGGCCGAACCCTGGGACCCCGAAGATCCAGAAGACATCGAAGCTTGCACCCGCAAACTCGAATTTGCCATCTCCTGGTTCGCAGACCCCATCTACCTCGGCAAATMCCCGGACAGCGTCGTGAAACAAATCGGCGACCGTCTCCCGCCACTTACACCCGACGAAGTAGCCTTAATCAAAGGCAGCAACGACTTTTATGGCATGAACCACTACTGCGCAAACTACATTCGTCACCGAGAAGGCGAAGCGGACCCAGACGACACAGCCGGAAACTTGGATCACTTGTTTGAGGATAAATTCGGAAACTCGATTGGGCCCGAGACGAATTGTGAATGGCTTCGTCCTCATCCTCTGGGGTTCAGGAAGTTGTTGAAATGGCTGTCTGATCGTTATGATTATCCCAGGATCTATGTAACGGAGAATGGCACGAGTATCAAGGGAGAGAACGACTTAGCATTAGAGGACCTCCTCAATGATGAGTTTAGGGTTCAGTATTATCGGGATTATGTGGGTGCCATGGCTGATGCTGCTGCTATTGACGGAGTCAATGTTAAGAAGTACATGGCTTGGAGTTTGATGGAGTGAGTCTACCCGCGCCATTTTGTTCGAGAAATATCTACTAACCTTTTAATTAGTAACTTTGAATGGTCCGAAGGTTACCAATCCAGATTCGGCGTCACATACGTCGACTATAAGGACAACCAGAAACGTATCCCCAAGAAGAGCGCCCTCGTCATTGGAGAATTGTTCAACAAATACATCTCGAAAGAGTAGACAATTTGCTTGAATTTATATTTTATATCTATGTTATAACATATACACTACGTATATAGTGATTCATTATTTCGGATGTCTTGGAAGTCTTAAGTTTTGTGTCTGGTATTCTCCTTTTTTGTGTAGATTCTCACAAACTGCAATCCACATCACATTCGCTTGGTCAGTGCGACGAGTATCCAATTCGGGTTGTTACTCAGTCCTCCATCGTTTCTCAATCATATTGAAGCCGATGAGATCCGGCTCGATTTTCAGACTCTTCAGCATCATGTCCATAGTAAACGTCTACAATTTGTCAGCAAACTTGGAAACAAGCGCATAAGTAACAAAAACCTACCTCATCCTCACCATCTTCCGTCTGTCCACTGCCACCCTCCTCGTTATCATTAAACCCATCATCCCCTTTCTCCCGCTCACCATCTTCACCACTACGAGCAGCATAAAACTCATCATCCTCCCACACCAGCATCCTCTTCACCCTCTGCCGCTCACTTTCCTTCCACGCCGTCACACCCCCAATTCTCGCAATCTTATCCTTGGCAGTCTCGAATAATTCCTCAGCAGCCCTTTGGCTTATACCGCGCCACTTGAGTTTGAGTGCTCTGAGCTCGTCGTCTCGAGAGCTGGATTCGATTCGTAGTGCTTGTTGGGCTATGTCGAGTTCAGTGCGGAGAGATGTGAGCTGTGATTGCAGGGTGAGCTGTTTTCTGCGGAGGTATCGGATTTCTGGGTCTGATTCTGGAATGGTAGTCTTGATGTTCAGGGAGGGTTTGCTTGGAACTTTAGGGATAGCGGGTTTGTGGGAATGAGTTGGAGTTTGTTGCTCTTTGGTTGAATCAGAATTTGTAGTTGCTGAACTTGGAGTATCTGGATCTGCAGGCTCCTTTCGTTGTGCCGATTTGGGCAATGGTGACTTGAATGGGCGCGAGAGTGTGGATGCCGCGTTGTCAAGACGGCGTCGCTTTGCTTGAGAGCTTGGAGTTTGAGACATTTTGTTCTCTGAGTACTAATTGATGAATATGAGATGATCAATCGTGAGGATGGGATGAGGTAGAGTCAAGTCTCGAGGTCATTCAGGATCGAAAGAGGTGACGTCTACCGCACATGACTGCTTACGCCCGACGACTTGTCCTAATCCTACGACAACGCTCCGGTCATAACGAATTGGAAGATAAGTGGAACAATAGTAATTTCAACACGAAGTTATAGAACAGAAAGAAGTATGAGATATTACTACACATTCATATCAATGTCCAACTCCTCCTGCAACCCACTGCGCAAACTCTGGCTGATCTGGTCGAGGAAAGAAGCCCCTTTCATTATTCCCATTGCCATTGTTATTGTTATTTGCATTGGCAGCTGCTTGCTGTTGCTGTTGCTGTTGTTGTCCATTTCCATTATCTCTCTGTCGATTACGCTGTTGTCTGATATATACTAAAATCAACAGTGTGGCTGCAAGCGCAACTATGATGAGAGCTTCTAAGACACTCTCGTCTATGTCAAGCTCAAGTTCGTCGTAGTAGCCTGTGTCATCGTTCTCGGCATGGTGATGTGTTCCGAGAAGTTCTGCTTCTTCTTCACGCTCTCGAAGCAATTGTGCGTATTGTTGGGCTTCTTCTTCGTCGTTTTCTAGGAATGCGATGACCCATTCTTTGAAGGTTCTGGGTGCCTTTGATTCTAGATAGAGTTAGTCATAAAGTCGGCAACATATCGGAGAGACGGGAAAGTACCTTTCTCATCCTGAATGGGATTAACATTGCCATTGGTTATACGATTCCATAAATGACGAATACGAAGTTTGATCAGACTGAGCTTCACGGGGAAATAAGCTTCCTGATTCGTGGTAAGTGCAAGATCGTAGTAGCGTTTGGCCATGTGGAAATCTTGTTCGACTGCAACACCATTCTCGTGCATCCATCCCAGATTCCAGAATGCCTGTGCGCTATGATGGCCTTCAGCCGCGGTGTGATAACAAGTAGAAGCCTTTTCGGGATCAGGTGGAATACCAAGCCCACCCAAGTAATAATCTCCCATCTTCAGCAAAGAGTCGATATTCGATTGTCGTGCTGATCGAGTCCAGTAGATGAGGGCAAGCGCCGCATTTCGAAGTAGTGATGGGCGGGGCTTCTTTGTCGTCCATGGTAGGACTCTATCCAGAGAAAAGACGGAACGCTGTTCATCCAGAAGATAGGCAACGTTGGCTTGCGCATTCTCGTAGCCCTGTTCAGCGGCCATCATGACAGCGATCAATGCTGTCTCACGGTCGCCTTTCTCGTACGCATCATTTGCCTCGATGAATGAAGAATGAAGCTCTTCAGCCCTCTCCGCAACCATTTTGTAATATGCGGAAGCCATTCCACAGTGTGGTTCGCGACCAACGCCATAATTGACAATCTCTGCGAGATAATAGAAAGCTTCCATCCAGCCCCAGCGGGCAGCGAGCTCGAAATACTTAGTCGCTGTTTGTACATCACCCTGATCAAGGAACAAGGCGCCGAATCTAGTTTGTGCAGCGGGAAAATCCTGTTCGGCAGCTGCTTTGAAATACTCAGCAGCTCTGAACGCATCCTTTGGCACCCCGTAGCCATGCAGGTACATCAGTCCAATCTCGTACTGACACAAGGCATCGCCGTTGGCAAGGCCGCGCTTGAACCACAGCATGGCTGTTGCAAAATTTTGCTCAACGCCTTCTCCACGCAGATACATCATTCCAATGTAACCAGCAGCTTTGGCTGCCACCTTCTCAATACCCATCGGATGGTTGGCGAGAATATCGCCGTCTTTGGTCCAATATTTTTTCGTGACGACCCTGAAATATTTCATAGCTTTCTTGTAGTTGCGAGGCAATGTCCTAGCACCGTCGTAAAACATCTTGCCGAGATTCAAAGTTGCCCTCAGCTCGCCTTTTTTGGATAATAAGTCTAGATATTCGAGGACGTCTTCCAAGTTAGTATCTGCGCTTGAATGACTACCATCTCTATGAGCGTTGGGCCCTGAGCTCGAAAAGCTTGCACCTTCACCATATATCCCGCCGTCATCATCTACCCATCGATGCGACTCTCGGACCATAACCCGGCCACCAGGGGGACCAGACCGCAAATAGTCAATAGCTTTATCGGCAACCTGCTTGTAATAGTGCACGGCCTGGTCACAGTCTCTCGAACCGCCAATACCAACATGATGACGAAAAGCAAGAGTCATTTCCGATCTCGTGTTTCCCTGCTCAGCTGCAAAGGTGTGATACAACAGCGCCATTCCTTGATCCCGCTCAACCGCATCACCGATACCGGTTGCATACATGAATCCGACCATGTATTGTGCCGTACTATTTCCAGTCGTCGAAGCAAGCTCCTGATACCAACGAAATGCTTCTTTGAAGTTGCGGGGGTAAGAATAGTTGCCGTAAAAGTTCATGTCGGCAAGGAGAAGCATGGCGTCAGCATTTCCAGACGTTTCTGCTGCGACCTCCAGTTCATGTATCGCTTCCACTAATTCCGGGAGAAGTTTATTTGACCGACTTGTTTTTCGTGATTCATCGTCGAGTGATGGCCCATTCATGAACAACAGGTAGAATGCGCGTTTAGCATAGTGTAAGGCATATCCGATCACCCCTGAGGGCCTGTCCTGTGCCGCCGTCGACACCTTGATCGCTCGAAGTTTTCGTAACGCGGAGTCAACGAGCTCTTTTCATCCGTTGAAATCTTAGTATCACGCCACGTAGAGAAAAAGAGATGGTCCTTATGCATACCGTTCCCAGCTCTCACATCTTTCCAGCCATTATTCTCGCCGGTCGTAAAACCCTCGGTATTCGGTTTCTCAGATCGATGTCGAGAGGTCGAGACCGACTTTGTTTGACTCTCGCATGATCCCAGAATCGCCAGCGACCACACTGTGTAGTGCAATGGTGGTTAGTCACACGTGCTTTCCTTCCACAATCGAGCTTATCAACGGAGACGACTCACGGAACACCAACGACAAAATCAAGCGCGCCCACAGCTTCATCTTTCTCTCGGTTTATTTTGCACTCGGCATCAAGAAATTCATTGCGCAATGATACAGAAACCCCTCATGTCGTGATAGAATGGATGTTGTTGTATGTCTTTAATCGGGCCACCTATGACGAACGGAGCTGATCCAAAGTCTCCACCGGGCCGCGGCGGAGTTTAATTCAACCGACTACACAACACAACCCTCACAAGTAATAACTACTTTGTATGTGGGTATACACATAACTTTACTTGAAACAAGATATATCATATTGAATGTAAATATGTCATCAAGACCACGGTAGCCCTCTAAGTCTCAGCATTGTGTATGCCATGCTAAGTCACGTCGATCAACAACGCCCTTGCTGTTTCTGGTAGTGTTTCATCCATGCTCAACATCTTGAGGTTCTACAATGTTCGTTTGCCAGTCATCCTGACCCTATTTCAGCGTCAACACTTTGGAATTGGCAAGATTAAACAGATCAAACCAGAAGAATGACATCCAGTATACGATCAGATCGAGTGATTTGATTCTGTGAATAATGCTGTCCTTACTGGTCAGGATTGTTGTTGTACCAAGCCCGAAAGCTTCAACGGAAAGCATCTCATTTGACGTTATTATCATTCCAGGGTAAGAACAGGCAAGGCACCGAATAAACCAGTAGATTATGATATGGTTAAGCAAGCAAGAAACACAGCCACATCGTTTAAAAGCAATTAATATTGGTATCGAGTGGACTTTCAGGGCAGCTTCATAGGACAACTCAGTAGGGCAACTTCGCAGGGCCACGTCAACGGCTTCAGGATCGGAGAGATCAAATACATGCCTGGTATGTATTAGACTTTACTAGCGAACGAAAATTCTAGAGGTACGCGGCTTCCTGTCTTTGCTATCTAAGTAGGATGTTACTTTGCCCGGGTGCTTTCTTTCAATGATCGTCTGATATCATAAGAATAACAAAGCTTCCATGTTGATGCATTACAACAGTGTCTTTGTCTCGAGCTACCACAATAGGTACGGATAGCATCAATGGAGTGTTTTCTCCAACAGATAGCTATGATTTTGCTATATCAACAGCAATGAGACAATGAAATAGATAAAAATGACTATCAAATGCCAGTCTGTTTCCGAATCTTCGTTTGGCTTTTCATTGATAGGTGGAGCCCACTAGCAAAAATGTCCAGGCCTTCGATTTTAGTGGACTCTCAAATCGAATCACATCATTGTTGTGGCTCTGGAAGGGCGCCAGGCACTGAAAATAAAGACTCAATTTCTGTTGGCCCAATTTAGAAGCCCACCTTTGCCTCCTCAACTGAGCTTCCTACAACTATCAGAGATTCCACCATCAAAAACAAATGGCTTCTCTACTTCAAAAAATAAATTTCTCTGACATTATCTACATTCACACAAAATCATATCTTTCCAGGAATTTCACGCCAATATGAGCGCACCACAGAGAAAATCCTTGAGAATTATGGCAGCTCAGGAGGCTGCGACTCTCAAGAGATATCGCAGATCTCCGTCTATGGAACCAAATGAGGAACACCGGTCAAATGACAGTGACGTGCCTCTAATCGAACACCATCGCCAGGCTAGAGAACGTGAGTCTGCCGATAGCGACGTGCTTCTGATTAAACGCCATCGTCAAAATGAGGAACATGAGTCTAGTAACAGCGATATCTCTCCTCCAATTCCTAAAAAGCGTCGCCTGTGTCGTTCAAATACCCCTGCGATGCCAGCAGAGAATTCAAGCAGCACAAAAGAGTTGGCTAGTCGTCAAAGCAATGATACAAAGAGCAACTACGACGACGACAAGAAAATCCAAAAGGTTCGTTACAACACTAGACTGCGGTGGACATGGTTTGACTTACTAATATATGATGCTTTAGGAAGAAAACCCAGAAGGTGGCCATGTCCCAGCGTAAATGGCTGTGACCAGACGTTCATGCACCAATGTCCCGATTATCCTGATACTTTCTACACCAAAGACGAACCGAAAACATCTCTACATACACGAGGGGCACGCTTTAAAGTCACCAGAAATTTCCCTGTCTTACTTGTGAGCTTAGGTTCGCCAGGAAAGAGGATCTAAAAAGACAATATGGAATTGTATGAAGGGGGAGGAAACCCCAGAGATGTCTTGACACAGTACGGTTACAGAAAGTTGTTCGATACCAAACTCAATATGACTTTACCGAGAAGATGGCTCGAGGCTGGAGGATACGACGATATCCTACCCGAAGGTGAAGACTGTCTCCTCTTGCCGTTGCACACTTTCAGAGATAATTTTAAGGAGCTTGGCCTAAAGGTTACGGGCAAGAAAGTCCCTTGCGATTTAAAGTTGTTGCCACCAGTCATCTTCTGACTTTCAAAAACCACCTTGCTCTAATCGACACATTTCATTCATGGTTGGTAACGAAAGCTTTGTTGGAGTTATTGAAAAACCCCTCGGAGCGCACTCCGAATTGGTTGAAAGACTTGAGTGAGAAACGGATGATAAGTTGCAAAATACAGACTACTCTCGATGAATTCTTGCGCCCAGGGATTGAAATAGACAACGAAGCGGAAGAGGAAGCCGACGTGGACGTGGACGTGGACATGGAAGGCATTTGACATGGTGAAGGAATCAAAGTAGGGTGACGGGAGTCCATCACAGAGCATAATTAGATATTTAGTCTCCATCAGACATGATTGTGTATTCACCACTAACCCGAGAACAACAATTATAACATGACATCGTATAATAACGCTGCACATGTGAACACCATAATTCCAAAATTCAGACAGCCGAAGATCTGGGCACTTTACCAAGCTTGATGCCGGTTAACCCCATTGTTCAAACTTCAGGACCAAAGATGATTTAAGTGAAGCTGTATTCGATTCATTGGCTCTTCAGGGCAACTCATCTGTGTAACATGAATGGATCGAGTAGTCATACACTTCGATATTCGCCCGGAAATTCCCTACCAGGAATTTCTAATATAATGCAATTCAGGTAACCTGTAACCCGCCCCTCTTCTGGTCATAAACTATCCTTTCCTCCTTAAATTGAGCTTCTCTGCAACTCTAGTCACTGAACCAACTAAGAATCATCAACTTCGTGGATCATGCTCGAATCCAATTTTAAGATACTCGGGATCAAGTTGAAGGAGGGAGATGAATCCCATACAAGACCCCCTTTTTCCAAACTTCAGGAACCGTCAAGCTTTGATCGATACCTATCAGCTATGGCTGTTGACGATGGTCTTACTGGGGCTTTTCAAAAGCCATCGGGGCGCTTTCCGGAGTGGCTAAGAAGCTGATAGAATGGAAGCGGATGTGGAATGGATAATGGCAGATAGCGATCGACAAGTATTTCTACCACAAGCCAGCGCCTGACATGGAAGATAGTATCCTGGGTATAAGCGTGCATGGCAATCAACACAGAGCTTGATTGGGTGTTTAGTTATTTCGAGAAATGGAGGGCTCTTGATAAGCTGGAAATTGTTGCTTTTAAGCTCCCTTGGAGGGTGTGTCGATTATTTTGAGCCTCTTGTTATCTTTTCTAAGCGTGGAGATCTGCTGATGGAGGCCTACAAATATTGACAGCTCTTATGTTCTAATACACGTACATGTAAACTTCCGAGGAGCTCCTGGCTATGTCATTCATTCTTGATTATAAGAAACTATCACGTAGGTTCTCGATACAATTCCTTTTTTCCATATTCGACCCATGAGTTCTAAATAGACTGAGTCGCGCTAAAAAACATATTGACACAATTCTGTAAGTTTATGTAAAGATTTGAAACTAGAAATACAACAAGAGGACTTGGAAAAACCGCTTAGATCAACTCTTCCAATCTACTGGCGTGGGGACCTAGTGAATTTCTGTTAGCTCATAAACAAAGCAAGCTCAATTCGCCATGTACTCACGTTGGGTTGTACTGCGGCGACGTCGGGCTGTAGCTAGGCGAAGTTGCGCCGCGAGCAGGTGACGTCGGAGAGCCATGAATGTTGGGAGATGTGGGAGAGTAGATCTCAGGGCTTGTCGGTGACCACCCAGGCGATGCAGGAGAATACTTCGGCGAGGTGGGACTCGATGGAGAGAATTGTCTACCGCCTATTGCCGGGCTAGTGGGGCTGTAGGTTGGCGAGCTTGGGCTGAAGGCAGGTGAAGCCGGACTGAAATTTGGAGATGAGGGGCTGTAATTGGGTGACGAAGGGGAGAAGCGCGGTGATGTAGGCGAGTATGAGGGCGAAGTGGCCTGGAAAGATGGAGACGTTGGAGAATACGCCGGACTTGTTATCGCAAATGCAGGTGATTGTGGCGAGAAACCTGGAGATGTCGCATAGCGCGGGGAAGTTATCGACATATTAGGCGAGCTGGGTGAGTATGAGGACGAAGGGGAATAGCCAGGCGACACAGGGCTTGTATTGAAAGGACTGGTAGGCGAATAACCACCAGGGCTCTGAGGTGCTGGACTGAAACCTCCCAACCCTCCCGATGGTTGATAAGCCGTAAAACCACCGGGTGTTTCCGCGCCGGCTTGACGAATTGGGCTAAACTTCGCATCCAGATCGGGTGTACCAATATAACCATTTTCCATCATAGGAGAGTTGTTGTCGTACTGAGTAGCTGCTCCGTCATTGATCATTGCGTCCTTAGCTCCCAGGCCGCCCATCAAGCCAATTCCGGTATTGCTTGAAACTACCGTATTCAGCATACTCTGATCGAGGTACACATCGAACTCTCCCGTTCCAGCGGGTGCCAATTGACCAAGGATCAGGTTTTCAGACACACCACGGCAATCATCAAGTTCACCAAAAGCGGCCGCTTCAAGAAGAATTTCGACGGTCTCTTCGAACGAACATCTCATCAGGGCACCATTGTCGGCTCGGTTGATACCGTGACGAGTAACGGGGGTAAGATAACCGCGCACTGTCATTATGTCGACCAAGAGTGCCAAATGACGATGATTGACATAAGAACCGTCGAAAGCCAACACCTGAGTCAGTTCCCGTAACAGAGCCGAGCGAGCAGCTTCGATACCGAACACCTCAAACACCTCGATAAACTGGTTGGAATAAGTTCGGCTAGTGTCCACACCCGGGATCGTGAGAACATCAGCGAGCGCTGAACCACTTGTCTCCAACACCCATTCTTTGCACAATGGATCGCTCTTGCTTAGGAATAGAGAGCCGTCGTCCATAAGGCGAACGTTATCCTTTTCATTGATGAAAGCACGCTCGACGCCAGATACACCACGTAGAGTCAACGTATCCAACAAGTGTTGTTCAAGTTTCTTGAGAGTAACATCGTACTCCATATCCTCTTCGTCTTCGTCTTCCTTCACATCATGAAGTTGGCGAATACGAATAACTTGCTCATCGGCGTTGTTATCGCTAAAGATGACAGCAATATCTCGTGGGTACTGCTGCTTGATCCTAGTAGCCACGTCCTGGACAGTGAGTCCCTTATCCAAAAGTCTAGCTCGGTTCAGAACGATACGCAAGAGCCACTTGGATTGACGGCTAGAATCGTCCGTGACATCTTCTGGAATGATAAAGTAGGACTCGACCATATCTCTATCGTTGTCGATGACGGTAGACTGAATATCTGGATCATAGTAGATTTCAGTAGCTTCCGTGACTGAACGAAGACTTGTATGTTCCACCACACTACGCAACTGCTTAGCAGCCTCCTTGTCGTGCTTCTTATGGGGCTCTTGATAAACTGTCATGGAAGGCGTCTTGATGTTTGTGGCGACGTTCAAAAGTTCTTTCAGACGAGGAACACCGAGAGTAACGTTCTTGGAACTAACACCAGCAAAGTGGAAAGTATTCAAAGTCATCTGCGTGGCAGGCTCTCCAATAGATTGGGCGGCTAAAACACCAACCATTTCTCCTGGGTCGGCCTGGGCTTGAGCGAAACGCATCTCAATTGCTCCTAAAACGTGCTTGAATGCAAGTTTGTTCATGGAGTACTGAGTGACTAGTCGCTTGAAGGCTAGGCGTGAACGCAGTTGAGCCTTGAATAAAAGTGTAGCACTGGTTTGGGCCTCTTTCGAGATGACATCATCACCACGAACAACCACCAAACGATCCAGCAAAGCTTGGACCTGAGGAATGACTTCCGCGGGATGAAGATCACTAATAGTGCCTTCTTTGATATTGAATGTGGTTTTTGCCGACTCAAGGATGCGTTGAACGTTTAGTGGCAATTGCATCATTTCTTCGTCTCCCTTGGCGACAGAGCGAAGAAATTCTCGATCCTTAACAAGAGCATCCCATTCTTCATCAAAGTATCTTTGAACTTCGATATCGCCATTAATTTCAGCCGCTTGTTCAAGGACTTCGGGTCCGAGTGTGCGCTCTGGGTCCATGAGGTCAACGCGGAAACGATCACGGAATTGTTCATCAGAGCATTTGATAGTGTCCACTCTCTGATTTTCGATGTGACCACCGTCCAATCCGTCCTCTCCGTACAAAAACTGAATGATATCGCCAAGCGAGTTTCGGACAGTTCCATCGTATTTGACCATAAGTTCTTCGAGGGCCTTGACAAGCTTACGCTGAATATAACCCGTTTCGGCAGTCTTGACTGCGGTATCAATAAGACCTTCACGACCAGCCATAGCGTGAAAGAAGAACTCTGTTGGTGTAAGACCACGAAGGTAGGAATTCTCAACAAATCCTCTCGACTCCGGAGAATAGTCGTCCTTGGTAAAATGAGGAAGCGTGCGGTATTTGAAGCCAAAGGGAATTCGCTTTCCTTCGACAGACTGTTGTCCAACGATGGCTGTCATCTGGGAGATGTTAATGGCGGAACCCTTGGATCCAGATCTAGCCATTTGAATGGCGTTATTGAGATCCTTCAAACTCTTCTCGGTCTCACTCCCAGCAGCCTCACGAGCATTGTTCAATGCACGAGAAACCTTACTTTCGAATGTCTCTCGAATGTTCATACCGGGCAATGCCTCCAACGTATTTTCAGTTGCACTCTGAACGATCTCTTCGACCTCTGCTTTACCAGCGCGAACTGCACCTTCAATTCGTTCAATGGTTTTCTTGTCAGGGATTGTATCACCAATACCGATGGAAAAACCATTGTGTAAAAGCCAATAATTGACCACGCGCTGGGCTCCGTTGAAAAACGAGACAGCAGCCATAGGACCGTACTCGTTAAAAATGGTATGAACAACACCGCCGCCGGATGCTCCAACAGTCTTCTTCGAAAACATGCCGTACATCAACTGGCCGCCATGGACTAGTATTCCACCATCTGCTAATGGCGAAAACTTTTCAGAAAGAGGGGCTTTGTCTTTATCAACACGCAGCAAGTTGAGACCGGAAGGTAAAACCATGCTGATGATCTGCTTTCCAGTCCAACGGGGTCTAGGTTTGATAATGGCTGGCTGAGGAATGGAGCCGTCCCAGTCGGGAACCCAAAGCATGAGGTTCATAACTTGATCTTTGGTAAGGAAAACGTCACGACGGCAGATTTTGTAGATACCACACAGAGAGTCCTGCACGATACCCATCAAGGGACCATTTCGCTGTGGCGAGACAATGTTGGTTGGAACCAAGGCAAGTTCAAGTAATTCAGCACGAGCTTCTTCACTCTGAGGCACATGCATGTTCATTTCGTCACCGTCGAAATCGGCATTGTAAGGCGTGGTGACAGACAGATTGAGTCGGAAGGTAGAATAAGGCATAACACGAACACGATGACCCATCATAGATTCCTTGTGCAATGATGGCTGACGATTGAAAAGAATGACATCCCCATCGAGGAGATGACGTTCAACTTTCCAGCCGTATAGAAGATTGGCGTTTGTCTTCCGGGCCATACGCAAGTCAATTCGCTCACCGTTATCACGAACAATGTACCTCGCACCAGGGTAGATTGTAGGACCGTTGTTCACGAGTTTCTGCAGGAATTCGATATTGTAAGGCGTGACAACTATCAGGATCATCAGTCACTCGATCTATCTTTAAATTTAGGGTTAACGAACCTTCTGGGTACGTCAATATCATTGCAGTTCTAGATATATGTTAGTGATAATCTCAAAGACATCATTCACCGTGAATGCACCAAGTTGTATTAGGTTAGGGTGGGGTTACGCACGATTTGGGGCATCCGACTTCCTCCAACGATAACAGAGGGTCGCCGCAGATCTGTGATTGTGTGAGTATTCATTCGTACCGATTGCACAAGGTTTGGGAGCGAAGGGGGCGATGGAAGGGAATGGGTGTTATTATGGTCATGAGGGCCGTTAGGGTTGATAGGGTTATTGTAACATACCACAGTACGAGCCGAAAAATCGACACGCTTTCCCATGAGATTCTGACGTAATCTGCCCTCTTTTCCCTTTAACCTTGAACGTATGCCCTTCACTAGAAGTCGTTTTAGCTCTGGTCTGGTTGCGGTTCTCAGAGAATAACATACCTGGTCTGTTAGACTTCGTCATGGCTTTTGGTTGACCAGCAATATCATTGTCCATATATGTGGCGACGTGATATTGAAGCAAGGCCTCGAATTCCCGAACGACGTGTTCCGGTGCACCTTCCTGTTCGCAGCGTTGCAGGTTTTGATTCGCACGAATGATTTCTGCAAGCTTGAACGTCAAGTCATCCTCAGCACGTTGGCCGCTAGAGCTCTTGCCGCTGACAACACTGGGACGAACGACGGGAGGCGGCACAATTAAGACTGTCAAAACCATCCACTCTGGACGAGCATAGTCGTTGCTTAAACCCATAATCCTCACGTCTTCTTCGGAGATACCGCGGAAGATGTTGTAAGCCATTGTGGGGGTGATAGTTCGCTTCTCGGGTTGAGGCATATCGACATCGTCGTCCATCATATTCGCCTTGTTCGGTTTCCAGGTTCCAACAAGACTCAATCCTTCCTTGCGGATGGTTGGCTGAGCATTACCACAGCCGCCGTGTCCTTTATGGGGTTTGGATGCTTCCTTTGAAAAGGGGTCCTCGTCCTCCGGCATTGGATCTGCTTCACATATGTTGACATCTTTTGACAACCGCCAGATCATATCGAATCGTCGCTTAGGGTCGCGGATACGGAGCGCATCTTGGAACTTCGTGTCTGACATGTCTGCCTTAATTTTCGAACAATTGTGGCAAACGACTTCGAGTAATTTCTTCGTCTTTGTGAGGAAACCTGTTCAAGTTAGTTATGTCTAACTTGGTAGAAGGAATTAATTTAATCATACCAATGTGATAGACCGGTGTTGCAAGCTCGATATGGCCAAAATGTCCGGGACATTCCTTCTGACCCTCCTCACAGGTCTCACAATAATACTGGCGATCAAGAGTGCCAAGCCTTGGATCATTAGGACCTTTGGTTCGTGGGCGCATTCTCTGCTCGTCCTATTTCATAAAAAAAGTAGAGTTTAACATAATGTAATCATAAGGCAATTTTGCACAAAAAATGCCGCCTTACCATTGTCTCTGGATATTCGACATGGACCACACTCAGACGTTTTATCTCCTCCGGCGACAAGAGACCGAACTGGATCTCCTTGATCGTGCGCAAGGGCGCCTTGGAGTAGGGGAAGTGAACGTTCGACATGGTGGAGGTCCTTTGACGCTAATCACGGAGACGGAGACGGAGTCAGAACGAGGAAATGTGGTGTTGACACTGGACTGCGATGCGCTCTGTTTGCGAGCGCTGGTATTTCGTGATTTTTGACAAAAAACAATCCGGTTGAACACTGAGCGATTGCTGATAGACAGAAATGACAGTCGACTGCCTGCCGGTGAGGCCTCTGGCAGCCCTTGCCACGAGGGCGCCTTTCACCTTAAGGACAACGGGACGCCGCGCAAGTCGACACTTTGGAACGGGGGAAAAGCCGAAAAAGTCGCACGAGTTGATTGCCCTGACTTGACTTGACAGAATCCCAGATAGAAACGCGATATCTCGGGATGGCAAGTGATGAGCAGATGGGTTGGCGCGTGGATGAAGGAGTGAAAGTGTTTGAGTCGCCTCGCTGAGTCCGGGCAGGGACGTTAGCTCGAGTTTTCTTGGGAGCCGCTAGCCACTGCTGCCTGGCCAATCAGACGCGTTCTGCACGTTTGACGATGTCTTGGCGCGGCCCAGTTTAGATACGCCATTCACGGATAAGAAAGAATTCACATTACTAGTCACCCAGGTTATTTTGACTTTACTCTCTGTTCGCCATAGGTTCATACCGCGATCATAATCTATGCGCTTCAAGTATGATATATGACTGAACCCTTTTATCGCCTCCTGGATCGCCGCCAGGTAGGAAGACCTCATCAACACCAATCGATAGCCGACAACAATGAATCTCTCACTCGTCGATCCATTCGCCCTCGCGCAAGACTACCCCGATACTTTGACCGGGAAATTACGTACGTCGGCTTTTCATAGCATTCATCACATGCGCTTGAAATACAGAGATTGATATAGTATAGGGAGCGGCCATGCTGCATGTCTTCGGTTCAGTCGCAAGGGCGATTACCTCGCCGCAGGTCGGGTGAGTGGTCGTCTAGATGACTAAACCAATTGAAACAAAAGACTAATTAGAGGTGCATGTTTCAGGTTGACGGTACAGTCATTGTTTTTGATCTCGAGACGAACGGGGTAGCCCGCAAATTACGAGGGCACACCAGGCAGATACAGTCGCTTAGGTACGGGATTGAACTTCTGGCTTTTTTGCTATTTTAGGCGTCGCTAACGGTTTTGCAGCTGGTCCAGAGATGGACGATATCTGTTGAGCGCATCGCAAGACTGGAAATGTATACTGTGGGATTTAAAGGATGGCTCGCGAGTGCGAATGGTCCGTTTCGCAGCTCCAGTATACATTGCCGAGTTGCACCCTTTTAACCAGTGAGTCTGCCGAAATACTATCTCTACACATATTATGACCAAGCTAATCTCCCAGTCTTTTATTTGTTGCCTCCCTCTTCGAAGAACAACCAGTCCTAGTGGATATCTCCAACCCCAAACCCATCAAACACATCCTGCCCTCCGTCCCCCTCCGACCTCAAGACGGCGTCGATCCCGCCGCAGCAGCCAAACAAGCCGCCCAAGACGCCAAACAATCCACCTGCGTCACCATCTTTACAGCCCTAGGCAATCACATAATCTCCGGCACATCCAAGGGATGGATCAACATTATCGAAACGCAAACCTGCAAAACCATCCACTCAACCCGCCTCTGCAACGGCGTCATCATCCTCATCCGCCTCGCCAGCAACGGCCGCGATCTACTCATCAACAGCTCCGACCGCGTCATCCGCACAGTGCTAATGTCGGACCTGTCTCAATTAGGCATGGGCCTCGACCCGGCCAACATCAAACTCGACGTAGAACACAAATTCCAAGACGTCGTAAACCGACTCAGCTGGAACCACGTTTCATTTTCATCGACCGGCGAATTCATCATGGCATCCACATACATGAACTCGGACATCTATATCTGGGAACGAAGCCACGGCTCCCTCGTGAAAATCCTCGAGGGACCCCGCGAAGAAATGGGTGTTGTGGAATGGCACCCTTCGCGGCCCATGATTATGTCCTGCGGCCTCGAATCCGGATCAATATACATATGGTCTATCATCACGCCCCAAAAATGGTCCGCGCTCGCCCCGGATTTTGCAGAAGTAGAGGAAAACGTCGTCTACGTTGAGCGGGAGGATGAATATGACATCCACCCGGCAGAGGAAGTGCATCAGCAACGTCTCGATCAAGAAGATGAGAGTCCCGATGTACTTTCGCTCGATCATATGGGTAATGTTGCCGTTCTGGGAGATATGGATATTGATACGTTCCGTATGCCGGTGTTATTGGATTTGTCGGATAGTGAGAGTGAAGAAGAGATTATAGCTGTTGGGCCAGGGACGATGAGGAGACGGAGTCCGGGTGCGGGCAGGGAATGGATGAATACTTCTAATGATGGCGCGTCTTCTACGAGGGGCACGCTCGGAAGGGGGAGGAAGAAATAACACTACCCTTTGCTCACATCTTATCATTTCGTCATTATGGTTTTGTCTTATCATTTTATTTATATCTAGCGTTGGGATTGGATGGGTACACATTTCAGGCTGGCGTCGTTGTGAGAATATCCTGCTTTCGATTAGGTTGGCCTGTAAAATGATAGATGCAAGTTGAGAATATTTCGACAATACCTATATATACAAAACGTTCAGGTGGCAATCACGCTAACATGACATCTGGAACCCGACGACACATTCCCGGACGAAGAACTCCATGCATCTCACCATCAGACAACATTAAAATTGATCCAAACTTCTTCCCCTCTGGTCTCCGAGGTCCTTTCTTCTGCTCACTCGTTCACATCCTCTCTAAACTCCAGAACCAAAGCACCGGACTTTGTCCCACGTCGCTAGCAAAATGCAACCCAGAAAAGAAGAGAAAAAAGTTCATTAGATACCCAAAAAATTTTGTTCCATCCTTCCTTGCACCCCTTCCCTTTTCCCAATGCCAATGAAAAATAAAATAAAATGTAGATTCGTCAGTCATTCTTTTCTCCAACATTATCGTCTGATTCTCTCTAGGCTCCTGAATATGCATCGATTGAACATGTCCAATTCATGCCCGGTTTGATTATAAAGATCAAGGAATGTAGCGTTTCGTGGTGATAGTATGCGTGCATGATAGGCGGCGACGGATGGTGTCATGCGCGTGATGGGTAGATAGTATAGAAATATTGGCAGGTCATTGGTGGGCTGCTAAAATGACTTGCAGCCCTTGCCAGCCTGCGTTCATGCTCATTATATAAGATTTGGTCGAGCGGGCGTGGTGGGAGGCCTAACTAACTTCAGATCAAGATCCTGGCCATCTCCTCAATTTCCCGGTGGGGTCTCCGGTTTCATCGCTTGATAGATGTGAAGTATATTATATGCTCGTATCTCCTTGTTGTAAGCTTCCCTTTTCACTTCCAGGGCTAGTTGCTGGATTTGTTCTTTTGAGAATCCCCATACCCGATGCAGAGGAGCGAGGATCATCGTCTCAACGCTCTCGGAAATGGCAAGATTATACCACCGACCAACTTTCTTTTCGTGCTCGTCGTGATGCCATGGATTCAGCGGAAGTCCAACAATCTGATGGTCAATGTTCACAAATCCTTGTTTCTCCAGTGCCGCCATTGTCTCGCTAACGCTGTGGGCTATTGGTCGTGCAGACATCTCGGTGGCCTGTTTTAGGTACTGATACCATTTGTGCATGGACGTATTCTCGAGGGAACGTTCTTCGCATCGCGGCTCAAAATCGATCTCTACCTGCTCGAACCATCCTCCCGGACGCAAATGAGTGAATACTCGACGGTAGAGCGATGGCCAGCTAGTGACGCTGCCACTTCCCATCTGCATATGAATTAAATCCCAGTAGTCCTCACCCAATGCCCATGGATACTCGAAATCTCGCGGAGCATAGAAGTCACAATTCTTAGGGCAGTTCTCAGGCTGGATATCAGCGAGGTCCATGCCAGCCACGAAGCTGTCGGGATATTTGTTAGCTACATCGATTGCCCAAATTCCGGTGCCGCAGCCCAGGTCCAATACACGCGCATTTGGGGGGTGAGGGGCATATATTAAGCCGTCGCCAACTCGAGCTTCTGTGATGACTTTGTGAAACAAATCAAGGCGGTCTTGCTCTTCATCGTCGCACGGTAGCATGTAAACGCCTTTCCGGTATCCATGATACGTTCGCCCGTTCTCTAGGTGACGAGGGTGCTGTTCAGGAAGCCTTTCTCAGCTCATGTGTTAGCCGCAATTTGATCGATTCAGCAGTGGAAAACACATACTTGTATTGAGAAGGCATCAGGTTGTGATCATTATTTGAGCGCGCCGATTCTCCGGCGTGGGGGTTGTGTGTGTCCACATTCTGCCCGATTCTTGAGGCATCCGGCGAGGCATAGACGAGCTGAGAAGATTGGGGGCTGCCGTTCGCAGTGGTTGTGATTGTAGTAGTGGCGGTGCCCTGCAGCGGTTGTGCAGGATGTCGATGGTTTGAAAACATGTTGCGTATGTCTGCGCGTTTCGTATAACAGCCAAAACTTTTACTTCCAGAGCTCGTACTTGCCTAACAATAAATTGACGGCTCGGCGTCAGTCTTTCTCCTGGTGACTGTTGGCTGTTCCCGTCCTGCCTCCATTCAAGAATATGCGAAGCGACAGGCCAAGCTTAGAGAAGCCGAAGAAAATGTTGCCGGTCTTGGATGCAGGTGACTTGGTGTAAACAATACTGTTTCATACGCCCGCATGGCCGTGGAGAACAAGCGAGAGCCGGCGCGTATCAACGGCTCAGGGAACACACCAGGCGAGCGCACCAACAGGCGGCACCGAGCCACAGAACGGGGGGGTTTAGAGAGGTATATATAAGTGTGTCTAAGGAATTGGCCCGACGCATGCATGGGAAGATGAGCGGGAGCTCCGACGAGAGAAGCAGGATGAGTGGTGAGTGAGTATAGAGGTTGGGGGTAAGCGCTGAGAGGGCGCGAAGGGCAACGAGGAAAAAAAAAAACAATTAAGAGGAGGTATTAATGCATGAATGCACTGGGTATGTCGACAGGGAAGGTACGAGCTGCTGGAGTGGCAGAGGGCAGGAGGCAGGTGGCAGAGAGATCCATATTAAATACTTAGCACACAGTAATACGGAGTAAATATTCAAATACTCTGGCAAGCCATAATGCTACTTAGTTTAGTGGTACTAGACTGCGTACTAACTAAGTACGTCCAGTGTTAAAATTAGGCTATGCCAGGCCCGGCCCGCTGTACTATGTAAGGAGTCTAAGAGGAGCCTTGCCTATCAGGGACGCGCTGACCGGATGCACTATGGGGGGAATGCCTGAGCGCCTGGGACCAACCACCAACCACAGCGAGGAGTAGCCGGACTGGGAAGTGTTCCGTTAATATCGACGATTGCCTAGGTACTAGTAATGTCGCATTACCACTAAGTGGTAAATCATTACATAGTAGACTCGTTAACGATCAATGGTCTGCGTGAGATGTGAGATCAAATGACGACACCGAGATCGCCTTGCTGTAGCTCAGCGTTGACGTGGCTGCATCGAGTGGCCTTGCTGCAACGAGTGCATTGGTGCGTAGCTTAATATTGAGCATCGTACATGTGTGTAAAGTACGTACATAGGCAGTATACATAGTAGGTACATAGAAGAATAAGCGCCTCCTACTGGGATCAACGACTGTGTGCCTACTACAGTAGGTAAGTAAGTTACGTCGTCAGTCTCAATGATGCTCGTCGCAGCTGCGTGACACTGACTGCGAGTATGCGAGTATGTCCAGAGGAAGGCACGACCAAGAGGGAAGTTAGTCGGCGGGGGCAGGAGCGGCTGGKACCGCCATGCTCCCGCGCCGGGAAAGAAGGGCCCATCAACCCGCCCGCCGCCTCCCAAACCCTTGGGACGGCTTTGTTCTCTCAACTCCCTCCAGGGACCGCCCTCGACATCGTAGTATACACCTACTACGTAGTACTGGAGTATACGTTGGCTGACAGATTACTGGATAGCATTGATTGTCTTTGTTTCTTGACATCACCTCATGTGGATCGCTCTCAGATCATGGAAGCAATTCGTGTCTGCGTTTGGTGTGCGACGACCGTGTCCTGCAGTCATACATTATCATCCCCCAACCCTCATCCAAGGCACGCAACCCGAGAGTCTGGGTAGCTTTTCTCACCGCGATTTACTCGGGCCACTCAGCGACTGCGATGCTAACTCCGTTGGCTGAATGTTAAACACAATAGTGTACACGGCTTGAGGCGAGACGGTACGAATTGACGGAATCAATCATCTGACGGCCTCTGCGCTCCAGCGAGTCCCCCATGCTATTCCTCTTCCACCTCTAGCCGCAACGCTAACTCGACCAGAATTTGTGGCACAGTCAATTTCCACTGTTCCAGTGTGCTCGTCCCATTCGCAGATACCGAACCAAGAATTGATTCATGACGCATACACTCATTGCCAACTGCATGCTCAACTATTCATCGCTTCTGATCCAACCGCAAAGGCGACCGCCCACGCGAGACCCTGGTCTAGGGAACAACAACCGAGTATCAACGCGCAAGGCTGCACACGTACAACACACGCATGCTGACGTCTCCAGCCTGGGCCCCTAGAGTTAGCGACGACGGATTATCCAACGCTATCGATGATCCACCCGTTCCCCCGTTGCATCACCTCTCTATGCATGTTATGCAGCAGAAAAAGCGGAGACTGGCCCAGTCAACCACACACGGTTCGATGCGCCCCTGATGGCTTCCTAGAGCTGAAAGGTTGTCCGCGATCCGGCGACAATTTTAATAATCATTGCTGTGCCGCATAAAATGGACCGCATCCTGCGGCGCAAGTCGCAGTCTTTCCGACTCCTATGGCGGTCAGCGGCCCTTTTCTAATCCACTAACTCTATCTATGCTAATACACTGCGTTCCAAGACTTACAAACCCCGTTCCAAGGACCAAACATGCTGTACCGCGTACGCACTGCCAATCAATGATCTGTTCGGTGACCCTCGGTCGAAGTATCGCGTGGGGGAGGGGAAGATCCTGCATGGGTCAGAAAACGACGTTGAACACGAGCCGGAGAGACCGTCCTCGAGCTATAACCCACACAACTATACAGGGCATTAAAGCTTAAAACGAAAACAATCCGCCTATCGGTGATGACCCATGTCTAGATGCCTCAAAACGGTTGATCCCACCGCCATCGCAGTCGTTTCGACCTACCTGATGTTCTTTCCGATAACATTCGCTCGGCATTATTGGATACCTTGCTGTAGCTGGATAGCGTTGGCACAGTGCATAGGACAGCAAGATGCCTATACTCGCCCCATTAAGACTGACAATTATTCGGTATCCGGAGGATGCAATGCAGAGACCCGATACGAAGCAGTTGACATCCTGTCAACCTTGTCATACTTCGCTTCGGTACCCTGATAGTTATACAATGTGTGTTTGCTACAGCCATTGAGTACATCAAGCACGTTTGGGGTTTCTGACGTCCAAGTCAAAGTTTGCTTTGGGCAGTTTCTCGATCATCGCCAGCATATCGGTCTGATTGTTAAACCCGAGACCCCTGCGAAGTGGAGTACTGACCAAGCCCTGCTTCTGCAATTGCAAGATTTCCAAGGCCGCCTAGTCGCCTCATTCTTATGTGTGAGGTTCAGCGTTTCATTCAGCTGGCTGGGAAAAGATTGATCTGTTGGTGGCGTTATCACTAGTACCTGATACTTCATATGTACGATCAGCATCATTTGCGACTGCTGACAATGTCGGGCTACCTTTAGGGCTAAAAATCTAGGCACTAAATTTGTAGGTCGAGTCAGAATCATCTGCAGCTGCGCCGCAAATCCGCACAGACATTCTACTCCGTACTAGAGGTAAGACCTGGTCGTGTTGTCCAGCGCATCAAATACTAGACTATGTTGGGATAGAGAAGAAAAAGAAAGGTTGAGGCCAAACATGCTTGCTCGGTACTACGACGTCCGTACGTACAACCGAATTGTGTTGACGCCTGTCTGCCGGGTTGACTTGGCTCGATTGTATAGTTTGAATATGCATACAACGCCATGACTCTGACTAATATATTAGACGATATAGAGTCGTATCTGCATGTATGTTGTCAATACGAGCAGCTTTCTTTGGGATCTCTAGCCGTGGACTGGTTCGTGATCGTAACATTGATATACATGTAAGCATGGGGGTTTTTTCAAATGTCCGTAGCCGCGAGGGAATTGTTTCAGCCATCGTCTTTCTCTCTCGATAACTGAGGCACTAAAAACAGCCCAATATCATGATTTACCAACCGTTGACAATGTCCTCAACATGTTCCTCATCTAGACCAATTGGTCGAACGGCTTCATGGCCATCCGGGCCGGCCCCACACCAGCTATCACCTATCGTCCTATCCGACCTCTTTTTTTTTCTCCGCCCTCAATTTTTCTATTTTAGTGTTGATTGAAAGTCATTATATTCGAAAAACAAAATACCCATATCATATCTTGCGCATCATTCTAAAGTAGCCTGAATCAGCAGTGGCATTCTGTGCCAATCATTCAATCAGCGGACATCTGGAAGCGCGGGGGAAGGAAGCCATCCCACCAATCTGTATACATACATCGTGCATCAATAGAGACACACGCCTATTGTCTGGACCCCTCACTATCCCCATTGTCGAATAATTGAGCCAGGTCATCCAGGCCCTGCATACACACATACATAATATCTAGTTTCTTTACCAGTTGACGCCCCCAACAATTCATCCTTCACATGCACACCCTCCAAGCAACTGCATCGTCGTCCCTGTCACTACCTTCGGGTACGTACATCTACGCAATTGCAGCAACAACCCCATCATCTTCTTCCGGCACACATTCACAGCAGTTTGCGGCTATATCATCCGACGATTCACTTCGACTGTTTGACGGCCACTCTCTGCAGCCCACTACCGTGCTTAGTGCAAAGTCTCATGATGGTGGTGTCACTGCATTAAAGGAGTATTCGGGAATTGGTCCGCAGGGGTCTTTACTGGCTACTGCTGGACGGGATGGAGCTGTTAGATTATGGGATGCGCGGGCTGGGGAGTTGTCGCAGAGGGCGATTGTGGAGATGAGAGTGGGTATGGTTGTCCATTTTGTTTCTAGTTCAGGGGAAGTGAAGTAGGTCTAATTCGTGTGCAGAGAAGAATATTCCAATACTGTCGTTGGCCTGTGACCCTGGGTCGCATATTGTTGTTGCTGGTACGGAGCTGGAAGCATACCAGGCTACTGTTGCTCTATGGTTGGTAGCTGCATCTTGCCACTCAAATGTCTTGAGGACGTGTGCTAATTCCTGCTTTCAGGGACATTCGAGCCCCTGTAAGTATACGCCAACAATACGTTGAGAGTCACAATGATGACGTGACAGAGGTGCGCCTCCCCTTCAACATTTTATCGATAACCATCTAACTCGCATAGCTACAATTCCACCCCACACGCAAAAACGTATTACTATCCGGCAGCACAGACGGCCTCGTCAACCTCTACGATATCAACATTCAAGACGAAGACGACACACTGCTCCAAGTCATCAACCACGGCTCCGTGCATCATGCCGGATTCTTGTCTGAAGACGCAGTCTACGCGCTTAGCCATGACGAGACGTTCTCAATCCATCCGATCACTAATCCTGACTCGGAAGAGGGTAGTGACCCTAGTCCGATTCAGTTTGGAGATTTGAGGCCGAAACTGCAGTGTGAGTATGTTGTGCAGGCGCTGGGGACGAACCAGGGGATTTATTTGGCTGCTGGGAATACGACGTGAGTTTAGCCCTTCTATCTTGTACCGGTGAGGTGAGCTCTGCCTAACACGAGGAATAGTGAGAAACGTCTCGATTTATTCCCCCTCACGCCCTCCCCGAAATGGGACTTTGACTACGCCAATGTCTGGCGACTACCAGATGCTCATGGTGAAGAGATTGTACGAGCTGTATATCTCGACGAACAGGTATAACCTCTATCCATGCTTCCGTCATTGAATGACACTAAATCCAGTTTCTTCAAAACAGTCGAGAACAGTATTCACAGGCGGCGAGGATGGCATAATCCGAGCATGGAGACCAAATGAGTCCGATCACACACAAGATGATGAAATGGAGGGACAAGAAGAGTCTTTGTCGGACAGAGCAGCTGCTCGAGCAAGAGATAAGAAGAAGTTCAAGGACGAGAAACGGTTCAGGCCCTATTAAAACGAAATATAACAACAGAATACCAATTCAATAACCAGTCTTGGGAGTGTAGAACAGTAAACAGTCTTATCGCCCGATAAGCAGAAGTAGCACGTGATGCACCCGCAATATAAACTTGGATTAGATAGGCTTATCGCATTCCGCGGCAACGCTAACAGTTGTAATTATTTTTTTCTCTATCTCAAGATCTTCACCAATCTCTTGTCGATCAGGCTTCAAAAACCTTGATATATGCCTCGTTTTATTTCTACGCCTCCTATAATGCATATAGAAGTATAGAGCAATGGATTGAATTGCGAAACATTACTTCGGATTTTCATTGATCTCTCACCAACCCGACAACCTGAACCCAACCTCCGGACGGCAATCCCCAACCTCAAACAATAAAACACAACCATAATGGACGCCCAAGCCTACCTCATGCGCCACGGCTGGTCCGGCCCCGGCAACCCTCTAAACCCCAATCGACGCCCCGGCACACACAGCGGCCTCGGTCTGACGCGCCCTCTGCTGGTATCTCGCCGCGAAAACAAAATCGGAATAGGGAAAACCTCGACCAAAGATCCTACGAATCAGTGGTGGTTACGCGGGTTTGAGGAGGCGTTGAGAGGGGTTGGCACAGATGGGACGGCGAGTCCGAACACGGCAGTGGGCGGATTGGCGAGGGAGGAGAATACGTTGACGAGGAATGGAAGTCAGTTGTATAAGTTTTTTGTTAGGGGGGAGGTTATTCCTGGGACGCTTTCGGATAAGAAGAAGGCTGTCGTTTTGGAGGTGAAGGGGGAAATATCGATCAAAGATAAGGTGAAGAAAGAGAAGAAAAGGAAACGGGACGGGGAGGAAGATGATGAGAGCAGGAGGTTGAGGAAGGAGAAGAAGAGAAGCAAGAAACAGAAAACGGAAAGTTCTGGGAGCGCAACTCCCGCGGAGCAAGACTCGGACTCGCGCAAAGCTAGGAAGAAGGAAAAGAAGGAGAAGAAATCCAAGAAGGAGACATCGTCCAGGAATGATAACTCGGCTTCAGACGAAGTTGATACTGCGCAGCCAACGGATTCGAAAGAACGGAAACGAAAGAAGAAGCGTACTGAAGATGGTGATCAAGATATTGATGCGGATAGAAAAGCAGAGAAACGCAAGAAGAAAAAGGCTCGTCTCTCTGAAAACGGGGAGCAAGCCACACCCGATTTGTCTGTGGAGGATAAAGCATCCATGAAACCGGTCGAAATAGAGACGAAGAAAAAGAAGTCGAAATCGAAAGACAAAGGAGACAAGGAGGAAAGGGAAATGAAAGATAAAGAAAAGAAGAAACGGAAAGATAAAGCCGGTTAGAAGGACTGAACCAACATAGATCGCATTCGCATTGAGCATTTGACTGTATACATAAAGATATCCTCGCCATAGACTATTCTTTTTTGCTGCAAATTACGCCTGTGTAGTTTCTGCAGGCAATTTACCTGGTTTACCAGACAATAGCCACGGTCTCCTCTGCCAGAATTCATCCTTGATAATATCCACATGGTCAACGACAACCTGCGCCTTGCGTCGTAATTTGCGCATTTTCTCCTGCTGCGTTTTGGACAGTTCGGTAGTTGCTTGTGATTCCATTGCCTGTGTCGTTAAAGTCTGAGGCTGGTGATCCTCAAGTTGATACTGTCGATATACGACGCTTCCCTTTTTGTAGATCTCTTCTTCGTTGTTGTAATTTATCCCAAAACGGCTGAAGAGAATCTCGTTCTTGTCGGATGAGACTGTGCCCTGTTCAACAAAAGAGTCAGATATAATCAACATAAACATTAAATGGTAGAAGACGCACCGACAACTCCTTCTCAGCTTCGACATTACTCAGTCCACCTTTCAAGACCAACATCCAAAACGTGGTATTGTATAGATTATTGATATGACCTATTCCACAACATTAGCATACGTTCGCAAAATCAAGAGGAAGTGGGCATACAGTCAACCTGTCTCCAACTCATATAATCGCGCAATACCCTCTCATTCGGATACTGAACAGCGCGCCCATCAAAAGTCGGCAGACTCGATAATTCAAGAGGCTTCTCTGGAAAGAAGATTGGCCATTGATGGACATATGATGCTGTGAAGGTTGACACTATTGTCGTTACCAGCTTGCTTTATCCCTGTCAACATACACATCACTTTCTGATATGAAGAGATTACGTACGCGCTTCTCCTCTCAAATAAATCGCAATTGGGATGGAATACAAAACTATAGTCGTGTCAGTATGTGACATAGTCCGAAAGAATGAGACGACGAACCTATACTCATCACTAACGCCATACGCAATTATCAGATCCGGCAGAGCCTTCATAACAGACACGGCAGCAGCATTCATAAGATCCAATGCGCGGCGATCATTCGGTTTCTCGAATTTGTATTTATCTGACAGCCTGCTCCGTACATCAGTATTTTGAGTTGAATTCCGTTTCTCTGGGCACACGCACTTGTGGAATCCTCGACCGTCTATGCGGACGACAATCCATGTCTCGCGGAGAAGATTATCGGGTTGTTCGAATAGTCGAACGTATTCGAATCTGGTTTTATGGTGTGAGTTTGTGTGTATGTGTGTCAACAAATGTTCCTAGTGTTTTAACATACTTTGAGTTGGCCATTCTGTTGCAACTATCAAAATTTATATTCCAGATCTTCCCCGCATTAAAGTTTTCGTCTGGTCGGTCGAATATGAATTTTCGATTAACTAGTCGATTGTTGCAGCTAAAGGATTCTAGCAGAGCCTATGAGGATTTGTGACTCAGAAGATACAGAAATGTCTTTGAGTGGGCTGAAATTGTGTTGTTGGGTATGAAGTACAATTTTTTTGGTTCATTGCGGGACAGACTCACCTCAAGAATTTAGTTTTAACTGATACACAACACCTGACTTCTTGAAGAATATATTATTCTACGGACTAGTTTAGATCCCTTGGCAACAATCAAGTAATATTATTGTTATATGTAAGGATATTTACTCCTCGATTATCTCTTCATCCCCAGTCTCACTAGCCTTCTCGCTGGCCTCTACAGAGTGTTTGTCCTTTTTGGATTTCCTGCTGAAAAAGCCTCGACTGCTTCGAATACTGGACTTGTCTGCGGACGGGGTATTGGAGATGACGCTCTCCACGCTCTTGCCTAGTTGCACCTCGTCTTCTTCATCAGCATCACCCTGAGATGATTCATATTTCTTGGAGAATATGCCTCCTCTGTCCTTCCACGAAAGGTTGAACTTGCTAGAGCTGCCCTTGCGAGTTATCTTCTGGATAAAAGATTCCTTCGTTCCGAAGGTATCGGAGGGGCTGCTGGACGGAACAAGGTCCAGTGACTCAAGAGATTCGGCAGCGCCAGAAAGTGCATGTGAGTCCTTGGAACGGCTAGATGTTGGAGGCGACTCGTCTTCCGGGCGGAAGTCAAACTCCTCGGATCTCGACGCGAATTCCCTGTACACAGTTCCTCCCTTGTCTTTCTTAAACAAAGTCTTGAAAGTCGGCGCAGCTGGATTCAGCTTCGGAGTGCCAGGCCTATGAGACGAGGACGGCCTGGTACCAATTGGGGCCTGGAGTGGTCGATGCTTGTCGTGTGGCGCATGCAAGAAATCCGGTTCTCCAGGAGACATTCCAAGCGGTAAATGGCTAGATGAACCATACTGGATCGATGGTCTTCGAGATGGACCACGCGACCACGTCGAGGGAGACGCCCAATCAAAAGCCGCTAGAGAGCCTCTCTTGTTATCACTAGACGGCCAACCGAACGGTTCAGTTGAAGGATGTGGAAGTTGCTTGTCAAAGGAGAATGTAGATGACGGTCGAGGCGACAAAGAACTTCGTCGAATAGGACCAAGGATAGACGAAGGATCAATAGGATCGTGCCTAGGGCTGAATTGGTTGTATCCCTGATCCGCCTTAAGTACATCGGTAGAGCTGTTCTTCCCCGCAGAAAATATATTGGCAAATGCACTTCTCTTAGACGGCGTATGGTCTGAGGAGCTATCAGCCGTCACTTGAGTCGCACTGCTCCGAGGAAAGTAAGACATTGGATTTGCCCAATTCGTAGCATGGGTAAGACGACGGCGACGGGCCCCAATCGGATCGATTTCATCATAGTTCCGTGGAAAAGAACGACTCTGTCCAGATTTGAGACTTCCAAGCATTGGCCCGTCAACCATAGTCTTTCCGCGCTGCCTATGAAAGTTGAACAATCCAGAAAGTCGGCGAGACGCAGATTGTACGTTAGCTGCATCGTCGGGTGACATTCTCTCGCTGGTTGGGATATTTAGGTCGGTATCTCTCAAGCTGTCATGAGGGCTTGCAAAGAATCGCGAAGACATAGAATCAGACGGAACTGGAGAAGGTGACCGAGGCTGCTGATCGAGAGAGGGACCCGCTGCTCCATCATCATCGGGAATAGTTGGTTCAACAACGGGTTCAGGCAGCTCAGGAGATTCCTCATCGCCGAGTAGGTCGGACGGTAATAGCGCATCAGCACGAGGACTCATGGGCGGTAATGACGCCTCGGATTCCGTGGGAAGAGCTTCACCCCTGTCTGCAAGACCGGCTAATGTCATGCCATTATTAATGTTGAAAAAGGCAGTAGTGGGAGGAAAAGTCGGGGAGTTGCTCGCTGGATTGTAGTTTGTGCTTCGTGAGAATGCAGTCTCCACTTGCGGAAAGGGAATGGGCGAAGAAACATTACTTGTCAACGAACTGCGATGTCGAGACCTGCGCATAGAAGACTGTGACATGTCCAAGTCGAGTGTCTGCAATGCTGCGAATGGACCTGTACCATTAACTCTTTGGTCTGTCAACCATTTCAACCGTTCCTGGGCCTCTTGATATTGCTGCTGCGCTTGCACATGTAAATTAACGAGTGTAGCGTATCTAGTGTGAAGATGGTTGAGACGATTCTCCCACTGGCGAGCCTTTTCAATGTCGATACGGTCCAGTTCCTTGCCGTCCTCGTTGTCGCCTCCTTCGAGTCTCTGTCTCTCATCTTCCAGCTTTTTGATGCGGCCACCTTTCTCTTGGATTTCATCGTCTATATCCTTGATGATGGTTTGTTCAGTGGCGATTTTCTCTCGCATTTCGTTGGCCTGTTTTGTAGCATCCTGCTCAATCTTCTCTTTCTCCTCTTGCGCGCGTGCCAAGTCCTTGTTTATCTGCGCGATTTGCTCTTGCCATCGAACGATGTCGTCCTTGCGCTTCTTCCGCTCTGCTTCTTTCTGCTGGAGCAACCTTTCTCGTTTTGACTTTTCGCTTTGAACGGTGCGGTTGACGCTTTCCAACTTGTTGACGTGTTTCTTTAGGTCACCACTCGCCTCGTCTTTCTCCTTTACACGTTGTTTAAGTTCATCGCGTTGTTTCTCCAGTTCCTTCTGAATCGCATTGTGTTCATCATCTTCCTCGGCAAGCTGTTTATCCATGTTCTCGTGTTCCTGCTGAAGACTTTTCAGGCGCTCCGCAAGGCGTTCCAGGGTTCCGTTGTGGTCATCGGAAGCACGATGCAGGTCGTCATCGACTAAATTTGTTGCTGACGAGCCTTTCTTTCCTCCAGAACGCTTGCTCTGCGAATAACCGGAACTATGTTCTCTTGCCATAATCGGGGCCGATGGAGCCGAAAGCGCAAGCGTCGAGCGTGGGACCGATGCGTGGATCGTGGGACCTTCAACGTTTCCATCCTGCTGAGTCTGCGATAAAGGTAGCGGCTTCGTACGAACATGAAGGACGGTACTGGCAGTTTGAAAATTGGCGGCGCTCACGGCAAAGACGCAAATATGATAAATATGACCAGGAATCAGATTTCCAATTGTGACAGCAGTTTCCGCTCGTTTAGTCTCGCCAACTGAAAACTGTTAGTTTAGATTTGCATGATAGTCGCCGTAGACTTCCAAACCTTTTGCACTATTGACTTGAATGATATGTTTGCTGACTGAGTGATGAAAGTCGGGATGTTTCCAGGCGATGTGAATTTCTCGCGCCGAAATCTCCTCCAGAGTAACCTCAGGCGACGGAGGGATATCTAGACCGAGCTTGTCGACAAGGATTTCGTTCGGAGTTTGACAAACTTGCCATGCCCGGTACAAAAGCCTGACATATTCTTGGTTAGTGGATGGGAATAGTAGAAAAGGCAATTGCGCTCACCAAACCAGGGCCCACAGAATGGTGCCCGCCAGGAAGAGAGCCATTACGCCTCGAACCCTCACACGAGGAACCACACTAGGATATGCATCAAAGGACCAGTACAACGGCTCGTACATCCCCACGTTGTATTCCATCCGCCGACGAAGAGACGGCAGCCAGCAAAGCGGGCGGTCAATGGGAATGGAAAAGAAGAGACGATCACGAAAGGGTAAGAGAGGAGGGAGAGGAAGAGGAAAATCGGAGAGAAGGTTCGGTCGTGGCTGCTTTGGGAATGGCAGCTGCGATCCGGTCGAGCGGGTTAGCGCCTTGGCGGCTCGGTGGTTGTCGATTGGTGCGTCACGTGATGGATCTGCATTTAGCTTATTTTCTGCCCACTGCTGTCCGTTGTTCGAATTCTCTTACTACGACAGACTGATCAAAGACCCGATCTGGTGCTTTGCTGATTAATTTATCTCGATATGCATACCAACGATACTAGATTCGCGCCAATCTTTCCGTTTACTAGGTCGAGGCAAAGAGATGGGTCTAGTTCGGTCCATCAATGAACCGAGAGCCCTCACTTGGAAACATATTTAGATTCATGACCAGTGTGGTTAGTGACAACTAGGTTGTATCAATTTATCTTTATCTACCCACTTTGTTTTGAGTATTTTTCTTCATTCGTCTGCCAACTATAAAAATATGTCACCCACAAATCAAGGCCCTCGCCGTATCGGCCAATGGCTCTATCTTAGATCGGAGTGCATCGACGAGTACAAAAAGTGCCACGCAGAAGTCTGGCCAGAAGTGTTGGAACAAATCAAAGACTCTAACATCAAAGACTGTAATTCGCCTCTCTGACTGTCTTGACATGTCATACTTGTGCAACCCTTTCTGACTGGCTAGACTCGATTTTCTTAACTCTGTCCCCCCGCCCTACGCTATTCGCGAGCTTCAAATACGTCGGCAATGCCTTTGACGAAGACATGCAGCGCATGGCGGCGAACCCGAAGGTCCAGGAATGGTGGCAAATGACAGACAGAATGCAGGAGTCGCCGGTCGAAGGAGCAGTTGGAAGCGCCAGTGGGCCGGGATGGTGGGGGCACACTGAGGAAGTGTTTTACATGGAGTAGATGTATCGTCCTTCCCCAACATCGTCAGTCCCGGGTAGGGCGGACAGGTCCAATAACTTCACTTCAATCAAGTCCGTTACTCGGTGCTGGGGTGTTTTCATTATCAGACATTATCAGACGTTATCGGCAATTGAGCCTCCTGCAGTTTTTCAATAATAAAGATGAAGGCACCCTGCACGTGGTACCTGGTTACCTTCCAAAATCAGGTGATGAGAGGAGAAAGAGCGAAAACGAGAAGATCTTGGTCAGCTGGACGTGCAATACCACTGCAGCTGGTTAGCGCCCCATCATAGTGTGTCGTATTAAAGCTAGCGCATATTATGGCATTTCAATTAGGAAACTGTCGCCTATACTATGAACGCGTAGTTCGAATTTCGACGTATCCTGGCCAGACGATGGTTGGGGAGACGCCCGATGCGGGCCGATGACGCTGGTGGGTGCCAAGGCAGTTCAGTTGAAGAAGCGTTGAGAATCCAACGCTCTCCCTCTCTTTAATTCATCTCTTCTCACAATTGCCATCACCCACCCACTCGTTCTTTATTGACTGTGCATTGTTTCACTCGTTCTCTTCGGGCCTTTATCTTTCGATTCGGTCTGCGCTGTGCCTGCCATGAGATAACGTCGACCCGTTGATGGCCGCAGCCGCTTTTCACATGATAATTTGATATACCCATCGACCGATCACATTCCTATGCCGAGTTTGCCCAGCCGCATGTTTTAGTTAGACCTTGACTCCCGGCCACTCGAAGACGTTTCGTTACATTTGCATTATTATATCTTTATTTATTACGACTTTATCGATATTATACTGCCTACAAGTTGCTAGGATCATACTGCCGGAATGCAGTACGTGCGCAGTTTGAGTGGCCCGGTTTCCAAGACGTGGAATTCAATCAAYCCTGCCACTCTCAGCGGGGCTATTGATGTGATAGTCATCGAACATGAGGATGGTAAGTTATATCGTTTACGTCACAAACATACCAGGAATTCACCAGCTCTGACTCTTACCAGGAAGCCTGGCCTGTTCGCCCTTCCACGTCAGATTCGGCAAATTCTCTCTGCTTCGTCCGTCCGAAAAGAAAGTCGAGTTTAGAGTCAATGGAGTCAAGCAAGACTATTCTATGAAATTGGGCGACGGAGGGGAGGCTTTTTTCGTCTTCGAAACGACCGACAATGTACCGGCCGCGCTCCAGACTTCCCCGATAGTTTCGCCTGCAAGCAGTCCGGCGACGTCAGTCAGTGAATTGCCTTCTCTCCAAGATCCTCCTGATCTGGATTTGGATGGTGCCCAAAGCTCGAAGAATGAGTCGAGAGACCCAATTGGCATCCCAATTCCAAATGATCGCTTTGGAAGTCACAATCTCGGTATGGAAGAAATAACGCTGTCATAGCTCAGCCTGCTAACATACACTAGGAAATTTGACGCCCTTGTCACAATCCCCGAGTAGCACCGCTATACCGCGAAATCGTCTCAATTCTTTCGATGAACACACCCTTGTGCCGAAGCTGGATCGCTCCGCTTCAGATGGCATCTTACAACAAGACAGAGAGGCGCTAGGGAGCGAACCCTCAAGTCCTGCCAGCTTGCTCCGTGCGGCGGCTCGAGGCACCCATCAGGATCACCTTTCAATTAGCCCTCCGCCCGTATCGCCTAGTGAGGCTATTTCGCGCGCGATAGCCCTGTCGAAGAAATTGTCAGGTTCCAATATCCCTTCGCAAGTTACCGAGACCGGTGACCTCATGTTGGACATGACTGGATACAAGAGTAGTGAGGAGGATGCGCTTCGTGCGGAGGTCGTTGCTCGTAAAATCCTTTCTGAAGAACTGGAAGGTAATTACGACATCGGCGCTTTGATCGGCGCCGACGACCATGGCAACCTCTGGATCTATAGCAGCGAGGAAGCTAAAGTGGCCGCCGACCGTCGCGCTACGCTGAGCTCGCTCAAATCACATTCTGTTCCGTTCAGTGATGATGCAATCTCAGATCCAGGGTATCATAGTGATGGAGAATCAAGTACTCTACAGCCTCCGGTACAGACTCGTCATCACCGTGCTCAGTCTGATGTTCAGCCTGGCTTCCCAACTCCACCTCAAACTCCACCACAAGATGCGAGTGTCGGAGACCCCAATCGGAACTACGCAAAGACGCTGAGATTGACCAGTGATCAACTCAAGGCTCTGAATCTCAAATCTGGAGCTAACCCTGTTTCCTTTACCGTCAATAAGGCTACTTGCCCAGCTACAATGTACCTTTGGTCTTATAAGGTCCCTATTGTTATATCTGATATTGATGGCACAATCACAAAGTCGGACGTTTTGGGCCACGTCTTGAATATGATTGGACGCGACTGGACACATCAAGGCGTTGCAAAACTTTTTACGGACATTGTGAGCAACGGATACAACATCATGTATCTTACAAGTCGCTCTACCGGCCAAGCAGATTTGACCCGAACATATCTCAAGGGTGTCTTGCAAGAAGGATACAAACTACCACCAGGCCCCGTCATCATGAGCCCTGATAGGACCATCGCGGCACTGCGACGCGAAGTCTATTTGCGAAAGCCCGAGGTTTTCAAAATGGCTTGTCTGCGTGATATACTCAATCTTTTCCCGCCAAATCATAACCCCTTCTACGCTGGTTTCGGCAACCGTCTGACAGATGCCCTGAGCTATCGATCCGTCAATATTCCTTCGTCACGCATCTTCACGATCAACTCTAATGCTGAGGTCTCTTTGGATTTGTTGAGTCTCAATAAGTACAAAAGCAGCTACGTGACAATGAGAGAGTTGGTCGATCACTTCTTCCCTCCAATCAGTCTACTTGTCCAAGGAGGTGGTGAGGAATTCACCGATTTCACTTACTGGCGAGAGCATGCCGACTTGGATGATTTCTCAGTCACTGACAGCGAGGCAGAAGAGGAGGAACGGGACATCGGGAGCGAACGGGGTTATAGTGATGACGATGCCAGTGACCTTGATGAAGATGAGCCAGTCGAGGAAATGGGTGATAGTTTCATCTCTCGTGACTCTTTCGAAGAAAATGAATTGGCCGGTTCTATAATCGATTCGGTCCTTGGAGATGAGGAAATATCCGACGAGGAATTATCTGAAGCCGATGACGGTCTCCCCGATGTAGGCGGAGTGTCCTTGCATGGTCCTCGTCATTGAATGAATACCATGATGTGAAGAGAAGAATTGTTGATACGTGTGGTCTACTTTGGACCGATTTGCTCCATACCCTGTGATTTCTGATTTCTGCCATTTCTTTCGGCGTTTGTACAAAAGGAGCTTTTGACTCGTTTCGATTCGGGTTGTACATTAGACGCATCAGCGGCCGGAGTTTCAAGCGATGGATTGACCGTGCTGGCAAGCCTTCGCGTATAGTTGGATTTATGGTATTGTTAGTACATGATTTGAAATTGATACATTTAATGAGCTTGCTATTTCTACTTGTTTCCTGAGACTAATAGTAGCTGTCTTTTTCAAATTTTGTATTTGTACCCATGGATGCGGTTGATGCCTTAGACAGGAACACATGTTGCAGAACTAGCCAGCTAAAAGCGGACTAGCGCAATGCGGGCAAGATCCGGATCTGATAGTTGTTGCAACTTGTGACTGAAAGGTATTTAACCGTCAATAACTATTTAAATCAACCTCACAACATTAGAGCAGACTTCATTGATTCTGAAAACTGCGCTCTAGATGCATCAGGTCTCAAGAAAGTTTCACCATCACAAATAGACACCTGCGCGTCAACAATCTTTCATCGCGCTAAGCTGGAATAAGCACCATCATGCTGTCTGATTGAATACCGATTCAGTTTCTGCGCTTGAGCCTAATCTCACTTCAACCCCGAATTACCGCTCGATTCAATAAAGGACAAAAGAAAGAAGGAATTATACTATAATGGCATCTCCCCGACCAGCTCAAGCCGCTGGCTCAACTCAACCTCTAACACCCCCCGACGACCCATCCACCGCCAACCCAACCTCGTCCTCACAGAACGCCGCACCCAACCAAACCGATTCCAGCATCCCCTCATTTCCCTCAACATCTCTAAACGACAACGGAAAGTATCGACGTCCCCGCGATGCGCGCCTCATACACATGCTTCTCGCCTCCCTCGGCGTAACCGCATACCAAGAACGTGTACCTCTGCAACTCCTCGACTTCGCATACCGCTACACATCATCTACTCTCCAAGACGCCGTCCACCTCGCCATGGAAGGCTACGCAGGTGTCCCCACGGGCCCCGGCGAAACGAGTGTATCAACCGGTAGCGGACGAGGCGTCGTTGAACTGAATACCATCACACTCCAAGCTCTACGACTGAGTATAGCGTCTCGATTACATTACCAATTCCAGCCTGGTCTCCCAAAGGAGTTTCTCATAGATGTCGCCACCGAGCGGAATCGAATTGCGCTCCCCGGTGTTGCGCGTGGCGGAGAAACGGCTGCCAAAAGTTCATTCTCGAATGTGTCCATGGGCGGAATGAGACTACCGCCCGAACGGTTTTGTCAAACGGGTACGGGCTGGAATCTGAAAGAGGAGTGGGAGAGTGAAGGTGAAGAAGACTTTGAAGAATTGGAGCCAGCGACGGCGGTACCGGGAACGAAGACCCAGAATGAGCAAGATGCAGAGGCGGATGAAGATGGTATGGAAGATGATGACGAGGATGGAAGGATGGAGGACATTTTTGGGGACGATGTGAATATGAAAGAGGGTGATGAGGATGAGAATATGGAGGACGCTTGATCTTCTGCCGTAATCTTGGAGTTGGGTTCATATCAGGATTTAGGCGTTATTGGTACTATCACTATTGGGCGGCGTTGGCTAACTACTTTCTTGTCGAGTTGTCGATGACTCTGCATCTAGTCTGGCTATCTAGATACATTATTCATGATATTGAATACATACCTACGTGCGGCAGGTACCTTGAATGAGATCAAAAATGTATCAATGGTATATATATCTACAAATATAATGTACATTTTGTGCCAACACATCAGAATTGAGATTTCCAAATCACAACAAGAACAGGAGACATGCCGCAAAAACCCATATCCAAGACGCCTTTCAATATGCAAACACCGTCGTCTCACAAAGACGAAAACACTACCTCTTGTTCTTCTCCTGATCCCCCTTCATCATCCTAATGACCTCCTCCCTCCTCTTCTCCACAGCCGCCTCTGCCTCTTCCCTCTCCCGTCTTCGCGCCTCTCTTCCCGCAAACCATTCCTCACGCGCTCGATCTAATTCCTCGGGTTTCGCATGCGCCAGCATGCACGAATTCATGGCAAGGCGTTGTTCGCGACAAACCCAGGTTGTGGTGAATGTTCGTCCGCGGGCACATTCCGCGAATGCTGTTATCCAAGAAAACAGATTAGTAATCTCATTATTTATGATGGAGAAATGCGTGGGAGTGTGAAAACCTTTGATTTCGGGACCGCAGTAGCCGCGCACTCTTTTGTAGTATATTTCTTTGACTTGTTGTTCTTGTGTTGCGGAGAGAGGGAGTGGGTTGCGGATGTTGAACTGTGGCTCTGATGGAGCTGATTGCGTTGAGGACGGGATTGACATTTTGACGAAGTTTCTTAGTTATTGAAATGTAGGATAAAGCAGGGTAGCTGACGAAGGGCAATGGCTTGCGGTTTGGTTTCGTGGAGGATCGGGGTTGAGGTTTTTGAGGCTATATCGTATTTGAGTTCATATTGCGTGACTCGTCTGTTTGTTGCTGTAACGTCGTTGCTTTCGTGAGGTTGTCTCAGTATATGAGCTGTCTCAGACCGGCGATGTATTGATAGTTCAATTGTTCTTTCAGCAGCTCTAGCATCATTCCATGTACTCCATCAACACTAGAGGATCATTTGAGGTTGAGCTTCTCAAGCTGTCCGTCCGGGCCGCCAGACGACCTTTCGTTGGCTCGCCGCCTTTCCCTCCGCCGGCAGTAAAATTATTCGATGCTTTCTTATCAAAATTAATTTTCTGATAGAAGTAAATAACTTCCCCAACTCATACCGTCACTCCAATTCTTTCCTTTGCATATCAGACACCAGATTGAAGAACTCTGCTTGCTAAGGCACCTTACCATTTCTTTGCTCTCTCCTTCAATCTATAATCATCACATAAAATGTCTTCAATGCGAAATGCCGTCCATAGACGGCAGCATCGAGAACGAGGTCAACTCGAAGGTCGCGAGAAATGGGGTATCCTCGAAAAGCACAAGGTAAGTACAAACTCTCCTCTCACATAGACTACAAGTTTGTGAATGCTAACATCTGGTCGAAAGGACTACTCCCTCCGGGCCAAAGACTACAACGCTAAACAAGCAAAACTCCAACGCCTACGCGAAAAAGCTCGCGATCGCAACCCCGATGAATTCGCATATGGCATGCTATCAGCCTCAAGTGCGCAACAGGGAAAACACGGTGTGCGAGAAGGGACGTCGTTGAGCCAAGACACAGTTAAACTGCTGAAGACTCAGGATGCGGGTTATTTGAGGACTGTGGGGGAGAGGATACGCAGGGAGATGGACCGGTTGGAAAAGGAGGTGCAGTTGCAGGATGGGATGGAGAAGGTCTTGGGTACTGGGAATAGGAAGCGCTCGAGTGAAGAGGATGATGATGATGAGGACGATGAGGATGAGAATATGTTTGACACTGGGATCAAAAGGCGCAAGCTTGTTTTTGCAGAGAGTCGGGAGGATCAGAAAGAGTTGGGTCGCGAACTTGATGAAGACGACGACGAGGAGGATGAGGATGAGGACAACGAAGAGCCATTCGGCACTCAACTCCAAAAGCAGCAGCAGAAAAAGTCCACCAAAAAAGAGCTAGAAGCGCAACGAAAAGCGCTCAAGGAAGCCCGCGCCGCCAGAAAACTTAAACGTCGAGCCGCAGACGCGCGTCGCAACAAGTTAACTGCACTCAGGAAGCAATATGCTGAAATCACGACTGCAGAGAGAGAGCTTGAGTTGCAGAGAGCGAAGATGTCAAACTCGGTCGGAGGGGTCAATAAGAGGGGAGTTAAGTGGAAGATTCGCGAGCGGAAGAGGTGAACTCAAGTACATCTATGGATGTTGATGCTCTTATGCATGTCTATTCATCAGACTCTTTAGACTCGTTTAGCATATTTACTACAGGCGCATTGGGATGGAAAAAGTCGTGCATCAATGCCTCACATATTGAATGGCGGAAGATACCAAGACAGGACCCTGGAAGTTTCTGTACATTCATGCTGAAAAAACTTTTTTGTCTCCCAATGTACATCAAGTCATTAACAAAGAGTGTCGTGGAAAGTACAAACAATAAACACCAAAATCCAGCGACCTCTGTTTTGTCGTCCCGAAACTCATACCCTAAATGTGAATGTTGATATATGTCTATATGAACTAGTTGGAATTTCTGGATTATATTTAGGACTTGTTGATAACATCCATGCGAATGCTAACAGCCCGCTTGTGAGCATCCAATCCCTCAACAGCAGCGAGTTGCATAACCGCACTAGACACATTGCGAAGACCTTCGGGCGACAAGTTCGAGGATGTAATGTGCTTGACGAAAGAGCCTAGGTTCACACCCGAGTACTGCTTGGCGTATCCGTAGGTAGCTAAGAAAAAGCGATGTTAGTTTCACTGAGGTAAGTATAAGACTGTGAGAGGGAAACTTACGAAGCGAGTGATTGACGCCTGCGGAATAATCTCCAACACTCTCAGGAGTCCACTGGCCAATGAAAACACTTCCAGCATTTTCGACTAGAGGAACAACCTCCTCTGCATTCTCAAGCTGCAGAATCAGATGCTCAGGGGCATACTCGTTGCTGAGATTCATGGCCTCTTCGAGCGTCTTGACAACGAAAGTTACTGAGTGCTCGATCGATCCCCGCACGATATCTACTCGGGGTAGAGCGTTTGCTTGCTGGTGCACTTCCTCGTCAATTGCTGCCAGTTCCTTGTCATCAAGATCAACAGCAATAAGGATAACCTGTGAGTCAACACCGTGCTCCGCCTGACTCAAAAGATCAGAGGCAACGAATGCAGGGTTGGCTTTCTTGTCGGCAATGACCAGTACCTCACTAGGTCCAGCAGGCATATCAATGCTAACTCCAGCAGAGGTATCGTTCGACACCATCATCTTTGCAGCAGTTACAAACTGGTTACCAGGACCGAGAATCTTGTCGACCTTGGTGATGCTTTCGGTACCATAGGCCATGGCTGCAACAGCCTGGGCACCACCAGCAAGAACAATGCTCTCTGCACCGCACTTATGTGCTGCGTAGACAATTTCTGGAGAAATACTACCATCTGAGCGAGGCGGTGAAGCAAGAACGATCCTCTTGCAACCGGCTACCATGGCGGGAACACCAAGCATGAGAGCAGTCGAGGGAAGAACAGCCGTTCCACCGGGAATATAAAGACCAACACGCTCGATCGGGCGCGAGAAACGAGAGCAGACAACACCGGGCATAGTCTCAACAATAAGAGGCTTGTCGTCTTTCTGTGCCGAGTGAAACTTCCTGATATTTTCAAAGCTCACATCGATTGCTTTGATGGTATCAGATGACAATTGCATCAAGTGCTCGGGAAATGGGGCTTTGATGACCGGTGATTTCAAGGATGTAGCCTTCTCGAATTTGTGAGTGTATTTCAAAACACCAGCGTCTCCGTTTGTGCGAACGTCGGCGATGATAGGCTTGACGAGTTCAACGATAGCTTCATTGGACTTTTGAGAAGGGCGTTGCAGTGCGTCTTTGATAACGCTTACCGGCGTGTTCGACGTGTGAATTCGTTTCATTTCAATTCGGTCGGATTTAGGGGCTGCAACTGGTGCAGGTGTGGGCTCCGGAGCCTTCTCTGTCTTGGTCAAGCCAACCCTCTCAGCCCAACGAGTTTTGGCATCACCCTTACGACGCTTGACCTTGAGGTTTTTCATGTCTAGATTTCTCTCAATATCCTCTAGGCTCACACCTGCGGCAACACATCGGGTAAGAGCAAAGTAAATCAAGTCAGCAGCCTCCGAAGCAATTTCACTCTTGGTTGTCGCCTGGCACAACTCCTCTGCTTCTTCCATGATCTTGGCTTCAACGAGTTTGGGGTCGTTGAACAAGCGTGCTGTATATGATCCAGGGGGAGCGCTCTCTTTGCGGGATTGCAGAGTCTTCTGTAGGCTAGAAAGGCCTTGATATTTTCCAAAGCAAGTATTTGTCCCAAGGTGACAGAAACCTCGGCCGAGTTGTTTGACTTTAAAGACCATGCAGTCCGCATCGCAGTCAAAGCCAATGCTCAAAAGCTCTTGTGTGTCTCCACTACTCTGACCCTTGTACCAAAGACCACGCTTGCGTGATTGATAGACTCCAGTGCCTGTCTTAAGGGCTTCCTTCAAGCTCTCCTTGCTACTCCACACGAATCCCAACGATACACCTCTCTCGTCAACGACCAAAGTGGCAATAAGCCCGGTATTTACATCAGGTACAGCACAGCTAGCCAGGACATTTGACGCAGATACCTTTCCGTCCGCCGTGGGAATGATCGAAAACTGAGCAGAGGGAACAATTGCGATGACACCATGAGCGACTTCTTCAATAACGGCCTCCTCAGTCACATTCCCTCCATAAATTTTGTAAACTTGACCGCCATCCTTGGGAAAATCGAACTTCTCGAAGAGTTCAGCAGCGTTTGCTGTTGAACAAACGCCTATGTCTTGAGACTCTGGGTCATTTGCGAGCCAACTGCGCAGCTCTGTCAAGTCATCGTCCGAGGAGACATATGCGACTAATCTTGACGACGGGATCTCGTTTTCTTCGGTAAGTGAAATCAATTGTTTCGTGGTCAGTAATATCTTCGAAGCACCGGCATTGAGGACCTCCACTGCATCGGCGGCACTAATTTCGGTGGCGTCGACATAGACGTTGAGAAGAGCGGAATTTTCATTGACGAATTCTGTCGCTTCCGAGGCATTGGAGATTTTGATGAATGCATTGCCGACTCGAGCGATATCCTGGATATTGTATTCCGATTTAGCGCGGGGCTGCACGGCAATCACCAGTGGTGACGCCATGATAATAGAACCTCCAAGAGGTTATCGATTTGAAAAATGCCTTGACGGCCGACTGCTTGACGAGGAAATTGTGTTGAGGTATTTCTTGAACGCCAGGAAAAGTTCCTAGTACTGTTCAGATCAATCAATTGAGGGTTTGAGTCATCGACAAGATGGATCCTTATTTGCTTAGCGCCAACATTTCACGGCAAAAGTGGCAGAAAAGTTGAAGAATGTCCCGCCATCAATATTGACCAATCAGGAAAAGTTTATCTTCACCGCTTTCTGTAACCTCCATTCACCCCTTGATGGAAGCTTCGCCTTTCCACATCGCCATTTCTAACATGCTGGACAGGGACACTTCGTTGAGCGTTGTGCCAAAGCTTTTCAGCTCAATAATCAAGTACGACGAGGCCTAATTGAGGTCGAATTCTTCTCTCTTGACTTCATTTTCCGATTAGAGAGTCATTAGTGCCCCGAATACCGGAGAGTTCCTAGTTAGTTAGATAGCAGCTCCTTTCTGTTGACGTTCGAGGCTGTTTTCCTTGGAGCGACTTCCGAAGCATATTACTGTTACAAGGGCGAACGGAAACTGGTCTCAGGCCTGGTCACTTGGTCTCGAAGAACGCTCTTTGTCCTTCCTTCCGTCGTGGCGATTCTTGCGCAAGAAACGGCCAGATGCATGTCGAGAGAGGCTTTGAGATGGGTTGAGACTAGCATCAAAGAATGAGCATTTATTCTACGTGTCCAGTCTTATCTCGGTCAGCCATAGACCGACGCCCCGAACAGCAGACGCCCATCCTTTAAGCGAACCGTCTTGGGACTCCAGGCCCCGCTACATAACCGTGTCCTATCAAGTACGCGAAGATCTTGTCACATTGAGGTCGTCATACAGCCAAAAGTCCCGCCTCTGGGAAGTTACGGTTACAGCGCAATAAAACTTGGATTGACTTGGATCTATATTGCGCATATAGGGTCTTTGCCTGGTGCTCAAGTCCTACGGCTCGGCCTCTACCCCGCATGTGGAAAATAGTTTGTTGTTGCGCGTTGTAGCCATTGAATACTACTGTACCATTCGTAGGGAAGAAGCTTGACATCACCATGTTCCTTCGGCTTCACCCGTGGCTTATTTAGGAAATGAGTCGGATAGCACTAGCCGGTAAGTAATCCTGCTAAGTAGACATTCCCCGCTTGAAGTCTTTAGCGCGAAGATGATATCTGCGCACATTGCGTGACTCAGTTACACGATATAAATGCCGTCATCGGGAGCCAGACACGCACACAAGGCGTTGTTGGCTTGAATGTTTGATGAACATGGGTACTTTCTGATCCCGTTGTGGCAGCGTGGCTTGCAAGTAGGCCGCCAATTGTCTGCGGGGAAGCAGACTTGTCAAAATAGTGCTGGATTTTGTGGGCCTTTGCAAGCACTAGCATCGTCTTAATTAAGCTTGATTTTCTCCACCGCTATGGCCAATTTGGCTGACTATGTTCAGCGTCATCTAGTCATTATATTTTAACGTCAAGTTTACAGCGGCAAGCAAGAAGAGATGAATCTTTATCAACGTTGAGTGTGTTGTCGATTGAGTCAAGACTGGACGACTAGCAGGGAAACGGTTGGATAGAATGCAAGACGCAATTATCGTGGCATAGTTAATGGCGCTAATATCCCATGCTATTTTGTATCCACTTGTAGATAGATAATGCAACCAAGTCAGCTTAGCGCGGCGCTATGAGATAGAGGATTCGATTGTTGTGTTAATGATGAAAGGAGGCATACTCACCTACGTATTTTGTACTTCCAGGAACCGAGAAAATCTGTTGGATGAAAAGACCCGAATACCAGGGATGAATAGATCACGTACCGGGCAGTGCCTGGCGATCTTAGGAATGCGACCCGCTGATTTGCGCGACTGGATCAGGTCTCCCCATTACCAAACACAATGCATGCTAATCGGGGAGATTGTGCATAATAAACTGCATTATGCGCTGAATTTTAGCAGAACAGAAACACTTGGGATAAGACCCCGTCTTGGGACTGACTTCACATGAAAATGAGCATAAGATCAAGGCTGAAAGAGGGTAAATTCAGAGCTCCACCGATCGACAGAGGCGTCGAACAGCTTGTCTAGCGTGAAGTTAGTGGTCGGCCGTCGGCTTGGTAATCGACCTATCCCGGAAGAGTACAGTGAGCTTGGAGCAATAGTGTGCGGAGAAGAGGAGGTCACGAATGACTAGTCACTAGTCATGGTCACTCACTAGCAAATGGCGGAAGCTTTTGTTGCAACCCTGAATTTTCGTCTTGTCCAAGGCAGTGCGCGTGGGCAGGTCACTGCGGCATAGGGATGATCTCGAGATTCTCGACAGCGAAAGAGACTCAAGAGTGATGGTAGAGTAGATAATTAGAAGAGATTAAGCAAAGTGAGAAGACATCCATATGAGGTTGAAAAGAGTCAGGCAGGGGCGCCACGACCAGGAACAAGGAAGGAGGGAAAAAGGAAGGAGCGAGCGTGGACCTATCGCACGACTTCCCGTTCTGTCAATGTGATGGGATGGCAGGTCCTCCGGCTTGCGATCTGGAATTCTTCCCTTCATTTTAGCTCATTCTCTCCATCTTACCAGCTCCACGCCTGGTCTTTCGTTCGTTCACCACCCCCTCTTCGCGCGTTGTTCTTCAAATGGACCGATGTCACTCTCTTGCTTAATCACGGTCTCATTCACACTGCCATTGTTGTGTATTTATAACTTCCCCCTCACCTCTCGTCGTTCCTTTTGAATCGTTCCTCTTCTGTTTGTTTGAGCGCGCAATTGGTGGTTTGATTTTCTGTTGCTACGTACATAACAATGCGTTTCTCAACCGTGTCCCTGGCAGCCTTGACTGTCGCCAGTCCGGCTCTTGCATCTCCTGTCTCGAGGGGAGATACGGAGTCCGAACGCGCAAATGCCGTCAAGCAAGCTTTTCAAATTGCATGGGATGGCTACTATGCTCATGCTTTCCCCCACGACCAATTGCACCCAGTAGACAATGGCTACGATGATAACTAGTATGTTGTGCATGCACGCACTGAACGGAGAGACATTGCTAACCATTACCTTTCTTAGTGACGGTTGGGGCGCCTCCGCAGTTGATGCTATTTCTACCGCAGCTATCATGGGCAATCAACAAGTCGTTGACCAAATTCTCAACTACATTCCTACCATCGATTTCAAATACTCGAACGAGACAACTATCAGTCTGTTTGAAACCACCATTCGCTACCTAGGTGGCCTCTTGGCCGGTTACGACTTGCTCTCCGGCCCGGCTGCGAACCTTGTTTCTGATAAGAGCAAGGTTCATGCGCTATTGTCGCAGGCTCAGGTTCTTGCTGATACCTTGAGTTACGCTTTCGAAACACCCTCTGGTGTGCCATACAACAACCTGCTCATCAACAATCGCAGCAATGATGGCTCGACAACGAATGGCCTGGCTACTACCGGCTCCTTGATCATTGAGTGGACGCACTTAGCGGATTTGACAGGCAACGAAACTTATGCACAACTCGCCCAGAAGGCCGAATCCTACCTAATCCATCCTCAGCCGTCTTGGGCTGAACCTTTCCCAGGTTTGGTTGGTAGTACGATTGACATCGCAACCGGTGAATTCACCGACAACTATGTCACATGGAACGGCGGAGATGATTCCTTCTACGAATATCTTATTAAGTTTTTCGTCTACGACCAAAGCCGTTTCTCAGAGTATCGCGACGTCTGGCTTGCTGCGGCCAACTCTACTCTTGAGCATCTCCTGTCCCATCCTGCTCCCAAGCCGGAATTGACCTTTGTCAATATCTGGGACAATGGAACACTCATCTCGACTAGTGAACATCTGACTGGATTCATCGGCGGTAACTTCTTGTTGGCAGGTTCTGTTTTGGGCCGTCAAGATCTCATCGATGCCGGCCTGGCATTTACAGACTCATGGCACGCAACTTACAACAGCACTGCAACAAAGATTGGTCCCGAGGTGTTTGCTTGGGATGAGGCGGGCGTTCCAGCTGACCAAGAAGCGTTCTACAAGGAGGCTGGCTTCTATATCACGTCAGCCGACTATGTCTTGAGACCAGAAGTTATTGAAAGTTACTACTATGCTTACCGCATCACTGGTGACACCAAGGTGAGCCTCTTTCTTGACTCTGAGATTAAATATACTAATGACGTATAGTACCAAGACTGGGCCTGGGATGCCTTCCTTGCTATCAATTCTACATGCCATGTAGGATCTGGCTACTCTGGAATTCAGAACGTCAACATTGCTGGAGGAGATGGTTTTGACAACGTGCAAGAGAGTTTCCTCTTTGCCGAGGTTTTGAAATACTCTTACATGATCCACGCAGAGGGTGAGTTATATGAGTCCCATGTCTGTCACAGAACGAGTACTAATGAAGTCACAGACGCCGACTGGCAAACGAAAGCCGATGGCCTGAACAAGTTCGTCTTCAACACCGAAGCGCACCCTTTCAAGATTGCCGGACCAGCGTAGATAGAGCATCCAATTATAATGAGAAATAATCAAGAGAGTGGCTTTGTTCACATATTTAGTAAGATCCAATCGACATTCACCAATCATCAATTTCGTAAGTCAGTCATCTGGTACAAATTGGTACAAAACCCGCACCAGACTGTTACAACTCTAAATATACGTATAAAAGAGATCCCAAAGCTATGTTCTGATTGCGCCGTTCTCCAGTAGCAATCTCATCATTGTTTCTTGACCCTTATCTGTAGCATACCAGAGCGGTGTGCGTCCAGCACAATCCTTAGTGTTGATGTCGGCTTTGTTCGCTGTGAGCAGTAGCCTAACAACAGCCTCCTGTCCGTTCATAATTGCATATGTCAGCGCTGTACGGCCGCAGTCGTCGTTATCGTTATCATCTCCGTCTTCATCTTTGTCGTTGAATCCATAGTCGTAGTAGCCCTTCTCCTTCGCATTAGCGTCAGCGCCGCCATCAAGCAACAGCTGCACAACATTTTCATGCCCCCCAATTGCCGCGTACATCAATGCTGTTCTTCCATCAAAGTCATAACTGTCGTGGCATTTGTGGCCCGTCTCTCTTTCGTTGACTTCAGCTCCATGGCTGAGCAACAGCCGTACCATCATCTCATGCCCGTTCTTGGCCGCATACATCAGGGCCGTTAGACCATCGTAGAAAGGGAATCTGTTGGTATTGCGGTGCACATTGCGACTACCACACTCGGCCGCATTGACATCCGCGCCATTACAAAGGAGAAGCTGGGCTACCTTTTCGTGTCCATTCCTAGCCGCATACATCAACGCCGTACGGTGGTAGTACCTGGGATATTCGTCGTCATAGCATCCGCTGCCATTGGAGCCTCCTGCCTCCTCCGCGTTGACATCAGCACCACCAATGATCAACAACTGAACTATTGTCTCATGTCCCTTCATGGCTGCATGCATCAGTGCTGTCCGTTCTTTATATTCGTAGAACCAGATGCCGTCGCCGTTGTGGCATCCTTCCCCCGCGTTGACATCAGCACCACTACTGAGAAGTACCCGTACCACCGCTTCGTGCCCATTTCTAACCGCGTACATAAGCGCCGTCTGACCGTAGGTGTGGTCGTCGCTGTCGCGGTCGCTGAAGCCCTTTGCGCTGACATCGGCGCCACTGAAGAGCAGCAGCCGCACGACTGCTACCTCTCCATTCCGAGCAGCATACATCAAAGGAGTTTGATCGGAGTAGGACCAGTAGTGATCGCCGCCTCCGCCACCGGGACCGTTCCCTTTCGCGTGGATGTCAGCACCACGATTGAGCAGCAGTTGCACAGCCTTCTCATGCCCGTTCCTAGCCGCGTACGAGAGTGGAGTTCGTTTGCCAGAGTCCTTGATATCCGGATCATACCCGTTTCTGAGGAATCCTGATAGTATTCTCGTCAATCCAAACCATGCCGCAAGGTGCAGCCCCGATATGCCTTTTGGCACGTTTTTTGGACTACCTTCATTGAACAACATCGCCTGAACGGCACTGGAGACCTGGGCATCATTCTGGAGAAATTTGAAGATCATGTCTTCTACTCCTATAGAAGCCACGTAAGCATGATGGCCCCAATGTCGCGCTACATAGTCATAAAATATGTTTGACAATTGAAAATCTTCGGTCGACGAACAGAGCCCAGCCTCGAAAGTTTTCAGTGACAGATAGGTGATGCACGTCCTTGTTATGTCTATTTGGGCGCTTGGGAACCAGAGAGTCCAAGCCCGCTCGAAGTATTCCTGTGTAGTATAATGGACCAAACGGACAATTTCGCTCTCTTCGTCGACTATGACCAGTCCTGCACACACAGAGATCATATCTTCAACATGCGGGATATTCTCTGCGTCAAGCTCGGGCTCGCCATCTTCTACTGCAAGTGCATGCTGTAGCTCACCTATTTTTAGGGGCCTTTTAGCATGGATGATCCACGATAAAATGTTTTTTGCAAGCTCCCAAGAATCTGTATCTTGTGTTTTGATCCGCTCCATGGCGTTCTTATATACGTCACTATATGCATGAGAACCCCGTGGAAGATTTCTCAAAGCCTCTTTGACTTTTTTGGCCGTTACTTTTGTTTTGATCGAGTCAAAGTGCAATTGTGCCAGGAGGAACCTAGACATGTATAATATTAGGACTCTGTTAAAAAAAAAGAGTTCATCAGGAGGGAAACCTACATGCCATCGATCACATTTGTAATGCCACTTTTAATTTCTTCACTGCAGGTTCTCAGGACCTTTGATTCGGACTGTGCAATACGGCCATTTAGATATTGGAGCACATCTTCATCATGGGCACGGATCTCTACTGAGATACTACCATAAAATTGATCAATGATCTGTGGAATGTTCCTTGAAGTGGCAAATATGTTCACTCCGTGCAACGTTTGAAGACTGAAGAGTTCTGATAGAAGCCTTGCTCGAGTATCATCGGAGACACGGCACTCATCGAGTGCGTCAACAACAATAAAGAGCCTTGTATACATTTTCACCACATTTTGGAGAAGATCCAAAATCTCATCGAGGGAAGGTCGTGTTCGTTTCTTTTGGTGTTTCTCATAAAGGTATTCCACACTTTTTGGTAACAAAGCCTGGCACTGAGTCAGTTGTTTCACTAGACTCGTCATCAGGTCGTCAATGCTCTGCATGGCTTGCTGTCGGAAGTTACAGTAGATGTACGCCATGCCAATGGCCGGGTCGCTGTTGACTCTTTCAGTCAGATCATCAACCACGACAGCTGTAAGAATTGTCTTCCCAGCTCCTGGAATACCCGGGCATATCAGTGTCTGCTTATCGGCCTTCAGCCATGCCTGGTACTCTGCAGATTCCAAGAGCCATTTCCCACTTGCCGGTGCTCGCATCCTCATGTAATCGCTCTGTTGTGCTCCATAGTCCACTGGTGTGAGCCAATCGAGGATTCTTTGACGGGCTTTGGTGTCTTGCTGCTTCTTCAAGTAGCGAATGTCCGTTTCTGCGGTTTCAGAGATATAGCTGTATCAAGTTAGCTTCGTGAACTAGTCTATTTGGTTGTTAAATATTCACACTAACCGCTTCGTTTCTTTGATTGGTATATGGAAAAACAGCTGCCTTGCGTACGCCGCTGCTGCCACTGCTGCATATCCGTGCCATAGGTCATTCTTATGGGAGTCACAATAGTCCGAGATTCCGCGAATGACAATGCAAGGGAAGTCAGCGAGAGACCCAGCTGCCTCCGTTTCAAAGCAAAGCACACCATGTTCATTTGCCAACGTGTCCCTCAACATAGCATCCTTGATCACCAGCTCCCCCGAGGCAATTGTTCCTCTGTGGACAACTATGAATGGTGCGTCACCATCATCGCCGTCGTCGACCGTTTCTTGGATTCTTCGCGACGGATCACATCCACAATCGGCACAAGACTCTCCAGGCTTTTTGTGTATATAGTCGGAAGCGTACAAGCAATCGTGTGCTGCACCTGGGTGCTTGTATCTTTGGAGTCCGGGAACACTTGTGTCAATTCTTTTGAGATTCTTCTCGAGAGGATCATGTCGCGACCTAGCTCTCTTTGCCTGAAGATCTTGCGCTGCGTTGAGAAGCACGGCAGGCGGCGGGGCCAGGGCTCCTGTGCGTTCGAACAGGCCGGCCTTGGCCTTGCCGTGGTCATATTGTAAGGTTCCAGAATTGCTACCTACTGGCTTACTGACCACGACATCGCCTAGCCGTATTGATCCATGATCAGTCTTTACCGGGACGCCACCGCCGATACCAACCAACATGCCGAACCTGAGGTTTAGAAACGTGGTTCGCATCTGAGTGACAACCGTAGCCGCCGGACTATTTCCTGGTTGATAGAGGCCTGCAATCACGACGTTATGCCCAGCAATGCTGCCGAGGTTGTAGACGTTGTGGTCTGTCGAAGGCTGCGGTAGACGCTCGTGTTCCTCGTCCAGCATCTCCAACGCCGCGATTTGTTCTACCTCCAGCGGACAGATCCACCCAACCGTGTAGTCGCCATGGGTCGGTTTTTTGGACATCGCGCAAGATGAATGTCTTGATGATGCGCTGGATTCAGCATACGCTCTTCTGTCATTTGAGAGATGATCCTGGTGGAGTAATTGATACAAGACTGCTGTGCTCCTATCGATTCATAACCGCCAAAGAGCCACGTTGTACTGGCATTTCAAAACGGCGTAATTGATCCAGCATAAGGCTAGAGACTGACTACTAGCTGCGTACTTCGGTTGACGCCAGTGTTATCCCCTAGTTAGTACGGTCTTTTACAGGGGTTCAATGCCAATCAATTCCGCCAATTAGCCGCTTACTAATTTAGTAAATCTTTACAGCGACGTTTATTCTTTCAACTTTGGAGGGCTTTATTCAGCTAGATAAGTAGACCAAAGGATGCACGCATACTTGATGGTCTAGTAATACCTAGAAGGATACATCCTTGGATCAATGTAAGGATGATCGTGATGTACGCTGTCAGATTGAATGGAACATACTTTGGATCATGATTGATGTATGGGTTGACCGACGAATGTTACTGTGACAGACCTGAATATGTCGGTCAAAAATCAACTCGTCCGTCTTGTAAGTTCTTCCCCTGATCTGATTGCCATCTGACCTAGAATTGTTATTGTGAGGAATCTGTTCGCGGCTCAGCGACCATAACCCTAATTACTCAGCTCGGCCTCGATATCAATCCCGAGCTTTGTAGTGATGACGCATTTTGCGCCTCGACTCAAAATGCTTTACTTTGGAAACAAGAAAGGAGATATTTCTCGCATCATTTTCGTCCGATAATTGATTAGAGTTCTCTCCCATGGAATTGGATTTGCCAACTTTCTCATATAAAATCCGTGAAATGCCCTGGCGGATTGGACTCTCAAACCGACATCATCGGCAGCAATATCTCTTCCACATATCTGATTTCAAAGTCCACAATGATGAAAGCTATACTAGTTACCGGTGCGACAGGAAAGCAAGGAGGATCTGTCATCAGAAGTCTCGTCGCGAGGAACGCCTCTTTTGAGATACTTGCTGTCACGCGCAATCCGCAGTCCGCATCGGCTCAGCGACTCGCGAAGTTATCGTCGAACATCAAGTTAGTCCAAGGCGATCTCGATAAACCAGCAGAGATCTTCCAGAGTGCGCAACATGTGACAAAGACTCCCATCTGGGGTGTCTTTAGTGTGCAGGTAGGTCTTCGTTTGCATGAACTGGTATGAGACAGCAGCTAACATTCAAACCAATAAAAGGCAGTCGCAATTAACAACGAAGCCAAAGAAGAAACGCAAGGCAAAGCCCTAATCGATGAAGCACTCAAGCACAACGTCAAATTCTTCGTGTACAGCTCTGTAGATCGAGGTGGCCCGTCCGCCTCACCTACCAACCCAACTCGCGTCCCGCACTTCATCAACAAGCACAATATCGAGCAGCACCTCATCGAAAGAACCAGAAACACTCAGATGGGGTGGTTCATCCTCCGTCCGGTGGCGTTTTTCGACAACTTGACCCCGAATTTCTTCGGTAAAGTCTTTGCGACTTGCTTCAAGACGGCGCTTCAGGGGAAGCCGTTACAATTGGTAGCGACAAGCGACATTGGTGATTTTGCTGCCGAGGGGTTTCTGCATCCGGAGACGTATGGAGGACAAGGCCTGTCGCTTGCTGGTGATGAATTGACGTTTGATCAATTTGCCAAGATCTTTGAGCAAGAGACGGGGCAGTCAATACCTCTTACCTTCCGGCCGGTTAGCTCGTTGATAATGGCTTTCATGAAGGAAATGGGTTATATGTTTCAGTGGTTTCATGATGAGGGATTCAAAGCTGATGTCGCAGAGTTGAAGAAGATTCATCCGGATTTGAAGAATTTTGGTACTTGGTTGGAAACGGAGAGTGAGTTTAGAAAAAACTAGCAAGGATGAGACGGACTTACTGTACTTGTACTTATAGATAGAATCTCGAAATAATATTGCCCATAATTTCGTTCCAGAGCTTCTATCAATGCTCACGCAAGAGCAGCTCATACATTGACCAATTAACATCAAGAATGGAAGTACACCGAAACTTACATAAGCAGCGCATCAACCTTCTTGCCTTGGAAGCGACCCGGAAATTGAACTTGGCACAATTGCTTTGCATTGTCAAATCAGAAATACAAGATGACTGCATCCTGAAGGATATAGCTGCATAGAAAGCAGTCAGTTTTTGATCATGGACATCTCCAGAAGAAAGTCCCCGCTCGTTCGCAATGAAACAGAGAACAGCTTGACCAAGCGCAGTTGCAAGCAATGCAACCAACGAAAGGTCGGCTGCGATAAGATATATCCCTGTTGCACGCGATGTCTTACCTCTGGCGTTGAATGCTCCTATCCGGGACAAAAGCGAGCCACTCGGAAGTTGAGGCGGCCGCCAATATCCGAGATTTTGGCCCATCTGAAGGAGTTAGAGGAAGAGGTTGAGTTGTTGCGGTCTAGGGTTCAGACTTCACCAAAGGGGAACGTAGTAATCGTGAGCCCTGATTCGGCAGGTGCCGTCAATGAAACGGAATGCTCCCGCGGAAGATTGGTCGTGCGCGAAGGACGAAGTCGGTATGTCGGGGATGAGGCGTCGGTTGTCCTTGGGGATAAGGTACGTCTATTCTGATATGAATATGTTAATTTCCAGCTCATAATGTCAAGATAAATGAGCTACAAGAGATCTGTGACAGGTCTTCGGATGAGGAGAGTGTCGCCTATACAACCATTACCAAAATGGTCACACCTTCTGTATCCTCCATTGGAATTTTTGGGTCCGATCAATCAACCAATGCCGTCATAACCTATGCTGAATGCCTTCAGCCGCCACAGGTACAAGCACTGTGGGATGTATATCAGGTGAATGTGGCGCCTATGATAGCATTTCTGCACAAGCCATCGATTACTTCTTTGGTATGCGAGCTCGGCGCAAATGCAAACTTACAACTGGATACTGCGCAGGAGGCCCTAATACTGGCTATGTGCTTTGGCGCTGTAGTGAGCATGACGCCACAGAAGTGTTCTTTTGTTCTTGGCGAGGATCATGACACGTGCATTAATAGGTACATGAACTGCGTGAGACAGGCTCTAGGAAAAGCGAGTCTTATAGGCACTCAAGATATTCGAGTACTACAAGCCTCCGTCTTGTTCCTATTATGTCTTCGCCGATGTGGTGACTCACGACTTGTATGGGCTGAGGCAGCCATCGTGGTTCGGGTCGCACAGCGGCTAGGCGTGCATCGCGATGGTGAACATTTGAGACTGTCTCCTTTCGAGATTGAAATACGCCGTCGATTGTGGTGGCACATCTGCATTCTTGACATGCTCTGTTCGGAGGATCAGGGAACTGATCCACAGATACACCCTGACATGTTTGATGCAAAAATTCCCTCAAACATCGATTGCGATGATCTCACGCCGCAAATGACAGTGCTTCCGACCATACATCAGGGATATACGGATATTACGCTGTGCATTATCAATTGCGAAGTCATAAGCAATTTGTACTGGTCCGGCAAGTCCCTACACAAAGACGCCAAGCAGGTTTCATCCTTTGAAAAAGGGAGCATCATATCTGATCTTTCAGACCGGCTCSAGGCACAGTTTCTGCGCAAATTGGACATTGACAGTCCAATACAGTGGCTGACAGCCGTAATTGCCCGCCTCATGCTGTCCATGGCATGGCTTGTCAATCGTCTCAACGCCGCTAGAGCAGATCAATCTTCGAATACGACGACATATGATGAAATATTCCATATGGCACTGGAAATCCTCAAGTTTGCCACGCTACTGCAGAATAAAGAGACAACAGCCCCATGGGATTGGCTCAACAAGACATACAAGCACAGGAATGTAGCGGCATTCGTTCTTTCTGAACTTTGTGTACGGCCCATCACACCCGAGACGGAGCATGCCTGGGAGGTGGTGTCGCAGCTTTGTAATCAGTGGTTATCTGAAGATTCGCAGACACAGACCCATGCAATGCTCCATAAGCCTTTAGCACGGCTGATGGAAAGAGCGACTCTTGCACGCAAGAAACAGCTGGAGAGTCAAACGGCTGTATCTGCAGTACAAATTTCCGAAATGCAGAGGTCTGAGCTCATTAGAGGAGCAGGAAACGACGTGTTCCTGGAAGATGCTGAATCTGAGTTCTCATTCTCGAATCTGGATTGGCTCACGGCACCTTTGCTATAATATGATTGCTTTCGGCATTCTGGGCTGCTGAAAAGCACGTACATTAGACCAAATTTAAAAACAGGATTCATATATCGATCCCCGTGGCAGGTATGTGATGCGAGATGTGTTAGGGTTATGTGCCCATAGACGTAATCATCTCCCCGCAATTATCAAGCCGCGAATAGCCTCGGCCTATCCCGACCTTGGAAGATTACATATTCTTGTTCTTCTCTCGATGTAGAAGACGATTAAATCATCAATATTATAACAAGTTTACAAACACTGATATTCGACTATGCCTGGATTAACTTTACACCTTCTCGCCTTCAAAAATTCTAGCTACGATGCAAAGACATTCGTCGCCCAACTCCGCAGCAACCCATCCGTCAAAATAGTGGTGGCATCGCGACCACGCCATGTCGTCGTTCAACCAACGGTCCTCGATGTAAACCCATTACTGACTCAAAAATGGGATCTTATGCTATTGCTACAGCCTACAGGCGGACAGACTTTGGAACAGTCATCCCTAATTCCGTCGGAACTGCAAGATGTGATCCTAACTGAGTATCGCATTCTTGCGGGTATTCCATCTAAATTATTAGGAAGCTTTCCAGAAACAGATGCAAAATTGAAGAAACAAGCACCACCGCCGTTGACAGGGTCGTTGAGCAAGATTCGAAGTCAGAGCAAAGAGACTTCTCAGTCGCTAGAGGTGTCGCCGGAGTTGTTAGCATTTATGGATAAGTTGACTCTAGAACATGACAAACCAGTAACAATGCTCAATCTGCTTCATTTCCATCATCCTGATGGGAAGAAGAATTATTTCCAATACGGACAAGTAAGTATCCACGAAAAAAAAAGGCCCAAACCCATGAAAAGTTGCTATGGAGTAGTTCTAGAGGGAGATTACTGATCGATTGTTTAATGGGCAGGCATTCATCCCTGTCGCCGGGAAACGTGGAGGCAATGCCAAAATTGTTGGCAATGTCGTTAAGCCTCCTAGCAATTCAGCTTCCTTGAATGACTCGCGGGGGGGTGTCGATCGGCCAGAGCAGGACTGGTGGAATGAGATCTCAATTGTGCATTATCCTTCGATCCGGCATTTTTGCGACATGCTTGCTGGAGATGATTATCAGGCCATCAATGAGAAGTACAGATTGAAGGTGAGTTTCACAGCTGGTTGTTGGGTGACCTGTTCAAGGCTGATTTTTTCAGGCTCTTCGCGACACTTTTTTGCTGTGCACCACCGAGTTTGATGTCGAAGAGGATTCGCGGGCGAAACTATAGTCAATATCTGAAATGATAATAATCGTAAATCAATAATTGATGTTTTATCCGTACTCTGTGAATTGCAAGGAGCTTGAAGGCGGAATGACGTCCAGCCCGAACAGGCAAGGAAGGAAGGAAGGACCCGCCGCGGAGCACGTCTGCCAAAAAAGACGCGTGAACACMGCGCTTGTCTCTACACATATTCACATACTATTACAACACAACAACAACTGCTCTCTTTACTCTATTGCATAGACACAATGTGTTCACGCTTAGCATTACTCTGCTGACCACCATTGCACTTTTATTGATTGCATTTACTCCTTATCATTGCATTGTTTCCCGCCTCGTCCCTCGTCGCGTTTCGCCCGCTTTTCGATCAGTTAAAGCGTACAGGACTACCTTTTACGACATCTTACGAAGTCACGCTACACTCGAGGGATATGACTGATTAGCCTACGGAACAGCGTTAGAGACTGATTGAGGAAGTAAATTGAACGGCATCAATCAGTACATGCACTAGGAACAGCCATGTATCTTCCACGCTCCTTGATAGGACATTTATACCTCCAACTCCTGCGATCACACCACCCTCTCTCGCCGCCTGTCCTGATACTCGTTGCGCTCGAACCCGATGCCCTCTGCGCGTGCCGCATCCTTACAACGTTGCTGAAACGCGATTATATAGCCCATAAGATCCAACCCATTGCCGGATATGGTGACCTCGCGCGCGCCGGAGAGGAGCTCGTGCGGCCCATGCGGACAACTGATGGAGGTAGCGGCGGAGTAGTGGTTTGTCTTGGTGTCGGTGGACTTGTCGATATGAGCGAGATACTACGATTGACGAGCGAGGAAGACGAATCCGAGGAGTTGGGAGGGGTAGAAGTGTGGGTTATTGACGCGCGACGACCGTGGAATTTGGTCAATGTCTTTGGAGGACATCCAGATCAATTCCGTGAACGAGAAGCTCTCGCGGAGATGAACCTGAGTGCTTTGCGGAAAGGTCGCGGTGTTGACAAAGGCTGTCTGAATCGAAGTTATAAAAGCGGCAGCGGAGGTATCATTGTCTTCGATGATGGTGACATTGAGGAGGAATTGACCAACGAACGCGACGCCTACTATGCCCTTGAAGAAATGCCAGAGGTCGATGATGACGGCGACAATCTAGACGACTCGGAAAGTGAAAACGATGACAATGGTCTTGAAGGAGGCTCTAAGAAAAGGAAATCCTGGTCGGGACGCGAACTAGAAGACAGCGACGAGGAGGAGGACGAACGTCCACGACAACGTAGGAGGAGCAATTCAGTACGTATTTCTGCACTACATTAGTCACGTACGTTTCACTAACTTTCGTGCAGAGCTCGCCCATTACCTCGTCCCCCAGTAATCGCCGCCGTGCAATTGGACACGATTCTTCAAACTCGTCGCGCACACCCACCCCCGAACCAGACTTCGTATCACCGGTTTCACGCCAGCCATCAGCGCGGAGCCTAAGACGACGATTACTACGAATGAAACGAAAGCACGAGAGTATACTACAGACATATTACAACTCAGGCACGGCCTATTCAGAGCCGATATCGTCAATGATGTATTCCTTAGCTTCCGAGCTAGGTCGTGAAGATAACGACCTTCTGTGGCTGGCAATTGTGGGAACATCTAGTATGGAGCTTTCTGGACGAACGATGGCTGGTGTCGGTATCTCGAGCTCGTCTGAGTATGGAGGTTCAGCTGGATGGGGTGGATCACGAGGTGAACAAATTCGACAGATCATGCGAGACGAAGTACATCGACTCAACCCCCCTGAAGGCATGGACAATTTTCGGGATATCCCTGGCTCTAACACGGACGTCATTCCTACTACAGGAAGATCTCCAACAGATACGTCGATACGCTTGTCACCCGAACCTCGTTTCTTACTTGTACGGCATTGGTCGCTGTATGAAAGCATGCTACATAGCCCATATCTCGCGTCAAGACTACACGTATGGACGGAGAATGGCCGTAAAAGGCTACATAAGCTGTTGGCTAAAATGGGCATTAGCTTGACACAATGTCACCAGAATTATAATCACATGGACATGGAGCTGAAGCGCGTACTACGGTCACGACTGCTGAAATATGCCCCAATGTACGGCTTGGACGGACTGGTTCCTCCTGTCGCGTCCGGGCACAGCAGCAACCGAGAAGGTTGGGGCTTTGTGCGAAGTTGGGGCTGGAAAGCGTGCTTGTCGGCAACAGATGTCGCCGTTATTCTGGGGTCGATTCTAGAAGTTGGACCGAGCGCAGCAACAGCTTGGGAATCTGGATCCTACACAACCAGACAATTAGCTAGGGACAAGTCCGGCCCATCAGATACCGACCCGGCGAATATTCACCCTCGATTTTGGAGCGCCTACGATGCACTCTCTCCGACCGGATCTGATTCACCCACGCTACTCGTTGAGTCTTTGCCTTTAGCACAACATCTTCATCGCTCGATACTTCGTACTGGAACGTCGCTGATGTCGAAGAATCAGATTCGCCATCTACGAGCTTTCCGTATTGGCGTTGTCAAGGACGGACCAGACGTTAGACTCTTCACTAACCCAGGAGCCTTGACAAAACTGGCACTCTGGGTCGCCGAAGCAATTCAAGTGCAAGAACGGGATAAGAGCGAAACTAAGATGGGTAAGAAGAAGATTCTGGGTACGCCTCTTGTTCTAGCTGGTCTAGACGAAGACCGCGGCGTCTATGTGGTAGTCGGCACTGGTGGTGGCGGTGGTGTCATTGACTTTGCGGCTCTCGCAAAGAAGAATGAAGCACGAAAGGCAAAGAAAGAAGCTGCAGATAAGAAAAAGAAAGAGCGTGAGGAACGACGAAAAAAGCGTGCGGCCGAGCGGGCCCGTCGTGGCGAAGACGATGATGATGCATCGGATGAGGAGACAGAGGAAGATGAGTCTTCGGATTCTTCTGACGATGAATTAGAAGACGAGAAGAGCCGCTACGGAAACAAACGGCTTGTCCGTAACCGATTTGGTATTGCCTTTCAAGAAGTGGTACAAGAGACTAGTGCCCGAATCCGAATCGATAGCTTTGAACATTGCGTGGTAGAAGTTCAAAAGGAAGACTTGAGCGGGTTTCTTGAAGCCTTGAGCTTTAGAAGTGTTGTCGGGTAGTCCAGACATACTTGGACGTCCACCGCTCCTCTTTTCCTGTACGAATTCTCGGTCATGGCGTCTGGTATCATCAGTTCGGCGTTGATATGCATGCATCTTACTTATTGGGCTTTATTCATGTCGTTACTGCTGGCCGATACACAGGTTTTGTGTTGGTTATGCATGCGAGGTGGCCCCTTTGTTCTTATTGCGATCTTCAAATTGATTCTCTCCTCGTGGAGTTTGAAGTAAGCGGTGACATCTATTTTTGGCTTGGGCTTGTTGCATTGTTGTTGTTGTTGTCTTATCACACTATCATATTGCATCACTTATCCCTATTCACATTGTCATTCTATTCCCCTAGTTCTCGGAATTATATAGTATAGCTTTCCATCATGCATGAACATCACCATTGCTAATCGCCTGTCCCCTACTTGTTATGTTATTTGTTTTCTGTCTGAATGATTGCGCTTCATGTCGGTGCTATACTTGCTTTCTTCTTCGAATACTTGGCGAGCAAATATGGTATGGGTGGAAAATGGATTTGCTTTTCTCTGCTTTTGCTGGATGGATGGATGGATGATATGAAGGAATTGGGACTTGCTATTTGTTTGCGCGATACCTTTGTAGGTAGTAGGTAGTTAGTAGATAGTATTATTTATGGTTGCATTGTTACTATTCGATCCATACGGCTCTCGTAGATGCTGTAGCCACCAAGGAAAGTAGAATTATGATGCCGATGAAATACAAGGGGGTATAATATTACAGATGAGAAAGAACGCTACACATTCATGGAACTTGATCAAGCCTTTCGACCCAAGACTGATCCAGCCAGCCAGAGTCCAGTACCTGCACCAACAACCGCCAAACCAACTAATCGTTTCGTCCAACTGTCCTCATCAGTCATCTTACTAGCCCCCGCAACAACCTGTCGTCGACGCTCCGTACCAGCAGCAGGCGACGGTTCCGAACGTTTGTCCTTGTGATCGGAGAGTGTAGTAGTATTCTGCGTCAAGAATGGATMCTCCTCTTCCCGCCTCTGCCACTTCTCAACCAATTTCGCAATCTCATCCAAATCCTCCTTTAAAGACCCCGGCCCCGTCGTTGCGTTACTTTCCACCTGCACATTCTGCGTATTTCCAAAGAAATCAACCACGGTCCGTAGACGACCCTCCTGCTCACCGCCGGGGAACAGATCCCATCTCAGTCCAGGCTGGGAATGGATCTTGCTCTCGTCGTAAGAGTCGAATAGGTCGCCGAGTGTAAGTTTTGAGTTTGGTGAGGTTACTTGCGTCTCTAGAAATTCGAGGACGTAGTATGTCCATCTATCGATGACGGCGACGCCGACGTCATTATCTGCATGGTGTGAGTAGGATGATTCGTCGAGCGCGCTGGAACCCGTGGCGATAATGTTTGGTGAGTAGAAATGCGTGTACATCGTGTTCGCCTGGCACGTATCAATCATGAAAAGCAATTCATGATATCGCTTCTTCTCCCACATCTGTCCAAATGCGTCCGCCAGATCCCATGCGCCAATTTCCTCTGAATCTTGAAACTTCAAAAATCTGTCCCCACCGTGGCCAGTCATGTATACCAACACATTACTGCCCGCGTCAGAGCCCAGACGCTTACTCCGCGGCACATCCTCATCCAGCCGATCGGTAAGCAATCTTATAAAATTCTCGACCGTAACCTCGTAACCGCGATAATCAACCTCGATATTCTCTCCGTACAGGTCAACCGCTCGATCGGCGTTACTATAAACTGTCCCAGGGAAGGCATTGCGTGGATTACAGGCCATGTCGTCCGGGAGCATAAGGATGATTTGCGAATCCGGAATTCCGAGTCGTTTCACTGTTCGGTAGAGGGAGAGGACGTTGGCGAGGTGTCGGTAGTTGAACCAGAAGCGTGAGGTGGACACGAGTACGGCCCAGTTGGAGGTGTGTTCGCCGGCGACGGAGATGGGGATGGTGCATGATAGAAGCAGCGAGGCGATGCTCGCGGCGGCAAAGGGGAGCCGCATTGTTTCGAGACTTTCTATATGTAGTGAGCGTGTATGATAGTTGGATTGAAATGAATGTGGTTTGAAGCTGATGAGATGGAGTGATTAGTGATGAGCATGGAGAACGCCGGCGGGTCGGTGGGGCCGAGTTTGATGGGATGAACGTTTCCTATTTCGGACACTCTTCCAAGCCCTAATTGCCTAAASGAGCCGTAATAATTTGGTCATCATTCGAGAATCATTTGGCCGAGGTCCTGCTTATGGCATGCTGTTGACTTCAGCGTAGGTGGATTTGAGGTAACACATTACATCAAGCGAACTTGTCATGGGACAATTGAGTGGTGCTTCGGAGCATCTCGGGCCATCATCAGCGAAAAGCCTCACTATCTTACTCCACTCCTCCAGAGTGTAGTGTCTTGACAACTGGTCTTTCTTTGTTTCCCCACTGAGGAGTCTATGGTGTAGATAATAGTGTGGGTAAAGACTTCCAAGAACTATGCGAACTATTTCCAGTAAGAGGGGAAGTATTTCTTTGTTTGCGCATTAGCCTGCTCGTAGTCTGTGTTTTTAGTCTCGTCTACTAAATTAACTATTATTGAACTTTTTCTTTTTTGAAAACCCTCGGATCTACAATCTCATGCAGCTAGAGTCTGATCGTATGTACATTCATTATTTGCGGCACGTTTGAATGGAATACAATATCATGCAGCTATAATCACAAAAAGCAGTTCAGCAATTTATTCACTATTATTAAGCCTTTGTGAGGTCATCACAAATATATTGAGTCAATCTCGTGTCAACATATGCTGTTCAACTGAAATGACTGAAGGATACAATTATTGGCCCTTTTTCAGAGAGTGTTGCACATGAGAAGTGGGATTCGGATGAAAGCCATTGAGTCCATATTCAGGTGAGGCCTTGTTGACTGCCAGACAGAAGAAGCGGAACTCACAATTAACCGTATATTGTCTGGAGAGAAAAGACAGTAGCAATGGACAACTGCACTGAGAAGCTGTCCGGCGAGATATCAAGCCATGGAAACACGCTTACTACAGCAGACCAACAGCTCCATGGTAACTTCAAGTATATCTCAGGATGGAGGCTTCACATTATCACGACAGGGAAAGTTACAAATACCAAGTCTTCTTTCCCAAGCTTAACTGACATAACGCTACTTGCAGGCTTTTCTTGGGTATCTTACTTATCAATTTCGAAATTACCATCGTCAGCACTGCGGTCGTGTCTATAACCAATGACCTTGAGAAATTTAACGAGAGTAGTTGGATCATTACGGCGTATCTGATCACCTACATCGGTAAGATACCCGTATGGTTGGGAACATATTCTCACTAATTCACGACCAGTTGGTCTAGTAATCTGGGCAAAGATGAGCGACCTATTTGGTCGTAAACCAATGTGTATGATTGCGTTGACAATCTTCACGACCTTCTCAGGAGGGTGTGGAGCAGCTCAAACGATGAACCAGTTGTATGTTCTGTCCTACTCTTTCCCCTTGCCATTGATATAATCTGCAAGAGGCCCTGATTTCCGCATTTCAGAATCGTATGTCGGGCATTCCAGGGCATCGGCGGCTCGGGCCTATACTCAATATCTACGGTGATGCTATACGAACTAGTCCCCCCAGTGAAATACCCCTTGTACACTGCTTCGGCAATAGCTTTGGCTGCTCTCGGAAACGCCATGGGACCTATATTTGGGGGCCTCATAGCCGAAAAATCGACATGGAGATGGGTATTTTTACTCAAGTAAGTATTTCGAGATATTCTCAATGAAAAGAATTGACTCACGATAACGACTATCAGCGCCCCCCTTGGTGTCGTTTCAGGTATTCTGTTGCTCTTCTCAGTGCCAGCAGATTTCCCAAACCAAGGTAAAATAGCAACAAGAGAACGACCCCGCCTACAAAACATTGACCTAGTTGGGGCACTCTTGATGCTTGCAGCAGTAGCATTGATCATCAGCGGGTTTGATCAAGCGGCTTCCCGCCTCTCTTGGACAACCGGAGAGGCTTTGGGGCCATTGTGTGCATCGACAGGTGCTTGGATGGCTTTCCTTTTGAGCCAGTACTGGCACGCAAAACGCCACCAGAGCCTTGTACAGCCTGTATTTCCATGGAGATTCTGCCAAAGTCGGGTGATCATGGGGTTAATAATGTGTGTCTAAGCCTCTGGGAGTTCAATGTCAGAGCATTATTAACTCGAAGGTTTTTAGATCCTCTTTCATGTTCGGCGCCATTAGCATCACATTCATCTTCCAATTGCCGATCCGCTATCAAAACGTGCAAGCCTTAAACTCCTTACAAGCAGGTCTCAGGCTGCTTCCGTTCTCATTAAGCGGACCTATTGGATCAATACTGGCCGCCGGTCTGTGCAAAAGCCTGCGAATTCCTCCCATATACGTCATGATTATCGGGAGTTTATTGCAGGTATTAGGTGTTATTTTCGCGTCGCGGATATCTACCACCGATTCAAACTGGAGTGGCTTKTACGGCCYTGAAGTACTTATCGGCATAGGCTTCGGGTTCTGTTTAGGGGGCGCCACCCTATTGATCCCATTCGTTTTTGAGAAAGAAGATCTGGGTAAGACCACGCTTATCTATTGTAGTCAAATATAATGAGCTAATAGTTGGTATCGTAGCTGTTGGGACCGCAGCCACCGTGCAGTTCCGATTCCTTGGAGGCGCTTTGGTAGTCTCCCTTGTCACGGCTGTAGGGAACAGCTGGGTCAAGAATGAGCTGTTGAATTCACTGAGTTCCCAACAGATTTTCTCTATCTTTAGATCAACTGAAGCCATCAGCACATTGCCCGCAAATTTGCAGACCGTGGTGCGATATGAGTTTGCCGAAAGCTTCAATTTGCAGATGCGAATAGTGCTTGGCTTTGCTGCCGGTGGAATTCTGACTACGCTGTTGATGTGGCAGAAAGTTCAGATTGATGTTCAATAATGAGAAGCTGTCTCAATGGTATGATACTCTAGCGGGTCCTGGTATACAGAAGCACTATGAGTATAAAGGTGGTATATTGGATTATGTATACCTGTCACTAGGGTAAGGATGATTCAGCTGGTTGGGCTTAATGAAGGCTAACTAGGATTGGTTTCTGAAGTACCCATACGATAATGTCTTTTTACACTTGACTACATAAATTTCAGCGCACACAATGTCTTTAAGTGTAGATTGTCGCCATCGGAATCACCGTGCGAATTATTTGCACACACTTTGACTGTAGAGTTTATACGAGCTCCCGGAATTTCGTGTCCTCCAACATGCACGTACACCCCCTTCTTGTCCGTTGCACATAAGCTGCTTACGATGTCCCTGTTAGTAATCGCGTCATTGCGACCATAAATAGCACATCTGGGCTGCAAATCATGACCCTCAAAGCCGATGTGGCCGTCTTTGAGATTTTGGGAGGTTTGACCGCAGAGATGCTAGGACGAGCAGTAGCCGAGATGACAAGAGTTGGAGCAGAGATGAAGCTGATTTAATATGACTAGACTGGAGGAGAACTCCAGCTACTTATTAGGCGGGCTCGTGGGTTGACGAATATTTCCTATTTGGGACTATCTTCCTAGCCCTAACTGCTTCCAGCGCCGTATAAGGGCCATGCTATAAATCGGCTGTTTGATAGGTTGATATGCACAAAATTCAGAAGCCTATTTGTACATTATTTTTATTTCAACTTTTCCACGTCCGAAATCAACTGCTAGGTTTCGACAAAAGTAGTCGGGCTATTGTGCAAGTTTTGGTGGATATGGTTCGTTACTGGCCTTCGACCATCTCAACCTAAAGCATTGTTTTCTATGCTCGCTAGACTTGTATTTTACATTTCTCAATCCACTCGCTTGGGTTTCGCCTCTTGTTTTCCAAAGTAGGAGCACGAGATATGACTGTGATACATAGGTACTATTCTAGTCTGGTGTCCCTGGTGTAATTTCACGCCTCGGTTTAAAATACTAAGCCTCGTAGAAGTGTCCCTTAGTATGATCTGATCGAATCAGTAACACATCGGGTCTCAATTGATATTATTGATGAGATCAAAGGTCTAACTCTCAATTACAATGCTTTAGTCTCAGATGCTACAACTTGTATGCAGATCACCGGCCCAGGAGTCAATTATTATCTAGGTATTTGACGATGCCACATGCATTCAGCTACATGTAATTATGGCATTATTTTTACATCTCAGGGCAAGACACTGTGTAACCTTTTAACTACACAAAAAAAATTTTCGTCGATTAGCCCTCATCCTCAAATGCCACCCATTTTTGAGACCCAGGAATAGTTGAATTCATTATAACCACTATGGACATATCACCCGAATCAGTAAATACTTCTCAGATATTATGATTCAGCACACAGGAAGCACGTCACCCACGACCAATCGAGTTTTCCAACTCGCGAGAGTTTTTGATGTTTTACCCGCCAATTGTACCGGGTTGACTTGTCAGGGATTATGCAGGATTTGGTACGGAATGTGACCTACATGCATGGCGCGTGTACGACCTGGACGGATCTGATTGAAGAAGCAAAATGACTAGTGGTCTGATAACCATGTATGCCACTCCCGAGATCTGTAGGGCGATACTAACTTATCACAATGTCAGTAAGGCCTAGACGTAAATATGTTGACAGGGATTTGCGCGTGTTGTCAAATATAAACCGATTTAAATCCAACTTTTCCCAGAATCTCTTTCGTGTCCGTATCAAAGAAATAACACCTAGTGAAACTTAACTCAATCTACCATGATACTTTCGACAAAATTAGAACCTTGAAACATGTCATCAAAAGAAAAATCTTTCAAAGTACTAATTGTTGGTGGAGGCATAGCAGGTCTTGTTCTAGCCCACATGCTAGAAAAGTTCAATATCGACTATCTTCTACTGGAATCGCATGGCGAGATCGACCCAACAATAGGCGCCAGCATCGGAATACTTCCAAACGGGGCTCGAATTCTCGACCAACTTGATCTATACGAACCAATCGCAAAGTTGGACTATAAAGACAAGCGTGGAACTCACATCCACAAACAAACCGGTGATTGTCTACTTAATGTAGCGCGCTTCCACGATCATATTGAGTATCGGTATATATGCTATATAGATGAACATTTTATGGAGTGATTTCATGCTGACAGTTCATAAAAGACACGGATATCAGCTTATATTCATCGATCGTCAATGGTTCCTTCGTGTGCTCTACGACCGGTTGCGAAACAAGAACTGTGTGCTGCTGAACAAAAAAGTCGATCGTGTTGAGCTAGTCGAAAGAGGTGCTCAAGTCTTCACAACAGATGGACAAAGCTTCCGTGGATCTCTACTTATTGGGGCTGATGGGGTACACAGTACCGTGAGGCGGGAAATGTTCCGGATTGCTGACGAGCAGGCACCTGAGTACTTTTCAACAAACGAGCAAGGACCGATGTCATGCCATTATATCTGCAGCTTTGGTATCGCTCAAGATGTGCCTGGTTGGGAACGTGGCAGCACATATACCACCGTCGGAACAGGGCATTCTCAACTAGTCGTCTCTGGACCTGAAAATCGGATCTACTGGTTCTTCTTTTCGAGGTTGCCGGAGACGAAGTACGGCAAGGACATACTACGATGCAACCGAGAAATGGAGGCAGAATTCGTCGATAAGTACGAGCATGCCCCGATCACAAAGACGCTTACATTCGGTCAGATATACGCTAAACGTCTGATTACTACGCTCACGCCTCTTCATGAATATGTGCATGAGAAATGGTTTCTCAAGAGGATACTCATGCTGGGAGATTCAGCTTATAAGGTTTGACTCCATTCGGTCTAGGATCGTATCAAATCAAGTTAACGTCAAAATCACTTAGCTAAATCCCATAAGTGGTCAGGGAGGCAATTTGGCTATTGAATCAGCAGCAGAACTCATTAATGTTCTTCTAGATAAGAAAAACAGCCGGAGCAGCGGCTTGAATGATCTAGATGATGAGGATATTGCCGATATCTTCACGAAAACGCAAGCCTGCCGGCATGAGCGTACAAAGCAGCTAGTTTCCGGCGCGCATCTATTCCAGTCATTGGCAGCATTTGAAACGCCTCTTCTTTCGAAAGTGACTTGGGAATACATGATAGCCGCTAAAGCGCCTTATTCTTACGTAGACCTGTTTGGTGAGCCAATTACAGGTGGTTCAAGATTGAAGTACCTTCCCATCAAGAGACGACCACGAGTCCTACCGTATGACGACGAATTACCTGCACAGCCATTGAAGCAAGTGCGTCTGGTACAAATTACTTTTGCTTTGTGGATGGCCTATACTGCCTTCATGGCCTATAGATTGTCGCCTAATTCTAGGACGGATGACGCAACCATTCAAAGTACCAGGTACTCATCGATAGACAGGCAAGCCGGGAACCAGGCACTGTGCAACTTCTACTACTTGTCGAACCTCATATCGCCGATAACTATATACATAGTTGAAGGATATCGACTAGGAAATCGGGGCACCATTCTCGCTTTGCCCAGTCTGTACCTATTGGCAGCTCAAACCCTAGGATTCGCACTTACATCACCAGTCTACGCAATTTTGAGTGCTTTCTTATCTACTACCCTGCCCACTAGGAGATTTATCAAACTAGAGGTCGCCTGCGCCTTCATACCAGCGCTCATTGTCGGGTATGTATTACCTACGATGCTCATCCTTTCGGATTTATTCGGTGTAGTAAAGTTGGCTACATGGGTACCTCGTGTCTGCCAGTTTGCATCAATTCTTGTCTGTGGTCTGACGTTCTGCTTTGCACACATTGGTCGGATATGGTTTTCAAAACGTGAAGTGCATAAAGATCGAGAACAGTCCGAGCTTGAATGCTACAAGGCTCAAGATGTCCCGATTTTGAAATCGGCGTATCTTTTTGCATTCATTTTGCAAGCTGTGGCTCATATTACACTGCTTTTATACGCACATGATGAGCCGAGTGCCCTATCCCAGAGTTTGTTTCGGTCTTATTGGGACAGCAACCATAAACAAATGCATCAAACAGAACTCTTTCCGGCTGAACTGGCAATTGCATTCACCACCTGGTTTATAAGCAATATCTACTCGATCTGGGACTTGCGTTGCTTTGGCTACATCAAAACCCAGGCTGGTCTTATTTGTGCATTGAGTGTTGTAGCCGGGCAGATTCTTGTCGGACCTGGTGCTTCGTGGGCTGGACTGTGGTACTGGCGAGAGGGAGTCATTGCGGGTCTACAAATGAATTGAAAGTGCAGATACTCAATTGGTGTGCCGCCGTTCTGAATTTTCAAGGGACTTCTCAGCTCTGAGGGGACGGTTTCATTGTGGTATGAATTGCAGTCTATGCCTTGGAAATTAAACCACTAGCTAGATATGTTTCAGTCATTTGATAAGACAATATAGAACTGAAAAGTCGCACAGCCCTATGGCCAGGGTCTGGCCTATATTATCGGTCATGTAAGACAGTGCGCTGGCTGAGATGCACCAGAAGAGCAAGTAGCCGTGAAATTCTTCAGCCCTCTCGGACCCGTTTTTAGACCCGAAAGCCAAAAATCGATTGAAAGGTGAAGATATGGGGGAAATATCGAATATACTGTATTGATTGACCTTATCGGCGAATGACTTCTTCTAGAAGCATGGAAGGCAAAGGAAGGGCGAGAACCATGGACCTGCCCGTACCCATGCAGAATAGGCGGAAAATGTTCCGCCGGATTGATGAATGAAAATCGCACTTGACAATGAGTTTGAAAAATCTTGTATATATAGTCTCATTCTGATTTCCCATTCTCCTTTTCATTCTCATTCTCATACCATCTCTGATGATGAAAGTACTGAAGTTGATGTCTTGCTCTTGGGTATTGACTGATTGATGATCTGATTACAAATTTAATAGACTAGAACCAAAGTAGTCAAGCACAGGATGGCACTTCGCCCGAAGAGGAGAAAAGAATGTAAAAAGTGCCAGGCTAAGCCAGAACGGGCCATCTTGTCATTCAAAGGGCGTGAGATGTCATTGGCCAATTGCATCAAGCGGGTCATAAGATCCATCCCAAAAAAGCAGGAGCAGTCGTGATGGATGACTCTTTCTTCTCCCCGCAAACTCTCCGTCTATAAGAAATATCACATTGATCGATAACCATATCCATGCTTGAATTTCAATCTTTCTGTTCTGTTCTTTTTCGAAAAGTTGTATGACTGGTTGCAGCGTTGATGTTTGCCTGATTGAGAAAATCCAACATTCAGGCGGGACGGTCTCAGCCCGCTCACTGACTCATCCGATCTACCATCGACTTACTTTTCTTTCTATTCCCACGTTCCGTATATCTCACTATCCTTGTCAAAGGCCATCAGTTCGAGTGTTCTATTATTTGTATTACCGCTTATATTGCCTGGTCATTGGCCGAACCGTTTTCAGCATCTGTTTGGCTGCGTTGACGTTCTCTACGCAGCTCTTCCAAACTACTTACTCATCAGCTGAATATCCAACGGTCCAATCGGTCTAGCCGTCGCATATCTCCAGGCCGTTAGCATTTTTTTAAATCTGCAATTGCTAGAAGCCAATAAGATCCAAATGGAATACTTCAACTTTGAAGAGGCATCCTACGCCTCGAACAATGTGCAGGACGACGTTGCATCGGATAGTCAAGAGGTCGACGAAGGAGAAGCCGTCGAGAACTACGAGTCGCTATTCTTCGATAAGAACTTTCAGCTGCATCCCGACTCGGGGCTGACAGCTGATGAGGAGCTTGATAACCTGCATGATCAGGGACCGGACCCCCAGCTCCGGACCATCTCTCCAGACGTTCCCGAGCCGACTCCTGGCTCTCAGTATCCCATGTTTCGATCTCCGCAGCCCTGTGATTTCTGTCGACAAATGGGTTTCGATTGCTTCCTCATTCAACGAGGCATATTAGCTGCTGGGTGTACCTGTTGCGTCTCGCTTTACCGACAGTGTAGTTTTACTCATGCAAAAACTCCTGGCAAGTTTCTACACACTCTGCATCCAGTGGGCGAAGACGACGTCACATCTACCGGCGGGCTCACTGGAAGACGGGCCTTGAAATCTGTAGGATCAACTAAATTCGATCATCTTGAATCCCGTGGCCGCAAAAGTGGTGCTCGTTTCTCCCGCGACGCTGTTAGAATCTTGAAGAATTGGCTCTCAGAGCACTACCAACACCCCTACCCCAACGAGACAGAGAAAGACGCCCTGAAAGAACGCACTGGTTTGAAAAGAAGTCAGATTGCGAATTGGCTCGCCAATGCTCGTCGTCGAGGCAAAGTCTTACCATCCGCACGTGATACTTCGCCTACTCCAGGTGCCCTTGATATCCCGGGAACCACACGTGCATCGTCTGCATCGTCGACGACATCGAACTCTTCATCATCCACTCTTGAATATGCGCTGATGACACCTTTGGAGCGATGGAAGCACTCTCCTCCTGAACACGAAGCTGCCTCAACTAGTGCCATTATTCGAGCTATGGCCAGTGCCTCTCTCCCGCCTCCTTCACCGTCCCATGTGCAGCAGCAGCAGCAACAGCAACAACAACAGGTGCACTATCCTCCTACAATGTCTGGAACCGGCCGGTCTATTTCCCGGAAGACGGGTTCCAGCAATGACTCTGGCTCGCTATTCCAAGCACCATCCGTAAGTAGTTATGAAACGGAGAACAAGTCATCAATCTCGGACTACTCTTTTGCATCTGCATTTTCACATCGTTCCTCTCAACATTCTCTCAATTCCGCAGATCGCAAAGAACGACGTCGGCGCCGTAAGCAGATGCCACCAGTTCCGGCTTTTGACCGACAACCTGTTCGTGGAGCTCGGATATTTCAGTGTACATTCTGCACTGATTCGTTCCCCGCGAAATATGACTGGCAACGGCATGAGAAGTCAGTACACTTGGCTCTCGAGAAATGGACCTGCGCACCGCACGGCGGAGTGATTACTACCTCCGACGGGAAGAAAGCATGTGCCTTTTGTAGAGCTCCGAACCCTACCGAAGACCATCTAGAAACCCACAACTACTTGGCTTGTCAAGAAAAAACAGTCCAAGAACGAACCTTTTATCGCAAGGATCATCTGAATCAGCATTTGCGATTGATGCACGATGTCAAATACGACTCCTCAATGGATCAATGGCGCAGCACAACAAACGAGATCAAATCGCGATGTGGCTTATGCGATACGAACTTCACCACCTGGAAAGAGCGTGTGGATCACATAGCACAGCATTTCAAGAACGGAGCAGACATGTCAAAATGGAAGGGGGACTGGGGTTTCGAGCCATATGTTCAGCGACTTGTCGAGAATGGTATACCCCCATATCTCATTGCAAGTGAGCGTGCAAATCTCAACCAGGAGAGAGTGCGCGGAGCAAAAAAGGTCACCGGCTCTTTAGCGGGCTCTTCGTCGGTGTCTCTACCAGTACCTACAGATGAGACGTCTTTCACACGGCTCGAAAGTGAGCTAAAGGCATACATAGGCGGTCAATTGCTGGATGGTAGCACGCCGACTGATAAAGAGATTCAAGACCAAGCTCGTTTCATTGTATACAACAGTAATGACCCGTGGAACCAAACATGTGCCGACAATGTGGTCTGGCTGAGCGTGCTAAAGCGAGATTGCGGTATGGAAGACCTACCTGGATTGGAGAACACCAACCTGGAGGATCTAGAGATGCAACCCCCTTTCGCAGGTCGCATGCAACACACTCCTCTCGAGACAAACGCCTTGGTCGCTGGAAGCGTGCGTCACTCATGGTTCAGCAATGCCAGCCTTGGGAGCGCCGCAGTTTCATCAGGACTGCAAAGTCCAGCCTACATGCCGAGCACTGGCCTCCTCTCAGCTGCTCCCAGCATGCCTGGCAGTCTCGCAGGGAGCTTTTCTGGCAGCATCGGCGTATCATCTGCCGGTCCTTCGTCATCTGTTATACCTGGTCTCTCGAGCGGATGGAGCAGCAACTTCTCCGTCGGTGAGCGATCAACATCCGACTGGGCCGGATCTTCTGCCTTTGCGGATCCAATGGCCCAATCGAACTTTGACCTTGATCTCTTGCAGCAATTGAACGACACGGAGCCTCAAAGCATGAATATCGATGCTTCTGTGTTTGGTATGGAGGGACTCACCTCTCAATCTGAATTGATACCCTCTTTAGCAACAGCTGCTACCAAAAGTCCACAATCATTTGACCCGACAATGATGACTACATCCGAGACTCAACCCATCTCCATCCCCACTACTGCTGCTGCTGCGGATATGATGCACTCATATTTTGATCCAGCATTTTCTTCGCAACCTGGCTATAAATGAATTTGATAGACTGTTTGGCGTTCTGGTTCTGGTTTCGTTCCGAGGGTTTCAAATGTCCATCTCAATTCCTGCGTTGTGTTTTGTTAGTTATTTGCATATATTTCGGAAATTATTCAAGGAAATATATAGAGTGAGAGAAAGCAACAAAATAGAAGAGGTGTAAATACCTGACCAAATTTGATCATTGAAATCTTCCACATTGAGGCATACCTAACCAGCTACAAAACTACCATCTAAAGCGGACGAAGGCAGGGTAATAAACCTCGAGCGACCTTTGGGCAAGTATAATGAATCACAAAGTCTATTATTACGCCCTACGAGTGACATCCGCAGAAATCCACTTGCATAATTGTTTTTAGGGATGGATGGTGCGACGAGTGGTCTAGATGTATACCTGTCAATCGTAGGGCGTGGTTATTAGTATTTCCTATTCGGGTATGTACTTGGTTCCTCGTCTCTGAGTCATCGGTTAGATTGTCTAATTACTTCGCTAGGAAGAGACTAACTCCAGACTTCAACTTGATTATCGGATTGATAGGATATAGTAGATTAAACACATTATGCTAGTCAACCGTAATGAATTAAAGGACAGTCCCCATGTTAACATGCACAGCCTTGATCTGCGAATAAGCATCAAGACCAGCTTCACCCAACTCGCGACCAATACCGGATTGCTTAACGCCACCAAAGGGGACGCGCGGGTCGCTGTCCTGCGAACTATTGATCCATACCATACCAGACTCGATCTCAGCAGCGACACGGTGGGCACGCTGGATATCGCGTGTGAACACCGATGCGCCCAGGCCGTATGTGGTATCGTTTGCGCGAGCGATGACTTCGTCTTCCGTCTCAAAGGAGGCGATGGCGACCACAGGTCCAAAGATTTCCTCCTTGACGATACGCATGGAGTCATTGACATTAGTAAAGACGGTGGGTGCGATGAAGAATCCCTTGCTAAAGTCGGTGCTTGCACCTTCTTCGCGGTAGGGGCCTCCGCCAGTGAGGACTGTGGCGCCTTCGGATTTGCCAATGTCAATATAGCTCAAGATACGCTCGTATTGCGCACGAGTAACCTGGGGTCCTTGGAAGGTGTTTTCGTCCCATTGGTTGCCGACCTTCGATGTACTCTTGACAGCTTCCTTGAACTTCTCAATGAATTTTTCGTAGATCTCCTTTTGAACGTAAATGCGAGATGTTGCTGTGCAGATTTGTCCCTGGTTCGACATGATACCTCCATGCGACCACTTGACTGCTTGTTCGAGGTCGCAGTCATCGAAAACGATAAGAGGCGATTTGCCACCAGTCTCCAGAGTGATGTTCTTCAACGACGCGGAGGCCAACTTCATGATCTGTCGTCCGGTAGCAGTTGAGCCAGTGAAGGCAACCTTGTTAACGAGGGGATGCTCGACAAGAGCGGCACCAGCTTCGCGACCATATCCGTTGACGACGTTGACGACACCGGGTGGGAAGCCAGCTTCCTTGATCAGTTCTGCAAGTACCAAGGCACTTAATGGAGTCTGTTCGGCGGGTTTCAGAACAATGGTGTTACCGCAAGCAAGAGCAGGTCCTAGCTTCCAGGCTGCCATTCCAAGTGGGTAGTTCCATGGGATGATCTGACCGACAACACCAATGGGTTGGCGCAGAGTGTATGCAAACTTCTCGGGGGTTGTGTTGATGGTTTGTCCATATGTCTTATCAGCCCAGCCGCTGTAGTAACGCAGAGTGAGGGAAACCTCGCCCAAATCCTCGTTGAGCGCAACTGCATACGGCTTTCCGTTGTCCCATGCGTCGATTGTGGCTAGAGTCTCTCTCTTCTCGTCAACTAGATCGGCTAGGCGGGCCATGAGACGACCTCGGTCTGTGGCTGAGAGTTTCTTCCAGGAGGGGTCTTTGAGAGCGGCGTGGGCAGCTCGGACTGCGCGATCGACATCTTCGGTGCTGGCTGCGTGGACTGTGGCGATTTCGGATTCGGTGCTGATGGAGTGAGCTGGTATTCTTCTATAAGGGGGTGTATGATGATACTCACGCCGGATCAATCGAGGTGATTGTGCCACCGTTACCCTTGACGAATTCATTGTTGATGAACAGACCTGTGGGCTGAGTGTACTTCAAGCCATTAGGGGCAGTGATCTCCACTGAGAGATCGGACATTGTGAAGGGAGAAGAGCTTGTAGTGTTTGAGATGAAAGGTCGGGCAGAGAAGAAAGCACGAGAGGAGTGAGGAGAAAGAAGAGGAGGAGCAAGAGGAGTAAACAGTTGTCTGCGTGGAAAATGGTAGTACGAAGCTCCTCTTATAACCCGCAATGCTCGAACGGAGCTCCAATCGGCGCGAAAACAACCCCGCATATGATGAATCGATTTGTCGCTGCTTGAATGCCCTCACAGATCCAAGATTGAGAAGGAATTCGAAGAACAAACCTCTTATGGAGGCATCCACAACAAAACTACCCTGGTGATAAGAGTGGTGGGCGATTTCATTGGAGTTTGGCAGCGGGGAGTGAGCTGATAGGCCGCATCGGGAAGGTATTGGCGACGCGATCTCCAAGCGCGAGGGGCTTTTATTGCCTGGTCGGGCCTAGCCTGCTGTCCAGAAGAAGTATCAGAAATGGCCAAATAGATGTCTTATCTTATTCGACTGGTATAGAAAACGAATAAAATGTATGATTAATTTCCGACGCTGGACATTGGACAAGGGCATTGTAGGGTTATCCCGGACGGTCCGTGGCCTGCAGATTGAGGTTATTGGTAATAAAAAGCACCGCCCAGTCTGGACTCTATTGCAGCTCAACGGTTTTTTTTAGCGGCTCTTCCCATAGACGAAATTATCTCATCTGAAAGTATGGACTATACAATGCGATTGTTACAAAGTATCACAACTGACACACTGATTGGCGGGGCTATCGGGCTGACATGTGATAATCCTTCGTTCCTAAATTGTCCGTAGAAAAACTTCGAAGTTGTTCAAACCTGTTACCTTTGCAGACTTGAGATGATAGGCAGTCTACTACTCTACTGTTAGTACAGAGACAAAAGATTGTGCTCATCATGCTACCAGCCGCTCTTCGACGACGCCTTAATCGCTTGAACAATTTCCAGTCGAGTTTCCTCGCTCCTCTGGACGGAGCCGATTCAACACAATATTCGGGCCTGGCTTACACTCCAGAGCTTGACTTTGCTTCATCGCGCCCGACTTCTGCAGGCAGTAAAGGCTCGACAGTTTCCGTCTCGGCGAATACCTCTGGCTCTTCGACGCCTGACATGGATAGACCGTCCGCTTTGACTACTTACGAAAGTAGCTCGGGTCTGCGCTGGAATAGAGTGGTGCCTGGTATAGTCAATCCGCGCTTAAGAAACTATAGCGTGTCGTTGACATTTCGTTCATTGTAGCATTCTCACTCCTTCGAAATGCCGGTTTCGAGGCTCAGCAACCGAACTCGGATACTCGTCTCGTCCGAAGTCTTTTTATCGATGGGGTAGGCTACTTGCTAGAAGCACTCCCTTCGGATCTGACTGATGACGAGGCTCGATCAATTCACGATCGACTTCCGGATGCGATCAAAGCGAATACGGATAAGTTTCCCGGCTCATCCTCACATAACAGTCACGTCGTAGCGAACTCGCCGTCGTATTTGCATCGGTTGATTGCTACTGTGATTGTGTACTGCTTCATATTCGCACAGTTAATCCTCCCGTACGCAAAAGTGTTGTTGAATTCCATATATACATACGAGCGGAGGTATCACGTCACTGAGAGGGTTCTCGCGGCCGCTCTGGAAACAGCCGACGGAGTGGGCAAAGGCGCTGGTAATATCGGTTCGACGCTTACGACTTTGAGCGAGGGAAAATTGTTCTCTGCGCTATGTACGCTGACAGCCTGGACGATTGAGTCGGTTGCTGGCGGTGTCTATGAAGGAGTCAATGAGGGGCTCGCCATCCTAGGAACCACGCATCGGCCGACCGAAGTAGCACGGCAGAAGCCTTCGTAGAGACATTGCATGAATGATGGTTAATGATAATGATAATGATAATGATAATGAAAATAGAATTGCTTTGACCGAGAAGAGTATTGTGAGATTGAAATAGAAGGAACTCGTCAAAAACGGTAACCCTGACGAACAGGCTTATCAAAGTGGTGCTATTAGTCAGCAAATGTAACCCGTTTGATTGGTTCTTCCGCTGGGTAATCAATCCCCTGTCAACTGTCAACAATGGGACTGAAATCGAACTCGAGCTTCACATTCCATACATAGTGAATATGTCGTCTTCAAGATTGCCGAATATACCTTCTCTGCGGAAACAACAATTATTATTGGAATTGTAGGCTCACTTATGCGCCCTAATTGTCAACAAGGAAGCTAACAAGCTATACAGTCGGAGTATAAAGCATGCGCCGCCTACTGGAGTATACGTGAACATCGCCAATCCCACAGATCCAACATACTGGTCTGGAGTCATATTCATTCGAAAAGGTGCGCTTTGTTCCCTGCGCTGTCACCTTGTATTGTCTGACAGCCATTCTTTAGGTCCCTATGCCTCGGCAATCCTCCGTTTCAACATCAAATTCCCTCCCACCTATCCCGAACTTCCTCCGCTCATCACATTCACAACCGACATATTTCATCCGCTGATTGTGCCTTTGACGACTTACACATTCACTACGGGCTCGTCGAATGAAGTACCAGTCAGTGCGACTGACGAAGAGCGACTGTCTCCCGGAGCGTTCAGCTTACGACATGGCTTTCCACACTGGTTTGGACGAGCTCAGCGAACTGCCAATAACTCGCGGGCTGGGTCTCGCAATGTGAGCGGGGGTAGTATGGCTCCTACTGCGGTGACGGATAAGGAAACAGTTGAGCAGAACGGCCCCGATGCGGGGAGCAGCTCTCCTGCACCGGATAACACGATCAAAGAAGAAGAGACTCAGTCCACTGCCGAAGAAACCTCGAAACAGGAAGTTAATCCTCGCATCTCCAAAGTTCCTACATCTACTCTCTTTGAGAATAAAACAGTACATGTGGTGTCATTGTTGGATTACATCCGCTCAACGTTCGATGATGAGACTGTGTTAGATGGTCTCCCACTTGATGCTGCTGGAAATCCTGGTGCATGGCACGCCTGGAAGGCGCATCGCCGAACTGATGGTACCTCTGGCCCCGGCACTCCCATTAAAAGAGGGTCGCCTCAAGCCCGCTTACCCGGCGAGTGGAACTGGGAAGGCGTATGGGCAAAGAGGGTGCAGAGTGGTATACAGGCAAGCCAGTCTGATGCTGCGTTGTTCGCCAGTACTCCTCGAATGGAAACGGACTCTGTAAGTGATTGAAGCAGTTTTTAGTGATGTGACTTCGAACTAATGATGGTATCAGATACGATTTGTGAATTTTGATTCTTCAGTCCTGAGTAGTGTCAAAGAAAAGATGCTTGCGGGATTGAAAGATAAAAGTAGTGAATAAATGATGGTGTCTTCTGTTGTTGTCATTGAATAAATTATACCCCATTTTGTCGTGTTCTGTCTGCGACGCGGTTCCTTCCCTAGCAGGGCGCCTTCCTCATCTGCACATCTGCAATTGTCAAATGTTCTTCCGATCAAAATCTCAACTTCCAACTTCATCCTCGTATCATACCAGGACATCTCTTACAGTCTTCTGCCTCATCTACTGCTACTTGATTGCTCGCTCGAACGAAATATCCATGAAGGGCAACGTGAAGAAGACCTTCTTTACTCTAGCATTAATCCTAGTCCCTATTCTCCTCCTCCTATTCGTGGTCGCAACTGCCATCGCTTGCTTGTTATTCTGGGAGAGTCGCAGGGGGAACAATCGAAATCGCAACCGTCGCTGGCGTCGCTGTGCGATCTGGAATCGTGGCAGGACTGATTCGAGCAACAAGTCCAACAACACTGACACACCGAGGGTATCGGTCTCGACAAAAGCCACCGATACCACTGAGTCCGAACTCGAATATCAGAACCCAGTTCAAGGTCGAGAGCACGTTTAATTGACACTTCAAACTATCACTTTCTTTGATTCAATATACTTTTATACTAACTCGATCATGGATCTTTACCCGGCGCCTTTATCGCTTAATAAGAGAAAAAGTCTGCCCGCCGTGAGATTGGGAAATAGTCCTCAGAAACCTCTACTGATGTTCGGAAGAAGTACATCAGCTCGGGTATCAACTCGATCATCGTCCAGTGAATCAACTGTGTTGGTATCCAACAGCCCTCCTCAAATTACTGAGTGGCCGAATCTTGACGTGCCAAAGATCCGTCGAAGTAAGTCTCATGGAAGGCCGACCAGAAAAGAAGGTTCCAATGCAGCCCACCCCAAGAAGCGCGCCGGAAAAGTGCCTTCGACAGGTTCAATTCTCAAAGATGAAGACCAACTCCAAAGCAAGAGAGCAATCAAAACCGAGTCACAGAAGGAAGGCAAGATGTCTCAATTCCTTCACGCCTTAGATAAGAAACTCATCAAAGCTTCGGCCCGTGGATTTTCGAAACGATTAGCAAGCAACAATCGGTCACCTCAAATCGAGCATGCCATTTATTCGTCATTGAAGTATAACTTTGCTCCTCCAATATCTGTGGTGAATATGGATATGCATGTGGATGATACTCTGAGCGATTTCAAGAAAGCTGAAATCTATGCCCATATCACCATAACAGTCGACGTGAGCCTTGAAAGCGTACAATATATTCCATACAGTCTGGCCATCGCTGCTGTGATTTTGTTGAACATGACGTAAGTTAGACTTATCAGCTGTCGTCCCAGTAACATGATCACCTACTAATATTACCTCAGATCCGATAGAGAGATGATCAGAGTGACTGCCATGGCTCAGGCAATTTTGGGCAAACTGCAAGAAAACGACTCAGTCGTGGTAGCATGCGTGAACTTTGAAAGGAACGACTGCATCGATGTACTCTTTTCGACAAGAGGAAACTGTGATTTTGACCTTGCGACACTGTTGTCCAACTGTACGTCAGCTGGAAAAAAACTCATCAGCGGTGCTTTCCCAGATGATGAGCTTCTGAGTGTTGCTGTCGGCAACTCATTTCAACTGTTTGGCCAAAACAATCCTTCAGTACCGCATGTTTTTCTGGTATCATCCAATCACGATACGACATTGAACACTACATACAACGCTGATGTGGGATTGACGACGGTCAGCCTCGAAGACCATTACGATATCGGGTCTACTCCACGTCCGGGTTGGCATATTTACCCCGAACTGAATCTCGACCAAAGCTCTTCCTTTGACTTCCAACACAAGGTTGAGAAAGCTCTCTTTCATATTCGGTCCGGCTTTTGTTCAGGAAATATCACAGATCTGAACGTCAGATTTGCGCTTGCTTCTGGATGTGAAGTCCAGGTCTGTGGAAGGACGTCCATTGCTTCATTGCGTCCTGGAGAGACATGGAAGCTTTTAGTTTGCATCAAATTGGCTGGGGAACAGGGGTCGAACAGACTTGAGCGCGAAATCAAGTCTATTTTACATTACGGTGACTTCTCTGGTGCAGATGATGATCGAATGGGAAATATCCTTGTGGCAACACTACGGTCTAATCATTCGCTGCAACCGGGCTGCTCATTGAAAATGGTCAAGTCTTGCTCTATTGTGCATGAATGAAACTGATCGTTCAGGAATTTGTCAAAGAGGCATGCTTGCATATTGACACTGTCTATTCTTTGAAAGTATACATAGTATACATTTGCATATGTTTGTTCTCAGACTAGCTAGTCGAGATGTTCCCGCGCGCTCAACCAGTGATAGTTGTGTATATGTAAGGATTGGCATGCATCAAAGATCTTTTATCCAAATCCATCCTCATAATTGTCTCACAACTAATCAGTAGTCGTCTGATGGGGTCGCTTAATCCCCATCTTCTCCCACATCGGCTCTCCATCATCGTCAAACTCCGCCCACTGGAAAAACGAACACCCTTTACTTCCCGGCGAATAACCCGCATAACACATCCACATATACCGCCCTCTTGACCCTTGCTTGCGTTGCACACACCGTAATATCGTGGGCACATTACAACGACAACGCGGGATATTGCGTGGATGGAGGGATTCACGATACCATCGATACGTGATGTTGATTCGTTTGTTGCCGGCTATTGGGTGAGGGGAGATGGTGGACACTGAGGGGATGGAGTGTTTCCATTCTTCTTGCATTTCCGCATGCATTACGAGGAGGGAGTTATGCGGGAGATGTATCGAGATTTGGCCTTGGGCGTCGGCTATGGGATCTGGTAGGCGGCTTTTCTTTGAAGCTTCTTCGTCTTGTTGTTGTTGGCTATCTTCGCTAGCAGCAGTATCTCGCGCAACAACCTTTCGAACACGAAACTCCCTAGCAACCCCCAGACTCAAACTGCCAATAATAGCCCTCGGCCCCAAATACGTCGGCTGATCAGAGTGATATCCCACGCTTTTCTGCGGCCCATCGTAACAATTCACGAACGCCGCATTCGGCACCCACTCTTTGGGTGATTGATATTTCAATTTTTTGCCGTCTGGATAATGTGTTTTGATACGTTGCTGGACATGCTCGTTAACAGCCCTTTGCACTTTTCCAGATACAGCTTTCATCCTAGGCGAGAGTTTGCGGACGTCCTTTTGGTATACCCCGTTGTAGACGTATTGCTCTGTTTGCTGGCTCAGTTCGTAGTCTGTGGAAACGTATAGTTTGCTTGTATGTGGGCTCTGGACTGTTTTGTCAAATAACTGAAACGTGTCTGGTTGGAAAGTTTTGGCTTCTTCAAGCAACTCGACTAAGAGAGCGTTTGCATCTTCCGTGGGAAGAAAGTTGTGGATTATAGAGCATGGGGTGTGTTTTGCGATGTCATCCGGGGAGTAGAGGTAGAGTGTTTTGCCTCGTCTTGTGAGTGGTTTGGACCAGCCTGATGACGCTGCAGAGGATTTTGGTGATGTTGGTTGGAATGAGGAGAGAAGGGAGGTTTGTATGCCAGGTGTAGGGTTTGGCGTTTTTTCTCGCATTAAGTCCTGCCGCGCATCTAGACATGCAGATGCCGCTTCGACGCATCCTTCGTAGGATACTAGCACATCGAGCAATACGGCTTCATCTATATCTGGGAATAGAGATATTAATCGAGCGAGCTTCAACTCTGTAGGCTCCTCGTCATGTTGCCCTTTGTCATCCTTTTTATGCTCTTGTACTGGTTGATGTTTAGGTCTAACTACCTCGCGCTCAAGGTTGTGCTTTTGAGCATCGTAGTCAGCGTAAGTCTCAAAGAAGAGTCTCCGACGTTTGCGTGGTAGCTTTTCACCCATTTTCAAAGCTGACTGAGTGTATTGAAATCATTGCAGTTTGATGCTCTTGGTGCCTAGAAAGTCTGATTAGTAAGAATGATTACGTGATTACAGCTCAGGCAGAACGGTAACGTTCTGACCGCCCGGCTTACCTCGGTGTAAGCAACGGCGGGKCGGCATCACATTCAACTACTAGTCACTGTCACAGCTACAGAGCTCGCCGTCTTCTAGCCCAGTGCTACTGTATCTCGAGAGTCAGATTCATACCATTATGACGTGATAGTCTCAGCTTGTCAGTTCTCACGGACGTCGTCAAATGTCAATTCTTAGCCCGACAACCCTCTAAACGTTCAGCTCGGTCGACATCATGCTTCATTACCGCACCGAGGGCTTCAATGGGTCTGCCGTCAAATACTCCCCCTTCTACGACAATCGCCTAGCCGTCAGCGCATCGGCGAACTTTGGCTTGGTTGGAAATGGTCGCCTATACATCCTCGAATTAACCCCAAATGGCATTGTGCCTGCAAAAGTGTGAGTTATCTTGAAGCTTTCCCCGCGCGGTCTCTACCCCGCGGCTCCGCATTGGGTCAATGTTCATGTCTATCCAGTTACACCACACAAGACGCTCTATACGACCTCGCCTGGTCCGAAGTTCACGAGAACCAATGTCTTATCGCCTCCGGAGACGGAAGCATCAAATTATTCGACAGCTCTGTAAACGATTTCCCCGTGCAAGCATGGAAAGAACACAACCGCGAAGTCTTCTCCGTCCATTGGAACCTCGTCGCTAAAGAGAATTTCTGCTCGAGCAGTTGGGACGGCACTGTCAAGGTCTGGTCACCTCAACGACCGCAATCGCTTCTTACCCTACCAACGCATAGCTGCACGTACTCGGCCGCGTTCTCCCCTCATTCCCCGGATATTTTGTCCTGTGTGACGTCGGATTCGCACATTCGCATTTTCGATCTTCGCACTCCGGCCTCTGCGTCGAATCATTTGACTATGCAAATTCCGATACATGGTGGTGGCGGTTCAGCCATACCCGCACCTGGCCAAGTCGGACAGGCCCCCGGCGCTACTCCTCCCTCTGAATGCCTAACGCACGACTGGAACAAATATCGCTCCTCTGTTCTTGCTACCGCGGGTGTTGACCGTGTAGTCCGCACATTCGACATTCGAGCACCGCAACACGGTCCCATGGCTGTTATGCCGGGTCATGGCTATGCAGTCCGCAAATTGGCTTGGTCTCCACATCTTTCTGGTCTTCTTCTCACAGCTAGCTACGATATGACGTGCAGGGTATGGAACGATCGCGGTGATGCGCAGGCAGATGCAGACCCCATGCGCATGGGACCAACTGGCCCTATTCTGGGCGAGGAGTTGGGCTGTATGAATCAACATACCGAGTTTGTTACTGGTGTTGACTGGTGTCTGTTTGGTGCGGAGGGATGGTGTGCGACAGTTGGTTGGGACGAAAGTCTATACGTCTGGGATGTCAGGGCTTTTATGAAGCAATAGACAGTTTTGCTGATTGCAACATACAAAAGGCGTTGGTTCTTATTTGTTGATAGGGATGTCATTCTATTCTTGTGTATATCATTTTTGTGTTTGCATTGTCAGCATCAAATATCATTTCTTCATCGGTCTTATCAGTGAAGCTTCTATACGAAGAGAAACACACTCGCGGTCAGAATCTCATCAGCATGGCCCTCTGCTCATAAAGAGATACCAGGCCTGAGTAATCACTTCCCACCCAGTCGAGATTCGATCTTCTTTCTCTCCGCGTCTCTAATCGCCGCAACCTCCTCCCTCGTAGCATCATGAGCAACATTGACCCTATTAAACGGATTCTCATCACTCTTCTCAAACTCCTTCCTGCAAATCTCCACCCGCTGATTCTTCCTCAATCCCGGATGCTCCGCCTCAATCTCCGGCAGTCGTCTCGCCTCAAAAGCCGCATAGGCAGCCTTGAATCTCCTCTCCGGGTGTCGGTCAATCTTGGTATTGTTCCCGGACTCGGTCAGTTCGAGCGCATCGAGCGCGTTCTCGATACCAGACGCATTCAAAGTGGCTGCTTTACGGCTAGCAGGKGTGAGATCGCTGTCAAGCTGCGAAAGGTCGAGACCTCGTGACTTCTTTTGTGCGGTTTTGGCGCCTGCGCCTTTAGCTTTGGAAGGTTGGGAGGCTTCTTCTTCGGCTAGCAGGGCATCGCGCTCGGCTTTTTTGCGGGCTGCTTCGGCTTTTTTGGCTTCGGCTGATTCTCTGTATGAAAACAAGTACGTTAAATCATGGTCCTGTGTATGTTATCGCATGTAAGGATCGACTGACTTCTTAGCACTGGCACCCTTGGCTCCTTTTGACCATTCGGTATCCTCTTCAGCAGCGCGTTTGGAGTCTGCGACAGCCTGCTTTTGGGCGGCAGCCTCGGCTTTCTATTTAAAACAAGTTTTGTTAGATTCTATTCACATAGATCGACCCTGTCATCATGGATAGCTTTGTTCCTCTTCTGAACTCGACTGCACTACCATGGTCGATTGCGGGGAACCAAAAATGTGCGCGGGGAGGGGAAGAGGCTCGAATACTCACTCTGGCATTGCCAGCAGCCTTTTTGGAGTTTTCGCCAGCTGCTTTCTTCGGCATGTTGGATAAATACACCGGTATTGTAGTTAAAGAGTGGATAGTATCCAGTTGTAAGAATGTTTATGGATTGAAATACGGAAGTACGTATATTTTTGAACTTATCGATAAGCTTTCCGCCACTTACGGGTGCCTGAGGTCTCTACCCGGATCAGATCATCCATTGACTCATACACATGCGTATATGACTTTACTCTGCAATCATTCAAATGTTGTTTATCTGTACGGCTTCATTTCATATCGATAATGCTTCCAAAATTGTCAAGCTAACCCCACCAAAAACTGACACTGATACCTGCTTTAAGCCCGCGTACATAATGCCACCAGCCAACGGGAATGTACAGACATTCGCCCTCCTTCAAAACGGTCTCGACATAATCTGCCTCTAAGAATCCAGGCCATGTAGACTCCCAAAGCTCGTATTCGGCAGGCGACAGTTCGATAGCGGCTAGATCGACCTGGGATGTATTCGACATGTCGATGAGCTGGCCCTTTTCTACATTTGGATTTGCATTGATGTCGTCTTTGTTATCAGGTGAGGTGGATGTAATATCTTTAGAATTGACAGTCTCCATTCCTCGTGGATATATTCGTGACGCTGGGGTATGTGGCGAGTAGAGTCGAATATATTTCGCACCAACAACTTGCACGAGAATGTTATGGTAGGGATCGTGGTGTAGTGGCGAGATCGTCCAGGAGGGACCAATCCATGTATTTATGATCGGATCAGAGGCTATGCCTATCTCTGCTTCGTCATTTGACGCATTGTCTGCATGGTTCTGTCTCGATGAAAGATCCTGCGACACCTTCCCGTCTGATACCGTATCGGCATTGCTTCCAAAGCCAACATCCATTAGAGCGTCAGACTCATTTCTGGTCATCTCTGCCTGCCTTTCCCGCATCTTCTTCATGTACACAGGCGTCCCAGGCTCGGCTTTAGGAGGATCAATGTAGCAAAAATCAGGCACACTAATATCCTTCCGTAAAGCCGGGATTTGAGCCAGTAGATCATGTTGCGCCATATATCCAGTCTGATCTTCATCTTTCTGGGCTGCATCGTTCGTCGATGTCTTTGTACCTTCCTTGAGTCTCCAGAGAAAAGTATCGACAAATTCAGAGAAAGGAATAATCCGCTGTCCCCACCCTTCATCCGTGTAGGAGCGTCCTACTTCAACTGGAACAAGTCGTTCCCCTCCCAGCGTCTGTTCATACCAGTAGTCCTTGGATGACCAGGGTCTTTCACTTAGCGCAGGCCAGTGACCGACCGCATCAGTAATAACAAGTGGTGTACGCACATCCTGTATGTGGTTTTCCATTGCGTAGAAAGAAGGCGCTGAAACGCGAGGAATGGGTTTTGTTATCTCAGGCAATGGAGCTGATCCCGGTGGGAATAAAGGAACAGTCAATTTGCGTCGTTTTGTAGCGCGTTCGTCTTGTTCTTCATCAGGGTGTGATGAATGTTCTGAAGCCTTCTGGTTCGTGTGTCGCCAGTCCTTCAAGGCGGAAAACAAAGATTCGATCATCTCTTCTCGCCAAAGTGCACCGGCCATTATTAATGCCATATCCAGGTATCGCACCACAGACGCGAGCCAAGATGAGCTATCATCACGGCGACCACTTGCATGCCCAGATTGAATGTTTTTTCTGATCAAATGTACGGCCAACACAAGACTTGCATCTGTGTAGAGGCGACGCCAGCATAGTTTGACATCCTTGAATGGAAAAACTCGTAATTTCGCGTCTGCCTGGGCCAGAGCACCTTCTGGATCATCTCGAAGGGAAGATTGAAGCTTTGCTCTATCGTGCCCAGAACATTCCAGGATGGGGTCTTCAGGCTGGGGGTTGTCGATAGCTGACAATATGTCAGTCATGAGCGTTTCCATGGCTGTTGCCTTCAGGTATTGATGAAAGTTGATTACTCCCTTCGTAGCGGAAGTGATCGTCAAATAGATGGAAAATGAAAAGTGAGACTGGTTGGCATCTGGCCCAACAGCCTTTCCCCAACTCTTAATTTAATTATAGAGAGATGAATTCCTTCAAATGAGGTCCATGAGGGGCGAGCGTTGTGTGAAGTTGCGCAGGGAGAAAGGATAATTAATTTGAGCCTCTTCTGCAGACATAAGGATTTACCCGTCTAGCGTTAACGTCATGTAACGGAACAACATTGTCAGCGGTCTGCAGACAATAAAGTCACCACAAACAATGATTTTCTAAATGAAAACTTGGGCCATTTATTGGATTAGGTTCTCCAGCAACGAACCCGGTCTAGCCTTTTACGACTTCAAACGAATTAATTAGATTTTGAGGTCATGAGTCATTGTGCTGTAGTTTGACTCAGCCCCTTTAGCTTGAATGTTCAGGCCAGGCCACTTTTCTCCCTATCTGTAATCTTCGGTTTCATATATTCACAGGATTCGCCTTGAATTTTACATCCCCATAGCTCTGGTTCTCCAACAACGTTTGTTATATGTTACTGTGTCTTGATTCCCTCGCGTTCAACTCTTACGCATAGTTAAGACTGGCATCTATATCGTCTATCGTCGCTATAGTACACGACTTGTGTATAATCCACTGCTAGCTGCTTGTCTGAATCGCAACAATGATCAAGCTTCGGAAGGTCAGCCCTAGCGACTGGGAGCTCTGGAAAGAGCAGAGACTAGCCGCACTTAAGGAAGCACCATATGCGTTCCACTCAAAACTCGCGGAATGGGAGAATGTGCCAGACGAACGGTGGCGTGCCCGGCTCAGTATCCCTGACGCTTGCCAATTCCTTGCTTTTCTCGACGGTAAAGCTGTCGGCATGGTAGGGGGCCTTCCAACTGAGGATCCAGAGCTTGTGGAACTCGTATCTTTGTGGGTAGCTCCCGCAGCACGAGGCCATCGAGTCGGAGATATACTGATAGCTGCTGTGGAAGAATGGGCCCGAGGTATTGGCGCCGCTCGACTCAGGCTAGAAGTGGCAATACAAAATAGGCCAGCCCACAGCCTTTACGTGCGTAATGGGTTTGTTGATGTGGAACGTGAACATGATGAGTCGGGACTAGGCGGTGGGAGCTTTGACCAGGTTATGTTGAAGCAATTGCAGTAATATATCAATATATACATATAGATATTTACACAATGGGGAATCATCTCTCGCCGCACGTATCAAATTTGTGAGATTGTGCGTCCGGATCATGTCAGAAAATACATATGACCATTTATTATAGAGAGATCTTCTTAAGGTATAATGTGATAGCTCGCTGTACAGCAAAGAGTTGACATATTACTGGATAGGGCTCTTGACAAGCTTACTAGCCTAGGGCTGGGACCCTAGACGGCACTGCTCTGGGTGTAACCTCAGCGGTGCCAGATTGGGGAAGAGAACGCATGGAGGAATATATAAGGAGCTCGTAGCAAAACAGGATTCTGCTTCTTCTTTTCTTTTTCTCTCCTATGCTTATTATTCTCGTGTATGGGCACCTCATGTTTGTCTCTTTAGCTAAATCAATTCATCAAATCGGGCCTGTTCGTGGTCGATATATTTTTATTCATGAGAGAAGAATCTATTAGATTTTTTCTAGGGACTACTATGCTAGCCCCGCCTAATTCTCTCTATAAGGACCTATTCGAATAGAAAACGTAACATGAGGAAAAAAAAGAGAAAGAAAATAACAAGTTCTTCACCCGCACGCAATCTTACATAGGCAAGGGGAATTGGGAGCTTTCTGACAGGCTTTTCTCTTTGAATAGCTTCAAGTCCTCGGTTCTGTGATTTTTAGGGTTGCCGGGGATCAGCAGAGAGCGCTATTGTCAATATCCAGCCGGATATTGGGTATCCACTTGTGATCTGGGAATAGCTTCATGTTCGGGGTCGCCGAGTAATTGCGGGGAGCGTTATTGTCAACATCCGTGAGGGCTTCGCCCGAACATGCTCATGACGCCAGCTCATAACATTCCATGCCCCCAATTGCGCCATATTCGTCCTTGCGAGTATGGTGATGTTTTCTTCTGATCTACCGCTGAGATCGTTTTAGATTAAAGATTTTAGATAAGCCTACTAGTAAAAGTATATTTTGAAGAGTTGATGGAATAGAAGCACAGGTGGTAAAATTGTCTCTTGCCTGCCTTTTGAATGGACTGATTCATTCATAGTGTCTCCACCTGCAAGTCGAGGATACAACCCGTATTCACTCTAATATTGTGTATATCGTTGGTTCTATGCTGTGCAGTAACACAAGATTGAGAGGTCACAGAGCAAAACCACTGGTGAGGAAGGGGATTGGCGATATCAGTCCATGACAAGAAGCAGACAAGTCGAGAAAATGGTCTAGGTGAGCTGCGCGATTGCGTCAAGCTTGAGCATTTCAGCATATCAGCTCCCAGCGTGGCAATCCCGGAAAGTGAACCGATGCATTGTAAACTGATAAGTTTGATGAGACAGCGAATAGATCACTCAACTTTTTCTCTCAAGTTGGGCTCAAATTTGCCGATATAACTAGCCATGAGGGTGACAAACTTGTCATTGTTCTAATGACCTCGGAGAGCACGCAGAAATCTCGATTATCTCCTTGAAAGCTTGCCCCAGTAGGAATGTTACGCCCAATGATCATGGCTCTATAGTCCAAGGGTGTCGAAGAGATCAATCTCTATTCTTCAATAGGCCCAATCCCAGGAATCGTAAACAGCACCACTCAGCCATGGGCGTGCTCCGACTTAATCGTCGATGTTTCGGCCCGTAACATCCAAAGTGGACAAGTTGAGCCAGGATTCGTAACTTTAAGCTTATCTAGTGGAGGTAGTACTCTCTCAACTTCTGTAACAACGATTCTCGAAATGAAAAATTGGGAACAGGCAATGGATACGAATACGAATATCAGGACACGAAAAGAATTTCTTTTGAATTTATGCAATATTGTTACATGCTAATGATATACATGGAGCTTAAACGGTCAATGGCCTTCAAGGAAAGTCATTACGAGATTCGGAATCCCACTGACTCCCTCTGCCTTGATTGCACTCACTGGAACCACAGCAAGACGCTCTTTGAACGCGTCTTTGTGCCCGCTAGGATGCTCGACCAGCCCTTGCTGAACCTGCGACAGGTAGTCTCGAAGAGCAGCATAGTTCTCCTTGGTTTCTGTTAAATCAGCTTTGGTTGCGACGACGAACCATGGCTTCCTATAGATAGGTGGCAAGACCAGCTGTGGAAGAGGGTCTTGAGGATTCGTGGGTGTCCATCTTCTGTTGGCGGACTCTGACTCTATTTCTGCGTTACGCATTTTATCATACTCGCCCAGCTCGTGCCAAAGTTTCTGCAGCGTTTTGACTGGATCTGCAGAACTGAGATCAACAACAAAGCCGAGAATGCCAGCGCGCTCAATGTGTCGCAGGAAGCCCAGTCCAAGGCCTCTATCCAAATGCGCATCCTCAACCAAACCGGGGATATCAGCTATCGTGAAGTTTGTGCGAGGACTCTTCTTATTCGAGGATTCGACCTTCGGTCTTCCTTTGAAGTCATCCAAGACTACTGTACCGATATTGGGAGATAAAGTGGTGAACTCCCAGTTTCCGATTCTCGTACGACTATTCGTTAAAGAACGGAGCAGAGTGCTTTTCCCTGCATTGGGAAACCCCACTAAACCAACATCGGCTAACAGTTTGAGCTCAAACTCAAGATGTAGGGTCATGCCTCCTTCGCCTTTCGTTGCGAATTTAGGTCGTCCCATATTGCGCGCCACAAAGTGAGGATTACCAAATCCGCCAACCGCGCCTGCAGCCAGAAGCTTCGGCTGCTCCATATGCTGTGACAAGTCTAGGTGGATGGGGGCCGGGGGCTCCAGCGCAGCAAGATTGGACCTTCGCGGCGGACCAAGTGTCGGAAAGGTTGTGGTCAGGAAGTCAGAGGGTAGCGAACCAGGATAGAGCACGAAACGGTCGCGATTCGCTACATACATTCCCATGGCCTGCTCTTCCCTGGGTAAAGTGCCCTTCAAGGTCTTGTATTTGTGTTCTTCCTCTTCAACGGGATCATATCTGGACACTTCGCGAACGACAGTCCCCACCGGCACCTGTATCAACACATCATGACCTCGTTTTCCACCCCTACTCTTTCCCTGACCATTCTTTCCGTTCCCGGCTCGGATGGTACCTTGTCGCGCAAGCTTGTGTAGACTTGTCAAGCCGTCGATGGCTTGAATGTATATGCTTCCACCGCTGCCCCCGTCACCGCCGTTGGGTGGACCTTCTTCAATGTACTTTTCTCGAAGAAAAGCTACGCACCCATTGCCCCCGGAACCGGTAACCACTTTCGCAGTGCATTTATCCTGGAAGATGAATCGCGAGTAGTCAGATGGCGGAGGATTGAGGTGGGAAAGGTCTGACCCTGTATCATCGGCGGGATTCTGTTCAATCGGTATACGATGTGTCGATGCAGATTGCCATCGTCGGCTGGTTCGTAGGAGGCTCTCTGCTGCCTTGATCGTTGTACGTTTGGTGCAGGCGGTTGCGTTCAGGAAAGGATAGAGGAAGGGCAGCATGACGGTGGTAGTTTTGGACATCGTGCAGCTTTTGAAAAAAAGGAGAGACATGCGATTAGATCATCGCAGCTAGGCAGGGCTGATCGGAATGCATACTTGATGCTGCGATGTTTTATGATGGTTTCTAGTTATCTCTGAACATCTTTGCAGGTCGTCGCAAATATTGCTCTTGGCAGCTTTATCTCCACGTGACTATTCTTTACGATCACGTGACCCATCTCCATCCAAATTGGGTTGCAGCCCTTGAACTTCCTCCTAATTTCAACTGTCCATTCGTGTATCGTGAAGATGTCACCGTCAGCCGTCAGCGGTTGACTGCAGCTTTAACTTTGACTAATCAAAAGTTTCCATTGAGTCGAGAAATTATTGCACTGATTAGCGCCCCCCCCCCCAACTCGCTCGCTGCCTTGCATACAGGTCACAATTTCGTCTCGATCTTGACGACCACTTTTGACCGATACGTAATAGTCGAAGATATTCGCAACAAAGACTCTGGTTCTGTTTATTAAACTACACATTTTGGCGCCGGCGTACTTCGGATCAATGGTGTTGAGCACGCATTAGCCAAGTTTGCGCTGATGATTCCAATCTCATCACACTACTAGGCAGGGTTCTCAAATTATTTCAACTTTCAAGACTGTTTTAATATATGGACTGACCAATCATGCTACAAATATAGTCTACACTGGGTGCCTGGATGCGAAAGTAACTGCTTGTTTCAGACATCCAGGAAAAACTGCCCGAGAGTCCGAGACAACAATCTGACGGTCTTGACTCACCGCCTATAACGAAACTCACGGCTGAAGTCTGGAATGTACCGTTGATGTCATCGACCCGCTTGATAGAAAGTCCTTCAAAAAGTGTCACTCTCGACCTGGATAGGGGCAAACCCATACGTTCGGTCACCGTCTGTACTCTGTAGATCCAAGCCTGGAAGTTCCATCATTCCATAATACCGAGCTCTATACCGGCAGGTGGATGGCCACATGACTCTTGACAGACAAGAGTACGCCGTAAAAATTGTATTAATTCGACGGATCATAAACGAACGCTGGCTAATGTGGCTATCGGCGAGATTTCTATCGGGTATTGGCCAATTGGAAGCGACACTAACAAAACGCCAAACCAGAATGATGGAATTGGCTAAAGCAGTGGCTTTAGTGGGTATTAGTGGGCTCCAGTGGGACGCCAGAAATCCAATTTTTTGGGAAGGTGAATTATTTTAGTTTAATATAAATTGATCAGATCTGGGCTCGGCAGGGGCGCGACGCGGCTCAGTTTTTCTTGGGGTGCTTTTGTCTTTTGAATTCGGTTTGGCTTTGGCTGCAGATGCCGGTACTTGCCTAGGTAGGTGTTTACATACGTTCGTAATTTCGTATTCAATTTCAGTCACATGGATGTGAAGCATATTGAGGGTTTTCGCGCGAACCAACACGATATCATCAGCTCATTCTGAATGCATCATACAATCTGTTTCATAGTCAAACAAAGCGTGAAACCACCTCCATCGACAACTAATGAGATAAGTACTTGACTAATCCGTACAGTACTCGACAGCACGATAAGCGCTAAGCAGAAAAGTTTGATCAACTACCGAAGCATCCTTGCAAGCCGAGTGGCGATATGTACAACCTTCACATCAAAGAAAGTTCGACTTTACTTGTCGAATTTGTCTTCGTCTGAATTACAGCCCCTGTCAGGTACGGAGTCGCCTAGTAAGGCGCTCTAATCTGGAATTCCGGAAGTTTAAGCAGCGCTAGTGTGCTGACTGTATGGCAGACGCGGTTTGACTGAATTCCTAGTGTGGTAATGATGTCTGTTGACGGATTGTTGGTTATGACAGCAATAAAGACAGAAAGACAACAACATTTGCTAAATGGTAGAGACGAGCTCCATGTCATTGACTTCCCAGAGACAACAGGTACGTAGTAGAATCCGTCTCGTCGAGCTCGAAACTTGGAACAGTCCCACTTCCGGAAGCAATCCGGCCCTGCCGTACCGGCGTATCGTGTTCCAGGGTTACGGCTCGGCCGGACTGGACACTAAGTATCTTAGTCACTGCAGTATTAAGTACCCAGTTAGTACGTTACGGATAAATACAAGTCAACGTCCAACATTCGCACTAGGTAAAGGAGTACGTACGTATTCGGTATACGTAGTACAAGCGATTCGTACTATGTACGATAACCCAGGGCTGAAAGCCTATTTGCCCGGGGAATCGTGACCCCAGGACCCGGGCAGCCGTTACCCATCGCCTCAACTTGGCATTAGGCTCTTGCTATTGTTGAGTGCAACTATAGCTGTTTGAATAAATGGTGGAAATTTTTGAAATGGATGGGTGAAGCAGCGGTTATATTGAGTATGCATAGTATTTACAATTGTCCAATCTGATCTACTTTGGCATCTGCATCTGCCTGCAGGGCGATTTTAGATGGGTTTGTTACAACATATTACACGCTAACCAGATACAGCATTAAATTCTTCATTAAGACTAGCTTAGCTTCGTATTCTATGAGTATATTTGTCTATTCAAACAATCAGCTGCGTTTCAAGTATAAATTACTCGATCCAGTAATACATAAAAACAAGCCTAAGACAAGACAAGGGTGTACTTACTATTCGTAGATATCATTAAGTTTAGAAGGATCACCACTCAAAACCTTCCTTGAAGCACGTTTTCCTTCATCCCCAATCATCAATACGTAGCCAGTCATTATCAAAAGCCAAGAAACCGTTGACCTGTAACCAAAGTGTCGGTGTACAACCACTGGAGTATATCTGATGATAAGTTAAGGATCGACAGATAGATAGCTGGAGTGGGATATAGCAGTCAGGTAAGAGCTGACGAAAGGCAATCGGTGATATAATGGTGTATATTAAGCCCAGTTCGATGCTGCAGCCTGCGAGTAATGCATAAATAATGTGCTGGATCATGTGGTTTGTGACCTGGCGCATATCAATTGAAACTTGTGCTACTATGTAGTTATTAGAATTCAGTACATTTGATTGGCTTTCTGTTTGTACTTCTGCTTCTACAAAATGGGCAATCGTGATTCTTTCAAGAAACACGAGATATCTTCGTTATCCATCAGAAACTTGTTAAACAAGTCATCAAAGCTACTCAGGCCACCCACTTGGATTGACAGGGACAGTCGCACAGCATTCAATGACAGAAGCAAATCCTGCAATCCAGATATGTCATCTGACGATGACTCGTGATCTGAATCGGAGCAAAGGAGATCATGGCCCTTGCGGGCATTCATGATTCTTCCGGTATTCGGCTTTTGCATCCAAAAATAAGCAGGGATCCATGCCATGTGTTTCCTGCCGACACGTTGAACGTACAGAAACACAGCCACAAGTCGGGAGTTTTCTCGTTTCTGATTTGCTTTTTCCTTGAGCCTTATTCTGTACTCCGTTTGGTGACGTATACGTAGTAAATTTGAAGCGGTGTAATCTGTTTTTCAGGCGTCCCGGAGGATGACCCGGTTTATACGGAGAACAATGCATCATGTCGTGAGTGAAACTGTTCTCCCCAATGCCAACCTTGTCAGCCTCGAAGGAATGCGTTGTCACGCTCACATGACGATGGATGACGATAAAAGGGAAGGCTCGCCGTGTTTACGCGGAAAATACTGGTCCGATTTGAAATGTCACATTTTTGACAGATGAGCCGCCAGCGCAGATATTCGGTGTTTCGATATCACCAGAAAAAAAAAGAGTTGCGCGATGGGGCGACGCAAAATGTGATTGACTTTGCAGCCTCGAGACTACGCAAGTCAATTTTCATGTTGACTGCAGAACATACACATCAATCCTCATGATAAATATTGGGTATCAAAGTCATCACCGCCTGCAAACAACGTCACTATCCAATAAGATGTATTGAACTCTAAAATATATGCAATCTCCAATACGTCGTTTCATTCGAATTATGCATGTATCAAGAACTAAACTTAAGACTAATGCAAACATGGCTGCACAGAGCCATAGTATTTGCGTTTCGATGCAGATATCAGAATGATCATCTATATCGCAGTACGGTGTAAATGCAGCTACGTGGTTCTAATAATCTCAGCCTTGAGGTCAGCTTCGATAGTTATAATTGGTCGTCATAATGCATGATAAAGCGTTGGTCCGGATTGTCGGAACATCAAGTAGCCCAAACAGGATAAAGGCAGGGCTATCTGCACTGTCACCCTAGCAGCGCGCGCGATACGCGTATTTTATGGTGTACTTCGTACTGTAACTGAAATCCGGTAAGGTAAATACGAAAAACCCGGAAATACGTACGTCTATGGTGGAGCCGTCTGTCCACACCGCTGTTGCACCCAGAAAACCAACAACAGGAAAGTCAAACAGATGCCGACTCCTCAAATCGATAGTGGATAAGGTAAGACTAATATTCGATCTGTTTCACAATTTCCCATCATCTGATGTCACAGGATTTTCTGATCTCTGAGTGGATACACCAAGTTATTAACCCACCCCCCCAAGTACGTACATACGTAGTCGGACCACGTAACCCTAAGGCTCTATTCGTATGCTTTGAAACAATGGTTACTCGACTTACACGAGTAACACGGAAATGTCAACAATGGTGAGCCAAGCAATGAAAGAAACATGGATGTCGCCGTTCTTCCGAGTGAGCCCTAACCCGGGTGCTTTCCGAATTGCTTTTTTCTTTGGAATATGGTACACCCTGGTCTTAGTGAGGCGATAGCGGTGGTACTAAGTACTCCATAGATGAATACGGGATGGGTAGCGAGATGATTACTTTTTCCTTAGCCTTCTTCCACCTTGGAAGAAAAAGGAATCACGGTGTTAGTTTGTTGAATGATTTCCTGGCTGGTAGTCACGAGCATTGAGATATGGCAACTTCAGCATTGTACTAAGATCACGGCCGACTCGACTCGATGACTCGGCATGGTGCTTCGTATCTTTATCTTTACTCTCGATCCAGAATGAATCTTGAATCTGATCTTAGTCTTCTAAGATAATTGGCCAGGAAGCTCGGATCCCCATCCCATTGGCGCGGGGTCACGTGAGCCTCTAGTTCCTGGGCAAGCCTGACCGGCCAGTCACAGCGCCAGGAACCGCCAACCGGAATTCCGCGCAGCCAAGGACCTTTCGTTTACTCATACTACTTTGTAAGTTAGTCTCCTGCCATCTCCGTTCATTGACATTAATTATTCCGTCCATCACTCTCCGGAGTTGCTTATCCGAGCAAGCCCTCCAAGCGACATGCTGATCGTACTATGCACGTACTAAAAGTAATCGCACTCCGTAACGATCAGGAAATGCTTTCCAAATCGACCGAAGCCCACGTCCATTATGCTTATGACATATCTCATGACAAGGGCACCCATTGCAGGACAATTCTCCTCCTTGTCGATCTCGATTTGTTGGTCCTCACCGCATATTCTCCGCCGCCGCTGCTGCTGCTGCTCCATCAAAGAAGATTATTGTTTGTTTGTCAACGGTTTCTGTTGTGTATGTATGTATGTTGCATGCACGGGTATTAACCTATATTTGATAGCATTCCATGTTCGGGCAACTTATGATTCGCATTTGTTTGTATGCCGCCCCTAGGGCCTACGTAGTCGCACATGCAAAGTCTAAACTGATGAATACTACGTACTGATCTCCATATTTCATTAAATCATCGCTGGATCGTACACTCTGTCTGTAACAACTAGACTACCCAGTTGAAGTTTGATCACAAACATACCGACGAGTCGAGGATCCCAACAGAGTGGAGTCCGCTCCACGGAGATTTTTCACCAATTCCTTATCCAATCTAGCGCCAACTCAAGTCCTTCTCCCTAGGAGTTAAGAGAGGAAAAAGAAAACAAAAATACTTAATTTAGCTTCTGCCCGCAACCGGTGTCCTGGGTTAACATCCTAGTGCACTCAGGGTATCCACCAGTACAGACAGCGAATCACATCGTCGAGGCGCCACTTTTGGTGTTTTTTTCTTCATTTGGAGGGGGGTTTTTTTTTACCTGCCTTGAAATTTCCATAATTCGCAGTGATCCCCGGTGCCCGAGGTTCAGGTACATGGATCACCCGGCTGAGTTAGTTAGCTGGCCTAGGACGTGGACTGTTTTTTTGCTCTTGGTTTTGCTTCTTTGTCTTTTCTTTTCTTTCCGTCAAAACTGGCCCCTCTTTGAAGTTTGAACCCCCTTTTGAATGCTTTCTGTGGTGGACTCTGTTGAGTGCTTGTTTTCCAGATCGGTCAAAAAATTTTATCTTGCTGCCCGTTCTATGCAGGGTTCCTGTACAACTGACGTATGCACTGTTTATGTACACCAATATGTATTGATGTTTTACGGACTGCGTTCGGACCACTGCTTGAATACATACATACACCCAGCCTTGCATCATATACTCAAGTAATCCGCTCAACATCGGGAGGCCCAAGATTACCTTCCTAACTTCCCCTGCCGATGTCACTTGATGTAGGCGGAATTGGGTGGGCTGGTCAGGGACAAAATAGTTAGACTTTTTTTGAAGCTTCAAATCCTTTCCCGATGGGTGCCACCGCCTTTGCCGCGTCGTGGAACAACATCTAACACGAATTGTAACTGTAGGAAGTTCTGTACATTAAACAGCAAATAATAAGTCCATACTCAAACAGTAAGTATGTTAGCAATCCGTTTGCGGCTAAATTAACCCCCCTTTCTTACCCAAGTCATTTGCCTCACCCTTGTTCAACAACCGACGAACAAGATCGTCTAATAGAGACAAAAGGAGACAGCCCGGAGCCACTTTTTTTTGCCTTGTATTCTTAGTTCTCCCCACAACTGGCTAACTCAATCATTCCAATGTGGATCTCTTATTTTTCGAAGCTGTTACTCCGTCTTCCGTGAGAGTCTAGTGTGCCCTAGTACATGGCTAGCTTGTTACCTGTCATGTCACCGATTGTACGTACCGTACCACCTTACCGATACATAACATCAGTCAAATCAGTCAGTCCATCACCCTTAACTAGCGCCAGTCATAAACCAGATGCGTAATATAGCATTATTAGATGGATCTGAGAATGACTGCTTGGAGTGGAAAGTTTAAATTTGGGCCCCCTTCCTCGCCCAAATGCCTGATCTTTCTGGAATGATGCTTATTTCTGCTTCTCCATGGTTAGCTGTAAGAGACATTGAATTTAGCTATTTATCTACCTTCCTTCCTTCTTCGCTACTCAAGTCTCACCACTCCTTCCTTTCTTGCGAGCTCACCTTCCTCTGTCTTACTCTACAACCCTGACAGTCATTACTTCTTGACTTCACTCTTATCAACGTCTGAATAACAAGGACTACTCTCAGGATAGAGCCTGTCGGTGGTGGCTCGCAATTGCGACTCTTCGATGAATTGATGCCAACGATTTTCACTTGCTTCTAGTGTTCTAGCGGTGTTACCTTACATCGACTTTTCTTTGCCTCGACCTTCAAACACATTCTCAACATGTTGGCTCAACGGCACAGGCTCCCCTTCATTGCTCTGGGCAAACGATGGCGGCAAAAACTATTCCACTCTAAGAACAGCGGCGACGATGTACCTTTTCCATGGCAGCAATTTACCGTTCTAGGTATGTTTATTTAATGTTATTTCTGTCCAGCATAAAAATTGACTTTCCCAGCACTTGTGCGTATATGTGAACCCATTGCATTCATGTCGGTATTTCCCTACGCCTACTACATGGTGGAATCATTCCATGTAGCCGAAAGTGAGGAGAAAATTGCCCTCTTTGTTGGCATGATTACATCTGCTTTTACCTTTGCCGAATTCAGCAGCGGAGTCTTCTGGGGTCGTCTAAGTGACAAAATCGGCCGCAAGCCTGTTCTCATTATGGGTTTGATTGGAACCGCTATTAGCATGTTGGTTTTCGGATTTGCGCCTAATTTTCCAACGGCCATGGTGGCTCGAGCCTTGGGTGGATTACTAAATGGGAACATTGGTGTCTTACAGACAACAGTCGCGGAATTAGTAACGTCCAAAGAGCAGCAACCCCGTGCATACTCGATTATGCCTTTTATTTGGTGTCTCGGCTCGATCATTGGTCCGTACCTAGGCGGTGCCCTGGCTAGACCGGTCATCAGCTATCCGGGGATTTTCAAGGCAGGGACCGTATTCGATCGATTCCCCTTTCTGCTTCCCAACCTAGTTTGCATTGGCATTCTCATTGTGGGAATCATTATCGGAACTCTTTTCCTGGAAGAAACCCACGCCGATAAGAAACATCGCAGGGACCGTGGAGTTGAATTGGGCCGCTGGCTGTTGGGCAGATTTTCAAGCCATCATGAAGAGCTTGCTGAACCAATGGAAATCAAGACAGCATTGATCAACGAAATGGAAAGTGACGAAGTGTATGAAGACCAACCACCCGAGTACAGAAGCAGGGAACCATCTCCTCGCTCATCCTCGATCGGCAACGTTCGGCCTCAGGGAATCGATGTTGACCTCGAAGAGCCAAACAGAAGCCGCCGCGTTGGTTTCAAGAACGCTTTGACAAAGCCCGTTGTCTGTGTTATTGCTGGATATGGCATTTTGGCTTAGTAAGTTCAATGTGACACGGTTGGCTCTCGAATATTGTGTAACTAACGATCATTACAGTCATAGCGTATCCTTCGACCAGTTGATGCCTATTTTCTTGAGTACGCCCCCATCTCAAGCGGAAATCGAGTTGCCCTTCAAATTCACTGGTGGCCTGGCCCTTTCGACAAAGACCATTGGCTATATGCTTGCTGTCCAGGGCTTCTACTCTCTGTTCGCACAACTCTTCCTTTTCCCTTTCTTGGTCAATCGACTTGGAGCGCTCCGGACTCTTCGATTGGCTCTGTTCATCTGGCCACCTATTTACTTCGCCGTCCCTTACCTTATTTTACTGCCGTCGGCCTTACAGATACCAGTTGCGTACGTGGCCCTGCTCAGCAAAATTACGCTACACGTTATTTGCTTCCCCGCAGTAGCTTTACTGCTCGCCAATACAATCCCTTCCAAAAACGTCATGGGATCGATCAACGGATTAGCTTCATCGGTGGCTAGCTTGAGCCGGGCTCTCGGCCCGTCAATCACCGGCCTGTTACATTCGCTGGGACTGCGCAGTGGATATTCAATCATCGCATGGTGGGCACTGGGAATCGTCTGTGTGGTTGGCGCTACCGAAAGTCTCTTCATGGAGGAAACCGACAAGAAAAAACCCGAACATAACGCCGAAACAGAAAACACGAACGAACATACGACAAGACTATGCCCGGAAGCGCTAGTGGTATCGGACGAAGCCAGTCTCCTTCCAAACATATTGGCAAGCTCCGAGATCTCAGATCCAGTTGAGATAACCCTTGACGATAAACCGGAAAAACACTGAAATGAATGAAATGACAACGATCCATTTTCTTGCATCTACCTTGCTTCGATCATACATTCATGCATGCTATATACATTCATGCATGCTAGTCGGGCTATTTTTGAACATTGGTTTCCTCTTCGGGCAACTTTACTTGCGATTTTATTTCATCATTTACATCAGTACTGTTCTGGTAACGGTATCGATTGGTTTGTTCCACGGAGAACACGTTTTCGGATTACAGCATTTTAATATATTTTTGGCGATTTGGACATTGAGCAGTTGGATATTTGACATTTTACGGGCATAGCATACAATTCAGCGACAGGACGGACACAGACAAAAAAAAAAAAAAAAAMAAACCCCAGGAACAAAAAAATGGGAATTTTATTATGGCAACACAATACGCACTCATGAAAGAATGGATGGTCCTTTTTTTATTGCATTACACTAAAATACCTGGGAGGCATTTTCGAGAAAAGTTTAGCGAGTCATTTGATATATCCATGTTTGATAGAACAGTTTTCATTCGGACTGAATAGATACCTTTATTCTTTATTACTCAAGACCACGTATGCTAGATTTAACTACAACGTTATGGTACGACAGTACCTATTCTTTGCTACATAGGTGATGTTTAGAGTTGCACAACTCATTGTTGAATGACCTCGAGGTGTCGGGGATATTGTCGGATTGTAACAGGCCAGTTCTGAATTCGACCATGACACACACACACACATACACACCAAGAGGCAGGGGTAGTCAAAGTCAAAGTCAAAAGTCAAAGTTTGATACCACGTAAACGTTCTGATTGTTTTGACCAGGGGGGATATCCTGGCTGTCTACACCGCCAGGTTTCGAGACAGTTGATCGTTTATCATTATGATCATACGTTACTGTACGATTATACGCACACATTACCTGCCAATTTAGGAAAGTAGCTTTCAGCCCTACCTATCCAGGTCGAGAAAAGGGGAAGGATTAGACCTGGCTCCAGTAAATAGGGGGTTTGTCTCCGACCGAAAATAGCCGGGGTACAGCACTCAACATCCATCTGACAACTATAATAGCCGGCGCACAACCAATTCTACAAAGAGGCGGAGAGATCGGGATGGATTACTATTTGAGGATGAGAAAGTAAAGAAGAGGGAAAAAAAGTAGACTGCATACATACATGCATCAGTACTAGGTACATATGACACAAGACTCTTTTCCTTTGCTGACAAGTACCGTGTACGTAAGGATTCTGTTCAGGACTGACTGCGGCGTGTGTTGGCACGGGTATGTACGTACGTACCCTTCTCGAACTCTCCTGTCAAAAGTTTATGCTTGAAATGAATGATTACGCACATGAATGTATGTGGATGATTTCGTACATCAAGTATATTGTCGGCGGTGAGAGTCGGTTGCGGTGATCATACCTGTTGTCCTACCCAAGAATTGATATGGGTGCCCTAATCAGTAGCCCTAACTCTCTCTCCTTTTGGGGCTGCAGCGGGAAGGTGCTGCTGCATACGTAATTTCTTCGCCGCCAAACACATGTTCTGTCATCAAATACATTAATGGATGCATCAAATGCATTAACGGATGCTAATACCACCTCATTATACTTGACTTAGGCCGCACGACCACATATCATCTCGGGAGAATCAATCGTATTGTGTCCGGGTCTAAACCAGTGCATCTTCCTTGCACAATGTATAGTTGCGAGGTTTGTAATTCTTTTCGAGTCATGCGTTTTCTTAGCCTCATTTCTGTGGCAGACATGCATGTTGTTAGTAATTTCCATTAGTCAAACTGCTCAGGCTGCGATCAGGCACCCAGATGACACGTGAGATGATTGATGATGTCAATGTTGGTGCTATTAGAAGCTTGCTTCTCTCCAATCTCGCAATCGCGCTGGATGGGAATTTTAAAATGACACTTCAAGGGGTCTACACTGATCGATATTTAGATATTGAGGATGATAGATATGGTAATGCCATATCCATACAGAATTGACCGCGCTTACAGCGGCTGTCGAGAGAAGTATGTTTCTTCTCGTTTAGCTGAGAGGAGATCTCCCAGTCAGAGATCTCAAAGACATGCCGTTCAATTTCAGTGTGTTCCCAGACAGCACAAACCCATTGTCTACCTACCTCGAGTCCGCTCAAGATGGTGGTGGTACGAACTCAGCAAAAAAATAAGCCGTGCCTTTTTTGCTTTTCTGGAGAGATTATACACGCTAGTCCTATTCAGGACTAAGATGTCCGCTCACCTGTTATCTACAGCCAATCAAGGCTTGTGCTGGCTACAGATTCGATCTGCTCCTTCCTTCCTGAGATCCTCGGCAAGGCTGAGAATGATCTCAGATATCAATCCTGCTTCATGCCTCTCCGTCAATCATTCCCTTCTTTCTCAACTCTTCATCCTTTGCCGACGTACGATTATCCGATCAAAAATTCACTTCTGTTGATTCCGCTCGTGTCAGTGCAAGTTATAGTTCAGCCTGCTTATCGCTCTTCCGAATCCTCCGCGCCGGTATTGGACAGCGGGCCCAACACAACCCCACCGTAAAATCTACCAGTGCAATAGGCTCACTCTTCTGCCGCTTTATCTAAGTTATACAAGTCGACCTGTTGACAAATCGTCACTTGCGAATATCATTCTCGCGAGGCAGGAATAACCACTGTACTAGACTCTAGTCAGCCCTAAGCCACGCACACAAGGCTCGGTGACCGTGTCTTTGGACCGTGCTGAATCATCAACCTATGCGCAACTCATTCGCACGGATTCGAGCGTCATGGATGTTGCCAACAACCATTGAATTGTGATTGTTTGTACAGAACACGTGGAGGACAGGGGGCCGGGCTCGCTTTGAACGATATCGCCCCTCGCTAATGTCTAAGTATGCTGAATCCGCCTCCACGATCCGGCACATCACCTGGATCAACAGGAATCAAAAGATCACGATCACCCGATGAATCCTCTACTATACCGTTACACCCCCCTGCCGGTCAACGCGAAAACAAGCCCGCCACCGCAATGACCGCTCCTAGCGGCCAAACGACAACCAGCGTGCCGGCCTCGTCCTTTCGCAACGTTTCAGCCTGTAATCGCTGTCGCTTGCGCAAAAACAGATGCGATCAACGTCTCCCTCGATGTCAAACATGTGAAAAGGCGGATGCGAAGTGCGTTGGCTTTGATCCAATTACGAAACGTGAAATACCTCGCAGTTATGTTTTCTTTCTGGAAGCGCGTGTGACATATCTCGAACGGTTGCTGCTCAAGAATGGCATCGAATTCAAGCCCTCTTCTGCGTTTGACGGGGAGATGGAAGTGCGCGGTACAAATCAGGTTTCCGAAGATACAGAGACTACCGCGACAAAGGACGCCAAAAAGGAATCTAAAAAGAACGAAAAGCCGCTGGAGGAAAAGAAGGATAGTAAACAGCGCGATGCAGCCAACAGGAACCATGATCCAGATTCTAAAGAACACTTGGATCAGCTAGTGTCCAATATCGGGATGGTCTCCGTACAGGCCATGTCTGATTCTCGTTATCTCGGCTCTACATCTGGCATTTCCTTCGCAAGACTTGTCTTTGCGGCTGTGAAAAGCTCAGTCAACACGAGCGGTTCTGAGCCTGGTTCAGCGCGACTGACCGAGCGCAAGTCATCAAACAGCACCGGCAGTACGATACGAGAAACCTTCTTCGGCCTTCAATCACGTCCATTGATGAAACAAGCAGCATTTCCTGATCGCGAACTTGCTGACAGACTTGTAAGCTTGTATTTCGAACATGCGAACCCACAGATGCCCATCTTACATCGCGGCGACTTTTTAGAGCTCGTAAGTAGAGTCTACGAAATGGAGGAATCTGCAAGGCTGTCACGCGATATGTACTTGTTGAATATTGTCTTTGCTATCGGTGCTGGCATAATTTTTGAAGGGAGAAGAAAATCATCGGACGATGAAGAGGAAGAGTCCTCCCCTTCGCACTCCTCTAAGAAACAGAAACTTTCAGGAGTCCAATTCCAGCCGGAAGAATACCATGCGGCTGCAGTGGTACATTGGGAGGCATTTTTAAGCGCTTCACCCATGTCTGACTCTTCCGGAGGAGGCCTGGATGAGTTGCAAGCATATCTTTTATTGGCCAGCTTTGCGCTTTTGAGGCCAGTTGCCCCAGGACTGTGGTATATCGTGGGTGTTGCTGTTCGTCTTGCTATTGATCTTGGCCTCCATCACGAAGATGGCACTGGCATAGACTCGATTGGAGAGGATGATGTCTTGCCTGCGAACCAACCAGCTCACCCAGAACGGGGTCGGCTTCAATACATTCGAGATCATCGCAGACGACTTTGGTGGTGTGTTTACAGCTTCGATCGACTTGTCAGTACTTGTGTCGGTCGTCCATTTGGAATCACAGACCAAGTCATAACCACCGAGTTCCATTCTCTTCTCGATGACCGCTATATCACAAAATCCGGTTTCCGTCCACCAAAGGGCGACGTACCGAGCTACAAACGAGTTTCCTACCACTATCTAAGGCTACGACTTTTGCAGTCAGAAATTCAGCAAGTCTTACAATATCAACAAGCGCGGTTTGTGCGTCGGTCTGGCAAGAATAGCTCAAACCATTCAATGCATACCAAACTCCAGTCTCCATTCCTTGAACGATTTGACTCATTCCGTTCATGGCGAAGGGATGTGCATCGCCGCTTGTTGGACTGGAAGGATTCATCACCCACGAAACAAGATACTGGGGTGCAATTTTCCATTGAACTTTTCGAGTTGAATTACTACCAAGCTTTGATCATGCTGTATAGACAGACACTCACCGTGCCTGCAGCTTTGGCAGGCGATCTCCATCCGACAGAGGATGTTTCTAGTCCACCGTCTTTTGATCTGGATGATCGAGAAGACGAGGACGATATATATCTTCAAATTGCCGAAGCTGGTCAGAAAGTTATCAAAATATATCGCCAATTGCATCGGGTCAGGTTGGTGAATTATACGTATATGACGACGCATCATCTCTTCATGGCCGGTAAGTTCATATTCTGCAGATACAGCGACTATGGACCGGTTCTAATTTTCATACAGGTATTTCATTCCTCTTCGCAATCTGGCACTCGCCTGTTGTGCGCAGTCGTTTGGTAAGAGATTCTTTGTAACAAGTACCGAGCCCGAGCATACTTGCTAATTACCAACCCAGACTTTGGATGACGTCGACTTCACTGTTCTTGCTGCAACATCTATCTTCAGCGATTTGATGGAAGTCTGCCCGCCAGCAGAGACGTGTCGAGACGCATTCGAACGAATGAGCAGAGCTACGGTTCGCATGGGTTCAAAGGGCTTTGCGTCACAAGCTGTTGGTGGTGGTTCCCTCACAGCATCTGCAAAATCGCTTGCCTCGACCACCACCAACCGGGCTGCACCACAAAGTGTGCAATTAGCGCCTGTACAGCGAGCTCAACGGCCCACCCGACGGCCAACTTTTGATATGGATCTCAGCGATCTGTATCAAAGTCCTCCCGGCCAACAGGCCCAGCTCAATCCTCCTCCGAGGCAACGATCCTACCAGCCTGCACAGTCGTTAACAACGCAACCCGAACAATACCAATCGCACCCTGGATATTCTCAAGCGTATGCAGGATATGACCAGACTGCTCAACAGCAGCAACAATACTACATGGCACAATCACCTCAAAGTGCCGGGTCAGCAGCACCACTCGCTTTCACCCCGCCCACACATTCGGAGCAGCAACAACATAGCCTCACAGACATGAGCTTAGACTTCCTCGACTTTGCCACCAATCCTACCAACATGAACCAAGATGCTGACATGAGTAATCCAGACGGCAGCAATGCACCTTCGTTGAACCAGTTTACAGGTCCTTTCAATGTGAATGACCTTCAAGGCACGGGCATCAATTTAGGAGGTCTTGGAATGGAGGCCGACTACCTACGTGATCTGACCACTGACGGTTCTGGGTATGACTTGATGGATGGGTATTGGTTTGGAATGTCTGGTGGTGGGAATTCTGGAATATAGAGATGTGTGTATATGCATATATAATATGATACCCTTGATTATACGTCAGTTCGTGGATGTGATTGAATTGTACCAGGCACTCAGGCACCCATTCAGGCACCCAACAGGGCCTGGTCTCCAGCAGGCACACTTGAACATGTATCTGGGCAGTCTTGAAATCGCAGATCTATTGAACCTTGTCAATCAGAATTATCGACCAATAGGGCACTGTCAGGCTCTGCCTGTCTGCGTACTCCAAGTCTCAAACCCCATAGAGAGATAAATGCACATGCATGAAAAGACGAAAAAGCCCAGCCCAGAACCAGCGAAAAAGCGAATGAAAGAACTTTGCAGTCTATGAGATATTGAGAGAGGGCATATCCTTTACCATAACCAGAACATGCCCACATATTTGATGGGTAGTGATCAAATCATTGTGCTGCGAACAACTCACCATGCATGTACCGAGGGAGCCTCGATCTGTATGGTTGTTTACCCCGGTCTAAGGCTGAAAGGGCAGACAGAGGCTAAGATAGATGCCTTAAACTGTTTGCCTTATAGTGCTTATAGTTGGGAAGCAACGTCGAATTTTCTGAATCATAGAATATTTTGAAAAGAAATGATCCATTCAATATAAAGAATTAGAAAAATGAGTGTAGTCTTGTAGGAAGCTGTTAGCTGTTGCTCGGGGATTGGGCTTGTTTGTTGACGGCGATAGCCTTCTGGTGGGGCCTCCTTCCTTTCTGGTGACTTAGTGAGCTTTCTTTTTCATCACCTCACAACCTTCCAGAACAACCACACACTAGTTCACTGTACGCCTCACTTTGTTTATCATGCATGCCCCTAATTTTCAGAGATTGTCTTTCTCATGACAGAACCCTGAGTCGTTCAGCTGTGATTCCGGGCTAGTCCAAAGCTCCACGAGGTAAAAGCATACCATACCCCCCCGCTTAATCAATCGATCCATGTGACATTCACCGCTGTCTGAGACACTTGCAGTCTACGATGATGCAGTAGCAGCCTAACATTGCTGGGATAGACTAACTTTGGTCACTGAGCAGATCACCGCCTGTATCGTTTATTTTACTTGAGCGGCCTAATTCTCACTCCATCCTGGCAGTGTATCGACTAGACAAACAACAGAACGCGACCTGCGCAAATACCTCATAACGGAACGTACCATAAATCGCGAGTGTCATGAATGGGGGATTTGGCTTCTTGAACAACCCCCTTCCATCCTCTGTCGAAGGGCGCTGGACAAGTAGCGCACCTTCACCTTGACAATGGTCAAAGCAGATGTGCGCAGAGATTATTATGCCGATCTTGGTGTAGGGCCTGGCGCCGATACGGATGAAATCAAGAAGCAGTTTCGAAAATTAGGTACATTGCCTACATCTTTTGCCAATATTCCAGCAGACTGACACTCTGCTTTATGACTGCAGCTTTGAAATACCATCCCGATCGAAATCCAGGACGCGAAACTGAATTCATCACAAAGTTCCAGGCAATTCAAGCGGCGCACGAGATATTGAGCGACCCTCAACAACGTTTGAAGTATGACACCGAGAGACTGCGGGCAGGATATGGGAAACTATATGGACCTCCGCCCACGAGCGCTCCACGCCGTACAAATACTACAGCATATCCCGCCAGCTCTACAGCCAAGCCACCACCCTCCAAGCCTCAGCCCACTCGACCAGCTTCATACCAAGCTCCACCGTCCAGCGGTGCCCAGCGTTATGCAAACTACGCCAAGGCTGCTCCCCAGCAGCCGTACGATAAAATGTACGAGCGGGAAACTCGAGCGGATGCATTTCGTGCTTTCCAAGGAATGAAAGCAAACGGTTGGTCGAAGTTTGATCCCACGTCTGGAAGACCGGCTCCGCCACCGACTCGAAACACAACTGGGGGTACGGGTCCGCAAACCACATCGCGTGGAAAGTCAGCATACGAGCATTTGAATTCTCGGCCGCATCCCGAAGCGTTTGGACGGGCATCAACTGTCAAGAAGAAGCATGGCTTTGCTCCAAGCACTCCAGGTGGTGACGAACCTATGGCCCGGAATATTTCCTCTTATCAAAACACACCGCGACAGGATCGATCTGCTTTCTTTGACAGTGCACCTGCTCCGACCGCCAAGACGAGAAGGACTCCCGCTTCCTCTCGTCCTGAGACGCCCGTGGATGAGGTTGCACCAGAGTTTGAGCGTCCCAGCCATAAGTATTCAACAGCAGGTGGTGAGAGGACTTACTTTTCCAGTGCAGGATTGGGCCGAGCTTATAGTATGAGAGACTCCTCAACCAGCTCCAAGGCACGATCACGGACCAATCCACCCAGTCCTCGTTCTCCGGCTCGTGAGAGGCACCGCAGCGCTAGTCCAGGAATCAGACGTCCGCACAAGGCTTACACATCTTCATCATCGAGTACCAGTAGCGAGGGTGAATTGGATAGCGATGTTGATCAACCGACATTCGTTCCCAGACGGAAGGCCGTTCCAAAAAGTCGGTTGCGACCAGCTCAGGAGTCCCATTACCAAGGCCCAGGATCAGGTGAGGAAACTTCCAGCAGCCACCACCATATGGACTACCATTCATTGCGGAGTCATCGGCGTCGACGTGGTCTTTTCGACGGGAACCGACCTCATAGTTACCATGAATTCCAGGATCAGAGTACTGACAGTGATTACCATCAAGGAAACGAATCTGATAATCCATCGTTTGCAGCGAGAGCTCAACAGGCTGCTCGAGCGGATTATGTGCCACAAGGAAGCACATTGAATCCGGATCAAGCCGCTGAAGGGCTTGCCAAGTAAGTCTTCCTTCACTCTCAAAAAGATATGGGCTAATATGAATGTTCGGCGCAGTCTCAATTTCTCTCAGAATGGCGCCAAGAGTAGAAGCCATGACAATTTGAACAAACGATTTTCTGCCAGCGATTGGGGCGATGCCTTCAAGCCAGAGCATTTTGCGCCGAATCAGATAAACGGACATCGTCGAAGCAGATCGAAAACTTCACCCACGCGTGGTAGACAAGAGAGAAGGTTTGACTCCAAGTCGCCAGCTAATGGCCTGTCTTCAAGCGATGAAGCTGCTAAACAACAGAGCTCCAACTCATGGACTCAATCTCAATTCTCTGCCGACGCATGGACTCAACATCTTCAGAGTAAAAATTGGATGTTCCAACCGAATCAGACACAACAAGGAACTCCGGTTGGTGCGACAACAGGACGGAGTGCTTCTCGAGCGGCAAGACGCCCGACGCAGACCCGACAACCAGGTGTAGCGACAGAAGCCGAGGAAGAAGAAATCACAATCTCGATCCCTTCGCCAAAAGGTACAACGACTCCAGTGCCAGATGCAATGGAGATCGATGATGAGCCTACTTCTCACTCGACCAAAACACGGACAAATGGATACGTACCGTCGCCATTGGGACCTACAAAACCCGATTCAGGTGTTAAGGGTGGTGACGATGGAAAGACATCAGAATGGATTAGTAGCCTTTTCAACATGAACACGCTCAATAACGTAGCTCCTATTGCCAATACCGGGGGCATAAACGATTTGACTGACATCTACTCAACGCTTCCTTTCGAGTCTCGTGCAAACGATCCGAATACGGGCCGTCGAATGGCTCCCCAGAGGACCAAAACGAGCCTCCCGCAGCCACCAAGGCGTCCTTTACGACCAGGTGTAGTACCAAATGGCAATGACCCAAGGAATATGGTTCTCCCAAAGCAAGCTTGGGAAAATTATGAGAAACAGATGAGCGCGTACATCATTGAATGGAACAAATTTCAACGACAGATGCTACAGCTTCTAGCTATGCGACAGCTGGGATTTGAGACTGGCCTGGCTCCTAGATGGATTAATGCTACGGGTGACTCTCTTCAATTGAATACCAAATCCAACGAGGATGACGCCGATGTGCAACCGGACGAGACTGATACTGATAATGAGCCTGATATACTTCTCCCGCACAATCCTCACGGTGGGTTCAAAGCATATTTCAACTCTGTCGATGACTACATGCGCGTCGTTGAGCACTGGTCGGTTGCATTGGAACGGCACCGGGAATGCATATCGCAACTTGGTGAACTTCGTCAGTGGATTAGGGGTCATCGGAAGTAGCATGATTGTTATCATTGTCCGATGTGTTGGGCTTCTCTTCTAAAACCATGTCTTCTAGGATACTTTTGTGCGGCATACTTAGGCGTTTTATATACCGACGGCTTCAGGTTTGGTTAATTCTCAAAGGTGTTCTCCTATGATATTGTATTTAATGTGTGTGTTCGAGCCCTAGAAATGCGCAGCCTTATTAAACTGGCAGCAACGTCTCCGCAATCGGCATGTCCGGCACGTGATTGACGTGGTGCTTCTGTATGGTCACGTCATGGTAATAGTCACGGTATTTGCTAATTGGACAAACGTAATTGGATTGAAATCTAATTACGCCGTATTCTCACTACGGACTGATCTCCCCCGCCAAAATTACCCTGGTAAGTTGGTAACGTCGTAATCAAAGAAAAAAAACCAACGTCTACCAGAATCGGAAGCGCCCGCCAGAGCAAGATCAGACTTTTGGATTGACTCATTCTTCCAGTTCCGCAATAAACGTCTCAATTTCATTTATTAAACCGTCAATTCTTCTGTCGGTTTTTTCGAGACTTCGATTCGTGTTCATTTAATCAATTGCCCTGTTCTCAGGTTGTTCGGATTGTATCTTAAATTTTCTTTTAAACTTACCCCGCGGCAATGGTGACAATCGTGCTAGGCTCTCAATGGGGAGATGAGGGTATGACTGATCACTTCTTTACGATCATGCGCTGATGCCATTGATCGATTGGTTTTTTATTTTCGTGTCTAATTGGTCTTCTGTCTCAGGCAAAGGAAAGATTACCGACTATCTATCTCAAGATGCGACACTCTGCTGCCGTTCGGCTGGTGGACACAGTAAGTTTCGCTCGAACGTACACCAATATTCCACAACTCGATCTCTAACCAATTCTTTCATAGACGCCGGTCACACCATCGTCCACGACTCTGTGACCTACGACTTCCACATCCTCCCCTCCGGCCTCGTCTCGCCGAAATGCATCAACCTCATCGGCGCCGGGACCGTCGTCCACATCCCCAGCTTCTTCAAAGAACTCGGCGCCCTCGCCGACAAGGGTCTCGTCGACGTCAACAAGCGCGTCTTCATCTCTGACCGTGCCCACGTCTGCTTCGATTTGCACTCCGTCGTCGACGGATTGGAAGAAGCCAAGCTCGGCGGCCGGAAAGTCGGTACTACGGGTAAAGGTATTGGCCCCTGTTACAGCGACAAGGCTGCGAGACGCGGTGTGCGTGTTGGTGAAATTCTGGATGAGGAGGTGTTTGAGCGGAAGCTGCGCAATTTGGATACTGGATACAGGAACCGATTTGGAGATTTGGCGTATGATGTTGAGGATGAAATCAACCGCTTCAAGGTTTGTTTCTCGTCTTACCTTGTTTTGAAGGTTGAACCGATCTGATATAAGGATAGGAATACCGCCAAAAACTCAAGCCATACATCATCGATCAACTCCCCTTCCTCCAAAAATACAAAAACGACGACCGCATACTCGTCGAAGGCGCTAATGCCCTCATGCTCGATCTCGACCACGGCACATACCCATTCGTCACATCATCATCCACCGGCCTTGGCGGCGCCATCCAAGGCCTCTCCATCAACCCCACCAAGATCAAGAGCATCATCGGCGTTGTCAAAGCCTACACAACCCGCGTGGGATCCGGTCCCTTCCCGACAGAACAACTGAACGAATTCGGCGAAAAGCTGCAAGTTGCAGGCCGCGAATTCGGCGTTACGACTGGTCGCAAGCGTCGTTGCGGATGGTTTGATCTTGTGCTCTGCCGCTACTCGCTCGCCGTGAATCACTACACAGCCCTCAACCTGACAAAACTCGATATTCTGGATGACTTTGACGAAATCAAGGTCGCTGTTGCATACAAATTGCCTGATGGAATGAGACTGGAGGCTTCGTACCCCGCCGACCCTAATGTGATTGAGAAGTTGGAAGTGGAATACATCACCTTACCGGGATGGAAGAGTAATACCATGGGTCTTACGAAATACGAGGACTTGCCCGAAAATGCGCGCAAGTATGTCGAGTACATTGAGAAGGGGTTGGATGGCGTTCCTATCAAATGGATCGGTACGGGCCCAGCTCGCGAGCACTTGATCATTCGGTAAATCTCCCTAATCTGCTAGAGGAGTACGAGAGTTATTTCATGATGGCAAAAATCAGCACGAAAATTTTTCCGATAAATAGACATATATGAACGTCGTTCCCTTAACCTCTTCAGTTGCTCGTTGTTTTTAGAGATACACTTAATCTTGGGATTTGGCCAGGTGGTAGCAATTGGCTTTTTTGCATGGAGTTTTCCTCTACTTTTTTTTTCAGACTCTGTCTTTCCGTGATCTTGTGATATACACTACCAACAAACTTACAATGAATGCCAGTCTCAATAGAATTTATGTTACTTATGGAGATTTAGAGCTGTTATTTTAGTGTTGCTATTGATGCAAAGTGGATAATACAAATACAAGCTGTATGGTGAAGATCTAGTTAAAGCAACACTCTATGTACTTGGGTTTCTATCCGATTAGTTTTCTTACATATCTATATAGTCCACCTAGTTCGGAGTGTCTCAGGAAGCAAGTAAGTACCAAATGGGCTCTCAGGACAAAGTCCACATGTGGTTTACACTGGCCTAGACGGAATCAAATATATATATTAATCACAGTTGATATATACCGAACAGGAGCTGCCGCCTCATTGATCAAAGACAGATCAAATGAAACATTCGAACCCCTTCCGATACACCGTTATCATAAGCGGGAAGGCCAGCCATTCGTCACAACTGGATCAATACCTCCCAACGTCCATGAATGACAGCGAGCGAGCCGAGCCCTAACTGACGATTTCCATATTCGCAGGATTAAGTGAAGACACTATATCTCGATATTGAGCCTGCTACCACAACAACGGCTGAATGGTGTAGCGGTATCACGCATCGTTCACAATAGTTGCTGGACTGAGTAACAATTCATCCAATCGCAAAGATTGATCGAACCGATGAGGTCCTGGGTTCGACCCCCAGTTTAGTCAAGCCTTTCTTTTTGGTTTTTGCGTTTATTTCAATACACTTTTTAACCCCCCTTCCACATTCTTTTTGGGTTCCTTTTCACTTTGAGCATATAATCTTGCACTGCAATGGGCGCTGGCAACCCGTGTCTTCCGAGTACTACGACAACTATAAACATGCATTACCTACCAACTATCAACACAACTTCAATTCTATCTTATCTTCGAACACCTACCTTCAATTATTACACCAATCAATGAAATCAGACATGATAGAATTGTAATCCGAACCAAGAATACGACAAGTAAATTCATGTCCCACAGACGATAGAGTGATAGTGCTACATCACCACCGAACCACTAACACTTTTTGTCCCAATCATCCAACGTTAGCTTCAACGAGTCCACATTATTATCATGGCCACCCTCCGTGTTTGCCATCCATCTCGTCTTCAAGTCCCTCAAAGTCAACCCCGGATTGTCCGTCAAAGTTTTCTGGGCATCAATGATGAGCGCCTTGTGATTCTCGTCCGCGCCATCGTAGAGAGGGATTTCGTTTGTCGCAACGGTAATGCCGGCATTGTCTTTGACTGCCTCGAATGTTGTCAATTGGGCATTTCGGCGGGCATTACGGATAGCTTGAAGGTTGATCTTGAGCAGGTTGGCGTTCTCAGGGGACCTTCTGGCAAAACTGGCGGCAAGTTCCCCAAGCTGGGTTAGGAACTTGCTGTAATCATTGCTGGCGCCAGGCAACGCGCGTCCCGTAATGATCTGTCCTGCGAAATCAAAATTATTTGCGTCTTTCGTCGCAAGAGCTCTGGCTGTGTCGTCCATGGGGGGCAATTCCGGGTATCTGGTCGCCGGGGCGGCTTGAGGAAGATTCGAGGGATTTTTAGCAATATAGCGGAGGAGTTGATCTAGAGTACACGGTGTGCTAGACTTGCTGCAACCAGTCGCAATCTTCTGCGGCTTGCCGCCGTTGAGCTGGGCATCGATGGAGTACAGGTAGTAGAGGAGAACGCGTTCGTAGCCCCCAGGAACAGAGAATGCGCTTGTCTGCGCGATACCGAAGAGGAGAATGAGAAGGGCAAAGAGACGCATTGTGAGATAGACAGTACGTAGAGACTGTACTGCCTTTTCAGTCTTAAAAAGAAGATGATTGTATGAACAATGTGAATAGATCCTGCCTCCGGCGACTGTCTATCTCAATGTCCCACGGACTGCTCGCTACTATGTAGTAAAAGCATAGCATAAGAATTATAATAGGCATATAATGCTAGTATGGCTTGTATTCCCATTATTGATCATACTTCAGAAACCAACACCAGTATCTTTCCAAAAGCCATCGTTCACTTGGCACAGCTCTCGAAAACAACTGCAAGAACGATGTCACATCAATCCGCAACGCTGACCAACACAAAACTTTTGGTATTGACCTAAATACGTGCTTTATCCCAAACCAACATCCCCCTGTGAAGAGGCTCTGTTGTTGGTGCAGGGGTGTCTTTGTTGGTTCTGAACTAGCTTAGCCGCATGACCCCTCAGCGAGGCCAATCGTTGCTGTATTTAATTTTCTCGAAAAACAGGAAAAGATTCAGCATTTTACTTGACATCAATTAATTTCAGCTTTGGTACGAAGCAGTCGCATCACCCTCGATTTGCTTAACTTGCCTGCGGCTTTTCTGAACCAGTTTACCGCTCTACATCTTGATATGGCGGACAGCAACAACATGGAAGACCGCTTGAGGTCGCTGGCCTTCGACATGCGTGAGGCCAAGGATGCTCTTCATGGCAAGACTGTCCCTAAGTCTCTGGGACGCAAAGTCACGCGCCTTTGCGTGATCCGGGGCATTCGATACCACGAGCAATTCGCCAAGCATCCGGATCTAGAACGGATAAGGCAATACGTGCCAGAAATTTCCCGTGCCATAAATGCTCGCGCGATTATGAGCAACAAGATTCCCTCTATGCCTGAAACGCAAGAGAGACCTTACTGCATCTGGCACCCTGAGGTGGCATCTCAAGATACGTACAGAAAGCTGTGGCACCAGTATCCTGACATGGCCTATCAAGTTGCTCGTGCGTGTGCTGTAGCCAATTATGTTGAATTATATCTCGAGATGGATCTATTGCCTGATGTCTCTATTGCCGAGGAAGCTCGCGCTAGTGAATCCATCGAGATCTTTGAAGCTATCATGCGAAAGCCTGTGAGATATGGCATCATGAATGACTACACTAGAGAAGTCACACTACAGAATTTGCAGCCCGCATATCTGAACAATGATACTGCCCTCGTGTCCACCCTCAATATCAAGCAAGGCATCACAAGACCCTCAGGTCCTGAAGAAGATTCTCTCTTTCAAGGACCTAAGACATGGGAAGAAGCCAAAGGCCTCAACCTTGATTTTGACGATTTTGACGACTTTATCCCAGCACCCGGGTTCGAAGAAAATATATTCAACATTACAGAGGATATGAACGTGGATGATGTTGATCCATTCGGAGACGACGTGACTACAGAAGAGCCAAAGCTAAATTACTTACCTGAACTGCTCTATCAGCCTCTGCCTGTTGATTTACCGCAGGGCAACAAGGACGTTTTGATTCTAATGGCAGCCTATTATGGCAATATCGAAAGATATTCCAGGTTACGTCGCCCTCGTGTAATTTACGGGGAGTTAGGGTGCCTCGTACGTGGAATCTATCACAATACTATGTTTGCTCTATGGTGTGCAACTCAGACTATACCAACTCAGTATCGCAGCGGGGATATAACGAGAGCAATACATGCTCGGATGATTATGAACAATGATCTAAGTCGTATCATAAATTTGGACACGATGCAACCTTGGGAGGATTTCAAAGACAAGCCATACATGATATGGTATCCTAATCCGGCTCAGGATAATACGTACAAGACTCTTGCAAAAGCAGTAACTAGCATGAGACCAGCAATCTTACACGCAGCGGTCTATACAAAGAACAAGAGTCTCTTTGACTGGCTGCTCGACGACCTCGGCATAGTCCCGACACCACCTGCTTTCCACGAAGCCCATGCTCAAACATGGGGAATGGGGGACGGTCACCCTTCATACTTCGTCAGTCGCCTAAAGACTCGCAGTGAAGAATTAGGGATAGATCTTCATGCCCATGAGGCGTTCAGCTGGAAAATGTACTCAGCCAAACCCCCCATGAGTGGAAACTGGTTGGCAAAGGAGTTGACGCCAGATAGCATTCACAGCGCGATGGAAGATTGGGGAATTTACGATGGGTACATAGTAGATGCTTCTGGAGCGGAATTGTTTGCATCAGCACCTGAATCGTGGCGCCCGGACAAGTGGAAAGTTGAAGTAGACTACGAGGAGTGTCCGAAAAGGGGAAGTATTCAGGAAGAAGCTTAGAGATACTAGGTTTATATCACTTAATTGAAGAAAATACAAGATGCTTTGCAAGTTAAGTGACTTCTGCGGCGGGCAGAGKTCCCATGTCAAGAGAAGCAGCATGGCAAGCCTACATTACGGCTCCAAGTCTAATTAGCTCTATCTACCAGATAAGAATTGATGCGCCAACCGGTTCTCATAAAGATATCATACCAACACTTCGAGCCCAATACCGTGTGTGGTTTAGCCGCTGTCTTCAGCAAGAAAGCTGAGTTTTTGGGTCGCTAACATGTAGTACTGGCACGTAGTATCTCTAGAACCAATTTAAGTATCAATTCGACATCTGATTGCATGTTTAGCACTCGCTGAATGTTGCCAGAAACAGAATACGTGCTAAACATAGCTCGGCATGGATTCCATGTTGGATGATAATAGATACATGTTACATAGTCATCTTGCATTCAACGAGCATTCAGGTACTGCGAGTCTGTGCTCTCCAAAGATAAGCCTCAAGATCGCCGAGAATTACCTCATGTAGGGCAATGGGGAATATCGGGTGTTGCTAGAAATAGCACGGCATGGGATGCACGTTGGTTAATGTTGGATACATGTTACATAGCAATCTGAAATTTGATGACTTTTTAGAGACTCCCTATGCTTCTTGAAGCTAAGACAAGAAGCTAAGTATTCGCCGAGACCTGACTGCATATTGGAGTTCGTTGGTTGTTGTTGGTTAGATGCTACATAGCAATCTTGACTAAGATGAGTACCTGACTACTGTGCCCCTAGAATTGAGTCTGCGGAATGTTGCCGAGACCAGCCTAGGTCATTCGAGTACATTACATACATTATGGTTACTCGTACATACTGAAATACGGCCAATACCTGTCTAGTCCCAACACTCTGGACCTTAAATAGAGCCTCATTGATCAGTGGCCCGTTGATTGTTGGTTTTTTCGCCGCATTAACTTAGTTTGACGCAGCCAAGTATGCTTAATTGATGTTGGTTGGTACTAGACCTTATTAGATCGAAGAAAACAATATGTAGAAAATGCTGACTCTTTAGCGCTCAGTCTTAATGATGTTGGCCGAACTTTATGAAACTACTACCTTTTCAAAGTTTCTAGAGTTATAGGCGATTCCTAACGTAGTAGCACTTGTTCCTGGCAGGAATCGCTCATGTATGGTGAACGTTGGGTACTACATTGATTCAATGTCTTCAGATTCTTCACGTCCGCAGCAGAATAGTTCTGGCTACTTGAACTTGTACCTCCGCACGCTTTCCACAATGGATCGCTCAGATATCAATAACCCTTCTTCAATCATCGGGTCTCATAATTTCAGAGCTGTGAATTTACACAGACTACTTGGCCTCTGGCCTCTAGGATATAAAACATGACCTACACTGTTGTATCAGCAGCCATATGGCTTCTCTTCTTCCTCCATGCCGTGTCTGGTACCTTCTTGTCCCAGATCGAGCCTTGCCCTGACTATTGTGGAGACAAAGATCCAAAAGACTGGACTGTCTACTCGTCATTGGCGCCTCTAAGCCAGTGTAGTCAGCCTGTCATCTTTGATTTCAACATTCACAGTCCTGTCGACGCGGACACTATTTTCAAGTTACGTGCTTGCAATGCTGGAAATGCCATGCCTTCATCTGTTGCCCAGGTGAACGAGGGCCAGTCTAATATAACTGCCCGCTCCATTTCGGCTCGTGAAGCAACCAAAAGTACATCCTCTAGCAGCTCGGGGTCGGCTGCTGAGGTCTCATTCCAATTGCTATCTGGAGGGTCTTCAGCTTCCACAGCAGCCACCGACTATACAACCATCCTCTCCGCTTTGCAGAGCCGCCTCCAGAATCAAACCACAGAAAACGACGCTGCAACTATTCTCTTTGGCTATTCTAATGGCGTTACGGTTGGCATGTTTGTTGGGGCTGGCATGGATCCTGCCGCAACTCCTCAAGTTTTCAAATACTTGCTTGCCCAGGAACCGGAAAACGAAATGGTAGCCCAGCTTTGTGGTGCTAATCGCACTGCAAAGTATGTCTATGGCTTTTCTCTTAACATGAATGGCGACGTTGGTGCAGTTCAAAAGGATGTCCTCTCCTGGTGGAATGGCGAATGTGTAGAGAGCTCTGCTGGTACCACCAGTCAACCTTTTAACGTTGAAATTGTGAATCAAAATCCGGGAAAGACGAATTCAACCTCAGTCAAGGCTCGCAGAGACGGGACTTGTCGAACTATCAGTGTAAATGGTGGCGATGGCTGTGGAAGTCTGGCTGCAGAGTGCGGCATATCTGGCGCAGATTTTGACACATACAATTCGCAGCGCACCAATCTCTGCTCGAGCCTGGCCGTTGGAGAGAAGGTATGCTGCTCATCCGGCGGATTGCCCAATTGGCAGCCCTCAGCCAATCCGGATGGGACATGTGTGGTGTACAATGTCCAGGCCGACGACGGCTGTCAAGCCATTGCACTCAACTATGGGTGGCAGATCAGCGATCTCAGTGATTTCAACGATGGGACTACCTGGGGATGGACTGGCTGCAATCCACTTCCTGCAGGGCTCGCGATGTGCGTTAGCAAAGGGACTCCCCCTTTACCTGCGAGTGTTAGTAACGCCGTGTGCGGTCCAATCGTACCGGGCACAACGCAACCTGACAATGGTACTGCCATTGCGGATCTAAACCCATGTCCTCTCAACGCTTGCTGCGATATTTGGGGCCAGTGTGGCATCACAGAGCTCTACTGTAAAGATGATAAGGGCCCAACTGGAAACCCGGGGACGGCTCCTGATAAGGAGTACGGTTGCATATCAAACTGCGGTACAGGTGTCACCAACAATAAATCACCGCCGTCCGAATTCATTTCAGTCGGTTACTATGAGCAGTTTAATTGGGATCGTGAATGTCTAAACATGCGGTCCGCTGATCTGCAAAACAGTTCTTACACTCACATCCACTGGGCCTTTGCTGGAGTGAATCCTGACTTTACTGTCAACATTACAGACGACGGAGATGGCCAATTTGCTCACTTCCGACAGCTCACAGGTATCAAACGCATTGTCTCCTTTGGAGGCTGGGGCTACTCGACGGATCCGTCGACTTATGACACGCTTCGTAGTGCCATGACGGAAGCGAATCGAGCTACGTTTGTCAACAATATTAAGGACTTTGCGGTTCAGAATAATCTTGACGGTATTGATATTGATTGGGAATACCCTGGTGAGGTAAGCATCGAACCCTTCGAGAAAAAACACTTTCTATGATTGGATTTAGTTGGGGTTAACACTATTTCTATTCCAGCCGGATATTCCAGGTATTCCTCCAGGTCAACCAACGGACGGACCAAATTATCTCCAGTTCTTGCTATCGTTAAAGGTTGCTCTCGGTGATACCATGTCTCTCTCAATTGCTGCCCCGGCCTCCTACTGGTACCTGAAGCAGTTCCCTATCAAGCAAATGAGCCAAGTGGTTGACTATATTGTTTATATGACATACGATCTTCACGGACAGTGGGACTACGGTAATAAGTTTGCACAGGAAGGATGTGACGCTGGTAACTGTCTCCGAAGTCACGTCAACCTCACCGAGACAGGGTATACCCTCGCCATGATCACCAAGGCTGGCGTGAGCGCCAGCAAGGTTGTTGTCGGTATCTCATCCTATGGCCGCTCCTTCGGAATGACAGACCCCGGCTGCACTGGTGTTGATTGCACCTTTCAAGGTGAAGTCATCAATGGTACTGGGGGCGGGTCGACGGCAGATGCCGGACGTTGCACTGCTACTCGTGGCTATATCTCCAATGCCGAAATCAATGAGTTGATTAATAACGGTGAAGCTAAGGGATGGTATGATGATGGCTCCAACTCGGATATGGCTGTTTGGAACACGACCTGGGTTGCATATCAGAGCATTGCTACTCGTAGCTCTCGAACTAGCTTTTACAAAAGTCTCAACTTTGGTGGCATCATTGACTGGGCTGTCGATCTGCTCGAATTCACCGGTGACGATGGAGATGAAATAGATCCCAGCCAAGACGACAGCGGTGATGGCAGCTATCCCATACCGGATCTCTCTTGCTCAGACAGCTACGCGACACTCGACGATATCGAAGCTGCAATCGACAATATCCCATCAATGTGTGCTGCCATCTACATGGTCCAAGTTCTGCAAACAATATACAACGATGCCATGACCCAATATGATACACTCATGACAAAGGGGTACGATGATAAGTTCAAAATCTATGCAGGCGTGGTTGTCGACCATGCCGGAGACTCTATGACTCAAATGATCTACGAGAATGGAACCAAATACTTCGATTGTATCGTGGCTGAGATGAACTTTTGTTGTTCTTCCTGCAGTTCCGATGATGGCGGTTGTGACTATTGTCGTAACGACACCTCGGGCTGCACAGAATACTGCGACCCGCGCTTCGGCAATTGTTCTCCCCTTGACAAGCGCGATCTCTATACTCGTCTACAGGATCTTGGTCCAGCAGGGTTGTTTGCCCGTGATGTGCGAAACATCCCTGGATACTCCAAAGAATCCGAGCCGTGCCCGCCCGACTACTCAAAGCACGGTTATGGTGATACGGACCTGAATGGCGTTCCTTCCAACTCTATCTGGTGGAGTTTTCAGGATGACGATACCACCGCTCAGTTCTATGCCGACCTTTACTCCCAGACGGCCATACCAAAGAACAAGACGTCTATCCAGACCCACGTTCGCAATACCAATGACTGTGCGCCGGCAGCATCTCTAGGTGACGGTGATGACTGCTGGAATCTTGGTGTAGATTATACGATGCCATACGTCGACAACTATACAGAGTCTGACGTTGTCAACCCCAAGGATGTGGTTACGGCAGCCACCGCAAATGCTACCGACCTTCTTGGGCAGATTGGGGATGTTCTCTTGATGTTGCAGAGCGATTTGTACGACGGTGATTTCATGGACGTTGTCGATACTATCTCTATCCCCATAATGATGATCAACTCTTCGATCTCAGAAATGGCAACTATCGAATCCGTTGCAGACGAAATCACAAAAGAGAAACGTATGGAAATCATCTTGGCCTTCTTTGGAGCTATCCTGTTCCTGGTCCCTATCGCCGGAGAAGTCCTCGGGTCTATCGCAGAACTGGCAGAGATTGGAGCTATTGTTTCAGCTGTTGGGGAGATTGGCAATGTCGCCTTTGACATTTATTCGGTTGCCAGTGATCCTAATAATGCTCCGCTGGCCATCATGTCGGCTATTTTCGAGCCATTGGCTTTGCTGGATGTTGCTAAGGTGGCTAAGGCAGCTACGATCAGGAGAGGCATGTCTGCCGACGATGTTGGCAAGCTGGGGAAACAGGTTAAGCCTGTACTAGACAAGATTGACTCCATCAAGTCAGGAACCAAGTGCTATATATAGGGACAACTGTTATGAAGGAAGGCACAGCAACATATACACCTAGGTATAGTACAGTGTTTCCTCGGTAAGACACCTATAAATTTGTATTATCCGGTAGATTAGTTATACGTATAAAAATCAACATCTCTTGTACGAACATTCTAAAACTGTTCATTGAACGAAGCAATGCCTCCTTGTTCCTGTCCATGCCTCTCAAAGAGTTAGGGCTAGGCTGTCAGGCACTCTTATTTTCTCAAAGCAACAAGCGACCTTTCTACGTTGAGAATACCGCAGTAGCACTGTCCGCTGACCTGACTCGTTTCATCTGAAATTCGGGAGTCGGTCTGATACCTAACTAGGTGGCATCCGTATTGCGAACTGTGACTGCGAATGATTCAGATCAGAAGTTTCATTTGGATGGAAGATTCGTTCCATTCCCTGTAGGAGGCGCTGCGAAACCTATAACATGATGTCGATGTGTAAGGATCACGTAAAATACGAGTGGATTAGGGCTTTGGTGGATTTAGCAATGCGCGTACGCATGTAACCGTGTTTGTATCGTACTTACGCAAACAAATTCTGTAATAAAGCATGATCCACGTTATTTGATCTAAGCAATCTTCTCCGGCATTGGTTCTGAATCAAGAAACGATGGTTGTTGTGACTTTAATTCTAAGAATGGGTTGTACTTGAATTGAGATGTTATCTTCAGAGATTGTATGAAGAGGAGATTAATAACATTCTATATACTGATTTCGTATCAAAACATGTCCGACGCATCAACCGATGCAAGCAGGAAAACCGAACTCAATCATACACACGATCCCGGCCTCAGAGTAAAGCCTCCAGCTAATAATAGGTAGAACAGATTCAAAAACCCAGAGAAGATAAGATGATATACAGTAGAAAAGGGGGTAGAAGAAGAGAAGAGACAAGGCAGACGAAAAAGAATACGTAAACACACAATGTCCTCAAAATAAAAGACGCCATGCCCGATGATCACCTAGTAAAATGTTAAGATCCCACAATATACCGTACATAGAATTGAAAACAAGGAAGGGCATTATCGTCTTCTCATCCACCTGTTTCCCTCTGCTCCTGGCGACCACATATGACCTCGTATCTTCGACTGTCGGGAAGACGAGTTTGAATTAAAACGATGTAAACAAAACTTAAAGGATACATATAACAACGACAGAGTAGAAGAAAAGAATCTCAAACATATGCAGTAAAACAAGCCTATGGCAGAGTGCAGCTTCCTCTGGTCACCTGGACAGATCAAGAAGGTGGTATGCTGAGTATGTGGAATCAAAAACGCCAGTATGCAAGTATCTCAAAAGTACTTTTCATAGCTCTCTCCATTGCTGTCCATGAAAAGAACTGGCACTTCACGTTTTATTCAGTCACGGCGGCCTCTGGCCCGGTCCATGCTGAACCAATCCTCCCGCTGAGGACGTTGAAACCGACGACCACCACCACTGGATTCATCGAAATCTCCTCCTCGACGGCTAGAAAAGCCATCTCGTCGGGGACGTTCAAGGCGCCATCTCGCGCCCGCAGAGGCCATACCGGGTCTATCCAATCCACCCCGGGAAGGTCGTCGATCTTCAATCCTCACACCAGGAACTCTTTCAAAACCAAGCTTCGAGGCCATCATAGGACTAATTGCCGGTGGCTCGGGCAGACCCCATCCATTCTTGGCCAGGTTGTTGAGTGCGGATACAAGTACTCTCTTGCGCGGGAAGGTAGAGGCATTGGCCGAGAGTTGAATTCGGTAAGCGTCATCCTTGACTTCGTAAGGAACCAGTTTCAACGCTGCTGTAACTTGATTTATAGTTTCAGCAACTGGTCCGGACAATGAGTCTAATTTGGACATATCGGCATTTGCGGCTTCAATGGAGCTGTCTTGTTCAATAGGCAGGTCGCCCAATTGTTCAACAAAAGATTGCTCTTCTTCGTCGTGAATGAGAACCCAGCCTTGACCTTCTTTTCCGGCACGACCTGTGCGGCCCAAACGGTGAATGTAGGATTCCCGGTTCCTAGGAACACCTACTTGGATAACATGGGTGACGTCCGGGAAATCTAGACCTCGTGCAGTCACGTCAGACGAGATAAAAACAGCAGATTCGGCGCGTCGGAACGCGTCAGAGTAGTTCGTGCGCTGAGATTGAGAAAGCTTGGAATGAATGTGGTAAATCTTGCGACCCAGAGGGTTACCACTGCGACGTTGCATGGGATCAATAAGCAGCGCACTAAAAGCTTCATTGGCCAGCTGAACTTCAACCGTGGTATTGAAATAGATAATGGCCTTCATTGGACGCATGGTCCGGTCAGCTGCCGCTTGATCCATGTACTTTTTCAAAATCTCAACAATTGCGGGATATCCATTCTCAAAGCCTCGAAGGAAAACCATTTTCTGAGGCACTCTCAAATGTGTGGGTACATCATTTTCGTTGACTGTTTTGACGAATTGGAAATCGGGTTTCATGCTCTTCCGCACCATACCCATGACTTCACGGGGCACAGTTGCAGAAAACATCAGCGTCTGGCGATCCCTTACGGACGGGTCAGGAAGTAAATCTTTGATGCTGTCAATCTCCGGGCCAAATCCATCATCCAACAGTCGATCGGCCTCGTCAAGAACAAGAATGTCCAAATTAGGCGCAGCTACCCGACTGCTGTAGTCTGACAGAATATCTTTCAAACGTCCTGGGGTAGCAACGAGAATATGGCACCCCTCTCTCCTGATCCGGTTCAAGCCTTCTTGTTTCCTCGTACCGCCGACAGCAGTCTGGACCACAATGCCGGTACCAGCCGCAACTTTTCTGGCCTCGACAGAAATTTGCTCGGCAAGCTCCCGCGTGGGTGAAATGATGATGGCACGAATATCGTGAGAGTCGGCTCGACTGAAACCACGTGATTTATGAAGAAGGCTGGGGTCGTTGGTGATAATTCTTTGAAGGACAGGAACCAGGAAGGCAAGCGTTTTTCCAGTACCGGTTTTAGCTTGAGCCAAGCTGTAAAAAAACAATAGGTTAGCCCGTTTTCCTATTTCTGAATCGGATCTAGTAGGATGAAAAACTTACATGTCAGCGCCTGTGACGGAATGGGAGATGGTCTGTTTCTGGACATCGGTCATGGTATTGATATTCATATTCTGGGTGATCGAGTGAATGATGCGCGGATGCACATAGCCTTGATTGCCCAATTCCGAGAATTCGGAGATGGAACTGAACGAATCCTGGGCCTGAGTAGCAGCGGCGGCAGCAGCATTGGCTTGTTTCAAAAGGGTCGAGGATTGGAATGATCGGATTTGACGGAGGGAAGAAAGCGTCGATGGGAATGGCTTTTGAGGGTTTGCAGTGACAGTAGAATTGACTCGAGCAGTCTGCGAGACCCGGGGAGCGCATGTCCGAAGCGCTCTCGCCAGGGCCGGCCCGCGACGAACGGCGTTGTACATTTTGCGAGAAGGGAGAAGGCTGATAAAAGCCTGGAAGAAACCGAACGAAAAAACTCACTCCTAATATTTGAAATAATGAAGGAAGGGAGAATGGAGGAGTGATGGATGGAGGATGGAGGATGAAGAAAAACAAGCAACGACTGGAGAATAGGGACAGCGCAGAACGAAGCAGGAGAAAAAAATATTCGGAGGCCAATTGATTGCAAGACGAGCTAAGCCTGATATGGACTAGTGGTATGATATGAAAAGGACATCGGGGCAAGAGCGGGTCTAAGAGTTCTAATTGGTGGAAGCCTCTATCTGCGCCCCACAGCCAGATTCCACCCATTTTTGGCATTTGCTCCCCTTCATCTCATTTGTAAATTAATCGTATTCAGATTGACTATCGTTGTGCTCATCCATATTGCCTGCTTAGTACAGAAAAGGTAGAAGGCTGACTCATTTAAACTGCAAGGTTCAGACTCTTGAAGAAATTGGCCATTTCCTCCACCTGCTCTGGCGCCGCCTCTTCTTTCCCGAGATTCTCTTGCTCTGGCTTCCATGAAATTCGGAAAAACCCTATCTGCTTCAAGATGCTGACAGCCTGGTCCAGCAGCTCAGGCTTGTCCAGCTGGCTGCGTCTTTGCGAACGGCCGAAGCAGATACCCGTGTATTTAACATGTTCAGGTACAACAACCCTGGAAGCCGTGACTTCTGTTTCTGCACGCTGGTCATCGGGCTGTTTACCCGGAGGCGAAGGATGAGCCGAGGGATGAGTCGAGGAAGCGTTGTAGGTCGTCCACGCTTGCTGTTGTTTCTGCTGTTGTTTCTGCTGCTGGATATATGCTTGCTGTGCTGCAGCGATAAACGTTGATTTAAAGAACCCTCCAGCCTCATCCACCTGGTTCTGATCCAGTAAACCTGACAAAGTCTCCGCAAAAGGCATCCAGCCATCCATTCCCACAAAACCACCAAGCTCATGGTGAACACATAACAAAACAACAAGTCCCAACGCCGCTCCCTGCCCAATTCCCGCTATAAAGATATTCTGGGAACTACCACCGACCTGTTTGATACGTTCAATCTCATCGTCAATGATCCGCAATATGTATGTTGCGCTCTCCTGTAGCGTCGTAAGCTGCTCCGGCGATTCCAGCTGTACGTTTTCCAGAGAAGCCAGTTCAAACCACTCGGTAGTATTATCTTTATTGTTTTGAATCAGCTGTCGTCGATCGGCCTCCGTCCAATAGAAATTCTTCGCTCGAGCAGATGGAAAGACCCAGCGAGTGCGAGGGAAATGCTCGTATAAGGTTCCGGATGTGCCTGTCGATTTTGCAAAATAGTCTGCAAGATCGGGACCAGTGCCGTTCCTGTCGTGTAGGAATATCACGGTGGTTTCGTGTTCATTCTCCGGAAAGTATACATGCCGAGGAGGGAAGACGCTGTTTGTCATCGTTCTAAGTATACACGATTGTGAGCTTGATTTATATGCCAGAGCAATGCTTCGAGGAAGGTCGAGCGTTTTAATCTAGAGAGGGGGGTCCAGAAAGGCCATTAGTCACTATGCGTGATTTACCCAGGTATTATTCGTGTGACGCCTTGATGCATCCCCAGTCGGAACTCACCAATTTTAGCTTTCAAGGCTGTGACAAGTCTCCATGCAGATTTTAGAACTTGCTTGGAAAATGTAAATGGACCGATTAATCATACCTCGTTAATTGATATTGACAAAACTCCGAATAGAATACATAAAGAGGCGTCTGCGGAAGACAAGTGATTGCCAAATCTTGAATACGTTGTCAAAAGAGAATGCCGCGGTGAGGCTGCGCATGCGCAAGGCTGAGCCTAGACAAGAGCAATACAGTGACCAATCATATGCATGGGTTGTGCACAATTCTAATCCTGACCGATTTTACATGGACTTGGAGTCAGTCTAGATTTGGATTTCACCTGGGTGAACATGTATCGATACATATACAAGAAATTGGATTGACGATTCCGTACAGAGCGACAAATCATCGTACTCTGGATATGATTGCCCCCTGAAGAAATCCCGTCTATGCACATACTAGAATGATATGCTTAGTGACTGGTGGTATTGTTTTCATTCCTCATATGGCACCTGAGCATTATTGATGAAACGATACGAATAAATTCTCAGCGGTATAGGCCCCTCTATGTCGTCCTCGAAACCCTAATCTCGAGAAGTTTGGATGGGCAGGGTTAGGGATGGCCTCTGGATCTTGATCTTGGCGACTTTCCAATCATAAGTACTATTATATCCCCGATAGTCTCTGGAGCTTCCTTAGGTTTGATCTGCTTTGGTATATTAGTAATTATACGATCCAGATCCGAAGATAAAGGGTTGAATGTGTGAGCATTTGCAGATTATTTGCGCAGCAGCCAGTTTAAGATTGGGTTTGAGACGCATTGAACAACTACATAAAAGATACATCAGAAAGTTTTAAAGTCAAATAATACCATATGATTATGAGACACAGCACAGATCACAATTGTCAGTGAAATTCGTTTGCCCTAGGGTTATCGGAGACGTTAGGGTTGATAGGGTTAGCCCACAATGGACTGTTCCACTTTTTCAGGCACGGCAATTGGCAAGGGGAAAGGGGGCACCCCACAGTGGAGCTCTTTTTCATCTTCAAAAAATTTGGGGATGTTAGTGAGGCTGACATCCACCTGTGCAATATTCCAAAGTTTGGATGCTTCCATGCTCTTGCTACTAAAGCGTCATCATGGTCAGATCAAAAGCCAAACGAGCAGCTGCAGCTGAGCAGCATGCACTCCAGCCTGAGCTAAGCCAGCAACAAAACGAAACACAAGAGCCAGGTCAGACAGACAATCTGAAAAATGACATTCGAAAGAAGGTGCGAATGAATATGGTGATGAGGGATAGTATCGACAAGGAGGAGATCATATCAAGTTATGTTGAAGATTATCCTGAAAAAGCCGATTGGATTCGAGACATTGTGCTTGGGTAGGTTACACATTTTTTCGACAATTCTCTTCGTGGTGCTGATACTTGATTTTAGATATGCGTTGGTCCTCGAAGACAAAGCAGCCAAAAAGGCGGCCGACTCATCGAAGCCTGAAAATGGGCAGATAGGAAGACCAAAGGCAGAGGCAGAATCTGTGAGATACCTTACATAGATTTTGAACACATCAGATATTAATGAATATAGACGCCTGTTGATAGTGCTCCTCCAAGTGAAGCTTCACAGCGGGTCTTTGAAAACAAGAATAAAAAGAAAAAAGAAAAGCCCGTCAAAGAGAAGAAGAAAGAGAAGAAGCCCGTTGAGAAGGTCAAGGATCCAATTCAGAGCTCGAATAATTCTGGTAGCGAGAAGGGCCAGCCAAAGCAATTTTCACAGCCAAAGCAGCCAAAATTTGAACATTTAGTGTCCGACACTCTGACAAAACAATCCAAGGCGAAGAAAGCAAAGAAGCCAAAGGAGAACAAAAATGTGGTATCAGAACCACTTTTGGAAAAGGAATCAAAACTGGAAGTTGTTGACGAACACGCCGACCTTGTACAATCTACAAATGCAATTCTAAACGGTATGTGTGCTGCATCGAAACGATCATTCCAACTAAGTCTCATCAATTGCAGATTTCAAGGAACATTTAGCTACTCAGCGCCTGACTTCTGAGGAGCACAATATTCCACGAGCGTCAAGGACACCGGATTTGGAGCATCAGCTTCAGTTTCTGAGTATTTCAGATGAAAACTCCAGTTCCTCGGACGAAAATCCTCGTAGTATTGAGCATTCAGTGCTTGTTTCACCAACACTTGAGGACATGGGAAACAAAATGCCATCTCAATTTGGTCTCCTTGGGCATTTGGCGTCACAGCAGTCTGAAGACCTCGTTGACCCGAGAGTAATGCTAAATACGAACACGCCGTTTTCTGCTTTCATCTGTGGTCTACAGGGTAGTGGAAAGTCACATACTACTTCTTGCATAATAGGTAACCATCGCCATACTGATATTTGTGGTGATTGATATTGGCTAACAATATACACCAGAAAACTGTTCCTTGCCCTTTCCCGCTCTTGGAGTACTGAAGAAGCCACTCTCAACACTCGTTCTTCACTATAACGAGTATAGCTCCAATGTGAGTAATCAACCCAGCGAGGCAGCGTTCCTTGCTTCTACAATGCCAGAATACAGCAAAAAATTCCACAAGTCTATTCCAGTCCGGGTTTTGACATCGCCTTCCAACTTCCACAACCTCGAAAAGATGTACTCGCAAATTCCCAGCGTTAGCGTTCATCCATTCCGCCTTCAGCCTCATCATTTGAACATTGCAACAATGCTGTCGCTCATGTCGATGGGCAAGAAGGACTCCAAGCCCCTGTACATGGCTCAACTGACTAGGATCCTGCGTGAAATGGCTCTCACTAACAAAGGACGATTTAACTACTTTGACTTTCGGCAGCGGTTGAAGGACCTGCGCTTGGATCGCACTCAGACACCATTTTTGGAGCAGCGTTTGGATCTGTTGGATTCCTTCCTTGACTTGAAAGGAGTAGATAAGACTGGCGGAGACTATTTCGTTGAAGGCGGAGTCACGATTTTGGATTTGTCATGCCCATTCATGGACCAGGACACAGCCTGTATTCTGTTCAGAATTGCAATTGATCTATTCCTGCATTCGTATCCATCTCGTGGAAAGATGATTGTGGCTGATGAAGCACACAAGGTACGTTTTGTTCAGTCACACCAACATTTAGCATCATCTACTAACATTTCTTGCAGTACATGACCAACACCGAAGCCGCAAACGCTCTAACAGAGACATTCCTCAACATCATCCGCCAACAACGCCATCTCGGAACTCGAGTCATCATCTCAACCCAAGAACCAACCATATCCCCTCGTCTCATCGATTTGTGCTCTATCACCATTGTCCACCGCTTCTCCAGCCCAGAATGGTACCAAACAATCAAGAAGCACCTCCCAATCGAGCAAAAGAAGGACGACAATGGCGAAAATACTATAGATGCAATGTATGAGATCTCAAGTCTTCGTACCGGTGAAGCACTGGTGTTTGCGCCCTCGGCACATCTTCTGGATGGTCATCAGGAGGTGATGGATGTTAAGCATAGGGTGTTTAAGATGGTTATTCGAAAGAGGGTTACGTGGGATGGTGGTCAGACTATCAAGGCTGTTCGATGAGCTTCCAGGGTATTATCACACTGAGGGGGGAAATAGATTTCTAGAAATCCTTATGAGATACGTTTTGAACTTCCACACTCTGAATCAATTCTGTCTTATTCTTCAGCACCTACTCAGCATATCAGTCATCTCTTAGAGTAGATGGTCATCACTCTAACTCCCAGCGCCCACATAATTGGCTCGATGCTTCCCTGGGAAAATGGGGGCCGTCCCGTAGTGGAGCCGTTAACCTTAACTCAACCGCCGGAAAGATTCTCTAATTGGCTGAACTAGAGTACTCAGTAAGGATGGGGGCTGCAGAAAGCTGAAAAAATATCAGGAAAAAGAAAAAGCTCAGACTCGTACGTAAAGGAATACGAGTCTGTATGAGATTTTGCAGAGGGGGTTTTTTCTTTGAAATGGTGGCTGGTATATTTGATAAATGAATATAGATAGCATCTGGACCCCGTTCGGAAAAATTACTCGCATATTTGCGCCCATAGTCAGACCTTTAAATCAATCCTCTGTACGAAGTACTGAAAAGTTATCATCAAGAAGCATTCGACTGCTAGTTTTACCCGCAAATCAACTGCTAGTGTTACCCGCAGAGTTAAAGCACAGACATCAGCACAACAAGAATTTTGGAAACCTATGGTAATTGTGCCCCATCTTTGCATCCCTATCTTCCTGACACTCGATGATTGGGTATATTATGTAGCATTAAGACCCTAGGCCAAGGCTTGTCTGCAGGTATTGACTCTAGTGCTAATGTCTGGTGTGTCTGGGACATCCACATGCCGATATTCGACGTCTACTTTGACAAGCTTTGCAACGTGCTAACTCGATAATTTTTTGGAAATTCACCTTCGATGGAGACTCGAAGTTGGTTATTGCAAGTTTCTAGTATCGCCTTACGTGAGATGTAGCAGCACTTGAGATCGCTATTTTTCTACCTCACTCTACTGTTTCTCTTGTGATACAAGAAATCAGACCGACGAGATCATGGCGACAAATATCACAGTCCCTTATATCTCTGTAAGCGACTTTGACTGGGGCCTGAACCTGGCAGCTGCAAGCTCTTTGCCCTGGAATCAAACAATCTGGTATGACCCTACCTTCTCTCCTTAACTGTCACCGATGTTCTCTTTCTCACAATGACAGGTCCCTAATCGCAGTCTTCACCGCACTCCCCCTCTGGATGACCCTCGAACTCACCGTACAAGTCCTCTACCTCTTCCGACGCTGGTCCGGCCTCTATTTCTGTTCCGTGCTAATCACAACATGGTGTATTTCCCTGCACGCAATTGGATTTCTGCTAGCATACTGCGTCCCATCCTGCAGCTGGATCGCAAGCTCTCTCATCACCGAAATCGGCTGGATCGGAATGGTCTCGGGTTTCTCGCTTGTGCTCTACTCGCGTTTGAATCTGCTGAGTTTCATAATGCGCAATCGACACATTCCGCGGATTGCGTTGGCAATGATCGTCACCGACGCGGTATTATTTCATATTCCGACATTTGTAGTTTTCATGTTGGGTATTTCGAGTCCGGCTTCGTTCGTGAAGTTTGTCTCTACTATGAACATCCTCGAGCGAGTCCAGATAGTCATGTTTTCGGTCCAGGAATTGATTCTTAGCGGATTATACATTTACGGCACATTCAAAATGGCTCAGGACTCGTTCAATAGTCGCATCCGCGGGACGATTATGTTGCTTATCACGATTCAGATTGCGGCCATTGGCTGCAGCGCGCTACTTATCGTTCTTGATTTCATGGGATATTATATCCTCAAGTCATTTATTCATTCGTTTGTGTATGCGTTCAAGTTACAGCTCGAATTTGTTATTTTGAATGAATTTAGACGGCTTGTTACGCAGGCGAAGTCGGGCGCGGGAACGATTGAGAAAGATTTGACCATGTTTTCTCTCTTGAAGAAAAAGGATATGTCATCGGGCGGAAGGAATGAGGAAACGGATATGGAGATACAGCCTGTCTGAGATGCAGAAGGTCAACTTTGATTTTCGATACTTTACACCTCCAGTTTCTCTACGGAACCGAGTTGGCCATGTTGAGGGTCGAGGGCATATTCGCGGCAGCAGATTTCTCCCGCACCATCTGCATTCTTCAAGAGATCTCTTGATGTGCAGCGTCGAAGGCATGGAATCAGACTTTAAGCGAATATGGCGGACCGCGAAAACATAAAACGAATATCCACGTTTCAATACAGTATTCTGCCAACGGCGAGGGCGATTCCTTGAAATTGGAAGCATAGTTTCAGGTGAATTGGGAACTGTTCGAGCCAGACGACCAAACCGACAGCTGCCACTTGGGCATTTCTAGACAATGTCACCTCAGCGATATTCGACTCGACCCAATACCGTTAAGATTGCCGAAGCATAAAAGACTATGCTTGCCGAAACCCAATTCGGAAGACGATCTCGATGAGCCAACTGGACAGTCAAACTGCAAGAACCGTCTAATTCAAACGCGGGAAATTATACTTCCATCACCCAATGCCAACCAACAAGACTGACAGTTTTCTACGTACTTCAGTCAACGATGAAACTGTGACACATCGGTGCTTTGACCTCCAAAGTTCTTATAAAGCTTATTTTTATTAGGGAGGGAAAGCTCGTATTCACGCGGCCTGAGTCTTCCGCTATACTATTTTGGTCGAAGTGTGTTCAAATGAGGCTGACTCCGAGGCTCAAATATAAGGGATAGAAACGTTATGGAGTACGTATAGAGATTCATGAAGGATAACATCTCTTGGTGTATTTATTGAACCAGGCGTTCTACCTCAAATGTAAACGTTGTTTGCCACTCGTCCAGCAGTCTGTCAAATCTTAATTTAAATGGCGGATGTTGGTGATTTAGTATCTGAATTAGTTGGGGACGTCCTCTCTTCAGGGTAAGTGATTCGAAACCAGAGTCCTACGATGCGGTCGTTAATGGAATTTTAGAGACCCCCTGTCCGCTGCAGTCAAACTACTCGTCAAAGGAGGTGTGAAAATCGCTATCTTCTACCTCGATCGCCGAGCTTGTCAACAATTCCTCGAAGAAATCCAAACGCTCTTCGTCCGACTGACCAAACTCGGGTATCTAACACCATTGATACCTACCACACAAAAAGATGCCAAAACGGCTCGCATGGGCTGGATCATGACCCCAGCCGGCGTGGATGAGTTATTCTTCAATGTATACGCCGACATCAAAAATGCGCCTTACCAATCTCAGCTCTCGGCTGAGCGACTCAAGGCTTTCGGGGTAATGGAGCCTGTCGTCGTCAATCTAAATTCACCGTCAAAAGGAACACAAATCCGTCAGCGGCTAGGTGCGACGTGGCCGGCTCAGTATCGCCAGCGGATGCTGCAACAGATCAATCCGTTCCAGTCTATGCCGACTATTGCGAAGAAAGATATGGGTCGCTTTGCGCGGGCTATGGTTCGCAAAGCGCTGCGATCTCCGGTACATGTTGACCTGCTTCTAGCCCGCACTCTGGGACTTGCGCAGTTCTGTGGTTTGGGAGAAGTCAGTCTTGCAGATATGATTGAGCTGATGGTACACGCTTGTCATTACGAAAGCACTGCGAGACGATATCTGGCCGCTTTGATCGGGGTGCATTACACCGTTTTCACGGGATTTGCGTTAGTAGACAGCTTGAACGGGCAGGTGCTGGGAAGCCTGGAGAATCCTGGAAAGAATTTCGCAAAATTAGCAGAAAACTTCTCTAATTCTTTGGTACAAATTGGCGTCGCGGAAAACAGCAAGCCTCGAATCTCCGGCGCGGAGGATATGCCAAATGTCAAGTTCAATATTCAGGGTGCAGCGCGCGCAAAGGAGGGCGAAGCGATTTATATGGTTTCCGGATGGGCTGAGGCCCTTCGTCATAGGCCCAAGAATCATCCACAGATGCGCTCGACAGCTAGAGATCTCACAGTCGGATTGGCGAAAGATGTGGGTAAGAGCTTTGTGCCTGCACCACTGCTGAAGAAGATGACCGGTTTGGGACGCAATGTCTACAAACAAGATGTACACGGGAATAATCTCTATTACTCCGCAGAGCTGGAAACGATCGAGGTCAGAATTAGGAGGACAACGGGTGGCAGGTTGGTCGGTAAGATCTCGCAGTTTGGCGACTGGCGACCAGCTGCGTTCAGTGGTCGGGGTGTCTTTGGTGTGAGATGTGGTTGCACTCAAGCAGACCCTACAAAAGCCATGACGGGATCCCAGTTCAATGGCTTCCCAATTTTCAATTTGTACAAATTCCGAGCAGGTGAGAAAATGCTGATAGGGTACGATAACACGTTCTTTCACTGGACGGCTGGAGATTTGCCCATGATTTTATTCTGGGCACATGCGCATGTTACGGGCACGTATATCCAGGTTGCTGGGGAATGTGTTTACTGCGCTACCAGTCGAGCGTTTGGCGTGGGGTGCAATCTCATCGTAGCGGGAGGGTGGTGATCATAATGCCCAAAGATTAGTCTTGTTGAGTCTTAATTCGACCGTAGAGAAGTAAATTCAAAGTCACAAATGGTGGATTCTTTAGGGTTAATGCGCTAGATCAACCCAGGCTTAGCGGCTCCACGACGACGTTTGTTTACACGGACCCTGACAACGATCTCGTTACGACCAAATGTCAGATCAATGGGCTGATTTGAGAAATATCGCATGAAAATATATCTAATTGCTGTGTTCATCTAATCCACGACCACTTAAATTGCTCTCGCAACATGCGCTGTCGATAACGGAAAGCCGCGCGCACGTCACGACCCGTCCGTTTGACTCGGTCGCATTCAAACCCCCCATATTCCAATATAATACAATCGCCAACCATGGCGCCTATATCGACTCTAACAGAACCTCTCATCCGCTTCGTCCGCGATCTCTCCTCCGCATTCATCTCTCTATCCTCGTCGAAACTCGTCACACGGCTCGACCCAATACCAGACCCCGCAACATCTCTCTCACCCTCTCTTGAAAACACGATACAAAAACGAGCAGACCAGATCCTCTCCATACCCGCTACATATGCCTTCCTCGACACCTCACCGACACCAGGCACCGTCGTCGGTGCCGTCCTCGGCGTTGTCGGCGGCGTAGTCATACTCGTCATCGTACTCTACCAAACCCTCGGCTGGGGCGACACGGGCGAAAGCATCGTTGTCGAAGAAGAAGTCAGCGAAGCCGACGTCGTGCGTACAGGCTCACGGCGCAGCGCCGTATCCAGGTCGCGATCAAATCGGCCACCGGGACGTCGTATTGTGGAAGAAGAGATTGTCGAGGTGCGGGAACGGCCGCATTCGAGACGGAGATCTGACATTATTGACGATGATGAAGATGATGAGGTTGTCGTTATTGAAGAAGAGGCGACTACGGGTACGCATTATTCGGATGATGTTGTGGAGGTGGAGGAAGAAGAGAGTAGTGTCGCGACGAGTCCGCGTCCGCCGCGCCGGAGCAGGGCTGGTGGAAGTTATAGACGGGTTGATCCGTTGGCGTATGGTGGCGGTGATGAGCCTTATAGGCGACCTAGTCGGCGATAATATGCGGCGTTTACGATGCTCTTTTGGCGTTCTTTGGCGGAATTGACAGGGGGAGAATTGGACAACTGAACGTTATGACTGATCTTGGACAGCAACGGTTTATTGACAGATGATATTATGGACCAATAAGAACCTGATGTGTTGACGTGTTTATATCCCTGTTGTTTTGTTGCATCCCTGCTTGTGCATATCCTAGCTTTCTATCAACTTCTTGACTTGATTTATATTGTATATAGTTCATAGATAATACATCAACTAAGATTACTGAACAGATGTGGTACCAAAGGTCAAAATATCGTATTTTTTGTAAAATCAATATTCAAGAATAATCTAACGAGCAATGTAGAGAACGTGAAAGTCAATCCGACCCATGACCCAAGCACAAAGTAGGATGAAAGCGCCAAATCACCGAACCATTCCCAGCAGGATATCAAATTTCAAACAAACTGTTGCATATCATCGTGTAGGCCATATAAAATCATACTATCCCAATATCATTATCGTCATTCCCGTCAAGCCAATACTCAGATTAGGAAAAGGCAAAGATCGGCGCAGCAGCAAAAAGCGAATGCAGCTGTTAATCCAGCACAAATTCCATCCGACGAGCTGTACCCCCTATTGTTTTGAGCGTAGTAGCCCTGCGGAGGGTAGCCTTGTTGATATCCTTGTGGCGGATAACCTTGTTGGTAACCTTGCGGAGGGTAGCCCTGCTGATAGCCCTGTTGATATCCAGGCTGATAGTAGCCTCCCTGAGGTCCGTATTGTGGCTGTCCGGGTGAAAAGTATCCGTTCGGTGGAGGGGTGGAGTAGCCGTTGTGAGGTGGTGGGCTCTGGTAATAGGGCGCTGGAGAGGGAGTGTGGTTTGGGGAGGGATTGTAGGGACCGGCGTCTTGATGGATTGGCGCCGGGTAGGCTGGTGGTTGATCCTGAAGAGCCGATCAGCATGACTTCATTCTGAGCAGAACTGAAGATAACATACAGGTTTGTTTGACATGGTGAGTCTGTGTTGTTGATTGTGAAGATTTTCACTATCGAGAGAAGCGAGTCGCAGCCGCTCAATATGAGGTTGAGTAGTTACGCCTCCGGGTGTCAACGGCAATGACGCGTACGGTATAGCCAATGGGATTGCTCCTTCCTTGTATGCACAATCACTAATATTGAATGTCAGTATTACTTGCCAATGCATGGCCCGTGACTGCCGATTAAGAAATATGTCAGGGCTAGAGTTTCACACTTACCAATCTGTCACCAGGCAACCGCAATATGAGGTTCGGGGGTGGATATGATGCAGCAGTTCCACGCCTCTGTATCAAAGGGTGCAGACGTAACAATTGAGCACCGGACTCTCCGGAAGATAGGTATTTTAAGAAAATAGACAGGCTGTCAATCTACTCGACGTGGCGGATATAGAAGAGAAAACTAGAAGGTTGATGGATGGAAGATGAGGAAGATGAAGGCGTTTGCGGAGTTAAGTCGATCATCGACGCCACTTCGTCTGAAGTTAAAGAGGAGATAGGTCTCGTCAGCCAATCAGCGTGCGATACCGGCGGCCTTAGCAGCACCGCCACAGAGATTACATGGCCTCCATGTCATCCAATCAGAGCGCAGAATTTGATTCGGTAGACAATGCAATTTAGGAAGGACCCTGCCTGGTATTGGTCTTTCCTCTCTTTCCTCTTATGATCGATGAGTTCACATGAGCATCTTTGACCTGATGGCACAGATCCAGCCCTTTTCTCCTCTTCTCATCTATTCTATGATGCTCTTCCACTACTACTATTACTGCACGGAGTTTTCGTCTAAATAGATCAATCGTACGCTTGATTGGCCAGCTACACACTAATTATCTTCAACTCTAATATGCCCCAGCTCTTTGACTATAAGCAGGCTGCGGCGAGGACTCAATGCCTGTCAATGCAGTCAATACCGGCGTGGTATAGGTGAGCTCCAAGCTATCCACTTTCGCACCACTGCTCTCCTGCGCCCAAAGAGTGATTGCGACCCAATTCTCGCCTTGATAATTCAAGATTCCTTGTGGAACTGGGAACTTCGTCTGAGGGCCAAGCTGTGGGACGTATGTACCAAATTGATATCCGTTGACATAAAGCTGGACTCTGTAAGAACTGCCACTGCTATTGCCAAAGGTGAAGTATAGCGGAATATCGTACCCTTTCGGGAGGTCAAGAGTGAAAGAGGTTGAGTAGAAGCCGACTCCAGCCTGGCTGATACCGTCCAAGGGACTCGATGTCTGCCAGTCGCTGCTTGGAGGAGATGGTTGATGCCAGCCCTGACGTTCGGCGTAGAGGCCGCCTTCGTTCAGAGGTCCGCGAGTGAGGTCAACATAGTCCTCACCACCTAGATTACCGGTGATCTTCCAGGTAATGTCGCTTTGATTGTGACCAGACAAGTCGAAGTCAAGAATACCCCTTGGAGTCTTCATTGTCTCTGAACCGACCACCCAATCCTCCTCCAGGCCGGTATTCGAGGTGAGAATCGTGAGGGTATAGCTTGATCCGGACTTCAGAGTCGGCAGAGTGTAGGTGGAGGCTGCAGAATCATTGGCCGCACTGCCTGTCCAAGACCCCAAAAGCGTCCCATTTAGCCATACGCTGCTGCCAAAACCACTGCCACCGATGGTTTCGACGTAGAAAGTTTTTTCATTTCCGTTGGCGACGAAATGGCCACGATAAAGCAGATGACCAGTGTTGAAACCATAGTCTGAGGCATAAAGTGATACAGGCGTCACGATAGGATTTGCGGTGTTATTGGTCCAGTCGTGATCGGCATTGACCCACGCGCTGTCATCGTATGTTGACTTAATTTCAGGCAGTGAGTCGACATATTTCCACGTCAACTTTGAGAAGTCTGGCAGGCTGATTTTGGGAGTGCTATATTTCACGCTCGCGGTCCAGAACCCGTTCGAAGTCTTGGTATGGCTGTATAGGACACCATTGACGTACAAGCTAGATGCGGCCTTGGGTACACCAATCACTTCTACGGTAGTGGTAGCATTGAAGTCGGCGGAAAGGTGCAATTCACCTCCTTGGAGCCATGCATATCGCACGAGATAACCGGCGTTTACAATAATCGAACTTGCAACTGTCTCCTCGGTGGTGAATCCAATGGTACTGTCCGAAGTACCGACCTGGGGTACCCAATAGTCATACGCCGAGTTGCGATCTACTCTGTTAGTCGATTACTTGAAAGTTTGTTCCTGACTGAGAGCTTACCGAGCAAAAAGACGAGCAGATCGTCCACCCTCACAATCCTGCGAGAGGAAGATACATCCCATGCAATGATCGCTTGGCCCTTCTGAATATTGGTCGTCACTCCAGACTTGGAACCATCGACAATGGAGATTTTTGCACTAGAAGACGAAGAGATAGCCAGCTCATGGTGTTCCCCTGCTCCACCGTACACGACAAGCGCCTTGTAATCGGAAAAGTTCTTCCATGTGAATACTTCAGCAGTCGAATAGAGGATATTGGTACCCGCAACATCATAATCGGTGACATGGATCTTTGAATCACGGCCATTAAGGGTCAAGGAGCCACCTAGCTGAGGCAATGTCAGAGTACCGGCACTAGTCGGCACCTTGAGAGTATAGCTGGTCGTGTCTAGACTGGTATAATCCGAGTGTCGGACCACATAGAAGGATGACTTGGTGCTTCGACCAATCAAGGGTGTGACAGTCAGTGCTGTTGTACTAGTGTATGTAGAATTTGAGGTAGTGCCAGGAACAACATCAAGGTAAGAAGGCGAAACTTTGAGGAAGTTTCCAAGTAGTTTGAGTTCACTGTATTTCTCGCGAGTGATACTGCGAGATTCAGAGATTGCGGCGCCATAGTCGTAGGACGTGTAGCCATCTGGGTAACCCAAATTGCCCCAGTTGGTACCACCGAATGTCTGAATAAGTCAGTACTGAGAAATTCATAGATAACAAGGTTACTCAAAAGTCTCACCATATACAAGTTCAAGAACGCAACTCCGGCAGCAATATTATTCTTGTAAAAAACACTCTCAAACTCCGGGCCGAGCAAAGCAGCGCAATTCTCGAAGCCGCTACCTTGCCATGGGTCAAAAGAGCCTCCTTGGAACTACTAATTTCAGCACTTATTCTTCTCAGTGAATGAAAAATAATGTAGGTATCGTACCTCGACAAGTGAAAACGGAGTAGACGGGCTTTGCTCTAGATGGGTCTCGCGGAAATAGGTCGGTAGGTCACCCGACGGCCATGTCGAGGGATTTGCCTATACTGGTGTTAGCAATAAAAAGGTACTGTAGTCAGTAATTGAATCATGAAACATACGCAATCAAATCCTAGCCTATAGTAGGATTAGCATAAATTTCCCCTAACCGGCAAATACGTAAGTAGACTTACGGATACGAATCGTGACCATAGATATCGACAGCACCAACACCCGAGCCAGGCGCATTGTGTCCTTCCGCGCCTGCATCATTGCTGATAAACGGGATAATGACTCCATCATTTCTGGCAGTATCCATTATATCCTGCATATACTGCCCGTCATCTGAGTATCCAGTAGTCCAGCCGGAGTACTCATTCTCCGGTTGATAGAGAATAATGGGGCCACCTTTGGTGATTTGGTTTGCGGCGATTGTCGTGCCGATGTGGTTCGCATAACTGACATCATCAGCTATGAACTCATTTGACATTTGTTTCCAATGGTTTAATATTCTACTTACTTTTTAGTAGCATTCCAATACGCCGGATCTCTTGTGCGCAACGTCCCATTAACACGCTGCAACCAACCCGGAAATCCTCCACCGGAAACCTCAGCATTGATGTAAGGACCAGGGCGAGCAAGGAGGTAAATTCCAGCCTGTTTTGCGGCATTAAAGAAAGGCTGCAAGTCAAAGATGCCCTCTGCGCGATAAGTGCCGGGTTTACCTTCCAACAGGGCCCAATCGACGTAGAACGAGACGGTGTTGAAGCCCAGGGCTTTGATTTTTTGGAAGATATCGATGTAGAGGGAGGATACCGGGAGACTTTATTATGATGACAGGTTTAGAATATTGAAGGGGACGTTATTTCTTGTGGATTAGAGAAGGGAGTACATACCGGAACGGATGCACTTCGCCAGAGAATATCGTCAATCTTTCTCCATGGATGTAGAGTGATTGATTATCCCATGTTACCTGACCCAGTCAACATCGCGAACTCGTTCTACCTAGATCGACCAGCTCTGAAACTTAAAAGACTTACAATATCCTGCAACAAAGCCCTCTGCTCAATACCACCACTATACTCAAACATATTCAAAGCACCCCCACGATGCGAAACAGCTCTACCCAAGACCTGCCCCGAAAGGCAAGCCAAAGCCACAGCCGTAGTCTCAAGAACCTTCATAATCGACACTGCTGACGAGTTGCCAATTGCTTGACTCAAAAGTGAGAAAACCCCCTCCTGACATGGGTACATCACCGCTATTTATTTCACTGCACCGTTGCACTCCGCCACATAAAATCTGACCCCAACGGGTTACATCAATCACAACAATGAAGAAAGTATTTAGCCGAGCAAAGAAAGTCACCTAGTAATTACACATCGCCGATCTTGCCTCAAACGGAGCATTACCATCGAATCAAGGGATAAATCTGAACGCGTAGCTGATTCGACATGTGTTTTGTCTTAGGCTTCGAGGCTTCGAGCATGTCCAGGTGGCTGTCGATCCTCCGGTGCGGGGGAAAAAGATGTGCATTAGTCCGAAGTAGTTTAATTTAGGCGTGTCTGCTCATTGCACGGTTTGGATCCAAGCTTCTTTTTCCTTGAGCGTAGACCGGGGATGTCGGAGCCGATAATCTAGTTTACTGATCGAGGGAATTGTTCCATCGGTTGTTTTTTAGACCGAGAGTTATTTCTGATGATGCAATTACTATAGTATTGATTGGTATAAGGTATTATTGCTCATTCGGGGTAGCTCTCGGGCGTGGAATTGGAGCTCGCGTCAATTGTAGTGGGAAGATATAGACAGAAGGCCTCAGGCATGTTGTTGTTACGGAAAGAGCTGCAATAATTTTTCCGCGTGCTTAAAAACAATTTATGTTGCTTATATCAAAGCAAAGAAACATTTTCTGCGTAACATGATTCCAATTGCTGCGCTGCGTTTCCCCGCATCGGCCCAATCGGGTAATTTCACGTAACCTTCCTAATCGGAAAGTCCTGACGAGGATCTTCCTGTCTCCGTTGCACGAAGTCGAAATGCTTGATTTCTACCAGGTATGACGTGATTTACACTGGCAGGCGACATTTCACTTCATTATTATGCAGTTCCAGTAGGTAATTAGCAATTTTGCCAAGCAGGGTACATAGGTTATGATTTTTTTGACGAGCAATTATTGAAAATGTACTAATATGATTGCTTGATGCAATTCAAGGGATCAAGACTATTTTATATTTCTCTTCAGAAGTTTTAGGACCAAGTAGAGAGAACAAAAGTTGGTCACCCAGTACCGGCATTTCGTACCTAGGAAAATAAGATGAAGCTTCCACACCGCAGCCCCGAAAGTAGTAGAGACGTAATAACTTGCAAATCTATGTATATTATTATGAAGTAGTATTCGTATACTCCTACTATTTCCTGCACCCAGATAATACTAATTATGAAAAAGGACATCAAGTGTTATTAATCGTGGCTTGCAATTCAAGATTATGTTCCCCCTTATTATGCAAGATCTGTTGGATGAGAGAATGCTAAGCATATGTACCATGTCTAAGAATGAGATTAGATAATGTGAGCGTGCGAGATATCGGATGAGCGGCGTGCAAGGTACCTGATAGTAACCAGGTAAAGCAGGATATCATTAAAAAGCTGCTATGAGAGAAGCATCGTTCAGATATTCAGCGAAAACGAAGAACGTATCATTCAGAGTCAAGGTGAGAATTATTCAAAGTCCTTCTCTCGCACACCCTCATGGGTTTCGGTCTGTCCATGCCTCGACAGTGATAAAGACGGCGTCTGAACAGATAGGTGCACATCCGCATCTCGAAGATTCTCTCCTGCTTGTCGAACCTGTTCACCAGTGTGCCGTAAATCCTCACCGGTATGGCGCAAATCTTCTCCAGTATGCCGAATATCATCTGCCGTCCCTCTGATATGTTGGCTAGCATCTCTAACCTGGTCGCGTGCGCCTGTAAATCGTTGGCCCACACTGTGAAGCTGATCTCGAAGGTGATGCTCCGTCTCGTCGCGCGTGCCCTGAAACCGCTGTCCCAAATTCCTTAATTCATCGCGAAGATGATGTTCCGTCTGATCGCGATGGCCAGCAATCGCGCCTTGCACCGCACTCTTGGCTTCAGCAAGCAAACTACCCCTTGGTCGCAGACTCGACAGATTCTCTAATCCACCTCTTTTGCCTCCACTGTCTGATGCCCCAGCCTCCATCTGCGTACGAACTTCTTCATACATTCGCTCAATGTTGTGTATCTCATCCTCAACGCTTAACTGGCAACCTTCCAGACAGAATTCTCGTTCGCGCTGTTCAATGTACTCGCGTATCTGACTCCATGCTTTTTCTATATTCCGCTCTTTGTGTGGAAGACCAGAACCGCGCAGATAGGTCAGGATACCTGCCATGATCGTGTTGATGGCTCCAAACGCCGTTACGGCGCCATGTGGACCGCTTGCAGCACCGATGGCTGTCAATGCAGCGGCAACCACAATTTGAATCGCCAGACATGTGTTGATCAAGATGTTGAAAATGCGATAGCGGGATGCAGCAGTTTTTTCTGCGGTGACAATTCGCGTGTATATGCCGACGTTGGGTGCATGCCTGGGAGAGAAGAACCCATGATTCGAAAGCACAGGCACTGAGTCAATACCCGTCAATGATCTGAATATCAGAAGTTTATTGTCTGCAGGAATCAAATTATGTGTTTGATGAAGATTGTATATCTGACTGACTCGCTCTCGCTCGTCTAGTGGTAGTGAGGGTGGTGGTTGATTTGGAGGCTCAAATTGTGTTGCGCCAGCATTCGGGTATGGTTGTGTAGGTGGTTGAGGGTGCAAAGAACCATGTACCCCCTCTGAAGGGAAGCCCTTTTCTTCTTGGTCAAAGGAGAAAAGCCGGCTCATATTGCGAAAGGATGCGAGGGAGGACAGCCGTCTGTAAAATGGTACACGAGAAGAAGGCTGTCTGTCGGGCTCCATGCACGCGACCGAAGCACCAGGTGCACAGATTGAGTAGTTAAAGATGCAGGGTTACGACAAGAAAATGCAGAGGAACACGCAACTTGCGAAAAGAAGAGAAGGTGCGAGAAAGGAACGTGTAAGGAGCACGCGAGTGAACAGAAGAAGAAAAAAGAAAGGAAGCTGTCAACATCCAGGCCAGCTAATGAACCAGCGTCTCCCGTACTGCATGATGTAACCGTGGACACCATCTCCTTGCTAGCGTGTATGATTTCGAGTATTTTCTGTGGACAGCAAGATAGCTTGACTTGATTCTTGATGCTCGGGCTGAGCTAAGAAAAGTTTTGCTTGACTCGACATTTTAGTCGTGAACTAGTCATACGGCTCTGCAGAATTTCATTCAACTACACCTTCTCTGAACCAATCAACAGGCCGTGGATAGCATTGTAGCAACGAACCTTGACGGGACTGTCGACGATCAGTCCATCCTAGATCACAAAACACTAAACCAGACTCCACCGACATGGGCATGCACGGGTCAAAGCCCCGTCTAGCCTCTCAAGGTTGTCTCAAAGTGTGCAGTAAAGCACTAAAGTCATGCAGTCTATCAGTGATGAACCACTTGGAAACCCGATGCTAAAGACTGCAGAACCTGTCAGATGTGTTAGCCTTTCAGGCTCGGAGTATTTCCTCCCCAAGGAGTCTTGAAGGAAATTAGGGGAGCACTCTTCAAGTTGAAAGCACGGCAGATCACAGAGTTGGCGACAGCAAACTGCAACCGAGTCTGACGATCTCTGTAAGTCAATCCTAGCATTTCAGCCAGCCCTTGAAAAGCCCAGTCACGAACTGGACTATCCGCACGGGAGATATAGAGGGGCAACTAAGCCTAGGGTAGTTAAGATCTGGGTGTTCGGTGGGGAGAATTAGTGGATGCGGTGTTCAGGGGATGCCCCGACCCGGCGACAACAGCGGCGCTAAAACTGGAATTTGAGTGTCACATTAGAACATTGCCGTGAGCTTCTGCCTTGGCATTTCTGATCAAGTATTAATTCATGCTGATCAATGGAGTTAGAATGAAAGGTTGACCGGCGTAGATGTCACGATTGATTTGACAACGGGATTGCCCGCGATCGTATGTATGTATCTCTCTGGATTAATACTCCGTAGTATCATATGGATCTTATTAATTAGAACCATTCTACTCATAGTATTCACTCCTTCCAAGGTTGTGCGGTATAAGACGAGCAACTATACCTACCTTTCGGAAAGCTAACACAAAAACCCAACATAGATCCCTGCCTTAATCACAAGACAAAATACAAAGAAAAAAATTTTGAAAACAAGAGACGAGTCTTGAAAAACTGCATGACCTTCCTTTCGGTTACCTCCGTTGCACCAAAAAAAGCCACCGAGTAAGTAAAACTTGGAAGGGAGCAAGATCACAGAGCGAAGAAATGCAGCAGGCTGGGACCGGATCAGCCACCATGCACCTAAGAGCGTCCAGGCTGATCCTTGACATAGCTTGAGCATATCACTTCGGCAATGTCATTAGTACCCAGCGGGAGATACTTTCGAGATAAAATGAAGTAGTATAAAGCATACTAAGCATCGCGACCAAATTATCAGCCTTCATCATTGAGTGTATGAGCTGCTCAAGGGCGGTCTCCTTTTCCCCTCTTTCGGAAATGCGAGTCTTGTTCGGAGTAGGTTACACATGAGTACGAATTAGGTATATGCACTCCGTTAATAAGAGCATCTAGATCGAGAGATACTAATCAAAGACTTGAATGGTCGATATGATGCTATTGGTCGATGTATGTAGGTATGTTTAATCAATTCTTTGTATTTGCTTCTTTCCTGGTCTCGTGACTGTATAACCCTAAGTAGAAGGTTGATTTCTGTATAGAGTAGACTAGATCATTATACTGAAAATTGTAGTATGATGTAGACAGACAAATTTGAGTATTCATTCGCCTTTTTGATTTGCATGCTCGTTGGCCAGCCGGCCATGTATTTATGAAGACCAGAAGAAAAGGAAATTACATAGAAGTAAGAGAATACAGAAACTAGAGAATCACTTAGGTCACTGTTTTCCCATTCTCATGCCAGCTATCAGCACCGAAAAGTTCGAGGACAAAGTGATCAAAATGAAACAAAAAAAAATCATAGACAAGAAAAGGAAAGCCTAACCATGAAAAGAGTCGGAGATACTTTTCAGACGCAGAGATCATAAACCCTCTGACATCAAAGTCAAATTGATCATAGGAAAACGAAATAAATGTCGGATCACAAATAAGAAGTAAGAGTAAGACAGGAGACGGGTTAGAGGAGTTGAGATGGAATAATATGCAAGCAGAAATAGAAGTTAGGGACAAATGTGACGAAGATACAACAAATATATCTCGATCAAAGTTCGCTCAGTGTACTTAGGTAGAAATGGGGGGTAGCTCTTCTGAAAGTGCAATATGCAAAAAAACACACGCTTTCTTTTAGAAGATAACAAGTATGCAGATACGGCGTCGTAGAAGAGTAAATTTTACCAGAGGTTAATATATGTGGTTTCGATTTATTCAAACTGGTTAAGTCGGCGGAAACGAGATGGTTCGTTCCTTACTCGGCATCCTCGATGGCGGCTTTCTTGAGCTCTTCGGCGGCATCGTCAGCACCATCCTTCTCTTGTTTGGCTTCAGCCTCGGCGGAAACGTGACCATTGACACCGGCATTGGTCTGGGCCACCTTCTTAGCGTGGTCGGTAGCACGCTGGGATTCTTCCTCGAGACGCTCAATCTCTTCCTTAGCTTTCTTGATGTTCTGCTAGATGTCAATAATTGCTAAATCAAGTTTGGGCAATAGACTATAGTAAAACGTACCTCCTGAGTCTTGGCGGCCTGGTTCTTCTTCCACTCGGTAATCTTAGCAGCCAACTTTTCCACAACAGCGGGGACATCAGCCTGGCTCATGGGCTGATCAACCTTGACCTTGGCAAAGTCCTCAATGACGCCAAAGCTGAGGTTGAACTTGCCCTCGGCAGCAGGAGCGGGAGAGGCACTGCCACCCTTCTTGCCCTTCTTTCCCTTCTTACCACCCGTACCAACGAAGTAGTCTTCCTCATCCTTCTTGACAACCTTGAAGCCCTTGATGCCCGACTCGTCGACGGTACGTCCAACCTCAGCACGGAAAGCACCGCCTGCGGTTCTCTTGTTGTCGTCGAGACCAAGGGAAGCAAAGTCATAGTTAGGGTTGAAGTGGCGGATAAGCCCTTGGGCAGTCAAGATCTCATCAGTGTAAGCGAGCTGAGAAGCCTCCTCCAACTTCTTGTCGGCAATCTTCTTCTTCTTCTCGCGTTCGAATGCTTCACGCTCGGCCTTTTGGCGCTCTCGGCGAGCACGCCAGACCTCATCCTCGTGTTCTTTGTAAGCCTTACGCTCCTTGTAGTAGGTATCCTTAAGTTCGCGGATGGCGGTAAACTTGGCTTGCTGGTCCTGCTGCAACTTGGTACGTTCGTCCCGGAGAGAGTTAAGGTTCTTGAAAGCGGAGTCCTGTTCAGCTTTGATAGAGTCGAGCTCTTGCTGGATTTCATTGTACTTGTCGCTCAGAGCACGGGCCTCGGGGTTGTCAAGAGTCTTCTTCAATTCGGCGATCTGCTTCTTCAAAGAGTCGATGTTCTTCTGACCGTCGTCCAAACCGGCAAAGTTCTTTCGCTGCTTGCGCAAGCTGGAAATGTCCGAAAGAGCCTTCTTCTCATCGACCAAGCGCATGCTTCCGGAGTCGACCTGTTTCTCTAGGCGAGCAATCTCCTTGTCGATCTCCTCGACATTCTTGAAAGCGATCTTGCCGCGAGAGTTGTTTTGCTCGGCAACACGTGCCTTGAGGGTGGCGTCAAGAGCATTAAGCTTTTCCTGAGTGCTGGAACGAGCAGATTTGAAGCCTTGTTGCTTTTGACGGATGGCAGAGAGCTCAGCACGGAGTTCCTTTTGTCTCTTGGCAGCAGGCGAGTCCTGGTTGTTGGGCTTTGCGCTCTCGATCTTGGCCTTGATTTGGTTCTATTGGTTGCAGAATTAGCACTCGCCTAGATCAAGTACAGAGTATATTAGAGAGCGCACCAATTTCTCCTGAGCAGCAGCATGTTCCTTTTCGGCTGTAGCCAGATTGGCTTTGTAGGTAGCCTCATCGGGTTTTGTGGGCCGAGTCTTCTGCCCGACAGCAGCGTCTGTGGCAGTGGAAGCCATTGTACCGTACCGTCGACCTGTCAAAGAAAGGAATGAATATTAGTAAATGTTTGAAATAGGGCTATGTGACGAGTCGCATGAGGGTAAGGTGCTGATGAGAGGTCGTGTGCTTGATGATGGACACTGGACGAATCAAAAACCACAAAAAATCATCCATTGATGTTACACCAGTTAAAGCATAGACTTACCGTCCAAGAAAGATCAAACAACCAGATGTGAGAGAGAGAAGTCTCAGACGACAATTGCCAATGAGTGACTCGCAAAGGACAACAAAGTGCCTAACTAAGTTGACCGACTGCGAGACTTAATTATTTTTCCCGTTCGCTTCGGTTCTAGCCTCTTCCGACACCGCCTGCGCTTATTTGGTTTTAGCGCCCGCTTAGCTGATTGGAAGTTCTTTCTCTTTTTCGCCGATCCAGCGACAAGACTGAAAATAATTCTGTTGTTGCAACTTACGACTACCACTTGAATTTGAGCAAACGATCTGCCGGCTGCGAAAGTGTAGTTGAACAACACATCGCCGAGCTTTAGTAAACAAAGGAAAAAGTCCTCGTATCCTGACCTCATCGAATTCGATTCCCCAACTGCGCCTCGCCGGTGCTCACAACAGTCATTATGGAGGAAGACACATCAGCAAGCAGCCAGGAAGCAAGAAATGAGATGGCCAGACTCTGGCGTACATGGCGCACAGTCCATGAGATGCTTCGAGATCGGGTAGGCCAATATCAGCCTGTCACTTTGTCTTCAGTGGCATGCTAACATGATTGCTTAACTGTACAGGGCTATGAGATGTCTGAAGAGGAGCTAAAAATCGACCTTCAAGACTTTGCAAATAAATTCAGTGGCCCAAATGGGTTTCCTAGGTATGCTGAACTTCACTTCAAATTTCGATAGCACCTTATCTGAACTCTTCAACTCTTCAGTCGCGACAGAATGACAATCGCCGCCATCCCCTCCGAAGCCATGAAAGCCAAATACACCCCTCTCAAGAAACGCCCAAGCGACCCCGACCCAGTCCCCGACTGCGGCCAAATATTTGTCCAATTTTGCGAAGACTCGAGCGGTGTCGGCGCCAAACAAGTGCGCCAATTCAACCACCTCGTTGACGAAGGAAACTACCATTCTGGCATATTCATTACTCGCACAGCCATTTCGCCCTCCGCTGTTCGTCTGCTGAACAGCGCTATTGGCCATATTTGCGAACATTTCCAAGAGTCCGATCTACTGGTTAATATCACGCACCACGAACTTGTGCCTAAACATGTGCTTTTGAGTGCAGAGGAGAAAGCGCGCTTGTTGGAACGGTATCGTCTTAAGGAATCACAGCTGCCGAGAATTCAGGTTTCGGACCCTGTCGCGCGTTATTTGGGCTTGAGGAGGGGCCAGGTTGTCAAGATTATTCGGAAGAGTGAGACGGCTGGTCGATATGCAAGTTATCGCTGGGTTATTTGAGCTCCGTATCGAAGGAACGGAACACATAGTCGTACCGTATTCGAGGAACACGTACGACTATGCAATAGCAGCAGTACACACAACGACTCAAATAGCAAAAACGAAGAAAAAAAACAAAGCATACAACAGCGTGGCGTATCGGCGCATACATGGCAGCTTTTCATCAAGTCAAAAAGCAAGACACTGCAACCCCCCAAATCGAAGGACCCGAACTGGACTGGTTGATATTTTACCCATTGAATTGTACACATGTAATTTAGGTTGAGTGTATAGGTTGGGTTGTTTTCTCGATAGAATCGAGCTTTTCAAGTTTATTTTTCCCCGGTACTACATTCAGAACGCATTGGTGAAATTCACCAGCAAGGTAAATCATCAGGGTATAAGTATATTTAATTATATTAGAAGCTAGAAATATAACGAATAGAATGGGTATATCCACCAACGCCAACGCTAAATAAATTCGGAAAAGTCCATCCAAAAGCAAACCACAACAGACCGTCGAGATGCGCAGCAGTAGCTGTATTTGTGCATAGACGAAATAGATAGGTTATTGTTCGTGTTGTATGTCACTCTCTTTTGAGTGGCATGTAGTAGTAGTAATGTCTGATTCGGTTCGTGGGCGTGTAATGAGACCGCCTACATCTTGTAAGAATAATTCTGCGCCCGGGTGATGATGATCGCGATCATATTCGAGCTGTGGTGCGGCGTATTGCGGCACTCGAAAATGGATCTGGGCAGGATGGGAATGAGCTGCTGCTGAGCCAATAGGCTCCGTTTGATGACGGATGAGCTCGATAGGATGAGACTGTGGCTGTGGCTGTGAGTGCAGAGGCTGCTGAAGCTGCCGTGGTGACGGAGAATCGTCCAAAAGACCGCCCACATCGTAAAACGAGACACTTCGTCGTGGCGCTTTAGGACTCATCATTGGATCATTGATATCTGCAAATGAAGCCGGCGGTAAAGCCGTTAGGGTCTTGCTTGTTGTCGAACTACCCGTCATCGTGTAATCCTCTATACTCCCTGAAACGCTCTGCGGTGTGTCATCGCGCGGATGCTGTTGATTACTGAATCTTTTGAAAACAGGCGCCGGACGCATAATATTCTGCTGTGTGGCATGCAACTCCGGATCGAGTCTGATACCCAGCCCATTGACTATATCCGCATCACTGCCCCAATGATGTTTGGTGATAGTAGAACGTCGGATGGATGTATGATCGACGCTATCAATCACCGAAAGCGAACCTTCTGCTCGTCTATATTTTGGCTTTTTCAGACCGCGGTCGCGGAGGAATGAGCCAATGACCACAAAATTGGATACGAATGTAGCCGCTAGAATTTCTAAAGAGGCGACTAGAGAACGGAAATTTTGAATCCCATTCTTTTGAATGACCGATGGTACTCGATACCCTGTGATAGCGACTAGGAGGAGGGAGGAAGCGAATAAGATGGTGAGCTGAACCTTGCGCATGACAGACATCGCCGACGCCAGGAATAGGGATACAGGGAGTACGACAAGGAACACATCGGTGAGAATGTCACACACGCCCATTGTGAGCAAGTTGGCATATCCCAGCCTGCAATACGGACCGGGATCGGGAGTGACCTGCCAGTAGTGCGAGAAGGGGTGACATTCGACCAAGGTTGCAATGATGACAGCTGCGAGTGTACTGGCGAGGAAATACTCGATTGATCGGAGTGCCACTTGGAAGGTTCTCGTCCAGACCATGCCGGTCAGTCGTCTCAGAAATTCACAGACGGTATATTTGGCCATCCAGATGCTGTACATCAACGTTAGCCCGACATTTTATGATTCGCTTCTTGACAGAGATGATGAACTCACTAGACTGCGTAGAATATTCTAGCCGCCAATACAAGTCGACTACCAATTTCCCGATCTCGAATATCCATTTCCGACAATCCATCCGTTTTGGCGTTATTTGTACCCCAGATTAGCACTAGATGGACCAGCGTCATTCTCACAATTAATGGAACAACAGCAACCATCATGACCTTGTCCTCGGTGAAAAATCGATTTGTTCGACGATAGCGGCCGAACATGCGTATGCCAATGATGACCAAGGATGCGGCAGTACACCACCAGCATACCAGCAACGTAGGATTATTTTGTTGCGCAGTGCGCGGACTTGGCGGGACATGGTTATAAATGTCTCTGGCGAAGAGCGAAGGCCGCGATAGTATCGTTGACATTGTCGCCTCCCTTTTCCTCTTGCTGGGACTAACCCAACCTTGGAAGTGGGTAAGTACCTCCCTTAGGTATTAGTATTGCGCAGGTCGCCTCCAACCTCAGCACAGCTGGAATCCATCAGTGTTTTTGAAAATTTCTGGTCGGTGAAGGATGTAATTATATCGACAGTGTCCAGGTTTGAACCTGCCAAACCGTGGCTGTACCCCCTATGTTCCTTCAGGGCCTCCGTAGTGTCTAGTATATATATGTATTTCGAAATCCACATATACACAAGGATAAACCGGAGAAATAGCGATACCCGGCCAATGTTCTTTGTGTAATTGACGACGCGAATTGCAGAAATGAAAAAAGATCAAGGGTCTGACTAGTATTTTAGTATTCCAGACTTTCTGCAGATAACCTCGCTGGCCACGCGAAGAGACTCGCGTACATGTTACTCGTAAATGCGGCTGGCCGGGCGTAACGGGCTCACGAGACAATAAGTACTTATCAGATAAGTGACTGGCGCTAAGCAATCGCCAATGGAGCAAAAGTGGAAATGAGCACTTTGAGGCGAAGCGTCAAAATTAAAACCAACCGGTTTAGTTGGAAGGGTACGAGTCATTTACCGAATGCCAGCTAAGAGGGCCAAGTCCCTTGCTGCGTGCTTGTTTTGCCAATCAATTGGACAGCAATTTAGGAGAGATAAAGAGATGTTGGTCGGTGAAGTTTTGACTCTCATGTTTTCCCCTCAGTAGAACTGAAAACAGTAAACGATATCCTTCGTTATCCGATCGATCCACACGAGGTACCATATCAAGACTAACAATCTAAGGCTCGTATAAGTACCGTCACACGAACAGCCGTTGATAATACATAGATCTCGTATTGACAGTTGAAAGATAGAGTATGGGCCTTGATCATTGGCTTATTGGCCATTATTACGGTAACATGTCTGTAAACATCACTCGGAGAATTGATTACGGCAAAAAACCACGCACCGGCCGTGGGGTACGAGCGTATCAGCGCTGGGGGAGCCAATCAGCTACAACAACCACGTGCGAACCCGCCATTAGGGAGCCGCTGCATGCGATGTGAAACTCTAATTGCTTGTACGAGCCGGTCGGTAATTACGTTACATACTTACCCACGTAATGTTACACGGATTCTTCCGATGTTAGTGCACTTTGACTAAATGGGCAATAAGTCGTTGGACATCACATGATTGCTTAGTGCTCTCATAGTCAGGTTGTCTTCAGCGTATTTGAATAAATTCATCTGGTAGTTCGACGCGGCGCAGTAGAATCGTCCAGAGCGTATTCAATTCCCGCCCATTGGAGTTCTAGAGCACGCCTGTAATAAGCTGCCTAGATTTAGGTTTTAGGCCTGGTTTTTGGCTTCGTTGAAGTGGATTCTTATTGGCGATTTTTTTTTCATGCTAAGTCTGGTTAAGCTTTGGCTCTATTAGAGGGAGCACACATAGCATGCCAACGGGGCTGAATGCAATTTAGTCTAGACACCGAGTCAGAAAGACTGATTAGAGTCCTAGTTGAGACATATCTCATGATGATTCTCCTGTTTGACTGGAGGTTTGATGACCACGCTGACTTGTGGCTGCCTCGATGAGAATATGGCGTGGGTGGGCAGTGGTTGGTAGCCACGTCTCTTACCGCGTTGTTCTGAACATTTCCGTCAATACAGCCTTGGGATTCGAGGTTAATCAATGAGCTTTGTATGATTATAATCCGAGTGAGCCTGAGTCAAATAGCCCCAATGATCCGTGTCCTTTGTAAGTAGAAGATCTAGGAATTGTGAATCTAGTAAGTACAATCGCATATTCCTCGAGGTCAAGAGACGAATGCAATCCGAGCAAACATATATTCTCAATGCACTAAGCTTAATTCAGAAAGCAAGGCATCAAGGCACCAAATATGACATAAGCAAAATGTGGGGCATCATGTCTCCGCCGCTAAAGCTTTCGAGAAATAAAATCTCAGAGTCAGCGGCACAGCTACAAGCAAAATATAGTCTGTGCAACCCACGTACCAATCCGCGATGGGTAAGGGCAAGAAGGTAAAAGCATAATCCCTAGAGCCAGATATATCAATTTTGATATCATGAAAGGTGCCCGGCATCGCTAACTCCGGTCGCAGTTCGCAAGGAAAGGCGCCGCCCCAGCCAATCGAGGACGTTCAAATTGGACTGAGATAGTCAAGAGCAATGAAAAGTATGAAAGCTACTACAACGATCACGGGCTCATTCCCCAAGAAGAGCAAGAGGCTTTCTGGGCTGCCTTGAGAAGAGAGCTCCCTGCTAGCTTTCGCTTCACGGGCTCCCGAGGGTACGTCATACATTATTGTCGCTGGCGCATTTTGTATACAATGAAGCAGCGCTGACAAAGCTCGCTCTGATAATAGACATGCGATAGCTGTCAAGAAAACACTCGTCGAATATCACATCCCGCAAATCACCTCCATCACGTATGAAGGCAACGTTGTCGAGCCCCCCAAGCCCGTCCCGTGGTATCCCGATCAATTGGCATGGTTTATGACGACCCCGAAAAATGTCATTCGACGATTCCCTCCCTTTTCGTCCTTTCAAAAGTTCCTTGTCTCCGAAACAGAGGTCGGCAACATTACGCGCCAGGAAGTCGTGAGCATGATTCCACCTCTATTCCTCGACGTCAGACCCGGTATGACGGTGCTTGACATGTGCGCCGCGCCTGGGAGCAAATCTACCCAGTTGATGGAATTACTACATGCTGGGGAAGAGGAGAGCGTGCGCAAAGCCGCTGCGGAAATCGAGCAGGGCACTTACGACCCATCGCAAAACCCAGAGGGACTGAGAGATGACGGCCGTACTACTGGCCTTCTCATCGCCAACGATAGTGACTACAAACGAGCTCATATGTTGATTCACCAGATGAAGCGACTCAACTCCCCGAACTTGATCGTTACAAACCATGATGCTACTTTCTATCCATCGCTCAAACTTCCCACACCCCCTGGGGACAGACAGCCAAACGTTTATCTCAAATTTGATCGTATTTTGGCGGACGTTCCTTGTTCTGGAGATGGAACAACGAGAAAGAACCCCAACATCTGGTCTGAATGGAGCCCCAGCAGTGCGCTCGGTCTACACGCAACCCAAATGCGCATTCTCGTTCGGGCTCTCCAGATGCTCAAAGTGGGTGGACGAGTTGTCTATTCTACATGCAGTATGAATCCAATTGAGAACGAAGCTGTTATTGCTGCAGCTATTGAGCGTTGTGGTGGTCCGGACCATGTTGAACTTATCGACTGCAGCAAGGAACTGCCAGACTTGAAGAGAGTCGATGGATTGAATACCTGGAAAGTTCCAGATCGCGATAATCGTATCTGGAACAGTTGGGAAGAAGTAGAAGAGCACCGAAAGAGCGAAGGGATTACTGGACTCGGTCGTTTAGCGGCAAGCATGTTCCCACCGACAGAAAACTTGCATCTCGAGCGCTGCATGCGTGTGTATCCTCATTTACAAGACACTGGTGGCTTCTTTATTACAGTTCTAGAGAAGAAGACAGAAATCAGAGCCAAGCCAGAGGATTCGACAAAGGTCATTCCCAAAGCCTCTGTTGCCGCCGTTCTTGAGGAGTTGGACCAAAGGAACCGTAACGGTAATGGTGGATTTATGGACAAGATCGAAGCGCTCGATGATATTGTGCCCCATAGTGAGGGAACAAGTCTAAAAGACGCTACAATAGCTGAATCATCCCACCAACCCCCATACAAAGCAACCTTGGATGAACCAGCTTCGAATAAACGATTGGCTCCTGAAATTGAAACTCAAATGCCGGTCAAACGTACAAAGCTTGAAGACGGCACAGAAGTTTTCATGGGTGATCGACCAGTCCACTATCCTCCTCCATCTGCTGTCGAAGACCTGGAAGATACCACCGATTTCTCACGCGCAGAAGAGCCCAAGCCGAATCCCAACGCTAAGGCGTCGAAGAAAAAGCCGGGACAGCCGTTTGAGGAACCATTCACCTTTATCGATGGCCAACAAGAGGAGGTTGCAAATATCTTCAAATTCTTCAATATTTCCGATCGGTTTCCCCGGGACCGATTCATGGTACGAAATGCGGCGGGCACTCTCAGCAAGACTATTTACTACACCAGCGCACTGGCGCGAGACATCCTAACCGAAAACCAGGGACGAGGAATCAAGTTTGTACATGCAGGAGTAAAGATGTTCGTGAAGCAGGATGCTCAGCGACAGAATCAGTGCCAATGGCGCATCCAGACTGACGGTCTGCAACTAGTAGAGACCTGGGTCGGACCTGAGCGTGTAGTGATATTGACCAAGAAGGAAACACTACGAATTCTATTGAAGGAGTTGTTCCCTCGCTTGGACAAGGATAATTATCTGCGTTTGGGAGAAGTGGGTGAGAGAATCAAAGACATGGATCTTGGGTGTTGCATAATGAGAGTCGAGCCAACTGAAGGTGAAGATGGATTCCGGTAAGATCTGACTATGAAAGTTTCACTATAGGCAACTGCTGACTCCGTTCTAGTGAGCGAATGGTCGTCCCTCTCTGGCGATCATTGTACTCCGTCAACCTCATGCTACCCAAGGAGGACCGCCGCGCCATGCTTCTCCGAATTTTCAATGACACCGAGCCCGTCGTTCACATGCTACCCGCCAAAAATGCAGCTGTAGCTGATGGTGAAGCCGATACAACTGAGATGAGTGATATCGCCGGAGATGCTGTAACAGCCACAACGGACCCAGAGATGGTGTCCGATGTCATTTCCGCTGGCAAGACAGAGGAAGAGATAATCAAAAACGAAAACCTCATCCGTGGCGAGGAACAGGAAGAACTTGTCACGAAAAGGGAGACGTATCAGCTCGATGGCGATGAAGAGGATCGATTTAATACGACGGTTTAGAGTTATTGATGATACCTGTCTAGAAGTGGAATGGGTTATATGATGTATATGTAACAAAAGGTGAATACATGTCGGCGTTATTACTCGCTTATACTGGTTGATTTACAAAAGAATTGAGCATGCATGAAATTAAGCTGCCTGGTATAAAAATAAAATACGGCCTCGTTCATCTGGTGGCTCATCATGTCCAGCCACATCCTATGAACCGGGAACTCGACGCGATCATAAACCTGACTCGTTGCCTATCATCCCCTTTCGTGCGTAAAAGCTCAAATCCAGACTCATGTGCCACCAGCCGACAGTCAATAATAAGTCGTCCGTACAAAGTATACACTTTGAATATAAAAGCGTCATCTCATACGCCTGAGCGCCCTCAACCCTTGCGGATTTCGAGAATGGGGCTGTGAAGTCCATTCCGGAATTAGTATAGTGTGCGAGGTTCTGTTCCATTGGAGCTTCACAAGGTGTTGTCTAAGAGGCTGTCCTGAATATTTGAATGATAAAATTTAAGCTTTCGATGATCGGTGGAGGAGGTCGATGGCTCAGCTCGTTCATTTCGTTCATTCGGTTTCTGTAGGCAGATGGGTTATGGATGCTATTTTTGTGAGGATAGACGTATCGGAAAGTTATAAATAAGAGAAGATTGACCATCTTATGCTTGATCATTTTCATTAACATCCTCGATTCAAAAAATTGACTACAAAGCCATTTTTGACTTGTAGTTTTCAATCTACTGATTCTCGACTTGCTTATACTCGTTGACTGTTGGCCAATCAACGACTACAATTCAAATCTACAAATTCTACATCATAAATCTTCAAGACACAAAAACATACTCTGCACAACATGGGTCTGATCAAATCCGCTCTTCTACTTGGAGGCGGCATCTACGCCGTAAAGAAAATCACCAAGTAAGTTCTCTCAACTGCTACGTTTCGACTCATGAAAAAAGTGCACTACTGACTGACTGTCTTCAGGAGCCAAGAAAAGAAACACGAAATGCAGAAAAATAATAATAACAACAACCAAGACATGTACATGTACGGCGGTGGCCATCTGGGTCAGAATCAACAATACTCTCAACCACAATCACAGTATCAGCAGCAACAACAACGGCCCGGTCAAGGATACAATTATAACGGAACTCGCGATGGCTCGTATCCCGCGCCGGATTACAATAAATCCCGAGGACAATCGCCACACCCCGCATGGGAACATCCTCCGCAGTCGCAATATGGATATGCAGGCAATGGACACGATGACTTTCCGCCGGCGTATATCGCGCAGGATGAGAAGAAGAGGATGAAATAAGTTATTCTTTTTATGATAACTGTGTTCAAGATGGAATTGCATGTGTATGTTGGGTTGAAATAGCGTTCTGCCAGTTGATTTATTTTTGTTTGGCATGGGATTAGGGTTTGATTGGTCATGTTTTGTGTTATGTATGGATTATTGCTGCATTGAATTCTGTTTGAACTCTTCCATTCTGGTATTCTCGGGCTGATACAAACATCCATACCTGCGTACAATCTGAATAGAGGCAACATCTCCTGGACTACCAATACAACACTAAAGCCTGGAACCATTCGCAGCTCTCACTAGTGCAGCTGCTTCTTCTCTCAAAACCTTCTTCAAAATCTTCCCCGACGGAGTCTTCGGAATCGCATCCACAATCCTCACCCCTCCCGTCAGCCACTTGTACTTGATCAATCTCTCAGCCAAAAATGCCTTGAGCTCCTCTGGATCTGGCAGATTTGCTTTATCTCTAGCAACGACATACGCCATCGGATGCTCATCAACAATACCCGGGAAGCGTACTCCAATAACCGCCGCATCGACGACCTGGGGGTGTGAGAGGAGCACAGCCTCTAGTTCTGGAGGCGCTACCTGGAAACCGCGTACTTTAATCAATTCCTTCTTCCTGTCAACGACGTAGAATTTATATTCCTCCGAAAAGTATGCTACGTCGCCCGACTTGAACCATCCCTCCTCGTCAAAGGATTCTTTGTTGGCTTGTTCGTTTTCGAAATAACCGTTGAAAATGGTTGGGCCTCGAAGCCATATTTCCCCGCGTATATTGGGTTTGGTTACTTGGGTACCATCGTCATCCACGAGTCTAGACGACTATTAGCCATCCACCGCAGCCAAATTTCAAAGATTATAGGAGAACATACTTCACTTCAAGACCCGGAATAGGTCTCCCCACCGACCCAGTATCATCGTCCTCCCCATACGGTGTAATCATAGCAAGACAAGTCGTTTCCGTCATTCCAAAAATCTGCGTAAAAGCTACGCCCGGCAGCTTCTTGCGAAGTTCATTTTGTGTGATAACGTCAAGCGGCGCGGCACCTGAAAGCCCAAATTTGACGCTTTTCATGTATTGAGGATCGTCAAGGAGGGGACTCTTGATGAGTGCAACGACGATTGGGGGTACGACCATTAAATCTGTAATTTGGTATTTTTGGACGTATTGAAAGTACTTGGTTACGTCGAATCGTCGCATGATGTAAGTGGGAACGCCTGCTCGTAGGGCGCTGTTGAAGTCAATACTCTGAAATTGTGAAATTCACAAGCAGTCTATTGCAGGGGCGTGTCAACTGCATACCTGGTATTCGTCACTGGTCCGCAACCGATATGAAACAATGGAAGAGGAATAAGTCGTGAAATCTATTCGTCGTCAGGCCATACGCACTTCCTGCGAATCATACAACTGTTCATCTTACCTGATACGGGCGCGGATTCGTATCATACACAAGCGTATGTTGCGCAACAAGATTGTAATGACTCAATATGGCCCCCTTGGGAAGCCCCGTCGTCCCACTACTAAACTGTATCGCAGCCGGGGTTCTCTTGGACGTCTCCAAATCATCGAACCTATGCCAATCTCCACTCGACTCCTCTGCCTCGAAAAGCGTCTTCCACGACCGCACATCTTTGGGAGCCACAAAATCTTCTTCCCATGTGTCGAATACCCATGTTCTATCCCTGGGAAGGCCCGTCGCGTCTGCCGCGGCTAGCGATTCGCTCAGTGGCTCGGGTCCCGAAATGAGAAATCTCGCTTTGGAGATTTTAATGTGATGCGTGAGTTCTCTGTGCTTGTAGCCGGGATTCGTGCCTGCAAATACACCTCCTGCTGCAATGACGCCGAGTAAGAGGACTGGGTAGTAGATCTGATGTAGTATATGGATTTAGCTTTGTGTTGTCAAGCCATGGTTGATCTAGGGTTTTCGTACGTCGTTCCCTGAGTTGACAAGTACGCAGTCGCCGACTTTCAACCCGGCTCTTTTAAACCCCGTTGCAAGCTTTCCGACAAGCTCTCTGGCTTGATTAAATGAGACTGATCGCGACGGATTGGCAGGGTCTATTAGGATCTGAGCATCGTCATCATTAGCGACGAGTTGGCAGAAGCCTGACGGCAATTCATTTACGAAATCTGAAACCGATACGTACGGGCTTTTCTCGATCATATTGCGGGCCATTGAACACCCACGACGCAAGGTCCTCGGTCGGTATTCTTGGAAGCTCTGAAGTAGAAGTCTTTTGTTCCATAGTTGTGTACTTCGGTGTCACCTACACACGTTGGTTTTCCTTAAGGAAGAATTGGTCACCGATAGCTGTAAACATCTAGCAAAGTAAACTAGCAGAGGTGTACTCTGCTAGTTGCAAGGTTCTCCTCTTTTTAAAGTAAATCTGGAGATTCAACTAAGCCCTAGTTACATGACTCAGCTGAGTCAGCTCTGAACCCATTCAGCTCACGTAATTTATATGCATACGTAATAGTTTACCAACCTGAGAATAAATTTAGCATACATTTCGTTCAATATTTCATCTGCATTGTGATTGAAATGTAAATTAGTTTCAAAGCCAACTGTCATATAAATGTTTGCTCTGCTGTTGGTGGGTGACAAGATTTTCGTCCCCTTTGACAGATAACGGTTTCCGAATTAACTTGAAAGGCATAGATATTAATTGACCCACCAGCTTAGACCCCAAATATACACGACCTATAGTCGTTCAAGTCTTCCTTGAAAGCTCTTCTAGGAAAAAATTTGCGGAAATCAAACACGCAGCTCTCAAGACCCTACTGTATTCACCGCCACCTCAATCACCAAGCTCAGCGATCATCATTACGGAGAATTGTAGTTCTACACGGGTTCCGGAGTCCGTAGGCTACGTTAAATAAAGTAATATATGAGGCGATCTCTATATATATGCATTTGCATTTATACAGTCACTAATGAGGAAGCTAGCCCACTTGTTCTTAAGTCTAGATGTGACATTAGTCTGGGGGACGGGCTGTGCCGTCTCGGAGCTAGGGCCAACTGAGGCACCTGGGGATGGCGGCAACAGCAGCTAATCCCAACTGTTCAATCTTATTGATGTGGGTATTTCGGCCGGACTTGGAATTTGATCTAAGATCTTCATATTGACAGGGTTTTTAATATGATAAGAAGTTTGAAAATGATGACCCGCGGAACCAGGATATCGTTCCAGCCAGTATGGGACGAAAGTTGGCATGCGAATGTCCCAACAAAGTCTTTTTTAGGTATGTGGGAGAGATGAAGTCCCACGGGATCTGATTGATCAGCATTTGGCATGCTGAAGTTGTTGAGAACTGGTTTGTTATTCGTATCCCTAAACAAATACCCGTAGCTACTACTACTATAGTACAGTCGTTGTACGAGGTTTCTAAGAATGACCTGGAGTGTAATTTTACATATCGGTAGGACCTTAAAAAGGAGGTCATTCAAGAACGGCAATCACTCGAAAGTAATACAAAGATGGCTAGGATCATTTTTTTTTGACGATCGAGGATGAGAAATGGTTAATAATATTAAGAAAAGTTGTACCAAATTGGTCCTCTGAACTGATATTGAAGTATGAACTGCAAAATCTTGAAGATGGTGGCAGAGAGGGTACCCAAATGGCATGGAAATAAAAGTAAAAGAGTAAAACAGTAAAACGCAGGAAAAAAGCTATTCTCGACACCCCTTGTAGTGCAGCTTGCAAAGCATATGCACGGCCAACCCTGTCTCATTACCTCTACTCCATATTTAAAGGCCAATTTCTGCAAGCCAATCATGCGCGGCTTTGAAAGTCTGGTTGGCAGTGTAGTGGAGGTTGAGGACGTGGCCAGTATCTGGGATCTCGACGAAAGAGTAGTTGGCCTTCGGGTAAAGAGTTGCAGTTTGGGCAATCATGTTCAGGTCGCCCTCGCCGCAGTTGGTCTCTCCGGTAATCTCAGGAAGAGAAATTCCGCAGAAGACCTGATCCTTGTGGCCAGTAATCACCTGAACAGGTCCGGTGTAGTCGTTGGCAACATTCGTAGAGAAAATGGCACTGATAAACTCGCCTACAGTGACTGTCTGGTAAGTCTCCTTGTCGAGAGCAACCATCTCCTCAGGCCATTCGCTCTGATCATTGGTGAACAACAAAGAAATACGTCCATCTTCGTTGCTCATGGCAAAGTAACCAAGTGCGAGATCGCTGAAACGGTCTGAAACCAACGAAGCTGGGAGGACAAGAGGGGTAACAGCAATACCGGGCAATGTAGGCTTGATGAATTTCGTGTAACCGCTAAGGATTAAAGCATCAATGTCGTCGGGATACGTTGTTGAGTGGCTGTTTCCGAGAACAGAGCCGAAAGAATGGCCGACAAAGGCGATCTTGCTGAATTTACGACCACCAATGCCACCGTTGCGAAGCTGACTGATGATGTTGTGGTGCACCTCAACTTGAGTTGGAACTTGGACTTCGAGGATCGGGTCGGGGTGGGAAGAGTTGGCATAACCTAGACGATCAATGGAAAGTGTTGGGTAGCCCAATTTCGAGGCATAGGCAATCCAAGAATAGGCATCGCCGTCGAATCCCGTGGGGTAACCACCACCGGACCAGTAGTTCTTGTCCACAGTGATCCCATGGACCAAAAGCTGAATTGTATCCTCTCTTCCGGCGACCTGGACTTCGGGCTCACAGAAACGGCCAGAAATGCTGTATGTGCCGCCAACGGACAAGGTATCCTGGACAAGGTCGCCAACACTGTTCAGGACATTTTGTAATTCTTCAAGCACCACGCCGGTGCCGATATTGGTGAGCGCAGATACCAATGCATCAGGTGCCTGATAATTCTCTGCAGAGATAGTAACAGGAATTGTAATTTCCGAACATGTTGGTTGCAAACGTTTGACGGTTGGATGCGCATTAACGAGTGTCGTTGCAATGCTTCCCAATAGGAAAGCCGACTTAGAGAAAGAAGGCATCGTTAAAAGAATGACAAGTGGTCTGTGGCAATAAATTAAAGAGTGAAATAGGCCCGAACGCTGAAGAAACGCCAGACGTACTCCACGGCGCTCAATGTCATCTTATATAGAGTAAGATCATCGTGAAGGGTTTCAATATGTTGCCCCCTAAACCGGTGAGAGCGGGAAAGTACAAGCAAATTTGAGCAGCTAGCCCCTTCCTGTTATTACCTAGCCAGTTTGTTATAGCAGCTAGAGATAGCTTTTAGAAACGCGTGGACATACGAAGAGCGACCGTTAGGCAAGAAGTGGAGTGAGCCATTGACAAGCAGCTTGCCGGCATGCAATTGTATGAATCAGAGCCTTAGTTAAGCAAATACTACTCAAAATTCAAAAGCAAAGCAGTATAGGGAATTATTTGGTATCAATATTACGAGGGTCAAGACGTTCTCTGCTCTATTGTTTTGGCACTTCTCATTTGAATTCCACTGCTCTTAAAAAGTTTCACAGTGTCTGTCAGTGAGTATGTTGTCATTGCCAACCATGCCCAGAACCTAGGTACTTGGAACACCACATAAGCGAACTATAACGGAGGGTTTAACAGTCTGAGTCAACATATTATAAGGATTATTTGGCAGATCAAACGCATATCCCAATTTCAACCTTCAACCCCGTGCTAGCTTTTCAGCTCGCGTAGCCTAAGGATCAGTGTGGACACTGAAGGAAGCAATTGACTCTAACCATGATAGAATAATGTCCTGTGAGTAATTCTCAGCGGATGAGTATTAAGCACAAAGAGAAAGTTTAGTATATTACAGTGCCTCTTATAGTTGGCTGGATGCTAGGCTGGGAGCTCATAAAGAATTTTCGAGTACGTATTATAACCTGATATAGCTAGCGTTGGCTATAACGCTTGTCATTGACGAATACTAGCCTACTTTACCACGAGCAACTTGGAAAACCAGACATGAGGAATGAATAAGAATAAGGATAAGACAGGTCTTGGTAGCCTCTATACGAATAATCGTCTTGATAGGAGCCCATACAGAAACAAAAACCTTTACAAATAGAAATTAAATTATAGGAAAGAATATTACTCGTCAAGTATATTTTCAGTCGGATGTCAAGGTTGTCTCCGCGGGTTATAGGTTTAGTCTCTCATGAAGCCCTAACTAAAGCTAGACTGTCGCACCGGCTACTTAGCAGTTTGCCTAATAGACCTTAGCGCATTTGGGAAGCCTTTGTAATATGGCCCCTGAACGAAGTTTAGTATATAACTTGGCGTCATAGCCTGCTGTTCGTGCCTAGGTAGGCCGCGCCTCTGTGGTCACTAAATTTAGGCTTTGCCGGGGTGTCCATCCCGTCCCCCGGASGAGCCGTGCCGTGGATTTTTAGGGCCAACCGCTAGACCGTTGAACCGTTGTCGGTGGGTCTGGCTCTTGTCTTTGGGTTGAACGATCAACATGTCATTCTATATTCGGAAATACGACTGCAAATCGCAGGTGCCAGCTTTTTCATGGCCGTATATTTCAGCGTAATCTGGATGTCAATGGCGACAAACCAGATTCAAGCTCCCTGGAAAGAATAGGAGAAGCTTCAGGACCCTTATATGCCCATGACCTTGCCAGACATCTGCTATCTGAGGTGCGCAGAACATAAATTGGCTTCAAGCTTTCTTGCAGTCATCAACTATATCAAAATTTGCTTTTTACCTTGATTCCATCACTCTTTTGCCGAGTCCGGTACTCGAAACTCCACAATGATCTTGACATCCCTGCGCCCATATGATCTGTCCGTTGCGAATGCGCGACAGCCAGTTGTAGCATCTACAGTTCTAGCTGTTCTTGCTACTCTGATGACTTTGTTGAGATACGTAAACCGGCTGGTACAGAAAGCCCCATTCGGCTGGGATGATTTCTTGATGTTGGGTGCTTTGGTATTCCTAAAGTCGACGCCTTAAAACTAAGATTCAAGCTAACCAAGAAAATAGCTCTCTTCCTATGCGGAATTGATTCTCTACTGGTGCTGTGTCACGCTGGGCGGAACGGGGCGACACGCAGCCGATGTTGGCTATCCAGACATTCTGTTGACGCTCAAGGTTCGTGGAATCGTGCATAACTCTTATTTGAAAAGGAGAGGAGGAGCTAACCAAAATATTCAACAGCTGCTTGTGCCCTTCGAGCTTCTATACAATCTTTCAATGACCTGCCTGAAGTGTGGCATCATCGCTTTCTATTTCCGGTATGATTGTCACATTTGTTCTTATTGAGGGCATAGAAAATTTGCTGACGTGCACTTATCAATAGTCTCTTCGGCAGGGACGAGATAGTCAAGAGATACGGAAAGGTGATTATATGGGCCACTGTCATTTGGGGTGTCGCGTCAATCATCGTTATCTTCCTCATCTGTCGGCCCTTTTCCTACTCATGGGACACAAGCCAACCTGGATCGTGCGGCAATCGGAACGACATGTATATCATCAATGGAATTGGAAACATGCTCCTTGATATTGCAATTTTGGTTCTTCCGCTTCCCACGATCTGGAAGCTGAAATTGCCTACAGCGCAGAAAATCGGTCTCGCGCTCATTTTTAGCTTGGGAATTTTGTAAGTGAAACTTCGCAGCATTGCGAAAGACATATGTCTAATAACCTCCTTTACAGTGTTGCAATTATATCCATCATTCGCATCAAGGAGCTGCTAGCTGTCGACTTTGAAGATATCACATGGTCTCTTCCTGGCGGCTTGGAGTGGACATGCCTCGAAGAATCCATTGCACTGATTAACGCAAACCTCCCTTTCCTTCGATCTATTTTCAAACACATGACGCCCAAGGCGTTCTCGGCTCAATGGGCTTCAAATCAGCAGTCTCGAAGGACAAACACTCGGAAGACAGATAAAAGTATTGGCGATGATACCGAGGGTACTTTCTCCCTGGTGGATAAGTCCGTTTCCTCTCAGTATATGGAGTTGCCGGATTATGGAACAGGGCATTCCGTGCACTCGCAGTCGGGGCATTCTTAAGCCCTACTGGCGAAGCCGTGGAATGGAAGAGTCCTTGAGTTGTCATGCTTTAGTTGTGTGGTATACATATCTTTGTGTCAAGTAAATAAATGCATCAATTACAGTCCTTAGGGTTTGGTTACACGGATGATTCAATATTGTATATTACATATTTTTAATAACCAACCTCTCGTCTACAAGAGAGAGGAAATTGATACCAACCTAAATTAAAAGCCGGATGACAGGGTAGCTTGACATCAACATCGGAGCGAATGATCAGTTTTACTTAAACCAGCTGGATCAGCTGTTAGCCCACTGTTGGCAGTGGCTAGAGATCGTTTGTTCGAAGTTGCGCCATTACTTTTATTTTCTTCTAAGGGAAATAAATGGCTCGGGATGACTTGATTCCATGTCAGAATAATCCACGTTCAAGCTATAGTCCCTTGGATAGCATCCCTCCAGCGGTACCCGGACTTTCAATATTTGGAAATAAGTTGCAAGAAGGCCCACTAGGATGACTGAAAATTGAAGAATAAATACTCGTTTCAAAATTATGTATAATATGTGTTACATATAACTACTAAGCTTGTTTAGGTTTGGTTATGTAGCTGGGTGTTTTATGTTGGGAACTTCGTATACGGAGTGATTCAAGGTAAGATCTTGTGTGAACATCTTCTTAATTTCAACTTCAAGACCTGGGCCTTTTCGTAGATATATCAGCTTACCTTGAAAGCCTATTCTGTGATTCTCAAATTTCGTCACATTCAATGTCGGTTATCAATCCTCCTGAAGAAAAGTGCGGGTTGATGCCGACTCGCTAAGCTATTAGCGTTTCAAGCAGACTATCTTTACTTGGTTGGAACCAGTTAGCTACGTTAGCCTTTTAACTAAGGCCTTATTTATTACCTACTTGTGGACTCCTGGAGTCGTATCATGTCGATCAAGCTGTCAGGTTACCACCGCAACGTATCAAGAACAGTCGTGTACAAAGAAGCTTACCTACGCTCGGAGAACGCTGAGCCGAAAAACTTGTTGTGATGCTTGCGCCCTAGTTTCTCTTGTCATTTTCTTTTTGAGTCAAGTTCAGAAATCTCCGTGTTCTTGTAGGCCCGCCGTTGAATTTATCCTTGAACTCTCATTTTTCAACCACCAAGCTTCTAGCATGTCTCGATATCCCCCTCTTCCCCCAGCATCGCTTACTGGCGATCGACTAGCACTACACAATCATATAGACTCAGTATGTTTCAAAATATTTGGGGATAGCAAAGCTTTGCCTTTCATTTTGAAGGATAGCAATAAATCTCTTGTCGGCCCCTTCCCATTACTGCTGTAAGTGAATGCAACTTGTCAGTGCTCACTCCCATTCACCTTCACAATTTCCTTGTATGAGTCATTAGAGCAAGCTAATCTGTCGATATTGATTACTAGGCATTCCGCTGAGCCCCTTAATGGCATTGGGATATTCGATTACATCATGAAAATGACCTCGCACCCGCTCCTTACTGCCTCTGAACGCGAACTCGCCATCTTAGCCGTGGGTGCCCACACAGGCAGCGTGTACGAGCTGTATGCGCACTCTATTGTGGCACAGAAGATCGGGTTATCCGAGACACAGGTCAAAGCCGCAGCTGAGGGCAAAGTTCCAGAAGGATTGACTGAGACAGAAAAAGCAGTTTTTGAGCTTTCCAATAGACTGGTGAGCGGGAAAGGCCCGCTGCCGGACGACGTTCATGAGGCGGCAAGCAGATTGATGGGAAGGGATAGGGTCTTGGTGCTGATACAATTGGTTGCTGTATATTCTTATGTTTGTTTAATTTTAAATGCTGGTGCTGTGGGAGTGCCAGAAGTAACGGTCCCGAATAGTCCCAAGGTAGCATGATAATGATAATGGGATACAATCATTTACTTTATATAGTGAACTTGACAGGCTAGCAATTTGATAGTATATTCGCAGATTGTAAAATTTGACTTTAGCAGATACGTCGAATTAGGTGTGCGATCTCTGCAACATCATTACTAGAGCTTGGGATTTCATGTGCACCTTGATGCACGAATTTCGACTTCGTCGTGTTGCAACACTGTTGATCTAAAAGAGCGTTTTGAGTTGGATTTGTTGTGTCGGCAGCACCCCATACGTGCAGAGTAGGAATGGTAATGATTCCATCTGTACACTCTTCCTTTCTTCTGTCATTCACAAACTCGCCTGGCTCCCCGGAGAAAAGTACTGCAAACTTCCATAATGGCACGGATGTGTCTGTCTGATTTTGTAGCATGTATGAGGCTACCAGTGCAGAGCCCTGAGAGAAGGCAACGACACCATCGAATGGCCCTTCTTCAGCTAAATAGTCACGAAGGTTTTGGAGTGCAACTTCAAGTGTCTCAGGTTGAAGGGGATGGAAATAAGCATAAAAATCATCATCAACCGCAGCCAATGAATCAACCCCTTTTGCTCTTGGGGCTACAATCGAGCCTTCTGCAAACTCAAAGTCGTATTTCGAGCCGAGTTCGTAACGTAAGGCTGCTGTCTGCAACTCGAAGATCTGGATATGCCTTTTAATTAAAATACTGGGATTACTGGCTACAGAGCGAAGTAGTAGCGACCCGTATAAGACTTACCCGGTTGTTTGTACCGCCTCCATGGAGACACAGTAATCTCATTGTTGTGGTTGTATCTATCCCTCTTGTTTGTTCTCGCAGAAATTCAACTCTGTGCCTAGATGGAGCAGAATCAGGAGAATATTCGATTGAAGTACAGATTGCTTCTTGCAAGTGTCAACTATGCTATTGTTGCTATCCTATATTGACTAGTAATAATGCCGAAGAAATTTTTAGCTATTTGCACACCGCTCGTGTACTCCTACTCAGGCAGGTTTGCACATACTAGGAGTACATTGTGATAATCTTGTTTCAAAAGCATATTCACATGTCTATTCCTCTGAAAGACATTTTGGTTCGACTTCTATTCCCGCGGTATGACCTGTTAGCCTGAGTACTATAACATGAGAATCTATTTATATAGTGCAAACTCTACTCCTTATGAAAATGGGTACTTTTATTATAGAAGTAAAATTCCCTCTACAGACAAGGGCATTGATCTGCATCAATGACTACGTATGTCGGTTTATCATGATGAGTTGTTTGAGAGTCTCCACCAGAAGGATGCATCAGTAAGTATACTTTTTTAATATTATTGTGACAGCGTATTCCGCACTCCACGTAAGGGTTTTTCGTGAAGATGATTACCGCATTTGGAGGTCCGTCTCAGAGACAACATTGACACACTGACTGGACACCTACTCAAACACTAAAAACATCGCTCCATATTTTTCAAGATTGTAAGAACATATATTTTAAGTTCTGTATGGAAGTCTATTTGGAATCATATTTAGAAGCCTCTAAGCCTCTCAGCTTGATTCCAAACTCATGTCTTTTCCTTCCTCATCCCTAAGTCATCCGTTGACACTCGCCACTGTTTTAAGCGAATCTTAGAATGAAAAAAAACTGCAGTTAAAGTAGTGGTGATAAGGAGTGATCCCCACTTGTGGTAACAAAGGACTTTAGCAACTTGGGTAGGGACACAACTATACAGCTATAACTGACAGGGGGAAAGGGTTCTGTGGGAGATTATGGTTCCCTTTACGGAGAAGTCCGTACAGGATCAGGCCGAACTATGCAGAGGAAGACCCTCATTTAATTTAACGGCAAACCAGTCTCGAAGATTGCCTCTATCATCTGTCGGGTAGACACTCCGCCTCGAGTGGTGAAGATCTACGACCCGGCACAAGCTTTTTGCCGTGCAAAATATTGCCTCTTTCCCTTGAACCTTTCGGGGCATCACTCAGTGCATTTTATTGCTCATCAGATTGTTGTAAACTGGTTTTCTTCATATCTTTGGGGCTGATGATCCTTTCACCGCCAGATCATGAAACACTGGAAGCTGACGAGGCGAAAAGGTCATGGATCATTACGTCGTCATGTGGAAACATTTCGGCGCGGGGTTTGTCTATCCACTCGTTCTGTATCTGCTCTGTACTGAGGTGCGAGATAAATTGCAAACGTATACATCCTTGTTGGACTCGGCTTGATGTCCGTCGCCGGTCTGAAGACAAAGATCGAATCGGAGATGACTAGGTGTTACCTTGTAGTTTACCAGGAATGACGAATACTTATCAAGCTTACATGTTACTTGGATATATAGTTACAAAGTCCGAGATTTTCTAATGAAATTTGGCATGTTGAAGTCTCTATATTAAGAACGAATACTGTTACCATGGCCCCAAGTGCGATCAGAGATGACCAGGCTCAGGATGACCTCAGCCCTCTAGATGCCCTGTTCGTTGACCACGACCTAATAGAACCAATTGCTGTCATTGGATTCTCTCTGAAATTTCCTCAAGATGCAACATCGCCAGAGTCTTTTTGGAAGATGCTCATGGAAGGACGTTCTGCCATGACAAAGGTACCAGAGAATCGTTTCAATGTTGACTCATTCCATGTACGAGGCACAAAAAGGCGGGACGAGGTATGAGATATCAAGTCAATATCAGTTCTGTAGCATGATGTCCAAAACTAATCTGAACCATTAGCTACCTTTAGAAGGCGGTCACTTTATCGAGGAGGATATTGGGTTATTTGACGCACCATTTTTTAACATTAGCCCGGTAGAGGCTTCTGCAATGGACCCAATGCAGCGAATGATGTTAGAAACCGCGTATAGAGCCTTTGAAAATGGTAATCCTCCAAGCTCTAACGGTCAGTTAGATGGGAAATACCTTACTAAGACTTTCATAGCTGGACTTCCTCTTGAAAAGGTCACTGGTAGCAACACCTCAGTATTTTCAGGTTGCTTTACCACGGACTATTTGTTGCAACTGATGAGGGATCCCCAATACTTGCCAACATACGCTGCTACAGGAGTAGCAGGATCCTTACTCGCAAATCGGCTGAGTTGGTTTTTTGACCTCAAGGGATCGAGTGTCAATTTAGATTCAGCATGTTCTAGCAGTGGCATGGCGCTCGACTGGGCCTGCTGCCAGTTGCGTGACAGATCATGTAACATGGTTTGTCACCACATGTATGTCTGTCGAACAGAGAAGTCATGCTAACCTCACATCACAGAGCGTAGTCGGAGGGTGTAATCTGACGTTTGCTCCTGAATATTTTCAGCTACTCACAAACATGAACATGTTATCTCATTCGAGTCGTTCTTACTCATTTGACTCCAGAGCTAACGGATATGCTCGAGGTGAAGGATTCGGCGTGGTGATCTTAAAACGATTGGACGACGCCATTGAAGATGGAGACACCATCCGTGCTGTTATTCGCTCTACAGGCAGCAATCAGGATGGTCGAACTCCTGGAATTACACAACCGAGCAGTGACTCTCAAGAACGTCTGATTCGTGAAACATATCGAAAAGCAGGATTGAGCATGGCATTGACCAGATTTTGCGAGGCCCATGGAACAGGAACAGCTGTAGGGGATCCGATTGAATCCACGGCAATTGGAAGTGCTTTTAGAGAATTCCGTACACCATCGGATCCACTTATCATGTACGTGAAGATTCCACAATATCGCTGCTTATGTTTTAAATAAGCAACGTGGATACTGATCCTAGGACAGCGGTGCTCTGAAGAGTAATATCGGCCACCTTGAGGGTGCTGCCGGTATTGCAGGGCTTATCAAAGCTGTCCTATGCCTTGAGAAAGGCATCATCCCACCCAATGTGGATTTTCGAAATGTGAACCCGAAAATAGACCCAGAACATTATTTCTTGTCAGTAAGTCGCATTCCTGTTAAGTTGTTCGCGTATATATCACTTGCTTACGCCCTTAGTTCCCTACTTGTCCCATTCCATGGCCCACAGATGGTCTACGAAGAGCCTCTATAAATTCATTTGGGTTTGGAGGATCAAATAGCCACATAGTAGTTGATGATGCTTACAACTTCCTGAAAAGTTACCGACTAAGGGGGAATCACTGCACGGTGAAAACACCACCAGTACCCGAGGATCTGATCCCAGCCAGCCTCCCGGAAGCAGAAATCTCACAAGGTCGTCAAGGACTATCACTTAAAGAAACCTTATACAAACCACCGAAACTCCTCGTTTTTTCGGCAGCTAGTGAATATAGCTTAGAAAAACTGACCACTAGCTATGTCGACCACTTCAAAGAAGGTGTTGTGCAAGAGACATACTCTCAAGCTTTCCTAGATGACCTTGCATACACTTTAAGCTCGCGCCGAACTCATCTTTCATGGCGATCTTTCTTCATCACGTCATCTAGTGCAGATCTCCTGGCAATTGAGCAGAAGTCATCAGCCCCGAAACAAAAGAGTGAGACATCACCACGTCTGGGTTTCGTATTTACCGGACAAGGAGCGCAGTGGTACGGAATGGGTAAAGAGCTCATGGTATACCCTGTTTTCCAAAAGAGTATTTACGAGTCAGATACATATCTTCAAAGCATAGGGTGTTCATGGTCTGTCTATGGTAAGCCTCTGCAATTTATTCACGATTCCTTCATATTAATGGTGGCTAGATTACTTTATGCAAAATTCCTCCACAAATCCTGACATCGATACTCCAATTCTGAGTCAAACTCTATGCACGGTACTTCAGATAGCTCTGGTGAATCTCTTGGAATATTTTGGCATCACACCATCTGCAGTGTGTGGACATTCCTCTGGTGAAATTGCTGCAGCGTGGGTACATTGTTGAACTAAGATCTCGGCTCTCACTAATTGTCACATAGTTATGCCGCTGGCGCTCTCTCCAAAGAATCAGCATTGAAGGTCGCTTATTATCGTGGACTATTAGCCACGTCTCTGCCTGAAAGGAGTCCGCACACAGGCGCAATGTTAGCCGTGGCTCTTCCTGCTGAACAAATCGAGCCTTACTTTGCGAGAGTGTGTAAAGAGGGACAATGGGGCCCTGTTGTGGCTTGTTACAACAGCCCGCAAAGCATCACTGTGTCCGGCATCGAAAGCCAGATTGATGAATTAGCATGTCTTCTCACCGAGGCTAACGTCTTTAACAGAAAGCTTCGTGTCAATGTAGCATATCATTCCCCTCAGATGACGGAAATTGCTCGTGAATACTCGGAGCGGTTGGCATCTTTGGACGAGGACGAGCATCCACGGTCCGTGGGTATGGTATCCTCAGTAACTGGAGAAAAATGCACAGCCAGCGACTTATCTAATGGAAGCTACTGGGTTGAGAACATGGTTTCTTCCGTCCAATTCTCCCAAGCGGTTGACAATATGTGCAAAAAGTCACCAAAATCCGTGACAAAAAAGCTAGACCGAAGCCATCTATCTGCGGTAGCTGTTGACTATCTTCTTGAGATAGGACCTCATGGTGCTTTGAAAGGTCCCATACGTGAAATACTGAAATCTCATCGTCGCGGCGCCAATATAACGTATGACTCGCTTCTCAACCGAAATGTTTCCGCTGTGGATACAGTATTACAAACTATTGGTAAATTGCACTGTGCAGGTTATATGGTCAATCTATCGGCAGTAAATGGGCTCAGCTCAGGGACTTCCAAATCTCGGCTTATGGCCCTGGCTGATCTGCCCGAGTATCAATTCAATCACACTCAGAGATACTGGCACGAAAGTCGAATTACAAGTGACCTAAAACACAAAAGTCACAAATATATGGAATTGCTAGGAAGGCAGTCATTGGACTGGAATCCTATCACGCCTCGTTGGCGACATTTCTTGAGGACTGAGGATATGCCGTGGATAGAAGACCACAAGGTATGTATTGTGAACCTTCATTTATAGGAGGAGTCTTGTTAACAGAGCATCAGATCAATGGTGTTGTTCTTTATCCCGGTGCTGGAATGTTAGCCATGGCCATGGAAGCAGCACGGACAATGAATGCTCCTCAAGAGATTCTCGGATATCAACTCAATAGCATCACTTTCTCGGCTGCATTGGACGTTTCGGCGGGAGAACTCGAAACACAAATAGCACTTCATCCGCAAAAGCAAGATTCAGGATCAAAAGATTCCAGCTTTGAGTTTGTGATTTCGTCTTACTCTGCTGGACGGTGGTCTGAGAACTGTAGAGGTATGATCACTGTCCAAGTTAAAGATAACCACAGTCTCACGGGAAGTGGCCCATCTACGGACGTTATGCGGCTGAAAAATGCGAGGTCTATTCTCTCAAAGCCATTTTACGACTTCCTGCTCCATTGTGGTTATGGCTATGGGCCATCCTTCCAAAGAATACAGGACATTCAATACAGTCCCGACAGTAGTGAAGTTCTCGCAAAGGTATCCTTGTACCAGGATAGTGACCAGTCTTATGTTGTGCATCCAACAACACTGGACGCTATCATGCACCTTCAATTTGCTGCTACCAGTAATGGCTGCAAGAAAAGAGTAGGAACACTTATTCCGACCAGAATCGAGTCCTTGTGGGTTGCAGCTGAGGGACTAGGGCATCTTTCAAAAGACCCTGTCAACATTCTTACAAAAGTGATGTCAGAAACGCACCGGTTCTGTAAAGTGTCGATTATTGGACGGAATCGTGGAAATCAACGGGAGATTATAAAGGTCACTGGTCTGGAAACGACTGCAGTTGCGACTGCGACAGAGTCAGGACCAATTCGAAGCCCCGAGGAGCAAGTCATTACCTACATCGATACTAAAATCGATATTGACATGGCTAGCAGCCAGCAATTACTAGAATATTTGATGAGAGAATGCCCCGCGCCACCCGAACCAGCAGCTCATCACTCACAACTACAAACACATGTCTTTCAATATCTCCGCGAAGCCAAGAAACTGCTGCAAAACTTCAGCCCTGAGGATCTGCCTCAGCATATAAAAGCTTATATAGCATGGATGGATTTTCAACTCGAGCAGAGCGCCAAGTACGACAACATATATTTGGAAGCCAGTTACGGAGAGCGACCGGCTGAGGAGCTCTTGTACAAGGAAGTTGGCAAAGAGCTCTTCAATGTCCTCAGTCAAAAGACTATGCCAACACAATTGTTATTCGAGACCGGACTTTTGGATAATTATTACCTCGAGAAAGCTCAAACGGAGATCTACATAATCAGACTATTGAAGTATATCGATCTTCTGGCACACAAGAACCCATCGATGAAGATCATCGAGGTTGGTGGCGGAACGGGTACTTTTACAGGACACATTCTAGAAACTCTGCAGCGCCATTCAGATGGAGAGGAGGGAGTTGTTCGGTGTAGTAGCTACGACTTTACGGATATTGGACCATTGTTTCTCGACCGTGCGAGAGAGAAGTTTGAGCAGTATTCGGATAAGATGAATTACGGTATTCTGAACATTGAGAAGGATCCTTCGGAGCAAGGATTTGAAGCCGGATCGTACGATCTCATCGTTGCGATATCTGTACGTTTTCATATATTCTGGGCTTAGAACATAAGACTGACTTATCGTCATAGGTCATTCACGCCACTCGATCTCTCGAGGAATCTTTGATCAACGTGCGAAAACTACTGAAACCTGGCGGTGTTTTCCTGCTTCAAGAGCCAACAACTCCAACCAAACCGACGACGGGTTTCGTATTTGGAATCCTCCCAGGATGGTGGCTAGGTGAGTATCACTAGTTTCTTACCCATCATATCATGCTAACTCTTCTTTCAGGCACCGAAGAAAATCGTCAACTTTCACCGCTGGTGGACGAGGTAACATGGAATTCTCTAATGCTCAAGACCGGCTTTACCGGTACTGAGCTGATTCTTCGGGACTACGAGAGTGAACTCTGTCATGAAATGAGTTTCATTATCTCCAAAGCGGTCGAGGAGCAGCAGATTGGCTCACTTGAGTCGCCATTGCAAACGGAATACAAACTCATTGTGGAGAAGGACTCTATACTCCAACAGCGTGTAGCAGAAGAGCTTCGACAATATGGACAGTCACATAACTGTGAATGCGAAATCTTGACCCTTGAAGAGGCAGCAGAAGCTCCAGGACTCAAAGAATACGCATCCATCTTTCTCCCGGAACTCGAGCACCCGTTACTTACATCCATGGACGAAAAGACCTACGATACGCTGAAGACTCTCTTTTTGTCCTCAAGTCATATCCTTTGGCTGACCAAAGGGGGAGGTGAATCTCTCAAGGATCCTGGTTACATAGTAATTGATGGATTCGCAAGGTCTTTACGACTTGAGGTGAATAACCTCAAATTAATCACGCTCGCACTTCAGGACGAGGGAGACTTGAGTCCTTCTCAGTTTGAGACCATCTTCAAGGTCATGGACAAAACTATACAAAGTTCAATGGAAGATTACGAGCGGGAATTTGTTGAGAAGAATGGCATGCTTCATACAAATCGGATCATTGAGGCCAATTCTCTGAAGACAGATTTCTTGGATCGCCTCGCACAACACAAAACAGTCGAAACAGTCACGGAAGTGACACCAGTCTTATTAGATATCGAAGTTCCAGGACAGCTTGACACTCTCCACTTCAAAAGGGACAGGGATGCCATCTTCCTACCAGACACCGACGAAGTTGAAATCGAAGTCAAAGCTATTGAGCTAGGATTTGCTGACTACTCTGTGGTGACCGGTCGCTCCAAAGAGACCAAGATTGGGACTGGGTGTTGTGGAGTCGTGTTGAAGGATTTTCCCGAGGCAGGGTTCCAAGCAGGAGACAGGCTTTGGATGTATGGTAGTGGGATGTGCAAGACTGTCGTTCGTTCACCCGCTGCACTGGTTACAAAGTTACCCGCAGACATGCCCTTCGAGAAAGTATGCTCATTACCACCTGGCTCACTTACGGTTGCATACGCCTTACATCAGGCTATACGCATCCAAAAAGGCGACACGGTGCTAGTCCGCTGCTCCAGGTTGTTTCTTGAAGCCGCTATACAGATGGCTCTAGCAGCGGAAGTTGATCTCTATATCGTTTCTGACGACGAAACAAAGAAAGAGATCTTGATACGCACAAATCTGCCTGAAAACCACATCATCTGCCGATCGCGTTTCAGCGAGTCCTTGGATAAACTTCTAGGAGGACGAGGTGTCGATGTAGTTCTAAACTCAGTTGCTGAAGATATTAGTCAATGTTTTGAGTGTCTTTCGACCTTTGGCACTCTTGTAGACATTGCTGACCACAGAGATTCTGCCATCAAGCTTCCAAGCCACCGGGCAAACTCGAACATCACGACTATCACAATCAACAGCGCACTCATAGCTCAAGAGCGGCCACAGATGTTGAGCCCGGCCATGGAGAAGGTAATTTCATTGGTTGAAGCGGGGGCATTGAAGCCATTCGTGGAGGCGAAGATTTATCCCTTGTCAAAGGTAAAGGAGGCATTCGAGGAGATAGGGGCCCAAACAGAAGGCGGAAAAGTGGTATTGACTGTTGAGAAGCAAGATGAAATCACAGTAAGTTTCTTACATGATAATATACGTTATTCCAGAAGCTAATCATTGAGTATCTAGTGCCTTGAGGCACGCAAACAAACATATCAGTTTCCCCCAGACGCAACCTATGTTATCTCTGGTCTAGGAGGTCTCGGAAGAAGCGTCGCTCGATGGATGGGGGAAAAGGGGGCCAAGCATCTTCTCTTACTCTCCCGTTCCGGTGGGAAAACAGCAGAGGCTATCGAATGCATCTCATTTCTGCGTAAAATGGGAGTCACCGTTGAGACCCCTGTTTGCGATGTCTCCATCCGGGAAGATGTGGAACAGACAATTGCTGAATATAAACCGACCATGCCACCGATCAAAGGGTGCATTCATCTGTCCAAATCAGGCAATGTAAAAATCCCACATTCACGGTTCATAACGGTACTAACAAAGTACACAGGATGCCCTTTTCGAGAATATGCCATATTCAATGTGGCGAGAGAACATGGGCGCCAAAGCAGACGGAGCGTGGAATCTTCACGAAGTCTTACCTAAAGGACTCGACTTTTTCGTCATGTTTGCCTCTATCGGTGGTGTCATCGGCTCTGTCACTCTCGTTGCCTACGGAGCATCAAACCACTACCTAGACGGTCTCGCACAGTACCGAATTGCGCAGGGCGAGAAAGCTATATCGCTGGATTATGGCGTTGCCGAGGATGATGGCAGGCTTGCAGAGGACCAAGCTCTGTTCCATCGATTCATGTTGGAGGGTAAATACATCCCGATGCCTGAATATGAATTCTTGGCCCTGTTAGACTATGCCTGTGATCCAACCACAGAACTATCCCATACAAGAGAGAGCCAGCCAATCAGTGGTATCGAGACACCGGGGAAAATTATGGCAAAGGGTTTCGAGTTACCGAATGCAATGCGCCAGCCGCTTTGGCGTCATATGTACCATGTGAAAGTGGCTGAGAAGACTGACAATCCTGCCACGACGGATCGGAGAGAAAATATCTCCATGCAACTCGATGATGCGTCCTCAATAGAAGCAGCGGCCGATGTAATCACTGTAGCTTTGGTTAAGCGACTGTCAAGGACGATATCGGTCGCAGAAGAGAAGTTGGATATCAATCGGCCAATGCATACATACGGAGTGGACTCTTTGACGGCTGTCGATCTGCGAAACTGGTTTGCGAGTACCATGGGTATTGACGTTGCTGTTTTTGAAATTCTGGGAGATATTTCTTTCGTGGACATTGGCCTTCTGGTGGCACGGAAGTACAAGGAGAGAAGTCAAGATAACTAGTTCTATATACCTAGGTACATCTGGTTTAGTTTCTTAAGTTTTTAGGTTACACAGATGCCGAAAGAAGGGCTTGAAGATAAATAGCCGGGATTGTCCCAACAGTTGCAAGCAATTTGAGCCATTAATAAAGGGTCATCTCCCCAATATGAAATCTACATTATACCGTTTTCATCCTATATTAATTAAAAAAACACTATACTCTATATATCGTATGGAAATACGCGGAGTTAACGGATTCACATCTACGTGGCTGCATTGGCGATTTCTTACAAAGGATTTAACCACTTACCTCCAGTTGTTCATCCGAACTGATCAGATCTCAAACAAGCTAGAAACGAAAAAGCAATGAAATCATTCACCAGAATCCACACCGTATCGAGAAGATCTGTGCTACATGAAAACAGCTGGGGTGCGGCTGACATCCGCCTTATCCCACGCTTCGAGCGAGGGTCCCGAAGCGGTCTGGAGAAAAGTGACCAACATTCAAACGTTCCTGCAAGACCGATTAGTGGCCGGGCTATAGTGGCCGACAGGGATCAGATTAGATGGTTGCCTGTAAGACATGGCGGTACGACGTACGTAGCATGGCGTATCTGGGTACGGGTGTAGTCAATCCGAGGGAGTTGGTTAGTTACTTAATCCGCCTGGGCATGCATGTCTCTAGTGGGGAGACTCCAGGTCGGGCCAGATACATTCTTTAGTCTGGTGAATATGAAGAAACGGCCTACATGGATTAATAGCAGGATGGCGTACAAGGGTCAAGTAATGCATAACTACCGTCACCACGGTAGGCCCCGTCTAGCCGAGAGTACGCCGGATGGTGTATGGAGTTATTGTGAACGCAAGCAATAATGCCCATTTTTATACCATAATCTTCACAAGTTTGGGTGCGGTCTAATTATCCAATCAGCTTGTCTGGCGTGATATTCGGCGTTCTAAGCTGTGATTATCGTTTATATTAAGCTGAGGTCGCCCGAGACAACCCAAGTATACTTTACTACTTTACCATCGGATAAAACTTTCTAGTTGTCGCTTGGTCTGTTTTAGTTTCTCGAGCTTAGAGGTTTTGTAGAATCACCAAGAAAATTACTCATCAATGAACTACCGCACTATGAAATCCGACGTCCTCCTGATGCCAGGCAACAGTGACATGTTTGATAATCGACCTTGGTTTTACAATGATCAGAATTTGAAAGACTTTCACCATGCTGTTATATCTGTGAGCATCATTCCACCTTAGTTAAACATTGTTCATGCTGACGGAGACAAGGGCATACCTCTATCATCTCCGCTGCAACATGACGAACTATCGTTTGAGCACTTCATCCCTCCAGCGGATCATATGGAATCCCCATCATCGACAACAAGTCCAGATTTTTCGCTTTCTCGAAAAGACAGTCAAAACAATTCACATTCATCAAGAAAAGAGAAGCCCCGAAAATCGCGGTCCGTAAAGAGTCCCCCTTCAGAAGACGACACACCAGAGAATAAATCAAGGGTTTGTCTCTACTCCCCACTTTCCCACCAAAAAAACAACTAAAAGACTGACATTCCACAGAGAAGAAGAGAACAAAACCGAATCGCGCAACGCACATTTCGCGAACGAAAAGACAGATACATCCAAAACCTCGAATCGCACATCAAACTCCTCGACGCAAGCCACAAAGATCTTCAGGCATCTTATCGACAGTCTACGGATCAAATCAATGCACTTTATACGCAGTTGATGGAGACGCAGGGAGAACTGGACTATTGGCGATGTCTTGCGCAGCCATCCGCGACTCCGACCACAGCAGCAGCGGCGATGAGTACGACGCCAACGATAGCATCGCCAGTTGAGGCGCATGGACGGAGACATGATCAGAATGTTCCTGTCATCGCGGGAATTCATATACAGCATGGGCAATTTACGTAGATCTTTCTTTCTTTGTTTTCTTGCATTAACGATGTACGAGATATGGATTGCAATTTGGCGTTTGCATTGGATTTCTTGCCTATTCGGCGCTTACTTTACTCTAGGTATGATACGTGAGTACACATCGATATAATAGGATGTATGATAAGCAGCAGCTTTTCAAAACTGGTCGGACCTGCACACCTATAATGTACTGCGGTATACCAAGATCACACCACGCTTGACTACTACTCCGTAGCTGATCACCATCGTATACCAAGTCGAAGCTATACCATTTCAGGAGCAAACACTTTCCTAAGCAAGAAACACTAACAAACTAACGCACGCCACCATCTGCTCCCTGATTAGTGATACGCCCATGTCTCTGCCGAGCGTTCAGCTCTCGTTTAGTAGCACGTACATACAGTAGTACCCGACGGTAGACCTGACGTCCGTGCTTCGACACATGCTTATTTGGCGTGCAACACAGCGCGGAGTGCCAGAAGCCTGAAGGAAAAACAGCACATGCTCAGCCCTACATCGTTCCACCTGGCCGAGAGTATCTCTCAGTGCCCGCTTATTCTGACTGGTAAGTACGAATTACTCGTTCCGTGCAAGCTTGACTTGTTAGCTCGACTGTTCTATCGCAAGTCTAATCATACCTAGCATAGCAAGAAATAAAGAGAATCCACAATTGATCGACCTCCCTTTTTCGGTGTTGGTTGATGTACGTAAAGACGGGTAGATAAATTAGCTATTCACTTCGCTTAGCTTTGGTGCAGGAAATTATATCCACAGCTCTTTCTTTAAGAGGGGACTTTAGAGTTGATGCAGTATTGCTGTCGCCTGTCAAACTGACGTCGCATGTATGAACCTGCTGACCCTTTCCACGCCGTCAAATGTTGCCACTTGCATGTTACTCTACCCACTCGTGCAGCGCGTGAAGCAGACAACCTCATCCCGGACAACGGCCACTTTCTGGTCTTGCCAGGTTGACCTTATTGTACGCAGTATATACCTGAATGCTTGGCCGAACTTGGACCCCTTTTAATTAATAGCGGGGCAATCTCGCCGAGATCGCTCTCATGTATACATAGCATGCAGTGCTTTTGCTTCAGATAGGCTAATAGGCTAATTGGACAGGAACTTCCGAATTAGGAATTAGGGCTTTTGTCTCCCCCCCTGAAGAATCGCCAATTGTCCGAGGATATAGCAGAAACATAAGTAATCAAATTATACTTTTGTTCTTTTTATGGACTTTGTACGAGATTGCGTGCTGTTTCTTTCCGTCATGCATGGCGCACTCGGCGCAAAAATGGAATTGTCTCGAGACGCTACTCTTCTCTAGGCTTAACGTGCCTCGGTGGTCATGGGCGTGTCATGGGTAGGGCTGGGGTGGTAACACATATAACCACATGAGCTAGAGCAACACATGCGATTCATGAATTTGTAGGTGATATTCAAATGTCTTCGGCCTATCGCAGCCTATGCCTGGTGATATGCACAATCTATGCATGCATCACCATCACCCTCGCCATCACCCAGAACTAACCCGATAGCCCGACCCCTCCAAACTTGCAAGGATACAAAAAATAAATACCATCTGTGTATCCAATTAAAAAAAGAAAGTCTAGACACCGCTTCTCCCTTCTAGACTCTTCGCTTGCATATCTAGCCACGCACAGGATTGGTTACGCGCGACAAGGGTTGGGTTGCTGGTGCCAATCATGACCTCCAAAAAGGAGGGTTTGTGGTGACTTGAGCATTTCACCGCTCGACTTTCAATTTTACGTATATTCATAGTATGAGCTGTAAAATGTCGGCGCTGTTTCTGAGCGCCGGCTTTGCGAATTAGATAGATTGGGTTTGATACTGTCATTGAGGTCATCATGGATTTGAGTTATTAGTAACTAGCTGGGAATATCGCACCTTTCGGCGGTCGCTCGAGTGTCGAAGCTAAGTACTTCTACGTAAAGGTACCAGCATAGTATCGTAACCCCAAATGAAATTCTATTTTGAGACTCCTAAATCCAACTTTGAAGGCCCCGCCCAATCTATTAACTGTTATTCAACCAATTCATGCAACAACCTCACTAGCCTCAAGCTCCTTCTGCTCTTCCTTCGACGATACAATCGGCGTATTCGCGTGCAGATTGCCCAAAACATCCCTCAACTCCTTCAAGAACCTCGTCACCTCCTCTTCTGTGCCCACCGTAATCCTCAAACAACCCTCACATCCATACTCCTTGCCTCTAAATCTTACGACGACGCCCTTCTTCTCCGCCATGGCCTCATACGCAGCCAGCGCAACGGTATTATCCGGTTTCCCATCCTTATTCAGCATCTCAACAAGCAGGAAATTGGACGCTTGACCACCGAGGAAGCGTCCAACACCCGGAATCTGCGGCATTTCTTTTAACAGTCGATCACGCTGCTCAATGATCTTCGCACGATTCTCACGCATCACCATCAAATTCGCCGGCGCAAACGCCGCTTGAGCAATCACACTCGTCGGACTGGGAATGTTATACGGCGACTTCATACTATTAAACAACGTCGCAATCTCCGCACTCGCAAACGCCGTTCCCAGACGAATACCGGCAAGACCGAATGCTTTGCTGAGGGTCTGCATGACCACCAGGTTGGGCCACTCATTGACCCATTCCGCGAGACTCGAGCCCTCAGGCGCAAAGTCAATGTATGCTTCGTCCACGACCACGACGCCGTTCCACGTTGGGTGTTCGAGGACTTTTTGGATATCTTCTTTCGCTATTAGGTTCGCGGTGGGGTTGCCCGGTGAACAGATATATACAATCTTTATCCTCTCGTCGGCCGATAGCGCTGAGTTGATTTTGTCGGGTTGTAGCGAGAACCCATTCTCCACGTCAAGCGGCACTTTTACGACTCCGACATCGTTCACGTCAGCGCTGACGGCGTACATGCCATATGTCGGCGGGCAGGTGAGGATCTTATCCTGCCCAGGCACACAGAAACATCGCAACAGGGTGTCAATTGCCTCATCGGAGCCGACGCCGACGAACAAATTCTCAGGTGTGAGTTCTTTTTGGGTGTGGACTTTCGTGTTGCGGAGGTTGCAAATTAGTTGCTTCAGGTCGACTTGGTGACTACACCCCAATCCCCATTCTTTAGTAATTCATCGTGACGGTGAAGGAGGGTGACTCACGGATCAGGATACCGATTCAATCCCAGAAAATCAATTTGCGGCGCAGAACCGTCCTGGGCTGTACCTTCAATATTCCCATCTTTGTTCAGTAACAGACCCGGTCCGTAGGCATTTTCATTGGCGTCGAGTAGGATATTGGTCCCGTCATCTTTGTAATCACTGTAGAGGTAAAAAATTTAGCTTGGGCTATATCAACTTCCCCGCCATCGGAGCAAGATCGGAGGAGTTGCGACATACTCTCTGGCACATCGGTAAGGGTGCAATTTCAAAATATTTGGTCGCGCGCATTTCGACAGATTGAATGGTCTGTTTTGAGACGCCATTGTGATTGTTGTGAGGGATTGGTGTGAGATTGAGAAGAGGGAAGAGAGAAGATGAATGGAAACGAAATATTTGTTGGAGTCGGCGCGCGGTGGGGAACATTCCATGACATACCTGACTCATTTTCATACAAGAAGTACTGAGTCATAGGTTTCTAACTCGATGGCATTTTAAATTTTTTTATTTCTTGTACCTTAATGACAGGTTTTCATGAATATCTGTGTAGATGTAATATAGTCATGGTACAGCTTGCTGTACTTATCTAATCCTGTGTATATATACATAATCATAGGCCCGAGCCTACAATGCAATGAACGCCGTCGATGCTCTATCTTTTTTCATAAACAAAAGAAATTTCCTCAAAAGAAGGTGTTTTAATCACTTTTGGGCTTTTCTGTGACCTTCTCCGGTTCTTGTGTCGGTTTTTCGGGAGTTTCGGTCTTGGTAGAAGGCTCGGATTCATTCTGATTATTCTTCTTTGAATTGATGTGCTTCTTTCGCTTTTCGGCAACATATGTCCACGCCCTGCCGACACCTGCTGTGAGAGCACTTTTAATGGTCTGCATAGTCGCTGGCCATCGGATAGTCTTTGTAATCGTGTGTTGTAGCTCTTCCTTGAGGCTCCCATCAGCCGCAATACGTTGCTCAAAGGCTCCTCCTTGTCGTCGGTGGATGCGCTCAGGGTCCTCATCGCTTGTTTTCTGCATCATTTCAAGGAATTCTGATCGTGGTATCTGGTACCGGCTTTGATATTGAAAGTACAGCTTTTCTCGGAACGACTTGGGTAGTCGTCGTACCATGTTTCCTCGTTTCACTGGATCCATGTCCTGAGTCAACTTGACATTCGCCGACGGGTCATCGATCCAGTCTGACTGGGAGCAGCGAGGATCGTCGAAGTCGCAGTTTGGCAGATTCTCAATCAAAGGTGCATAGAGACGTCGAAAATAATCCATCTGACCCGTGACGATATTCCTGACTTTGTTAGGATCCTCCGCAGAAACAGTCATGCGAGGATCGCCCATATAACTGAGTCCAGCAATAGTGGTATATAGCTCTTGTTCAGTGAAATGATCAGGCAGCATGAGCAGGGCGACGCGCAATGCTGAAAGCAAATTGACTTGGTTCGCCACTCGAACTCGCGGATGATCGCGAAGAATCTTCACCGGTTTGTGTAGACGCCCAGCAAGGTACATGGTATCCCATTGACTAAGATCTCTACACAGGGTGTCAATGTTCACCACGCCGTACTTAATGAGCGTACCATTGACCGTCACGAAGGGGTTAAAGTAGACGCCAGCTCCCCATTTATCTTGCACCGCCGAAACTGCACCAGACCCAAGCGCACCGAGCGCAGAGTAGTGGTCGCGATGCTCTTGTAAGTTGAGAGAATGCCAGTGTTGTGTATGCGATACGCCGAATATAAAATCAATCATCTTTCCTTTTCCTTGTTGAACATTCCGGATCGCCTGCGGTGGTGCAGGGTGGCCAGGGTCCGATTCCGAGTTTGCCGCTGCTGTCTGCGTGAAAACTCCTGAGCCGTACGCGAACGCATATCTGATGGGAGCGCGGAATCTCCAAAGGATTTGTCGGAGAGCCTCTTTGAATTCTTCATTGATGACCATGTGCTGATTGACTCCAAAGTTTTTGGACGGCAGTTCCGAAAACTTCGAGATAGACAGGTCCGGATTGTCTTCCCAATCCGCCAGTTCTTTCTGCAGGAAAGCCGAGCTCGAGAAATTAGGCGATTTGCCTATAGACGTAGCGCTTCGAGGAGTAGGAAGCGATGGGTGTGTTCCGAAGTCATTGATTATATGTAGATTCGTGTGCGGTTTTTCGTAGGATGTGTGTAGACTTCGGGTACGTGCCCGGAAGGGATAGTGAGTTGAATAACTCGCATTGTATATCGAAACTGTTATTGATCTCGAGTACGTAGACGATTGTATAGGAAATGTGCGTCGCAATCGGACGGTCTTGGTCTGCGACGTGAATTGTTAGCGAAAGTCCTCGGTTAACAATGCGTGAAGCTTACCGAAAGTTGTCGCATGTTGAAAGTCGCAGAAACGAGCGTCGTGGAGGGAATGGAGAGTAGTATTAAACAGAACAATGCTAGATCATGATGTGACTAAGGATAAAGAATGAATTGTTGTAAAGTGTACTCCGTATAGATTGTCAATATTAAACATGAATGTTGTAAGTGTGTAGCTTAATGGTGTTGACGTAGGCGCAATTCCGTCTGGCCCCGGAAAATCGCCCGCTTCAAGCCAAGTCACGTGCAGACGTATTCGCCGGCGCGTTTAGCGGCCGAGAGCGCGCATCAACATAAACACTCTCAAACTTCACTATTTTGAACCTCAAGCGCGCCATTATCTATGTCCCTCGCACATTTATATACCTCCATCAACTGCGACATGTGTTAGGATACAAAAAAGCTTTTTCATCATCGACATGGAGACCTTCGCCGCTCGTCTCGCGAGCTTCGACTCTGTCGTGCCAGCCATCAACTCGAGAACGTCCAGTTCAAGAAACATTCAGCCTCAAAGATGGGTTTGGGAGTCGCCATCACCAGAGCAGGTGGGCTAGCTGAAACTCTTCGTATTATTTTAGCTGACAAATGGCAGCTGGCTCACGCAGGTTTCTACTTCCAACCATACGACACTAATCCTGACAACACGATGTGTTTCCTCTGCGGTCGAGCACTAGATGGCTGGGAAGAGGGAGATGACCCTGTGACAGAACATTTGAAGCATGCACCTGATTGTGGCTGGGCAATTATCATGGATATTCAGTCGAAAACTTCGAATCCCGCCGAAATTGTAGACCCTACCAGTTCCACGATTGTTGAGGCTCGCAGAGCAACATTTGGKGTCGGATGGCCGCACGAAGGAAAACGCGGCTGGGTCTGTCAATCGGAAAAGGTTTGACCAATTCACTGCAAATCTCTGTCTGTTTACTGATCGAGTTAGATGGTCGAGGCCGGGTGGTACTTCTGCCCTAATGAGGAAAGTCCAGACTTGGCTAGTTGCCCTTACTGCAAACTGTCCTTGGATGGGTGGGAAGAAGCAGACGACCCGTTGTAAGTAACGTGACTTCCTATATAATGTGCACTAACTAAGCTGAACAGTGAGGAACACCACCGCCGCTCATCGGATTGCTCCTTCTTTGTCTTCGCTCTACCCGCAAAACCAACCAAGAAGAATACTCGCGCCAAAAAACCTCGTGCTTCAAAGGCGTCGCGACTTTCGACACAGTCGGTAATGACCGCAGCCTCAGAGGCCCCGACAATTGATGACGATATGATGGATGTTAGCATCATGTCTCAGTCAACAGTCAAATCTCAATCAACTAAGAAAGCAAAGGCCACGAAAAAGACTACCAAATCACGCGCCAAGAAAACGAAGAAAGATGAACCTATGGAAGTCATTGAAGATGCGGAACCCGAGCCGGTTGAGGTACAGGCACCTGAGCCAGAGAAGCCTAAACGTGCTACGAGAGGGAAAAAACGAGCCAGCGAAGCGGTTGTACAGGAAATGTCTGCCATGACATTGACAGATCCTGTTGTAGATTTAGAACCATCACCCAAGAGGCGAGCTACGGAACTTCGTCGTAGCGTGTCTCAACAGCCTGAAGATGTACAGTCTTCTGTTTTAGAGGACGCTCCATTAGAAGTGGCTACTTCTCCTGTGATGCCCAAGAAAGGCCGCAAGGGAACTCAAAAAGCTGCATCAACCCGAACGCGAAAGGTATCAACAGCATCCTTATCTGGGAAGGCTGCGCAGAGCAGGATCCCAGATGATTCGGTACTTGAGGCAGCCATCGAAGCCGATCTAGCTCGCAATATGGAAGATACGGAACCTTTCGAGTTCCACTACAAAGACGAAGAGCGGGAAAGTGCACGATTCCGACAGCAATCAGTATCCACATCTATAAAGGCTCCATCGGAATCGCACTATGAGCGTGAAAAAACCCAGGACGCGCAAGAGGCACAAGGACCGGCTCCGGAAGACTCGATTATCGAGATTGTCCCGGAGCCGAAGCAGAAGAAACAACCAAAGCGAAAAGCTCCTGCAAAGAGATCAAAGAAGGAAAAAGTACCTGAACCTGAACCTGAACCCGAGCCCGAACCCGAGCCTGAGCCCGAGCCTGAACTTGAGCCTGAACCTGGAAATGAACAAGAAGTCGAGCACGAGCCTGAGCCGGAACTTGAACTAGAACCAGAGCCCGAGGGCGAGGAGACAATTGAGCTCGTAAAGTCGAAACCAAAGCGCACTTCACAGCCAAAGCGCAAGGTTCAGGAACAACCAGCTGAGGAGGAAGTCTCAAAGGCCATGATGGAAGTTGACCCTGTCGTACGGCAAAGCTCAGTCGTTGCTGTTGAAATCGACGTGCGGGACCGCCAGCTTGAAATAGACGAGACCATCGACAAACAGCCAACCAAAAAGCATGGCAAGAAAGCCACCAAAGGCAAAAAGCCGGCCGCTTCCAAGAGGAAGGAGAGTGACGTCGTCATGGATGATCAGCAGGCCGAGACTACTGAATCTCACGAGACTATTGCTGAAGCTCCAAAACCTCAACGGCGAGAGTCGAAACGCCGATCAAACCGTAAGTCGCAAGAGACTAAAGATGACTCTATGGTTATGGACGAGCAAGAAGATGCTGCACCCGTTTCAGCACAAGAGGATCTAGTCGAGCAGCCTGTCAAAGCAAAACGTGGACGGCCTACCAAAGAAGCCCAGGAGGCTTCTGTGATCATGGATGCGCGAGAAAACTCTGCACCCGCAGCACAAGAGGAACCAGTAGAACAACCCATCAAAGCGAAACGTGGTCGACCTACTAAAGAAGCCCAAGAGGTTTCTGAAGAAAAACCAGCGGTTGAAGCCAAGTCAAAGCGGGGACGGCCTTCGAAACAGCGATCTATTCAACCCGATGAACTATCAGAGCAGCCTAAGTACGAGCAACAGACTAAGAAGGCCCAGGTGCCTGCTAAGAACACTCAAAGGTATAGTGACTTGCCGAAAGACAAGCATCGTGCACAAAGCTTTATCGAGTCTGTTATAAATTCCTCACCTCAGCGCCCGTCGCCCAACAATACGCATTCCACAGCACAAGAAAGAACGCCATCTCCATCACCGCAAGCATCCGACGCTGAGAATCAACCACCATCCACACGACCGCGATCAGCCAGACCCCCTATTCTCTCTCCGTCGAAACCMCCTGCCTCTCGTATCCTAGCAGCCACTACACCGTCTCCGTCTAAGCGTCAAGAGGGATACTTGACGTCGACCCGGACGTGGGAGCCGATGGACATTGAAGAGCTTCTAAGGAGTTTCGGTGACTTAGAAAACCGTGACTTTACTCTCAATCAAGGCAACCTCAAAGAAATTCTGACGAGCCCTGAGAAAAAGATGACGGTCGAGGAATGGATATACTTTAATGCCAAAAGCGGCGAGGAGCGACTCCGACGGGAATGCGAACGACTGATAAGTATTTTCGAACGTGAAGGCGGCCGAGCTATGAGGGCGCTGGAGGGTATTGAATGCATTGAGTGATGACGTCGCTGTGATTTAGCATTAATGGCGTTGGCGGGATTATTGACGGAGTCTCCTTGGATATATGTATGGAGTTGTTCGACTGGTTGCAATTAGTTGTACACAAACCTAACTCCTTTTGAATGTAAACAACCTAACGCCATGGGTATCCTAAACTTTTAACAAACACGTAATCGCCGGCACAAGTAGTCTACGCAATAATCCCCAATCTCCCCTCCCAATCATCCTCCTCCTGCTTCACAGCCCTCCTCTTCTCCCTTCTCTTCGCTCTCCTTTCCTCTCTCTCCTTCGCATCCTGCTCCTCGATGTCTTTGATTCTCGCGCCAAGATCCAGATTAAAAGCCCTCTTATCCTCCTTCTCCTTCTCCCGTTTCTTGTGCGCCAACCACCTCAACCTCATCCTCACATCCTCCACACTCGCTCTCTTCACCTCCCCACTCTCCCCTATCGCAATCAAATGCTGCTTACTATTGAGATGCTCCACAAGCTGTATATTATCCTTAAACGTCAAATCGCAATCTGAACAATAAAATCCCGCTCCTCTTCCCCTTTTACCCACAGCCGCACCGGCAGGGACCATGGTGGTTTTGCCCACCATACTCGCGACATCGAGCCTCGACACGCGCGAAGAGGTTGCTTCCAAGGTGCTAAAGTCGACAGGCGCGTGCCATTTTTTGCCGGCGAGCTTGGCTTCGTACCGCGCTTTGGATTCGGCTTTGGAGGCTGCTTCGCGGTCGGCGGCGCGCTGGGCGTATTCTTCGCGATTCCAGGTTTTGCGGAAGTCGGTGTCGGAGGAGGCGGTGCCGTAGGCGGAGCGTTTGTCTGCCATTTTGCTTTTTGCTTTTTGTTTTCTTTTCCCGATCTGTTTGATTCTACCGCTTATTTTTTTTTTTAGAGGACCGTCAAGTCAGGTAGCTGTGAATAGGTGGTTGTCGTTATGGTGGTGATGTTGAAGAAAGTTGTGGCGGGTGGAGAAGCTTTATCTTTTATCGCCGTTTTCAGGCATCCTCAGGCATCTCAACGAACAACGACGCATAACTAATAACCATGATACCGATCAACGTATTGAAAAGGTCTTCGATCCCATGAATCATTCGTACAGGCTCACCTTGCTTTATCTGTCGCTGAGATATACTTACTGCATAAACAAGCTTCTATCTCCAAAATCAGCCATTGCTTTTTGAGACTAACGCCAACCAATCTAGATCCACATCACAGCCTCACCTCAGAACTCAGACCTCAAGGAATGAGCCCCAAGGACTAATAAATCACAGCCTAACTCAATCTACTAGCTTGAATGCTATTGCCTATTGCATATAAATAAATACAGCCGGCACTTTTCAATTGAACATGTTAGTCGAATTGAATATCAACAGCGACAACGGCGCTAGAACACAGGCAGCAGCAATACTCGAGAGGTGAAAACAACAGCAATAGTCAACCTCAGACCTAGCAACGTCCTCATTCCATCCCAGTCTCAATCGTACAAAAAACACACCAAAATGACCACAACCACAAATCTAACATCCCTCCCCACCGAACTCCACATGCACATATCCTCCTACCTCTCCTACCCAGACGCGCTCGCCCTCAAACATACCAACCGCCACTTCTATGCCGTCGTATACACTGGCGTCCACTCCAAGATTGACTGGCTGCTCTGGCGATTTGAGCATAAACTCGAGTGTCCGCGCAACGAGGATTGCTCGTTGAGGACGGATGCGTCGTTTTGTAGGAGCAAGACTGTGAGAAAGATTATGGAAAGGAGAAGGAGGCATCTCGAGTGTAAATCTGGTGGGAAGGGGTGTCTTGTGGTGGATGGGAAGAGTTGTAAGAGGAAAGAGATTATGCCCCGGTGGGTGTTGAGGGGGATCAGGGATGAAGGTTTGTATCCTGACAGTCTGCATTCTGAATCAAACGGCTGACGATGGTTTAGTACTGATATATGGGTTCTTGCTTCTGTTTTGGATGGCTATTTGGCAGGTGGTTAGGATGTATGTGAGATCTGACTGGAATAGTTTCGTGCTGGCTGACCTCAGGGCAGGTCGATCCTTGGTCGAAAATCCGAATTACTAGCAGCAATATTGAGACTCCAATCATGATGGAGCAGTCCAGCATGGTCTCTCAGTCGAGGGCATATGCAGCAGCCTTTGTCCAAAAGTCTACATTCGCCCAATGAAGGACTTTTACATATATGGGTTATATCCGACCATATATGGAAGACATTACGGAGTCCATCCCTACCTAATCTTACGAAGTTCTACCAGCACATCAGGAAATCAGGGCATAATTTAATGCATTAAGATATATGCAGCCGCACGCCAGAGTCTGAATGGCTACATCATTTATAATAATAAACAAGAAAATAAATTGACGGGTTTTAGAGAGGGTTATGTCCGTGCCGCGCAAGATCTTTACCGTAGCCCTTAAATATCAGCGTCTCGTCAACATCAAATCCCTTGTTTTGCATACACCAAAATTGTCGATGAGTGGACGGAGTTTGTGGAGGTTGTGATATGCCCGGCACTAAGGTGAGATGTGTTATCTCCGATCAGTTCCATTGTATGTAGATATCATGGGTACGTCGTGGTAACAGGTATATAAGTGTTCTCGGAATCCAAGTGTCTTGATTCTTTTTCATCTCTCACTCAATTTCTACTGCAAGCCAAGCTCCTTCAGAATATCTGATATCACAACATGGCCAACAGAATTCTCCTCCAAAATGGTACTGTTCTATCTCACGATGGTGATAAAGTCGTTGTTCTCAAGAACCACGATGTTCTCATCGTCGGAAACACAATCCATCATATCGGGCAGGGCCTCGAACTTACAGGGGAGAGCAGGGTAATAGACTGCACCGACAAGATCATATCCCCCGGGTTCATTGATACGCACCACCATATGTGGCAGACTCAAGTATGACCTCTAGAGACTTTCAGGAGCTAAATGAGTTGACAAGCATAGTTGAAAGGAAGACACAGTGACGAGAGTTTTATGGATTACATGGTCTCAGGTACCTTTTTATCTTCTTATCCGTAAAACAACCGTTCAACCGTTCAATGTTAATGAGTACAGGGAACGTCCAATCCTATAACTACTCACCCGAAGACATATTCTGGGGTCAACTAGCAGGCTGTCTCCAAAGCATCAATGCAGGTGTAACCACAGTCGTTGACCATGCACACATGACTTATTCCCCTGACCATGGTACTCCCCTTCTCTTCTCTTGAGTTTTATACTTATCATACTTACATGAAGGCAGCAACCGAAGCCATCCGCGCGACCACATCTTCCGGTCTGCGCTCAATCTTCTGCTACAGCTCCATCTGGCGTATCAAAAGCTGGTCCTCGGCAGTCGAGTACGACGACACTTTAATTCCGGACTGGTGGTATGATACACTCGCCTCACTCGCCAAATCCACGCCGTACGGTGACGGGCGTGTCACTTTGGGCTTGGGATTTGATCAATTTCAGCTTCCCAAGGAACAAGTTATACGACTCTGGGAGAAAGCCCGCGAGCTAGGCGTAAAATTGATGACGACTCATTTTCTCGCTCATTCAATGAAAAGTATGTCCTCAACCACCTACATCCATAAAATAGGAGAACTGATAATGGCAAAGACTCCGTCAACCTCCTCTCCGAATATGGCCTCTTGGACGCATCAATCCTCTTCTCGCATGCCAACGGCATCTCTGAATCCGACGCCGCTCTCTTGACTTCAAAAGGGGCACACATCTCCGCCACACCCGAGACAGAAATGCAAATGATTCTCGGCGAAAGCGTCGCTTTCAGGAACGACCTCAAATCGCATGCATCGATTGGAGTGGATTGTCATTCCAACAATTCAAGTGATCTCCTCACGCAACTCAGGATGGGCATGCAGTCCGCCCGAGCCGCGGAGAACAGTCAAGCCATGGCCGAGGGGAAGTATCCTAGCATCAAAATCAAAGTCGAAGAGGCGTTTAACCTTGGCACAATCCAGGGCGCGAAGGCGATTAATATGCAGGATCAGATTGGGAGTATTGAGGTCGGTAAACGGGCTGATATAGTTGTTTTTGATGCTTCATCGCCGGGGATGGTGTGTGCGGCTGAGGAGGATGCTGTTGCGGCGGTGGTGATGCATGCTGGCGTTAGCGATATTCAGACGGTGATTGTGGATGGGGTGGTTAGGAAAGAAGGGGGTCAACTAGTTGATATCAGAATCTTAGATAGTCTAAGTAGTATTGAAAGGAACGCTGAAATGACATGGAAAGAAGTAAGAGGCAGGTTGCTGGAGAGTCGAGAGAGAATACAGAAGAGAGGGCAGGGCCAGGATAGGCAAGCGGCGCTGCAATTTTTGTACAAGACTTTTGGATGATCACTACTAAATGTAAGGATTTTGATAAGAGGGGAAAATACTGAGAAGAGAATAATTATTTGATTGGATGATATCGCGTTGCACAGCACAATAGCCATGTAGCCGCCGCAGCGCCGCATCTTGTCTGCCTTCCTCTCTGCCCCTCTCTGCCTTGCTCTGCCTTTCTTTATCTAGAAACTCACGGTGATCTGATGACTTGACCAAGTATCCTCAAATTCAAGACGACAATTAGATTCATGAACAGGACAAAGTGAAAGAAAATCGCAAAGATGAAAGTTGACTGTGCTTGGCTTCTGCTGTTGATAGCAGGACTTCACAGGGCAATCGCGACAGGTACAACATCCCAAATCTCTATACATCTCGATATTAAACCTAGCCTCGCAGAATTTACCTACGATCCCCCCATTATCGAGACCGACGAGGAAAGCCATATCTTAAACAATTACAACGGCTGGATCAACCCCGAGGATCTAGCTCCCATGCCACAATGCATAGCCCAGCAGGACCATTCCACCTGGCTGGCAGCCATGACAGCATGCACTAGCAAACAGTGCACCTATAGTTTTGCCTTCATCTGTATCCATCACCAATGGCTGACTGAACTCAGCTGTCTCAGTACCGAGTTCTCCCCGGATCTGCTGGAAGCTTATCTGCCATACTGTAGTAGATCGGTGCTTAGCAAAGCGCAGCTGTACGCGTGGATTTGGAATGTGACGAGCCGGACGTGGCTTGTTGATGTTGGTGATGCGAATGAGTTGCAAAATTTGTCACCGGCTTCTCTGGTGGAGGGTTATGCGGATCTTGACGTGGTTCATTATGCGCCGACGTGTTTGACCGAGTCCGTCGCTACTCAGTCAAAAGAGGCGTATGAGCATGTAATGGCGTCGTGTATGTTCACCGGCTCGACTCAAAATACGGGGAATGACGATCCTTCTTGGGAGTACAATGAATCACAACAGTCTATGATCCCTCTGGGCTTTGAGACCGTTGGATATGATCTGACCGGACATGATATTCACGATGGCAGTTACTTTGATAAAGACTGCTTTTGCAGCTTCTTTGCTATAGACCCAGATGACGAACCATGTTCGAGGTCTCACCAATTAGACTTGACAAGAGAGCGACTGTGGATTAATGCGACCTGCGGATCCTCATCCTTGACCAAAAACTGGACAGACACAATCCAAACAACAGACTTTGGATATATTCCTCTCAAAAACTGGCAGTGGCCTTCGTGTGTGACGGACATGCCGCAGCAACTGACTTCGCTTCCTGGCCACTGTGCAGCCGAAGCCTGTGAGCTCGACGCAGATGGATATTGCAGCAAGATCCAGCCGGCAGTTCAGAGGGCTTGCTTCTGCCACAACATCAGCTACGATTCCTGCGGAGGTTTGTGTCATGTATTTGAGACCCGAATCGAGTATGTCAAGTGGCTGCACGATATCTGTGGTGATGTGGAGGACTGGCATGGTCTGCCTAATGATTGGCGTCTATTAGCTGCTCCTACTTCTCGGGACATCATTCCGTGGAGATGGACTGTCGAGTCATCCGAAACAAAGGGAGACTGTCCTTCAAATGGATGGAATCTTGGAAGTCTTGCTCTAGTCAACTGTGCTACATTATTTGCAGTAATGCACAACCATAGATATGGCTTACGTCGTCTTGCGCACCGCTGGCAACCGCGCTCTTGGTATTCCAGGGGTCTTTCAATCGCTGTATGCCAAATAATTGCAAACTATATCAACGCCCTTGGAGTCCAAGCAACTCGTGGCTACGAAGACGCACCCGTGACTCAACTAATGCTCCTCTGGAGTACAGTGCCTCGACTGCTTTCCTGGTTCTTGATTCTGTTTCTTGGTGCACAACCATTTGAGGCGATAAATTTGTCTGCTGTTGGGGCTTGTTTATTTGCTGAATTCATTCTCCAGGGTTTCTCATCCTATTATATGATCACGACCGTGAAATATGGCATAGAACACAGGTTCTACTTTGGAGGAGGTTTGGAAAATGCGGAAAGAGTCTGGATCGCCAGAATGATGTATCATGGAGCACTTATGTGGCTTGTGATTGTGGGCATGGTGCTCGCTCTGTTAGTGAGGGCTACACAGAGAATGAATCGAATGACCGGGATTCCTAGCCTTGAATCACCAGCCGCCAAACCGCAGAGAGATGGAAAGGGCATATCAACGTTTGCAGAGGGAATTATGGCCCAGGTTCGGGAGCGTTACACACGATTCGGGGAAAAGGCGATCCATTTTTGCATAATCGAGTGTATGGACCCAGGAGAAATTCTATCGATAAGAAACAATAGATCGACGTATGGCACCTTTTCGTCCACAAGTCAGAATCGCTGGGCTTCGCATCAGACCTCTATTGGACTGTATGCGGCTTTGACTCTCGGCATGGGTCTGCTCTGGCTTGCGCAGTGGTTGTTTTGGAGTGGGTTTGTCATTCTCAGTTCCGAAGAGTATGTGTTATATACGAGTTTAAAGCTATTTGATGCTAACTGGGCTAGATACTGTCCTCCTTATCTTGGGCCGCTCACGGCTGTTTGGATTATCTTTTCGTTGGCGGCGACTGTTTTTGGAATCCCTTGAGAAGAATGTCGTGGATTAGGAATGAGCTTCCCTGACCAATTGGTGTATCTCATGTGGAATTTCTGCTAAATGAGATTACATTGAACAAGGAGAGTCAGGCGGAGTTAGGGCTAGACGGTTGTAACTCTATCCACCACCACCATCCTTTTCGATGATACATCCAGATCGTTCATAATTTCATGCCACGTATATAACTGAGACTGCAAATTTATACAAATTTGTAAATTCCTGCAAATCGAATGTTTTCCAAATTACCCGTTTAGGCAATTTTCCGGAGAACAGGTCCTGCTGCCAAGAGCTACGTCATGGCGACTTCATCTGTCAGATACATCATCTTTCCTGCACCAAAAAGCTGTCTGTCCTACCAGTCGGGTCAGTTACTCGATCGGAACAACTGTTCTATCCTTGCTGTTAGTATCCTCAGGGATCAGTGATCGCTACGTCATGTGGACCTTGGTACCTCGCTGGAAGAATATAAGACTATCCTCTCCTACTTGATTCTCTAGTCTCAATCACATACATTCCAAACAAAGCAATAAACATGGCTTCGTCACAGATCTCCACCAGCTCCGGCAACAAGCCCGCCGACCCCTACAAGGAAAAGAATTACGATCTCCATGCCCCGGTGCAAGAGAAGATAGAGGATCTGGTCAAGTTCATCAAGGACATCAAATACGGCATGCTCACGACCAAGGCCTCGGACAGCGAGCTGCTCTCTTCGCGCGCCATGGCACTGGCCGGGACTGTATGCCACCATTCCCTTCTCTTTTTCATATCGGAAGACATGATCTAATTGACCAAAGGAAAACGGCGGCGTCGACCTAATCTTCCACACGAACCTCTTCTCCGGCAAAACTTTGGACCTCACCGTCCACCCCACAGAGACAAGCATGTCCTTCCTCGACGTCGTATCGGGCGGCTGGGCCTCCATCTCGGGAACCGCATCTGTGCTATCTGGCAAAGATGCCGTTGAGAAATTCTATTCTCCCGCGCTCAAGGCCTGGCTAGGCGATTTGGGCGATGGGGTGCATGATGGTGGGCCGGGAGATCCACGAATTGGTGTTATTAGAGTCGAGTCCAAGTGGGCGGTGCACGTTACGCCGCGCAAGGGCATGATTGGGAGAGCTGTGGAGATTGGGAAGGCGGTTACGACGGGAGATGTGCCGCCGATTAACAAGATTCGTGAGATCAGTACCGAGGAGTTGGCTGAATGTGAGTATGGACCAAGATTAGCTTGAGAAATTGCTAACTGTTTTAGGGCGCCGCACTCACCCCGAGTAATCGAGCGGATTTGATAGAATGATAATAGTATGATTTTAATAATATTCATTTCACACTGCAATAGTCGTCAAGGGTATCTCCAATTAATCCAAAGCTAACGCCATCCAAAACCTCCACACGTAAGAATAATCAACGAGATCAAACCAACCGAATAGGAAACCGCGCAGGAACACGCCCATCATGTAACAACATAGCGACATTCTTCTGCGGCGTCGCTTGCAACTTCCTAAACGCCTCTCGAATATGTCTCGGCTCAATCGGCGTCCTCCCTTCTTCCGGAGGATCAAACAGTCCCGTCTCACGTTTCCTCTTCTTCGGATTATCGCCTGCATCAGAATCCGCCCCTCCTCTACCTTTCTTTTCACGATCTTCGCGCTCTTTCACTTTGAGCGCTTCCTCGGTTAGCGTTTGCACAATCTCAAACGTCAAGAACCCCAAAATATCGACAATATCATCATTAGGTTTCGACTCAGTCACAATTCCGAATCCAGCCCATTCACGGAATCGTTTACCCTTCCGAAATGTAAAAGACGCCTGTCGACAGTCCGACCAGAACACATATTCCTCTCTCGTCATATTCTTCGTCCGTTCGTCGGCGGTTGCGAGACGTTGTAGCGTAGCATAATTCTGTTCTTCCTCTTCTTCGTCCTCCTCATCCTCTCGCTCCGGTGCTTGCACGGAATAAAAACTGTTAATGTCCCACGGTAACCCGACTTTGGCACGTTTATTTTTCGGTTTTGCGGCCATATCCTGGGGGCCAGCTACACCAGCGCCCGCGAGCGGATCGTCGCCAGCCGCGAAATCGGCGGCATCTGCACCGGCCTTGTCATCCGAGTCCTTGACGTTTTTGCGGACGTCTTTCCACGATAAGAAAGTTCTGAGGCGGCTGACTTTGGCTTTGTCGTGTCGGATTAGAAAGATCAGGTCGTCGGTTGATATTGATCGGTTTCCGCGGCGGGTTGCCAGGGCGGTGCTGCGAGTGAGCATTTCAACGACTTGTTGGCGGACGATTTCTTCGATAAGGGTAGTTGTTTCTTGAGATGGCTCGGCGGTTTCTCCAGAGACGAACATCATCTGTATCATACTTAGTAACGTCTCGAGATGTGAAGGCGCTGCTGTGCGTAGAGACTAGGGCTTACCTGCTGGATCTCCTGCCGGTACTTGGGAGCACGTTCTCCGGCCATATTGATAGTAATCTGTTATATAAACTATATCGCCAGTATCGCTAAGTGGAAACAGTAACAATGAACAATAACAAGCCCAAAGCCTCGTATGCTATGCGTGTGAAGTAGATGAAGTACGTCTGAGACTATCGCGACGTTAGCACCGGAAAGAGTGGACCTCGACTGCGCCGGGAAATTATTACTCCGACCAAGGGAATGAGCTTAATTATTTTTTGGCGGGGAGCGGGGATCTTTCGATTCCGGTCCTACAACCACAAGAATCAAGTCAAAATGCTGTACCTCGTTGGTCTCGGTCTCGCAGACGAAAAAGACATAACAGTCCGCGGACTGGAGGTTGTCAAGTCCGCTTCGAGGGTCTATCTCGAAGCTTATACGAGTATCTTGCTGGTCGAGAAGGAGAAGCTAGTGAATTATCCTCACCTTGATCACTGAGCAGAGCAATGGCTAACGGTTTGATCAATTAGTAGGAAGCGTACTATGGCCGTCCTGTGATTGTCGCAGACCGTGAACTCGTCGAGACGGGCAGCGACGATATTCTCGAAAATGCCAAAGAGGTCGATGTTGCGTTTTTAGTTGTCGGGGATCCATTTGGGTATTTCCCTTCCATTATACTCAATGGTTTTGTATCCTTTCTCATAGTATTCTAGAGCAACGACACACACAGACCTCGTCCTCCGAGCCCGCGAACTCGGCATTCCCACCAAAACCATCCCTAACGCCTCCATCATGTCCGCCATCGGCTGCACAGGCCTACAACTCTACAACTTTGGTCAGACCGTCAGCATGGTCTTCTTCACCGAAACCTGGAAACCATCCTCGTACTACGACCGCGTCAAAGAAAATGCGCAGCTGGGACTGCACACTCTCGTTCTGCTAGACATCAAAGTCAAAGAACAATCGCTCGAAAACATGGCGCGCGGACGAAAGATTTACGAACCGCCGCGATACATGACTGTTGCGCAGTGCGCGAGTCAGATGCTGGAGACTGAAGAGGAGAGACAGGAGGGTGTCTATGGACCTGATAGTCTTGCCATTGGCGCTGCGCGTGTGGGAGCTCCCGATCAGAAACTCGTCGCGGGAACATTGAAGGAGTTGACGGAAGTGGATATGGGAAAACCGCTTCATAGTTTGGTGTTGCTCGGTAAAAGAGCGCATGATCTAGAGAGGGATTACATTGAGCAGTTTGCGGTTGATAAGGAGACGTTCAATGCTGCGTGGAAAAAGGGATATAGCCAGGCTTAGATGATCTAGCTATAAATCTCTTTCAATCGTTTCGTGTATATAATTCTACGATACTGTCTTTGCAGCTCCGAAAATGGTGTGAACTAGTAGTATTCGACTAAAAATAAYCMAAGCCACTAGACTTGTAATAACCAACGCCAAACTCCCACCATGCCTTATCCATGCTTTTCATAAACGCAATATATACGAGGTATGAACAGCCTCCGAATGAAATTGACACTCTCTGGAACCGTTCGTCATGGAATACGATCACTCCAATTTGTCCAGATGCTCCAACCTCGTCAACACAACCTGCTTACTCGTCTCCTCGATCTCTCCCGCGAGAAACACCTCGTCCAGAATCGCATACACCTATCCATCGCCTAGATCAGCCCACATCCTCCCATCGCTCCCTGGAGTAGAAGATTGAATACCTTGTAAAAATTAAATACCAAATCCAACTCACACACATTTCCAAAGAACTGATCTAGCACTTCTACAAAGAAATGAATCGCCTCTAGATATGCCAACTCATTATCATTCGCGTCGACGCAGACACAGAAAAACAGTCCGGCGTAGCGGCGGTAGACGATTTTGGTGCTGCGTTTGAATTCGACGAAGTTTGATTGGTATTTCTGGTCGCGGGGGGCGACGAGGCGGTGGACCTAATTTGTCAGGTATTAGTTGAGGGTTCAAAGGTATTCGAGTATGATGTTTGATGGAGAAGATGACAAAGGAATGGGTGCACACCTCGCCTTTGAGTTTTACTTTCTCATCGTCCTGTTATTGAGTCAGTGCTGGCAATTAATATAGCTTGAGGAATGGACATACACTATATGGAGCGTACCACTTCGCCAATCTCGTCTTGCCTCTATTGCCATGTCAGTTCTCAGTTCCCGCGCATCCCCCTGGAATTCGTCGGGTCGGACTCACTGCCGATTCTGAATGAGTATAAACGAGAGCACCATCCCGTGTATTTTGTGGTAGGAACAGCTCGGGCGCTGCTCGACTACCGATCACAACTTGATATCTTCAAAGTTGATTAACTCGAGCAGACTTATAGGGTGAAGCTAAGTAGGGAAACACCGTAAATGCGGCGGGCATATTATACTGCCATCTGTCACCGCTTGGTGATTGCCCGCATCGACCAATTATCGTGAGCCCTCGGAGAACAGTGAGGTTTGTTTACTTTAGTCTCTTGGTGAAGTTACGGAGGGTGATACACAATTGGGGCGGAAATACATGCAATTCTCCCCATGCGATGAATGAGTATATAGTAGAGCTTTAGCTCGTACTTTCAATCAATTCGGTTGTCGTACAAGATCCCCGCACAGCACCATCAGGTGGATCTACATCACATCGCATCTCCCCAATTCAGTACTCGATGCCTCCAGATCCACCAGAGTGAAGACAAACCACTATAGCGCGAGTGAACATGCCCGTCTACAAAATCCATGGCTTCCGCTGGCCCCGCGGCGGCATCCCCAGTATTCGCGTCTTCATAGTGCTCGAAAACCTCGACGATGCCTCTGCCGAATACATCCAAAACAAACGCACCTCCTCTCTAATTCTCGGCGCAATTCACAAAAACCATCCCAACGCTTCTAGACACTTACCAAACTTGCAGCTGATAGAGCAATACGACCCGCTCGATATGACGGATTCGGCAGTGAGTCAACCGCACGCCTTTGTCGCGGATAGTGTGACTATATTACCGGATACGGCGCGGCCGGTGAAAGGGTTGAGTGTGGAGATTGATCAGCGGTTTTTGGATGATGCCATTTCGTCCGAGGCGCGACAGACGCTTGCTGAGATTAGAGATGCGGTTGCGCCGGGCGAGAAGATTGGGTGGTGGATTGTGTATAATGGGGATCCGGAGAGGTATTATCCTGGTATGGAGGAGGATGAACTTATGGATGATGAGGAGAGCGTTGGTGCTAGTGCTGGCCCAGGTGGAGATGATAGAATCAGTTTCCAAAGTAGAGAGACGGCGCCGTCGTCTGTGGCTGCTTCGACGCCTGTTTCGGTGCCTGAGATTCCGGTTTGTGTTCATTCTTTCTTGAAGGTTGGGGTTTCTTGCTGACTTTAATAGGCTGAGAAGTCACCGGCTCCTGGGTTGAAGAAGAAGAGATCGTTTTGGCGGCGCAAATGATGACAGATTCTGGCTGAAGAATGGCTTGACAATACGAGCATAGCTTACGAGTAATGATAGATGAAGCGATGATACATAATCTTTTAGGACTGATAGTTTACAGACGATAACTTGAAACTGAGTCATTATAGTCATTCGTGATATGGTATATATACAACATGAAATGATAGACAGTTGTGTTTCCAGCGCATCCAGATCTACCTTTTCAACGCAGCAAACCTCTTCGACAACTCATCCACATTCGGTATGCCCTTACTATCTTTTCTTTGTGGCCCACCAGGACGGGGTTTATTTCCCTCGGTCTCTCCTGGAATCCTAACCCTCGGCTCCGGATTGTCTGTAGAAGGTCCCGGCTTTGCGACACTCACAGGACTCTTCCCCGTCGCATCGTGTGTCCCAATATCTCTCGGCGGCGTGGCACGCGACAATTCATCCGTCTCAGACGCACGACGCACATTATCCGCCAGACTCTTACGCGGCGTATGCGGCGGCGCTGCTGCAACATCACCCTTATCGTCGTTGTCGTCTTTATCATCATACCCCGGCGGAGGCGACGTTTCATCCGTCGACATCATTTCCGGTACATCCCCCTCCGCCAATTCCTCCTCCTCTCCTGCAGGCCAAGCAACATTATACGCCTTTGCGATTTCACGCAAATAACTCTCTACCAACTCCGTCGAAGGCGGCTTTACGCGTAGTTTTTTAACAAGTCGTTCCGGGATCTTGATTGCGGCTTTATTGTCCTGTGCTAGAGTTGCAAATTCTTTGCCCCAGCGCTCCATGAGTAGCAGGCGCAGGGTCGTAAGTTCCTTGACTTCGCGCGGGAAGCGTGGGCAAGAGTAGAAGATTGCGACTGCGGCTTCGTCGAGGCCGACGTTTATGTAGCTGTTTGCTTCGTCGTTGAAGTCGTCGCTTTCATCCACTGCGGCTGTAGTTGTGGAGGGTTCCTGTGGTTGTTCCTGTTGCTGCGCCGGAATTGTTGCTGCTGCTGTAGTAGACGATTTATTGCTTGAGAACCACCCAAATCCGCTACTCTTCTTCGGCTCTGGCGTCGATGTTGCAGACGCACCCTTCTTCTCCAGATTCAGCCTATTGAGCTCCTCCTTCGCCTTATTCCGTGCCTCAGCACCTTTATCCGAAAACGCGAGTTGATCGAGCACCATGGTGCGCGCAAGTAGCAGTTCGCAGTACAGCTCTATCATCTCCATGACTTCGACGCCAATGTCGGTTGCGATGACATTCTCGACTCGGTAGCGCGCGGAGGCTTCGCGGCCATTTTCGAGGAGTTGGGCGAGTTCCCGGCGTTGAGCGACGGAGGATGCGGTGTCTTTTTTTTGTTGGAGGCGGAGACGGGGGATGAGGAGGCGGAGAGTTGATTGCAGTTTTGTCTGGTAATTTGTTAGCTGGTGTTGTAATTTTAGTTACATTCGTGTTTGTGTTTGTCTGTTGTCGGAAGAAGTGACGCAATTGCTGATAGGAAATGCGGGGTGAAAATAACATCTCGATGATCGAGATACACAAAAGGCGGAGAAGAACTTACTGTTTGAGCTGAAGGAGGCATCTTCAAGCTAATTTAAACTCGACAAGTATGTATATATGAGAGCGCCCGAATTGAAGATGTTGTTAATGTTGGAGACTTGGGGATGTTCCTCCAAGATGAGTGGAGCCTGGAATGGCTGCCCCACTACTGAGGCATCCGTATACTCGTCCATTTACACCTACAAAATTGCATTGTATATGTCAAGATGCATGATTTTTGCATTTAGCTAGTATATTTGGATGGCTAATTTCCGCCATACAGTCTATCAAGCTTTAGCTTGTTCTCTCTTCTGCTTCGCTTTTTCGATATTTTCCAACTCTTTGTCAATCTTCTTGAAGCCCCAACTCCTCCAGAATGAGGGATACAGGAACGGACGGAGATCCTATGCATCGTTAGTATTCTCTATATCACTTTCACGCAGGCATCAGGTGGTCTTACGAATCTGTTATCGTCTGGTGAGTAGTCGTTGCAGTGTAGAGATGGTGTTAGGGTAGTCATCTTATGGCGGTTGATGGCATCTAGTAACTAATTAGCCGTATGTGCTTGATTTTCCAGTAAGGATAGAACTCACAGTAATGAAAAAAGTGCTTGACTTTTTCCCTGTGGATATGTTAGTAGAATTATCCCACAGAACATCGTTTGTAGACGACATACGCGATCTGACGAGGTTCCAAGGCTGGGCATTCATCTCCGTCTTCTCGTACTCTTTCCTCGCCCCATTCATGTACGAGTCTCTGAAACATGCCATATGGACCCAGTTTGTAGACCTTTCGTAAACGACCAAAGGTCTAAGCCGAGGCTGTTAGTCCAATACAGTTTGATATTATCAATGCAACTTACTGTCAGTTCATCATATGTCATACCCATATCAGCCTCGTCTGATTGAACGTATTTCTGTAACATGTAAGTAAGTTCTAATCCCAATCTCCGCGATATTAACTTACCTCGGTAATGGGTTCGAGCTCTGCAGTTGGAATGGCTGTCAAAAATTCATGAAGACAAGGGATGTCGTACACCCTTTCTGCCCAGGCAATAAATCGTTTGAGGTCGGATTTGTCGATACTTCCGATGGGGTTCTATTCGGTTAGTTCACATATCAAGAGCAACGCGGCTTGAGAACGTACAATATCCGCGCTTGAACAGTCATATTTTGTGAGGTAACTGGGTAAACATAGTCAGTGACCAGTTATGCAGGTGATTTCCACTGGAAAACTTGTGGCGAATGTTCTTTGAAATTGAAGGACAGAAACATACCCTCGCAAGGATTCCTAGGAACGTTAGTGGAATGAATGTGATCGCAAAGCATATTACTTACGCCGACATTGGCAGATCCAAGAACCAACAAACCTCCGCCGCCAGGACGTCCTCGTGTCGTGGGCAAGATTTGAGCAAACTCATACGCTGTTGGTTGTTAGCTTCGGTGAGGCAGTACTGAGTCCGATTAACCCACCCGTAACCATTCTAGATCGCGCTTGAATGTTCTGTAGCATAAGGTTCTCTGCTTGTGATCCTCCCTCCACTTTGAATTTCGGGTCGAATCCTAGCGTCGTTTTGATAAGAGCTTTTTGTGCATGGTAAACCTCATCAATGTCTAAGTTCACATGATAACTTCCAATAGCTTCCGACAAGTCCCTTGCTCGCTGACGAGTCTCCTTCGACGACTGCTGAGACATCCCCATGTAGATGGTGTGGAATATTTGGTTGCACAGCTCCTGTGGTGTCTCTGGCAATTTGTCCGAGTACTTTGCAAGCCGTTTAACATCTTCAATTACCTGAGCATTACCAGCCTTGACTGCTTCAATGGCAAGTCGACACATTGAAAAGACAATAGTCGCTGTGGCGCATGAATCGATACCTCCAGAAAGAGGCACCAAGTAACCTGCAACTCCGCTTCTTCGAAGGTAATCCCAAAGATAGCAACCAGAGCAGAGGGCGATTTCCTCTTCAGGTGAGTGGTAACGAGGGGTAATAGGAATGCTTGGACCACGAGTCAGGTCTAGATCGTCCTCCTCGCTGCTCAATTCGAAAGGAGTCTGGATACGCTCGTATTTGGCTTTGGACTGAGCTGCCTGGAAAGCTCTCGACATAGAACAGCGATAAGCACGGACTTCCTCAAGATCTATAGTCGCTGTCACGACTTCGACATCGTTCAAACTGAACTGTGTCCCTTGAGCTACCATTGTTCCGTTGACAATGATCTATAAAATTAGCATACAATTCATAGAATGGCAAAGAGAACATACCATAGCACAACCGTCATAGTACAACCGATCACCGTCGCATCCTTGCTGATTGGCATAGAGGTAGATACCGCCATTCTTCCTGGTTGCTTCCATAATGAGCGCTAGACGAGTTTCTAGCTTACGCAGAGTGAAGTGAGAACCACTGCTGTTGGTAATGACTTCCACTCCATCAAGACTCATCTGAGTATGTGGACTATCGGGTGTGAAGAGCTCTTCCTGTTTTGCGTTAGCTTAAGTAGATCTCGACTAGGATTTATCAAAATGCCTACACATGTTTCTGCACCAATACATGTATCCGGAGTAGATACCACTGCATCACCAAAAGTAACATGCGTTGCTCCCTGTAGACGTTGAATGCGTCGGGGAAGGTGATACTGTTCGGTAGTTCGAGGTTGGCACCATGGAGTAAAATGGCGCATCTCTCTGTAGTTGCCATCATTTGCAAGAAACATTTTGGGCCGGATCAGAAGAATCTTGCCGTTCAAGCAGATAACTCGGCAATTGTATCGAACATTGCGGTGCTGGACGGGCACTTTCAGACATTAGTCTTCACAACATCAAAACCACTTGTGCTTTCTTACTTCCAATGTCTAGCAAAATATCATTGCAGGACTCATCAGTCAAAATCCTCTCCAGCATTTCCCAGCATGCTAGAAACAAATCTTGCTCTCTATTGTCAAACTTAGTTATGTAACTTATTCGCACAGCCAACGGGAACATACAGCAAATGATCAAGACACCCATATCCACAAATTTCCAGCTCGGGTCCAACCCGTAGCTTTGCTCCTGCCGCTTTGGCCTGCTGGATACTCTCGATAATACGCTGTGTATTGCCTTCAAAGTCGAGAGCCCATCTGCGAGATGTTCAGTGTTTGCGAGATCCACATGAGGGGAAGTGACTCACTGGTTGAGGTTGCACGTCGCAACCGTTACGAAATGGCCCATTGTGCCGCACTTTGCCTCTGCTGAGGTATCTACAGTCAAATGAACGTTGATGTAGATGAAGCTGTATTCTGGAGAATGTTGCAGAGTTTCAAAGAGGGAAAGAAGCGTCGTCGTCTTATCATTTTACGTCATGTGACCCCAGCGCGGATTTATCTCCACATCCTTCCGCGTTCCCATCTTAACTTCTTCAATTGCCCATCAAAATGAGTATCAAGAAGATTTCAATGACAACGAGAAGCTTAATTGGCTGCCGCGGAATACAGGCTTTCCAATTTTCTGAAAGTCCTGTCAGGCATGGACCTCCAGCTAACCAGGCTTTCAAGGCTATATCCGCCCGACGCGTTACGAGCCTCTGATTGCTTCATCTGACATGTTCAGCTCGCCAATTCTATGGCATTTCGGGCTCTCAGTCATGATGGACGTTCTCTGTAGAGATGCATCAGATATAGCCGATATTCTCACAGACTCATTGTCACACGCGTGATATCCACACCGTCTAGTATATACTCCTCTGGGCGACCAGTTTCCCGTGGAGCAATCGTGGGGAGCAGCTTTTCCGACGAGATAACGGTCCGATAAGCCTTTATTCATGGCTTGTGGACGAGTCAGTCTGGACTGGTAGCTTTTGGACAGTGCAATCCATTTCTATTCATTACTTTTCTCGTAGTCTAGTTGCGATTTCTAAAAACAAAGCTAATGACAGACGAGAAGATTGCAAACATTGGGGCTTCAAGGTGCGTATGCTCTGTCCAGACGGATATCTATACAGCTATGTGCTATATTGAGCAACGAGGTGCGGCTGTGACCCCCAAAGGCAGCGCATTGTACGACAAGTGTCTTCATGATGCGCGTGAGAGTGTAGCAGCTGCTTCCGGCTTTTCTCTTACCTTTGAATCTGCTTTCTCGAGCACATTCTCGAGATATCTAGACGACGGGTCCGACTTACGTGCACAGGATGTAGTGTACTTCCGGTACAAAGTCAGTCTCGACCATACCCCTGCACGTGAAAAGGTCAAAGGTCTTCCCTTGCACATCCATATCGACCAATTACGCGGAGTTTTTGACTATAAGCTGATTATTTACGAAGACTTTCTCTCTTTCTCGGCATCTGGAATCTTCAGGTCTAACCTTTCAGATCAACTCGAGAAGCCGTTGCCCGAATAAAGACGGATGCCAGTGCCCAGTCGGACTTGGAGGATACAATGGGGTGCAAGACACTTGACTTAATTGAGATATACAGCTGATTGCAAAATCAAAGTCTCCAGAGGTGTGCACAGATTCTTGGTCTCAAAGAGATAAAGCTTTATTAAGGCTTGATTCACTTGTTGTTCTTTAAATCTGCCGACCTGTGTGAATACGAAGCGTGATAATGAAATGAATTTCTACTTTCTAATATCAAATCACTAATTAGGACGACATCATATTTGCCTCTTTGGTCAACAACAGCAAACAGAAGTGCTCGGCGCCTAAGTCAGCTGCATTTACAAGTCCATGGAATTTTCCGGCGACTGTAGCAGTTTGTGTGATTTTCCCTTGTTTTTTCCCAGTTTTCTCTTTTTACCTCCCACTTATTCTTGTTCTCACATCTACTCTTGAACTCACCATAACTGAACACAACCTCATCTACACTAGATCAAGCACAATGTCAACATCAAGGGCCAGACGACGTTGGCCAAAGCTGCAGGATGGTACCTTAATCACCGGTCCAAAGCTGTTTGAACTCATCCAGGACGACAACTCCGTCCCTCCTCTTTGGGATCTCAGATCGGTAATCGAGGAAGTTGAGGAGAATTTCGGGGCAGATGTTAGCGGAATCTCTGCGTACGAATGTGGGCATGCTAATCAAGTAAGTCTATAATGTTTCTCTGTGTGCAGGTAAGATACTGAAGCTGATCAACCAGGCGCTGTGGTGCGAGCTGTCTAACGGGGAAGACATTTTGGCCCGTCTCGGACACAGCGATGTCAACAAGCCAGATAGTGAGAGTGTCCCTGTGAACATTCAGCTGTCAGATGCTCGCTTCGAGGTTGCCATCCATGGATTGTTCTTACCAGGGTCCTCTGAGGTCAAAGTCGCTCCTCTATTATACCACCGAATTCCCCAGGTTGTCGCTGGTGCCCCAAGCCAGGATCCTACAGACATCCTTGGACGTCGTTTCTGCGTATTTGAAGCACCAGAAGGAAATCCAGACGCGTGGCGCCATTTTGACGCCCAGGACAAGGTATGTTAATCTATGGATTTCAGAACCATGCCTTCAAGACTTGGTGCTCATTAGATATAGATCGTCTATTTGAAGCAAGCAGCTCAGATGCGTGCCGCACTCTTCAACTTCAACCCTCCACACGCCTTCATTTCCAGATTTCTAGCAGAACGCGTCCCACACTTTTCCAGACCTATTCAATTGTCTGTACCGATCACATCTACTCGCGACTTCTGCATTGCTCTGCTCAGGGCCAAAATCGAAGCCACAATCGCAAATCTCGGAGACCCCATCGGCTGGCCTACGAGCAACAACGTGGTCGGTCCCTTCGCTATTGCCGCGAAGCAATCCCTCCTCCGTCTTTTGCCGTACCTGCTTCCCCCAGAGACTAGACATGGTACCTTCTATCGCTTCGTCGTAGATCACGGTGACTATGCCATGTGGAACATGACATCAACAGTTGACGACAATGGAAAGCCACTCATCACATCCGTATTCGGCTGGGATATGAGCTCTGTCATTCCCGCCATCTTTTCAGAGCTGAAGCTCGGCGTTGAGATTGACCTCACCGCTGACGAGTACGGCAACCCCGTCATTACCCGTCTACCTCATAACGCGTCCGCTTCGAAACGTGCTCAATACATGGCATGGTCCCGTCAATACATCACCGTACGTATCCTTCCTCCCTTATTCAATCCCCAACCCTACTAATAAGCAATATCAGGCCCTCTACACCCAAGCCCCGGACCTCGAAATCATTATGCGCGAAGGCCACGACGCTCGTTATCTCTGGTTTGCGTTACGCAACTGGCTCGGCACGCATCCAGAGATCTTTTTTGGCGAGTTGGGTCTTTGGGCTGAGAAGAAGTTGGTGCAGTTCACTACTGCTCGGGGCAATGGCACCATGAGTCCTTTTCATAGTCCTTGATTTTTGAGATTCGTATTTCGGGAGGCCCTTGGTCTCGGATTTTTCTTGAGGTAGTTGGATTTCTTTAGTGATTTGTATTATGAGCACTGCTCGATCTCAAATTCTCCATGGACCAAATTTGAATTAGTCTGTTGATTAGCAATTGGGGTGCTCCTCGGTCTCAATTTGTCATGAATGCAATTTGGATTTGAATTGATAATTAGTATTGGAAAATGCCCTCTGGTATCATATCTTCCTTGAAGACAGCTTGAAGTTGATATTATGATCAGCACTTGGAGCGCTTCTCAATCGTAGACTTTCTATGATTACCCCAAGGATATGAAATCGTGGAGAACTCACTACCAATGCATATCGTTGCAATGAGGAATGCGCGTAAGATCACATGACCGAATGCTATACTACGTAAGGTACGGGGAGATAGCGTTAGTGTTGTGGAGCTGTGCTATTTGTTTACTTTCGACGTTGGTACCGGTGCCTGACTTTTCTCCATCTCCTATCCCCGAAGTTTTTCTCTATCTCCTTCCGGTAATTCCGAATTATTGCTAGTGCTTCTGCTCTAATGTCAGTGGTATATCATTTCTGCTTCCACCTGACTCATCGCAGCAACGCCTCTTCCTCTTATTTCCCTGACATAAAGTAAAGATCTGACTGTGCTTGGTCCAAAGCACACTGGAAGCTGGCATGAAGCAGTCCAGGTCTGCCACGGCTCAATTGCATCGTTTGGCGGTTTCCTACCTCAGTCAGCCGAGAAATATCCGCACTTTTCAATCGTCGTCGCGCTTTGAAAACAAAACTGCGAAAGCCGACAGTTCGAGGCAGAGTTTTCTCAAAATGGCCGACCCGCGGACACCAATCCTCACCAAACATGCCCCAGATCCGCTCCCGGGACTGTACTCTCAAGCCATCGTCGCTAATGGCTTTGTTTTCTGCTCCGGCAACGTGGCCATGGATCCAGAGACGAACCGGATCATTGACGGGGATATTCAAGCCCATACACACCAGGTCATCAAGAATCTTTCGGCGATCCTTGACGCGGCTGGGTCTAGCATCAACCATGTCGTCAAAGTGAACATCTTCCTTGCCGATATGGGTGATTTCGCGAAAATGAACGAGGTTTATGACTTGTATTGGGGCGACATACGACCGTGCCGGACGTAGGTACCATTATTTCTTATTTCTTAATGTTGTGAGGAACGAAGATATCTGAAAAAGCTGACTCTCAATTCACAGATGTGTCTCTGTCAAGACTCTGCCATTGAATACTGATATTGAGATAGAGTGCACGGCTGTAGTCATACCAAAATAGGGGACTTCACACTTAAAGCTGAGTGCATTGCTATAGCAGAGGCTGAGGGGATAAATATGTCGGAAAGGCAGGGCATCATAGATCACAAATTGTTGTACTGCGAGTTAGACTTTTTGTTGAATGGTGTCAGATAATCTAGCTTTCCAATGAAGCCATCAAATGAAGCGATCGAATCCGAAACTGTTATGTGTAAGAGAGATGTCTCCAATTTACCCCGTGGGATAGCTCAAATACCATCCAAAACCTGCATGCCTGATTATCAATATAAAGAATGAGCCTGGAGAGAGATACATCAATCAAGAACTCATACATATATGTACACAATTTGCTAGCGAACCTATATCACAGATTTGTACAACAAGCAAGACATAGTAAAGTTCGGCTGACTATCATTCGGTGCAGCGGACCTCGTGGAATATACTCGAATTTCTTCTGGCTTTGTAGGTCGTTCAAGTGATGGTTGAGAATTGCAATTATTCCAAGTCGTACCCAGTCCATCTTGCTCTGAGCAGCATGCAGCATCCTTGCGTGGTTTGTGATCTTGCAAGTTCCTTTGTGTTATCCAGAAACGAGCCTGCACTTGCAAGATGACAATTATTGTCTTCTAATGCAATCTTAGTATCGATAACCCAATGTAATCTTATTATCAACTGCCTTATTCCCTCGGCCACGTTGTCTGACCCCCCCATAACTACACTCTAAACCACGCTTGATACATGAAGAATACTTCTATAATATACCATCACAGCCTTTCTTTACTTACTAGTATTGAATATATATTATTAATAAGCTTACAAGTATTGACTAAAGCTGATCTACGTAGAACTAAGAAAAGGCTTAAAGCATAATCTATAGAAGCAACAGGCTGCCGTAGGACTGGAGCACAATGCTCATTGGGTTTCAATTTGTGGGGAATCGCAGGCAGCGAACCGCCTCGAAGACATCAAGCATCTCCATAACTTCCGACTTATCCGAAAGGGAAAAGAGAAGGCAAGTCAAAAGATAATTAAAGCAACATCATTGATTGCCAGCTGTGAACATAGGGCCGCTCTCACCTGAATATCAACTTATGTAATCATCTATACACCCACAGACATATACGTTGGGTACCTGGGAAGATGCAGGCTCCTGAGAAGTCGTGTTCGCAGTGTCACGCTCGCAAAACGAAATGTGATCTACGCCAACCGAGATGTTCAAAATGCACAGCTAAGAACCTGTCTTGCGAATTCTACCCAAGAAGGAAACCCGGGCCTCATAAGGGCTTCAAGACTCGTGGTGAACGCCAGACTCACACCACTACCGGTATAGACTTGGACAATTCCAGCATCCTGCCACTTGGTGTGAACACGTTAGCACCCATCAGCGCCTTGGAGCTTGATTTGAGTCGCCACCTCAATACAGTCCATGATTCTGTAGAGGCAAATTTACCGCCGACTTCAGATAATTCGGTGATCTCCGACCGTCTGTTAGACCTCTATTTATCTCTCGATCTTTTCCCTCTCTTACCTCCTTTTCGACGACCCCGGCCGTTCCTTCCAGACACATCGCCTCAATTAAAGTCTGCCCTCAAGGATGCTGTCAGCGCTGTGGTATCGAACTTCACTACTGCACGCACGTGGATCATGTCCCCTGAAGACCCCAAGAAAATTGCAAATCAGTTTTATATTCAAGCGTTGTCATTTTTGAATAGCTACCTTTCGAGGCAAGACTTCCGACCGAGTCTTGACCTTATCAAATTGACATTATTGATATCGATATTCGATCAAATGTGTTCAAGCAGTTCTAATGCGTGGTACATGACAGGACTAGCTGTTCGACTTAGCTACGATATTGGACTGGACTGCGTGGATGATCCGTCATTTGGACAAGGTGGAACACTAATGTCGGACAAAGAAGAGTGTCGTTGGGTATGGTGGTGTGTTTATACATTGGACACCTACACAAGCACAACATTATTGCGGCCTTTTGCCATAACTGATGACGAGATTCGGACTGCGCTTGTTTCTAGCACCACAGATGAATTCAAATCGGGAAATGGTGGAACAAATGAGCCTCTAAGATTTGTTTCCAACGATCTTCTGGAAATTCAATCCGCTTTCCAGATGGTGGATTTCAATAATCCCGTGGGTATATTCCAGATTTATCTTTTGGCCCTGGCGCTTGGCAGATCTGTCGCCAGGTTACGTCGTTCTCTCCTTGCAGGGAAGAATGAAAATCATCGTATTGAATTGCATCAAAATGTGCTGTCTACAGTTTGGTTTTCATTACCTGAGAGCCTTTTCGATACCTGCTCATATTCTGTGAATTCACGTACAGCTGCCTTGCGCTTTGAGGTTGCATCATATCTATACATGTAAGTTTTACCATTAAAGCCCCGGGGGGCTTCTGGCCTGTTTAGAAGTCTGGCTGAATTATTATGATGCATACAGGGTTTCTACCAACCTTGTTTCGTGTCGCCTTAGTCAAAATATGAAATGTACTTCGAGTTTATCACAGTCTTACTCCCTTGGGCATACTGGTCTAGGCTTAGACATAAGCTCAGTTGAATCCTCTAATGGATGGAGTCAGTGTGTTCGTAATTCGCTCTCTGTTCTCGAATTGGTAAGGAGTCTCACGCCACAACAACTCATTATGACATCTCCATCAGTGGCTATCACCTTGTGGATTCCGACCATTGTTCTTGTTCTACACCTGCGGCACATCAAAAATAAGGACGGGAGTGTGCAAGTCGCCAGCGGCCTAGAAACATTCAAGTCAGCCCTTGGTAAATTGGCGATGGTGTGGAACGTGGCCCAGCGGGTTTTAGGTACGTAGTGAACCTTCCTTCCGGTCATGATAAAAGTCCCCGGAGATTTCTTGACCTTATCATATATTGTTTTCAAGCTAAAACTCTTTTGTCTTCGATGCGATCAGACGCAATCAAGATGTTATGCGACCGTTACGATAATATAAATACCGAAGATGACGTATGTTGTATCTTCGAAGCATACACGTCGCCCTTTATAAGTGATTGTCAGGGGAACTCTTTCATAAATATCCCTGAGCTCGTGACTCAAAAGTGTCAGGACCCTTATGATCTAGACCTTCAAGCCTGGAGCAACAGCCTTGACTCAATTTGGCCTATGTGAAGAAGCATTGTCAACGTTCCCTATGACCTTTCAAATAATCTAGAGGATGAATGAGACCTATTTCCTGTTATTAGAAGGGGTTTTTAAGAAACATGCATTAGTTTTATATAAGCTTGCCACTACGTATAGAACAGAATTTCAAAGCTATTGACCAATCTACTGTATTAAAGGGGCTTGGAGAGGTGCGAAAGCTGTTGAAGATGCTTTGTAGTGTTCTGCGTATCATTGGTGGCTGCTGGCAACATATGGAAGTTATGCAAACTGCTTTATGAAGTACTGGACCATTTACATTAGGCATTTCAAGGCTAGATTGTCAAAGAAAATCCTATTGTAATTACTCAGAAGAGTTCAAAGAGGTACCGTAATACAGAAAACCTTTGCGATAGATGAATACGTCCGACAGTGGGCCTGAACGGACTATTTGGGCATAACGCAAATACTCCGTAGACTGAATAGTCCGTCCATCTCTATCTCTGCGTCTAGTCCCGAAATGCTTGGCTAAAGCCCTAGTCTCACCGTCAGCTTCAGCTTTTAAAACCCTTGAGATGCTTGAATGTAGCACTTCGTTTATGCTCTTATCCAGAAATTGTTAGTTAGCTTTCCCTCAACTTTGAAAATCAAAAGAAAGCTTTCTGATTCCACACTTGTAACAAAGCAACACTACGCGACGCAACGCAAAATGGGGTCCTCAACTGTCGACTGCGATGTGGCTGTTATTGGTGCCGGGCCTGTAGGCCTCACTCTCGCGCTTCTCCTAAATGAACGGGGTCATAATGTCCACATTTATGATCAACACGCCGCACTTTACCCTCAACCACGCGCCGTCACCATCACTCATCAAGCTATGCGCATGTATGGTAGTCTTGGTCTACATCAGCGATTGTTTGATGAAGGTGCAGTCTACGCTGAACATGTCGCAAGTATGCAATGGGTTAATGACGATGAGGAGGTCCTTCAGGAATTCCCGTTTAATGTCAAGTCGAATTCCGGTGACTTTTTCAACTATCTTATGCACCAACCATCATTGGAGAAAGTGCTTGAAGGGGCATGCCTTGACCGTGGCGTGAAAATTTTCCGCTCATCTCGCTTTACCGCTGTAGAAAATCACGATTCACACGTTGAGATAATCATATCGAAGATGGAGACGGTAGTCAAGAACGAAATTGTCGACCACATCGAAAAGAAGGGCAAAACTTTTCGGGTGACAGCTCACTTCCTTGCAGGATGTGATGGAGCCCGTAGTGATGTACGCGAGAGTTGTGGCATCAAGCTCATTGATGCTGGAGGTCCAAGATCCACGTGGCTCATTGTCGATGTCACTCCATTCGACATCGAAGAAGCTGCCACATGGAAAGATGCAAACCAACCCAGGCAATACATCAGCCATACTAGGCCAACTACTTGCGTACCGAGCTATGCCAAATACCGCAGATGGGAGTTCATGCTTCATCCCCATGAATATGAAAGCGCAAGGCAGGCTAAATTTGTTTGGAGTCTATTAAGCAAGTTTGGGGCTACGCCAGAGAACTCACGAATTGATCGATCGGCCATCAATCAGCTAAGGGGTGGATGGGTGGACAAATTTACTCAAGGGCGAATTGTGCTTGCAGGAGACGCCGCCCACGAAACACCACCATTTCTGGGGCAGGGATTGAACTCTGGTTTACGAGATGCTAAGTCAGTCTCATGGCGATTGAGCCTCGCGTTGCAGGATCCAGCGGTACATTGGGAACATCTAGCCGAAACTTTTACAACAGAGCAGATCAGTATCGCTGAACGGCTAGTTAGACAAGCAATACAGCTGGAGAAGGTCTACACAAACACCCTTCCGATTCCAACTGGACCAGAAGGCGGAGAACTGTCTGCTCTAAAAGACAGAGCTATTGCAATCGAGACGTTGGGTGCACCTGGAATCCATGTTCCCAATGTAGGGAGGCCTCTTACACAATCCAATCCAGGCACCTTAATCATTGATGATCTCCTGAATGTTGAAAACAAAGAAGTTCGCTTATCCAGTTTGTTGAACGTGACAGAATGGATGATTGTGGAGGATGGCCCATTGACCTGGGATAACGAAGCATCATCCGTGTTGAACAAGTTCCAAGATCGTCTCGGAAAGAGACTGGTGATTGGCAAAGACTGCACAAATCCTACAGGAATCTTAACTGGATGGTTTAAGGAGAACGGGCTGGTTGCTGTTTTGATCCGTCCAGATTATTACGTCTATGGTGTAGCCAAATCGGCGTCGGAAGCGAGGGATCTACTTGGGACCGCTTTGGCTCACGTTTATCGTAACTGAATAGCGCCTGGTAGTCTCCTTTTTCTGTCTTCCTCTTTGCTCATCATGAGAGTTGGGAAATTCAAGGAACGAAGTTATTAACACACACTATATACTTCAAAGTATAATTTTATCTGAATGACGTTATCTCTGAGGATGTATTCTATTATTGTAAGATGATTCTCACGAAAAGCTTTACTGTGACGGTGGTTCGAGGTTATTCCCAGATAAAGCAACACTAGAGCTCTTGCCCTATCTTACCAAATAGGAAAATAGTACACTCAACAGTGCTGATAAAGGTCATATTACTTCGGTTTCTATCGAAAGTTGTCAAATTGGCCATTATGAAGGAAGGCCTTCCTCTAGTTACAGACGAAGGAAACGTAGTAATCAATATACAGGACCCTTGCAAATAAAATTGTGTCAGCTTATGGCAGACTTGTCTTAAAATGCTTTGGGCTTGTGAACTCTTAACCCCAGAATATACCATGGTTAAATTGGTCGCTCCTTGAGGGAAATTCGATCTCAAGAGCTTTGGCGCTTTAAGAGAACGGTTGACTACCATAGGTCTGACCCGCGTAAAATAATCTCGTCATATTGAATTCCAGTCGGAATGGCTAGTTACACATTCTTCAAATCCATCCTGAGACGACCTTCTCTTCAATATTTCCCCGTCCTCCTGCGTCAACAGAAATATAGTAAAGTCATAATAAGCAAAAGATTACAGTATCAAAACTAAACGAATCACTGAGATGTACACGCGATCCTCATCTTCTCTCGATTGATGCATCCCCTCGTAAATTCACTAGTAGCATTTCAGGATTAAGCTGGTGGCGACACTGATGGAAATTCAGGTCCCCAAACGTTGAATTTGGTTCTCTTCGGCTTCCAATTGAACGGGTCATCTTCATTGACCATGTCTCCGTCAGCATAGTGCTCAATCAAGAAACCATCGACATTGAACCAGTAGTCAAACACTTGACTGCCCTCAGTATGGCGTCCAATTCCCCAGGCATGAGTGTATTTCTTTGACATAAGGTAGTCATGCCCAACGAATGTTTTATCTATGCTTTCCACTTCAAATGAACAATGATGTGGACCTGGCGGACTGAACCTATCTGCTTGGCCCAAAATGAGGGCGTGATGGTCGGAGTAGTTCTGTCCCAAATCAATATGGAGAAATGTCTGACTCGGTGCGCTCTCCAAAGACTCTCCTGATAGCATGACATCAGAAGGCTTGAAGTTGAAATGGGTCAGATAAAATTCCATTGCCTTTTCCAGATCGGGAGACCAGAATCCCATGTGACCCAGCTTGTGACAAGCAACGGGTCCGAATGGTATTCCTTATTATGCTGTTAGGTATCTTACATTCTGGAGTTGTTTACCATCTGAAGGAATTGACTCACGTTGATATTTTCCTCGGCGTGGTTTCGCAATTGTGTCTTCATCTGTTCTTGCAGGATGGTTCAATGGCAGAACGTGGGTGGGTGGAGGATTGTAGTCTTTCTTTTGGCTGCCGTAGACGACGCCAAAAGGCTGTCCATTTGGATCGGTAATACGAACCACCTTTCCGCCTCCTGGTGTATCCAAATCCTCCATCGGTTCAGCGCCAGGTATCTTTGTAGCTTTTTCCAAATCATTGAAGGATGCGGCTGCGAAAAAAATTCCAACCAGGCTAGGTTTATCCTTGCATTGCTCTGCCACATATAATACAGGCTGTACACCATATCCTGTGTAGAAGATCTTATCCGCGGTCCGGCCGGCTTCCTGAAACCCAAAATCTAGCATAAAGCTGTGATTCTTTTCTATGTCAGCATGTGCATATCTTACGAATGCCGGAGTCAACAGTTTCACCCGGTTAGGGTTCGGCGTCTTCCAGGGCTCACTCCAAAGTATCGTCATCGTGCAATTGAAATAGAAAGGCTTTTTTAATCCCAAGGAATAACAGAAAATAGGTGGTAGAAAGTAATTTCGAATTTTTCATGATAGAGATAGTGTTTATAACGTAGATAGCATTTATATTGATAGGAGAATAGAATAGCGGACTAACTCGAAACTTCTCCCACACCTAGATCTCTGACTTAGTCCGACACGAAAGTTAAAAATGATTGTTTGTCCGTCCGCATCTCAAAACATGCGCATATTCCTAAGAGAAGGCCCATCTACTTTTTCTACTTCCCTGTATTGTTCACAGAGCATTTGGGTTAGGCTGCGCACCTGCTTCGGCTCAAAAAGCGCACGATGCCGAAATGCCGGTTTAATATAGTCCTATAGGCCAGAAATGCATAGTCTTTTTAAGATTCTTTGTTAACTTTCATCCGATGCCTGTGCATAATTTTACACCCCTGCCTGATATGGCTGACACTTCAAATTACAGATTCAGATACGAGGTGGTCAGTCCGGCATACGAGTTCCATATTGGCGGTGTGCAGGCGCATAGAATGCTTATACTCTAGTAGTTTTACGTTTCTTCCCTGGCGCATTTGATTCAAATGCGGGGGCGGTGTTATTACAGACATGATTCTGGCCTCCTAAAGAAGCTAGGCTATGAGATTCTTCTGCTCTGCATTCTCTCTGGGCCCTGTCTTGGTGTCTATCGTGTGTGGTTTCCCTGGCGAAAACGCTGGCTGGTGATGGGTTATGGAGCTGTTGGCTACTTTCACAGGGACCGTCTGAATCATAAGCTCTCTCCCTCTTCCGAAAAAAACATCGTTCCATAGGTACTGCGCCGTCGCGTTACCAAGTTGTCTCAAACAACTGGTCAAGTTTATGTTGCTCGAATGGACATTGAGAGCAATGTACTGAAACCTATCTTCTTATGCTGTTGAAGCGTCTATCTATATATAGACTCCCAGGGTGTCTCTTAGTTCCTCGGTTGACCATGGCCAGCTGAAGTATCCGTACTTTGCCTGCCACCATGGCGTTTCGCCACTGATATGAGCCTGCGAGGCCTTCTGGTTGTTACAGCCTAATAGCCTATGGCACGCTGCGGCAGATCTTCTACATTTAGAAAGCCAGCAAAAGATAATTATATATAGATGTCTCCACGTGTTTGCAAATATTCGAAAGGTACGGTATTGCACGAGTAGGTTTCAAGTTATTTCACCTTATGAAATTCACCACTTGAGCTCACATCAACCAATAAACATCAAGAGAAAACCATGATTCAATTCCACTTTCTTCGGGTGAGTATATGTACCTAACAGACGAAGATACACCTTGTAAGTGTACCGTAAAATTTTCAAAGCCAACAATCGACAAGATATTTTTACTCGTAGTAGACTTGATTGATCAAGGTCCCGATGCCCTGAATCTCAATGCGGATATCGTCTCCATGGCGTAGCGCGATGGTTGGTTTGTGCATTATTCCAATACCAGGTCCAGTGCCCGTCAAAATCACGGTGCCTCTTTCGAGCGTCGTTCCCTTGGAAAGGAAAGAGATAATCTTCGGAATACGAAATATCATCGAACTGTGCAGGATGAAGCGGTTAGTTCAAGCCCAGACCTTATCACGCATGCTAGAAAAAAGGAAAAAGGTAGATACTTGCCTTGTATTTATGTCCTGCACCGTCTTACCATTATAGATAGCTTTCATTTGGAGGGCGTGCGGATCCCCGAGCGCAGATGGGGACACCAAGACAGGTCCAAGGGGACACGAGCCATCGAAACCTATATAAATTTCTTAGGAAATATTCCACGGTATTTTCCACGGAATGAAAGCTGAAAAACCTTTCGAGAAACTCCACTGCGGAGTTTTAAGCTGCTGCTTTCTAGCACTAACATCGTTGCTTGCTGTATATCCCAGTACATATTCCCAAGCTCTGTCCTCGGGGATATTTCTCCCAGTCTTGCCAAGGATCAGGGCCAATTCAGCCTCGTAGTCACTTGATCCATCCTGCGCGAGCTCTGAAACTGGGATCTTCGCTGGAAATGGCCCATTCAGCGAAGTTCGTGGCTTGATGAGTAGAATCGGGACCTCTGGAATCGGGATCTTGGCCTCTTTTGCGTGGTCAGCATAGTTGAGTCCCATGCATCGAATGATAGGAACCTCATCAATGCTAATCGGGGAAAGAAGCTACCAATCCACTATCAGTTTACTGATACGTTATTAAATTGTGAAGTGGAAGTTGTCCGCGTACCGATCCCACATGGACAACCTTGTCCGTCACAACACCGTCAAAGATGGTGCCACTGATAAGTTTCACAGGTATTTCCTCGTCATCTAAAGTGGCCAGACCAACATCAGGAAACTTCTCTGTGTTGACTTGCCCCAGATGTACCTGACCATCTTCCCGGGCAATGAACCGGATCAAATGTGTCCAAGACTTTGCCATTTTTGCAATATCTTCAAATAGTTAAGTATTACTGAAGTAGAGACAATATCGGGATAGCAAATTGGGATCTGAGAACGTTGACAGGAGGTTAGTAGTATCGAGAGAACATATAAAGTTACCTTACATACCACAAGAAGGGAGCAGGTAGTCCCACACTTGAAGTAATCATCCCGGCCCAACAATCCTCTCTATTCGACAAAGGTGTTACGTGTCGCTACGGTCGGACTAACTTATCAATTTCACAGTAAGGAATTCCTCCCATGCGCCTTATCGTCGAAAAAAGTTTCGGATTATCCATGGTTCTCACATGTTGGGAGATAGCTCTCTCTTGAAACCAAGAATAGGGGCTGCATAGGTTTCGGAAGCAGAGAGGTTCCTTTCCGTTGCTGTACGGATATGTAGGCCGCTCGATCCGATTATACGTTGATATACTACAAAGAATTGGAAAATATAAGAGGTGTCATGGGTCTCATTCATTCCACCGAAACACTACCCCGCAGTAAGTCACTTTGTGTTAGTTACTCGTGTCAAGACACCTTCTCCGATCCTTCAATCACGATGACATCCTGGGATGAACTTCTTGAGCGTAATCAGTGAAGCCACCTTTTCATCCACTGAAGGTACAAAAATTAACATGTTCTTCAGAGACTACGCGAGGAACAAGCACAAGCCTCAGCCTTTTGTATCGGAACTTACTCGTCCGATAGCGCCACAGTTCTTCATTTGTATATTACTCCCTGAAGTTCATATATTTTGGATTCAAGATTACTGATATGTGGACTAGTTTCATGTATAGACTTTCGCGTGCCGGTTGAAGAGTTCCTTGGCATCAAGTCAGAAGGTCTGCAGATATAGGAAAAAATATATTCTGTGCTTGCTTATTTGACTTCGTCGCCAGAGGCTCTTATCGTTCGAACTGCTGGTGGTAGAATGAAATCCAGACTGACTGATCTGCTCTTCGTGGACACATTAACTCAAGGGAAAGCCCTGAGAGATGTTATTGTAATCCACCATACAGGTAATTGGAAAATCTGTTAATATTTTCTATTTTTCTTTCATCTTACTACTCTTAGACTGTGGATTTACGCGTATCACGGATGACGGTGTCAAGGATATATTGAAGGCCAAATTCCCACACCTTTCCAAGGAAATTGATCCGCTGTATTTTGGTACATTTGGATCCAATCATGCGTAAGTTCCTTGTGAAATATTGTTACAGCTCGCTACACAAGCCGCTCAATCGCATCGCATATATACTTACTCGCAATGACATAGGCTTGAGGAAAGTGTACGAGAGGATCTGGAGTTTCTGAAGTCCCACCCGCTAATTCGGCAGGAAATCAAAGACAATGCTAAAGGTTACGTTTATGATATTAAATCCGGCATGCTGAATGCTGTGCATTGAGTATATTGACGTGCGCAGTATTTCTGATAGAGGATGTGAAGAAACGGGCATAATTCAACAGAATAGAAGAAATCCTGGAGTCTTTACGAATTGAGACATATCTCAAATCTATCTATGGCTTGCCTTAAATGTGATAAACAAATCTTTACTGTAATTTCCTGCAACTCTTCTTTTTGATAGTGCACGTTGTACACCCCAGAATAAACTGCACTTTGACGTACCCGTACACAAACAGACATAATATATTAATGCCCGTACCGCTTCTAAGTTTAGGATCCAGTTCTAATTATCTAAAGATAATTTTCTTCTAGAAAGAAGAATATACTGCCCCACTAGATGCTCGTCGCCTGGCAGTATGTGGATTGCCTCATTGATCGCCTCATTGAAGGTCAGTTACTATAAGGCTCGATATCGACGTTCTGACACTAACTAATGATATTTAAAGATATTATTATTGACTCTTGCGCTCCTCTTTAGACACCTATACCTAGGTGTTATTTCTAGATAATAGTATTAAGACTTTATCTACATTAATTTACTTTATACGACTAAGATTAGATTGATGTGACTGGCGTCCTAGACGTAAATTCTTGTCCAACAAAATGCGTCTTAGTTTACACTAGAATTATCATTACTTTGCTGCCAAAAAATCATATTCAGTTTTGACATTCGACATAACTCGACGGATAAACAATCAGTACAAACGAGTATAGACCGAGCCATACTATATGCCATCCCAGGACAAGAACAAACTTTAGCATGTAGCTAGCTATGACAGATGCAAGATAATATATGAAAAGCTGTGACGACAGCATTGGTAGAATATAAAACATTTTGGCCAGCGCCCGCTCCCTGAACAGGATGTTTCGTTTGCTTTTGGCAGATGTGCAGTTTCGAATTCGGCAGGTTCGACATCCACCACCAGTCAGGATCGGTAGTGTGTACATCGAATTAATATAAAACATTAATAGAATTAGTCATGTAAAAGTTCAAGAGCTGTCGCCAGATCCTGGTCAAGAAAGGACCAAAAATTGAGGGGTATCAATCAGATCGTTAGATCAAAAGAAGTAATCAAAATAAATCGGGAGAATAGAAGTAATCGTAAAGTAGAAGCGCACGTGATCTCGTGGAAGAGATCCTGACGGGTGGAGATGCCGATTAATGCCTATTTAAAATTGCACCATGATGCCGGCCATCAGGCACAAGGCCAGACCGGTCATCGAGCCAGTCGACATTGGCGATGCGGCAGAGGATGGGCTGGCGGAAGGTGAAGATGAAGAGCCGCCAGCTGAAGTAGCCGTAGCACTGCTGTCTCCGCTAGCGGCTGTTTCGACGAAAACATGTGGTGCGTAACTGTAGCTAGCTGAAGCGGATTTGGGAGTCGACGACGGAGTAGACGAGGCGTCAGAAGAGGAGTCAGAGGACGAAGGAGTAGGCGAGGTCGTGCTTCCTGGAGTAGATGACGTCGGGCTTGAAGTAGAGGACGAGGTGGTCGAGCTGTGAGAAGTAGTTGTAGGAGCAGCGGTGCTTGTTGGGGTTGTAGAAGTTGAAGTGGAAGAGCTTGACGAGCTGCTGGATGAGCTGCTGCTGGAGCTTACAGTCCCACTGCTTCCAGCTTCGAAAACGACAATGTTTGCGGTCTTGCCTTTCGGAACGGTAACAACGCAGAATCCAGCACCTCCGGCGCCATCAGCGCTTTCAGACGAAGTGACCTCGTTCAAAGCGTTAACGGAGGGATCAATTTTGCAAGGTAATCCGTTGCAGCCAGCGCCGTCATCGCAAGTGATTTCGACACCAAAGGTAGCAGGAGTGTTACGGAACGGGGTGGCGGCTTCTTGAACGACTGGGTTGTAACCGATCTTGACGAAAGTGTTTCCACTGGAATCGGTGTTGGCACCGGCAACAAAGTATGCCCAGTTTCCGATTGGGTTGGCGCTGGTTCCCCAAATGCAGCCGTCGTTACCAGTTCCGGGAGGGTTAATGTAGTAGCTAGAGTTGTGAGCAGATGTCGAGTGCGAATTTTAGAAACGAACTTACTGAGCAGCGGTCGAGCACCAGTATGAAGTGTCTGGAACAGCCAGAGTGGCAGTATCCTCGACCAAAGTCGGGATAAGCATAGATTCATCACCGGGGAGCACGGTTTGGCAGAAGGACAGAGGCTTGCCGGCCTTGTTGACGGCAGTCACGGCGCCAGTTCCGTCGACGCAGTAAGGCTTGTTGGGGAAGGGTTTTGAGATTTGGCCATTCTCGTCGCAATACAGTCCACCATCCTAGCTTAATCAGCACGATCCACCAAGTTCTTATTCAAATACATACCATCGACTGAGGATAGGTGTAGGACGTGGCTTCGGGATTCCACTGCATCGAGACCTGTCCTGGAGGGCATGCGTAGGGGCACCAGTTACCCGGTTTGCAAGGTTGATCAGGACTCATGGCCCATCCTGCGTTTGAAGAGCCCGGGGTAACCGCGACCAGACCAGCATCGCTAGGGAATTGACAGGAACCGCCGCGCTTTTCCAACAGATCGTCCGAGTGGTTATGGCTGCGGTGCAGGTGCGCGTGGCCGTGGTTGTGAGCCGCATCAGCGAAGGCCAAGAGACCGACAAGAGCCGCAACGGATGTCAACATTTTGTCGCTCAATCGTAGTTGTAGTTGAAGTTGAGAATCGAGAATGCTCGATGGATGATGGATATGAGTGCCGCGGAAAGGGTCACTGAAACGGGTCGCTTGGTCGTCGCGATGGATCGAAACGGGTGTAGAAAGAAGTGAAAGAACGGTATATATCACCTTCAAGGAGAGAATAGAAAGCTCACACACCAACCAGAGACCATGCGGCCGAACGAAAGACTAAGGTCAGAAAAGAACGAAGTGAAGGAGCGACAGTCGACAAGCGAACGGAGAAGAAGGAAAGAGGAGAGAGAGAGAGAGAAGACTAAGAGTCAGAGTAGGACGGAATAAGACTAAGAGGGAGAGGAGGGAGAGGGAAAGTGCGATGACTGTGCAGTGTGCAGTGTGGACGAACGGCAGGTGGAACGGGGGAGGAAGGCGAGACCCAGGCTCCTTCCCCGGACGAGTTAGCCTCAATTAGCCAAGAAGGAAGCAAGCGAGGCTCAGCCAACGACAGCAGAGGAAGGAGCTAGCCGCCCAGTTTGCACAGAGAGTGAGAACGCCTTGCTGGGTCTCATTTAATGATCTTGTCTGACTGGCCCGGAGTGCACAACGGAGCCAGGCTTGGCAGGTACTAGCGCTCTCGAACAGGCAAAGCGCCAGGGGCTGGAGGCACTAGTGGCGCAGATCGTGCAATTGCTTCTTGCTCATAGAGTCACCCGCTCGCGCAGTCAGTCGAGTCCCCAATTGGTGAAACATGGCTGATGGCTGTGTCACTGTTATATTGTTGATGAATATACGGACAGTCGTTGCATACATAGTATTGTGTCACAGCACGAGGTGACTAGCACAGCAGCCCGTACATTGAATGGTTTGAAGTTTGAGCCAGTGGGCCTGACTAAACAAACTTTGAGTCCAGCCTAGCCTAATCTGGCATGCCGAACACCATTGGCTGGCGACCCCGTATTCTCGCGAACTCTAAGCCTCTCCTTCCTCCGTTGCGTCAACCCTTGATCAATCAAGATTTCAGACACTACGGAGCCAAGTCTGGAACGATTGATTGACATACTACATATATTGTGACATAACTAACACGTAGTAGCATGTAAGGTCAGACTCAGGATCGGCAGATACAAAGTACGGAGTATATTCAAGAATGCTACCACCATGTGGTTGGCGTATTGACTTACATTCCGCCGAGTCAAACGAACCTAAACTCACGTGGCGCCATCTACATTCCGATCATTCATGAGATTTTACTTAAAACTTTAACATTCTTTGTCTCGATCAGTACACGGTAGCTGCCTAACGTTCACGATGTCCCATAAATCCTATTGACGAAAACGGCCATTTAGTCTCGTGTCAAAGCCCGACAGTCTAAGCCCGTCTGAGCCCTGCTTCGTAAGGTTCAGATGAGAAACCTTCGGTCCAGATATGGAAGGATACTTCCAAACAGGGTTTTCTAATTTCCACCTTGTCGATAGTTGAACTTTACCTCCGTATTAGGGCTTAGGAAGTCAGATGATGGTGATAAACCTAGTTCCGGGGAGGACTGCGTACCTGCATGAGCGATGTCGATGACATCACACTATACGGACGTACCAGTTTAGAGACGACTATTGCGTTACGGGTTTGGGTCTTTATATCAAGATGGAAAATTCGAACTGTTCCTAACTACATTTACAGTCGGTTAGTATGATCTTTCTTGTCCTTGACATGGAGACTGTGAACCAGGTAACTCAGAAAAGGGGACTGACTGCAGATAATTATCCTGTGGCCTCTGACATTGTGTCCATTAGCGCTCATGACGAGATCTGAGAATGACCAGTTTCCCATTAGCTGTTCAGATACATTCGAAATTGATACAACCAGCTTAGGGAATAAGGACGCTGACGCTTTCATGGCACCAGAGAAAAATTAAAATGCCTGTCGTCGTCTTGGGGGATGCCAGTGGCCTCAGGAATCACGTTTGGTACAAGATGTGCCAAAGGTGTTGGTGGTTCTGGTCTGTTTGGGCCTGTTTGTTTCTTTCCTGCCCTACTCGTGTTGTCGCGTAGTCTCCCTTACGGGATAAGGGGTATAAATGTGTTCCGTCACAAGACAACAAAAAAGTTAAGGTGACAAAGTGGGATAAGACTCGTGAAATCGTAAAGGAGGGGAGAGTCATGCAAGCAAATCCCTTTCAAATGATATAATCAGATTGATGCCTGGGGCGCTAACTCAGTGCCCTGCCAGGACAGACAGTCACACAACCCGATCAGGAAATGACTCTGATACTGTCTTAGACATACTGCTTTGATTGTTCTACTTGGAGATCTTTAGACTTGCAATCCTCTTAATTAGAATTTCTAGTACCAATTGATGTAAAATCTAGCTTGATAAAAAAAATAGATCAAATTCCAAATTCCTAGATCACAATACCGAGTTATTCATCGAAAAAAACTGCTCCAATCCTTTTCATAATGGCCACAATTGGGACAGTATGATGGCGCATGCAGAACAGCAGTGTTCAAGGACCAACTCTCTCCGCACTTGGGGCAGTAATAATTCCACAGCGAGCCCCCAAAGCTCTGCGCTAGCTCAATTCCTAGCTCAGAATCCTTTCTCAAAACATCATGAAAGTAGCCGTTATCGCACAAGTTGCAAATCTTCTGATGGCATCTCCGCACGAGAAACCCGTGAAACTTTTCATCAATGACATCCCTCCCTTTTCTTAGAATCCTCAGAAAATAGTATTCGTCGAAGTTATAATAGGCACACTTCTTGAAATTCGCCAATGCGAGATCTTGTAGTCGCGGAATTTCATAGTAAAGCGCGAGGCGATACACATCGTGGTGAAAACCAATTGGGTTTTTGCATTTGAATATTGCATCAGGATACTCGTGTCCGTACATGAAACGGAACATCGTCGCGTAAGATCCGCGTGCATAATCGAGATCTTTCAGCGGCTCGAGTGTCATTTCCTTCTGACTCCTAAATTAATTATGGCGCATTTCACTCATATTTCAGTGGCTCACCTTTCCCTCACAAAGAGCTTTGAGCTTCGGAGATTGTTCACAAATGACGACCTTGTGCAACTTGAACTCTTCGCCTTGGAGAAGGATCGTGATATCTGATAGGTCACTCCATTTATAGTCACTAATTTTAGGTTAGATTCTGATCATTGGTTATACCTTGGGTAGACCAAACCATTTGATGTCATCAGACAAGGCGCTTATAGCGCTATCAGTGGACACGACAGATTCCGAATCTGCCATGGTTTTGACGTGACTGCTCAATTCTCATGGGAAGGTTGAGAGAAGTTGAGATTTTAGGAAAGGATGCGGTGAATTGAGTGGAAAGATGCCATTGGAAATGGGAGATGGTGATGAGAAGTCTTAAATGAGATTATATGAGGTGTAAGACGAGATGTAAGATGAGATGTAAGGCGAGGGAGGTAAATAGAGAGGAGAGGGAGGAAGAATTGAGAGATAGTCCTCCAAGCGTCCTGAGAAAATGGATCTTTTTAATAAAGCGCCAGTTGTCCGATGCCTGAGCTACATTACCATTGCCCTGAATTACTTTAACTGACGGCTGTTTGATTCGCTTTTTAATTGTGATTTCCGTTGTAAATTTCACTTCTAGTCTAAGATACATAATGTGGCCAAAGGCTCGCTTGGAGTAGCCATGTAGAGTCGCGTGATTCTCTTTTTCCTGCTGACAATGCTGAGCCCCTCCTGATATTGACTTTTTGTAATGAAGGTTTGCTGGTTTATCTCCCTTCGAGAACGAAGACTGCGATAGGTGATTATTTCATGAATTTGCCCCAATCATCTTCATGATGGCCACAGCCGGGACAAAATGATGGTGAAGAGAAGGAGGGACAATCCAATGACCAGGTCTGATTGCACTGGGGACAGGAATAGCTTCTCAGCGATCTTCCAAGGTACTCAGTCAACTCTGATGCCAGCTTAGAATATCTTCCTAATATAACTCGGAACTTCGGTTTGTTTAACAATTCAGCGATATGCTCACAGCATATTGGTATTGTATGATCCAAAAAATGAATTAATAATGTTTCCAGTACCTTTAGAAATTCATCCGTGTCCCAAGCTGTCCTTAAACATGTCTTGAGGTTTTCGGCCGCGAGCTCTCGTAGCTCCAAAAGTTCAAAGTCTCGTGCTAGCACATAAACTTCGGCGTGGAAGCTCATACAGCTGCTAAAATGTGGCTCTTCATTATATTTAAACCCATACATGAAGCGGAATACTGCTTCGTACGCCTGTATGTTTTTGTGGAAGTCCCACCAAAGGGGTATTATCTCGTCCTATACGCCTGTCAATAACAGTCTATAGGACATGTCCTGATAGCTTACTCCTTTTTCCAATGTCTCTCTTCTGAGATATGGAGATTGTCCACAGACGATCGCTCTATGCAAGTTGAATCGGTGGTCTCCAAGAATCACGGTGAGATCTGCGAATTCGCCTGTGTTGTAAATCCTATGTATGATTAGAGCCTAGAAATGAGCTATTCTATAGTGAGTCATACCATTGCAAAGTCGCGGACAAGTTTCCAATAGCCTCCCTGGCACCAGGGAGCCACACAGACGATTCGGTTGACAATGAGTCGCTGTCGTCGCTGTCGACGTCCATGTTTCGCGTTCAATCGAGGAGATCGGAGAGGAGTTGACTAGCTGAATGACCAGATAAGCGAAGAGATATGAGGTTGTAGATGTGGATGAGAAAGAAACGAGAGGTGAAGAGTAGAAATAAAGAAGAGGAAAGTACGAACGACCTGAGCAACCGGGTCTTTCCAGAAAGAGCCGTTTGTTTGATACCTCAGGCCGCAACAATGTTGCCCTTGCCCTAACATGGCATAATCACAAAGAATTTGGTACTATACTTCTAATGTTGATTATAATTAAGAAATTTAAACTGCTAATAGTTTGATTTGATTTGTGCTCATTCTAGTGTTCGGTTTATGATGAAAACATAAATATGTGGATTCCCGAACTTCGTCCTTGACACAGTTAATGTTATCTCCAACCGGGATAAATGACATGGTCTTTCAGAATTCAAATCTTTTGCTCAACTGCTCTCGACTGCTCTTCAATTTAAGATGATTGAAAATGAGATCGCCATCTAAATCTCCAAAGCCCTCTTCCCAATGCTGATAGATGGAAAATAGAATTGGTCACAGTCTCCGTCACGATGACCAGTCACGTAAAGCATATTTGGACATAATGATGTGGATTGCAAGCTGTTCTTTTCTTAGAAGCCATACAGATGGTCCCAAAATGCGCGAAACAAGCCACAGTTAGGACAGTATGATGGTGAAGGCAAGATTGTGGAATCCAATGACCATAACTTCTTGCACCGAGGACACCGATACTTTTTTAGAGACTGGCTGAAGCATTTGACCAGTTCAAACGCCAGCCCCTTTCGTTCTTGGATGATGTCTTGAAAGTTGCTGTCAATATACAACTCATCAAAGTGTTCATGACATGCTTTTTTGAGAACATCCTGTAGATCTTCATCATTGAGATTTACCCCCTTGATCAGTACGTCCATGAATTCACCTGCATTCCAAGATTTTGTAGTATATTCTTTGAACTTTTCGAACGCAAAGAGCTGTAGGCGTCGATACTCATAATAACGCGCAACTCGGTACATTTCGAAGTAGAAGATAATAAGGTTGTCGAATGAGCTGTCATCGTATTCGAGCCCATACATGAAATGGAACATCGCTTCATAGGCTTGGGGATATTCGATGTCTGTGAAAGATTCAAGTTTCACCTCCTCCTATATTGTATCTCAGTCACAGTTATTCTCCACATAAGAAACATCTTAGTGCTTACCTTGCCGTCACACAAGGCTCGAAGTATCGGCGATTGTCCAAATATGATCACCTTATGTAATTTGAACGTATAAAATTCGAAAACAATGGTGAGATCAGAGAATTCCCTCGAATTGTAGGCCCTGACTTCAATTAGATTTTCACCACTAGCTACACTCGTTTTGGGAGGAACAAACCAACTCAGGCCTGGGAAATTGTCGGCCATAATGCGCTCAGGGAGATGAATAGGTCGGGTCTTCGTCAGGCTGGCGAAGATTATTAGACTTCTCTTGTTGATACTCTGGCTGTGTTAAGGTATAACTTCAAGCTTGCTGAAGATTGACTCGAGATGGACTGACAACTGAGCTGAGGACGTGAGTTGATATGTGTGCGTAGGAGTAAAAAGAGGTGTAATGTGAAGATTGAGCGAGGACTGAGGTGAGTATGAGGCGGTAGAATGCTCACAGGAGAAGAGGGGGAAAGACTAGTTAGAGACCGCTTTACAAACGCCCAAAAGTTTCTCCATAAAACGCCATTTGTTTGGTTCCTAGGCTACAAAAATGTTGCCCGGGGGGTAAAAATAAAAATTGAATTTTATCAGCTAAATTAGTGAGGTCCTGCCAAATCACTATATACTATGGCAGCTTCTCGTGTAGCTATGCTTTCGCCATCATAACAACCAATCCATAACGACCATGTGTTTTTCGGAGGACAAACCAGAGGAAAGGAAAGAAATACACCAAAACCCCATTTATGCCCAGCATAAACCTATCCCCATACCATCATATCGAGCCATCAATCAAACCATCAATCAAAACCATCTATAGCCCAACGAAGAACAATCCAAAGACACCAACAAGCATAAGCAATGCCATGTTGACAATTGGCTTTGCACCCTCACCAGCCGTAGGAACACTCGTCGTCGCGGCCGCAGCAGAACCGCTGGCAGTTCCACTTGAACTTCCAGTCGAACCAGTAGAGGTAGTCGAGGTAGAGTTAGTAGAATTCAAAGCCAAAGCCTGGTATGCTTCGAACGTCTTGCTTCCATTTGTAGCACTATCCATCATCAGCACCATTCTCAACAATCAATACCAGCTACGGGGCAAGGGGAGACATACGCATTGATAGCAAAGACCATACCCTTTGCACAATGTCCCGTCTGGCTGCAGTGGGCCCAAATGGGCTTTGTGTCATTGACCATGATCGAAAAGACGGGGATAGTGTTTGTGACGGGCATGAAACCGGAGCGGAAGCCGGTGACGTTTGACATGACACTGTTGATAGGTACGCAGGGAGAGCTGAAGGCTGACTGGACGACGGAGTGGTTCTATTATTATGTTATGTTAGTATATCACTTCAATGTTGAAGGGGGAAGGGGTGGTTACCTTTGCCATAAACTGGAACTGAACGACTTCTCCGGGGTTGGCCTGGATACTGTCTGGCGAAAAAGTAAGGGAGCCGTTGGCGCCGACTTGGACGACGTGGACAGTCACATCAGATGCTGCGATGGCAGCTCCGGCGAGCATGAGTGCTGAGAAGATAGTGTTAAAGAGCTGCATTTTGCTTGATATAGTCGTAAGAATGGTTTCAAATCGTAAGAGTTGATAAAGAAAGTCGAGCGACCGGCGCTTTTGATAAGATAAATGTATTAATACTTAGGAAAGAATTGAAGATGTCGAAAGAGAGTATGCTGATGGAGAGGAAGAAAAATTGAGACTACAGAGACAGGAACATGTCGCTATTTGTATAGCATTGATGAACCCAAGATCTTCAATCCTATACTCGAGCCGCGCAATATCTCTGTAACACATTCAAAATTAGGAGTGATATGATACTAATTGAAAGTACTGTTGGCGTGTCAAGTGGCGTATGCGAGGAGGCTTAGTGATGAGTATAGTCAGAATTTCCGTTTTGGGAAGCATGAGACACGGAGGGACGGCGGCTATGTTTGAGGGTTTGGAGTGTGTCTCAGTATGTATGACCGCGTCTAGATCCGGATTACCAGGTAAGTTCAGGCTGCTACTGAAACTATATCTATCAATTATTGAATTAAAGTAATTTGTTAGATTGGTAAAATTGGTTGAGTTGTCTCTCGTCTTGTCGGCCAACACCACATTAGGGCTAAGCGCTTGCTTAATGGATGGGTCGCAACTAATCGCCCTAAACAGCAGAATGGTCATGATGTCAAAAATAACAATAAATATTTATATTCATTCGACCAGAGAGATCGAAAAGAATAGAACCCAAAGCCGCTCAAATCCCGTCGCGGGGGAGGCTGATGATGAGACACGGAGACTGTCTCGGAAAAGTTTGATGCTTCCGCCTCAAACAGTAATCCTCTCGGATACTAAGAGATCACTTAGGGGGCGTCCCGAGAATACTCCGAATAAAATTGCTTGATTGGGATGCATTAATGAATGAGATGAATTGGTCAATGAACAGTCACTGTAAGTGAATTGCACTTACCAGCAGTAAATCTTCATAGCTCTAAGCATAAAATGATGAAATAGAATTATAACTAGATAAATAGGATCCTTGCTACTGCAGCACTGCCCTAGGAGTTTCAGAGCTATGGGAAGGCTCTTTAAATGTGTTCTCTCTGAGAATGACAAAGGAAGAGTCGTGAAGAAACGTCTGTCTCGCTTATTGAAATGCAACTGTATCCAACCTGAGTCCGTAAACTCAATCTATCAGAACAACCACTCCCGCACTGTAACAACAATAAACATGCAGTGTGTTGTTTAAAGAAACCTGATAACCGTAGATGGTTGTTATCCACCTAAAACCCAGCAGCATTCAACAAGTGAGTCCAGATCTCACCCCGAGTTGGAAATGGGGGTACTACATGTACCATCTCCTTTAAGGTCAAGCCTTGCAAGATAGCGACCTGACTGGCATTTACAAATTCTGAACCCTCAACACAACAGAACGTTGCACCAACCAGCCTTTCAGTTCCCTCTTCGATAACCCATCTAGCCCATCCAGGCTGCCCATCTCCATACAACCACGCCCCCGCGATAGAAAAATCGCTGTCGACAGCCCTGACTTTCAGGCCAGCGGACTGAGCTGAAGCAAAGGTGTGACCAACGGCACCGATGTTAGGCTCTGTGAAAATGACTTGGGCAAATGTGCTCTGAGAGGCCTTGGCTTCTGTGACGGTAACACCGATGGGCGGGTCGATCTTTACAGATGGTTGCTTATCACGAATGGAGGACAAAATGACATTGCTGGCGATACGCGCCTGATAAAAGCCCATGTGAGTGGTAGGGCCAAGCCCATTCACGTCTCCAACGGCGAAAAGCCAAGGCTCGGTATCTTGGGATGTAGGAACAGCGAGTCTTGCATCCGTTTTCAACGGCTGGCCTTCTCCAGTTAGGCCAATACTATCGAGGCCCAGATCGAAGGTCCTTGGCTTTCGTCCTGTTGCGTTCAGAAGTACAGAACCGGAGATCCTTTCTCCACTAGATAACACAACGGTTATCGAATTTGGGGCCTGTTTCTCAATCTTGGATACACGTGAGGAGAGCCTTATGGAGACACCACTCGCCTCCAAGCTCTTCCGCACAATCTTCGCAGCCGCTTCCTCGACTGTCGGCAGGATCTCCGCAGTAGACGAAATCAGGGTTACTTTGGAGCCAATGGCGGAATAGAAAGTTGCCATTTCAGATCCCATGGGCCCGGCACCAAGAATTATCAAATGCTCAGGAGCTGAATTTGCCGCGGTTGCGTCGCGATTGGACCAGAGCTCCGTTCCTTCTTCGAGACTTTCGAGGCCCGGAATCGCAGGCACATTATGCGTGGACCCTGTCGCAATAATGATCGCAACGTTCGCATCAAGATAATACTTCTGCGTCTCACCGTGTGGTTGAACGCTGACCTTTTTCACGCCAGCAATACGCCCAAAGCCTCGTACCAGCGTCGCTCCACTCGCACCATTCGAAATGGAAATCCACGCTTTGTCATCCCACAAATCTACAAATCTGTCTCTTCTTGCAAATACGGAAGTAACGTCAAGCTTTCTATCGCCAATCGCCTCCCGAGCTCCGTCAATTGCTTTCGCCGCTTCGAAAGCTTCGACAGGACGAAGAAGGGCTTTGGACGGTATGCATCCAAAGAAGTGGCACTCGCCGCCGTAAAGCTCATTTTCGATTACAGCAACGCTGAGACCGGCTTTGGAGAGACGATATTCGGCAAAACTGGTAACGGGACCGCCGCCAATTATGATGATGTCGAAGGCTGTTTTAGTGAGGGAGGCGGGGTGGTAGCCATCAGGATGGAAATTGATATTTCTGGACGCCATTTGAGCTGATTTATAAAATGTAGTAGCAAAGTAAGTTGATATCAAAATTGTACAAAGTGGTGGTTCCAGTAGCTATAAGTAATCAGGATGAGGAATCTGGTTATCGGCCCCATGACCCTTTTGGAACAACTTCAAATTAGTCTATCTAAAGAGCAGGCAAAGACCGCTCTTGCAGTAGTGTGCATGCTGCATTATGAGAATTAAGTACAATCGCGAATTCACATGCCTCTTTTGAGCTACAGGAGATGAGCAGCTAATCGCTCTCGTATTCATCAACCAATCGCTCTCGTATTTTCAGCCAATCACTCTCGTACTCATCAGCCAATCGCTCTCGTACTCATTAACCAATGACTCCAGGGCTGACGAGGCTAATTATATCCTTCAAAACCCTCCAAAGTTGTTTCTGAGAATAATAACTCAGTGAAATTAATCATTAACGCCAATGAAGATATGCTTTTCGGGGGTACAAGACGCCATTGGCGGAATATTGCATACAGTCCACAGCAATCAAACCATTGTGGAAGGTCACTTTCAAACTCTGCATTTTTACACGACAATCTCCAGGAATAAATCTCATGCCAACACAGCACTCCTCCTCTATGTCTGCGATCCACTCTGCGACCTTTGCTGCCTGCAGACTGTGCCAAATCCCATTCGTGCAAGGCCATTCCCGGAGTATAGCGATGGCTTCCCTGCGCACGGAGAAATCCCGGCATCTGGTAGCCGTATAGAATAGAGCCATTATCAATCCCATGCCGTACTGTAGTCTGGGACCATCTGATTCCCGAATTTCCTGGTCCTTCTGAAGTACATGGCGGGCAAAATGAGTAATCCTCTGAAATTGATTTGTGAAACTATCAAAGACAATGTCTGTGTCAGACAGGCTTGCCGCGATCATTATTTCGCATTTCCAAACACAGATCCGAAGTTGGAGGGCTCCAAGGTACTCTTGATTGACAACATTCTGGCATACTTCTAGAAATATGGGTTCGTACGCCTTGTTCCATTGATCTACTAATCCTTGGAGGTACTGTTGTCGTTGTGCAATCGATTCCCTTCGCCCCGAGTCATCTCCGCGGTGGGCAGATATCCTCGAATGTCGAAGAACGGACACAGCCAAGCTAGTTGCTGCCGCGAAAGCTTCGCTGAAGGTCATAAACTGATCTGGCATATCCGGGATGTTTTCCTCAATAATTAGCTTATCAAAGGGATGCTCACACATCGGATTCATTGCCAGGAACGATAATATCTGCAACTTAAGACGGCGCAAGATCAAACCCACTTCGAAATCAATATCAGCCAGGTCATTGTGTGCCTGCCGTCTCTCATCTTCGCTCAGATGCTTCAGAATGTTAAGCCCGCTATATATCTGCTGTGACGCCGTCTCCCAATATCCTTGGAAACTCTCAAAGCACGAAAAGAGCAAGCTCGCCACTAGAGCAAGCCTCATCTGAGGTTGCCCACTAGACAGCGTTTTGCGAAGTGAGCTGATAGCCTGGCTCTGCTGCACTAAAGCAAAATTAAAATGCTCATCGTCCAAATCAACCGTGTTAGTCTGGGACAATATTGCAGATTTGTATAGAGCGCTCAAAGCGAGAATTGCATGTTTTATGGCTGGCTCATGACGATATTGTTGTGGTATGATTCGTGTCCAAAAGGGAGTCTCAACATAACCGCTTAGATCGAACGCAAGTTCTTCGTGAAATAATCGAAAATACCGGCCTTCCACCTCATCGCATCGAAAAGGATCGAGTGGACTAGTGATACGCTGCAGTGAAGGTCGAGGCTGGATAGGAATTAGGTCCCAGCTACGAGCTTGAGGCGGGCTGACTTTAGGTGCTGCAGCATGGGCTTGAGGAAATCTGTACTCGCAGAATGCACCGTACTCTTGACATCTATCGCGGACACATGAGTATAGTTGGCCTATGGAACACATTCTGGACCCTGCCATCTCACAACAGTCTCTCTCCAACGACTTACCGATAACATGTTGGTTTTGTCTCATCGCATTTTACTCTCCGATTCCTAGGATAGAGATTAGCTTCGCTACTCTTTGAATCAACCTTCAGATCCCAGTCATGAGGGAGTTCCCTAGCACGCAACAATGAGAAGGCTTCAAAATAGCGAGATATCCTACTTGCAAGCTGTACATCCTGTACGAACTTTTGGTCTGCTCACGCGCCGTTTCTTCATGTCACTTGTGGTGCCCTCTAACCCAGCCTGCTTAAAAATGCTGACACATAGGTACCAAGGCTTGCTATCTCTAGGTACGTCTCTTTGTCTCTGCCTCAATTATGAAGATAGATATCGACGTCCTTGTTGTCTTTAAATTCTTCGGCGCAAGTTTTGAACCGGCATAAGTTTAGGCCGACGGAACTTCCGATACTTCAGCCGGAACAAAAGTTGTGTCCGGGTATAAGATGCTGTTATATTGTGTACACTCTACCATATGGTGATTAAATAATATTAGCACGATATATTATCGAAATAACTTGAATCCTTATAAATCGACCGGCATGACGCTAAGTTGAAGAGAAAAGTATTATGACTAAAATGGGGGCCACTTTAGTTGTTATACCTAGGTATACTCAGGTACTCGGTACATATGGATACGTTCACGAATGCTTTTTATTCCTTCAATGTCTTCGATGTTGTAGTGTTGACTATATAATATCATCAACTATCAATCATTGACTACCGGTGACTTTCAGACTTTGCATACCGCTGCGCTCCAAGTTTAGAAAGCCGTACCGTTAGGCAGGGCAGTAGGCGTATCGGTGCGTATTTTGGACTGAATCAAATGATCAAACGAAGGCGACCACTCCACTCTTGGATTAAAAGGCTCAAAATCCCACAAGTATCCCAACGTACGCAGGATCGAGGTAGCCGAATAAGAAACAACTTCGCCATCGGAGTTTGTACCGAACTGCTCAACGCTGGCTTTGCCAACCCAGGGAGAAATCAGGAACGTGGGAATACGTCCACCTAGACGGTTGAATGGGAGGGTATAGTTTTCGCCGTTGGGTGTGGTCTGGGTGTATGTAAGATTATCCGGACGAGGCGCGAGGGGAGGCGGGACGTGGTCATGAAAGCCACCACTCTCGTCAAATGTGAGAATGAAGAGAGTCTCTTCCCACTGCGGGCTTGTGCGAAGAGCGTCGTAGACACTTCGAATCAGCTCTTCGCCGTCGGAAACTAGACCGCTGGGGTGCATTGAGGTAGTGCCTACACCGCAGCATGACGGGTTCAGGTAGCTGAAGTCGGGCAGGTTGCCGGCTGCGGCGTCAGTGTAGAAGTTATCCAAGTCCACGACCTTGTCAGTGTTTCCGGAGGATTGGGTCCAGGTGTAGTAGTTAGCATCGGGACCGGTGCCGCCAGCGGGATCCCAGTAGTTAATCCAGGTGCGGTTGGTTTCGGTCAATGCTTGCCAGATCGAAGTCTGAGGCAGCAAGTAATCAAAGTCAGTGCCCAGGTTGGTGCCATGGCCGTGAGAGGTTCCCGAAGTCAAGAAGATACGGTTGGGGTCAGTAGGCTAGGGTCTGTTAGACAAGAGGCAGTCAAATAGTGAACAGGCTAGGACTTACACCAGGGAGACCGGAGTGCCAGTAATTGAACGTAACAAAGTTCTGAACCAAGGCAGTCAAGGTAGGAACCTGATCTTCGGTGTAATAGTTCATCACTTGCGTAGCCAGCTCCGTCCTGTTAGCATCAGAGCCATATTGACGGATTTGCTCCTGCACAAAGCCTTGCAAAGTAGGAAGATACAAGCCGGATGCAATCCAGTCGTTATCTGGCGTAAAAGTGCTATAAAATTCAAAGTTGTTACCATACACGGCATGGTCTGGGTCATCGGCTACAGAGTCATAGTCCTTTGCTTCACTGCACACAACTCCTTCAAACAGATTGCTCGTGTTGTACGGATTGCAGATGGGGATCACACTCTGGATAGGATTGTTGAGGCCGAGAAGTTTCTGGCCGCCAAGCAAGTTGTCAAAGGAGCGGTTTTCCAAGACTAGAACAACCACATTTTTGATCTTGTCTTTGAGGTTCTGGATAGAAGATGCGGATGCACTTCGCTTGCTGGGCAGGGCCGTAGCCACTGCGGTGAAGGCCAAAAGGCCTAGAAGAGCGCTTGGATGCATCTTGATGAAAGCAGCTTTCGTTGACAACTCGTGGACGCTGTCTCAACTCGAAGACTGAAACGGGCGGAGACACGAGGCCTGATTTATATTTCTAGATTCTGCAGAACTTAAATACAATCAGATTAAAACGACGGGCTATCTCCGSGAGCCATGTGTTGCTTGCCTCCAATGAAGATGCATCTTTTTGTCACGCTGCATATGCATCTCTAAGCGTAATGACTTGCTCTAGCCAGGTTACGCGGCAGCGTAGTGCTGAGAGCGTGCATGCCCAATGAACGTAGCACGAGGAATGCTGGTAAACAATGCTCCTGGTGAGGGGTATCTGCTAGTTGCTAACCAGAATGGTACAGTGGTATAGATGTTTGATTAACAGAAGCACGCGATTATGTTTAGCGTCATGTAAAACAACGATCCGGCTGAAAAACTGTTGAGTAGCGCATACTTAGTCTCGCCGATCGCTCTTAGAAGCCCCGGAACCCATCCGGCGATAAGTAGATGGATTGATCAATCAGAGTCGCGGTACAAAACATCTGCCTCCAGCTCGCAATCGGGCTGGCAGTCTTGCAATATCGATTAATGAATTAAGCTCGACGAAGCTTTCCGCCATAAGGCACAGCTAGTCCTTAATGGTTGAAATTCGGCACTATCCGACTTCAGTTTATTATCTCCTTGCCGCGACGCCCGATATCAGATGCATCTAGCCAGCTTCAATAAAATCGCACATAAATCTACGGCTGGATCCGATCTATTATTTCCTATTGCGATCGAAGCGTACTTCATAGTATTGGCCATAGAAGGCTATACAGAAGATCCCGCCAATCGCTTTCAGCACAATCACAAAGTAGAACCTTAATACAGGTTCCAGCGAGCGCTATTGTATTTCTTCCACGATCAACAATGTCAAGTATCTCGCTGCTCGTTCCTGACATGGCGAACAATGGAAAATATCATTCCAACTTCTCTATCGGAGCCCTTTCCTGGGTTGAGAGTTCCCGCAATCCGTGCCCCTACAGCCAGGTATTCAAGAGTGCCTGGAAGCGAGAAAGCCTCTGAGTATTGACCGATGCAATAACTCCTTGATAGGGGTAATGATCGCAATGGCAGTGCGTATGTATTTCTGATTGCGCGCCTGAAATGCCAGGCGTCCAACGCATCTCAGAAATCGAGCAACATCTGGGGAGCCAATTTCTCCAAATCTTCGACCTACACACGCCACAGTCAGACGTCAATAGACACCGATCCACAAAAAGGAAAGCATACCTCTAAAAACCCATCTTCGGCATACCTCCCGCTTCCATCCTTATTCGCCGCATCTGCCCTCTCAAACGCGGCCCGCGCCAACGCTTCCCTCACGAATATATCCATATACTTGGCTACAACCTCATTCGCGTCTTTCGTGATTTTGGTTTTTTTATTTTGAAAGTGGTGGTGTAAAATCGTAGTTAGGAGCTTGGGTGGTATCCCGGGCTCGTCGGATTCAATGTTCCGCGATTTGTTGTTTGTGGTGACGATTTCGGCGAGGATATAGTCTGGTTCTGTAAAGGGAGACGCGCTTCTTGTGCTATGATTGTCTTCGTTGTCGCTATCATTGCCGGGGTTGGATGCGTTGGAGTCTTCGGAGTCGGACGATATTGTTATCGATTGAGCTTTTCGTTTTCGCGAATTCGAGGCTGGTGTCTTGGATGCAGTAGATTTTGCTTTTGATGAGGATGATTTTGAGGTAGTCGTCTTTGTCTTCGAGGTTGATTTTGATGCTGAGGCTGTGGTTGTCGAGGACGGTTTGCGAGAAGTCGTCTTGGATGTTGTTTTGTTTGTTGTAGAGCCATTCGTGCCTTCTGACTGGCGTCGGGGTGGTTTGAAGGGTAGGCGATTGCGCTTTGCTTGAGCGGCGTCCATATTGTCTGTATCAGCTGTCGATTTGAGTGGTTCGGATGTTGATATCAGTTGAGGCTGGATGAAATGGTTGTGTTGATCGAAATTCAAACGCGTAACCCGCGTCACGCTCAATCAGGCTAGCTCCATTAAACCTATTCGGGTCAGCGCATTAACTGCTTTGCTTGAATTGCACATGGGTTGAGCCAGAAATCGATATGTTTTTGATAGACAACCAATACAGATACTGATTTATTGATCAACGTCTTTGCCATCAAAAGCATCTTCCTCTCTAAGTGATTCCTTGTTGGTGGGGTAACGCGTCAGAATTTAGGTCGCGTGGATCTGCCCGCAATTCTGAGCTTCATCATTGTCGCAATCAATCAAGCTCGAGCAACAAGCCGAAAACAATCCCGAAAGACGACAGAATACAATGTTCTGAGCATTGACTACGAATCAATATGAACGATGCAGTCAACTCCCTGCTGACTGAGCATTTCAGCTATACGCCATTGGTGAGTGCAATCGGTCTGGATTCAGAAAATACAAAACATGAATTGACAGAAATGAGTGCTAGTCCCTGATCGACGACATCATCAACTCCATAAACAACCTCATATACCAAGCCATCTCAAGTCTCGAAACTGGACTCCTCAATACACCTCCCGAACGACTCGGTTTCGGCCATGCCAACAACGCGTCTACAACGATTCCAGACACCGACGCCGAGGGAAATATCGAATACCCGGAAGCGACGCTAGAGATTGAAAATGGATTACATCAATTAGAAACATTGTTTGAGTCGTCGGTGGACAAGTCGTTCGATAAATTTGAGATTTACGTTTTGCGAAATATTTTCACAGTTCCGGATGAACTGGTAAATTATATGCGACTGGCACATTATGAGGTATGATTATAGGCGTGACAGATGACGCATGGCCTTAGAGATTCTGGAGATACTAATTAGGTTGTACAGAACCTATCATTTTCTAATCAAGATGGTGCTCCAACGCCAGAGTCCATAAACATGCAGCGCAAAAAACTTCGAGAAACGCGCAAACTCCAGCAAGCACTACAGAGAGAATCCCTACAGAACGAAGCAGTCATAGCGCAATTAAAGGCAGTACTCTCAACAGCGCAAGAATCAGTCAAGCCTGGCTCGAAAACATCTGCAACAACACTCCCCAATCTATCCTTCCTCACCTCCGGACATGCCGCAACCACACTCCGCGTCGGCCAAAACAACTCCTTGACTACAAACACCGACTTTGTCCTCTCCCAACTCCCCGCTCTTCATGCCGCGACACGAAAACTACGCGCAAAACTATCAACCTTGTCCAGCACCACCGCCGCTGTTTCGAACGACGCCACAAAACGGGACGAGAGACGGGAATACATCGACAGTAGAATCAGACTACATCTTGAGCGCTCGGGCGAACCTGCTTTGGGCGATGGACAGGCGGCGATTGCTGGAAGGAAAATATCCGGTGCTGAAGCTCAGGCGCTGGAAGCGGTGGGAAATATACTTAATGATGGGAAATAAGACTGAATGAGCCGGGGGATGAAACTGTTTATATCTTTGCTTTGAATTACGAGGAGTAAGGGCACGGATTTGGTTTGGGAAGGGAGCCAGGCGTTTGGATGGAGATGTATTTTTGTGTTTAGCTGTCTCATGTGTTGTTGTTCGTTGCAGTTGAGCCTACCATTTTTTTCCTGATTGCATATACATATGTACTGTAACCTATTGACGTCTTCGAGAGTAATATAGTAAGGAAATATCTTGCATTAGTCCAAACATAAGAGCATTGAGGCTGTTGGTGGATGTGAGCAAATGTAAAATTAGCTAGCCTGAAAAATAAGGCTTGCCACTAGCTGTCCGACAAAAATATAGATTGACCAATGAGACTGCCTAACAGGCCAATCTTGATAGACAGCTAAGCGCCGACTCAAAACACCCCCTCAGCCAATCTGATCTCTTCCTGTCTTCCTCTGCACATCTTCTGCAGACACCTGGGCGCGTGTGTGCATTCCCAGAGCCAATCAAGGCTCGTATATGATATTTTTATCACCATCTACCCCTCTCCAGAGGCTCTCTTGAGGATTAATCCCATGCATGACACTAATCCCACCTGAAAATGAACTAAATTCTTGATTGCAAACCCAAAAATAAGCAGCCGGCTAGACCCCCAGGCCTCACACTGAATAAACTATTGGCCCGAGCAACTTTTCGTCTCACCCCGTCGAATGCCTATGTAAGGACAAGCACATTTCCATATTTAGATTCAATCTAATTCTGATTCGATGGCGACTTTAGTCGAGTCCTGGATTAGTATCGATCAACTCAGGTCCTTGACCCCATTGGAAGATTGGTAAGTCATCTGCAAGAACCTGGTGGGCGCTTAGGTGCCGTATGTATGTATGGACCATAGGTCTGGTAGGTGACGAGCCTCTCTTTCTTATAATTAGATGTACCTTTCTCCTTAAGAGTATCAGGTTCAACTGTTGTTACATATCTCTATTGTCGTCTGTTTCTACAAGTTTCGTTTTCTTTTTTTCCTTACAACATCCGTTTCGTTCGTTCGTATCAAGTCGATAGGTTTTGCTCTGGTTAGCAAACTGGTATTCTTCGACTCTATATCCTTGCAGTCTTTACGCTTTACGTTTTAATCGATATTTAAGTTCTCTCTTTTTTTGGGCATCACCTGTTCCTAGTTGAAACTACACACCAGTTATCCGTGAGAAAACAAAAAACGAACGAAATGTCTTCCGCATCCTCCTTTACGGTGACAATCACCAGCGCTGCCGATGAGCAGGAATCAACATACCTCTCTCGCGCCCGTATGCTGCATCGCACTCGCATCGGTATTGCGCTATTACTCCTGGGTGCTTCGGCCGGTGTCGTAGGTGCCGAAAGCGCACCTTTGCACTACTATAACGAGACCAAGGGGTACTCGAGTCTGTTCCTTCCGCTCTGGCCTCTGAATCTGGACGTTCGTCAGACAAATGCTCTATTGGCCTGTGGTGCGGTTATTCTATTTCAGGCGATTGTCTATATTGGTGTTGCTGCGTTTCCTTCGGTTCGTACTCTCCGTCTCCTCGTTCACATACATGATAACTGGGATTATAGCTGATTATTGTGAAAAAAGCCCCATCCTCGCGTCCGGCTCTTCAACATGCTCTCTTCCGCCGTCGGCGCAACAGGCCTCCTCACGGCCATCGTCGGGGTCGCATTCTCCATTTACCTGCCCTCCGCCAGCTACCCAGATGGCTTCACTGTCAGCGAAACCATCCACAGCTGGACCTGCAAATGGCGATCCGTCGGCAGCCTCAGCAGCAGCGCTGATGACGACGCGAGTCCTCCTGCCAACTTTTCACGTATCTGTGCCGAGTCTCGCGCTGGGTTTGTGTTGTTGGGTCTCTTGATTGGGCTTGAGGTTGTGATGTGTACTGCTGCGGCGGCGGGATATATGCTTGAGATGACTGTTACAAGGCAGAGGAAGCGTTCAAATGGGAATGTGGAGACTGGTGAGTTTGTTATGGAGACGAAGCAGTAAACCTGTTTCATAGGGCATGAAACATTGGCTTGCCCTGGGGAGAGGAGGGAGGGACTTGAAATGAATGGCTCCTCGGTTGTGTGATGTGACAAATTTCCGCAAGGCTGGCATAAGGCGAGTGTCTTATACTACCATGCCCAAGTCTGAGATGCGTGTCTGGGTTTCGGTGTCAAATTTTGACTTATGATAATATGTTGTACATGATGTATTGGGTTGATGGGCGTGTGGTCTTCCAAGTTTTGTTTGATTAGTAGCGACGAAAGAGATAAACTGTTTGGCAATAAAGAAACTTAACTTGATTGTGGAAATCTCTTAAATGCTGTGAATTTCCCATAAGACAGTGAAATCTTTCTAGAATCCACCTCTCCACATCTCCACCTCATATTTACCGTCTATCCTCGATCGGGATCGATATTACCGAACTCCTCCTCGTTGGCCTCTCATATATACTGGTAGCCGGAAAGTGCTAGCTGTACCTAATTAAAGCCGTGGGAATAATCTACATCTTCTCACACTTAAACGTACTATTCAACACTCTTCCAGAGCATTTCCAGCTGCACGCTGCTTGTAAATGGTAGGGTATTTTGTGAATTCATGCTGAGTGCCTCACTGAACTGCATCGCACCTTGAGCTCCAGCAAATGTCTCATAGCCGTACCCAATCTGCCCGTTCCCGTAATGGCCATTCATGCCAGCACCCACAGCTACTGCATTCGAAGCAGTATTTATAGTGGAAGCCAGGAACAAGGACTGCTGCTGCGCTACATTCATCTGCACCATATGCAGATTTTTTTGAATCTGAGGATACGTTTGGCCCCAAATTTCAAGGCGCTTCTCCATGAAATTTATAAACCCAGGCAGGTCGTTTTCAGCGCAGGCGACACGCCAGAGTTCACGCACCCGAGGAGAGTAGAAATCACACTTGAGGGGTGATGAGATATTTATCTCAGGAGAGAAGCAGCTAGACAATTGAGTGCTACCAATATCGGCCTCGATCCAGCACGACGGGCAGCACGAGAACATGTGGTGCGAATACCAGCGTCTTTCAGATACGGGATGTTGCCCCGGGCACGCTGGCACAGCACTTAGCCTGCGTACGAATTCGCTGAAGATGGAGACATCGTATCTGTCAATTGCCTGATCAAGCTTTCGATACATGGATAACGCATGTGGCGATCCTATGTTCATATTGCAGAGACGAGCTCGGCCGGGAATCTGGGGAGGCGCTGGGGCAAGGAAATGACCGGCATTGCGTGCTTCAAAGACACAAGCGTAACATGACTGGCAAATATTGAACTGATCGGCAGCTGGAAGTATGGAATACCATGTGCCATTCTGTATTCCATCTTTATTGCATCTGGGACTGCGCACAAAGGCGTGGGCCGCCCGCTGGAAGATAGCCCAGTCTTTCCTGTGGAGTGTCTCATCTAGTGTCAAGGACAGAGGGATATTACCTGAAACAAAACATACAGCCTTGCTATTCTGCAACAGTTGATGGCGAGACAAGTCAAAGTGCTGCGCCGCCACAGAGTTGTAGATTGTATCGTAATAGCAGGCTTCACAGACAAGAAGCGAGCCTAGCTCTGGGTCCCGCGGCCTATACCAGTTGCGCGAGGCGACGTCAACCTCGCTCAAGGCATTGCATCTTGGCAGATGCCTACGGTAGAGCACCCAAGACATAATGTGGTTCCAGTCACCGCCACCTCCGGCCATCATCCCCTGGCAAAACGGCCATGCCATGTCGCATTCAAAAAGTTGGTCACGAGGTTGGATGATGGGCGATTTGGAAATGTATGAGGAGTAGGAAGATGCTACTATATAGTCCTCGTAGCAGGCGCCGCAAGCTCCCCATTTGCCCGCAAAGTTCGCATCCATAGACTGGAACCAAATAAAGTTGTCTTCGGCTGTGACGGGGTGACCGCCTCCTTTGCACCGTGGGAGCCGCCCACGGCGTGCAAAGTAGCTGTCGAGAATGGCAAAGTCATTCCTGTGGATGGCCTCACGAAGGACAGCATGCACGCGGGGCACGTTAAAGTCGCACGTGCGCCGAGAACCTGAGGCGTCGAGCTGGTGCTTAAAGTATGCCGCAAATGGTAAGGGCTTCAAATAGTCATGATAGCATCGAGAGCAAATGCTAATGGTAGGCGCTGAGAGACAGTGGTACCAATTTTCTTCACTGATGGTACCAATTTGGCCTGGACAATGGCGGGKCGCTACCAGCTTTCTGTCTGCCATATTTGTGGCAGGAMAAATCCAGAAAATCCTTTTTGTCAGACTTCAGAAGGGCAAGGGAAAAAAAAGAAAATTGAGACAAACTCGAGGGCTGTCAGGGTGTTAGAAAAATCAGCAACCAGAGTACCCAGGCCAATCACGTCTACACCTTACCGAGCTCAATACGAGCTCGATACAGAATATCGGAACAGCAATTGTATGTCCAGGCAGCTATTGTGAGCTATTTATGGACAGGAACGTTACAACAGTCATTAAGAATATTAGAAAAAGATTGCATTTCGCTCGTCCATGTGGCCATGAAAAATGAATTGCATTGACCTCGTAGCAACAAAATTACGTGAGGTCATCCTGTTGTAGACGATGCACGTATCATATTCATCGATTTGCAATGGATGGTGTCGAGTTTTGATAACAGTTCTCATAGTTATTTCATTGATAAATAATTCTACATGTGTCCCAAGCGGCTATTCGTTTACCGCAAGCCAAATCCCAGCTGGCCGGAGGAAGTCTCTTATTTGACATTCAGCAACTAACCGAGCCTCTTGATCTTCTCGGGCCTGTAGTCTTGAAATATGCGTGTTACGAGCGATAAGTCAAATGCTCTGGTAGCGGCAGCTTTTTCGGAGGTCTTACTAGGTGGCGCAGTGACACGGGTATCATATGGAGTGCTTAACCTTACACATCGCAATGGGCATGAAGATATGAACTCGCTCGTACCTGGCCAAGACTATGATGTGACTATCAAACTGAATCACTGCAGACATCGTATCGGCACCGGAAGTCGTCTTCGTCTTGCAATATTTTCCGCATATTTCCCAATTGTTTGGCCATCTCCTGAAACCACAACCCTCACCATAGACTGTGCTCATAGTGGAGTGAACCTGCCAGTGCGAGGTCATAATCCCCTGGACTCTCAATTGAAAGAATCCCGGCCGGCCATAAATGGCTCCCTTGCACAAAAAGAATTGCGACCTGCTAAGCACACATATATTGTACAACAGAATTAGGACTCTGGTCGGACGGAACTACACGTTGATTGGGATGATGGCTTGTGGGAACTCCCGTCAACATCCTTTGGAAAAGAGTCATGTATGAAGAATATTTATATCTAATTACGTACTAGGGAAAGGGATATCTGGAGCATGGTTGTACAAGCTCACGTGCTCTGAGTTTTTGTATATGGCTCAGAGCTCAGCTCGACACCTAGTCTTCTATTCCCGCTCCATGCCTAGTTCTCTCGTTGACCGCTACCCTACACATTATATTGGCCTGGGCACGTCCACAATGGGGTTGTTTGAATACAGGAAAACTCTATCAAAGAATTTGGTTATGATGAAACCTACCACCTCATATACCCACCTCTCCGCCGTATATCTACATATGAGCAAGCCAGTTCTTTGGTAAAACCATGTAAATGTCCAACACTCAACTGCGTCGTATAAGATGGTCGAATCAAACCAATTCCGCGGTTCTCCGTCTGAAGAAATTGTCCAACAAACCTTTACGCTGCCTGCTATCAAATCCGGTGAAGTCCTTGTCGAGTTCACTCACAGCAGTCTTTGTGGTAGCGACATTCACCAGCTCAACAAGCCGTTGGTACTTGGTCATGAGGGCAAGCCATCATTCCCATCCTCCAGAGCGCTTTATACTAAACGAGAGGATACAGGTATCGTAATCGTCGAGGAAGTCGGCATCACGTGCACCCTCAGAGTTGGTGACGGAGTAGGCTGGGGAGCATTCAACTCAAAATGTGCTCGCTGCAAAATGTGTCTCAGTGGCTATGAGAATTACTGCCTCGAGGCTATCCATGGAGTACGATATTCAGGGCTCCGTATGTGGCTATGCAGTCCGAAGAGCGCAATGGCTGTTCAAGATCCCATGGGATCTTTCCTCAGAAGATGCCTCTTCTCTCATGTGTATGTCTTAAGGATTTTTCAGGTTTACAGGTGCAAAATAATAATGACATTATCAGGTGGCAGTAGAACAGTCTAGATGCCTTTCATTGACTACTGCAAACCATGAGATTGCGTTAGCATCCTCAGACTCGATGTATTTCCTCATCTGGCTGTCCAATTTACAACTAAGATGGCTTGTGATGTTGTTGTCTTCTCATCAACTAAAAGTAAGAGAAAAAAAAGTGTAGAACTCGGCATAAGGGGGCTTTGTACCACAAAAAGTTTATCTAATTACTTAAAACTCAGCGTCACGAAGCCTATTGATAGATTAATTATTACTTCATCCACTTGATTCAACTTCAGCCTATTCTATCCGGTATTAGAGAAGAGTGCTAGCATCTTTCTTCTCTGTATTGATGGTAGAGATTTGGTAGCGCTGTACATACAGACCCTTCTATCGGGATTTAAGATTATCGGAAGCTACGTTGCCCTGACTTAGGCACAGTAAGTGGTACTTTTAAAAGAGCAAGAATCGAGCTGACTAGTTTGTGGAAAACAAACCGGAAGATGCGGTATCAAGGAGTTCTGTCATGGGACTACTAGAATGGAGATTTCATCAGGATCTGGCTATTGCAGTTAGATTTAACCTGTCAATAAATGAATTTCAAAGCATGCCCAAAGAGTTTAATGGTCCGAGATAATAATGACTCAAAGGATTAATGTGCGTGGCTTAGTTTTCTCAGAATGAGGTGATGTATCAGGGAGGCTGAGTTGGTGTTGGCGTGGACCCTGAAAAGATCAAGATAGCCATACCTATACCTAAGCTTGAGGTTAGCATAAGTTAGCGACTTTCTGCAAATGCCACCAAGGGGTGCACGGCTAATACAGAATACTTTAACTCTGCCAACAGTCAATTTTTCTTCCCAGCCAGTAGAGCGGAATGTCGGCCAATTTGGTCATTACTTATTCCATTTCTATAGTAAATGTAAAGAAATTTGAATACGAGGTATTCCCCCACCGGAGTTTGACCCAGCCGAGTAATCAGAAAGCCAAAAATAAAATTGCCTGGAGCGCAGAGGAGAAGTCGCATGAACCCCTGGTGGGTGAGCGATGTTAGTGATTTGGTAGATCTGCAGAAAAATGTTGCTATGAGAAGGTGAACACACCTCAGCCTGGACAGGACGTAAGGCATTGTTATAAAATGATCATTTCAAGATCGATTTAACATCGAGAATAGAATACCAAATGGAGATTTTAGCGCGTCTTGTGGGTAGGGCATATCAGTACGAAGTGTATGTAAAAAAGATGGAGCAGGTTTTGAGCCTCATTAAAAATAAGGTACAAACCCAAAACTTGCTTCACCACTAAACACTCTCCCTACTCCAATGCGCCCCATTTATAGTGCCCTGAGGGTAGCCAGTTCAGTTAGGACTCAAGAAGCCAGGCACCAAGTGGATACCTGTACTCTGGGGGGAATCGCTTTGCTGCTATTTACTGGGCTGGGGATGCTGTCCATAATCTTCAACTTTTCAACAAGTGTAACGTTAGGAGGGATGTTCAATTCTGAATCTCATTGAAAGTAAATATCCGGCGCAGTTGAACGAGTACGGTGATTCCGTGTTTTTTTGCGCATGCCAATTAACCTACATACAGCGGCAGAGTACATATGTTTGTATGAATAGCTCCCACCCTGCAGAGGGCGGATGGGGTTCACGCTGATTTGTGGGACAGAGATGCCTCTTTCTGACGAATACGACCTCAAAAATCAAGCCAGAATTTGAGTATACCATCTCCATGCGAGTCTCATTGACCAGCTCTAACCCCGCCGCCGTCATGGGCTTCAAAGGCTGTAGCTCAGTGTTTTTGCCCATCGTGGAGGGCAAGTTCAGACCATATTTCAATTGATGAGTCCAACCATGTCGGAACAATGACCCGCCAGCTCAAACTCTACTGCAACCTTGCTGTTGATCATCCTGCAAGGTAATTCAATCTGCTGGATACCTTGGTGAGAGGGGGCGTTCATTGCAATGTTCCTCTGATAGCCTGCTGCAACTGGTCCAAGCAGAGGTCGCATCCATGGTTGTGCGCTCGGTAGGGGCATCTGCGGGGGTCGACGGAACGTGCCCCGCTCTGGCGTCCCTTTTTACATTTCAAATATCTACAAACTACCGCCACTTTTTGGACTCCGGATTCCTCAAACCGGTATGAATCTGGGGTACTTTGCAGTGTTATACACGTCTTGGCCGGATGTACTATACGGAAAGCGGAGCTCCACACTCTCCACGGTAGCAGCGAGGCGTCTTGGCAGAGGTTAACATCTGACTACAGCCCTGAATATAAGCATCTAATTCAGACAACCAAAAGATGTGTTATAACCCAGGTGGTTATCACGAATTACCCGCAATATTACCCGCAATCAGGCCCTTTTTTTTTTTCCGATTGAACGGTAAATCCGACATATCTCTGCTATCATGCCCAGCAGCCGCGGCGTGTATAAGAGGAATGATTTTCACATCAGGCTTCTGGGATATTTCCCATGGGTACATGCGTGATACTACCTAGCCCAAGGGACACGGTCATCATGGTCATTCTGTTACCAATTCTGTTCTTAGCATCGGCCGGATGGGCCGCGGCAGCCATAACCTCTGGCCGCGACCACAGCAGCCTCAATGCCGGATGGAAGTTCTCGCGCTTCACATCCAACCCGGACTCGTTATCGTACAGCACGCTCAGTCCATGGATGCTGCCACTGGCCAACGACTTCATCGTCAACGGTGCCAAGCACCCTGCACCCTCGGGAACACCTCCCGGCAGCAATGTTCAGTACGTCCAGGCGTCCTTCAACGACGCGAGCTGGCAGAGCGTCGACCTGCCCCATGACTGGGCTATTGCAGGCCCCTTCAACGCTCCGGGTATCAGCGGTGGTATGGGCCGGCTACCCACGAACGGGGTGGGTTGGTACCGGCGGAACCTCGTTGCAACGGCGGACGATGTGGACGGCACCAAGTCCATCTTCTTGGACGTCGACGGAGCCATGTCGTATGCAGCGGTATGGCTGAACGGGAACCTACTGGGTGGTTGGCCGTATGGGTATGCTTCATGGCGTTTGGACCTGACGCCGTACCTGCAGGCCGGAAACAATATCCTCGCTGTGCGCCTGGATAACGCGGTGGATAACTCGCGCTGGTATCCAGGAGCTGGCATCTACAGGAACTTGTGGCTTGTCAAGGTGGATAAGACGCACGTGGCTCAATGGGGCACGTATGTCACGACTCCTTCCGTGTCTTCGAGCTCGGCGACGGTAAACCTGGTAGTGCAGGTCGAGAACAAGGGCAATGTGACTCGTCAAGTCAATGTGAGCACGAATGTCTATACCATCGACCAGAGCACTGGAACAGCCGGGACAGCCGTGGTGGCCTCGTTCCAGACGACTACTGTCAGCATCAACGCCGGCACGAAGCAGTCTGTCAACGGATCCGTCACCATCTCCAACCCTCGCCTCTGGGGTCCACCGCCGGCCCAGACACCGAACCTTTACGTGGCTGTCACGACCTTGTCCGCTGGCGGTACTGTTATTGACACCTATGAGACCAACTTCGGTATTCGCTCCCTCACATACGACCAGAACATTGGCCTCCTGGTCAATGGACAACATGTATACGTACAGGGCACTTGCAACCACCACGACCAGGGCTCCATCGGCACTGCCATCAACAACAGGGCCCTTCAACGTCAACTGCAGACCCTGCAGGAGATGGGTTCAAACGCTCTACGGACATCGCACAACCCGCCTGCGCCGGAGTTACTCGACATGGCCGACAGTATGGGCTTCATGGTCCTCGACGAGGCTTTCGACTGCTGGTCGCAGGGCAAGACGACCAACGACTACCACCTTCTCTACTCTGACTGGCATGAGCCAGATTTGCGCGCATTCGTGCGGCGCGACCGCAACCACCCCTCAGTCGTAGCCTGGAGTATTGGAAACGAGATCCCGGAGCAGTCGACCAGCCAGGGCGGCTCGGAGGGCCAGGAGCTGCACGATATTGTCAAGTCTGAGGATCCCACGCGCCAGTCCACCTCTGCCATGAACTCAGCCGGGGCCACGGCACCACTGGCGAACGTGATCGACATTGAGGGCCTAAACTACCAGGGGGAGTATGGCGCCTACGGTAGCTTCCACAGCGCGTTCCCCAATAAGATGATATGGGGCACAGAGACGGCGTCGTGTATCAGCAGCCGTGGAACCTACATCTTCCCCGTAACCAGCAGCAACGGCCAGACGTACTCTAGCAGCGGCGGTTCCGACAGCAGCCACATGTGGGTCAGCGCCTACGAACTTGAAAACCCGGGCTGGGGCGGCAGCCCAGACCAAGTCTTTGCGGCGCAGGATAGCTTCCCTTTCGTGGCCGGCGAGTTCACGTGGACGGGCTTCGACTACATCGGCGAGCCGACGCCCTATGGCGGCAACCCAGGGGCGCGTAGCTCCTACTTCGGGATCGTCGACCTGGCCGGCTTTAAGAAGGATCGCTTCTACATCTATCAGGCTCGCTGGCGGCCTGACTTTGCCATGGTACATATCCTTCCTCACTGGACCTGGCCTGAGCGCGTTGGGCAAACAACGCCCGTGCACGTCTTCAGTTCTGCTGACCAGGTTGAGCTCTTCGTCAACGGTGTCTCTGCCGGCCGCCAGAACCGGCCAGGCAAGTCTGTCTACCGCTTCCGCTGGGACAACGTTACATACAGCCCCGGTGACCTGCGGGCTGTGGCCTACAAGAACGGAAACCAGTGGGCCGTGGATACGCGCAAGACTGCTGGCAATGCGGCAGCTCTCAATGTAACGGTCGACCGGGCGAGCATCACCAGCGACGGGGTAGACCTGGCGTATGTGAGCGTGGCGGTCGTGGACAGCTCCGGGACGGTGGTGCCACGCGCGAACAACAGCGTCACCTTTAGCGTCAGTGGACCCGGAACGTTAGTGTCAACAGACAACGGTGMCCCCACCGACACCACGCCCTTCCCGAGCGCGAGCCGCAACGCATTTTCGGGGCTGGTGCTGGCGATTGTGAAGGCGAATGTGGGGGCTACAGGGCAGATTACCGTCTCAGCTACAGCGAATGGAATCACTGGTGGGCAGGTCTTCATAACCGCCAGTGGGAGCACCACTATAAGCACGACTACTTCATCTGGCACCACGACAAGCACGACTACTTCGTCTAGCACCACGACGAGCACGACGACTACTACTACACCCGTCACTGGCAATGTAAGTTACAGTCCGAGTATCTGTTTAGATGTGTTACAGCTTGCTAATCTGTCAAACTCGCAGTGCTCGGCCAAATGGGGCCAGTGTGCTGGCCAGGGTTGGAGTGGACCTACTTGCTGCGTGTCTGGATCTACCTGCACTTATTCAAACCCCTATTACTCGCAGTGCTTGTAAGTCCAGAATTAACGACCGAGGCATTTGTGGTGCCGACAGCATTGAGACTCCGGTGTTTCAAAGCCGCCCTTAGCCTTGAAGTAGAGGGAGGAGAACTCTAGGTATTTTTTCACATTTTAATACATTGTGACAATGATAATATTATCCAAATGTATTGATATCTTAGTATTGAAAGTATTCTCAACAAAATATTTAGTTGAAGTCAAGTACAGATTTTCATTTACAAGTATTGATAAATGATAATCTCTGGATTTAAGCGTGTCAAGGTACGCTAGCTACCGCCAGGGTAAATCCATAGTTTCCCGACACGATGTTAAATTTGCCCAGTTAGGTCTAGCGCTATTTGTGGCCGGCATATAGACTCGTCATGTTGTTCAGCTTCAATAATACACGCCCTCTCTTCACTGCACATTACTCATCATGGATGATGACATTCGTCCGAGTCAGCAGGAATACAAGCGAGTATTTCACGAAAGTTTGAAATATTGGCTTACCTATAGAAAAGCTGCGGATGCGCCCTTGCTTCCTCGTCATTCTGCTGACTTGACAGCACTTCTTGGACGAATACCTGCATTTCTCGCTTGTGAACGATTGTCCGAACATGAACATTTCTCATTCAAATTCCAAGAAAGAGAATTCCAGGGACAATATGGTCTTCTGACGTGCGGGCATTCGATTTGGAGGACGTCTAACGGGGATTGTGACACGAAGCCTAAAATCGTTCCATTACAGCTCTTGCTAGCCGTTCCAGAACCACTAAAGATACGATTTTCCGATAATGCTCCGCTAGCAACTTGGCCAGGAGTACAGGGAATATCTGAAAGTGGCGGGGTTAACTACATCACTCCTTTGTTCCTAGCGTGGGCGTACATCTTGTCAGCCAAGTGGTTGGAGTTGCTCGGCCATTCTTCAAGTCATGCTTGTAAATTGAAGTTTCTAGATGGCGCATCTAGCCCAAGTGCTCTGGGGTTTGATATAGGCTACAGAATCGATGAAGATGAGGATCGTTGGTGGAGGTCAATATTATCGTTTGGTTGGAAGATAACTACGACTTATAACGGCAGGGTATACCTCACTCCATGGTCTGTCACCGCTTTTGATACATCATTTCCAGGTGAAGAATACCAGTGGATTGATTCCAACACACCATCATGCCAGACCGCTTTAGCGTATATGACTCGCTTCTGCATGCAATATGGCCTTCAAGACCAGTCCTCTGCTGCCCTAGCCGCCGCCCTCTATATTCCTTCAATAAGTGGTAGTACTATTCCGCTTCCAATGTTAAAGAACTCAGCGAAACCCGGAAGATCACCGCCTAAAGTTCCAGCACACGCATGCTCAGATTCATTTTCTGAGCATGCGGAGTTCCTTCCATACTACATGACATTGAGTTGTAATACATTTGGAACACGGTCGCTTCTGTGCAGCACCTTCTTCAATGCCGATATCGAATGTAACCTGGTTAGTGCTTGGCTAGAGCTAGAGCCTTGCTTTACGATGATTGATCCTTTGATTGAAGGTGAAGACTTTACAAAACTTGCCACACTTTTGGGATATAAGCAACCTAATGTTGCCGCGCTCTGGCTTGGTGCGATCATCGTTGGAATGGCAAAATCTGTGATACGGAATATTCGTATCGGGTTGGTCGCTCTTGACTTGCATGCTGCGGCCTGGACGTCCACAATGGAGTCTTTTATCACCATAAATCCTAGAAAACCAGAGGAGAAGACTATATTACGAGAAGACGAATGTCGGCTCCTGTTTATTGTAGGAAGTGACAGTCATACAAGGCTGCCCCGTTCTCCTTGGAAACCATTTGGCAAAACCCCTCTTGAAGAGACCGAACTCGAAATTCAAAACCATGCCAATTGTAACTGTCACTGCTTAGAATATCTATCTTGGCACTGGGAGTCTTCGAATGGTACAACACTGGAAGATACAGGCCTCAATCAAACCCGGAATGAGAAATGCGGTATAGAAATCAAACTCAACGACTCTCCAGAAGCCTATCCGATTGATCAATCCGAGTCACTGTCTGAAATAGCAACCCGTGGAATTTTCGAGTGGTTAAGGTCCAACGGATACCCAGCTTCTGAGTCCTTCATCCATGAGCATCCGTGGTTCGATATCGGGAGCTCAGAAGGAGAAGAAACGGATGGTGAGTCTGATGACGAAGTAAATTCGCAGACTATAGAGGCTGGTATTGAAAAGTGGATTATGGGGACCGATATTATCAATGAAAAGATTACCTAACGGCTTTCATCTATCATCTTCTTAAAGCCGTCAAGTCCACCAGCCGGATGATCTGAGTATTTGGAATTGAACATGCGCTACTAGTTTTATCACGATCATTTAAATATTGCAATGTCAAATAGTCACTACGCCGCTCGGTACTAAGAAATTTCCCTGCGCACCCTAGACTACTCTGTCCAGCATGACCAAGTAATGACATTGTGATCAATGTGCATAAAATATGGCGATGACCATTTGGACACAATATCTAACCGCTCATCTCTTCCGTATACGAGAATAATGAGTTAAATGCTGTGCCCTCAACCCATGACCAGCGGCGCTATATAAGTAATCACATTGCCGACGCTGAGTTCAAAATCCGGGCGGTAAGAGGGCATTCATGATTGGGAGACCGACGCATTTGCAGACTGTTACGCAGGATATCTACCCTTCATTCGCTCAATATAAAACTGGATTTCCCTTACTTAAACAGCATGTGTCGAGGTACGCTAGGCTTGGTTGAACCACACAGATATTCCTTAACGAATATTCGATGGAGCGGCTTAAGTGAATAAAGTAATAATAGTTGAACTGTTGGACTGGGATATAGAAGTCTTTAATGTAACTAAGATAGAAGAGATTCTCTGCACAGCTTGGTGCCTTGCTGACTTTTACTGTTGTGTGACATATGTCAAAGAGCTATGAAGAATTAAATACATGATGGTGAAAGAACGTCCCTACATGTCCAGTCATTCATATTCTATATATTTTATATCATGTACTCGAGAAAGTAGCAAGTATAAAGTACGGAATATTCCTCTAATGACATCGTGTTGTTTCGTATACTGTTATCTTATTGAACATAAGAGTATACCTTTCGTACTTCAAATGACCTTAGTGCATGATTTATACCGTCGTATTCTTCTTTCACTTATTGCCAGCGAGTCAGCGCCTAGTCCTCAGTCAATCTGGTATAAGCTCATACCAAAATAAGCCTTTCCTTTCTTGTTATAGTTTCTTTTAGCGTCATGCAGGTTGATTCATAATAATTAACTTACAAGAACAGTTTCACGATGCTACTCGCCAAGTTCCCCACTAGAGTGTTTTCTTATAACACTGAAGAAACCTGACTGTAAGGCTCCGGTCTTATTAAAGCAAGGTACTGTTTTCTCGAACAGGATATCCCCATAATGGAGCGATATTGGTGACAGTATACTCAGCTGCACACGCGCAATGCCGCCACAACGCCTTTGTATAGTTCTCGGACCAATTATACTTTGATCAATCCTGCATTTAGATTGGCTCTAGATGGCAGCGTGGCACCACAATACAATGGGGGCCCAATTTGTGAGCGCGCGCATCGGGGGCCTGAGCTCTGTAGTACTGGCTTTAGCTAGGGTCCGTTCAATCGCGAGATCAATGTTCCTGCCTACATCACCTCAGATTGCCAGAGCTAGGTCTTAGAATCATCACCATTCCTTTACATCACCCCACATACATACCTCTCGCTATGGATTCAAGACCTTCAAAGCCATACCACGTCCAACAGCTCGTGGACAATCCAGATGCCTTCCCGCATCACTCCTCTGTGAGTGCTTTGTGGAATTTGAAATGGAAAGGACTCGCTGTCATGGCCGTGTATCCATTTGGTGACGGAAAAGCCGAGGACTTTCAAGAAGTTTTCAATAACCTGATCGAGGCCAGCGGGGATGATTACCAAGTCTTTTATGATCCAGAAGCTTACGCTGCTCCTTTTTTTCCAGTCGGCAAGAGGTTGCTCTTAGAAGCGCGAGCAGCGGAGAGCACGGATAAAGCAGCGGCGCGGGACCTCTACCTGCGCGCCGCAGCCGTCTTTCGCATTGCTCGCTTCCCTATAAACCGCTCTCCTGCCTCTCAGATGGCCTGGCAGTACGGCAAGGAAGCATATATGGCTGCATCTCCATACCTGGACCCGCCAAACCAACAAGTGGTCATCCCACATACACACCGTGATCACTCGGCTGGCGATGGTGACAATATTTATGCATACTTACGAGTTCCCGACAAGATTGAAAAGCCTGAAAAGGGTTGGCCGGTTGTCCTTTTCATCTGCGGTCTAGACGCCTACCGTACAGACCACACGACCCGCACGCAAGACCATGTTCACCATGGATTTGCTTGCTTGTCCGTAGATATTCCCGGAACTGGAGACTCGCCTGCCGCTCCGGGAGACACCTGTAGCCCTGATCGACAATGGAGCAGTGTCCTTGACTGGATCGCCAGTCCTACGGGTGGTCAGATGTACGATTTAAATGAGTATAGAGTGATTGCCCGCGGAGTTAGTACTGGTGGTTACTACGCTATGCGTATAGCACACACACACTCCAACCGCTTGAAGGCAGTTGTCGCACAAGGTGGTGGCTCACACCATATGTTTGACGAAGCCTGGATACGCGCACAAAATCATATGGAGTATCCTTTCGCCCTTGCTAACGCGTTAGCTGCGAAGTTTGGAAGTTCCTCTGTGGAGGACTACATCAACAGTAACCCCCGTGCTAGGTTCAGCCTCGAGGAGAATGGCATTTTTGATATGCCGTGCACCCGCTTGTTGGTAATCAACGGTATGGAAGATAGTATTTTCCCCATAGAGGACAGCATTCTGGCGTGCAGGCGGGGAAGGGTCAAGGATGCTAGGTTCATCGATAGCACAGGCCATATGGGCAATCCGGGGGCGGAGGAAATTATCTATGAATGGATTGACGAGGTTGCCGGAAGGAATTGATTTGTTTTCTTGCTTGAATCTGCTGCTGTCAGATCTAAGGCCCATCAAGGATCTAGTTGTTTGCTGTTCATTTGTGGCTGTCTTACCCACACCTGTAATAAGATGACGCGGCAGTTTTCSGAGCCATAATATCTTCTTGTTTCGCTTTAAAGAACATGGCAGACCCAATGATCAGGCAGGTCAGTCAATATACTGCCAGGTCCTTAGCAGCCTCCAGGGATGTAAGAGGCTGAGTGCCCAATCCTTGCTAGTGAATTATGCCAAACTTGCAAGTCAAAGACACTTAGTCTTTTGTCCAACATTTGTGGGCGATATTGATGCACACTAATTAGAATTTCGTAATCAATGGCATAGGGACAGTTGAATCACTATTCGATAATTTTCACAAAGCAAACTCTTGACGGAAAACTGAAGTGATTCTAACCTAGACAGTGGTATAGAGAAAACTAATTTAATTCTATGGAACTTGGAATTATTGCAGCCCGATACCCCCGGAACCCCACAACTCCACCTTCCCGCGATGCCTCCTTCGGCGGCAGCGCCCTTTCACTTCTTTCAATCCCCAATGTAACGGTAATGTAGGCGTACGAATGATATCGGACGATTCTTCAACACATCTTACAAGACATGGAGGACTTTCCTGAAGGTCAGTCGCCTAAGCGCAAGCGCCTCTCTTACGCTTGCAACTATTGCCGACTGAAAAAAACCCGATGCGATGAACAACAACCGTCCTGCCAGAATTGCACACGAGCAGGTGTAGAGTGCATCACCACAGATAAACGTCGTGCCGGTGCTATCGTTAGCTCGCGACGCCGGACTTCTGCATTGCCAGAGGCATCTCCAACGCTACCCAATTCAATCAGGTCGTCAGAGCCAGAGCCAGAGCCAGAGCCAGAATCAGAACCGATTCCGGTCAGCTCGTATGTGCCGACCAGCTACGATCAGAACCTCCTTCCCGCGGCGCCTCCTTCTTGGAAGCGGCGCTGGGTAAAGACAGAGCGTTTGCCAATGATGCCTCGATTCTTAGGATCATCTATGTTTGGGGCCATGACAGGATGGCTCGAATTAGCATTTTACCGTCTCAAAGCCCCCCAAGACTTTGATATTCCACGCAGAATTAGCCACTATTCAAAAAGCTGGCTTCCTGTTGGTGTTCCTAATCTACCTCCAGCTGAAGAAGCCCAGGAATACTGTCGCCTTTATCGAACAACACTACATCCTCTATTTCCAGTTTTGAGTAATAAAACCTTTGAAGATGTATCCGAACTTTTATGCCCATCGGTGGATACATTGAATACACCAAAAGAAAAGGACCATACTCCTTTACAGGCATTGTCTTATCTCATTCTTACTGTCGGCCTAAAGACTCTGGATGACTCAGCACACAGTAGGGAGGAACTCGCATTTTCCTACATATCTTACTGCAATACTTTGCTGGGTCGCCTGGTTGCCTGTCGGTGCCTGATGTCCGTGCAGGCTATACTTCTCTTTGCAATCATAATTCGCAGTTGTGATCAAATTGCGTGGGCATGGGATGTACTGACTATGGGAGTATCTATGGCTCAGTCACTCGGGATCAACGAATCGGGATATGGGATGAACGACGAAGATCAGGCCGCATCTGAAGATGAGGATGAGAAACGTCAAACATGGTGGTGCATGTATGTATTTGAGAAGATTCTGGCCCTTGAATGCGGACACGTCTCAACAATTTGGGACGGAGAACTGTCTGCAGTAAGCTTGACCTTGACGCGATCAGATTCGCAACCCTCTGATCAGGAAACCTATCGACTGGCAGCCGTCAGTCTAGCAAATGTTTTGCATGAACTCCAGGAACGGTCGGCGAGAACATGGCATCGAGAAGAATGGCTTCCGCAGACCGTCGAAGAAGCCATCCGAGAGAAAATCACCACGGGCGGTGATCTAGGCTTGTTACTTCAAGGCTGGAGGGACAGCCTTCCTTCAGAACTATTGTGCGTGTGAAATAACTCCTATTCAATGGCAGATGGCTAATGAAGTGAGCAGACCCGGGTACAGTTCAGTAGCTATGCAGCAACAGTCCTCGTTCCTCATTTTCTACTATTACTATGCGTAAGTCCTGTTTGGTATCTCCAGTTTTCGCTAATCGGCCCAATTATCAAGTCACATAATTAAACTCTAGCTTATAGGATCATGCTGTCCAAGCGCAGTACTCTGGTCATTGACCGGCAGGAATTGCAAGACAAAGTGGATCAGCATGGGCGACGCAAGCCCTGGCATTCACTGTTGTCAAATACCGTTGCCTTGACAGTTGAAGCAGCGCGAGAAATGATTAAGCTTTTCGCCAGCCTGGTCGGTAACGGCCACCCAGATTTCTTGACAACCCTGACCTCTCCACTTGTTGCGACATACGCTTTGGCTGTACACGTTTGTCGGGAACCCAACAGCTTGATGAGTAGGTCTGATTATGAGGTACGCAATCCTCTGTTGATCAAACAGCTCATACAATATATCAGTGGTTAACGTGAATTCGCTCAACTAGCTTATGAAAGTAGGAATGGAACTTACCATCAGACACTATCAGGGACATTCTACGATCGAAGAGATCATTCTGTTCATGCAGTCTCTGGAACGTTACACACTGCAACGCTTGTCTCGTGCGAGAGATATCTACTCATCAGCCGGCGGGCAGTCTTTCGTTTCCCCATCAGCGATGTTGCCATCAGTAGCTATGCATGAACCTGCTCCTGATATGAGCCGGCTAGATCCGTTGAGTGTCACTGCATCATCTGTTCCACAGGAGGAATGGAACTCGGCCTCACTTGACTGGCTTGGGTGGGACTGGAATGATCTCAGTCATCTATTTCTACGTGGCGAATAATCCAATATTCATGGAAATCACCATTGTATTATGAAAGTACTTCAATATGATGAATTATTCACTTATACTCTTAGTTACTTAGTTACATCGTCGTAGCTCCCTTTTCACTAGTTATCTAAGACACAGTTGGTGCACTGTACTTATGCAGCCTGCTTGAGATACGGAATACCAGTCAACTTGAATCCACGCTCAGTCAAATCAACGGGTTTTCGCGGCTTGGATCTGTTGTAAGGATCCGGCTCTCCATTTCTCAGTACGGGCAAATCAACAAGATGCATAGCATTTGGCCAGTGAGTCGTCATTATAGACTCTGCAGGAATATGTCAGTATGTATCACTAGTCACGAATAATAAATCATGTCCGGCTGCCTTACCGTCAAACGCCTTCTTCTTGCGGAGAAGTTCCTCTTCAGTCGCGTCACTGACTGGCATGTAACAGGTATAAACCGCAAATCGGGGCTGCTGTGATCTGGATGATACGTTGTAGTGAGGTGTGCGAGAGTCCCCTATTATTCCCGTTAGAAGGCCTTGATTGTCTGCTAGAGCATGTAGAAATCTTACATAGCAGGAGGTCACCCGGCTCTGCAGTGACTTTGACCCATTCGCAACCTTTGTCTTTTAACCATTGCAATCCAGCGTCGGTAAAGCCATACCACTCTTTAGTCCTATATATCAGCTGGTCAGCCATCCGAAGAGGACATGAAAGAGGATAAGAATAACTCACCAAGACCAGATCTTCTCCTCCTCCTTGAAATCCCGATGAAACTCCTCACTCAACAGATGAGCACCTTTACACACAATCAACCCACCATCCTCAGGTCCATTAGGCAGCAGATTCACAAGACCCTGCAGACACCTGAACCCAGGCTTTTCGGGATCCTGGTCTTGATGCGGCCACGGCTTGTTAGGTTTGATATCTGTACGATTGGGGAAGCTAATGTTAATTGAATCAAAAGAGACGATCAGATCTTTGTCGTCGTAGACCTTTTCGAATGCCTCTACGACGCCGGGTTCTTGACGAACTGCCCAGGTGAAGGATTCGTGGGAGACACCGTAACCCAGGCACATGCCCTTTTCGTTGATGTCAGGAAGATTATCTTTATGGAAGGTGGATGGGTCGTCTCTTTTGAAGCCGAGGTCGCTGATAAAAGTGGGTTCTCCATCAGTCTTCTATAGAATCTTGCCAGTTTTAGAGGTTACTTACAATTCCTCCAACCAGTCATAGATCTGATCAACGTATTTCAAAGCCCGATCACGGGGCACAGCGCCCTTGACGACCGCGTAACCATCTCTCAGAAGATCATCACGAAAGTCTCCATAGTGAACTTTGGTCCCATGGGAGAAGACTCTTCCTGAGGGCACTGAAAAGTCATCGCTGATTGAGCCCATTGCAATTTGTGTATATATCTCAATTTTGTTTTTCCTCTTCTTAGTCCAATAGTCCAGTGAAAGTCAAGTAATTCAGTGATCGCTAAAAAGATGACTCTGAGAACATCAAGTTCCTACCGATGTTGATATACCTTCTTCCCCGGATTTCCAAGTATGTAGGCACCCCGAACCGGCTGGGTTCATTACGCCGGTTCGGTTCGGTTCACAATTTCCACCCCTCTATCGAACGGTTTAGCCGGACTACAACTCGGAAGTTGATAATGCCCTTCATTCGGCGTATTAGTTTTTTCTCCGGAAAATACTCTCTGAGTTTTACTAGAACTAGTATTTTGGAGAGTTTTTGAGTCCGTTCGTTGACATATCTGAAAGTCAAGCCGATTTTCGTGCCGGTTTGTTGTAATTTCGGGAATCAGGTGAAAGTTATGATCCTATTTGGAGCCTGTCCGCTGACAGGCAACAGATGCTTACCTAGTATCTCTACATTTATTATGTATGCTCTTGGTACGGTCATGTCCTCTTCTAATCATCCAGTCCATATAATCAGATACCTAGGTAGTGTTTATGTTCGCATTTAATGAGGTGAATATCACTGACGATGCTGGCATGAGGATTCTCGATCCAAAGTCGGTTATTGTCTGATGATATTTTAAGGTATTCGATATGTCTTTGAGTTTCCTATCTACTCTTTAATAGGTAAGTGCTTGGTAAGTTCCATACACAACATATGGTGGAGAATAAATTGCCTTTAATCGCTACTCATAAATAGTGATAAGCGGTTAGTAAGATACCATCCTGTAGGCGCCCACAGTGACACTGATCAACTGATCTTGATCTCATCTCCCGTTAAAGAGATAGATACAGATAGCTTCATGATCAGCCTTCCAGTTTATACCATCTTTGTGACATAACCCTCAATCGCGGCCCAAAGAAATACATCGGCACAGCAATCGCCGCTAAAGCACCGCAAATGCACATTTCCACAACCATCGTCATGTCATAACCGAGTGTTGCCACTGCGGGTAATGTCGCATAGCTCAATCCGAATGAGATGAATCCTCTTCCAGTACAAATGATAACCAAAAATGGAGCTGCCCGACTGGGAAATGAATCAACAGCATAAGTGATACCGACGATGTTGGCACCGAGAAAGGCAAAAAAGCTTGCATTGTAGGCGACATAAACCGCACTTGCATTCCATTTGTGTGGAAATGCTGCTGCTTGGCCATAGATAATCCCGCAGATCAATCCGACGATGGCGGGGATTGCCATGACTGGTAATCTGTATTCTGGACGATATTTACCATTGTTCTTTCGACTAAGTGTACGAATAGCGAAGTCACTTCCATAGCCGAGCAATGGGAGGAAAATTATGCAAACAATGATCTGACCTGCTTGAACGTATCCGAGTGAGTTGAAGGCAAAGGAGAACGGGGGAGAGAGGAGGACTGTGGAGAATGTAGCCGACTGAAACACGTAGACTCCAAGAAAAGCGCCGTTAAGCAGCAAGAGCCAGAATATCTGAGGCGTGAAAAGACCCTGAAGGATGTGTTTGTAGCAGGTGACAMCCTCCCGCCAGTGTGGTTTGAATGATATCAATTTAAGGTCGTCTTTCCAGGTTCGTTTTCCGTATCGTTCTATGTCGATGATGTTGCCATATGCTGTACGAGTTTCGTTTCCGGTCGTTTTTGACGTAGTTGGATCATCTGTAACAACATTTCTTCTGAAGTCCGTCTCCGATACAAATATAATGGAGATTAAAAAGGCAGCGGCATTCAGTATAGCGAAGAAGCCGTACCACCATCGCCATCCCCATGAAGACACCATGTACGTAGATGCGACAAAGAAACCGCCAGCTGCCATATTCTGAAGAAACACAAACCAACCAATCTTTCGTCCCCGTTCATGTAAGAAATGAATATCCTGAATCATCAAAGGTGACAAAGCCTCGCTTTGCCCTGCAGCAAGCGACATGAGGTTTCTCCCAGCAATATGGCTACTCAGGCTCTGAGACTGCATGCACCAGACACCAGTGACGATAAGTAAGAGCAAAGTGGCTAGGAACACAGGGCGCCTGCCAATAGCGAGTGCTAATGGCATACTTAAAAGGTTCCCGATCCCCATAAAGAGAGTAGGGTAAGTCAGGAGGTCGCTCGTGCGCTTCTCTCCAGGGTATTGCGCTTCTATGAACGAATAGATTGGGCCCATTCCTGATGCCATGACAACAGCGGTGCAGCTATAGACAGCCACTAGTATGGTAAGCATCCATTTTCGCCATGGTGGAAGGTTCAAGGGGTCTTGAAAGCAAGTCAGTTTATTGGCAACTTCTGCGAAATGGATAAACCGCAATCACACCTCTTGGATCGGACGATGGGGTGGGAATCAATGTGACTTTGTCACCGTGGAGTAATCTTAGACCACCACCTGCACCCAATGGTGAACCCTGTGACTCCAGGTGTGACTCAGATGAAGTTTCAATATGGGCGATATCGGACTTGTCCATGTTGAGGTGCGGGCTAACAGTTCAATATCGCTGATGGTAGGGGGGAAGTTAGGACTTGGGCAGCTGGCGTGGAATTCAAATTGGCCCTGAAACTTATTCATCTTTTCCCACCGTCAGTCAGCATGATCTTATACTTTCGTGATGGAAATATTTGCTTCCCCAAACCCCAACTTCCCCAGTTTACCCACAGACCTCATGGGACCCACCTGGTTCCCCAGCCGGAAATGCATCAGTATTTGTTTACCGAGCCGAAGCGAACCGTACCCTGAAGTCAAGGAGCCGAATGTTATCCTCCAGGGGAAATAAAAGAATTTATCGCTTTAGCAGTCGAGTAGACTAAACGACTGTGGTTAGTTTCTTCCTTTGAATCAGAAAAATGGTTAACAAACACGACATGGAAATACCTTTTGAAGAATTAGAGCAGCCAGAGGTTGGACATGGAGGCTACAAGGGTCTTAATCCTCGAAGCGAGACTCTGCCAAAGGGCCACACTGTTGATCCAGGCTTGCGACCACTACTGTGTGATATTTTGGTCGAGCATGATAGGGGTATCGAGGTGAGGGACGGCTGCAAGCTTTTCGCGGACATCTACCGCCCTCCTTATGCCGCAGATCGGTCGGTGCCTGCAATACTTTGTTGGAGTCCGTTCGGCAAGAAGTTTAACGGAGTGGACTCGCTCAAACTCATGACTCCATGGAATCTTGGTATTCCTGGCGGTATGCTTAGTGGTTTGGAAAAGTTTGAAGCTCCCGACCCTGCCGAGTGGGTGAACAACGGATACGCTATTATCAATATTGATTCTCGAGGAGCTTTCGACTCGGAAGGTCGTATGGTGATAATGGGAACCCAAGATGCGGAGGATGGCTACGATGTTATCGAGTGGGTAGCGAAGCAGCAATGGTGCAATGGAAAGGTCGGAATGGCTGGAAACTCCCATTTAGCTATCGTTCAGTGGTTCATAGCTGCGCTACAGCCACCCTCTCTGAAAGCTATTGCTCCATGGGAAGGATGTGGCGATTTATACCGTGAACAATTTGGCCGTGGCGGTATATATGGGGGAGATCTATTCGACAACCTCATCATCAAGTATATCCTACGCGGAAGAAACGGAATGGAAAGCTTTCGAAAAATGTATCAGCAACATCCGCTTGTTAACACCTGGTGGAATGACAAAAGACCCGACATGACCAAAATCAATATACCGACGTACATTACTGGCACTTGGACCAATACAATGCATGGCATGGGAGCGATTCGAGGATGGATGGAGGTAAATTCGCCGCATAAATGGCTGCGATTTCACCCATATCAGGAATGGTATGATATTTGGGGCGACAGTCAGAGTAACACGGAGCTCATCAAATTTTTTGATCGGTTTTTAATGGAAAAAGATAATGATTGGGAATTGACTCCTCGAGTACGCCTAGCTGTCTTGCGGTATGGCGAAAATACGCCGCTGAAGAATGTGATAGAGGATGACTTCCCTGTACCTCGGACCCAATACAAGAGGATGTACCTGACATCAGAGCGAAGGTTATCATTCGAAGCACCCTCCGCTAAGTCTACTATAGCCTACAATTCTCAAGAGCAACAAAGCATTGCCACGTTTACCTACACTTTCCCGGAGAAGATGCAACTTATCGGTATCCCAAAGGCAGTGCTCTATATGCGATGTGACGACTACGAAGATATGGACGTATTTATCCTCCTCAGCAAGTTGTCCCCCCTAGGCAAAGAACAGCTCAATATGAACATTCCCTGGACCAATCTTCCGGTGTCCTCCATTGACGAGATACCAGAGGACAAACGGACCGAAGTGATTCTTTACAAAGGCCCCACCGGGGTGCTCCGCGCATCACACCGTGCAATCGATAAATCTAGATCTATGCATCCAAACTGGCCATTCCACCCCCATGAGCGAGAAGACAAAATCCAGCCGGGAACTGTGGTAAGATTGGAGATAGGTATATGGGCAATGGGTACGGAGTTCGCAGCCGGTGAGAGTATTCAATTACGAATCGGTGGATTCTATCCTGGTACCTCAAATTTTGGAACAACTGAGCATGTAAGAAACCACGGAAAACACTGGGTTCATCTCGGTGGGGAGTATGATAGCCATCTCGTGTTACCCTTTGTATGAGTAGAAGCTCAAATATATCTACAAGTCGATAAGTACCTGCATCAAATGTTCAGGCCGTAAATAAATTCCTGAATTATTCACCAGGGTCGTCTTGGATGTTTCCAGGGACTTATCGACCAGGATGAGGAAATACTGGGTAGTCGACTGATATCCGTCGGCCGAAACTTGAATATCCCGAATTGGCCGATATGACCGAAGTACGAGAATGAGGTTATATAAGAACGACTCCCAACTTGCTAAATCTCTATCGAAAAATCCCTGGAGTACCTAGAGACTCTAATCCATTGATTTGTCAAGTTTTCTATTTTCCCCGAGTGGGAATTTTCAACAACAAGCAAATTCGTTCTAGTATACCAACATCATCCCAGTGCTTAACTCGGTCTTCTTACCACAATCATCAAAAATGTCGCTGAATGTCCTCATCGTTGGTGCAGGTGTGTGCGGTCCAGCATTTGCAATGCTTCTTCAAAGATCCAATCCCAAACATAAGATCACGATTTTGGAACGTTCACCAACTCTTCGAATGGGGGGCCAACAGATCGATCTTAAAAACCAAGCCCCGCATATACTACGACAAATGGGTCTTTTGGATGTGATCAAGTCCAGATGCGTTGACGAGACTGGCCTCGAAATGGTTGACTCCAACGATAAGACGATCGCTCGATTCGGGGTTGCTCCAGCTGGTCAACGGCGTCTGACCTTGACAAGCGAGCATGAAATCATGCGTGGAGATATGGTTCAGGTGTTATACGACGCTAGCATCAAGCAAAATCAAGATTCGAAAGCCAACTCAGAGGATCCAGACGCTGGGTTGAGATACGTATTCGGCCAAACCATCGTAGCTCTTGATCAGCGCGAAAATGATGATGTGGACGTTACATTTTCAAACGGGGAAACAAAGCGGTATGATCTGGTTGTCGGTGCAGATGGACAATGGTCGCATACTAGAAGCCTTGCATTTGGAAAGGAAACCAGCAGAACAGCCTTTAAGTCATTGGGGATCCACGCAGCATACTTTAGCCTACCCAAAACCGAGAACGAAGCAACTCTTGCGAAGGGACATCTTGCTCCAGGGCGCAGAATGGTCTTCACCAGAACTAGCGGTCGTCCGGTCACTGGTGCATTGCTGTTTACCATGCAAAACTCCGCAAAATTATCGAGTTGTTACAGAGAGTCTACAGAGAAACAAAAGGAGGCCTTTGCTGAGGCGTTCCGGGACATCGACTGGCAAGCAGAGAGATTCATAAGTGGATTGAAATCATCCTCCGATTTCTACGCCCATGAGCTCGGTCAGATCAAAATGGAAGAATTGTCATCCGGTCGTGTGGTGCTCCTCGGAGACTCGGGCTATTGCCCTAGCCCATTCACAGGGCTGGGAACAAATCTTTGCCTTGTAGGCTCATACATACTTGCTGGAGAATTGGCGAGACATGGAAGTAGCAATATTTCCGAGGCACTTCACTCCTATGGTGATAAAATGCGACCATTTATCGACGAGTGCCAAAGTATCTCACCTAGGACTTTGGGTTTGTTCTTTCCCTCCTCACGTCTTGGGATATGGGTGATGCACTCTCTGGCTTGGGCTATTTCAAGTTTGAGCCAGAGATTTTGGCAAAGACAAGAGGATCTTACGGATCATCATGCAGAACGGCTGCCGAAGTATCCCGAATTGAATTTACCATTTCAATCTCAATTCTAAAAATTGAGCCATCCATGGATGTGTAGCTTCATGTCTAATATTTCTCTTTCTGATCTTTTGACCCCGTTTGTTAGCACCGAAGGGCTAAGACCTTGATGTTTCACCACTTTCGCAGCATGCCGAAAGAGATGGTACATTGCATCTGATGTACATTATACACGTAACACAACTCCACTTTATACTTGAAAATCTACTCATTAGACCGTCATATAAGCAAACTAAGTGCGATGATTCCTGAACTGAAGGATTTACTCTGGAGGATACTACAAGCTTGTAACATGTTTGCTGTAAACAATCTAAAAATAAACTGATACGGAGTGATAGATATCGGACAGCCCAAATGAAGGTAGTGCAATTCGAATCTGAAAAATCTAGATGTGTTCGTTGACACCACATGTCTATGTTACAGATTCCTTCCTCTCTCGGGTTTTTTCCTCGTCTTTCTTTTCAAACATTGGGACATCATATGCTGGTTCAGGACTCGTGACAGTACCTCAAAGCTACGCGGCGTCAGCAGAGTAGTCTCCGGTAAAAGACGTATCGATTTCGGGAATATCATTGATCAGACACCCATTAATAATGGCATTCCAATCGGGCAAAAAGGGGAACTCTGGCATTGACAAATCTATAAATGAGTTATACGTCTGATTGGGATCGGTTATCAAATTTTGTCCTTCTTCGGGAAAGCTTGATGTGCCATGCGCTGCGACTAGTGGTGTTGTTTCCGTTGCCGTTCCTGTGTCGGTGGAGAGCGGAATTTTCGAATCTAGAGGGAAACTGTGAGAGGAAATAAACTGTTCATTACTTCCAGACAACCGCCGCTGGTCATCCTGTCTCAAAGATGAAGCACGAGATCGGAGGAGATTGAGGTATGACCAAATGCTACCGTGCCCATATTCATCATCAAGATTCATTCCGCGAGGGAAGAGCTCTTCAACCAAAGTCCAGGCGCGTTCGGTCTCTGGTCCCCGGGGACTGCCACAGAGACAGCGCAGAACGTAGGCAAGGGCATACCATTGAGTATACATTTTGAAAAACCATTGAAGTCCGGACCCAGAAGTCATGTCCTCTTTCAGTAACACGCGACTACATTCCAAAGCATCACAGGCCAACTTAAAAGACTCCTTGTGAACGTCAAAAATTGCATCATCTTGCGCGTCCTTTTGGTTTCGCATACTGATTTCTTCTCGTAGCTGCAGCACAAATAGCATTTTTTTACATGCAGTAGCGGTATGCTGAAAAGCGATGCGTGATAGATCTGTGGGTGCTGCGTCACCAGCTTGCATATCATATTTAGCTTTCAAAATTCGACCTTGCTCGTCTATAAGGTTTCTTTTTTCCTGGATACTTAGAGAAGCATTGGTGGAACATTGCTCTTGTATACTAAGAATCGGATGTAGGAGCCGGCAAGAGTCTGTTTGAATCAAAAAGAAGGACATTTCTGTCCAACCGTGCGACTCCACTGGAAGACGCGTCATGCCTGGGTAGATTTGATTGTCGTTTACATTTAAGGGAAGTCGTAATCCACGGTTGATAACATCGACGGTAGGTTGGAATCCTTGATCCTCCGGGGCACGAGAATCCAACACGCATAAATGCCACCAGAGACGGAGACGTATTTCGGTGTCAAAGGGTCCCAGTTGCAAGGAGGCACCGTCTCGATGCAGGCCAATTGATTGAGCAAGTCGGATCGCTAGTCCATTGAGAACCCAAACGCTTCGGCCGACTTCATGGACACGCAGACAAGTCTGAAACAAAGTGGTCGATTAGATGGCGCAATCAAGCAACTTCAACGGCTAGCATCAATACTCACAGCGTATATCGCAAGAGCCTGTAGTGACTCTATCTCGGGACGTCTCATAAGTTCCGTAGGCATGAGAAGCTGATCTAAGGCTTTCTTGTAATTTTCCAAGAGCAATGATTTCTCGCAAGGCAGAACAATGGATTCGTTATCATCATGACAAAGTGCCGTGACGGCGGCAAAATAGATGGCATATGTTAACGCCACTATAGAAGACTGTGCAGATTTGGGATCCAGAATGATCCCGACGATTGTAGATTGGACAGTTGGTATGTGCAAAATTTTGAGGACCGGGTCGACCGACGTGATATATACATTCCATAATCGAAGAGCAAGCTGGGTATCAGGGTAGAAACTAAGCACGTCCAAAAAATTTGAAGACTCGATGGCATCTGGCTGCGCATACGGTGTGCTATGAGCCTTTGTGCTCTTCTGAATATGTGAGTAGGTTGTTTCTAAGGCAGCCGGCTGTAGATTTCGGACTGGGTCCTCCTAGTTGATGCATCATATTAGCTTGACCGTGTCATAATAGAGCGGAGCAGGACTAAAACAAAGGAAAAATAGATACCAACATCATCTGCTATTGAGTTGTTCGCATACTGGACAACCTCTTCCTCATTCAATAACAACTCCCACGTTGAAGGGCCCGGGTCTTCGTTGGATGAATGTCGATTTGAATCCCCAGTTCTGTTGGCATTTCCACTAGAATTGAACTGTGCTTGTGTCTGAGTCTCGCGCCTACGACTACCGGCTGCTCTTGTCGTTACTTGACCGTCCTCGGCGAGACGTGAAAGTAATACCTCCAGTCGTTCTAGCCGGTTAGAGATACTTTGGAGAGAAGGACCACCTTTCCGTGCCATATCCGACTCTTTCGTCGGGTACACGCAGGTAATGCCACATCTTGAGCAGTTAGTGCAAGGCACTGCGCGATCACACCGAATCTTGCGCTGATGACAGCCTCGACATGATCGTGCCGCTAGATGACTTCGCGTGGAAGGATGCGGCGCGTCCCTCTTCTCGGTTGTAATCTTCTGTACTTTATGCATCATCATTAAGGCACGACGCTATCAACCTAGATAGATAGTGTGCAGACTTTGAGAAAGCTCCAAGAATTGATGGAAGTACAAGACAGTAGGAAGCGGTAGTGGTGGTGGTGGTGGTGGTGGTGGTGGTGGCAGAAAGTCTCACCGGCGTCTCGGTACCGAAGAGTCCGCAATATTAAAGAAAATGACTAGTTTAGGTAACCCTGACCTTGCCGGCTGTTTCGGCGCCGGTGGGACCGAAAGTACTCTGTAGCAAGCAACAAATATCTACACAAATCACAATAGGAGAGAAATTAAATGAATTTGTATATATGTATATAATCCTCATTCCCCTCAGTTAAACCTACTCGTAGTATTTTACAGCTTAAAAAGTACAGCGTGGTGTAATCCACCCTCTTCGATTCAATTGAACATCGACAGCGTCAACCACCTTTCATCATGTCGGACATCGAAATGAATGCACTCAATGAGATAAAAAGCTATTCGGAAGCGACTGTGGGTACAATGAGCGGCCACAATGAGCCCCGTAAGGCCATAAATGCTATCAACTGGAGTTTTGGAGTGAAAATCTATCATACCGCGATTCCCTGCTTCCTGGCTTTTTTGATGTAGGTCATGAACGAGGGCAAAAAGAGCAAGTCAGTAGCGACTTCTGCTAAATAATCTACTCTTTACTATAGAACATTTTCTTCCTCCGTTACGGTCCCTGCCACCTCTGCGCTCATGGCTGAGTTCGATGTTAGCCAAACCGTAGCCATCCTCTCGGGAACTCTGTATATGTTAGGGCTAGCCTTTGGCCCTATGATCATGGCACCATTGTCGGAATTCATTGGTCGCCGCTGGCTGTACATGGTAACCTCATCAAGTATAATTGCTTTCGCAGGGGGTGCTGGAGCTGCACAAAACTTCGCCACACATTTGATCTGCCGCTTCTTCTGTGGATTCCTAGGATCAGCTGGGATTGCAATTGGTGCAGGAACAATTCTTGATGTTTGGGGAGTGGCACAAGCTGGAAAACTGGCAAGGCTTCTCTTCATTTGCGGTCCTTTTCTAGGACCTTCGCTAGGCCCGTTGGTAGGGGCATATATTATGCACGAATATCATGGCGATTGGCGATGGACACAGTGGGTGGTGGCCCTGATAGGAGCACCTACCTGGATCATGATAGTATTCATGAAAGAAACCTCTGACACTCTGATCGAACATGACGCAAAATATTCCGGTCGCTTGGGCACTGTGAAGTTGGCCATTTCAACCCTCAACGCTGCAGTCACACGTTCAATTACAATACTCTGCACTGAAGCGATTGCTTTGTCCATTACTCTGTACACGGGATACGCATACGCAGTGGTCTTCAGTTACTTTTCAAGTGCTACTTATGTCTATCAACTAGACTACAATTTCACCGATCGAGAGGTTGGCCTTGCTTTTATCAGCGTGATTATTGGGTATTTCCTGGCCGTTGTCATGTACATGGTGATTGAAGGGACACTCTACGCTCGCGCTGTGCGGAACGCACCCAATGGCCGCCCAGCTCCAGAACACCGACTGTACGCTGGTATGGCTGGAAGCATATTCGTGCCCATTGGCCTGTTTTGGTTCGTTTCATAGCCCGCTTCCTTAGAAAAATTTGCAAAGCTAGGATTTTGTTGCTAATCTAATCTTTTTTTCTTGCCTTTTAGGTACGCATGGGCCGCTCATCCAGGAGGCCACTGGGCAGCCGCTGTAGCTAGCGGTATTCCATTCGGTCTTGGGGCTTTCGTCCTTTTCGTAAGTGTTCCTTCTTCTGGCTGATGCCATCTGGAAATGAAACGCTTCTGACGGGCCTTTTTCCTTTGAAGTTATCCTCAATCATTTACCTTGTCGAGGCATATGGAGCAGCAGCAGCAGCATCTGGTAAGTTCTCTTTTAGAATCTTTGAACCGAAGTTTACCAAATTCGGTACTTACTCATACCAGCTCTCGCTGCAAACGGATCCTTTCGATACCTTCTCGGAGCAGTGTTTCCGTTGTTCACCATTCAGATGTATGAGAAACTTGGTGTGCACTGGGCTGGAAGCGTGTTTGCGTTTCTGTCCCTGGCGCTTCTTCCTATCCCATGGCTTCTCTTCAAGTACGGTCACCAGCTGCGTAAGAATAGCCGATTCATACCTTCTGATTCCGTATAATCGTTCAATGGCTAGTGGTCTATTGTGACTGCATTGGGTCGTCGGGCAACTTGAAATCATCTCTTAGAAAATGATAGAACTCGGCCAGAATTTGACCAGGGGATTATGTAAATTAGAAGCGGAGAGTGAGAAGGGGATAGACTAGGAGAGTATGATAGATTTAGAACGACTGTATTATATAATGTATAGACTGGTGTGAAATGTATTAGACCTGGGCTCATTTCATTTCTAAGGTAGCTTAGAAATAAAAGAGTTCATTTTTGATAATCAGAAGAATTTGTTACAGAGAAATACTTTCTACTTACGATGAGTATTACACGACTTGAGGATTTGTTCTAGGACGTATGATTCGCTTGGGCGCCGTTGCAAATTGGCTGAAGCATTTGACAGGGTCATGACTAAGGTTTTCAACAATTTACTAACAAAGACAAGGAAGTAAATTGAAAGCAAAGAACAAAACCCCATGCATATTAAGAATAGGTGCATCTTACGGCTCGGGTCGGTTGAGATGATGCGGATATCCGGTTCAAAGAGACGACCCGAACCGGTCCATTGCTCAGAGAACCCTAGTCTGCTCGGCTCGTTTTACGTAGCTTATTGGCCCTACGATGATATATTGTCTAAATGTTATGTGCGTATTCCCCAGATTGAGCGGGGTAATGCAGAGGTATCTAACTTCCTTCTACTATTACTTGATCTTGCCCCAGCTTCTTTAACCTTTATCCTTTCAGCAGTTCAACATCTCATTAGCAACATGAGCGCATCAAGTTGGAGACCTGGCAAGCGAGTCGCTATCGTTGGCGGAGGCCCTGGAGGAATATCTACTGGCCTCGCCTTTCTCAAGCGTGGATATGACGTCCGCATATTTGAGCGTCAACCCGAATGCCAGGCGATCGGAGGCGCTGTGCTGCTCTCTACCCCAGTATTGGCGGTGTTGCGCTCTTACGGAATGAGTCTAGAGAATGTGGGCTCTTACACAGTAACTCATTTCGCGAACAAATTCGGGGCCGTTCGCGCTAAGCTACCCTTCAATCAGGAGGTGGAAAAACGGATGGGCATCAAAGGCTGGCATTATGGTGTTCTTCGATCCTCGGTGTATAAGAGAATGTTAGAACTCGTTCCCGAAGGTGTCATATATGCGGATCACGAATTTGAAAGTTATACCGAGCTGGATGATGGGGTGAAGGTCAATTTCAAGAATAAAAAGGAGATCGTAGCAGATATTCTTATTGGTGCAGATGGGATTCGCTCAGGGGTTTCTCGTCAGGCATTTGGCGACCCTAAGCTCTTTCATACTGGTATCCGTCTCTGGCTCGCCTGGTGCGATCACATTCCCAACGTACCAGAACATCAAGGAGTCATCTCACACAACTGGCAATACCAAGTGAGCTATTTTCCTATGCTTCATGACGGCAAACCTGGCTTCGAGTGGTGGGTGGTGGAGCCATCGTGGGAGGGGAAACCGGTTCCGGAGAACCCCAGGTCGCATATCGCCGAGATTGTGAAAGATTGGGCACAGCCAATGCCTCGATTTCTAGAAGTCACCGATTTTGACAGTCAGGTCTATCGCTGGGAGATATATAATAGACCCTCACTCAAGCAGTGGTCTACTGGAAGGATTGTGTGCATTGGCGATGCCGTGCACCCAGTCTCGCCATATGCTGCGTACGGTATGGGTATGGCAATAGAAGACGGCTATTTTCTCGCTAGATCTCTGGAAGGGGTGGATTTGCGTGATATAAAAGCCATCAGTGCTGGTTTTGAGCTCTATGAGAAGCAAAGAATCGGCTATGTGAATCATAACATGGAATTCGCACGGTTCCTAGGAACAATGTTTCACAAATTGCCCTGGCCCATAGCAAAGCTACGAGATTTGTTGTTTGACTATACTCCTGCATTAAGCAGATTTCTGCAAACTGGATACCTCGAGAAGGCCGAGACTGAGACTATGAATTTGAAGGAGCTGCAGGTCGCATAAGCAGCCAAGTATGATCTTGCTTAGCAATACCCAAGAATGCCCTCGCGTGTATTAAAGACGGGATGTCTAAGAATTTTTTACAATACTCCGACCCACTCTTCTAGAGATATGTACATGTAATCTTAGCTTTAGCTCTACACGTACGTATAGCAACCACCAATGACCAAGTCGGCTCCAGTCATATAGCTTGATGCATCCAATGCCAGGAAAAGGTAAATACTGTTCATGTTACGAGGAATTCCTTCTCTTCTGGATTGAATGTCACGTCAATATCTCTAATTATATCATTGGACATGAGCCATTCGTCCCACAGGAATCTTGTGCTCCCAGGTATCTTTAACTTCTTGTGACGCAAGTACGGGAAAATCAGTGTCAATGTATCCAGGAAACACCGAGTTGGCTCGGATATATCTGCACCACTCGGTTGCCAGAGATATACCTATACAATTTGTTTAGTCTCCGAACCACAACGACTGGCGATGGACGGGTAGCCTTACACATGTGGATGACTGCCGCATTCGAAGTATTGTACGCAGTCTGCACCATGGTAATATTTGCGATACGCGCACTCATTCTTGAAGTGGCAATAAAGCTTCCATAAATATAATTCTCTAACTTTTTCCCGAACCTCTCTGATCCTTTAACCTGTTGGCGCTTCCATATCCTGCCAGCGGCCCCGGCACGGTGATAAACATCATTGGGATTGATGCTCATCACTTGTTGGTAAAGTTCAGGACTTCCTTTAACTACTAGTCCTTCAGTCCATAGAAACCCGGAATTTGCACATTTGACCCCGTATTCTGTCTCAATTGCCTCCCCATTCTCAGGTGCCTCTTTTCTACCATTATACCAGATAACGACGTTCTTTCCTGCCTCGGCAAGCCCTCGAGCCACAGTGTATCTAATATTCGCTCCTCCACATCAAACATTTGCAGAACATGGTATCAGGACGGTGGGTCTGAGCCCTAATAAAGCTAGGCTACTTTAGGGCTAATGGCTTCCTCATCTTATCGCGAATAAAATTGACGACGGGAAATCAGTGCCATACTTTCTATACACTCCTCTTCCAACCTCATTTCAACCCCGCTTCCACGCCTCACCAGCCCACTTGGCTCACAGTGTCTGAAGTGCTATTCGATGTTCTTTTGTTTCTGATGTATCCTATTAGGGATGGGCCGTAGGCGAACTGCATGCCAGACTTGTGCTGCAATCAAGACGTCGTGCAGCCAGGGACAGCCTTGCACACGATGCAGTAGACTTTCCCTTACGTGCAGCTACCTGCAGGATGATTTGGTTGTATCAGGAACTACTGCAAATTCTCGACTGCCAAAAACAGGCTACACTAGATCCAGAGCGGGTTGCTTAAATTGCCGCAGGCGACGGAAAAAATGCGACGAGCAGCAACCATCGTGCGGAGATTGTCAGCGGCTGAATCTAGAGTGCATTTCCCGGGTCGTAGATATCACAGACACAATCGCTACTGTCATGTCGCACTCTAGTCCCGTCAATGTCTTACCCAAGCAAGCCTATAATTCAATTGATATAGTTGGTGATGGTCCTCAAGTCTCTCCTCAAGTGTCATCACCAGAATGGGCATTGACAGTTGCGCATGTCTTTGAGAGACATATCTCTTCTTCCCAATTTGCTGATTGGATTTCTCTCATCGAGCATGAGCACAGAGCCGGGGACCCGAGGCCTACCAGCCTCGCCAATAGCGCTGCATTAGTGGACTTGCCTATACCGTGTGCGTATGACGACGAAGCTGGTTTGGCAACATTCTTACCGCCGACAGCCCTGAATAATCTGACAGGGGTCACGCCGTTGTCATTGAGGGATTGGTCATTTGGGCAGCGACATCTTTTGAATCATTTTCTCCAGTCAGTCTCCCGGGCTCTAGTAGTGGTTGATGACGGGGACAATCCATTCCTCCGCCTCGTTGTCCCCATGGTACTTGATAATGCCATGGTAAGACATGGGCTCCTTGCATTATCGGCATGCCATCTCTCTAGGGTCTATCCAGTTTTTGAGAAAGACCTCTTGATCCATCGGAGTCTTGCCTTGCAAAAGCTTAGAATCGATCTTGTGAACTCTGACTCGCCTCTATTTTGTCTCGTCACGACTTTACTACTATGCTTGGCAGAGGTGTGTCATAAATTCCAAAATTCCAAGCTGATCGCTAACTATCATTCTATAGATATGCGAAGGGCGATCACGAATGTGGTTGTTGCATTTACACGGTGCCAAAGCGCTGCTTGCAAACATAAACACTACTACTCTAGCGGAAGGACCCTATCGCGCAATGGTAGATTTATATAATTATCTTTGCTGCGTGACCAGTGTAACGGCACATGATGTGCCACTACCCCTATTTGAGGAACAGTCTATACTGGAGGATTCAAGTTTCCATCCTTTATTTGGCGTAGCTGCCAACCTCTACAAAACTATCCCTTTGATCGGTCAGCTAACACAAAAAATGCGTAACCTTCCGGCGATTACTGCAGAAATCGTGCAGCAGGCTCAAGAAATTGAATTATGTTTGCAATCCTGGACCCCGGGCGAGGACGCTGCTGACAATAGGCGATTCTCAGAGGCCAGGGCAGCCGCATTTGCCACACAATGGGCTCTCATGCTCCGACTCAAACAAGTTATGAAAAACTTGAATAATGACGACCTTCAAATAACCATGGCCGCTAATAACATCCTGTCTGCCTTATCACTTATCCGACCAGGATCAGAGATCGAGAGTCGCATATTATTTCCGCTCTTCATGGCCGGCGTGGGCAGCGTAACGAAACCAAACCGGATGACTGTAGAATATAGGCTTAAGATCATGGAAAGTATAATCGGTTTTGGAAATATTTCCGTTGCTCATAAACTCCTTGATGAGCTTTGGCGGCGTTCTAATAATGATGGCAACACTGTCGATTGGGAGGATCTGAAGGAGACACAGTATTCCGGATTAGTGTTACTATAATTCATATAAGAATAATAGTGAAATGCGTATGGGGCCCTGTCATGTGGCGTATCGATATACTGCTATATGAATCATTATTATCGATTTCCACCCCGTGGGTTCTGGAACGTCGTCTACGGTGTTAGTACGCGACGGGATATTCACATACTTCCCATTGTCAGCCGGTGTATTCGATTAAATCAGGTTTTCTTCCTTTATATACCAATGTTTACTGAATCGATTCCGTCCATCCTACTAAATCAGATCGCCACACGAAGACTTCTACAATATTTGCTACCCGTACTACAACTGTTATAATTATCATTTACTACAACAATGGGCCCCGGAACTCTTTTGCCAGAGCTCGAAAACCCTACGACACGAAAAGACATCAAAATAATCGACTCACAGCTCAAAGATGAAACTAACGAGATTACTATACTGCCCAGCCCGTTTCCAGATCTGATGAGGTAAAGAATTCTCTGTGACTACTGCGTAGTTTCTTACAAGCTAACACTCTCTAGGACCGATTATCCCGATTTCAGAGCCGATCTGGCTGAGAATGGCTTCACTATACTCAAAGGGGTGATTCCTCGTGAACGGGCGGCCGGATATCAAGAAAAGGCGTACGAATGGATCAGGTCATTTCCCGGCGATCTCGACATGGCAAAACCAGACACATGGGTCGATAAGAATCTCCCAATGACCAACTCCATCAATGCTTACGCTTATTACTGTGTCACACATGAGAAGTTCTTCTGGGACGCAAGACAAGAGCAAGGCGTTATCGATGCATTTGCTAAAATCTGGGGCACTGATCAACTTCTTGTCAGCTTTGATGCTATGAACATCACATTCCCAAACCGGAAAGATGTCCCCCGCAGACTTCCATGGGAACATATTGATCAGAGTCCCATCCGTCGTGGAGCGCATTGTATACAAGGTCTCATAGTCCTCTCGCCCTCGGGACCGGAAGATGGTGGCCTCGTCGTGTTTCCAGGCTCGCACAAGCTCAATGATGAGTTTTTTGATTCTCAGACTGATCGAGAATCCTGGCTTCCTATGCAGGATATCCACCTCTTCAAGAAAGAGGAACTTGAATGGTTCGTTGCACGCGGCGTTCATCCACACAAGGTCTGCGCCGAGGTAGGCGATCTCATTCTCTGGGATAGCCGTACGATCCACTACGGAAGCGAGCCAACGGAGAAGAGCAATCAAATCAGAACTGTACTGTATGTCACCTACATGCCCGCTAATCTTGCGACGCCGGAACAATTGGCGTTGAAATGCGAGGCCTTTGAGAAATACAGCAGTACCACTCACTGGCCGCATCAATATATTGTGCCTAGGCCGAATGTTGTGTATCTTCCGGATGGAAATCTTGACCGTCGGAATCGTGAACAGCCATTGGAGAGTCCGGAGTTGACGGATAAGCTGTTGAAGCTTGCTGGCATCAAGCCTTACTAGTCTACATATTGCAATGAGGGTAGATTGATCTTATATGAACATTGAGTATCATGTATCTCATTATTCCATCACTATTCTTTACCCTGGAACATTGAGTTTGAGGATATTATGCCGTAATTTATCAGTCTTTTGGGTAAAAAGCATCTATATATCAATGGATTTATATTTGAGTGGGTATAACTACCGGGGGTTAATTCATGACAAGTCTTCAATGTTTCAATGTATCAAACAGCATTACTGTTCATAACTAGACCTCAAAAAAACAACTATCCTTCATTTCAATTAACAATGATTACTTTTCATCAAACTTGAAGGCCTCCTTTGACACTTGCCGCTCATTTCTGAACTCTCGGAATACCGTCGTGAACTGATATGGCTAGCCCTAATGACGACCTCGGGAGGTCTCTTAAATCCCGTCGTCAAAACCCCACAGTTACCGTGAGTAAATGATGACTTTTCAAACTTAGCATTCACCATTCACTGCCTCAAATTGGTTAGATCGACTGAACTAAAATTCTCGAGATAACGTTCGAAAGTAAAACTGTCAAATCGCCATGACTGGCTGAACCATGTCCCACATATCCCGTCGTCAAACTGATAAATCCAAACCCTCAATCTTTCTGATAAAGGGTTAAAAACTTATCTTCTTATCTCTAGAGATGATTATGAATGAGTCGCTTGCCAATGGCTTACCCCATGATTCCAAGGACTAGGTGCTCAGATTGATAGTCGTGACTTTGATACGACTGATATCTGCATGCCTACATAGGCAGTTACCGGGTGGCAATTTATAACCACTAGATATGCCACGAATGTAGTTATAAGGAAGGAGATATCCTCGAATGTCGGCCATAGCCTCAATGGAAGCATATTGCTAATATAGTTTTTCTATCAACTCTTATCGCACGCACTTCGTTGCCGCCCCAGTCAGTTATCATGGCTGCCAACCAAAATTCATTCATCAGGAGGCTCCAAAAGTCCTCAAAACTGATGGGATGTCTCGTGGTCGCAGCAGCATGCGTGACCTCTACGACTAAGGGATATGATGGATCCATGATGTATACCAAGTTCACTACTTACCCAACAGTGGACTATCTCTAACCGTACTCCGCATCTATTCAGGAACTCTCTCAATGAACTACCCAGTTATACAAACTACTTTGTTCTTCACACTACCACCAAGTCTCTCAATACCTGCGCTGTATGGCTCGGTGGTATCATCTCGGCTGCTATAGCAGGTCCTGTCGCGAACCGATATGGTCGACGACGCACTCTTATATGTGCATCCATATTCACTATCTTCGGGGCCATTTTACAAGCTGCCGCCCAAAACATCCCTATGTGGATTGTGTCTCGAATGTTTATTGGGTTTGGTATTACGTTCTCAATGATTGCAGCTACCGCATATACAGCTGAGACACTGCCTGTGCATTGGCGAGGCTGGGGTGTTGGTCTCCTTGGTGATTTGTACTATGTCGGTATGATGACTACTCCCTGCAAAGACAATTTATATCAAAGCTTATGCTTGAGTAGGCGGATTCGTGGCTTCTGGAGTGACATACGGCACTGCAAACATGAACAGTACATGGGCATGGCGACTTCCATCTGCACTGCAAGGCGTATTCAGTCTTATTTCCTTGGTTGTGCTAATGGTGGTCCCTGAATCTCCTCGATGGCTTGCTATGCAAGACAGAAACAAAGAAGCGCTCCAAGTTATTGCTCTGCTCCATTCGGACGGCGAAACTAGTCACCCAGATGCTCTTGCAGCGTATCAAGAGATTCTTGACCGTATTGAATTTGAGCGTACAGGCGGACGACAAATCTCGCTGAAACACATTGTCAAGACTCCCGACTTGCGTATGAGATTAATCTTGGTTGTATCTGCGTCAGTTTGTGCCATGTTGTCGGGAAACAATATTGTCAGCTTCTATCTTGGTGACTTGCTCAATAATGCTGGGATCACAGACTCGAATACCCAGCTTCAAATCGTAAGTCGGTTCATTCATACGCACTCCTTTCTGGTTGATTGGGCGATTAATGAAACTAATTTTGCAAAAGACTATCATCATGAACGCATGGTGTCTGGTTGTTTCCATCATCGGCACTCGGTTGCTTGATCAATTTGGCCGAAAGAAAATAGCCATCCTTAGCAATTCCTGTATGGTTGGCATGCTCTTCCTCGTTGGCGGGCTCACAGCTAGTAAGTATATACCCATCTAAGAGAAACAACTAGGTCTAGATTGCTGACGAAACTGTCAGGATTCGGGACATCAACAAACACATCCGGAGTCTACGGCACAGTCGCCAGCATATTCCTCTTCCAAGGCATCTACAGTCTCGCCTGGACCCCTTTAATCATGCTCTACCCACCCGAAATCCTGAACTACAACATGCGAGTCTACGGCGTCGGTCTCATGGAGTTCCTCGGCAACTGCTTTGGTCTTCTAATTGTCTTCGCGTTCCCGTTCGCTTTCGCGGCTATTGGATGGAAGTTCTACATGATCAACGCAGCCTGGAATGTGCTCGAAGTCGCCTTTGTGGCATACTTCTGGATTGAAACTAAGGATATGACGCTGGAGCAGATTGACGAGAAGCTTCTTGGACTCTATGGCAAAGTTAGATATGTCGATGGTATTGAAGGCGCTGAAGGGAAGGGGGATATTGTGCAGACTGTGAAGATGGAGGAGAAGGAGTGATATGTTTGAGTGATCTATACCATAAACTCAACCATGATAGCCAAAATTCGACGAACCAATCATACATCAAACACAAATTGAGCAAGATACCAGTATCATTGTGATTTAAAATTGATAAATATGGTTCTTCCAAAATAGTATTAGCCCTAACCCTAGTGACGAATCTTCCCCACGTGACGCCGGCTGCGGTCGGGGGTCCAAGGCCGCGTTGTTTGCAAATGATCTGTTATGAGCGACACCATGGGATGGTGAATGGACATTGTTCAATACAGTCATATTCTCGGAACACGCGATCGTACATACGCTTCTGTGAATAAACCAAACCAACGAAGGCGACCAGTCCTCGAGTCGTCGGCCGTTGATTATACACCATGAGTGGCTTCCGCGGGGTGATGAATGGCGGGKGGCATCCCAAAGGTAAAGAAGGAGGGAAGGAGAGTTGGCGAGGCGATTTTAAGGGAATCAATCAAGTGGTATGTCGACAGCAACATTTCTGCGGCTTTTATGTAAATTCTGACGATAATACAGGCAGGTTGGATGGGAAAGGGCAAAGATGACAGCAAAGACGACCGAGCCGAACATGTCTCGCGACCACTAGCCTCACTCAAAGACCCATCATCTTTCGGACCACCACCAAGACGCGGGGATTCTCGGACATCATCAACAATGGCCGCTTCTGGGATAGCACCTCCTCCAAGAGGCCTTGGAGCGGCCTTACCACCAGACGCAGTCGTACGTGAACCCGAACAGCTAGAAGAAGATACCGGACCACCACCTCCGCCCCTACCATACCGCGCCAATCGAACTGGAATCGACCCAACAAATCTCCCTCCACCTCCTGTTCGCCGTACAGAGTCTCCTATAAGTCGACCTACTTCCGCTTCACAAACCCGACCTCAACCAGCCCTTCCTCCCCGCTTACCTTCTCGCAATAACGCCTCTCCATCGCCTCCACCTCCGCCATACTCCGAAGCAGAGCATTCAATACAGATGAATCAGGGCTCAATTTCGCGTCTAGAACAAGCCGGTGTCTCGGTGCCTGCTTTAGGCATTGGTCGAAGAGACAGTGACCAATCTGCCACAACCCGAGGGGGCATGAACAACCAAGTCAACGAACTCCAAGCCCGATTCGCAAAGATGTCGACACCGGGCTCCCAAACTCCACAAAGTCTTTATAGTCCGATTGAGCGACCTACTTCTCAACGAAGCTACGACAATACACCTACATCTCCGGCATCACCAAGACCAGACACCACTCGCAACGCCGCACCATTACCTCCACCAACAAATAACTTCCGACAACGCAGCAATGAGCACATTGAAACTGGCAAACAGAAATTAACAGAATTCAACAAGAAACATCGAATCACAGAACGCATTGGCTCGTATTTTGAACCACAACCCGCGCTCAAAGCGTCGGTGGGAGCTCCTCAACCTGCGCCTCCACCACCACCGCATCCAAATCTGAGTAGACAGGGCTCGAATGTTGATATAGATTCATTAAATAAGAGAAAGCCMCCGCCGCCTCCTCCGCCTGCCAAAAAGACAAACTTGAGGTCGACGCCAGTGAGTGGGAATGGTGGGAGTGAATCTCCTTCTCCGCCTCCATTACCTTTGGGGACGAAGCCTCGATGAGCTCTACTCGTTCTTCATTCGGCACTTTCTATTCAATATGAATTCATTAAAGTCTATTTTGCTTTATGTGCATGTTATTAGCGTTATATCATTCCTTTTTTCTATTGGATATTTGATTTGTTCTTAGGACTGGAGGGGGAAATGGTCAACCGGCATTATGATAAGAAGGGACTACATATGATTACAATTCAATTCTGCCACATGCGTGACTCACTATAGCTATACAACTAACGATCATGATTTCCTTTCCTAAAGACTCAAAGCGTATATACCCTGTCATGAGAGCTTCGCAGATACTGCAATTGGGCTATCTGTGTCCAAAGATTCTAAATTTATGCTGACCGTCCCAAGATCTTCAGGAAAAAAGCACTTACCTACCAATTTATATGGACATCCACACTCCTTCTACAAGCATATTCCACGATTAGGTAGGGGTTACACATATAGGGCTAAAGTCAATAACCCTAACTTACCAACTTCCTCACAGACCGAGTATGTAATGTGAAAAAAAAAACCGAATCCAAGTAAACTCCTAATAGCTGGCCACAAGTTTTTCCTTTTCAAATAATCCAGTGGTTTCTTCGAGCAGACAGTGGCATCGTAGTGCATGCTTCTCTGCTCGAACAAGGAGGTTTTCGAGATTGGGTAGATGAGGCCGTACCTGATAACGACACGTCTGCTTGCGGTTGTATTCTACTTGTGTATACTGCTACCATATGTTCATATGGTTGGTATATATTGTTATTGTGGCTATAGTGATTTTTGGTATTGATATGCATATGAATGAACATTTAATGACGACAGAATCCAGTAACAAACCCCGGCACAATTCATGGTAATGGTTAATAAATGAGTGGTATCTCAAACGCCCAAAAAATAATGATGTATGCCCAGGTGATATTACAAACTCGGGGCAGGAGTGATTAAATGTCTGGTAGAGGAAGTGGCATGGGTAGAAACGGACGGAGATTCTGTCTGATCACGACAACCGAACCACCCCGGATCCAAGCACGTAGTTGTCGAAGGATACGGCGTCGGCGTTTGTGTAGCCCACGATGTTGAAGTTGTGGTGGTAGTCGTTGTAGTAACGTCTTTACAGCCGAACCATCCAGGGGTTTTGCAGGTGAGCGTGGTAGATGTAGTTGTTACACTCGTGAAAGAAGTGCTACCTATCGTGGTGGTCGTTTTGTCCAAGCATCCCCACCAACCTGGTGTTTCGCATGTTGAAGTTCGTGCTGAGGTCGAGGTGACTGTACCCAAACTAGTAGTGCTCGAACTAGTAGTAGTAGTGGTAATTTCCGACCCATTGCTTTTGAAAAACTTCCACAATTGACAATCATAACACTCCTCTTCAGGTGCACACAAAGGGACCTCGTCATATGCCTCTAATACATCAGAAATCACATTGTTGATTCGATGAGTGCCGATGCTCATTCTCCAACCTTTATCCCCAACTGTATCATAAACGCACATTTCGCCAACATGGCACGCAGACTCGAATGCGTATCCGGCCCAAGTACAAGTAGATCCAACACCATTGCACGCTCCCATGTAGATGGGATCTGCGGTATGGCCAATATGAAAAATGCCAGTATTTTTTCGAGACTGAGGTAAAAGGCCATTGTATCCAGGAGGCGTAGGCAACCCGAGTCTTGCCGCTGGCAATGCATCAGGTATAGCTTGAAAGGCAACTGTTGGAAGGCCGAATGTAAGACCTAACAACGCACTCATTGCACCACCAAGCGAATGACCCGTAAGCCAGACATTCGCGTTGGGATAGACTTTGGTGACGTTGGTATATAAATCGATAGCAGACTCATAATACCTATCCTTATTATGCAGCTCTTCTATTATACAAGTCTCGTTGGCGGTATAAACAGATGTGGAACAATCGCAAACTTGCCGCCAAAGATAGGAGCCGCCTTGACCACAACAGCAGCTGAAGTATAGATTATCATTCAATTTGTCATTTGTCGTGGTTTCCGCTCCATCAAACAGGGCAGCAGAAGTGCCTTTGAGTGAGATGATAATGGTGCTGTTTGTTTTGTCTGCATAGATATGGCCTCTTAGTCCATCCGCAAGCCATCCGAAACTTGCCGACCAGTTGAAGCGTCCGGTGATTTGGTTCCAGTCGCCGGTACCTGGCTCCGCAATGTAGTCATTCGCGGTCATCTTTGCAAAATTGATGATGGTATTTTTGTTAGTAACATCAGGTCCAGAGATTTCGTCCGTAACCCAAGCGTTGTTAGGTACAGTGAAAGTGCCCTCGGAAGACCTGGCATTGGCACGATGGTTTTCGATCGCTGCTGGGCGGCGGTCCGCTAGCCGATGTATATTCAAAGAGCTAGATCTTGCGATGAAAGTCCCCTGCTGTGCTTCTACAGGCCCCGGAACGTCTGTGTCATCGGAAAAGGCCCGTAAACGAGTCTCTAGCGTTACATCGAGCCTTAGATGAAGATCTGGATCTTCATATGTACCACGGTGATAGATATGACGGAGAGTCTAGACAGATGGTTAGAAGCATAGTCATCTCAAAATAACGGCTACTGATTATTACAAATTCATGTTCTCCATAACCTAATTCGTGGCCCTCTCCTTGAGAGATATCTTGTAAAATGGGGATCTGGTGGGGCTGCGACGCTGTCCCAATAGCCAGTTCTGTACAGAGGGTCAACAGCAACCAGATAACTCCATTCAGAGTTAGCCTGCAGGTTGATGCTGGCCGAAAGTGAGATGGCATCTTCCTATGAAATGATGACTCGAAGCATCACGAGCAAATGCTGATGTTGAGGATCATCGCAGATGATGCAGTCCGGAAAAGTAGCTGCCTCATCATCTCTTCTAGCCGGCCGCACGTGCCATACCGGTATCTTACAATACAAGCGCGTAGCAGTATTACTCCTGACGTGACGCTACCATGTTTTGTATTGACCCGGTATGCTGTCATATCGCTTCTCGGACATAGATAGCTCGACGTTGAGTGATGTGTTAATTTTATAATCGAGCGAGCGACCCTCACGACTCTCAATTTCCATAGTGGTGTCAGACTGTGGTTAACTCCGGGCCGATCTTTGATAGTTTCTTACAAGAATGGCGAAAGAACTAGTGACTAGCTAGGTTGGATGCACTAAGTCCTCTGCCTTATCTGAGTACATCAGGTTCCAAAGCAAGGTTTATATAGACGTTTTTAGTGGACTAAGTTATAGAGATAGTAGTTAACCTGTGGGGTAAACATTGTAGGCTATGAAGCCCACTCCATTGGTGACCCGCATTCCCTCGGCCTTCGGTGCTCGGTGTGTGGTGTCCAGTGTTAGACATTTAGATCGCTAAAGTCCACCTTATTTATTTAAATTTCCTAATTCTTCTTCCGGATAAAAAACGATTCCACTCTTCAAGGTCTGTTCACGAGCAAGCATGGTCCGTTGAGTCGTACACTGAAACAATGTCTGCTGTAGAAAGGCGAAAGACAGTTCTGATTACTGGGTACGTAAGGAGCCCTTGACGTGGGCTTGCTGCAGCTGACAAAACACCTCAGTTGCACCCCCGGCGGTATTGGTTATGCATTAGCACGGGCATTTCACGCTAGAGGTACTTATGAAAGAAACCCGTGTTATGTCAAAATACAGCTTGGCTAAATGATAAGTGCTTCAGGGCATGTTGTCATTGCTACAGCACGTCGTCTAGAGGTCTTGGAGGATCTCCGCCGCGATGGGATGATTGCATTGCCGGTTGATGTAACGAAATCAGAAGAGGTTGAATTATGTCGCGATAAAGTGGCCGAAATAACCGGTGGCAAGCTCGATGTTCTGATCAATAACGCGTGAGCCGCCAACCCTTTCCTATAACCTGCCACACGGTGGCTTCTGTTAAAAAGTTTTAATTGACCCATGGTCAGTGGCCAAACACACACTATCCCGGCCATCGATGCAGATATGGACGAAGTTCGCAGCACATTTGAGACGAACGTGTTCGGTGTGATGGTCATGATCAAAGTATTCTCGAAGCTCCTGATTGCTGCACGTGGGCGTATTGTCAATATCAGCAGCCTGGCATCCATTGTGCCTTACGTATACGGTTCGATCTTTTGTGCTACGAAAGGTGCCATCAACTCATATTCTCGCACCTTGCGCCAGGAGCTGCGGCCGTTCGGAGTAAAGGTTACAGTGGTCATGGCAGGCTTTGTGAAAACTAAAACGAATAAGACGTATCGGGAACTCCCAAACGGCTCCGTTTACTCTGTTGTTGCCGACCAATTTCGTCGGAGATTGAGATATTCGGAAAATACCTCTCAAATGACACCGGAAACGTTTGCAGATATCTTGGTTGGTAGATTATTGAAAGACGAGAGCAGCATATGGGGAAATTTGACAAGATCCCTCAATTGGGTTTGGATTGGAGGAAGTGCTGCGCTGGTCAAATTTGTAACAAACTGGGTAGGTGAATGGCTATTAGATGCTGTAACCTATCGGAAGTTTGAGCTTGATAAGCTGGAGGCAATTGTGAACAAATCCCGGTAAATGTCTATTAGTAATTAGGGCCTGAAGCTATGTAGTGACTTATCCTATAAAACCCCGTACTGTGTCATGTTTTTGGGAGGTTCGTAGACAAATTTGGCGATGGAAGTATACAAGGGCAGCATCTTCAAACTTCAGATGTCCCACACCCGAAAGCCGCACTGATATATGCGGTCTGAGGCCCGAATCCCAGACAAGGGCATATTTATTTGGACGAGCCATATCTGTCAATCGCAGATTTGGGACTGGGAGCGCGTTGTATCAGACCACCGAGCCGTCTACCGGCAAGCCAGACTTCATGTCTCCAAAAGTGGTTTTCGTTGTATCTAATGCCCTACCTCGCCCAATTCGTCCCATCATGGTTTGGAGCAATACGAACACCCCAGAGACAAACTACATCCCGAACACCGAGACCCCACTGATCGCCCTTTGTACTAATCTGTATCTTAACCCCAAGTGGCATCTGAAAAGGCATAAATACCTCCCTAGGTTCCGGTATTTTGTCTCTATTTTTATGTGAATTCTTGCGTATTTCGTTTTATTGCGGCCCCCGATAATGGCAGAACCCGAAAACCGACGGAGTGCTTTCGCCGGTGTGACACTGAGTCACTTACCATTAGTATCGCATCACAGGTTATCACTGACTCTAACAATCTCCCAGTACTACCTCAAGGTCCTCTAAGAACTTTGCGACTGTCTGCTCGCTGACCAATTGCCTGTTCCCCTCATATTCTAGCTCAAGTTGCCCATCTCGGGGTGTCGCGTATATTTCAGGCCGTGTTCGCGCGGGTAAATCACCTTCGTAATACGAAATCCTACTTGAGACTCCCAGGAATTTGAAATCGCGATCCTCCTCTTGTTGGAATGCAGTCCTCCACCCAAAGTCCTTCGCTTCGTCAGGCCAGTCTGTGCAGTTTGCAATAATCTCGGCCATTCCCGCAGCCTCGTGAAGCGAGTCTTCGATGAATTGTTTCTGTAATTGTAGGGCCACTGTAGCGATTGTGTCTTCAGGTTTTATAATTATCCGAATCGGGACCTCAGTCATACAAGGGCCCACGACGTTTTGCAGATTACTGGGTAGCATGGAACGACCGGTGACGAGACGGCCGAATAGTACTTCTCCTTGATCATACTGGCGGGACAGACTCATTGCACAAGCTGCGTGAAACATTGTAGCCGGAGAAATGCCTTCGAGACGGTTTATGTCTGGCATTGGAATTGTTCGCTTTAATGTAAGTCGATCTGTGGTGCTGCAAGACAAGTCTGCGAATCTATTCGATGCCCATCCTGGATAGCAGGATGCTTGTAGTCGCGAGGCCCAGTATTCTAAGCTTTCGGTTTTCTTCGAAGCAGTAAAACGAACGAAACTGGAGAACGATGTTGGTTGTGGTAGGGTTGACTGGCCGTAAATGGACGACAATGTATGGAGAATGCCGCCTAAGCTAAATCCGTCGAATTGAGCATGCGATATACGGAAGACGAGMTTGTGAGCCCCTGAATTATGTCGGACTACCATGAAGCGGATGAAGGATTGGCCAAACCTTCGAGGTCTGCTGATGTCTTCGGCACATAAATGGTCGATGAAAGCTGCCATGTCCTCATTATCGGTCTCGTATATGTCAAATTCAGGCTTAAGATTCGGTAAAACTGCCTGCCAAACCTTTCCATTGACATTTATGAAAACGGTATGGAGAATTTCATGTTGCCTGATTAGACTTTCACAAGCGCGTTGAAGTCCAGCGAAGTCGGTGTCCCTAGGAAGGTCCAAGATCAAGTGTGGCAGTCGGCTGGGTGGACTTTGTAGGGCATCCGAAATTGCAAGCTGCTGGAAGTCTGTAGTGGGCAGGATATCCAGGATGGCTCCCATGTCACCTTGAAGTTGGGGCACTACAAAATCCTCAATGAAAGATTGAGGTTCGTCTGTCTCAAGCAAGGAGAACGGCACATCCGTGTCCAAAATTTCAGCAACTGGGGAATCTTCCTTGACAACGAGGGCTAGTTGAGATAGACGAGGGGCTTTGAAAATATCGGCAACCGTCAGGGATAAGTTTGCCTCGCTGGCTGCTGCTACAAGTCTCATGGCAGCTATAGACTCTCCACCGATTCTCAAAAAGCTACTATCTCGACCAATGCTTTCAGGATCGATTCCAAGCACGGAGGCCCAAAGATTCTGGAGTCGCCGCTCCATATCAGTTTCTGGTCTTTGCTTTGACTTGCCGTAAGACTGCAATTTAGCAAGATGTTCTAATGTTTGTGCGTTGCCAAATTGTCGTAACGCTCTTCTGTCAATTTTGTTCGTGGTAGTCATTGGTATTTTGTAAATGTGAATATAGGCACCGGGGACCATACTGCACAATAACCCCTTTAGCTAATTTTCCGGTAAACAGAGAGAGAGGTGGTCTACTTACTATTGAGGCAGATTTTGCGAGAGAGTCTCTTCAAGCCCCTCCAATGCTTGAGCGAGAAAGGAGTTCACGTCCTGCGTGTCCGATTTCATGGATTGGTTCCCTCGCAAACTGCAAAAGACTGCCAACAGAGCATTGGTAGCATTTCGTGGTGTAATTATTTCCGCGGCAATTCCTTCAAAAACACTTGCATCTCTCAAACCAGCTCGAACATGATGTTCAACTTCTTCAAGCTCGATTCGCTGCCCCCTTAACTTGATCATCGTATCTTTGCGGCCTATGAAATCAAGCGATCCATCAGAATTGTAAGATAGAAGATCCCCTGTCTTGTAAAGCGTGCTTCGTCGGCCGTTCTTCGCACCCGGTACGCCACGTACAAGCCACTCCGGTTCCTTGATATATGCTGCGTTTGTCTTGCTCTCATCGCCAAAGTACCCTCTACTAACTGTTGGTCCCTCTATGAGGAGCTCTCCAACGGCTCCAATAGCAGCTAGACGATCCGGTCGACCTGGCTGTACAAGCCAAGTTTTCGCTCCGTATGAATGGCCAACGCAGTTGTTAGAGGCGTCTTTGCCCAGAGTAACAAATGATAGAGCTTGAGCACACTCTGCTGGACCGTAGATGCCGATAACAGTCTCGGCTTGTGTCCAACGTTCGGCATCTGTGGTGCGGATGGGCTCGCCACCCATTGCGAGAGTCCTAATCCCGGGCATTGATAATGGCTGCAGCGATCGCGCTACAGACGGTGTGAAATAGACGTAGTCACATTTCATTCGATTTAGTGATCCTGGGATGTCATTTCTGCGCTCCCATTCGGAGGGAATGCAGAGACAGCCACCACATATCAAAGTCTGTAGAGTATTTGACCATGAAACATCAAAGTTATAAGAGACAAAATCGTATACACGGGTTCCCTCCCTAATATTGAGAATCTCTTTCTGGTGTGTTGCTGCGGAAGCAAAGTTTTGATGTGTTGTCACGACGCCTTTGGGGGTGCCAGTCGACCCACTAGTAAAAACAACTGTTGAGATATCGAAGTCAGTAAATTTCTACATATCGAAACCAAATCCTAAGGGACCGGATTGGGCAATGGGGGTAGCACGAACTGTATAGATAATCAGAAGGATAGACATCGGGTAAGGAATGCTCATTCGAATCTGTTGAGTGATGGAGAATATGCCCCCGATCACCAATAACAATCACCGCATCTGAGATTTGAGCTGCCAAAGCCCTATTTGCATTAGATGAAATGATAATTGATGGATAGACCTGCGCGACAATAGATCTCAAACGAGATTCCGGCTGGGTTACGTCCATGGATAAACAGACTCCACCAGCCTTCATGACTGCCAGAGCTGCAATTGGATGCCACAATGATTTCTCAAAGCAGAGCGGGATAATGCTGCCTCGCTTTGCACCTCGATTAATCAGTTGAAAAGCCAGTAGGTTGGAGAGATGATCTAATTCTTTGTATGACAACTGACCGTCCCATGAGCATATGGCCGGTGCTTCAGGGTGCTTCTTGATCGTTTCGCCGATTAGGTCATGAATGCAGGTTAGAATAGCTTCAGGAACGGACTCATTCCATTTCCAAAGCTCACAAAGATCCTGTGTACTAATAACGTCGATTTCATCAATTTTCAAGCTGCTGCCCCAAGATGCGCAAATCTGACGCAGAACATGCTCAAACTGCGCCGCTATGCGTTCCATCTGCGCACGATCAATGACATTAGAGTCAAAGCTGATTTCCAAATGAAGACCGTTTGTGTCAGGCTGACACATAATCATGACAGCATTTGGATTGAAATCGTCAAGCTCGCTACGGGCTGATTTCACGGCCGAATTAGAAACAAATGGGCCGTCATCATTGAACGATATTTTGCCTTGACTTGCAAGCTGAACGACCAGCAGAGTGTTAAATTGACTGCCGCGGTCGGTTTCTCCATTGATATGCCTGATATTCAGTAGCTCGGTGTTTTCGTATGGAATCATAGAAACAGCCTGTTCTTGAATGCGCCCCAGAAGCTCATCAATGGTCTGCTTTGGGTCAATTAGGATCCGAACTGGAACTGCGTTGATGAGAGGTGCAATCATCCGGTCAATACCGGCCACTGGAGCTTGTCGACCAGAGACAATTGCACCGAAGACGACGTCATGAGAATCAGTGTATTGAGATGTGATGATTGACCAAACTGCTCTCAAAACTATGACAAGCCAGATTAGTATTGTTGTATCCGGAAGCTTTAAAAGGGATCAGGCGGGCCTCACTTGTAGATACTGTAGCATTATTCTTTGGCCACCCAATATTTTCAATGCTTCGACGCACGGTACTATCAGCCTTCGGTCGATAGTCCTGGTGCGGCAATGCTGGAAATGGAACTGCCTCAGACCCGAAAAATTGTTTCGTCCAGAATTCTACTGTTTCAGCTGTATCAATACCCATCACATATCTCAAAAAGGATTGGAAAGATGCTATAGGGTAAGGAGTTGAGGCTCCGATATATGCTTTGGATACTTCATGGAGCAATAAATCAATGGAGTAACCGTCGTATATGGCATGATGCTGGGTGAGAAGAAGACATCGTCGCCCTGGGTTTTTCGGATCACGCACGACGGCTAGTCGAGTGAGGGGGGTAAACAAACCCATGGATCCTGTTTGATTGTGGTTGATATATGCTATCATATCTTCATTGGATGACTCCCATTGCACGGACTCGTTGATTTGTACTTGAAGGAGCCCTCGGCCCGGAATGTCAACTATTCTCACACGAAGTATGGGTGCAGTGGTCTGACTGACGTGCTTCCAGGCCTGTTGTAGTCGATCCATGTCTACACCTTCTTTGAGCTGGACTACTAGTCTGGCTATATAGGAATTGGCAGCTTTTGCAGTCATTGAAAGGAGTGACTTCTGCACACTGGTGCAAGGAAAAATGTCTTCAATCTGGTTGACATTAATGTTGCATTTTCTGGAGATGATTTTGATGAATTCATCCTTGCCGAAGGGGTCTGTAAGTAGGGAGAATGCATTGATATTCTGGATCTTATCGACCACTGTGCTGACATTGTCGGACGAGGTTATAAAMCCTGCCATATCGGACAAGCGCGGTGTGCTCAGGATTTTTTGAACAGTCAGAGACAGTAATCCGTGACGACGAGCCAACGCAGCTAGTCTCATGGCGGATATCGAGTCCCCTCCAAGATTGAAAAAACTGCTGCTTTTGTGAATCCTCTCTGGGGCAATACTCAATACAGTGATCCAGAATTTTTGAAGACGAATTTCTTCCGGGGTGCTTGGCGATTCAAGGTCTTCTGGATCCTGATGGTTAAAATAATGCAGTTTCACATCAGCGCCTATATTACTTAAACATCTTCGGTCTGTTTTCCCAGTAGTCGTAAGTGGAATGTGCTCTAACAGTAAATAACCACTTGGAATCATATACGACGGCAATCTCTGGCGTAGTTGGGGTTCCAGATTTCGTATGAGTTTGTAGAGACCCTGGTGCTCGTGTTCTGGGACTTGCAAGAATAATACAAGAGTCTGAGTCTTGGTCGTGCTTGGAGTAACGACCCCAGCAGCAAGAGATATACTCTCTAAGGCTTTCACACATTGCCGAGCGTGGTACTCAATTTCAGACAGCTCGATCCTCTGTCCTCGAAGTTTCACTTGAGTGTCTTTCCTGCCAATGAATAGTAGCTGACCATTACTTGTGTCATATTTCACGAGATCGCCGGTCTTGTACAGCCGACCCCGCCTTCCTGATATAATACCACTTGGAGATCCTGCAAGAAGCCAAGATGGATTCTTGATAAAGGATGATTTGGTCTTCTCCTCGTCATTAAGATAACCCTTCCCAATAAGTGGCCCTTCCAAGTATAACTCGCCCACTGTGCCTATTGGGGATAGTTTTTCTGGTGATTTGGGATCTACAATCCAGGTAGAAACTCCTACTCCCTTGCCGATAGAAATATTTGAGAGGTCGTCACTGGAAATCTTGCCGTAGAGAGTACCGGCACTGCACTCAGCTGGTCCATACGAATTAAAGGTGTTGACATGCGGCACCCAGCGAGCATAATCATCTCGGGTAGCCTCCTCCCCGCCTAAATGAATGTTTCGTAATGTCGGGATTTCTGTAGGATCAATTGAACGTGCCACAGACGGAGTGAGAAACACATCTGTAGTATTGAATCGCCTCATGCTTTCTGACAACTCGTTTTTTCTTTCCTCTTCGCTAGGTATGCACAATGTACCTCCAGCAGCGAGAACATGGAACATTGCCCAGTGAGCCGCGTCGAAAGAATACGACGAAAAGTCATACAATCGTGACGTGGCGCTTAGTCGTAAAACCTGTTGCTGCAATACAACTGCACTGCTGAAGTTCCGATGCTGCATAAGACAACCTTTGGGGGTCCCCGTACTTCCACTTGTAAAGATTGTATATAAAAGATCCGATGGGTCAACTTCTGGCAGTAACTTACCCGTGGGCGTAATATCAAAATCCTTTTTCATGAATTGCTGTGCAATATCCCAGTCGACGTTGAACACCGAAGTACCTTTTCCAAGTAATTTTGTAGATAGTGCAACATTCGACGGCGAAGATACGATTAATCCTGGCTTCACCTGCTGTATGATTGATACGAGCCTAGACTCTGGCAAGGTCGGATCAAGTAGCAAACTAGCCCCGCCAGCCTTCATTACGCTGAAGAAAGCAATCGGTACGAATATGGATTTTTCAAAAATGAGCGGAATGATCATATTTCGGTTGACCCCGATGGATACTAAGTGGTAGGCCATATTTGTCGTGAGCCACTCGAATTCTTGATATGTAAGCTCACCGTCCCAAGCAGAAATGGCCATGGCATCTGGCTGTTTCTCTGCAACTTGTGAAAGCAGTTTATGCAAGGGAAGTTCCACTGCTTTGGGCACTTCGGAATTCCACTTCCAAATCTGCTCCAGGTCCTGGTCCGTAACCATGTTCATACCCTGCAGCGGTCCTTCATCGTTGGCTTGAGAGCAGAGAGCTCTGAGTATATGCTCGAAATGATGCGACATGCGCCGAACTACTGCTTCATCTAAAACGATAGAATCGAAGGAAAACTCAATATCGAGATTTGCATTTCGTATAGTGCATGCAATTGTCAACGCACAAGGGTTAAACCCATGATCACCATATTTACCATGACTTTTGCCTTCGGACCAAATATGATTGACCTGAGAAGCAAACAGTCCGGCTCGCTCTTGCAAATTGCTTTCCTCCGGCTGAATGATGACGAACGTCTGGAACCGACACGCTTGTTCCGCTTCATCGCTTATTTGTCGAATGACTGACAGACCCGTTTGCTCAAATGGAATCATTTTCGTGGTTTTGTTTTGTATGGTACTCAAAAGTCTGCAAACATCGCCATCTTCATCGATTTTGACCCTGAGCGGCACGGTTGCAATCGTTGGGCCAGCTAGTCTCTCTATGCCTACGACAGGCACCTTTCGCCCCGAAACAACGGTTCCAAACACAACGTCAGAGGAGCCCGAATGGTATGAGCATAAAAGTGCAAATGCGGCATAAAGTATTGTCGTCGGGGTGAAAGTATCTTGTCTCCAGGTGATCTCCCGTACACAATGTAGAACAACAGAATCCGTCTGAGGTTGATACGTCGACGAAGGCAAAGCAGGAAACTGTGATGCATCCAATGCTTCAAATTCTGTTTTCCAAAAATTCGACTCCGCATCCTTATCCTGATTTTCAATGTACTTGAGGAACGGCTGAATTGGCCCGGGAATAGGGTGTTCGACATCATTGTAGAAGTCCTCGAATGCGTCTAAGATTAAATTAGTGGTGATCCCGTCATAGATTGAATGATGCATCGTCAACACAAAATAGTATGGTCGGTATGCACTATTTGTATGTTCTTGGGTCGGAAATAATCCGCATCGCATTAGAGCGCACCCAAGGCCCATCTCATTCTGCGTTTCCTGATCTATGAAGTCGTCGATGCTCTTTACGTCTGCCCAGCAACCTTGGGGTTTGATCACTACTTGCACTAGTCCACGACCAGGAAGATCAATTATTCTTGTCCGTAGAATGGGAATTGCTATAACAATCCGTTCCCAAGCCCTTCTAAAGCGCTCAATATCGACCGAGGAGGCGAGCTGGAGTATATTTCGACCGATGTAAGTCCCTTTCTTTGCAGCAGTGAGAGACAGGAGGCCTTCTTGCATACGGGTACACGGAAGGATGTCCTCAATATCATCAACATCAACGCCACAAAGTGATGCCGCTTGTTGGCAAGCAACCCCAACATCTAGCTCCTGTCCAAGGAGGGAATATGGAGCAAAATCGTTCTGATATTGTTTGTCTTGTTCAGTAAAATATCTGCAGATCTTTGCCATATCTTCTAATATCGGATTCTCGAATATATCGGCCACTGATAGTAGTAGACCTTGTTGCCGTGCCAATCCCACCAACCGCATGGCCCGAATTGAGTCTCCAGTTTGGAGAAAACTGTCCGTCGCGGAGATTTTGTGAGGTGGTACCCCAATAGCTATAGCCCATAATTTCTGGAGTGTCTTCTCGGCGGTAGTCGAAGGTTCTCGTCGCGTAATAGCCACGCTTGCTGACTGGCCCATCAAATCCAAAGTTTTTCCCATCTCCCTCAGTCGGGCACGGTCTACCTTGTCCGTAGCAGTTTTTGGGAATTTCGAAATTGGTATGTAATAAGCGGGAATTGTATAAGGCGGTAATACTTTGGCGAGCTGTTTGCGTAATTCGCTAGTCATCTGTCCTAGCTCTCGTTCAATACTGCGCTGAATAAAGGCCACCAGGGCGGACTCCTGATACTCATTGGCTTCTATAACATCTACTATCACTTGAATTTCATGTCCGTTAGGAAGAAAACTTTTGATATGATGTTCGACTTCATCTGGTACGACCAATTGACCGTGAATTTTGAGTTGTGCATCCTTTCTTCCTAGTATAATCAGGTTGCCATTGCTGTCGTATTTGGCCAAGTCGCCCGTGTAGATAAGACTGCGTTTTCTACCTCTTGAAAGTACTTGCAGAAATTTAGGGTCTTGACGGAATCTGCTCTGTGTCAATGCCTGGTTGCTAATGTAGCCATTAGAAGAAGATGGACCCTCGAGTGCAATTTCGCCTATGGCGCCGTAAGGTGCCAGCCTCTCGGGATGACTGGGATCAACAACCCAGCAAAGACAAGGCTGTATCGACTTCAAATTTGAGATGACACCACTATACCATGTTTCAGCGTCTACCACACTAAAAGCTGCGGAAGCACACTCCGCTGGCCCGTACCATCCAAAGACACGACAGTGGTCTTTCCACCGATCAACACTTGATGACACCAATTTCTCTCCAGCTAGAATTACGGTAGATACTGTCGGTACAGTCTCTGGTTGGAGAAGATCGGCTGTGGATGGCGTCAAATGCAAATGAGTAGGTTGAAGACGATTGATAGCAGCCGTCAAGTTGTTCACCCTTTCGATTTCGGAAGGGATACACAAACAAGCCCCAATGGAGAGACTGGACATAGTCTCTAGAGTTGCTAGATCAAAATCGTAGGACGCAAATTGGAAGACCCTGTCTGAGGCATTTATTGGAATATGTTCTTGATGACCCCTGATATTTGCCGCCAGTGTTCTGTGGCTCCACAGGATCTGTTTGGGTTCTCCCGTAGTCCCAGATGATACGAGTATCGCCGCAGGATCTGCCAATTCAATGTTCGCCAATTCTTGGTTATCCCTCGATTTGGATGTGCGGGAGCGTTCTAGCAGTTGATCAATGGTGAAACAAGGTACGTATTGTGATATCACCTTCATCTTCGATGCTGATGCTACCGCGAGACGAACATTGCTTTTTTGGAAAACTGTGCTTAATCTGTGGTCTGGAACATGGATTGAATGCAGCAAGGCAACTCCACCTGCTTTCAGTACTGCAATCTGTGTTGCGGGTGCCCATTTCGACTTCTCAAAGCACAACGCAACGACCGAACCCTTTCTCACTCCTAACTTGATCAATGTTTCACAAAGGAGTGAAGAGAGCTCATCCAGTTCACGATAGGAAAAGCTTCCGTCCCAGGCATCAATGGCTAGCGTATTTGGCATTTTCTTTGCAGCCAATGTGATCAGGTCATGTATGCATTCGTTCACATCGGCCGGCGGCGATCTATTCTGAGCCCAAAATAGATCAAGATCGATTTCACTAGCGGTTTCTATCTCGTCCAGTGTGATGATAGTAGCATTTTTCCTGCACAACTGGTGAATAATATGATCGAACTGGTATGCTATGCGTTTGATCTGTTTCTTGTCAATAATATTGTTGTCAAAACTAAATCGCATATGTAACCCGGAGGAGCTCAGTTCACATATCAGCATCAACGGGTATGTATTAAAAGGATCAGTGCCTCGAGTTTCAAGGCTGGATGAGTAGTTACGAGCTTTGAACAGGAAATTGTCTTCATTAAAGCTCTTGCCCTGCGCGACCGGCTGGACAACAAGTAGTGTTTGGAAAAGACTGCCCACACTATTAGGAACCCCAACAATCTGCTGAATCCTTTGTATTCCGTATTGCTCATAGGTTGTCATCTCTATCCCCTGACGCTGCATTTGAACAAGGAAATCACCGACTGTGTCCTCCCAGTTTATAGAAACGGGTATCGGAATGGTCGAAATAGTAGGACCAGCGCAATTATCTATGCCTTTCATATCAACATGTCTTCCGCTAACTGTAACTCCAAATACAACATTGTTTGAAGCAACGTATTGACTACTTAGAAGTGCCCAAGATGATCTTACGATCGTTGATGGCGTTATCTCACTCCTCAGCCAATCCAAACGAACAGTATGCTCCAGCTCAGTATTTGCCTGTGCTTTGTATCCCGGAGAAGGGCGTTCTGGATAGCATCGCAATTCCTCCGATAGTGCTAGCTGCCGTTTCCAGAAGGTAGTTGCTTCCTCTGGATCGACTTGTGTCAAATAATGAATAAAGTTCTTGAACGAAACAAAATCATGCGTATCTTCTTCTAGATACTGAGACTCCAGTTCATCTAGTATCATTTTCAGTACCAATCCATCGTATATGCAGTGGTGTATTGTGAAAACAAAACTGCGGTTGATAATAGCTGCCCGGCAGAGATCATTGCCCAAGCCCATATGTTCTTTCTCGTCGGCATCTAGGTACGTGGAAACGTCGCTACCAACACGCATAGGTAGACTATCGAGAACAACCTGCATCAAACCCGGGTGGCCTACTGGCCCATCGATGATTCGCGTTCTCAAGATCGGTAGTTTATCGACTGTGTTTAGCCACGCTCCTTCAAGTCGGCTGGCGTCAATTTCATCCTGTAGTTGTAAAACGCTTCGAGATACATATTGGCCATGTGCCTTCTCGCCCAGTGCCAATAAGCCCTCCTGAAGTGGAGTACAAGGATATATGTCGACGATTCTGGACTCTGCAATAGAGCAGGCGCTAGCTGCATAGTCTCGATATTCAGCTTCGCTGAGACTGGACTCTAATAATGAGAAAGGTCTAATTTCTTCCTTATATGTTATATCCTCTTCACGTCTCACTCGCTGGGCTAAATCTTCAAGTTTGGGAGACTCAAATATATCGGCAACAGTCAATACCACGCCCTTGGTGCGCGCAGATGCTACAAGTCGCATTGCAGCAATTGAATCGCCACCCAAGCGTAGAAAGCTATCGCTAGCGAAAATTGTATCCACCTCAATTCCAATAATTTCAGCCCACAGTTGTTGGAGAAATCTTTCCGTATGAGTTGAAGGCTTTCGGATCTCTCTCCGGGATGGTTGCATCTCAGCCAGCTGCTCAAGAGTAAACGAACTTCCCATTTCACGCAGACGACGTCTGTCTGTCTTTCCAGTATTGCTGATTGGAATACCCAGCAGAGGAATATAGAGCTTCGGTATCATGTATGGTGGCAGATTCCTCAACAAACTTGCCTCGAGATCTTCCACAGGTAGACTTTGTTTGATATTATACTCAAATGTGTAACGGTCTGTACTATCTCCTGCAAGAGTGCCTGCTGAGCTGATAAATAAGGCCAGAACATCACTATTGCTATTGCGCGGAGCAAATACTTCTGCAACCACAATAACATCTAATTTTCCACTCAGAAATTCATGGACACGTCCCTCTATCTCGCTCAAATCCGCTCTCTGGCCATTTAGCTTGCGCTGTGAGTCATGGATGCGTCCTAAGAACATAATTTCTCCATTTGCGCCATATTTCACGAGGTCACCAGTCTTGTAGAGAAGCCCTGGCTTTTGTCTACCACGTACCCCATCATGCGCGAACCACATAGGCGAAAAGAAATGATCCTGGTTCAGATTTGCACCATTAAGACCAGTATACGTCGATAACACGGGGCCTTCTATACATAACTCTGCCACAGCACCTATGGGCGCAAGTGAGTTGTAATCCTTGGGATCAACGAGCCAAGAAGCGGCGTATGGGGTGCTGGTTCCTATAATTCCGGATAGCCATGTCTTTTTCTGTACAGCATAAGACGTCGCAACTGATCCCTCAGCTGGTCCGTACCAATTGTAGACGGAATCCAAAGTTGGCAGCCATCGAAAGGCTGTCTCCTTTTTCAACTCTTCGCCTGCAAAGACTATGGTATTTAGTGAAGAGAGCTCGAGCGGCTGTAGCGTTTCTGAGACACGCGGCGTCAAACATATCCAGTTCGTTTGTGAGTCATTTATGGCTCCAGAAAGTCGGTTTGTTCTATCGAAATCCGATGGGACATATAAGAGACCACCAGCTGATAATGTAGACAGGCTTTCAACCGTGCTAACATCGAACTCATACCCGGAAAATTGAAACACTTTACTATGCGGCGTTAATCCGAAGGTTTGCGTAGCTGCACATATATTGCTGGAAAGTGTTTGGTGGCTCCATAGAATAGACTTGGGGGTCCCTGTTGAGCCAGAACTGAATATGATCAGAGCTGGGTCTGAGAGCTGAACATTGTGAGGGATAAAGTCATGCATGGTTCCCTCGGCCTCTGTTGACTGGATCAGATCGTATATATGGAAAGTCGACACCAATTCTCTGAACGAAGATGAGTGAGGTTTTTGTGATGTCAACGCCACCTGTGGCTGTAAGGTTTCAAATATCTCATAAGCCCGTTCCTTGGATATGGAAGCAGACATAGGAAGTGCAATTGCGCCTAGTTTTAGCACCGACAACATGCTAACTATCATACACGAAGACTTTTCAAAACTCAACACAACTAAGTGACCCGGAAGAACCCCCTTATCACGCAGTTTCCACGCTAGACTTGTCGTTAAGTTCTGCAGTTCACGATAGGTGAACTCCCGGTCCCAGGACGAGATAGATGTGGCTTCTGGGTAATTTGTAGCCACCCTATCAATTCGATCAGTTACCAGTTCCATTGGTATTTTGGGTGTGTTCCCATTCCATCTGTAAATCTCGTTCATATCAGTGTTGCTGAGAATTGAAATGTTTCGTAACTTGGTATTTGCATTTTGCGGCGAAGCGATTTGCCGAAGCAGATGCTCAAATTGACTAACAAACCTCTGGGCCTGATTCTGCTTAATTGCGCCAGTATCAAAGTTGATCTTGATCGTAAGACCTGAGTCTGTCAATTGACAGATTATCATCATTGCGTATGAATTGTAGATGCTCATACTATCTTCAACACCGTCTTTGTCGACAAATTTGGGACCTGAAGAGCTTTCAAGTATGACTGTCTTTGCTTGATGGAAAATGCCGCCGGGTCTCTGATTCCCTCCGTTTTGTGACGGTTGAATCACGAGTTCGAGCTGAAACTTGCTGGCTTCCTCGTCAATACGGCGGATATGTTGCAGACCAAATTGTTCGTATTCCACAATCTCAGCAGCCTGGTTCTGGATTTTCTGTTGAAGTGATTCTACCGTCTGATCCCAGTCAAATTTTACACGAAATGGAACGGTTGCAATTGTAGGGCCTGCCATTTGCTCGATACCAGGTACAGGTGCTTGTCTCCCGCTCAGCGTCTCGCCGTATCTTATATCGTTCGAATTTGTGTATGAGGCCAACAGGAGAGTAAGTGCTGAGCGAATTATGGACGATGGAGTTACCCCAGTTTGTGGCCATGCCAAATCAGGGACTTGGTGATGTAGATCTTGTTTCTCTTCTGGTTGGTAATTGGCAGCTGGAAATACAATTGCTTCTGAATTCGCAAGCTGACTTTTCCAGAACGACTCTGATTTCTCGTTATCTGTTGCCAAAACGTGTTTTATGAATGGCTGAAAGGGTGCAAGTGCCGGCGGTGATGAATCGCTGGATGGTGAATTATAAGCTTCTTGTATAGTGTCTAAGATGAGCCTAGTACACCAGCCGTCAAAGATAGCGTGATGCATTTCTAGTGCCAGAACATTTGACTCTGAGGCACCCCCTAGTACGATTCCTGCCCTACACAGCGGAGTCCCAAGGTCCATCTCACGAAACTGTTCCAAAAATTGGGCGAAATGTCTATATTCGTGTTGAAACATACTTTCTGTTGTTTTTACCACAACCTGCACAAGACCATGATTCGGCAAGTTGATTACTCGTGTCCGCAAGATCGGAATGTATCTGGCCGTACTTGATAATGCTCTCTGCAATTTCTTGATATCGATATCCGCGTGCAATTCAAAGGCTGTCCTAGAAATGTAGGTTTCCTGCGAAGCAAGGTCGTTCCTGACGGACATTGCTAGCATTCCTTCTTGGAGAGGCGTGCAGGGGTACATATCCTCGATATCGCCAATCTCGACCCGGCATAGTCTCGCAGCTTCTTCGCGAATACTATCGGGGTTTTCGATAACCCCAAGTAAGGAAAATAGTAGAATAGCTGTTTCCTTATCATCCAGGTTCAAGTCACGCAACCGATTTTGAGAGTCAATACATCGAGCAAGATCTTTGAGCATTGGGTTCTTGAACATGTCTGCCACTGTCAAAGGCAATTTCTTCTTCCTCGCACGCGCAACAACGTGCATTGCCGCTATGGAATCACCCCCAAGACGAAGAAAATTTTCATTTGTACTAATTCGAGCCGGATCTAGGTTCAGAATATTCGCCCATATCTCGCACAGTTGGCTCTCAATGTCATCCGATGGCTCGACAAATTCTTTCACAGATAATATCGTGGCTTGCAGCGTGACAAGTTCTTTCCATGAGAGTGCACTACCCAGTTCTCGCAGTTTTCGTCTATCCACCTTTCCAGTTGCAGCCACAGGGATCTCATTTACAGGGTAATAAAGACTCGGCAGCATAAACCCGGGTAGGACTTGGAGCAATTTCTCCACAAGGTCATCAAGCCACGATTTTACTTTTTGGTGATCATCATCAGCCCTTACAAGCACAAACACCGTCAGGGTAGAGCTATCACTGCCACGAGGACGAATTACATCAACAATGATAGAGAGAGAGTCATTCAAACATGCACGAACATGATGCTCAACATCTCCAATCTCAACTCTCTGACCATTAATTTTGACCTGCGAGAAGTCATCGTTCCGGCCAACAAAGACTAACCTTCCGTCAGGCTTGTATTTGACCAAATCCCCCGTCCTATAAACTCTCCCACTTCGACCGGGGAAAGACTCGCTTCCTGCTAACAACCATGGAGGATTGTCGATGAAAACGGAGCGCGTCTTTTCAGGATCCGATAAATACCCCTGACCGACTTGGGGGCCTTCTAGATAAAGCTCTCCAATGGCGCCAATTGAATGCAGCAATTTATTGCCATCGTTCGGGTCAACTATCCACGTGCAAAACCCAACTCCACGGCCAATATCTGGACGTTCATCATGTTTTTCGTCTATAGCCGTTGTGGTAGATGGATCGCTAAGAATAGAAAATGCTGCTTTGAATGTACATTCTGTCGGACCATACGTATTCAACAATCTGACACGCCCAGCCCATTGAGTAATGTTCTCTCTATATGGCATCTCACCACTGAGAAGCACTGTTTCCAATGTCGTCGTTTCAGCGGGGTTGATAGTTCGCAGCACAGTAGGCGTAACGTTAATCGAAGTTGCTCTGAATGCGGCTATAGCAGCAGAAGTATCATTCAACATATCCTCTTCTCGCGCAATACAAAGACAACCCCCAGCGCAGAGGGTATGTAAGAAGTTGCTCCATGCTACATCGAATGAGTAAGGAGCAAAGTCAAACACGCGCGACCCAGCGTGAAATCCGAGTTTGGCGCCCTGGTAATGGACGGTGCTGCGGACATTGGCGTGACTGATGCAGGCGCCCTTCGGCTGGCCTGTTGTTCCTCTGTGATCGCAGTTAGTAATATTTCCTACCGAGGTGTTTGGATGATACTCACGATGTAAATGATATATAGACGATATCCGACGGGCTAACAGTTGGCAGTTTCGTGGTCGAGCTGTCCAAAGGTTTTGGGGGCCATGAATCGTCAATTTTGAGGACCGCCACATCCTCTTTTAACAGCGAACGAGCTCTATTATAATTGGACTCTGATGAAATCATCACAAATATCTCTACCTGCTCCAAAATAGAAAGCAATCTAGAATCAGGCTGTGCTGGATCCAATGCAATAACGCTACATCCAGCTTTGATGACTGCCAACATTGCAACACTCGTCCATTTTGACTTGTGGAAAAGGATTGGTATACACGATTTGGGAGTAACATTCAGCTCCGAAATCAGATGATGCGCTACATGGGTAGCTAGTGAGTCCAACTGGGGGTATGTGAAATTTCCATCCCAAGCGCAGACAGCCAGTGAATTGGTCGACTGTGCGATTTCACTAATGAGGTCGTGGACAGTTTCTTGAATTTGCTCTGGGACTGCCGAATTCCAGCTCCAGATTTGATCGAGTGCATCTTCAGTAGACGTTTGTAAAGGCGGATTAGCCTCTGCGGAATTTGAAGGCACGACACTCTTCCCCGAGCCAAATTCCTGGTGATCGTGATTGACCACCATGTTCGCTGGCTTTTATTGCTAATAGTTTAATTCGCGAATGTCAACTCAAGGGCACAAGTCCATTGTAAATATTAGTGCACACACCGCTCATACCCAACTATTACGCTATAACTCACGTAGCGAACAGAACGAAATTAGTACCATCACGTAATAATCCAACACGCTATCGACTTCTCCACGTTACATTCCACGAGGTTAAATTGTTGGTTGCGAGGAAAAACTACCAACAAGCGCCGTTGGGTGGATTCAAAAGAGATAACGTGGTGCTTGTTTGATTAATGAAACTCAAATTTAGTACTCTACCTACATAGGCAGGTAGTTAGATGTTGTCTACACCCGGGCTTTGAAAGTCGGATACTGTACGTAAGAAATTAAAGCTATAACATCAGTCCGTGTTGCCCGTCAAATGGGGGCAGTCGGTCTGTCCGTCATGTTCGAGCAACTCAATTTCGCCAACTTCTACAGTGCTGATACAACAGAGCGTGGCAGATTCTGTCAAGATCTTGTTTCTAGTCTCCGGAGTAAAGGGTTTGTGCGACTTATCAATCATGGCATTCCATCAAAGGATATAGACAAAGCATTTGACACGGTTTGTTTTTTCTTCAAATGGCAAGCCTCAAAAATTGAAGACTGACAAGAATTAATAAAGAGTCGTCACTTTTTTTCACTACCGTTGAAGCAAAAGCTCAAATCTCCTCATCCTCCAACCGCAAATCCGCACCGGGGGTATACTGCCTTTGGAATCGAGAATGTGTCTGCAGTATCCAACTATGGGAGCGATGCGAAATTACCTCCTCTCAATGATATGAAGGTCTTACCCCTACCTTCACGTTAATTTGCTGTTTCTAAAGCGACTTTCGCAGGAATCCTACGACATAGGCTATGAAAACGACACCCTCTACACCAACATCTGGCCACCAGCAGATGTCCACGACGCCTTCCAACCAACATTTACATCCTTTTTCGCGTCCGCCTACAACGCCGAAGTCGCAATTCTCCAGGCTCTTTCCATCGGTCTGGAATTACCGCCACAGACGTTGCCCCAATTGCACACAGAAAGAGCAAATGAACTGCGACTTACGCATTACCCTGCCGTATCTCGCAAGGAATTCTCGCATTCAACGCGAATAGCGTCGCATACGGATTTTGGCACGATTACGCTTTTGTTTCAGGATTGTGTTGGGGGATTACGTATGCCTTTCCCTCCTCTTTGCATCCTGTCAATGAGAGAAAAAGAAGCTGACAAACAGGTTTATGATAGAAATGGAGTTTCCGCGCGGAAGTGGGAAGTTTGTTGATGTAGAAAGCGGAGGTCCGCATGAATGTATCCTGAATGTTGGCGATTGTCTAGAGAAATGGACAGGACTACCTAGTGCACGACATCGGGTCCATTTGCCAGAACGATTGCAATGTGACGATGATCAAAAGGGTGATTTTATGGTCGATGAACGATTCTCAATCGCGTATTTTGCGAAGCCGGATCGCGCGGCGAGTCTGCGTCCCTTGCTGGAGGGCTTGGGACACTCGGAAGAGGAGGTTTATATGACTGCGGGAGAGTTTCAGCGTATGCGGATATCGCAAACATATTAACGCTAATATCTCCCTCTAAAAGTAGTTTCATAAATCGTAATTTAGAGCTATTATGTACAGCAGCAATACAATCTATACATTCAATCCAGCCCGCAATGCTCGATTCGCAAACAAAGCGCCCACAAGCCCAAACATAAAGCATGCAGCAGCCAGCAAGAATGGAAAGCCAAGGTAAAAGCTATCATCCCAGCCAATGGCAACTGCAAGACTGCGATTGAGTATCAACGCACCAACAGCGGATCCGACTCCATCTCCGACTGCAATCACAGTGTAGAGTACAGCCACATGTTCTGGGCTGACGAGATCTGCTAGAACGGATTGAAGAGCCGGCCTCGTGCTGCAGCCGGTGGTAAAGAGCAGAAATCCTAGATAAATGTCAATTACTATATATTTCAGCAGTCTCAACGAGGATGGGAGGGGCCTACCGAGAATGAAAAGCAAAACTGATTGTGCGGACGCCATGATCAGACAGCCCAGAACCATAATCGTAAACCCGTACTGAGCAATGGATAGGTCAACTTTTTTAGAGCTGATATGGAATCTTGCTTGTGCAATGCGCTTTGCCAGGGGTAGTACGACAATCAGAAAGATCAAGCTCTCAAATGCCTGTATGGAGAATATACGACTTGTCTGAACAAAGTTAGAAGTATCCCACGGAATTTTAGTCAGAGAAGGAAAACAAACCCAAGCGAGCGATACGTCAAATTTCCGCGGTATATACTGAAACATGAGCTCCATGACAGGATTCAACATTTTTGCGACTGGAACAGTGGATAATAAGACGAGGAGATAGCGGTTGTGGAAAAGCTGGGGTAGTATGTTCAGACTACGTCGAACGGAGCTAATAAAATCAGCTGGTTCTTTGGTCAAGTCGTTTCCATCGTCCGCCGGGTCTGTCTGACTGGTATCAGAGCGCAACATGAAGATGGCGACGAGACACAGCAATCCCAGCGGAAAGTTGAGTATCATTGATACAAACGGGTGATCTCGCTCAAGAAGCGTCGCAGCAAGCATGATGGCCACAATCTCGGTACAGAGTTGAGCAGCCATGAAAAGGAAGAAGCAAAGCGACCTAACATACCGTTACATTCAGCTATTGCGCATTTGCTTTAGAAGTGAGTGTTAAGCTTACCTATTCGCAGCAGGAACATGCTTGGCCGTAATAGAGTAAATCACCGACATGAAAAACGGCGATCCGCCTCCAACCACCCTCCAAAGCGGCGAGAGCACAACCGTCCAGATTGGAAAAACATTATGATAGAAACAAACGACGACAAGCCATGCGCACGACAAGAGGTATCCAACGACGTTGACGCCGGCAAGTAAAGGCTCCCCGAGGCGACCCACGAGTAAACCGTACGGTAGAGTCAGGACTAGGCCGACGATAGCTTCCAGAGCGGATAGGTAGCCACGCAGATGGGCCAGTTCCTGTTGCACGGGTGGCGATTTGCAGAATTCATGATTTGCTGAAGTATCGGTATTGGGATAGTGCTCGCGACACACGCCGACTTCGATTAATTGCACGGTGGCAGTGTATTTGAGTACATCGGCAAAGGCGTACAATATGAGGATCATGACCGCCAAGCTGGCTGTGCGGATTGCCTCGGTGCTCCATTTAGCAGCGTCGTCGTCGTCATCATCAAGGACTACGTGTTGTGGTGCATTATTGTCGGGGAGCAGCGGTGATGTTTCTGCAATTTCATTATTATCGTTGCGATTGTCATTGATCTCGGACATTATCCTGCTCTATTTCGTCCGGCAAGTGGAAGAAGAAGGTAAAGTTTCTCGAATCTTACCTAAGTCTTTAACCAGAGCTTATCTCTCTCAAGCATACTAACGATTCTTCACGTCTTTCTTATCCTAGGCGCTAAGTTAGTGCATGTAACGTTAGAGACATATCAAAACCCTAGCGTATAAGTAAGCCAGTTGGCAAGCAAGTAGACAAATTAATCAAGATTACCAACAGATAAACTAAATCTAATTAAGCCAACAAGTGAGCTAGCTTATCAATTGGACGTAGCTTCAATATAGAGTTGAGTCTACCCGTCTGGTCCCAACGCCATGCGGAGCCACACTGACGAGGCATTGATCCAATGAATTTAATTGGTTCCAGTATACATTTACGTACAGTATAAAAGTATCGAATTCATCGTAGGCTTACAAGGGCTCAGGCAGCTGAGATGCTGAATGATTCGTCCTTGCTCCGAAAAGCAGCACTTAGGGCTAGCTTGGTTTTGCCCTAGATAACAACCTGCCAAGCGGAAGGCATGGATAGACAACTTTCCGAAAACGGACAATCTACCCCCATGGATTCCTTAGCTATCTAAAGGACTCCCCGTATCTGCACAGCGAATATCATGAACACAGCCGAAAACCTAGATCCAAAAAACCCTACTGCTTGCCTACGTACTGTGACACATCCAAGCCAAGATCGGGCCCAGAGGTCTTGGAAGTTCTTGGGTAGTGTGGCTGAGGGATCTCAAATGATCCACCCAGCTAAGATGAGCATTTTAAACGCCCAATGGGTGTTCAAAGTTTCGTCAGATGGCTGATGCGGTGCGACTGGAGAACCTGTGTTTCCTCGTCCAGGCATTAATACGGTCTGCAAGCTCACCAAGAAATGAGTATCGGAGTTTTGGATCAGAGTTGTCGGGAAAAAAAGGGTACGGATCGGGTTTGCCATAGAAGAATTTAAGAGTCTTGGTAAGACGTGCGGAATGTGTATATATAGATCCCTGGTGGTAGATCCCTGGGCAGTGCCAGTATCAATTTCTTATTGAATAAATCCAAGTTCTTGTCTTTCATAGAGAGCGTCTCGATCCAAGCTCGAGAATAGACAAATCAACTTAACAATAGAGAAAAACTGGAAACATGCTGAGACGCTCCATATCAATCGCACCTACCGATCAAATCAGCACAGATGAGACCCTAAGCCAAAAGCAAGGCACGCTGGCAAAGATCAGAGACAAAGATCTCGCGCGATACCTCGCTTCCGACGTCAACACAAAGCGAGCAGATATTGTCCTCATAGTTTGCGGGTTTGTCAGTGGTCTGGTTGATGGTGTCTCCTTTACTGCCTGGGGCAGTTTTGCAAGCATGCAAACTGGTGAGTTAGCCTGCATTTTGTACCTAGCATTTTCACTAAATGGGCCTGAAAGGAAACTCGGTCTTTATCGCCCTCGGCGTATCTGGTCAACCGGAATACCCAGCCTACCTCTGGGCCAAATCACTCATCTCTGTCGCAACGTTCATCGTCAGCAACATCTTCTTTAGCCGATTTATGCGCTTTCTCGGTCCCAAACGTCGAATAACCAACATCATTAGTTTCCTGCTTCAATGTCTTGCCCTTCTCGCCGCGTCAATATTAGTACAGGTCAATGTTGTGTCGCCCCGACCAGAGGATCCACGAGCACCGATAGCATGGATGCAGGTACTACCCATTACTTTACTCGCATTTCAAGCTGCCGGGCAAATCGTGGCTAGTCGTACTCTAGAATATGATGAGATACCGACTGTTGTACTGACAACATTGCTGTGTGATTTGTTGATTGATCAGCGATTATTTGCAAAAGACAACCCTAAGAGAAATCGCAGAGTGGCCTGCTTTGTCACACTGATTCTGGGCGCGATGACGGCAGGAGGATTGTACAAGTTGACAAACATGAGCGCCAGTCTGTGGTTGGCATTTGCTTTGAAGGCGGTCATCACTGTGTCGTGGGTGTTTTGGGAAGGAACTCAGCAGATGAAAGACGAAGAAGGGCATGTCTGATCATATGATCGTCTTGCCCTAATTCGATCGGGGAAGAATTACCTCGGCATTGCTTGGTGTCCGTGCACTTATCTGCTTATCGATTGGCGTATCGGTGTGTTGCGATTGGCTCAACAGAGGCTAATCTCGAAGGCGAAATTCTTGCGTTTTGTTGGGGACAAAGTCAAGCGCCCAGAACTGGCTAAGAACGGAAACGGAGTCAAGGCGTATGTCTAGTGGCGGGATCTACTCCATTTTCATATGATACCAATGGGATAATTTATGAAGTATGAAAGACTTCGTACGTATCAGCAAGAAGGAACGAGACATGCTGTACAAAGTACTTTATGTGAAGTATCCCAGTATAATGTACATGTGATGATGTATCGCTATTACATCATACATTAATACCGTATTTCAATACAGTCACATGACCGCCGCCGTATGTCGCGTGAGGTTTCTGGCGGGATGACGTTAAGGCGACGGCTTCAATTTTTTTTTTTTTCTCTGCCATCAACGACCTCTCTGTCGCAGCACCCAACATGTCTTTCTCGTTGTTCTCCCTGCATCAGCCGAATGGCCTCAAGCCAAGCAGGTTGCTGCTTTACGATTGACATTCAACCCTTGAGCATGAGACAGACGCCTCGGTCCCCCCTTTCTCAGTTCCCAACAAATGCTGACCTGGCTCCACTCGGCCTGCCATCGACCTATCAGCACCCTGGTATGTGGTGAGCTTGCGAGCTTTGCGACCAAATACCGAATCGATTGAATATTACGATGTAATGAATGGTGACGCCCAGAGTAAGAATTTCTCGAGCATTCGCGGTATCCTTCAGGAATAAATATCAGATATCGGTCAACCGGAGACCTCACCCACTTTTACTTCCTGATTATTTCTCCGTTTTCAGTCTCCATACTCTTAAAGAGATTGCCTGACATCCGCATACTTGGTGTTGACGTCAACGTTGAATACCCACACTATCCGGCATCACTTTTTTTTCAACTGACCAAGTGAGAAGTCAATCTTCAATCTGCCAGGCTTCAAGCCTCCTCTGCTCGCGAAACACATCAACATGTTCGAGTCATACCAATCCAGCGAAGCAGGCCCCTCGCTGGGCTTCAGACTTCCCCCCTCCGCTTTTTTCAAACTGCCCGGTCAACAACCGATCAGTCTCATTCCTCCTGCCAACGAGCCATCTCTCGCACAGCCATTTCAGATCCCACCAAACCTCTACGCACAACTCCTCGATTACCGAGTACCTCTCACAATCGGAAGCATCTACGCTACCACCGTTATTCTCCTTAACCGAGTCAACAAATCGCGCGGTTACAAGCCATGGGGTTTCAGCAAGGCGAGCTGGTTCAAGGTGTTTGTGATTCTGCACAATGTCTTTCTCGCTGTTTACTCTGCATGGACCTGCGTGGGCATGTGGAGGTCATTGCGCATGTCAATTCCTCGCTTCAACAACGAATTTGGTGCAGTAGGTGTGATTGATGGTTTCTGCAGGGTCGCTGGTCCTCGTGGTTTGGGTAACGGCGCCATTTACAACTCTACGGCCGATACATGGCTCATACCAAACCCTGAATACAAATTAGCTGCCAACGGACATCCCGATCCTACTGACGTAGGCCGTCTGTGGAACTCGGGTCTGGCCTACTACGGCTGGATATTTTATCTGTCCAAGTTCTACGAGGTTATTGATACTGCGATTATCCTTGCCAAGGGCAAGAGGAGTTCGACCTTGCAGACTTACCATCACACCGGTGCCATGATGTGCATGTGGGCTGGCATTCGGTACATGGGACAGCCAATCTGGATCTTTGTACTCGTCAACTCGTTCATCCACTCCCTGATGTACAGCTACTACACTGTCACTGCTCTGCATTTCCGTGTACCTAACGCAATCAAGCGTTCTCTCACAACCATGCAGATCACGCAGTTCATCTTTGGCACTTTTGCTGCCAGCTCGTACATGTTTGTGCGCTACTCGATCCCTGTTAGCGTCTCTCGCGCTGTGTCTTTGGAGCATCTCCAAAAGGCCATTCCTGCCGCTGCTTCGGCCGCCGAGTCTGGTATCGCTGCAGCAACTGCTTCTGCCGGCGTTGTGCCATGGTTGAAAAAGATCGCGTTCCGTGCTGCCGGCGCTGAGGGTATTGCAGAGAACGTCCTGAACGCCCAAGGCCAACACTTTGGCGCCGACGCTCTGAATGCCGCTCGCTTCTCTCAGTCCAAACAACAAGCTGAAAACGCCATCCTCTACGAAACAATCGACTGCGTCGACAACAGCGGCCAGGCTTTCGCCATCTGGCTCAATGTCATGTATCTGCTGCCCTTGACCTACCTCTTCGCCCGCTTCTTCGTCAAGTCCTMCCTCCGCCGCAAGGAACCCGCCCAACAAAAAGCCGGCACTCAAATCCAACAAGTCGAAAAGGCCGGCCTTGATGCCCTCAAGGGCGTCAGCCGTGAAATCCGCCGTGCAGCTCTCGAGCAAAACGGTAATGGCGATACATCCGCTTCTGACGAGGATTTCTCCAGCAACGAAAGAATTCAAAGACTCACTTCAACCGCTCAAGAAAAGATTCACAACATGGAGACCAAACTCGCCAGCGAGCAGAAGAAAGATGACTTCGAAGCCGTCCCAGCTAAACGTCGTGCGAAACGCGGCGAAGCCGAGAAGAGCGTCACATCTACCTCACCCGTGAAAGCCAGTAATACATTTGACGTATTACAAACCGAGTGATAACCTATCTCCTCCTTTTCAAGTTTATGGTATACACAAAATGGGAAACGCAAGTCAAGTAGATGAACGATTGCGCAATTGCCCCCCTTTTCTTCTTGATCCTCAATTCTCGGATTTTTTATGGCGCTCACGGTACAATTGTGCATGTTCATGTTTTATACGCCATGTATGCATCTTTTCAAAAGAATTTTCTGAATTGTCTTTATTATTATTATACGTCATCACGTCTGTACATATGAAATGCGATCGAGGCTAGATAGTTTTGAATACATGCTTAAAATAATTCCAGGACTACTGTTGATGACTTTTGTAGCGACATTGACCGAATCACATCCGGATCCATGGATTCCCCTCAGTATATTCAATAAGAAGGGTATCCAGCCCATTCATGCCACCTAAGTTGAATTAGAATAATTCAAAGGTTCAAAAGACCTTCCGCGTCAACGTCAATTGCCACATTCAAAATATAGTGGATATATATATCCGCCGCATCCCTGGATGTCTCAACCAGCGTAACATATATACGCCGATTCGGATATGCAATGCGTCTACATGTGGTATTTGTTGGTTGACTGCGTGCAAGCCAGTCACACACACACACACACACACACCTCAGTCCCACTACTGACATGCGAATGGGGATGTTTCTCGGGAGTAGATTGACGTGAGGTAGGATGAGGTTTGATTTGTCTCGCATGTCGGTGGCTGTGATACATGGGTGCAAGTCTCAAGGCCACCTTGGCGCCTAAATGCGATAGTACATACATATATATAGTTACAGATGGGTCTTACGGGGCGAGTGGAGTTGAACTTTGGCGGAGGTCGTGGAAGTGAGAAGAGTTGACGATCGATCAATCATAATGCTCGCTCGATTGTAGTATAAACTCATACGAATGACATGTTCAATGACCAACAGAAGAAAAAAGTATACGGCTCCCAACTTGCGCACCAAAATCCAGACCACGGAGACGATGATTATGAAAAAAGAGAGAATGACACACAGATAAAATGATACATGAGAAATGAAAAATGAACAGTAGAGTCTCCGGTCGAGGCTGAAAAAGACCAATTACAAATGACAACGCTCCAAAATGAAAGTTACATAGATATGATGACCACAGGAATCTGTAAAACAGAACAAAACACTTCCTTTTTGCGATTCTCGAATTGGCGAGTGGAGCGAGTGATGACTGGACAACTGAACGCGAAAATTTAAATCGTAAAGACCACAACCGCCTAACACCAATGAATGACCAACTGAAAAAAAGTCGCACAATTCGAGGAGAACATCGAAGTCGCTAGCGTTAAACGGATTGATCGCTCATGTCCAAATAATCAACTGCAATTTATCGAAAATGAAATTTACAAGTCGGTCTAATAACCCGAATGAATGTTTGGTCGAAGCTTTCTCGCCAGTTTGTAACATGATAGAGTGCTGAGTGATGCAAAATGTTCCGAAAGCGATGCTGATTTGAACGCCAATGGAATGCATTAGAGGAAATGCGTATAGATCTTTGATGTCTCATGAACTTCCATCTCCTATGAATTGTTAGTATTGTCACTCAGAGGATACCTAGACTCGGTGCAAAGAAGAAAAATGCGAGGCTCACCATTTTAAATGTATTCAACTCCTCCTTGATCTGCTGAGCTAACAGAGGAGTCAACTTGTTGCATGTCGCTGTATCGCCTCGTCGGTCGTATTCACAGCTGGGCCAAGTTTCATGGAACTGGATGCGTGGGCTGAACACAATGCTCCTGCTTCCACCTGGATGTGGGGTAATAGGAGCGCTCTTCGACACTGGGCGTGTCATGAAATAGTCTTCTCCTTCAATCTTGACCGTATCCGTTCGTCGATGGCCGACTCGATGTGAGTGTTCTTCAGGTGTGCTTGGGGCGCTGGAATTTGGTGAATCAGGAATGTGTGGCGGTGTTAGCTCCATAGGTTTTCCAACCGGAGAAGCGCTTCCAGAGCCTGCAATACGTTAGTTATTCTGATATATCCTGATATCAATAGACAACTGTCACTCACGTTTCAAAATTCCCTTCTTGACCGCGGCCAACACTTCAGCACGCTCACGCTCTCCGCCTACAATACTCTTGCGAGAATTGACGTCAGGGAGGTTGTTGTTCACAACCGCCGGAGTCTTGGTCTTTTCTTTGGTAGGCTGAATCTTGGGAAAGACAGTACCACCACCGTTCTGATCATGAGGATCAGGGTTGGCGGTGACAGTCTTACGCTCAGCTTCGATATTGACCACTGACAATTGAGGAGCGGTAGGTTCGATGACCACTGCGTCCGTGCTCTCATTGAGGATCGACTTTGGACGGAACAGACCCACAAGTGAGCGGGTGGATTTCTTCATTCCCCTGCCCATCTTTCGAAGCATAATAGATGCGGAAGATGCGGTCGATGATATTGAAAGGTTATCGGTCGATCCCAGCTGGTGGGAGTAAATATTATTACCCAACCCGTTGGCCTCTTGCTGTGCTGCAATAGCAGCTTGCTCTGGATCTAACTCATCACCAGCGTTTGCCGACAGCTCGCCCTCCCGTCTTCCCATAGAGTTTTGAACGGATACCTTGCGAAGTTCAGCAGCACTGCCAAACGAGAATGCCCTTCGCAAGCGTGACTTGCCCGGCTTCTTGCCATTGGCCCTGCTTATGTCTGCTAGACGCTGTGCGGCGGGGCTGCTCAACGTAGATGGGGTAGTATTCGTAGGAGCGGGAGATGGGTTGTTTGCGACTTGGTTGGCAAGCGGAGACGGATTATGAGAGGCGTTTGTCGAGAATTTAGAGTCAAGACTCGGAATAGAAGTCTTGTTGTCCGACTTGCCGTCGATTGAATTGCTCTTTTCCGACTTTGAGGATGTAGGTCGGGATAATTCTGGAGTTGTGAATTTAAGATCGGGTAGTGGAGCAAATAGAGAAGAACTGTCCAAGGGAGACTCCTGGGAGAATGCATCCATATTGGCCCAGCTGCGACGTCGATACCGTTTGGCGACATCCGGATTTGACTGCTTTCCAACACGGCTGTCATCTGCACTCGGTGTACGGGTGTGTGTTACAATCGTAGGTCGTGCTGGTTGAGGCAGAACCACTGCGGTTGCGGAGAGATCATAAGAAGACGATCGAGCCGGTATCGAAACGGCTGATTGAGCCGTATTGTCATCTGTAATGGTGCGTTTAACTCGTCGATAACGATCAGGTAGTGGTTTGGAAGGAGTCGAGGTCGAGGGTGAAGAGGTAGAAGATGGGGGAGATACGACAGAAGGAGTGGACGTGGACAAGCTTATAGGGCTGTACTGGGTCGACAAGTTAATGGTCGACAAAGGTCGAGGGGTCACATCGGTTGTCCTTCGGCGCGAGGAAAGTATGCTATCATCTTGTGAAATATAAGAAGGTCGAGAGGAGGAATTTGAAGAGCCCGAAGAGGACGATACAGAACCAGCTGCAAAATGTGATGAGTTATTGGGGGCGTTATTCTGTGAGAGCGGCGCGGGTGAGAGACTGTCCGGTCGAAGCTGGGGAGACCAGGCCATGTGACGTTGCTGGTTAGCAGTTCCAGCCAGCAAACCCGGGGTGCTCGTAAAGGCGTAGGGAGCCACCGAGTTCCTGTTGGCGGAATTGTTCACGCCATTATAAGAACTCAACGACATGCTGTGTCCACGGCCGACTTGAGGTTGGGTGATTTGTGAAGTGGATATGAAAGAGGTCTGAGCAGTTGATGATGCTGGGCGGGTTTGGAGGAGCGTCACAGTACCGTTTTGTTGAGGAATCGTTTGGACCAACGCTGCCATGGTGGCTTGAGCCTTGCCCGCAGAATGCTTTGTTTCCCTTTAACAACGGCTAGTCGCTACTTTATGTTCTCGGCTTCCGCAATTCACTTCCTTGCTGAGTACGAGTAATAACGAGTGTATCGGCGATGGTGGTGAAAAGAACGGATTATAGACGTTGCCTGAGGATAAGAAGTTAGCAACTCAGCACGAAAGAAACAGTAGAATGACGAATTCGAGCATGCACTTGTCGAGACAAGAAACGGAGGATGCGAGGAGAACGGAAGGATTGTAATCGGCGGGAGGATTCGTATTCGCAAGGAGGACAAGGCAGACTACCTACTTGCTAAAACAACAAGTCTGTACGACGGTAGAACCGGTCGGTACCAACAGAAAAAAGTATCTGCAAGAATCGAAATTGAAACGCAAAAAACGCCCGAAATTGATGCAACAGTATCAAATGCCGATGAAATAAGAGAATGATGGATACCCAAGTAAGAATTATCGTCGACCGACTACCTGACTCACTGTAATAGATGGCCGTCTTGCAGAGGGGGAAGGCCACGGCAACACGTAAGGTTTCCGGAAGCAAGCGATCAGGGGTTCTCAAGACATGTACGCGAACAAGGAGGCCAACAGGTCGAATATACTGCGATGGATAGAACCGAAAAGAAAAGAATAGTAGATAACCAGATCCGAGAGCAAATCGAGATAACGTTGCCTGTTCACAGAGGACAGGCAGGACGACGAATTCCAGTCACCGAACGACGAGACTTGCTGTGAGTGGGCCGGTTTCTCACACGTTCTCCCTCGACGCCTCGACAGAATGGGGAGGGGGTGGGAGGATTAGGGACAAGGGCAGCGAGCGAGATGGGGGGGAAGGGGATGGGGAGATGGCGTAGATGGGGATAAGGGCAAAGGGCAAAGAAAGAAAAAGGATGAGACTGAAACGATGAAAACAACACAACGAGATAGACACACAGAGTGAGATGTGGAGGAGTAGATGACAGAAAGACAGCTTCGTTTCTCAGGCAAAGAAGGTTCGTGGAGGAAGGAACACAGCGAAACAGAGGGAAAGAGCCAGCGACCGTGCCAGGGCCCAGGGGACGCCAGGAATGGTCAGCTCCGCTACCCCCACCGGGGAATAACTGCTGATTGGCTGGCGGATTAGACTATCGTTCGTACACGGTACGGTACTTACGATCGAAAGTCTTCTTGGATGCTGTATCATTTATTACTATGATATGTTAATGAAGAAAGTCATATGCAAGTTGTCTTGTTCAATTGATTGCTACTGAATATCGTTGGAGTTTTCATTGCTCATACGCAGCAGCAGGAAGGACGCCGATTAATCTGTTGATGTCTTGACTTACTAATATCCACTAAGCCGTATCGGTACTAGCCTGACGTACGATTATTCTACTCGGGCTAGATTGATACCTGGTCTGTACGCGTCAGTATTAGTCCGTGGTACCAATACTGACGCCAGTTCGTCTGCAAGTAACTCCCTGAGACCAGTCACTTGGAAACTTGGCAAGTCATAATAGACACGAGGCTCGGTCCAGTCGCGATCGCAATAATTCTGTACTAAAGTGCGTAGCGAGCTGTAAATCCCCGTATGGTTCCCCTTGTTCCTAATCATTAATGAGTCCCAGACATTGATCGACAAGTCGTTGCAGTGCAGCCAATCATCGAAAGAGCGGCATGTCTGCTCGACGGAAAAGACATGTGAGCCAATCAACTGGTTGGAATCGACCCCATATATACATAGTATACATATACCCATGGATAAATACTATAGTACTACGGAGTAATATATCAGTCAACCTAAATACAACTTTGATAACCGTAATATGGTACCACCAGGTATAAAAAAGTGCAAAGTGCTCCATACCATACGCAATTGGTTATCTGTACGCAGCAGCAACCCGAGTCGCACCATCTCAACATTTCATGCGCATCGAGTCAAGTGTGGCTCGCCTAATTCAGCTATTGGCCGCGTCCCTGCATGGCACTTCTGTCTGACTGTACATCGGACTACATGCTGTGCGTAACAGCAATGATAATATTTAATAATAATATTGTCTTTGCTTCGTTTTGTTCAGGATGTCGCGCACGATCATAATCAAAGTTGAAATAACCTCGAAACCCTTGTAATCTGGTTCAATGACGTTCGCACGGCAAAGATAACATTGACTTTGTGGCTTTTTGCACTGTCCAGTGTCCATACATTTCAATATTATCCTGCATGCGAGTGACCCTGTCAACTCCATAAATAAGTAAAGCTGTGCCACTGATAACTGGCAGTGATAAGCACGGTGCACCCAATTCTAGTATCGCGATCCGTCCTGGTAGAAACAGCTAGTACGCATTCCAACGTATGGGGCCCCCGAAAGGAAGGTCGTTCCCCAGTAATTCACTCTGACAGCTCTCGTCCATGTATGTATGGAGCACACGTGGACTCTGGAATGCCAATTCTCACAATCTCTAATTTGAAGGGGACGAGAGGAATGTGCCGTGACAGATTTAAAGTTTTTTTTTTGAATTCCAGTCGATACATACGTACTGGGTAATATCTCGATGCGTATGTCGAAGAGGAGGGGCTATTTATTTAATACTTGTTTGTATCTGTTTACTCGACGACGGGGCAGGCGCTAGTAAATGGGCTAGTAACGTCCTGACTCAGGATGGTACGGAGACGATAAATAGGGGTGGTGTAACCTTGCCCGTGCTCTTATCGTCGTTTTGGAGAGAAAGACTGTGGTACGAGTACGAGTACATTTCATGAATCATGCATCTGCTCTTGATATTTAATTGTCATATCACCATTCCTAATTCTGTACAAAATAAATGCTACATTATAAAAAAAAAGTGAAGAAAAATGAATGGACAGACAGTCGTGCTGATCAGCACGTGCCCGTCGACGTATGTCTGGCATAAACGCCTGCCTAGGCAATTGACTACTACATTTCTTGCATAGACACCTCACCAATAGCGATACATAGTTACAGAGCACTAACATAGCGCTCTGTACGCCCTTACATACGAACATGTCAATACTCTCCTGACATCTACAACGCCAACACTGAGAGCACGGAACACTCGGAGATGCATGGAGTACACCATTGATCCTTCGTCGCAGATCAATAGGGGCACTAATCTACCTAGGTAATTAAATCCTATGAGGTGTATTCCCTCCAAACGGAATTAGCGGTCTGCACTCGGTTGTCGCTCTTTAATATAAATTACCCCTCTACAAATATCCCTGAAACCAGCACTTTTGACGAAATGAGATATATACACTAATAAACACTGGCCAATGATGGAGTGGGTTGTAAAGTTAATCTGGGTGGAGGATGGACTAGTCGAATGTGGCATTCCGGATGGGGCCAGTGAGGTTAGGGTTCATTATGAATGAATATTTACCATGGTGACAAGATATGCATGATATGAGAAGCTGACTTGAATAGTATGCTTGGTATATTCATCATCTTTCGATTGCGTTACGGTATAACCACGTCTAAAAGCCTAAATTCGCATCCCCATCATCGGCACCAGCGCCCATTTCGTCATCCACGCTCATCCCTTCCCCATCTCCATCCTCAGTATCAAGACCCTCAAACACCATAAACTTCTCATTCTTCGCATCCGTCTCATCAGGCACCGCATTCCCATCCTGGACCTCGCAATCCTTGAGATTGCATTCGCGTCCAATCTTGGATCGATTCCCAATCACGCAGCCCGTCAGAACTGACCTCGGACCGATCACTGCGCCTGCCATCACGACGCAGCGCGTTAGGCGCGCGCCGGACGCAATGTGGCAGTTTGCGCCGATGACGCTTTCCTTGATAACGCATTTCTCTTCCACGGTCACGTTCTCCGCGAGCAGGCAGTCTTGTCGTGTTACTGTGCAGCGTTGAGCGATGCCGGCTGGGTACGCGACTTTGGCGGTGTGCGCAAATGGGGATGAGTTGGGGCGGCCGACTTCTTCAATTGCGTCCAGTTTTGCTAGTTTTAGAGACACAGATAGCAAAAGCGCTGAGCTGTCGACGCGTCGTACTAATGGTGCAGAGGGTAGTGAAGAGTGGATGTAGGCAAAGATTGGCGGAACGGCTAATTTCGAGTTCTTGTTTTGAGCTGCTACGGCGCTGTCGAAATCGGCTTCAGAGGCCATGGTGTTGACTCGCGATGCCAAGCGTGGCCTAGTCAATACGCCGGTGAGACCTGTGTTTTGCAACTCTCCAGTGCTAGCTTTGGTCGTGCTCATTGCTCGCAAGTCAACTTCATCTTCGACCTCATCGCCGTCATGACTCGCGTTGTCTGCTGCGTTGTTGGCTTCTTCAAAAATCTCCCTCAGACCCAGCTTCTCGCCTAGTCCCTTCTGCCACTCTGCTTTTGCCCACCAACCGACCAAATCCTCACTTATGCTTTGAAACTTTTCGTTTCTCCTTGCCAACTCCTTGACCCAGTAAGGAAACACGTAAATGTGCGCATCACGATACGTAGTCAACAGTTTTATCCGCGCATGCTTGTTGACAAGCGAATGTCTGATCAAAAGCCCCTTCTCCTCTTCCATTTTTTCTTTTAGAGAATCCATCGGCATAGCATATACCAGTTTCGACAGATTGTACCGTATGGACCCAGGCCCGTCAACGGGAGGGTATACAGCCGGAGCCTCATTCTGATCCAACGCAGCAGTCGCAACGAAATCTGCGACTTCTCCCTTGACGCTTTCTTCTTTGTCGCGTGTCTGATACCATACTCCAAGACCACCTCTACGTCCTGCATTTTCGCCGCGGACATCTGAGAATTTGATATTACCCCCGTGTTTTAAGCTTTGTTCTTGCCCCGATCCGCTGAGAGAAGCTTGAGATACCATCCATGATTCGAGGAGGGACTCTCCCGGTATATCGCAAATGAGATCGCACGGTAAGAGGATAAAGTTTGATTTTATAGCTGATTGTACTTCGGGAAAGCGAAGCAACTCTGCAGTACCGGTGGTCAAAGTCAACCCGCTCGGCGCAAGGACGGATGGTGAAGGGGCAGGAAGCGATGTAAGATGTGGGTTTTGCGAAAGTGCTGCCTCGAGAGGAGCTTGACTAGCCGGGGGTGTCACTAATGTAATATCTAGAAGGTCGAATAGTATTAGTAATCGATACTCTAAAAAGTCGTACTGAGAGACATACTGGTTATGCCCATTCGATAGCACCAGTCTAGAGGATACCATACCATCGGCCTGTTGGCGATTGGTATAAGAGCTTTGGGAAACTCTTCAGGGTTGGATGTGAAAGTATTGAGCGAAACTCCAGGACCACACAGGATAATGGCCTGGAAACCAGAGAAGGGTACAGGAACGGAGTGAGGCATGATTGCCTCTAGGAGTCGAGCTCCAAAATACCACTCGGTTCTTGAATCGGCGTAGCGAAGTGATAATATTCAAAGTTCTGCCCCGCGTCGGTGATTTTGGTTTGCGATGGTGAACGGTCGTCTTTTAGTGAAATGTCAATGTGATACTTTAAAGTAAGTTCCCAAAAGGCTCTGGAAGAGCAACACACAGGATTTCAGACCTATGAAGATTTATTCCGCTCGAAGTGTTGACTTTGAAAAAGTTCAAGTATGACTCCGCAATGTACATATTCTCCGATCTGACCGCCTTCGGCAGTATTATTAAACGCCGCCGCGACGCGATTCAATTAATTGTTCCTGATCAAGCTCTCTGCACGATAGATTTGGGCTTTTCTTTACCCCGTCCCTTAATTTCCGAAGAAATGGCTAAAGAAGTTGATACCGATCCCACCGTCGCTACCCTCGACGTCGACAATGAGAACTACGATTCCGAAGAAGACTCCGACTTCCAACTCGACGAAGCCGACGTTGCAGGCGAAGACTCAGGCCTTTCCTCAGAAGACGAAGATGAAGAAGAAGCAGACCATACCCGATCGAATAAGAAACGGAAACTCGATGTTACACATAAGCCTAGCATAAAGAAACGAAAACCTCGCAATGACGATGAAATGGAACTAGATTCTGGGGATGAGGCTACGATATCGAAAGCGAAGAACAAAAAGAAAAAGAAGAAGGCCGCTGGAGATGAAGATGAGGACGATGTGGACATTGAGCTTTCGGAGGGCGAAGGGGGAGGATTTGTCAAGACTAGAGCTATGAGGATGAAGATGTAAGTTGATCGATTGAGAGGAAGTACAATGGGTTGTGCTGATGCGTGGACTACAGGCAGGAAGATCGAAGACCTCTTGCAAAGATAGACGGTGCAACTATCGACGTCGATGCGTTATGGGATATGATGAATGCTCCAAACTCGGATTCTGGTCTTCTACAAAGTCAGAAACCTGTAGTTACGGAAGAGCCAGTCGACGAACCGTCCGTAATCCAGGAAACCGAAAAAGCTACAGATGCGCCGACACACGATAAACTACCTTCCGAGGACATGATAAAGATCAAACGAACATATAAATTCGCCGGAGAAATCCACACAGAAGAGAAACTGGTCCCTCGCGACTCGGCCGAAGCGAAACTCTACCTGGCAGAAACCGCCGGCACGAAATCAAGCGGTTCAGAAGATGTCTCACAGGGCGAAACAGTCGTCATACAATTACGACGACCCGTCAGAAAGATATCGCGCTTCGATCCCAACCCTACAGGCATCATCAAAAAGAGCTGGGAGAAACAAGCGGTGCAAGCTGTGTCGGGAGACGAACTCAAAGGCCCTAAACTCAATACCGTCGAAAAGTCAAAGCTTGACTGGGCGCAATACGTTGATCAAACTGGTATTCAGGATGAACTCAATGTGCACAGCAAGGCCAAAGAGGGTTACCTGGGTCGCATGGATTTCTTGAACAAAGTCGATGCGATCAGGGAGGAAGAGAGGAGAACTATTCGGCTCAAGGGGTTATGAAGATATACTTGTCTCGTATAAGTATTGTATACTACGATATGTACATATTTTTAAATTCAAACAGCGCGCAATCAGTGCTGGTCATTGAGTCGTGCTTCGTTCCACCCATTTTTTGCGTAAGCCATAATTCATCCCGCTTGGATACCTCGACTACTGATCATAAGGTACTCTTCTGCACATTGGTATTAGTAATTGGCACGAGTCAAATAAACAGTATCATTGTACTTACAGTCATGTTTAACCAGACTTGGGAGGATACGAGACAGTATCGGGGCAGTTGGAGCTGTTGGCTACAGTGCAAGTAACGTCAGTCAAGAGTTTCTCAGGGCAGTATTCAAAATTGAAGAACATACGAGAGTCAGTAGGACTATAAGTTCCATTGATAGCGTTTCCAGAAAGGTAGAAATAGTAGTAAACAGACGACAGAGCGCCGCTGGAGCAACCAAAGTAGGGAACCTTGCCACCGTGGATGGCAGCGGCAGCATCCTGAATATCGCTCAGGGCATAAGTCGCGCTGTCATCTGGGGTGATGCCAGCAGCTGAGAGAGCCTATCAAAATTAGCTTTTCTATGTCTCCATAAAGACTAGCAGCGGGGGACGAACAGAGTAAGTATCCAGCGTCTTGAACAGATCCACAACCTGCTGGAAAAAGTCCACCGCTTCATCACCAGTCGAGTAGTTAGTGTAGCAAGACGGTTTTATGGTGTTGACGCAAGTGCCGTGGGTAGACCACTCGTGCTCCCAGAAGGCCTCGGTGGACTCGTCGTTGCTCTGCCAGTAGGTGTCCATGTAATCCAGCAGGTCGGTTTTACCTGCGTTCTGGATCAAGGTGGTGATGTCCTTGTATGCACGTGAGGAGTCGCAGCTCTCATCGTAGGAGCCATCGCAGTTATCGGGCCTGAAGTAGTCAGTATCAATAGATAGATAGTGCGGTCTTTAATAGGACGCACCAGAGTCCGTGGATACCCCAAGAGTCAGAAGGACCGATGGAAGGGCTATAGTCCCAGAACTGGGTCTGGAGCAAAAGACCACCGGGAGACTCGTAGCAGCAAGAGGCCGACTTGCTGCTGCTGCAACTCAAAGGGGAGCTGGAAGAGCAGGTTTCAAGGGTGCCGGCGAGGGCAACCTTGACAGCAGCGCCGAGGGCGATGACACCGAGTGCGCGAGACATATTGTTTGATTAAGTTATTTGTTTGGGCTGAGAATGTATGTAAACAGGTTGTGTTTCTACTTCCGTTGAAGCAGCTTCCCGACCTTTAAGTAGGAAACAAAAGTGGATATTATCAAGACAATGTACTATATAGACACAAGATACACAAGAGGTACTACAAATCCCCTAAAATTATGCATAGAGATCTCTCCGTCAATCATCAAATAGAATCACTCGCCCTCACCATCTGCTCGTAACCACACAATCACAATGTTGCATCGCGTATGCTCATTCGCCAGAGCTGATTTGTGGCTATATGATGTTGTCGCACGATCGACGTTCTGGGTGTGGGGGGGATACTAAAATCCCGTATTTCTTACTACGTATGCAGCCAATCTAGCCAAGTACAAGGATCTTTTCGAGTATGATAACTAGATGTGCCAGGTACGACAGTCGCGTAGTAGCCAATCAAAAGACACAAGAGAGGCAGCTCTCGATATTCTTCACGTCGCCAACACAGTTAGGCTTCGGGATAAGCTCATGCAGGCGTAGTTAAGCATTTAATCTATGCAATGACACCTTCCTGATGTTGATACCAAGTCCGGGATGTCCATGTCTTGATCATTCGGAGATGATCAGATCTCGGAAATTAGCCCTAATGCCTCAGAGCATTCATTTGCTTGCACACAACAACGGCGTACTTCTTTTACTTTCTGGCACGAACTCGAAAATATTGCGATAATAAATGCTTTTTTACGGAATATTGAGGATCTGAGATCATCAATCCAACAAACCAATCCAAATACTCATAAACGAGGCTGAAACCAAACACCGGGGCTTAAATTAAGCCGGTCCTGGCGGCGATCTGGCGTCTACACTAAGTCCCGACGCAGTACCCAATAAGCGTTATCAATCGCGAATGCTTAGCGAGTGGATGCTACTCTGCTAAGTTTTGGGCCAGGAATAACGTTGCACTGTAAATTCGGGGCGGGTTGATCATTGTATCGGAGTCTGCCGAAGCAGATACATACGTAATTACTTATCTGCTCCGCGATGACTTCTTCCATGTTTTATTGTTTGGATCACATGCCAAATAGCTTTGGGGCTTAAGAGGCTTGAAGAGGCTTGGAGGGCTTGGGATGCGTGGTCTGTTCTATCTGTTTGATTCCTTGTTTAATATCTGATTTGTTTCGAGACGAACGCCATGCATGACAATTCATTTCTCATGTCATCTCTGAAAGAAAAATCAAGATTCTAACCCGTGTAGAGAACCTTTGAGTGGTACGGTGTATCAAAATGCGACAAATAACCCGCCTAATAGCTCCTGTATATTACTCAACCGGTAATTCGGCTTGCCGACTTCCTTCAATCATAGCTCATTAAAAGCTGTCAAAATCAAGACCCCTCAGGAACGCGCGCATGCGCTCTAATACAAACAACCGGGATAAGCGCCAAAAAGAAAATCAACGAGCCCACCGCAAACGGCAAGCCCGACCACTCCAAGCCCAACTGCATTCCCACCCCATACAAGCTCGCAAATACCGGGCCCGCAATAACACCTCCCACAGACTTGGATACTGTCATTGCAGAGTACAGCGTCGCCACCTGGTTTTGCGATGGCACAAATGATGTAGCCACACTGACGACTGACCATGCAAAGGGCACGGCGAATGAGATGAATAATATTCCCGCGAGTAATGAGAAAGTTGTGGATGCAATGGAGATCAGGAGGTAGCCAAGGACACCTGATATGGCGGCGAAGCGGGCGATGCTTAGGTCCTTTGTGATGGAGTCGTAATGGAGGAATCGGGTCAGGAAGGAGGATCCAATGGGAAGGACAATGAGTAGGGTTACGAGGGTCATGCAGCCTCGTACTGAGAGGAGGTAGCTTGCCTGCAAGATTGTTAAATGCCAATTGTCTTTGCAGATAAGGATAGATGATCATATACCTCACCGATAGTCCAATGGAACTTTGCTGATACGTACTGGATGAGCAGATACACCGAACTCTCGTCCAGACTACCAGCAAACACGGCAATAATGGAAATCAGCACACGTGGTGAAGTCCACAAGAACCTAGAAGACGAGATAAATTCTTGCGCTTTCGCAGCGACAATCTGTGCGACTGTCCCACTTTTTGCTGGCGATAGCTGAGAGATATCATCAGAGTCTTCTGAGTTCTCTTGTATACCGTCCGTGGCGTTAACCTGATTAAGTGTCTCCGGCATGAAAAGGACAAAAATTGAACCAATAATCATGATGAGCATTCCCAACATGAATGGGGTCCATGGGTTGGATTTTAACATCGTTGCGCCCAACGGTATTCCGACGATTTCGGCCACGAATGACATTGCGGTTAGACGGAAGATTGCTGTGCCTCTGTTGTGGATCATTATGTCAGTTATGAGTACAGTTGAAAAGCGAGTAGCAGTTTCCGACCTTTCTTCCGCAGAAAAGACATCTGCTACTATGGTCATGAGCATAGTCACAGCAACAAGATTGCCGCCGCCTGGCAGTTGGAAGACTCCGCCGAGCCAAAGCAAGCGAACGGGTAGATTGAACCAGCCTGTACCACAGGATTAGCATCGCATTAATCAACAAAGCTTGCCTAGCAGTAAGTACGTACAGACAACCCGACACCATATCTCACTGCACATCAACGAAACAAGCGCCATAATGGCAACGGGTCTTCGCCCAATCTTATCTGCCAAAATACCAAAAGGCAAGGCCAGTGCAACAGCTATCCAGACATCAGCACCACTCCTCATACGCATTGCCGTCTTTTTGGTTATACTTACATGGCAAAATATCAAATGTATTCTTCCACCCCGTTACGAGCGCAAGCTCCTTCTGCACCGCCGGCGATTTGCAAATATTATCAACTTCAGCTACCATGCCACCAGATAACGTAGACGACGTCGCGTTGATTGACTGTACGTAATTCCGGCAAATAATATCCTCAATGATCTGGAGTTGCGGTGGTTGGGCTATAAAATTTCCGAAGTTGACTGATAGCAAGAGCAGTGCGCCTGCGATCATGACGCGCCATTGGGTCGGTGACCAGTCTGGGAGGAGGCGCCATTGTGATGATGGTTCTGATACCCCGGCTTGAGACTCGGTAGACTCGTCTTCGATGTAGTGTTGATGAGGATTTGCGAGAAGCGGTGTTGTTTCGTTCTGGAGGTCCATTTTGTCTGCTGTTCAGCCGCAGTTGTCGCGGTCAGTCACGGCCGATAATGTAATTGACTTTTTGGATATGTAATCGAAGACAAAACATTGAGAGGGTTAATATTTATTTCCTAACTTCTCGATAGCCCGTCTATTAGGCAACACGATTAGAAGATCTTTAAGCGCTACCCTGCTAGACTCGGAATACATTGAAAAATGTCAGTGGAATGTTCAGCCCGATAACAAAAGCCAACGTTGGAAGCACGTCACTTTACTGTTTGATTTGTTGTCATTTAACTAGCAAAACGAGACAAAACGACCAACTAAATAAGTTCGCCAGCACTAGTCAATCTTATCTCAGCCTATGACCGTTCTCTAATTTAAATCTTTTTATCGTTGTTGTATCAAAGTTGGCCAGGCTCCAACGTTTCTTGCATGTATCAATTCCGAGCTGAATGGGGTGCGGCGCTGATGGCGGAGTTCGATTAGGTGGGCGTCGAACTCCGACGTGGAAGAGACAAAGGAATGCGAAATCACGGAGTACGTTTCACGCACATACGCTGACTTCATAGATACGTATCTATCTTAATGGAATCTTAACAGGGTTAACAAATGATACGGCTGAGGACTAGAATTGGTAGTTGAGTTTACCCCGAGGTGTACCCCGTACTTCGTACTACCTATCGGCATAACTAGCCCTAAACCCTAACCACTACGCATATTCATATTGTTCCCCAAATGAACGGATCGTCTGCCTTCGTATAATTATGTGAAACAGACTTGAGTCGTTAATAACGTCGATCAATAAACTCTACGAGATTACCGGCATAAAAAACATCACGCGAGGAACTTGTTCTGATTGGCTGTTGTGAACCTCCAATCCAGCCTTCCTCCATTATCAGGGAGACAAGCAAGGGAGAGACAAAAACTAACGATGAGGCAATCAATATTTCCCCAGTTATCAATCAGCTTAGTCGAAGTTTAATTGTACTGTGAAATTTGAACGCTTGCAGGACTGGACACAATGAGTCTTCAGCTGTTTTCGAATTAGTCGCACTCGGGGGTGCTTATTGTAAGTAGTAATAGACTAAGAGTAAAAACAATGTAATGCAGCAAGTGGTGGTACAAGGCGGCAAGGAGACAAAGCATTAACATCAACAGAGATAAGCAGAATAAGAACAGATAGAAAAAATCAGATTGCCAGCCCAACCTATATCTCCAATTTCCACGATGCAACAATACAAAGGAAAAGACAGCATCAACCAGAACTTCGACGAAAAGGAACAGATGAAATATAGGAACGCCAAACCCTTCTGGAAGAAGACCTGACACTTTTTGTTTCACACAATAATTGTACAAGAGGTGCTGCGAAGCGTGAACTGAGCCTGTATAGTAGTGACCCCGTGTGCTGTATAAGAATAAAATTAGGGAAATGTATCAATCCTCCTCAAGGGTATATAGCCTGCTCTCCGATTTATCACTCAACCTCGACCGACTCACTCATCCCACTCGGCGTCCATGTCATTATCCATTGGGATGGGGTCATCCAACTTAGACCCGTAAATTGGACGTCCATCGGGTGTCAATTGACCACGGAATTCGGGATCGTAGTCAGGACTGGTTTCATCAAGTGTGGCAACATAACGGTTACGTCCGCCACGCTTACTATGAGTCTTGGTGTAGTGAGCGTTGAGGTTATCGCTGCGCGAGAAGGCGCGGTTGCAGCCTGGAACCCAGCAGACATGAGGCTTCTCCTTCGAGTGGCTCTTCATATGACGCTTGAGGTGCTCTTGTCTCTTGAAGCGGCCTTTGCAGCCGGGCTCCTTGCATCGGAATTGGACTTGTTTGATGATGGATGGGAGGTTCTCTAATTTCAGACTTTGCTTCGATAGTGACTTCTTGAGTGTCTTTCGGGAGAGTTGTCGTTGAGGCTGGCGGTGTCGTAGACTCTCTCTCATACCTGGCGAGATCCATTCTTCGTCTGTGTGGTCACTGGGACCACCGGAAAGGCGTGACATGGGAGTCTCTGTTCCCGAGCCCATAGAGCATGATCGAACTGGCGTCACAGGTGTGTGAGTCCGAAGTGTATTGGCGGATCCTGGAAAGCCGGCGTATGAGGACGGGGGAGTCATCGGCTGGGGGAACGCCTGAGCTGGTGTTATAGTCTGGGGCTGCATCATATCCGCTGAAGGCATCCACTGAGCCATGTTGCTCATTGACATGGAGTTCGGCAGACGATCGTTTTGTTGAAAGATTGGACGAGACAGGCACGGGTTAGATGCCGACTCAGGTAGATAGCTGGCTTGGTTATTTCGGTAGTAGTTGCGGGCCATTTGAGGGTATGGCTGAACCATTTGAGGCGGGCAAGGAAAGTTAGTCGTCTGGTCAAAGGACTTCGACAGGTCCTGGGGAACCCAGAACGATTCAACATTATCTGTGTATCCTGGAATATAATCAAAGAGTGGAATTCGCTCGTGTCCGTCGACGTTGTCGTATTGAGACATGATGCCATCTCCTGCTGTTATATCAGCCAGGCGGAAGCTGCTTCTCAATGGCGTCGAATTTCTAGGAGCCTCAAGTCCATGAGGATAACCGTGACCCTCATGCCACCCAGGCGAGGCCAAAGAGCCCTGACTATAAAGAGAGGTAGGAGTCGGTGTAGGTGAGTCCATTGGTGAGAAGCTGGAACATGTACTGGTACCCAACGGTGGGCATTCGACATCGATGGTGAGTCGATCAGCCATGTTATATTCTGACCGCATGTCTTCACTGTTCGGTGTTGGGTAGTCAAAGTTTTTAAGGGCGGGGTCGATTTCGATATCTGTTGCTACAAAGATATGAGTAACAAGTTGTTGTATATCCCTCGTGAAAGTCGAATGAAGGACGGACGAACAGGACGGAATAAAAGATAGACAATTTTTAAGAGACAGCTCTTGATCGTGCTAAAGAATGAATGAACGTGGGTAGGGTAGTAAAAGAAAGGTGAAGACCAAGGAGGATTAAAGAATGTCGAGTGTAATGAAAAAATGAGATGCCCAAGAACGAGGGTGGCAGCGAGATCAAATATCAGATGCTTCGTAGTAATGTGCCACCGAGCTAAGAGAGGACGATCACACTTACCCTGAAACGCCATGGCTTCGTGGGATTGAATAGGTGAGAGCTACAGAGAGCGCGACGCGTGCCTGTGATGCAAATGCAAGGCCTGGAATGTGGATTATGGGTTCCTTGGTAACCAGCACCGCGAACACGACCGCCCTCAGATCTGGATGAACACCAAAAAACCGGTTCCCCCCTCCAAAAGGGCTGGGGTTTGTTCACGAGGGAATCGAGTAGGTTAAAGGTGAGAAGCAGCCGCCCGATAACGCTCGTGTGTACCTGTAGTTTGCTGTGTGCAAGAGTCTCCCTTCAACGCGCACACCAAATTGGGACGAGGAGTTGGTTGCTATATTAACCAGGAGTCTCAGCAAGGGGACGGTCAAATATAGGTCTCTGAACCTCAAAAAGAGAAATACTGTCTATTTCACAGGAAGGTGGATTTGGTTTATAGCTTTTTGGGGCCTCTCGATAACTCTGGCAGTTTTTGCCTTGCAGCCAGTGCGGTACACAGTCAAGCACTACTCAAATTTAGAAACTGGTCCCAGCGTCTCATACTCTTCAGATCAATTCAGCAGATTACTTGGTAAGTGGAGCGATGTCAATGCCGGCAATCACTAGACCGTTGGCGACTCCATAGGTACGCTGCGAGTGTCCCAAGTAGGATGTCCGTCTGGAATAGATCAGGTTCTATTGGCGGGAGATGATTTTTGCCTCAAGAATGAGGAGAAAATGGAATGCTCCGGGTCAAGTTGAACAGTAGGCTGCGGCTCACTGATCACCATTAATTACCCAGTATCTTGGAACGTCCAGGGACCGGCTCAGATGGCCAGTTCATTAGTCCAAAGTCAACCAAGGACAATCTCGGACAATTGCTCACTTGGAGCTTGTCTAAGTTTGTCGTCTGTGCTCTTCCAGTGGCATTTGACAGTTCAGCTTCAGTAGTATTCCTGTCTTGGTGTCCCGGATCGACAAATGGGACCTGCGTTTGGATCAATGGAGCAGGGGTCAGGTTGATCGACCCATCGCTATCGACGCTTGAGATTGTGGGAACCGATCTCAAGCTCTGMCCCGCCACAAGTCGCCTTCTAAGCCCTAAGTAGGAACTAAAAGCGCCACCCTGAATATGATCTATGATCTATGAGTTCTGGCACTTTCAGGCTACTGTTGACTTGTAAGTCTAATGGCTAGGTTAGGCAGGGCTGTTTGAAGCATTCTTGCTGTGCAGCCTTCAGCCTTCCTAAAATCAAGTACATGGATCACTTTCTGGTAGACATGCGTATCGACAGTTTGAGAACACCGTCGTCTTCGTACCATCGAGTCATGATTGAACAGGTGGGTCTTTTGGGCCAGGAATGAGCGGACACTGATGTTGCTGGTTGATTGAACCGTGCATTTTCTACACCAGGCCAAAGCCGAATTGATAGTGTACAAGTTTGAAAGTGTGGATCGCAAATGAATGCACTTATGTACAAACTAGATTAGTTAGCATTCGCGCAATCTGATCCACGCACGGTCATCGGCCGTGCGTGAAGGCAGCAAGCACCTCAAGACTTCAAGTCCTACAAATTTGTGACCATTCCATTTTTGTCGAGATCTCACGATGACCCCCAAAAGGATAGAATTGCTGAGGATTGAGTTTGCATCTCTGAGGGTAGCATACGTAAACTTGAAGGAGAATTCTTTGATGCCAAACAGCTCCCGCATTTCTACGCCTGACTTTTAGGTGTTCCCGGTGCATCTCAATCAAGTATGCGACCTGTGCAACTCAGACGGCATAGTTGGAGCTAGAGTATGGGAAGGAGGTCGACTGGTACTGAAACCCGAAGCCGTGGTGGTTTTTTGGTGTTCTTCATGAGTACGGCGAGCATGTGCGCTATCTCAACAATGGCTTTCTTTCCGGAGTAATGGAGCAGATGCAGAGTGACGCAGGACGATTGGGACAGGTAAGAAGATAGCGTCTTGATTGATCATGGACAGGGAATATGGAAAAGATGGAATGTTGTCGAGACTGAGCTTTTGTGGGGGAAGCCGCGGGAAGGAACAGCCTGGCTGACTTGGCAGTCTCCGTAACGACCCATACCGCCCGCTGTATTGTAATTTTCAGGCGGGTCGTGACTGCAGTAGGGTGCTGTCAGGGTTTATTTAGTAACAAAGTGGGCAACGTTAAATAACTGTGTACTAAGAGTTACAGTAACTTTACCCTGTTTCACGCTGTCCTGTATTGATCTTGTCTCTAGTCTGCCGTGACATTCTCTCCTTTTCACTGCATCAACAATCGCGTTTACTCCAGATTACTTCCAGCGTCTGACCATTTCTACGGCCCAGCGAGTTTGTCCATCTGTCTTCTTCTTGTAAATTGGAAGTAGATGCTCGTATCGTTTTCCACCCCGTCGTGAAAGTCGCACTACTCCAGTCCCACTGCATGCACCATCGCAATGTCGTACATTTCGTCGCGCCCTTTATTCGTCCGTTCGCCATACTCCATTTACGTACATACATAATGTGGAATGTGGAGAAAGAAAAAGCAACTTCGCACCGCAGCCTGGCCATGATTGTGTAAAACCGTCATACTGTTGCACCGCCATTTCACTGTAAAACGCTAGGCTCGATCTCAACTGTTCTGCATGGATGTTATATGTATTCTGGTGTACTCGCTGGCAGCTCGCTTAAGTTTACACGATTGATAACATTAACGGATAGTACTCATCATACTTTCTATAAGGAGTACTTACTAGCGATTGACTTCCGCTGTCTCCACGGCTTTAGTATGACGGTACTACCTACTCTCTTGACATGCTAGTCACAGGGCTATTTTTGACTGCAATATGCTAGTGACATTTCTACTAGTGATACATATGGTTTTCATCCTGAGTCTTCTAGTGGCCAGAGATATTGACACTTTGATCTGCCTGTGGTCATTGGATGCGGCCATTTTCCGGCGGCCGTGCTTGGGGTTGGGGTGGAACCGTAAGCGGCAATCTAGGCCAACGGCTTCTCGACGGTTATTTTCTGTGTCACCATCTCAATGTGATCTATCAACTGCATGTCTAATATTTGAGTAACTACCTGACGCCAACAACGCTATACACGACGCAGGAATGCAAAGCCACGAATTCTTCGACGCTAGCCGATGATTGGACCGCGGCTTTTTTTCACCAAATATGCCAAGTACAAGGCCCATCATTCTGTGTCTAAGCGTTGACGGCTTTGGCAATCTCTCGAGTCTCTGCGGTACGGATGACTGGAATTATTTGCAAAGCGTGGGTCCATTTTAACCAAGATCTGTGCAAATATGATTAAGACGGATTTGGTTAGAGGTGCGATTGCATGGGCACAGGGCAATGCTAATTTGGAATCCCGCGGAACAGCAGACTGGCTTCCGGGATTCCCAATCGAGTGGAGAATATGCGATATTCAGCATAACACGTCTGATTACCGTATCATTATACGTCATGAAACATGTTCTATGCCGTCTGATACCAGGATGATGAGGGTATCCGACTACGGCCCGGTCAGTCAATCGCTGCCGTTTTGATGGCTGTCATTGTGTATGCATGAAAACAGGATATTCGGGAACGGTCTTGCCTCGTTCATTCTGTCTCGTGGCTTGACGTCGAGAATTATAGATTTCTTTATTCAAAATTTTCAGACAGGCATCCAAGTGGTTTGGATCAGCTGGTGTAAAGCTGAGCCATTGCGAAACTACTGACCAGATTGGTCGAAGACGAAGGAAAACTATCAATGCCTTGGTACACTCCACATTCCAAGAAACATCACTGTCAGATTGAACAGACGGACCGTACTATCCGACCCAAACTTTCAAGCGAGAGGCGGCACAAATGCCACGGATGTCCCGGACGGACAGCGGCTGTCTGAGACTGTCTGCACTGTGCTATTTCCTAGTTGGGTTATTGCCACTGCTTGGACCATGTCCACTTTTCATCTAGATAATGCATATCACATGCATATGCAAGACTAATATACAATCGTGCTAGTGTTATTGTGTCCATTATCATTCATGGATCGATGTCTAGTAGGTGCAAGCAACGTTCTTTTGATCGAGACGGATCTTTTTTCGCAGCTAAATCCCACTGAACTCTGATCCGCATGGCTCAAAGTAACGATCGATCGTGAAATACACCGCGCTTAAATAGTCAGCATTCCATTTGAAGCTGGCTCGATACTGGTCGAGACTAGCATCACCAAGTCGGATTCTGCTAGCCCCTCTTGATTGGTATCATCGTTATCTTCATTCCAGGTCCCATCATCTAGAGGCGCGGATACACTATGCTTCCTTACCCGCCCACTTGGGACACTAGTGACAAAAATAGCAGGGTATGGAGACAAGTCTAAACTATAACTTGAGGACCAATGAGCTCTCGAAGGGAAATATCTTCACACCTCGTCACAACTCGTGTGTGTAAATTGATGAATCGTCTTCTGAAGAGCCTGAAATTCCATGCCATTGCATGACACTGGTAGCTGAATTTGATTGAAGACAGCTACTCTTGGTTGATGGTCGGAAAGCCTGGAAAATCTTCCCGCTCGCCAAGTATTGCGCCTTTATTCTATTTGATCCTTAGTTGAACACCAACATTCGATACAAGTGCTACCAGCCTAGTACTACATATAAAGCCTTTCCTTTGACTTTACCCCGCATAAAGATCGCTATCTGGTCCATTTTGCAACTTTCGTGGACCTTCCGGGTTCATGTTCATCGATGAACAAAACAAATAACCCGCAGCAAGGGGCGGCTCATCTTTCTACAAAAAAGGTTTGCCTCCTGAATTCTATGATGGTCGTCCCTGCATTCCGCCAAGACAAACCTTTCATCAAGCCTTTGACCTTTTGAATAGTTCGCAAGGCGACTAACAGGTGTTCGCGTCTAAGCATCTAGAACTCAATCTCAATTCTCCTGTCTGGGTCCCCAGCTGCGCCAAGAAGACTTTCTGGTCACTCCAGTGAAATATGCCTGTGCTCAATGGCCAAGGAGATACCTCGATGATATCATCACAAGGTACAAGGCAATAGTACCATGGTTGCACGAATGTCTAGAGTTCTTGGTATTGAGACGATCCTGGCCTCGTCCCTATTGTCTCTGATGGCCTTGCGGTATCGTCACAAGACCACTGTGAGGATGTTGGACTTCCGTGTCTTCTTATGAGGCTATTGAGAACGTGTAGCTGGTTCGTGTCAAGTTGCCCTCGCTGTTCAGGTTGCGAAGGCGTGATAAGTTTCGATTCCTTAATGAGACGCAACTGAAGCGTCTGATCAATTGTGATCACACCTTGGTATCTTCCGAATTATCTCCATTCATCCGAGCATAACCGACTGACTGCGCACAGATAATCAGCCACACCATATTTTGCCTTTTCAATAGTGGCTGATTCATACCAGTACTAAGATATTAATTAAGATTCCAGTCGAGAGTACAACTTCCTAAAGCCGAGCAAGAATCCCGTCACTTCCGTGGGTCAATGTACATTCTTCCACTCTCACAACCCATGAAAATACTCTCCACAAACACGAAAACAAGTCATGGTCATACCATTGGAACTCTATCGACTTCATTGCCAGGTTTTCAGGAGACTTATATGAAACTATATCCCAGACTATATCTGAGCAATCCGCATGCTGACCTAAGTGAACGGCGAACACCGAAAACAAACCAAACTAATCTGAAAGAACAAACGATAGCCTCAAATTCAATCATCGAAGACCCAATTCTTAGTTGCACATCTGTCGATCTCTCTTTACTCTCATTGAGAAGTATGTGGAGGAGCTTAAGTTCAGGTACATGACTCATTGCGTCCCTGACAGTAGGCCCTGAGTCTTGGGTCAAGTCGAGGCACTACGTTACTGCGTAGTATACTAGAAGACGTACGTATACGTACATCTAAAATTTGCTCAGGAGAACTTTTGTATCCAGTAACAGGTCTCTCTTAACTATTTAGATCTCGACCAAGCATATTTCGATCTGCACCAGTTCATGTAACTTGTGTAGATTTTAGATTTCAGATATACTACGTATGCACGTAATAATCGTTGAAACGATCATATTGATCCCCGCAAATTCAGGTACGTACAAAATTTCACAGCCCTGATTAGAAAACTCAATATTTGACCATTGCGATTTGATCTACTTTTGTCTGCATATCAATAGAAACTTACTTTGGTATTCGCCACCCAAAGACCCCGGGTGTATCGGAAAAGGTTACATCGCCACTAAGATCCATAGTAGAAAGTAGTTTCATCGACCAATTCAGCTTCATACATTAGCGCAATGCCATCGATTTGAGGCAAAAGTATGTAAGATTTACTTTCGGCTCAAGTTGCCAGGTTCAATGACTTCAATTCGTATCTCTCGTGATAACGTCTCGGAGCTGCTTGATTTGGGTTTCAAAAGGATGGGGCTTTTTTTGGACCCCCTTACTTGGTGGGAAGGTAAAGAGTAACTGCCTCGGTACCACCTGGTTATACCACCTCAGATACGTCGTAGAAGTGGAAAATGAGAGGAATTCGACTCTCCGGTCTTATGGGAAGCAAGTTTGAACTATTGAGAGCCAAATTTCGTGTAAGTCATCGCGATGAGGGTTTTTAGAAGCTGTAATTCCTGGATGTGGTGAGCTTAAGGACATGTCATTGCCTAGGTGATGAGATTGGTTATGACACTATTGATTAGATAAGATGATATAGTTTGAAGTGTGAGCAAGATTATGCTTACATATATAGGCATCAACATTTGTAGATCCATTGATGTTGATATTGATGAGTAGGGTTATGTAGCACTACGTACGGGCGTCTCTCGGTTTTACATGTCATTCGGCACCTGTCAAGATGAGAAGCTTCAATAGTGCCACTGAAACTCAAGCCAGGAATATAAATCGTTAATCCTGACACTAATATCTTCTTATGGATTCTACTAGATAGTTGATGATGATGTGTCGATGAAAGCATAATATTTTAGTGTAAACGCTGAAGGCTGTAGCCTCACGTCCATAAGTTCTGTTCGTCGAATTGAAGACCGGAAGGTATCACTATTTATATCGAATACATGTATTCGTGTGAATATGTTGTACTCAAAATCAAGTCACTGATATCCCCGAAAAACTGCAAGTTTGTTTGATACTCAAACCCCAATAGTTATTGTCTAATATTATACCTAGGTATTATAAGTCTATCACTAGGTTTCACTAGCCCTATACGTATGTGAGAAGGATATGTCGTGATATACTAAGTTTGTATGACACATTGGTTTTATAAAAATTTACCCAATCCATAGTCTACCAAATATCACAGCCGAAGGTCTGTGATAGCAATACTGGCTTTACCGAACATCATCCTGCAAGTCTTATAGATTATGGTATCGTTCAAGTTACAGCGGGATTTCTTCATATCCTTCACTTTTCACTCAGTGGTCCCTGAATGCTGGAGGCCGATCATGATAACGGAATAATTTTGACATGTTGCTCAAGAGACTATGTAACTAGGTGATAGGCCCGGACATATCGTCCAGAATTTACAATAAAGATCATCGCCTTGGATATATATCGCTTGTAGATAGTACACTAGATTGATAGTCTTAAACAAGATATATAAGAAACAAGATCTCCAGAATCCAAAACTCGAGTTTTATTTATGGACTAAGTCGTACAGAAAGCAGTGTTGTACGCGTAAACCATGTCTGGTCCCAGACGAATTGAGGTTATTCCAAATGTGATGCATGTCACTTTTTTTCGAAATGAAATTTTGTGCGCTCTGACATTGGCATGGACACCTTAAAAAGTCCATGAAATAAGCCCTGAATCCTGACATCCAATACAAACTAGCCCTAATCGCTTTGTGGTGGAGGCGGTCTTCAGCCCCGGATCAGCATCAACCTCTAAAACTATCCATTTCAATATGACTTTAAGCATCTTCCTGACCAGGTTTTTGATCCGGCTATTGAACGAAGCAAGTTTGGTTAATGTTGATCCTTATGGTAATGTGCGCCCACCTTATATATCGCTTGGGACTCGACATGGCAATTTTTACCGTGTGATTTCTCTCATAATATCTGCGAATCATGGTCAAGTTGTTGATGGACAAGTCACATTGACCTCCTGAAACCCAAATTGGAATGGATAATAATGTTCCTGCCGGGATGGATTCCTTCAAAACCGGAATGATATTCTGGTACCTCTCACGACCTACTGAATAATTCCATGTTGTGCTTGAGTACACGAATTCATTAAGTCGATCCATAACAGATAGGTATCATTGGCAACATGGACCCTACTCACCATGAAGCTTATGCATTAGTCTCATAAGTAATCTCTCAATAAAAGGAAAGATATATCATACAAAATCACAATTTGCTTCACTACTTCTACTAACCTAGGGGAATAACTTCCAGCGTATCACAGCTTCGTCGATATATTTCCAGAAGCACTTTACAAAATGCTCTGACAATGAGGAATTATCTGTATCTGAGAAGACTCTTGCCTTAATGAAGCAAACATCAAATTTAGTTAGTTTCACTATTCTTAAATTAATAAATATTTGTCATCATCGCAAGCAAATTGAGGCTGAAGAGAGCGGGGGCAGCTGGAGGGCTGTAAGCACTAAAATCTTCCCGTGAGTCAGCCTACAGCTAAGCACTATCCAAGGGCCAGATAGCATCGTTCAAGGGTCCGATGTCGTGATCAAGACCCCATATACATAGGTACGTCTTCTTATGATATCGATCTGTACATCACAACGTTCTGAATCGCTTCATTTTTTGAAGTGATGTTCATTGTTCTCACGAATAAACTTCGACTTTTCTTTTCATTCTAACCACAACTCATTCAATCAAAAGTTTTAAACTTAAACGAAGCCCAGCTGAAATCAAGATCCACAGTTCACTCTACGTTATTTCTCTTATTGGGTACGCGACACCGAGCGTCCTAAAACTCGAGCTGAATCATACGGCCTCAATCTGTAATCTGATCTAATATACATTACTTCCTCCACTTGAAGATGCGATGTACTGGACCGTGGAATGCGAGTTGAATACGCTGAATGGCTAGGAGTCTGTATCGCACTACGTATCTAGGGCTGAAATGACTGCTTGGTCTCAGCCCGTCGCATGTTCCTTTATTGAATAGTTACGGACCGGTCAAAATCCCGGTCGACCCTCTAGGTATGTGTATATAGATGGATCGGAAGGCCCCTATAAGGTATGGGAAAGCTTCTTTTTCTGGAATAGAAGATCCCTATAGGGTGTAAAAGCAGCAAAAGACCTCAGAGTAACAAAATGGTGGAATGGAATTTGCTGCTACCAGACATGGCTTCTGGCGAGAAGCGCAAGATGAGGGTTGTGGTTATGAGCTGTAGCCGGTGAGTCTCACCCCTATTTTCTGGACAATTGCAAGTAGCGACTTGCTGACCATGCAATAATATTTTGCGCAGGACCGCGACGCTAGGAATGTACGAAGCACTTCAAATCCTGGGCTACAAACCATACCACATGGCCGAAATCATCCGCGGCATCGAAGGACAAGGGCCGGTGATACTCGAAAGAGCATTGCTAGCAGAAAACGACCGTTTCTCAAGGAACAGGCCACTCGACCGGGCGGCATTTGACGAATGGCTCGAAGGATATGATGTCTTTATTGAATTGGGTTCTTACTTGCCCCAGCAGACTGTTCGAGCGTACCTGGATGACCCTGAGGTGAAATTCATCCTGGTGGAGCGCAATCCCGATGCCTGGGTGAAATCTGTCAACTCTTTCGTTGGCGCTACGGTCTTGAAAGCCCTGAACAGTTTTCCGCTGAACCTATTGAGATACTTCAATACTCCGCTATATCGCTTCTGGAGGTTGAACGTTCTTATGTACGGCATCATAAGCAACGGTACACGAATGGGTGAACCGGATAATGTGCGGAATCTGCGCGAAAACTATGTTCATTACATCGATCTGGTCAAAAAGCTGATACCGCCCGAGAGGATGCGCGTTATTCGACTGGAGGACGGATTGGGCTGGAAGGAGGTCTGTGATTATCTTGAGAAGCCCATCCCGGATGGTGTCCCTTACCCTATGAGGGTGGATCACAGTCCACTTGCCAAGGCTTGGATGGGCATGCAGATCAAAAATGCGCTTTTCAACTTTGGATTGACGTTGGTTCCAATCGTCGGAGCTGGTATCTATTTTGGCAGGATTTTCTTGTAATTGACCTCGGTTCCCTGTTCTATTTTGATGTATAGTACTATAGTATCTTGTTCATTTGTACCCAGGCAAATTGACTTTACCACTTTCAATGTGTTGTTGAATTTTGCATTATCTGTTGCATGCGTTCCTTCACCAGACAAAAATCCTCGTCATCAGCGCCAGAAAATCTAATCATCATTGCATGACTCTTTCTCATTTGTATATACTTCTCGTGCTTGGAAGCCATTGGATGATGTTCTCCGCCGGCACTTTCCAGGAAATAAGTCACTTCAAACTGTCCTTCCTTCTCCAATTCATTATACCGAGACTCCGCGTCTTGTAGCCAGGTCAGATCCTTCTTCATAGCTGTCAAGCCTGCGGGCTCAGCTGCCGTGGTAGATAATGAAGACGAGGACACAAGGCTTTGAAGACTATGGCTAATATCTGGAGGCGATCCAAAGAAGATTATACCACGAGTTGATGGCATCACACTGTCAGATTCCGACGTTGAAGACATTGCAAGAGCCTGGTTGTATGTGTCAATTATAGTATAGAAGTATAAAAATTGAAATTCTTACTGCTTTGAGTAAAAGAACACCAAAGCTATGCGCCAGGAATAATATGGGTGTCTGTTCAGCCTGTTATGCCATGTCAAATCAGAGCAAAGAAGTCAGGGATTGATGCCGAGTACGGACAGTTGGAGCATCTTGCCTCATTTCCGAGAGCTCTCTTAACAAACGCCTACAAATGTCTTCAGCCGGTACAAAGTCCAACTTCGATGCCGAGTACCCGAATGAAAGTACCCTCAACTCAGGTATGATACTCGGAAGGAAATCTCGAAGCCAGAAGACTTGGCTGTCAGGATGTGTCCATGAATTCATGTAATGGCCGCCATCACCATGGATGGCTACAATACTAGAGATAAATCAGAAATATTCCGAATAAAATGGGAGAATAATTTACTCGACGGAGCAGTTCCTACTTTCGCAGATTAATTTCAACCCGGTTTCTGCCGTACCGCGATTATTTTGCGAAGAATCATCAGAAGTAGATTTTCCATCACGAACTCTCCTGTTCTTGACCTTTTCTATGAAACGCCGCATTGTAGCACAGATGCCGATATGAATACCTAGCTCGTGGACGAAGCATATTTTCCCTGTCAGGTGGGGTATGCCTTTTGCCCACCTCACTGATTATATTTCAGGTTCTCACCCTCACGGAAACACTCAATAAGCCGCTCAGCGTCGTCGCGTGATCGTCGCATGATAAACACCGGGGACAGTATTTTTTTCTCACTAGCTATTATATTATCTCGTAAAGACTCTAGAAGGGATTTGATAGATACTCTAAACAAGCACGCCTAAGAGCTATAATAAAGGATATTTATCTATTTAACAAGGTCCCAGAACACGAGGCAAGGATTGGTGTAAGGCTTGAGATGAACTCGATCAATATGATATGACTGTGGCATTTTTTGAGAGCATGTATCACCGAAGGACTAAATCTACTTTTGATGGGTTAGACCTGGTATGAGAGCTTAGCCACAGCTATATAAAAACAATTGAGAACGCGATCAAAGTAGAAAGGGACTTCTATCTGAGCCCTTCGAAAGACCCATTTTTATACTCATCTCCGATGACCACTATTTCGTTGATCGGGTTCTCGGACTTGCAGAAAACGTGAACGAGGGCTCGATTTCGAGCATAAGCCGAGTATACCAGAAAATGGGTTCAACCCGTCGCACCATGCATATTGCAGCGATATCAGCGTGTAACATGGAGACATACAGGGAAATGCGATAGAATCCAAGTTATATTGAATGATCAGTATAGGGCCTGTTAGCTATCTCTGACTGATCAGTGATGAAAATCCATACTATCCGGTCTACTCTGAATCTTTCAGACATAGATGCTGGTTCAGTTGCCCATGGTGGGAGATCACTGACGAACTGTTTCCGTTCATCTCAATTGCCCAGTGGAGCAACCTTGACTACACCCGTCATGCCATCTGATAAATCTTCTTCTTTCTGGTATTCAAGAACCGAAAACCATTCGAGGTATTCGAGGGCTAGGCCACCAGGATCAGGATAGGAAGTAGGTAGTAAAATGTGGTATCAATTGTATATTCAACGGCATAATAGACATACCCTCTCTCCGCGTATCAACCATTCAAGCAGAAGCAGACAAACTTCCAAAAACCTTCTCCATCCTATGTAACTCAAGAAAAGGAAAGAAAAGAGAAAGAAAAGAGAAAGAAAAGAGAAAGAAAAAAGGCACACGGAAAATAATACACTAGCAAAGAGTCACTTGCACCCATCCGCCCAACCCCAAAAGGATATTGATGTTGATCACAAAATTCACTCCAAGACGAGAACTCCAGACATCCGAGTACAAAAAAGAAGAAATAGTGGTGCCAGCTCCCGATTATCGTAATAGTATCATGTTGTTTATCTGAGTTGTCCGGCGATGTAAGCCAGGAGGTAAGATGTGAAAAAGATAAAAATAGGTATAAAAAGAATGGTCAAAACGCCGTGTCCCAAGTTTTGTATGGCCATGAAAATGATGTACTCCAAATCCACACTTGTTTCGCCGATGATCCTGTTCCCACCTTCCTTATGTTAGTTCAGATCTCAATTCATTTACCCATCCCATTAGCCATCATCTGCTGCTGCTGCTGCTGGTGTTGTTGAAGAAGAGCAGCCTGTCGCTGTTGTTGTTGTTGCAAGTTTTCTCGCCTCATGACATCCTGGACCCAAGCTCGTGCATTGTTCTCCAAGCCAGCGTAGTATTGCTGAGCAACCGGCGGCGGGTATTGTTGAGGGGTGCCATATTGTGATTGTAATCGCTTCTGCATGTCTGCACGCATAAGCTGCAGCCTTTGTTTGAACATCTGTTGATACCGAGCCTGCGTGGGGTTTTGTGGAACTTGACCCTGGTTCGCGTTCGCGTTCGCCTGAGCGGCTGCTATAAGCATTTGCTGTTGTTGCTGTTGTTGTTGCTGAGGACTCATTTGCATGCCACCTTGCTGCTGCTGGTTTTGCTTTTGTTGAGCCATCTGCATCTGCGCCATCTGGTTCCGTATAAGATGAGCTTGATAGGCCTGCTGAGACTGCATCTGCTGGAGCTGATGTTGCTGACCCATCTGGTTTTGTTGGGCTTGCTGCTGTTGATTAAGTAGCTGCTGTTGATGTTGATGGTTCTGGATATTTTGCTGGGCCTGTAATTGAGCGAATTGTTGAGGTGTAAGACCTTGTTGTTGAGCCATCATTACTTGTTGTCGTTGCTGGAGCAGCATTTGTTGTTGCTGTGGTGTCATCTGAATTCCCATGCCTGCCATCTGCGGCGTACCCATCATGGCATTGCCCATGACTGGTGTCTGTGTCATGGTGGTATTTGGTGGGCTGCCATGAGCCATGCGCTGTGTCGGTGTAACATTGCGCATGATTGGTGTAGCGTTTGCCATGGCCGGAGTACCCTGAGTCATTTGAGGAGTACCATTTCGAGATTGACCTTGTTGACTTCTAGAAGGAGCCATCGGGTGGCCCATAACACCTGGGTGGGCATGCTGCATAGTTGAAGGTGGTCGGGGTGGACTGCCAGCGCCTTGAGCAGACGCAGTCATGCTCATAGAGACACCACCTTGAGTACCCATACCGGTGCCAACAACCGGAGAAGAAGTGGCATGCGGAGTTTGATTGCGCACCACCGGAGAAGACATCTGACCTTGTGAGACCTGAGTAAGACCATTTGCCAATCTCTGTTGTTGCTGTGCAGCTAACTGAGCATGCGCTTGTTGGGCTGCCAGTTGTTGACGACGTTCTTCCTTTGCATTTTCTTCTGCTTGTCTTTGCTCCAAGAGTCGCCGTCTCTCTCTTTCTGCCTCTGCTTGCTGTTGTCGCTTGGCCTGTTCCTGTTGAAGTTTCTTCTCATGTTCACGTTTGGCCTTTTCTTCATGCTGCATACGGATATTCTCAATAGTTTTGAATCTAGAGAAGCGTGGTTCAAACGGTACGGCACCTGCAGTATCGTCAACAGCAATCTTAGCTCCCGCAGCTGCGCCTGATGTCGCGGGCTCCAATCTTTCGTCCATGATAAGCATGAATCGCTCTTCCTCTGCAGCAAGAGCCTCGTCGGCAGCCAACTCTGCAACTGTTCGCTTCCTCCTTTTCGGTGACGGTGGCCTGGCACAATGCAGAGGACTTTCCATGAGCTTGAGAAGCTCCTGTGCAGATTCAAAGTTATCTACTGGCTCTAAATATATCGGAGGTGCGACGGCTCTGATCAAGGTAGCTTCGAATTTGGGTAAATCTTCGGGGTCAACAAGCATCTTCTGCCTTTTGACCGGAGGTTGCCCTGTAGGAATCTTAGTCTGTGGTTGAGTCGAAAGAGGTTGTTTCTTGTTCGCACCAGGGTTCAAGTTGGCATGAGGATGTGGTGTTGTGGATAAGTAGGTGAGCTCTGCTTGGAGGGAAAGCGGCGTTGGATGCAGCACTGTCGTGAAAACTTTTGGTTTATGTTCAGCTTGCTTTTCAGCATCACGAGTAATATCAGCGGTGGTGGTCTCCATAGGTTTCGTAGAATCAGCGGACTCCGCATCAGGCTTCTTTTCAGGCGAGTCCGACGTAGATAAGTCGTTCACCTCGGACTTGATCTGATTCTGCTTCGGATATGGCACATACGGCGACGGCGTAACGTGCTGGTTATAGTTGTGAATAGAGAAAGGTGTGTTCTTTTCGTCGGTAGACTTTACAGTCGTCTTGTTTGTCTGAGCTGAGACCGATTTGTGATCAACAACTTTGACGATAAGACAACCTAATTAGAGGCGCGCATTAGTACCATTTGATCAGTATGGTCAGTTGACTTGCAAATACCTTCGTAAAACTTGACGCCAGCGCGGAGAAGCTCCTCAAGCATATCATGAGGTACAGTCTGTGACCGAATATGTTCGATGATTACCTTCATTTCCGAGTTGTATGGGAAACTGCCATCTTGCTGATCAAATCGAAAGTGAGTAGGATGGAGGTGGAGGATGAGGGATGGCGAAGACTTGGAGTATTTTTTGAGGATATACGACGTCGTTTTCACTGTCCATAAAATCGGCATTAGTAAAAGTCATGCTTCATAGAGATATATCTGGGTATGCGAAACTAACCAAAAGGCTCTGGAGGTATTTTGGCGACTCGACGATCTGATTCCGCGACAAAATTCCTAGTCGTGGCCCGTTGAGGCCGTGACGTTGAAGTATCCGCGGGCTTCTGAATATCTTTTCGCGGCCGATTAAGCGGACGATTCAATGCGCCATTGGTGGTAGGTGTAGCAATGCCATTCACGGCAGGCGGTTGATGAGCACCGGGCAGCCGTTTCGAGGCAAGAGCCGGCGACGACGAAGCAGAAGGCGACTGCTTGATCCCGTTTACCATGCCAGTCTGCGTAAACGAGGGTGGAGGACGTTTCATTTTCGGAGGCTGAGATGCGGGTTTGGAGATAGCGGTAGCCATGATGGGCGGGCGGAGGTACAGGCCGGGGACGGAATTACCCCAGCTAAAAGAACGAAAGACGCGCGCGCGCACAGCCAGCAATCAAGCAACTGTATGCAGTTCCCCCTCTCTCACAGAGTCACGACTTCTGACGTCGAAGAAAGACCCCAAGCTCCAAAAATTGACGCTTCCACCGACGCGCGAGACATGTGGGGAACGGGGGTGATGATAGGGTGGGTGACAGAGAGAGCGAGCGAGGTGAGGTTCAAAAAGAGATACACATCACCCAATGAGGATGACAGGGTGAGCACAGCTGGCGAACAGACTGATTTGAGGCAGCCGCAGTCCGTGAGGCAGGCAGTTGTCGAGATGGCTGGCTTTGACAAGGGCTCCGACTGGCGGTTGTCTCGTCGTCCCGGCAGGTGATGTTCTTCTGAATGATGCGGGTGCCACGTCGGTCACGTGGTCTGAAGAACCAGCTGAATCCGGTTAGTGCCTGGGGCAGTCATCGGCGCTCTCCCCGGATTTTGTCCGTTTACAGCACAACAGAAGCAAATTCCAACTACTCAGAAAACAAAGTGCGATCAAGGATGTGCAGATACTGACACAATTGATAGGGTCTTGAATAGATTGCGATTGAATTGTTGTTGATCGGTCATATTCATAAATTCCTACAGGTAAAATACTACGTACAAAGAAGATTGCCTTACATAAAGCCTCGAAACGAAAAAATATAAAGATATTGGATATCAAACAAGTAGCAGCCAAAACAGAATAAGACCCAGATGCAGCATTCGTCACTGTCTAGGCCATACCTCCGATTCATCACCCATTAGTCATGACCCGAGACTCGTCGTCTCCAATCGTCGCCAGCCTTGAGACTGTCAACAATATCAATGTGTTTACCGATACCGGTGACACCTTCCTTCTGCCACCACTTTTCGCGGCGCTCTCCTCCGAGTGCCGAGTGCTCGTCTTCGCTGTCAATCAAACCACCGCGACCGCCCTCATCACCGACAACAACCACCACGTGGCGGACCCAGTCAGCAAGTTTCTTTACACTATCACCTTCTGGACCAGCCAACGATTCCTGCATATATACAATGTCCGGCGACAGATGACGCAAGATGTGTAGATGTCCGTTGGGTGTGCTGTATGGCATGATCATGGTGTCTTTGTCCACGAGGGCTTGTGCCTGCGTATATAGGGTCTTGAAAAGGCGGCCAGCAGATTCGAGTTCATCAGTCGCAGAACGAGGTTCGAGGCTTGTCAAATCGTTGCCAGAGATACCAGGCGCACCAGCTGCTTCCTCAGGCGCGATATTGGAAAATGAAGAGTCCACAGAGGGTGTGGGCCGGGTCGACGTCTGAATACCAATTGTGTGTTTCAACTTGGGAGCGTAAATGAGAACAATGACGCGAGCGACGCTTATATCGACGTGAGAGGGGAGATGAGAGAGAATTGACTGTTACATAATATCAGTATAGGTCAATAATCGCAAAGCCAGTGGGAACCTACGGCGTGTTCAGACAAAGTAATGTCCTCTGGATCATCAGATGGAGCAACAGAAGAAACAACAAGTGCCACAGTCTTCTTTGCCTTTGTCGAGGTAGAAGGGCCGCCATGAGGAGTAACATCAGCACCACCTCTGGCACGTAGATCCGCCTCTTCCGACCAACGCGAATGATCCTCAAAGTCACCGCGTTCTTCGGTGATCGAGCTCAATGCACCTCCCACCATGGCGCCGGCAGCAGCTACTCCAGCCGCGACCCTTCTGCTAGCACCATCAAAGAGCTGTTGGGGACTAGGTGTTCGACGTAAAGCGCCCTGCATACGCGCAATGACACTACCATCGTCCTGTCGCCCATCTGTACCTGTGGATCGCGCGAAATCCGCACCAGGTGGACCGCCTTCATAGCCAGACGGAGGGGGGGGCTGGTTAAAATCATCGGGGTAATCGCGTCCTTCGTCGTCGTCCTCGTTTTCCTGTCGTTCGCTCCAAATCCAAGCAGCGACACTAATTGTCGCGATACCAACTGTCACAGCCAATGGGATCCAATACCCCATAAATGTTCGTCGGCCCGTTGAACTGAAGCCCATTCCGTTTGGCGCACGACGCCGGCGATCCTGAGGGTAGGACATTGTGACGACGGATGGGGCCTCGGCCCTCTAGACGGTTCCGTATGCTTGAACACGAGAATGATAAGTTTTGAAGGTGAGAATGCGACGGAAGTGTCTCATCTCAGAGTATTGAAAACAAGACGCGCAAACTGTGAAATTGTGCTGTGTAGAACAAAGAAAGAGACGCAATAATCGGAGGCGGGTCGTTAGTGACCTCGGAAGGAGGGTCAGGTCAAGTCAAAACATGTGGCTGGAGCTCTCATCCGCCGCGGCTGTACGGTTGGCTTGGCAATGCTCTTGTGATGTTTGTCTTGTTTGTCTCCCGGAATGCTGGTGGCAGGAAACTGCTTAGTCATGCGGCCAGCCCTAACCCACCAACTGGCTCAGGACTACCATTCTGTGAAATCATGGAGACATTCAGGACATTGAAGATGATGTGTATCTTAGAAAGGGTCCGCCTTGATGAATCAGGGGCTCTTCATTATTATGCACCTGGATTCAAATACGTTGACCGCTCTTCAAGCTGAGAGTATACGTATTTATCAGTTCAGATGTTCCAAGGTCAATTTATAAAGATATCAGCGTTTGAAACCACCTACTCAGATAATTTAGCAGGCGAAGCTACATGTACCTAGATAGGTAAATGAGATAAGGGAGAAGTTATGTTACTCGAGTTGGAATTTACTCAAATACTCAAAGGGAAAGCCAACATGAAATGCGACGTCTACAGAATTGTTCAATCCTTGTGGTTATCGGATTAGGGATATAGATCCTGATTTTTGATTCACACAATTAAAAGCGTCATAGAAAGTTACATGTGGTTAGGTCTATTGCACCTCTTGGGCCTGCAATCCCATTGTTTCCTCCATTTTTTGGTCGCCGGCCAGCCAAATCGGAACATCATGCTGAGTGACCCCTGAACGCCACCCGATCATCTTCTGTGCCTGAGGAGTCATACTCTCAATAATCGTTCGCGGTACATGCAAATGCGACTCCATCGGAGTAAAGTGGCAAGGATGTATACACAACAACAATCCCTGTCGATGGGCATCGGACTGATTCGAGCCTGCTCCATGCCACAAACTCCCCACAAAGAGTAGGGCATCCCCAGGTTGGAGAGCTGCCGAGGAAGCTTGTTCGGGAGTTGGTGCACCGTACGAGTCGTCCCAGACATGACTTCCAGGCACAAACCGAGTGGCGCCGTTATCATCACGGAACTCAGTAACCGCTATAAGGATATTGATCATCAAGTCTGGATCACCTGGCTGACGGAGCTTCGTAACTCGATATAGGATATCGTCGCGGTGCAAATTTTGAGCGGGTTCACCAGGTTCGATATGAAGGACTGAACCTCGATTCATCCAATAATCGCCAAAGTGTGGACGGAAAAGAGGCTCGAGAATACTGTGCATCCACTTGTTGTTGAGGATATCATGTCGGTATGTCTTCGAGATGGCTGTGAGATTGGCCACGTGTTTGGTCCCACGGCCAATGTCGACTTTGACTCCATCAGGGTTGAAGTTTGGTCCACCTTCGAAATCCTCGATAGCAGGTTTGATCTCTTCTCGGAAAGACTGGACTGTGGCTTGATCGAGGAAGTCTCTTAAAACAACGACACCATCTTCTTTAAGGAGTTGAATGACCTTGTCTGGAGAGGTATTTGCCTCCACACTCTTGATGGTAGAAGCGTCTGACGGTAATTTAGTCATCTTTAACAAAGCGCGTATAAAAGATCTCCAAAGTCTCAAAGCAATGGACAAGCTGGACTCAAGCTGACGGGTGATCGAATACATGGATAGGTTGTAGCAAACAAATCTGATGGGAATGCAAAGGAACCGATTATGAATCACGGTAACACACTTGTAATTAATATGATATAATCTTAAATTCGTAAATGGTCACAATGTAGATGTTTGCTTGTTGATGACCTCTTCTTACGCTATTGTAGTACCTATCGAAACGGATCCTTGCAGCTGTGTCGGGTCGCATATGATGTGATATATCTGGCCCACTACGATCAAATAATTTAAATTTCCCCAGTAACCTCTAACTGTATGTTACTAGTAAATTTGAACTATCTAAAAACTTGCTCATAAGTAACGTAGGTCATGTAATATAGTCTTGTCCGTGTTAAGGAGTGATGACGCGAGTCATTCTGTTTAGAGCCGCTTGTTCTTCTGCACACGGAATGGTACCGTTGATATGCCCTATGCCATTTCTAAGTCCAACAGAGTGCTCTCAAATATACATATAGATATGAGGTATCAAAGTTAATAATTGTAGATGGCAAGGGTGCAGTTGGGTAGCAACCGGTTGTGATGAGCATAGCCCCAAATAAATATTGCATTGCTATTCAGATCAGAGGTCGCACAGAAATACATCACTACAAATAAATTAGTAACATAGTTATGTCCTAATTTTAGGATTTCTATTTGCTCGTGCTTTTAAGCTCCCGAAGCTACATTTTCGGTACTATAAAACCATTCTCTCCGATGTTAAGTGGCGTGACCGATTTGACAAACGGTCATGACTTCGATTTTGTACCGTTCATTATACTCAAAAGCAATAATTTTTTCTTCATTTGAAATCTCAGACGGGATGTACGATGAACCTTACAGATTTAAATTTTCCATTCCTCAGGTCAGCTGATAGGCATTATACTGCGCCCATCCTGTAGATCCTCTAGGCGATTCTAATAATGTGAGAACTGATTACAGCATTGTAAGGTTTCGAATATCATATTTGATTGTCTAATGAGGTATTGCCTAAAAAGGTTTATGCTAAAAGAACAAAAGATCTGCACAATCGCCGAATTAGGAACTTGCTCTAATGTTCTGCCAACTTGATGTAGGTAGGAAAGCCCCCTACATCCCATTCTGGGTGCTCGTTTAAGATAGGTCTTTAGCGCCTCGAGACTGTATGATCTACCCGTGGTCTGATCTACAATGCATATTGTACCTATCATGATCTCCCTACCATCGTGGGCCCAAAGATGACACCGTCTTCTCCGTCCCTCCTTGCTTTGATGACTTCTCACTTTGTCTCAGTTTGACAGACTTAGTAGTTATTCACTTCTCGATTAGTACACACGCAATTGTCGCCTTAATCTACTTCGGGTTGACTATTTTATTGACGCCCTGCAAGAAAGGTGGCAAAATTGGAAGGCTGACTGACAGGTGTCGGGTCATAGCAACGACAGATTAGGAAGTAAACACATAATGCACGACATGTTTGTGCATATATCTGTAATGTGTACACAGAGAGTAGTTCGTTTGTACGGCAAATGACATAGACTTAGGCTACTGACAAAGTACACTTGCACCAAATACATTTTTCCTTCCTCAACAGCTAAATCCAACCGCCGACTTGCCTGCATCAACAGGACACGCGATTAAGAAATCTCATCGGAGCTTCCATACTGTGTGACACTTTGAAGATAACAAGGACGATGCATGATAATATTAAAGTCTTCGCTGACCTAAGTGAGCTGCCAGCAGGCTCCTCAAAACATGGCGGTATCCAAGCATCTCCAGACTTGAAAAGTATGTGGAGCGATATGTTTCCTGACCAAGCAGGATATCAAGTGTCTTCCAAAAAGGAAGATAAAGCTGAATCAGTGTCGGTAAAAGAAGATACTGGAGGTCTTGAAGATGGCGAACTTCAGTATCCGTCGTCGTGGAAGCTTGCTATTATCATGCTGGGACTCTGCTTCGCTGTTTTCTGTATGGCATTGGTACGTGAACGATACTATTTTTCTGAATCCAAACATTTATTATCATGATACTAACCTTTGACTCAGGACAATACTATCATAGCAACGGCAATCCCAACAATTACGGACGAATTCAACTCCCTTGATGATATAGGGTGGTACGGAAGCGCTTACCTTTTCACAACATGCAGTCTGACACTGGTCTTCGGAAAGTTGTATACGTTCTACTCTATCAAATGGGTATATCTCATTGCTATTGCTGTCTTTGAAATTGGATCTGTTGTTTGCGGCGCAACTCCAAATTCCGTGGGTTTGATCCTAGGGCGCGCTATCGCTGGCCTCGGCGGAGCAGGAATATTTTCAGGCTCCATGCTGATCATCGCGCAAACTATGCCATTAGAGAGGCGTCCGATATGTACTGGACTTCTTGGTGGTTTATATGGGATTGCTGGTGTGGCTGGGCCGCTTATGGGTGGTGCTTTCACCGAGTACGTCACCTGGAGGTGGTGCTTCTATATCAACATACCGTTCGGAGCAGTCACAGCTCTCTTCATATTTTGTTTCTTCAAGGCACCAAAGCCGATCAAAAAGACATCTAGCATTCGAGAGCAACTTGCACAACTCGACCTACTTGGTTTGGTGTTTTTCATACCTGCTATTGTGTGCGTCTTGCTGGCACTACAATGGGGAGGAACTCAGTACCCGTGGAAAAGTGGGCGAATTATTGGCTTGTTCGTAACCTTTGGTGTTTTGATCTTGACATTCAGTGCGATTCAGTGGAAGAAGCAGGAAACCGCCACCATCGTTCCGCGATTGGTCAAAAATCGCAATGTTTCCGGTGCTGCCTTCTACTGTTTATGTATGATTGGGTCTTTTATTGTCTTTACTTATTACGTGAGTGAACCCTTCTACCTTCCATTTCTCTGCAGCTGCAAATAGATGAGCACTGAGCTGAATCAACTCACTTCAGCTACCTTTATGGTTTCAGAGCATCAAGGATGTATCAGCCACAAAGTCCGGTATAATGAACCTTCCAACGATTCTGGGTGTTGTGGTATGCACTATCCTCAGCAGCGGTCTCGTTAGTGGGCTCGGATACTATACGCCATTCATGTATATCTCACCCGTGGTAGCCTCAGTTGGTGCGGGATTACTTTCCACTTTAAAAGTTGATTCTGGGCACGCTGAATGGATAGGCTACCAAGCTTTGTACGGTATCGGATTAGGCTTTGGCATGTCACAACCCATGGTTGTAGTCCAGGCTGTTCTGACACCTACCGATATTCCCACTGGCACTGCAATTATAACCTTTATGCAATCTATAGGAGGAGCCATCTTCGTCTCTGTTGCTCAAAATGTCTTCAACAATATCTTGTTGCAAAGACTAGCCGAGGATGCACCTACTGCCGACGCTGCGACGATTGTAGGAACCGGTGCGACTTCGTTGCAATCCGTGGTTCCACAGAATCTGCTACCCTCTGTACTTGAGGCGTACAATTCGGCTATTACGCAGGCTTTCTATGTTGGAGTTTCTCTAGCAGCAGTATCGATTCTGGGGGCGTTACCTGTTCAGTGGGTTTCTGTTAAGGGAAAGAAGATCGAGGCAGGAGCCTGAAATTGTGCAAGACTACTCTAGACGGAGAAGGAACTGCAAAAAGAGCATATTCTCCGAGGCTGGGTACTTTTTGCCATTCTAGTACATATCTGTCATAATCGACAATCAGTTATAGCCGATTAGATGTAATATCATTTTAATGCTTTTTAAATCTACCTACCATATGCAAAATAAATCTCTAATCATGCCTAATGTCTACGCCAGCCAGGCTATGACAGACCCGGTGTAGCCTTGAAAGCCCTCAACTGTGTTTAGTATTCTTACGATTCCCGGGTCTAATCTCAGTCATATTTTTGCAGGAGGCGTGGGGCCCATATGTAGCTCTCAGGCTAGTGCCCGCTAGAGTGCGGATCCTTATAGTGGCCGCCCATAATTATGCCCCGAAGATGTAGCGCGTATAGGATATCTTGGAGCGCAGAGAAAACGTTCCAAGTATATCCTCTCGCGTAAACGGTACTGAAAATAAACCCTATATGCGTTGTTGATCAGGAAACCACACAATTCACAACCCACTATTTTCTAGATCCCATTGTTCTAGTAATGATCATGATGCAAGGGAAAGCTGCATATTTCTTCTCTCTTCCTGCAGTCCGAAGCCACTAGTATTCCGATCACTTTACTCATTATTCGAAGAAATAAAATACGTAGTTAACCATTCCAATACTTTACGGGACTGGAATTAGTTCACTACGTATGTGGGCGGACTATTTGATGTGCTGCAGTCATTTTGAGACTTTTGAATAGTGAGGTGATGAATCATTATTTTCAGAAAGTACGTAAATGCAAATCTGGCGATGAATGATCGGGGTATTCCATTGGTATTGTACTAGAATTAGTGTCGTGCAAAAAGCGTCCAGGTGGTATAGTGAAAAGTCTGCCGTTGATTCCAAGGCTACTTTTAGAAGTACCTGACAGAATAACAGTCGAATCCATTTACATGGCTCTTATTGTTGAATTAAAAATTAAAATCATTCTTCCGCCGTACAAAACTATCTGAATTCTCAATTAGCATCTTCCTTTGAAAGACACTCGAGAATGCTCTCCTTCGAGCCTCTCAGCAGGCCGATCGTTGATTCGTCACAGACCTTGCTGGTGATTTTATTACTAGCATTTACACGCCAGAGTTCAGTCTTTCGGTACTTGAGCATTCCGATTCTGACAATTATTCTATATGTACAGATTACACAACCGCCGGTAGTGGTTGAAAACTTCAATCAATGGTTGAACGAGAGTTCTGTGCCGTTTAACTATCTTCACCAGATCAATATTTTGGTTCTTACGAGTGTCGGTCTTCGAGATGACAGTAACTGTGTGCTGCCAAGTATCTTGAAAAGAATTAAGCTCGCCTTTATCTACCTGCTCAATCCTCGAGGAGTTGGAACGGTGTATCAAGTCAAAAACATCCCGCCCGTTCCAGCTTACTACAAGACGAGGAAAGGATACCTCTCTCAGAGATATCGCTTCGTTATTAGGCAACTGTGTCTTTTTGCCTGGCAATATCTCATTGTGGATGTGGGATGCTCACTCTGGCATCAGCTTCCTGACCACGAAAGAATCACACTATTTGGGACCGGAACAGAATGGGATATAGTCAATGCCGGGGCACAACAATGGAGAATTCGCTTGTTGGCTGTCTTCATATTCTGGACTACAGCCAGAAACGCCGTAGACCTCTCGCATAGACTCGGTTCTGCTGTCTTGACGGGAGTTGGAGCAACATCTGTACATGAGTGGCCTCCCATGTGTGGAACCTTGCTTGATGCTTACACATTGCGCAACCTTTGGGGGTGAGTCAATGGATTATATCTTTATTCAAATTCTTTTGCGTTAGCTGACGCCCTTCAGGAAGTGGTGGCATCAGCAGCTAAGGTGGACGCTGAGCAGCCATTCAAACTTCATCACACGTCGCCTTCTGAAGCTCCCACGGCGGTCCCTCCTTGAACGTTACCTCAACAATGCTATAGTCCACGCTTTCTCCGCATGCATACATGTCAATGGTTGGCGGTTAGCCGGAATTTCTGATGGCTATATTGGTTCCTCGTTGTTTTATATGTCTTTCGTCGTAGGATACATTTTCGAGGATTTCATCCAAAATATCTGGGCTTCATTGTTTCGACCCAGAAGCCTTGCCAGCTTTAGGGTGTTCTTTGAAAAACTCATTGGTTATATTTGGGTCGCATTCTTTCTGACAATTACAACACCTTGGTGGATCTATCCTCTTCTGCGCCGTGAGCATTCGTTTGCTTTGCCTGTTAGTTTTGTGGAGGTATTTGGCATGAACAACGTTCTCGCAATGATCGGTATTGGGGCGTTTGCTCTCAAAACTCAATTTGATGCCAACATTTAGTGCGGCAGTTGCTGTATTCTTTCATGTTATTGTCAATGTATTATGATCATCGATTTTTAGCACTTGCAACATTGAAGAAAATAGCGAGGTCTGGAAACCAAAATTTATAGCAAGATACTGCTTATTCAATAGATATAAATGAGTGGATCAAGAAGAGGAAAACTTTGCAGAATATACTTATGTAGATGTGTAGCTATCAAGCGCCAGTCTCTAAATGTGTCTTTATAGATATTCTGGCGCCAATTTATAAGCCTTCATTCTTGACAAATAAGACCCTTCATAAAACAGACCAGAAAGGCCCTAGTATGTATCTGGCATTATATTACCAGAAATCCCCGAGGTCCATGGTGAATAGAGCTTTTTTCTGGGAAATTGTACAGAAAGAAGATCTCATTTCTAATCTGAGGTTGAAGATGTTGGTCTTGTCAACTGATACCTGTGTACATCCATATACACACACACACATGGATATATACACCCACCAGTCCTAACTACATGTATAACCTTGGAAGTACATAGATACCTAGGTATACCAGACACTTTAATGTCCCAAGAATATTTGAAACAATAACAAATTGATATGGCTATTAGATTCATGATTATTTTACTAGAGATTTGAAGTACAAAATATCTACAGTATGCTGAAATTAAAATTAGGCCTGTAGTCACTCAGGTAAGGCTTTCATAGATAGTCTTTTTGCCTCTACTTCGAATGTTGACTATATACTAAGTATACACTAGTGTACTATGTACCAACAGATGATGTAACAAGCCATAGAAGCTGCGGTGAGGATTCTCTTTTTTAAAATCTCAAGCATTTGTTCGGAATCATTTTTGCTTACTTGAAAGAACCTCGGGAAGAAGCAAAATAGAGGATTAAGTACTGAATTGTGGATTTGTCTGAAATTGAGTAATTGTACATGTCACTACTTTTTCTTTGCTCAGAAATAATTCTAATACGCCTCCTTGTGATGTAGCCTCAGTACATCCTCGATCTTATCATCTCCTGCCTGCCAAATCGGAATCATGTTCGCATTATGCATTGTTCGCCATCCGACCATCTGCTGTGCCAAAGGGGTCATACTTTCGACAAGTTCCTTTGGTAAGTGAAAATGGGACTCCATGGGCGTGAAATGACCTGGGTGCATTGAAACAATCATTCCTCGCCGATAGGTAGAAGAGCGATTCTCTCCCGCTCCATGAAACAAGCTTCCCAAATAGACCACCGCGTCTCCAGGTTGGAGAATTGCTGGTACGGCTTCGTCAGAGCCGTAAAACGTGGGTGGGTGAGCAGCATCCCAGCGGTGGCTTCCAGGAATCAGCTGGGTGGCTCCGTTGTCCTCTCGAAACTCAGTCAGTGATACCAGAAAATTTATCATGAATTCTGGGTCATTCCATCGGCGCCGAAAATCACTAACACGATAGACACCGGTATCCCGGTGGAAGAACTGAGCTTTTTCGCCCGGTTCAAGGTGAAGGATGTGGGCGCAGTTCATCCAGTAATCACCGAACTCTTCACCGTAAATTTGTTCACAAACATCATGCATCCATTTGTGGTTCAGGACTTTATTGCGAAACGTTTCGGATGTCAAGGCGAGGTTTTTCATGTGCTTGGTCTTTTTGCCTTCTCCACGTTTATAGATTTCATGTTTTGGGGTTTCACCAGCCTCCTCGTTGTATTCTTGATATCGAGGACCAAATGATCCTTTTTGTATAGCAGTATCGACTTCTTCTTGAAGTTTTTGAATAGTTTCAAGGTCCATGAAACCTCGCACAATCACTGCGCCGTCCTCCTTTATGTGACGGATCACATCGCTCAGGGGTGTCGAGAAATCCACCTTGTGAGGTACTGATGATTCATTGATTGTGACCGTCATTTTTATGTTGTGTTGTCATCAGATTATGAAACAAAACACAGCTGATGGTAGATCGTTGTTCAAAGATGAAAGTTGTTCGGACGCGATATTTGCTTCAGAAATGTGCTCAGCATAAGTTGGACTTTATTGTCAAGAGGATACAATCGGGAGAACTGTCCACTTTTATGTTAAAAAATTACTTCTATGGTAAGACTTCAATGTCAGCCAGCCGAACTGTAGCCGACCAGACTAATTCCATTCAGGTGCTATCATCCTGTTCGAAATGGATCCACTTCTGCTTGCTGCTCATCCCTACCACAGTATCCAATAATCCTCTATCATCTGCTAGTGTGCGCGAGACATAAAGATGCATACCCGATAAATCAAAACACTTTCCGTAACTACCTCTCCAAATCTATTTTGATCAGAATTGCCCTTCAAAAATGTAGCCATAACTACAAGCCACGTAGGGGTAAACTAGCTATTGTTCTTAAAAAGGTAAGGATAGACGACCAGAATGTAGGCTGTCGAGAAGAACTTGACTTACCGACATTATCGTTCTAAGTAGACCCATAATGAGAATCGTGAATATCGCCTGTAGTGAGCTATATACATACTATCATCGCCACAACTTAGAGTTTACGATCGCCGATCTTATATCAACCTATCCGACTTAACCGTGCATCACGCACAAGGAGATTGTTGACCATTGAGACTGTGCATGCATTGGAGGTGTCATCTTCTGTGACGACTATACCAGGCCCATAGAAAACACTTCTCCTTGCATGTTATATGCAAGCGAAGAGATGGTGTCGGATGGTATGATAGCGTTAAATGAAATTGAGGGAAGGAATCAATGACGAATGAGAATTTGAGCCGAGATGTAACATGCAGAATCCGGGAAGGAACTGGGAAAGAACACAATGGCTATACTATCTTGGACACTTGCTTTTTCTCGGCTGTACTAATTTCACTCTTCGGGTCTAATATCTTATATCACTAATGGATATACGCATATTCATTACATCGATACTGAAAAACAACTATGAATGTCCTCCTCAGCATCAAGTAGCATATGCAAGGATGGGCTCCATTTCATAACTTGATATGACATGCTGAGAGTCGACGCGGCATGCTCGCAAGATCAGTGATATAGCTTCCTGCGTTATGGAAACTTGAAAAAAGGAAATATAAACTAGCTCTTGGACATATATAAATATTTCCGCGTGCATATCTGATGTGCTACAATAACCCGTGCACAATATACTACTACTTCCTAATTTCTTCAGTTTTCGTTGAATCCATCGTGACAAGATGGTTCTGCATCCGTCAGGTAGAATACTTCCTGAAACAGACGGAGTAGGGGGACACCCCAAAGGCTCTTCAACGAAGACCGGACACACATCTCTAGAGCCTCTAGCGATTGTCGGTTTTGCAACGCACCTCGCCGGAGATGCTACAGATAATGAGAATTTGTGGAGGCATATTCTCGAGGGACAGTCAGCATCCGGTCCTTTCCCTCAGGATAGATTGCAGGGCAATCAGTACTTCCATCCAGATCCTGAACATGGAGGAACATGTGCTACGAAGGGTGGATATTTCCTAAAAAAGGACATTGACACCTTTGATGCATCCTTCTTCCGTCTATCCGAGTATGACATTGCTGCTATGGACCCCCAGCAAAAAATATTGCTGGAGAATGTGTATCATGCTGTTGAAAATGGTCAGTTTTTGTCACAAATGGACTTATTGATTGCTCTATACTAACCAAAGTGAGTGGTATTCTAGCTGGGCTACCAATCGAGACACTAGCGGGTTCACGAACGTCTGTCTATGTCGGTAGTTCAACAAATGATCACGCGGCTCTCACCAATGAGGACTTGGATTTCACGATAAAGAATAAGGCTACCGGAACATTGCCTTCACTTCTTGCCAATCGAGTTAGTTGGTTCTACGACTTGAAGGGTGCCAGTATCGTCATTGATACTGCATGCTCGAGTAGTCTCGTGGCCTTACACATGGCATGCCTTGATATCCGGGCCGGTGGATCTGAGATGGTAGGAATTCATGTTTGCATGCATTTATTTGACAAGACTTTACACTAATCTATGCGGGACCTAGGCAATCGTTAGTGGTATTAACCTGCTGCAACATCCAGCCTCACTGTTGTTGCTCAGTAATCTCGGTGTCCTTTCTCCTGACGGCCGATCGTATGCATTCGATGATCGTGCAAACGGCTATGGTCGCGGTGAAGGTGTGATTACTGTCGTTGTTAAATCTTTGCAAGCTGCAATCCGTGATGGAGACCAAGTGCGTGCCTTGGTTCGAGCTAGTGGTGTTAGTTCGGATGGAAAGACGGCTGGAATTACTCTTCCCAGCGAACAAGAACAGAAGACACTCATTCGAAACGTGTATGCAAGTGCCAATCTCGATGTGAATGAAACGACATATGTGGAAGCCCACGGTACCGGTACGCCGGTTGGCGATCCTCTTGAATGCAAAGCTATCATGTCTGCTTTTCGCACTCAGAGACGCAAGCAGCCCCTTTATATTGGGTCTATCAAAGCCAATATCGGACATTTGGAAGGAGGAGCCGGGCTGGCAGGTCTCGTTAAAGCCATCATGATGTTGGAGAAACAGATTATTCCTCCAATAGCGGGCCTGCAGAGATTGAACCCGTTAATTCCCCAGGATGGGCATAACGTTTGTTTCACCAGAGAGGCCATTCCCTGGCCGGAGTGTCAGGTTCGCCGAGCGTCCGTGAATTCCTTCGGGTTTGGTGGAACCAATGCTCATGTTGTGATCGAGTCGCCAGACATGTTTGTACACGGTCCTCCTCTTGAAACTACAGGTGCCTCTCTTGCGCCACTGCTCAATGGTAGGAACTGAAGAATTTCAATAGTCGACTGTGACTTGAAAATCAAGCTAACAGTATTAGGGCATCCGAACGGTATCAATGGTCACCAAAAGCTTACGGAAGGATCTCCAAAGTCATATATTTACATGATATCTGCTAATGATGAGAGTGGCATTCAACGAAACGCGATGCTTTTGAAAGACTACATCGACAAATATCTCTACACACAACGCTTCTTTCCAGAAGCTAAATTTATGGAAGACCTTATGTACACGTTAAGCGAGAAACGTTCAAAAATGAAATGGCGTGCTTCTGTGATCGCTTCATCGCTGACCGAACTATCTCAGCAACTGACTGGCGGTACTTTACCCAAATTTCGAGCAGCCAATGTCGAACCTGGAATATCATTCGTATTCACAGGTCAAGGAGCACAGTGGCCAGGAATGGGTCAAATGCTCATGGAGTTCCCGATTTTTCGACAAAGTGTCGAAGCTGCATCAGTTTACCTGCAGAAGCAAGGGAGTCAATGGACTCTACATGGTAAGATTGATGAACCCGTGTCTCATGAAATTTCTATAACAGGCTAACTTTCCATGGGAAGACGCATTTGACCCAGTAGAGGACTTGAAAACAGATATCAACAATCCTATTCAGTCTCAAACAGCTTGCACCGTATTGCAGGTGGCCCTGGTTGATCTTCTACAAAGCTGGAACATTACTCCCAGCATTGTTATCGGACATTCTTCTGGTGAGATTGCAGCAGCATACTGTTCTGGAGCTATTTCGAGGGAAGCTGCATGGAATATCAGCTACTACCGCGGGCTTGTGTCTTCGATACTTGTCAAGGGTGGAGGCGGTGCCATGATTGCCGTCGGTTTACATCCCCACGAAGCCCAGAAGTATATTCACCGTTTAGGCACCGAGTTCCAGTGCAAGATACAAATCGGTTGCTACAATAGCCCTAAAAACACAACAATCACTGGTGAACGTAACGCAGTGTTGGCTTTACAGGCACTTCTGGATCAGGATCGCGTGTTCAATCGTGTATTAGCAACGCCGGTGGCTTACCATTCGCAATATATGCTGCCTGTTGCTGACACATACTCTGCTCTTCTCAAATTGAGCGACCTGTCTATTGGGCAAATGCGCCAGTCTCAGAATAATGAAGAAATCTTGATGATATCATCAGTTACTGGGGAGCTCATCGATGCGAAACAACTACAAGATCCTCAATACTGGACGCAGAACTTGGTCTCCCCTGTGAAATTCATGAATGCTCTCCACCAGCTCAAGAACCTCGCTGCGCAGTTCAACTTACAAGAGCTACTGGAATTAGGACCCCACTCTGCTTTACAAAGCGCTATAAGAGAGTCGTTGGCAGATACCCAGTCGGCATCCTCGCAAGTTAGGTATAGTCATACAATAACAAGAAAGAAGATGAGCTACTCTACTATTCTGAGCACTGCGGCAGGTCTGTCCTGTCGAGGTTACCCCGTGAATCTTCTGGCCACTTCTTCTGTTGACAATTCTCCCACTGATTTGTGCCATCGCACTCTCCTAACGGATCTTCCTGGTTACGAGTTCAACCACGATGCAGGGTTACGAGCTGAAAGTCGTCGCATGAAGAACAGTCGACTACCTCAGCTCCCGAGACATGAATTACTTGGGAGCCCTGATCCCGATTGGGATCGAAAAGAGCCCCGATGGCGCAACTTTCTACGCACTTCTGAACTGCCGTGGCTCAGAGACAACAAAGTGAGTATCAGTAAATCTCTTATCTCAAATGGTTTTATGCTAACGTTGAGACAGGTTAACGGTGGCATCATTTTTCCAGGAGTTGGTTACTCCATCATGGCTATGGAGGCGGTCAAGCAAATCGCAGACCACTCCATATCCATAGTCGGCTATTGCCTGCGACAAATCTCCATGGAGGCTGCTCTGATAGTACCTGACACTAGAGACGGCTTAGAGGTAATGACAAGCCTTCGTGAAGTCTACGATGAGGGGTCAACTGCATCGCCAAAATATCATTTCTCTATCAAAACACATGATCTAATGCGCAACGAGTGGATTGAGCACTGTTCGGGATTTATCGAGTCTAGATGCGAATCAGCTTGTACTGAAAATATGGGCCCGAGAAGACAATTACCATGGGATGCGGTACATAATCTGCAGTCCTCGGAAGAGAAATGTACAGATGTCAGTAGTATCAGCGCATTTTATGATGCTCTGGAGCGTTCCGGTTTCGAGCTTGGGCCTACGTTGAAGAACTTGGTGGATGTGCGAACCTCTCCAGCTTCACCACATTGTATGACCAAAATGGCTTCTCCTTCAATCGCCGAGCACATGCCAAAGGGATTCGATTTTCCATACATCATTCATCCTTCCACTATGGAAAGTATGGCTCATGCCATTCTGCACGTGTGTACGACACATGAAGCACCTATTGGCTCAGCATTGCTCGCTAGATACATTGACAATATCTGGATTTCCAACAACATCCCAATGGATCCAGGTCACTTGTTCGTGACAGTTGCAGATGGAGAGCAAGTTTCCCCGGGAAAATGGCGCTGTGCAATCACAGTCTGGGACGACGTAACCAGGGACATAGTCGTTCAAATCCGCGGTACCGAACTTTGTCTACTCTCTGCTGGGTGTGGTGATCAAAAGACCATTCCAGAATGTTTCCTTGTCAAATGGTTACCTTCCCTGGACCTCGTATCAGCGAAGTTGCCATCTACGTTGTTGTCATCTGTTGAGGCAGACGTGACCGAAGAAAGAGATACCAATAAGACTTATGAACAGCTATGTACTTTGTATATTGTACAAGCAATCAAGGAACTCCGTGACTATGATCGGAAGTTATTACCGCGCCACCTACAACGATATCTAGACTGGATGATCACACAAACCGTGGATTCCGATGCTCATACAATGAGAGCAATATGTGTTGAAAACGAAACCAAGCTAAAGGTGGAACGAGAAATGTTACAAACGCTCCGCGAACAGGCTCGAGGGTTCGGGTCGCGAGGAGAGCTTTTGGTCGAAGTCGGTGACCAAATTGTGCCTTTGATTAAGGGCCAAATAGACCTTCACTCCGTCACACCTGGGCTGGACGATCTCAGACCGTGGACTCTAGATCAAGATCTATCTACGAATATGAAATCTGTACTTTCCGACTACGTCAAATCCCTTAGACGCGACCGAGGACAATTGAAGGTGTTGGAACTTGGTGCTGGAACAACCAGTGTGACATCCCATATAATCGAAGCTCTGACCTCGACTGAAGGTATGAGTCGAACCGCTTTTGGGAGTTACCATTACACGAACAAACATGATTCATCTTTTGACAATGTCCGCCGGAAATGTGGAGATCTGTCGCATCTCATCGACTTCCAAGTCCTAGACGTTGACCTAAGCTTTATTGCGCAAGGGTTCGAGGAACACTCGTTTGACCTTATCATTTCTACCCACGTAAGATATCTTTTGACCGGGCTTGCTCATTTTCTTGTCATCCTGTTACGACCGGCTAATATGTCTACAGGCATTTACACAAACGCCGTCTCTGGAAAGAAGTCTTAAGAATGCACACTCCCTGTTGAAACCGTAAGTAGATGGGACCCTTGATTTATGGTCTTCGCTAATCAGATCCAGCGGTGGAAAACTCCTTATTATTGAAAACACAAATACTGAGTCCAAATGCTATACATTCGTTTGCGGTTTGTTCCCAAGCTGGTGGGAAAGCACTGAACCTTTCCGATCGACGACTCCATTAGTCTCCGCAAATCAATGGATCGAGCTACTTGAAGGGGCTGGCTTTACGACTCTGTCGCCTGTTAAGAACATAGAGGATGAAGAATCAAACCAGACCTGTTTGTTTGTATCAACAGCAGTACGCAAGAATCAGCCTAAATTGGCTCTCCCTTTCGTGGACGTCGTCATTGCTCACCACACGGGAGGGCCTCAAGAACTAGTATCCTCTCTCGTAGCCGCGATAAAGCAGGCGGGAGAGCTCCCAGTGGTCACAGTTCCGTTCAGTCAACTAAGTCAGCGCCAATTAGAGCAATCCTTCGTGATAGTGGTTGGTGAGCTTGGCCAAGGATATTTGGATCTGTCTTGTGTCCATGAGAATATTTACCAGGAATTGAAATGGCTACTATTGACATGCCATAATCTATTATGGATTTCCACGGACGACATAGATCATCCCAAGGCGGCACTCAGTAGTGGCCTTGTGAGGACCCTCCGTTGGGAACGAGAAATGGATAAGATCAACTTCCTGACACTGAAATTCTCACAATCATCTGAAATTTCAGAAATGGCGTCAGCCGTTACAGCCTTATATCAATATTACTTTGATGGCAAGGTCGAAGCTCCACCAAACTCTGAGTATTTGTACAAGGACGGCTCCTTCTGGGTCAATCGACTATACCCAGCTAACAATGCCAACAGCTTTTTGCAATTTCAAATCTCAGGCGCCCCCCAGTCGCAATTTCTCGGTGGCGATAATTGGGACCGGCCACTCAAAGCACGCTTCAAAGGATCTGGTCGACAAGGGTTATTGATATGGTCTGACGACGAAGCCTTCTCTCAGCCTTTGGGTCCCTCGGAAATTCAAGTTGATGTTCACGCGTCCGGTTTAACATTTCAAGACAGCATGGCTATTAGAGGTGATATTGACCAGCACGTTTTTGGCAAACAGGTTGCAGGAACTGTGATCCAAATTGGACAGAAGGTTGAAATCTTCAAACCAGGTGACCGCGTTATGGCTTTATTGGTTGGACCCGAGCAGCACAGTTTGTCTCGCTCCATTCGCATCAACGCCAACTTTGTGCAGCGGCTTTCTTCAGATGCAGATATAATGGAAGCCGCGACAATACCAAGCACGTTCGCCGCGGTTCATTATGCTTTACACAATGTTGCTCGTGTGGTGGAAGATGAAAAAGTTTTGGTGCACGGAGCGATGTATGCTGCTGGACAGGCGGCTATTCAACTGGCTCAGTTGGCAGGAGCAGAAGTTTTCATCACTGTCAAAACCCCCGAACAAAAACAGAAAATCCAGACGATGTATGGAATTCCAGAAAATCACATCTTCATATTGGATGAACACCTAGATGCCACCATCAAGGAGGCGACTGGGGGGCCATTAGGCGTCGACATTGTACTCAATTTCTTGCATTGTAGCGTGGCTCGCAGTGCCTGGCGATGCGTTGGTTTGATGGGACGTTTCATTGATATGGCTCTCAAGGCTCCTGGGCGTCATCGAGGATTGGACATGTCGCCTTTTTCACGGAATGCAATGTATATTGGGGTTGATATTTCAGCACTTGGTGTAGCCCACCATCCTGCTATTGTGAAGGCATTTTCTGAGGTTGGCGAGCTGTTTCGACAACACCTAATCACCAGTTCTGGCCATAAGGAGTTCAGCTACGCCAACTTTGGGGCAGCAATGATTTATATACAGAATGAGTCGAACATGGATACCGCAGTGATTATCCCGAAGGAAGACGACATGATACAAGTAAGTTGACAAAGCTGGACTTGGAGATTTTTCCTCTGATGAAAATCATTATAGGTGGTTCCACGCAAACATATTGCATATGAGTTTCCAACAGATGCTACATACGTTATCGCAGGTGGCCTTGGTGGTTTAGGTCGAAGTGCAGCTAGGTGGATGTGCTCAAGGGGCGCTCGCCATCTGATTCTCATATCTCGGTCGGGGCCTCGCACTGCATCCGCCAAAGAGCTACTTCGAGATCTTGATTCACAAGGATGTAAAATCAAGATATGCCAAAGTGACATAACTGATGGTGACAACCTTCGAATCGCTATGCGTGAATGCGTTTCCGATATGCCCCCAATTAAAGGTTGTTTGCAGTCAACAATGTTGCTTCAGGTATGTTCCCTGATGAGTAAAACGACTACCTGGTATTGACATATTTTCTACTTCCCAGGATTCAATATTCGAAAACATGTCCTACCAACAGTATATGGCAGGAATACACCCAAAAGTACAAGGATCTCTCAATGTGCTTGATGCTATGCCTAAAAACTTAGACTTCTTCCTGGTTCTGTCATCGGCGGCCTCCATTGTTGGGAATCGGGGACAAGCTAACTACAACTCCGCCAACGCATTCCAGGACTCTCTTGCCGAGCATTTGACCAGCAAGGGTATCCCAGGTATGTCTGTCAATCTTGGCAATATGTTATCTGTCGGCTGGGTCGCAGAAAACGAGGGCGCACTGCCTCTGGATCTTGTGTATTCTTCTATCGACGAGCCAGAGTTCCACGCTCTCTTAGAATATCATTTGGATCCACGCTGGGGAGCTTCTAGTTCTGTCCAAACATGTCACACAATTGCTGGCATACGTTCCGCGACTCGGTTCAACGAAGATCGGACTCCCCTACCGACTTTCATGAATGATCCTTTGTTCACTATCATCAGAGAGTCTTCCACTGGAACCACTGATCATAGCGACCAAGGGCGTGAAATTTCAATCAGTACATTGCTCAAAGAGTCCGAATCTGTTCAAGACGCTGCCAGTCACGTGGCTGAAGCCATTATTTGCAAGCTCTCTAGCGTTATGTCATTTCCTGTCGCTGAAATCGACCCGTCACAGGGCCTGGCATCATACGGCGTGGACTCTCTGGTCACCGTGGACTTCCGAACCTGGATCGTAAAGGAGATGGGGGCAAATCTCTCTACGGCAGATATCCTCGACGATGGCAACATCATTAGTTTGAGCGAGAAAATAGCCCGCCAAAGCAAGTTCGTGAAGGTGACTTGATTTGACATGATTCACGACGTGTGATTTATCGTTATCTGTACACGATCCTAATCTAATCTAGAAATTTATGTCTTGTTTTCAGACTGCGAGCTTCTTGTTTCAATCTTGGTGAGAACTCTGTATCACTTCACTGATATGAAGTCAGACCTTGATCATATACATACTAGGTGTGCTCCTAACTGTTCATTCTGAAATACCTAGGTAATCTATGATAGCAGGGTATTTTCTATCTCCGTAACAAGTGAAACATGCAAGGCAGGATTCAGATTTTGAAAGGCCCTTCATGCACATTCGTGTTCTACTACCAAGGCGTCTATATTACCTCAGTCCTAAAAGCTAAAACATTTCACCAATCCTATCCACCGGTGTACAGAATTATGATCCCTTCATTTATAGTATTGAGTCCTAAATGAATTGCCCTGTGCGATTTCGACTAGAAGTACATAAAGCAATTTGTATAGGTAGCATCTGCTTGATATCTGGTTGACATATCACATAAGTAATAGTACCATATAGAAATACGAGCAATATGCTGGAGACTTTTCAGACTTGTATTAATCGCCAGTCGTGTATAAAATGAACTTAACGAATAAAGCACGCGCTATGTAATACTAGACAATGCAGAGGCTTGATAGTTGCTGATCTGGTCCCCGCTTTACGCAGCATACGCCGATGGCATTTGTAAGGGGGAGACGCTAATAAAAAAGTATCATTTGAGAAAGATACGACTACAGTTTATCTTCTCAAATATTATTACTTTGATGCTGGCAGTACTGAAAGATCAAAGGTTACAACTTTCCATTATCTACTACAATCATGGGTCTCCTACAAGATTGTGTATGTGCTGAAAGTTTCTGCAATTGTTATGTATTATTGACTCAAGAGATAGGTTGTTATTGTCACCGGCAGCGCTTCTGGTATCGGATACGCAACTTCTTCAATGGCCCTCAGTGAAGGAGCTCATGTATTTGGCGTGGACGTGTCTCCCTTACCAGCAGATCTTAGCAATCACCCAAAATTCCAAAGCTTTCAAGGAGACCTCACCGATGAAACCACGGCTCAAGCGATAGTCGCTGCTTGCACTCAAGCTTTCGGAAACAGAATTGATGGTCTGCTCAATGTTGCCGGGGTTCTGGATAACTTTGCAAGTGTAGATCGTGTGACGGACCAAGTTTGGAATAAGTGCCTAGCGGTGAATTTGACGGCACCGGTCAAGCTAATGCGTGCCGTTATTCCTATCATGAGGGCCCAAAAGCGTGGAAGTATTGTGAATGTTTCCAGCAAAGCTGGAACTAGTGGAGGAGCGGCCGGAGTGGCTTATACTGCTAGTACGGCAAATCTCTACCTTGATATCAGATGCACAGCTGACCAGGCCTATGAAAGGCAAGCATGGCTTGATTGGAGTGACCAAGAACGTAGCCTGGAGATTCAAGGATGAGAACATCCGGTGCAACGCGGTCTGTCCAGGAGGTCAGTTCCGCAAGCCATTTACTCATTCATTTCGATCTTGCTGACATAAGTTTCAGGGGTTTCGACCAATATTGGTAGAGACATTGACCGAGATTCCTTTGATATGGAAGCTTTCGAAACAATGAAACCAATTCAGTTGGCTCACATGCCAGATCAGTCAAAGGGACCGAGTATCACTCCAGAGGAAGTTGCTCGAGTTCTCGTTTTCCTAGTGTCGGGCCTTAGCAGCAGAGTTAACGGTGCGGTCATCCCTGTCGATGACGCTTGGTCTACTATATAGTACTTAGTTTTGTGATAGAATGCGGTTTATATCGAAGTCAATCTAAATTATAACATCCTGTTTTTCTCGGCTAAATCCAGGGGCATTCTCGGTGATTCTCCGAATCTCCATGAACAGTACTTGGTTTGTGGTACACTATACAACTTTTCCTTGGTTTTCAAGTAGAAGCACATTCCAGATCTAATTAACCTCGCCAATGCAAATTCTTATTCCCACCACTTCCAGCCTTCTCCTCGTTCCTTCACCATACCTAAAACACGATTCCGCCAATGAGTACAAAATCGACGTTTCCATGCACAATATTGATTTTAGCCCTTAGCCATCGTATCCGCTCATTTGGATTTCTCTGTAATCTGGTAGCGTTCTTGTTTCCGGATATGCCAGAGAGTAATTCCGTACACAATCTCAACAGCGAGCGAGATACCCGAGAAACATTTCATTATTGGCTCSTCCACCCAGGAAAAATTTTGTGGCCAATAATTATAGCGGAAGTAGACACATATTACTCCGACATAGGTTCCGATGAATCTTGACAGCCTTTCAAAATCAGCAGAGATCAAGAATAGGGTTGAAGAGACAATGCATATGACCTACCACATCGTATACGAGACACCCCTGGAGCTTCCTCGCGTCATCAACTGACATAAGGACCCAATAGTGAGCAACAGGTAGCATAAAGCCGCTACCCAGTTCATGGCAAGTCCTGGTCCCACAGTAGCTGCCAGGGCGAGCTGAGATATGACAAAAGCTGCCACCCCTGCTAGGAATATGAATGGAATATTGCGCTGAACCAATGGTGCGTGCATCCACTCATTTGGTGCAAACTTAATTGCGCATCCCATCATGACCGAGTTCAGAATCAGCCAAGTGGTCATGATAATGCGCTCATACTTGTTTTGCGAGCTGTATATCAACGTGTACACTATCTCCCAAGCATAATTGCAACATAAAGGAAATATGGCCATGCCGTAGGTTCGGTCTTTGATGGACCGATATGATGCCTCTCCGTAGTTCAAGGCCCATAAAAGCCCTTGGACAAGCGTGGCAGCATCCACAATCCAAGCATAGCGCTCGTATTCCGGAGGTGGTGAAGTGCCGTAGAAGTAATCCATGTCGGGTAAAACTGGTTCTATCTATCAAACTTGACTTGAAGACGAAATTGTAATTGTTTAATATTGATTCACAAACATCAGTATATCCAACTATCAAATCAAAGGTTTTTATATCTACAAAATTGGTAACGTCCTTTTCTGGTAAGTGGAGGGTCACAGCTATCAAAGTCTGCAAGGGATCGATATAAGGAGCAAGCACGTCTTATGCAAGTCGAAAATTTGAAAGAATGGTTTTCTTGGCTGTTTTGTGACAGATGTGATAGATCTATGTTGTTGTCAAATATCATCAGTTACCTGAATAGTTAGCGCATATATTTAAACCTAAATAGCAATTTGCATGAGATGCAGATCTGGAGTCAGTAAGATGATCAAATATTGATACCCAGGCAACTAAACAATTCGAAGGACTTACAACGAACTGCTATTCCTGCTCTAGACAGCAGATTGCCTTCTGCTGTCCGCCCCCACAGCTGTTCGACTTTCGTTTGTTTTCTTAGACTCAAACCCTAACTATGACTACGATATCTAAAATATCCATGTCAAGATTGTGATTTCCTTGCAGGGCTAAAAGCCCATAGTCCATATAGGTAAGATTGAATTGCCTCAGCGCGTCATAGAGTACCATATTTCTCGGCTGGGATAGTCCATGCATGAATCAGACATTGCAGACTATTAGGGTCTATGATTTAGACCAAGTATTGAATACTGGCTACCTAGGCAGTGATATTCTCGTTTTGTACTCCAACTACTGGTTCCATGGTCCGAATTCGTATCTGAGGCTAACCCCAAAGCTGCGAATCTCATGAAGAAGCTAGAATCATCTTTCTATTTGTTCAAGACTCAGCGAGCCACACAAGGAAGGTGCACACTGTACTCTGCTGAGGGTAGTAATTCTGTATTGACCTGTAGAATTTGCGAAGAGATACATTAATTGAAATCAGTAGATCATGCTATTTCTTAAACGTATACACATATGGGAAATATAGGCACCTCATAGATTCCTTTGATATGTAGCTGAGCTCACCGTCACTCTGGCTAAATTCGTCATTCTCCGTGCAATTTTGCCATCAACCTCACTTACACAACATAACAGAGATAATTCTAGTTCCTTGAACTTCAATAGATGACAACTCTGTTGGATAGATAAAGCTCCAGTGTACAAGCAAAAACTGTCCACAGCCCCAACTTCACAGTCGATAGATGCAGAACACCTCCAGATTCCGGTTTACTAGGGTCAAAAGAGATTAACTGCTGTATGATTCCCGGGACCCATGCTCCAACCCATGATAACCACAACCAAGCCGAGGAGAACGGGCGTAGTACGAATGGGATGGTCGAAAGAGCAACTGCAGCCAGAACGGCAAGCAAAGTACGAATGCGCTTGCCAGCCAGATTGTACGCCGAATTCACTTTCATCTTGCGGTCATCTTCCACGTCCTGGTAACTGTATGACGTATTGGCGTAGAAACTCCAGAAGAAAAGGAACATCCAGAGAGGAAGACAGCGATGCAAAATTTCTGAAGTTGGCATTTCAGGTCCGTAAACGGCTGCCCAACCGTACATCGTCGGATATCCTACGGCAACTCCTAAGAGGTATTGAGGGTAGATACGGAGCTTGCGTGCAATGGGACGTTTACCGAGAGGATACACCAGGATTATTGCCGTCAAAGGCACCATAAATGGCCACCTATATCAATTTGATCTAGTCAGCCTCTATGGAAATTTCAAGGGTACTAGCCTAGGTTAACCACTCACACGTTACGGTCACCCAACATCGCTTTCAGAATTCCTACGGACGTCGAATAAAGAAATGTCATCCAAGCGAATGCTTCACCTGACGAGATCTTGCCAGAAGCTAAAGGCCGACCCTTGGTCCTTGCCACCTTGGAGTCGATATCACGGTCCATCCAATCGTTCCATGTATTGCCGGCCGCTCCCAGTAAGACGCAGTGAGCAGTGCAAAGACCAGCCAGCTGTAGTACTGAAGCTTGAGAGGTGGTAGTAAGATGATCTTGCGATTTGTATATACCGGCTAATAGTGTTGATATCACTTGAATTGGCGTTAGCATTTACCATGACTTAGGGCTCAAGAACCAACTAACCACCTCCGAATGAAGTGAACAACATTCCATAGTTATCCAGCCTCGATGTGAGCATCAGATAGGCAATGAGTTGATAGAATGAACGCCCTCCATTTTTTTTATGGCGAGGTTCGGCTTCTTTGAGAACAGCCATATTAAAATGGTAGAAGTCAGGGTTGAATGCCTATACCTAGATTGAGGGTGCAAGATTGCTTAAGAGATGAATAGAGATTAGAACAAGTAGGACTTATATTATTATAATAGACGTAATCTACGAATTTGTTTGCAGATTACTTCAGATATCCCGTCCTCGTAAACAAAGTTTAAGATCTGCAAGATGTATGATATTGAAGCTACAGCTCATACTACTGAATTACTAGTGTCAATTCTACTAGGTCATCCAGTTCTCTTGCTCTACTTATTGCCACAATACGTACGTATGCTTAGGCTAGGAGTGTCGACCGAATTTTGATAGCCCCATTGTAGACTAGCGAAGAGGCGGTTTGAGTCAATTCAGCGCTGGCTGAATATTCGACTATTGAATATACCTGCACCTCGGTTATGTATAAGGAATGCCTATCAATTTGACAGACTAGCCACCTTGCGCAAAACTTATGCACTCGATCCGCCGGCGATCCCACGTTCAGTAGATCTGTCATTTAGATACCTAGCGTCGGGCGAATAGAGCAAGGGGTTATATAGCGTTGTAAAGGCACATTGTCACCCAGTATGCCTATTTTCTCAAGAGCGCCATGTTTCAAGCAGTCTTCGATAGTGAATAATAATCAGGTCATCAGATAGATAATGAAATAATATAGCGTTTTACATATTAGTATGATGCTTTGAAAGCATCACGACTTACATCACGTTCTGCACATGATAGGCTCCAGAACGCGTCGTAAATGATAGTGGTGCCAGGTAGCTTTGTTGTTATTAGATAGAAAATATAGCCATTTGGGACAAACATTTTATCGTCCTGCGTCGTGTCCATTCAATCGAGAAGCTAAAGGACCGATTGGCAATTATTCTTCATCAAAGCGATTAGAGCCTTGAGCTCCATGACTGGAGTGAGAGGTACTGCTTGTTGCTTCCTATAATCAGGTGGATCACTCCCCAGGCCCGCATATGTATCTTAGTATCTTAGTGTCAGGGTGTCTGGACCTCAGACTATCAGTAAGAAGGTGGACACGGGCTGCATAAGGATTTTCATGGTTGCAGTTTCATTGTTTTTCACAGGATCGGCACGTTCAAAAACGGCGATCGATTCGATGGGATCATAATCAAATGCTTTCCATACATCCTCATTCTCCTGCAAGGGTACCTCACTCGGCTTGCCTACAAGCTGCCACTGCATGATGGGATAGGAGAGATCGGGCGTGAAATTGATGACCGTGTTGAATCAAGACTTGCCGAACAAAACACAGGCTCTGGTCTTCTACACATTTTGACAAGGAGGGCTTGATCAAATGAGTAAATGTAGACCGATTTATTATTTCTTTTCCAGACAAATTCCAACTTTGGAAGTTTCTACCTAGGATGCTTGTAATGTCACATGACTGGTCAAGTTTAAATTTTCTGAGAATGGTGTTAAATCCAAAAAATCAAAATAGAAAAAAAAAAGAATAGATTGTACGGCCAAAACGGAGCCCTCCCATTAATAGGGTGTGACATAGGCAGTCATATAATTTTGAAAATCTGTCATATCAGCATAGTTTCTAGCGGATCGAGCAAGGGGTATGTGGCGCTAGAAGGCAACATAGTACAAAATTGAGCAATCAGCACTCTGGCGAACAATGTCTTAATCATCGTTCGTTATCATTAATCCACTGACAAACCATACAATTCAAGTCAGCTCGTATAGTACTTCAATGGACACATCCAAGAAGTTCAAAGTCGTGATTATCGGTGGCTCCATCGCAGGTCTTACACTAGCCCATTGCTTGAGCAAACTCGGCATTGATTATGTCGTCCTCGAAAAAAGGCGAGAGGTAGCGCCTCAGGAAGGTGCATCAGTTGGTATCATGCCTAATGGTGGGCGCATTCTCGAACAGCTTGGACTTTTCGATAATGTCGAAAGGGCCATTGAACCACTGAGCATCGCTCAGCTTGTATTTCCAGATGGATTCTGCTCTGAGAGCGAGTATCCGAAGAAGCTTTGTGAAAGGTAGAATGAATTCAGATATTCTGAAAATCTTATTTCAGGCTGATAGATCCTTCTCAGATTCGGGTTCCCTCTTGCTTTTTTGGATAGGCAGATGTTACTTGAAATCCTATATGCCAACCTTCCTGATACCACACGCGTGAAGACGAATAGTGCAGTTATTGCTGTCGAACATGAAGAAGACAGCGTCCGGGTTTACACTTCTGATAATTGTTCCTATGAAGGTCATCTTATAGTAGGAGCCGATGGTATACATAGCACTACACGAAAGGAGATGTGGCGAGCCGCCAAATCCTTGCAAAAAGGGCGACTCGAGAACAACAATTCAGGTAAGATTCAAATTTCAAGTCTGCCGAAGTATGGCTGACTTGCGCTCTTAGTGATGAACATTACATATGCTTGTGTGTATGGCATCTCTTCTGCGCACCCGCAATTGAAGCCCGGTCAACAGATCACATGTTTCAACGATGGCTGGAGCATACTCAGTGTGGTCGGAAAGAACGGGCGCACATTTTGGTTTCTTTTCCTGAGACTAGAAAACGAGTACAAATACAACCAAGCTCCGAGGTATACAAGAGATGATGCCATCGCTCATTGTGACCGATTGAGTGCCCATACATTCTGGAATACGGTCACATTTGGAGATGTATGGAACCGACGAGAGGCTTTCACCATGACCCCGCTTGAAGAAGGCGTTTTCCAGCAATGGTTTTGTGGGAGAATTGTCTGTATTGGAGACAGTATGCACAAGGTATGAATGAACAGTTTGATTCTTATCGCACAACACTGATTATAGTGCAAATAGTTTGCTCCAAATATAGGCCAGGGAGCCAATTGCGCAATAGAAGACGCGGCCGAGCTTGCGAATATGTTAGCGCGGATACTCGAAGGTCGAGAGAAAGGGGAGCAGTTCAATCCTTTGACGGACGAATTGAGCGACGGCTTGAAACGGTTTCAGAAAAAACGTATCAGCCGCATAAATGCACTTTACAAAGTAGCCAGACTTGCGATCCGTCTACAAGCCCGTGACGGACTCGCCATGAGGCTAATGGGGAGATATGTTATGCCCTATCTCGGTGACAAGGTCGCGGACTGGGCCTCTAGGGACATTACAGGTGGTGCAATCCTTGAATTTCTTCCTCATCCAGAGCGTTCCGGCTTCGGTTGGCAGAAGTACAGCCAGAAGCCCAAGAAATCAAATGCACCGTTTATTTTAGCTGCTTTAACTGGGCTGGGTCTCCTTCTGACCATGTTCAAACAGCTCTGGGAGCATACATAGGACTCTTAGCATCAACCTTTTCTCAGATCTGGAATCCTCTTTTGCCATCTCATTTAGCGTTGTCCTTATTTTCTTGTTTAAGAATCATCGCATTGTTGCATCAGCTGTTTATTAATAGATATAAGTGGACCGTCTAGTGATCGTATGCTTCAGGCACCGTACTGTTCTCAAGGATCGGTACTGTCACTCCTTCGTATGTAAACATGGGTATGTAAGAACCTTGGAGCAGTGCAACTAAGACATCTTCTGAGTGGACGTGGATTGAACTGCAAGAACCAAAGTTTAAGCTCTCAGTCTCCACCTCGAAGATCTGTTAACATATGAGGAGCGAGTGACAGACACACTGAGGACCCGCAACAATGACACCAGAATGCTAGGGGGTGCGATACTTGCAATCTAAGCAAATCGAGGGAGATGGCGGCTCACATAAGAGAAGTCCTCCTCCTCGGTTCAATTTGTCCTTATCCTCGATGCGATGATATTGAAGATGTTGTCCGACAATCTAGACGTCTCTTTTCTTCCCACCCCTATCATGTGGTATCTGACGCTATTCGTTATCGGCTTKTCCGTCGTGTTCGTGTTACCTTTTCTGACAGGCCGTCGACTTTCTATAACCCATAGAAAGCAAGGATGGAGGATTTCTTTAATCAACACGCGTGGAGATTTCTCATCCAATGCAGAGCAACTGATTCGGATGGGATTCTCCAAGGTAAGCCTTTTTACCGTTTTCATAGTAGAGCTGCGAAGGCTAACAATGAAGCTTGTAGTCGCCCTCCGCTTTCCGTATGTCGACCGATGGCGGTCCAAGATTGATACTTTCACAAAAGCATCTTGATGCAATGTCAGATGATGATCACTTTGACGTGGCTGAAGCTGTTAAAAGGGTACTTTCCCCCCTAGTCAATCGAGCTCCTCCATTAACATTCAATCTCTAGGACTACCTTCTTGATCTTTTCGGCTTTGAGACCGCTTTCCATGGGACTCTACATAGCGAAATTGTTGCTCCTGCTGTCACAGCGATGACCAAGAAACTAGGTACGTCCTTCTTTCGTCACTGCTGGTTCCGGCTTACTCACTTCATCGTGTAGTGCCACTAGTTCCACTCATGTCAAAAGAGGCCGCACTTGGTTTAGAAAAGGAGTGGACTGAGAATTCAGGTATTCCCTTCCCATTTCTTTCTCTGCCAGTCAGAACAAAAATGATAACAGTATACCAGAGTACCATGACATTCCTCTGCAACCCACTCTAGGCGGCGTAGTAGCCCGCCTTGCATCTCTAGCCTTCGTCGGGCCTGAGCTCTGTCGCAACCCGACCTGGCTCGAGATCACAGTGAGCTACACCATCAACCGCGTCATAGCCGTCTACATACTTCGCATTTTCCCTTCTTTCCTCCAGCCAATTGTGCACTGGGTCTTGCCCCCATGTCGCAAGCTCAGGGCACAGATCCAGCAGGCCAGGGAACTAATCCTTCCTGCGCTTGAACACGAGCGTCAGCAGCAAAGCATCGGTAAAGCTAAACGTGATCCTAGTCGGCCTTTTTCGTCACTGGCTTGGAATGATGAATATGCCGCTGGTCGACTTTATGATCCCACCGTCGCGCAATTGCGGATGATTTTTGTCTCGATTCATACCACTATAGACATGGCAGTTAAGGTCCTTATTCGCCTCTGCGAACATCCCGAACTCATACAACCACTTCGAGAAGAAATCGTGGCAGTCTGCGGCGAGAATGGATTAACTCATTCCTCACTGGAGAGACTGTTGCTGATGGACAGTTTGATGAAGGAGACGCAACGGCTTGAGCCCGCTTCTCTAGGTCCGTCCCTTTCTATTCAATTTCCCCTCATCGTATAGCTTTGAGACTTCGCTAACGCTCTGCATAACAGCCACTATCGCGCGCTACACCCACCGCAAAACGAACCTCTCAGACGGCACCCTCGTTCCCAAGGGTACCCAAGTTGTCCTCCCGAACAACTTCATGTGGAACAACGAATCTATCTATCCCAACAACAATATCTTCGATCCTTACCGCTTCCTCCGCATGCGCGACGACCCTGAAAAGGCCAAACTCGCCTCTTTCACGCGCTCCAGCCACATTCACACGGCCTTTGGTCACGGGAAACACACCTGTCCCGGCAGATTCTTCGCGTCGGATACGATCAAGATTATACTTTGCCATATACTGCTGAAATATGATTTGCAGCTGTGCGATGGCGAGGCGCCGGCGAAGAAGTGTTATGGGTTTGCGATGTATCGCGACCCGGATGCGCGGATTAAAGTGCGTCGACGGGGGATGGAGGGTGTTTCTGAGGGTATACTGGCTGGTTTTGTTGTATAAAATCAATAATCAGGTTAGTAGGGTCAAAGAATACGTACTATGGGCAATTCTAGAATCTTTCTATAAGTATTGCTATATAGCAAACGGGTTGCTGGTATGGAACAGACAGCAATCCCCGCCGTGTATAGGAAGAAAAGAGCCTCGAGATTTCGATGAATTTTAGATGACTTGTATCTCCGATAGATGTACACTTTTAGATCTATCGAGTCTGACTTCCAAGTCACGGTTTACCTCCCACTGCCAAAATCGGGCTTATATTCCTTCACTCCACCCAACTTCATCAACTCTCTCAGCGCCATCGTCGCATATTGACTTGATCCCAACTGAAACTTCAGCACAACTGCAATCTTCTTGTCGGCAGTCGAGTCGTCAACATCTGCCACCTCCTCCTTCGTCTTGTCCAACCCCTTCAATCGATCCAAATCCGTACTCACAAACTGCTCATCATCCTGCGTATAAGCTTTGACATCAAACGAGTACTCCGGCCCAGGTCTACTGAGTAACTTGCGATAGCTACCACTCAGACTAACATCCTTCCATTTCCGACGCATATCAAACGGATCTAATCCGCCGCCTCGTTCACTTGCCATAAACGTCTTGTAGAATTCCGTCATCTGGTTTGCGGGGTACACAACGTCATAACCAGGTAGAGGGAGCACGATGTCAAAGATTGTATATTTCCCGCTTGCGGCTTCATCGGCGGTTAGTGGGCGAGCGCGGATGAATATGTCGTCTACGGCGTGGGAGCGGTCCTGCGCCTGAGCGACCACGACGATTTCGCCGTCGGCATCAACCGCGCTGTCATCTTCTGCTGCTGCGGTAGCCTGCGATTTTTCTTGGTTGGTGATTATCAAGTCGCCCTCTACGACCTTGTCACCGTACAGACGCCAGCGCTCACCAGCGGCATGATTCCAGACGAGCGATTGATACGCATGTACGTACATCAGCCGCAAGTTACGGGGGATAGATTGCAAAGCACCAAAGTAGTCGTTGTTACCACGTCCCAGGAAACGGATAATACTGGACTCTGCCGAGAATTTCCGCGGCATTTTGTCAAGTGCGGTTTTAACGTCGTTGGTTGTGCGGAAAATATGGATTGCTTCAGCACGAGCTCTGTCATCTGATGATATCAATGGTCCATCCGCGTCATTCTCCGTATTTTGTGCTGCTGCTAGACTTTGCGGCGAGAAATTCAAGAGAAGATCCACGGCGCCCTTGAAGTCACCCTGCAGCATTTTGACGCCTATCTCGTGTGTTCCGATTGAGAAAGTGCCGAATCTCTGCATGCCGTAGTAATTCAGATAGCCGCGCTCACGCAGGTTGTACATGGCTTGACCCACGAGCTCTTTTGCCTCGCTCACAGATACGTTTTTTGCCTGACCCGCGCCATCAAGGAATTGAGAATCTCGAAGGGTAATGACGAACTCATTGCCTTCCAAGTCTCCAAGATCCATTCCATGCGTCTTGTACTCAAAATCACCCACCGCTGAGTTTCGGAGATTCTTATTCAAGCCGGCAAGACGTTCAGCCACAACTTTGAAAACGCACGCTCTCTGGACAGTAACACCACGACGATCCTTGGTGCCCGCAAACTGGAAGCCCTTGCCATTCATTTTTAACGACCGAGCGAGGAAGGAAATGACCTCCATGGTATCTTTATTCTCCTTGTAGATTGTGAAATGTAGGAACTGCCCTCCGCGCTCCTCCCAGCCCGATTTGGCGGGTCGTTGGGTCGGTTCGCCTCGAAATCCTCTGGCTGATTTCTGATGTCTGTTCGGCGCGGCGCCGACAATCATCATATTCGCAGAGTCCGTCCTCGATTCCAATAGCGAGTTGAACACACGTCGTAACGTCATATGCATTTTTGTGCGCACATCTTTTTCCTCGATAACGCCAGCTTCGACCTGCCCCAATTTCTTAGGTGGTTCCTTCGGCGAAGCAAGAACACGCGCATGTAGATCGATAATTTTGGCAGCGACCTCCACTCCGAACAATTCGTCCAGCTGTGTTCGATCTTCCTCCAACAGTTTGAATTCGGACTTTGTTTCGGCGGCATCTTTAGAATCAGTCGTGCCCCGTTCCTCGACTTTCTTCTCGGGCGCATCTTTCACGGGTCGCGATTGAAGTGACGCAGGTACTTTCAAGTTTTGTAAATGAAGCACTTCGCCGGAGGGGAGGATTTCGTTGACCAAAAAGTCCGTGTACCTGCGAACAGTCAGTATTCTGATTCACAACAATCCCCGCTGATAAAAGCCCTGACAAACCTCTTCTTAAGCACACCCTCGAATCCAGGAATATCCGCGCTAACAAACTCTGTGATTCCAACGTCGACTTCCCTCGTCACTTGCGCGGTCGACGAGCTTGAGCTCTCGACAGCGGGTTCTTCGGTGACGATAGTGTCATTGTCCTCGGTCTGGACATTGTCGACTTTCTGTCGCTTGCGCGGCGATTCGGCTATTTCCTCTCTCTCCATTCTGACGGCGATCGCAACCTGAATGAAAGAATTGGGGAGATTGACAGCAGGATGGAAATTGTTGGAGCTTTGCAAAAAATTCGGCGGGGAGATCCAATTGGCTCCGCTGTTCTCGAAATGGGTTAGCGCACTCAAGCAGATGGACGATTTCGAGAAACGTCTACCACTTCAAGCTCAATTGGAAGTCTGATATATCTTTTATTTTACAGTGAGCTGTATCAGATTATTAAGCTCTCAAAAAACTCTCACTTCTCGAATCGCGCTGACAATGGCGTCGTGTTAGCGTGAATGAGAGACATCCCGTCTATATATTTCATGTGTTTAGCCCTAACTTTCCTATCCAAGGAACACCTGAAGCACTTTTGGGCGCCTTACAACATGAATCTTGGAACCACCTGTGCATACTTCAAACGAATTCAACAAGTCTCGCCCAGTKAATACCTAGGTAGATGTAACATCTCGCATCCCAGCTTGAGACATTCTCATATTCACCTCTCCACCTGCTCTCCTCACGAATCATAACGTGACATCCAACCCTCCATCCAAGACCCTCCAACACCAAAGGCAAAGAAAGAAAGGATACCAAAATGACCCGCGCCAAACCCTTCTTATCCATCGACTACAAAACTCACTCCTCTCTCTCCATTGCAACAAACCTCCTCTTACGCTGCGAACACTTCTTCCGCTCTCTCGCCTTCCTGGAGCACTCCAGCGTCGAAGACCCTGCCCAAACCCTGCGCCAAATCCATTCCTTATGTCGTGATTTCCACGAGACATTATACATAATCGACCAAACTCTCTACCGGCATCGGATGCAATACAGAACCAGCCGCCGTGGCCGTCATGCCGGCGCAGATGAGGGTGGAGAAGAGGATGATGATGAGGGATACCGCGTGCTCTCTGAGATAAACGAGCAATTGACGGATTATGCATTCTTGGTGGGGGAGAGGATTCATCCATTGGATGCTGCGGAGGATTGCATCGAGCCCGGGACAACTTCTTTTTCTTCTTCTTCGTCTTCGACAACGGCGCCAAGAAAGACGCCGTTTCTTCCTGCGAAGTGGAAGAATCGTGAACTGCGCGGAATGAAGATGCCGCTTGCTGGATTTCGGGTTGAGGGGGATTGAATGGGCCTGTGGAGAGGATGAAAGGCTTGTCTCTCATACTGGCGGATATCAGTGATGTTTGAAGGATGATCGAATCGACTCTGGCCACGAAGGAATCGAACGACCTCTACACGAGATAGGATGAAGGGGATCCGGAAAACAGCAGGTAAGCCTATCACCCGAGTTCTCACTGACAAAGAGACAGTCACTGACTTCACCGTTTCAGGTTATACACAAAATTGTTCAAAATGAAGGGCATGGATTCAGTTCAAACTTTGCTCTTCTCATACCGGATGGATAGAAAGACTTCAGAATGAAATATTCTCTTTTTATTACTTATACAACTAGTCCAATCACTCGTATAGCGCCCTCAAGCTAAATGTCCCATAACGCTTACGATCTCGAAGAACACAAGAGAGAATGAATATTTAAATATTTGTATTTGTATGTATGCTCGGGGAATTAAACCCATGCTCTCTCCAACCTACTCAGACAGATCACAACATGAGTATGCAAATTTCAACAAATGAAAACAATCAATACAAACAAAATAAACTCGCTCATTGATGATTGTACAGTATTTCTGTACATTTGTGAGGCATTAAAAAGGAAATAATAGGGTATCCTGTATTCAAACAGAAATGTTTGTATGTGTATGGGTATGGGTATGGATATGGGCCTCCGTTTATAAGAACAGTAAGGAAACACGGGATGGTGGAATGTTTGAGCCATAAATAAAGCCTGCGTAATGTTGTCAGGCGTTCGAATATTTATCGGTATCGAAAGGATTTGCGCGCTAGGGGTGAGGATGCTGCTTGCGACATTGCTGTTGCCATGGGGTCTCGTAGACGGCCGCCACGCATGGGTGTTGATGAGCAGTATACACATATATACACCGGAGGAAGGTTGGATCGATCGAGACCAACACATTTGGTATGGAGCCAATGACTGCACGATTCACTATGAAAGTCAGTTCTGCGTATTTATTGTCGACCAAAGCGACGTACCATTGAATCATGAGATGGCCGCCGTTATCCAATGATTTACACACACACCTCGTTCCACTGCTGGGATTGCTGTGCCGGTCTGAACTCGGTGTCGCTAGGTCAGGATCGGTGAGTGTCGTAGGAGACGTCGAGTCACCAGATCTCAGATCAAACATCGCACCTATTCCAGGAGGCGATGACTGTAGATGGTGCATCGTTTGCGACCCAGACATTCGTGCCTTCATAATATTACTACCCGCAGCTCGTCCAATTGTATTCCTTCCACGTCCTTTGAGAACCTGTCTCAAAGCGTGTTGTGCATCGCCTGCATCTTCCTCTGAATCAGGCAGTGTGCTATCTGTAGAAGACGACTGACGAGTAAAGTTGGCATTACTGATTGTTGCAAATCGTTGTGGCGTGTTTGCCCAATCTCCTGACATTATAGCTGATTGAGGTCGTGCCGGCCGGGACTCTGCCCACGGTGATCGACGGCCAGAGGAGCTGCTCACGGTAGAAGCAAAAGAACTCTTTGAGTTGGGTCGCGATATAGAACCTGTCCGGCTAACCTTTGGTCGTGTGACAGCCGATGGAAATGCGAACGAGTTACGTGCGCTGTGAAAAGCAGGGCTGTCTGAGAATTCTGCAGAATCAGTCTCACTTTCAGTAATGAACCCGTCAATGTCCATTTCGGAAATTGGATCAGTCAGACCGGTGAAACCCCCAGCTGCTGCCTCGAGAGCATCCTGGAATTCGGTCTTTGCCCGGCCATCCTTGTCAATTTTAAGGATTAAAGATTGAGAGCGTGTTGGAACACCGGACGAGTTAGCCCGTGGCAATGACTGTCTGATAGCCTTGACTGGAGATGAACGACCTTTGGATGGCGTCTTTTTGACACCATTCGTCGATGCCAGGCTGCCAAACGATTGCTGGCTCTGCTGTCGGGAGTGTATAGTAGAGACAGCAGTCGTAGTTTTGCTTCTGGCCAACCCAGGTCGAATGCTTGGTGCAGCTCGTGGAGTAAAGTCGTCGTCGTCTTCCTCTTCGTCTGAAATGGCTGGCTGATGTTCTGATGCCCGACGCAATTGCTCTCTTTTAGCTTCTTCCGTTTGGTGATGATACGGTTGTCTTTTTGGTTTAGAAGCACTCATCGGTTGTGGTACGGACTGTGGAGGGCCGAAACGCCGAGCGGGCGAACTCAGAAACAAGCTAGGGTCTTCAGTTTTTGTCATTGGCACTCGTGGGGAGGCCGAGAATGGCGTTGGAAATAAAGCTGCATCGGCCGGGGCTGCAGATCCAATACCAAAGTTCATATTGTTCATATTGTTCATATCTGTGCTAAATTCAGGCAAGTCCAAGGACCCTTGTATCGTAGGAAGCGGCGGAACATCAAGCGCCTGGAATTGTGAGACCGCTCCAGATGTTGCCATAAATGTCCCGGCATCCGCAAAGGGATCAGTCGAGGCCTGTGACGGCAGATTTTCCACATCCTGGTCGAGAAAGAGTTTTTGCTGTGGAAAGAAAGGCGACGCAGTCGCGTCGATATTTGAGAACTGAAAAAAGTCGGGCGAGTTCTGGAAATTGGCAAACAAATGTGGTGAAGAAGCTATTATCCGACTCGGCGTTTCCAGTTGCGTTTCTGTGACGGCAGACAGTTTCCTCGAAGTGCCAAAATATCCATCTCCAGGATCCAAAGTCTTTCTATGTGATGTACTCGTCGGCGGAGGAGTTTGTATGGTGGCAGCTGACCGGACCGAGTTGATTGTTCCCGGCCCTTCTTCTCCAAACACAGCAGCAGCAGTAGGCTTCGTCGAGTGTCTCCGCTTGATCGTATCGGTGTTCCCAGGTCCCTTCAACGTGACATTAGGCGAGAGGTGCTGTCCAAACGAAGTGTCAAAAGCCTGTTGTGGATGTTGCTGCTGTAACCCAGGTGTCCCTCCAAAAACAAATCTTTGAGGTGTCTTGAGCAGCTCCGGACTCGAAGCATACGGATCCGCCGTATCCCATGTCACACGAGGATCGTAAAAGCTCGATTCGAATTTGGGGGTTTGAAAAGAGGACTCGGCGAAAGCAGCGGAGGTCGGGGTTCTGGTCGGAGTTTGGGGCTCGCCATTGGAATAGCTGAAGCTAAAGGAAGTGATGGAATTCATTAGCTTCTTCATATTAGAGATCTCGTGAGTGTAAGAGCGTGAGAAATGTGAGCAATTGCTGAGAAACAGCCAACGAATGGATGCAAGTGAAATGAATATGTTCAAATCCTCAATCAGGAGATTTGTTTTGTGGTCGTTCATAGTCTGACAGACCGAATGAGCTATCAATGCACATACCTATGAACCGGCCGATCCCAACTCATATCCGCAGAGATAACCCAGCAACCATAGACACGTCTGGATTATCGTTGGGAGTCGCTGTGGATGTCACTGAGGAATGTTGGAGGGACACTTAAGTACGACAGTCGACGACACTCCTTCCTGCTTAGTTTGTCTGTTTGGTGTGCGGAGAAGACGCTGACGGCCGAGGCTTCACAGCCAAGCAATTAGGATAGGCAGCAGGGCGGGATATCGAAGCCTAGTTAGGGCATGTCGCTGTTCCTGTGTCAGTATTCCGAGATAATCGACAATATTCTAGCCAGTACAGTGAGACAGTCTTCGAAGGAGGTGAAGTGTGGATTGGTGGTGTCCCTTGACTGAAGGAGGGGACGGATGAAAGAAGGGAGAGCAAGAATGTCTGTCCCTCCTTGCCGACGAAGCGCTAGTAACTACTTGATAGCAGTGAGCACTGCAGCGATTGATTAATTAAATCAACTAAAGAGGAATAAAGCAATAGGGATAAAGTAAGTCGAGTGGTGGAACTGGTAGCACGTAAAGGCAGAGGAGCAGAGAGGAAAGAGGATCGGAAGAAATAAAGAATCGACTTGCAGAAAGAAGCGACTGTTTTCGTTTTCCTGTCTTGGGAAGAATTACTTCAAGTTTCAAGGAATTTTTTTTCTTTGGTCGGTACCTTTTCGAGCTCCACAACTGCTGCATTATTATGTACATGGATCCGCTGTTCACATCTGACTATCCTCTATCTATTCAGATATCCAGATACTTTCTAGACACTCCATAATCACTGTACAGAATACAACTACTCTACTTGTCTCTCTACCTGCGACGCATTCTTCCGTCGGATCAGTCGAGCGACTTCATAGAACCAGACCAACAGACCACGTCCACTTACAGCAGCCTCGGACGGCACAATGTGATAAATCTGGCCCAGTTGCATCGAGATGATCCCATCGGAAATTGGGCTAGCGCCAAGTGCGTGCTAGCTAGTCAAGATCGTGCTGTACAGTCAGCCACTGCCAGCTGAGGGGTCGTTTTTGAAAGTTTAGTTAATTTGGGGTATCTCCAACCTATCGCAATCAAAATAAATGGCCGGAGTCTCCGTCTTCGTTGCCTTGCAGTCAAGGTTTAACTTCAAATCAAGTACAAAACATGATCTTGAGATTTCTACTTCTTACTCGTCGTGAATCTCGGAATACAGCGTGGTACAGAGTACTCTGTGGATGGAGATGATATCCAGCCCTGCAACACATCCGGCAAAGTCCAGACCCGCTGGAGCTGAGCGCCATACAACAACCGGCACAGAAGCAGCCACTCATCCTGCATCACATTCAGGGACAAATTTAATTAGTCCTATACGAACACTTAGCTAATTGATACTTACTCGTTGCTTACATGCAGGTACCAGACGGAGTACACGGCATAGTACTGTACATACATACCGTCTAGACAGCCTCGCGTTCCTCCGCCTTACGAGCCACGGAGTGAAGGTAAATTAGCCCGATTAACTATCTTCCGCTAGCCGATTGTCTGACCGCGCTGGCTGAACGAATGTGCGAGCTGTCGAATGGGCCGAGAGAGTACGGCATTTGCTTCTTGCGTGATTCCTCTGAGACTGTAACGTTGTCTTTTGAACCCCCTATCTGTGTAGCTAACAAGAACCTGGGCGCACTTGACCAGAGGGAAGTAAACTTAATAAACTTGATGGAATTAGCTTCTGACGTCACTAACAAATATGGGGCTGGAGAGAGAATCAAGATTTGGCCGGGCTAGCACTCGCACTACTACATAGTAGACAGAAAGAGAGATCTGGCCAGGCCGCCAGAGTCAGATTGTACTCTTTGAGGGAGCCGTAGGAGGTTCATGCAAGTCTATGAAGTCGCTGTAACTCGAAGGAGTAATTGCGGTGTTGGCAGGAAGTTGACTGCCAGTCAAGCCACAGGCACTACCACATAAGCCACACTTGCACGTGCTCCTTCCCTTCCTTTCCCCGCGTGCGCCTTCCTTGTTGGGATTTTTGTTGATTCGACTCGTGCGCGTGCCAACTGCACCGGACAATGTAGGCTAACAACCCATTACATTGGACGAGAAGTAGAGATGACTCCTCGCCTAACCGCATCCAGCACAAAAACCAGGAGACGAAGAAGACAACGACAAAAGCCATCCAACGGAAACAACCCAAACAGGAGAGCCCTGCACGCGCGGACCGCCAATCTTCCAGACAGCGAATATGAAAAGGCAAGACCATACCTTACTATCTACAAACATCTTCAGACTGACTGGTGTACAGACATGCACAAAGTCTCACCCCATGCCCGAAGACTACATCTTCGTTCCCAAGGGCGATCCATACATAACCCGGCACTGCAAAGCGCGCACCAAAGATGAGAAGCAAACCGTCTATATCGTCTATGTTCGTCCCTCTCCCTCCATTATAAATAAACACACAAATATAGTTATATCTGACGGTTAGCTTTGGGTGGATAGGACAGCAAATTCAAACACCAACTCGGCATCCGCATCCCCCTCGCCATCCACACCACCGTCCTCGAATCCGCATCCTCGACAGCCGCGCACCGCGCCTCAGCGACTCTCCTTCGTGACCAGCGCGACAACATCAAAGCACGATCTTTACTCCTCGCTACGTTTCCGGCTATACCACCCAAATGTCTTGAGAGAGTTCTTGAGCATGCGTTTTTGAAAGGATCGGGACGGGTGGGGAGGATTAGCACAAAAACAGATGCGAAAAAGGCAACGTTGGCGGTCGAGGCGCATATACGGCATGAGCATACGGGGTATGAGCGGTTGATGCAGGAAGAGGATGTGGGAAGGGAGGAGGCTAGACGGAGAGTGTGGGGGGAGGTGAGGAGGGCTAGGGATGAGTGGGCTGGGACGATTGCAGATGCGCGAGAAGATGGGGAGGTAGAAGAGGCGGTGAAAGAGGTTGAAGTTATTGATTTGACTACATTATGACCATATCAAAGGTCGATAGACATGAAAGTCAAGTCAAGCGGGACATCTAACCGTTTATGAAGAGAATTAGACGAGAGGTACGTTTACTCGGCAGATAGAGATGATTGCTAACATCTCTAGCAGTCACATAAGATCGATCAGATGTACATTCCAACGAACGACGGTCAAAGATATTACAAAACTGTATTGATACAACGAAAGAACCCCGGGAAGAAGACAAAAACGCAAGCCGGGAAGGACTCAACATCTCAAAGGTAGCCAGCTACCTCCGTATTACTGTCGTACATAGTCATCATACACACAAAGTCGGAAGGCGACTACTTCTGACGAATACTGCCATTCACGCCGTGAGCTCGTCGTGATGCGGATCGGGTCGCTCGGGGGATAATCTTGAATGGCGTCTTTTCTTGCGCAAAGTCCTCGCCAGCGGCATCTAATGGGCCGGGTTCGGACTCTAGAACACGATCAATATCCTCGCCATTGTTCTCCAGCCGTTCACGCTCGACTTGCTTCTCAGCAGCGACACGGGCACGCTCGTATTTCATCTTCACTTCTCCATCCCAGCGAGTTCCCATAAATCGATCCCAAAAAGTGAAGAATGGTTGCGAAAAGTTGGTCTTGATTCCCCAGCTTTGGTGGTGGATATCATGGTAGGCTGAGTTGTTGGAGGTGATGAGCTGAAGTGGGTCCCAAGGGAAATGATAGCCGCAGTGGTCATCGACAGTCTTAATAGTCGACATAGAAAAGAACCACATAGCTTGACGAGAGGTCATACCAGTAACGAGGAATGCCACGCCGGCTCCGGCGGTGTCGAGCAAAAATCCCTCCACGGGGTGGTTGTATAGTGCGCCAAATGCATAAGGAACGTAAAGGCGGTGGTGGCGGGAGTGGAATTTTACTAGAGACGTCAGTCGGTTACCTTCATATCGGGAAAATGTACTCACCATAAAGCCAGCGATTGAGATGCATCGCCCGGTGCCAGAAGTATTGCCACGTATCAACGACCAGAATGGCAATGAAGAACTGCAGTCCCGGGATGAAATAGTTGTAAATGAAGCTTGCCAAAGTAAGCTCCCAGCCCGCAAAAGCCGGAGCCACGACTTCAAGCCCATTGTCCAGAGCCATAGTTTGCCAGAGATTTGGATATACACCTCCTGCTAGTGCAGCAGATAAAGTAGGGAAACCCGACAAACTCTTGGAAAGGTTAACAGAGTCAATGCCCACGAGCCCAAGCAGACCCGGTACAAGTCTCTGCACCATCCGGATCCGCCTCGCCCAAACCGCCACATCATAAACCTCCTTTCCCGTGCATTCTGGCGGATCAAAATAAGAGACACTAAAACCAGCAATCGTTTGGATGACTTGCTGCAATATAACATCCTTTACAACGTCAGTGCGCGAAACATGGTTCCGTTTGAGCAGCTCGGCGGGCGTGTGGAGTCTGTATTGCGGGAACAAATCGTAAACATCGATGACGTGGAAGATCATGGAGACGCCCCAGTAGGCGATTATGGGGAGCATCAAGGCGAGGATATTATCGGGGATGGGTGAGATGAGCGGCTCCCTCGGGGTGAGGGTGTATGATGGGAGGGGTGGCAAATCGTAGACGAGGGACGAGTTGGACGCCATGTTGAGAATTATTAAAAATATGTAGGGGACTGATTATAATTAAGGATGGTCGGTCAAAGAATTGAGTCGTGCTGTGTTTGTGATCGAGGTAGAGTTGTAGTTGTAAGGTGGGTGAAGGGCCGACGACTCGGGGTAACGAGACTTGGTACGATTCACTCAAGGGTACGGTGGAAGGAGCGACGGTCACTCGCCCTGCGTCGTAGCGATACGGGCAGGAGCAGTGAGAGAAGAAGTAGGAGCGCGAAAATAAGAAGTCGAAGAATAGTATTAATTTGGTGTAAATTTGCTCTGAATTCGGGGTAGGTTCGGTAGAATTAGGATTGTTGTCGCTCGCGTAAGCTGAGGCGCGGAGTCACGCAAGACGACAAAGCTAAGCCACACAACTGGATGTAAGGATTATAAAGGAAGGTCTGAAGCAGTGAAATTATGATGCGGTCATGGGACAATCTGCCATGCCGGGAAACGAGACTATACAATTGAAAAGAAAAACAGGAGATGTCGCAACGAGGAGATCAAAATTGATCGCGGGTCGGACATCCTGCCTATCCGGCTTATCTAATCAGCCCCTGAAGCGGTAAAGCTCGCACACGCCGCCAATCAGCGCACAGATTGGGTGGCGACTCGGGCTGAGCGTTCCGACATAACATGACTGGAGTATATCAGGAGATTGATTCCTATACCCAATTCTGAGCTACTGCGTTTCTTTGACTAGTCGGATTATGCTTTGCAGTTCTTCTCTTTGCCGGGAAATACCCGTCAGCGCCCATTCCACGCCTATGCGTATAAACTCATCTGCGCTCTTCAGACTCGTTCGATCTACAACCAATAGATCGTCAATTGCTTTCGCTGTCGTCCGCAACTCACGAAGCAAAAGAACCCGCCGCATATGAGCCTGCTCCTCAGCGTCTAGACTAAGTATACCGACTTGTATTGTGGTCGGACGGATGCTGAACCTGTCCACGGTTGGTGCTTCATCAGGCGAGTATCTCGAACTACCACTACTCGAGGCAGCATCATCTTCCAGCTTCTCCGTCGCTGCAATGCGGTACCAAAACAGCATTTTGGATAGTATCGACGTATAAAGTAAGAGTAAATGAGGACATAGTGCGCAGGAACACCGCACGAGTTTATTCCAGCCCTCGCGAGCAGTCTTGTTGACAGCGAGTACGCGGTCAAAACTTGGCGAGAGGATGAGGGTTGCATATGCTTGTGCTGGGTCTGTGGAGCAGGACGTCAAGCCCTGATACATCTCGCCATGTTGCATTGAATTGAGTATAGATATGGCTTCGGCCTCGCAGTTGTGTGTGCTGCTGTTGTTAATGCTGGATTGGGAGGGCTCCGTAGATGGATCCGCTGGTACAGCTAGAGCCCAACTGTCTAGTTCACCAGTATTGAAGACGCCTTCAGGCCACGAAGATAGTACAGCTGTGTCGAATTGCTGCTCTCCTGCCGCCTCCCAAGTTTGATCTCCTGAAAATGGCTCTGACCCAGTCAGCAAAGACTCCCATCCAGTTTGATCTGCCACCGTAATCGGCATTGTAAGCTTCGCCGGTGCCAAGGGGCGACTCTCAGTAGCTGTGCGCTCAGGCGCCTGTATTTTTCGCCGGGACAGTCTTCCATGTTTGCGAGACTCGCTGTAGGAGCATTTGAGATTGATCTGCATGCACCGACTACAGGCTGGATGTTTTTTGTCGCAGCGCACTTTGGCTGTCGAGCATGGATCACATGCTGTACGCAGAGGGATGTTTCGACGTTGTTCAATCATATCGTCGGCAAGTTGTTCTTACATGATTGATGCTAGTATGTAGTAGATGTAGAGATGATGGATTCATCAGAGCTGAAGTTTACTAAGACACCATGACAGATCGGGATAGTTTAACTCGACCACACTGGATTCTAAGGACCACTATGTGAAAAACACCGCGTATATACATCCTAGAACAGTTAGCAAGACAGAGTAATGGACATAGATTGTAAAATAATAATAGTATGAGGGAATTGACATTGAGAAAACACACAATACTCTGTGGAAGAGAGTAACAAAAGTAAGCTAAGCCGAATAAGGAATAGCGGCGCTCCCCCACCTGCCCCCTCGGCCAGCCAATTCGCGGCGACAAAAACTTCACACGCTTGCCCCTCTACTTCTTTTTCTCCTTCTTCCCCATCAGAGTGTCTCTGTTCCTGTCCATACTCCAGCCCTTTCACTTTTTCTCTTTTTGCAAGAAAACAGCAGTAGCGTTTCGCTTCTTCAAAATGATTATTTACAAGGTGTGTACTTTTCCTCTCAACTTATACCTGAAGCGGGGTTGTCCTTTGTTATTTTTTTTTCCCTCGCGATCCCCCCGCCTTACAACTTTTCAATTCAACCCAGCAAAGTTCACTAACGGACGTGTCAGGATATCATCACCGGTGACGAGATCATCTCCGACACCTTCAAGATCATCGAAGACGGCCCCGTCCTCTGGACCGCCGACTGCCGCAAATACCTCAAAGGATCCGAAAACTTCGAGCTCGAAGGCGCCAACCCTTCCGCCGAAGGTGGTGACGATGAAGAAGGTGGCGAGGGTGGCCAGGTCATGGTCCACGATATCGAGGACCAGTTCCGTCTCGTCTGGCTCAAGACTGAGGAGGGCATGAAGCCCTCCAAGGATGCCTTCAAAGGGCACTTGAAATGTAAACCCATCTCCCCCTCTTTTCCCACCTACTCTTAATATATGTTTGCTGATTTGTTACAGCCTACGTCAAAGCCGTCAACAATAAACTCAAGGAAAAAGGTGCCTCCGAAGAGAAAATCAAGGAATTCCAGTCCGGCGCTGCCGCAGCTGTCAAGAAGATCCTTGCCAACTACGACAACTACGATGTCCTTATGAACCAGTCCATGGACCCCAATGGCATGCATGTTCTCATCGATTTCCGTGATGATGGCGTTACCCCTTATGCCACTGTGTGGAAGCATGGCCTTGAGGAGATGAAGGTGTAAATGGGAAATATCACTTTTCATGCCATATATACCTCCCAACAAATACGATTCCCATCATGTTTTTCTTCTGTTGAGTCTAGTCAAGCCAAGTCATGTCTACCATTGACAGTTCAAAATGTTATGTCGCTACGAAGAACTATGAATAGAGACACGCCAGAGTGGTCTATATGTAATTGTCGTGAAAGACGAGTAGAATACGACTAGACACTGTGTACCTAGGTGGGCGATTATATACAAGAGCAGAGGTTTAGTACTGCCACTCAAAGTCCCGCCAGACATCACTCGCCGGCGTCGTCGCCATCTCACTCCCACCGCCACCGACACCAAGACCCATATTATTAGTACTATTACTTGTCGAAAACAAATCAATCCCCAAATTATTCAAACCCAAACCCAATCCGCCCGCTACAGGATCCAACTCAACCAGTTCGTCGGCCATGGGTAATTGTTGCCCGAACACGGCGTCCCATTGGTCCCAATCGAATGTCAGATTGGGGTCCATCATGGAAGGCGGTGTTGGTGCTGAGGGCGCGCCTGCGGAGGGACTGGATGATGTCGCGGCCATGGCGGTGGTTTGCGGGGAGTTGAGGGGTGAGAAGGTTGTTGTGTTTGTGGCGGTTGGGGAGGAGGAGGATCGGGATGTTGTTTGCATTATTGGGTAGGGTTGGGCTGGTTGGATAGGCTGGCGGTATTGTTGTTGTGGCGGTCGCTGGATGAAGTTCTGTGGGCTTGGGGTGTTCATCATCGAACCAGACGCGAGATTGGCGAGGGTTAAAGTTGCGTCGAGGCTTTGACTGTCGAGAGATGGATTCGGTATGAAGCCAGTAGGTGAGGGTATATTGGGTGGTATATTGAGTTGAGCTTGTGTCGGGTATTGCATGGACACATTCGAACGCGACACAGGCAACGGCCGAGTTTGCGCGGATTCCTGTCTCAACGACGATACAACAGGATTGACCAGAACATGATTCCGAGTCATCTCAAAAAACCGTCTATTGAAATCTGCCACTTGTGCATCATCAGCAGGCTTTGCAAGTGGTGCAGCAGTATCTATTGATCTTCTCGCATGAGACGACCGTTGTGTTGCTCGTTTAGCACTATGAGCAACCCCGGCCTGGATTTGAGCCTGCTCCGTCCATAGTTGCTGGGGATTTAAGCCTGCTTTTTGCCATGCCTTTTCACGCAGTCGTCGCATCATGTCCCATGCCTCTCGGCCGCCGTCTTTTAATGGCCGTGCTGTAGTAACCCCGTCTTCTCCGCCGACGACGCCGCCGTCCGGTCCACTAATTGAAAATATCTTGTCGATAAATGCTCTTGACCGTAGGGCTTCGGGGCTGCTTGGACGCTCGTATAAATCAATCAGCATTATCATGGTGGCATGCATCGGCTGGKGATTTCCGGGCCAACTCCACTGAAAAGGCTGAAAATCTGGATCTGTCGCTAGTGCAATAAACTTTTCCATGAAACCATGACAATGCCGTAGAGCACCTTGTCGTGCTGTGGGCCATATTCGACTTCTTGCGTTCTTAAGAAATGGTTGATAAGCGACGCAGAATGCTTTATCCAGGAACAACGAAAGAAGAATTCGTGCCCATTTATGGAACGCTACCAGAACTGGAGTGTGGTACTGTTCCGAGCAGCCCCCGGGACCGTCGTCGGGCAGTAAACCCTGCTCAATTCGACCTTGAGGGGCAGTTCGCGTTGTGTTTCCTGGAGATTTAGCCCCAAAAGAATTTGGATGTTGCGCAAGTGGAATGCGATTGATAAGCGAGTTCAGCTGAAATTGAAGATCGACGAGAATCGACCTCAATTCTTCCATGTCACGACCCGTGACTGGCTTCGTTCCTAACTGGATTTTCATGATTCTCCTGACAGCCCCTGGATTCTATTAGCACTATCACTGTTCATGACGCCCAATGTGAACTTACGAGCCATTGCGTATTTCCCCCTCGCGCAAAGATAAAACACGTTGACCATTGAGTTACCACCGCAGACCGTTGGATCATCAGGGTTATCCGGCGGCCTGAGATTGCCTTCCACCAGCCGAGAGTACTGTTCCGCTTGCGGTGTCCCTAACAGTGTATCTTTCACTTCACTGGTCTCCCGCACGTCCCAGTAACTCTCGTCGCAAACCAAAGGGGGCAAACCGGAAGACATGGCAACAACGCCGTCCATGTGGATGATATGCCACCATATCCTCCTCCGTGTTTCGGCTTCACTAGATTTGATACCGAATTGCGCTGGATCTCGGTGCAAACCCATCGCTTGAGCGACTCTCAGCACAGTACTGATGAAAAGACTGCTCGCTAGAGGCTCCTCTTCTCGAGAAAGAATGGTCTTCGTAATGAGAAAAGCGACTAATCCATGCAAAGATGGATTGCGCGGAAAAGATATTCTATCAAGCCAGGTAATCACATGTTCATTAAGCGGGTCGCACAGTTCAGAGCGGCTTGAAGCATTAGGAAACTCGGCTTTGATTGTATGGATCGAGATTGTCACAGAACCGCCATGCCACATAGCATAAAGCAGTGGAATAAATGTAACATCCGGACATCGCTCTCCAGAATAGCCGCTATTCTCATACCAATCCCAGAACGCATGATAGGATTGTAATATTGTAGGCGGGTGTAGTACCGGACTTATCGCATGGATACCAGACATGAATCCTTTATATAGAATATCGCTTTGCCTCCGTGTCGGCATATCCTCCAACATGTATGGTTCGATGTTCTTGTCAAGCGCGGTGGGTGATTCTCCTGAGAATAAAAGTGCTCTGTTCAGTTGATGCCCGCTAGTCGACGACCGATACCCTTGACGACGGCTAGGTGGGTAAGGAGTTCTCGTCATGGGTTGATCCACAGATACCATTACGGCATCCGTATCACCATCGGTAGACGGAGGTACTTCATGCGACTCGTGTTGTTCGCGTAATAGTTGATTGAGTTCATTGATCTAATAGTTTTTTTTTAATTAGCCAAGAATTAGAAGTAGAACGGGAATCGTACCTCATCTGATATATAAGCCCAATACGTTGTACCGACGTATCTGATAGGTTAGAGGATAGTTTCATGGAGATCAGATCAATTGCTTACCTCGATCTGCCATCTTCGAGACTGAGATGCCCCAAATTCATTACAGGATCTACAGGATCAGTAGCATTTCCCGCCGGCACAGGAAACTCATCTCCGCTTGAATCACCCGTGCGACGTGGACTCGTATCCCTCGAACTAGACAACTTATTCGAGGTAGAATTCTGCGACGACAAAGCCGCCCGAGACCCAACAGAAGCCTGTTGATCAACATCCTGACTGATTGCTTGCAGCTGGCGACTCATTTCCTCTACCGGTAAAGGTCCTTTGGCCTTGCTCAGATTCTCAATCATATTTGTAAGTTTGTTGAGTTGGGCTGCGATTGCTTGCGAGCCGCCCTTGAATTCTGCCTGTTCTCGCTCGCCTGGTATCATCTTAAAGTCCTCGTCTTCTTCGTCGACGGATCGCAAAGTCTGCCTTCGTCGCTTGACTCCATGTTGGTTGTACTCGTCGTCGGCATCGTTGTCGTCATTCTTCTTTGGAGTTGCAGTGTCGTAGACACATTCAGATGCGTTCTTCGAGCAATTACCGCAGATAGGATGAATCTGTGATATGAAAAAAGCATTAGTCTATGGGGTTTGTTCAGGCTGGTAATGGAGTATTACCTTGTCGCATTTGACTTTCCTCCTGCGGCATGTGTGGCAACTATAACTGGCGCGGTTCCGGGTTATACGTCCTCCGCTGACGGGGTATCGACCAGAGGACGACCGCGATTCGAGGGTGGATTCAGACATGACATATTAATGATTGTCCAAAAGTCAAGTTCGGCGCATAGTGTTGATCGCGGTTTGAGTCATACGTGCACGCTATTGGAAATCAGAGGACAAAGCCACAACGCCGTCTGTACAAGTATGTATGGAATCAGTCCGCTGTCATCAGGTCATAATCAAAGGCTCATCGCTGTCATCAGATCATCGTTGAAAGCTCCCTGTAATTTTTGCGAGGTGGAGATGTCAGTTGGAAATCCGCGGGGGAAGGAGCTCCAATGCGGAGGGGAGTCTGACCGGCGACATCGGCGGCGCGTGATTGGCCAATTCCTTCCTATTTTCAACTCGCATTACAGCTTCTTTTATTTTGTTCTTTGGAGTAGATACAATCATGAGATTATTTTTTATATTCATAGTCCATATAGCAATTATCACAGCCATGCAGCATTGCGTCTATGATATTAGCAACAGAAACGCGCCTAACGCCAGCACCATGCAAAGTCGTAAAGAAAGGGCATAATCAAACTATACATATCATACGAGAGTACTCTGACATCAAGCCTTTCCCTTTTTCTTTTCCTTCTTCTTCTTCGGCTCTGCACTACCGGACGGTTCTCCCATACCCATCAGACCAGGAGGCATGCCTGGAAGACCTGGCATGCCGGGCATCCCAGGCATTCCTCCCAGCTTCTCCATCTCGGCCATGGCGTCCTTAAACGGATTGTCGCTCACACCACCGCCTGAATATGCCGGCGAGTGAATAGGTAGGATCTTTCCAATCTTCCATCCTCGAGGGGCTGCGGGGGCGTCGGGAAGCTTGTCTGGCATTGGCAGGCCGTGAATGCGAAGTCGAAAGGGGGATTTCTCGTCGGTAGGGTGCGCTTGCAGGAATTGTGCGACCAGTGTTTGAAGATGGTGCTCTACAAAAAAATATCGATTAGCATATTGATTAGGGGTACAAGTTCAGATGAACGTACTATTCTTCACGCGCGGATTTAAGAGATTTCCATCCTCATCCTTAAGCAGTACTCGCACACGACCCGGATTCGCCCAATCCTTGGGATGTAACTTCTCTGGCTCAAATCCCACTCTCAGCCCCAACTGCTGACACGCATCTAGAATATCCCTCGCAAGCGGATTCTCCACCGCCAATTTGCTGGACACTTGTCTCCCTTCTGTGCGCGTACGAGTCTTGTCGAAGTATACGGCATACAAACAGTGAAAATGTTTGGGGATCTCTTGGGGTGGCTGTGGCTGAGGTCGCGCGGCCATGCCTGGAGGAGGCATTCCCATGCCCATTCCCGCCGCCGGAGGAGAAGGATGCATTATAGAAGGAGAGATGATGTGGTCTGCGGGGAGGAGGTCATCGGAGGGAGCGACCTCCTCGGGGTCGGAGTCGGAGAGCTCCTCGACTTGAGCGTGGCGCGACATGTTGTATACTCAGGGATCGGTGTGTTGAATAGTAATTGTCCTGGTCGCTTTACTGTGGAGGTTTGCTTAGTGCGTGCGAAATCATTTTGGTGGGGTATGTAATGGATACCGTAATATTACGCCTTGAATACGCTGCTTCGGCGGAAAATGCGGAGATAATTACAGTCTCTTCTCGACTTTCCCAATACGCACACGATTCTTGAATGTTGACAGGATGAGTCACAGCTTACCTTTGTATCAGAGACTCTTTGAACACGATCTATCCACTCAGCGTGTCAATGCTGAGATTCAACGATGTAAGACCAATACGGCGAAAACGACCAATCTTATGCTCGGCATCTCCAACTCGGCATGCCGATAGCGCATTAGCCCGGCCTATCTACGACGACAGGCCAAAGCGTGGATCCTATCGTACTATATAATCCCCCATTCCCATCTCGACTTTTTGATTCATCGTTCATTCCTGCATACTACCCATATCAAAACTGCATTGCATGCTTGCATCAATAACAATGCCTCCATCAGCAGTCCTCCATCGCCAGCTGCACCAAGCACCTACTATCGCCCTCTCCGGCGAAGGCAGCTACATCACCCTCGAAGATGGAAGACGGATCCTAGATGCCACCGGTGGTGCTGCCGTATCTTGTCTCGGCCACAGCAATGAGCAAGTCAAACAGGCCATGATTGATCAGATCAATCAACTCTCGTACTGTCACACTGCTTATTACTCCACAAAGCCCTTCGAGGAGCTGGCGTCGTTTCTGATAGATTCTACCGGTGGGAAGATGAGTAGAGTATATATCGTCGGATCTGGTATATATAAGGTCCTTGAGTTCCTAATGAATTGAACTAATGAGTGATTCAGGTTCCGAAGCAATGGAAGCAGCAATGAAACTATCAAGACAGTTTTACCTCGAAAAAGCCAACCCGGAGCCCCAAAGAACAAAGTTTATTGCACGCAAGCAGTCCTATCACGGCATAACTATCGGTTCTCTATCCATGGGTGGGCATACATTCAGACGTGAATTGTTTGAACCTATCTTGCTACCCAACATCTCGCACGTCTCACCTTGTAATCCTTATCGAAACCGTAAGGACGGTGAATCAGATGAGGACTACGTTGCTAGACTGGCGGACGAATTGGATACAGAGTTTCAGCGTCTAGGACCAGAAACTGTGTGCGCTTTCGTTGCTGAGCCGGTTGTTGGTGCGGTGAGTGCCCTCTCGTAGCCTTGTGTTGATCGAATCAAACTTATAGAGGGACGGTATAGGCAATGGGCTGCGTTCCCTCGGTACCAGGCTACTTCAAAGCCATGAAAGCGGTTTGCGAGAAGTACGGTGCTCTCTTAATTCTTGATGAAGTAATGTCCGGAATGGGCCGGTGCGGAACACTACACGCATGGGAACAAGAAGATGTCATCCCGGATATGCAAACCATTGGCAAAGGGCTAGGCGGTGGATATGCTCCTGTTGCGGGATTGTTGATAGGCGACAAAGTGATTAAAACGTTGGAAGAGAGCACGGGTAGTTTTCGGCATGGTCATACGTATCAGGGACATCCAGTGTCTTGTGCTGCGGCCTTGGCTGTACAGAAGGTCATCCAGAAGGAAAGATTGGTTGAGAATGTGAGGGTGTTGGGTATGTTTTTTGAAGAAACGCTGCGAAAACAGCTCGCGGATCACCCTCATGTGGGCGATATTCGAGGAAAGGGATTATTCTGGGGTGTAGGTCGCCCTTTTTCTAGTTCGTATGAGCGTCTCTGATTTTTATTAACAGATTGAACTCGTCCGTGACAAAAAAACGAAAGAACCATTCGATCCACAATTACAACTCGCATTTCGGATTCAGGAAAGGGGACTCGAGGCAAAACACAGTATTTCGCTATATTGTGGTCAGGGTACAGCTGATGGGATTGGGGGCGATCACATTTTGCTTGCGCCGCCCTACAACACGACACAAGAAGAGATTTTGCGTGTTGTAGAACTTGTTCAGGCTGTACTTGAGGATGTTTTTAGTGAGTTGGATGCTTGATTTAAATCACTATTTTGTTGGGAATGTTGAAGTGTGGAGCTATTGATATACTCATTTATTGACATGTACTTCGATATCATTTTTGCAAAACATCAAAATCAACCTCCATATTCATCAAGGGTAAATACTTCTGCGAACCATGCACATCATTCTCCCAAGGTCCACCTGATGACACTGCCAAACTCGAAGAACTTTTACCTGCAATATCACTGAAACGAGCACGACGCGGAATAGTAGCTTTGAACGCCAACGCAGGATCAAAAAAACCGCACCATACAATGTCTTCGACGGAGATGTTGTATAGTGATGCAATCTTCTCTGCAGTGAGGATGTTGAAGTTTTTGATTTGCTCGTAGGTAGTGGGATCGGAAAACATAATGTCTAGTGTTATTTCATAGGGACCGGAGTTTTTGGAGCGGATGACTTGGGCGAGTGTGCCGAGGAGATGAATTCCTGAGAGGATATTCGCTTTTGGGGTGTCCTTGGACGTTTCTTGATTGGTCACGGAGGAGTCGCTCTCGCTGCTTTTCAAGACTCGAGGCTTGTTATGGTCAAGAGAAGGACCATTGCCTATCCACCGCATCTCCCACCTTATAAACCTCTTTGCCGAGTCATCATGGCCAATCTCAACCGCATCTTCTTCTCCCTCATCCATCTCTACCAGATGGTAAATTGAGAATTCCGCACAAGGTCCCATTTCGATATTCATTTGACCTCCAATACCCATGCCCAGATTGCCGCTTGTCGCTTTCTGTCCTTTATATGATCCATGGACGCATGCAATTCGCGCACAAGAAATGACGCTCGTCGCAAGAGATTGTGTACTGGCGAGCGCTTCGCCAACTATAAATACTTCCCCTTGCTGCAGGCGGCTGTTATGAGCATTTTGACCGTACACATGAAACTCCAACTCCCATTTACTTTCCTTATCAACCTTATCAAGATGAGAATGCTGCTGAACCACATACTCTTTCACTCTCGTAAAGAATGATGGAAGCTGAGAAATCAAAATCGGATCACAAAACGATCCCATGAAAATAGACCTGTGCCCAACAACTTTCGCACCCTCAAACTTGATCTTATACGGTTCCCCATCATGTTCTTTCGATAATCTGAACAAGGCCCCTTTCGCTCTGACGCTTATCCCATCTTCAAGCGCTCGATACCTCGCCGTATTCAGATCCAAGATTCCTCCCGGACCAGCTAGTATATCGGGCCTCGACTTTTCATACAACGAATGCGCAGCAACACTCTGAGTTGTACACCTCGACCCTTCCGCCAACGGCCGAATATCAAAAGATCCATCCTGATACACACTCGCCATCGCCGCGGAGCTTTTTGGTGTTGCACATACACCTCCACATTCCATTATTTTACCCATATGTGTAAATCCGCCGAGTACGCCCAAACCCAGCTCTTCAAACGGGCGGCAAGATTTGCCAAAGGCATGAAAAGCGCAGAATGCTACGTATGGACTGGGATCGTACGCTCGTCCGGATATCAGAATGTCGAAATCTGGATGGGCGGTCATGGCTTGAACGAATGGTTCGGGCCCGATTTGGCCTACTATTGTTGGCGAGGAGAGGATGTCCTGTTGCGTTAAGAGAGGGACACATGGGCCGCAACCGGAGATTTTGTTGGTTGAGAGTTTTTGTAGAAGGTGATTTTGCGTTGTTTGGGTGTATATTGCGAGGACTTTCAACTTCGTTCTACGATTACGGTTAGTGAGACATTGAAAGTAGAGTCGGGGGGGGCAGGGGGCCCAACCCTTGATCCTCAGATTTCTGAATGTCATCGATTATATCCAGAAACTCTTTGACGTGTGCATCGCTGCCATCTCCACCAGCCGAACTAATCAGTAATGGTACGCGACATTTTTTGACTGCTCGAATCAATTTCCGAAGATCTCGCTCATATGACGATCGAGGAGTTGTCGTCTCTCCAAGAGCTAGTTTGTTTGGCCCGCCATCGGTTGAGCCCGAGTCTATGATTATAGCCGTTGGAGTGTCATTCCTCAATGCTATCTCGAGGCCTTTTTCGAGATCGTTGACATCGAAGCCGTATCCAAGCATGCCGATGGGAGTTATGATCTGGCATAGTAAGCCTGTTTGCTCGGTGTCTGGGTGGTTTAGCACCATTTTGTTGTCTATATTTAATGTTATTCAGATCCACATATAGTTTTGATAAATTCTTATGCGATTAGTTCGTTCCCTCCAGGACGTCGTATAAATATGCGGCACGACATGCATGTATATCTCCGATCCAAAACCGATTCTCGGGCTACTAAGCGCTAATCGCTCCGTGAAACAGGATCTTCAACAGAAGCTGACCAAAATCTCGCCTTATACGCCATGTCATATCACAAAACCCTTGATGACGAAAGTCTTACCTCCGTCTAGCGGTCTATTGATCTGGCTTTATCATCTCATCATCGAATCACTGGGATGGTTATCGTATTCGTACTCGGGTTGCTTAGGACATCCTACCTAGTCAATTGCCGGTGGATCTTTTTTTTTCTTTATCAAATTGCGCCGTTGAACTTTATTAGGTACGTAAACATGCGTTATACAATCCCTATTCCAGCCCTACGACTCGTAGTACTTGTTCCACCCAGTTGTCCTCAGTGCCCGAACGTAGTTCTCGCATATCCTGCTAGTAAGCTTCTACTGCCGGGCGGGCGGGGAAGGCTTCAGAGGGCCCAAATTTGATGACTCTGTTGATCCAGAATGGACCGAAGAATATTGGTTTTGGCAATCTATTGGAACGTGACATGTTTGAGATTCAAAGGATGGAAGGCTGCGTGATGCTAACATATACGTTACGGGACGTATCCAAGGAGGTATAAATAGAAAGCGAGCGAGTTAAAATCCGTCGTCTTCTGATAGACGACTTCGTATCTATTCACAAACTTTCACATAGTTGCGGAGCTGCGGGGTTGCGTCGGAAAGCCCCGTAGTGAGCTGTTACTAGTTTTCAGTTATAATTCTTGACCACCCATCTTTCGAGGCATATGGTGTATTTGAATGCGTCAATATTGCAGACCCTAGCGAGTCCACAGTCACGGACTTACTATTGTATTCTTCCTAGACTTCCTCAACGTCCTGGTCATTGTCCTCATTCAGTTTCGTTACAACCTTGGAATCTTCCTCTTTCTGGCGGGGAAGATACCAGCGGCTTTGAATTTAATGACCTTGTTTATCCTAGTGTGAACGGAAGAATTTGCGTGACACTTCTACCACTATTCTCATTCTGGCTGTTACTTGTCAATAGGCAAGAGTTTACGATGACTTCAGATGCTAGATTACGAAGTACATTGGTAGGCTATCACGAAAATTCTATGGATAACTACCGAATGGCACGTAGACAATGCGTTCCTTATTAGCAGCCCTAACCAAGAACTGAACGCGGACTTCTCGAGTTTGATAGACTAAAACATATTCAACTTTTTTTTTCTTGATTGATTGACCACTTTGGTTAGGGCTAGGGCACTTCCGAACTTGTTTATTTTCAAAAGCTTGATACATCCTACCCTATAAGCACAAACGGGTAGTAGCTGCATCTTGAACAATAAGCCCAGGCAACCAATAATCTGTGCCATCAAAGTCATACTGTCAATCTAACACCTCCAATCAGCATCAAATGATGCCTTGGGGTCCTTAGATAAGATTCTTCATATCGCTGTCGGGGCAATACAACCGGGCACCATCCAAGCTCAATGCCCTGAAAGAAATAAAATGGCTTTGTTTGCTTCTGGCGTGCCTCCCTTCTCCCTTCTCTCTTCCTCCTCCCTCCTTCTTCCTTCTTCCATTTCCCCCAAAATCACCATTGAGCAAGGATCGATTTATACCACTTTCATCAGTTTTATTAGATTTGATATATTTCACATGCTATATTAGTATCACTAGATACTATTCCACTAACGGCGAAATCGAGTTTCAGACGAGCATGGCGTACAGGATCGTCTCTGACAATACCTCGACCATTTTGTGTCAGCAGTTTTGATGGCTGCAGAGTTTCCATTCAGACTCGGTGATTATATACCTGCTCAAAGACATGGACGAATCAAGAACCGGCAATGATGTTTACAACAGCAGTATTTGTATGCAGGAAAGTGGAGGACGCGAACCGCGGAAGGAAAACCCATAGCTGATAACTCGAAAGCAATTGGGTCATGGGAAAAGAAGAATTCAGTTTTTTCGATGATTTGGAAAATATCTTTTCATCCGGGATAGTGATTCGCGCGTCAATTCCGACCACCGGCACAACACAAAACGGTCATATGAGTTCCTACTATCAACCCAACTAAGCTTTCTCCAGCGAGCAAACGCTCGGGGAAAGTTCAGCGGTTTCTGGTATAACACAGATACCACCAATGCCGGATACGGCCTTTGCCTACGAGACACTCTACATAGGCTATATGAAATAGCCCAAGTTTAGTGACCACCCTTTTATTGAAATATAAGACGAGGTTGATCCCCAGACCAAAGGCTGCATCCAGATCATTAGGAAATAAGAGACATGATGATTCTTTGCCAGGTACTGTCAGCTGTGTACACATATTTGAGGGAAATATTCAAAACAGGTTATGAGCCTGGACTCGCTTCGAAGCAAGCTAAGCACTGTGTTACTAATAATTTATGACTCCTCATACAACCAAATTTGACAAATTATGAGCTTGAAGATCTGGCTCTATAAGTAGTCAGAATGCTCTCCCCAATCAAATTATACTCAACTTTTGGCCATGGAAACCCATATCAAACTGGATCTCAGAGTACGATTCAAAAACGTTCGAGCCAGCAGATTGTTCCAAGTGTTATCGCTTTATATTGATGTCTCTCAGTGATCGCCCTCTTATCACAAGTATGTTTTCATTTTCATATTGCGGAATTACTCAAATCAGGCCGTTGTACTCCGACTTTTGTCGCCTTTATGACCATGAGCTAGTTCATATCATATCTTGCCATGTTCCGTGCTTACCGTGGAAGGTGTCACACTCTGCATGGGGTACCTGATGTGTTATTCAGATGATATTTTGTCACCCTGAAACTACAAGTGATTAGTCGTCTATATTATTACGAGGAGTACAGATCCTTCTTCCGTCACCTCGACATCCCACAACATATTTTCTCTGTATATGATGCCTCGTCTATATCAACTGGGAGCTATTGCACGTCCATCAAGATAAAATAAAAGGTCTAATTGATCAACTAAGCAGGAATTGTTTTTGGATTCAACGGGACCTTATCGTAGCGTGATAAATGACGGACATCCAGGCTTATAATCTGCGTGCTTCGGTAAGCGTCATAAAGCACGATTCTAGGTTATTTTTCCAAGATAATGTCTAACTGAAAGCTACTCGGCAGCTCAAAGAAGCCAAGGTTTTGCTCATAAATTGGGAAGAAAAGTTAATGTTACTTAGTCTATCAACACTGCCTCTAGATCACCAGACTCTTCACACATTCGACGAAAAACGGAACTTTCATAATTCCCAGCGAGGAGAGTTTTCACAGAACCCTGCTCAACAATTCGACCAGAATCTAAAACCACAATATGATCATAGTCAGCGATCGTCCGCAGTCTATGAGCAATCGTCAAGACAGTCGTTTCGTTCCGCACACTTTCTTCCAGGCTTGCTTGTATCGCGGCATCGGTATCATGGTCGATTGAAGCCGTTGCTTCGTCCAGAACGAGAATCCTTGAGCGACGCAAGAGTGCACGCGCGATGCATAATAACTGGCGTTGACCTAGCGACAAGACGTCTGCGGCACGGTCTAGGCAGCTCACAGTTGGTCCTGTACTCATTCTATTGAGCTGCTCATAAAGGCGAACCTGATTAAGCGCTGAAATCACTTCATCATCTGTGTAACGTTGCAAAGGATCAACATTCTCGCGAATCGTACCGTCGAAAATCTCTGGATTTTGAGGCACAATAGCAACAGCTTGACGGAGCTTTTCGAGTGGCAAGGTACTGATATCAACACCATCAATCTCTATGCGGCCACTTTCCGCTTCGAGGCAACGTAGCAATGCCAGTGTCAAAGTGCTTTTCCCGGCACCGGTACGTCCTACGATACCAATTCGCTGTCCTGGCTTTGCCTCGAAACTGACTTGGCTCAATGCAGGATTGAGATCTGATGAGTATCGTGTTGTATAATTATTAAATCGTATTCCTCCTTGTGATGGCCAGTCTGAAGGCATATCGTAAGTAGCCGTTGATCTTGGCAAATAGTTTTCTTGCTCAATCTTGCTGTATTCCAGTATTCGGTCCACCGAGTTCAAGTTTTGTTGTATGAAAGCATACACCTGGACAAACCACATAATATTCTCCGTGAATGTCGTAGAATAGGTAAGAACCAAGCCTGCGCTACCAAAATCAATTGATCTAGGGCTCCACAGCACAAAAGCAGCCGTGGAGAAGGATATCAAAGATCCCAAAAGCGTGACTCGAAACGTAAGCCATTCTTTACCCGCGCATTGAAGTAAATATGTTTGATTGAGTCTATCAATGAGCTTCCGATTTTGAGCGGTGAAACTCGATGTTTGATGATACGCTCGAATACTGATGTAGCCGGACAATGTTTCGCCGAATTGTTGAAATAATGGAGACCTTTGTATAGCCTCGATTCGTTTCAAATCCCGGGCTGCATTAATATAGACCCCCAGCACGAAGTAGTACGCCACGCAAATGAATAACGCGACGACGAGGAAAGCTGGAAGCACTACTGATATGAACACAACCACCATTGTTATTGTTGCGACCAGCTGTAAAGCGCTGATTGCGAACCCCGGTATGACTTGGTCCGTTGCCTCGACATCTTTAGAAAATCGATTAGTGATCTGTCCCAGGGGCACCCTGTCGAAGAAGTGGAGTTTTGCGTGAAGCACTGAATTCAGCAGTTGTTCGAATAAGGCGAATGATGCTTTCAGCGAGCCGTGGAATGTGATGAGATCTCGTACAATCGTTATCAATGCATATAAACCACAGAGACCGGTATATACTGTTATGTAGAACCAGGGATTGATTTTCACAATCTCATTAGGGCCTTCTGAATCTTGGACGTGCAAATTCCCCGCTTTATCTTCTCCTAGATCCTGCACTAAGTCAGATTGTAGTGCCCATTCCTTGATCCATATGGTTGTCCCCAGCGAGGCAATCTGTTGCAACGCAAAAAAGCCCAAGACAATTACCAGGAACAATCTGCTACCCATGGCAGTGAGGTAGCTCCAAATAACATATGATGAAACTGCGCCCTCTGCCTTCTGCTCTTTGTATGTCTCTTTCTCATCTGATTCTGCGAGTGATATTCCATCTAGTGAGTCCGTATCTAGTGAGGGTTTCGCAGCATAGTCCAGTGTAGGGGTACCAATATTTGTGATGGTAGAACTCGACATTGGGCTTTCTGCTTTGCTTTCGAGCATATTAGCATCCAGAATTCCAGACCGGACGAGTTCTTCCGGAGAACCTTGGCCCTTTACATGACCGCTGTCTAACGAAACAACGTAGTGACTGTGTGGTATAGTCAACTGCGTGTTGTGGGTGGCCAAAATACAAGTTCTCCCTTTCATCAAGGGTCCCTTTACGGCACGGAAGAAGATATAACTCGCAGTGTGAGAGTCTAGTGCACTGAGACAGTCATCGAGAAGAGCATATCTGCATCTGCTATAAAGCGCACGTCCTAACGCAACTCGTTGTTTCTGGCCACCAGATAGGCGGGCCCCGTTTTCCCCGCAATGAGTCTGATCACCYTGATCTAGTGATCTGATATCAGGAAACAGTGCAACTGCATCAAGCACTGCTGCATAACGTTCACTTTCGAATGGCATGTTAAAAATAATATTCGAGCGTATACTTTCGTTCATTATCCAAGGCTCCTGTGGGCAATATGCTATGGCATCAGTGAAGCCGGTTGTTGGGTTGCCGACCCTTTCGTATGATATCTGTGGTAGCCTTACTTGACCATTGATAAGGTCCATTTCACCGAGCAGGGCAAGCAATAGGGAAGACTTTCCAGAACCACTTGGTCCACATACTATATTCAAAGATTCTGGTTTGAACTGAATGTTCAGGTTCTTCAACCGAAACGGGCCGATGCCGCTAAATAAGACGTCATCTAGCGGAATGTCGGTTCCTCTCCTTCTGTCTGGATCATTTGCCTGCATTGCAGATATCGATACTCTCGTTGGCCAAGAAAGTGTGGCATCATCGAAACCAAAATAGTCTAACTGTTCGGACTTCGAGACTTGGTTGATCTTCCATGACTCTCGTTCTTGCAAGAACTTGTCAATCCGACCCAAGGAAACATGTGCTTGAAGCAAAAATGTAATTGATGCAGCCATTCGATCCAAAGGAATTCGAATGATACCGAAAATAGCCAGAGCAGGAAACGCAATAGATGTCTTCAGCGGATTGTCCCATACCAAAGTATAAAAGAAACACGTTATAATCGTGACAATAAATGGCAGAGAATGAAACGTAGTTGCATTAATTGACCACCATATATAACGGAAGCGTAGCTCGTCAAGCTCTAGTTTACGCTTTTGCATCACCCGGTTTTGAAAATGAGTTTCCCACGCTGAGTACTTTACTGTATGAATATTGTTGAGGATTTCATTTCCGGTCTGGATTCTTGAGTCGCTAGCCTTTAATAACTTTGCTTGTACCTTCATCACTTGCTGCGATATGATGAAATTCAGTGGTAGTAGGCATACCATACACAAAACGCCTAAAACACCACTTGTCCCTAGAATTCTGTAGAGAAGCCATGTTCCCAGAGTTGTTTGAACGGGGAAGATTACCCAAATCAGATAGAGAGTTCCGCTCATCTCACTGACGTGTTCGACGTCGACTGACATGAGGTTGAGGATATTGCCATCCGTAGCATGATTTTGTGTTTCAGTATGCAGTTCACCTTCAGATGCCGAATTTGGTGTCATCTTTTTGCGAAGCGATTTCTCGTAAATCTCATTTATCAAGATGGCTCGTAATTTAGCTGTCATGCGATTGCCCATCCAGTCACATTGACTACCAGCGATGCTGGAAACAGCACCAGCCACGAGAATACCACCAGCGCAGAGCCAAGCCGTACTCTTCAAAATAGTATCGGGGTATTCGAGGTGTTGAAGAATAGCCCTAATCAAGACAGGCGGGAGGAGAATGAAGACACTGTTCAGTGCTGCCCATCCTCCTTGTCGTAGCATATCATTTTTGACAATTCGGAAAATCCTCCGCAAAAGCGGTGAAGTGGCTGGCGTTGTGGTTTGAAAATGTGGAATAATTGTTCCGCACTTTTGGTGGTAAGAAAGTGGATAAAGGTCATACACCTCCAGTGTTGCCCTGAATGACTTCCATACTAAGCCATTGAGCCACGAAAAAGTGAGGCAAGAGATAACACTCGCCGTCTCTTGTTTGCTTATGTCTGAAGTTGATATGTCATCACCCTTGAGCTGTCTTGATAATGGTAGCCTTGGAGCAGTCCAGTGACATAAACATAGCACTGCAAACACAACGAAACGTAAAAGATTTGCAGTCAAGACAAAAGGTGACGTCGTTTGTATGATCATTGTATGGCTAACTATTGCCAGACAGGTCACCTGAATTGCATAAATCGTGATTGAATGGTACTGTAATTCATGGCTGACACAGGTGTCCCACAGTGTCTTTCGCACCAGCGCAAGGAACAGTAAGTATGTAGAAGATACTGCAGAAATGAAGGCGGCGAGGTGGTCGGCTGTATCTCCAATACCAACAAGGAGGAAAAAATTTATATGTATATCAGCGAGAATTGCACCGATTTCTAATTGACTGATTCTAGGTGGGATTATCGCAAGTGATGTAGTTCCCGGGTTAGAAATTTGACTTTTAGGGACCTTTCGGTAGCGGAAAATCGCCTTCGGTATAAAAGGATATAGGCGCTTCAAGCTGTAGATGGCTATTGAGGCAGAACATATCACAAGAGGAACAACCTTGCCGAGATAATTGATGATCACACAGTCTGAAACGCGACCATCGATCCAAAATGCAGAACATGAGAAACTCATTTCGTGCTAGGAAGATGGATTTGATGAGCTCGAAGGACCAAAAGTATTTCAGTATGATTGATTGTGAAACGTTCTGACCAATGATACAGTCGACGCACGTGATCGGCCTTGCCCTAGGCCGCGGATTGTGAAGGCTTATCTGGTGCGACCAATTGTTTTGCAAGTCATCAACAATCTGTAATATGGCTATCTTTCTTGAGACACAGTCATATTGGAAGTAATTCTAAGCTTGGAATTTGTCGTAGCCAAATGGATAGGTTGGTCTAGTAAGTGGATGGAGTCGAAAGAAACGACGGTGACCGCTAAATCGAAAGATCACTCGGAATAACGTGCTTGGAAATTTGGGGGCCAGTAAAGACTTGCAAGACACTGTTGGAAACAAGATATAGCACCGGGAGTATTGTCCATTTGAAGAAAAGAGGGTCACTGCACCGTTGACAGCTTTACTTGGATAGACTAGGATAATGCGATTGGACAACAAAATGTCTTCCCCTCTCGGTATGAGCATCTTGCTTCAAAGACATGTAACAAATTTACTAGAAGGTATATCCGCTTTGATTACTCATTCTCTAAGTTCCTCTATTGTGAGTAATTTTTAACGCATGTAATTTTGCGACTTCGATACATACGGCGTTATACGTAAGGAAATACTAGTCGTTATGTTCCGTTATTTTACATTGTAAATATTCGATCCTAGTGGTTTTTTAATAAACCATACTGATACAGTCAAAATTACACCTAACTTTAGAGGTGGGGGCCATTGATATTCACTGACAGATTAGTCTGTACGTTTAGTTGACAAGCCACCATTCTAAAATTTATCAAGACCAGTGCATTATTAAAGGGTTAATACAAAACATTATACATCCTCTCAAAGGCTGAGACATCTCCAAACACTCTGTAGTCCATATAACCATATATTTAACCTCTTTAGACCCCACGCTAAGCACTATTATCCTTAAAGAATTAGCACTAGAGAAACTTTGCCTTGAAGTAATAAAATGAACCTTACTTTCTTAGCTACGTTCGGTGAGGGGAACTCACTTTTGCAAGATGTCTACTATCAGATCAAGCTACGTACACTACGAATTCTGGAAATTTCACCTTAAAGGCGTATGAAATATGAAATCATTAAAATATTGTCAATGGTACCTTATACGATTATTTGATGATCACGCTAGAAAATAGTTCTGTCAGCCTCATCAATGGAAAGGAAGAGGTACATAAAGAGCCATATAATAGAATACTTATATTTTTTACTTTTCTCTTTTCTCACTACAACTAAAAAAAAGACAATGCTCATGTCCCGCGTACTAAGTCTCATCGTCTACTGCCTCACGTGTTCCATTCTCCTTCTTGGACGCCTGATTTTCGCTGAACGAATGCTTTAGATAACACTAAAAGCGCTCTAAGTAGTCTTCGATATACAGGCTCACCGCATCACGATACTAAACAATTCTCGCAGTACTTGTAGAGACATAATGACGCGTATGCGTGCCCAGTGTGGAAATTTTCGATATCCGTCAAAATCAACATGTTATTGAACTCTAGCAGAGTTATGTGAAATGAACGCGAGAAGCTAGTGAACCTGGCGCAGCTACATTCTCCCGTTAGCAATGCTGTTGATCTCAGCAGATGCATCAAGAATGCGTGTGTAAGGTCGATGTTTGAAGCAGCGTCATATAGCAATTCTGTTGACAAGTTTTGGGGACATGTTGGTGGGTGCTGGATAGAGTCTCGAAAATTTGCTTTATACGCATTTCCTTCCTGAGCATAATCATTGCAGTGCTTATAACTGTTCTACTTCGAATACTACTCAATATGTTTCTGAGTGATACATCGGACGGACGCCCCGAAACATATTGACCAAAAACACAAAAAATAATTGAGAATACGTTACATATCAAAGATTGTGTAAAAATGCTAAACAGATGTCCATTTTGGATAACTCTCTTCTCGCATAACTGATGTTCAAAAGGTAAAATCGCTAGCATTACATGAAACTATCTTAATCTCAGACCGTGGTACACACTATCCAAAATGTCATTGCTGTACCTGTGACTTTTCACTCTCGTGACTTTTGCTAGGCTGCCACTCTAAATCTGAAGGTATCGCTAACGATATCCTTTGACTCTCAGCCCAGTCTTCTATTCCGAGATGATTACCGTAAGGTGTGAGAACTCCTTCAGGACTCTGCTCAATAATCGGTCTGTCAGGATACTCTGTCCAAGGACCCGTCTGACGGATTGTATTGTCCTCCTTCCATTTCAGAATCTCGTCAAAGTTGCGGCACATTTTGGTCGAACCAAAATTCAAATTAAGACCAGGCCAACCAGCGAACTTCTGTCCCACAAGAACTTCCAAATCTGCATGGCACGTAATGCTCCTCATAAGGACATATGTGCAGTGCGTCAGATGATGATCCCAATCGATTGGGGTATGAATCATCTTCTTTCTCATATCCCCATAGTATTCTGGCCACGTCGTCTTGCGAAGATTGTTTAAACAGTGAAGTTGGTGAAAAACATCTAAGACCCCGTAGTATACACCTTCCCCAAAGTCGGACTCCGGTGCTGGCCACGTGGTCGCAGGATCATATCCAATACGCCGTACTTCTTCGGCATTGAGCGCTATAGATTCCGTAGAAGTTATTCTATCCCATGCTTCATCGACTTCTGGTGAAGGTGGCTGTTGAAAAATTGACGGCTTATCATCTGGCCAGTAGATGGTGAAGTTGTTGTGGACTTCAGACTTATAAACCGGAAGGCGATCAAATACAGGAGCTACACAGTGGTGAGTCGCTAAAACTTAGAATTCGGAAACCACTACTTACAATATGAGCTGGTATTCTTCTCATTACAGAGAGCCCTATTCCACCGGAGCAGCATTCCTAAGGTAGACAAAAAGAGTAGGACGTTGCCTGCTACCAGACTGATGGCAAGCCAATGTCTTTTGACATATTCCCACCGTCCTTCAGGGAAGTCACGTTGTGTTCGAATGAGCTCCGAACGTTTTCCAATTTGATCCTGGACTGCGTCCTCATCACTGAAGAGTAATTGCTCAGAAGACTGATCATAAAGACTATCAGCCAATTTACTATATTGGAACGTCATTTTCAGCTGAAAGAAATATTGATAAACAAAATGGAATTTTGTAGGTTGAGATTCTTTCTCTGGCCATAAATTGTATGAGAAGAGCTGAGAAACGAGGAGATAACCTGGCAGCCTTGGCGGAGTACCATGTAATTGAAGACGCAAGAACAAGGACAGCAAACTTCAAAGAGGGGAATCACGTATAACATTGTAATAAGTGTCCTTGGCGATAACAACTGATCTTGGGTTGCATGCACAGATTGGACTACAGTATGTCGTGATTTTCGGGCTTCGGGATCTTGGTATTTGACGTGTCATTACTTACCACGTATAATACGAAACAGAGAAATGTTAATAACCATATTAGGGCGGGTAGCTTCATTTACCACCTGATCAAATGAGGTACAGGACAAGACCTTGGCACTTTCCCATTTTGCAATTCTCTGCTCTCGAAATTGCGACGCAGATCTTATAGAGGGTATAACGCCGGCCAACACAGCTACCGCCGTACTATGTTTAGTAAGAAAATAACAGATACCGAGATTAAATCTAATCAGTAAGCATTGACTGCTTAATGGCTAGAAATATAAGTTGAAACCAATATAGGTATGAGTACCAAGCTGTAATATAGAGATGGTAATTTATACGACTATACTATACACCGTAAAGTGATGAGAACAGAGAGGGACGTGTACTGTATTGTTCTGTCGATTGAAATTCTTGATCCCTAAATCACGATGATCGAAGTCATAAGTCGTATGCATCGGGCATGCCAGACTTGGACCCCACCAAATCAAGAGCATTGGTGAGATTGTTTATGCGTCCTGACGTATTGTCATTGTATGGGCGATAATTTGATATGTTAGAAGGCTCGTAATCACAATCTTCAGGTTGCAAAAATGGCTGATCTCGTGCCATAAAAAACGCCCCTCCGAAACTGCAAGGTAGTACAGGCTGGTTTCGAACATGCATTGATATTAGCTTCATGCAGCTTGCAAAGAAGACCCTGTCGAGTGGTGTATAGAGCTCCTAGGGCAGACCTGCTCTGATACCCAGGCGCTCCATCAA